GAATACAATGTTGATAATAATAGTTATAATATGATAGGTGCTTGTGGCCTTAGCCTTGCGACGTATAGATAAGGCTAAGGGGCACTGTCTTGACATATTTTATTTTACCTTTTAAGAATTATCTACACTTCCTACCGTGTCTCTGCAACACAAGTCTGGTCTCGAATCTCTGGTGAAAGATCATGCAGGGGCACAAGGACCACTAGAAACAGTGCAAAGCGCACATGGAGGACAAGAAAACAATGAATCTGGAAAGCTGAAATGCTAGACATCGACCGAGGAGGGCAAGTTAGGAAAGGATTGGCCAAGTGCCCCCACTAATGTCGCTCAAGTGATGCAGGAGACAGGATCACTGGTAAGGACTTGCATCCTCTTTTACAAAATTTATGGAACGGCGGTGAGATGAGCATCATATACGCTATCATAATCATACAAACATTGAACGCATCTTTGAACTGATGTGTAATGTTACGAAAGAGTCCCCATGGCTTTGCTGACATTGCTATGTTGTCCTACAAGAGGTTATGCCACGGGAAGTGTATGGTACTTGATTCTATAAAAGGCCAGGGACAGGTTTGTCTGGACTTCTGATACAGATTCTTTCTATACAAGCTCATACGGACATGGCATATCCCCTCCTTGGTGCCAGGGCTGGTACAAGCGTACTGCCCAGGTCAAGGCCAGTCCTACAGGAGAGAACTCCACAAACCAAATGGGAGCCTGGGTGGCTCGTTAGATCTCATAGCGATGCTTCTCTCGCGAGGTGACATCTAGCTAGGCTGGATACTGCTCGATGTTGCAGTCTCGCGTGCTTCGTTGACTATATATCAGGTGGGTTTTATGGCATCACTTGCCAGTTTCAGCAGGAGCGAGCATGTTCTACAAGAGGCTACATACTTGCTGGCGCGGACACTATGCCAAGTGCACACCTATCGTTCGCAGTTGCATGTGTAAATAAGCAAGCTTGTTCTACGCTTAGCTCACACATATTGGACGTCATGCCACGTTTGCTTACCAGGCAGAAGCCGTCCGAACGTTGACAGCCTCCGGAATGTTTATGCACTGCCGCGTCGACCACCTCCACCACTTCGAACACCTCCGCTTTCGGTTTTATGGGGCCGCGCGATTACCAAAGGAGACTGCGCTTGCTTACTCCAAACCGATGTATTTGGTGCACTGCCCCTTGTCACTGACCGGGTGCCAGTAGATCCATCCTTCATGAGCTGTTAGACGGATGGTCAAGCATGATGGGTGTGCTGTGGCTCGGGCCAACCTTGGCATGTCTACTACGCAGCGGACCTACTCGCATCAAAACGGCTCACCATAGGACTCGTGGTGGGTAGGCCCAGCCCAGGCCGTCTTTGTGTCTTCCTCCGCATATACCTCTTAGGACATCTCCGCTTGGATGTCGTCCGGCCTGCGAGGGTCGGTCGTGTGTACACGACTGGACTTCCTACATTACCGTCAAGCCCCAAAAACACTCGGCCGATCACGTGGAAGCTTGTTGAATTTGGGTATCGAAGCGGAGTCGGTTCTTTGGTTTCAGTTGCTGAAAAGAGCCACTCGGGCATGTAGCATTCCTCTGCTTTGCCACCAGTCCCTCCTATGTCCTATGCCATTTTTATCGTCCTCACGGAAGCCTTTCTTGTGTCGGACCAAGCACTCGAAACACCGCGAATCTTCATCCACTTGTGCGTGGTCGGTAATCCTTCAATCGATTCTTGAATGCTAGAGAGCAGGGCGTTTAAATCAACCCTGCCAGACCGTGATGCAGCCAATCGAAACCATTTCCGCTCAAACTCCGTCCGTTAAACCGTCCCTTATATCGCAGAAGGGTAAAGCATAATGCGAACCGAGGCACCGAAAGAGCGGGAGGGAAGGGGGTGGGTGAACTTGGCGCGAACAACACCGGAGTTTCCTGGTATGCAAAGTCAGCCTGCGCAACGGGAACCGCAAAGGCATCGCAGTCGTGGGTCTGTATGTACCGTGAGGGCGGGTGACCTTGCCCCAGATGACGCGGAGCTTGGAGCCGCGAACCTCCTTCTGGGCCTTGTAGACGTAGGCGACCTTCTTGCCGAGGTAGAAGCTGTATCATCCTGTCAGCTCCGGCCCGGCGAGTCGATGCTAGGGTTGGAAGACATACTTGGCAGCGTTGGTGTCGTCAACACCCTCAATCTTGATCAGACTGGTCTTGGGGTGCGTTGTGTGGCGGTTACGCTGGTAGGAAAGGTGACGACCCCTGTGATTCCACCACTGTCAGCCCCGCTGTCCTCGATCAAGTGTGAATCGTTCCCCATCGGTGGCGCATCGTGGTCTCGCTCGAGCAGATCGTCGCCGAATAATGTCGTCCTAGTCGTAGACCCAAGGTCCTCCTCCATCTCGCGGTTGCCTTCAATTCCAATCCATGCCCCACATTTTGCATACGGCTCAAGACCAGGCCACAAGGAGAGCAAACAGTCGCGCGTCGATATAACTTACTTCACGTAAACTAGAGTCGCAACAGGTCAGTTACCGCATCCTCGGATGGGGCAGTCGCGAGACAGCCACGTTGGTCAGGCCAACGGCAGGGCGACTGTCGCGATCTGCCGAGGCGACCGGAGGGATTGGGGCAGGACTCACGTCGGTGACCAGCTTCTGAAGGCATCTTGACTTTGGTCGATCACTCGATTTCTCTCCGTACCACTGGGAAAGGGGAAGGAAAAGAAAATAGCTGGGTGCGGCGTTCGATGACTTGGTGATTGACCGACTGACTTCACTACACACGGAGGGCCGCTTTGGGGGTTTCCTATGGGGTCACGGGCTACTGGCTTGGGTGTGAAAAATCCCAGGGCAAAATGTGCCTGGAGAAACTTACGGCCGTCCTCCGCCCCTGGCCCCACCTCCCTGTCTCAGCGGGCTCAGACCGTGGCTCGTCAACGGACATGGTCAGTGCCACGCCAGCTTCAGACCACTTTTCAAGTTCCTCCCGGCCCCTGCTTCTCTGAGTCAGCCCAGCCACAGGTCGCTTCTCAGTCACTCAACGTCAGTCTCGGTCCCATCTTATCTACACGTGCGAAGTCACGAGGAGCTTCTGCCATGGCCCACCCCGTCCAACAACCCGCCCCCCCCATCGCGGCTAGTCGGGGTGCACCGTGGCCGGCACCAGACAGCCCGCGGCGGAGACACATGCCTCTCTGACCTATTTCCATCTTCTGCTTATTACCTAGTACCAGCGGTCCGGACTGCTCGTTATCTCGCGCCCCACGTATGATGCAATGGCCGAGTGGGTGTCCCTCGCCGATAGTTTCTGCGGGATCCTCCCTTCTCGCTGTCCGAGAGATCTAACGCCGGGACTCGTGCCCTCGTCGTCTCCTGAAATCGGAGTTGCGATCGGACTCGGTGATGTTGAGACAGGGCCTTGTTGAAACAATCCCAATTTTTCCGGTCCTTGCGAGCTCGGCCACGACGTTCAGATGCACCAAGAGCCGGGGTATTGTAGGAGACCACCATATCCCCCCCCGCCTGGCAGGATTAACAAGCCTGCATGCCTCCGTTGGGACATGTAGGGCGAACCTGCGATAGGCGCGGTAGAGCGGTAGCACTTCTTTGGTGGGGTCGCTGGTGCTGTCGCTTTGTTCCCAATTTTGCCAAGTCCCGAGATCTCCGGAGCGCGGAAATGTCAAGCTGTGCTGCGCTTAGAGCTACCCTACAGCAGCTGGCTGTGACATGTCAACTCACTCCTCTTGTTTATCTGGATAGTACCACCTCGATCACCACCCATCGCCCTCAGCAGCTCCAGCAACCCAGATGTTAAGGTCTTGTGTATTTTGATAAGGCAGTAGCAGATTCTCCAGACGTGTAGATGTACACACATACACCTAGTATCAATTTTTAGGCCGGTCTCTGTCTGTAGTTATTGGTCCTGTAAGTAGTATTTGCTGTGCCACAGCTGCTACAGATAGGCCTCAAGGAGCTTCAAGGAGATCAAGCAACGCCGAGGGAGCGGTAGGTGAGAGCTTCGCTGCATAGCTTCACCTACCCTACTTGGCCTGGTTCGGCCGACGGACAGGTAACGCGACAATTCTGGACGGCGTTCAATACTGGAGGTATAGATGTGGTGTCTATAGCCAGCCAAGCCGCACCCTCTTCAGACCAGACTCGTGCGCTCAATCCGGGTGTTTCGCATCATCCCTGAGCGATTTTCAGATGTCCATGTTACAAATCCTACAACGGAGGCCCGAGGAGGTTTCCACCTATGGCCGGACAAGTCGCCGGCCTCAACAAAGCCTGACTTAACAAATTAGCTCCCAGAGGGTCCACCAAAGTCCTGCGGATCCAACCCAGGGCAGTCTTGGAGCCACCCCGCTATGGCCGTCCAGAGCACTCCGTACCGAGTACGCCGTGTCAGGTTGAGGTTCTGTGCCGTCATGGTGATAGACTGCGCCCACCAGCATTCCCATATAAGTCCAGGGCAGGTTCTCGCTGTGAGACCTGATGTCCTGTGGTGTCCGGTTTGAATGAGAGGTCTTACACAGTAGCTGCCACACCTGGGCGGGGTGTCGAGAATGGATACGCCCTTCTGGATCTGGTGAAACAGTGTCTGCGAGTACTACAGTATTCTGGGTACCTCTGGACACTTGCGGGAGGGGCCCACCTCAGATGCAATCAAGAATTTGCTGCTACAGTTCCGCTCCTAGACGACGTATGCTTTTTTTGTGCAGTAGGCTGTCGGTAGCTACCCAAGCACTGCTTCCCACGACCTGTCTCTGGTGTGGAAATCGGCTGGCGGGTTGGTGGTACTGGTTTCATCTCTAGCAGCAACTCCCTCTGAGCTAGGCGCAGACCGGCTGACGCGGGAGGGATACCCCGCGGCAGGGCCCATGCTGCGGGACAGGCGGAAGGGCCTGAGTAAGCTGTCTGGCAGGCAGTCCAGCCAGCCCTGCAACCATCCAAGTGCTGGTGTCTGTCGAGGTACCTAGCCCACAGGGCCACCACCTACCTAAGGGTACCTAGCTCGGCCCCTCCAAGCAAGTCTGCGCATCACCCCCCCCGGCTGGTCCTCCAAAACCCATTAATAAACCCCCGAGCCTGGTCCTCTGGTCTTTCCAACTTTGACGTCGTCCCGCTCCGCCCGGTCTGCTCTCACCCAGGTCGCCCTCTCTACAAATCTTCTGCTTGCCCACCTCGCCATTGCCTAGCATCTCTTCTTCACTCCTTCCAAGAAACAGCAAAATTTACCACATTTGAAGATGGCGTCTGCCGAATTGCACTCTGCCGCATCGTAAGTGCCTTGTAACCCCGCGCTCGAGAGCCGGCCCCGCCGTCGCACCTCGGAGGGATGCTGCACCCGCCACCAGCTCCCGCCTTGTGAGAGCTCCCTCGATAGCTCCCTCGACGGGCAATGCCGTCCTTGCCAACCCCCCACAACCGGCCAATCAGCCCGAGGAGTCCCGGCTGTTTGATATTATGGTGGTCGCGATACTAACTCTTTGCTCAACCCAGGGCCTTGGAGCTCAAGGACAACACGGTGATCGTGGTGCTCGGAGCCTCGGGAGATCTGGCAAAGAAGAAGACAGTAAGCCGAGTGACCCCACCACCAGCTGCATGCTTGTCTCGCGCGTGCTAACCATGTATCACAGTATCCCGCCCTGTTCGGCCTCGTAAGCAACTTCCTGCCTGTTCACGGAGGCGAGACTGTGAGAAGCTAACTAGTCCCCATCAAGTTCCGCAACCAGTTCCTGCCCAAGGACATCAAGATCGTCGGCTATGCCAGAACCAAGATGGACCATGAGGAATACCTGCGGAGGATCAAGTCGTACATCAAGACCCCTACCAAGGACATGGAGAAACTACTTGAAGACTTCTGCAAGCTCTGTACCTATGTCTCCGGCCAGTACGACAAGGACGAGTCCTTCCTAGGCCTGAACAAGCACCTGGAAGAGATCGAGAAGGGGCGCAAGGAGGCACACCGTCTTTTCTACATGGCCCTGCCACCAAGCGTCTTCACCATCGTCTCTCAGCACCTGAAGAGGTGCTGCTACCCAACCAAGGGCATCGCCCGCGTGATTGTCGAGAAGCCGTTCGGCAAGGACCTCGCAAGCTCCCGGGAGCTGCAGAAGTCCCTGGAGCCCGACTGGAAGGAGGACGAGCTGTTCCGCATCGACCACTACCTCGGCAAGGAGATGGTCAAGAACATCCTGATCCTGCGGTTTGGTAACTCGTTCCTCGGAGCTACCTGGAACCGCCACCACATCGACAACGTCCAGATCACATTCAAGGAGCCCTTTGGTACCGAAGGTCGAGGCGGCTACTTTGACGAGTTCGGCATTATCCGGGACGTGATGCAGAACCATCTCCTGCAGGTCCTGACTCTTCTTGCTATGGAGCGCCCCATCTCCTTCTCCTCAGAGGATATCCGAGACGAGAAGGTGCGGGTCCTCCGCGCTATTCCTGCTATCGAGCCCAAGAACGTCATCATTGGGCAGTACGGAAAGTCCCTTGACGGCAGTAAGCCCTCGTACAAGGAGGATGATACCGTCCCCAAGGACTCCCGATGCCCCACCTTCTGTGCGCTGGTCGCCTATATCAAGAACGAGCGTTGGGACGGCGTGCCCTTCATCATGAAGGCTGGAAAGGCACTGAACGAGCAGAAGACAGAGATCCGGGTGCAGTTTAAGGACGTCACCTCGGGGATTTTTAAGGACATTCCCCGAAACGAGCTTGTCATGCGCATTCAACCCAACGAGAGTGTCTACATCAAGATGAACTCGAAGCTGCCTGGTCTCAGCATGCAGACCGTGGTGACAGAGCTGGATCTCACCTACCGCCGACGATTCTCCGACCTGAAGATCCCCGAGGCATACGAGTCGCTGATTCTCGACTGCCTAAAGGGCGACCACTCCAACTTCGTCCGTGATGACGAGCTGGATGCTAGCTGGAGGATCTTCACACCCCTTCTGCACTACCTCGATGACAACAAGGAGATTATTCCGATGGAGTACCCCTACGGTAAGACAGAACCTCGGATTACAGCCTACTACGAGGTGGATGACTGACTAATACTGCCTGCAGGCTCTCGTGGACCTGGTGTCCTCGATGACTTCACGGCTTCGTATGGCTATAGGTTCAGTGATGCTGCCGGTTACCAATGGCCTACGACATCGGCCACGCAGCCCACAAACAAGTTGTAAGTGCTTGATTCGCAAAAGTCTCCGTCACGAGTTGAGTCCCCTCTGGCAGGGTAAGCTTTTGATGCGTCTGTACTGACAGCTAGGAAATAGCTAAAGAGTAATATCATGAGATGTTCCGGCGAGCCAGGACTGAACAGTGACAGAGTACACGGGCGTTCGTAGATGAACAATACAGGGTGTCAAAATCGGTACATGTACCTGGGATCTCAGTGGTAGAGGTGATAGTTACAATTGACTTGTCTCCATCCAGTCTGCCCAAAGTAGTACCCAAGTCCAAAGAGAATATCACGAAATAGGAATTTCAGGATTTATTAGACAATAACAGCAATGCCATCACAATAGACTGGATGTACAGGTGAACCGGGCTGACCGACCGTTGTCCCGGCTACACTGCCTGCATGCAATGTTACATGCAGCGCCAAGGTATCGGTACCTCATCACGTGGACCCCGCTTTTCTCCCTGGCGTAAGCCTGGCAAGGTACAGACTAACGTGCTAGCCTGCTGGCGGCTGGGGGGCCGGGCGCCTTACCAGTTCAGTTCCTCGGTTCTGCGCTCAGCTTTCATCACCACGATACCATAGACCAGGTACCTCTTTATCTATGACCTGCGGTCACCAAACCTTGTCGCATCCCGCGTTTTGATTCAAAACGTTCACTGTGGGCCATCAGCCGGATCTATTTCTTCGTGGCCCTTCCTCCCCCGTCCTGCAGGTCCCGCGAGGACCCCGTCGCTGTCGTCAATCGAACCGCCCGAGTGAAGAAAGGCGCGCGTTGCCTCGACCGCGCCCGCTACCACGCCCGCGCCCGATCACCACCCTTACTGCCGAGATTCTTGCGAGGGTGCCAAACGAATGGGGGCCTAGGGACGTGTTCCACCTGGGGACTCCCACTTGTCAACTCTGCAAGGCGGACGTTCTCAACAGTGCCTTTGGTTTGCGACCTTGCTGCGTCACTACGTCGACGGCCGGGTGCCATTTCGCATCTCCGCGACCGGCATCTGCTGGCCTCCCAGGGGCATCTTCCATCGCGACTGCTCGTCACGCTTTCGACTGGCCAGGATATACGGGACTCAGACCCAGCAGACGGCAGGGTGAGATCTCACGAATGAGAGTCTCGCCCTTGGAAAGGAGGCTGTCAAGATGGAGATTGGGACGCAGAATGGGGCGCGCACCGACCATGACAGAGACTCGAAGATGAACGGGATCAATGGCGCGGGCATGGTGAAGCGCGAGCCTTCTCCAAACAAGGCGAAGGGAGGCGCAACACCGATGACGAATGGATACGATACTCCACTGGAAGCAGATGCGCTAAAGCAAGCACAAGCAGCCTCGAGCGCGACAGGGCAGACCTCTAAGATGGACAACCTGCCACCCGAGATCGCACACATCACGCAGAACTTCATCGGAATTCCGTTCCTGCTGCAGCGGCTGGCGCAGAAATCACATAATGACCTCCAGTCCAAGATCGAAGAGCTTGCCAAGATCCTCATACCACAGGGGTCTATGAATGGTAGCGCAGGCACGGCGGAAGACAATTCGGAAGAGAATCAAAACAAGAAGGCCAACTTGCTGAGCTTCATCCAAGACATGCACGGAAAATGGGTCAAGGCCCTGGTGATCTCAGAGTGGAGTAGGAAAGCCGGGCAAGTCAGCAAGCTGATCGATCTCAATGTTCACATCAACGAGCAGTTGGCGAAATATGACCAGGGCTTGGACTTCATGGGTCATATCAAGAGAGGCCTCTACCAGGCGCGGCTACCAGACCCTGATCTCAAAACGGCGCTTCAAGTTCTGTCCACGGGACAGGCGCCTTGGTTCCCTGAGGTACTGTGACTGACTTTGTTCGCGAAGCGATGTTGACTCTGCTAACTTTTCGCAGTTTGGTTACATTGAACCCCCTCCGTTGACTACGGCCGAACAAATGAAGTGGATCAACGAGCTGAACACTCTGTTATCTGTGAGGCTTAATCTTGAGGACCACGACAAGATCCCCAGCCAATTCAGAGGCTACACCATCGACTCAGGTCGCGTCACTTTCAAAGTTGACGGGGAGTTTGAGGTGGATCTCACGATTGCCGACGAAGACTTCGAGAAGCAGTTCTGGTTCATTGACTTCCGATTCACATTCTCGCCAGCGCCTCAAGACCTGACCGAGACATTGAGGATGTTTCTGGAGATGAGTGTGAACGAGGCACTTGGCACTGACGGCCTACGGGGCTGTTACGAACTTCTTCACGAGCTCACTCTCACGCACAAGATCAATGAGCTTCGAAGACAGGCTGTACAGCTCAGCCGCGGCCGCTGGATCGAGAATTTGAGGGTCGAGCGATTGAACCGTGCCCTCTCGATACAGTACTGGACGAACCGTTTCCCCGCGAACTCCAACGCTGTTCCAAAGAGCTGGATCATTGTGGGTGTCAACAGCGGGAGAACATCAAAATCCAACTCACCACCAAAAACGAACCCTACTAGCCATCTCGAACTGAGATGGTTCCAGGACGGAAAAGAAGTTTGCGACGTGAACGTAGCAATCGATAACCAGGACATCTCTGCAGAGGCACTTATCAAGAAGATCGTCGCGAAACATGTTGGGAACATTTTGTCATCGATCTACGACAAGCTTCTTTCCAAGCCACGCTTTGAGAAACGGCAAGCATCGGTATCGCTGAGCATCGACAGTCAGGACCCATCGGAGTCGGCCTTGGTGGTTCAGCTGACCCATGCGCAGTCCCTGACCGTGCGAATTAACCCAACCACAGGAATGTTCAACATGGAGCCCGCTGCGCAATCATACGTCTACAAGGGCGAAGCATACCTCAACCAGAGATCTCGAAACCTCGTAGAGGATGCCGTTATGCAAATCGAGACCATAAGGTGGCAGAGCGAATTTGGCGAGCTCGTCCGACTGGGTCAAGGCCAGGGCTGGCACATGTCTCGACGGCCGGTCGGTCCAGAAGAGGTCAAGCGGCTACACGCCTCCCGGGAGCCACACAACATGCTGTGGCTCAAGCGCGAAGGCTGGACTGCTTCTTGGTACCTTGTCGTCTGTCTGAGCTTGGCCGGCGACACTTGGTGGCTGGTAGAGATGTAAGTCGACATGCCGATCGGCCTGTACCAGAATACCGTATGCTGACGCCTTCTAGCGATGCGCCCAACAACCCCACAGTGGATTCGCCAAAACCTCGAGGTAACCAGTTCGCTTCTAGGAACAACCTGATCGCTGAGCAGTCGACTGTTCGGCTCAAATCCTACACACCTATTCCGATTACACTTACGAACCCCAGCTTCTCTGTCCCGTTCTTCACCGACCTCACCACGCTCACCACGGGTATGATTGCTCAGATCAGCGACATTACGACCCTACGCAAGAGCAGAATTCGGTTTGCGGTCAAGGCCGCGATCAACCCGTACTTGTCCTCTCGCACCAGGCTGCCGTCATTGTTTGTCAGATTTGCTTCCATTCTCCCACCTCAGGGTGGCGATCACGGGGCCCAGCGCACGAAAGAATTGTGGGCTGGAGAATTCGTCGAGATCACATTTCGAGGTGTTCGCAGTCCTGCATCTGCCTCTAGCAAACACTTCGCCGTCTCTGCCGATGTCAAGGTCCTTGTCAGAGACAAATCCAAGTTCTCGCTTCTCAAGGGTCACGTCGATCATGATGTCTACTACAACGCCCGCACTGGATCGTTCAAGCTACATCTGCGGACCGAGATCGGAAAGTCCTTCATCGACGTCCTTGCTACTCGTCTCAAGGCACTCGATAGATTGGTGGAGTTTGTGGCTGCGATCAATCGCCGCTCAGACACAGTGAAGTGCGAGAGCGTCACACTTCGCAAAGTCGTCTTCACCTACGGGCCACCGAATTCGGAACAGCCGCCCGTGGATGGGCAGACTTCGACCCCCTGGAGGGTCGTACTGGATCTTGCCAAGAGTGACAAGGTCAGCGTCACTCTCGAGAAGGGCAACCCGCACATCCGGGTCCGGGACATGCTCGACTCGCTTGTGAATTCTCGAGATGGATTCGAGCAGCTGCCATTCTGGCTCCAGACATCGCTGAATCTCCATCGGGCCCTCGACGCGATGGAGGAGTCGTGGGTCGACGTCGCCATGGACAACCAGGGCGAGCTCCAGATCGAACCACGCACCCTGGACGTCTACTATCTTTATTTTGAGCTGCCCGCGCAGGCGAACAGGCCCGCACGCGGTCTACGCCTCAGAGTCAGATGCAGGTCGCGCCGCGGAGAGCTGTGGTGGAGCGTGGAGCGCCCCCCCCTCTCGGGCGAGGCCCCCCGGAAGGACAGCGACGAGTTTGACGCGGCCCTGCAGCCGGTCTTTGACTCCAAGGGCGACGGTTGGATGGGCCACGGCAAGTCTGCCGTTGCCAAGACCGCGGGCAGGGGCATCGAGGATCTGATGGCCAGGGTGAGCGATGCCTTGAAGGGTCTGGCCACCAGCGGAGGCGGAGGGGCTGCGCAACCAGCTGCCGGCTCGCAAGGCGCGGCGATAGTCTTGGACTAGAAAAGGGGTGAAGCGGTCGCAAAAAAAGGCCCGGGGGGCCCATGATACGATTGATAGCTTGATACCATGACGTGCCCAAAACGATAGGGCTTATAATGAATACGTTGCTTTCGGCAATGGATCAATAGACCATAAATAGTCAAAATGACAGCCTATTGACATTGTCGATCTGGACCAGTTTGTGGTTCCCAGTTTTGAGCTTGGTGCTGGAGAATTGATTGGTGACCGCGCTCCCTGAAAAGTACTCGTGCTCAGTCTACTTGCCCTCACGAATGGACGACGACCTGGGCACCTAGGCAGCTGTGACTGGGGGCATTCCAGGGCGGACAAGAGAGCATGATGAAAGCACTGCGTACAAAATTGTCCCCATCCGATAGCGTGTATATATATGTATATATCTACTTGCTCTGTAATCGATGATGTATTGTACAAGTAAGCCGGGACGTGTAGGAAGGACCCCGGTGGACCAGACACAAATGAAATGTCTACAAGACGATGTCGATAGTTAGAAAAAGTCTCGTATGCCCCATGTCCATGCCCATGTATAATCATTCACCATCCATCGTACAGATCATCCCCGCCCGATACGCTATGAACCCATAAAGAAACCCGTCAAAAGAAAAAGGGGAATATAGGAAGGAAAAAGAAATCACATGGTATGCGAGGTATCGAAAAATTAGAGGCCAGACGGTAATTGTCAGCCTTCAGTATTCCGTCACATCGAGGCACTCGAGAGCGTCCAGCACCTCCTGCGTAACCGACCTCTCGGGCTTCCTTGCATAGCCCTTCAGCAGCCTGAGCCCAGCCCCGCAGGCCCTGCCCTCCTCAACAACAGCGTGCACGCCCTCGAGGCTCTTGCCCGCCTCCTTCATGGCACCACCATCGGTGGTCACGGTGTCGGCGAGCGAGAAGCCGCTGTGCGCCTCCCCGGCGGCCTTCTCCATCTCGCACCGCAGGATCCACCGCTCCCAGCTCCATGTGCCCGCGAGGCCGGCGACCGCAGCCGCGGCATCGGTACTGCCGGGAAGGCTGCCCGGCGCCATGGCGTCCAGGCAGAGGGTCTTGCCACCGGATGGGGGCGAGGGCTCCGCGCCCACGGGGCCATTTGGCCCGTAGCGGACGGGCCCCGGCCGAGCGGCGGGCTTGGGGCCGAGCGGCAGGACCGCCCAGCCGCGGTGGACGTCTTCGAACCCGGCGCGCGACAGGCGCGACAGGAAGGACCTCGTTGGGGCCGGGTCGTAGCCCAGCGTCTTGAGGGTGAAGCCGAACTCGACGCTCTTGGCGAGGCCCAGAGGCCCCGCGTTGACGAGGTCCGAGTCCATGACGCTGAAGTCGACGTATCCACCGGGCTTCAGGACGCGCATGACCTCGCGGAGGCAGGCGTCCCACTCGTCGCCGCCGACCTTCTCGGAGACCTCCGAAGAGCGGAGGATATTGTGCAGCTCGCGGGCCGAGACGACGTCGAACTGGTCGTCGGCGAAGGGGAGGCGGCCCAAGCTGTTGACGGCAACCTGCCTGTGGTTGGGCGGGCCGCGGATGTTGGAGTTGGACAGCTGGCGGATGGCCTTGGTCGTCACGGTGTAGACCTTTGCGTTGGGGTACTGCAGTGCCGCGTGCCAGGCCCAGTCGCACGCCGCCTGGCCGCCGAGGTCGAGGATGCGAAGGCGGCTGCGCATGGCACCACCGTGGCGTCCCTTGCTGGGCGCGAGAGAGAGCCTCGCGAGCCGCTTGTGCACGGGGGCGCACACCAGCCTGCCCCCGTTGAGCATCTTGGTCGCGGCGACGTGCCAGTTGGCGTTGGCCATCTGCTTCAGAGCCTCGGCCTCCTTGTCGAGGCGCATCTTCTCCGGGTCCTCAAACACCTCGTCGTCGCCGCGAGCCACGTTGGCGCTCATCCTCTTCTTGGCCGACTGGGGCACCACCGAGAGCTGGTACTTGCCCAAGAGACGGTCGCGGTGCTGCTCGCGGAGCGAGATGCGTTCGGCCTGGAGGGCCTCGAAGCGGGGGAGCCGGTGGACGAAGACGTCGGCGCGGGTCGAGCGGACAGTCATGGATTGGAAGGCCCGGTAGAAGGCCGACTCCTGTCGCAGGAGCTTGGACGGGAGGTTCTTTGGGATATCGCCCTCGGCGGGGGCGAACGTGAGCCGGTTTGAGAAGCGGACAGACTTCTTGGCTGCGGGCGAGGCGGCTGAAATTGCCGTCTTGAGTACGGATCCCTTGGGCGGGGTCGTTGGCAGCTTTTCCAGTTCATCTGACGCTTCTTGTGACTCCTCTGTCATGACTGCCGCTTTCTCTGGCTCCGTCTCTGCTTCTGCCTCAGTGGACTCGAAGCCAACGCCTCTCAGGTACGCAAACTGCGCGCGCAGCCAAACCTCGGTACGGTTGAGGTGCGACGCAGAGATTTCTTGTTGCTTTTGGGCGTATTCTGGGTCGTAGTCGACGACGATTTCCTTGACGTGGTCTTCTTCTTTCGGTGATGTCGGCGAGTGAACATCCTCGTCGAGTTCGGGGAAAGACTCCAATTGCGAGTCGGGGATTCTCCTCGCAGTGACAGGCTCCTCGACTCGCTTTGCTGTCTGGACCTCCTCCTCGGCGGCCTCTGGAATCTCCACGACGTGCTCAACGATTTGTTCCGGTCTTGGTGGGGGTGGCATAGCAGGCGCGGAAGCAATGTTCCAGGGAAGCCTGTAGAATTGCTCAGCTGTGGTTGAAGTCGGGGGTGCGACCTCGTCTGCTGGCGGGGTCTCGAGGTGCCATGTCGTCCGAGTGCGTGGGGAGAGGCCGGAGAAGAAACCACCAGGCGAAGGGATGTCTAGTTTGGTCAGGCCAGTCATGGATCTCTGTTGCGCGGGTGAGAGCGCGATGGTTGCCCTCGACAGGTTCCTGGTCATCAGACGAGGCGGCGCCTGTCTTGACTCTGCCATTGGCTCCCTAGATACCTCAATGGGTTGCTCGTGTTGAGGCTGGTCCTCCTCATCTGCCTCGTGGCCAGACAAGGCCTGCAAGGTTGCCAGGGCGCCGGGCTGGAGCTGGATTCCGGTCCAGTCCCCGCTATCCTCGGGATCCTCGTTGCCCATTACCGGAGTAGGAGGCGCCGACATGGCCGCCAGCTGTTCGGAGGTGAGGCTTCCATCCAATGAGCCGTCGAGCGAGGGCGGTGCTGAGATGGTCGGGATGGGTTGAGCATGCTGAGCCTGCATGTAAGACAGCATGGCTGGAGACATGGCGACAGCTGACGGTGGTGTTGGGGGCACCGGCGACACGAGTGTCTTCTTCAAATCTTGATGCTTTGGCGACCACTTGACGGTGTTGAGCTGGTGTCCACCGGGAATCACGAGCTGTGGCAGTGCTTTCCTGGCCTCGCTGGATGATGTCCTCGATGAGACCAGAGGACCCTTTGACTTCCTGTTCCTTGGCGCTCTCATGGACTCGATCTCGGGTTCACTCTCGTCGGATACGCCGTACAGATCATCAAACTCGGTGACATCTGTCATGGCACTGTGCCTGTTCCAGGAGTTGGTACGTGAGGAGGATGAGCCGTGGGAGCTGCCTTCCTCACCGGAGGCCGAGGCCGACGAGGGTGAGGATGGCAGTGTTGGTGCGGTCATGAAGTGGAAGCCCCTCGGGGTTGGGAAGGCCCTTGGGGTGGGCAAGTCTTCGCTGGATATGGCATCGAGGGGGGCCAACCACGCCTGGAGTCTCTCCTGGTCTGCAGTCTTGTCCCTAGCCGTGGTTTTCCTCATGAAGGGCAAGCGTGTGGGCGAGACATAGTCCTCGTTCTCTTCCTCGATTATTGTATTAAGACCACGGCGCCGCCTCCGACCCTGCAGGGTGGGCTCGTGGTCAGCATTCTGGGGGAGAACAAGCAGCTCTGCCATTATGGGAAATTCTTAGGTCGCAGTTGCAGTAGTACAAAATGCGGTCATCATAGGATATAAAAAGAACCCTATCCTCCGGAGGATGGAGATGCTGCAATACGACGCTCTGCGCCGTAGGGGGGAAAAAGACCAAGACTAGGAGATGTTAATAAAAGGCTAACGATAGGATGGCTCGCACAGCGAAGCACTCAAATGTGGCAAACTCGGATGAGTCGTCGTGAAGAAGGGAAATGGGGGAGGAGGAGGCGGTCCGTGGAGGACTGGGGTGATGAATTCAGTTTTAACAGACGAGACGGCCGACCTCGACCCGTCGACCCGTCTGGCAGGCGCCGGGCATCATGATGCTCGCACAGGAAGCCCCACAGTATCCCATTGAGCGGCTAATGGCGTGCAGACGAGGGACGGCAAACTCTGGGCAACCCGGGCCAGCAGGGCCAGCAGGGCCAGCAGGGCCAGCAACGGCGACGGAGGTGTGACCACACCCGCGTGTCCTGCTTGCCCGCCAGCCCGCCATGTGCTCACATTGGGCGAGAGCAGGGGGGGCTGCAGGCTCATGCAAACTCGAGCAGCATGGCAGCATGGCCCATCGAGGAATCTGGATGGGGACCTCCTCGCAGCTGGCCCGGGAGGGTTGCAGCGGCTGGGGCCAGGCCAATCACGACGTGCAGGAAGGATGGTGCTGGAAGGTGCCATCCAAGACACGCAAAAGACACGACGAACGACTGGCTGGCGCGCGCCAAGTCGAGGTAGATGGCAATCTGGACCTCATTGGGGAAGGGGGCACCGCAGCCAGGCCGGCCAATGACGGGGCGCAGCGCCCTGCAGCGCGCCAAACTCGGGCGCTTAAGGTGCGTTGCCATTGTCACCCAATGCAGGTGCAGTGCAAGGTCTCTGGGTCTCTGGAAATAGCAAGGCCCTTTTGCATGGCTTGCATGGCTACAGATTACTACTGCACACAGTAAGCCTCATTATACACTTGCTGACCATGTCTGTGCCGTGCCGCTCGCGGGCTTCCAAGGTTGAGAGGGCTACCCGTGGACGTCACTCTTATAAGCCCGAAGGAGCAATGCCACCACAGCACCTGCACAGACGCAGCTTGGGGGCCATTTCCTCCGGACGGTGGCCGTGGGTGGCTGTGACCGCTCTTTGCTGCGGGTACGGCGCATGGCCAGCTGGCGAGCCACCATGACGAGACCACGCAGTTCTGAGACCGACAAGAGGCGGGGTGCTGGGCTGGGCTGTTCGAGATCAGGCAATGCAATTGTTCAGTCTGCTCTCGTGTGGACACTCGCTCGGCGGCTGCTGGATGTGATCTGGCAGCCAGTGTGTCGTTTCTCTGGGTTGGGTGTGGACGGCCGGCCTTCAAGTGGTGGGGCTCCGGCCCGAAGTGGTGGCCCACCTCGGCATTTTATTTGAGAATCAGGTGGGACTTGTACCACAGTGGTTGTGCCCGATTGCGATTGCGGGCTGCCCCACATCCACGTAGATACTCATGTGCATATTCATTATAGCATTAATAAAGAGGAGAATGGAAATTCGCGCACTTAGAATCGGAAGGCACATACCCTCTCTATTATTCAGCTAATTAGAGTATAAAACCTTAAAGTCTTTATAACTTTAATATATAAGCCTTTTTTATAATTAAAGAATTATAAATAAAGTAGATTAGTTTTTTAAAAACTTAAGTTATACTTACTAACTTTATTTATAACTCTCTACTATACTTTATACTTTAAAGCTTACCTCCTTTACTCTAACTAACCTTTTTATAAAAGGTATTTTATATTCTATACTTTTTAATTAGTAGATAGGTGTACTATATATACTTTTTAATTCTAAGTGCGCGAATTTCCGTTCTTTTAAATAAAGTCTTTTAATTAACTATAATTTAAAAAAAAATAAGTATTTACATATTATATATTTATTCCTATATAAATATCTATTTTCTTAAATAATGCCTTAAGGTGATAGTATTTACATTTTCGACAGAACTTGTGGCCGGGAGGGGAATGGGCTTCTAAACAGCCAAGGCAGATGATTGGACCCATGGGATTACCCGGCTCATATAGACGGAATATATCCTCCCATGGCTGCCCCTTCTTGCCGGTAAACCCCCCCCCTGGGGTGAATAGCTTGGGGCATTTAAGACATGCCTTTCGCTGAGCGCTTCCCCCTCTCTGTGCTTCCATCAGACAACACCCACGGTTTAGGGTGACTCCAGAAAGGTCTAGAAGTGGTCCAAACTCAGCTTCGAGCCCCTGGCGTATATCATGGACTAGCTGCTTGACCTCGGTTGATAATGTTTGACAGCGGAACGACGAGTTGTCAGGTGGTAGGCAGTTCATGAGAATTTGGTTGATGAGTTCTCGCAACCAAATAAAAGGAGTGTTGGAGGTATTCATATTGTCAGAACTTGAAGTATGCCCCATCGATCGAAAATCAGATTGGCACTGGTATGCTGGCCCGTCCTCAGATGGAGCTGCCTGGCTCCCAAACTGATAATGATATGGAGCAGAACGTTTCTGCTTGGTGAAGGCTGCTTTGGCATCGGGGAGTGTCATCCTCAAGAACCGTCGGTGTGTCCGAATTCTCTCGCCCGTCGCTGCATTAGAGGTGCCCCCTTTATACAGCCTGGTCTCGATTTGACCAGCAGAGTATTGGCCATCAGGGCTAGCTTTATGCCAGTACCGGTCCACGATATCGATATACTCCCCCGCGTAAAACTCTCGAGCATCTTTGGAGATCTTGGGGAGCTTCCGCAGCTACCCACCCAGTTATCCAAATCGAGCTTCGGGTCGCCAAGAATAGACCTGGTTCTGACAGGTACATCCTCGAGTGCACGGTGTTTTAGCACTCGTGAATCGCAATGTACAAATGTGGCCACCCATTGCCGGTGGATTGGTGGAGGCCCGTCATCGTCGGCGGCCTTCAGTGAACGGATACTGTCAAACTTCCTGAGGAGCTCAATGGAAGTACCCTTCAGTGCCTCTACTGTAGCTTGGAAGAGGCGGCGGTACCGATCGACATTGTTCATGCTTGTTCTCCATGTATGTCCTCGGACGTATACGGAATAGAAGCGAAACCACACATAACCCGAGGGCTCCTCAGGGTTGCTGAAAGGTAGTGTGGTGGGTTCGTCACCTTCGTCAACGGAGCCTTCCAACTCGGCCTCAGGTTCGTCCGCGTGGAGTTCCTCGTTGAAAGCAAAGAGCTCGTCCAACAGTTCCCTACTAATATTAATATTTTAATCGTATGTGAAACTGCCGTGAAAACTCACTTCTCTTCAGCCATCCCATCAGATTCATAGTCTGAATCGTCATTTTTCACCCCATGGGCATCAACATCTTCGCCAGAGTCTTGGTCAGACTCTGGCTCAGTATACGACTTCCTTTTGCGAGGCACAGAAGAACTGGAAGATTGGCCGAATGAAGAGGCCGATTTGCCCTGGGAAGGTGCAGGAGCTCTCTGGGCGCGAGTGCTGCTGCGAATGGCACGGGCATTGCCAGATTTCTCACGAAGAGGTACCATCTTCAAAAACGATAAACGAAGTCTTCTTTAAACTGCTTTGGAGAACTTGGCGATTCGGCTGTCTTGTCCATCAAGAGAGGACTTTTTTTTCAAAACTGAAAATCCAATGGGTGCAGGTGTGAGATTCAGGCAGTCAGTCGGGACATGCCGCCGCTCCTTCCCTCCGTGACTGCCATCTCTGTCGCGAATTGGCTGCCACCTCAGAGCAAGACCTTCAGATCCAAATAGACCTGGAGACCGTACAGCCAATGCTAAAATTGGACACGGGAACTGAATCGAATCAATTGTCGTGTAGTAGTGTGGTTGAACCTATATGCGTGCCATAGAGAAGGGTGGCCAGAGGTGGCCACCGCATACCACTATTACCGTACTGGTAAATAGGGGGGATCCACAAGTATTATAGCCCTTTATAAACGTTATATATACTATAAGACTTATACCTATTATAAGAGTAATCCCCTTCTATAAGAGTTAGAGAATTAAGGTATAGAAGTTATATAAAAAGATTTTAGTAATTTAAGAGTTACTTTATTTATTTAAGTATAAAAAATAATTAAAAAGGATTCTTTTTTTAAAATAATTTTAAAGTTTTTTTTTATTTTTTAAGTTATTTTATTTTTATTTTTATTTTTATTTTTATTTTTATTTTTATTTTTATTTTTATTTTTATTTTTATTTTTATCTTTTTTTATAACTATTTCTTTATAATTATTTTATTTATTTAATATATATTTCTCTTTTAAAAATTAATTATATAACTTTTATACTTTAATTCTTTAAGTTTTATAAAAAAGTAACTTTTATAATTATTATAAGTTTTATATTAAGAATATATTTTAAAAATAAGGTAAGCTTTATAGGCCTTTATAACTTTTATAGGCTGTTTATAAGTATTAATATAGTACTTTAAAATATATAGAGTTTAGTATAATATTATGTTTAAATTTATAATTACTAGCCTTTAAAGAAAGATTAAAGATTAAATCTCTTATTATTTAACTTATAAACTAAATAAGTATAACAACTAGGCACTATTAGGTAAACTCGAATCTATATCTACTCCGAGCATTCCATTTTAACCATGGACTTTACAACCGCCTTGCCCGATGTACTAGCTGCCGGAACACTATAGTAGATAAACACCTTACTATTCTTCAACTCTTTACTCACGGTAATAGATAAATTCACTAAGAGTACCTTACTTATACCTAGAAACAACGTCTATTCAACATAAGACTATACTAAATTACTCTTAATATAGTTATATAGTTTTACTTCTATTCTATATATATTTAAAGATATATATAATAGCTTTATATAGTAATAAATATTTAAAACTTAATATTTAAAAAAAATATAATATTATTAATAATAATTATAATATAATAAATATTTATAATTTTAACTTTATAATATATAAATAAAGTTAAAAGTATTATTTTAATAATAATATTAATTAAAATATTATAAAAGTTATATAATAAGATTAAATTTAAAAATAATTATTATATAAATAAATTATATTAAAAGCTTAATTAAAATTATTTTTAAATATATATATATATATATTAATAAAACCCTTATTAAATAAATTAATATTATAATCTTTATTTAAATATATAATTATTAACTTTAAAAGAATTTAAAATAAAGAAATAATTTATAATATATTATCTTTAAAATTTTATAATAAAGTATTAAAACTCTTAAAAAAGTTTTAAAAGTAATTTATAAAAGATAAAAGAGAGTATAATAAGTTTATTTTCTTTTAAGTTTATACTTTTATTATTAATAATTATTAATTTTTAATAATATAAAAATATAATAAAAATAAAGAAAAGAGTGGATTTAAAGTTTTTTTTTAAAAGAATTATAAAAATATATATAAAGTTATTAAAGACTTTATATATAAGTTTTAAACTATTAGGAAAGAAATAAGTAGCTAAATTAAAAGATAGTTATATAGTGTAAAGGAAAAATATAGTGTGGCTAAAGTTTAATGTGGTTATATTTAGTAAACTGGAGTATACTATGATAGATTATATCTAACTAAGATCCTAAGTTTATGTTAAATTTGTAGAAATTACTCTAGGAACAAGCAGGAAGGTCCCTACTATTCTCAACACCTACCATCCTTAGATAGATGGACTGTTAGAATGCAAGAACATACTGGTGGCAGTGGAAATCACTGAGCACTTGACGTGTGGAGCGGCCACCAGTGTGCGCCGCAGACACACCACTATCTTACGGTGGGCCAAGTAAATAAACACTACACGTCCCACTTCTACACATACATCCACCACACCCACAAGACACTCACTGATCTCTCCGCTTCCCAAGCACGACACCATATAACCACTTAGGTGCTACACCACACCTACTCTACCACAGTCACAGAGTGACCAGCTGACCACCTAGTACGTATCAGAACCACCGCAACCTGGTGGTGTACCCCCTACGTCTTCACAAAACAGCATAAACAAACACTCACCATTCCCAACTGCACAAACCTCCCCCACGCCCCGTCACCATGACCGACTGCCGATTGGGAAGCTGACCAACAGGAGCCACAGAGCTCTCAGTCATCCACAAGACCAGAAGCACCTTCATCGCCAGACTCAAGCCACGACAAGTTCGGCAGCCCGATACCATTCAACCTCATGTCTGGCTACAAGTCCAATAGCGACGTCCGCGCCATGCGCGATCGTCGTGAGCGCGGCGCGGCGCCGACCACCCCAGTCCGACATGATTCCGATGAGGAGAGCAGCAGTGGCCAGATGACCACGCCTTCGAAGCGACACGGATAAATCCATTTCTCGCCTGTCAAGAAGACACCTGTGGGACTTGGAGCCACGGAACAGCTTACCAGTAGTCTAGGGAGGTTAAATAGAGCCCTTTAATTAGCTATAATCTAGAAGAAAATAGGTACCTATATATTATCTATTTATATAGTTTCGCTTCTATTCTATATATATCTAAGGATATATATAACGCCTTTATATAATAGTAAGTACTTAAAACTTAGTACTTAGAAAGAATATAATATTAATAATAATAATTATAATATAATAAGTATTTATAACTTTAACTTTATAATATATAAATAAAGTTAAAGGGTATTATTTTAATAATTATTTATTTATTTTTATATAAATATTTATTTTTATTTAATCTTTTAAACTATATATATTATTTAAATAAAGTATTTTTATACGTTTTATATAAATAATTCTATTAATAATAATATAAATATATAAATTAATAATTAAAAGTTTTATATAAAGTTTTATAAAACTATTAATTTAATATTATAAATTAATTTAATAATAAAAACGTTTATTAATAATAAAATATAAAAATATTAAATATTAAATATTTAAAAATTATTAAAATACTTTAAATAATAAAAGAAATTATTAAATAATAATTAAAAATTAAAAATTAAAAATTAAAAATTAAAAATTAATAAAATAAATATAAATTTTAATTTTATATAATAAATAAATAATATAAATTAAAATTATATATTAAAAATATTTAAACTTATATTTTATATATTAACTATTTTTATATAAATATTTATTTTCCTTTTAAATATTTAAAATATATTAAAATTAAATATATAAGTTAGTATATTATATTATTATTATATATAATAGGCTCTACTTTTAAAATACTTATATATATTTAATAAATAGCACTATAATAACGGTACGGTACTTATATACTATTAGGTAATTAATTATATAGATTAGTTATTATAGTCTTTTAACCAAATAGTAGAGTGTATAGCTAGTAGTTACACCTACTATTATAATAATTAATCTAACTAAAAGTATAAGTTTAAGCCTTTATATTTAAAAATCTTATTTAATTTTTTAATATTAGGCCCCTATCTTTAATTACACTATTAAAAAAGAGTGTTTATAAGAAAGTAACTTAATTAAATTATTTAAGAATCCGTTATTTATAACCCATTACTTATACCGTACCGTTTAAAATTTTCAGGCCTCCTATAAGTATATAAGCTGATTTAAAGGCACTACTTTCCTCTAAACATCTAAGCACTCTAAAAGGCCTTAAAGGGGGGTAGTGACGGTATGATACTTATATACTGCTAGGTAACCAATCATATAGATTGGTTATTATAGTCTTTTAGCCGGATAGTAGAGTGTGTGGCTAGCAGTCACGCCTACTATTGCAACTATCAGTAGTGAGACTAGTCTTTATTACCTATAGGAATGAGACCCTCCCGGGCTCTTCACCTAACCCTCACCTCTGTGTGTTGGACATAAAAATCTTAAATGCTCTCATCTTGTATACAGACAGACACGTCTATATGCCATCCGGGGTCATGAGGCTGTGGATAGTGACGCATCCCATGTTTTGTTATTCATTTAACGTGGGCGGCCCGGAATCCGCCCACCCCCCGATTCCGACCACCTTTTCCACACAAACTCCTACTTTTCTACCCCCCTCTATTAAATTTAAATAAAATCCTATAATCCTAACCCTAGACTATATAAATAGGGTTTTATTTCTAACATTATATAAAAATATTAAACAATTCCTTTTAGGATTATAATATTTTTAAAAAGAATTTTAAAGTTAAAGAATTTTAAAATGTTAAGAAATCTATAGGATTCTATATATTAACACTAACATTTCTAACTATAAGCTTATATTAATTATAACTAATTAAATAAATTAGTTATAATCTTACTTTTTTTTAAATAACCTTAATTATTTTTATTACTATTTCAATTTAGTAAGGTTTTATTTAATAAATATTATTAATATTTTTAAAACTAAAATATTCTACTTTCTTTATATAAGATTTCTTAGAGAAATTATAAAGATTTTTATTTATAGTAAAATAAAATTATAATAGTTAAAAGGCTTAAAATATAATTATTTACTATTTATTATATAAGAAAAAGATTTTTTATAATTTTTATTATTAATATATCTTAAATAAATTATATTATTAGTATTGTTATAAATACCTAGTAATTTACTAGTAATTCTTAATATATTTAGTACTTTAAGTTTAAAACTCTTTTTAAAAATATTAAAGTTTATAAACTATTTTTTTAGTATTTTTAAATTAAAATATAATTAAGAAACTATTAGTATAATCTAGGGTTAGGGTTATAGGATTTTATTTGGATTTAATAGGCTAAGTTGAAAAGTGGGTGTCTTAATAGTGTATTTGCACCAAAAAGTGGGTGGTCGGAATCGGGGGGTGGTCGGAATGTGGGCCGGGGACGTTATGTAGGTAGGCTAGACCCATCTCTAGAATGAAATCTCAGCAGCAATCCTAGCCCTCAACCTGCTCACTGCACCAAGGACGTCTCTCGCCAGGTCTCCTGCCGGGTCACCAACAGGCAGAGACAAATCGGGAGTGTAAAGGTTCACCATATCGTCCAAACGTGAGTTGATGGACCGCGTCACAAAGTTAATCACCCGCGTCTGCCACTGTGGTTGGAACTCGTCGATCAATGCAACCATGCGCTCCGGCCTGTTGGGAAACGTCTGTTTTGCGAGCAAGAAACAGAGTGTCAGTAAACACATTCTTCCACGGCCTTTGGGGATAGAAAGAAGAGGAAAAGATGAGGGAAGAGAAACACTCACGGCAGCATAAAATCGATCAAACTGCTCCAACGCCGTCCGCCTGTCCGCAAACACCGTGTTGCGGACACCCGAGTTCGCCCGCATATATGCAAACATACCAAAGCTAGCCCGGAGGGCCGACAGCATTGCCTGCGCGCGGCCTTGTTCTCGGTGCTGCATCCAGATCGCCCAGACGTCGTTGCCGACCGGCTGACCCTCTGTGGTATAGATGCGGCCCTTGAGGATCTGGTGGATGTTTGTCAGTGGCTTTTTCCCAACCACCAGACTGACAAGATGGGGGAAATTTAAGATATGTTTTACTTACGTTGAGATTGGTCTCGAGGTTCACCATCACATTTGGGTTGTTAGTCGATCCCATCGAGTCCGCGACATCACCAGCAGCGGAGCCGGGCGGCGGGTTGGGCTCAACGTTGGCAGGAACCCAGGTGCGGTAGTCCGCGGCGAAATAATCAAGCAGGTTGGCAAAATCCCAGGTTGGGTTCGCAGTTCGATATATAGTCGGGTTGTTGTCATCATCAGCCAAGTCGAGTTCACCTACAGAAGTAATGAATTAGTAGTTTTCGATAAAATCGGGGAACACTGAGAAGGCAGATAAAGGTTGGCTGAGACAGTCACATACCACTCTGCGCAAAATTCAAAAAGTGATTTGGGAAAATCGACCTGTCGTCGATATGGTCCGAGTCGACGGTTTCCCAATTTACACCCTGCACGCCATTCGCCACGATGGTAGTATCCTCACAATCATCAGGATCATTCAGCGCATACCTCTCATTCCGACCCGTCTCAGCATCAAGCGCCGCCCCGTCATTGCCAGCGGGATACGTAGGCGTCTCGAAGTTGAAAGCGTTGGTCGGCCCGTTCGGGTTGGCCGGGTATTCATACACGGGGTACGACTCCGACGCGCCACCCGAGGGACCGGCGGCACGACGATGGAGAGGGTCGTCGTCTTCCACCTGCCCGGCACCAGAGTCGAGCCGCTCCTTCTCGCTCCCTGTTAGGGGCTCGAGCCACTCTCTCCGCAGCAGGCGCTTGTAAGGGGGATCGGGTTCCACCATGGTAGAATCGTTTTTGACAAGATTCCAGTAACACACCAGGTGGCCCGTATAAGAGCCTCCGCCGCCATCCGAGCAGGTCATGAAGTCCTTGTCACCAAAGACGGCATAGCCGTTGATGTCTGGGACCTCGCGATTTGGTGCGGCTTCCCCGCCAGTGAGGACAACAGCAGGGCTCGGCATTGAGCCAATACCGTGAGTTGTGCCGTCATCCCATCCGTCCCGGACCGTACCATCTTGGACGACATCCGAGGAAGCCTGCTGCGGCGCGTCCTCCAAGCCGGGCTTACCGGTGCCTGTATCACCGATGATGCGGATGGCATGTGGGGTTCTTGCACTGAAGGTCGCGCCGGCAGCTTGTAGGGAGGTGCCGTAGTCAAAGATCTTCATCTTCATTGATGTCTCCAGGTTCATGTTCATAGCGAAGATTGTGTTGAAAGATGGCGTTTGAACGTCGATGTACCCATCAGCCGCATCACTGATGGTATTGGCCAGCATGTCGCCGTCAAAGGTGGCCAGCTGTGGAGGTGCGTGCGTCTTGATCGTCTTTGACGATCCACTCTCAAAGCTGACGCTGAACTTGCCGTCCACTTGCCCGGATCCGACAAGAGAGACCTCTGCGTTGAGTTCAGGGGAGAAAGATACGATGCCCGGGTGAGAAGCCTGGAACTTGGTGACGGGGCTGCTGAAGAGACTCCGTGAGACGCCTGACCCGCCGTTGATATCAAGGTGGCCCTTCCCGTCGAAGTTTAGCTGGGCAGACATGTAGAGATCAGAGTCGAAATATCCATAGGCCTCCTCCAGAGCGAAAGGTTGAATAGTGCCCACAAGGGTAAAGCCAAAACGCATAACATTTCGCATCGACCCCGACAGGCTGAGTTTAAGGAACCCGTCAGCCCCTGAGCACCCATTGTCTTTGCCATCATCGCCGTAAATGAGGACATCGAAGTTGTCTTTGCTCAATGTAGGCTGCTGGTCTTCATCGTACGTCTGACCGCGAATTCGATCGAGGATGGTTTTCCACACAGAGCTGATAGTGCTCCAGAACCTCTTTTGATGAGGCGCCTGCACGATATCAGTGTAATAAGTGTGTGTATCTGAGTAGTCGACGCGGAGATATATATCTCCAGAGTCTCGCTTGACCTTTGAAAAGTTATAACTGTACTCGAGCTCGTAAACTCTGGCTCCTGGTGGTGCCCGCCGTGCGATGCGGCTGGGAAGGGTGACATTGGTGACCTCCCTCGCTGCATGGGCGACGGCGTACGTCGCGAAGCCCATGTTGTCGGGCATTCGAAGAACAGTGCCCTCGAGGCCGTCAAGATGCATGTCATTGCAGTTACTTGTGGCAGAATTGTCCATGCACACGAAGTGAGTCGTCTGCGCATCTTGACCGTGGTGCATACCACCAGTGAGGAACTCGAGATGGGACCCATCACGCTTGTTGACATTGGAAACAGTCCCCGGTGGGCCGTCGATGACCACAAAGAAGAAAGCATTAGGGTTTGGATTGGCACCGACAAGAGTAGGGAGCTGCGAAAGGGTCTGCTGGTCGAAGGCGGGCACGTCGCTGGATGGTGGCAATGTAGGGAAGAGCTTCTCGAGAGGGACTGGCAGGAAAGGGTTCAGATTATCGGGCGTGTTGCAGCAAAGCGGCTTCTTCCGAGACGCCCACTGGCCGACACATACGGATCCTGTGTCTCCCTCGTCGTCCAGTCCAACCTGGACATCAGTGGCAGAGCACTCGTTGTCGTCACAAGTACCTTTGCCCACCCAGTGGCAATTCTGGAAGTTGTACGGGCAGCAATAATGCTGAGTGCAACTTGAGAAGAATGAAATCTTCTTCCTCGTGTTGACAGAGTAAGGCGCGTCACTGGGGCATTCGTCACAGTCGTTTCCCCAGCCACACTTATCAGTGAAGCTAGACCAAGTCTCGCTCTCGCAGCAGAATGCTTGCTGCCCTGGCTTCACACAAGACTTATCACCGTGGGGAGAGTGAGCGAGTGTAACCTCGCCAGTGTGGCATTGGCCGTGACACGACCCAGAACCACGCCACTGGCACGATTGCGGCATGGCATCAGTAGGACAATAGACGTACTTATACATCTGTCCGTTCTTGTCACTTCCGCAAGTGTCTTGAAACTTGCCATTTGGGGCTGTTGAGAAACCTGAAGGCGGGTTCGCCAGGTCGCTCAAACAGTCGCTGACTTTACACCCCTGGCCATTCACGGAGCTCCAGTGGTTGGTATCTGCGACCTCGGCCCGCTTGAGGTTCTCTTCAAACGACGGGATAGTTTGACCGAGAAGGCCTTCAAGGGCAGTGAAGTCTGCATCATCCTGGTCGACACTCCAGATCATGACACCGCCGAGGCCAACACTGTCTGCCCAGTCGACCTTCTGCTTGAGTGTCTTGGCGTCGTCGTAACTGATCCATTGGTCATTGTTGTCTCCGAACACAATGTAGTTGGCGGCAGCCTCCTCATCATGTGTCACCTTTGGATTCTGGGCGTTGATAATGTCCATGATTTCGAAATAGGCCAGTGTTCCAGCTGAATTGGTACACTCACCAGCCTTGGCGGGACCGCTGAATGCGCAGCCTGGTGTGCTGCACCCGCTGTCGGCCAGCTGGAACGAGCGCCCGTAGAAGCCGACACCGAGCACGACCTTTCCAGGAGGCACATTGTTCCGCCATAGCAGGTTGGCTGCCAATTTGATCTCTGTGAGGTTGGTGTGGCTCTGTACGATAGAGCCGATGGGATTGTGTTCATCCCAGACTCCATGAAGATCGTAGGACATCATGTTCGTCCAATCAGCATACTCAAGCAGCGCCGGTACATCGAACCTACAGAGGATTAGAACGGAATTTCTTTGAAACATCAATGTGTGAGATGACGAGATTCGCTTGGGACTTACCAACGAAGATACCAGTACGAAGTGGGAATCGTAAAGGTCAGCCCGTAGTTACCACGAGCCGACGCAAGAAACGTCTCACGTAGTGTTTTCAGCAACAGGACGAAGTTTTGAATGTCTTTCTCTTCCAAGCCACCACGATCAGGTGCGCCTGGATACTCCCAGTCGAGATCCACGCCGTCAAAGCCATAGCGCATCATGAAAGAGACGAGGTTATCTGCAAACTGCTTGCGCTTGCCTGCGTCACTGGCAATAGCCGGGAAGACAGGCTGAGTAGCTGTACCGTTATCAGAGAAGGTCCAGCCACCGATGGATACAAAGACCTCAAGGGTAGACCCCCGAGACTTGAGGTTCTTGATATCTGTAGTAGTCGCAAACAGACTTGTAGGGGTCTCCGAGTCCATGTTTGTGACTTGCAGGGTATCCGGGTCAATACTATATTTGTGGTCAGCCATCCTGTGCGTTCTCGCGACTCTGCACCAGTTGTGAGCCGGAAGTCACTTACTATGCAAAGGCGAAGTTTACATGCGTCAGGCCTTCAATGGGAATGCCATCGGGAGGAAATGTTCTGCACTTCCTCCTGGCCGACCACGCTTCGTAGTAGCCAATGACCTTGTTGTCTATCACCTTGCTACTACTTCCCCCAGCAGGAACCGGGGGTTCAAGGACGCAGTTCGACTGACAGCCCGTCTGACAGAAATCAGCCGTGCTACCGCAGAAACCGAATTCACTGCAGCACACGTTCAGGGGGCATGTTTTCCCTACATTCCACATCAGCACTGAGCAAGACCTTTCGCCGCGATTATTCTGGGGCCAAGGCACAACGAACCAGGAGGATCGGCGAACTGGCCGCACTCAGGCTTCGCATCGCACTGAGAATCACAGTCACTGCCGCAAAAGGTCGGACCGAAGCCGCACGTCCCAACGTCGTCAAAGAAAGAACCACAGCACGCCTGCGTCTTGCAGGGCACGCCTTTTTTGCACGAGTAGTCCCCGCCAGCTCTCCGCATGAGCTGACTGGTCACGTTACCCAGGTCCTCTGGGAACCCAGTGTTGACCACCTCGTTTTCAGGGCTCAGCCGAACCCGCGAGGTGGACAGGTCACGCAACTCATGTAAGTGCGCAGTTGGAGGCTGATATGCAGATTTGAGAAGGAGTGTGCTGACGAATATGGCCAAGAGCGAGAGAAGAAGCCAAGTCTGCGCCTGTGAAATGACCGTGGATGGCCGTGAGGTCGCCATGTTCGACACTATTCAGACATGGACCTATACGGAAAAAACAATGTGGTGGAGGTGGAAGGGGGTGTAAAAGAAGGATAAGGAGCGTCTGGCTTCGTTAAGCGCCGAGGGCAGACTTCGACTACAGAAAGGAATCTTCTTTTTGGATTCCCGATGGATTGACCGTTGCGCCGACAGGGTGCATGGATCAGTCTGCGTTCCAATGTTGGTTGCCATCTCAGGGGCTGAAAATTTGGCCGAAGAGGGCAATATCATTCTGTCTTCTCAGCGAAACACCATCGCGAGGGACCCCTGTCTCCCGGATCTGGTTGAAGCTTGGTTTTCGGGTAGGGTCCATCGATTTCATTAGTGCTACTACCTAGGGCGCAAGCTAGAATCGGCCTTGTAAAGTTGCCCCTTGCATTGTGCTTAGCTGAAGCTGACTACTGAATGTCCCGCGGTTGAGTGTAATGAGATGTAACCCAGGAATCCTTCGCGTCTTACTTCTGAGCTTGATTTCTGCTATACCGCATGCCATCTATAGGCAAAAGTGGACCACCTTCTCTGATATCTACACCTTTCCTGGGGCTTTGGGGGCACAACTAGCCGAAATTGGTATTCCTTCAGGAATATGGTCTTAACAGCTCGGTTATATGCTGTAAAATATTGCTACGCTAGCTTTGATGTGGGATTTTATTTTGGTGCAGTAATCTTGGGAAAAGGTCAGGAGGTAATGCAGGAAGCCCGCAGATCGGGTTCAAATCCATGTCGTTTTTTGAACCTCCCAGCATCACTGCAGCACGTTGACTGCTTAATCTTTTCTCCCCGAGATCCGGGACACTCGGACTGGAGAGGGTAAAGAGCCTCTAGTGGTACACTCTGTTTGCCGCTCTGTCTCCATCGACCGTGTATGCCGCTCTTTTTTGGTGATGGCTTCAGTCATGCCGTCTGCTCTTCAGCACTCGTGTTTCGGAATGGCTTCTCGCCTGATCTTGTTGACCTCAGTGCCCGTATTCGCGCAGGTCTTTGTTGGCAGCAACAGGTCTGAGATTGCAGTCCCGCTTTCGCTCCCTGCTCCAAGTGACAGTCTTTCATCCACTTGCAAGTAAGCCACGTCCTGTACTCATACCAGCCATGGGGCCTCGCCGAAACTGATGATGCATGTCCAGCTCTACTTTCACGTCCGAAGTCACCTGTGACAGGAGTCTTCCTATAATTGCCTTTGGCGGATATTTCCCCACGAGCGATGACCTCAGTTCTATCTGTACTTCGGACTGTCTCCAGTCGCTTGAGTCCCTCATCAACACCCAGCAGACATCCTGCGCCCAGGATGTCATCGAGGTATCCAGCCTGGACTACCCCGTCACGGCTACGGCCGACACACTGATGTGGACATACAACTACACGTGCCGTCGCGACGCCACCTCAGGCGCCTTCTGCGCCCCAGTCTTCGACTCGTGGGCGGACGGCAACGCATCGGATCAGAGCTGCTCAGACTGCGTGCTGGGCACCTTCCAGATCCAGCTGAGCAACACGCTGGGGTGGGACGACGAGCTCGCAGCAAACTTCTCCTCGTTGACCCAGTCGTGCCAGGCCACCGGGTACGCCGTGACATCCCCGCCGCCCAACTACATCAACGCCACGCAGACGGCGACGGCGACGGCAACGACCTCGTCCCCGACGGCAGCCCGGTCGTGCGCAGCTACTTATGTCGTGCAGGCGGGGGATGACTGCCACTCCATCAGCACGTCGCAGAGGGTCTCGACGAGCGAGATGCTCTACAACAACAACCTGGAGGCCGGCTGCACGCACTTCCCCGCCGCCGGCGCGCAGCTGTGCATGCCGCCGAGCTGCGACGTCTACACCGTGCAGGCAAACGACACGTGCTGGAGCATCGTGGACTCCTACACCACCCCCGAGGCGGGCAAGCAGTTCACCATCTCGCAGCTCATCTCCTGGAACGTCGACATCAGCCCCGGGTGTGACAACCTGCCGCTCCTCGAGGGGTCCCAGATCTGCGTCACCTTCCCCGGCGACAACGCGTCCGGTAATGGCACCGTGACCGCCACCGCGCCCGCCTCCACCGCCACCGTCGCGCCGGTGCCCGGCAATGTGGTGGAAGGGACCAACACGCAGTGCGGGAAGTATTACGAGGTGCGCGGCGGCGACACGTGCGCGTCTGTTACACAGATCCAGGGCATCTCGCTCGCGGACTTTTACTTCCTCAACCCGGAGGTCAACTCGACATCCTGCAACAACCTCTTTCTGGGGTACAGCTACTGCGTACAGGCGGTGGGAGACATCTCCACCTATGCGGGCTACGGGGGTCGGCCCACGAACCCATGCGTGGGAGGCAGCACCACCGGGGCGGCAAGTTGTTATGCGACAACGTATGCCAGCGCGACGGATGGGTGGACGTTCCCTGCCATCAATTCGACATCTACCACGGCCTCAAATTACAGCTCGATTGCGGTGACGTCTGTGTCGGCGTACCCGATTACTGCGACGCCGAATCCGACGCCGACGCCTTATCAGAGCCTCATGGTGAATGGCTGCACGAGGTTCTATAATGTGGCTTGTGAGTTCCAACCGAGGCCCCTGGGAAATACGACATGGTGAGCTAACGATTTTGTCTGCGTCTCCAGCGGGCGACACATGTTTTGATATCGCACAACGCTGGAGCCTGTCCCTGGAGAACCAGCTATACGCGTGGAACCCTGATCTTGGCTCTGACTGTTCTGGGCTGTAAGTAGAACCCTGATACTCTCTGTTTCCCGAGGCTTGTGGTTGACTGATACTAATCTTTCTATCCCTGAAAAAGTCAGCTCGGCGTGTATATCTGTGTCGCACTCGGGACAACCTCTCCCACGGCGACAGGTAGCACTTCTTCTGGTCCTGGGTCTGTCACTGCGACGACGACGTCAGCTCCTCCGACCACGACTTCCGCCGCAGCTGCACCTGGTCCCACTCAGGCAGGCATTTCATCTGACTGCAACAAGTGGGTCATGCAGCAGGACGGCATATACTGCTATGACATGGCTGCTAATGCGGGTATCTCCCTGAATTGTCTGTACCAGATGAACCCGGCCCTCAATGGAGACTGCTCAGGCTTGTGGGCAGGCTACGCGTACTGTATCGGTACGGCGTCCAAAGTTTGTACGTAAGAACAAAGAGATACCGAGGCTGTTAAACTAGTTTGAGTCTTTGAGTGGAAGATCGAGTTCGTGAATATACTGAAAGCATTGCTCGTTCGCGAAAGACATGCGGCTTAGTGTGTCGCGCCCCTTTCGAACCCCAAGACCCGTCACTCGGATTGTTTGGGAGGCCTGATGGCACTACCAACATCCCGCGTTGGGATCCAATGGTTGAGCTCTTCCTCCTTCGTTGAAATGAAAAGTCCATTCCTGCTTCTCTGAGACAGTTGCCACAAGCTCGAGAGAGAGTAGTCCTCCTCCTGATATCGCCGGACCTCGTAGAAGTTGTTTATAAGCTGTTGCAGGCGCACACGAAGGAAGCCGTGGTACTCATCGTCCTTGGTCTCGTCTTCCTCGGCACTTGAGGTTGTTGGGTCGCTGTCGTCCACGTTGTCCGAGTAAGCTGGGTCCACCGCCCATAGCCACATGTCATCGACCACACCCCTTTGCGGCCCAATTGTCGAATCTACCGCTTCTTGATCAATGACCAAGAACACGTTGCGGAGGAGTCCTCCCTTGAGGTCGACTTCTTGCTCAAATTTCGCTTTTTTCCCCCGCTCCGTTGGTACCACGATTGTCTGCTTCTTTGGCGGACCAGCCACTACCGTGGCAAAGTCATGGCGAAGCTTTTGAAAAGCCAGCCGACGGGCTCGACTGCCAACATGGCCGCCCGCACCACCGCTGGTGGGCAGGTCCGAAGAGACGCCCTCAGGCCATGCCAAACTCTGGAGCAGCCACCTCGACCCCAAGACGTCCCCCAGACGCGCTCCATTCCGAGCCCACCACAACGCACCGTCCCGTCTCGACGCGTACTCCTCAAAAGTCTCAACCTCTTCCTCCTCCAACAGGCGCGGCGCCACATACACCGGGTACCCCCACGCCTTCCCACCGTGCGCCAGGCCCGCCCGGGCCTCCGCATGGCCGTCCTCCTCCCACATGCGCCGCACCCACGGCCGCGCCGCCGCCAGCGAGCGCCGGTTCGCCTCCTCGGCCCTCTCCTTAGCCCCCGGCCCGCCCTGCGCGGCCTCGACGAGCCGGCGCGTGTCCTCAGCCACGGCGTTGTCGATCGCGGCCTCCTCGTTCGCGTCGTACAGAGGGGCGCGCACGCGCTTGAGGCGGTCCAGCGCGGCGAGCCAGTCCTCGCGGGCGCCGTACGCCTGGAACGAGGCGCGAAGGGCTTTCTTCTCCTCGTTGCTGCGGTCCGCGCCGGGGGTGGCTGCCCAGTAGCGCAGCTTGAGGAGGTTGACCTCCGCGTCGGTCAGGTCGCGCGGCGAGTCTGCGGCGCGCTGGAGGAGGGCGGCCTTGGCGGCGCTGACTTGGGTGTCGGTGGCGTCCCCCGTCGTGACTTCTGCTGCAGGGCATGCGGCGGCGATGTTGGCGAGCTGTGTGTCGGGTTCGGGAAAGTCAAGGATGCGGCGCTTTTGCTGAGGGGTGAGGGCTGGTGCTGATGTGGCCGACTGGCCAGATGTAAGGGCGTCTTCAAGGGTTGTGTACAACTCGAGGACATGACTGCTCTCGTCTATCCCTCTGACAACCCGTGAAAAGCTCTTGATGATTGGCTCCATTGTGAGTCGAGGTGGCCGTGCTGCGTTGTTCTGAGGTGCTCAAGTGACCAGGTGGTGACGCAAGCCTGAGATGGCGCGGGATTTCAAGCGCTTCTGCTGAGTAGCGGGCGAGAAGTGGAAAGGTTAACGACAGGATTCATCGAAGCAGCACTCCACAGTTGAGAAGGTTATGCAATCCAGCATCAAACTAGCGGACCAATTTTTGAGGAAATGAAATGACCCCGTCAGCCTGAAGCTAGGAATGCTGCCGACTACCCCTGTCGCAGACTATAGCATAGATACCTATACTATAATATTGAGGCTATTAGTAACCCTCCCACAGTTTGAAATGGGGTAATTTAAACTGAAATAGCAGGATAGTACTCATGACTTATTGTGAAAGAGGCTTGAATTGTTTGGGAGAAATTGTTGATTTAAAGCTATAGTTACCTAAGGAATAGTAAGGAGGAAGCAATCAGTAGGGGCAGGGGTCAAGGGTGGCAGGTGGTCCCTGCAGGTCCCCTTATCGATAAGGCTGCCCGCCATACTATTACTGTAGTACCTCTCACCTTAAAGCCTAAGGGGCAACCTTCCTTCCTTACCTAGGTACCTAGGTACCTAGGTACTTCTCTTCTTCCTCAGGTAAACATACTTAAAGAGTTATATAGATTATTTATATTTTTTTAGTTCTATTACTAAGCTAGAAGCGAATAGTTAGAGTTTTAAAGGGATAAAATATAATATATCTTTTAAAAATTAACTTAATTAAATTTATTATATAAAACTTTTTATAATAACTTTATAATTATTTATAATACTATCTATTATTAAAAGATACCTTCTTATATTAATATATTAAACTATATCTAATTAGTTTAAGTTAATATTATTAGCTTATTAAAAGTTAAAGCTATTATAAACTATAAATTAATCTTAATACTATTAAGTATTATATATAATATTACTATATAACTTAAGTAAGTTAATTAAAATAAATAAAAATAAAAACTACCATTCCTTTAACTAGGGATATATATAGATTCTAACTCTACTCTATAAGTAAACACCTATTTAATAAACTTAAGAGACAAGTAAAACTACTTAAAAGCAGTCACTTAACTTACTACACTATTGAACCGAGAGATAACTAGGTAAAGTAACTACACTCTATTATCTAGGTTTATAATTCTAATAGCTTTATAAAAAAAGAAATAATTATTAATAATTAAATTTATAACTATATAAAAATAGACCTTTACTTTAAAGAGAAGTTATTAATATTTAAAATAGTTAATATATTTTTAAAAAAATTAAAAGATTATAAGTTTAATTTAAAGTATATTAAAATTTATAAAAATCTTAAACTTAAAATTAAAAAATATAAAGCTTTAACTTTTTTAAAGATATTAAAGTTAGAAAAGTTTAAAAGAGGTTTAAATAAGGTTAGATAAGGTTATAATAATATAATATAATTAAATAAAAATTAATTATAAAATTATAATTATAAATATTTTAACTTTATATTTAAAAGGGCTTAAAGAGTTATATAGTTTTATTTCTATTCTATATATATTTAAAAATATATATAATATCTTTATATAATAATAAGTACTTAAAACTTAATATTTAAAAGAATATAATATTAATAATAATAATTATAATATAATAAATACTTATAACTTTAACTTTATAATATATAAATAAAGTTAAAAGATATTATTTTAATAATAATATTAATTAAAATATTATAAAGAAATTATATAATAAAACTAAATCTCTAAAAATAATTACTATATAAATAAATTATATTAAAGAAAGCTTAATTAAAAATTATCCTTTAAATATATATATATATATATATATATATATATTAATAAAACCCTTATTAAATAAGTATTATAACTTCTATTTAAGTATATAATTAACCTTAAAAGAATTTAAAATAAAGAAATAATTTATAATATATTACCTTTAAGACTTTTATAATAAAATATTAAAACTTTTAAAAAAATTCTAAAAGTAATTTATAAAAAGATAAAAAAAATATATAATAAACTTATCCTCTTTTAAATTTATACTTTTATTATTAATAATTATTAACTTTTTAATAATATAGAAAAATATAATAAAAATAAAAAAAAATTAAAGTTTCTCTCTAAAAGGATTATAAGAATATATATAAAACCTTTAAAGACTTTATATATAAGCTCTAGACTGTTGGGGAAGAAACAAGTGGTTATATAGTGTAAAGGAAAAATATAGTGTAGTTGAAGCCCTTAAAGAGTTATACTACTTAATTTGGAGGGCTCTGAAGAGCAATTGAGATATATTATATAGAAAATTTCGCAATGCGCATTCATTGCCTCGATAAGGTACTTTGTTAAGACTGAGACTATTACTAGAAGTAGTATTTATATTAGCATTTGACAGCCTGAATCTTGTATCATCGCAATTCAAATTGTCGCACTTCTGCTATCCCTTCTTTCAAAAACCCCGCAGCCTGTCCTTCCATCATGCGCTGAACCTTGGTATCCCCTACATAGAGGAAATGGTCTCCGTTCTCCCTTAGAGATGCCATGCTATCGTGACCTTTCAGAGCACATACCAAGTCCCCAGATGCTGTAGCTCTCCTGCAGGCGAGTCCAAAATATCCTGTTGAAGTGCGGAAAAGGCAACAATCATCCAAACCATCCGTTAAGATAAAAGAAGACATTTCCTGGCAGCAGTTGGCAAGCCTGGGCTCCATGGGTAGCCGTTTTGTGGCCTCACAATCCAACAGATCCTGGAGCCATGACGAGGAATTGTCGTCAAAGTGTGACACCTTATTGTGTTCATTTTCCTCCTCAGAACCTTCATTTAGGCCCAGGAATGTCTCACGTAACGAAGCACAAAATCCGGCCTCCGTGTCTGACCTGAGTCCCAACCTCTCGATGGCTGTGCGGTACTGAAATCCTCCGCAAAGAATTGCCCACACGAAGGCGCAGGCAAATGCGAGATACTCAGAAGAAACCGGGTCGGTTACACGCAAGCGGGCATTGATTACGTATTTCGAGATGTTGTTCCAACAGAGAAGCTCGAAGAGATCACGCAGCAGGCGTCTTCTCGGCTTGGGCTCCGGGAACTGGGACTCGTTCTTGCGGAATATATGTGAAAGTAAATCGAAGAGATGGCTGGACCTCACGACTTGAGGATATGTCTCGTGGACAGAATCAACCACAAGCCCAGTCACGAAAAGTGAAGGGCCTTGGATATAACTCGTTTTCATGCACTGCTCTTCCGAGAATACGCCATGGTCAGCATCGACTTCAGTGAAGAAGACGTAGTCAGACCTGTTGTGGTGAAAGTGCGGGAAGTTCGGCGCCCAGGAGGCAAAGTCTCGGCATCTGACGTCGTCGCAATCACGCCGCAGTCCAGCAAGACTGAGGAACCACAGCTCTTTCATCTTAGAAACCGCGTTCTCGGCGGCCAGATCCTTGTCTGGACGCGCGTAGTCCTGCAGCCAGGCTGCCACCACGTCATGGAAGACCTTGGCAACAGGGTTCTGTTGAGAATAGTCAACCTGAATCTTGATACCAGTTATACCAAGCAGACCGTACACGTGATCCTTGGGGTCAGTTGCAGCTAATGATCCAGCCTTGTAGAAGACACGCCAGGACAGCGTAGGGATTTCCATGCGCCTTCTTCTCCACGCATCGAGTTGACCCGTGAGAGTGACCCGGGACAGACCACTGCCTGAGACCAGAGACTGCCACAGCGCGGGAAGCATGAAGCTAGGCGCGGGAATATCGCACAATTCCAAGAGGTCAAACCAGAAGAACACGCGGTCGAGGGTATCGGCCAGCGATATGCAGCTGGACCTGCAGATCAGTAGTGCCTCCGGAGCAAGGACGACCTCTTGGAATATCCATACTCGCTGCCAGTATTGCAGGCCGAAGAAATGGCGGACGGCCCTCCAGTTCTTGTTTTCCCAAAACGGCCAAATACTGTCAGGCGTGGCCTCGGTCAACTCAGGGCACTTCTCCAGCCACCGGACCAGCCTTTCATCATCAAGCTCTATGTCCCACACCGTGCCATCGACCTCTTGTTCTACCAACACAAGCTGCGTGTTGACGATTTCAAGGGTGCGGAATGCGGTGCTCAGAAAGTCGTCCTGTACGTCCTCGCTGAACGACCGAGGGTCACCTGGCTGCCTGACCCCGTCTGGCATCCAGCACATGACAAGCTCTGCACCCGAATAGATGCGGTCCATGAGTTGGACCTGCTGGGCTCTTTCCTCCAGGTCATCCTGGTTGATACAGACGGCGTCCGCCCAGACTCGAAGCTCTCCCAGTTCGCGGGAGGGGTATTTGGACTTCCAGTGGTGGGGAATGCAATGCAGTGCGGCGGCCAGACTAGGAGTGGCGTGGAATTCCTGACCATCGACCTGGATGGACACAGGCTCGGACGCCTTGCCCCAGACATAAGATAATGCCGTGTATGGGGGACAGTCACAAAGGGGCTCCGTGATAAGTCGACACTTGACACGGCCATCAGCATCGATCTCAAAGGATGTGAGAAGGCGGATTTCGTCAATAGTGGTATTCAGATGGGAGTAAAGAGAATGATGCGTTCGTTCAGACATGATTCGATATGATGATGTCGCGATGATGTGTATTTTGACCCTCTCTCAAGTGCCACGGCATGAGTTGTGAGGTTCCGTTCAGCAACTTCAGCTGCAGGTCGAAGGATCAGGCTGACATCGAGCAAGTACTTGCTTACAAAGCAAAAAGACTAAGCACCACAGAACTGATATTCAGAACATTTGCACGATCACCGATTCTCTTCAATTTGTTCTAGTTTTGGTGTTGATGAAGATGCCATCCTATGCTAGACGTGAGCAATTGAGACCAGCTCAAGCGGTGGTTGTTGTATATTTGGTGGCAATATGAGCTGATATGTAGTAGCTGCTATATCTGTGGTCTTTCTAAAGTTTTAGAATTAAAGTACTTAAGTATAAATCGGCGGCAGTCCTAGTAGAAATATATACCCTAGATAAAAAGTACTCTTTACTATTATAATTACCTTTAAATATTATAGATTATTAATTTTAAAGTATAATTATCTATTAAAAAAATAAATATTTATATAAAAAAATAATTAATATATAAAAATAAATATTTTTTAATATACTAACTTTATTTTATATTATATATTTATTATAAAAAATTAAAGTTTATATTTATTTTATTAACTTTTAATTTTTATTTTTATTACTATTACTTTTAATTTAATATTTTACTATTTCTTTATTATTATTTAAAATATTTTAATAAATCTTTAAATATTTAAATTCTTTTATATTTCTTTATTATTAATAAAATACTTTATAATTAAATTTATTTATAATATTAAGTTAATAATTTTATAAAGTTTTTAATTATAAATTTAATTATTAATATTATTATTAATAAAGTTATTATTATAAGAATATAAAAAATACTTTATATAAATAATTTAAATAATTTAAAAAGAGTAAATAAAGCTATCTAATTAATTATAACTTAAAAAATAATAATATATTATTTATTTATTTCTATATAAATATTCATTCTCTATAAAAGCAGTGAATATTTAAGTGTGGCTTGCAGACTTGCGATTATATATATATCAGAGTGGAAAACATAAATATCTGCCCACAGACTTGGAATGCAGCCTTGGGTTCTGATCGGAGTTGAAAACAAACAAGGGACTCGTTGAGAAGGAAGGCGAATCGAACTCTATAGAGTCTGGGCTCTGGATTCAGCAGTGTCTAAAGCAACAGGCATGCTAATCGATTGTTTTTGTCTTTCGATTTTTTCTAAGCTGTGTAAGTCCAGAACTAAACCACTTAATGAAGCCAACACACCGACGACACGATACTTGATAGCATTGTAGTGAGCATAAAGATTTCGTCAACTTCATTGCGGGGCTCTTGGCGGTTCACACAATGTTGGTAACCTTCTGCTTCTATTATAGCTGCTACAGCAGGAGTGCGTGATAGTCCCCTAAGTACTTATTAGTGTCTTGTGCTTTGATATGCGACGGTATTGGGTGTTTGTGGGCATCTATTCTGACACACCTGGGCATTGATCAGATGGATCACTCCATCGCACGTACTACTTCCAACACGTAGATTCTGCAGCCGCAGAGTGTCTGCAGCCGCAGAGTGAAGCTCAGACTGGAGCCGTTGCAACATCCACTCGATTTGCGGTGATTGCCGTCTTCCAAGGTTTCTCGCATCGCCAGGCTGCCAGGGCGGTCAGCATCCCACTTGCGCCAGCACCCGTCGCAACCGGGATTCTCGATTTGCCTGTAGTCCCACACTAAAATCCTACTTGCAACCAACCTGCATATCACCAGACTTCGTTCCTTGGCCCACCTGGGTAACGTACCAACTGGATCATCACGCATGCCTGCACACTCGTCAACAAGGATTAAGCTTATGCCCGCTTGCAGTTTTTATAAGTAACCAGTACCTAGCCTCGGCCCCGCTTCTGTGAGTCTTCCCAAGGGTTCCATCGTGACCAAGCGGTCTTCTCTTCTATTAACACACATCTATTCATTCAGTTGTCTCATCTTCAAAATGTCTCAAATTCGCGACGCACTTATTCAGACAGCAAACAGCTACATAGCCGGCTTCAACACAAATACTGCCGAAGGGGTCGTAGCCTGCCGCACCGCAGACTGCAAACAAATTATCTGCCCGTCCAACGTCCCTCCGCCGTGGAGCAGCCCACCGAGGACCAACCAGGAATACCAGGACTTTGTCGTGCCCGGATTTAAGCAGATACGGAATCTCAAGATCAAATTTGCTGAGGGTGAGGACATGATTGTGGATGAGGTGTCACGCAAGGTCATGCTGCATCTCACGTCGACCGGAGAGACGGACTTTGGACCTTACACCAATGAGTACATGATTGTGCTCAAGATGACCGAGGATGGGACGCAGATCAGGGAGATTGTGGAGTTTATTGATAGTGCGACCTGTCGGGATATCGCCACGGCCATGGCTCAGCATGCTAGACCAGAGTGAAGATGCGACTTGGGGCCCGGTAGAGATATTGGTGAGTTCCGGCTGACTTTGACTTGAACGGTCGAGATCTTCATTGGAGTGGCGCCTAGAGGCATTTATGCTAGTCAATCATCAGATCATTCCAAAGTCACTCTGTCTATACCAATCCTGTGCCATCAATTGATACCTTGTCACCCTCGTTTCTCTATCTTCGATCAAGTCTGAATGAGTCCCAAATGCAGGGTGTACAGCCCGGTGATTTCTTATTCATTCTTTTCAGATAATTGGTCTGACTTGCAAGTGCTCAGCATCAGAAAATCTTCTGCCCTGTATCATAGCCAGGTCGCCTGATAACGGGAGTTACAACACCCTTTGATGCGAGCTGAAGACTGCAAACGGCAGTTTTCTCACTCCCTAGTCCGGAGCTTTTGCTGTTTGAGCATGACAATGGGGTGAATTGATTGCCGTATACATCATATTAGAGGACCCTATGGGGCGTTGGACACCTGGGCATGAATGGATTGGTGATCGGGGTGGTGGCAACCAAGTAAGACCTAGTAATGTGTTTGAAAGTCTTATGTACCTGTACACTCTGATTTTTCCCTTGCGCTTTTTATGCTTCCCTTCTCTAACAGGTCTTTGGAGGCCCGTAACTGGTTTCGAACGTGCCTGCCCAGGTGTACAAGTGTGAACTGCCGAAGCCACCCAATCCCGTTGTTCCTGTGGCACTTTGTAGAATGCCCGTAGCAGGCTGCGTGGTGCAGGTCTGTCACATCATCAACATCCCTGAAGACAATGGCTATTGTGGTTTGTCTCCCATTAGGGGTGGTTCCGGTTGACAGCCACTCCTTAGGAAGTTCCTATGTACCTACGTAGGTATGATTCTAGTCTTTGTTGCACACAAATTGCCAACACCAAGCCCTTCAGTCTAGACCCGATCCAATCTAAGCAACGGACCCGAGCGTGGGAAGCCACTCGTCCCGATCCATAACATTGCCTAGGCAGCTCTAGAAGTGGCGCTCGAACCGCGATATCGTCGCGATTCGACTGCCGGCATTAGCGGCGAGACTGGCCGCAGCCGGCTGCTGCTCTTTTACCAAATCTAGAATGGGTTATTCATAGCATGGCCCGGGCCTACTCGCGGGAAAGCCGTGCAAATCGACCAGACCATGTCTTCGATCCCGAAAATGCGGACTAGTATCTCTAGCGAGGTAGGACTCAGCATCCAAACTCTTTACACATAGAACTTGACACATCGATCGTAAATCCAGTGGTGCCGCCCGCTTGAGCTGCTGGCATCAATAGCTGGTTCCTACTTGACCTGTAAGGTCGATTCCTTTGTTTGAAATCCTTTGTTGACGGACTGATAGCGGTCGATAATTATCATAGTTGTGAGCATGTTGCTCTAGAGCTAGCCCCCATTGGATATGATGCCTCATGGTGTCGATTAGAATGATTTCTCCGTCAAGATCTTTGAAATTCCTTTCCCCGGTGAGCGGCTTTTTGTATCATCCTTGCTGAGAGCGACTGGCCCAAGCCGTTTCTCAAGAGGACCATCGGCGCCAAGATGTCAATCATATCTGCGCCTTTTCAAGGATAGGAAGTGAGCCGTTATGCCCGTTATGTACCTGCTGGTGTGCTTCAAACGGTGGCTATGATATCCGTGGAATCCCACACCCCGAGAGCGGCAGTCGGTAGAGCCGGGAGACTACCTCTGAGACGGATCAGGCCCCTTTCACCAATCCAGGTCTATCAGTCACTAAAGGCGAGCCGTCTCAGGTCTTCTGCGTTTCCGAACCTACTGTTCGCCTAATTCAGGAACGATAATGATGATCTCTGTACACAATAGGAAATGCGTCAGACCTCAGCTGATCCACGGATGACCTGGGCCTGCAACACAGACTGGAGACAGCACGGTGGTTTCGTGGTGGCCTCGGAAAACCCCCTTTACCGTTCCTCGGGAATTCTGGCCATTTCAATATTTCTTTCTAGGAATATGCTACGCATAAGAGCCATGCTACCCCAGTGCCAGCGCTTGGTCTTCACTCGCCCTTTCGGTGATTTGAAGTGACTTGCACTGGACAATTCCATCTCGCTTACCATGTACACAACGGAGCAAAGGAGGCCACAGACCCCAGTAAGCCAGATAATCGAGGATTATGCCTCTATAGTATCAAAGGATGAGTCCATTCACACGAGGCCGGCGCCGCAAAGCTACCAGCTGGTCAACGTCCACCAGCCGAACGGTAGTTTGACAACAATAAGACGCAACCTATCCGCAAGGGACTCAGGCGAGAGGCGACATGTCATCGCGCCTACATCTGCACCAAGAGCGGCAAAAGGAGCCTGCAGAACCGTGCTCGCCCGCTCTTCAGACGGCAGTTGGAGGAGAGTCCAACGGCCCATTCGTGATTCGGAACTCTTTATGAGGGCACGAAACCAAGCCATCGATAGCGCGCCAATTGCTCGAACTGTATCGGACAGATCCTCGTCGATATATGATGATGATGCGAGCCGGGGCACGATGCTCTCCACCATAACGATGGTCGAGACAGCCTTGGCTGAACAACAGACCTACCAGAGGACAAGAGGCGTCCAAGTCCTCGGGCATTCAGCAAATGGAAGCTCTGCGACCGGAGCCAGCGGTAGATCAGGAGACATTGAGATTGGACATATCGATGAGGACGAGCACCTCGAACGGAGTCGAAGATACTCGGCCTGTAGTCGAAGATACTCGGCCGGTGACTACGGGGACGCCGGCGGTCATGGCGAGGGATTCGAGCGCGATGAACACTCTGCCATCCATCGCAGCAGATCAGGTAAATCCATACCACAGCTCTCATAAAGTTCAATGTTAACAAAGTAGTATAGCACACGAGAGCTATAACACCGCGGGTGGCAGGGCTGCATTTCGGGAGTACGGCCCATCGGCTCCGGTAACACTGCCCAGCCCACTGGCCGCAGTACGATATTCAGACGACAGCAACAGTTCGATTAGATCCAAAGATAAAGCTCAAAGTCAGGCAAGCGACGCGCACTTGGGAAACTCGCCGGGGGAAGCTGCTATGAAACCTTGGCTGCAAGACCTCGTCCGCGTGTGCTCCTATGCACTGGCAAGCTGTAGCGTTGTTTTACCTACAGCCTTTGTTGCCTTGAGCATCGCGGTCATCTTCATGAGAGGGCATCCGGTGCTCTCTAGCTGGTCTTCAGTCGAAGATCTCGTCGAAATTGCCGCTGCTATCTGGCCCATTGTCTTCGCTACAACAGTAGCGCAGTGCTTCAAAGCCGGACTTGTCCTGCGCGGGATCGGAAGCTCAACCGGACGGGTCAGCGGCTGCGCGAAGCGGGATCTAACGTTGCCTCGCCTGGAAGCTTGGTGTCTACTCGTGTTCCTGGTTTGGTGCCTGTCACCGATTGGGCCTCTGGCAGCAAGGAACATGTACGGAACCACCCAGGAGACCCTGAAAGGCAGCCGCGATGTTCTGTATATGGATAATACGGGACGCAACCAAGTATGGGATCCTAGATCAGCAGAAATGTTGTCACCAAGAGGCCGCTCCGAGTTGATACAAACTATCGGTGCCAAGTACATCCGCAGTCTCTCACAGGACAACCTCGACGCACCCCTCAACGAACCGTTTTCCATTTACTCCCCGACAAGATACACCTCCGTCGGCACTGTTGTGTCGCCCAAGTCAATGAAAGACGGAGGTCTACCCCATGGCATACGTCGTCGCGACGAAATGGCCGTTCATAACCCCATGGGCGTGCCCGAAGCCGTAGCTCTCGAGGCGCTGAATTTCTCGATGACCGCGTCTGCTTTCAACTTCCAGTGTGGAGATTGGACGCTCATGACGAGATATCTCTCCAACCATACCTCGTCGGATCAGATATCCTACAGTGCTTCCCAGACTCTTGGACTGAGCATGCCCGCTCATGATGATTCAGGAGCTCCACCGACGGTGCGGTTCGTTTCATTGAACAGGAAATCAGTCTCCAGCAACACCACAACGCTGAGAAGGAGACGTCTGGGTGCCGCAAATCTGACTGTTGACCAGTGGGAGTACTCGTCGATCAGCTGCAGCTATGAGCAGGTCTTCTACAATGTCCCCATGCAATGCAGCAGAGACAGCAGTGGTAGTATCAAGTCGTGCAATCAGTCAGGAGCTGCGCAGCTGATGCCTTCTGACGGCACCCTCAAAACGCCCTTGGGCGATTTTGCGTTGGACTTTGTCTGGTCCGGGAACTTGCCCACGACGGATATGACTGCAACGGCTAGTAAGTGCTCCACAACTCTGTCCGTGTAGGTGATTGCGAAACGGTCAAAGAGAATACTGACAGCATCCTAGCTGAGCAATATATCCAGCGGGGCGGTCCAACCGACACGAGACGATTTATCAGAGCAAGGGACGTCCGCAACCCCAGGTTCAACCTCTCCGCAACCGTGTCTCCAGATGAGTTTTCGCAGCGCTTCGGCCACTTGTTCAGCACCTGGGTCGGGTTGGGCTACTGCCCACAATGCTCATCAGACGTTGTGGCCAACAGCAGCTCAGTCCCCGCCAATCTCCAGCCTCGCTACAAGAAGGTCTCTTCAACGGTGACCTGGTCTGGCGAGCGTGTGTATACGGTCAAGTGGGCCTGGATTGTGGTTTTCATGGTATCCACATCTGTCATGCTCGTTGCTGCAGTCGGTGCCATCGTTGTTGAGAATATGGTCGTTGCAAAGACCGCCAAGCGGAAAACGGCGAGACGTCCTATTTCGAAGGAGGATATAGTTCCGCTGCGTCTTCCTACAATGTGCTCAACTGTCAGTAATGGTCAGAATTCGCCGCAGTGGAGCAAAGCGGTAATGCAGGACATGAATGTTGCCACTGGTAATGGACATTCCTTGGGGGCGTATGGATAGCGAGAGGAATCCCTCACGACATGTTGCTAGCCATCCAATTTTAACGTAGCCGAAGCGATCAGAAAGTATAGAAAAAAGAATATGTGGCTCGCATTGGATCTTGAGACAACGTGTTGCACAACTCGACAAGTATTCTTTTGCAATTGGGCAGTCTTCTAGGGGCTGGTGGCGAGAGCAATGTATATGACAAGTTGTGCCGGAAGATACACGTTACCCATCGTCAAAATTGACCAAGTGCGAAGGGCTCGACCAGCTCCAATAGGAATAGCACGATCTTAGAGAGTCAAAAGAGGTTGGGAGCTGGAATCGAGCAGGGACGGCATTTCTTCAAGACTTCAGGATAGCCTCACGGGCAGAGTGCGGTTTCGAGAAATCGAGAATAAGCGGTATCACGGCAGATCCATAACACCACCTCAACCCTCACCTGACGCATCAGGCTGCGCCATCACGGGCACTTCGATTGCTCCAGAAATGAGAAACTGTGCTTACCACCCACGGAGAGAAGGTTATACTAGTTGACACTAAGTAGTCCGGCCATCCCAAACGTTCGGCATTGGCCTTTCTGCCCGTAGTTCTCAAACGAGGGACTCGCTTGAAGCATCATGGGATCAGTCTGTCGGGACCTACGATTGGTAGATGACGAACAATCTGGTGGGTCAGAGCCACGTCTTCTCCCCGAAAAGGCGGTCGAATTTTGCACCGAGTTGACACGATCATACTTCAGGCACCCAAATTAGCGGCCGAGAAAGGTGATGCCTGGTCATCATTCCACCAAATCAGTATCGCTGCCTGACTATCACAGCACCTGGGACGAGGACCTCGTCTCAAGCGAACGGGAAATGGCTGTTCTGATGGGAAAAGTAAGAGGTTTGCTAAACCAACAAGGCAGCAAGGATTAAGCAATCCCCGAAATTACACCCTATGATGAACAGGGGTAAGGCCAGCCTTGGTTATCTCTTTCTTAGGTTAGTGTTTGTTCTCTTTGCCCAGAAGCTCATAGTCCTGAGATGGTCAATTCTCATGGCGACTGGCCGACTGACTTTTCGGAACACATCGCATCTTCACGTCGGCGTATCATATAGCAGTGAATACTTGAGGTGCTTTGAAGCATTTTGAACTGCTAGTGCTTATGGACGCCGAATTGCAATGTCAGAGCGCATGTGGCAGTTTCGTGGGCATTGGAAGGGCCTCCAAGCAGCATATTGTACCGGCCAGCGAAATTGCAACCAATTCAGCGGCCCATTGGCAGAAGCCAGCGCACCTTGTGACACACGCGCGAGGGGATTTTCATGCTACGAGAAACCTTGCATAATAGCCGACCCGTCAGAAACGATAAATCAGCTTTGATGATGCAAGGCTTTCCCGTCAGGTTGACAGTGAGGTCACTCTACATGGCAAAGCCAGGGGAGGGGGGCTGGGCACCTATGTAGGTGAGAGCCCAGTGTCGGAGTTCAATGGTCGCTTACTAAAGGCAAGCCAGGACAATTGCACTAGGTGCTGACATTGGGAAACATGCAATTGCTGGTTCTCATTTTATTTTGGGCTCTTATGTGAGGCTGCACATCGGGGGCTGTGAAGTAGAAGAAAAAGACAGACATATCGCCCGTGTCGCATAATCGTGTTAGCACTCTAGCTTGGCACTGCCTCGTAGCTGGCTGATTACCTACCTAGGTAGGTACGTAGTAAGTACCTACTTAAGTAGGTATGCATGAGCGTAGAATGTAGAATGGTTGCACACACAAGCGTTCTCTTTGAGAAGACATGCCGCAACAGGGTCTTACACATGTGCGTTTGCGCCGAGCCTGCATATCGGCGACCCCTTCCCTTCTGTATGGGTTGACGCTCAAACCTGACCATTGGCCTCTGCTGCCAGAATCTGCGTAAGCAACCGCCAACTCGGTGAGATTTCCTTTTCGAGCCACAACATACTGTGTTGCCCGACGGTTGAGTCAAATTACTCAGGCTAGGTCTCGAATGAAAGGTAAGGAAAAAAAGATTTTTTTGTATACTCCGTGGGGCTGTACGCATGAGAATACCGGTAGTTGTGGGTGGCTTGCATGCCCGAGTGGCTGTTCCAGATGAGTCACGGGCTTCGTCCGATCTAGTGCTATCACCAAATGCAGACGGTCGCACTGAAAGCCGTTAAGGTGGCAGGCACCTGCTGCCCTCAGACCCACGAGTCCTTGCTACTCCGTACTTGGACTCGAGGTTCGTTCTTGGAGCTTGCAAGCATTAAGCTTTCTGACCGCGTCCTTAGTCTGCCGGGGTGCTTGCCGATGACTCCACCGGCCGCGAAGTGCTTGGGTCCAAGGCACCCGTTTAGCGTGTGGAAAGATGCCCCGTCTTACTCCTGCCGTTGGGTCCCTCTGTGTCCCATTATGCAGGCATTGCAGGGGAGGTGCCGACCTGCGAGCCTCAGGAGGACGTGTCGACGCCTCATGACAGCCCAGGCACACAACTTCTCGTCCGGTTCCCAGGCTGCCAGGCTGCAGGATCAGGCATCACTCGCAGTCCTGGGCACTAGTCCTGGGTGGTGGTCCTATCTCAGTGGATAGACCCTGCGAGCTGACGAGTTCGGCTGGTACTCCGAACTCCGATGCGTGCATCTCTTGGGGGCCGCTAATAACATCACCAGCGGGCTTTCGACCCAGCCTGCGCCGTAGGACCTAGGACTGGATGGGGGCTGTGGACTCGGCGTGCAAGTGTGTGCCAAGTTTCACTACGTCTTCTAATTCTGACTCAACCTTGTATTGGGGAGCCAGGGGTGTGCGGCGCCGAGCACAGGATTACGTCCTCTTCACGTTCCAACATGTCTAACTACTTACTTAGTATGTTGATGGGTGCCACACACACTCTGTCAGGAATAATCCCATTCCCATGTCTGGTGAGACATACAGATTTATAAATATGGACAGTCCCACCCTCCAAGCCTACCATTTGTCTCTTGCTTGCCACCACTCAGTATTACTTGAAGAATCAAACACCACCAAGACTCACTCCAAGTCCAGCTTCTGCGCATATATTATATCCGCGTTCCGGCTGATCACAAGGTCCTTCACAATTCTCACCTCACACACCACCACGGCCCTCAACCAACCTATCCAATCCAAAATGCCTTCTCAGACGAGAGACTACGCTTCGTCGACCTACTCGGTCTCGACCACGTGCTCCTACGAAAAGCCGTCCCAAAAGTCCGCAAAGACAAAACGCTCTTTGAAGCAGAGGATGAAGGACGCCGTCAAGGATATCGGCACATCGCCATTCGAACACGACGAGAGGGAAAAGCAGAGCTTCGCCTGGGCCGCGTCAATGCCGCCTTCAAGGCTCTAAATCAAGAAGGCCCTTGCCGAATGGCGGTGACATGCACCGCTTCTTTCGGCCGTCAAATTCGAAATACACCTTAGCATGGCGTTTCTTGGACTGGAATTTTCTTGATTCCGCTGGCTCCATGAATGGATTTCCAGCTTTTTCTTTATTCAGCAGGACGTCGGCGCTGCTGGCGTCTTGTGTTGTCTATGGGAGTTCTTGATGGTACATCCTCAGTTGTAGGGGACTAGGTCCCCGGGGGGGGGGCGGTTTAACAAAAGGGCCTGGAAGATTTGGGATTCTCCGTGGAAAGACGAATTTTGTCGAGAACAAGATTGAAGGTCGATATCTGGGTTGCTATCGAATGATCTTAGAGAGAGGATCGCGCACCCGCGCACTCAGAACAGTTGAAGTTTTGATGCTTAATTACAATCGAAAATTGGACATTGATGCTTCAGTTTCAGGGTTTCTTTTTTGGTATGCATATGAGTATCAAAAGACATGAATGATTTATTGGCACCTTGGGCTGGGCTGCCTGGCAGCATGTACATGATCGATCGATGCTCGCTCCGAGTACCAACATATTCCTCCTGGTCGAGCCCGAGCTGCCTTTGTGCGAGTGACTACAATACCTGACAATGAGATACGAGTTTATGCTACAAGAGGCGCAGTCCCGCATAACGAATTCAGGCCATCTCTCGGCACGAGGCCGAGGCCAAGTGCCCATACACGTACTGTATTCTCTTTGCACTGTTATTAGTACTGTCTTTTTTTTTTTTTTCTTTTCTGGGTCTTGAGCGTTTACCACTGTATGGAGGCGCTATATACGTTTTGTATGTATGGGGATTAGAAACGAAACCACTCAAAAACAGCACCCAAACCTCTCCACGTGATGCTCGCATGTTTACAACGCTGAGCCCCAACGTGGGGGCGGCAGCGTCTGCATATTAGTGGAGTTACAGAGTACCAACACATTGTATCAAATGACCCAACCCCCCATAATAACCGCGATCTTCGGCATCGCGAGACAATGTTTGTATATTTTTGAGTGCTTCGACTCGATGGTACTGGCATAGGCTGACAAATGTGTGCATTTTGCCCCTGGATGACAAATCTCCTTCCCCACCGCAGTAGCCAAGTTCATCACTCGAATCTCACCATCCCAGGTTTCACGAAAGGAGGCTTGGAAAGCGTGGCTTACTGATGAATGACGATGGGTCCCATGGCTATAAAGCCCCAGAGGGGCTCGGAGAATGGGGTTGCTGTCGAGCCTGAGCGACCTCAACACACCTTCTCTGAACCCCATGGCATGGATTCGTGATTGCTACAGGAGAACCTCTTACATTTCCATCTGATTCAGTCTCGACTACTTGGAATCAATATGGCTACCACCGTACCACCGCAGCACACCGCAGTGGTTATTGTAGCCCCACGTGCGCCTCTTGAGACGGTGCAAGTCGACACCATTGCCCCGTCGACAGACGAGGTCCTTGTCCGCGTGGACTGGTTCGGCTCGACACCTCTGAACCTGCACCAAGCAGATGGCGGGCTGCTCATCAAGCCACCACACATCATGTCTGGTTGCTTTGCTGGTACGGTGGCTCAGCTCGGAGACCTGAAGGACCCTTGCCTATCCGAGTCCTCCAAGGCTCTCAGGGTAGGTGACAAGGTGTTTGGCTTCGCGTTCCAACAGGACAAGCAGCGGCCTATGCAGACGTACATTACCGTCCCGGTGACCTTCCTCGGCAAGATCCCTGCCAACATCTCGGCACAGGAGGCAGTCACCATCCCCAGCAACTTCTGCACGGCCATGCACACAATCACCAAGGACCTGGGGTTGGAGCTGCCATGGCCCGTCCCAGAGAAGTGGGAGTCGCCCGAGGCCGACAAGCCAATCCTGGTGTGGGGCGCCGCGGGCAGCGTCGGACAGTATTCTTTGCAAGTGTTGAAGCACTGGGGATATCGAAACGTCCTGGCGGTGGCGAGCGCCAAGCACCACGACTCCCTGAAGGAGCTCGGCGCGACCGCTGTCTTTGATTACAACAACCAAGACTCGGTCAAGTCACTGTCGTCTGGGCCACACATCCCGTACATAATCGACTGCATCGGCTCGCTGGAGGGCACCCTGAGGCCGCTGAGCAAGATCGCGGGGAAGGGAAGCAGAGTTGCAGTTATGCTGCCCGTTGTTGTGAGCCCGGCGAGTGCCAGCAAGGCGCCGCTTTACGAGATGGACGTGAGCAATGTGCTGGTGGGACAGTGGAAGGAGGGCGTGGAGCTGAGGGGCGTGAGGACCCATTTCTATCAGGACAATGACTTCTTCAAGTATCACTTGCAGCCGGAAATAATGCCTGCACTCCTACAGGGAGGCATGATCCGGCCCAACAAGCAGAGGCTTGTGGAGGGGAAAACGCTGCTGGAGAGGGCGGAACAGGCGCTGTCTCTGTTCAGGGAGGGATCTGTCAGCGGAGAGAAGGTTGTGTGGAGGGTTGCTGATGAGTAAAATGCCGTGCAAGGAAGTACATGCAAAAGTAAAAAAAAAAGGTGGAAATGTCAACCTCAACAATCCAGTGGGTGGCGTATTTGTGTCCCTGACAGCCGAAACAGTTCTAGTCTGTCGCGTCGACGCCTCGTTCCATTTCGTGCGTGGGGGGAGGGGATGCGGCGCGCCGCACGCGGCATCTCGATGGGCGTTCGTGCGGCCACAACGCGTAGATGCGTACGAGGCCGTGTCGTGCTCGCTTCATCCCACACTCATAGACAATTCGGCATTGAAATATCTGCATACTAGGGTCTAGCAGAGGGGTCCAGCCTGGCCAGGCCAATGCCACCCAACCGTCCGAATTAAGGTTGCGAGAGTGGTGTGGGATCGGACAGTAGCACGAGGAATCATTGGTATGCTGGTGTTTGCCCCGGCTTCTTGAGGACTTGGAGGGGCGTGCAGGGGTTGAGGGGTTCCTTCATTCGACAAACGGCTGTTCCTGCTGCACCGGAATGCTCCCCCTAGGACTCAGTCCAAGAGAGCCGGGCGCGCTAAAGCTAGGCGCGCCCGGACGGCCCTGCAGGCCTGTCAGGCAGATCGGCTGCCTCGTGCCCCGTGCGCGACCACCCCCCCGCGTGCCGTCCTTTTGCGCAGGTGAGGTGCCAGCCTGCCAGCCTGCCAGCCCCCTCCACTCGTGCACCCTGGCTCCCCCAGCAACGAGCATACCCCTGGGCCGCCCCAGGAGAGATCTCGAGCCCAATCTGGCTGACTGGTGATGTGCACTCCGGATCGCAGCAGTTTGTTTTTTGCCTTGCCTTATCCCACATGACCTGTCGTATTTCCAAGCAACGTCAGTCTCGGTCTGCTTTTCTTTTTCGACAGAGACACCCATCCTGCCATCCTGTCGCTCTCGCAGACAAGTCCTGCAATTCCTGCTTTGATCTCTTCTCCCCCCCCTCTCGAGTCCCGCCGCTTCCTGCGCATTTCCATTGTTTTATCCAAGCGTTGCATCTCTTTGTACACTGCAAGCTTGCTTGGCTCGACCCGACCCGACCCCGACTCAGCTTGACTCCACTGCCAGTGCGCTCGTTGCCCGGTCAGACCCTCTCCACGCTGCCGTCTTGCGATCGTAAACCCAGTGCTCCGACTCCACTCTGTGCGCCCCAGTGACGCGACTGCGCAGCACTCGACGACGATAATTTCGCTGCGTCGCTGCTTCGTTGCGTCAAGTCGCCGCCGGAGCTGCTATAACCGCTGCTATATATAACCCCTTCGCTTGCAGCTTGCAGTGCCTTCCAACAGCCTCGAGACTGGAGCAAGCAGCACCCCAATCCCCAGCCCCAAACGGCTGTCGCAGACGTTGAGCTGCTGGGTTGGTATACAAACCTATGAGTTCACCATCCGTGTCTGTTGGACCCAATGGATTCAGATGGCCCTGAGACCCAGCCCACCCAGCAGGGTATGTGTCCCACCGTCTATGTTTGGGCCACGGCATTCCTGTGCTAACACTCTGTGCTAGCTACCCAGAATGTCCTCGACCCTCGCCGCCTGGGCAAGCAGAACTCGGGCTTCTCAGATGACGACATCGCCGATATAATATGCCTCCTCCTTCCCTACTCGGACGGCGCCCGCGCCGAGCTTCGCGAGATGGCAATGCGTATGTCTCAACACATGGTCGACGCCGACGATGCGGCCCATCCCGACCTACAGGCAGCTGACGGCCTGAGCCTCATGCCGCGCCTTGTCGGCGAGCATGCCCTGGTCTTGCGTCTTTCGGCGCCAGTTAAAGACCCTGTGCAGGGCTTCACATTCGGTCGGAATCTTGGGCGGTGTGATGTGTGCTTCCAAAACGATCCTATGAGGAGGCTGAGCAACATACACTTTCGGATTTACCTCAACGAATACGGCGTCCTTATGCTGGAGGACTCTTCCATAAATGGGACTGTTGTCGATGGGACGCTGCTGAAGGCCAGGCAAGGGGACAGAGCAAAAACAGGGGAAAAGAAGTTGCCCAAGCGCAGGACCATCAACCCGGGCTCCAGGATACGCATCCTCATGCACGAGGACCAGGATGATCTGGACTTCATGGTGCAGATACCACGCCGGGAAGGAGATTACGAGGAGATGTATAGAAGGAACTTGACTCGATACATGCAGCGCCTGGCACAGATCCGCGCCCATGACGACCCTGTAGACGCGGCCAAGACCATCACAGCTGGACCTGGGGGACATGTGAGTTCAGAGAACCTCCCTGTCCATTTCCTCTGGTCGCTAACAAGCCGCAGCTGGACTTGTTTCCCGTGAACGAAACGAAACAGCCAACACCACGAGCCGCCAGGCGTCAGCTGCGGCTACCCGATGACCCCACACAGGAGGACATGGGGAGACTGCCCAAGGAGTGGAACGGCTCAAACAAGTACAACCGTGTCGGCCGTATTGGCAAGGGCGCTTTCGCAACGGTGTACAAGGTCACTGCGAAGTTCGACGGGAAGCCATATGCCGCCAAGGAGCTGGACAAGAGGAAATTCATGAAGAACGGCGTGCTCGATCAGAAAGTCGAGAACGAGATGAGGATCATGCAGAGGGTGAAACATGTAAGTTTGTGTACCGCCTCCACCGGCACCCCAGTACTAATCAGCTGTAGCCAAACATCGTAGCCTACATTGAGCATATCGACTGGGATGACCGGCTCATGATCATCATCATGGAGTACGTGCCCTATGGTGATCTTGGCAGTCTCATCGCGGATAACGGACCGTTGAGAGAAGAGATTGTCCGCGAAGAGGCCAGTCAAATGCTCAGTGCGCTGTCGTACCTACACGCCAATAACATCACTCATCGTGATGTCAAACCAGACAACATTCTCTGTTATTCATGCCAGCCTTTCCTCATTAAATTGACTGACTTTGGGCTTTCGAAAATGGTCGAGACCGAGCAGACCTTCTTGAAAACCTTCTGTGGAACACTGTTGTATTGCGCTCCGGAAGTATACAACGAGTTTGCCGAATACGATGAGTACGGCCACAGGCATCCGAGGAATAGGCAGCGCCGCAGGCCCGTCGGTCAGCGATACGACCACGCTATTGACATATGGTCACTCGGCGGCGTGCTGTACTTCACCATGACAGGAGAACCTCCCTTCCCGGCCAAGAATGGCATCAGTTATACCGAGCTTCTCCACCAGATCATGACCAAAAAGCTCAACACAAAGCCACTGGAAAACATGGAAATGACACAACTCGGTATCGACTTCTTGTTGCGCTTAATGCAGAGACGTCCAGAGCAGCGTGCAACGATCGAGGAGCTTCGGTCTCACCAGTGGTTACAGGGGACGGGCTTCTCCCAGCAATCAAACGAGGAGGACATCGACGAAGGCCTCCAGAAAGAAGCCTCTCAGTTGAGCTTACAAGACAGAGATTCTCCATCACGGAACCCTGTCGGCGATGATCTGACCGACGACGACGACGTCCTCAATCTGGAGCAATATGCCGGTGAAGGCGTCGACGGCGCGCATTTCGATGGCTACGAATCTCAAAAGGAGAACTATACATTTGGTCAGATGGAACAGCAGCGCTCAAAGCTCTTTGGGGAGGTGAATGGGTCAGCTGTCGGAAGTGCAGGGGTCATTCCGTCCACTCGTCTGAATTTGCCGGATTCGGTAGTCAGTTTGGACAGAACTGAAATTCTCGATCCCGAAGGCAAGGGCAGCTTCGGATCGGACGATTCGACGCCTCGGCAGACAAAGAGATCACAGCCTACCCCACGAGCCACCGTTCCAGCAGCTCTGACACAGAGTAATCGATCTGCCAGTCGCTCCGTAGACGACATCAACAACATGACATTCGACCCTGAGTCCCAGGATCTCGAGGGCGCAGAGTCTCAGTTGGAGCATCTTAACATGAAATCGCTGCATCCATCGAATGGACTGTCTTACATGAGCAGCTTCAATACTAGCAAGAGGAAGCCCGGATACGACACGAGCGATGAATTTGACAGCACTCCAAGGGCGCGACCACCGGTCAAGAAACTCAGATCCGACAGCCTGTTTGACGATGCGATGAGCTGGGATGAAGACAGCGAGCAGGGGCTGTATGCTCAGATTCCACCGCTGCCTCGAGTCAATTCGCATAGGCAGATTGATAAGCCCGTGCACAAGTCCACATACTGGGATGCGCGAGACGAGCGAAGTTGGCATCTCAGGTACCCAGAAATGACCCAATTACAACACGATGCGTTCGCTTCAGCGGCCAAACAACGGGGTGAATCTTTTGCTCCAGGAAAATCCGCGCTCTGGGACCTGGCGATGAAGCATTTCCCTCCGGCAGCTGGACAGACACCACCACCACCGCTTGAGCGCCGCAGCAGTGCATCCGACTCCGAGTCAAGAGCATCGGGACATAGGTCTGATGCGTCCAGCGACAGACCACTGAGCTCCAACGATGCGGGCAATGAGGACGAGGATATGCCTGACACCCTTCAGCCGGACCACGGCACCATCATTCCGGCTCAAGCGGATCCACCGCTGAACAGAGTTGTAGCTACCCTCGATTCGGCGGAGGGGTCCGTCATATCTGGTATTTCGGTACCGATCAATCAGGCTATGATTTCCTGGGGACGAGCCCCTGAGAACACACACATCTACACACCAAAGACGGAGTCCAAGGTTCCGAAGTATGCTATGAAAGTCATACTCTGGAGAGACGGCTACGAACCATCCAAGAACTTTCGCCCATGGAACAATGCAGCGGATGGCTTCTACTTCTACATTTCCACCAAAGCTACCAACGGCATCCAAATCAACAAGACCGTTCTGCCATCTGATGAGCCAAAGAATCCTAAAGGCCCCTCGAAGAACTGGATCAGACTGCATGATGGGGATCTAGTAACGTTCTGGAGGTCCGGCGATGGCGACGAGCAGCTCAAAGCGAAGCTCGTGTTTCACTGTAGCTGGGGTGGTTCATCACAACCACGGGCCACAGCGGCCGAGTTGGTCGCGCCCGAGGCTGCTAGCTGCTTGGATGTGTCTTGTCGTAAGGCCGAAGACCGCATCAAGAAGCTAGCGGAATACGACCACAGCCTCGAGGAGGCTGACATTGATGCACTGGAGCGTCACAAGAACATCGAGAGGGAGCGGCTGCGGTCGCAAAATTTCGAGAGTAAGCGTCTCGAGGCTTGCCGAATGCTGGCCATGAGGGCGAGTCGCCGGAGCTCACCGGCATCTGTCTCGCCCATCGTCCCACCATCATCGGCGCCACCAGCTATCATGACTGGTGTTGGCGCGATTCCACGGCACAGAAGTGTCCCCGCCCTCAAGCACGCAACATCGGGTCTGGACGCGCGCGCGTTGCAGACTATGGCTGAGGAGTGAGGCAGGCTTTGGTGATAACGGCTTGTATTCTCGAGGATATCGGCAGGCAACGTCCGCTTCGAATTTCTCACAGAATATACGACGTAAGACGCAAGACAGCTCGCGGAGGTACTGAAGAGTATCAATTGATCCGAGCAGATTACACCAGACGGTTTGATTTTCGGTCCAACAAGCATCGACTTATATATCCACAAGAGGCTGTATGTGTGTTGTCACTTCGTCTCATACAAATTTTTTCCAAGGGACCAAAAAGTTCACAAGTGTGTATAGAAAGAAGCATAGCAGGCGGCGGTAATTGTTATTATTTGATGAGCGGGGGTCGTGTATCCTTGTATCTCGGGTCGCTACTGAGATGCAACATGGCATGGAGCGATAATAAGAGATCGCATTCAATGGTCGCGGCGGGTCCCGGGCAATCAGACATACAAATAGCGAGGAAGATAGTCTGTATCATCGAATTTAATGCACTGGGTCATTTTGAGTCCATACCTGCTAGTAAAGACAACCTGTCTGTAGGTTCAACAAAGTGAAGGTACCGTAATTGGGAGTCACGTGCGACGCGTATCCCTGTCGCGTAGCGTCGTCCTGCCGGGCGCGTGCGTCTGCGGGTGTTGCCGTCCCACCCCACCTGGAAACAGCAGGCATCGGGCTCAGACTGCAAGCAGATAGCGCGTCACGTCTTTACGCGTCCAGAGACTGATCTGGAAGGACTTCAATACAAGCCGTCCGAAAGTCACCGATTCGACCCCATTTCCGAGGCAAGGACGCGAAACACCATAGCGCATTCCAATCTAGTGTCCTAATGACAGCTGCAATGCTCCGGATCTTCAGGTCCAATTCGGATCTATGACGAAAAACAACCTCAAAGACCACCTCGCCTGGTTGTTGGGCAATCTCCAGCTCTCCGCCCCCGTTGGCCCGTCTTTCCCAACTGCCAACGACGCATTCGAGAGCTCACGAAGCTTCGCCTCCCTCTCCTCGCTTCCCAGCTCCGGAGAGCCCAACGCGAGGGTGCCCGGCCCGGCCCCCGCAGCGCCTTCGTCCTCGACAGTAGAAGCACCTTCAATTGATTTCACCATAGATGACGACTCGCTGGCAGAAATAGCGCTGGAGGATATCACAAACGGAAACAGGCAGGAGCAGGGCATGGCGAGACTCGCCGCAAAGTCCACGAGAAAGCCATCTCTGGTCTCAAAACAGGAGCAGCTCCCGACACCGGCGCCATCCACGGCCGGAGGTGGTCGATACTACCAGGCGTACGCTGCGTCTCTCAGCAAGGATGAACAGCAGAATACGCCGGCTAAATCGAAGCAGTCAACTGCGGGTGCAGTGCGACCTTCAATCAACAGGCCCACTAGGCCTGTACCATGGACCGCCGCGGACATTCCCGAGGAGGACGACGATGGATTTCTCGACCTCACGACAGTGGAAACTGCCAATCCTGATGCGATAGAGTCCACTGAGGCGGTACTCACTCCCCGTGGTAGGAAGAGGAAGAGCGGCGAGATGACCAAGGCCTCACCAAGGAGGAAGGAGCCTGTTGAGCCAGAAGACGACGAGTACCCCGACATTGCCGATTTTCTGGACGATGACATGATGACCCCGGCAATGCTTAAGCGTCGTGCTGCTGGTACCCAGTCAGCCAGGAGGAGTCCAACTAAGCCGCGTCTGGCCTCTCCGGACGGTACCATACTTACACAACGTACGGTCACGCAGACAGTGAGTACGACAGAGACGCGATTACGCAGGCCATCGAGCAGCATGGGCCAAACACCAAGTCTGGTCGGCCCACAAAGCATTGGCAAAAATGAGTCGCCGTTCAAAGTGGAATCCGTGAAGCAAACCACGCGGCCACAGAGTCCTGGAGGCAAGGTTGAGGAGTTCTCGGATGATGGCTTCGCATGGAGCTCAAGTCCTCAAATGTCCCGCCGGCGCGGACGCAGCGATATTATAATGGACTCCGACGACGAGTTTCAGACACCTCCATCACGCAAAAACTCCAATGTACCTCTAATAAATGATGCAGCAATTCCCATCTCGCAACAGGGGCACGCCCCAATCGGTGCAAAACAGGACATACCTATCGAGGACAAATCTCAGTCGTGGCCTGAATCAAAGCGGCCCTCAGAAGCGCCTGAGAGCGAATTTGTCATCAGAAGCTCGCAACCTCTGGCACAGACCGACGCCATGGACATTGACAATCGCACTGATAGACTTGAGCCAGCGGGCGTCACAACGAGGGTTGATCCCCACAGCTCGGAGACAGATGGTGCAACTCTCGTCATGGATCTATTCCTGGAAAAACCACATGTCGTACGGCTTCTTACAAAAACGGTCAACGAGAAGTTGGCAAAGAACTCGGCAGATTTCGCAAGATCACTCCGTGAGAAATGGCCTCCCGAACGGAAGTTGCAGGTGAAAAAAGAGAAGGAGCCGTTGTTGAAAGAGAAGAAAGCTCTATCAGATCTGAAAGTCTCTCACGAGGCCTACAAGGTCCTTGTGGAAGAGAAGGAGGACCTTGTGACTCAAATTGGCATGTTGTACGATGCTGATGAAGACACAACTGAGACCGAAGCTCGAGTCGAGGAGTTGGACTTGGAGATTGAGCAGAAAGAGCGGAATTTGAAGCAAGCTCTTGTGACCGCCGGTGTCACCAGCCCTGCTATTTTTGAGGGCCTTCCAGACCCACCACCCGAAGGGCCTGAACCATCCGACCCGACCAACAAAGCAAGTTCAGCCAGGGTAACACCGTCATCGTCGAGAGACACCACTCGTATACCGGAGTGTCTTTCTCAAGTTGTCAAACAGACCCAAAATGTCGCGGCAGCACCAAGACAACAGAAACAATTGGCAGATCTCGTGGGCTCCTCAGAGGTGGTCAAGCCACCAGTGCCACAGTTCCGGCACGAAGAGCCACGATCATCCCGAAAAATGGGGAGCCATGCCACCTCCAGACCTCATTTCGCAGCGCAAGACGATATTGACATGGACGACCTGCTAGACGACGACGATGATGATCTCTGGGCACAACCCTATCAATCCAATGCCAGGTCTCATATACCATCTTCAACAAAAGCTGCTGCCGCAATGAAGTCCAAGAGCCCGGCGAAACTTAAAGTACGGCGGCAAGAGAACCACAGTGATTATGGCGATGGCGATGACGATCTCGCAGCTATGGTGGCAATGGCTGAAGAAGCCGAGGATTTTGAGCAAAGGCAATCTTCCATTGAAAGTCGAAGTAACCCTCGAGCGCGATCAGTCTTGTCCGAGACGTCTGGGAACAATGTTAGCACAGCAAGGGTCAAGGCCACATCCAAGAAGCCCGTCAAGCCAGTACCGAAGCCTAAGATACCCCAGGAACTTTTGAAGTTTCCCTGGTCCAGTGACCTGTTGAGGGCTTTCAAGGACAGGTTTCGCCTGGAAGGCTTCCGGCACAACCAGCTTGAGGCTATAAATGCCACTTTGGATGGCAAGGATGCCTTTGTCCTCATGCCAACAGGCGGTGGAAAGTCTCTATGCTATCAACTACCAGCTGTCATCAACAGTGGCAAGACCCGAGGTGTGACTATTGTTGTCACCCCTCTGCTCAGTTTGATGCAAGACCAGGTCGATCACTTGACGGCCAGGGGCATCGTGGCGAAGGCTTTCAGTGGCGATACTGACAGGCAAGAGAAGGACAACATCCTGCAAAGCTTCAAGTTGAGAAACCCAGAGCATCATGTTCAGCTTCTATACGTCACACCCGAAATGCTCAGCAAGAGTTCAGCGTTCAACAATGGCCTCAAGAACTTGTGGGCAAGCAAGAAACTGGCTCGGCTGGTCATCGATGAAGCACATTGTGTGAGTCAATGGGGCCACGACTTCAGGCCAGACTACAAAATGCTCGGCGAGGTTCGGCGCAAATACCCAGGCGTACCAGTCATGGCTCTGACAGCCACAGCGACCAATAATGTCATAGTTGACATCAAGCACAATCTTGATATGGAGGGATGCACTGTTTTCTCCCAAAGCTTCAACCGCCCAAACCTGTATTACGAGATCCGGCCCAAGGAGAAACAGCCTGTTGAACGCATTGCCGATATTATCAACGAAAGATTTGCTGGCAAGACAGGAATTGTCTATACGCTCTCGAGAAAGCAGACTGAAAAGATTGCCAAGACGCTGACGGAACGCGGAATCAGAGCTGAACATTACCACGCAGCCTTGCAGACCGAGGAAAAGGCTCAAGTGCAGCGAGATTGGCAGAGTGGCCGAGTCAAGGTCGTGGTTGCTACCATCGCTTTTGGTATGGGAATCGACAAGCCAGATGTCCGCTTTGTGATACATCATTATCTCCCGAAGAGTCTGGAAGGCTACTATCAAGAAACCGGCCGTGCTGGCCGTGACGGACTACCATCAGACTGCATCCTGTTCTTTGGCCATGGGGATATCCACAGCCTCAGGAAAATGATCGACGATGGAGACGGTAGTCGCCAGCAGAAGGAACGCCAAAAGGAAATGCTCAATCGTGTTGTCATGTTCTGTGAGAACTCGCGCGATTGTCGCCGCAGTCAGCTTCTTCACTATTTTGGCGAAACATTCTCCCGCGACAAGTGCGAAAAGACTTGCGACAACTGTAGGATTGGCGGTACCTTCGAGGTCGCAGACAGGACGAAATATGCTGTGGCAGCCTTGGAGGCTGTCATGTACCACACGCGCCTGACCTTGAATCAGTGCACCGACGTGCTCAGGGGAACGAAGAAGCCCGATGGAGATGAAGAGGGCCAGTCATTCCATGGCATTGCAAGACACCTCAAGAAGCCTGAGGTGAGCAGTGTCATCGTCAGACTCGCTGCAGAGGGGGCCTTGGATGAAGAGAACCGGGTCGGCGGTGGCGGGATAGCCATCCAGTACTTTATCGTGAGTTTCCATCACAGGCCGATTTGGCACAACACTCACTGACTCGTTCACAGCTCGGTCGCGAGGCAGCTAGTTTCTTGTCTGGAGGCCGCAAGCTTGAAGTAGTGGTGCGGACCAGTGGTGATAAGAGCGCCCCGGCCAAGGCTACGAAGAAGAAAACCACGAAGGGAAGAGTTGCATTAGACGATCACGAAGAGCTGGCCAGACCAGCGTCAACGTTGGTGTCTTCTCCAGTACGCCGCGGTGCTGGAAAATCTCGAAAGGGCAAGGCTATTGCAGCCTTTTTTGACGAGGAGGCTATAGCTGAAGATGACGAGCACCCCGATCTCGAGCATGAGCCGGCCCTCCATTACAATGGCTACGAAAAGGACGATTTCTGTGTGCCCGATGACGAGGACGACTACTTTGAGCCAGTTCGCAAGACGGCCATCAAATCACGGCGCCAGCGCACACTCGAAGAACTTGGCCCACCCATCTCAAGGATGGCCGACAATGGCGCGCTGGATGATGTTCACGAGATGATTGTGACAGCATTCCTGGAAGAGGCCAAGGACTTGGAGGAGCGATTGCGCAACAATAAGGGCTTCCGCCGGCCACTCTTCACCGAGGCCCAGCTCCGCCTGATGGCAGTCAGATGGACCACGACGGTCGACCAGATGCGCCACATACCTGGAATCAAAACAGAGCATGTCGACAAGTTCGGGACCAAGTTCATCCCCGTTGTCAAGCAGTTCCACGAAAACTACCGCGAGATGATGGGCCAGGGCGACGACGGCGCGATGGCGACCATACCCGGCACGGCGGGGCCATCGTCGGCGCGCCGCGCCACGGAGCCACAGGGCAATTTCATCGACCTGGTCAGCGACGATGATCACGATGACGACGAGGGGGACGACGAGGACTACGACTACGAAGACCCGGGCGTCCCGTCCAAGTACTTTGGCGGCGGCGCCGCGGCCGACGACCCGATACAGAGCCAGCTGGACGGCTGGTCCGAGCGCTACGCGGCGACCTCGCAGGTCGACGACTCCCGGCCCGCGTCCCGCGGCCGCGGCGGCGCATCCAAGAGGGGCGGCGGCCCCAAGAAGAACTACTACCGCAAGGGCGGCGGCGGGGCCAGGTCGTACGGCGGAGTCTCCAAGGCCAAGGGCCGGAGGACCAGCGGTGGGTCTTCGAAGGCCGCCGGGGCGGGTCGGGGTGGTTCCAGGTCGGGTGCTGGGGGAAGGGGAGGGGGAGGGGGCGGGGGCGGAATTGCTGTCATGCCGTTTTGATTTGTTTATCCGGACGAGATCACGGATTGCTGGCTGTTGGGAGTGTTTTTGGCCGTGAAAGAATCGGGGGCACACGTTGTATGGATGGCGAACTAGGGAGGGGGTTGGCGCCTGTGTTTACGCTCGTTGCATTGCTCTGGCTGCGAAATTTACATGCAAGGGCGGAATTTGTATGGCGTTGGTCGGGATGCATTCTTATAAACGATGGGCAGAATCATGCAGATATGTATATCTGCCACTGCATCAATCTAGTCACATATCCACAGAGAACGCAGCGCATGAGAAAACGATAAAAGTGCGAATGTCAGCAAAGTACCAGTATCAATGGTAATCTTTCCATTAGACTTGCAGTAGACTGCGGGTATATCATGGGCTGAAGAGATCCCGGAAAATCAAATCCTGTCTGTGGGGGCAACAAAAGAAAAACAGAAGGCGAGGATTTTCCTTTGAACCGATGGGGTTGCCGTCTACCACCTTTTTTGGAGACCAACAAGACCATTCCCTTTCCCTCCCAAAAGCTGCCAACGTTCTTTTCTGAACGGCAGTGAAATTCCGCTATGCAATTTGGTGTGTTGTCGATATTGTGATAAAATGAATGGAAAGATGAGAACAAAAAAAAAGGTACGGGCAAGTAGTTTTGCAACACTCCGCCCGCCCCCACTCCCAAATCCTTCACGCCGTGTTTTGTCCTAGGAAGAAACAAAGAGGACATTCCCCCAGAGCCAAACGACAAGTCCCTTCGTAAGTGAAGCATATTCCGACCAAGGCGTGTGTCCGCGTAGGGATGAAGATTAAAACAAAATTATATGCAGCGAATGTAAGATTGTGGTGTTGCGGAGCCTGACCTTCCCTGTAATGGTCTCGTGGGCGTTGGTGAATTCTGGTCAGAAGATAATCCGCGTGCCACATGAAGTTGACATTCAAAATCCCAAGTAGTAATTGTTATTTCCCGCCATTTGAAATTTCTCGTTCTTGTGTGAGATGGTTCGATTGCCGAGGTCTTCCTCTGTGCAATGATGGTTCTGTCGTGGAGCGTCGGCACGTGGCAATTAAAGCTTTGTAGTATGCCGCAAACGCTCTGCGCGTTGGTAGGAGAAGCGAATGTGTGATTTGGAAGAAGGAAATCCGTATGTCGGCTGGCGAGCCCCTCTGCCGGAGATGGGGCTCAGAGTCTAGGCCCCCTTTATTCCTCCGTCAGCAACTCAGGCTCAGGAAGTGACTGTGATTGCTTCTTGGTGGGCAACCACGCCGGGGGGCCGACTCTTGTTGGCGGCCGGGACAGGTCGGCCGTGATCTCCTCCCGGACCTTCCGGCACCAGGTGAGCAGGGCGTCCTCGAACTGAACCCAGACTTCGGGGCTGCTGTTGTAGACCAGGCCCAGGGCGTCGACCTTAAGACCGGTGACCTCCCACCTCAGCTCAGCGGCCTTGGCCCAGTAGCGGATGTTGTCGGCGCACCTGTATGGCTTCTGAGTGTCGGTGTGGAAAGTGCCGATCATGCCGAACCGACGGCGCGACTTACGCACCGCGGCGTTGTGCAGCTGGACCAGGCGCAGCCCGTTCTGCAGGCTCTCCAGGAACGGGTTTGGTAGGTCCTGTTCCTCTAAGGGCCTGGAGCGGTCAATGGGCATCCACTCAGGCAGCGCAGGGACTTCCATAGTGCTACCGTCAGGGGCCGGGGCCTTGGTCGTGTTGGAGGGGCCGTCCAGCATGCTCAGAATGAAGGCGTACTCCCTCTGCACCTCGGTGCCAGCGGGCCAGTCCTCATCCTTGAGCCAGGTCCAGCTTGCGCGCTCCTCGGCCTCGGCAGCCTCGAGCTCCTCCTCCTCCTTGAGCATCTGGAACAGCCCCGCCGTCCAATCCTCCATAATCTTGACCTCATCGTCCCGCATGCCGCCCTGGAAGTCCCGTGTCGCCATACGCTTGAGCATATCCATGACGTTAAAGAGCTCCTTGCGCAGCTCCTTCTCCGGTTTGATCGAGTCGAGCCGCTCGGGGGCGTCGTGCGAGGTGTAGTAGACCTTTGCGGCGCGGATTGCCAGGGTCATGACATCCAGCACGTGCATACCTTGGACCTCGAACCAGCCGGGCGCCTGAATCGTCGCCTTGGAGAGCTGGCGCGCGTGAGACGGGGGCGTAGGCGAGTCAGTCAGCGAGGTGACGGAGACGTTGGACTGCGCCCGCGACCGGCTCTCGCCTTCGTACGGGTTGACCCTGTTTTTCTTGGCATAGTCCACCGCCTCGCCTGCCATGGTCAGTGCCGTCCTGAGGTCAGCCTTGAGCTGACGGATGGAAGGCGGCTTGGGAAGCGGCTTCTCCCTGTGCTTGTACGTGCTGGTCGTGGGAGGCAGGACATTGGGGTCGGGCTCCTCCCACTCGTCAAAGTCAAGCTCGTCGTCATCGTCGGCCGTGGGGCTGTCGGTCATGTCGATACCAAAATGTGAGCCTCCCATGTCCGGGCTGGTGCCCAAGTAGCCCGACTCGGCGTCCGACGTCACGATCCTCGGCGTGTTACCGGAGGCTGTTGCAAAATCGAACGAGCTCAGGCTGCTGAAGTCGAGTGTCTGTGCCTTTGCCTGCCTGTTCTTGCGGGCCAGCTGTGCGCCCTTCCCGTCCAGCAGCCCGGTGCGTGCAAAGTAGTACTGAAGATGTGCGATGCTGCCGAGGCTCAGCACGCTGTCCCTGCTCCTTGCGGAAGTTGCAAAGTCGGTGCCGGTGGGCCTCATGTAGCCTCTCTTCCTCGGGACGGGCTTGCCGGCCACACCAAAGTTTCCTGTCGAGTGCCTGACATTCTCTGTAGGGCCCAGGTTGAGGGCTGGATTCCTGGCGGTGGCAAGGAAGCTTGCTGAGGAGTGTCGGCTGGCGGTGGAGCCGGAGGAGTCGCTGCCGATGGACGCCCTTGTGGAGTGTGAGCCATACGAGGCAGTGGAAGCAGCCGAGACGGAGCGTGGTGATATGTCGTCAAAGTCTGCGAGGTCTGCTCCCAGGGCAGCACTTGGCTTGGCACCAGGAGGAGGGGTCTGGGATCGTTCGCGGTGGGTGGCGGCCATGTTGGAAGTAGGCGGTGCCGGTAGTGCAGGCAGGCGAGCAGGGCAGGGCTTGGCAAGGGTTGTTGGGGGTGGAATGGATATGTTGTGTATGTCTGAGGGATGGTGAGCAGCGAAGCTAACCACAGCACACAAATGCCAACAAGGAGTTGGAGGTCTCGCGAGTTTTGTCGATGTGCCAGCAAATCCAGAGAAGCAAGAGAGCTCGAGAGGGGGGGAGAGAAGATGGACAGAGAAAAAAAAAGAGAACGGGTTAAGTGACGTGTTTCGAGGCGCGACCAGTGACTGGAACTCGGTGCCTCACGAGCCGGGGGGGTATAAAGTAAATAAAAAGGGGCCGATTTGCCCAGCAACGAAGTGGCAGACCACGGGTGGAGGGATGGCGTGCAGATGGAGAAACGCGGGTAGGAACTGATTGAGCGAGTCTGTCTCCCTGGTAGGAGCGGGTCTCGAGCTCGAGGGGCCGTTCAAAGAGTGAATTAGGACTGTATGCACTATGACGAAGTCCCGAATAGTGACAAGATAATAATAATAAAATAGCAATAAGGAGAGGTGGGAAAGGGCAGAGGGCAGAAGGGCAGAAGGGCAGAAGGGCAGAGGCAGATGCAGATGCAGATGCAGACGTGAATTGAGATTGAGGCAGGCAGGCAGTCTTGTCTGAGAAAGTAAAATGGCCCCAAGAATTGCTCGTGAGACGTAGCGAGGGTGGGGCATAAACGTCAGGCGTGAGGAAGGGGGGCGTGATTGCTTATTGCGAGGGGGGCCACCAGCACAACGCATGGATCCGCAACGGCTTTTGGGCATTGGTGGTACAGAGGTACTCCGTACCGAGGACACTCGCTGCAGGAAGTATTGGCTCACAAAGTCTGGCAGTCTGGCAGTCTGGCAGTCTGGCAGTTCACGGGGCCGTCGGCGGACCCTTCCTTGGTGCCATGCCAGCTGGGTGGCCTGGGGCCCTGGGTGCCCTGGTACCCTTGGGGCAGGTGTGGAGCTTGATGGGGTCGTGATTCAGAGCTCCATGTTCAGATCAATCCAAAACAATCAGGCTTGGAAAAGCCCCGATTCGGCCGCGCCGCTCGTGAAACAGGCCAGCAGTCTGCTTGCTGCCCTTGTACTGTGGTGCCGCACACAGTCTGAACAGGCAGACAGGCAGACAGGCTGGACAGGCTGGACAGGCTGGACACACTGGACACGTTGTAGCGTGGTGAAGGCGTTGAATCTTGGGTGACACCTCTTTTCCCTCCCTCCCTCTCCCTGCCTGGCATGTCCTCTGGCCCTCCTCTTGTCTGCTGTTGTCCCTCGCCTCGGGCACGCGGGCTCCGGCCAGACTGGGCCTGTTGGGCTGATGAACTGCCCACCCACGCCCTACGGGCTCTCCGGATAAACTCACCCATGGCTGCCCTCGTCTTCCGATAGCGTGGTCGTGTCATGATGCTCTCCAGTCGGCCTGCCTCGATCTCAGATGCACGCAGCCAGCTCCCGAGGACCCCAAGGACCCCAAGGATCCCGAGGCCGCGCATCGTCCGGGGCCAATCGAAACAGCTCGGCTCCTCAACCGACCGTTTTGCCGTGTGCACGTCCAGGCCCAATCGATGAGAAGACACTCGACTCGGCATGTACGGAGCGGGCAACCAGGGCTGTCCGAGTATGCGATGTCTACCGCCCGGGCAACCACGCCTATGCTGATCATCATGAGCCCTTGACGTCTAGAATTACCGTGGAATTGGATGGAATGGCGCCTCCGTCACACTCATCAAACGGGACAGGGGTCCTCACGAGGCAGCCAATTACATCGGGTCCTGCCTGCTGGCCGCCAGCCTTGCCCCAGGACGGTGGTGCACACCAGCCAGTGCCGTGGCCTCCATATGTATGTCTTGCTATGTACGGAGTACGAGACCAAGGTACGGAGTGCCACGTACGTCGTGGTCGGCACCCGCCAGCAGCGAAGAGGCCCGGCCGTGGCAGCGTGGCTGGTAGCATTGTCAGCTCGGACTGGCGTGTGCCCCGTCTGCAACGAGCCGACCCTCGCATGCCCCCGGCTGCCCGGCTGCCCGGACGCACATTGTGCCTGGCTAAGGCTCCTTGGTGACAATCTTGTCCAACCACAAACCCAAGTGATCGGTAGCGTGGACGACTAGTCTGTCTGCATGGTAACGGCGAACGGGCGAACTGGGCGACTAGTCCTGCCTCCCGAGGCCTGCAGAGCATGCAGAATGCCATGGTTGGTTGGCACTGTACACTGTATGTGTTGTGTCCCTGTCGTCATCAACACGAAGGCCGAGATTGCTGGAAATACATCTCCACACTGACACAGTCGCCAAAAGCGGCACGCGTGTCGCACTTTGAATTTCGGTTCCGTCCGTCGAGCCGATCCCTGACTGTTCAGCTCATGATGGACACACACTATTGAGCTCCCAGGGCTCCCTCCCACAGCCCGGATCACACGGGGACTGGGCTGACTGGGTGACTGGTCGAGACTGGCTCGTGGGAACCCTGAGTCGACATCTCGGTCCTCTGCTATAGTGTAGTACCTCGGTCTATCAGTAGGCACGTTATCCCGCGTCACGCAGAGAAACGGGGCAGGGACCATGAGAGAATCTCGCGCAGTGCCCATGAGGAGGTGTCGATTGTGCTTCGCGGGCGTACACACTGCATTACTTGCATTGGGTGCTGCTTGTGCTGCTTGTGCTGCCCTACGGTCTGCCGGGTCGTGGGGCGTCCCGCCTCTCCTCGTGGCCAGTGGCTACCCTCCATGGGTCTCGCCCAGGCCCGGCCGGGATGGTTGGAGCCAGCAGCAGGGGCCAGGTGCCAGGCCGTGATGAGTCCAAATTTACCGCAGGCACACAGTACCGAACTGGTGGGATGGGGCCACGGCACCGGTGATTGACCCTACCCTGAATGAGGGTCCCCATCGGGTCAGCGATTGATTGATTGCCTATGTTTGGAACAGAGCAGGCATGAGGCGTGTACATGGCTCCACATGTACAATCAATCATCAACTGCGTGGTGCGTCACTGCCTGGGTGTTGCATCACGAAGCCAGCAGAGGCAACGAGAGGAAGCGTGCATACTCGCAACACACCTGCTTGTATGCATCGCATCCATAGACGGCCGTGGGGATGAAGAGGGTGGCCGAGTTGTGGATGTTGGTGACCTGCTGTTGGCGGCCTTGACCCGTCCTCGGGACACCAAGGCAGATGCGAAACCAAGGGGCCCACTCTGGCCCTAACCGTTTCAGGTTTCCCTTTCATCTCATGGCAGCGGCTTGTGAAAGGCCCGGCCTGCAGACTGGAGACTGCAGACTGCAGACTGGAGATTGTAGACTGGAGGCTACTATAGACGGGAGGGACGAGGAAAGGAGATTGATTAGTGGGAGGATGCAACACACCAAGATCGGATCTTGTGGTGGGTGGACTAAAGTGGACAGCAGCTGCAACACTGCACCGGCGCCAACCGTGGCTACTTACCACAACAGTACTACGCCCATCGCACATCACCCATCGCCCATCATCTCGCCTGCACCCTGTCCTGGCCAAGTCACAGTAGCCAATTTACAGGCCCAGAGGCCCAGGCCAGCGCTGCCGCCACCACGACCTGGCCGAAGCCTGCACGTTGTCCTGCTGCCGACCTGACCTACTTGCTGTACCTCAGGCCAGGTACCAACACACCACAGGGCACAGCACCTGCTCCGTCCTGCCCTCATTAAACCTGTGGGCGAGGCCTCTCCTGTCTTCCATCTTGGGTACCACGGCCCTTTCTTCCTCCACCTCCAGTCCGGATCCAGCAGGTCAAAGCAGAAAGAAGCACGAGACCCAGCACGAGAGGACGACGTTGACCACGAGAGAACGACAACGACGACGACGACGACGACAAAACAAAACAAACAAAACCCATCCTCCTCTTGACAGCTCGGGAGCGCACAGCTGCGCACTACTGCAGGCGCGCAGCCCACTGCCGTCCATCAACCGTCCTGCCAGCCTGCCAGCCGCAGAACCCCCACAGCAACATCCCATCCACGAGGCAGAGGCATCGACGCACGACAGGCACATCCTAGACGGGGCACGACAGCCCATCAGCCAGTCAGCCGGTGCACCTGTTCACTGGTGGCCAGCACGACTGCATCGCACCCCATCGGGCGCCCTGATCTAAGGTTTCGAAACCCTTGCGCTGCCCTGCCCTGCCTGGCGCCGAACGGGAGGCTGGGAACGCCCCAGCCATAGTCTCCGGGAGGGAGCCCTGCCCATATATCCGTATCATTCAAGGCCGTTGAAAATGCCTACTAGCACTAGTTTACTCACCGGCCCAGTCCGGCTCATCAGTCATGACCAGCCCGCCGTCGACGCTCCCCAACAAGCAGTGACGATTCCCTCGCCGCCCTACACTGCCTCCGCCGACCAAGACCAGCCAGACGCGCCTCAATCGCCACACCTGACTGGCCAGCACCACCTACGCGCCGCCGCCAATGAGAACAAATCCAACCTCGCCGACGTGTCCACCGATCTTTCCTGGTTGGGCCCCCTGATAATCGATGACGGTGCCCTTGACCATTTTGTCTCGCCCTCCACCCTTTCCGCTCCCGCTGCCGAGCCCGCGCTTGCGCCTGCGCCTGCGCCTGTGTCTGCACCCGAGCCTGAGACCGAGCCTGAGCCTGAGCCCGAGCCCAAGCCTGAGACTGAGCACGAGCCCGATGGTGTCAACAACAGCCCCAAATCCTCTGCCAAAACACCGCACCAGCCCACAAATAACCACTCCTCGTCCCGCCTACAGCCCGCCGTCGACGTCACCTTATCATCCAACAATAACAACACCACAACCAACAACAACAACGTCAACTTTCCAATCCACCAGCGCAAACCATCACCCGGACTCGCTGCGCGATTAAAAGCACTCGGCCTCGGCACCCAACGGAAAACATCACAACCCTCCGGTTTCAAAGATCGCGAAATTGGCCGCCTGCCCGAGGAGCAGCTCCGACAGCTCGACGAGTATCACAAAGAACGCGCAAGACAACTCGAAATTGAACGCAGGGGTCGCCCCTGGAAGGGTGTCGTCCGCATCCCTTCCAAGGCGAGCCTGAAGTCGTCCAAGTCCAACAAGGACGCCATCACCCCCGAGGACGACCTTCCCGGGGACGCCAGCATCCCGCTGATCAAGATCCTCGACAGCCCAGCCGAGGATCACCATTCCGAGTTGCTCACCGAATTCGAGGCCGCCGAACCTCCCACCATGGATACGAACAAGTTTCGTCTGCCCGATCACACCAATGGTAATGGCACCAAGGTCACCTTGGACACGCGCAAGGAACACATCGACCGCGACGCGAGGCCGTTGCCCTCACCTGAAGAGAGCCCGCCACCCGTGCCAGAGAAGGATACGCCGCCCATATCCTCGCAGCCTTTTAACCCCGAAGACTACTTCAACCCGCTGGGGCTGCAGCGCGCAGGCTCCATATACACCATCTCGCGCGCTTCCTTCGCGAATCAGCTTGCTCAGTTGACCTCGCTGCAGCTGCCGGACGCCGAGTCGCTCGCTGGTAAGGTGGCAGCGATTCCTACCGCCCAGGCCGCTGTGAAAGCACTGATAGGCGCCGCCGAACAAATCCGCAGCTGGATCTACAAGGCATCCGAGGTCATTGCTGGGCTCGACAGCGACGATGATGTCGAGTGGTCTGCCGCTGGTGGCCGCGAAGGACTGGAGGAGGTGGAGGACGCGACAACACGGTTCGAGAAGCTCATCAATGTCTACGTGACCGCCATCGAGGATCTACAGGGTCGCATGGACATCGCACACGTCTCGACAGACGACCTCACCAGGGCAGTCATGCAGATGGAGGCCATCACGGAGGAATGGACCAACATACGCTCCACGCTCCGCAACGTCCGTGGTCAGGTCGAGATCGCCATGGAATGGGAAGAGCTCTGGAACGTGGTGCTTGGTGAGATACAGACCGAGCTGGACGAGTTGAGTCGCTTGGTCTTCGAGATGGAGGAGCGCCGGCACAAGTCAGCCATGGCGATTTCCAGCGGTGACGCGGTAGACATCGGTGACTTGGCAACAATCGCCGAGGAGACTCCACCGGCAGCAACGCGGGCGAAGGCTGCTGCGAACAAACGGTTCAGCTCGACCGGCTCTCCGTCAAGCCCTACCTCCCCTGGCGGGCCCACCGTCACCCAGGATGACTCGGGCCTCCTCGCATTGTTTGCCAGGATGCAACCTCTGAGGGCGTCGTTGGACTTCCTCCCAATGCGCTTGTCAGTCTTCGAGGCGCGAGCCCAGAAGTCGTTCCCGAGCGCATGTGATGAGCTGGAAATGCGGAGAGAAGACCTCGATGCCAGCTACAGGAAACTGGAGAAGGACGCAGAGGGGCTCCGCAAGGAACTAGGAGAAGACAGATGGGTCCTTGTGTTCCGTGGTGCAGCCCGGCAGGCCCAGAAGATGATGGAGTCCGTGGATCGCAGTGTGGCCAGGCTCAGAGAAGCAGTAGATGCACGCATGCACTTGACAAACCAGCCGGCGCTGCTCAAGAAGATTGAGAGTTTCGATGCCAAGAAGACGCACTACGGACCAGCAATCGATCGCGTCTTGTTCATCATTGACAGGGGCGTCAAGGACCGTCTCACAGTCAATGGTGAGATCTTGAGGCTGCACGCCGAGATGCAGGCGAAATGGGCGGACCTGAAGAACCAGATCAAAGAGATGGATCTCACGCTGGACGAACTCCATGCCGACAAGAGAGGAAACAACCTACGCGACTCCATCTCGAGCATGTTGTCGAATGACTTTGCCTCCACCGTTGGAAGCGGAGTCGAGACTCCGCAGAGCTCCCCTCCCTCTTCAGTCATCATGTCGGGGCTGGGAATAGACACGAGGACGCCGGGAAAGCCAGGTACGGCCACTCGTGCACGTCGCTCGTCGAGCAGTGTGAGTGGGCACCTGCAGCCCGGACGTCGTTCTGTGTCGGCGACAGCAACGCCCAGCATTCCTCGAAAACCCGTCTCCAGGCTCTCAACAGTCAGCGGCCTCTCGACACCAAAACGCGAAGGCTCAGCCACCCCCACTACAAACCGGCACGCGGCCAGCATACCGAGACCAGCCTCGACCATGGCCCAGCGACCGAAGTGGAATGCCAATCCCCATCCCAACCACGTCGATACTGGCCACAATTTCAAGCCTCTTACGCTCAGCACCCCAAGCCCTTATGCAAAGACGACACCTAACCCTGTTCGCTCGCACTCGTCCCTTGCCGCACCCATCGGCTCGAAGCTGCCCATGATGCGCAGTCCCTTGCGGGCTGACCCTTCGTCTCCGAGCCAAGATCTAACACCGTCGAAGCCGCCCGCCAACAAGATGTCTTTCAGAGACCGTCTGGCTGCACCTGGCCCCTACTCTCAGCAGACCACTTCCAAGTTCCGACCCGAGGGACCGTCGACTCGGCGTGCAACATTACAGCCGCCACAGGCCCCCGTCCCCGGGCTGTACCAACGCCCGGCGAGCTCTCTCGCCACCACACACCGGCGAGGCAGCCTGCTGCCGCAGCCCAGATTCAGGAAGGAAGAGAGCGCGCCCGGCCGGGAAAGCCCCATGCCATCTTCCTTCGGGACGAGGCTTGGGCTCAGGAGAGGAAATAGCACTGCCTCAAACGACAAGGACAAGGACAAGGACAACAAGCCTCGTTGGCGACACTAGAACTAGCCAAAACTATCGTCTCATATGAGGCAATGGCAACCCCACACGCCCAGGACCCTCGTACGGCAGGATGCTTCAGATCTCAACTTTATATGCAATTTTCAATTATTGGCTTTTTTAGCACGGCGTTCAGGGGAACTGATGACTATTGCGTGGGAAAATGCGCCACGTGCCCAGAACATCAATCTACGTCTACTGATAAAATGGGTCACCGCTGGTTATCAAGCCACCACAGCGTTGGTCAGCACTCACTGGCCACTGCGTTTCGGCGGACTCAATCGAATGAGGAGCAAAGGAAGAGTTGGAAAAGTCCGGTATGGCGCGGCTCTATTTCTGTCATTCATTGGTTTTTTTGAAGATTAATTGTTTTATACCCCTGTGATTTGCTATTGACGGGGTTCAAGGCTGGAAGGAATGGCGATGGATTTGATACCACATATAGAGAGAGAAAAAAACAAAATATCCACACAGCCTGCATTTCACATAAGTTATAACGGTGCAGATGCCAGCCAGCCACGCATGTCCATTGATCGGCCCCTGAAAGTGTACTTTACACTTCGCGAACCAGGACCACTATCTCCATAGATTCTGCCAAACCAGCCAACGACTCCGTTTTGCATGCGGTAAACTTCAGCAACAAAAACGCAACATCCACAATCTACCCATCCATCCCACATCTGGACCCGCCGCTGCCTCAGGGCCTTGAGGACATGAGAGGCTCTATGTTGTATTGTGTTATGATTTCCACCTTGCAACGAGGGATATTCAGGATCGTGATCCCAGATGGTGCTTATTAACTCGTGTTTGACATTTCCCGGTTATGCGCCATGCAGCCTCGATATATACCCCTAATTTTCCTACAGAACACACCTCCCTCGTATGGATACAGGCGAGTGTGAGAGGATTCAGACCACAGGACGCTCCGTAAAAGCACGTGGCGACTTTTGAACATGCAATATTTCCGAGATGATATGTGTGAAATTCCTTCTCACAGTCGGGTAGAAGTAATTTTCAACGAGAAGATGCTCTGTTTCTCTCCTCTCTCCCCAGGTGTGTCCTACAGCCTATCTTATCGAGAGACAATTTGCCCTTCAATCGCGAAGTATCTTGCCCAAGAAAAAAAATGAAAACAGCAAGTGGGAACGACGGATGATGTGGAACAGAAGAGAGCTGCAAATGATGGCAGACGATGGCCCAGAAAAAGGGAGCACGAAAGCCACCGTGCCGTCTCACTCATCCCACAAACCCGGTCCCTTTCTTGGGTTCGTCCCACGCAGACAGGCGCAGATCAAACATGCGCCTGGACAGCACATCAACAGCCTGTTCCTCCGCCGCGACCGCCTCCTCATCAGGCAGGTTGTCAGCCACGCCCCTGTGCGCCCGCCGCCGCCTCCCCCAGGCGCCCCCGAAGCCCTTCCAGCCGTACCGCTGGCCCTGGTACGTCTCGCCGATCCGCCTGGCGACGTCGTTGGCCTCGTGCAGGCTGACGAGGCGCCTCTTGCCCGGGTGTGCGGCGGCGAACTCGGCCGCCAGGTCGTAGATCTGCTGCACCGTCGAGGGCTTCTTGGCAGGCTCCCCGTGCTTGGCCAGCCGGGCGGATTCCTCGAACGGCCTGTCCAGGAGGACCCCCGCGACTGACTTGTCCCCGTGGCGGTGGTAGCTGTACATGAGCCTGTTGTTGTGCTTCGGGACGCAGGCGCGCACGAAGGCGTCGTGGGCTACGTCCGCCGGGGTCTGGCCTACTGCATTCTCGCGGTGCAGTAGTTTTGGGTTGAAGTTCAGGATCTCTCTGATCATCGCCGGGTCGGCTTGATCACGGATTAGGGTGTGCAGTGGCGTGTCGCCGCGGGCGTCGAGGGTGTCGAGGTCCTTGCCCCCCGAGTACTCTAGCAGTAGCCGGAGGACCTTGACATATCGTTCGGGCTTGTCCGAGATGGACTTGGCGTTCGTTGCAAGCCATCGTTGAAGGGGTGTTCGCCCATCGCTGGTGTTGTGCCCACTACGGTCAAGAATCACATCGCGTACCAGATCGGGGTCGAGGGTTTTGAGGAAGACGTCAAGCTTCTCAGGATCTGGGTCATTCGCGAGAGCCGCATGGAGTATGTTCTCATGGCTGCTGTCCCTGGTCGACTGATCGGCTCCGTTGGCAACAAGGACCTTCACAAGGTCGAGTCTTCCAAGCCAACTAGCCAACCAAAGAGGCGTCCTGCCGTTTGACCCCTTGGCTTCGATGGCAGAAGGGTAGACTTTGACGAGATACTCAACAAGGCGCTGGGCGCTGTGGTCGTTCGGGCCAAGAACTGCAGCCGAGATCACGAGGTCGTTCTCAGCACTCAACCACCTCGCCACTGCCATTTCGAAGCCTCCTTGGGATTGATGAAGGTGTTTCAACCTCGCATCCTCCTTCGCTGCCTTTGACTTTCCGAACTCGATGTAGTTTCTCAAGGGGGCGTCGCTCAAGAACCATTCGACAGATTCGATGCATCCCTTCTGGGAGGTACGGAGAAGGGGAGACTCTGTGCTTTCTTTAGGCCGGGAAATAACATTGCGTCCTGCGTTAGCCCAGTCCTTTCTCTTCTTGCCGTAGACAGTAAGACCCTGGTAGTATTTTGGTTTCTCCTTCAGCTCGACACCAGTCTTCTTAATGAGCGCTTCAAGAGGAAGACCAGCACCAGCCCACTGTATCATGTCCGCAAGAATCCCGATTCTTCCCATCTCCACGGCGCTCCAGAAAGCGGATTGCGGGAATGCAACGAAGCGGCTGCCTTCATCGTCCTTGTCCTCATCCCGATCTGAATAGTAGACTGCCAGATCGTAGTAGTATTTCAAGCCTTCGCGGTCATCATTGGCAATGACATGGTCCAGAAGAGAGCCGCCACCAGAGAATCTGTGTTTTCCATTATCCAAGCGAAGAGTTGGGAAAGACCAATTCAGCATTGTCAACGGCTTGGTACGGCTCTTGACTTGCATTGAAACTTGTCCAACGTTATCGATGGTAAAGTGCTCGTCAACAATCTGACCCAAGATGCGCGGCTCGTCGTCGTCGTCATCATCCATCGAGATATCCGAATCCTCTGAATATTCGTCCTCGCTAGATTGCATGCGGTATCGCGTCACAGGCTTCTCCGCTGGTACGTATTGAGCCTGCGCGATGTCCAGGATCGTCTTGGCAACGTCAAGGTGACCACGCATGTAAGCCAGCGAGAACGGACTGTTCGATCCGTCGTTGACAGCAATTTGCAAGGGTGGCTCATTATTTTCGGGGTCCCAAGAGACAAGAGTTAGGGCCTTGATTGTGTCGAGGTCCCCAGACCATGCAGCTTCAAAAAGCTCAATGTACTTGTCCATCCTCTTTTCCGTGACATCAGGCACACCGAAGAATTGGAAATTGTACTGGAATTCGAGAGGCTCCTTTGCTGGCTGCCATCGGTTCTGCCGAGGCAACCGCGAATATCCGGAATTAGGGTGAAGCTTGCCGAAGGTTTTGCCGCCGGATGAGATGATGAACTGTTTGATCTCTTCAAACTTGGAGATAGCTGTGTCTACCGCGGCCTGCATCTCTTGGACACCTTCCAACCCTGCAATGCGTGCCTTTTCCTTCTCATGATGCTCAAGTGTCCGCTCGTTGTGCCTGTGAGCATCAAAGACAGCTGTTTCCACAGCAGCACATTGCCAACTCCCTTGTTTGTACTGTTTCAGGACTTCTTCCATTCCGGATTTGAGCTCGGGGGGGTTCACCGCCGGAGGTTCGTACATTCGCAGGCGGTCGAGCTGATCTTCAACGAGATCCAGCAAGGTCTTTCCAATACCGTACCCATATGTTTTATTATGCACGACTTGATAAGATTGCGTCGTCATCGTATTGACATCAGCACCGCGCTTCAATAGCTCTAGCACGATGGCCGGGTCCGAAGATTGTATGGCGGTGATGATCGGTTGCTCAGTGCCTCTCTCGAAGAGCTTTGTGTTGGATTCAATGTCTCGCAAGTGGTAGTCCATCTTGGGTGACTGCTTGGCTGCCTTCAACCACATCTCGAAGTCAATCTGCGGGACTGCACCAGCGTCAAGAAGCTGGAGAACGAGCCTTATATCTCCGCCCTTGATTGCGTGCTGCAGAGTCGAGTCCATCTGTTGCCAACCACTGAAGGATAAGTGATTGAGGGAGTTCTTTGCGCCAATTTCGTCCAAGGTCAGGAGCACCTCAACGAGCTCAGTAGAGTTCTCCTCTACTATGCGTTGAAACGCCGTTGATCCGTTCATGTCGGCCTGAGCAGAGCTCGCGCCGAGGCTCAAAATAGTCTTCGCCATCGACTTCGCCTTGTCGATTGGAAGCTTGATCGATAAGACCAGCGTCAGGATAGCGGCTGTCGGCTGCTTCTCCTCGTTTAGGTACTTGACAGGGAGCAGAATGTCAGCTCCGTATTCCTGGCAAAGAAGCCTGACCACTTCTTCGTGTCCACAAATGATGGCGAAATGCATGGCAGAGCAAGGCGAGTCCCAAGCCACAACGTTGATGTCGTAGAAGTCGGGGTCATCTTCCTTATCTTCCGGTACTGCCCCGGCGGGTGCGACACTTTCATCTTTCTTGACTTTGACGAACGACCCGGTTGCCATGCTTTGTTGTTCATCATCGGACTCGGACTCGACATCGCTAACAACTTCCATGTCCGAAACACTGTCTTCCATAGATTCATCTTCCCGGGAAGCGGATGTCGTCTTGGCGCTCTTCTTCTGAGACTGCTTCTCCTCCTCTTCGGCCTCGTTGGCAGTACTCTTGTCCATGAGTATCTTGACAATATCAGCATTGCCTCTCTCTGCTGCCAAATGAAGTGCAGTCCTGCCGTCTGCCAACCGTGCAACAAGTCGAGCACCGTGGTCAACAAGACACTTCACGACATCCACTGTAGAGCTTGTCACGGCAAGGTGGAGAGGCGTCCTGCCCGTGTGGTCGCGCGTATTTAGATCAGCGCCCTCTTGAGAAAGCCAGTCCTGGACATGTTCAAGCTCTCCATCAACGATGTCCTGGCACAGACGAGCAGTGTTGCCAATGTAAGCCATCTCTGTCCAATCATCCTCGGTGAGAGGATTGAAAGACCCAATTTGCTAGTATAAATAAGTGAGAGATTCAAGAATCACGTTGAAAGGTTAGATGCATACCTGTCTCCCTGGGTCATCTTGGAGGAAGGAAATGTTCCCAGAAACGTAGGTCTTGCTCTCTTCTTCATGAACGGCTTTCTCCTCCTCCGTCTCCGGCTTTGGGCACGAACCGCAGCAGTCGTTCATGACATCTTCGAAGCGACCGAAGAAGGCAGGATGACGATGCAGATAGACCTCACGATCCTTAGGCTGGTTCCATTCCGCATTGAGCAACAAGTCTCTGGTGTAACATAGTTTCTCGATCTTCTTTGCGTGAAACTTGGCGCCGTAGGGAACCGTGAAGGTGTGGTAGTTAGACACCTCTTCCTCATTCACCCACTTTTGATGTTGCATGTCAGCCGCCCGCCTGTCAACACAGAACCACATTATTGTGTTACGTACCTCGGCAATCTCATCTTCGTGGTTTTCCTTGATGTTACCGGCAAGACCTCGAAAGTGGTGACGATTCAGAGGCGGCCTGCCACGCTCCTCACGTCGCTTGGCGAGGTATGAATCTCGAGAAGACGCCGTTGGCAACCTTTCCAGGACGAGAAGTCTCGCTAGACCTAGAGTGCGCTGAAAGCTCCTTTCGAAGATGGTAGGGTCAATGCGTGAACGATCAAGGTCGGGCCAGTAGACTTCGAAACCTCGGTGGGAGTACTTGGACAACCTGTTCTCATATGAGGGGCTCCGGCGCGAGAGGTCAATGTGGTTTATTTGAGTGATGTATGACTGCAATGCTCTTGGCGTGCAGTACACTTGTTTGCCATCATAGGCAGCACCAGAGCAGTCGATGTCAAATCCCGTGAGGATCTCCGAGACGTTCTTGTAAATGCGTAAGACTATCTGGATATGACGAGTTGGATACTGGCTGCAAATCGTGATGGCATTCTTGGTTCGAACAGTCGTGGTCTCAGTCAGTATAGAATCCCGAATGCTAGTTTCGACCTGCTTGATCTTCTCAATGGCCTGCTCCTCGGTCAATCCGTAAATGAAAAGGTCCACATCACTGGCTGGGCAGAACTTCTCGTGGTAGAACTCCCTTAGAGCTCTCTTGGAATCACCATATCGCTGCGGAACAGGTAGTAGGGTGTTGACAACGGACGAGCCGGAGGCGACGACGTTGCTCCAATCAAGATCGACAAGCGATGACTCGGAAAAGACATTGAAATTGTGCTGGAACTCCTTGAGCGACTGGACAACAGCAGGCGAGCCGTCAGGACGCCTTTGCTCATCGGGCAGTGCCATGACATATCGGTCCTTCTCAGCTTGGGGCTCATCCTCAAGGTTTCTGGCACGTATCTTGATCTCGGATTTTCCGCCGTCAGTGAAGAGGGGGAAAACGTTGATGTGCTCATTTTTGAGAACATTATTGCCCGGCTCCTGCGCGTAGAGCTGGCGCAACTGAGCCTCGAATTGCCTGTAAGGCTCGAGAAGTTCGACTATGGAACGCCCTGGATTCTCGGCGATGTATCGTGCCAGCTCGGCATGAGGCACCGGCACCGTTGGGAGTTGGAGTGAAGACATCATGAAAAGTGATGGCAGAGATAACAAGTGGACAGGCTTCAAGGAAAAGCGAAACAAGTGTAGGAGAGATCAATGGTAGGGTGGCCGCAATTGCGCAAGAGGGTGCGACGTTGTTGCTGGAGGGAGACAGCTGTTGAGGATTTGAGTTCTTCCCAGGGTAGAGGACGGGAACTTCGAGTCTTATACACCATCAATTGACGCTTTGTCGAAACACAGGTCCAGGCAGGTGTCTGGAGGTGGCTCATGCCTACCTAGTTGTCGTCCTTTGACGTGGGCTGGAGCGCGTCTTGGATGGACGCTAGAGGCTTTGTTGCCTGGGACGGCCTACACGAGATCCCGTGACGAGCAAGCATCTCCCTGGAGAATGCTGAAAATGTGTCACGGTTGCCTGCTGACGTCTGACTTCGGGACGTACCTAATTCTGAAGGATGCGATCATCTCGGTTGCGAATCAATGATGGGTTTAGTGTGGTGGAGGATGCAGCTGCTGCCTCAAGTTCTCGCTGGCTGCCAGGGTCCAACCAGAAATGGGCCTAGCTCGCACTTACACCAAACCCACGTTGCAGTGACACGGAGGCAACGACATCGCTACACCCATTTGCAGACAATCTGAAACCGTCAATTCATGTCTGACTTGAGTTTGGGAACCGCTAGAAGAGTCCTCCAAGTGGTTTCATAGTAAGCGACCTGACTTCTTCGAATTGCTGGCAAGGGGACCGCTATGGCCAGAGCATCTGAGGTGAAATAGTGAAATGACCATGTGAGAGATATAGACGTAGAAAGGGAGATTGCAACTAGGCTGCTTTTGAAGATTTGGCCGTGTTCCTGTAATAAAGTATATGAGGTAAGCCATGTATTCAGGGACATTGTAGACAACACCAGTCGTGGATGCCCGGGGAACAAGTAGCATGGTCGGTTTTGACATCCTGTTGGCGTACCGATGTTCTAGAACTGCGAAGAGAAGATGACGAGCGGGATTCCGCCCATTGTAAGCAACAGCCGCCGGGTTTAGCAATGCACTGGAATCGCTTGTCTCCTGATGGCCTGAACATGCGTGCCTCCCCGTTATCACAGCTACACAAGCTGGATGTATGGTATCATAGCACTCACTTTGATATATTTTCAAGTCTGGTAAAACACGCTTTTGATACAATGCAAATTAACCCGTCCATTTCCATCCCTCGACCATCCTCCATCTTTCAGACCAGCCTGGTCTTGACCAACCGCTAAGGAGCAGAATTGACGTCCGGAACATGAACCGGCCCGTTTCGTCAATCTTGAGTCACTGCGCTCAGGCGAGCCCAAGGACCCCACTGTCTCCCCAGGCTGCTCACAGTCGATAGATCCTGTCGGAATAGTATAAAAATGAAGCCCAAGCGACTTGTGGTCCGGCATGCTTCACAGCTTGGGATGTCGGAACAGTGTCGGAATATCCAGGTGATATCCAGCCTCAAGCTTCGCTGCATGGCATCCCAAATCTTGTCTCTGCTCTTATATGGCACGTGCCCAGGTGGATTCTCGTAATGAACCGGAACGCCGTGTCGCCTCTTCGACTATGCAAGCCCTCCTTACAAAGCAATCGCGCCTCGTCGACTCTCGCGCATGTGCAGAAGACCCTGAAGGCCACAGCAGACCAAGAAACCCTGTATTTGATAGTGTCTTTTTAGCAAAGGAGCAGTATGGATGGGAGGAGTGACTCGACTGACAATGTAGACGAAGACTGCAACGAAGATGGTAGAGGCTACGGCACCTCCGTCTTCGGGGTCATCAATGCCCCCGACGAACTCCTCGTGGCCGTTCTTGTAGACGAGTCCAAGGATGGACAAAATTATGATGGCAAATATCGAAAGGACGAAACTGTGCTCGGGTTAGATCAAGTCGCGCCAGGCTTGTGCCCACGGGACTCGGGGAGCTATGACGGACCAAGACCAAGCTTGAAAGGCTCCAACGACAGGCTTCATGATGGGCGAAGCTCGGGGCAAGTGCAAAGAGATGCGAGACTGATTCTGCAAGGGACCAAGGTCGTGTATCGAGGTCGTGAGGTCGGAGGCACTGGAACTGCGGCTTGGAGCTTGATGGCTGTAATGGACTCGTCGTCGACCATCAGGAGCGAGGTAACGGGAGCGTTGCCTGCCACCGCGACCTGGGAGCCGGGATCAGCTTAGTCACCAATCCGCTCCGCCAGCAACTCAGGTGTGGGGGAGGCCTGGACTCCCTGGTGACCGATTGCGTCTACCCATCAACAGATTGGCATCTGTCCAAATAGTCCCAGGTTCTATAACTCTAACTAACATTCACTAGACAACCTCCTCACCCTCACTCAGTTTTCCCGCTGCTGCACAACAAGCAGCCAGCCGATCGCCCTGATACTTGCCCGCAAACCAGCCCGAACACAGGCTAGGCGCGGCGTGTACTTGCCCTGCCCTGCCCTGCCCAGCATACTCCTATATCCAATCCACGTCTTCGCCCGTGCCGATCTATCGTCATGTTTGAGGTCAGCTCACTATCTTTTATTATTATTACCGAAGCCACTCTCTGTGCCTCGAATAACAAAACTTGAGTCTAACTCGCACGATCAGGCACTCCAGCCCAACCCTGAGGACCATCTCCATCTGAGACTACATCGCGCCAGGTAGGAGATCCTCAGACCTTCAAGGCCCCCTGAAGACATGCGTCAGCCTCACCCTCGGTCGTGGGCTCGGGTATCAGCCGTGAGGCTGGCTATGGACAGGGATTGTCATATGCCGCCCAGTTTCCCACTTGAAGTTCTTGGTTTATGGCTGACCGTGGCCATGACAGATCAATTGTTCTCACTTCTTCGGAGTCAGTGCCACCCTCCACTCTTTATCAAGTCATTTAGATCCCGCAACACCCTGCTGCCTCGGAGCCATGAATGCCCGGCCGATTTCGTCTTTCCGTCTTTCTCACCATGAGCCCTGGGCTTGGAAGAGATCTCTTCCGGCCGCCCCTGCCCTCTTGGAGATGGCCAAGTCCACTTCTGCATCATGCGGGTCTGTCTCGTACCTTGCTTGATGCATAAAAGTGCCAGTCCCCACAAGCCAACGCCCTCCTGCGGCGAGGCTATCCTTTCCACCCAACCATCCGAGGCCCACCCACACTGTCTTGGTGCTCGTCTGACTCCCAGTCCCAAGAGGAGGGGCTTTTTCGCCTGCCTGCAGTTGATTGCATTTCCGGCACAGACCCCTCGCCCTCTTCGGGCCTCCTGCGTGAAGGAGAATGCACAATACCTGTCAAGTGCTTACTCGTGTGCGTCTTACCATATCCAGACTTACCGAAATCCGTGCGGCCCAGCGCACCTTCGAAGGCGCGTACATGCGGACAGCCCTGTCGCAGTTCTCATTCGCGCTCATCATCCTCAAGATCTTCACCAGCGAGTTCTATGCCATCGGGGCATTGTTTGCCGCGTACGGGGTTGCGGTCCTGGTCGTGGCAATCTTCAGGCGGTACGAGGGCAACAAGCAATTCTTTGACCAGGAGGAGTCCGACTCCGAGAGTGATGACGGCGAGGTCGGGGAGCACATGCCCGGCCAAGACGGCGGTGCTTCTCCCCGAGGTCGAAGGCGGGTCCAGATGATCAGGAAGAAATTCCGTACCAGTGGAAATAGCGGTAAGTCGATTTCGATAAATCAAGCCCGGGTCGACTCCTGCGCGCCCACAGCCGGCAGCTTGCGTGGCAATCCGCAGCGTCGGTGTCTTTGTTTGGTAAAGATGGGGGACGCTTTACTGATGAAACGTCAGTCACACTCCTAACATTTCTGAGCTTGGGAGCATACATCACCCTTTTAGTGCTGACACTGAGGCTATCCTCGTGATTGTCGGTCTGGGTACATACTGGACAGTTTTCTGGGTCCTGCTCCCCATCATTCCTTGCGATTGGCCGCCACCGGCTATTCGACCGAAGACGCACCTTGTCAGTGGCAGGTCATGTGAGTCGCCACATACCTCAATTCGAACGCCCACCGCCCCGCGAGGGACCACTCAGGTGCGCGCCCAGGGGCCTCCCAAAAGGAGGCAACCATCAGCTCACACAAATGGGTGTGTTGTGTGCTGTCCGTCCAACTGTGGGGCTGCACACGCAGCTGAAACGCAAGCATCCAAAAACGGGTGTCAGGAACGGCTCGATGACAGGCAGATATACAGACAGCCTGACGTAGCTGGGTCCTGTCTGGGACAACAGAAGAAGGAAGGCCGGACGGGCACGATGCACGTCCGTGGTTGGATAAATAGGTCACCGTCTGTCGAGCCGGGCGGTCTGCGGTCGTCGAATTCATGTTGTGCAAGTCACCATGCGGCAGCCTTGTGCAACCTGGCACGGCAGGATGCCCCCGTTTTGGGGTCATGGCTTCAGATCTCTCCATCAGCTTTGTCAATTCAACAATCCCCAGTACTCTGGGCGGTCAAATATTGAGCGGTCTGCAGAGCCAGCCACCTCGGATAGAGGGGGACCGTAGACCATTCTCATCAATGCCACAGTCACAGGGTACCCTTGGGCAGATAAGAGCCCGGGAGGACCCCGACGGTCCCCCGAGACAAGACCACCGTTCGTCAAAGAACAAAGGACAATCCACATTAGGATGCAAACAAATCGCCCGAATAACTAATATTTACCGTATCATCCCGCCGAGCAATGTCGATACCCACCCACCCCCATCCCGCGATTCTGAAACCAAAATGCCCGTGTGTCCCTCTCCCCGGGGCCCCAGTCACTCCCCGAGCCCACTTTCCCACCCACCCCCGTCCTCCCCACACAAATAAAGTTTGGACCATCCCGCCTGGCGCCGATCCCCGCAGGGCCTAGTCCTTGCCCTGTTCCCATGTTGCCCTGTGCATCCCGCCGAGATTTACCCTTTTCTAGACGTCCTTCTTTAATGGAGCAGGGAAGGAAGAGAAGAAGAAAGAAAAAAACCCAAAAATGTTGGTGGTCGCTGTGGGCCCAATGCCTCTTCTTTGTTTGCTGTTCTTCTAGTTGTCGCATCTCTAGATGTTGGCAATTCACCACCTCGTTTCTTCTGCCCGCCCCTCCTTCGCTGATACTTTATATTTTTGTCAAGTCTCCCAACAACTTCCGTCCTGGTATGAACATGCCGATGCTGTTGACTCGGGTTTCCCTGGTTGAGAGCCCCGACGATATCTAAGAGGTAATATGGAAGTGTCTTCTCTTTTCGTCCTTTTCCTTCCGCCAGTGTTGACGACATCATCCCGGCTAGCAGTGCCTTGAAGCACTCCAGGACCCGGGTGCCAACTGGCGAGGTCGGCGCAGCAGATGCGTTCAACCGTCCCCCGGTCGGCATTGGCCCGGATCCTGATCTGGCGGGCTTGGTTCAGAGTCCAGCTCACTGCCCACCAGGGCTCGGCCGTGTAACCAACGCCTGGCGGTGCTGGCTTTGATGGGGCCTGCGCAAATGTTCGCGTTTGACCCCTTCGCAGCGAACGAGGCCGAGCATGCCCCCGAACCTAGGTCCGCGTCTCGCCCGGCTCCGTCTTCCCATGCACATTCCAGTTCCAGTCTTGGTGAGGAGCGGTGCCTGGTGGTGGCTGCGGGGCCGTACCGTCGCCCTCCCCATACCAGCCTCCGAAGCCCCCTCCCGGTCTGTGCATCGTGGGCTGGGGGTAGGTCTGCTGCCATTGACCGTAGCTGGTCACCTGGGACGAGGTCTCAGGGGGCGACATCGAGGCGGCTTGTCCGACTTGCGGCGACCCCATGTTCGGAACGGTAGGGTACATCTCTGTCGGGGACATCGGGTTGGGCGTTTTTCGGCCGTAGGCGTCGGCCGTCATCTGCGACATGGCCGCGAATGGCTGGTTCGGAGCAGGGTACGAATTCCACTGCATCTGGTCCCTCCCCGAAGCGTCCCCAGGGACAGGCGGAGCAGGCCATGCTCCAGGAGGAGGGGTAGCACGTTGGTAAGGCGACGAGAAGCTCGGCACCACTGGTGGTGCCTGGCTGTAAGGCTGCCATGCGCTCGTGATCCCCGGGTTTCCGTACTCGGGGTATGCGCGGTTCATTGGCCCTCCGGGGGGCACTGCACATGTCAGATTACTACCACAGTTCCCACACAACAGCCGGGTACTCGAAGCCACAACAGGAGAACGCGAAGCGAAGTACCTACTTTTCATGTCTGGCGCGTCCGCGAGACCCATGTTCTGCATCGGGGGCATAGGCATGGCTACATGATGATGCATGCTTGGTGAGGAGCCGGCCGAAGCAAGCCTGTGGCCTCCAGTTGCGCGTGGCATCGGCTTGTTCCTGGCATCCATGGAGCTCTGCTGGTCCACAGCCGTGATGACACATTCTTTGTGAAGTCGCTGACACTGCTCGCATTTCGGGCCGCGCGTCTGCACACACCTTATCTTACGCTTTCGACAATTTGCTACAGACAACTGTTAGTATTGACACCATGGAGAGCGACATGGTCTGTCGCCGGTTCTTTCTTCGTCTTTTTCCTTTCCGCCAGGGGTGAAAGGACGGGTCGAACGTGGGGGGGGGGGCGCTTGTTAACATACTACATGCAGTTCCTGCTCGATGGTAGTTCAGCTTTCCTCTCTTCTTGTCGGCACCGATGCCCATGTTCGCTGGATCGGACCCTTGTGCTTGGTCTGCTGTTACCACCATTCCCGAATCTGGTGATTCGCGCTTGTCGAAGTGCAAAGGGGCCGGGTCGGCTTCGCTTTTCACTGGGTCGTTTGGTGATCTCATGCCCATTCCAGCGGGCTGCGAAGGAATGGGATAGCCTGTATCATACGGTGGTGGCGTGGTTGGCGAGGGGTACTGATACGACATTGTATCCGCTCCTAACTCTCTGGAACTGGTTTTGTGCGTGTCACGGGGTTGATGGGCCTTTGAAAATTCCGCTTGTCAGATTCACAGTGTCGGAGCAGCCACAGGCCATCGACAGGCTGGTTTCTTTGGCCGTGTTGTTACTCGGCTCCTGGTCTCTCGGGCCCTTGCTTTATGGACACGAGGACGTCGAGCCCCCGAGGTGGGCGCGTTCAAGAACCAGGCCCTGGCTTTGGTCCCAAGAGGATCCTTTCTTGTTATGCTGGCTTTGATGGCGTCTTGTCGCGGTGGAGGGCCCTTACGGAAGTCGTTGAGCGTTCCTTTGGGGGTGTTACGTGAGCACAAGCGCTCTATTGTCGCGCCGGATTCGAGAACAAAGGTGGCTCCTCAGGATATGAGGAATTGGGCAAGGACTCGCTGTCCAGGTAGCCTTTCTGCAAATGGAATGGCCAAAGACGAGGAAACAAAGAGAGGTACCGATTTCCAGCGAGCCAATCGAGATTGCCGAAGCGAGATGGGGGGGGAGACGGGGGGGGGGCCTAGGCGATCTGACTCGTCTTTAAAGGGAGATTTACCTCTGCCAGCCGCAAACTCCTGCAGCAGTTATGGAGAGCAAACTGGGGTCGGGCGTGGAGCTTATTCGCCGTCCTGATCTGCACAGTGGACTGCCGTAACTGCTCGACAACAGCAGCAACACCAGCACCAGGGGGCGCGAAGCTCATGTGGGGTGGACGAAGGACTACTGCAGTCGGTCTGTGAGAAGATGTGGATGATGTTGCAATGGGCTCCCACCCAATCCTGGAGGTATCTAGACCCGCCGGTCAACCGCAGCAGACTCTCAGCTCCGAACGAACGGCCCCCTCGACAGGCCACCAGCGTGCAGGAGCCGGGTCAGTTGACAGGCAACAGGTAGGGCAGGTCGACAGCAAGACGGGTGTTGCTTCTGGATTAAGGGCGGCCCAGGGAGTCAGGTCCAGAACCTAAGCATGCGTGCCGGCCTGGAACTGTCGTTCATCAGAGGAGGAAAGGATGTAGCCCGCAGGCAGTCCCTTCTTGGCTTGAGGCCTCTGGAGGTGTAGCCGGCTTCCGAGGGTACCCTGGTATCAAGGGGGGGTGGGCGGGGAGGAGGCTTATTACGGTGAATTGTTCGTGGGCTGGTGCTCGGTGGTGCTGCTGGATAATTGTGGCACATGCACGAAATCAAGAATGGGAGCCTCGGGGGCGATCAGGAATAGGACAAGAGACGTAGGTTGAGCGTAAATGGCGGCAGCAGCACAGGCAGACTGACAGATACGGGCCAACAGAGAGGTATGTTGGACGGCGAGCGTACCTTTTCCTCGTCCTCGCCCGCGTGTGGTCCGGACCACTGATTGACTGGATAGAATTTCTGGCGGGCTGCTGACCTGAGACAGGCCACTTCCTTTTTGTCCGCAATGGTTTGGCAGCAATGACGGCCAGCCCAGCCAAGCCCAGCCCAACTGCTCGAGATGCGCTGTCCCTTGATACTGGACTCGGGTGATTCGGTGGCGAGCCCGAATGCCTGATGAGATGTACAAGCAGCAAGCAGCCAGCAGCAAGCAGCAAGCAGCAGGCAGCGCGAGGGGGGCTGTCTTCCCTGCTTCTCGACGCGCTTGCTTTTTCTCGTGCTTCTGCCCTGCTAGCGCCTCAAGGGAAAGAGACACGTACGGGCCGATCATCAACTGACGGCGGCAGCAGTACCTTGGGTACTATGGCCTAGCAGGCCTAGTAGGTCTCTTGGAAGGTCGGAAGCACCACGGTGAGACTCTTGTCAGATGACTAAGGCAGAGACCCCATTCCTCAAAGAGCGTATGTACTGTGTATGCAGAAGAAGAAAAAGAAGAAGCGGAGGCAAGGGGTACGGGTCCCGACTGAACGAAGCAAGGGAAGGCCCGGAGCTGGCTCATGCACCAGACTTGCATGGGGGGCTCCAGTCCTCTGGGGATGGGGGGAGGGGGGGAGGGGGGAGGGGGCAGCAACTCGAACTTCCAGACTGGCAGCGCCGAGAAGGTGAGTAAGACAGCTTATTTCCCCCGTATTGACAGGTTGAGTCCAGTTGGCGAACAAAGCAAACGTTGATTTGCAAAGGAAAATAGGGTGGGCTTTTCCCCTGCGGAATCGAGCGCTGAAACATGGCCGCATCCGGATAAACACAACCTGGCCAGCTGGTCTGGTTCGACCTCTGGTGCTATGCTAGGACAGATATTGAATATCGTGATGCAGAACGCGACAACCAGGCAACCAGGCAATGACAGGTGGCTCCAAACACCACCCCACGGTTTCCAAGGTTCTCTCTACACTGTGACACCAGGTGTGAGTGCGTACAGACAGGGCAGGGCAGGGCCCGACCCGGAGCCAGGTATTGATCAGAACCAGGTCAACATCCAGGTCAAAAAGAGCCAGGGCCCAGCCAGGATGAATGCCTGCCTGCCTGCCTGCCTGCCAGCCAGCCAGTACATACACACATACGTACGTACATCGCATATATCTACAAAGATGGCAGGTCGCCAGGCCCAAAAGGTGGGTCTTGGGAGGTTGTTCTCTGGTTCCTCTTGCAGGCTGAAGTGGCAAGCAGCACGAGGGAGCAGCAGTGGTTAGTAGGATGCTCGGCTACAACGAATATGGACGTCGACCGCGACGCATTCCGTCATACTACATAGTACTGGCTGGCATTACCGGCCTCGCAAAAGTCACCCCATCCCGACATGGGCAGCATGGGCAGCATGGGCAGCCTGCCATCCTGCGGCACTTTCGGTCCAGCATCCATCTGGCAGGACAGCAGGACAGTTCTGTTCTCCGAATTGCATCTGCTGCCCGGTGGTACTCCGTACCGAGTACACATGGGGCCCTGCAAGGGTCCTCGTGACGGCAGCCAAGGCCAGGGGTGTGAGGGCCCACCTGGGCAGGACTCGACTGGGAAAGGACAGGACGAACTGACAGAACGGTTTTTATGACCTGTCACGCCGCCCTGGTGCAGCCACTTTGTTCCCTCTGCGCGTTGCATCTCACCTGGGTGCGCTGCTGCAGGACACCTCTGCATAGCTGTCAAAAGCGTGCTTGGTGCGCGCGTCCATTCAACGGTGCAGCTCGGAAAGCCTGCCGCCCCTTGACCGGTCTTGTGTGTCCCACTCCTGTTGGCTGGCTTGGGCCATTGGGAGCTGACAATGCTGCCCCATTCTTCCCTATGTCTCGACTCTCAACTTCAGTCGGGTCCCGATCCTTCTTCCGCTCTTGCCGCAGTGCTTGCTTGCCCTTTTCCACACGACACCCCATGGGTTGTTCCATGCAATATCGTCTATCCACGAGATTCGGGCAGGTGCAATTAGGCATTGTGGGGCCTCTGTATAATATGTGGGCCGCTCATGCAGGTGTAGAGGTCGTCATCCACGGCCCCACTGCACTTTGGATCAAGTTCCACACCTCCACCAGCCAGCCAGCCAGCCCAATATATCAACCCGGCGAGTGGGGGCTCCAGGGCCCAGATCCAACGCTCACCGTGTCGGAAGAAATAGCTGACACATTGTCGACGTGGAGGGGCTGGCGAGCTGCGTTGCTTTTCACATTTGCTGACCAAGACAAGGCCTGGCGCAACATCTTGGTTGGTCGCTTTTTATAGTGCTTGTCATAGAATTTCCAACGTTTCCCTGAACAATGTAACTTGCGAGGCGCTGTGTGACTGTGGCCCAGTCAGCAGCTCCCAAGGTCCACGACGTCAAGGAGACTTGAACTTGAGAGGATTCAGGCCGAGGGAGTTGAGAGAGAGATATACGAAGGCAAGAACATTCGGCTGGGAAAGACAAAATGTTCTGCGCCGTGGTCCCCTTTGTCTCAGCCCTGTGATGCACAAGATGTAGCCCGCGTCCCGACATCAGAAGACGCCGCTACAAGCACTGCAATGCAGAACAGATAATCTTGCTTGTGTCAGGAATAATGCATGTGTGCTTTACTGTCTTGCATGAGCCTGCCGGTGATACACGGCTCAGCACCTGAGACTGATCGCTCAATTCTAATATCAGACGCCGGGAGTCCTAACCTGGCGCGCCCACGGGCCTCTGGTAGACGTTCATGAACTTGAACAGCCTTGATCCCGTGCACAGGAAGGGGCCCTGCCGAAGAGATTAAGCTTTCCCAGCGGCGCTGCTGGAATCAGCCAGGATCTGAATTGCTCATGCTCTGTCTATGCGCTGACACGTCAGCTCAGCATATTGTACGGTTAGGAGGACTCTGAAGGAAACGCATAATGGGCCGAAGGTCTAGGATATTCACGGGAGTAAGATGAACCACGGCCAGTCTAGAATGTTTATGTAGACTCTCGAGATGCAATACCAGGGGACCAATTATGCGCTGGAGGCAAGTCTATAGTTCACTTTATATCAGCAAACGGCCTTGCGGTGTGCGCTGGTTGCAATATAATAACCATTCCTTCAGCCTGACACGCTCCAATTCAGCCATATTGGATGAATACCAGACGGGTACCATCAGCTTCGCCCGGTTGGGGAAGCCCTCACAGGTACCCACGGCCCCCACCACCCACAACCACCACCACCACTATTGATCAGCTTGTTGCAATTGGCACTATTTCGTCCAAACTACATAAGAACCTTCTTATTCCTTCCCGCTGCGTTATCTCATCTCAGAAATCCACGGAAGCTGACGTGGATGTGTGGATCACCCGAAGCGTTCTGTGTGTGTGTGGCCACTGTGTGTGTATGGGTGGGTGTGTGGGTGTGTGCCTGATGTGACACCTCAGACTGACGACGATCCATGCCCGATAACAGTAAACTGCGATCATTTGGCCCACAACTGGGGGGCCAACGGAGTATTTCATTTCTGTTGATGAATTCCGACGGGCTCTTTCGGCCTCGAGGCCACAGTTCAAGGAAAATATTGCCGAGTTCCCTCTTCCCCCTCTCCCCTCGAGCAGAGGCAGCCGTGGCCAGCCCGGCTTGTGGGGGGAACTTGGCGATACTTTCTCAAGACTACTCTTCTTCTGGAAACCTTGCGCCGCTGTTTTGGTGTTCAGATCTGGTCTGTAATAGGAGTACGCCTCACCATGCGTGAAAGCATAACAAAAAGAAAAGTAGGGGCACAAAGAAAAATACAAATGATCAATTTTAAGCCGTCCCAGCCGTCGCTAAAGCAGGACTGCCTATATCATAGTCCATATCATCGTTATATTCCTGAGCTCTTCTTGGGGCCCTATGGTGTTGTGGTACCACAGTCATGTGCGACTCCTGACGTACGAATGTCTCCTGCAGAAAGGACACGAATCTGCTTATGTCTTCGCGTGTGCTCATGGCACCCAGGCTGGCTCTTACAACTCTGAGAGAAGCTGGTGTTAGTCAAGACGTGTCGAGGAAGGGAAGGCGCTTGTTCAGTCACGAACCCTGTGGGAAGCTGGTGGATCAAGCTGATGCCTTCCGGCCCGCAGACGTGATGGGCCGAGAAGGCCCGCTGGAGCTCCCAGGGCTCGTAGTCGAGCGCGGTGTAGAGCCCTCCCGGACAGCAAATTCCTTGAGTATTGTGTGAGCTACTGCCGCTGTTTCTGATCCTTGCTCCTGGGTCAAATTTTGGTGAGACTTACCACCTGATCTTACATATACACCATTGTCGTTAGCTATCTTCTCCACTTCGGAATACGGGACATATACGCCGTCTGCGTCCATCATGTTAAACGCTATGGTAGCACCCTGCCTCCTTGGGTCGCCGTAGCCGTTCCCGTCGTCATCCGTGTATATGTGGCAAGCCGGGCGGCCGTTCGAGTGGCGGAGGCGCCTCAGTTCGTTGTATAATGTCTTGGATAGGGACGTCGTGTAGCGGGAGATGTTCTCCATGGAACCGTATATCTGGGAGTGGACGTCGATGGCCTGTCCCAAGGCCAGTATGCTGTGGAAGGGAAGTGTGCCGTCCTCGAGGCTGTCGTGTATCTCGTAGGAAGGGTTTTTATTGGTGACGGTACCATCGTGGGACTCAGCGGCCGGAGAGTCGAGGCCCTTGGTCTTGTGCCATGACCCGCCCAGCACAGATACCATAGTGACGGTGCCACCGCCAAAGTATTTCCGCAGTGTCAGAATGTGACCCGAGTCCTTCCTCACTATGAGAGCACCAAGGTCAGGGAAGCCGAAGATCTTGTACAGGGAAACACAGGTGAAGTCGGGCGCGGCATCGACATCTCGGAAGACACTGTCCAGCGGGCTCGTCATGGCAAGGGCAGCACCGTCGAGGAGGCTGTAGGTATTGGTCAGGTCCGGGGATGACCTGACAGCCCCAGGCCATGAGAGCGGCAGCCTCCGCCCGGTCATGTTGGACTGTCCCGGGTACGCCAAAAGGCCGAGGCCGCCGCGCCGAGACAGGTGGCGGAGGCGGTTGTTTCTGGCGCCGCCGGGGGCCACCGAGCCGGGGCGGCGAAGCCAGTCCTCGACCTCGCCATCGCTCTCGAAGCAGTGGGAGTTGCCGTAGGCCAGCTCACGCACGCCGACGAGGCTGGTGTGCGAGTCCTTGTGGTAGCCGTACCAGAAGCTCCCGTCGCGCGTCCGCTCCGCCAGGTCCCGGAAGCAGTCGGCCACGAGCTTGATGCCCGCGGTGGCGTTGGCCGTGAAGACGAGGTCGAAGTGTCTCGGGTCGGCCCCGAAGAAGCTTAATACCTTTTGTCTCACACTGTCGACCACGTGCCCGGAGAGCTCGGCGGGAGCGTTGGCGCTGTGAGGGTTGCCATACAGGTTGGAGAGCATGTGGTTGGCAAAGGATTCTATGAGTGTTCTAGCGTAGATGGTGGTGCCACTATGATCGAGGTAGATCCCTATGGCTTGTCAGGATGGCGTCCATCGTGGGAGGGGCGTCATTGTGATTCAGCTTACCCTTCTTCATATGTGGATACTCAGTCTCCCTTATCCTTTTTACGGGCAACGGGTAGAAGCTCTCATCGGCGATACTGGAGAGGCATCTTTCTGCCCTGGGCGCTAATGTGGCAAGTATTAGTCTCGAGGTAAGACCGGCATTGGCCGAATTGGTCGGGCCCAGGTGGGCGAGATGCTTACATGGCGTGCCGGTGAAGAGTCGGCGAGGAGGCGCATTCCCGGGACATGAGAACACTACGGGATAGTCCTTGGTCTGGCGCCATTGCCGGGTGAAGGCTTTTAGAGAAGTCATATTTCCAAACGGTAACTTGCCTGCGATGGCGCTATGGGGGGGTTTCGTGGGAGCGAGACAGGATGATGGCGAGACCCGGGGGGCTACTTATTGCTTGCCACCACCTTCTTGGGCCGAACCGGGAGCGCCTCTGGGCGGTCCATCTCATCCGAGGACGAGGCCGACCAACTATAGTACATGCCCCCCACACCTCATGCACATTCCTCGCACCTCCTTCAACTGCCCCTTGCCGTAGCCCCCATCGCTGTTGGCCAGCCATACGGTGTGTGTACTGTCACTTGGACACCATCCAGGGAGCGAGCCCGAGCCGAGAACGGGCAGGCCAAGACGTGGGAGGGCTCGCCCCCGATGGGTGTTTGGCTCGTCCTTGGTGCCTGCTGGGAAGATGACCCTCAAGGCTGTGGTCAGGGGAGCCACCTCGTGATAAGGTGACGCGGATTACAACCCTATTTGTCAAGCGGGCTGGTAGGTCGAGGACTAGCCCAGCTGAAGGATTATGCGAGTATAGCTCGCCGGCCGCCCGGGGAAGCCGCCTCCCTATGACTTAAGATCACGTCAATGAGGGTTCTTGCGCGCGGCCTCGAACGGGGGACAGTGCTAGCCGACCTGCAGCTTTTCTCGTGGGCGCCCGCTGCTCAGCCCTCGAGACACTCTGGCCTGGGGGGTGACGGGGAGTTGATACTGCGCAACCTTGGCGGTCTGGTGACTACGGTCTGTGGGCTTGCAGGAAAAGGGCCGGTGGCTAAGTGTGGTGGTGGCTTGCGAAAGCACAAAAAGCAAAGCCGTTAACATCAGCCCAGGACGATTGCCGCACGATCCGCCCAGATTCCCACGGTTATACATATGTGAGGGAATCTTAGCGAAGCTGGGGACCTTGTCGTGCATCATGTAACCTGCGGAAAATCTACCGAGCAGCAGCATGCGCAGCGGATGCTTGTCATCAGGCAGGCGAGGGAGCGAGCGAGGGAGCCCTTGTCCCCGCGTGGTTCGGACGGGCCCTGCCACCTGCGGGCTCAGCAACAACGCTCCAGATCTGACTTCGTGATGGAACAAACAGCCCGGCCGGGGGTGCGGCCACAGCATTTTGTGTCGCCCGATCTTGGTACCTTACAGGCAGGAAGGGCTGAAAGGACGGGTTGGTTAGGGCGGGTTGGTGACCATGGCCATGTTCCAATTTTGGAAACACGATAGTGGCACCTGAGTCAAGCAGGTGGAGTGGCCTGGCAGAGCCATGTAACATGGCAGGTGGACCGGACTGAGTGGCATGGCAGGGCTGGCAGGTCGGGACGGTGTCGTATACGGTGGGCGTGGTCCAACGCGGTGTCGGTTGTTTTGTGGTGGTGAACTGCAAGGTCCCGGGGGCCGGTGGACTTCAGAGCGCGGCGAGTGGTAGTCGCAGCCCTGCAGATCCGTGTTGTATTATCGTGGGCTGCCGTGGCACATCACAAAAAGTACCGATTTGATCCGGTCACGCAGTCACGCAGTCACGCCGTCACGCTGCTGAAGCCCGTGGGGAGGGAGGTTGGGAGGGCATGGGAAGTTGGAAGCCTAGCAACCTGGGGAGGGGCCTGGGGGGCAAGACTGGTGCCTCATCCTCTCCTCTGCTAGGTGGGCCCACATAATGGAGGATGGAAAAGCATGTATCCCGAGGGCTGGCTGGGCAGGCTGGTCTGGCTGGTCTGGCTGGTCTGGGAGGGGCCTTGCTGGTCTGGCATGGGCATTTCCCAACAGGCAAGATGCCAAGGTGGCGGCCAGGCGTTGATGGCTTTTTGGCTTTTGCAAGGCGCCCGCCCTAGCGACTCGATGCGGAGCTGCGTGGGAGGCAAGGAGAAGGGGTGTGATGGCGATGCAGGTTGGTCTGGCCTGCTTTGGCCCCGCTTTCCGCTTCCATCGTCCTTGCAGCGCCCTCTTACCAAACAGTCAGTCAGCCTCTTCCCTTTCCAGCTGTGCAGTCGGCCCGTGGTATGTAGGTGAGGGGCCAATCGCATGCCCATTCGAGCCTGCACGGCGCCCGTGGCAGCGTGGGCGGCCAGGCAGCCAGCCAGGCGGGTTGCCGTGCACGCACAAAGCAAGGTCAGAAGATGAAGGGGTTGGAGGGGTGGGGGAGAAGCGGAGAAGGGGACGGTACTGTGCATAGGTACATGCTAGGAAGTGTGTGGAAAGTGCCTAGGGCCAAGTACTCAAGTACTTACTTACATAGGTCCCGACTCCCCAGGTCCTGCTCGCCGGAGGATTCGGTGACGATCAGATCAACAATCTCAATCAATCTCGGGCGGGAACGGCGAGATGAGCGGTCTTTTTTGTTGCATAGCGGCCACCCTGCTGCAGAACGCTGCAGAACTCGCTGCGCAGCTTGCAGGTGGTTTTGTTTTTGCTGCTCGAACCTTGTTTCATGCGGCGCGGGCTCGATCCTCGGGTGCAACCGCCCAGCCGGGCCCTGCATCGCATTCTGACAGCTGTGATTGGCAGACTCGGGCCTGGACCCGTCCCAGTGCCCCGGGTCGGCCAAGGTCCTCGCTCCGGCTCCCTGGATCCCTTGTCTAATTCATCTTTCTAGTCCCCGTCGACAGCGTCCCCGACGCCTTCCAAGCTTCTCTCCCAATCTCCAACATGCACTTTTGTTTGAAAGCGTCATGCTTCTGGCGCCCATCAGCGCCCAGTTTTTTCAGCACACAGTTGTGTCTTGGAACTTTTTTTTCCTTTTGCACTTTGGAATGGCCACTGCCTCGGAGATATTGTGGTATATATCTAAGACGCGGTCGGACCCCTGTTCGGAGGTGGCAAAGACAATGTGCGGGGGGGGGGGGGCGGCGCTTTCAAGACCTCACCACCTTCAATCTCGTTTCAAAATCCTCGTGGCACAAATGGCACCAGCCTCAAAAGCATGGCTCTCATGGCTCAGAACAATGGGCAGAAGCAGCAAAAATAGGAGTCTCCACTCGCACGAGGCTCCAGCATGCACAAGACCAGAGTCTGCTACGTGTTTTTGTCCTCTGCCTTGCTGACTGCATACGTCTCAGCCTCGCCCCCCTACGGAGAACTAATGCCGGTCACCTGTTCAGCTGAAGCCGTCCAACCGCATTCCGGACCTACTATGGAATTCCGCACATGTTGCATCCTTGTTGATGCGAGAGGCTGAAAGCCGGGCTGATAAAGTGGTGAATCGCCCGGGGAGGGCGATCAACAGACCGCAATATCATCCCGCAGGCAGGCCTCCGCACACACGACCCTCCCTCACTTACATCACACTCTTGCACAAGTACGACCGGCGACATGGGCATGACCTGCAACAGAAAGACAGACAGCATTCTAGAAGGTGCCTCAATCTATGTCCTGGCGACCGGCGACCAATGAGGGGCGAAATCAACACATGCTTCGTTATCAATGGTTTATTAATTCTTCGCTTGAGCGTCGAGTCGTACAAAAGCCCCTCACACTTTTGACAGCGAGATGACCATAACATACGCGCCGCGGCTCTACGGTCTCACAAAGGTCCTTGGCCGGCCTGCTCTTTGACATCTGAGATGAACTTGGTTGATCGCCCATCTCCGACCAACCTCACGATAACACCAACGCGGGCATGAACTGGGGGATCCATGGTGCCACCCCCCTCGAGGGGCTGGGCTGCCACCCTTCCAGCCGTCGCACTGACCAGCAGTTCGGTTCACACGCCCGAGAGGGAACAAGGACGACGTCGTGCCCTTGAAACGTCATGGCTCGGGTTAGTCCCGTTTGACGTGGGGGCGGGATGATGGGGGCTAGTCCACCGGAAATGGCTGGTCCGGCGCCCTGTTCAATCCCATCAACCAAGACCTCTCACCGCCCGGGGCTGGTCGTTGACTGAGAGCCATGGATTAATCATTCAGGTCTGGAAGTCAGCGACGCGTGCGTGTCACGACGGCCATTTCGCACCTTGTGCGGCCTGTATCCTGTATCGGGGTGCGGACGGAATGAGACTCCGCCCGAGGCGCGCGGTGTGCGGGTAAGACATATCATTTGCATACGGTATTTTTCAATCATTGAGGTACGTCTGAAAATTGTGCGAGAATTTCGCTGTTCAAAATTTTGGAGTAATTATCTGGGTTATGGACGTGTGGCTCGGTCTCTTTGATGGCCGTATTATCACATGCCCGGGGTCCCTTTCTAGTGTACTCGAAGCAAATTGCGGCAGATGAGGTATCTTCCCAACCAGTCTTGCTCAAAAAAAGCCAAACATCAAAAGCACCTATTACCCTCCCGGGGGTCACCCATGCCTACGGTGATCCTCCCGACACAAAACGCCGGAAAACCCATTCAAAAAATCACCATCACCTTGGCGCTTTTAGAGAAGGAAGGCGAGGGCCGCAGCGCCGACGGCGAGCATCAACGTCGGGGCCTTGGCGTTTCCGGCAGCCGTCACGAAGGACGTGGTGGCTGACGGGCTCGCTCCGGTAACGGTCGCGTTGCTGCCGACCGGCGAGGTTGGGGTGACGGACCCCGTCGGCTGGCTGCCTGTAGCCGACGCGGTGGAGCTGGAGGTGGTCGGAGATGGGGAGCTGCCCCCGCTGCATGTGTTTCCAGCCTCGACGCGCTCGAAGTTGGCGCAAGTGATGCGGGTCTTGTTTCCGAAGTGGACAACGATGCTGCGGTTTCCGAAGAAGGCGCCGATGCCCTCCTTGAGCGAGGCGAAGTTGTCGGTGTAGGTAACGTCAATGTCGCCGGTGATGTTTCCGTGCTTGCCTGACAGATCACCAACCTGGCAGGTCTGAGGGGAGTTGGGGTCGCACGGAGTGGCCTCTCCACGCTCGTAAGGGTCGAGGTGAGCCAGGGTCGCGGTGCAGTTTCCGCTCTCGGGGACGGGCTGGTCGTGAAGGTGGTAAACTATCATCATTTGTTAGCGGAGACGGAGAGCCCAGAGAGCATGAGAGAGACTTACTGAAAGGACCACCCTCGCTGGGAAGACCGGACAGCTTGACCTTGAAGATCACGCCGTTTCCGTCTGGGCTGGACAGGGCGTAGACGTCGCCCTTGATGTTGCCTCCATTGGGGTAGGCGCTCTTGGTGAAGGCAGTCTCAGGCATGGAAGCCTTGTAGATGGCCCCGACGGGGTTGTCGCTGACGACTGCGGCATCTCCGAGTTTCTAGGGGCAGAGGTCAGCGGGTTGATACATTGACGACAAGGTAAGACGGGATTAAACTTACGCCAGTGTTTTGCGCAGAGACGCTGGCAGCAGCCAGGACAGCGGTGGCGATTGACATACGCATGATGACGTTTTGGGGTTGTTGATAGTTGGTTGGCCTGCAAGGTAACACAAGAGGGAAAAGCCAGAGTATTTTGGGATTATCTGGGCTGACCAGTCGGCGTCCTGGGTGATGGTTGTCGTATAAATAAGCAGGGCTGCCACAAGAGGTGTGACAAAGGAAGCACAAAGTACGCGAGGTGAAAGGCGAGGCGGAAGGTGAGGCTTGTGACAGTCAAACAGACGGGTGGCGATGCTGGGTGACTGGAGTTGCGTATGTCCAGGTGGTTGATATGGAAATTAGTAGAAGCACACAAACGGCAAGAGGAATGTCCAGAGGGGGAGTCAAGGAGATGAAGGACGAGCTGAGGCCGGACTATTATATGAGAGTTAATCAAAAGTGATGAGCGGCAGGAGGCTGTTGGGTTGGTACACAAGGACGGCACCGCGCTCGAGTGCGAGCTAGGGGCAGGGGGGCTTGCTCAGAGAAGACATGGATGCTGCAGGTACCAAGCCACTCGGCAGTCCACTGGCTGGGCCTGGCGGAGTAAGCGGGAGGAGAGAAGGAGGAGGAGGAGGAGTGGGAGGTACCTCCAGGGCTGCCAGGAGGGGCCGGACGTGCGCCTGGCCGGCAGGGCCGGTCGTTCTTGGTACAGTAGTGCCCATTCCTAGTTTCGATTGACGGCATCTTGTACGCTTTGCAACCGACGCCTATTCATCCGAGGTGAGGACCTTCTCACACAACGGTGCGGCGTGCTTCACTGACAGCATAGGAAGCACGCAACACGGGGTTGGAAATGAAGTGGTGATACATATTGATTGGGGGCCCAAGGCCCAGAGACATGTGCCGCGCCTGCTGCATGCAAGTACTGTATCGGACTCGGACATCAAATCAAATGTCAAAAAGCATCCAAACATAGAACCAACAACCCTCCAGCCCTCCAACTGTCGGCCTGTGTTTGCCGTATAGCCGTCCTGGGCGGCCAGCCTGGTCGCTTTGTTTCCAAACCTTATTTGTCGCCCATGGCAGCAGCAGCTCAGCTGCAGATCTGTTTTTCTTGGGAGGGGGGAAACAAACGAACAAACGCTGGGGAGTGGAATGGGTCAGGGGTGGCCCTTCGAAACAACAATCCTAGCGCCTGTGGGCAGGGGCCACCATTGGAGCAAAGCTAGCCCTGGGGAGCTTGGCCCCTGCCACATCAGGCACCTCATGCTCTGTCAGTTCCGCTGTGTGCTCTGCTGGCAGGCTGCTGCTGGCCATCTTGCCGACCCCAACTGCCCAGCCTCCTTCATATCTATTTGCGGCCAGCCGTTGGTGGTCAACAAACCACAGCCTGCCAAAAGGTCCTTTCAATCCAACTGAGAGGCCAGTCAACCACGAGTCCACCGACAGCAGAAGTCCCGGAGTATGTGTTTCCCCATGTGTGGAATACACTCAGCTGGCCTTCAGATGCTTTGTGCTTCGCGTCACAGCAAGGGTACCGAACGTCTCCTGTGCACAGCAGCTTCGGGAGTCCATTGCATTTCCATGACGTGCCCTGCCAGCCCCCATTGTAACCTGGCCGATCCTCTGCTCTGTAGTACCTACCACACTACACCGCCGAGCTTGGCCTTCCAGCCCTGCCCGCTTTAACCGGGCGGTGGGGAAGAGGCACGTGGAGCCGCGGAACTCATCTGGGGAACTCGGCCTGCGACCTACCACAGTCCAATGAATCATCAAATCACGGCGTCAGGCTGGGGGGAGAATGTCATCTCGATCGTTGGCTTTGTGTTGGCAATGGGCCACAGCTCGTCGTCTGGTCGCCAGTACCGAGTAGTGTGTATCCACCATGTCGCTACCCACCCCGAGCTCTCCACAGAGCCCCGCAGGCTGGCAAGCTGGGGAGCGGCAATTCTCTTGCGGAGAGGCTGGTGGCATGCGGTGGACCCAGCGATCACCACGAGGACTGGATCTCATCCACCTGTCACATGGCCCTAAGAAGCTCGGCGCAGACAACCGTGACAGCCCTGACAGCCCGAGGCTCCACCTCCACAGAACCACAATGACAGAGTGAACCGCAGAACTGTGGGCCCGTTTCAAGCTAACACCTCCAGCCCAAAAGCTTGGTACCCATGAGCCCGGGATGCTACCGTTCCAGTCGAGCGAGCCTCTCTCAACATCCATCCCGCCATCCCACCTTCGTCTTTCTGTTTTCGGAAAGCTGAATAAACCCTCAGAGGCATCCTCAACCTGAATTGGCTGCTGCGCCGCGAGGTCGTGAGTGGGTCTGGGCTGCCAAAAGGGTCGCCTCCGGCCCTCAACGGCCGGAGGATTGTGACCTATGATCTGAAAACTTTCTATTTAGGATCTCACCACCCAACCTGCCAGCCAACGCGCTAGCCACAACAACGACCACGCCTCAGCCTCAGCGCCTGAACAGCCCCGATTTCTTCATCCTGCCCACAGCCCACGGATGAACCAACTTGCGGCCTCGGCTGAGACCGCCCCGTGATCCCTGAGTCCGATGGGATTTTGGAATCTTCGGATTTTTGTCTAACGAGCTAACAGCCTTCCCACCCGCACTAGCGCCGCCGGTTTCAGCATGTCTGTGCAGCGCTCGTATTGCCAAGACTGGCTGTTCGTCCTCACCTCGTGGTGTTTCTACATGTTTGACCATCCAGAGCAAATCAAAACCCTCCGATAGCACCTCCTTGGACCGAAACGGAATCCCCAGGGCCGTGTAAGTGGCAGGTGCCAAGACTCCTGACAGCTCTTGGCTACCGAGCAGGGCGAGGCATGCTCGGCAGGACGGCAGCGCCTGCCAACATATCCTGTTCCTTGTCCACGATGAGGCTGCTGGTGGGTTGCTGTAAAATTCAAGCCCGCAGACCATTCCCCGCGCTCTGATTCTACCTTGAACTTGCTATGCTGTCATGATTGGCTTTGCATCCTCAGCTCTTCATCGAGTTTATGCATCTTTGAGCTTGATAAACTCGCCCCATCAAAATGTCTCGCTGAAATGAGGTGAATGGCGGCCCGTGGAGATGTCTGATAGACGTCCGCCGAAGCTCGGTCGTCACATGCCGTCTTGTCCTCCCCTTGACCGGCCCCAGCGGTGCCCACGGCATTTGTCCCGCGCACTGGCAGGTTTGGAAGAAGCTGGGTGTGTAGCTAGGATGTTGGGACGAGCTTCTTGCAGTGTTTCAAAAGGGCCCAGGTTTGGTTTTGATCTGATATCGTCGCCTCGGATTTCGGTTCTTGGTAACACTATGAATCTCCGGGACTAGATGCGGCTAAATGTTATCAATGGCCCCGGTCCCTGGATAAGATAACCTTTCTCAGGGTCCGACCAATACTAGTTGAGGTCCCATGCTAATACACAGTGTAGACCTTATCTCTAACATACAAACCTCCATACTAGGAAAGCTACACTTAACTTATAGCTACTACTTACTTAAGGTATAGCTAGAGAGGAAAGGTTAGCTTTTAATATATAGAGGTTTATAACTAAAATATAGTTTTTATAAAGATTAAATAAAGCCTTAAAAAGCCCTTAACTTTAAATTTAAATTTTTTCTTTAATAATTCTTCTTTTTTTAAATAAATATCCTTTTAAAATTTTAATATTAATATTTATTATTTTCCTTTAAATTATATTTTATTTTTAAAAAAATTTAAATAAAATAATATAAATAATTAAAGGAGTAATATTCCTTACTTTTTTTAATTTATTAATTAAATATATTATATTTAATTAAATAAAAGGTTATAAAAATAAAAAAACTTTAAAAAAAAGTTTTTATTAATTTTTTTTTAATATAGTATTTTTATATAAATTATTAATTAAAAAGATATTAAGATTAAAAAGTATTTAAAAAAATATTTTTAATTATTATATAAAGTTTTTACTTTTTTTTAATTTTTTTATATTTCAATTTTAAATATTCTTTATTTAAATTTAAATTATTTAATAATTAACTTAACTATAGGATTATTATAAGTTATAAAATCCCTATTTATTTTAAGTGAGGAGTTTATACTTTTAAGTAATAGTTAGGCTGTAGGCCTAGCTAAGGGTATTTAAATATTTAAGATAATATAGACTAATCTTTAATTATATTTACCCTCCTTTTACTCTAGCTTATTATGCTCTTATATACTTAACTCTATATTTCTCTTCTTTGCAGAAGTGTGAGATGTGATGAGATGGACTTATAAATGTGATAATTTTGGTTTTCACAATGGGCTCTGCCGCTTTGCTCAATTTCAAAATATCACAGCTTCTCATGGTGCTCTGAAGCACGCCTGGCTGTGCGAAGCTTTCCTCAGTCCAGCTCATACAAGATCCACACCCAGTGAGCCTTTTTGGCAGCCTGTCTCTGGTCCTAGGATTGACAATTCTTTTTTTTTTTTTTTTGAAAAAAAAAAGAAAAAGAGAAGAAAAAAACACTCAGTGAGTACGAGAAGCATTGTTCAGGTGATCAAGGAGCCGACAGGTATCAGTGATAGTAATTAACTAGCAATGGTGGACCTCAGATAGCTAACTGCCGACTACTATGCATAAAGCTTTAACGTTATGATAAAAGTTTACAGCCAAAGTTTGCAGCACTCTGACACAGGCTCTTGAGATGAATGGTAAGGCTCGACTTGAACTTTTAGAATTGGACTTGGATAATGCTTTAGAACTCAAATGCCTTGAGGACTTTCCCGCAGGTTATTACACGTTTGGTATCTCAACCACTGCAGGCCCTACAGTGTAGCTCTTGAGCAATACTTCCTTTGATCATTGTGGATCCCAACCATTTGATAAGTGCTTGGATCAGGTTAGTGATAATGTGTGAGACAGCACAAGTTCAGGCACGCATCAACAAAGCTTAGAGTAAACAAGGTCAAATATGGCTGGCAGCACTCTGGAGTGGTTAGTCTGCATGATAACCAGCAACTTAGTTCCTTAAATTCATTCTTCATGCTGGAAGATCTTGACAATGTAAGAAGATATTTTGGCAACAAGACTACACTGCACTCCACGTATAGTGAGCAAAATGAGCTGACCAAACTTGAAATCCATGATACTCGGTGTTGAACAGGTGGAAGCTGCACTCTTATGTAGCCCACAGCGAGCGGCAGGAACCCTGACCCCTGGTCTGTCGGCAGCTTTAGCCCCCGTCCATCACAGCCAATCAAACACGCTCTCTGTGCTCCCCCGGACCCACTCGTCAACTGCAGGCGTGTCAGTTGGAGCTGCGTGTCGTTTCTGGAAGCAATAGCTTCACAAGCGCATTGAAGCCGCCTCACCAGCCAGCCCAAAACAACAACCAACCGCACAACCCACGGCCAGCACATCCCCGGAAGCAACAACACCAGTTTCCCACAACTCCCTCAAGCAATCAATCATGGCACCCAAGAAGAATGCCGCTGCCCCGGCAGAGACGGCGGCCTCGACCCCGGCAAAGGCCACCAAGGCCACCAAGGCCCAGGCCTCGAAAGCGTCATTGCTCCCAGAGCAGATATGGTCTCACTACTTGAAGACTACCAGCCACCAGACGCGCCTGATTGATGCCTTCCTGGCCTTCCTCGTGGCTGTCGGTGCCATCCAGTTTGTCTACTACTTCCTGATTGCAAAAGATGTGAGGATGACACCCATCCAGCCCACCCTAACTATGCCCATCTTTGAGGGATACTTGGCTAACACATGTATGTAGCCTTTCAATGCCTTCCTGGCCGGTTTTGCTGCCACTGTCGGCCAATTTGTCCTTACTGGTATGTACTCATATTGACAACGTCGATGACTCGTCTATCCGTCCCTCCTGGCTGACAAACCCGTGGCAGTTTCCCTGCGCATGCAAACCGACCAGCAGAACAAGTCCGATTTCCCCAAGGTCACCCCTGAACGCTCATTCGCAGACTACATCTTTGGCAGCCTCATCTTGCACTTCTTCTGTGTCAACTACATCAACTGAGGGAGAGCATGGAGGACCGCGTGGACAAGCAAAAGACGGGCAGGGTTCATGCTTCTGAATATTTTGACATCCAATTCGTTCGAGACATCTTTGGAATGTGGCGTTTAGCTGTACATGGCACACGGGTAAATGGGAGAGCAGCATGGAGACCAGTATGGCAGAGGAAAAGCCAGGGTATATCTCTACTGCAGCCGTAAGATCAGTTGATGGCAATGAGGGCTTCTCCCTTGACGCGCTTCTCTTATCTATGCATCTGTCGCACCCTCCTCCGCCTGCGCCTCCGCTTGTGGTGTTTCTGCCCGGGGCGGGCCTCCCTTGGGCGGCCCACCACCCGCCTTGGGCGGCGGAGCCAGCGGACTCTTGGCCCGGGTCGAGTCCGGCCGGTCCAGCGCCCTGCTCTTCTCCTCCTGCTCGTTGAAGTAGTCGTCCATACCGCCCACCGGCGCCCGGTGCGCCTTCTTCTTCTGGCTCCGTGGCGGCGGCGCACCCCCTGCTGGCGGCGGCGCATTTGCCATCTGGGCCGGGACGAGGAAGTCACCTCCGCCAGCCGGGGGAGCACCAGGCTGCTCCGCCTCAGCAGGCGTGAAGAAGTTGGCCGTGTCTGCCGCCGGGGCAGCAACCCCTTGGCCGTAGAGCGGCGTCTTTTCCGAGAACGACCCGTCAAAGATGGTGTCGCCCGGCGCGTCCACGGGCTCGCTCAGCGGCGCGGGCAGGCGGTGCAGCGCCCCGTACCCCAGGACACAGCCCAGCGCGCCCTCGCCGCCCCACTCCCGGCTCGGCTGCAGCGTGACCTCCCTCGTGACGTCGTACTCGTTGTTGTAGACATATAGCCGCAGGGGCCTGCCGATGTGGTCCTCGACAATCTCGCCCAGCCCGCTCTCGCCGTGCAGGGTGCCCTCTGGCGAGCCCAGGATGTAGTCGCTGTAGGGGAGGAGGCCCGCGAGGTCGGCTGGGGAGTTGGCGGGAACGTCGAGGACGTGCCATATGTTCACGACGGCGTTCAGGGATGTCCACTGGAGAGACAGGCCCAGCGAAGAGCCGTCGACGGGGACTGGGACGTGCATCGTGCGTGTTCGTTGGCCCTGGCGGTGGATGTTGGTCAGTCTTGCCCGATCAGTGCTTCCCATTGAACCCTTGGAGTGCCATACTTTTGCGCTCCATAGACCTAGCGACACTGATCCTCCAGCGCAGTTGCGCACTTCTTGGGCAAACAGTCCGGGGCTTGGGTCATCCTAGAGTGGGTTGTTCAGCATGTGTTGTTCTGGTCCTGGTCTCTTCAGCCGCCAGCGGGAAGCCGTACGATCATGCGTCCATTGATCCCTACGACAAAGTCGAACCATGGCTCGATCGCGAGCTGCAGGTTTGTGTTCCGTAGCACTTGAAACCCAAATAGCCCTTGTTGATGCTGCTTCTGTCGGGGGTCCTCGCCGTCGAGGCGGGACATAAAACGGTTGAGCGCGTTGAACATGGTGGCTTTCGACCATAAAAGGCTCAGAGGATAGTGATTTGTGCCTCGCCCGGTGTCAAAAGATTTCAGACTCCAGCAATTGGATGATGCAGAGCCGTTTGTTGTATCTCAAATGTTTGGACCGTAAATGGCATGCGACCACGTTGCTCGCCCTATCTATTATCAGCCTTGTCGCGCCCCTAAGGGGCCAGAGCTCCCTAACCTGAGGGAGCTCCCTCGGTCCCTAGCGCCAGAGCTCTAGCAGGCAAGCAGGTACCTAGGTACCCTCCGACTGACTTCATACTCTGCTGCTGGCGAATTTTACGCCTTTATACAACCTTGGGAGTCTACATCAGCAGCCATGTTCGATGATATCAAATACTAGTAAACCATAGACACTATGTACTTTTATGCAGTCTCAACGATTTATGCTCATCCACTACCAACAACAACCATAAAATGAAGAAGCCAGCGGCAGCTCCAAGCCTCTCAACAAGGCGGCCTGGCAGACAACACAAGCAAGATGAGAGTCTCATCAACAACATATATCTCCACGGCATACATGGAGCGCCAACAGGTGTCATGAGGCCAGCGGACAAGATACCTCTGACAGAAGAGTGCAAGCATTACTCCTCATATGATGAGATGCCAGAGAAACTACAAAAGTAAGCTTTGTTTGTTCTCCTCTGGCGTTGCCGGGATCGCTGCAGAAGCCGCATCAGAGTTGGTCTGACAACGAAAACAGATACTGGCACCAGCGCAACACACTATGGCAGTACGACAACTACGACATACGAATGACAGACGACGCCTGGTTCGGCGTCACCCCAGAGCCCATAGCGGTGTAAGTCCTCGCCTCTCATGCGCAAACCGCCCTCCGCCAGAGCACACACACCTGCTGACCTCAGAAACCCAGTGAGATTGCAACCGAGATGGCAGCCAAGCACGCCCGGCGCGAGCACAAGCCCAGCGTTCTGGTCGACCTCTTCGCCGGCGCGGGCGGCAACACGATCCAGTTCGCGCTGTCGGGCGAGTGGGACCGCGTCATCGCCGTCGAGCGCCACGCCGCCACACTCGCCTGCGCCCAGCACAACGCCGAGGTCTACGAGGTCGCCGAGTACGTCACCTTTGTGCACGCGGACTGCTTCGACTTCCTCAACCGCCTGCTCAACCGGCCCGACACCCTGGACGACGCGCTGAACGTGCACCTGGGCCTGGGTGGTGGCGATGGCCGTGGTGGTGGTGGTGGCCGCGGAGGGTCGGCAGCCGCGACGCTCGCCCGCGGGGTCGAGGTCTTCGCGAGCCCGCCCTGGGGTGGCGTGGGCTACCAGCAGGCTGACGTCTTCGACCTGGAGGCGATGGAGCCCTACTCCCTGGCGCACATCAGCTCTTCGTGCCGCCCCATGGCACACGCGCTGTTCCTGCCCCGGAACGGGGACCTCCGGCAGCTTGCGAGCCTGGTCCCGGACGATGCGGCGGAGAGGCTAGACGTGGTCCAGTATTGTGTCAAGGGCGCGGCCAAGGGCCTGGTCGCTTACTTTCCGCCTGGAAACGAGGGCCATGTCCTCGAAAGAGCGGGTTGAGAGGTATTGCAAATCACGTTGGTGACGCCTTACTCCATAATTGTTTCACGGTCATCGGTATCTAGCATTTCTTGATGGCCTGTCTAGGCAAGGCCATAGAGGCTAAGGCTGAAGCCATCAGAGCGCCCTTACAATGGTGGACTCATCGAACAAATCCTTCAGCAGTCCTTGGATGCAGCCCTCCCAGTCCACTGGGCTCATCGCGTAGGTTGACTCAAAAGCAAAGATGCTGAGTTGGCCAAAGAAGGGCCGTAACACCTTCGCAACAAGCTCTTCCCTCCTCTCCAAATTGACGTCATCCCTGATACCACCGATTCCAAGCAAAGGCCGCTTGCGAGGGCCTTGCGCAGTCAGGAACGCCGTATCTTCTGATTGCGGATGCGGTGTCACAATTGCCGACCCCAACTCTTCGGAGAGCTCATCCACCAACGCGATTGCTTGATAGTTGACTGGTCGGTACACCGCGTCGATCGTGTCTGTCACGAAAAGCCATTCGTGCAGCTGGAAGTCATCGGGTGCCGCGCAGATGAGCAGGTCCAATAACTTGCATGCCTGCAGCACCGACCCGTTGTTGTACATCTCAGAGGCAGTGCTGTGGTCAGGGGCTGCCACGGATGACACAGCCGCGTGCAGCTCTGCATTGATTACTGGCCAGATTGGGGCCAGGTGGATGGCGCTCGTTTTGAGTACAAGTGCGCGGACGACCATAAATAGCTCTGCCCGCGTTGTCGAAGACGGGGATGAAGTAGCCGTTGCCCCTAGTAATTCGACAAGCTTCTCTAAGATATTGGGCAACTCGGTGACAAATGTGTCCTCCGCCGCTGCCAGGATCAGTGTGGCTATGCGGCGGAGATTCAGTTGCGTCTTGCGGTCAGCCTCAAGTCTTGCCGAGGTGGCGCCTACGCCGAACACTATGCCTGCCGTCGTCGGTGCAGTGATCCGGCTCAATAATTCTGGCAACCGATCTTTATCGGTTACTGTCCACTGCTTCAGCAGAGGCAACCAGTCATTGTGAACCAGAGTCACGTTCGATCCGAAGAAGCGAGGATCATTGAACGCATCTGTGACGTCTCTCTTCCAGGTCTTTTGGTTGTTCGGCAGTCGCGTAAGCTCCTGCAACAAGACCAGGGTGCTCTTAGAAAATGTGTCCGGGAACGCCTTCGCGCGTACTGCTGGCCCGATGACGCTGGTGGAGATGGATGTTGCAGCAGATAGAACACGGTCATTCTCAACCAGTATCTTGGGGAGATCTGGGGTGATCGCTGACAGTATCGAGACAACGTCGTCTGCACGTCCTTGGGGGCTCCTGCTCGGTGTGGCTTGAATGGAAGGCTCGAGGCGCTTTGGCTTCTCAGATGTGCCATTGTAGCTATCTGAGAAGTTGACAGGTCGTGTCGTGAATAGCGCAGTCAGTAGTCTTAGGAATAGGTCCTGAAATAAAGAATGTCAGCTTTGCACACCTCGTTCGGTAGTGACTATCCTTACCCCTAACTCCCGGCGCATCTTACGCTGCTCTCCGAAGTTCGTATTGTCGACCTTGACGCCCAAAATTGCAGCGAATTCGAGAAGACTTGGGAGGGTTTGACGATGAGGGAATGGGTTGGTCAAAAGATCCTTCAGGAATGTGATGCAGTCCTGCCAGATTTCGTCCATAGCGTCATCCTCAAGTGATCTAGCGTAGTCCACCAGGAAAATGACAATATCAGTGTCCTGTAAGTCCAGCGTCAAATTAGACTTGCGCGCAGGGTCGAGTGCTGTCGGATTGGTTCGGCTATATATGGAGTTGAATATCGCTGGTATAGTGTGCTTCGGTCGCGAGCCATCAAGGGCAGGAAGAAGGTTGAAGACTTCAACATGTGGTTGCGACGCAGAATCATTCAATGACTTGCGCCAAATGTCAATGACTGTCTCCAAGCACTCCAGCGTTTCCGCGGCAAACAAATGCTCAAGAAGCCTCCGAGCACGGTTTCTCATGCGCAGAGAGGTGTACTTGAAGGAAGCCATCGAGCTGGTGGCCTGCGCAGTCGCGTCGCCACCTTGGCCCCAGGACCATATCCTGAAGCAAATTCTCACAGCGTCCTGAAAGGCCAACAACACCGTCAACCTGTCATTTGCCGTGGCACTCCTGGAGTGCAGGTTTTCATTTGAGAATACGCCAGACACCATATTCCCAAAGAATCCCTGTGGCTGGTCGGGGCTCTTAACGACCTGTGTGCGTGCCTCCTCCAGCAGTAATCTGTCGTGGCTTCTAGCCAGGACGTGTTCCAGTCCATTCAAAAAGGAGATCAAGGTGGTTTCTGGCGCGTCCGGATGCTCCTCCAAGCTGTGCTCGCGTCCTTTGAACATCTGTTGCAAGCTAGAAAAGGTGGCCCCAATCTGGTCGCACAGTGTCCCCACGAGGGGAATCAGCACCTGAAATATGGTGTCGGCATAGTAAGGCAAGCATTCAGTAAGGAAACTGATCCAGCTGTCCAATACTGGTCGACTACTTGGGGACGAGAGACCGGCTTGCAGGCACCTGAGCAATGCTGGTGGCGGAGGAGGAAGTCGAGATGTCTTGTCCGCAGAGACGGAGCCACGGTGGCTTCCAACTTCACCACCTTGCTTCCTTTTCTCCAGGGTAGGTGATGGTGGGGGTTCCGCAGTGAGCACCTCCCGAAGCTTCAATGAAGCGAAGACGACGTCTAGGAGAAGGACCTGGGAATAGGGATCCGGGCACTCCAAAGACTGAGAAAGCCTTTCTATCAAGACATCTTCGAGATGGAACCTTGCGAGGGGCGCAGCATAGGGGCTGAGGAGTATCTGATGGAGAACTACCAGCGCACTCCGAATAAGCTGTGTGACCCGGACTTTGATCTCGCTGTCATCGTTGATCTGGTATTGTGAGATGCATCTCAGACAAACTTGCAAGAGGAAGAATTGGAGAGGCATGTCTTCCTGGGTACCAGCTACAACAATTAGCATCCTTCAAAATGACCGGGTCAGTTTCAAGCTTACTAATCTCAGCTACTCCGGGAAAGTCATCAGGAGAAACCATTTTGGTAGCCAAAATACTCCAGATAGCGTCAGGCGCCCAGCGGAAGACATTTGAAATTGTTCTCAAATAGTACTGGCAGAGGTCAAGGTCATCGTTATTTGTGAAGCCCCTCGCATCAGGGAGTGTGCCATCGTCCACGGGGGCCCGTCGTAGAAATGACAACTGCAAAAATTGCGACGTGATGATGTAGAAGATCCTTCCATGTCAAGGATTAGAACAAGTTTTTATGAGCTGAGATGGACTAACTCACTTGTCAATGCCAACAAGACTATTGAGCCATGTCTTGGCCGCCATGAAAAGCTGTGTCTTTTCGTCTGAGAATGCATCCAGCATCAAAAACAACGGCCGCGTTAGCATGACCTCGTAGTTGTCTATCCCAGCAAGTCTCGGAGAAGATGAAAAGTCCCCGTAAGGAATCTTTGGGGCTCTCCTATCTGAGGTGGGAGGGTTGTCCTGCAGGCTGTGGGACCACAGGATGCTAAATCTTCGACCAGGTTCTGCAGGCCGAACGGTAAAATGTCCGTTGACATCACTCTGGATCATCAAAGCACAAATTGCTGCCTCAATATCCCGGTTTTGTGTTGTCAGCACACTCTGAAGTTGCCAAAGACTCCTCACGGTCTCAACATGGTACCGTGGTTTCGACGCAGACAAGTAGGACCACGCATGCTGAACAAGAGGTATGACCAGTTCGGAAAGGTCGTTATGGGAAATTCGTCCAGATGAGAACAAATGAGTGGAGAGGGACAGGATAGAAGAGTAGGTAACAAATCGTAAAGAGCCCTCTTCCGATGCGCAGGAGTGGAGGGCTGCAAGTAGGCGAGAGGTGTCGACTGGAGAGTCTTGTGGCGTCTTTGAGATCAGCACCATCAGTATGCGGCACTTAACGCTGAGATCTGCTACTGATTCTTTTCGCATAAGACTCTCGCATCCCAGGCTGCAAGACTTTTGCAGCAGGAGCTCTCCTACATCGCGGCGGCTCAAGGGTGGCTTCGAAACGTCCAAATTGCCCTGCTCGTGGATGTAGAAGTCTCTAATTCTCAGCAAAACGTCCAAGTTCTGCGAGTTTCCCAGAGCTGTCGAGTCTGAAGATGTGCCTTCTGCCTTGGACGGGAACGCCCGCTCTGGCACGATGTCCAGAAGATCAGCCGCGATCCCAAGCGCTGTGGTGACCAGGTCATCCTTATCTGCAGATTGACTCTCCCGATCCTCTCTTCTTCGTGCATCTTCGATCATACAAAAGATCGCCAGGGAAGTAAGAGGTGCGTGCACTGTGACCATTTCTTCTTCCTTGATGTTGAAGTGTTTGATCATGAATTGGACGAGCGCAAGCTTGTCTGCCCGCTCAGCAGTAGAAGATGCCCCGGGCCCGATTGCCTTGGCCATTTGGCCTAGTATCTCGCCATATATCAAGCCACTTTCGACACCGTCGAAGAAGGTGCTAGCACTACGCAGGACTTCAGAAAACTCCGACTGGCTGGATGCCTGAGCCTTGAAGTTTCTGACGCTGTCCACGATAGGTAGGAAGATCTCAGGCACAACAAGACCACCGATCTCCCATCTGTCCATCAGTGACAGACAAATGCGGTATGGACGGGCTTTCTCGGCGGCAGTGGTCTCTGGAGCGTCTTTGATCAAAGCCAACAATGACTTAATGAGCGGCTCAAGTCCATACTCCTCAAAATAGCTTGTCCTGGTCGATAGCAGTCCGTTGTGATGTGCCGATGGCGAATTAGGGGATTCCAGTCCACTCTCGGTGTCACCGGCCTGGGGCTCTGGCCCAAGGAGCCAAGTCCAAAGCCTCCTATTCAGGCTCATTTCTCGCCTTGTCACTACTCCGGCGGCAGCCTTTAGAAGCAGTTCCAAGTCACCTGGCTTGACCCGATCCTGGAGCACCTTCGAGTGTAGAGGCAAGTGGGTCACCAGCAGATCTAGGAAGCCTCTCTGGATGAGTAGTTGCTCGTCAGCCAAACCCGCTGCGAAACAGCGCAGAAGCAGCCCGGGCTCCGGTGTGGTGACTAATTGGGCTACTTTTGAGGATAGCTCGATTTCCTCCTTTTGTATTGAACTGTCTGCGTCGCGCGGCTCCGCTGTTAGGGTATGGCCCAGCTTGGGGAGACTTCGCACAAGGTAAGCCAAAGCTCCCGGCCGTCGGCTTTGTCCTGTGATGGCGGCCAAAAAGAAGCATTGCCAGAAGAAATCGTCTCCGGCGTAGTGTATGGGTGTGATCTCCTCGGATCCTGCCGGCCGTATAGCTTTCTTGAAGCTCTCCAATAGTTTCAGCGTTCGATCGAAGTCCTCTGCAGTCTCCTCCTCTAATCCTGGCAACAGAGCTAAGATGATGGACTTCATGGCGGGGCGAAGGGCTCGTGGGTCCAAGTCGAGGAAATGGCGTTCCAGGAGGTCTAAGAATGGAGTCCGCACGGAAAGGGAGGCGAAGGACAGAGTGGGCGCAAGCCCGGGCAAATACAGCGGTAGGTCTCGCGACAAGCCATCCTTCCCTACTACCGTGAAGACGTAATTGTAGACCTCAAGGGCTTTCTGGTGCACACCTGACGGCAGGGATGGGTTGAGGCATTGCGACAGGCGTTTCGCGACGGTGGTCTTGGCTGGTACGGTGTGTATGTTCTGGCTCCGGGCTTGAAGTGCCTAAGATGCGGGCGGTCAGTTACATGGGTGAGGGCTCTCCAGAGTGAAGCAGTCGAACTTTGAGGAGTCTGTTCAGGAAAGAGATGTAGTCTGCCCATTCCTGAAGCGCGGTCTCGAACAGGGTCAGGGCTCGGTCGACGCCGGCAGCATATTTGCGGTAGGTTTTGTCTTGGTTCGGCAGGTCATCTCCTGTCAACAGATGACAAAATATCAGTCATCCCGTCAGGTGTTCGCAGGGAATGCAAGTAGGTGCACGGGCTTACCGGCGCTGAGTTGGTTTCTCCATTGTCGCGGAGGGTGTTGGGAGTCGTGAAGGGCGCTCTCAGGCGAGGTCGACCTGGGCCCGCTCGGTTCAAGGGACATTTTCCGTGTCGCAAGGCGTGGTGAGCTGGGGAACTGAGAACATGGGGTCCTCTCGACTCGGTGTGAACATCAAGTTCATCGCTGCTTGAGGAGCCGTTGGGGGGAGTGCCGGGGCATGCTGGAGCTCGCAACCGTTAAAGAGGCCTACTTGTCCGTCGAGGGTTTGCTTGCGTACCTCGATGTACGTCAAACACCCTGTCGCAAGGGGGTCCTCATTGACCAGAGCTCTGCCCCTGTCTTGGCCTCTAGGCGGGCGGGCTACCGCACCCCTGCCATCCTTGTGACAGTGTACCTAGGTACCCAGGCAAACATTAGCTCCCGGCCCTATCCAGGTAGACTCTAAGTACTCTGCGGTTTCGATCCTCAAGACACCATGGCGATTGGACGGACCTGTTGCTACACCTTCAAATCTATCTGCCTCATGTCGGCATACTAGGTAGCCCATTCACGGCAACATCAGTCACAGGCTAGCTCAGGCCATCGCATCTTCATTCTACGCTCTCCGCTCGATCCATTTTCCTGACTCACTCGGCCTCAACCTTTGCCCTAGGATGCCGAGGTAAATGTTGATTCTCGCCAAGTAATATCGTCAAACGTCGATGAGCCGCTCAATGAGGACCGGAAGGCTCCTCTATTTATTCAATATGTGAACATAAAAGACATTTGGCTGGACCTCAACAAGACTCGTCCACACTGGAGAAGCTGCAGTCCCGAACGCCATGGTTTTCCGCCCCCGCGCCTATAATCAGAATGCCGTGAAGGCAAGCTCATACACAAACCCCAGAGTCATCTGTCCATGCTGCTTCATGTGGTTATAATTAACCGTCGCGAGGGTGTCACCATCCGTGTGTATATACGGAGAAGTCTTCTCGAATGGTGCCTCAATGACAAACGCTGATTGATAGCCGGCCTCAGTGGCAGAAGCAAAATCCGAGCTGAGGGTCAAGTTGTCAGTCATGCAATCTCATTGTTCCAACTACACAGACGGTGAAATTTTGGCTTACCAAGCATAGCCACACTTTGTCTCCGTATAGGGAATGTCACAGTAGGTGTCCACGATCATTTTTATGAACTCGGTCAACTCCTTGTTCACATAGTCCGTCACGACCCCAAGTGTCTCGGTCTGCATGCCAGCGGAGTACCCGGTCATGTCTTGCTCCAGCATGGCAGCAACATCACGGCCCTCGGCAGCGTAGGCGTCAAACACGGCCTGTGAGCCGAGAAGGCCCGCCTCCTCAGCGGAGTACCAATGGAACTCGACCGTGTTCACAGCCTCTCCCGCCAGGACCTCCGGCGACGTTAGGTAGACCCGGAGGGCCTCCAGGATCGTCATGGAGCCAGACCCATTGTCGTCAGCGCCAGGGGCTCGGGAAGTCTGCTGGTTGGACGCCTTCCAGTTGACACTGTCCTGGTGGGCGCCAATGACGATCGTCGATGCAGTCTTGCCAGGTATCTTGACAATGATCGAGTCCTGGTTCCATTTCGGGTGCGCGAACGCCTCGACAGTCGCGCCCAGGCTCGATGTCACGCCTGCCTCGACAAGGGTCGTGTTGACTATGTCGAGGAGCCAAGCTGAAGACTGAGCACCGTACCCACCCTTGTAATAGCGGTTTTGGAAGGTGGAAAATGTCGTCAGCCTGGACTTCATGAGGTCGGTCGACAACGAGCCAAAGAGCGGCTTGACGTCTGCGCTGTGTGAGGCAGCGCTTGGGTATGCGTATTTCTTGGCCGCGGATGTCAGACTTGCGGCGCCGAGGTTCGAAGAGTAGGTCTTATCAATAAAGCCAGTGCCTTCGAGGCGGAGATTGCGCTTCTCCTCCTGCGTTACCCATTTCTGCTCATTTTCGAGCTGGACTAAAAAAGTCTCTTCGCCCAGCGCCGGGCGAGGAGGGACCGCTGCGGCAGCGAAACTGAGGAATTGAAGAAGGGCTTGAGCTTTCATCGTTGCCCTAAGGAGAGGATCAGAGGATGATTGTTGGTGGTAAAGAGCTCAGACTCAAGTCCGCTTCTCCCAAACGTCTTTAATGTTTATCCAACAGCGATATACCTACTGGGGAGTTGGTTATCGGCTATGTCTTTCGCCTTCACAGCTGCCCTTCGGAACAGCACCCATTAAATTTTGCCCGATGCGCCCATTCGAAGAGCTCCTAGCTGCCTAAAGAGGCATGTCCCCTTTTGACTGGGACATCCGTGGCGATCACCACAGCCAAGAAAAGCCAAGACTTGTCGAGCTTCCCGAAAGAGCCAAGGCACCAGTGATATATTTATTGGGGCTCCATCCAATGTGATACTCGGCCTTCGGCCTGGTGGAATGTGATGAGATGACTTGACTACTAGCTTCATATATGGAGTTTGTGCATGCGAACACGGCACCAAAAGCCACACGTGAGTGCAGAGCATGACCGGCGTCGACAATCCTGGTCAGTCAAGGACTCTCTTCTGGTGGGCAGAATCAACGTGTCTTATTCTTCTTGCCCCGACTACCCCTCCCGGAATTGTAGTATCCGAGAAAATGAGGCAAGGTGATTCTGCAGTTTCTTGTAGTAGTTTGAATCTGGCGCCGTCGACTTCGGGATGCGTCCTAGCCTTGTGCGTGCGGCACAAGGCTGAGGCCAGGTGCCCACGCAATGTAGTCTCTGTGTACTTTTATTAGCGGTGTATTTTCTTAGTAACCAAACGCTGAGTCTTGAGCGTGTACCACTATATGAAGGCGCCACATATGTTTTATATGTATGGGGATTAGAAACGAAACCACTAAGTATTGCTCTGGTCAGACTCTCTTTGATTTGGAACGTCCTGTGGTCGGATTGAGACTGTGGAATGAGAACGGTGGTAAGGTGTCATGCATGCATTTCGGTCTTGATTCATTCTCAAGCCCAGAATACAACTCCGCCTAGCGAGACCAAACACACGCTACACTCGCAGCAGTTACCTTCGATCATGTTGGATTGTAAGTGTTGGAAAACATTGGTTGAGACAGACACCATGCGAAAACACAAGGAGTGATTGGTCTTGTTACTTCCATCAGGCCTAAAGGTTGTCGAATGATGCGCATGTAAGCCAGGACTTGTTTGCTTGATCTAGATACTAGAACTTTCCATGCAAGCTATGGGATGAACTTTTGCAAATTCATTCTTTTGAATGAGAAAGTTTACTGCCCCATTGAACCCAATTGTTCAGAAATCCCAATGAGGTGAATAATAATGTTGCATATGGAAAATATACTAAGATCGTGAAGTCTAAGAAGATCACTTGCTGGACCTTGCCGGCTTGTAATAATGGCATAGTATGCTACCTTCTTTGTCCTGGGAAAGAACTACGGCAATTGGAAATTATAGAGGTAGTCCGTTACTTACCTAGGTACTCTTCTAGGTGGACTGGATTGATATTTAACGGGAACATATGTAGTCTTAGAACTGGATTTTACTTACCTACTGTTCCTCATGAGTTCTTAGTTGCCTCGCCTCTCTTGAACAATAGCACCTTTGTATTCAATTAACTTTGAAATGGTTCCCCACACTATAGCAGTGCAATGACTGGCAGTGTTTAAAAAGACTTAATTTAAAGCACAGCCTACTAGTTGCCCAGTCTCTTGGGGTCATCCCCCGTGCTTCAGTATTGACAGATAATCTATGGTCCGAGCCAAATTGTTATATGCGTGAAAAGCGCTACTTCTTTGATCAAATCTAATTCGCTGGATACCTTACCTTCTATATGGGCGGTGAAGAGGTACAGCTCCTCGGAAGGCGTCTCAGCAGTATCAAAATCGCCGGTAGAGCAAGTCGCAAAATTTAGTGGAGGATGTCCAGCCCAAAGTCATGCTGGAATAAACCTAGGACTTGAGGTCTGCCTTGATGCGGGTAGACAGGCGCTATTCCAGTCGTTGCCGAGGCCAGCAGCGCGAATGTGAGATGCCTACTCTGGTTTGTACAGCTGGCCATGGGCCGGGTAGTTAGTTGTCTTAATGGCGACGTGGGTTCCATGAGGAAAGTATTCGTGAACGGTCTCGCCAGACACGGGGAGCTGGCTGGCCGTGAAGGACGCGGCGGGCGTGATTATTTTAACAGAGTAGAGACAATGTCGGTTATCGAGGAAGGGCACTGCAAGAGGTCTTGGCTGTGTGTGGTCTACAAGAGATGCGGTCTACGCTGCCACGGCTAGATCCGACGGCGGGAAAAATAGCCGAAGTTTTTTTATGTGATGTACTTGGCGCCGTGACCGTACATATTGACATCGGCCCTCGTGTCTGTCTCTCCGCGACAAGGTCAAACTGACATTCTGACCTCATTATTTGGGGCCGCCGGCACTAGCATCGACTGTCCCGCCGTGCACACAAAGGGGGAGAGACGATGCAAGTTATCCTGTCAGGTCTTCATGCGTGCCCGTGGCAGCTGGGCATCGAAACTCGTGATCCCCTCCCAGCTTTCGCGCCCCTCGAATCAAAGACATGCAAGCCAAGACCCGCGATATCATTGACGGAAATAGACAGACACGCCGTCTCTTGTCACCCGCCGAAGCTGGTCGGGTCGGACGTGGCTGCCCGCGAGATAACATCAAATGCACATGCACGCACACGCCCGCTGCGCGCCCGAGGGAGGACTGACTGTGACGAATCTGAGACCCGTAGAACAAGGCCAGGCTCCGAGACAGAAAAGGAACCCATGGAGAGGGAAATTGCGCGTGCGTGTGTATGTGTGTGCTGTATGAAGCACAAGACGGGGACAGGACTGTGTGTGCTTGGTGTTCGTTTCGTGCATTTGAGCGGTGGCCCGCTTGCCAGACTGCCGGTTGCTGGGCTGGGCGCCGGGGCTTGTTGCTCGCTTGCTGGGTGCCAGTGCAGCTGGCCCTGCTTGGGGGGTGGTCTGGGGGTGGGTGGTGGTGCCGCTGCGCTGGCTGTCAAGCTGCATCATGCACGACCACGTCAACGGGGCGGCGCACCCCTCCACAAGGCCCCCCCTTCCCTCCCTGGCTGGCTCCCCAGACCGACAAGGTCATTCACTCCCCACGCTGTCGATAGGATGAGAATTATTCTTTTGAAATTCCCGCAACATGAAAAAAAGGAAAAAGAGAGCAGGCAAAGGGGTAAAAAAAAAAAAACGGACGCGGCCCGGGAGACTTCTCTCTCTCTAGTCTAGGCCCGACCCTGGGAAAACCGGGAAGCCAAAAAAGCTTGGGGCCTGAGAGGGGTGTCGAGTTGTGAGTGAATGGGATAATACAGGAACACGTCGGCTCGGCAGCCAATCAGCCACCTGAGACGGGCTTCTTCTTTGCTCTCGCGATGCGAATGAGGACGTGCCAACTCACACTTGCCGCACAGACGGGTAAGACTTCAAGAAGCGCCCCCCATCAATTCCTTTTGGCGGCCGCTCCCTTTCGATTTCGATCTGATCTCTCTCTTCCTCACCATCCATCCCTTTTTGATTTCTCCCCTACGCTCGCCTTGCCCTGTTGCTCTTTTCAGCTCGGCTGTTCTGGCCTCTGACCTCCTCTGACGCCCCTTCGCCCTGGCCTGGCCCTCCAGGCATTGCGCCCCTGACCGCACTCGTCGCCTCGACGTCGGGGTCCCTGGCTGGTCTGAGCTTGGGGCAATTTCCATCTTTGTCAAGTCTTCCCAGGATCCTGCCCGACCCAATCCCCACAACCACGTTTTTTCCTTGCCGGGTCGACCTCTACCAGTTTTCTTTCACTTCTTGCCTGTCAACTTCTGGTACTTTGCCCTTTTACTACATTGTCACCCCAGGGAATATCATCGAGTGATTGAGATTTCTGGTATATAATTCTCATGCTGATGCTGTGTGGCTCATGCTCATGGCTTCGTCATCATTGATGTGATTACCCAGGTATATCCATCAGAAATCCTCAAAATATTCAAACTACCCCATGCGCGTCGCAGGCCATGCATAGAACTTCTTTCGCAAGGTATGTGTGCAAGGAAAATAAGCAAGGACACAAGAAAAGCCAGGCGGACTTGGTCGTCGTCCCCAAGGCGACCGCCCGATCATCACTCTTCTCAATTCGGATGGTGACAGGAGACCTTCTCTCCCAGCCCGTGGGGGCGTTGCCTTTGATGCGATGAAAACAATGTCGGCACGTGTCATTCGGAGTCAAAGTCGGGGGAAGACAGAGGCGCAACCCGGGGCAGTCCAGATGGAAGAACAGTGTTCAAAACAGTCCATGCCGCAGGCCCTCCGGGATACTTGAGAGTGGTAGGTTTTTTTTTTGGTGTGAAGTGGTCGTCGCCGGCCAAGATGTGAAACGTCTTTCGAACCCAGAGCTGCCCGCCGCCGCCGTCGTTACGAGGCCCCGCTGCGCCAAAAAGAAGCGACCGACTTGATCCGGGATTGAGTTCCCAAAGCAGTGCCGGGTCGGATGAGAGAAGGGAATCGTTCGAGGCCGGGCACCTTCATCTGCTGTGAGCGAACTTCACCAGCCACTGGAGGACCGCGTCGAGGTTGGTCTCTTCCTTGGCCGAGATGCCATAGCACGAGACTTCTCGGTGGCCGATGCTCTTTAGGTCCATGGCGTCGATCAGCTCATCCACGGTCAACTTGTCCGGAAGATCAGACTTGTTGCCCAGGACGAGAAGGGGAATACCCTCCAGGGTCGGACTGCTCATGACCGAATGGAGCTCCTCGCGCGCCTGAGACAGGAGCTCAATGTCCGCGATATCCACGATGAAGACGATCGCGTTGACGCCCCGACAGTACCTCTCCCACATGGTCCGAAACCGGGGCTGCCCTCCGAGGTCCCAGCACTTTAGGGTCACATGCCCCTGTTGTACCTTCTTCATGTTGAAGCCGACCGTTGGGATCGAACTGCGCGCCGCCTCGGTTAGTCAAAGTTGCAAACAGCGCCGCAGTGGTGAGAAGCCTCCCCCAGGAAATTGCAGCGTCGCGACAGTCACCGCGGTCTGAGAAAGGAATGAAGGGTGCGCTTACTCGATGGTGAACTCGCCGCCCTGGGAGACGATGCTGTCAGTTTTGCGTGGATCGACCGGGGTCAGCAACGGGAACCTACCGATAACACCCTCAGCAGGGAAGTCTTTCCTGCATTCTGGAGGCCTATCATGGTGACGTCCATCTCCGTTGCCCTGTGCAATGCGATTAGAATGATTCGGCTGCTGGAGACGAGGACGGGAATCTCTAGCGGCCGGGCAGCTCAAGAGATGCGGGCACGCAGGCACGGGTCACTCAGGGATGAGTTGTCCGGTGGTGTAGGCTTACCAGAAAGTTCTGAGTAACCAGTCGTACACCTTACGAAAAAGGCCCGCCATGATCCGAGCTTACTGGGCACTTCGAAACTCGACTAAGTGTGTGTTTGTGAAGAAGAGAGAGAAGGAGGTTCAGGTGTGAGGTATGAGGCGACGAGGAGAGGCCCGAGCGTCGAGTGATGTTGAGCTTCGCCGAAGAGACGATGGACAAGCGCGGGGTGTGCGATCGGCCGGGCTGCTTTCAGGGTCCCTGCGCCGTGGTATCTTCTTTTTTTTCTTGGCTTGGCAAAGCGCGCCAGGTGGGGAGGGCTGCTGACGGCGAAGGGTTGACGCAGCCACAGGATGCTAGGATGCTCTCGGGGGCTCTATGCGATCAGCGGACGGTTCGTTTCTCTGTTGTCGCGCATCGAGGATATTGAGTGATATGGGCGAGCCGGCTTGGTGGGAGCGCGAAAACTCTCCACCTCGAAAAATGGGGGCGCAAAGTCGATGCCGGACGGGGTTCCTTGCGTTGGGACGTGCGAAGGGGAGCAGCGGCTAGGACTGGGGTTCTATTCGTTAGAGTGGAGCTGTCAGAACGGACGACGAGACCTTGTAAACGCGGGACGGTGCTTAGAATAGCGACTGCAGACGTGAGGAGCGCTTGAATATGAAATACTGGAGGCACGTGAACAGCACAGTCCCAAAAAGGCAGAGAGTGCGAGAGATGCGAAGCGACAGGCTTGAGTATTCAGACAGCCAGCCAGGCGACAGCCAGGCGACAGAGGAGGGCGGCACTGCGATCGGACCGATCTATCTTTCTGCAATGCATGCCTCTCGGACCCGTAGGACAGAACCCGCGGGGCAACGCGAGAGGACGACGTGCCCCGGGAGAAGCCGCCTCTGGCGGACCAACACCCGGCTGGAGTCTGGCCTAGTTGCAGTGCAGTGCATGCATTCTGTAACGCGTAACGCGAGCAGCCCCCGGGACATTCGACATTCGACATTCGACGACGGTCTGGGGGCGTCTAGGTCGAGAGCAGTGTAAGGTATGCAGGAAGACGTGAGGCTGCCGCTGGGCACTCCCAGATACTGCAGGGACTGGTTGCAGACAGAGACGCAGGACGGAGACGCAGGACGGAGACGGACGCTGGTTACTCGACTCCTGGCACTGCTTGCTGCTAGGTAGGGTTCGTGGCTTGGGATCTGCCATGTTTCCATGTAGATTACACACATACCTCGTGACAAGTGGGCCGTGTCGCGGGAGCAGAGCAGGCACCAGGGGGCATCGCCCAGCGGAGGAGCCCCGATGAAGAAGGAAGAATCGTCCTCTTTTTTTCCTTTTGCGGCGGCTGTCCTGGTGACCGACGTCCCGGGCAGTCGAGGGAAGAGGCGTGGGGTTTTTGCTGGCCGAGAGAAGTAAAACTGCAGGAGGACTGGCCAAGTGAGAAGATGCACAATGTTCAACGGCGGGGTCAGGGAGCTCGGGATGATTGGGCGGCCGGCCGTCTTATGTGTGCGACCCCCAGAACAAAGGCCCAAGTAACAACCACGACAGGTCTGCGCTGCTCTGGACCTGGTCACCCACAACAACACCGGCAGCAAGGGATGCAGGGCGCAGGGTTGTGGTACAGAAATCTAAAGTGGCCTCCCAAGGGTCTCTCTGCAGCGGGAAGAGATGATGCAGTGCAGTGCGGGCGGGTGTCGAGCGGGGCCCCCTCATGGGACTGTGTGGGCGGATGACGAGGGCGATGATGATGATGGCCACCTGGGCAGTAGCGGGCACCGGGGGCGGTTGGGGTTCGAGGAGTGAAGAGGAACCTGGAGCGTCAGGCCCCAGCTACGAAAATTCGTCAGGAGCAGCAAGGAGCAAGGAGCAGGGAGCAGGGAGCAGGGAGCAAGGAGCAGGGTCGGGTAGCGGAGTCTAAGGCAAGGCAAAGGCAAGGCAAGGCAAGGCAAGGCAGGCAGCATGTGTGTGTGTTATGCAGGCTCTCAGGCTCTCAGGCTCCCAGGCTCTCTCTGTGGTGCAGGCGTGGGTGCAGGTGTGGTGCGGGAGCAAATCTGCATGCACCATGTGCTATTTCCAACGCTGGTTGCGGACGGAGCTGGGCTGGGCTGCTGTGGCGTGTGGGTGCTAAGGTGAGGTAGAATTGGGCTGCAAGGTGATGCAGCTGGACTGCAGGTGCATATGCATCGCCTCTATGCTCCGCGCAGCGCACCAGCAGAGCCGTGGCAGCATCGGCGACCTGGTTGGCTCACGGCGCCCCTCGGGACCAGCCTGAGGCCGCAATTCGGGCCTGGGTTGGGTCGACAACTTGGGCCTCGATGTCGCGACGGCTCTTTCCTGGCCGGCAGCCCACACGGCGATTCGCTGCTCGGCTGTGGTTCCATCTGGCACCCATGGATAGATACCTCATCACTGCCCTCCCTCCCAGGCCTCCCTCCTCCTCCGCCTGGCCTTGTCTCTGCCCTTCTTCAACGTCCCCTCAGCCCAGCCCCCCCCGCCCCCCCGCGCTGCGTGCCCTGCCAACCTGCCTCGTGCTGGCTGCAGCAGTGGTGCTGCTGCGGCACAGGTACCCAGCTAATGGCAGGGCTCCCTCCCGTCGGCGCAGTGGTCCGTGGGGTGGGTTAGGGGGCCCGGAAGGAAAAGAAGGGTGAAGGGGGGTTGGATGAGAGGGTGACACCGGTTCACCGGCTGGCTTGTGTCGCACCTCAGGCAACCTGCCACATTGTGCGCACATGTCCAATGGCAGCAGTCATCTGTGGCCCAACGAAGCTCTGTGGTGGGTGCAGCAATTCGGCTCAGATCTCGAAACGGGCCCATCACCGCCTAGTCTGCTAGATAGCGTCCTGAACGGGCATGCTCGTTCGTCTGGTAGTCTGGGCCAGCCGGATGGACCTGTACCTTGGGTAGGGTACGGAGGCTGGAGATCCATCTGCTGCTGCTCCATTATCAGCAGTCTGCTTGTCCAAGACTCTGCCTTGCTGTGAATGACTCGGGCCATCTGTCTTACCTACCTCATGGTCAACATGATTCTTCAATGGAAATAGACCGAGTGCTGGGCCATTTTTCGAAGAGACCTGGACCACCTACTCACCTAGGAGCCCGGTAGGTACAAGGTATTTGCTCATGTACATACTCCGTACAGGGTTGCCTGACCAGCCCACCGAGTGGGCTGGCTTGGCTGGGTACCTGGGTAGCATACGCTAGGGGACGTTAGCTATGGCGGGCTGGAGAAAGGAACGAGCAGGGGTCCCCTTATCGCGACCGACCGATAAAGATTTTCAAATCTTTTCGGTACGAAATCGACTTGAACTTTTCTAGCTGCTGTCTTGCATTGACTGCATGGAATTCGCCTGCGTTTCCCCTGGTCTGCTCGGGAAGTTCTGACGAAGGGGCAAGACTCTACGACACCAGACTGTCAAGGTTCCGCATTCCTGACCAAGTGTCGCCCCTTCTGTCCGCCACGACGTGGTGTAAGTTCACGCCCAGGGAGGGTGCACGTCACAGCACCTCTGACCTTCTCACAGACCAGACTGCCCGTCATGGCTCCTCCAAGGACCAAGACCCAATGGGATCACCAGTACAACACCCTGCGCCGTGAAGACCTATTCCGGAATCCTCCCACAGATCACACCGCATATCCTCTCCTACAGATCGCCGTCAACCCCCACATCGAGTCCTTCAACGCCCTCTTCCCCTCCGATGGAAGGCAAGGTCTCATAGCCCATGGTCTGGCAGACATTGGAGCCAAAGTCTACTATGATAGCCCCGATGGCACCTCCGCGAACGCGAGGAACAAGTTGACGATCCGATACAAGAGCGTACAACTTCAAAAGTCGATGCTTCCACCCTCCAACAAGTTCGCAAAGACGCGCGAGATCTTCCCTGCCGAGGCTCGTGAGAGACATGCCACATACCGCGGCAAGTTGACGGCCACTCTCGAATACACAATCAATGACGGGGACCCTTTCGAGTTTGTCCGGGAGTTGGGAAATATGCCCATTATGATCAAGGTAGAGATAATCCTCGGCCGCCACGAATCTTGAACAACCTTCTCACAAGTCAACAGTCAAATAAGTGCCACTTGGAGAACAACTCTCCCGCTCTTCTTGTGAAGAGGAAAGAGGAATCCGAGGAACTCGGCGGCTACTTCATCGTGAACGGAAACGAGAAAATCATCCGAATGTTACTGATGAACAAACGGAACTACCCTCTCGCCATCAATCGTCCGAGTTTCCAGAACCGAGGACACGCATACACCCCCTACGGTATCATCATGCGATGTGTTCGACCTGACGAGACATCCCAGACGAACGTCCTGCACTACTTGAATGACGGCAATGTGACCTTCCGGTTCTCTTGGAGGAAGAACGAGTACCTTGTTCCGGTCATGATGATCATGAAGGCATTGGTCGAGACCAACGACCGGGAGATTTTTGAAGGCTTGATTGGTCTGGCGGGCTCGAAGGGTTCCGAAAACACGTTCCTAACGGACCGTGTCGAGTTGCTCCTCCGCACATACAAGAGCTACGGGCTGTACAGCAAGACGAAAACACGATCATACCTCGGAGAGAAGTTCAGGGTCGTCCTTGGAGTTCCAGACACCATGTCGAATTACGAGGTGGGCACAGAGTTCCTGCGCCGGATCGTGCTTGTCCACCTGGGCAACGTCAACGTCACCGAGGAGCAGGACGCCGACAAGTTCAAAATGCTCCTGTTCATGATTCGAAAGCTGTACGCCCTCGTCGCTGGCGACTGTGCTGTGGACAATCCCGATGCTGTTCAAAACCAGGAGATCCTTTTGGGCGGTTTCTTGTACGGCCAAATATTGAAGGAGCGTCTAGACGAGCTCCTTTCCGTTGGTGTCAGGGCTTCACTCAGAGAGTACTTGAGGAAGAAGCCTGGCAACAACTTCACATCAGACCAGTTTGCCAAGGATTTCCCGGCAGCAATATTCCGGAAGACGACAGAAAACCTCGGGCAGCTTTTGGAGTATTTCCTTTCCACGGGCAACCTGATGAGTCCTTCCGGTTTGGACTTGCAACAGACATCGGGCTTCACTGTGGTTGCCGAGAAGCTTAATTTCCTGCGATTCATCAGCCATTTTCGCATGGTCCATCGTGGTAGCTTCTTTGCTCAACTGAAAACGACAACAGTCCGAAAACTGCTGCCGGAGTCTTGGGGTTTCCTCTGCCCAGTACATACCCCTGATGGTGCTCCTTGTGGTTTGCTCAACCATCTGGCCCACAAGTGTCAAATTATGACGAGCGGGGTAGACGCGTCCTCGGTCCCACAGCTGGCTTTCGAGCTCGGTGTGGTTGGGATATCTTCGGCTGCAACGGACGAGAGTGTCGTTGTAATGCTCGACGGAAGGATCATCGGCTGGTGCAATCCCCAGCAGTCCAAGCGTATCGCCGACACTCTGAGATTCTGGAAGGTGGAAGGTACTCACCGGGTGCCCAAGTCCCTCGAAATCGGTTACGTGCCGCCTTCAAAGGGAGGGTCTTATCCTGGTATTTACATGTCCTCTCAACCTTCGAGGATGGTGAGACCAGTGAAGTACCTGCCGCTGGAGAAGGAGGACTTGGTTGGCCCATATGAGCAACCTTACATGTCGATCGCCTGTGTTGAGAATGAGATCATATCCGGAGAGTCGACGCATGTCGAATTCGACCCTACTAACATCTTGTCCATCTTGGCCAACATGACCCCATTCTCCGACTTCAACCAATCTCCTCGAAACATGTACCAATGTCAAATGGGTAAACAAACCATGGGAACTCCAGGAGCTGCTATCCGTCATCGCACGGACAACAAGATGTACCGTTTGCAAACCGGACAGACGCCTATCGTGAGAGCCCCTCTCCACAATGCCTATGGCTTCGACAACTTCCCCAACGGCACAAACGCTGTCGTCGCAGTCATATCCTATACTGGTTACGACATGGACGACGCTATGATTATCAACAAATCCGCACACGAAAGGGGCTTTGGACACGGCACAATCTACAAGACCAAGAAGATCAGTCTCAAAGACGATTCAAGAACTCGGTCATCCGCCACGATAGAGAAGATGTTCGGTTTCGCACCAAAAGGAACGACTCGGCCATGGCACCGTGACACGCTCGATGAGGATGGTCTCCCTTATATTGGCCAGGAGTTGAAGGCTGGTGACCTTATATGCGCGTGGCACACTGTCTCTCCCGACGGGCACGGCGGACTGGAGAACAAGGATGGAATGACGCACTTCGAAAAGTACAAGGAGGATGAAGTTGCGTACGTTGAGGAAGTCCGGATAATCGGCAGTGAGAACGGCAACGAGCCCGCCCAAAACCTGTCCATCAAATTCCGGATACCCCGTTCTCCCACCATTGGCGACAAGTTCTCATCTAGGCACGGCCAGAAAGGTGTTTGCTCTCAAAAATGGCCGTCCATCGATCTGCCATTTTCGGAGTCGGGAATCCAGCCTGATGTGATTATTAACCCTCACGCTTTCCCGTCTCGTATGACTATTGGCATGTTTGTGGAATCACTTGCGGGTAAGGCGGGTGCATTGCACGGCCTGGCCCAAGATTCGACGCCCTTCAGGTTCGACGAGCAGAACACCGCCGGCGATTATTTCGGTCACCAGCTGATGAAGGCCGGCTACAACTACCACGGAAACGAGCCTATGTACTCTGGAATCACTGGTGAGGAGTTCGCTGCGGACATCTACATCGGAGTCGTTTACTACCAACGTCTCCGTCACATGGTGAACGACAAGTACCAAGTACGAACCACTGGACCAGTGGTGCCTCTGACGGGTCAGCCCATCAAAGGCAGGAAAAAGGGTGGTGGTATCCGTGTCGGAGAAATGGAACGCGACGCTCTTCTCGCCCATGGTACCGCGTTCCTCTTGCAAGATCGGCTGCTGAACTGCTCAGACTACACAAAGTCGTGGGTCTGCCGCACGTGCGGCTCTTTCCTTTCTGTGCAGCCAACAGTCACGCCGTACGTAGGCAAGAAGAAGACCATCGACACCGTCCGATGTAGGAACTGTGCCAGGCGGCTCGATGATGAAACGGATCTCACAGAGTTGGATGGTGAGATCTGGGAGGACGGTCAAGGTGTTCAATGGGTCGGCGGCGAGGACACGACCGTAATCGTCGTGCCTGGTGCGCTGAAGTACCTGGATGTGGAGCTCGCGGCCATGGGAGTCAAGCTGAAATACCACGTCGACCCGGTCGACAAGGACCGCCCTGGGAAGCGGGTGAAGAAAATTGGACTGGACGGATGGAAGCAAGATGCACCGGCGGTAGCAGTTTCTTCATAGGAGGACAAGGCAAATAGCATACTCGTGGTTTAGCAATGGTCTGTCTAATTTAAGGTCGCACCGATATTGGGTGAGTTTCCGTGGGCAGAGGCCCGCCCAGGTCAACCGGTATTGTTTGGCGACGCCCAGGATGACCCAAGATGGCGCCAGGAAAGCCATGAGGCTTTCTGTCAACTGTCAAAATGACGAGTTCATCACCACTCAGGCTGACAGGGACGCAATTTTTCGCTACCAGTGCTCCCTCCAATCCCAGACAGGGTCGCACATGCGAGGCAAGCTGCATAACCGAGCCCTTTGTTGAACTCGAGGCTCATGTGTGCTGCCGCCCGAGAGCAGCGCTGCTCGACGGGAGCCATGTCTTGGAAAAATCTCCTTTTGTCCTCGCGTCATTGGCATCGCCTGCACGCGTGTCGCCCTCGCATCACACGCTGCTTGGCGAGAGGAGGAAAAGGTGACTGCCGTGGTCTCAACGAGGGAGGCAGAAGGCACCAGATATGTGCCTCGTTGCAATTTGGCCATTGTTGGACTCGGCCTTTAATTTCCAACGGCGTTGCTTTTTTCTCGGGAGACGGCCTGTCTGATCTCGGGAAAAGCACGACCGGCAGGGTGTCCTGAATAAATGAGCGGCATATTGGGACGGCCGCGACCTGCAGAGCTCCCGGCTGGCTGGCGCAGCACGCCTCATCGACCGTATGGTCTCGGCTTGTGTGTGCTGTGCGTGGCCTTTTATATCCGAAAGACAGAGGGCCGAGAGGGAGGCCGTGGAGGCCCGAACGACTGACAAGCTTTTGGCACTCGTCTGGAAATAACGTGGACTGGATATCCCAGGGCTGCTCCTTCCTTCCTACCTTCGTTTGTCTTCGGACGACTGACTGGCAGTCACTCCTTTCCCAAGTGAATCCGCTTCTATTTCGTTTTCTGAGAGATTTAGGGTATTGCGCACGCATTAGTAGCCCTGTCACTGGTCAACACCACAGCTCCGGCTCGTCTTTGGCAACCTCACCCTTCCCTTCATACTTCGTGGTGATATCACTCTTTGCTGTCTGTCAACTGATCCGTTCTTTTTCGGAGGGTCGTTGAACACCCTCCCTTTCCAACCGACAGCTGCCAACTCAGCACACTTTCACCCTGCCACACTCTACCAGAGGGTGCCGGCCATCTTGCCAGTCAACTCGACACCACGCGTGACACGCATCTTTCTTCCCCTCTCATACATGCCATCCTTTATTGAAACGAAGAGATGTCGTCTCACAAACAGAAGAGTCACGGCTTTTGCATTGTTTGCATTCTGTGCTGCTGTATGATTTCTCTGGCTCTTGGTCAGTCATACGACTATAAATTCAACGTCGCTGAAGCATATCACACAAAACGGCAGCTTGGAGGCAGTATCATCGTCACGACTGGGATGCCAGTTGGCCCTGGACCGGTCCCCAGTCGGCCTGATATTCACGATCTCCAGAATGACCAGGACAAGTGGACCTTGTACATCCTGGCCCTCGACATGATGCAGTGGACAGACCAGTCATTTCCTACATCTTGGTTCGCCATCAGCGGTATGTTTCACTTGCCTCCTTTTGTCCGGACACCATGAACCACCCAGGTCTTTTCTCCCCAGTCTGACATGAGTTGTTTGAAACCAACAGGTCTACATGGTGTGCCGTTTGAGCCTTGGAGCGAGGTGTACCCAACTCCTGGCAATGAGTATACTGGCTATTGCCACCATCAAGACATTCTCTTTCCAACATGGCATCGTGCGTATGTGGCATTGTATGAGGTCGGTTACAGCATTCCGTCTAGCTATACATGGCTCCGCCACTTCAAATCTAAAGTATATCAGCACAGCACTGACATAGAAGTAACAGCAAGAGCTCTGCCAGCGGATGCAGTTCATTGCCACTACGTACTCAGGGGCCGCCAAAAACCGCTTTGAATCTGCTGCTGCCGACTGCAGAGCTCCATATTTCGACTGGGCCACACTTCCAGTGACCTCCAGGGATAGTATGCTTCCTGCCAGCATTGGAGGCAATCCTAAGATCAATGTTTCCGGGCCACATGGAACGCAGACCATTGATAACCCGCTCTTCGCCTACAGCTTCAAGCCCCCCAGCCGAGGGGTCTTTGAGAATGTGGCACCAGTGAGTAAAGAAATTGCGTCTTTTCAACTGGCACCTGGTACTGACACCGTTTTTAGTGGGCAGACTGGACGGCTACGAGGAGGGCTCCAACGAGTACACAGCCAGACGCCATGTCAAACAATTCCGCCATCAACACCAATCTTATGTTGTACATCAGCCAGAATCAGCAGAGGCTCTACAATCTTTTCACAGGTTACAGCAACTACACCATCTTCAGCAACGAAGGCTGGAGCATAGATGACACTAAACAAGACTCGCTCGAAAACCTTCACGACAATCTCCACGCCGAACTTGGGGGTCACCAGGGCCACATGACCATCGTCCCCTTTTCAGCTTTCGACCCCTTATTCTTCCTCCATCACTGCAACGTCGATCGCATATTTGCCATATGGCAGGGGCTCCATCCGGATGCGTGGATTGTCCCTGAGGCTGCCCGGGTCAACTCGTACACCACATCCGTTGGCCAAATACTCGATTCCGCCTCCCCCTTGACGCCATTCTACTCAAATGTCAACGGGGACTTCTGGACCTCGGACATGCTCCGCGACACTGCAGCTCTGGGGTATACATACAGCGAGCTGGCCAGTTCGGGGATATCGCTGTCTAACAAGACCTCGGTCCTCAACGGGCAGGCTCAATTGACCACCATAGTTAACCGACTCTACGACTCATACAGCCCGAACAGCCTCAAGGCCCAGTCTAAACGCTCCAACCGCCGCGGCAATCCAGTACGGCACGGCCGTGACGAGGAAGGGTGGTACATGGGTCGCGGCCGCCGATCAATAGCCTCACTGCCCGTCACGAAAATCATCTCGGAGCAGGGCAAGTACCGGGAGTGGATTGCAAACGTCCGAGTGATGAGGCAAGCCCTCGACGGGCCCTTCACAGTCAACCTCGACCTCGGCGGGCCGGACGGACAGACGCTCTACGTGGGCTCCATGGGCGTCTTCGCCTCGCCGCCCTCGATCGCGAGCCTGAAGAAGCTGGCGCCCGGGGCGGAGTACATCGCCGGCACCGTGCCCCTGACAGCGGCCCTCGTCGACGAGGTGGCAGAGGGGACGCTTGCGTCCATGGACCACGCGGACGTCGAGCCGTTCCTGCGCGAGTACCTTTCGACCCGCGTCGTCCGTGGGGACGGAGCCGAGGCTGACCCGGCTGGCGTCGCGGGCCTGAGCATCGAGGTCGTCAGTTGGCCCGTCCAGGCTACTTCGAGTGAGGAACAGCTGCCCACCTGGGGAGAGGCCGATTATAAGATTCGCATCATGTAGGGTGACGCCGGGGTGGTCAAGGGCGTCCAGTTGTCCGAGCTTCACCTGTCTTCGACCGTGACTACTCAACTGCGAGGGAGGGATATAATAATCACCATTCGCCCCAGGAATTCATTTGCTCTTGGGGCTGTACAATGTTTCAGCTCGTTTCGTCAGCGGCCGGTCTTGGGGAGGCGCATGTGGCCATACAACCCCGGGGCTATGCGCTCAAGAGATAGTTAATTTTTGTTGTGTTATTTCATGGTCCGCTTTATTGAGTACGGCACAGTGGGTTTAAGATAGAGGGACTGAACAGACTGCCCGTTCTGCCATCTGTTCGACGATCGACTCGGAAGGGAGGAAGTCATGCGAGTGATGCATGCACTCATATCGTTCTATGCGGGGAAGCTTTCAAGCATGTACTTAATTTCAACAGGAGAATGGTGTCCCTGACTGGTGTGTTTTCAAATTATTTTGCTCTTCTGGCCCTTTTGCGGACTGTTATACACCTGATAAGGTTGCGTCGCCCTTGACGCGGGTATCCCAATTCCTCAACGCCGTAATATCAAGCACCGTACTCCTAACAATGTGTTTATACAATAAGTCTTCTTTCCATGCCTCCTTTTTGTTACCCCAGCATGCATTCCTTTATAATGCAATGCCATGCAGTCGCGGACCATGAGATGCAAGCCCGGTATTGTAAATCAGTAAAAGATCAGTCTAGAGCTTCTCCGCTCAGTATGCTCCTCAGGATATCAGCCCCGAGCCCGTCGACAGCCTGATTGATTTCTCTGTCTCCGACGCAGCTGGCCACCCTCTTGTCGTCTGCAGTACCGCCCACAAAAGCGGCTTTCCTTCCGCCTTTCCTGCCACTTGGGGTACCTGGCTGTGACCCGGCGACGAAAGATCCGTTCTTCCCGTCAACGGCGGCAACAAGAGACAAGGTCTCCAGGCTGCCCACGACTTCCCGAAATTCGGAGCTGGAAAGTGGGTGCAGCGCCACCGCGTCGGATCGCTTGCAGAGAAGAGCATATGTGTCGAACAGCGTCTTGATAGTAGGCGCCGTGACATTGGATTTCGATGGCGTCCTAGGAGATTTGCCAGCTATGCCAGATGCGCTGTTTTGAAAGGCTTCGCGATTTCGTCTCTCAAGTGCGTGCAGGGCACACAGGGCGGCCTTCTGCTGCAGGTTCAGCGTCTTGAGGCGCTGGTTGGCACCATTGCTGAAGGCCGCCGCCGTCACTTTGTTGAGGTGAGCAATGCTGACGCGTGGTGCTGTCTCGACTGTGAGAGAGCGCAGAGAGCTGGACACAATAGACGAAACACTTCTTCCAGTCTTCTTTCCTGGCGATGTCTCGTTCTTCATCTCTCCCAGAACTTTCCGTGAAGGTGTCATCTGTAGAATCTGGTCCTTTGCATCAATCTCCTCATTCAGGCGTGTCTCATTCTCGACCAGGTCCAAGGCCCGTCGGCAGACCTCGAAGGCCTTACGCAGATCACCAGTTTGGCTGGACACCTTGCGGGAGCACAGCTCAATAGCGGCGGGATGGAAGAATGGAAGAAAGTCCGAGGCAGCTTTGTCGCTCGGAAGGAGACTCTTCAAGCGCTTTGTGATGATCGTCTTAACTTGCACCGCGGTATATGGCAGAAATGGCAGAAGTTCAGGCTTGAGGTTTCGTGACTTGAGACGCGGGAGGAAGCGGTCTGTGAGGTCCAGTGCGTTGGCGATGCCGACCAGGAGAAGGCGGGAAGACTTCTGCAACGACCATTCGAATACCTTGTAGAGACTTTCGAGGTCAAGAGACAGGATGTGGTCGATCTCGTCCAGTACCACAACGTACACGCTCGACGATTTCTTTTTCGGGACAAACATCTTTTGCAGCATCGTAGTGGCATCCTCCTCGGTCATCTCGGTCTCGTCACACAACGATTCCAATAGGGTGAAATAGAGATCCTTCGACGACTTGATGCTCATGCAGTTGACGTAGGCTTTGCGAACTGTCGATGACTCGGCGACCAATTCGTTGGAAACCTCGTTGACCATGGCGCTCTTACCAGTTCCTGGTGGCCCACTGACGTAGAGGCAGCCGTAGGGCTGAGACGAGTCGCTGCGCTCAAGAAAACTGCGCAGCGTGTTTCTCTCTTCTTCTCTCCCTATGAGCTGACCGGGGTCGGCGCTCCGTGAGAAGAGTTGTCGAGCTTGGTGGTAGATGGTCTGCGATGTTGAAGGTGTCTGGGGGGTCTTGGGTGTCATCCGACGGGACAGCTTGCCCACAGACATGACCCTGTGTCGAGGGGTAACGGGCACTTTGGCGAAGACATCCCGGTGACGAGGGGTGGAAGGCGTTATGGGAGCCTTGGCATCTGTGGGAAGACACCGTCAGCACGAACAGTAATTGGGCCTCCAGCGGAAGCATGTCACTCACGATAGTCTGATGCCTCGAATTTGAAGATGTCTCTGGTACGGCGTGCAGACGGCGTGCGGGTCACGGATGGGCTGAAGAAAGCGACTTCCTCCGAATCCGACTGGTCATCGGCCTCTGCCTCGATGTCGATTGTGGTCTCGGGGTCCTCGTTCTCGTCATTGCCTTGCTGGAAGCTCCTAGTGCGCCTTGTGCAGCGTCTGGTATTGGGCAGTTGCTGCTCCTTGAGGTCAGGAAGCCCTCGGGTCCTCTTGCCCAGTACGCTCACAGCCATGGTTGTCGCTGCAGACGGTACAATGGAGGTAAACTGAGATGCAGGTTCTGTACAATCAACGGCAGACCAAGGCGGAAGGCATGAATGAAGGGGAAGGTAGAGGTTGTGGGGAGGGATGTATGTACAGATGTGTGTGGAAGGAGAGACTGGCAAAGAGAGGCTTGGTAGAGCTGTCGCGCAAAGAAGTAGCTTAAGGACCACTTAAACTCGGGCGCGTCGCGACTTGCCCCCTGAGCGCGTTGTCGCGTTGGAGTGGGTACCTCAGCACCCAGACTGCCAGACCGCGCGCCGCTCGGGCCAGGTACGTCGGTACATCGTTAATGGGTTTTGTGGTCATAGCGCCTCCCGTTTCCCCACTCTTGATTGCTCCTGGATAAGGCCGGCACGGCGTTCTCCCCATTCTTCGGCCGCAAGCGCCCGTCTTATGAACGGAATGAATTAAAGAACGGGTTTGAGCGGCGAAGATGGAGTCTACTCAGCATCTCGCCAGTGTTTCCTTCCTGCGTCCAATACCATGCCTGCCAGAGCGTGATTGCTCCCAAATAAGACCATCATTCTTACTTGTATAGTTGAGTCGGAAGTGCCTCGATGTTCCTGGTGACAAAGACGGGACGGTGAGCAATTTCAGGGGCGTGGTCGCCAGGATGGATGCGGCCCGGGGTTCAGGTATAGCAATGGGATACAATTCCGCGGTTGAGAAGCTAAGAGAAATCGAGTATCCCATGCTCAACGGTATGTCATCTGGGAACATCGACATCCTCGAAACTAGAATATGGCATGCTGACCCAGTTAAGGTTCTGTTTATCTCGACCATGCCGGAACAACCTTGTATCCCAAGTCCCTTGTGGACGAGTTTGCCGCCGAGATGACAAGCAGTCTTCTCGGAAATCCGCACTCGACATCACCTTCGTCTCAACTGTCTACGGCTCGTATTGAGGATACTCGGCTGCGGGCCCTTCAGTTCTTTAATGCTGACCCGGAAGACTTCGATCTCGTCTTTGTGGCGAATGCCACGGCTGGCATCAAGCTCGTGACTGAGGCGTTGAGGGCTGTCCCTGGAGGTTTCGGATATGCGTACCATCAGTCAGCTCACACAAGTCTGGTTGGCGTACGTGAAGAGGCTCGGACTAGCATTTGCCTGGACGACGCCACGGTTGGGGAGTGGCTGGCTGGCCGGAGGCCCTTTCGGTCTGAGGCGGAGAGCATTCCTACCACGCTTTTCGCATACGCTGCGCAGTCGAATATGGATGGTCGGAGATATCCATTAGATTGGCCGCAACGCCTCAGAAACCTCGATTGGCCATCCGACACCTCCTTTTTTACGATCCTAGATGCTGCTGCTCTCGCACCAGCCGCGCCCCTGGATCTCAGCAACCCAGACGCAGCTGCAGACTTTACGGTGCTTAGCTTCTCGAAGATATTTGGGTTTCCAGACCTTGGGGCTTTGATAGTGAGACGGCAGGCGTTTCCCATCTTCGATTCAAGGAAATACTTCGGCGGCGGTACTGTAGAGACAGTGGTCACCAACAAAGAGCAATGGCATGCTCCCAAGACTCATCGACTACACGAGCGCCTCGAAGACGGCACACTGCCTATCCACAGCATCATGGCCCTGGATATAGCGATGCGCACTCACCGGAGGTTATTTGGTTCAATGTTTGCCGTGGCATCTCATGTCTCATACTTGACGCGGCGTCTACACGAAGGCCTCAAACATCTGCGTCACCACAATGGCGTCCCCGTGTGCCAAATCTATTCGCCGGATCAAGGTTTGGATGAGGCCCTCTCATCTGGGCCCACCATAGCATTCAATATACGCAATCAGGCCGGAGCTTGGATCAGCCTCGCCGAGGTCGAAAAGTTGGCGGGCCTGAAGAATTTCCATATTCGAACTGGAGGAGTGTGCAACCCCGGTGGGATCGCTTCTGCTTTGGATCTTGAACCTTGGGAAATAAAAAGGAATTTCTCTGCTGGTTTCCGTTGCGGATCTGAAAACGACATTATTGCAGGCAAACCGAACGGTATTATAAGGGCTAGTCTTGGTGCAATGAGCATTATTGCTGATGTCGATGCATTTGTGGCATTCATCGCAGAGTTCTATTGCGAGCAGACTTCACTTGATGAGGTGCCGCGAGACACAAAGCCCTCCCGGACGGAGTCACAGCACGACCTGTTCGTTGCTGGCATCACCGTATATCCTATCAAAAGCTGCGGCGGATTCATCGTTCCGCCTAACACAGCCTGGGAAGTGCGACCTGAGGGCCTATTGTGGGACCGCGAGTGGTGTCTGCTACATAGAGGGTCCGGCCAAGCCTTGAGCCAAAAGCGTTACCCCAGAATGGCCCTCGTCAAGCCATTCCTGGACTTCGAGACCGGGCAGCTGCGTGTAACATATACTGATAGGCTGTCAGATCAGAGTCAGCCTCGAACAGTATGCGTACCCTTGAGCTCCAACCCGGCCTTATTCCATAAATCATTGTCAACAGCATCATCATCGCACCGGCCGCTTTTGTCCCGTGTATGTGGCGAAGAAATCAGCGCCAAAACTTACATCTCGGAAGAGATCAACAACTTCTTCTCTGAAGTGCTAGATGTTCCGTGTGTATTGGCGCGCTTTCCGCCGGGAGGACAGACTGCCAATAAAAGCGCACGACATTCGAAGGCGCACCTGCAAAAGCATCAGAAGAATCACGCTGGCCGGGACAATAGTTATGAAAGCAATCATCTGCCAACCATACCAGCTATCACTCCGCCCTCGCCTCCAGACTCCGACGCTGAGCAAAATGATAGGCGGAAGATCTTGCTCTCAAACGAGTCGCCTATTCTAGCCATCAACACGGCCAGCTTGCGAGCTCTCAACAACGAAATCGTTCAGAATGGAGGCAACCCGGTTCCACCTTCGGTCTTTAGAGCAAATATCATACTTGATTCGCCCGGCAACACTAACGATGGTCTCGATCTTGCTTACGAGGAAGACAATTGGTGCAAGATCCAAATAGGACATCAAGACTTCAAGATGCTTGGCTCATGCCGCCGGTGCCACATGGTTTGTATCAACCAAGATACCGCGGACAAGAGCCAAGAGCCTTTCGTCACGCTATCGAAGACGAGGAGATTCGATGGCAAGATTTTCTTCGGGACGCATATGTGCCACGTCCCTCAGAAAAGCCAGACGTTGGCGGCTTCGACCCGGGAGTCGCAACATCCGACTGTGGCAGTAGGTGATCGAGTGGTTGTGGATTAAGCCGAGAGGCTCATACAGCCAGATATAGAGAGCAAAACGCGCACTCCAACTTCACGATTCTCAATCAAGGTTATAGGACCGTATAGACGATAGCATACTTTGTGCCTGTTGACCCCCGACACCTTATGCATGCCGGGCTCAAGTGACATTGGAGACTCACACCTGTCCTACTGCGGAAGCATCAACTAGTGACCACTGCTGTCTAAGCTCACTCGCTCATCGTCTATTCGTATTCATCAAAGAGTTGTGGGCCAGGTGACCACCTTTCGCACCGTCACATGTGCCAGCTGACGCTACTTTTGAAAGCCTTTAGTCTGTCAGTTGCTCGCGGATCTCCATGCTTCCTTCAACCAGACTACCGGCCACTAATTAAGTCTAGTGTACGTGATTATGTGTATGTATCCTTCCATGTTTGGAGATGAACCAACAGCAGAGAGGCTATCATGGACCAGCGCTGGTATGGAGTTTAGGGAGCCGCCAAATGCAGATGAAGTTTACCAGCGCTGTCCGTCAAATGGCAAAGACCACCAATGTGTTAATCACTGAAAATATATAAAGAGCTACGTGTCCGCATCTGGGTTTACTTATAAGGCCACCCGCCTGTTCCTATAATGTCAGCCTCTGCATGCTACTACAATCATGAGGCCTTCAATCATCGTTCCCGTCCTGGGCGCAGCAGCGGCTGCGTTCGCCGTGGCAGACAAGCCCACGGCGCTTGGCCTCAACTTGACCACCGCAGAAGCTGGAAACCCACTGTTCGATGGCTGGTATGCCGACCCAGAGATACGTGTATACGACGATGTCTTTTGGATTTACGCAACCACGTCCATTGCTTTCAAGGACCAGAAGCATTTTGATGCGTTCTCCTCGACTGATCTAATCCACTGGTATGGACACCCCGGTCCTGTCCCATAATCTATGCTGTGTATTCAAGACCGCTTTTTGGTTTCGAAAACATATGGGAAATTTTTACTCATATGGTTTCCCGGACGCATTAAATTGACAGCCTGATAGGAAGAAACATCCTAAGGTCCTGACCGCCGATGCTTTCCCCTGGGTCAAGGATTCAATGTAAGCAACTTCTGGAGCAATTCTTACCCCTTCAAGAACAGACACACCCTATTCTTAGCCCTCAAAGTAAATACTGCAGAGTTTACAGGGTTCAAAACATGCTAAGGATACCTTCTAACCCACTCTTTACTGTGCTGATGTGAATCCAATTCTCTGGCTCTTTGATGGCTAACTCCCATTGCTGCAGGTGGGCACCGACAGCAACCAAGGGTAATGATGGAAAGTACTACCTCTACTTTAGCAGTCATAACGGTGTACAATCACAGAAACAGCCAAATGCTGGATTGGCTGTTGCCGTCGCGGACCAGCCTGGGGGACCCTTTAGGGATGCTCTGAATGGCGCGCGATTGATCGATCATTCCATTCATGGCGCGTAAGCCTTTGCATTTCTCTCACCCTAGAATCCTACACAACAACCCGAGTCGCCTTCCAAATCAAAATTACATGAACACGACACGTGTCTACAATACGTTGCTCAGAAGCTTCTGCTGACAATGCGTACAGGAATCCGATGGACTCGGATGCTTTCACTGATGACGACGGAAAGAAATACCTGTACTTTGGCGGAGGCGAGAGCTGCGTCGGCATACTCTCGGACAGCATGACCAGCTTCGTGGGGCTCCACGGAGAGGAGTCCCCCAAGTCAGACGCCGACACTTTCAAGAAAGTAACACCCAGGCCCAGCAACTACGTGGAGGGCACCAAGGTCTTCAAGCGCAACGGCACGTACTACTTGATGTGGTCGGAGAACGGGTACGGCGAGCCCACGTACCAGGTGGCCTACGCGACGTCCGCCTCGCCCCTGGGGCCCTTCAAGCCGCGGGGCTTGGTTCTCACGCAGGACCCGACCATAGGGGTGGCTACGGGCCATAACAGCGTTCTCAACATCCCCAAAACGGACATCTGGTACATAGTCTACCATCGGCGCCCGCTGCACGAGAGCAACGCAGACAGCCGCGTCGTCGCGCTCGACCGCATGTACTTCAACGAGGACGGCAGCATCAAGCCGATAGAGCTACTCGCAAAGGACAACTTTGACGATGGGGACCTCTCCGAACACCTGTGGCAGCGCAAGAGCGGCGACTGGCAGTTCCTCGCCGACGAGAAGCACAATGAGGGAGGCAAGTCGCTCCGCGGCTCGGCGGACCGGGACCAACCAGGGCTCATACTGATGGACTCGCACTTTGCGGACCTGGTCTACGACGTCGACATCACGCTCGAGGAAGAGGGTGCCGAGGCCGGGCTCACGTTCCGCACCGCGCCGTCGAGGAGGAAGGGCAAGCCTGCTCGGTTCAATGGGTATGCCGTCTGGCTTAAGGCGAAGACCGGAGAGGTCGTGCTCATCCACCAGAAGGGGAAGCGTAAGATGATTACCACGGATCTCGGGAAGAGTTCAGAACGGCACGTCAAGAATGGAATCAAGTATCACGTTCGGGTTGAGTTCAAGGGCCAGCAGGTCTCGGTGTTTGTGGATGATATGAAGGCGCCGATCATATCTGCCAGGGACGATAAAGATACCTCAGGCCAGAACGGATTGTTGGTGGGGACTGATCGCGCACTATTCGACAATGTCTCAATCCGACATACTTGATTCTGGTTGTCAACGACAGCCTACCGGTGGTTGGTTTTTGTATGGGGATCGGCCACAAGAGGGCATCCCACCGAAGGAAATCCTTCGACAGTCTGTTTTCAAAAGTTATCCTATAGGTCCATAGCAGTTTATCCTGTAGTCCGATAGGAATTTATCCCATAATGTCACACCATAGTCCCAAATGAGGTTGTCGAGCGGTCGATATGTCGGAACGGGAGCGGTCTGAAATCGTCTTGTAGACGTTAGCTAAGGGCAGGGGAATCTTGTTTCCCTGTGCCAATGGTCCCACACGCAGGCGATCGCACGATAATACTAGGGATACTATCACTACTAGCCACTCATCTCTGTTGTATCTCAGTGTAGGGAATCAGCGCAAGTCGACGTTTGCGTGGTATCCACTGGAGGCAGGGGAAAGGGGAGGGACCTATGCCACGCCCAACTCGACTCAGCTATCTAGACTGCTAAATTCAATCGAATACAGCGACCTCAGCATGGATGGATGGCAGAATCGTATACTCCATGGGTGCAAATCTGAGAAGATGCCTTGAAACCGGCAGCTCTGGTGAAGTGCACTCGAAAGGTGGGCGACTCATCGCTGGTTTGGCCTTGTCAGAAGCCCCTTTCCTTCTTTTTCTCCGTGTTTACTTATCCATCTCCCCATAGATTGGAATTGGTCTTCTCTTTGCCTTGACGTCTCTCAGGATCTGAGTCAGGGTTCTAACATGCCTGATCTGAGTGCAAGTTCCCCATCCAGGCCCATGGCGTTTCGGTGGCAGGTGACGACGCGTCTGCTATGTGAATAAACTCCCATCCATGGGGAGCGCTCGTAGCCTACGAAATAGCCTCTTTGTTGACTTTTTCGGACGTGTCCTTAACACGCTTCATGATCCGTATCTTTGGCACTGTCTTCGGCCCTATCCACCAGCCGCCCGTCATTTCTGTAATCCTGCGCCGTAGGGAATCAACATGAGCCGCCATGCCCACTCTTTGAATACCCCTAGGTTCCTCCTCTATGTGCGGAGCGCCGGGTCGTAAAATCTCGGGCCCAGAGAACCCCTCGACGACAGCCACTATGTCCCAGTTGCCGCCCTTGACGGCCTGGTCGTCCTCCATCAGGAGGTAATCAAACTTGGCCCAGAAGCTGGGGTCCGACAGAGTAGCTTCGTCTTCTGTCTTGTCAAGCACGAGTGACACTGACGGCTTGCTGTCGTGGCCGCTGACCACGACGTCCGGGTCCGTGGTCAGCCGGTGATGTTGAGGGAGTCCATTGCCCTGAGCGACTCCGAATAGAGTCACCCCTGTCATGCAGCTCAACACGTCTGCATGGACCGTCACCACAGAGGAAGACACTGCACTTTGGTCGTGCTCGATCATGCCGTGCAGAGCAGCGAGGGCGTCACCGCCAGGATAGTTCAAGCTGGAGGCAACAAGCATGACAGCGCTGCTGAGGAAGGTGGCAAGGATGGAGCCTGAGATGATGAGAAGAATGATGTTTCTGATTGCGCGCCGGCCACTTTCGTCAGCAGCCATCCTAGCGGGAATCTGGTTCACCAGGGTGGAGGCTCCGAGGGCGGCGGCGGCGGTCAATGGCGGGACGATGTAGAAGATGAAGCGGGCCTCCTTGTGCGGCTGAAGGGAGTAGATGGCCACAAACAGCAAGTTCGGGATGACCAGGCGTTGGGCTATGCGACCGTAGGCCTGAGAGTTGAGGGAGCACCAGACGAAGAAAAGCCCCAGAGGAGGGGATATCAGTTTGGGCAAAGCCGAAGTGAAATACCAATGCCACGGAGAGGTACCCCAGTTAGAGGAGGAGCCTTGCACGACATTGTAGTAGAAGCCCCATAATTCCGGCCAGATTGGCTTCTGCCAGAAGTAGGAGTCGATGGGAATAGAGATGGCCAAGGCGGCAACAAAGGACACGAGAAATGGGGGAATCAGTCTCTGGAGAGAGATCATGGGGATGATGAGCAACCATAGAGAATTTGTTGCAAGGAGAAGTGCAATCTCTGAGCGGAAGACAACGGCGGCGAAGACGAACAGAGCCAACGCCATGCGGATCCTGGGATTGGCCTTGGCGGGTTGCTTGTGGGGGAGCAGGAGGCCAAAGGCAAAAGTGGCTATATTGATACGATTTAGCGGGAATGGAGGAGAGTGGTATTCCTTCAGCTATCGTTGACTTACTCAGTCCGAAGGCAAACATGTTTGGCAAGGTCCTGGAGGCATAGAACATGACATGGAACTGGCTGACCTGCAGCACAACGTACCATCTGGCCACAGCAGGACCACAGGCATTTTGAAGCTGTCTCCTGAACCACAAGAGCGAGTATGCATTGAACCACCCAAGAAGGGCACGAACGATGAATTGGCCGTGCTCATGGCCGAACAGTGTTGTCAATGGCCTGGCGACGCCGGCGAGCAGCACGGGGCCGATGAAGGTCCTGGGCACAGCTCCGGGAAAGGCGAAGTGGTCGTAACTAGAGGACAGCTTCTGGTAGATGCTGGAGAGGGGGGTGCCATAGACAAGGACATCGTGGGCCGCCTGGATGTTGAAAGACTCCTCCACCTTGGTATAAGGAGCTACCCACAGGTGGATGAAGACGACCAGCGGGATGAGGAACAGTGAGAAGACAGCATAGTCAAGATGGCCTGCAGGCTTGTGGTGAGCACTCATCCATCTGGAGCGGAGACGGCCTTTCACGTATGGACTTACTGATAAGTGCCATACTGACTGAGCCTCAGCAGGCTAACAGCACCAGATGAGTAAGTCTGGTGTGCCAAGATCCAGAGACGAGGTGGGCTGTGATGGAGAGACGGGTCGGAGAGACGGGTCGTAGAGAAGTGCATATACCTAGGTGGTGAGTGCTGTGCTGTAATCCAGACAGTCCTGACAGTCTAGACTCGCCTTGTACTACTCCCGTTCCCCTGAGCCTGGGCTGCCCACAAGGGTCTCCTCTCCAAGGGTCCATGGAGCCCCAGCGGTGGGTGGACCCCTGAGCACCTGGCAACCTGGGCAGGGCCGACGACAGATGGCAGATTCGCCTGCAGCGCAGGTGCATCAGGTGCAGAGGCTCAATTCGGCTCGAGCTGCCTCCCCCCTGCCATCCCCTGTTTGACACCTACCTCACTTCACTCTATTTACTGGGCCTGCCTGGACTGAAGGCCTTCCCTGCCCGACCTCGAACTTGGCAACTTTTGGCTTTGGCGTTTGCTTCGGGACCTGGTCAAGCTGGCAGGCTGGTGCACCACATGTGTTAGTTACTGCACCTACCACGGTAGTGTGAACCGGATTCGATTTTCGATACGCACGTCCATCCCGCAACCGCAGCAGTCTAGCCTGTTTCCTCCACCCGGCGAGTACCACCAGTTGGCTGCTGTCCTCTTCGTATTTCCTCACCTGCAGCCCTGTCATCAGCATTACGGCCGATCCACCATCTTCGCCTTACTGTACGCTGAGCTCAGCACCGGCCCAGCCACACGGGCCAAGCCAGAAACGGGACACGGAGTACAGGACACTCACTCTATCTGCCAGCTTAGTTCGGCCTCGCTTCCAACAGCCCTGCCCACGGCCTCGACCCGACCCGATCCGACTCGACTCGACTCGACTCGACCTGGCCCGACTCTTGACCCAGCCTCGATCTTAACCTTTCAACAGCCTGCCCGGAATCGCATTGTATCTGGCTTCATACATTCTCGAGTCCGCATGCGCAAGGCGTGGATGGAGTAAGAGCCGCATCTCGCCAGCTGGCCCATACGCCAGAGATCGTCGCCTGCTCTCGTTCCCCAGCTCCAATCTATGACACTCCTCCCAGTAACTGGCTTGTGAGACAACACAGTCGCACTCATGGCGCGTGCCATGGGGCCCGTTCGTATGAAGAAGGCGAACCCCTTGACTCTCGCCATCGGCGCCGTCTTGGGCATCTTCATCCTCTACTTCCTCATCGTCCCCTCGGGCTCCGCCGCTGGCGGCAGTGGCAGCGGCATCTCCCTTGCCAACGTCAAGAAACCCACCGTCGCCAGCCATCCTCTGTCCCCGCCGACCTCGCCTTTCCGGAAACCCATCGCCGACAAGAATGGCAGATCTGCGCCCCCGCCCGTCGTCCACTACAATCTCAACAATGTCACAATCTCCGCGAACCCCATCGAGAATAACGAGAACGTCCTCATCCTCACCCCGATGGCTCGCTTCTACCAGGAGTACTGGGACAACCTGCTGAGACTCACGTACCCCCACCAGCTCATAACATTGGGCTTCATACTGCCCAAGAACAAGGAAGGAAACGAGGCCACATCATTACTGCAGGCGCAAATAGCAAAGACACAGAAGTCTGGTCCCGAGAAGGACCGCTTTAAGAGCATCATCATTCTCAGGCAGGACTTTGACCCGCCGCTGGCCTCGCAAGACGAGGCTGAGAGGCACAAGATGCAGAACCAGAAACCCCGGCGCGCATCCATGGCCAAAGCGCGCAACTCCCTCCTCTTCACCACCCTCGGACCATCCGTGTCCTGGGTTCTGTGGCTGGACGCCGATATTGTCGAGTCCCCACCCGACATGATCCAAGACCTCGCTGCTCACAATAAGGCCATCATCGTCCCGAACTGCTTCCAGAGGTACTATGACGATAACAAGAAGGAGATGGCTGAGCGTGCATACGACTTCAACAATTGGAAGGACAGCCCCACTGCCCAGGAGATGGCGAGCAAGATGGGCAAGGATGAAATCCTGCTGGAAGGCTACGCTGAGATGCCCACGTTCCGAGCGCTCATGGCATACATGTACGACGAACGGGAAGACCAGCACCTTGAGGTTGAGCTGGATGGTGTCGGAGGCACGGCAGTGCTGGTCAAGGCAGACGTACACCGTGACGGAGCCATGTTCCCTCCTTTCCCGTTCTACCATCTCATTGAAACGGAGGGTTTCGCAAAGATGGCAGCGCGGTTGGGCTGGAAGTCTATCGGTCTTCCCAACTACAAGGTGAGTACTCCCAACCTTTCGATCATGTGCATGACAGTGCAACTGATGCGGAGCTCTCTACAGGTCTACCACTATAACGAATGATGTAACAACATTACAGTCTACTCACTCCATTATCATTATAATCATCAGAACAAGCACCGTCATCATCCCAGTCGGCGTCGGATTGTCTTACTACAGGTCTGGAAAATCCCATGCATTGAAAGTCGCACGGGGAGGCCATGGACCACATCAGAATCATTCCAGGTCGGCACGCACCGAGCCGTGCTATGAGCATCACGGCGAACGGGGCGGAACACTAGACGGTGTATGCTGGTTTTGGCATTCTATTTTATTCGTTATCCGGCATCTGGTAGACACTGAGTGAAACGCAATGCAAGGAATGGCGTCCTGTGAATGAGTTCGGGAGGTAACCAAGAGAATTGGCTGGCCATCTACGAGGTCTTAGACGGAGGGAGAGGGTCGTTTGAGCACGGCCATCTGTATGTGTGGTCGATCGACTACAGGGTCTAGCGAAGCCTGCGGGAGCTGGTGTGTGATGGTAGCACAATCGACGTTGCGACTGCGAGAGCCAATGCGCGGGGCAATTGCCTCATGTTGAGGGCTCCTAGTATGAAAGAAACATACCCAAATGCTGACTGTTGGCCGCAACGCCGGATTGCTCAGGGTGAATCTTGATAAGTGAGACCACGCACATCTGCCCATGCCAATCCTATGGACATTGTCATTGTGTACATTGTGAACGTCTGAGGAAATTCCTCTAGCCCCCAGATATATCCAAACTCCAGACTCCGTGCCCAGCCAGCCAGCCGTTCCTCATCTCAATTTCCCAATCGGGAACCCTTGATCACCCACGTCGAGGCCCATGCATGCTCCGCCCGCACCCCGACACCAACGGGCGAGCTCCGTCTCACATACCCCATGCACACAACACACACACACAGACACACACCCTCATGCGCCGTCGTACCTCCCCTCGCGGGAGGAACACCACAGCTCCACCAGCCTCCGGGCGCCGACGGCGTCCCCGTCGCGGAGCAGGGCGGCGCAGTCGACGTTGAGCGGGGAGTCGACCTCCGGGTGGGGCAGCAGGCCCTCGCGGACAGCGCGGACCGTCTCGAGCACGCTGTAGGCGGGCGTCCACGCGTCGGCCAGCAGGTCCAGGCAGATCTCGCCCGTGTCGAGGTTGATGTTTGGGTGCACTATGGGCGTGACGAAGCGCACCGCCGGCGGGGACAGCGGGTAGTTGGGCGGGATCTTGATCGAGAGGAGCCAGCGGCCTTCTGGATTCGTGTTGCGTGCCGGGGTTAGTTGGTTTGTCTGTCTATCTAGGTCGGGATGATGGAGTCTCATAGGTCCTCTCCCTCGCTCTCCCCGCCCCCCCCCTTCTATCCTGCCAGCTTGTGCATGGATGTCTCAATGACTGACTGACTGGCTGACTGACTAACCTTCATACCCGCCATCAATGCCTCGGCCGTTGAACACGGCCTCCCACACCAGCAGGTCCTCCTCGCCCACGGGGCCGAGCCGCTCGATGCCCTTCTCGTCCTGCGCCTCTGCCCGCCACGTGTCCAGCTCTTTTATGAGACGCCGCGCGGCTGAGCGCGAGGACGACGCGGACGCGGTGGACATTTTCTTTTTTTTTTCGGGGCACCGGTCGGTCGATTCAATCGATGGGGACAGCGGCGGCGGCGGCGGTGGGTCGGTCGGGGCGGGCCACACTCTCAGCTGCCCTTGCCTGCCCGATTTCGATATTGGGGGGGAGGGGCGGGGAGGTAAAACAGCAGGCTACGACCAGTGCCCAGATATGACCAGAGCTTCGCTTCGTATGTTCGTACTCGGTATACGATCGATCCCCGATTGGGCGGGCCGTGGGGATGGGCGCCAGCTGATGCGTGTCGTCTAGTTCGTCCTGGATGTTTGTTGGACGTGTCTGACGTGTGTGCACTGATTGCCAGCAGGCAAGTGACCTTGGAAGTGAGCCCCACCCCCGAGCTCCTACGAGGTAATTGAGCTGCGCTGCTGCGTCAGGTACGAGATGGCTGGATGGAGGGGGCCGGGCCAGGGGTCTAGCTTCGGCCGAGGCACTGGCACTGTTGGCAAACTTGGCTGGGTCCGCGGGGCACTCTCTCCCCCAGGTTCCACCACGGCCCTGCCCCATCCATCACCCAGAGATTGCCCGAGATGAGCGAGTGCAGCCCACGGATCCCGAGCTGGGTCTTGCACAATTCACTGTGTGGGCTCGCGCTTCTATTTGCGTAGATCATTCAAGGAACCACACTTTTATGTACTTTGGATCGTCATTATTATGTCTACGTAATTTGCGTATCCGACGTGCCCTTTCTCTCCCCCCTTCGACTTCCATCCTCAATGTTCTAAAGACTCAAGGAGGCTGGGTCGTCCTCAGTGCCGCGCTGAGCAGCCAAGCAAATTAAGATGAGGAAAAGAAGGACTCCCAAAGTCGCCCTCCCCCCCTTTTCTGGAATCTTTCCATTTGCTATGGGTCGGCCGCCTCGGCGCCCACCTCCTCTGCAAGGATATCTGTCCTCGTAGAATCGAAAGTTATAACCGGTCCATCACATCCTCATCTTCTCTCGGATTGCTGTGACCGTTAAACGTGACCCATGTTCCCCCCCCCGCCTCCCGTCTCCCGCCTCACCGCTTTCTGCGGGGCTCGAGAGGCCAATCGTAAACTTGGGTGTGTGTGCTGAGGTGTAGCCTTCCTGTTAGCATCGTTGCTAATGCCGGGTTCATGAATTGTGTGTAAAACGTGGGTGTCCGATTTCAATTGGTGCCTCGGGTGCTGTCGAGGTGATCCGGGTTATCCATCCGTCATATGAGCTCCAGAGCGAAAATGGTATTGCCCCCTAATGTAAACCGCCTATCATACAAAGTCCATGCGAAGAGGTTCCCTTGCTGTGCGCGAGAATGCCAATATGAAAGCCCAATGGTCCACAAGGAAATTCGTTTTACGTTTCATAAATGCCGGGGCCTGGTACGCCCCTTTGGTTGTGAATTTGCAGCTCCGAGTATCAATTGGGTCCGTTCACCAAATGATAGCTGTGCGGTCATGACTGTGCGTTCTCTTTCGGCTTCCAGAACTGCATCATCTTGCTGAACCGCCGGGACTTGCTGCCCTTCAGCTTCTTTTCCGACTCGCTGCTGAAAACTTCCGTCGATAGCTTGCTGCGCTCCCCGTGAGAGCTGCTGATCAGGCGGCCCAGGCTCGCCAGGCTGCCCCGTCGGCCACCACCAAAGGCCATCGCACTGAAAGACGCCGGGCGCTCCCCAGGCGCTGGGGCTCGGTTCATGTAGGCAGCCTGCTGAGCGAACAGGTTCTCTGGCGGCTGGTTGGAGTGTCTGCTGGAGATGGAGGGGACATCCATAGACTTCCGGACTTCCGGACCAGGCTCTCCCATGAGCAGTGACTGGAAGCTATCATCTGTCACTGACGATGGCGCAGTGGAAATGATGTTTGCGTCGTATGAGACTGGCGACCGAGGCGATGGGAAGGAGGACGACTGGGTGACCGACGAATAAGGGCTGACTGGCGCCAAAGAGGACGAGGTGGTATGTGAAGACGAGCATCCGTCCATCGGCGCTCTTGGGCTGACCGGCGATGACATGGGCGAATCCGGCGCTTTTATCTGCGCTGGGCGTCCAAATTCCACTGTCCTGAATTGAGTAGGAATGGCAGGTGGCTCCTCCTCAATGACTTGCTCTTGCAGAGAGCTCAGCGAAGTTCTCGACTTCATGCTTGCGGTGCGTTGAGACCTGCTGTCTTCTGGATCGCTGGCCTTCCGCTTGGCTACAAGCGATGCGTCAGAGCTTCGCCCGTCTGCCCCAAGCCTCTCCGCCGAGCTGCGTGTTGAGAAAAAGCCACTGACACTCGAAGTCTCGCTGTCCTTAGGACCAGTCGACTCCGGCTGGGGTGTCGATGAGCCAGAGTTGTCAGAATCCTCGTAGTACTCCTCCTCTTCCTCGAAAACATCTGCCATGGTAGAGCTGCTGCCAAATCTGTGGATTCCGCGGCGGAACTCAAATGGAGGCATCTCGGGAGAGCTTTGGGCTCGCTGGTGGTGAGTGTAGTGCATCCCCGGGCCGGTGAACCTGCTCAGGCCAGCAGCGCTGTGAAGTTGCCGCTTCACCAGGCCGCCGGCCTTCTGGGCTGCTTCCCACTCCGGATTCCGTGGTAAAGGGGTGTTGAAAGGCCCCAGCGCCGCATCAAGGTCGATCACAGGGTAGGAAGTGTCTTCCTCCGTCACGGGTCGGGGTGGCTTCCAAGCCTCCGTTCCCTCCTGGTCTTGGTCCAACTCTTCTATCATAACAGTAGGCATGGACGGCTCGCTCTTTGTGTCTGCAGAATCTGACGCCGTGTCTTCCTCATCCTCATAGCCTGGACGACTTGGAGGGGGGGTTGGCCCCCGGCGACTGGACTTCTTGCTCTTGCTTCTGCGACCCTTCGGCCTCTTGGTTAGTATCGAGCCTGCCCAAGTCTTGACTTTCTTCGGCTTCTTGCTCGACTTCTTGCCAGCTTTCTGTACTGAGCATTCTGTTGTCGTTGTTTCCTCATTGGCAGATATAGACAACGGCAGATCCGTCCTTGAGACCTCGCAGGAATTCAGGCTCACAGGTCGAGATTTTGATGGCGAGTGGGTTCCAGAGAATTGATCCAGGCCAAAGAACGACCATCTCTTTGCAATTTTCGTAGGGCTAGGATCAGGAGAGGCGGTGTCAGGAGAGGGAAGGGGAATACCAGAAAGCAGAGGTAAAGAGCCTCGCCGCTTTGGACCGGCGCGGGACATGCCTTCTTGTGGAGACGTCGGCGTACTCTCAAGCACAGCACCAGCTGTGCTCGGTCTGTATTCCGAGTCGGCGACTTGTGATGCGGTTGGCTCGAGAGGTGCCAAAGATTCATCCTTCTCTATGATGGGCGTGTTTGAGGCTGAAAGAACTGATGAGATGCTGCCCGAGAGGGAGTGGCCCGGGCGGACAGTTACGGTACTCGATGTGTCGCTCGAGACTAGGGAAAGTGGCCGAGGTATAAACTCGAGGGTATCCGAAAAGCCGACCCTGTTTTTGCTGAACGATTTCCTCCGTGATGGTGCGGCGGCGAGCCTAGGAAAGCCAGGTGTTTGGTCGAGTCCAGCACTCTGGGGCCTGTTGCCGCCAACTGTGTCCTCTGCGTCTGGTTTGACATCATCAGGACGCAGAATGGGGAATGAGAAATGCTTGTTGAGCTCTGGCCCGGATGGGCTTGATGGAGCACTGCTTCCTCGTGAGACATTACTCGAGTTTTTGGGGAGATTAAGCCCGGTGATACTGCTAAGGTCATGGCTAGACATGGCCGCAGATCGACGGTGGGCGTGACGATGAGCAGGTCCTCGCCGGGTTGGCTCGACTGGCCGGAGTTGGGGCGAGGCATTGCCGCCTTCTGACTTGGTCGGGCTCGAGCTCAAGACCTCCATCCTGGCGTTGCCGGATCGGTATTCACCTCCGACAAACTCGCTCCCTCCGCGCCTGTGGGTTCCCCTTGCGGGGGAGGGCCGTGGCGACTGCTGGGGAGACGGGGCGTTTAGGAACTCGTGGGCTGGCAAAAGCGTGGCGGTTGACGGGGCGAGGTTGGCCCCGGGGTTGAACGAGAATGCGGGCAGGGCGGAGGAGCCCTGGGAAGGCATGTCGTCGTTCCTGCCAGCGGCGAGCGCTGCCAGGCCTGGCTCGATTGCAGACCTTGGCCGCCTGCCGGTGGCACGGGAGTATGACGACGGCGCGGAGGCAGACATTGCCTTCGGTGGGAAAACGAATGGCGGGTTTGGTGGCGGGGCGGTCGCGTGGGATCGAGGAGACAACTCGGGGGCGTCCAGAGGGTCTCCGAGGCCTAGGTTGTCTCCATGAATAGGGATCGAAAGATGGCGTGGGTTGTGGACACGACCATCGTGGGGCATGTCAGGAACAATGGTGGTAGCCATCTTCACAAGAGCCGCGCTGCGGCCAGAGATCTGATGACTACTTGACCAAAGGTGACATGGGGTACCAAAATGGCTGCTCGGTCCTTCGGGTGCGACGACCCCAGAACTTCTCACTCGGGACGGCGGGAGACTTGGATTAGGTTGAATCGATCTTCGACTCGTTTTGGGTTTCGTGGGCTCAAGAGATGGGACGATTTCCCGTGAAATCCGACCTCACTATGCAACCGGGCCCACAGGTTAGCCGGTCTGCCTTTTCGTCTGATCGCAACGGTCAACCCAAGTCGGGAAAACGTTGAGAGAAACGGCAAACGAAGCAGGTGGTCGGATGGAGGGCTGGCAATGACGAGAGCGAAGCAGGACGGGCGGTTGTTTGTAGTACCTCTTGTGATGTGAGTGGCTGGCGGCGATGTCTGTCGCCTGGCCGGTGTCGTAATGCGAGATTGACTGGTCCCGTTAGGGTGCCCGGTCTGTGTACTCTCGTGGGTCTGGAGCGTAGCTGGAGTAGAGGCCGGAGCTGGAGTTGGTTCGAGGTCCGATTTCGAGTTTGCTCTTTCTTTGGTCGTCCCGATGTCCGGTTCGGTGGGAACGAAGCGAGAGAGAGAGTGCTGCACGAGGCGGAATTAAGGCAATGCTTTTTCTAAGAATCTAAAAAGGTAAACTGGATTAAAGGAGTGGACGGTCAAGACCAAGCAGGAAACCTATGGAGATTTCCCGCTGGAATTGAACCAGAGTTGAGGGTGAGGCGAGGATGAGGCCGGGGAAAGAAAGAAGGCGGGCAACCAGACCGAAGGAGGTGGTGGTGGCGGTGGTGATGGTGGGAAGAGAGACGGGCAGGCCACACAGGACAGAGCGAGAAGGCGGCGGCCGCGTGCGACTGGGCCGGCTGGGCTGGCTGGGTCGGTCACTGGGCAATGGGCAATGGCGGGCAGCTTCCAGGTTGGATGGGACTATGGGCAAACCAGGGCACGGGCAAGGCATAGCAGGGCATGGCCAGGCAGGGCAGGGCATGGCTGGCAACCGCGCTGGCACTGGGCTCTGGGCACTGGGAGGGGGGTGGACTGGGGACTGGGACTGGGACTGGAACTGGGAACAGCAAAACAGTGCACAGGCCCCACGCCAACCAAAACCGAATGGACCCACCAGATGGGGATGGCCCAAGGGACCAGCAGGGTGAGCCCCTGCTGGGCGTGTACCAGTAATTGTCAGGGCCGGAAAGGCTGAAGAGCGGGATTCGGCCCATGCTTGCTTGCCTCTTGTCAGCATGTACTGTGCATCGAGGTACTGTGTGGCCAGGGTTGTAGGGTGAAATTTGGCCCAGCCAGCCACTCCAGGCGAGCAGGCGAGTCGCGACAAGGGCCCGCCCACAGTTCGAGACAGCAAGGGAGACACGGTACCCCAGGCGGCCCCGGCTGCCCTGGCTCCCACCCTCCTTCCTGCCACTCCCTCCCTCCCTCCTTGCCTCCCTCTCAATCCCGTCCCCGGGTCCTTGTCTCAATCAAAAGACCCAGACTGACTGCCTATTGCAAATTAGGGAATTCATCAGAGAGGCCATGTGGTCGACATGAAGTTGCAACTTTGGAAATTGGAAGAGCCCATGGATTGATGCTATACCATTGCCATGGACATGCCAGGCTGTCACCAAGCAAGGGGGCCCGGCCAGCCCTTTGCCAGCTCCTGTCTGCCTCTTTTATGTCTCATCAGCATGACGGATGCCACTGCTGACGAGGGACATTTTTGTGATTCCTCGCAGATGAGATCGTGGAGTGAGGGAGTCCTTACTCTGGGGCTCTCGACCCTTGCCAAATCTTGGACGACCCAAAACCCGTCCAGCAACCCACACAGCGCACACAGTACAGAGAGCGGCCCCTGCTTCCCGATTCCGATGCCAACATGAGACCTTGGGCCCAACCTTGGGGGGGGAGGTCTCCCGAGGGCCCGCCTTGCAGTCGGTCACTGGACCTACAGTACACCAACCAACTACCTGGGGTAGACTAACTTGTTATAACTACCTAGGTACCTAGGTAGGCAAGAACTGTAGGTACGGGGTACTGTTAGATATGCTCTGGCATATGGACACAGCGCCTGGGTTGTGTACCATCCCCCCCAGAGGACATCAATCAGGTTGTCATGTTGTTCTGAGACGGGCTGCTGTGTGTTCAGTTAGGTACTTACTGAGGTATATACCTACCTAGGCACCTAGGCATAAGCTGTGGGTACGGGGTATAATGGATACCTAGGTATTCTGCCCCGGCAGCACCAGTGCGACCTCTCTCCGACCTGGCTCTGGAGCTTGTGTTATCTTCAATCCAGGCACGCGCCGCCTCTCATTCGCCCGCTCAACGCCAGACTGCAGGTCCAGAGAAGGCCCTTCCATTTTGGGCCGTGATGTTGTATCCAGCGCCGTGGAACCCCGCTATCAAGTTGCGATCTGGCGAGGTTAGGGGCGTATTTGCGGAGGCAGTGCCCTGAAAATCCCCATTTGTCAGGTCTGGGAGGTGCCAGCTGATGCACCTCGCTTCGGGACCCCTGCTGTCCATGCCAGGGCACACTCGGGGCACTGGCACTGTTCGTGTGTTCCTGCCGCCCAATGCATCTTCTTGCACTTGCACTTGCGCTTGCGCTCGCACCAGAGGGGAAAACGTGCACTGTAATGCTGTGCCTGGCCAGCACGCACGAGGCAGCGCACAGCTCACCGCACACAGTGCCAGGAGCGAGTGCGTGCGTGTGCATGTGTGTACTCCGTATGCGTGTACTCCGCATGCGTGTGCACAAGCGCTGCCCCTTGCAGCTGCTCCTGCTGGGCCTCTGCTGGGCCTCTGCTGGGTTTTAACGTCTCGTCTCAGCCGGCCATGACTGTGCTTGAGAGGCACCGAGGGCAAAAGGCTACCACCACCAACCACCACCCAGGCTGCCCAGGTTGCCAGGCCACCACGACGGGAACAGTTCGCCATGCGGGAACTGATCCATGTGATCGACGCCTCGAAGGAGCAAATCGCCGCAGAGATGGAGGTGGGGGGGGCAGCCGCCCACCGCCATCGCTTGGGACCAAAGGGCTGATGGGAAGGAAGATCAGCTTGATCGGCCATCCCTGGCTGGCCGCCCTCCCGCTGCATGCATGACGGTCTGGCCTGAACGTGGTCCAACACTGAATCGGATGAAACTGGCGCTGTTCTGTCCACGATCCAATGCCCAAACATCAGCGCTGCCAGGCACCAAGCAGGTCGAGGCGAGGTAGAATCGAGACGTCCAGATAAGTCTTGGTCCCAGCGCCTTGACGAGCTGCTATTCTCCTTCCGAGGAGCTAATATGGGCTCGGGTTCCGTGCCGAGTCCCGTGGTGTTTCGATCCATTCTTTGTTATGCCGAACACGGTTTCTTTGTCTACCGGATCTAATCATCCACTTGCCAGGCTTGCCTTCTCATGGATGCCTCAATTCGGCGGGAGGCGTCCTGACTGCCTGGCAAGGCGACAGACACCTCGACTCGACCCGTCCGAGTCGTCCGAATTGTCCGACTCGAATCGGGCCTGCCGCTGGCGTCGCAGTGCGCGGTGACACGGCCTGCGGCGGTTGCGTTCCTGACAGAAGGGGAAACGCCATCCGTCATCCATCCACGCTTTTCTGACCCGTCATGTGCACGCATTGCTTCATCGAGACAAAAGACCCGCCTCGTGTTCGTCTTGTCCCTGAAGCGTGCAGTGGCCTCGCAGCGGCCTGCAGCGGGCCTGCAGCAAGATGTGCCTCGTGGGAGACTTTACTCGCCAAGTCGGCAGCCCGGCCAGTCCTGTTGCTGCGTCTCCCTGGCGTTGCCCTGAGCACAGATTAGTGACTCTGGAGTGCATCGCGCTACGGATTACTTGGCCTGGAGGGGTCAAGTCGAAAAGCTAATCTTTAATCGGTCGTCAATCGCGGGCCTGGGAAAACCGGCCACGCAGCCACGACAGCCCGTTCAACCCGCTGTCTTCGGGCTTCGGCCTCGCCTTCAGCCTGGTGTGCTCTACTGCTGCAGCTAACGCAGCTGCTGCATGTTCGGCTGACTGTTCGTTCCTCACTACCTCAGGGTGCCGGATCTAAGCTGGTAGTCTGCCCGGATCTCACAACAGCGGTCAAATGTCATTGCTGTGGTAAGCCACCGGAGACATAACCCTGTTATACCGTATTTGATCTCTCGTGACCTCTTCAAGGTGAGAGAGAGTCAGGTGGGAAGTCAATTCGAACTCGATCCTATGGTTCCACCCCGGCACGTTCTGGGCAGACGATAGTGGGATGTCCAGGAATGTGCAGAGACAACGTACCCAAATGTCCCCCAAGGAGCATCGCCCAGGCAATTTGCTGGGCTGGGTACATCTCGGTACGCAGGTTGCGGAGCCGAGGTGCAGCCGGATTTCGAATGACCGTAATCTCGGGCGAATGCCGCCAGCTAATAACGGCAGATCAATCTTAGGACAGATTTATGGGGTCCCTGACCTCAGATTGGGTCAATGTCTCCATTGCCGCTTGACGGGTCTTGTCTGAGACTGGCTCGTTGAGCAAATTCAACTCTCGGCCGATGCCAGAGAAGTGGAACTTGGAACACGTCTTCGTCAACTGTGAAAAGCTCGACTTTAATCACGCTTGTCTGTCAGACAACTAAACTGGACCCTGCGCGTTTTTGAACGTCATTACAGCGGCGGCTATTTGTTTGCATTTTATGGCTGCGACTATTTTTGCAAGACTACGGAATACTCCCCAGCAGATGAGATTGTATTGAGCTGTTCATATTAGTCCGCCGGGATTCCAAGTCTTCTCCAGCGCGTATGAAGCATGCCAACCCCGGCAAAAGCTGGGCTCGCCTCCTCTTGAGAGCTAGTATCATGCAACTTGCCTGTTCAATGGCAGGCGGTGCCGGTCCGAGTTTCCCAAGACGAGACCGTCGATCTAGCCATGCTGGCTGGCAGGCTGGCTGGATGGGCGGATCATCTCCCAAAGTCAACCAGGTATGAGACAACCACACACATAGCGAAAGGCGCTGAGTTTGTGTCTGACGCTGCGCTGCAGCTGTGGTCTGCACGTTGAAGGGGTTATCTGGGCAGCCTGGCACCCCAAAATCACTCAACATTGTACCTTTCAATACTATCTCAGTGGTGCAAAGACTTCCATATGCAAGCACGGTTCCCACCGCCTAAGAGGCGAAAACGGCCTGAGGGCCAAGTTGCAGCGGCCTGCCCTGCCTGCGTGTTCTGTGTGTCCTGCGTGTTTACACGCATGCATGCGCGTTAAAGGATGGTATAGTCAAGAGACACAGTATACAGCACTACATAGAATGCACGCTAACCTGCGGGTGCAGACGTGGGATCCCTGCAGTTTCTCCCGGCCCCTCCAAAGCGGTGAGCAGAAAAGTGCAGTATGCCTCACTGGCAGAAAATTTGCTCCACCCTATCGCATCCAGTTTGCATCGCGCGCATTCAGCGGCACTCGAAGCAATTCACTTTGTCTCCCAAGGCAATCCCTACCGCTTGTCGGCCAGAGAAACCTGCTTCCGCAACGAGCAGACGAGTGCTCTATTTTCCGGCTCTGGACTTTGACCACTTAATTTCCTGCAACCCTTTGTCATCATGTCCACCACGGTCGGCGACGCCGGCGCAAAGCCAGCAGCAGCCTCAACAACCGCCAAGCCGTTGGGCATGAGGAAGAATGGTATGTGCTCTCCGATGAAGCCTGCAGCTTGACAAACAAGACGCTGACCAATTTTGGAACGGCCAGGCAAACAGTGGCATGCGCCAAAGAAAGCCTTCCGACCTGGTTCGGGTCTGACATCGTACGCAAAACGGGCCCAGGATAGGGTGGCTCAGATGGCAGTCAAGGCGAAAGAGAAGGAGATGAAGGATGAGAAGGAGGCGCAGAGAAAAGTGAGTGCGACAAACAAAACTGTCCCTCATCCAAACCTTGGACTGGTGACGCTGACAGCACACCCCGCGTACAGGAACGGATGACGAAACTGAAGGAGAAGCGCGCGGCTAAGGAGGAGAAGGAGAGATACGAGAAACTGGCCGAGAAGATGCACAAGAAGCGGGTCGAGAGGCTGAAGAGGAAGGAGAAGAGGAACAAGCTCCTCAACTCCTGAGCGACGCCCACCGCGTGACCCAATACTTGAGATTTCACAATCACACGATACCAATCGTCAAGGCCAGGGCCAGAGCCAGGGCGGTTTGTCCGGGGGTCCTCAGCGACATCCTCAGCCGATCACAGTTCCACCACCTCTTTCTGGGCCACCCGGGCTAGGCCGAACTGAACGAAAAGCAGGCTGGGTCCGGTCGGCTCTGCGTAACAAAGAGGGGCACTAGCCAGGACGAGGGCAAAAGCGCTGGAGTGGGAGCCCCTTTGTGATTGTGACACTGAGGTTTGCGAAAGCTTCTCGGCAGACAACTTGTCTCAGGAGTCAGACCCGGTGCAAGTGGCCGAGTGTCACGGGCCGCCGGTAGGCAAACTCTGTCCGGACAATTGGAAGAGACACTCAATTCGAAACCGGCTTGGAAAGGCTGCAAGATGCCACAGTTGACCAGTCAGTCCAGTTTGCACTTGATTGTGTATAATAGCATATGTGGTACAGAGGAATTTCCAAAATGAACTTGGGTTTCAGTCTCCCGGAGGCTGATCCATCTCTAATATCTCCCTGAAATCGGCGCTACGAGATTGGCAGCTGGGCTGAGAAGCCCCTACCCGCCAAATCGGGCGCCCGCGTAGCAGGGACCCTTGCATGCAACCCAGGAATCTTGGGGTAATAAGACCTCCAGCTGATCTGAGCTGATGACGACGTGCAACGTCCCGGCATCTGATTGTTCCCCCCTGAATGAACATCGCTACTGAGCAAGTACAATGCGCTTGCATACCTAGACTCAACACCACCGACAAGCAAACATTGCCCTTGACAGAGTCCAGTAAAAAGTGAGTGACACAGACGTCAAAGCGGGAGCCGGACACAGAACCGACAGCCAGCCGAGGATGTCGGGCAGTGGAGTCTCATCGCCGCCGGCCGCACAGAGGCAGCAGCAGCAGCAGCAGCAGCAGCAGCCACTCGCAGCGGCCGCTCCGAAAGCTTCGTCTCCGAAACGCTCTCGACATCAGATCCACCGGTCCATCACCGAAATCACATCACCTGTCCGCCTGGGCAAACACCATCAACACCACATCCACACATCGCACCACCATCCTCGAATGTCACATCACAAGAGGGATCGGAGCCGAGACGGTTCAGATGATATCAGCATACCGCTATCTGCAGCACCGGTGTTGCAGTTGCCCCCAAGAGGCTCGACCGAAGTACCCCGATCCGAGGGTTGGACACCAGCCGTACCGAGTGCCAACCCAAGCCGGGCTGGAAGCATATTGATACCATCCGGCAGGGAGAATGCCGGAGGTTTCCGCGGGGTGCCGGCTGGCGAGGATGAGGAGGAGATGCTGCGCCGGGCCAGGGACAAGACCAGCGCGAGGACTAGGTGTGTGGCTGAGATACTACTACAACGACATTAACCATGGGATGCTAACTACTTGCAGCGATCTGAAGAAGTCCCTCGTCGAACTGTCCAACATCTCCACTGGCACCACGAGACGCCTCGACGAAACCTACTACGGCGTCCTCGAGAGGCTCAGCTCCCTCCAAAACACCGTCGTGGCCCTGAAGGAGCTCGCATCGGCCTCAGCATCCGTGAACGAGGGCTTCACGGCCGAATCAGGGTCTGTCCTCGCGGAAGCCCAGGCGCAGCTCGACGCCTTCGGACAGTTTGACGAGCAGCAGGCCCGCGTGCAGGCCCTACAGGATCGTGTTCACGGCGGGCGGGAGCGCATCACCGCGTTGAGCGAGAGGGTGGATATTGTCAGGCAGAAGGTGGAGCGCTGGGAGCGTGCGGACTACTTGTGGCAGAACAAGACACGGAGGAGGATCAAGATTGTGTGGGGGATGCTGCTAGGTTTTGTCCTCATCCTCGTGCTGTTGTACGCCGGGGCAAAGGCATACGCGCCCGAGCTTGATGAGCTTGCCGCGGATCTGAAAGAGGATGCAATGCTGGCGAAGCTGAGGCTGGAGTCGGGTGGGCAGGGACCTTTAGCCAGCCACGACAAAGAGTGGAGCATGGCACTCAATTTCAGCAGAGACAATGCGGCGGAGGGAGGAGGTGACGAGGCGTTGAGGGCTCTGGACGAACTGTAGCTGTAGCATTTGGGCTTATCCGGCGTTTGCAGCATTTTACTACGGCGCAGGCCAGGTTTTGTTTTCCAAGATACCCACTCTAGTTCCAAAAGAATGCAAGGCGCTTACAAGCAGCCACCAAGCCAGCCGGAACCAGCCCGCCGCTGAGTGCCCAGGCCCGGGGACACGGCTGGTGAAGTTGCAGAGCGCCGAGATGCCTCGCTGCGCGCCCAACCTGCCAGCCTGCAAGCCTGCCAACCCGACCCAAAACGGTCGTCGGCAGCTCCACGAGATGGCGTGTCCACTGAGGCGCAGTGCAGCTTGGCATGGGTCACAGATATCAGATTCAGCCTGTCCAGGTTGCTCTGGGACACTCGGGTAATCCTGTTGCAGCCTGCAGGGGAAGCCAACTGCTCCTCCTGTCACAGAACGAGCTGCGGACAGAAGTTACATATTCCGTTTTTTTTTCCTGTGCGGCTGAGACGTTGGGAGATCCCCGCGGCCGGAGCAACGAGCCAGCCACGCCAGCCAGCCAGTGGGTGGTCATGCCGAAAGCCGCGCCCCCCATCGGTCAAGACTCGGATGCGGCGACCGGCCCATCCCAGGCGCGCATTCGGTCTCTCGGCAGGGCTGGGCAGTGGTCGGTCTTCGCGCCACGCACTGACACCAGTGGCTCGACGGAAACGCCGTGGCGTATCCAGGCAGTCCAGGTAGACACAAGGGCGGCAGAGGGCTAACAATTAAGTGTTCTTCTGGCTGTCTGGGTGCTTCTGGGTGGGAGGTGCAGGTGCAGGCCCAGCGGGCAGGTGGTGAGTGGCCTGGAGTGCCTTGCGAGACATTATCCGTACCAAGGTACCTAGGTAGGCAATCTCATCAGGGACACCAGTCATTCGCACCGACCAGACGTCATCGCCTGGCCCTCGACCCCCCTCCCCTGAACAACACAAGTCCGCCACGGCACAACAAGATGTGCACAGCACACGGCATATGTATATATCGGTAGGCTAAACGGGGCTATACTATAGCACGGCATTCCAAGGCTGGCAAGAAAAGAAGAAGGGAAAAAAAAGTCAGTCTGTGCTTGTCACAAGTAAACAGAGCGGGTGACCTGGTCCTAGCTGCTGCCATGGATCCCAGGATTCCCAGATGATCACATCTGTAGCCCCGCGCGTCTCTGACACGAAATTGCCCATTCTGGTCAGCTCCTTCTCTCCTGTGACTCTCGCTTGGGCAGTCAAGCCTAGCAGGCCTGGCCTGGGCAGTGCACCCGTCGTCATCCTGACTGATCCTACTTCATCGTCTCAACGCCCGGCCAAGATTTTGCTCCACACAAGACCACAAGCACCCGCGCCAGGTACTGCATCACAGCGGTACATAGCACATGTACTTGCCTTGCACATTCCTCCTCCTCCTTCTCGTTCGCTCTACATCACCAACCCTGTGCGCCCCCACCAACCGCTTCCACGATCTTGTTGGGCATTATTCCGCGACGTTTCTTCCATTTCTTGCATACCCTCTGTTTCCTATTCTTTAATACCCATCTCCCCCAACCCGCCGGACTGCCCCATCCACACTCAAACCGCCCAGCGGAACTTTTGATACATCCAAGTCTTACCCCGCCGCGCCAGAGAGATACCCGGCTCCTGCTCGTTACAGCTCACAGAACCGCCTTGCGTGTTGCGGTCGTCACCTGTCACTGCGCCGCAGCTGCAGAGTGACTCTATTGGGAAATCAGCTCTCCCTACAGACGCTGTCGAGATGTCCGCAGATGCTGGCGCAAGCGGGAAAACAGCCCCCACCACGATAAGCAGCACAGACGGCGGCCCCAATGGCCATGCGGCCGAATCTGGCGATGCCGTGTCGCTGCCCCTCAGGACCGACAGCGGCAAGTCCAGCCTGCCACCACCAGGGCAGACGCTCACCGGCAAGCAGGAGCATTGTTCGTGACCACCACACCATCCTCTGGACCACACGAGGCCCAAGCTAATCCCTGGTGTACAGATCTGAAGAGGGAGCTCATTTCGGAGCAGGTGCGCTGGGAGATCAGCGAGCTCAACTCGCCCACCGCCCTCCGGCGGTTCGGCGCGCCGTTCAAGTCAGACCTGGGCGAGGTCACCCCCTACGACTCCGAATTACCGATTCTTCGATTCATCTTTGTCCACCATGTCCGCGAGTTCCCGTTCCTCGACAAGGCCAGGGAGAAGGAGTTCTGGCAGGATAAGCTACAGGTCTTTCTCGAGTCCTTTGCCAGCAAGAACATATCCTCCTCGGAGGACCGTCTCGAAGAGACTAAGCGTCGCAAACTCGCCCTAAAGAGCCAGAAGCTCGTGGAGCTTATGATGGTCTCGGGCATCCCCACCTCGTCTGGCTTCGAGGAGAGGATTCGCTTCTCTGAGATGGAGGTCGTGGACAGGGACGCCATCGCCACCGGTGTCCTTCATACGCAGCCCGAGGGCAACTACATTAATGGCTGGGACGTGAATATGGCCGGTGTGCGCGTGACGAAGGTCAGGGGGAACATTAGGTCTCATAAGCACGCTGTCAGTCTCGCCTCTCGGCCCTGGAAATCAGAGTCTCGTCTAACAATAACCAGGAATTCCTGCTGCGCGTCAAGAAGAAGGGAGAGATGGAGTATTTCGTTGGCCGCCGCTATGGGGACTTCAGCCGCCTTCACAAAACCTTGCGTACCGAACTGCCGGGCAGGGTCTTGCCACCGTTGCCCAAGAAGAATAAGTCCAGTTCCACCGCTACGGGCATTTTCAGCTCGGGTGGCGGCGACTCGGATGATGATTCTGTCTCATCCGCATCTACTCAAAAAACAGGTCTCGCCCCTAAGAACGGAGAAGATGCCAGCAACAAGAGGCTGTCGGTGAGAGGTTTGTGGATAGACCCCGTCTCTGGCACCCACCCAGTAAAGCACTAACACTTTCACAGATGCCCTGGGTCACAGGAGAAAAGGCTCAGCTGCCTCTTCCCTCAGGGGATCACCTAGGCCCTCAGTGGATGGCAGACCAGTGACGCCCCTCAGCCCGGGCAAGACAGAAAACGTGGTTTTGTTCCGAGAGAGCCAACGGATATCGCTGAGGTCTTTCCTACGCTCCCTTTTGCAGAATCAGCAGATTGCGCAGACCAAGGCTATGCAGGAATTCCTCACCCGGGATCCCATCAAGCTCAGCGACGAGGACGTGGAAGATATCATGAAGCGCAAAGGCGTCGATGCAAAACGTATGGAAGAGCAAAAGCAATTCTACGAGATCGCAAGAAAGCGTGCAGCAGAACTGGACATCTACATGGAACAGTGAGTTCCGCTGTCTCAAATCCACGTCGTACATGGCTGACAATTCTCCTAGGTTCCGCCAAGAGATCGTGGACGCCAACGGTCTTACGAAACTTTTCCAGGAGATCAAGGATAAAGAGACAATCCAGGACCTCAGCGTTCAGTATCAGAAATTCGCCGAGTGGCTGCGGATAGAAGTCGCAGCTACAATTTATCACTTGTTCTTGGCAGAAGACAATTCTCCTGAATTGTTCACACAGGCGAAGAGGATACATTCTCTCATTCCCTACACAATCATCAAGAACATCATCCGGATAGCAAACCCCGCGGCAGTAATGTCAAGCATTTTGGACGTGTTCCTCGCGCAACCATTCGGAGCCAAGTCATTGATGCAGAGGATTTTCTCCCTGGCGTTGCACGATGGCATCAAGAGCTTCCAAAAGTCCATAGATGCAGTCGCAGCAAAAATCAGCGATGATGTGTTTGTCGAGAAGCTGAAGAAGTACACCGACCTCGACGATCATCTCAAGATCGCAATCCGGGAGGAGGCAGAAAGTGAGGACGTTGACCTGGTCGTTGCCGTGTTGAGATCAGATCTCATCGAACCGGGTCTCACGGGCGAGCAGATCCAGCGACTATACAATGCCTACGTCGCGTTCAACAGTGCGGTTGAGAACGTCGATGAGGAGCTCAAGCAGGGCGCACAGCTGTTCTCGTACCTCAAGACGCTTATGAAACTGTACACTAGGCAGCGAGACAAGGAGATGATGTTGCATCTTATCGAAGAGCCTGTTACGCTACAGCTGTTCCGGGATCTGTTTCAAATCTTCTACGAGCCTCTCGTCAGAGTGTACAAGTCAGCAAATGTCTACGGTAGTGTGACGGACTTTGCGGTCTTTATGGATGACATGATACAGGTGCGTTGGATCCTCTGCGATTTCTCTAACAAACTGCTAATTATCCTATCCCTTCAGGTTGTCGAGAAGTGCCGCGAGCAAGACGCCTCGGCAGATCCCAATCAGACTGTGCAGGCTTTCATCGACCTTTGCCAGAGGCACGAGCATAATTTTTACAAGTTCGTGCATGAAGTACATGTGCACGATAATGGCTTGTTCACGCAGTTGATGGGGTGGATCGAGGGCATACTGGAATTCCTTAGAAAGGGACCACACAACGGCGCTCTCGATATCAACGCTCTCTTCGAGGGAGCCGCCAGCAACAAGACTATCGAAAAGGAAGTCGCCATCAAGGAGATCAACGCGCTGATCGCGTGGCAGGAGGCGCGCAAGAAGTGGCACCAGGACAAGACGCGGCAGAAGATGGCCGCCGACGGCAGCCACGGGCAGCTGGACATCATCCCTGGCGGCATGAACTTCACCAGCGCCGACTTTGGGCTCGACCAGATGGACCTGGAGGACATGGGGTACGACGACGACGATTCTGAGGACGAGGCCGAGGAGGAGGCGCAGGACGAGCTAGATCCGATCGAGGCGGAGCGAAGGAGGCGCGCCAAGAGGCAGGACCGGCTGCGGAGGACGGCCGGGGAGCCGGAGAAGCCGGCTGTGAGCGAGGTACATAAACTCAAGGAGAACTTCCTTGTGATGCTCAGGCAGGTTCTGGCGGAGTAGGGGCTCGATTCCGGCGTCTATATACCCCATTAGTCATTTCGGGGGTCGTATTCTTACCTGAGGTCGCAGGGGAACGAGGCTTTATAATGATGGAAAGAAGGGGGATCCTGAAGTCTGGGTGTTGAGATTGTTCCAGCATGGGGGTAGACCTGCCACGTGTGCTGCGGCGGTCGATGCAACCCTTCTCTTAGAATTACATAGATATGCATGTTACTGACATGGAATGCAAGCCTCATGCATTTGTTCCTACGTGAGATCGTCTCCTGCTGGAGTGAATCTCATTATGTGTCGATGTTTTACACAGCACTTTTTTCTTCTTCTAAATACTGGGTCTCGAGCAGTTACCACTGTATGGTGGTGCCACATATGTTTTATAAGTACGGGGATTGGAAACGAAACCACCCACTTATGCAGCACTTACACAGCACTTATATTGTTGTTTCGTTGTTTGGACCGCGTCGCCGTGTACATGCGAAGCAACTTCATAGCATATTCACCATGTGCCGATAATCAGCAAAATCAACCTCTAGGTCTATGACATCTTTCCTTATGTGTAGTATATAATCCATGTGAAAAAAAATATAGATGGATATATATACCTAGGATAAGTAACTCTATTAAGTGCTTATAGCTAGAGTTTTATAACTTTACTTTATAATATAAGTTATTATTATAACTTAAATAGTTCTTAATTTATTTATAATCTTATATAATTTTAAATATTTTATTCTTTACTTTATCCCTTTTTATATTTTATTTATATATATTACTTAAGTTTTTAAATATTTATAATTATATAAAAGTATTATATATAACTTTAAATATATATAAAATAAAAGTAAAATTAATATATTATTTATATAATAATTATTATTCTTAACTTATAAATATATATTTAAATTAAAGATTTATAATAAATAATTATTAATTTATTATTCTAGGATAGCTTATAAGTTATACTATTATAATTTATATATATAGATATCTAGGTTATATCCTAGCACTTATTTAATACCTTTAAGCAAACCTATTTCACATTAATTACAGCCCTACCCGCAGGCTTTAGTTATATGCTATTCTCCAGCAAAGATAAAGCAGACTATAGACAACATAAAGTGTTCTGCCCGGCTCAATGTATAGTGTGTGCTCATCCCACTAACTTAACAAAACTCGGTCTGAGGACATACTCCGGTGATATGATGTATACAGGTGATTCTGTGAGCAGAATAGATGGCAGTGATATATGGCTGTATTAAACTTGAACAGCAGCTGCAATCGGGTGTGGGTTTGAATACTTTGATGTTATCAATTATCTTTAGACTGCTGGGTATTTGAGTTTTCAACACTACATAATGGGACTGCAAACTCTTTCTGATGGAAACGGACAAAAACGAAACTACAAACACACTTGACTCTTGATTGGCAGTAAAGGGTGCTTTTGGAGAATTGATGTTCGTATCAGCAACTGACCTTTTTACTCATGTTGTGCACACGTCGCCAACACATAGACTTGGCCGGAGTAGACACAGATGCACAACGTATCATGGGCCTTAGGTCTTGCACACTTGACTAAATATTCAGTGCCACCTGGTAGCTAATCCCAAATTTGGGCAAGCGTGCCAAAAAGCAGCGGTCTTGTGATACATGCTTTTGGGTATATGGATCCAGTGCTCCCACGGGATCCGATTATTCATGTCCTGCAGGCTGGAAGCGGCGGGAGTGGGCGGGTCACGGAAGTGACGTGAGCGGGCAGCACACCGAGATGGCGCAGCAGCAGTGATCCACTGAGCACACCACCAGACAGCACATGCACGCGGGCGGCCCGTGCCCCTGGATACCCTGGCGTTGCACCACTTGTCCGTTAGTGCACGGGGGCCAAGCACGGGGCCAAGCCGCAAGCAACCCACGCAAGCAGGCCCCAAGTGGACATGCCCACGCAATACGGCAAGACCTGCCCATGGTACCTGGCCACCCAGCCCAGGCCATTATGTACGTACAACGCGGTTCCAACCACCCGGTCCGGCAGGCCTTCAAATACGCCAAGCTGTTTATTTCCTCAACGACAACCCCTGAGTCCAGGTCCAGCCGAGCGAGTCTCTGATAATTAACTTGTTTGCATGGCCTCGCTGGGTGACCCTCAGGAACTCTCGAGGGCTGACCGAGGCTTGACCTGAGCACAGCCGCAAGCCACACTCTTGCTCTGCTGTCTTTCATTCTTGGTGACGCGGTTCCTTCATGTCAGTGTTTCGTCTCGACTTCAACTCGCCTCGGACCACCCGCCAACCATACGTCGAAACACCCCCAGCCAGCACCCCCGCCGGCCAGTCACCTACCAGAATTCCGATGATTTGAGCATTCCAGCATAGGGATACAAGTCTCTCCGTTATGGCAGCAGGGAACGAGGATGAGGTGCCGGCGACCTCGGCGGCCTCATCAACCCCGGCGAACAATGGGCCAGATTCCCACTCCGCACCTCCCACAGCTGCCCCAGAAACAGCCCCATCCGCCATGGCTGTCGAGTACGACGACTTTGGCCTGCCCGTCAGACCACGCCCTCAAGTCGAATACACAGAGGAGGAACTCGACACGGTCCAGGACAGCACAGACCGCCCGGAACGCCGCACCCGGAGCGCCAGCAGGACTTCGTATCGCACGAGGCCCAATGGCAGCATGCACAGGAAAACAAGCTCCGCCGCATCCACAAGGTCGCGCAGGAGCGCACAAGAGGTCGCAGATGAGAGTAGCAGCGGTGACGACGATTTCAAGGACGCCCAGTCTGCGCCCCAACCCGCCGAAGCTGCCGACTCCGTCGAGATGCCCAAGACGAATGGCGCACCGGCAAGCGATGTCAAGCCAGAGCCAGAGAAAAAAGCTCAACCAGAGCCAAACGCCGCGGACAAGGATGATGGCGAGGAGGACACGGGAAAGCAGGAAGCACCAGCGTCTACTACACCGAAGCCTGAGGAAGTGGGAAAAGAGGCGACAAAAGAGAAGGAGACAAACGACAAAACGGCCAACGCTCCGCATGACGACGCGCCAGAGGGCAAGAGCAAGAGCAAGCGCGAGTCCACTGTAGTCAACACTGCCGATGCCAGTGGCATTCAAATATCAGAATACTCTCATTTGCAGTTGACCACGCAGAAGAAAGAGGAGGAACAGGACGATGACGGTGGCTGGCAGACGATGCCGGCATACGCACCATACGATATATACGACGACGACAATAGGCTAATCGCAAAGGAGCATAATGAAGAGGACGAGGACGAAAGTTACAGCTACGCGGGGATGGGCGGAGCTGGAAAGGGCTACACAAGGGTCCTGGTGGACGAAGATGCCCAGTCTGCAACAAGCATGGACGACAATACCAATTACTTGTTCAAAAATGCCGGCGGGACAAGTATGATGGACGACGACGAGCAGACGAGGGATGCCGTCTCACAGATGCAGGCCACCAAGGACTTACTGACCGAGGGCCAGAAAATTGCCTACGTTGGCTTGGTGAGGATAGAGCTTTCCCAGCTGGTCAAGACGCTGGAAACGGCGCCGTGGACCAAGTCGACAAAGAAAGTGGGCCAGCTGGCTACCGAAGCGACCAAAATGTGGTCTCAGAAGATCATGATTCGCCTCTACACTCATATGGATATCAGCGCCGCTGAGCAGATCATGATCGAGCAGCTCAGTGAGCACGGGGTCATCTCGAGCGATCTGACGCCTCAGCTCATGGCTAACGCCAGGGTCAAGAATCCTATGGCGGAACGCAAGAGCTCAACATCAAGCTCGCGACCCTCTGTAGCGTCTCCCAGACCTTCCTCGGTCTCGTCACCGAGGTTACCAAGCGAGGAGACGCCGGCAGAACCACCTCCGGCTTACAACAAACACGAAGGCGAGGAGCTGCCTGCAGTGCGGACTCCGAGCCAGCTGCCAACAGGCGAGAAGCTTGACATTGACATCCGGTGGACAATTCTGTGCGATATATTCCTGGTGCTGATCGCGGACTCAATATACGATGCGAGGTCGAGGGTCCTCCTCGAGAGGATTGGAAAAGCCCTAGAGGTTGACTGGATCGATATCTGCCGCTTCGAGAGGAAGGTGACGGAGGCCCTCGAGATGCAGCAACAGGCGGAAAGGGAAAACTGGAACGAAGACGAGCACATGGAAAGTCGTCGCAAACTGGCCTTGAAGAAGCGCTACATTGCCATGGGCCTAGCAACCGTCGGCGGCGGTCTGGTCATTGGCCTATCCGCGGGTCTCCTTGCCCCTGTCATCGGTGCTGGTCTAGCTGCAGGCTTTACAACAATTGGTGTAACGGGGACGAGCAGTTTCCTCGCTGGAACAGCAGGAGCTGCAATCATCACGTCTGGCTCTGCGGCTGCGGGTAGTGTGATCGGAGCCAAGGCTGCCAACCGGAGAACAGGTGCTGTGAAGACATTCGAATACCGACCGCTGCACAACAATAAGAGGGTCAACCTCATCGTCACTATATCGGGATGGATGACAGGTAAAGTGGATGACGTGCGTCTGCCCTTTAGTACTGTCGACCCGGTGATGGGTGACATGTACTCGGTCTTGTGGGAGCCCGAAATGCTGACCAGCATGGGTGACACCATCAACATCCTGGCCACTGAGGTATGTCTGGCAACACACTGAAAACCATGTTTGCCCCCCTTTGCCATGAGCTAACAGGACGGCAGGCTCTCACACAAGGCCTGCAGCAAGTGCTCGGCAGTACTATTCTTGTGAGTTTGATGGCGGCACTGCAGCTGCCTGTTGTCCTGTCGAAGTTGTCCTACCTGATCGACAACCCATGGTCCGTGTCGCTAGATCGAGCGTGGGCTGCCGGTCTCATTCTGGCGGACTCGCTGATTGAGCGAAACCTGGGAACAAGGCCCATCACTCTTGTGGGCTACTCTCTCGGCGCCAGGGTCATATTCTCGTGCCTGCTCGAGCTGTCCCGGAAAGGCGCGTTTGGAATCGTCCAGAACGTTTACATGTTTGGTTCACCCCTCGTGGTCAAACAAGATGAGTGGTTGAGATGCAGAACCGTGGTGCCGGGCCGATTTGTCAATGGGTACCACCGCAACGACTGGATCCTCGGGTACCTATTCCGCCTGACGAACGGCGGCATCCGCACCGTTGCGGGCCTGACCCGCATCGAGGGCATCCCGGACCTCGAAAATGTGGACACGTCGGAGTTTGTCAACGGCCACATGGACTATCGTAGGGCTATGCCGCGTCTGCTTCGAGAGGTGGGCTGGACGGTCGAGAGCGATGAGTTCACCGAGATTGAGGACCCGGACCCGGAGAACCACAACCAGAGACAGCGCGAGCTTATCAACGAGATCGAGGAGGCGAGGAAGCAGCTTGAAAAGGATGGGGCGGCGGAAGCCAACAAGAACAGCCGCAAGAGCGGAGCGTTTGGCGGCTTCTTCAGCCGCAAGAAGAAGGCGCAAAAGGCCGAGTGGGAGGTATATGAGGATTCTTCAAAGGCGGCCGCAAATGGCACCAGCTCCTCGAAGGTGGAAGACAAGGAGGGCAACAACCATGGAGTACTGTTCGACGTGGACGCGATCCGGGCGGAGCTGGCCAAGACGCAGGAGGAAGAGACGCTGCAGCCCCGAGAGCTACAGTCGACCCTGCCGCCGATGAAGCTGCCGAGCCCCGGCCTGGCCTCGAGCACGAGCCCTAGGGGATCACTGACACACACTACGAGCATGGACGCGTACTCAGCATGGGGCGGCTCTTCCAACCAGTCATCCCCAGAGCAGGTTCGGAGGCCCAGAGACGATGAGATCCAGATGACATTTGAGACTGGATTTGAGGACCATCACCGGCCGCAGCGCAGCCAAACATTGTCGAGCAGAGGATCAGACACGGCGTCGAGGCCCGGTCTCAAGCCGGCCCAGACGGTGCCAACGATACCGACGGCGAACCCCTGGGCGGTGGACCCGGACGACGATGACTTTGGCAAAGAGAAGGACGAGATCTCAATGACTTTTGCCTAGAAGTACATTAAGGGGGCTCAAGTATATTTTCCGGCGGGACATGACTAGCTGATGGACTGACTTGATGGGGGCGTCCACGGGCATATTGGTTTCCTGGTAGGCGGCGTTCACATTTATCCGCAAAATGCATGGATGTAGTCAAGACGTTCACTGCAATATTCTGAAGCTTGGAGCCAAGATTACTGACGGGGAGCGCGGTCGTGACAGGGACGGACGTGTAGTCTATCCTGTCCATATAATTCAAGCATCAAATGTGCCCCCCCACCCAATGCGAGGCTTAGAACACCAGAGGCTACACGCAGATTGGCAACATGGACCCAACACTGTTTCACCTCTGTACTGACGGGTGCAGGAGAGGATCTGCAAGCGAGCGGGCCTGAGAAGCGATACGCCAGATAAGACCACACATGACTGGTAAATCTGGGCCCTGTTGGTGATTTGCGAAACCAACAGACCAAAGTAATGATGTGAGGCCCATATTTGTGAGCGCTTACTGGAAACGGGTCGGCGGCCAGATGGCCTTGGGAGAAAAAAACCAGAAGAAAAAAAACCGTCTATTCCGCACAACCCTTGCATTTGGGCGGCAACATGCTTTGCGTGCATCAATGGTACAAAGGGAGCGACAGCTAGAGGCTGTCTGTGCTGTCTAGTAGTACTCCGTACCATCTTACATGCACATGGGTGCCATTCTGTAAGGCAGGCCAAGCCACAACGTTCAATTTTAAAATAGCACGCTCCTCCGATTGGCCACAATGGGATGCAGACAGTCGATTGCGGTAATGGCTTGTTTATTAGACCACCGATGGGTAGATTTAGTCTAGCTTGTCTAGATGCAGTCATAAGGGAAGCGACCCCTCGTGCAGGTTGCACCACCGATATCATCAGCACGCGTGCATCCAGGTTTACAAGTCGAAGACTACTTCTTCTGGTCTCTGCTGGTTGCACACTTCTTCTTTCTGCTGACTGACTGCCTGACTGACAGCGAGGGGTGGATCACCGCAGGTACCCTCCACCCCACTCCAGGCTGCGAGGCAGGAGGAGCCCCATGAATCCTTCAGGATGAGCACCGCTGGACCGGAGCTGAACAGAAGAAACAAACCCTCTGTTTCTCTTGACCCCCGGCCCTGGCCCCAGCGCGGGACCCATTATGGACGCCCCACGATGCCGGCGCCTCCAGGATACTTTTTTTTCTTCTTCTTGGCTGTCTTCTGTTGGTTTGATTAAACCACTGCATGCCTAGGTAGTGTTCCATCGGGACACGCGTTCTGAACCCCAGCACAAAGCCAATCTAGAGAAACGTGGGTATGGAACGGGGTGGCGTTGTGCTTCCCACCCGCCTTTGCCGGGCGAGCAGGCGTTGGTCGGGGGCAGAGACAAGGTGTCAGCCAGAGCTGATCAGCAACATGCAGTACTCTCTGTGTCCCATCTGGCTACCTGTTCACCCTAGGGTGGTTCCTCAAGCGAGGAGGGGGGGGCCCTCGGTTTAGCGACCGAACCCATTTTCTTACGGATGCATGCCCGTGGTGTTGTGTTGGTGGGATGCAGGAGAAAGGCGCAGCGTCGCGTGCGGTGGCTTTTCCCAAGCAGACTTGTGCACCTTTCTGCGACCGGTAGACTTTGTCAGACGGCCGGGTCCTTCTGGGCGTTTAGACAACACCCCTCGTTTGATAAGTCACCGAAAAGAGTGAGCTGAAAAAAAGAGAGAGTCAAATGGTAAACGACCTGGGTATGACCATCTTTGCGCTGAACAACGGGGGCCCCTCCCTCTTGATTGCCGCGTCCTACGCCAAATCTGCAGGCCCCCGTTTCTCTTGCAGCCAACAGTCGACCTTTTCCTCACCCTCACCCTCCTCACTCTTTCTTTCCCTACCTTCGCTTCTCTTTCACCTGCCAGTCTGTTCCTTGGCGGCTTTGCCTCTGTTCTGCTGCCTTGCCCCATTTTTTTCTCCTTCGCTCGCTTCTCTCGCCCGTTTGCCGATTTGGCACAGCGCCTTGAACGGCCTCATACTTACGCTGAGTGCCATGCCGCCCAGCATCACATAAGGGTGTATCCGTATATGACCTGACCATGCGAATACACTTACCGACCACATGGGCCCTTTTGGGCGCCATGTTCAGCATTGCCGCTGCGGAGGGCGACTGGCCAAATTTCCTGTTCAAACGGGATGATTTCGATGGCGAGTGGTTTGCGGACCAGGGTGGGAAGCAGTCATCAGTCTTCCTGTACAGCAACTTCACACAGGGTAAAACATTTACATGGAGTCAGACCGGGCCCCAGGTGTACATTGTCCAGGTTCGGCTTATGAACTCCAATGGTTCGTCAATATTATCTTGGTGTCCTGACAACAGAAATTGTGTGACAAGCCAAGGAGTCCAAGGTTCGTACTCACATGCTTCTGAACTTGCGAATAAGGCGTTGTTTTCATAGCTGACGGAGCATGGGTGCAGTCATACTGCCAGAGTCAGAGATTCACTTGACTGATCCCTCGGCGATCACGACTCTTGCCGAACATTTCAAAGAGGTGTTGTTTTTCGGTATTGACTGGCAATTTGCAACTAAAGGCGGCCAAAAGCGACAACAGCAACAAACATTCACAGCTTTCAGTCAGGAATGGGCCGTTGTGAATAATGTCGACGACGCGGGTGAAGTATATTCCAACATACCCCAGATGACAGCCGGTGCGCCTCCTCTCACCTCGGTTCCAACACCCACTACAGCAACAAATGCAGAGTCTGGCGAAGCAACTGCATCTACGATATCTGGTGGAGTCACGCCATCATCATCATCGTCATCATCATCATCAGCAGCAGCAGCAGGAAACAAGTCCGGGGGGCTGACGACAGCGGCTATTGTTGGAATTGTCGTGGGGACCGTCGGAGGGCTGATACTCGTCAGCGTCATCGCAGGATGCTTCTGCTTCCGGCGGCGGCGAGACGGCAGTGTGGAGAGGGGCGGTAGCCGAGGGGTCCAGGACATCATCGCAGACAAGGAGGCACACACCAGCATCCTAGAAAGGGACCAGCCAGACACGCCCTACTCGGAGCAAAACAGCCAGCAGCGACTGAACAGCGGCCTGGGCCTGGCCGGGAGGAACGAGAGCGGCGTGGACCTCGGCATAGGACAGGCCATGTCGGGCCCAGGAAGCATCCGCACCGAGAGCCTGCACACCTTGGCCGCCGGCGGGAACCGCAACTCGGCCGTGTACTCGTCGCTGGGCGGCGGGGCGGCCAGCTCGGCCCACGGCACGCCGGTGATGGGGTCCGGGCCCTTTGGCAGCGGCAGCCCGCGGGCCCAGCCGCACACGCCCTCCATGTCCGCCCACGACCGCAGCTCCGTGATGGGCTCGCCCGTGCCCCGCGCGTCGTCGCAGCTGGACCGGTCGCTGTCGCCGTACAGGGACAATGTGGGGCAGCACGAGTACGGCCAGCAGCAGCAGTACCATCACCACCATCACCACGTGGTGGACGGCGCCGACCTGGTACAGCAGGAGCACTCCAACAGGGACAGCGTGACGGCGCGGAGCCCCTCGTCGATCTACTCCACGAATCCGCTGGACGAGGCCCAGCCCATATCGCCGGAGAGCGCCCGCGAGGACGGCGGGACTGCGGCTGGTGGTGGCGTTGGCGGCGGCAGCAGCGGGGGAGCCTCGGCGCATGGCCCACCTGGGCACGGCCGGTCGGCCACGCCGTCTGGCATATCCGGGCAATATGCGCACCTTGTTGAGGAGGGGATGACTGACGATGAGATTCGGAGGCTGGAGGAGGAGGAGAGGGCTTTGGACGAGGCAATCGAGCAGGCAGGCACGGCGGGGAGGACGAGATGATCCGGATTCTCAGTACAATATTTGGTATTTTTTGAGGAGGCACTTATTGCTCTTATACTCAGCCAAGCGTTTTGTTTTATGAATACAAGCACTTGCTTACTTCTGTGAAGAACTTATTGTGGTTGTGCATACTTGCTGCTGGGGGGCAGATATATATGGATGCGCTGCATGGCGAAATGATTCTTGCCCAGGTGAACATATGAGCCGCAACGACTAGGTGGTAAATGTGATGGGAAAGAGTCAATTACAAACATTAGGAATGAACGAATTATGTGTGACTGCCATGGCACCAACATTTGAACCGCTCCTTCCTTCACTGCCCTTTTCCGTGATAGCACTCATATGCACCACATAATATCTAATAGGTGACTTTAGTAAACACATATATCATCCTAAGTAATATAGAGACTTTATAGTATATTATATTATATTCTCTTACTTAATATATTATTCTATATATTTTTTTCTTTAAAAATATATATTTATAATATTTTAAAAGAAATAAAAAATTATTAATAAATTTTTAACTTTATTTTTTAAAAAAAGTAACTTTTAAGTATTAAAAATAAACTTTAATGCTCTAAGATCTAAGAAATTCATTATACCCAGAAATGTAATTATACTAAATAATTAAATATCATCAATCCTTCATGGCGCAATTGGCTAGCGCGTCTGACTGTTAATCAGGAGGTTGGTGGTTCGAGCCCACCTGAAGGAGTTTCTTTTGCTAGTTTGGCCTATACTGCTTGTATAAAGTACGTAGGCCCAATTTTTTTTAACCAGGAGTATAGATCTAGGTATGTAGGTAGTCACAGCGCTGGAAATAATGATAGGGGTTAGTAATTCTAGCCTATAGTGAACTGCTAAGTTAATAGTACGGATAGGTCCAGGAGACTATATTACGAAACTTTCATTTATGCTCACAATATAAGACGGATTAATAGCATAGGGATAGATTTGTATGTAACAGTGTACAAGGGCAATGTGAGGAAGTGTAATGGTTCCGCTAGCACTATTGTGTTTTGCATGAGCTGGCTCTGAGGCTTTGTTCGCTCCTGCCCTGTTGGAGTACAAGTTTTGTTCCACTTGTATTTCGGAGCTTGGCTTCCAGCTCTGAGTTCCCTGAATCTAACAGAGGGAGGAATCCGCAGAAACACAAAAGCCGCATCACAACTCTGAGAAAGACTCCGTTGAATTCCCTGTATAGGACATGACCAGCTACTTGTGAATGGTATAAGCGCCCTGGTTACCCCTTTTGCCCTTCCGTTCGCCGTTGAAAATGCAATAGCGTGGAAACCCGATTTAAGAAAATAATGGCTCCTTTCTGCCAGTGTCCTCATGCCATGGAAAGCACAGGCTCTTCTGCTTGGATTCCCTACACGGACGCGCCAGCGATGATGTGAACGCTGCCGTCGGCCAGCTCATCCACCTGGCACTAGCCCCTGCTGAAGAACCTTCCTACCATGCCGCTCGCGATGTTACCGGCCATACCTGTCGCGGAGAAGGCGCCTCCTGCTATGTTGGACGCCTGGCTGAACTTGTCGCATCGGGAGAACGCAAGGGAGTTTGTGATGGTCAGGGCCAGTGCAATGGCTATTATCACAACAACAGTCAGCCTCCGCAAATCCACACGTACCTTTCTTTTTCCACCCTGACCCCGTAAGCCCTGAAAAGGGGGAGGGGTAGGGGTGTATGCGCAAAACTTACCGACAAGCGGCAGCCAGATGAACATGAACCGCACGAGGGCCAGTATCGCCAGGGCGACCCACAGCAGTGGCTGGACGTAGTTGGCCAGCCAGAAGAAGCGGCTGTCGGTAGGGTTGATGTTCTTGGTGCCGGGCTCGCTGCTCTCAAACACCCACTGGGAGTCGCCCGAGGACGGGTCGACCTCGTTCCACCACCGCAGGCCGACCAGCCGGCGGCCGGCTATGTTTTTCAGGTAGTAGAAGTCGCCCGCGAGGAGGAGGATGGTGATGATGAATATGAGGACGCTGTTGGTTCCGGCGTGCGGTCTGTGTTAGTCACCTGGTCAAGAGTGGCCGGGCACACGCGCGCGCGCGCGCGTACGTGCAGGTTGGATGGGTATATATAGGGATGGGGAGGCACGGCGTACAGGTTCTCGGTGAAGAGGAGGCCGAAGAGGTAGACGAGAAGGCTAGCTGTAGCTACATGTCAGCATCAAGAGCGTACGGTCGGTGCAGGGCGCCTCTGCCTCGTCGTGGAGGGGTGCCGACTTACACGATCGGAATGCGAGGAAGGTCAGTAATGTGATGGGGTGCGAGCTCAGGCGCCAGCTCAGCGAGCCCGGCGCGGGCGATTGCTGGTCCATGGCGGTTGTTCGAGAATGACGAGGGCGACGGCGACGGCGACGGCGACGGCAACAGCAGGCTTTCCACTAATGCATATAAAGGAGCGGATGGGGAACTTGTTGTGTGCCGTTGCGTGGGTGGGTCATTTGGCCACTGTGTCGTGTTTGAAGCCGAAGACTGGTGGTGGTTAACGGCGCGCGGTGCTCGGCAGGGTACAACAGGTACGTATGCAGCTTACCCCAGGGAGCTCCAGCTGTTCTGTTTCGCACAGAGTGACAGGCGGCTGCGCGCTAACTTTCACTGGATTGGCACTGTGGTCTTAACGGTCACAGGGGTTGCGTAGTAGCCGACTTGGAGCTGGCCCCGCCAGATTAACGGCCTTCACCTCACTTCACCTCGGCTGCATATTTACAGTGAATTGTCGCTCCATATATCAAGTATATAGGAATGGAGTCGTAACGTGAATATCAAACCAATCAATAGTCAGCCATTCATCTATTCTGTCATAATGGCAACATCAGCATCAGTGCTGCGCAGGGCGCTTCTCTACGGCAAGGAATCACACTTACCTCAACTTACATGAACCGTGAACTGACCTCACTGCAGTCCCGGGCTCCTCCCAGAAGATGCTCAGCAAGTCCCTAGGCCTCACAACAGACAATGTGACCTACGATCTAGAGGACTCAGTGACGCCACACGAGAAGCCCAATGCGCGACAGGCACTCGCCAAGCACCTGTCGGCCATTTCATCATCATCCCGGCCAAAAGGCATAGGCGAGGTTGCGGTCCGCATCAACGCCGTCTCCACTCCCTATGCCTTGGAGGACCTCCAGACCCTCGGCAGCGAGCCAGGGCTCGACGCCATCGTGATCCCCAAGGTGAACAAGGCCTCGGACCTCACCTTTGTAGCCGATGTGTTGAAACACGTCGCCCCGCAGCGGTACAGCAACTCACAGCCCATAAAGCTGCTCGCCCTCATAGAGTCAGCCGAGGCGATCCTCAACCTAGGACCCATCTGCCAGGCCGGCGTGTCAGACGGCGTGAGCCTGTCAGGCCTGATCTTCGCAGCAGAGGACTTCTCGCTCGACCTGAGCCTGACGCGGACGCCCTCCCTCCGCGAGTTCCTCTACGCGCGGTCCGCCATCGCGACGCACGCCCGCGCCTTCGACCTCGCCTCCACCATCGACCTGGTCTGCACCACCTTCCGCGGCGACGAGGGCACCCGCCGGCTGCGGGAGGAGTGCGCCGACGGCAAGGGCATGGGCTTCAACGGGAAGCAGTGCATCCACCCCTCGCAGGTCGACGTCGTCCAGGCCGCGTTTGCGCCGTCCGCGGACGAGGTCGAGTGGAGCGTCAGGGTCGTCGTGGCGGATGAGAAGGCGAGCAAGGGGGATAGGGCCGGAGAGAGCGGGAGGGGGGCGTGGACACTCGACGGCAAGATGATCGATGCGCCGGTCGTGGGCAGGGCAAAGGCTGTTGTTGCCAGGGCGGAGAGGAGTGGCTTTGATGTCGGCGCGGTGAGAGAGAGGTGGAAGGACCAGAAGCCCGAGTGAGATCATGGGAACACACCTGCCTGAAGTCAGTTTCGCGGTGACTGGGACCGGAAGACCCAGAATCTGGTGCTTGTCCCTTTGGCTTAGATGGTCTTCATTATCCGCATCCTACTAAGGCACACAACTTCGCAACGGAACGAGAGCGAGCTTCTCATAGCCATGACTTTGATATCTAGACGTTATAGTCTGGCTTAAATCAAGTAAATCCCACAAGTCTAAACCTTTAGTCGGGGTAATCATAGCTTAGGTCCCATTTCATGACGAAGACATGCCCATTCCAACCCGCTGGTGGACGCCTCCGTGAAATTTGTTCCTGTAGACCGACAGTAAAACGACAACGCAGCAAAACACCGTCCCATCTGGGACTAGGGATCATGTTCCAGGACCGAAAAGGGCGCTCCAGGCTCCAGTGGAAACTGCAGTTACAGCTGAGAAACAATTGAAAAATCCAGAGGTGGCAGGCGTGCACGGATAAGGGCAGACGCAATCGAATAGGTACTGTGAGTGATCAGTAGTGGAAGTCCAGTCCCTTTAAAAGAAAAACTCCGCCAGATGGCCGCCTGGTACTCCAGAGGAAAATGATTCAATACCACCGATGATGCTGGAATTCTGCAAGTAGGACCAATATAAGGAAGGGAAAAAAAAAGAGCCAGGAGAATATCCAGGGAAAGAAGAACCAGAAAAGGTGCGAAGAGCGTAATGTTGGCCGCCACGTCTAGCGGATATCGAGCTGGAAAGGCTTGAAGCGACCACCAATAGTGGCGCATCGTGGACACTTCCGTCGGGCACCTTGCTCGGCCATGAGAACCTCGACACACTGCTGACAGATGCCACAGATGCACTCCGTACAGGCGTACGAGTCTCGCAAAAGCGAAACACTCTGGCAGGCGGCACAATAGATCTGAGTGTTCTGTGAGGAATAGCTGGGTGAGGAATCTGTCAATCCATGATTACCCATGTGAAAGCTCTCCGCACTCTCGCCGCTCTCCACGGACGGGAAGGGCCCAGGGATCTCTTGCGCATAGTTTGGCGGCGTCAAGGCCTGCTGCAAGGGCGACGCTTGGTATCCTGACTGGCCAAACTGCTGCTGGGAGAAGGGCGGCAGTGAGGCTCGCTGGATAGATACGGGAGACTGGGGCATCTGTGACCAGTCAGCATGGCATTGGCCGCCAACTGCAGATTCGGGCAGACTCACGGGTGTCCGTTCCTCGTTCAGGTCACCGGCAACCGATGTGGCAGCCTCAAGGAGGTCCATCCAGGGTGACCGAGCCTGTGGTGGCTCGGCCGAGTACGGCCTTGGCCGCTCCTGTGTGGTTGGTTGTAGAAGGTCCCCAGCAATGTCGATCTTACCTCGCTTCACCCAGTCCTTCGCATCTCTGGAGCGCTGTTTCCGATGCTGTGTCTCTCGGCCTCGCTTGGTAATGGACTGTTTCCTTGACCGGTTCGGCCCTAGAGGCCTTTGGAGGGGAGGCAGGGTAGACGATCGCCCTGGGGGCGACGTGGCCATGATGGAGGAGAGCAGATCCCTAGGCCGGTTGGAACTAAGGCCAGAGAAAGGCTCGCTCGTGATGGCAGTGTTGTTGGGCTGTAAGGGAGGGAGCTCGACTGAGGATCTCGGCATTCTATCTTTCTCAGAATCCGACACCCACTCCTGCGGTTGGAGGTCACTAAGGGGATTCATCAAGGGATCTATGTAGTGAAACTTTGCAAGACTCACGCCTTCAGCGTCCCAGTCCGATCCCGTGCCCGTCTTGTAGTTGTGCAGGGAGGCCAGCGCCGCGGCTGCATTTGTCGCAGCTGGCAGCAGGCCACCGGGGTAGTCTTCATACTGTCGCGGAGTCCCAGGGTTGCTAGATTCGTCTCGGTAATACGAATTGCGGTCGGGTGCATATGCCTTCGCCTGGTGGTTTGGAGCATTGGTCGGCGCCGGGGTCTGCTGCGGTTGCTGCGGCCTCTCACTAGGTGGTGTGTTGATCATCAGGTGGAAGCTTTCCTCCGTGGCGGGAAGCTTGGAAATGTAGTGTTCTGGGTGCGCCCGGCGGATGTGTTCCTGCATGGAGCGGTACCTCTTCTCCTGATGGCCGAGTGGTGGTTAGCATCCCCAACATCACAGCATACCATCATGATCCCCAATGCTGGGGCATGATTTGAATTGTCGGTCGAGAATGGCGCAAGGCGTCGCAATTGAGGCGCATTGCGTCAATGGAAGTAAGTGGGAGCAGACGAGGGGCAGGACGTACGCCAATGCAGCGCTTCCTGCAGCTTGACCCATCCTGGTTGCGCAGTGGGCAGACAACTTCATTGTTCGCATCGGTGATCGAGAAGGATGATGTCAAAGACGATCGGGGTGGCATCTTGGGCAATTACAATTGCCTTGACCCCACCATTCAAGGTCGAGCTCGAGGTCGAGTACGAGGAGTTCGGGGTCGGGGTCGAGGTCGAGGTTGGGCGTGAGCGGGGATGGTGGGCTGGAGCTCTTGTCGATAAGAATAGAGTTGAAAGCTGACGGCTGTCGAGTAGAGCAGTTTCTAGGGCAGTGAAGCTGTCGCATTGACTCCTGTCCGCCTAATGCGAGGGGAGGCAGGTGGTCAGGGGAGGGAAATGCTGCAGGATGGGGAACAGAGCTCCAAGCTTGTCCTCAGCTTGTCGGTTGTGACAAGAGGTGTTTCGAAGAGTAGAGGGCGGCGAGAGGAGGTGGTCTAGTAGGTGGTCTAGGACGTGGTCTAGGAGGTGACCGGAAGGGGGGAGGGGGCGCAACCTCGGAAGACTGTATGGATTGGGGGGGGTGCTTCGCTCGGTGCTGCTGCGGCTAACACTGAGAAGCTGAGAACGACTAAGTTGCAACCTCCTTTAGGTACCTGGCAAGGGACCTTTGGACCTTTGTACCTTTGTACCCGGCGAGATAGGTACCTAGGTAGGTAGGTAGGTAGGTAACTGTAGCTAGCCCTTCGGCTGGCTTCAGGACCGAGCGGGACCTGATAGGAGCAGCGCTAGAGCAGAGCACGTTCCCAGCTGGATTTGTCAAGAGGGTAGGACAGTGGTGAGGGCGAGGATGAGGAGCAGGAGCAGGTCAGAGGGAGGTCAGAGAGGTCAGAAGGTCAGGTTGTAGGGAGGTGGGTGGTCCGCCTAGTGCAAGGGGCCAGACGAAAGGGGCCGCCAGCTGGGCAGCTGGGCAGACCTGGCTGGGGACGACTGGAGGGGGGGATAACCAAGGCAAAAGACCAAAGGGGACACCCAGGCGCATGAAGACATCATAGGGGTCTCAATCAAAGCTGGCGCCGTGGACTATGTAGGTTGCAAATCCTGTCATTCGTACACGAGAGGAACGGCTGACAGCCGCGCTCAAGTCAGTCACGCAGCGCTCGAAGCCCTTGACGGCTCAGCTGCCAGGCAAATAATAAGGCCAGGCCATGTCGAGGCCCCAGTCGCAGATCCGACCCGCTCACTCAGGTACCCAGTCAAGGTAGAGAGGTAGGCCCCTTGAAACCTCCACCGAAATCTTGCCATCGTGGGTCCTCGTCCCAAGGGCAGAGGGCTTGCACGGTGTACTGGAAGTGGTACGGCAGGGCTGTGGCAGGGACGACAGGCTACTACACTACTACTGTTGGGTTGCTCTCGGAATCGAGGCTGTCTTCGGATGAGACAGCTCGGTCGATCCAAACGCCCTATCTGGCACTTGTCGCTGTTCTGGAAGGTCCCGAGCCTTGCATGAAAACTCATTTGACCTGCTGGGCCGACTGGCCGAGACGGTAATAGTACAAAGAGAAGCGCAAAGCGCGGATAGTGGGCATGGACCGGGGATATGGACGCAGTGTGAAGGTTTGACCCAGACTGCCAGATCGAGCGACCCTCCCTGTCCCATGGCAATGACGCAGCCCAGTGCCGCGCCGTTGGGAGAGCCGGGGACAAGCTGCAAGCTCTCCCAGCTCAGATGCGATGGATGCGATGCGATGCGATGCGCTGCGCTGCGGCCAGCGGGGCCAGCTACCCTGTCATGACTGATAATTAAAGAACTGCCGGAGGGCTCGATCCTCTCGCAGCTCGAGCTGAGCTTCTACACATGCCATCAGTCGAAGCTCCCAGGCGGTGAGGCTGGTAGCGAGAGCTAAGGTTGGGCTTGGGCTGGCTTTCATCCGCGACGAGCCAGGCGTGCCATGTGCAGAGCCCTCGACCCGGCGCATTGCAGAGAAGGACCAAATCGTCAGTGGCCAAAGCCATGACTCAGATCAGGACCCCAAGCAGGGCTGGCAGGCTCTTGTTCGGCCCTGCCCTGCCCTGCTGCTGCTTGCCTCGCTGCTCAGCCCACGGCATCAGGCCTCTGAGCTCTGACCCTTTGGGTTTTCCTGGCAACCTGGGTCCAAGATCAGTGTCATGTTGTGTATACATGGCAAAGTACACGGGGTACGCCCTCTGCTTTCGAGACAAAGGAGTTCCCACCGATTGGACGAAAACAGCAACTCGAGCAGCTCGAGAGCTCCGGCCAAGCTTGGCGAGCTGCTTGCCTGCTTGCCTGCTGCAGACGGCGACGCCGATCTGTCCAGCTCACCCCTGAGACAAGCTTTCCTTGCTGTGGGAGCTGGCGCTGGCCTCTCGGTGCCCCTACCACGCCTTGCACGCAATCCAGCATCCTCTGTCATGGAGCTGAGCTCGGTGGCTCGCAGCCCTTAATACACGGTAGCGGCAGGCTGAACCTTGGGGAGGGCGGGGAATTGGTGCCAATTATCGAGGCAAATTATTCTGCCGGAGCTATTGGAGTAGCAACAGCAGGCATGACTTCTCGCCGCTTTTGGCGGGGCACACTGGCAGACTGGCACCCCTGGGGCAAGAGGATTCCGACATGTGCGAGGGCGGCAAGGCAGGAGGTCCCCACTTAGGTACCGTCGTCAGCATGTCCAAGTGGGCCCCGCAAAAAACCCGTCAAGGACGGTGGGGTTCGAATCCAGCACATTGCTCCAGACGCCTCCTTCACATGCCTGTGGATCAATCCAACTCTCGAAGCTGTCTACCTCGTCCAGCCCAGCCCAGCCCGGCCAGGAGCAGTCAGTCCGTCAGTCAGTTCATCCACCAGTCAGTCAGTCAGGCTAGCTAGCAAGTAGTCGTTGTGCAATGCTCGACACTACTAGCTACTATCGAAAGTGGTCCGCGTCCTGGACGGACGGACGTTTTGTCAACGGGTCTACGGGGTACTGTGGTACGAGGTAGCTCGAGCCCGTCATGAGCTGGCTTCCAACGCTCGACCCACACCATCCGCCAGCTACTCGTCTCTTGCCTGCCTGTGCAGTTCGGCGGCTTTCTCAGCTAAACATGCTCCTTCGACACCAAGACACGCAACGCCGAATAGCCCAGTCGCAGATTTAGTCGGTGTGACCCATCACAACTACCTGCCTTACTCGCCCCTTTCATGGCATCTGATCGGTCCTCGGGCGTGTTCAGCCATCGGCGGCGGTGAGATGCATCTAGGGATGTCCTTGGGCGCTGGCAATCTTGTTACGCGCTACGAATAGAAGCTCCCTCTACCTCACACCAAGACGATGGGGGGCTTGGCCCGAAATGACCAGAAATTGTCCCGTCGGATTGGACTCGCGGCACGTTGGCCTACCCGTGACCACACACCACAGTACATTGTTCCACAGACGTCGGCAGCGTCGAGCACTCGGCACCTCAACTGCAACCGCCCTGGGGCCGCACGAAACGAGACCATCTGCGTGCGGTTTCAGACCTCATGCGCCCCCAGGTTTTGACGGCAAACATCCGAAGCTGCACCGACCGCTCCCCTCTCCCGGTCCGGGGTCCTCAGCCGGCCGCCCTGCCAGCCTGCTTCCTTGATCGGCCGCATGCGATAGCCGCGCGGACCTGCCCTGCTCATGCCCTGCTCATGCTCTGCCGTGCCCTTTTTAACCCAGCTGTTTCAGCGGACGCCATGAGAGCCGGCGACTCATCTGCTCGACACGGCAGCTGCTGATCAGATAAAACACCAGCGCAGCCCTGCGGCCATAATGTGACAGACAACCAAACATCCTCTCAACTCTCAGAGGCCATATGCCGTCGCTGCTAAGGGGACTCGATACAAACACGGCCGGTCTCACGGCTGTTGGCGCTCGCCGGGGCGTCGACCACCAAGGCCCCAGGAGCAAGCCGGCGTCGTCTGCTTGCGCGGTGCTCTCTCTCTCTCTCTCTCGTGTGCGTCCGTGTGTGCGTCTCACCGTCACACCGATTGACTCAAGGTTTTGCACGGGAACGTGTAGCCCAGACACGCATGACTGGAACCATGAGGCTGACGAGCTGTGTTTGTACCTCCTCGGAGTCTCATCACACAGAGCATCGGCTCGGGGTGCCCGAAGCTGCACTGAGAGGCTGAAGCAACCCTAGAGTACTGCGCTGTCAAACCCGGAAGACAGCTTGCCGCAGCATGGGCAGCTGCCAGCAGTACAGTCAGCTAGCCTCACACGTGTAAGCCAGCCCACTTTTTCATACATTGTCCTCACAGAGCACGCAGCTCAAGGGAAGCAGTACTCCAGCCGATAGCATTATCGCTGTCCCTCAGGGGTGCTAGTTTCGGCCGAGTGGCTCTTCTTTGGGGCATCAGTTGAGCAACTTGGTCTGGTGTCCCGGCTCACTTCCCTGGCGGTACCCAAGCTTGGATGCAAGCAAGTGCTTGTCAGGCCACATGGCACTAGGTTCCATGTATCATCCGCAGCCTGGTTTGTGCGTACGGGAACCTCCATATCGAGCGAACCGGTCACTTGCCAGGTTGCAAGACACCCTGCCCCTATTCGTCGACAGGATAAGGTGGCCCTTGGCTGGGTTGGCTAGTTCGTTCGATGTTAGTCCGTCTTGATAATGTTTATGCTTGGAAGAAACGAGGATTGGCACCGACACGAACATGCTCGGTCTCGCTCGCCATCGTTTGTCGACTTGATCCCTGGGCCCGCCATTGTTCTAGAAGGAAAGGCGACTTCTACTCGCCCACAGTGATCAAGACTAGATGGCATCACAACTACCCGAAGTTCGGTCTCGAACTCCTTGCTCTGCATCGCACTTGACAAATTTGCGCACATTGTCTTGTGGGACGTCGAACGTGTTCAACCTCATGTGTCCCAGTACGAGAGACATCTGTAGTTACAATCTCCATATAAGAGGCTTGCTTCTTTTACCGGACCTTCAGACTGAGCCGCCATCATGCGGGTGATTTGTCCAGAATATTTGCACCTGGGCAGGGCACAGATGATCTCTGCCCCTCAAGCGGACACAACCCATTGCGTTACAACGTTTTCCGCCGGTTGAGTCTCCTTACACACCTCCGTGCTGCTTCCCAGATGTGCGAGCCTGTCGACTTGGGTCACCTTGTCCCCCAAAGCGCTCAGTAAGCTAAGGCCTCTCCCCGACCAGTCCGACGATCCCACGACCATACTGTCACGACAATCACTCAGGGCGGCGCGAGTCCTCGAACCCCCTGGTGGGCTGGAAACAATGTGCCAGCCACTTCAACAGACGGGACAGCCGCGACCAGCCTGGAGGCAAGTTTTGGATTGGGTCACCGAGCTCGAGGGCCTTGCCGGAGGGTTGCGGTCGACATGGGTAAAGTTGACGAGGATAGGGAAGGGTGGGACGCCAAGTACGGCGAGGATCAGAGGCGCCCGTGGCAGTATGGCACAGCTAGGTGGGGAGACAAATGATGGCCACTTCTCCAGGACTGCGACCATCACAGGAAGCTTCAACACCACTTCGAGGTGCTGTGGAAAGGGTGATGAGGTGTGCAAGGGTGGCACCAGCAATCAGGATTGCGGCCCTGACGAGGAGGCTATGGCAGAGAACATGGAGCTGGCCTTTGAGCGTGGAAGAACTCTCGCAAGAGGCGTCCGGAGGGGCAGGGGCCGGGTGAACTATCTTCGTTCGAGGGGCGAGTGATGACCAACTCTTGCGGCGAACACGCGACTGCTGAGGCCATGAGCTGCAGGGTGAGGACAGAAGCCGGGTTGCCATCTTGACTCTCCTGGAACGCTGGACCACCATCGACTCGTAAGCACCCGGGAACCTAGGCCCCCTGCCGTATGGCGGCATTCAGTCAACTTCCGTGGTTCATGAGGGGGAGGGGGCGAGGGACCGATGTGGTAGGGGCGGAAGTGGATGCTGACCCTCCAAGGACGACCTCTGCGGATGTGCTATCATACGGGCCAATTATTCTTTCCTCGAGACAAACACGAACGCAGTGCCCCTTGCTTATCACATTCCTCCTACATGGTCTATCTGGACAGGATGTTCCGCTCGACTCGGGGAAATCTCAGGTTGCAGGGGAAGCTATCTCGTCCTTCTGCCCACTTTGAACAATACGCGCCTTTCGCCCACCATGGACACAAGGCGAACTCGCCCTCATCACTACTTCCAGCGAGTACGGTTTCAGAAAATGGTTGGAGGATTCATTTGTGTCTGCACAGCAGAGTGGTGAATCACGCGAGCGATAAATGGCAAGACCGTGTTGCCCAATGTAAACTATTGCCTCGGTCCCAAGACTGAATCCCAACATGTCTAGATGCGTCAATGGCAAAGCCTGTCAGTATCACACACAGGGCTTCATGATGCTGGCCTCTGGCCTTGGCAGTAGATGAGAAGCTGACGGCGTGTCACACGACCTTGCCATTTTTATCTACCAAGGCCCTAGGGCTAGATGTCGTGTATATGTAACCCCTTTTCAGATAGACGTGATCATATTCGCAGGGTATCAACTCTCCTCTAGCCACTACCTGTAATGCTGGCCGTGTCAGATACCCCCCAGAAGCCACATAACCCCCTCTATCGTTGTGATGATGGCCAAAACGTCCAAAGCAACGTCCAAAGCAAATCCTCCAGCAGCGCTGCTGCTGCGCCAGGATGCCACAGCTGTCCACCATGCGCCGCCCCCCGCCCAACACCCAGATGCGCCGGCTCACTTGAGCTGCCTCAGGATCTCAGTCAGGAAGTCCTCGAAGCTGAGGGTGATGTAGCCGTCGCGGTCGTCGTCGTACTTCTTGAAGACGTCGGTCATGCGCTTGAGGGAGATGCAGGCCTGGACGAAGAGGTCGAAGCTCAGGACGCCCTCGTTGCGCTTGTCGTAGGTCTGGAAGAGCAGCTCGACGAAGCGCTCGGAGAGGCGGTAGCGGAAGGCGACGAGGGCGTTGTTGAACTCGTCGAGCTGGATGTTGCCGCTCTTGTCGGCGTCGAAGCGGTCGAACAGGGTGCGCCACGAGGCCAGGAAGGACCACAGGCCGCAGAACTCCTCGAAGCCGATGGTGCCGCTGCGGTCGCTGTCGAACATGCGGATCATCATGCGCACCGTGTGCGGGTCGAAGGCGGTCCAGTCGCCGTTGACCAGGGCGGCGGAGAGCTCGCGCTCCGAGAGCTGGCCGGTGCCTGTTTTGTTGTGTGCGCTGTCTTAGCCTTTGTCTTCTTGTTCTCGTTCTTCTACTTCTTCTTCTTACGTACCGTCCTTGTCAACTGCTCTGAAGAGCGGCAGCAGCGTGGGGTCGGCCCCGCCGTCATTGGGCGCGGGGCTGGGCGGAGGTCTCGAGACTGGAGGGGGCCGGGTGTGAGGCATGGGCCTTGGACCGCCGGTGGGGGGCGGAGACATTACGCCCGAGTGGGTGTTGTGATGACCTCCGGACTGGTGACCTGCCGGTGAGAGACGCCCCGCGGAGCCGGCGTGTGGGCGTCCGTAGCCCTCCTGGGGCCGAGGGGGCATTGGCTTGTTCTCGTAGTGGGAGGGGGAAGGGGAGGCATGTTTTCGCTCGGGCTCGGCGAACCTGGTGGGGGAAGGGGGCGCGTCTTGTCAGTGGACTGGACTGGTCTTTGTGGGGGCGCACGATTTTGGACGGAGGGAGACTCACTGTGGGAGGGCATCCGGGTTGTAAGGCTTGTTGTAGGCCATGATGTGTGTGTGTGCGTGTGTGCTGTGCGGTCTGGCTTCGTTGCACCTCTGCGCGCGATAGGTTGGGACAGATGAGAGAAAGGGGAAGGTGGAGTCGGATTGTTTTTGAGATGGTCGATTCCAAGTCCCAAAAGGCGTGCCAAGAGGAAATGCGACAGCGACAGTGACTCGAAGGGATCGATGATGTCGTTGGGGTCGTTGGGGCCGGGTGTTGGCGAGCTGCTTGCAGGCCAGAAACAACAATAAATAGATTTGATAAGGGCCGCTCGAGGTCAGTCGGGCCTGGTCACGGTCAGGGTCTCGGTCGCGGGTCGCGGGTTGCGGTGGTGGTTCAGCCGCGGGGTTCCTGGGAATCCTGTCTGCCTGGTCGGGTCGTGGTCCGGGCCGGCGCACACTCTCTTTTACGTAGAGTCAGAGAGTCTCGTTTGTGGTATGGGGTTATTATCTATGGCCATGTGTCAAGGCGCCGGGGGCGCTTATATCGGATTTCACGAGATTCAGGACAAGGGAGGAGCCCTGAAATTGCGGAAGAGCTCCTCGGGGTGGGCCTGAGGGGCAGCTGGGTAAGCTTGTGGGGAGGGCATATGCCAAGGTCCAGGATTGAACGAGGCTGTGTGCTGTTGGGCTGAAAGCACTACTGGGAAATGCAGTGATGGGGTCTGCAGGGGGTGGAATCTGTCCGCAAGACCTGATATATCGTTGGACACAGCTCAGAGATATCACCTGCCTAGCGCGCATGGCCACGGTTGGAACCATGGCAGCACCCCCTTTTTCGCCCTCTTGAACCCGGGGCACATCAGACGACGGGAACGCCATGTTTCTTTTTCCTTCATGCTCACACTCGGGGCCGATGCGTCAGAGGGCCTCTGAGCGACGTTACACAACCGTCGGTCACTCTTCATCCGACCCGTGACTTGGCCCGACCACTTCGTCAGAATCTTTGTTCCTTGGGTCCTGCAGCAGTGGGTCGAGTTATGCACGCGTACATATACTTGGGTTTTCGGGGGGTTGATACCCGGCCGGTTATTCAACAAGAGTACCGGTTATACGGGCTGACGCCATACTCTGGCCTTTGGGTAAAATGGAGCCTCCGTGGGACTGGCCCGTGCGCTCCGCACCGAGTCGCAATCATCACCGGCCGCGCATGCCGGCACATGACGGGTATTACAAACATGGTCGACATCTTTCTCTTGGCCGCTGCCGGCATCTGCTCCCTTTTTGCCTAGTTCGGTCTGCACACGTAGGCATCATAGACTTAGACTAGAAGTCTCTGCGCGAGGATGACAGTAGAAGACCCCGGTGCTCCGGCTGCCGACAACGGCGAGTTCTGGCTCTTTGGTTATGGGTATGCTCCTCTCTGTTTTGCTGCACACACCCACAAAGGCCGCCCAGAGGAAGAGGAGGGGGTCCGGGGGTTGTTGGAACGTCTCTAACAGATCATATCTGCAGGAGTCTGATATGGAAACCACCACCCCATTTCGGTAGGTTTTCATTCCTGTGCGAGGTTGCCCCAGAGTTGAAGAACTTGTGGCAGAGGCCAGTTGTGTCTCTATCTTTGTGCATGGACTGAGTAGAGCTTGTCGCCGCCAGATCGCAGGATTCCGGGCTGGGTCACAGGCTACGTTCGTAGATTTTGGCAAGTGAGTCGCCGCTCTTTACTTCCTGGGACGTCCGACCCTTCGTCTTGCACCGCGTGGCTTCTCGTCCCACCACTCGAAACTCCTAGGGAGAACTTACTGACAGGACTCTGACAGGCGAGGTATGACATCTGTTCCTTTTGCAGCTTCCTGTCACTGCGTCTCGAATTTGTACCGTCGAGTCCTCTCGGGGTCATTGTAGGATACCGAGACGCGTGCACCTATAGCCGCATGACAATAGCCATCCGGGCCATCTCAGCTGATGATGCAATTAACAGCCAGGACCACCGCGGGACTCCCGAAGCACCGGGCCGCGTCGTGACCCTGATCGAGCGTTCCTTCTGGGAGACACTGCCGGATCCACACTCGGCTGCCGACAAGGTCTGGGGCGTGGCCTACAGGATCAAGGCCGAGCATGTCGAGGAGGTCAAGGAGTATTTGGACATCCGCGAGATCAACGGCTATACCATCGTAAGTTGAGCCCTCGAGTCTGCTTGCACATTAATGTCCAGCCCTGCCCCCCTGGCCGCTTGGCGGAGGAGAGCACCCATGCGTCCCAAGAGCAGTGCTTCCCCGAGAGGTCTCAGGATATGTCTCGGGTATCATCATCCTTTTCTTCTCGTCGGTATGGCACCTGGTCGTCCTTCTCAGCGGCCCTTTTGCCCCTCCTGTGAATTCGTCGTAACATCCTGGCTTGCATGCCGCCGCATACTTTCGGTTCCCCTTGTGAGACAAGACACCACTGACTCTTTCTGGGTATAGCACTATACACCCTTCTGCCCGGCTTCTAACCCAGAAAAGCCCATTCGGACGCTTGTCTGTGTGTATACTTCTTCTTCTCCCTTGTATTTTGTTAGGTTTCTGTCTGCGGCAAGCCCTCCAAAAGCCACCGCCACAGACATTTGACACATCACAGACATTGGGACCCCCGACAACGACCAGTTCGTGGGGCCCCAGGACATCCAGGCCCTGGCTGAGCACATCTACCAGTCGGAGGGGCCGAGTGGGCTGAACCGTGACTACCTGCTGGGCTTGGACAAGGCGCTGCAGGAGCTGAGCCCCGAGAGCGGCGACGAGCACGTCACGGACTTGTCGGAGCGTGTCAGGGCGATTATGGCTCGCGACGAGGGGCGGGATTCTGGTGGGAAAAGGGGAGGCATCGAGGCGCAGGCTGCTAAGAATATGGTTAGCCAGGGGACCGGTGCGGCTTCGGGCGCTCTTTGCGATGCTGAGAAGGTCGGCAGCGTAGACCAGAACGAGGAGACTGAGAAAGTCGGCTGAGTCGCAACACACATAGACACACACACACGCGCGCGCGCACACACACACACACACACACACACACACACACACACACACAATAGAAGAATTCCACAGGATCAGTCAACGCCGTATTTTGATTTCCTCCTTAGACGCCCCTACTCTCTCGCTCTGCTTTCGGCAACCAAGTTGCCAGAGCAAGAGCGCCTGCGCGCCGAGCTTCAGAGCTCGTTGTTTGACTTGATTTCCACGCGTCGGCATACCTGTCAGAAACGACGCGTGCGAGTGCTGACTGTAATTTTGTACAAAGAACGTGTTGGACGACATCTGGAAATAGGCATCTTTTTCTGCCCTCAAACCCGAAAAGTCGTCAAAAGAAGAGGTTGGAAAAGAAGGAAGTGGAAAAAAGGCAGGAAGGAAGAAGAAAAGTTTGAGTATGAAGACAGCCAGCCGAAGAACGAAAAGCGCCACCCGAAAACAAAAAGGTATCGAAGATCTGAACTCGGTCAGGGGGTATAATGTTTGTCGTGAACAAGAACGATGGCAACTTTTCTTGACATTCGCGCATGCTTTGGGGGGTTGTTTCCTTTTTTCCCCGTTCGGACATTTCGTACCATTTCTCGCAATTTCGGCCGTGGTCAATTCTTTTGAAATCGTAAGTGGACTCGACATCAACAGCTAGTTGGCTCCAGTCGGGCGGTGTTCTCAAAGAGCGGTCCATACGGTCTGTGACGTTGATTAGAGGAGGTCCAGAGGGCGCAACTCCTTCCCCTTGAACGCCTCAACTCCGGCGATACCAAGAGCAAACCCAGCCGCCGAACCTTGGTGTGAGCCTGATGCCTTTAGTACCCAGGAGGCCCACCAGGGTGTGCTTGCTGCTGCCCTGGCATCTGTTGCTGGGGCATCTGCCCCTGGGGGATCTGCTGCTGCTGTCCCTGCTGTTGCTGGTCCTGTCCGTAGACGTACCCACCCTGAGGCCAGGCTGTGTCGATCGACTCCTTGTCAGTGATTCTGTTCAAAGATTGCTTCTCGTGCCGACGGCCGTCCACAAGAGGTCAGAAGAACACGTCGAGAATGGTAGACTTACCCTGCTGCGGCATGGCGCCGTAATTCATCGCAGCTGCCTGAGGCGGGTATCCGCCGCGGCCGTACTGTTGCTGTTGGGCGGCATACATTTGCGGGTGAGCAGCCATCGGGTATCCCTGCTGAGGATGTCCGTAGGCCATCTGAGGCATGCCTGGGTTCTGCATGCCACCGTAGCCGCCGCGCATCCCAAAGCCGCCCACCGCTCCGCCGCCGCGGGGAGGGTAGCCTCCTCGGGGACCGTTGTCGGAGGCCTTGTCGACGCGAATGGTGCGACCGTCAAACCTGAACGGAGAGGCTTAGCATCCATTTACAACAAGTATCGGGTCCTACAGCGCAGTTAGATTCTGCTGTGGTGGGATCTTACTCAATGTTGTTCATTGCGGCGATGGCTCGCTGCGCGTCGTCCTCATTCGTGTATCGAACGAATCCGAAGCCACGGCTGCGGCCGGTGTCACGATCCTTGACCACAACCTAAGGGGTGAGAATGGTCCATGTCAGCCAAGGCGAAGGTTTGTGCGACGGGCGAGGCAGGCCCTGGAAGATTCTGGCCAGGATTGCGTCGCGATGTCAGGAGCGCAACGTACAGCCTCGTCCACGAGTCCAAACTCCTCAAACTTCTGGCGCAAAGTTGCCTCCTCGGTGTGCCAAGCGAGGCCGCTGTTGCCTATTAGCACGCAAATCATCGCCAGCGATGGCAGCGTTGGCGTGGCCTACCCGATAAAAAGCTTCGTCGTCGAAGTCATCTTGGTCAAACTTTCCCTGACGTCGACAGCTTCGTTTCGTCTGATGGAAACTTGGAAATCTAAGAGATTCCAAGAGCAAGGCTGTATTCTTCTGGATCGGATGGAATCTTAGGCACAAAAGGCAGATGTCTCTTCCCAGGACGACACAAGCAAGTTGTTGGAGCGAGAAAAAGTCTGGTTGCGAAACGGGAAGGAAAAGTACCCCTCTTTGCCGCGAATATCTTGTCCTGACCGCGACGTTGGTTGGTCCGCTCCCAGACAATTTGTTCTCAGTCTCTGATGATGGGCGGAGGTCACAACTGCAAGCAGGTCCACCAAGTAACAGAGGGCACTTGTTTGAAGTTAGAAGGTGAGAAATATCGTGATGGCGACGCACTGCAATTATAATGCAAAATCCACACAACAATCCTGTCTGGTTCGAAGGGAAGTTGGAGGAAATGACCGAATCTGGGAAAGGACTGGTGGGGTGGTATCGCAAAGCTCGACAAGTAAGGATCAGGGGTTCTCCGGAGAATGCTCGTGGACTTGAAGAAGCATGGGAGGATGCCTGGCTTTGGCAAAGGGGAACGGTCACTAGAGTCGACGCATATTACTTATATGCAATAGCGTACTGGAGACATGCTCGTCAAGCTCTGTCATTAGCCCATCATCCCAATATAAATGGCTCATTGTCTCTGCCCTGAGCAGGGAGTTCGATGCTTGACTGGTTGTTTCGAGGAGCATAAATGTGGCAGCAAGGGTCTCTCGTCCAGACAAGCATCAAACGCAGAGACAGAGAGCCTGTAGCATCACTCAAGCCGGGCCGCCAAGCTGATTGGGTCTAATGTAGTTACCTGACTGCCACAGAAGCTAGTCCGACAGGAGGACAGGAGGCGGAGACCGCAAGAGTATCACCTCCGGCCCCGGACTACCGTTGACTGGGCGGACTACAGCTCACATAGGGCTGATGTGGGCACTGATTGGCATGTCTCCGCTTGTCGTGAATCCAAAAGGGTAGACTGGCTGGGTCGAACAAGTTTCTTCCCAGAGTGCCTGGGCCGCTGAGTCCTTTGTCTTCCGCTCCGGTGACGTCGTGGAGTCACGAGTCGCGCAGCTACGAAGCTGGAGAAGGCGCTGCTTCTCTCAACAGGCTGTGATGCCAGAGTACTGTTGGCGGCATTGAGCTGCAAAACTTCAGCAGCTCGCAAGTCTGGCCCGGATGAATCCACCACGTGCATTCTGTGTCATGTTCAACCGAACAAATTTGTGGCCCACGATGCCACAGGCGTTGGAGCAGGATTCGAACGAAGAATGTAACAACTGAGACCCCTGCCGGCACCCCTGCCCATCGTGCCTGTGCGGCGGAGCAACCCCTGGGTGGAGGTTCAGTCTTGCAAGTGTACAAAGCCAAATTGAACGACATCCAGTGGAGCAGGGGTGAACACTCCACAGAGTTTCGCTGACGGCAAGCTGCACTTGGAAGGAAATTCTCTCACTGTCCCCCGGGCAGTGTGACGATTCTGTACACCAAACGACTGTTCTGGTTGTTGACGGGTGGTTGCCGACTGCAAGGCCGCCGGACCCCCGGTGAGGAGTTCGCAGACTTTGGGATGACCCTGGCCGCATGCGAAACTGACGAAGCGTTCACTATCGCAGTGACGAAAATGGACGGAACACGAGATGAAACTGCTGCCCGTACCTCGCTAACTGCGCGCTGGATACCCCAGGGTCCGATGTTCCCCGTTTGCCTTATTACGCGTAGATGTCAGTGAAGTTGCCGGTGGGCCTGGGCTTAAGGAGAGATCCTTCCAGACCCTGCGTGCCCCGCAAGGCCTGCTAGCCTGCAAATAAACTTGCGGATCCAGAAAGTGCATTCCGAATGGACGATACCAATTATTCCGTTGACACACTAGTCGACGGGAAATTCCAGACTTGGGAAAGTGACAAGTCAACGGTCCAGGCCAGCTTTCAAGCCAGCCAGCTCATCTCCGAGACAGGACAGGTAGTGCTATTCTTGGAGACGTGCAGGATCAATTAGTGGGATCTGTCATCCAGCCAGACGCCAGATCTGGTCGTCAAAGACGCCAAGATTGGCCTTGAGACAGCCGCTAGGGTGTGGACATCGACTTTCAGAAACGCACTCCATCCCGCCAACCTCCGCCAATACCAAGCGTTCGAAGCGCACTGCAAGAGGGTCTCGAAACCAGGCACAGCTGGATCGCAAAAAGCTTGCTAATCTTGCCTTCCCCCACTGGTCTGACCTTCTTTTTGTGAGGGGGGGGGAGAGATGGGAATTGCCATGCCAAGCAGAAACACACTGGAGGGGTCGCACGTGTAATGCACGGACCTGACAGTTGTACTGGACATACTGTTACCATAGCAGTCCTGGCCGGCGGTCGCTTGATGCAAGTTGACAGAACCCTTGCTGCCGATCGTGGCGTTTGAGCCGCACCAGCCCACAAGACCCATCATGCGGGGGCCCCTTGCGGGCCTTGGAGCTGGCCGCGGATGTTCGCCCCATGTGATGAGGTGAAGAGTGAGGTTGCACCCAGATTGCCGGAGAGGTGGGAGAGGCCGGATCCGCAGGCCTTGGGCAGGCCTCGATTTGCAGGTGAAGGTCAATGGTCCGCATCGTCTGCCGCGTCTATTGAAACAAGGATTTGTACTAATGGCGTGACTCTGACGTGTGCCACCTTGTCTGGATCCAAAAGGAACGCCCTGTGCTTTTGAAACCAGGATCTCTTGGAAACAAGACAGCGGCACATGCAACTATGCGAGAGCGAGCGCAGTATCGCAGTGTGTACCATGGCAGCAGTGTGGAGGGCGTGGAGGGTGTGCGACTGTCTTCTGCTCTCCGTGCCAGGAGAGGAGACGGTCTGTCTTGCCAGGAGGCGGATGAGAGACAAATGCTGCAATCGTCCGATGTGAGCCAGCTGCCTACCTGCCTTCTCTGCGACAGGCAAGTGCCTGCTCCAGAGATCAAGCCTGACACATGACGCCTTGCGAGCAGCACATGGGTCTCCGTTGCGTGCCGCCAAGGATTGCTGGCACCGGAAGGCAGATTTCATCGCGGCTGTACTACCTACCTAGGTATTCCGCACGTTGGCATTCTGCTGGTTCGGACGCCTCGAGTCGGAGGACGTCTGGGCTCGGCAGACAGATGCCCATGGGGAAGCGGGCATAGCATGTCCTGAGTAAGAGATTGATGGGCAGTACGGACGAAGAGGGTGAGAAAAGAGAGAGAGAGAAAGAGAAAGAGAGAGCGAGGTGGGCCTGGCGCTCTGTAATGAATTAGACGGCGAGGAGATGGGCATAGTTGAGCGAGGACCACGGTGATACAACCTACTGATGAGGACACTGCAAAGCACAGGGCATCTTCAGGTCGAACAAGCTCTGGGGATTCCCACGAGCTCGGATGCTGGACTGACAGACTGACTGACAGATGACAGGTCATGAATGCCAAGAGGTGGCCTGAACTACCTAGGCACGGTAGAGCCTCCGGACACTCTCCCCACGCAGTGCCAGAAGACAACCCCTGTGGTAGTTTCCTGGCAACCGGGTGAAGCTTTCCGGCTGCTCCTTCTGGTTTGAGTTGGATGGGTACGGGGAGATCGTCAACCTCGCTACTTCCTTCCCTCCGGCCACTCCACGCAGGGTCAGTACCCACCTACCTGCCCAGCTGCCCACTTAGCTCAGTCGGGGGATGTCGCGTGTATGGGCCCCGTCGGAGTTGCAGGTGCAAGGTGCAAAGGTGCATATTCAGATGCAGGTGCAGATCCAGGCATGTTTCGACACAACCATCTTGCCATCCTGCCATCTTGCCCATCCTCGGCATCGAAACGAAACTGTCATCAAGATCGATCGATATTCAGACGCCGGAGGATCCCGTCGCCTTAGCTACGCCCACACGCCCTCGCTCGCTTCCTTGGATTTGCTCGCTTTGCTCGCTTCGCTTCCAGCTGTAGATCCCGACTTCTCTTTGCGAATCCCCGAGCAGGTGTGGCTCCTGAGAGTCTCCTGTTTCCACCCACAAGGTTGCCAGACCCATGTGCCAAACCTGACTGCAGACGGTGGCATCATCCATCCAGTCTATTCTTGTCGTCTCTCGTTTTCCCCGGGCTTGGCGCTTTGCACGTGTCTGGGCTTGGTATTCCACCTTGGGACAACAAGGAGGATATGGAACCGTCCGGCATCTCCTCTCATCATCCACATCGTCAGACTCGCCGTAGCGAATACCGCGACAGCCGTCGAAGTCATCGTGTGGCGCATACCAGGCAGACTCGTGGCTCAGACAACAATGAGTCTCTTATACTGTGGCCCACCAGGGCTCAGGAGTATGCTCATGATGGAGACAAGCACGGCTTAGTGAATAGTTGGCTAGAGGATATCGAGACACCGCAGCTGCAACCTATTCACAATAATGAAATTCCGTCCGAAGATCCCAGTTTTAGGACACGCTCTCGGCATGAGACCACCCCTTGGCTGCGGAATCCGTCCCCGAGTAAACTGCTGTCTGACAATCACCACAACGGGCAGGTTTTCAAGGCGTCCCCGCGACAAAGATTACGAGAGCGCAAGCGGCCTCGAGATCTAGTCGAAGGCAGCTCTATCCGTGACCTCCGTGACGAGCAATCCCCTGCCCCAGAGCAGCCTCCTTCTCGAGCTGCGCTGGTTGCGACAGAGCCGCACCGTGCCAGGAGCAAGGAGAGGTCACAAGCGGACTCTCAAGGAAGTGTAGTCTCTGTCATATCGGGAGCAGAGGCTCGGTTCACCAAAAAGGCCCGGCATAAGACCAGGAGCGATCGTTATGAAGCCATGAAGGATCGCAAGCCACGAAAGCCTTCGAAAAAGAAGAGCAAGAACTCCGAAGAGCAAGGCAAAACAAATAAGACTAAGAGGGGAGGTGACTTCTCTTCTGCCAGAGAAGTCATGGGTAACTTCAACTCCAAGTCGATTATGAGTGATCGTATCACTGTGAGCATGCCTGTCCCTGGCCAATGCACTGCGCTGACCTTGTGGTTAGATGCAGCCTACCGTGAGACCAGGCTTGTTCGATAATGGCCGGACATCGAAAGACCAGTGTAAGGCCGCCCTCATAAGGATATCCCACGCAAATTAACTTGCCTCCAGTACCCGACCTCACGTTCCATGAGATGCATTTCCTGAAAAGACCTGCTCCACAAAGGCCTATACACCGTGACCGCGAAAGGGCGAAGAAACGGGGCGAGAGGGAACTTGAGGAAGTATCAGCTTTCTTCCTGCATAAAGGCACGGCAGAAGCGCCTGGTGCGCCTGGTCGAAATCACCCTCGTGTAAGCGGTTCATCCAGCCTGGATAGAGCAACACGTGGAAGCTCTGCCCTTAGCACTGATGCGCCACCACAACAGTCCAGGGCAGGTGAACATTATGGCCATTGTTCACCTGGACTCGACAAAGAAAGCAGCAGAGCAACATATTGGACTTGGTCAAGCAGCGATTCAGCCCCTCGACGAAGAGTTGCCCAGGGGACTGCTTCCAGGGAGCACGTACCTGCACAGAATTCCACACCATCGTCATCAAGCAACGAACTCCAGCACAAGAAAACATTTGATAACGAGGGTGTTGGCTATGTCGAACGCCCAAGGCAAGACCCCAGCGCCAAATCTCGCCCCAAAGATATTTCGGTCACCAGAGATTCCCTGGCTATGGTGTCGTCGGATGTTTGTAATCTTCAACCAGACATCTCGAGGCAGAATATTCGGATTGTTCGATACCATGATCGAGGAGTAATGGCCAGTGACGGGGATGAAATCGTAGCTGGATGTCGCCAGAAAGGCGGAGCCCGATTGGATGCCGTCGAGCAACTCCGGGTCAAGACACCAGCCGGGAGTCCATCTCCCCTGAGCGTGGCCAAGTGTGGTCGGTTTGGACCCGAGGACGAACGAGTCAATCTCACTCATGGAGAGGGAAGATCATACGAATCCACGGCAGTTCATGCAGAAAGCCATAGTCCTGGGCCTGCTCGCCCCAGATCCCCGAAGTGTACGATGATTGAGCGGTTGGAGGCGGCAGTTGCAAATGTTGAGTCGCAGGAATTACTCACTTATCTGCCCATGGTGTTGGCACCTTTGCCGGTCCACCAAAACGAGCAAGCAGCTTCTGCTCGGTACAATAACAGCGTTCCAGGTGCCCACAGCTCCTCTCAAGATGTATGCTTCGAATCTCAACCGTGTTTCTTCGGCGACAGGCACAGGGGTCATTCTGAGGCAGTCTATCAGGATAAGAGCTTCTGTACACCTGAAGGCGAGTTACGAGACAGCCAGAGAGCTCACGAGGTTGACTTGGTGCCGCAAATATCTTCGAAGGAGACGGGTGTCGATTTCCGCTGGATTGACGACCTTAATCAGTCAGCTCGTGTCGCAGGGAGTGCCCATCGCGGACCGTCTGGGGCTGAATCAATGGCTTGCTACTCGTTGGATCATCCTTACAGCGTTCAGACAATTTCTCCCAGCAGGGAGCCATGGCCACGGACTGCGATGAAAGATTCGGCTGATGCTAGTCATGGTCAGGACCCAAGCGATCAATTGTTTGGCAGAACTCAGAATGTGTTGCCGCAAGCCACCGAAATATTTCCGCGGAGATCTGGTAAACAACGCAGATTGAAAGAGTACATTGATCAGATGGAGAATGAAGTCCTTTGCCGCCCACAAGACGCCGCTGACGATTCTTCGACATCCGCTTGGCACAGCATGGGAGACGAACATGGCATCTATGGGGAATTCGCCCGTCAGGAACATCAACTGAACGCCGATGCGTATGACCAAGATCTGTCTGGGGACGGCCACTTGGAGAGTGAACCCGTCGGCGAAGAGTATTATGGAGGGCTAAAGGCGCCACACGATTCGGATTTCGATCACGAGGAGAACAGATTCATGGCTACTTTTTGGAGGCCGAATTTCTATTGAGCTGCCACGATATCTCTGGCTGGAACAAATTCAAATGCTGGTTGCATTCATGACCGCGGCTGCCTGGTCCTCCTCGTGGTGTCTCGTACGGCCATGCTCACCTCCAGGTTGTAGGCTCGCAGGGCCTTCCGATTGCTTTTGGAAAAAGAAGGACCCACAGGCCCCACATACGAGCTCTCGGCCGGTATGATTCGAAATTGTATCGTGCATGCAAACTGTCCCTTGGCTTTTTCGGGTACCTGTCGCACAGAAACCTTTCAAGTCCGGGGTGGTAGTTCACAACGGCTTTTCCAGCAAGAAAGTGAGAGCACGAAGCCCACCGGAACCCGGCTATGTTTAGACAACACGAGCCTGCGATTGCGTCAGAGAAGAGTGTTGAAGGCAAAAGAAAGTTGGTGCACAAGACAATCTCCGCGAGCTAAGGAAATGAATTGAAGGCAGATCCTAATCCAAAGCGGCGGCACTTTGGGGCGTAGGCAAACAAGCCTTCTCAGGCCGATGAAGGCAGGACTCCGTACAGCCCGACGAACTCTACATTCCCGGGGAAGAAATCTTCTCCGAGGACGGCGTGATGCGTTCAGCCCGTTCCGCATTATTGGGATATTTGACTCGGTCGGCGCTGTGGGCTGGCGGCGCTGTGGGCTGGCAGCGCTGTTCTCCGGCCACCATACAGATTTCAGTTTCTCATTTTATGACTCCTTGGCGAAGAATCTGGGGTCTGACTAGTGCAGGCCATGAGGCGCAGGATCTAAAACACCTCCGTCCGGTCTGTCTAAAGCGTCCCCTGAACAGTCATGCGCCAGAACAATGTTTCCGTACTGAACGCAGGCCTGGACGTGGGCGGTAAAACCAATGGTTCTTCGCGATGTTGGCAGCGAGGAGTAGTACCATGGTGTTTGGTGTTTGCTTGCAGCGACTTGGTGACACATCGAATCCTGTCAGACCTCAGACCCGGCCTCTTTGAGTATTATTTTGCAGTTGACGGCTGACGTTGGACCTCAGGTGCCATCAGACCCAGCCTTTAAGGTTTAGCTCCAGCGAGAGCCCCTGCTTTGACGCCGCCAGCCCCTGGATGCCCCCTGGGCCCGAGGCCCAAACGGGGCTTGAATCCGAAGTGGATGCCCAGCCCGGCCTCCACTTGACCCATCCAGGCACTAGTCCCCAGCATTCAGGAACTACCGCATCCTTATGGACGCCATCTGGCTATGTCGGCCAATAGCGGGCGCTCATTTGATTGCACGTCCAATTTCCATGCGCCGATGGCAGGACTCACGATGGTTCGGGTAATTGCTTCACCCCTGCCGACAGCAAATTGTGCACAAGCTCGAGGCAGAGGCGTTGCAAGCTCGCTTCCTTCGCTCGCGGCTGCCTTGGCTGTCCAAATCACATCATGCACACAGGCGGACCGGGCTGCCTGTGCACTGCTGGATTGAATGTGTAAGTAAGCACAAGGTAGCAATGGTGAATACGAGAGTAGTCAGCAGGCAGCACACCTCTTTTTACCATCGTCGGTCCCCCGAGCTGGAAGCCGTTTCGTCCTCTCTTCTCAACCCTTCGTCAACTACCGCCTCCACAGCCCGGGTCCATAGTGTTCGTCTGGTCAACGCCCTCTGGTGTCGCACCTAACCTAGTCACTCCTTCGAAGTTTATAATTATAGTCTCTCGTTACATCCCCTGACCATCAGTCACTCTCTTTCTGCGGCAGCACCGTTTTACGTGGCCATTAATACCAAACCTCCGTCTAGTCACTCGCTCAGAGACATTACCTGCTCATCATCATATCGCCTAATACCAGTTCGACTCTTGTTACCATCTCGCCCTCTTAATCACACAACAGTCAGACACGATGCAGTTCTCAATCTACGCCGCCACCTGCCTGGCTCTCGTCAGCCGTGCGTTCGCACAAACCGAGGGCTTCGATGCCATCACCGCGCCGACCAAGGACCAAACCCTCACTGCTGGCACGACCTCAACTGTGACCTGGGAGTACAACCCACAGTATGCGGGAACCGTCACCATCACTCTCCTCCAGGGCGCGACCCCCGAGACACTTCAGCTTGGTAGCGCGATCGCAAGTAAGGCACCTCCACAGATGACTCTGTCAATCTGGCGCCCTCTGCGCCTTCCATGTCACCTTGACGCTAACAAAACAACTAGCTGGCATCGACAACAGTGCTGGGTCTTACTCTTGGAGCATCGCCTCCAGCCTCGGGGCTGAGGCAACCTATGGCTTGAAGATCAGCCTCGACTCAGATCCTTCAACTTTCCAGTACTCGTTCCCGTTCCACATCGCCTCCAGCGGTTCTGGCTCTGGCTCCAGCTCCAGCTCCAGCTCCACTATCAGCAGCGTCAGCGTTTCCACCACCAGCTCTCTGAGCTCTGCGACGGTCTCCTCCACCACTGGCAGCATTTCCTCGTCTCTGTCCAGTGTGTCATCGGCGGATTCTACTACTGTAGCCCCGACTACTTTCCCCACCTTGGCTCCCACCAGCGGTAGCGGTGTGAACTCGACCAAGACCGCCACAGGAACGACATTGACCTCGAAGGTGACTCCCACCGGCACCGGCTCGTCTTCGAGCTCGACCGCTGTTGCGACTGCTGGTGCCGTGAAGGTGGTTGCTGGCTCTTTCGCCGCTATGGGTGGCCTCGCCGCGGCATTGCTTGCTCTGTGAGAGGCTCATCTCGAGGCTCCGACCTCTTCTCTTGTCCTGGTATCACAGTATAAAAGGCGGATTGCGGTGCTGGCGAATGCGTAATGACCCCTTACAACTCGGTTGCATGAGATTTCTGTTCATTATTTCGGCATGAATGTCTGGGAATAATCGGGTACCCCAAACCAGTAGCCCACGACAGAGAGCTGTGCTGACTGGGCTTGGCCCTATGTTTTCCCTCTCTTTCCGAGCATAGAAAAGTATAAATGCGTTTCAATCGAGTCATATTGCAAACCTACCTGGAATTGGTTACAAAACCAAATTCAATCAACTTCGATACTAGCCTCGTTGTGTGATGTGTTCGGGTGAAACTACCTAGGTGCTGTAGCCTACTACTTATTATTAGACGATCGACAGACGATTTCACAGGGGTACTGTACTGCAGGGAGACGGAGTAACACAGCAGCCTTTCGAGATAAACTTTGGCCAGTGCAGGACGGTTCATGCAACGCTGGCAGCTGTCTTGGCGCAACGGCCCTCCCGAGATCTGGTACTGTGACAGCCTGGAACTGGCCGGCCAGCCCGGCCGAACGTCCTGAAGTCCTTCGGCCCGGCGTCGGGCCCGGCCTGCTGGCTGTGACCTAATTGTCGTGCACCGGGACTATAGAGGCATGAATACATGATTTGGCTCTTTTTGAGAAGATCGGTCCCCAACAGTCCCCAAAGCCGATCGCATCCTGAATTAAACATGGCGATGAAGTCAGCAGCTTAAACCCCCGTGGGGATCGGCGCGTGGGCTGGCAGAATGACTGTGGCTTCCAGGCCATGACGACTGCCGCACCACGACTGCTCGGGTACGACCATGTGAATCTAGTAGAAAAATGCAGTTCGATCGTGTGCTTATTTGCTATGGTATCGACTGTAGCACAGCTGAGAAGTGAGGCAATTGCAGGCTTGGGCTGGCGGTAATTAATTAGAAACCAGGTGGTACGAGGTGGCTAGCAAAACTTGAGGACCACAAGCTGAAAACCGCTGTTAAATGAGGCCGAGATTACTGGTCTTGTATGGCTTGAGCCCCTCTCCCCTTTTCTTATCAAGCAGGATCAGGAGAACATCTATGTGTCTATATCAACATCAGGAGAGCCTCGCCTCGTATCCTACAGCTGAATATGAGGCCTCTCACGAGCCTAGCATGCTACTCCGTGGGAGTGAATACCTCAGCCAGATGCTAGCAGATTCAATAGAGCAGAACCAACATAACGTAGTGTAGACACGCCCCCGCCCGCCTGCTCTCCATTTCTCATCCCGGAAGAGCTGCTTCTCAACCAGACAGCCAAGACCCTGCAGAACAAAGAGGAGCCACAGGCCACCACTCACCTGCCAGGCGTATTCAGCCCGGGTCAGGGCCCAACCAGACCATGCATGCCAGAGACCACTCAGACCAAAAGCCCCAAGCACGCCTGCGGCCCTGCCCGCGCCGGGGCCAAACAACCTCGACGCCACGCTCCTCGCGGGCACGTAGCCGAGGTGGTACAGGAACGACTGGGCCCCTTGGTGCCAGCGACAGGTCCAGAACTCGACGAAACCAGCAGAGGAGAAGGGCCTGTCGAAGAGCCGGTTCGGGCAGCGGTGGTGAAGGAGGGCGTGCAGGCCTTCGAGGCCGAGCTGGAGGCCCAGCAGGCCGGCCATGACCTTGGCCTCGGCGAGGGATGGGAAGGAGTATTCCAGGGGCAGGGCGAGCCAGGGGATCAGGTCCGCCCATGTAGCAGCAGCAGGAGCAGGAGCGTTCCCCTTGTTGCCAGGTGTTGTCTGGCGGGCTGACCCGTCCACGGCGATGTCGAAGGATGCGTACCTCGTCTCTGAGAAGAGCCTCCAGGCGTTGGTTGCGTGGGCCCGCCAGCCCACGAGGCCGTAGCACGGCTCGGCCTCGGCGCCTCGAGGAATGGGCGGCTTGCGCGCGCGGGCCACGGCGAGGTCGAGCAGCCTGGCGCTGTAGAAGAAGGTCGGGATACGGAGGGCAACATCCACGGTTGGGACCTCGGAGGGGCACACCAGGGGCACGGCGAAGGTGAATAGGGCCGCCAGCAGCCCGGTCACCCGGGTCGACCAGATGGCGAGCTCGAGCGGCCAGAACTGGAACGGCCTCAGTCCCTTTTGGTTCCTCCGCCTCGCTCCTGCCAGCTTCGCCTGGAGTCTTGCGTGCTCTGCAGCCGTGAGGGACAGCGAGACGAGCGAGGTTGCGTAAAGAATTGCGCTTGTGGCAACGTGGACGACGAAGCGTGCGTGTGCATCATCACGGCCATGGTCATGGGGCTTGCGCCGCGTGGTGTAGTAGACTGATGCACCGGCGAGGCACAATGCCCCGACCAGAGTGCAGATGTATCGATCTGATCTGTGCATCGCTGCGCGTTGAGAACATGATAATAATACAGAACCGAGATTCTGGCTTTTGGCTGTCATCGACATGGCGTTTCTCAGCCCCAGGCAGAAGTTTAACGGATGTTTCGCCAGAGCTAACTACTAGCACCACTCCCGCTCCTGTTTGTCATCCCCACGAGTGCCGGCCTTGGAAAGGCACGAGGTACTGTTGTGGAAATGTAACAATTGGATGTTATGCACGCAGGTATATGAGATATCAATTCATTCATCAAGCATCTGCATTTGTGGTATCCATAATCTATGCACGCCCAAATCATCCCGCAACTGCAACACACTCTCGTGTCATGTTGCCACAATCTCATTCTATAGTGATCCCACCAATACCCGGACGCCGAACAATTCAGGAAGCCGACAGGTTATATAAAAGAAAACAAGCACCAAACATCACGCTTTGCGAACCAAGAGCCCTGGAGTCTCCGCTCTAATGGCCACCCACTTGGCCCTTGGGAATAGGGTTGATCCACGCAAGCAGGACGTTGAGCGCGAGGTGGATGCAGCCAATAATCCAGAAGGCCTTGGCGTAGTCTGAGCCACCACCCATGAAGCGGAAAATGATGGCGAAGATGATGCCGCCGAGGTTTCCGACACCGCCGGTGAAGCCGCTGACGATACCGTTGGCGTGAGGGTGGACGTGCGGCACCAGGGCAAAGTTGGCGCCGTTTCCGGCCTCGAGGAAGATGGCCATGAGGGCGATCAGGCCAGTGAAGGTCGGCAGGTGGTGCGAGTTGACCTGGCCGATGATGATGAGCAACACGCCCGTGATAATGCCGCAGGTGTGCTGCCAGCCTTTCTTAAGCCAGACGCTGCGGCCAAAGCTGTTGTACAGCAGATCGGCGATGACGCCGCCCAGGGGCCGGGTGACGAAGTTGAGGAAGCCGAACATGGCAGCCCAATTGGACGCCTTGGTCTGGCCCAGTGATGGGAAGTTCTTGAGGTAGTAGGATGACAGGACCGAGTTGATGGCCAGCTCACCGCCGAACGAACAGGCGTAGCATAGCATCTGCACCCACGTCTGCGGGCTCGCGAGCACCTTCATCGCCTCGTTGAATGACGGCTTGACGATGACCTCACCGTTGGCGGTCCTTAGCAACTCATCCTTGGATAGTACAGCCTCATTCTCGGCATAGGGGTTGGGGCTGCCATTGCCCTCCAGCTTGGCCTCGTCCTTGTCGACCTTCTCCCCATCAATAGTGCCCGCTGCTGAGAGGGGCTTCTCGTTGATGCTCCCAGGGACAGACACGATGGGGTCGGCCAGGACACCGTGAGATTGGAGGTTCTCCTGGACATGTGCGTGCCTCTCACTCCACTTGCCGACAGGCGTGTCAGGGCAGAGGAGCAGCAGAGTGATGCCGGTAAAGAGGAGCATGATCAAAGGCACGATGAAGGTGAGTCTCCAAGCCTGGTCCGGGTGATGTCCGTGGGCAACGAACGAGTCGAGGACGGCGGGCATGATGAAGTAAGTGATGCCACCTCCGGCGTTACCCCAACCTCCGGTGAAGGCATTCGCAGTGCCGACAACGTTCTTGTCAAAGAACCCGGTAGACCAGACCTGGCATGGGACGAAGGCCCCACCCAAGATTCCGATGAAGAAACGGCTCACGTATAAACCATTTGCAGACTGGACCAATGGTGCCAATCCTATTGGGAGGGACCCCAGGAGCAGGCATCCAGCAAAGACTTTTCGAGGGCCGAACAGATCGCATAGGGGGCCAGCAATGAATCGGATTATAAGTCTGTCGGATCGATGTCAGATAAGTCTTGAGGAGGCGTTGAGAGATGTCTCTTACGTGGCACAGAGCGATACGATGTTGGAGTTTGCAATTTGTTGGGGTGTTAGGTGCAGGTCGGCTTTGATCGTATGTGTCAACTGTGAAATGAAAACGTCAGTCAAGTTGAATTGGAAGGAGATCTTAGCCAACCAATCTCACTTACCAGTGGAGGGAATGTGTACCATGCCCAGAAAGATATCATGAACCCAAACCATGAGAAGAAGAACACACGACCGTAGATGTTGACAACATTGAAAATAGGCACAGTTCTGGCCTTCCTGTTGACAGGGTTGATCTTCGGTGCCTTCACGAGGTCCGAGAATGTGAATGGGAGCCCCATTTTGGATGAGTTTTGCACACAACCGGGGGGGAGAGGAATGTTGACCAGGCTGATCAAATTACGAAGAGTCCAGTTGTGCAGGATGAAATCCAGACAGGAGTTTGATGAGTCTGCCACGATCCTACACTGCTGTTGTCGGCAGGAGAATATCGCAGACTCAATATATCAACGTGCTCTCTAACATAGTAATTAGCCAGGGTTCTCCCACGATGTAAGCATCTCCGGAGATCAGAGCAATACCTGCGCTAATGTTGTCGTTTCCGCGGGCCCAGCCTTGTGGATATGCACCACCAAGCCCCGGAGAAGCGTCGAACAGCTTGAGACAGCCAGTTACCGGAGCGCTGGATCGCCCTGAGGGTCTGCTAAGCCGAGACGAGCGTCTCGATTGGTGGCCTGGGCGCGGGTGTATCGAACGTCTCTCCTGATAAGGGCCTGATGCTGGGACGAGAGATAGGTGGGTATCATGCACGATGACAAGATCGAATTAGGCTTTCCGGAGCTGGTTAAGCTCTTATGACTGTCAAGGTAATGAGAGTCCCACAGTACGTTGACGAGCAGGCAATTTGTTAATGTATATTGCGGCTTTGTCTGAGATTCCTGTATATGTCCATCATCCAACAGAACAGATACAATATTGCAGGTGACTTGGAAACAAAGTCAAGATGTCCAGCAGACAGACTTGCGAGCGAGGACAAAATAGCAGTGGAATTGTTAAGCAGCAAGACGGAGGAGCGATCCCCAGCCTGGGATACTGTTCAGTAGATGGGATGGGGTAGATTTAAGTGACCAGGAGGAAGGAGCTGACCACCAGCATTAGCCTTGTCACACCTCAGCGGCCACGGCTGTGGGGTGTTATCCCAGCTTTACCACTTTCAATGTCTGCGCCGGTAGTAAGAAGATAGTGAGCAGCCGGCAGAGTACAAGCCCGAGAGACGTTCTTTGTGCTTTGTCGGGCGTCTTCTGGGTTCTGCTGCACTAACAGCCCGCCAGGCCCGTCAGCCCGTCCGGCTTGGGAGGTGATGTCTTGGGGACCCCGGCCCTGGCTTGGGTTGCTCTGACTTGGCTTATCGAAGGGCCCCGACGATGGACCGAAGCTGATTGGAAAACCAGGAGCTGGAGATGGCGGGCGAGGCCATGGTGACGGAGAAAGGCAGATCGAGATATGCGGGCGGGCGCATTGGCTGAGATGAGTCGAGATAAGGGAGGGAAAAAGTCGGGTGCTAAAAGCGTAGATTGGACACGGGCAAGGGTGGGCTGAGAGATAAGAGGTCCGACGGAGAATGGGCCTTTTTGCCTGGCGCTCGCACTCTCGTCTCAGCTGCCTGATGCGATAGAGACGCAGACAGGGTTTGGCTTGGGCGTCGATTGTGCGGTCAATGCCTTTTCCTTGTGGATCTGATCTGACAGTCGTATGTGCTTGTCGTCCCTTGGAGATGACTGTCAAGCGTGGATGGAGTGATGTCGTCGTTGCAGGTTACGGATACTCTGGGTTATGTTAGCCGTGGCCTTGATCTCGGCTCGCCATGGACGTGCTGCTCATGGGGATATTGGACCGTTACCCATCTTGCTCCCCGATCAAGCTCCGCCATCAATCAATGAGGCGATCTCTGTTTCTAAACATTGTCGTTGAAAATCAGACTCGAGGTTTGCAGAGCCGCGCCCAAGGTACGTGCCGTGAGAGAAACCAATGTGTCACGGATTGCAAGGGACCCGCGTGTAGTCTCTATCAGGCTGTCATGAAGAATCGACCACCACAGAGTTAAAGCAGTACATCCCGCTCTGGTGGGCTTCGGGTGCCCCCCACGACCCACCCGCCATCCTTGACGAGTCTTCACCTCGGAGATGTCAATACCGCAGTACCTTTCTTCAGCCTCAATCCAGGAACAACGAGTACGAGCAGCTCTTTGATGTTGTGTCTCCCTCGCTTCACATGCTTACCACGCCCCCCGGCCGATCTTGGCCCATTTGAATTCAACGTTCTGACCGGTTCTGCATTGTTTTTGCACTTCCGCGCCGCCGTCCCAGGCCGTCAGACGTTCTGACCAAGCCCGCCTCCTCGGGTTCTCTCAGTGAACTGTCACAATGAAGCCCAGTCATCCATTCCCGGTTTGCTGGTAGCTTGCTCCGGTCTGTGTCTCAGCCCTTGCGTCGCCTGCCTCGTTTCTTATGCTCCTTGCTTCTCATATGACCCTCTGCGTTTAGTACAAGAGCGTTGGCCAAGTGGCTGCTCTGAGACGCGAGGAGCAGCAGCTTCTTAACACTCGAGGTTGAGATCATCAGATCTTGAACTCCAATCATCTTCTTTCGGCAAATGAGACCCTTGATCCGTTCAAGGCCCCATGTCCCCCGGCCTTGGCTATCGCATCTTGTGGGGGTGACGGAGAGCCAGACCGGGATTCCAAGCACTCTCCCGCTTCGGCCACTACGGCTTGGCCCTTGATCAGCCCTGCGGCACCTTCATATTGTGGTCACAAGTGGTGACATCTATTATTATATCCAATCCACACGCAGGAGCCCGACTGTACGGCTTGTCCCGATTAGTCCGTACATTACCTGCCCGAGATTTTATATCCGGGGCCGAGGGCATGGCGATGGCTTCTGCTTGGGAGTGCATCATTCACTCAGCCGCATCTTGTCAGGAAAGCTCCTGAAGTCCCGACAGATCGTGGCTGACGTTGAGAAGCGTCCTTGTTCTTGGGACAACCCCGGCTATCTTTTAGCCTGGAGCTACGGCCAGCAGCTGGCCATCTCATTACCACCTGGCCACGCTCAAGCCGGTGACCGCTTCTCCAACTTGGAAAGAGGACCTCGCAGGTTCGCCCCGGTAGCGCGTCTCATCGTCACGGCTATCGCCGGGACAGCCTCGCAAGTCCCCAGAATGGTGCTGCCCTTCCGGAACATGGCAAGGTCAATGCTCCGAGCTGTGTCGTCAATACGCTTTTCTCGAGGAAGGACAGAGTGATAATACGTCTTTCTGCGATTGACGACTCGACCGCCAGTTCTTTTGCTTTGCTCTCTTCCCTTGGCGTCCTGAGGTCTGGATCGGGAATATCTTTTTGATATGGTCAGGCTCTGAGGGTCGTTGTTCTGATTCAAATGTTGTCATTGCTGTTGCCAAATTCCTTGCTCATCCGGCTTTGCTGTCGCCAGTCATACCGAGACTCGTGAATCGCTTGAATAATCTGATGTCACTCTTTGTCATGCCAATTGTCTAGTGGGAGACTGTTTGCATACCTGCTCAACCTATTCCGTTGATATTGGCAGGTCCTCGGAAGTCGGTGGTGTTGTTGTCGGGAGTCGGTCTGGGTTTGGAAAGTGGAAACTGATGGGTCTCCCGAGCCGCTCCCGCCGGACGGCGGCTGATCGGCAGAGGCCTCGGCGCGCTGGCCGACTTACAGCGAACGGTTCGTTCACCGTACTGATGAAACTGAATAGTGTCAAGATCCTGACTAGAACTAGGAACTAGGAAACAAGCCGATGCAGTCGATACTAGGGGTACCTGAGGATGACGATGAGCACAACATCGTCGGGCTTCCAGTGGACGAGCTCACCAGCAAAGAGCCGCGACGGCAGAGCCTACGATGAAGAAGAACGCCGAACTTCCAAGGCCGTTTAAGTGGGGACAAAGTGGCTATCTATCTCCGTCGCCGCCGTTCCGTTGCTCTTCTCAAGAAACGACCTGTCAAAACACAACCGATGGAGCCCGCAAGGTAGCACGCACGTGGACAGACCCATATTCTAGGCTCTTTGGCCCCTCGGGGCGCCTGGCTTGGTCTAGAAATCCACCACCCCCTGGCTCTGCAATGAGTCGGTCACCCAGTCGTCTTCCACACAAAAGGTCGCCGACCTTTTGACAAGCGGCTCTTACACGGCCGAGAGCATCGGGAGTCGGTATGGGCCAAGCCTAGACCCCAACGTCACACAGAGATACACAGCACGATGTTCCAGAGTTGTAGGAGCCGGATTGCTGGCCGGCTCACCCTCCCTTTGAGGCAGCATATAATGCAGAGAGGGCACTCCGTGGGCTTCTTCCCTCGTCATTGACTCACCTGGGCTCAGGAGAAGTTATCGAGACAAAGACTGCCTTTCCACTTGCTTTCCCCATTCTTATCCATTGATCTCACTTTGCTTCACGTGTTGATTGTACAACTTAAATACGTGGACTTCATAATTCAACACCCCCAACACACTCTCGATTCGTATCAGCGCACGTTGATCGCTGTGAGCTCCTCAAAATGTCCAACTCGGATACCGAAGGAACATTGCAGAGTCTTGAAACCCCCAAGCGCCCTACGACAGCCACCCCTTCCACGCCATCAAGAGAGCCGGAGCAACCATCAGCGAAGGCACCACTGCAACAAACCTTCGTATCAAAATCAAAACAACATCTCCTCGCATCGGTGAGGCCGTCGGGTTTTGCCGAGCTTGAGCTGCTCCTCTTGACATTTTGCACCGGCATACAAGGTAAACTATCATGAAGGCCCCCGGCCTCACCTGCACCCCGCCTCTGCACCCCCGGGGTCCCGACGGATTCACTCTACATTCTACATTTGAGTTTATCTATAGCGGGCTCACCATAGCATGGTCATACCTTTATCGTAGTCATAGACTAATCCGAGCCCCACAACAGATGCGATATCCTTCCCCGACTACCACTGCTTCGCCTCCAACCAGACAGGCAACACCGTCTTCCTAGCCGTCTCGGTCGTCGTCCCGGAGTTCAACGGCGACATGTTCTACACGGCCAACATCGGCGTCGCGCTGGGCCTCTTCCTGGCAGGGGGCTACCTGACCGGCCAGCTGAGCCACATCGTCGGCCCGCGGCTACGAGTGTGGCTCGTCCTCTGCAACCTGATGCAGACGGCCATGGTGTTCGCGGCGGCGGCGCTCCAGCTGCGCTACGGGGTGCGCCACACGGGGCCCCGGGACCTGCTCGTCATCGCCCTGCTGGCCTTTGCCAGCGGCAGCCAGGTCGTGCAGAGCCGCAGCCTGCGCATCACCGAGATCTCCACCGCCATGGCGACCGCCGCCTGGGTCGACCTGCTGATCGACCCGCACCTGCTGGCCGTCAGGGAGAAGAACCGGCCCAGGAACAGGAGGCTGTTCTTCCTCATCACGCTGGTGGTCGGGTCGTTGGTGGGTGCGGGTATTTACAAGGCTGCTGGGTCGGCTGTGGCCCTCTTCGTGAGTGCCGGTGGGAAGGCTGTGGTAACAGCAATGTATCTCTTCAATGGGGCCGAGAGGGACAAGGCTGATAACTCAGCGGCGTGAGGGTATCTTGGGCAACAAGGGGCCGTCACTTTACAACTTTTGTCTCACAAATTGCTCTAACGTCTTCGAGTATCTCGATTGGGCTGTCTTAAAAAAAGGAGTCTGGCGTGGCGCACCATATAGCATTGCATAGCCTGAGTGACATGCGAGGAGTTGCATATAGCTGATACCATCAAAACTGTCATCACACATAATCGGTCAACGTTTACACAGTGGCTTGGCCTTGCGCCACGCTGTGCAACGTCTTCCAAGAAGCATGGGTTCTCCCATCCACATCTCTCAGACCATACAAGGCCCGGTCTCACTGGAGGTCGTAATGGCAACCCTGGAGAGATTTTCTTAAGAGTTGCCACATGTGACAAGACCGTGTCAAGTCTCCCGAAGAGCATGCCCGTTACGTCCATGTCATCGGCACTTTGTTCGGTAAGACTCCCCGTGGAATCTGTCTCGTTACACCAGTCCGCCGCCTGAGCCGGGCATGAGAGACGCAAGCGGTCTACAGTCCTTTTTACCACACCGACCTAAAGCGTCCTGAATTTCAATCTGCCGGCCAAAAATGGAAGCACATGTGCGAGGGTCCCAGACAGTTAACCGTCGAATATGACATCGGCGGTGAGTCTCACTGCAGTTCCTCGCAAAGTCCAGACATGAGCGATCATGCGTGACTGCTGCAGGAGACGGAACACTGCTCAGTTCTGTGGGACGGAACGATCACCACCAATGGCCTGGGAGGAGCCGAAACTCAGTCAATCCATTCAACAGCGGCCATGTCGCTCGTACTGCAACGGCCGTCAATGCTGCAACACGTCTCGCGAGAAACGGACGTATGCGGGAGATGGGACTACGACAAAAGGGTGGATATCACACTCGGGCGTGAGAAATGACAGGCCCGCGCCGGCAAGTTGGTCACTTGACCAGACAAGAAGAGGCTCGGTAAAATTTCCCGCGTCCGGGTGGGTAGGGTGATGTGTGAGCACGGCATAAGCCCTAGTTCTCTCTGGTTATTCTCGTTCCCGGGGGCGAGGATCACACCGACGGAGGCCCGGGATACACCCTCGGCCACGATAATCGAGCTGTGCAGGACGCACCGCATTTTCGGGCGAGATCCAAGGCCGGGCCCCTCGCGTGGGCTTGTGGTCGATCACTCCCTTCGCTGCCGTCGAGTGTGCCGATATAGCTGAGATTGGCCTTCAGATTAGGTTTGTGTCACTTGACGCGGAGCAGCAGCACGCGTGTTAAAGGGGGGGTGGTTCGTCTCTGGCTGCAACCTGGGGGCTGCGGCGGGCCATGCGCAGTCCAACGCTCTGGGCAGGAGAAGCCGTGCAACGTGATCAATATTGCGACCATGCCGTCGTCATCCCTGGCAGTAGCTTGCTGCGGGTGTGAACAGAATAGATCTCGGGAAGGGGCTCCGATCGGGAGAAAAATGAGACACGTCTAGTGGTACGGGATTACTGCAGGTGTCGACGACGTTTCTCTCGCGACAGCGAGCAGTACATAGTGGATAGTGGATAACCAGCTCGGGAGATGTTCGAGATTCACCGGCGCCTGTGGGATTGTTCACAATCTGCAGGCCGGGGTGTCAACGTTGGTGCCAGGGACGGAAGGGTTGCGCGGGTCGAGTCAGGGGGAAGATTCGATATCGCAGGGTATCGGCAGTTGCCACCAACTGCACCAGCGCAGTGCACCGTCGATGGTGTGGAGACCCAGGCCCAAGAGCTGCGAGGCCAGCCGAGCCTGGGTGCTGATCCCATCCACTCATCTCCAGATTGAGCTGTGGAGGTGATTTCCTATTTTAGGTCTGACCCCATCCTCCCGGAAAACTGGGACTCTGTGCCTCGAGGCGAGCCCGCCAGCCCGCCAGAAGGAGGCAGCTGATCCACCTCGCGATGTCTGCACACCGTCTTTCCTCATTGCCATCACAAGTCGGGATCCGTGACTCAGGGGGCGCATAGCGGCCGTCGCATGGTGGCACGTACGCCCGCCACATTGCCACATCGCCTCATCACTGCAGAACCGCAGACCTGCCGACTTGGGCGGGTGCAGAGGGTGCAAAGGCGAAGAGGTGCAGGCTCGCACGCTCGCAAGTGTTTCCCATGCAGGGCAGGTTTCCAAGACCGTGCGACCCGAGGGCCACCAGGTGCGGAATGCACGCACCGCACGCGCTGCACGCACTGCATGGAGGAGCACGACGGGTGCAGCCAGTAGAGATTGAGTCCAAACTTGTCGAATTACACAGCAGCTGGCCATGCTGGTCGCTCCCACTGTACATTCTAGAGTTACCGCGGCCGAGGCAGGATCGGGCAGGGCCTATTTATGTAGGTCACCTTGACGTTGCATCATGCCATTTGCTTTTGTTTGACAAGGACCCGGCCGTATGGGACCGGGGATTGAACGTCGTCCAGTCAGGCTTGTCTCTGACCCCCTAAAAGACCCCTCCGAGGGCCCCGGCGACGAGCCCGCCGACTTTCGTTAGCGGTCCACACCTGATGCGCAAGAAATATCCGACCGAGTGTGACTGCAGGCGCGTTGGTGCCAGGGGCCAACAGACGGGCCTACTCACCGTTCCCAAGACGGCCCTTCCCACCAAGGTGTGCAACCAAATGTGCTCAGTAGCAGCATGGTGGGATACTGTACTATTAGGCACGGTCTTCTGGCTGGTGCCGACCCTTGTTACTGTATGGCAAGTACAGTCGTATTTGCCGTCGGCCAAGGATGGGTCCTGAAGGAGCTGGATCGACTAGCAATCCCGGGATGAACAACCAGAGTCTGGGTCGGTGGTGACACTGCATGGATGGGCGCCGACCAGCTCTCCCTCAGTGATGTTTTCCCCTTAAATGCTGGTGGTTCCGCGAGTGCACATGACATGAGTCGCTGCACGTTTTGATGCCACGAGCGGACCGTCTTTTCTCGGACTCTCTTCCTCGTGATCGCTTGCGTGTCTTGTCCGACGACAAAGCCCTGACCTCGTGCTCCGAGAAGAAGGCCCCCGCTGCGACAAGCCAGACCGTGTTCAGACTCATACCAATACCATCCTCACCAACGGACAGAGACACGCATTTCTCGCATTTCTGCGGTCAAGATATATTGTGCCAGATATATACCGTGTCGGTGGATATATGCCACCAGCAGGAAAAGGGTACGACGTCAGACGGTGCGTATCCACCCACCCTCAGGGCCCAATGGCACACACCCGGGCAGCCAACGTCCCCACGGACCGGAGACGTATGCTTATCATTGCGGGATGACGTGCAGGATCCAACAGCCCGGGAGGATATCGCATGTGACCAGGGCACGAGGGAGGACGGCGACGTCGACTAGCTGAGTGAGGCTCTGCAAGCCTGGCGTGGGGCTGCATGTTCTGCATGCCGGCGGCGTGTGTTTGCGCAGGAGGGTGTCCCAAGCAGGCAACCGGACGAGGCTGAGAGACTATAATAACACGTAAGTTCAGCCCAGCTCGAGACTAGTCAAAGCTAGCGCGCCTCCTCTGCACCCCCTCCACGGCAGGATTGGCAGGCAGGGACGTTTTGGCGAAGCTTGACCATGTGCCCGTTGAGTTTACTGACCACCGGGTGAAGGTGTCGTCACTCTGCTCATACTGAGTCACTAGGAGGCGTGTTTCTGAACGCGTTGGTGAGGCTGCTTTGCCACACGAAGGTATACGCAACACCATTCGTGCCCAGATCGCACACTCACTGAACCTGAGATACTGATACTGCCTTGCAGGCAGACCCAGGCAGACAGGTTACGGTGATTGGTTGTTGTCAGGTGTAGTCACAGGCAAAGCACCAGCCTGGAACCAAGCCCCGTATCAGACGCCTCGCCTGTTGACAGAGGCAGCAATGGTTTGGTAGGCCTCTGAGAGGTATATATCTCGTGCGTTTACGGCGCCGTCGACCTGGTCGTCACCGCCAGTGCCAGTTGGCGGTCAGAACCTTTTATGGTCTGACATTTGTCATCTCAATCCTTCAACTCCCACGAGAATAAGACGGGGTCTTGGGGAAAGTTGTGGACGCGCAAGCTGCGAGCTGCGAGCTGCTCGGGTGTTCCTGGCGGCTCCTGCCTGGTTCCTGGTTCCTGGCGGCTGTTGGCGGTTGTTCCGTGCTGTCCTTTGCTCCACCGTACTTATTCTGTGCCGTGTCGTTGCTGTTGAAGAGGCCCGGCCGTCTGCGCCATCCTATCTTATATTTCGACCTTGTGCGCTCAGTCAGGGTCACGCCGGCGGTGCGCGCCGTTTGACACTAGCAGCTGGGCAATTTGGGCGGGACAAAGAGACTCTACCGAGAAAGCACGATCCTTGGAACCGGCAAGGTGCGCTCGGCTGTGGTCTTAGGGTAGTCGCAGCTGCATCGCTCGCCTCACTGTTGCAGTCGAGTCCGGTCGCGGCTGGCTCTCATAGACTAACGGCCTCACCTTCCCGCGCTGGCTGAAGAACCTCATCTCACCCTCCTCTCAAGCTTCCTTCCCTTCCCTCCTTTATCCACTTGGCCTGGTCGTTCTTGCGGCACAACAGGCTCGTGCACCGCCTCCTGCCGCCTCGGCCAACATCTGACGAGTGCAGGCCACCACTTCTCTCCTGTCCTTGACGCGACTCGGGCTCGTTTCTTGCCCAACCGCAGGCCCGAATTCCATCTCATCTGCCAACTCATCTCGGTCGAATCAACCTCTCGAGTGACGGAAGCCTTGAGGTCGACGAGTGAAGACCACGCAACAAGTCGCTAGGCACCACCGCCGCCTCATACTTCACTCCTACCCGGCACCGAAGGAGGGAGCCAGTCTGAAGCAGCCTGTCCATCAACCTGCTGCTTCAACTCTCTCCTCTGGCCCCTCCAAAGAAACAAACCATTGTTCTCTTTGTCTTACCGGCCGTCACATCGTTGAGATCGTGGCCACCCGTCTGCCTCCCGTCTGCGTCTAGATCTACGGCTTCGCGACTAGGCATCAACCTCGAGCTGTGTCGACCCGGCTTACGCTTTCCTGAGAGCATATACTTCCCGATCGACATCTCGACTTCCATTCTCCCCGAGAGCATCGTGGTCGTCGCAGACTCTCTGCCAGCATGGCCCCCTCACTTGAGTTGTTCCTCAAGATCTCCTACTATGCATACCCGACTCTCGTATTCGCTTACTACAGCGTCTGTTACGCAGTTGCAACATGCACTCTGCAAACAACGCCCTCGAAAGAGCAGCACCCTCGCCGGCGGCTCATGACGGCTCTGATGCTTCTCGCCATTCTCACTTATCTGTCACAAGCATTGCTCATCCTTTTCTCGCCGAGCCCCGTTCGACAGGACGCCATTGTCGGGCTTCTCGCCTGTGTTTTGGTCTTCGGCCTTGAGTTGGCCATCCTGCATGATACAGAATCTCCTCTGTGGTACATCTATCTTGGCTCGTACGCCCTCGCACTTGTTTTTGATCCGCTGCTGGAATTGTTGTCTCTGCATCTTAACCCAGGCGCGTACTCGAAATCGATCTGCTTCGTGGATGTCTCACTGGTTGCCGTACGGCTCATCTGCATCGTCACCGCTTTTCTCACGTACTTCGCTTGGAGGGGTGGGAGAAGCGCCAGGGAATCCGGGACCGACGCTGAACGACAATCGCTAATTCGAAAGAAGGCCTTGGGAGGTTCTGAAGAGACTTTGGTCTCCGAGTACGGTGCGACCGATACGAATTCGGACGACAACGCCAAGTCATCAAGCAAGAGCCCCGAATGTGAATGGGAACGCCGTCAGCGCTTGGCCAAGGAGCAGAGGGATAAGCGTCTCAAAGAGACAGGTTCCTGGTGGACCTATGCGCTCGGCTTCAAACTATTCATCCCCTACGTATGGCCCGTCAACAACCGAGGATTGCAAATTCGCGCGGCGCTTGTCGGTGTTTGTCTTCTTGCCAACAACGGGCTCAACGTATTGATCCCCACTCAACTCGGCACTGTCATGGACACCCTCACAAAGTCATACCAGGGCAACAATGAGCCAGCAAGCTTATGGGACAGCCCTTGGGTCCAGGTTCTCATCTTTGCAGGGCTCAAGCTGAGCGCATCCGAGGCTGGCATCAGCCTGCTCAGGCGGAGGCTGTGGATGCCTGTCGAATTTTACGCCGACCGTGCCATCACTGAAGCCGCGCATTCTCACGTCATGAATCTGGATGCCAACTTCCACGACACACAGAGCCTATCAGATGTCCTTGTGGCCATCCAAAACGGCCAAAGCATAAGCAATATGCTCGAGACCATTTGTTTCGAAGCCCTGCCGAATCTCATCGACTTGGTTGTCGCTTTCATCTATCTGACCTTCAAGTTCGGCCCATACGAAGGACTCATCACAATCAGCACTTCCATTGTCTTTCTGTACATCTCGACCACCGTCATAGCGCGCCTACGCTCCGCCCGTGAGACCGAGATCTCGGCGTACTTTGAGGAGCACTATGTCTTGCAGTCAGGGATATCGGGTTGGACGACTGTCAGCTCATTTAACCAGGTTCAATACGAGGAGAACCGGTATTCCTCAGCGGTCCAGGACAGAATCGCAAAGCAGAAGGTTGTCTGGGTCGGCTACTATGCTGCCCATGCTTTTCAATACCTCGTGCTTCTCGGTGGTCTGCTTGCAGGCTTGTTCCTGGCCGTATACCAGGTCTCCCACAAGATGACCACTGCTGGAGACTTTTTGACGCTTCTGACCTATTGGTCCCAGCTAATGGCACCTCTCAACTTCTTCGCCAGCCTGGGCCGCAATATTTCTCGCGACTTGCTCCAGGCCGAACGACTCCTCGATATCATGCAGACAAAGTCTAGTGTCGTCAACAAACCCAATGCGCCTTCTTTCCAATTTACTGCAGGGTCCGTCGATTTCAAGGGCGTCAATTTCTCGTACGACAACAAGAAGCAGGTTCTGAAGAACGTCAACTTCTCCGTGGATCCAGGACAGACCATAGCGTTTGTGGGACAGACCGGCGCTGGCAAGAGTACTATCCTGAAGCTACTGGACCGCTTCTACGACGTAACCGAAGGTGCCATCGAAATCGATGGCCAGGACGTTCGCGAGGTCGATCTACACAGTCTTCGGGCCAACATCGGCGTAGTCCCACAAAACCCCAGCTTGTTCAATGACACCGTCATGAATAACATCCGGTATGCGAGGCTCGAAGCAACCGACGAGGAAGTTCACGAAGCATGTCGCGCCGCAGCTATCCATGACCAAATTATTGGCTTTGCAGAGGGTTATGACACGCGCGTTGGAGAACGTGGTATGAAGTTGTCTGGCGGAGAGCTCCAGAGGGTGGCGATCGCCCGGGCGATCCTTAAGCAGCCGAAGATCGTATTACTTGACGAGGCAACGAGCGCGATCGACACCGAGACAGAGTTCCAGATTCAAAAAGCACTCCGCCGCCTTTGCAAAGGTCGTACCACATTCATCGTGGCTCACAGATTGTCCACTATTGTCAACGCCGACCGGATCGTTGTGGTTATGAACGGTGAGATCTCGGAAGAAGGCAACCACGAAACGCTCATATCAGCCGGTGGAAAGTATGCCGAGCTGTGGTCCAAGCAGGTAAGATGTTCAATTGCTGCCCGTGACCTGAGGCGTCGATACTAACGATGCACTGGTAGATCTTTGTCAAGCCAAAGGAGCCAAGCCCGGATGCTGAGGGAAACACAGGCACCGAGGACGGCCGGAACACGTCGAAGCTAACAACGGCGGATGGTACCGTGACAGACGATGAAGTATCTCCTGAAAACGGCGTGAAGCAATCCACGGAGGTCAAGACACCGTCGGGGCACAAGAAAGAGGTATAGATGCCGCTGAAGAATCATTATTATATGAATTCTTTGGCAGTCTCTAATTACCTGTGCCTCGTAGGGATCGAAGCTGAACCCGGGCGCCGCCGAGTTCACTCCACGCTCTCTTGCTGCCGGGCCATCCGGGGCCCACAGCCCGGTGCCCAGGTTCGACATGGGCAGCCATACACCAGTGCGCATCACAGCACCGAAGGTGGATACGCCGACGAAGGTCAATGCGGCCCAGGAGTCTGTGAATACCCTCTCGCCGGCACCTGTGATGATAACATCAGCCACACCACTCAAGATCCCCACTGAGGGCGCCCCTGTTGTGTCGCTTCCCCGCCCGACCAAGCGCTCCTGGACCCAGGATACCTCTGAGGGGAGTGTCGACAGCGGCGTTTTGGCCGTCAAAGACACCAGAAAGCCAGCGGTCGAGCCGGCGAACCAGAAACAGAAGAAGCAGCCCCGGAAAGTCAGCTATAAGATACCCCGATACACCGGCAACCGTCGGAACCAGTCTCGAAGTGAGCCGTCCGACAGCAATGTCAAGCCTTAACTTTGATGATGGGTGAATGGGTGGAAACATCGCATACATAGATCAGGCAATCCCAAAAGAGAGGAGGACCTATGGGTATCATTGAGATATGACCAAATGCAATAGCATAGGCAAAGTGAGGGACAGGGTTGCATCTTTATGCTTGCCTGCATTGGCATTTTATGATTTAGACCTTGCTATTCAAACATTGAAAGGCGTTTTGGTGACGACTGGAGGATGATTTATTCTAGCAAGAATACCATTACCTATTGGTCTCAGCATGTGTCTGTCTACTCCATGGATGCCTGTGTCCCCACGGGACATTACTGCCCAGGTGGAGTTGGCAATGTGTTTCTTTCCAACAGGGTACAGAGTCTTGACCCATAAAATAACACATAAAATGATGGAGTCTATCAGATTGCACAATTAATTCCCGGGCCAAGCGCAGTGTAGAGCCGGCCGGAAATGACGCAAGACCAAGCAACAGGTGGTCTAGCCCAACAGTGAATCCATTGTGCAACGTTCCCACATTTGAGGTCCGACTGGCAGTGCCCCAGTCCCCGCCCCAGCTCACCTGCACATAGCCAATTGTTGCAAGACCCGAATCTCCCGTGTCCCGGCCCCATCCGCCAGCACATCATGTCCTCGGCTAACAAACTGGCGCCGGCAGCGGCGGCCGGGTTCAAGGACGCATCGGCCTACGACGAGCACAGGCCGGCGTACCCAGGCGAGGCGGTGCAGAAGCTGCTGGAGCACATGGGGCTGGAGGACCGCGCCCACGCGAGGGTGGTCGAGGTGGCGGCGGGCACGGGCAAGTTCACCGAGGCGTTGGCGGCGCGACACGAGGCGTTCGAGGTCCGCGCCGTCGAGCCGCACCCCGACATGCGGCGGGAGCTCGAGGCGAAGAAGTTGCGCGGCGTCAGTGTTGCGGACGGGAGTGCGCAGGACATGAGGGGGGCGGTCCCGGAGGGCGAGTGGGGGGATGGGTGTGTTGTCGCGCAGGCTTTTCACTGGTGAGTTTTATTGGTGCTTTGGGGACGAGGTGTTTGTAGGTAGTGCTGGGGATTTTCTGACTGGGGATTTTCTGAGGGTAGGTTTGCTACGGAGGAGGCGCTTGATGAGATCTATCGGGTCCTGAAGGAGGGGGCTGTGCTTGGGATGATCTGGAATATTGACGACTGTGAGACTTCCTTTGCCTGATAAGTGTCCTAACAAGCCCACCCCATCTCAAGAAAAGAAAGAGAGAGAAAAGAAAAAAAAAAGGAAAAAAGAGAAAGAGAAAAGAAGACTGATCTCCTGGCATGGCAGACAACAAACCCAAGTCCTGGGCGGCGTCAACAGCCTGGGCGCAGCACCTCAACGACTGGGTGCACAGCCTCGCGGTGCGCGACAACAACCCGCGGTTCCGCGACATGGCCTGGCAGCACGTCTTCGCGGCGCAGATCAAGTCGAACCCGGTGCAGGTGCTCCGCGACACGCTCACCAACAGGCTGCCGCGGTTCTCGGTGCCCATCGGGCAGGACAGCGTCGAGTGGACGCACTGGCTGGGCGAGGACGCGCTGTGGCGGCGCATCAACACCCTCAGCCACGTCGCTATGCTTCAGGGGAAGGAGAGGGAGGAAGGGGAGAGGGTATTCCGTGAGGCTATGGCCATGCCGGATGTGGTCAGGAATGAGAAGGGTGAGGTGGAGTGTCATGGGCAGACCTATATCGCTTGGACGGATAGGATGTAGGATGTTGCGGTCGGTGAATTAGAGGCGTGTTGCTATAGAGCATTTTCTTAAACTATGGTCTTGACTTGGCCCTTACTCTCTCATCGGCTTCCTGAACATCTCAAGAACAGTCTGGTTGTGTCATTTCGTGACGGGAAACTTAAGGGCATGTGGAATATGCTATATCATGCTCCCCACCCAACAACTCGCAATGGCCCCGGCGTAAAAGAATCATTGGCTTTCACTTGGACATGAACCCTCCTCGACGTGCACCTTGGGCAAGAGCATGCACGGAATGCCAGCAATCAGAGGCGCGAGTCACAGTCAGTGTGAGACGAGGATGTGGATATCCAGGTTCGTGTTCGAGAATTTAGGTATCATGAAAAGGTTGTTACTCCCCGGCACTGCTCAACCATGGTCCACTGACTAGCCCTCTGCAAGCAGGCGGAGCAGCCCTTGTCCGCTTCGATCACCATCCAAGGACCTCCCATCGCTGCTTGCCGTTCATTCTCGCCCTCGTCATCGCAATCGGGCGCTGCGCTTTCGGCCTCAGTCTGCCCTCTTCAGCTCGACATCCACCGGCTTCGGCTCGGCGGTTCTCAACGCAGCGACCCGTCCACAACGTCCCGACCATCGCGTCGTCCGTGAAGGTCTGCACTACGAGTCGGCAGAGATGTACATGACTAGGCAGGGACTCGGTCAGCCAGTCGATCTTGCCAAATGATCAAGGTTGCTTGATTTACCGTTGTTGCCCCTAACGAACGCGTCTCCATATGACCGCCTCTTTTGGCCGTTGACGTACTCCTCAGTCTTCTCGAGCGCGATGTTCATATAACCATCGACGGACTGGAGCTCGCCTGTCTCGTATGTCAGCATGTGCACATGTGAGTTTGAACAGAGCAAGAGCCCATCGTGGCGAACACGGTGATGATGGGCACCAGCCCGAAAAGAAGGCCTCATCCCAACCCACCCTTGTAAACGACGCCCGAGTTGAGCTTGACCGTCACCGCGTTGCCGATGATCTGGCTGAGGAATCCCGATGGGTCCCTGCCCTCGTTTTGTGGCGCACCGTTCTCCATGTTGTCTGGCCCCTTCACTGTGATTTGCGGCAAGTTTTACTACTGAGAGAAAGTGGTTGTTGCGGAAAGCTTTGGGTCGCTGTTCTGTGTGACTAGGGGCTACGAGCTGGTAGCAGCGCTGCAAGGTGCTATGTACGGAGGCCCCACATTGATGTCCTGAGGCGCATGTACCGCTTAGGTACATATTCCGCAGCGCATGTTCCACTGCACATTGCATCTACCGGAGGAAACGAGCACTTCCTGACGACGTCCACTTGACAGCCTCATTTGACCTGGCTTGGTTGCATTCATTAATGAGAGGCACATTTGTGCTCTAAAAAACCAGTCGCAAGTACCTACGGGCATTTACCCCTCTAAAGTACTCGATCCAATGCAGAACAGTCTCCGTGATACAACCAAGATCCAAACTGTCTGTCCCCACACATTGATTTTTCTTCTGGGTGCGATTCGTCGTTGTGCCTCAACTTCCGCCGTCTTGGAAATGATTGCCTCAAGATCATCATGAAGCCCCCGGGACATGCCATACCCCTCGATGATCACGTCTCGTCAGCGGCCGCGCCTCAATTTTCTGTCTCTCCCTCCCCTCTTCTCCTTTGTCAATCTAGACCTCACGTAGCAGCGTCTCTGTTTTTGGGTTACAATGGTGGCAAAATTTGACCTGCCGTACTTTTCAGAGCCTTCTCTTCTTCGGAACCTGGGACTCGCCCTCATCCTCATGGGCCCTCTTTCTCTGGGCCACCTTCGGGTCTGCCACACGAATCGCAAAGCTCTTCACAACCTCGGTCTTGAAGTCGGGATCGAGATGGTCAAAAAGAGAAGCCACCACCTGGCCGGGGCAGTTTGCACACGCAATGACGAAATCCTCCTCAAAGGGAATCGATTCATCTTTGCAGATCGTGTAACACTGCTGCAGCCCCAGAAGTCGACGGCACAGCCAGTCATCGGTTCTCTGGACGTAAAACGACTCCCAAGCCTCAGGAGTGTACTTGCCAAAGCAGTGTTTTTGCAAGGCTTCCTCCACGAGAAGACAGATCCTGAGGTTGACGAAGCGATTGGAGAGCTTCCACAGTCGAAGAAGGGACTGGACACCATGACCAGAAAATGAAGCATTGGGGTTTGTTATTTTGTATGTGGTCGAACAAGATGACTCGAAGAGCACGTTGATGAAGAAGTTGAAGATATCAGCGTCGATGTCATCGAGGACGAGGAAGAACTTCCTTGGCACGCTATGGTTCAGTGCGTCGTCAAAGAAGGTCGAGTTGGCGATCAGGAGATCTCGAGGAACATTGAAGTACTTGTTCTTGACTCTGATGGAGATGGTGTCGGTGAAGTTGCTGCTCTGATGTGAGTGTTCGGCCCCGTTGCACACAGACTTGACTTGTGCTTACCAGGCAATGCCAATCTTACTGTCGGGGGACATCACCGCCTGCTTACTGGTGGATGCGCCATCTTGACTGCACAGTTTCCCTGGCTTGGAGTCGCCTGAGCCTGCAGAGTCTGTGATGCCTTGCTCTTGGCCCATGGCTGTTGAATTTCCAATGCTGTGAAGAATTGAAGGTTGCTGGAAAGGAATGGCGAATTTCGAATGCAAACTCCCAGGTGAGGGTCAGAGGCAGACGTTTATCTCTGGAAACCGTGCTTGTCCTGAGGCCACCTCAATTTTTTGAGCTTTTCGTATCGCAAGCCAGCCTCGGTCTCCAAGTAGGTAAGCTTGCAGCATTCGTTGTTCTGGGTGAAAGAACGTTTAGAAAAGCGCTGGCAAGTTTCTACATCGGACGAATTTACTAACTCAGAGTCCTCTCATTCGACTAGGTCTTTTGCCGTGCCTGGAAAGATGCTTGATCTTTAGGGGTCATGGCGATTGCAAGCGAGTGTGGTTGACGGTGCCTGCCCAGATGGTTGCTGGAGTGAGGAGCAGCCTAGGGCTGATAGGTACATGTGGTCCTCCCTGTCCTTAAGTCAAGTGAGGAAAGACTCGTGACTATCATGTTGTCCTCAGTTCACAGTAATCTGGCCTTCCATCTGCAAGTCAACTCAGTACAGCTGCCGGCTCCTTTAGAAGCACAATCCCTTAAAGGAAAGCATGCTGCTTGTGGAAAATAAGGCGCCGTTTGGAGACAAAATGCTCCTGGAAGGTTCAGCCACATTCAAGTGGCAGTTCACTCAAAGCTCAGGTGGCGGCGATGGATATCCCTTTCGATTTACCAAACCGCCTAGGGAGTGATGACCGGGCGGACCAGCCATGCCTCCATGAGGGTTTTCTATAGCAAACCATCCTCAAAACTGATTGCCCACCTAAGGTATACTTTCTTGGGGGGATGTGTTCAGAGCCATGTCCACCAGCTCCCACCCATACTAGGGTATCAATCGCATCAACCAGATGATTGAACCGCTTCTTCTCGTATAGAGCCCACTTGAACTTTGGTGTGGACATATTTTTTTTAACGATCAATTGCAAGGCTTCTCGTTCCTTGATAGGTAGCTCCTAGGTCGGCATCTAGATTGGGAGACTACTCGGTTCTAACGTTCCAAGGTTGCCCAGGCCAGTCGATGGCCTCTGAGAGATCTAGACTGCTGTTCTGAGTCCACAAATAGACAAAGTATTTTACCTAGCATATCATTTGCCTTCCTGATATCGAACTCAGATTGTGCTGCGATGTTCGAAGCCTTGAGAGCCTTCAACCATCGGAAAAGTTGAAGCTGGAGAAAGTCGACGTTTACATGTGCCAGCTTGGTACCTAAGTACCTACCTAGGTACCTAGGTACTTGAGTAGTTTTTGCTCAGAGAATGGCCTGGGCCCTATATGCACCGGTGCTTGAGCGATGGAACCTTTGTCAGGAATTGTCTCGATTTCAACTGCAGTGGTTCACAATCGAGAAAGTCGGTAGAAACGTCTGGGCTTCTTTGTCGATATACTTGTTGCAAACGCTGCATCATCCGTGGAGAACATGTGAAGGTACAGTAATTATTTAGGGGTCCCGCGGGATCGCTCCAGCCCCACTCGCTGCATGACCCCTGCAGCACATCCACGAGGTCAGGCCAGGCCCCCTGGTTGGTGGCAATACTCGTCGATAAAGGAGAAACCGTCACTTTTTGGGACTTCTCATCGGCCGAGTGCCGAATTCATCGTTCAACATGCAAGTGACAGTATCTTCGACTTTCTTGGCCCGAATATTCTAATACATTTTGAGCTTCGGTCGCTGGTGCCAAGCCATCCGATTTCAGACGAAAGGGCCGACCTCAAAGGAACGGGGCCATTCGGGCTTCACCTCTGACACTCCGACGCCCACTCAGCCGCACGGCCATCTTGGTCTCCATCGAAAAGATGACAGTGACAGCCGTTGGAACTATTTGATCAGAGCGCAACTGTAGCGCCGACTACCTCATATACTAGGTACACAGCTTCCCAAAATGGGCGACTATAAGCAGGTCCGCTCGTCTTCACCGTCAAACCAACACCGCGACAGCGACGAACTCGAGCTGCAGGAGCAGGTCGTCCAGGAGAAAGCCCCCAACCTCGGCGATGAGCAGCATGAGCGCCTCTTGTCGGAAGACGACGAGGAGGGGCTGAAAGGTGGCCACGATGACGGCTATGCACGCAAACGACGAGGGCGATGGTGGCGTCGAGGATTACTTGGTCTTCTCGGGCTTCTCGTCCTGACGGCCGTGGCCGCCGCACTGAACTACTTCTACCTCGAAGAGACACAGGGCGAACAGGGCGAGGAAGCCAGCGCATTTCGGCGTCCATCGTCCGACTACATTATCGACCCGTCCTGGGACTATGATGCGCCCCCTACGGTGCGCGAGTATCATTGGGCCATTTCCGACATCACAGCGAACCCGGACGGTGTCTTCCGGCCGATGATGGCGATCAACGGCCAATTTCCGGGACCCATGATTGTGTGCAACGAAGGGGATACCATCGTTGTCAACGTGGTCAATGAGGCAAAGAATGCGACTGCCATACACTGGCACGGCCTCTTCCAGAACGGCACGAACTGGAACGACGGAACCGTCGGTGTCACACAATGCCCAATCGCCCCGGGCCGCTCGTATCGTTATGAGTTTGTTGTGAGGGGCCAATCTGGATCATGTAAGTTCACTAGAACACATCCATTCATTACAGCTACTAATTTCTGCAGTCTTTTATCACGGGCACCAAGCTGCACAGAACTTAGATGGCCTGGCTGGGCCCCTTATAGTCCTCTCCAAGGATGAACGGGACACTCAACCGATCGCGTACGATTCGGATCGTGTGATCATGGTGCAGGATTGGTACCATGATCTATCTGATGGCCTCTTGAGGAAGACGCTGTCTTCTGGGGACGAGGGATCACCAACACCCAACGGGGCCTTGATTAACGGGGCGAACAAAGTGGACTGTTCTCTTCACCAGAACCGCCACTGTGACTCTTCATCAGCTGCGTTGCCATCCTTTGACCTGGAACCGAACAAGAACCACCGGTTTCGAGTGATCAATGTTGGTGGTTTTGGCTGGTTCGAAGTCAGCGTTGATAGACATCTCGATCTCCCCGTGACAGAAGTTGACGGTGTGACCGTTGAGCCTCTGTCCGATTCAACACTGCTTGTTGGACCCGGCCAGCGATACAGCCTCGTGCTTTCGGCCAACCAGACTGACCCCTCCAATCTGTACTGGTTCCGGGCCCGTATGATAAACCACTGTTTCGCTGAGAATGTTCTCCCCGACAACGGCGTCGCCACAGCCCAAGCGGTCATCCGATATAACTCAGCAGTAACCGAGGCCCAACCTCAAGATCAGGCTATTACTCCTACCACCGACAACGATAGCGGGAAGTTCACGGTGATTTGCAAGGACAAGGCGCCCGACACTTACAAGCCTCTGCCTCGGACGCCTGCACCCGAGTTTGCACACCACTCGTGGTATTTGCGGGTGAACTTAGAAATAGGCGACTGGCGACTAGAGCGTGGCTTTGTAAACAAAAGCACATACCGGCCACAGCTGCAGTCTCCAACCCTTCACCGACTGGTGGATGGTTTGAACAGCGCCAACGAGACGTTCAACCTGGAGGGCGTCAACGACGAGGCGTTTGACATCAAGAACGAGCTGGTCATTAGCTCGGGCGGTGTTGAAGTGGTGGACTTGATACTTCAAAATTTCGACGAAGGAAACCATCCCTTCCACTTGCACGGTGCGCAGATGTTCATCCTAGCGGCAGGTCACGGGTACTTTCCAGGTTACAAGGAACTGGGTCTCCAGGATGAGGGCAAGGGTCTACTGGATCCCAATAACAACACTATCATCGCGAACCCCGTCCGGCGAGACGTCACCACCATTGAGGCCTTCGGATGGACGCTGGTCCGTTTTATCGCAGACAACCCAGGGGTTTGGCTATTTCACTGTCATATGATCTGGCATGCGGAAGCAGGGATGGCCATGCAATTCGCATCGAGACTCGATCTGATGAGGAACTGGACAATACCAGAGGAGAACAGGAAATTATGTGAGGCACCTGTAGACGAGCTTGAGAAGGGGTCTACGCCCAAGGACAGTATATGGTTTGGGCAGTTTGGAGATGATTCTTGAATTTCAAGAGCACATGCATGGCAAGGAGTTTTGGGAATTTTTATTTCAGTACATATCTGTGTAGATAAAGGATGATACAAATCTTTACATGTAAACGCTGTAGGAACCGAGTCACCAAACGTCCCACTAGTATACATTCACCAACATCAAAGTGACAATTGAGGAACTGTGACTCCAGGTGTCATTAACTCAGGGGTAAGTCTAAGCCCCCTAGGCATGGTTGCAGCTTGAGTCCTAGACAAAGTGAATCACCGTGTCTATTCACAAAGAAGATCTCACCTCACCATCCAGAACAGTGAATTCTCAGCACTGCCAACGTATACCAGGGACGGCAACCCACAATGGACGGATATTGCCAATCTGACCTTCAAAAAACACAAAGACAAACAACTACATTACCATGTGCCTACGATATCACCCTTGAGGAGAGCCTACACCAGGGCTTCAGAATACCTCGAATCTAAGTAGGTGTTGGCAATTCCAGACTCACCCAGCATAACAACTGACGAAACACGCAAACGTAGTAATCTCTCAACAGGATAGTCCTCATACAGGCTCAAACGCCAGCATTCAATTTCACCCACAATGTGCCTCACAATTGTGACCCATTTCAACCGCTGCTCCCACCGCATCTCAACCACCACCTTCTGCCCGCGCAGCATCCAGGACCTGCCGACCATCTACCACCCTCCACGGCCTTGCGTGACCAACAGCCGAGAGAAAGACCACGTCGTCTACCGTGACCAGCTGTGTGACTCGTGTCTCAAGGTGGACGCCTGGCTTGCTGGCGGCGGCGGCGGCGGCGGCGGCGGCGGCTGGCCTGACAGTCCCCCGAGGAGGGACGATCCTAGCACCAGAAGGAAGGAAAAGAGGCGGGAAAAAGACTCGGCAGGGCGGACTACAGAAGGAAACCCCTCGTCTCATCGCCACCACCGTTCTCCCGGGCAGAGAACAAGTGGACGGCGGCAGGGCGTAACCGCGGAGCCGACGTGCCCGGTGCCCACGCATGCGGCGCACGAGGACGGCGGCCGGTGTCCGTTGTCTGAGGCGTTTGAGCGCACGGTGAGGATCGAGGGTGACTTGGGTGCCCCAGGCCCATCCGACGGCTGGTCCCTGGAGGAGGAGCGTGCCGGCGACGTATCGGGCAAGGACTTGTGCGAGGACGAGATTGAGGATGCCGGCATCGACCACCATAGTTGGACCTGGGGACAGAGAGGAGAGGCTTGGCCGTTCGGACTTGTTCGTTTCCCCTCTGATGACGGTGGGAGCAGGCCTGGTGGCCCGCGTTCTCGGATTGATGGTCACGGAGTACGTTCGCGGTGGACGAGGCGTCGCACGGCGGGCAGGAGGAAGAAACAGGTTCGGTTCGCCCGGGTATCTGAGATGGTGCGTTTCAGGGGAGACTCGGCCACCAGGACTCTGGGAAGTTTGAGGAGGGAGTACAAGGCATGTCGCTGAGTGATGTCCATTCCTCAGTGACGCATATTTCTCTGGCCTTGGTCGAAATTCAAACAGCGCGATGCATTCTGGGTCGGTCTTTGCTCGCGGTGAAGACATGACGGGCTTGAAGTCAGTTCTGGTCTCTTGAAATATTTTGTGCTTTTCATTGTCATACCGTGGCTCAAGGGCCAGCTCCACTCCAATATACATCTAAATGTACTCGGTGCTCACGTATGAACACCGGCTCAAGTATGGTCTTTGCTCTCTCTCTGTCAAACCCCGTCGTCATGCAGTCAAGAAAAGCCCCATAACCCATCATAAGAAAAAAGAAACAGAGGGGACCAGCTCTACTGGACCGGATCAACACTCATCATCCGCGGCTTCCATTCCAGGATGCCCATGAAACAACCACACGAAAATTGCCAAAAGACTCTCTCTAGTTTATAATACCACCCAGGAACGGGGTAAAAATAAGTCCTGGATGGTGTGAACAGGGGTGGAGAATTAGAGAAATGCCACACCAAATGGTGACAACAAGAAATGCTCAAGGGTTTTTCCAACGTGGCCGCCAAGTGCTCCGTGGCTGGGATATATATGACGTGCAAATGCCGATTGTCCAAACTCCGATGGATGAAAAATCACAAAATAAACTGGGATCATTGGTATGCCTTTCTCTGTTTTTTGAACAAAGACTTTCGACTCTCTAGGCCTGCCCTACTAGCGCTTTGGCTGGTATGGTTTGTAGCCCGGGTACGCGGATTGCTCCTCTGGCTGGCCGCCGCCATTGTAGTTTGTATCAAAGGTGTTCGCCCTAGGCGGTCTGCTGAAGCCGGATTCGAAGTCGAAGCCCCCGTTGTTCATAGGGCCTGGTGAGCTGGGCGGAGGGCCGGGGTCTGCGGTGTACTGCCTCCGGGGCGGCCCACGACTGCCGGGGCCGGGCCTGGGCCCGCCACCGGCTAGAGGCCGCGGCGACGAGGAAGAGTACTGTCGCTGGGGGTTGGGAGCAGAGTCGGCTGAGAACTGTCGGTAGGGCGGGCCCCGTGGCGGCATCGGTCGTCGGCCGCCCGGGTTTGGTGCCGAGTCTGCGGAGAACTGTCGCTGAGGGCCGCCGGGGAATTGCTGTTGGGGGTTGGGAGAGAACGTGCGCTGGGGCGGCGCAGGGGAGAAGGATCGCTGAGGTGGTGCAGGGGAGAAGGATCGCTGGACAGGAGCCGGTGAATATGTTCGCGGCGGCGCGTCGAACTGGCCGCCGCCGTAGCCGAAGTCCTGCTGGGGCGGGCCGAAGTCTTGCTGCTGCTGCTGGGGCGGCGGCGGTGCTGGTGAGCCACGTGGAGCGGGAGAGGCACGCGGGCCAGCGCCTCCTACGGCACCAACGGCGCCCCTGGGAGGTCCTCGCCGTTCAGGCTGAGTGCCAGCCACTCCGTACTGGTCCACGGGCGGTTGGCCAGGTGCGTTCCCTGGCATACCGTATTCGCTGTAAGCGCCGTGTTCATCGTAGAGAGGCGTCTGCGCTGGAGAGGTGTTATATCCGTATTCCGTGGGCGACGGTCCTGGCATCTGTCCGTAGTCCTGACCTCCTGTCACGCCCCAGTTTTGGCCGTTATGGAATGAGGCCTGCGACTGATCATAACCATTGTGCATCTGGTTGTAAGCTGGGGATGGCGGGCCATATGGACTTGCTCCGGGACCAGCACTCATGTAGCCGCTGGCAGCGGCCTGGGGACCCTGCGGTCCATAAGGACTTCTGCCGTTTTGTGGGTTGGGACTGGTGGCGCCGGGTGTGGCTGCTGGCGACATTCCATTCAAGAGTGGCTGGTTCGAATTGGCCTCGGGCTTCCTAATATTCTGCAGCTCGACAGCGTCCGCCCCGGCCTCTAGCCTCTTGCTTTCCGAGTCTCCCCAGGTGGGCATGGCTGGTAGCGAGTCCTCTCCTTCCTCCTTCTTGGACACGTCAAACGTCGCATACTGTGGCGGATCGGCAGCCTTTGTTCGGACCGGTGCGATACCTCCCGCAGACATGGCGGGCTCCGAGCGATAGCCTTGGTGATCGGTGGCTGGGACGTATGGGTCGTCGAGATACTTCCGCCTGTGCCTCCTGGGCGTATCGCAACAGCCACAGCAGTTGCCACAGCACTTCAGGCAGTAGCAGCATTCGCAACAGCAGGATAGGCCACAGCAAAGGCATCTCGCAATGCACCACACGATAGAGAACACGATTAGGCCCACCACTATGATTATTGCAATCACTGGCCATCTGCAAAATTGTCAGCATGTCACGTATAGCTTGAGGGGGGGGGGGCTTTCCACCTACTTGCAATACGTTGCCTGCATGCAGTTATCCCAGCTGGAGAATGCCAGTTTGATGTCTGACAATTCACCCTGTGCCTCGGAAATGACGCCTCTCGGCGCGAGTCCTGCCTGCACGCTGCGTGCTAATATGTCCACCACTCCACCCCTCACACTCCTCACCATCGCGGCATCTATCGAAGGCATCTTGGCGTCGCCTCACCCAAAGACGTTGAGTGAATTGCCCAGACGCGCGGATCCGAGGAAACGGACCACCTCAGGCCCACGTAGCAACTGCGTTGCCTAATTATAAGAAATGCCAGTGTCGCTGTTCCTCCCTCAAAACTCCATGATTGGGTGTCTCCTAGGCGGGTCGGGGGATTTTGACTTCAGTCGTCCGATGTTTCTACTCGCAGCAGAAAAACTCCCGAAGGTAGTTCCCCAAAGCCCAGCCAAATGCGGTCGGTTCAATCAAACGGTCGGACGATCAGCGGTTGGGTCGATCAGCGACCAGTTCTTTGTGGCCAATGATAATGTCGACGGGGCGCGGCAGATAATCCTGGGCCTTCTTTGGGCGGCCTGAATGCAAGCAAAGAGCGAGAGTCGGCTGGTGAATTCGCAAGTCGAGCAGTAGAGACAGACAGACCAAGCAACCAGGCGGGGCAAAGAAGGAAGGCAGGAAGGAAGAAAGGCAGGTGAGCAACAGGCAGGGCCGAACGAACGGTTGTCGTCGACGAACGTTGGTGGTCGGTCGGTCAGTCAGTCAGGAAATGAGAGGCCCTGGTCTCTGCTGAGAAGGGGGGAGAGAGGCTGCACGCAAATAGGACGGGCGCCCGTGTCAGAGGAGAGCTGGGCAAGCTGGGTAGACCCCGGGGATCCTAGCGCAGATCTTGGTGTTGAGGGTGCTGCGGCAAGCCGTCACAGAAGCCGCTGCGTCAAGCCACTCGAGTGATGAACAGGAGCCCAGCCTTTTGGGGTGTCTCGTGAAGATGGCTCAGCCCCTCGGCAGCGAAAATAAACCTTGACTCGCTGGCTGCGATCGCCCCCCAAGCTGCCGTGACCCCTCGTCGATGTGATACAAGCCTCAGAGGGCAAGCGATGATTTGTATTGCAAGTATGGGGCTTAGAGCCTTGAGGTTTGAAAGTCGACTGTCGCAAGTTTTTGGTTGTAGTGGCAAGCCGGGCTCAGGGGATGAGCTGTGAAATAAGAATGAATGTGATGTATAATAAGAGGGTGCGAGGAGGAACCTGAAGATCGACGTGAAAGACGGATGTGATCACCGGGTCAGCCCCTTTACAGCATGAGGATGGCCAGTTCCTGCATGCACAAACACAAGCACGGACACAAGCACAACTCGCAGCAAACACAGCCAGGGCTCTGCAAGATGTACTAATAAACGACAGACTACTGGCAATCAGACCCCACGCGAGAAACGGGGACAACTGGTTCTTTTACTCCTGGGAAATTGAGTCGAGTGCAGCAAAGCGGGCGCGACATAGGACGAGAGGTGGATGCGCGGGGGCCACGGCCAAGACAGGAACCAAGACGAACATGCAGGTACAGCACAAAGAGAAAAGACGGCAAACTGCCGAGTTCAGACCCCAACGAGTCTCTCTCTCTCTCACACACTGCACGCCGACAGGGGGGCGATGCGGCCGGCGGCAACGGCACCAACAAGTCGTGGGCAATGCAGGCATTGGCAGATAGATCCCCTGCAGGGCACGTTTAAAATTGCGATGGAGCGCTTCCCGCGACGCTTACATCGGAGATGAGCATCGACATGCCTGTTTGCCCGTCCCAGCCAAAAAAAAGGCTTCCAACAGACTTCCATTGCTGGGCAGTCTTCATTTATCATCACCCCGCTACAACTACGTCAATACGGCCTTTGTTTTGCGGGCGGTTCTTGGCCTTGTTTGTCCTCTGGTCTTACGTATTGGCTTCTTCTTCGCCGTTGTCGACGGCTGCCGAGACATCGCAGCCGACGGCAGCTGAACCGGGGGACAGGCGGCACCTGAGACACAGTCGCCTCCTGTGCCAGTGCAGGGGGGAGATGCAATTGATGATGAGTTATTAACTAGGTAGCCAGCCGGGGCAGCAACTCTACGTAGATTGCATGCTCAAGCACATGGGCTTTGCGGACAAGAATACGCCAGTGATGTCTTGCCGTCCTGAGCCCTGCTTGAGTCTTGTCTGCCGCAGGTTAACAACAGGCCTTCTGGTGTCCATTTCCAGGGTTCAGGGGTGAAGGGGCAACATCCCACCACTTCCAATCTAACTTATAATAAGTCTGCCCAGTAGTCCCGGAGTCGCATGCACAAATTGGCCGGATCGATTGCTGATAGCGCCGAAAAGGCCTTCTATTCTACTTTAGCATCGTCTCATTGACAGTAACAATGATGCAGATAGTCTTGCGCAACGAGCCCATCTCTCAAATTAGCCATGCCCCGTCCCTGTCCTGGCCCGGACGCGAGATGGGTGCCTCTTTTCGTTGCGCGGCCTCTCTACCCATCACGAAGCATAAATCTTTCTCGACGAATTTCATCCACGTCTCCCATTCAGCGATGCTGGTTCGGGCCCCGCATCGCGTATCCTGCCGTAGGTGCTGAAGAGTAGATACCCGTACAGTCTCAACCCAAGAATTTCATGCCGCCCTTGGTCTTGGAACCAGGCTTGACGATACCTCCGGCCTGGGGCCCGAGGTGTGGTGAGTATCCTTCGTCACCGTTACCCGCACCGCTGCCAGACTTGTTGCCTCCCTTCTTGTAGTTCTTGCCCTTGCGCTTGTCATTCTTTACAGCAGTGGGCCTAATCTCGGTCGTGCTCTTGCGCACAACGACTGGGTGGCTCTGAATGTACTTGCCATTCATCTCCTTGGCCGCCTGGAAGAAATCGTCTGGGTCGCTGAAGCTGACGAATCCGAAACCCTTGGACTTGTTGGTCCGCTTGTCCCGCACTACCTTGGCCTTCTGCACTGACTGCCACCGCGCAAAGGCCTTCAGCAAGGAGTCGTCGGTCGTTTCGCCCGCCAAGTTACCAACAAAGATTCGCAGATGATTAGGGTCCCACTCCAGGAGCGAGTCGTCGGCCCACTTCTTGCCTCCTCCTTCTCGGTAGACCGTCTTTTGTTTGTCGCCCGCAGTGGCAGCAGCTCCTTCCTGAGCTGCTTTGGCGGCGTTTTCCGCATTGAACGTTGGTCCGGCCGCAGTGCCAGGTTTGCCTCCCGCCGCCTTGGCCCCAGAGGTGGCATTAGCTTCTGCCCCCTCCTTGGGTAGGTAAGCGCTTTGCCACTGCGCAATCTGCGCAGCCATCTCGGGGTCATAGTTTGGATCGCTGCGGTCGAACGGGTTCTGCGCGGCAGAGGCGGCAGTAGGGGCGGCAGAGGCGGCGGCACCCGGCTGTGGGAAAGGGTTGCGGATCTGTGGCGGCGTGGAATAGGATCCAGCAGCCGCCGCGCCGTAGTACGCTGGTTGTTGCGCATAGCTGGCTGAGTAGTTATAAGACTGGCTAGATGCCCCGTAGCCACCGCGACCGGCACCTACGGGGGGCGCCTGTTGGTAGGAGTAGGTGGAGGCGGCGGCGCCATACTGAGGTGCTGAGACGGGGGCGGCACTGTAGGACGGGGCGCCGGAGTAGGGTGCGCTTGCAGCATAGGTCGGGGCAGCACTCGTGGTGGGAGGGAATGCCGGCTTGAATCCGCCGGAGGTCTTGCTCGCTGGCGGTCGAGGAGGTAGAGATCCGAAACCTGGGGGTCCCGGGTAGGACATGATGAATTTGATGTGCCTTTGACGAACGCTTGTTTTGTTTTCGTTGTCACGTACCTATGAGCCCAGTCCGGGTCACACAGACTTTGCTCGCGGTTTACCCGCTCTCCCCAACAACCGATATGTTCAGAATGTCAGACTTCGCAGCGTTTGCTGCTTTGTTGGTGAGCGCTTGGCTGGTTGATGGACCGAATGATGGGAAGTTGCCAGGTGCGTATCGTGAGGCGAAGGGAAACGATTGCAACGCGATGGGACTTGGGTCATCTCAGAAACTCCCAGCCCGACCAATCAACAGTGATGGGGTGGATCCCAGTCTGCCTGCCTGCCTGCCTGTCTGCCTGCCGGACAAGTTGCCATGCGGGCTTTTAGGCGGTACTGTGTAGTTTTGACTTCCACGGTTACAGCTGGCAGCTTAGCTCGGGGATCGGTACGTACCTTGCCGACAAGCTTATTTATTATCCCCAGGTTGCCAGGACACATGTGAATCGATAAGCCTGTCCGGAGCTGCCCCTGCCGCCTTGCGCGAACCCCTCGATATGTGGCTGTTGTGGTAGACTAGACACTAGAGTAGCCGTTCTGACTGCTGCATCACCTATAGCCATGTCGAGCTCTGACGGTCCCTGACAAGCCAGCCGTGTCGATCTGGTGGTTCGGGCTCTCATAAGCTGAGTGTATACTTAGTTTGTCCTTGCTGGAATGACGCAGTTTGGCGGGGCAGCCCACATCGCACCCTGACAGCCCCTCCATCCGCCCCTCTTTGCGGTCATGGTGTTGATGGCATTCGATCAATTCGCGCCTGTGACATCTGGCCAGGACCTCCGTAGGCCGGAGCAACAAGCAGCGATGTCGCGCGGCGGGATTGGCTGGCTGGCTATCCTCGTCTCGGGAGGATTAATAATGACGGACTGCCGCAGAGAACAGGACACGGGGCCTGCGGGAAAAGTCACAGAGGTGGCCCCGGAAAGATTCAGATTCGGCTCGTCCGGATAGTTCCCCTGCAATTGCAAACACATCTCGTTGCAAGGCATACTCGCATTGCAATATCCGCATGGGAACTGCGGCACGCTTGTCCGCCGAGGTTGACCTATCACCTCGAGCGGCATGCCTGAGCACCCTGCGAGGCAGGCAGGCAGGCAGGCAGGATGCAGACAAGAGGATATGCGAAGAGGCTGCATTGATTGCCAGCCTGACAGATGCGCATAGTACATGACCAAAAGGCAAGCGTTGACAGGAGCGCCCCGACCACCTCAACTGGTGGTGGCATTGGGCGCAGGGCCCCAGGGCTCGAGCCAAGCCCAAAGCATTTCCGGAGTTGCGAAACGCGAGAAGTGGACACCGGCGCTCATTTGTCTGACAAGTTCCGACGAGATCGGTTTGAAGCGTTGACGACCCCCACGCTTGCTCCTCCTGTACTGCCAGAATGGCCCAGAGGAGGGGGCAAGAGGGGACTTTGACAGGGTGTTGGGAGCTGAAGCCCACTGGAGTTTTTCCGTGAGCAAGCGCGGAAGAGAGGGATGTCCGCGGCGAGGATGGATGGGGCCTGGGGGGCGGCGGCGAAGGGCCCCACCGGATAGTTTGACCAGAATTGTTGCAGACAGTGACAGTGACAGTTACAGTGACAAGTGACAGTGACAAGGGGAGGCACTGAGGGCCCAGCCTGTAGGCCACGGACAGGAGCTACACTCCTTGGCGTTGGCAGAGAGGTGCGGGCCCCGGCACCGATAGTCAGGCAAGTCAGGGAAGGGCCTTTCGCGGTCAGGACGGGAAGCATGAGCTCCTCCTCGCATTGGGGACCTGGAGCGTCCGGACTCGAGCTTCTGAGTAAGCCCCCACCCACTTTAGCTCTCTGCTGGCACGACGACGTCTACCCAGCTCCCCCGAGGCCATTGTCCTGTTGCTCCTTCGAAAATTTCTCTCCTTCACCTCTTCCATTCCATCCATAACTTGGCCATACTTCCTCTCGGTTGATTCTGAGAAAGTTTATCCATCAAGAGAGCCAGCCTCCAAACCAACCAAGCACCCCAACAACAACATCCCCTCCGTCGACCTCGCAATGTCTGGCGCAGTGTGAGTCCTCTCCCATCCGTCAACCCCACATTCTACCCCTCCGATGAGCCATTTCGCTGCCACGGCGAGCGAGCCCCTCCATCGACAGCACAACAGCCGTGCTGCATACAAACAATAAGGACCGCAGCCGTGCTTCTGGTGCCTGCTGCAAGGTGCCACCAGGCCTTGCTATAGCCGCATGCGCAATTCCAACATTGCTTTTTTGACGCGAGCGTCGCTTCCCACCCCCATCTCCTTTTGAATCACTCGAGACTGAGGGCTTCTTGCAGCGCCCGGCTCGCCGGCATTGCTGGCGGTTTCACCACTTCAGGACCAAGCAAAGCTGACAATGATGTTACTCCAAGTGCTGATCTCGGCCTCATCGGCCTGGCCGTCATGTAAGTCTTCCAATTCCAACATGCCCCTCGCGGAGGGCTGCGGGTGTTAACAGCTGCTTAGGGGTCAGAACCTGATTCTGAACATGGCCGACCACGGCTTCACCATCTGCGCTTTCAACCGAACAGTCTCCAAGGTCGACCGTTTCCTTGAGAACGAGGCCAAGGGCAAGTCTGTTGTTGGTGCCCACTCCACCGAGGAGTTCGTCTCCAAGCTCAAGTCGCCCCGCCGTGTCATGCTTCTCGTGCAGGCTGGCAAGGCCGTCGACGACTGGATCGAGACCCTCCTGCCCCTGCTCTCGCCCGGTGACATCATCATTGACGGTGGAAACTCGCACTTCCCCGACTCCAACCGCCGCACCCAGTACCTCAAGACCAAGGGTCTCCACTTTGTTGGCTCCGGTGTCTCCGGTGGTGAGGAGGGTGCCCGTTACGGCCCCTCTCTGATGCCCGGTGGTGACGAGGCCGCCTGGGAACCCATCAAGGAGATCTTCCAGAGCGTGTCCGCCAAGAGTGACAACGAGCCATGCTGTGACTGGGTCGGCGACGAGGGTGCTGGTCACTACGTCAAGATGGTGCACAACGGTATCGAGTACGGTGACATGCAGCTCATCTCTGAGGTATGTCATCCTCTAACAAACCCTGGGTACGTGACGTGTGAAGATGGCGTCGGCTGACCCTGTTCAACAGGCCTACGACATCATGAAGCGTGGCCTTGGTCTCACCAACAAGGAGATGGGTGATGTTTTCGCCAAGTGGAACACGGGTGTTCTGGACTCGTTCCTCATCGAGATCACAAGAGATATCCTCTACTTCAACGACGAGTCGGATGGCAAGCCCCTCGTCGAGAAGATCCTGGACCAGGCTGGCCAGAAGGGAACCGGCAAGTGGACTGCCATCAACGCCCTGGACCTGGGCATGCCCGTCACCCTGATCGCCGAGGCCGTGCTGGCTCGTTGCCTGTCTGCCATCAAGCCAGAGCGTGTCGAGGCTTCCACGAAGCTCGAGTTCGTCGGACGTGCCAACAGCTTCGAGGGTAACAAGGAGCAGTTCCTCGATGATCTCGAGCAGGCCCTCTACGCCTCCAAGATCATCTCCTACGCCCAGGGCTTCATGCTGATGCAGGAGGCCGCCAAGGAGTACGGCTGGAAGCTGAACAAGCCCTCGATCGCCCTGATGTGGCGTGGTGGCTGCATTATCCGCTCCGTGTTCCTGAAGGACATCACCAACGCCTACCGCAACAACCCCGACCTCAAGAACCTGCTCTTCGACGACTTCTTCAACAAGGCCATCCACAAGGCCCAGCCCGGCTGGAGAGACGTCGTCTCCAAGGCTGCCCTTCTCGGAATCCCGACCCCAGCCTTCTCCACCGCCCTGTCATGGTTCGACGGTTACCGCACCAAGGACCTGCCCGCCAACCTGCTGCAGGCCCAGCGTGATTACTTCGGTGCCCACACCTTCCGGGTCAAGCCTGAGGCTGCCAACGCGCTGTACCCCGAGGGACAGGACATCCACGTTAACTGGACAGGCCGTGGTGGAAACGTGTCTGCCTCTACATACCAGGCATAAGAGAACTGCAGCTTGCTAGATAGTTGTAGTCTGAGGGATTGACCCATCCGTTCTCTAGAATCAAAATGAGGATGTGCCATAGCATGACCTGGCAAGGTAATACGGAATAAACAAATACTACCCAACCAACTCTGGAGCTTGTTCGCGGTAGTGCTGCGAGGATCACAAGTAATTAGTGACGCGGACCACTGAGGACATGGCTCGGCAATGGCAGACTAGTACTTGATGCTTCGAGGACACCTAAAGCACCAATGGCTTTTGGTATACAGATGCTATCTAGTAGCTCCCGGCATGAGGCCAGGCTGGCACTCTTTCTCAAGAGGCGGCAACTCGGCCACGGCGCACAGAGCTTCCAACGCCGTGCGTCACACCCGTAGCCGACCAATGCCGAGCTGGAGCTCGATCATCGCCTGAGTGCAGGCTATAGGTGGCGTACCTGCCTATAACATCCGTATAGCCTCGTGAAGAACTGAGAAACGGTCGAACATGTGCACAAAATCTTGTTGTTGCTGCTCGACCCGTGGAATCTAGCGACCTCTGGTTGGTTATCTTACATGCCCTGCTGTTCCTTGCGCCCCCCCTGCCACCTCCCGGACCTGTTGTTCGACTCCAACTGGCTGGTGGCTTACAGCCCGGCTTACGTAACACAGCTTTGCAATTTCTGACCCGCACCTTGGAACTAGGCGCGCATGAGTCTGGAGCGCGCCTTTGCACCATCAGCTGCGAATCCTGGGAGCCTGTCGCGACCACCCTCAACCAGAACGGAATCCCGACCATCGCCGTGTGCGCCATCTCCAATTGGGAGCCAACGGCATCTGCGAGCTACGTCGCCAACGTGGCACCTTGCACGTCAAGCGACCATACGAATTGCCATTCGGAATAGCAAAGCCAAGCCTCCCTCGTGGGAGCAACAGCAGCCAAGATGGGAGACCCGAGCCACAACATCAACGAGAAGATGGTAAGATCTCAACCACAATGCCTGGCGCCCCCTCCAACCAGTCGCACAAATACTAACACATATCCCCAACGTCTAGCTTCAGCATCTGCATCTCATCAGCACCTACAGATATGCCGCCATGGCTGATGTTGGCCTCCCTGACGCTTCCAAGTGGCTGATGAATGCTCCCAAGATCGCCCGCGACACCGCACCCTTCTTTTGGACATACCTCGACGCCCCTGCCGATGGTACCATAATGCTCACGTGGCAGCCTCTGCAGCGCCTGGATACAAACTTCGCGACTGATGGATATATATGGCCATACCCCGAGACATATTATCAGCAGGACCTAGGTAACGGCTCGGTCAGCTCTACCCCTTGGCCCAGCTGCCCTCCATTACAGTACTGACGCTGGGTTGCAGGTCCTAGAGATGTTTTATCAGAGGTCTGGCTACCGCCAAGGAGAACAGTTCACCCAGCACTCCAGGAAACGCTTCCGCCTGGTTCCCAAGCAACCCCAGATCCCCGGCGCCCCCCAGGTCGACCCCAGCCTCTGGATCGTGCACTACGGACCCAACGCGGCCCCAGATCGATTACCGATCAATATGGTACCCATGGATCCTCGCACGCACAACTTGATACAGGCTCGCATACAACTACAGAGGGGCGGCCAGATTGCTCGCAAGGAGTTCATGCTTGCCGATCGGCTCAACTGGCCGACCATAAACCCTCCGCGGGAGGGCAGAGGTCACCCAATGATGGCCCAGCAAGCTCATCCACGCACCATCCCGCAACAGATGGCCTACCCTCCCCAGCCGCCCGTGCCAAACAAGCGCGCGAGGACAAGCGCCCACCAGAATCAGCAGATGATGAGTGCTGCCCCCTTCATACCTTATGATGACGAGGACGACACCCACCAGGGCGACGTATTCGATCACATGAGTCCCCGCGATGTCAGCATGGCCAGGTACACGCGCAATCACGAGTGGATGGAAGAGGTACTGGGCTCTGCATACCGGATAGGCCAAATCACACCAGCAGATCTTGGCCTCGGGCTGCAGGGAGAGCTGGCGTCTTTGACGCAAGGAATCTACGAGGCCTCAGGTGTCGATGCGCACAAGAAGCCACCGAAGAATCCAGTGGTCGGCCACCTCGACCCGAAGCTGGCTGGCGAATTCCGCGACAGGGTGTCGCAGAAAATCGAGGATGACAAGGCCGAGATGGCGCGGCTTAAGGAGCAGCATGAGAAAATGATGGACAAGTTCAAGTCGAACTCGATCCTTAACCGATCCGAGAAGGAATTGCGTGTCGCCGTCGACGAGACAGGTCCTGAATTCTGGCGGCTTGAAGGAAGAGAGGAAGACGAAGGAGAGGGCATCACCCATTGGAATGGGAATGAACACAGAAAGGTCAGCGATATCGTTGCGGATGTCGAGTCGGCTCTGGGCCGCCACATTGCCGTTGTCAGCGATGTCAAACGTATCCAAGACGGCGGATACCAAGAGCCAGCGCCTGAGCCCGAGAACCTGCCAATGCCTCCAGCTGCATCACTCCCGAACGCGAACGGTGCCGCGTCAGGCCAGCTATCCCGGAAAGGCTCACAGGCAGGCTCACAAGCCAGTGGACTCATGGCCGGCGATTCGGATATTGACATGGGCGGAACCGCTGCCGGTCTGCTGGACCAGATTCAGGGTGAACCGTCGTCTACCTCTACGCCCCAGCCTCAAACATCTGCCATCGCGTCAGATGCAGCGATACCAGGCAATGCTGTGGCCGCACAGGCCACGTCTGAGCAGGCTCCGGGCAATGCGTCTGAAGATGTCACAATGGAGGACTCGGAGCAACCGAGGGATGTGAACACAGCTCCCGACCAAGGGACTGGCAGCGGTGACTGGGTCGTCGTGCCAAAGGGTGGTGAGTCACCAAATGCTCCTGCTGGTGCCGCGCCTGCAACGGAGTCTGCCCCAGTACCGACGGAGAACACGGACGTCAATAAATCTGTTGACAATGATGACTTTCTCAACTCGGCTGGGGAAGCACTTGATCAGTCAGCTGCCGATGACACTCCCGGGGACTTCGGTGACATAGGCATGGAAGACTCGGCTTTTGGGGAGGCCATGTACGGCGCCGAAGTTTCACGGGACTCGGCCTCGAACACGCCTGCAGACGGCGGTGTATAGGCCCAGCTGGTCATCTGTACAGGGAATGCATGGGGCTGGCTTGGGTGGCAGAACATCCGACCACAGAGCGAGACGGGATTGGGTATGGTTAAGGACACGGGGCTGATTGCCACTGTGTTCTTCTTTCGGTGCTAGACAAAACTTCTGCAGGCACGAGAGGCTTATTTTATAGTCTACATCCGTTTCGGGCTCCCGCGATTGATGGTTGGAGAAAGTATGTAGTATGTATGCGAATGCAATTTCAACCTTGAGGGTGGAGTTTTGGCAACAACTTGTCGAGACTGACAGCCAAATACTTTGTTCAAATGTTCGCAGCAAGCCGTGCAGCTCATGCTCAGCAGTGGACCGCGTGATGAGATTTCAGGTAAGCAAAAATGCGCAGCGGAAGCTCGCCTAAGGTCATGGCTCGCACTACGTGAATGAAGCCGTGTGCCGAGCAAGGGGGTTCGTTTGATCTCCAGCGGCACTACGTGTCAGAGCCCCAAGCCGGGGCTTCCATTGGCAGAGCAGGACTAACACACCTGGATGCCATCCCAACTCGGAGTCCTTCCTCATGCTTAAATTCAGGCTTAATCGCCCTACCGCCACACCTGATACATCTTTCCCTCTGCGACTCCCAAGACCTGGCATGATCTCACGATGGCGAGGCAAAGCACCCCCTTTCGCCCCTTCATTCGAGACTCTGCCTTGCTCCGTTCCGAGCCGTGCAGGGCAGGAGAGGGCTGCGGTGGACCATTGGCCCGCACATTGATGCCATAGGCACATGCATGCGAGGCGAGACTAATAACCATGGGAACCAGGCACGGCCAAGCTTGGAGCATGGTGACACCCGTGCCCTCAGGCTTGGAACTTGTATGAAGACGAGGACGGCCAGCGGCGCGGCAGTTGCAATAGCCCCTACTTGTAGACCGTACACCTCGCTGTCGGGCGGGTACCACTCATCATGAGCCATTGGTGGAGACGGTTCGTGAGAGTTTCACTGGGGGTTGTTGATGTGCATCGGGCATGTTGTCGCTCGGGACAAGGAAGACTCCTCGACCAACCCCCGGCATGTCATGTTTTACTGTGAATCCCGTCATCCCAGCCCTGACAAGTTCCTGCCATCGCATGTCTCTCTCTCTCCGCGAACAGACGACCAGAGGACCAGACGCACGCTAGGCTTTTGTGGGGCGACAAAAGCTTGTTGCATGATTACCATTGGGGATATGGCCGGTACTAGGCAGGTAAATCATACCGAAGGTGTCGCGGGTTGGGGTGACTAGGTGAACTATGGCTCTCGGCGTATACCCATTTTTTGCTGTCTTGCTCTGGAGCCCTCACTCCCGGCGCCGACTACAATATGATCTTCCCGTTGAGATCGCCCTTCCTTCTCCTTGACGCCAGTCTTCCCTTCTAACGCTCACACTCTTTCTTCCTTTCCCACACCACTCCCAGCCTGCAGGCCAGCCTGTAACGGTTACATTCTTTATACCACCTTCCTTCACAAGCTCTGGTAGCCGTTCTTTTATTCTCTATACCGTATAATAAATATTCCTTTCAATCATGCGTGTCTCGAAGGTCGTGGCAACCATCCTGCTGGGGTTTGCCGTCGTGGAGGCGGCGAACAGTGACCAGGGCCAGGGCGGACAAGATTCGAAGGAGGTCAGTGCCGACAACAACGGCGGTGGTGGCGGTAATGGAAGCCAAAAGGAAGCCCAAGGGGGCAATGACAGCAACCAGGGCGGCGGCAACGGAGACCAGCAGAAAGGTCAGGGCCAGCAGGGCCAGGGCCAGCAGGGCCAGCAGGGCCAGCAGGGCCAGCAGGGCCAGCAGGGCCAGCAGGGAAATGGCCAGAAAGGTCAACAAGGAGGCCAGGGCCAACAGGGCCAAGGTCAGGATAATCAACAGGGCGGCAAGAATGGCAACGGACAGCAGAACCAAGACGGATCGGACCAAAATCAGAAAGGGGGGAACCAGGGTAACAAGAACGGCGGCGGAAACAACAACAACAACAATAACGACAACAATAATAACAACAACAACAACAACGGGGACAATGGAAAGGGCGCCGATCAGAACGTGACGCAAGGCCTGCTGCCTCTCCCCGGCGCCCCCGAAGCGGCAGCATCACTAAAGCCCCTTCCGGGCCTCGCGAGCTTGCCACCATCAGCCCAGCAAAGCCTCAAGCCCTTGGGCAGTGCCGCGCCCCCTCCGCCAGCGAAGCTACAGCCCCTGGGCGGCGGCGCCCAGGCGAACGCGAGCGCACCACCGCCTCCGGGCTCGGTATCCTCGACCATCGACCTCGCTCAGCTGACGGCCATCGCGAACTCGGTCAACGGCGGCGGCGGCGCCGCGCCCCCGGCGGCCGTAGAGACACCCGTGGGCTCCTTGTCGAACAACACCAGCCCGGCCGCAGCGACGCCCGAGTCCGGCTCCGGCTCCGGCTCCAGCTCCGGCGGCCTGAAGCAGCTGCCCGCCCCGGCCGAGGCACCACCCGCCGGCGCCGCGCCGGCCGCCACGCCCGCCATGTTCATGACGATCCCTGGGGGCATGATGGGAGGCGAGGCGCCGATGGCCACGGCCACGCCGCCGGCGCAGGTAATTCCCGGCGCGGTGCTGCCTGCCGTGGCGAACCTGGAGCCGCTCCCCGGGTCCGTCTCGTCGGACGCGAGCCTGATGGCGCTTGCGCCGCAGACCATGACGACCATGACGATGACGCTGGCCGCGCCCGACGGCAGCACCGTGCTGGCTACCATGACGGCGCCTGTCAACGCCACCGCGGCGGCGGCGTCCAGGGGCAACGCCACTGCGACTGCGGGCAGCGGGTCGGTGCAGGTCGCTGGGGCTTCGGCCTCGAGGAGCTCCGGGACGACGGGCGTTGTGCTTGTGCTGAGCGGGGTCGTGGGGTTGCTGGGCTATCTTATGGGTTGAGCGGGCAGGGCAAGGCGAGATCTCACGTGCCGGGTGAGGAAGAGCTCAGTGTGTGGCTTTGAGGAGCTAGGTCTCCTCAGCCAGGGTGTAGATACGTGGGGAGAAGACGTGCATCGCTTCTGTAATTCCATTCTTAGCAGCATTACATACTACCATTGTATTTGGGAACAATTGGCCCCTTCTTGGCCTCCATCTCATGCACTCCCCCTGGGATCAATAGATGGCACCAAAACTTCGAGCACTTCTTCAGGGCTCATATGGAGAAGCCGCCCGGCTGCCAGTCAAGGGGACGCCACCCTTCTTTGTGACCAAGATCGGATCCTCCAGCCTGACTCCGAACCCAGTCTCTCTGCCGACCTTGTACGCTTGTTCACTTGTCACGTAGATGCCCTGGACAATGTCAGCGGTGTCACTCCAGGGTGGTGGGCCTTCTCAGAGCAGCAAACAAACTTACCGGCTCATTCGAGACGACCTGCCCGATTTTCAGCTTCTCGCTGTTGGCACCGTTCAGGTAAGGATGTTCGTGCATCTCAAGACCTAGCCCATGGCCGAGTCTATGCGTGTAAAACTCCGCATAGCCAGCATCAGAGATAGGCTTGCGGGAGGCAGAGTCGACCTCAGAGCACGTCTCGTTGGGGTGCATGAGGTTGAAACCCGCCGACTGGGACTCTTGGACAGTCTTCCAGACACCCTTCAGCTCGTCGCTGACCTGCCCTCCCGTGGGCAACACGGTCCGCGTCACATCGCTGCCGTAGTCATGCAGCTTGGAACCAATGTCAATCAGCACATACTCCCCGTCCTCCAGCGTCTTGCCGTGCTTGCCCCCGTGGGGGTAGGCAGCCTGGTCGCCGAAGAGGACGATGGACCAGAAGCCCCTGCCGACGCCGGCGCGGGTGAAGAGCCCCTTGGCCGAAGTCACGACTGTCTCCTGCGTGAGTCCGACCTTGATGCACTTCTGCAGCGAGCGGACCAGTTCCAGTGTGAAGGAGTTGATACCCCTCAGGATCTCGATCTCGGCCTCTGTCTTTACGGACCGGAGGGACTGGATCGCCTCGTTCATGGGAACAACCTCGACGCCCGCCTCCTGAAGCCCGGCGGCGATCATGAACCTCGCGTGCTCGTCCAGGACGACCTTGGAGTAGCCAGTGGCCTTGGCCAAGACCTCATACGGCGACTCCTCCTCGGCCCACTCGATGACGGTCTTGTCGCTGAACACCATCTCCAGGCCCGCAATACGGCCAGCCTCGAACTTGGGGACAAGGTAGGAGAACCGGGCGTCCTTGTCCACGATTATCAGGAAGGGCCGCTCAGAGAGATCAAACTCGTACGAGACGTTGGCGTAATAGGCCGACGAGGCCGACGGCTCGGCGATGAAGGCGTCGGCGCCGGCAGCCCTCAGCTCGCCGGCGAGTGTGCCCTGCCGGCGGAGGTATTCCTCACGGCCGATGGGGGCGACGTCCAGCAGGCCGACATGGGGCTCCAGGTGCGACCAGGCACAGGTTTCCAGCGAGGCGGCGGACAGGTCTGAGCCGGGCCACCACCAGGCGCCGCGGTGGAAGTACATGTCTATGAAGGCGCAGAGGGCAAAGCCCAGGAAGAAAGCCCAGGCGATGGTCTCGCAGACCCGGCCGAGTGCCGCCCTCGCGCGCCTCTGCTGCCTCGGCGTCCGGCCGGGCGTGGAGGGGAGCAATGGGCGGTGCTCACCCCCGGCCCCGGGGTTCTTTTCGACAGCAAATGTCGGCATTGTGTATGTCAGAATTTCATAGAAGCAAGCCGTTCTTCCGACTTGATTTCGACTGATAATCAGGGTGGTAGGCGGTATTCTGGTGACATGATAAGAGGGCGGGCGAGTGAGGTCATCGGGATGAGATAAGCTGTGGATCGCCGCGTGGAGTGGCTGGTGTGGTTGAAAGACGACGGGGGTAGGTTTATCGGAACAGTAACATCACAAACCGTACTCGCTTCTGTGCGCATCCAATTGCTGTGTATTATCTATTGTTCCACTTGAATTGTTAGACTAAATTACCTTGTTGGAGTGTGATCAGCGCAAGTCGGTTACTTGCCGGAAAATCAAGCTGGAAATTCCACAGCACAGCTTTGAATGAAAGTGGCCCTGGTCAAGACAACGACAGCAACATCTGACAGCCTCAGAACTTCACAATGCTCTCTCGTTTCCGTTGGAAGACTCCAATCTACCAGAACACTGGCTCTACGGCGCGGGACCATTTGGCTAGCGAGCGCACATTTCTGGCTTGGATCCGGACAGGGCTTGGATTTGTGGCCTTGGGGATCGCCATTGAGCGCTTCTCTCAGCTCGATCTCAACGACTTACTCAAGCCCCTCCGACCACCACCCCAGGACGGCCAGGACACAAGGAGGGAGCAACCTGACGACGATGGCGAGCCGCAGAAGGAACAGTCGCAGGTCATCGTGGGTACCCTGATGGCCCTCGGCTCCGGATCGATCGTCTATGGGACGTCGCGGTACTTCTCGAACCTGAAGCTTCTGGAGAAGGGTCTCTTCAAGCCTGCTTACCATGGTTCTGCGTTCCTTGCCGCCTCGGTGGCGGGTCTGGCTGGTGGTGTCTACGGGAGCTCAATATCGAGGCGGTGGAAGGCGCAGCGTGAACGCGAAGAAATGAGGGACTCCTCCTGATTAAATATTGATGGAATTCGTTTCCAATTCGACAGCAACATCGGGCGGTCGACGAAGCCCGTGGTCGACCCCGACCTCGCAAATCATCGAAGCCGGTTTTTTGGATCTGATGCCAGAGTCCCGGCTTTTCTGCAGGTCATATCGAAGAGGCTCAGACACACAATAAAACGGACATGTTGAATTTGTCAAAGACTCCTCTCGGGCTGCTCCTCCAGTTGGGACGAAAGCAAGAACATCTGTGAGAAATGCGCCACTACTATTACCTATGCCTCCACGCTATGAAACATCAAATGAGTCCAGATGAGATGGGAACAGACAAATGCCCGGTTCATACATACACAAATGCGAAACGCCCGAATCCAAAGAAGCCAAATATGCGTTGCTGGGTACGAGTCTCCGTGGTATCCAAACCTAGAGACCAGGCATGCCGCTGCGGATATTGTCATACTGACTGGTTGGGTAGCTCAGCAGATTCGGCTGCGAATTCAAGTTCCCAAGCTCACCAGCCAGCGCCCCGACGAGACTTTCGGCCCCCTGCTTGTCACCGCTTGCCTCCCAGAAAAAGGACCCCGCCAGGCCTTTCGCCTTCAGGTACGAGCCCTTCCTCCTGGCGCTGAGGACGTTGTCGTACGAGATGAGCTCCTTCGCCGCCGGGTCATAGCTGTAGCTCGCCCCCGCCGCCGTGTCGTATATCTCGGTCGCCCCCGGGCGCGGCAGGTCCTTGTAAAGCCAGAGCCCCGGCGTCTGGAGAGTCGCGGAGCCCGGGCCGACGCCGTAGAAGGACTGGCCGAGTCCCCCCGTGGAGTCGAAGGCGCGCCCGTAGGTGGGCAGGCCCAGCAGGATCTTGGACGCGGGCACGCCCTTTGCGATGTAATCGACGACGGCCTTGTCGGTGCTGTACTTGGTCGCGGCGGGCGTGCCCGGGGTGGGGAAGAGGTTCGCCTGGTGGCCCGACATGGTATCCCAGGACCCGGCGTAGTCATACGCCATCAGGTTCCACGAGTCGAGGTACCGGTCCGCCTCCCTCATGTCCAGCACGTTGTAGTGAGACGGCCCCGCCGAGGTGGCGACGGTGAGCAGGAACCGGTAGCCCCTGGCGTTGGCGGCCGTCCAGGCGGTGAGCTGCTTCCTCAGCTCCGCCAGCAGCTTCACGAAGTCTGCCGCCTGCGCCGCGTTCTCGGGGTACTCCCAGTCGAGGTCGATGCCGTCGAAGCCCCAGTCTGTGACGAGCTTCACGGCCGTCTTGGCAAAGTTCTCGCGCGCAGTCGCGCTGGACGCCATCCCTGGGAAGCGTGGGGAGTCGTTCCACCCGCCTATCGAGAGGATCACCTTGAGCTGGCGGTTCTTCTTCTTGAGCAGGTAGAGCTGCTTTACGCAGCCGTACGCGTTGTTGCCGGGGTCATTCCACGAGTCTGTGGTATAGTGCTTCTGCACATCCGCGTACGAGTCTGACGAGGTGACCGTTCCGTCACTGCTGAACGAGGCGAACGCATAGTAGACGCGAGTGATCTTGGATGCAGGGATGGATTGCGGCTGGTAGTTCGCGCCATATATTCCCCTGTTTGCAGTCACCATGTAAGTCTGTGTGTGAACACGGAAGGGGAGACCACAGAGCTACTGACCAGTTGGTGAAGTATAGGGAGTTCTCGTAACCCGGAGACGGGGGCAACACGAATCCTGAGGACGAATCACCAGTCGCAGTTGAAGAGGGTCTTGGTGGATTTGGGGGAATCGGTAAACCAGATGAAGAGCTATTCGAGGGCAGTGAAGAGTTGTCATGGGGCCAGGGCTGCGTGGCATTGCCAAAGTGAGGGCGGTTGAGAGGAGGCGGGAGAGCTACTGGCTCAGGACTTGAAGACTCTTGCGACTGTTCTGTGGGATCCGGAATCCCAGTTTCGGATGGGGATTGTACAGTGACAGTGCTGGTCTCTGCGGTGAAGATAGTCACCGTCTGAGTGATTTCACTGTCTGTGGATTGCTCGGGGACAATCTCGACTGTCCGGACGACAGTTATGGTTTCAGTGACGGTTGTCACTACTTTCTCCCTGTGTACCTGTTGATTTGTATCTGGCAGGGATGTCGGATCAGCAATTGCCGGCGCTGTTACGGTAATTGTCGTTTGGTCAAGACAGACAGGATTGCCTTGGTGTTGAGGGAAGGCTCCCACTAACACAGAGAGTGACGACGAGGCAATAAGCGTAAATGAAGCAGTAGCACGCATTTTGGCTATGACACTGCAAAAGCAGAAAAAGATTATGATCGTACACCTCCCATCGTGACTTTCACCCTCGCTACGAGGGCCACTCCTAGATATTGTCCTGGTCTCCCTCACGTCCAGCCTTCGACACCAGCCCTTGATACCAGCCCTTGAGACTCCTCAGCCTCGCCTTTGGCCGTATGAAGGAATGTGGTTGTGACTCGCTAGCCTCGCCCAGGTGGTTGATTGGAATGCCGGGGCAGTGCACAACCACGTGCGCGAGCGTCTAAGATCAGTGAGACACTCTTTGAGCCTAGGCACTCCAGCATCCCGCCTCCCTTCTTAACCCCCTGGGCATTGAAGGAGAAACAAATGAATGGATACGAGAAAATCTTGACTAATGGGATATCCAGACTGTGGCTGGACTGACCGAGCCTGCCGAGCCTCACCAGTCCGTTGAAGCATGGTGGCAATCGATATGGAAGTCAACAGGACAATAGTTTGCTTTTGAATTCCAAACAGAGGGTCCTCTTATGTGAAATCATGCAACTGATCCTTGCCAATGTGGTTCTCACGCCGTTTTGACGTCCCACAGTGGAATGACCATACTCTTTATCAAGTTTGCCCTGCCTTCTGCTAATGCCTCTACTAGATATAGGCTGGCAGAGAGTGATATGACTTCCAAGGAGTGGGTTAAAGGCACCAATTTACACGTGAAATTGAACAAGGTCCAAACAGCTACCCTGAAAAGCGTGCATATGGAAAGCTTTACCAGCGGAAGATTCGCTCGAGTGATCCAGGGCGGGGAGCAGCAAATTAACCGTTGGGGCTTGAGTAAGTATGGTAGCAGAGGTGCAGTTAGATTCACATATCAGTGTCTATGTCACATCTAAGATCCACCTACTGTTGCGGAACTGCCCTTGCGGGAGCGGAGCGTAAATCAAGTGAAAGCACCTTCGCTTACCGGGAGGTCATATTGTATTCGGGTATCGTCTAATCATTCCTAGCCTAACCTCTTGACATTTCTACTTCTTGAAACCAAGGACCGCCGCACATTGACAATGCCAATCTAGATTGAAGTCTTCTCCAGATCCTTGGCTAGGTCATCCACCTCCTTGTCCTTCTGCTGGATGACAGGTTCCTCCTGAGCCTCCTCGGCCTCCTTGACCAGCTTCTCGGCCCGCTCCTCAGGCCCAACGTCTTCCTCTTCGTCTTCCTCCTCCTCCTCTTCGTCCGAGTCCTCGCCCTCAAGGTCGCTCAGGCTGTCCAGGCCCCAGTCGTCCTCGATCACCACGTCGCCGCCAAGCTTCTCCTTGCGCTCCTCCAGAAGCTCTTGCAGAGCAACAATGCCCTCGTCATCCTCGCTAAGCTTGTTTCCGTTGAGCTCAATCTTCTTGAGTGCCGGGAGACCCTCTTTTGCAGCCTTGGCCAGGCTTGCCACGCCCTTGGGGGTAATGTCGTTGTATTGCAGGCGCACGATCTCCAATTTCTTGTTGCCGCCCTTAGCAAGAGCTTCACCAAGGAGAACACCACCCTTGGCGCCCAGGAGAGAGTCTCCAATTCCAAGCTCTTTCAGCTCAGCCCAGGTTGGCGTGACCTTTGCGAGGGCCTTCGCACCCATCAACGTGAACGTGTTGTCCTGGAGGTCTAGTGTGACCAGGCCAGAGGCGTTGTTCAGCCCATTGCTGAGGAGATGCGAGATACCCTCCTGGCGAATGCCGTTCTGTACCATCTTGACCTCCTTGATCTTGTTGTGGAGGCTGAATGCCTTGGCCCATGCTGTCATGCTGCCGTTCTCCAAGCGGTTGCGCCCACAGATGACGGTCTCCAAGTCGGGCACCGTCTTTCCTTCCTTCCGCGCCGCCTCCTTCTTGGCGTGGAGTTCGCTCAGCGCATCGGCGACAAGGATCCCGGCATGGGGACCCAGTCCATTGTTGTTCAGATAGAGGTGCTGGAGAGGCACGTGTGCGGCGAGGAATGCGACAAGAGGGGCCTGGGTGTTGAGTCCAAAGGCGTTGTCGTTCAGGTTGATCGTGTGGAGATTCGGCAGGTTAAGGATGGACGTGAGCAAGTAGGAGAGGGCCTCGGGGATCTCGCTCAGGAGACGGCCGGTGAAGATGTCAGCGAGATTTGCGACCTAAGCGCGTGTCAGTACTGCCCCCTCGGAGGTCAAGTGCCTAAAGGGGTTGCGACATGGGGTCGCGCACCTGCAATGTCTTCTTGGTAGCTAGTATCTCTCCCAGGAGCTTGCAAGCACCAACCCCGAGAGTGTTCCCAAGCAGTCTGATCTCCTCCAGGTCTTCCAGGGCCCTCAGGTCTTTGACGTGAGGCTCGAGGTCCTCGGCTGTGGTCAGCTTCAAGCCCTTGCCCTCGAGCGAGAAGACCTTCTTAGAATCGGTCATGGTTGTATGGAGAGCGCAAAGAACCGTACTTCAAGTAGTAGGAAAATTTTGTACAGAGTCGTGCTGTTACCAGTGGGGTATGACTGGTAAGTAGAGTATGTGCAGTTGTCAAAGTTCAAAACAAAACAGACGAAGGCGAGCCCAAGTCGCTCGGTCACTGACCTTGGTGGGGGTGGGGCATTATGTCTCCAGGGGTTGCCCCTTGCAGGGACTTGGAGCTGAGAGTCAAGCACCTGGAATGGACTAACGAGAACACGAGCGGGAGAGGTTACTCCAGCAGCTGCCTGCCAGCCGACGGTCCGTTGATCGCATGTGCCTTTCGCAAGGCTCATCATGTAAGTCTTGCCGATGGAATGCTGACATCTAATCCTTCCATTTCTTTTATACTCCCCGGCACGGAAACTCAAAACACCATTCAAGGTCCCATCAATCGATTGTGTCCGGTTCCCTAGGATCAGCGCCATCAAGTGCCGCCCGTAAGCCAGGCCAAGAAATAGTGTTGCGACACGTAGGGTCTACCAACCGAACGCGCCTCTCTCTTAGTTGCGCCCCCCGAGGAACAGTTGGCTGTTCACCAGACTGGGTGTCAATACCAGCAACATTCGAATCCACGCCAGACTAGAGAGAAGCTAGCCAGTACCACCGAATGGTCACGACGTACTACTGATCTCGCAAATTGTCTTACGGTTGGTTTGAGTGGCCCTCAACGTCCCGTTCGCCTTTTGGCTAACGCAAGCAGAGGTCACTTGCGAGTCGCGACGGCCCACCTCCCTTCATCCCACCTTGACCGAAGCTTTACACGGCCACCGTTCGACGCCGTGATCACGCACAATGTCCGACTCTTCTCTCTCGTCGATGTCCGACACCTCGGAAGCAGGCGATGAGTACGAACAGGTAACCCACGATGTGACGATGGACGAGACTGAGCCCCCAGCAAAGCGCCTGAAGCTGGGCGATGTAGGCTCCGCGACACCTTCCGCCGTCGTGGCCGAAGCAGACCCAGAAGTCGAGACCAAGGCTGACGACTTCGACGATGCCATGTCGATATCCTCCGATTCGTCAGGCGACATCCCCAGCTCACCAGCAAATGCGCGGCTTGAGGACGAGGATTTCCAACCCCAAGTGACTGTGTGCGTATGGGAGGATTGCGACGCTGGGGACCTGGGAACAATGGACAGGCTCGTCAAGCACATCCACGACGAGCACATAGAAGGCCGGCAGAAGAAGTACACTTGCCAATGGGTTGGCTGCAGCAGACAGGGTGCCAACCACGCCAGCGGTTATGCATTAAAGGCTCATATGCGAAGCCACACGCGAGAAAAGCCCTTCTTCTGCTATCTCCCAGGTAAGGCTCAGCCCTGTCCCACGCGCTCAACACCCACTACATGATCGTTCTAACATGCGCGGACAGAGTGCGACAAGTGCTTTACCAGATCTGACGCCCTGGCGAAACACATGCGAACTGTTCACGAAACTGAAGCGCTTCGACCCTCCGACCCAGTACCGAAAGGTCTACAGTCTGGCGGCGCGGCTGGCAAGACCCCGAAGCTCAAGATCATCATACGCACGCCGCAGTCGCACGCCGCAGGCCAAGATGACGCTGTTGAAGACGGGCACAGCGGAGACGAGAACTCAACAGAGCATCTGACCCAGCTGACAGAGAAGGACGGCTTCACGCAACGGGAGCTGGACATGGAGTGGCAGAAGCTTCACGCCGTCTGCAGGAGCCAGTTGCAGTGGGCCCAAGAGGACGCCGAGACCCTAAGGAGAGAGTGCGAGAAATGGGAGGAGGTAGTCAAGAAGGCCTGGCTGGAGAAAGAGGTCCTTCTGGACCAGACGATCAAGAGTGAGCTCGGCTGGCACGAACGCAGGCAAGCCATCTTGACAGGAGCCACGGACATCGTCGTTAACGGAGGTGGTCCCGAGTCGGCCTCTGCACCTGCGGTACCCGCCACCAACGGCCGTGCTGGAGCAGGTAACTCTGCTGAAGACTAGGAACCCCAGATAACGGAAGGCCACGTGGGGAACCCTCCGTCTTTGCTGGATGAGGTGGACAGTGCCTGAGCCCGACCGCGAATAGGAAATGACCTTGCAAACAGCGTCGCCAAGCGGGTCCAACCAAAACCAGTGGTTTGCACGACTTTCTGGGTCCAGTCAACGGCCCAGAGCTCAGAGGTATATTTACGACGCAATTGAGGATCTCGCGCGGCCGAGGTCTCGCACCTGATAGGGACTCAACAGAATTCAGGATAGGGGCCATCGGTCTGTCCTGACCAGATTAGGCCAGCTTATAGGGCAGAGATACATTCTTTGCGTGCTTTGTCAAGCAACGGTTCTAGGCTATCTAGCCATGGTCTTTAAGCACGACTAACAAAACATAAGCATGAGTGCTGATGGACATGGCTCGAAGTGGAAGAATAAAAGATGCGAACAATGCTTATGGAGTTCAGGAGTTCACCGTGGGATCGGCTACAACGTGGATGATGACTGGGAGTTTCCTAATACACGATCCCGAAGGCGCAGGACGAGGGATCGTCCTTCCACGGGAACATGTACGCAAACATTGTGGCGTTGATTTTTTGCATGAGAAGAAAAGTAAGATACAGAACTTCAAAGCCTCCCAGGCCTAGCAAGCCGTTGAGACTCTGCGATATGCGCAAGGTCGTGACTCTACAGCTTCTTGCCCTTCCTCTTGCTTGCCTCTGAGTTCTTGAATGGGAATCCACTGGTCCTCTTATCCGCCCCTGTCCTCTTGCTAATGTGGCTGCCGGAGCCGAACATGAGGCACCACAGGCCAAACGCAGCCATGAGGCCAGAGCCGATCGCGCCAAACAGAAACCCCCCGGTGTTGGTAGCGTTAAACCTTGTGTAGCTGAAGATAGCCGCGGATGAGTGGTAGAGCGATGAGAGGAGGATCACGGCATCGGCAAATGGTGATACCGCATCGGCCGGGGCTGATTCAAGGTCAGGATGAGGGTGATATTAGTACGCAGCGATGGGACTTTGCACTTACTATCGGCCAGGGAGCCCAGAGGCACGGCTCCGGTGAGACAGACGACGACAAGGCCTAGGGTGAGCTGTGAGAAGCCCAGCGACCGGGCGAAGTATTGCTCAACAGCTGACCTGGGGGTCAGTACTTGCACAGGACATCACAGTCAATTCGTTTCACGTACGGTTGGCATGTTCATAATTTGGCGTGAGCAGCGACGCAATAAATGTCGGCCACACGATCAAAGGCACAGCCTGCACTGTGAGCCAGGCCAGTGTCGCGAAGCTATACGTCGAGACAACCTACGGAAGCAAGTCAGGAAACTCTCGTGACTCGAGTCCACTTTGTACTTACATCCATCCTTTCAGGCCGGCAAGGAAGTTCCAAAAAATATGGTAACAAGTCTAGGTTCTGCTGTAGCAAGCAATTGGCACTGGCTGGCGATGATCTCTATCCAATGCGGGCAATCGATATTCACAAGCCAGCCAAACGTTACTTTGCAGTAGGACGGACACCTCACTCCACGGGGCAGGTTAATTGGCGGCTGGGATACGTCATCTTTTCGCGTACTCAGGCACTTTGCTCTACCAATAACCAGAGGCGCGATTATGGTATTTTAGTGGGTCCGCCGGCAGGATACCCACCTAGAGTCCGCCACTATCCGATGTCGCATCGACCTCTAGAGCCTCTCGAAATTTCGCATTATCAAGCAGACTGATTTAGGTATCTCCGGCAGAAGGCAATCGCCAACGTCCATGCATTTCCCTGAACTCACGCATGCAAACACTCACATGACAGAGAAACCCTCAACTCTTCGTACTTCACATGGACTGACGGAATCTTGATTTTACCACTTTATCGTATGGGCTTAAGTTGAGTCTTAGTCTCTACACCACCACCTGTGCGACGCTGCCCCTCACCACCCGCGTTGGTCGCGACTTTCTACCACTCCTCTCCTCGAAGGCCCCCGGGCAGCCACCTCCTCCCGCCACCATGTCCGCGATCCTCTCGACCGACGCCCTGAACGACTTCATCTCCCCCTCTCAAGCCTGCATCAAGCCAATCGAGAACCTCCCCTCCCAGCCGCAAGACGACCCCTCCTCCCTCGAGCACGAAGTCATCCTCGGCGGCCAGCAACAACCCACAGGCTCCACGGCCGCGTCCACCGACCCCTCCAAGATCTCCCTTGCAGACTGCCTCGCCTGCTCCGGGTGCGTCACCTCCGCCGAGGCCGTCCTCGTCAGCCTCCAGAGCCACAATGAGGTCCTGAGCGTGCTCGACGCCGCCCCCGCGCTACAGGTGCGCGGTCCCGACGCGAACGGGCGCTTCAGCGTCGACGGGCTAGAAAACTCCGATGCAAAGCTGTTCGTCGCCAGCGTGAGCCCGCAGACGAGGGCGAGCCTGGCTGCTGCCTGCGGGTCCGGCACGACGGAGGGCCAGGCGGGGAACATGATCGAGCAGCTGTTTAGGGGCGAGCAGGGGCTGAGGGCCGGCGGCGAGACGAAAAATGGGTTTGCCTGGGTGGTCGACACAAATACGGCCCGTGAGGCTTCCTTGGTCTTGGGGGCCGACGAGGTGCGGGAGGGCGACGCGGTGATCTCAAAGCCCATCCTCACCTCATCATGCCCGGGTTGGATATGTTACGCCGAGAAGACACACCCGCACGTACTGCCTCATTTGTCAAGGGTCAAGTCGCCCCAGGCGCTGATGGGCACGCTTCTGAAGACGACGCTCAGTAAGCTGTTGGGGATAACGCCAGACCGGATATGGCACTTGGCTGTCATGCCGTGCCTCGACAAGAAACTGGAGGCCAGCCGGGAAGAGCTGACCGACAGCGTTTGGGCGGGCGATGGCAAGCCAGGCCGAGGTGTGCGGGATGTCGATTGTGTCATCACCAGCAAAGAGGTGTTGATGCTCTCGGAATCGAGAGACATTGACTTTTTTGGTCTACCCAAGACTCCAATATCGCACACGGCCACTCCCTTCCCGGACCCGCAACTCCAAAGGTTCCTCTTCCCCCAGCGAAAGAGACAAAGGCAGTCTCCAGCTTCGGGGACTTCAGGCGGAAATCTCCATTTCATCCTGCAGGACATGCTTTCCAGGAACCCTGGCTCACAGCTCCAGGCTGTGAGAGGCCGTAACGTGGATGTGGTCGAGTACGTCATCGTCTCACAGTCAGGAGAGCCAATATTCAAGGCCGCCAAGTATTACGGGTTCCGCAATATCCAAAACATCGTCCGCAAGCTCAAGCCGGTCAAAGCTTCGAGAATGCCTGGTGGTCGGCCCTTCGGCTCGGCAAGGAAGCCCGCGGCGCAGGGCAAGAGCCTGGACTATGGTTACATAGAGGTAATGGCTTGCCCGGGCGGTTGCACCAACGGCGGCGGCCAGGTCAAGGCATCGGACTCCGTCGCTATTGATCGCAACGGTTGGAGTTCGAATCCTGGCCCGGAGGAGCAGAAGCAGTGGTTGGCGCAGGTTGATGAGGCATACTTTTCTGCTTCTGACTCGGGGATGGAGGACGCCGACGTATCTGTAGTGAATGGATCCGGCGCAGAAGATTTGGTTGATGGGATTTCTCCTTCGTACATTCGAGATACCCTGGCGCATTGGTCGGATATGACGGGCATAGATCTGGCGAGGCTGGCGTGTACGAGCTTCCGGGAGGTAATCAGTGATGTCGGGAAAGATGGCGATGACAAGGCAAATGTCGTCCAACTGGCCGGAAAGGTTGGCGGAGGGTGGTAGTTCAGCACAGACAAATACTGAATAGTGATCAACCCTCTTTGGCGCCACGACTGGCAAACCCAAAACCCCCTCGTCCACTCCCATCTGGCCCCCTGGGCGCTCGAATCGCGTGCTCTGGGCCACGAGGTGGCGATGCCGTGCCGGCCACGCGCTGCTGCTGACGGGACCCAGGCTTGGGGCCGGCGTCCGGATCGAATAGCTCCCGGAACGGACTCCCAGTGTTCCCTGGTCGCCGGTCCTGGACCTCGGTCTTGATGTAGTTGTCTTGGTTCCGCTGGCCGCCACGCCCTCCTCTCCCACCACGACCACGGCCACGACCCCGGTAGTTCCCCCTGCTGCTTCCGCCTTCCCCTGTGAGTGGAGGTGTTGTAGCACCCGGTGTGGACGCCCCTGATGATACACCTGAGGGCGACTCCCCAAAGATCTTGGCGCGCGTCTCCTCGTACTTTCGCTGCTTCTCCTCGAGCTCGCGCTGTTGGCGCTCCCTGATTTCCTCGGGGGTCGGCTGCGGTGGCTTCTCGTCCTCCTCCTCGACGTCGTCCTGGATGGTCAGCCTCTCCATGCCCGTCACGGGGTCCTTGGTCTTGACCGTGGTGGGCGGCGGCTTGCGGCTGAGTAGCTTCATCTGGGGCTTGAAACCCTGGGTGAGTGGGACGTTGCTGGTGGCTGCCACGTGATACATCTCTGGGGGGGCCTCGCTGGTCTGGAGCGTCAGTACACGGGCGGCAAGTTTCGTGGGGGGCATTGGGAACACATACGCCGCTTCCCATATCTGGCGGTTCAATTCTCGGTGCTCGGCCCAGCGCTCCGCCTTGCTCTTGGGTGCTTGGGGCGCGGGGGCTTCCGTTTGCTCTGCCCGGGCTGCCCTGTCGGCCTGTGTCTCCCAGTCCTCATCCCATGCGTCGGGTATCTTCTGATTTCCCATTCTGGGCTGGGTTTTTGTTCAGGTAGCGAGAGGGCTTGTGTGGTCAAAGTCTTTTAGGATATTCTAATTTCGCTATCGAAGAGGCTGCTCATCGCTAGCTATGTTTTCGATCTCTTGTAGGTGAGCAATGTGTCGTTCGTTCGTTGGTGGGCATCGAGGAGGGTGAAGCTCGGGGTTGATGAATGCGTATAAATGTGGTCCAATTTCAACCATTTCCTTGAAAGCGAGCCCGGTCGATGTTGGGTCTTGCTAGCCCCTAAAACCAAGGACCGTCGCCCGGCTCGTGGGCTGACACCCTGGTAGGTATTTTAGCGCGTCGGGGATTACCAGGGCGTGCCAGGTTACGCGGGGCTTATCGTCCCAGGTGCAGGGGGCTGATCGTCGCATTGGAACGCTTATCAGTGACTCTAAGGCTGCCCCTCCAAACTTTTCCCATCCCGGGCCTGCAGCACTTGCAGCTCCTGTCATTCAGGTACACCGCTGCGGCACCGATCTCGCCCAGGAATTTTTGTTGAAATTTCGCTGGTCTCCGTCTCGTGTTGTTGTCGTAGTCATAATCTCCTTCCTCCTCCAGCATCTCCCAAACTACAGGCAACCTACTTGAGCACAGTCCCTTGCTCTCTCCAGCTCCACATGTGAGTAACCTGGTGTCATTGAAATTCGAGCTCCAACTATTATTGACTACCGTCCCTTCTTGATCACTTCCACCTCCCTCCGACTCATACTCTCGCTCTACACTCACTTATAGTGCATCAATTGACTGTGTCGCAGCCCAAATACTCCAGAAACCATTACAATGGCAAAGGGAAAGGTTTGCTTGGCCTACTCTGGTAAGTTGACAGCCCCCAGAGTACGAGCGTGACCACGAAAGCTAAGCATTTACACAGGTGGCCTTGATACCAGCACCAGTGAGTCTCTGCAGCCGATTCCTAACCAAAACATGCAGACTGACCTCTAGTCCAAAGTCCTCGGATGGCTCCTGGAGCAGGGATACGAGGTTGTCTGCTTCCTGGCCAACGTCGGCCAGGACGAGCCTTGGGATGAGGTTCGCGCAAAGGCTCTGAAGATCGGTGCCACCAAGATGTACGTCTCGCTTGCCCCCAAAACGCGGCCAGCTCTGTCCTATTTGCTAACCTCGGAAAAGGATCATCGAGGATCTCCGCAAGGAATTCGTAGATGAGCTCTGCTACCGTGCAATCCAGTGCAACGCTATCTACGAGCAGCGATACCTCCTTGGAACATCTCTGGCCCGACCTGTCATTGCTCGCGCTCAGATGCGAGGTCAGTATACTCAGCACCAGGTGACTCAATCGAGAAATGAACGTTATAGCTGACTATTGTGCTAGCTGCTGAGCAGGAGGGTTGTGACTTCGTCTCACACGGCTGCACTGGCAAGGGCAACGACCAGGTCCGCTTTGAGCTTGCCTTCTACACCATCAACCCCGACATCAAGGTATGCCTACCCAGGAAATCGCTTCCATGAGAAAGTGTCTAAACAAGAGGATTGTAGGTCATTGCACCATGGCGGGACCCCGCATTCTTCAAGCGTTTCGCTGGTCGCAACGACCTGCTTGACTTCGCCGCGGAGAAGGGCATTCCCGTGTCCAGCACCAAGGCCAAGCCATACTCCATGGACGCCAACATGGCCCACTGCAGTTACGAGGCCGGAATGCTCGAGGACCCTGACCAGACACCCCCCACTGACATGTGGACAATGACCGACGACCCTGAGACCGCTCCCAACAAGCCTGAGGACATCAACATCACATTCGAGAAGGGTATCCCCGTCAAGCTGGACACCCTTGCTGACGGCAAGTCCTACTCCGAGAGCGTCGAGCTCTTCACCAAGCTCAACGCCCTCGGCAAGCTTCACGGTGTTGGCCGTATCGACATCGTCGAGAACCGATTCATCGGCCTGAAGTCCCGTGGATGCTATGACTCCCCAGCCATGACCATCCTCCGTCTGGCCCACCTTGACCTTGAGGGTCTCGTCATGGACGGCCAGATGCGGTCTCTCCGTGACACCTTCGTCACTCAGAAGTGGAGCGAGCTACTGTACAACGGCATGTACTTCTCTCCTGAGCGGGAGTGGCTCGACACCTGCCTGATCGCCGCACAGGAGCGTGTCAACGGTGTCGTCCGCCTCCGCCTCTACAAGGGCAACGCATACGTGCTGGGCCGTAGCTCCGAGACCGAGAAGCTGTACGATGCCGAGGAGGCTTCCATGGACACTCTTGACAACTTCAGCCCCGAGGACACTACCGGCTTCATTGGCATCACTTCTATCCGCCTCAAGAAGTACGGTCTGCAGAAGCGGGCCCAGGGTGGTCTGACTTACAGCAAGTAAGTCTGCTCAGCTGACCACCAATCCGGCTGAGTAAATATGAACTTTGGCAGACTTCGAGCACGTCCGTTAGATGTGCTGTGCTAGTAAGATATTTTGTAGGCAGAAAAGTACTTCAAGTCATTACTGTAACTCGTAGCTGAGACTTGTGAAGGGCCATACTACCCAGGCCACAATGACTCTTGCGTTTTGTCGGAAAGCTTGTCCACGATATTTAGCAACGTGCCTTATCGTGTTTGGTAAATCTCACTAAGGCCATACAGCTTGAGCACATGCGGCTACATTCTGGCAGCCGCTCTTGCAGGGATCCCCTGTCCGGGCTGGAGGTGGTGGGGCACACTTCAGGTCCCCTCCAACGTCACTTGCCTCAGGCACTGCGACGACCTAGTCAAAGCTTCTGAGGGCGGTATATCATAGAACGACATCTCATTGCTGTCCTACAACAAGTGAATCCAGGGTCCTGTACGGCATCGATGAGCTGATATATCTACGTCCAGGTGGCAACAGCAAAGGTAGACCCAACGATGAATTCAGACGCGATCATGCTCGACAGCCCAGCCCAGACGCCCACTCCCAAAAGCCACAACCCAAGCCAGCCGCCTCCCCCGGCCATCAACGGCGCGAACGGCGACGTAACGATGTCGGAGACGGCGGCGCCCACCAACTGGCTCAACAATCAGAAGTGGAGGGACGAGTACGCCACAGCAACTACGAGGCTGGACCATAAATCATTCAAGACTCGTAAGACACCGATGTTCATATGTCTCAGACCTCCTCTGCCACCCCCAAGATATTAGGTCAATATCAAGTTCTAAAATGGAAGTGTGATTTAGCCCGCGACCCCATGTTTCCACCCATGGCCCAGAACGTACCGGGCATGACACCGGAGTTGGACTCTAGCTTGCGGGACCTCGTTGCGAAGCTGAGGTAGCGGTCAAGGGATTGCGGAGCTAGGAACGCCATCATCACTATCTACTACTCTTCAAGAGGAGCCTCAAGTGTACGGTCTCGCGCGTGGATCCTGGAAAGCAAATCGTATCTGTGCAACCAATATTAGTTGTAAGCCACTATCAGTTCAGGGCCTGTATCTTGAAAACGACCTGTTTTTGTCAACCCAAAACAAATCTCAGTCAATGCGATGAATGTAACGATAGCTTTCACGGTGTGCTGACTGTATATGCTGGGCCAATGACAATTTCAATATTGTGCGATTTGATCCGGAGATGCCCAGCCTTCTCAAGTTGTCCGGAACTCCTATAGGGTCATAGGGACATGAACACAGATTTTCCATGGGTAAGAATATATGGAATATTTTTCGTGGTAACTGTAAACCCACCTTTTTCTTTTCGCTCCTTCCCCGGCAGGGTAGCCATTAGGGAGATATTTGGTTTCCTCCCTCAGTTTGTCTTACTTGGAAAAGGGCTCATACTGGGTTGCTTTCAAGGCCCAGAACCACCATTGGTGTGAATTTTTAACCTGCCAAATCAAAAATCATGATGAGTGATCATGAATCTGAATTGATAATTCTGTTTGTTATGATATTTGATACATGAGTCTCATTTTTTCTTTCACAGACTTGACATACATCTGAACACACTCAGACTTGGTTTTCCCCACTTGCTTGCCCTGCTCCATTGTGCTCAGAACTATGTGCACCTTTGAGCTTGATGTATCAATTGTTCTTGTGGTGAGACAGATCACCTCATAGCAATTCCTCTATTGGGAGATGGCCCAACTGGGCATGTTCCTCAGCACTCTTCTGCACGGCCAGCATATTTATGACACCAGTAGCCGTGGGCCAAGTCACAAAGACTGTCGTTTCATACCCTGCCCTCGTAGACACGCCGTCAAACCCTGCCTGGTCCGAGTAGTTCAGACAAGTCACACACTCTCTATTGTCCTGGGACTAGAGCTCCCTGTGCCTGGTCTCGATGATTACCTAGGTATTTGGCTATTTTGCTATTTGTTGCCCACAAAAGTATACGACTACCTGATAACACCTATGCTCGGGCATTTTTCTACGTTCTTACTACTTTCTCCCTTGCCCCACAATATCATTGGTATTTACTGTTCTGAGATCCCTTTTTTCTACTACTACTGGTATGTTGCACTGTACCTTGGGGAAGAAAGCTCTTAGTGAGTTAATCCAGTTGGGTTAATCCAGTTGTGCAAGCACGCAGCCCTGCTGCTTCATATTGTGCTGCAACAATGAGATACTGTTGGCAGCTGAGTCTTGTCGGTGGTCTGATATTTTTACAATAGGGGTGGGAGCTATTGTTGGGAGGTTGGGTGTATCCCACAATGGCCTCCAACAGCCATCCTATTGTTCCATCTGTTCTGAACGGGATGCCAACGGCTGCAAACTTCCAAGCTGCCAAACCATCTGAGAAATCCGTCTCACCTCAACATGACTTGCTCTTCTTCGTCCAAGAGCAGAGGCTTCTTCATCAGACAAGCTTCAGTCACCAAGCCATCTCAGTCATCTACTTTGCCAGAGCCTACCTCATCCGCCATTACACCACCAAAGATGAAGAGATCCCCCGAGGACGACTACCCAACGCCTCCCCGCAGCACCAAGAGGATTCGGATCCGCATAAGGGTTGAAGCCAAAGCCACGAACATCCGAAAGAAGGCCCCCAAAGCCATCACCATCCCCCCTAAAAGTCCAAGCATGGATAAGATCAGGGTGGTACACAAGGTCCCAAAGCCACCCAAGGGCGCCTACAACGAGGAGTTCTTCGACCTCACATCCTGCCGCCTCATAAACCCTCTACCGGTGAAGTACGAGCTGCTCACCCACGCCAGCCCGTCCACCGGCACAAGAACGCCGTCGGATATCGAGCCCCGTTTCTGGTTCCCGGCGCCCATCGAGGACGACATCAAGAAAAGGCTCTTCCTCCACCCGAGGAACCGCGGGATCGTCTGGGTCGGCCGGTTCGCCGAGGCCAAGCTGGAGGCGGAGAAGAAGAAGTACCACCGTGAGTCGCATATTCTCCTTTTGCGGTTGCGCCTCTACCATGCTTCCGAATGCGTCGCCCACCCACCCACACGTCCCTTCACCTTAGGAGTTGTAGCAGGTGACTAACAAGTGATTAGGAGTCAAGGACCTGTGGCTATTCGAGGCGTCGGACGCGTACCTACCCGGCTATGACAAGAAGGCCGAGTTTATCGCGCGGGCCTTCGAGGACGAGATGCTGAGCCCCTGGGTCGTCGGCTGGCTGAGGGAGCTGATCGGGGCGGAAGCGGTGGGCAAAATCCTCGAGCATGTCGAGGCGAACCTGAGGAGGGCCCTGGCGAGGAAGGAGTGAGGAGGGCGGCGACGGACTGCGGAGGGTCGGTCATGGCTAGGACCAAGGATACCCAGAGTGATGTGAGGTACAGAATACACCTTGCTACCCTATGATTCTCAAGCCCGGAGGGTCTACGTGATCTTCACCTGTGGTTCTTCATTATTGGATGGGTTCTCCCCAAGGAGGCCATGTGTGGGAACGTTCCAGCTATTCTGTTCCTAAGCATGAAGCACTCGCCGTTCTGCCTGAAAGAGTCATGTCCTGCTGCCCACAGCCAGTCAAGAGCAGCAGACGAACCCTTGCGAACGATAACATGCCTCGAGCAGTCGACCAGTGCAGCGAGGGGCTCCCTTGGCGAAATACAAGGCATCCATTACTCCATCTCTCGGGTTCCGTCAGTCTCAACAATCACAAAATGGGTCGATTTGGCCGAGAGCTGCGAATAATCACCGAGGTCTCAACCGCTGTGCTCGCCTCACCAGCTACCGAGTCGTACAGTAGTACCATTTATGTTTCACAATGCCTTATGCTGGGGTCGATGGCAGGCACAGTCATGGGCACATGCGTGTTTGAGCTGGGCGAGTTAATCATGGCACGCCCCGAGCGCTTGATTCCGCGCGCAGGAGCCCAGTAAGACAGATGGGATATTGGCATACGAGAAAGCAGCGGTACAAAATCTGGGAGCCTGGCTGGGCTGGGCTGGGCTGGGCTGGGGCGCACGAGTCCTGTCCCGGCCGTCGAGTTGAGCCCGCGTCGCGCGCGAAACAGCACTGGGTGGTGGTGGTGGTGGCGAGACCGGAAATTTCCAGCCCTCGCCCAATGTCGCGTCGACACAAGCTTTCCCTGGGAAAGGAGAGAAAGACACATGCGCCGCCTCGTGGCGCCCGTCCGCCTGATGTTACCCTCCCCCGGGGGAACCGACCTGGGATTGCCTGATTGCCCCCGGGGGGAGGCGAGCGAGGGAACTAGCCGGAGGCGCGCACGGGAAGGGCCTTTTTATTCTCGATGATCGGAAACGTGGCTGCCTCGTGGGCGATCCACGCGCGATGAGACGTCGAGGCAAAGTCAAAAACAGGGGGGGGGGAACCGCAAGCCCCCATCCGCTGGAGGCTGGAGCTGACCGACGAGATGTGAGATGGACGGGAGCACTCCGACTCGGAGAATGTTTCCGAGGGCCGTAATTGGAGTGAAACTTTGTGCTGAATCTTTGTCCGGGAGATGCATGTGAATGTGAGGCTCGATGGTGGGCTCCGACGGGGCTGGTGGTTCGCGATTTGGGTCCGACCGTCGGGTCGGGTCGCGCAGCCTGGCAGCCGGCAAATGGTGTGCAGCCATCGCATCCACAAACACGCAACCGGGCCCGGCCCCTCGCTTGAGTAATCTAGCTGTGAGCTGTGCGGCATGGGAGTGCATCGCAGCCTGCACCACAGTCCAACTGCCTTGCATTATCGAGATGCGGGCATCTGTGCAGGCTGTGGTAGGGCCAGAAGCGCCAACTCGCACACAACAAAACCTAAAAAGGGTGGGCTGCGTCGGCACGGTGAAACGGACGCACAAGACTGTCCACCAGCAGACCGACCATTAGCCGATGGCCAGCGTCGGAACGTCGCGTCGACAGGTCGAGCTCATCGGTGCTGGTGGCCAGAGCCCATAGCCACCCGTGCTGCCGTGCCTGGCCTCATGACGGACTAGCCCTGACCACTAGAGCTCGAGATTTGGAACAAGCAAAGACAGGCCCGGAGACCACCCCGGAGACCACCCCGGCTAGGGAGGTGTAATCTGTACGGGGCTTCCAGATCGAGGATTCGGATACGACCAGCCAGCCCAACCCACGGCCCTGCAACTCGTCGCATGGGCGTACTAGGCAGGTGGAAGATGAGATTTGAGACTTGAGATTTGAGGGCTTTGCATGATCTGGTCTCTGGCCATCTGACTTGCAGCATACACGCTCTGATTGGTCCTACCCCGGGAGCGGCGGCTGTCTCTCTTGTCGCGTCACAGGTGTCACGATGTGTGCTTGTACAGACAGGCAGAGACACGGCCGTCAACCACGGGAATATACATGCGGTGCGGCTTGGCCTCCCCCCCCTCGTCAGCCGTATTCCTGGGTCCCTTCTATATCCCCGACGGGTCCTCGCTTATGCACGAATGCGAGGCAGTGTGACACAGGAGACAGGGGGGTAAGGTACTTTCACTCGAAAGTGTCCAACGCGTCACTCCTAAGCAACCGTTGCCATCGACTTCGAGGCGACGGCCTTCGGCCGGGGGACCAGAGGGGCTCCGCCCGGGAGGGTTGGTCACTAGTGGCTACGCGGCCCTTACCAGGGCCGTCCGCTCCGCAACTAGTGCCCTCGAGGAGAGAGAGGGGGAGAGAGAGAGAGAGAGAGAGAGAGAGAGAGTGAAATGGTGGTTTTTGGTGTTTTTTGGTGGTAGAAACGAAGAGAAGAGGAGGAAGTTGAAGATGGGAGATGGCCCTGGGGGCTTGCCGCCTTGCTCGCTATATAAAGTCCCCAAGCAATCTCTTGGCAATAACAGAGATTTTTTAGACGCGTCAAGGCCAGTCAACAAACAAAAAAAGCGTTTGAAGGGACGAGAGTTGGCGATAACCTCAAAAAGTGAGGTACATTCGCCTTCCCGTCTGCCAAGCACGCTCTATACTGTATTTAGGTGGTGTGGTTGCTCAAGGTCTGGGCGCCAAGTGGTACGTACTCTAAAACACACATCTGGGATTTAGAAGGGACCGTATTCCTGACCTCAGCCCAGCGCACGGAGCTGCCGCGGCCCTGCTGGTGCTGCTCCTTCTCTCCTGCGGCAGCTCCTTTTCTCCACGCAGGATGGGGGTGGCTCCGCCGTTGGCATGTCGGTAAGTACTGTCGTACTGCATGTCCTGGAAAAAGGGGGGGGGGGGGGTGTTCGGTTCGCTGCCGCCGCGGTGGGCCGTTCTGGAGAAAGCGTATATCTGCTGTCCAGGCGCCCGTTCTGTCGATACCTAGATACGTAGTTAGGTAGGTGGTACAAGAACTACAAGAACCACAGGCACGGGCAACAGACTACACGCTGAAACCACAGGATGCAAGCATGTATCTATCGTACTTGGGGCAAGCGGCACCGAACTGGGGATCGGCGGACAGGCGGACGGGCGGACGGGCGGATAATGAGCAAAAATAGAATGTGTAAGTATTGAGTCCTAGCCCCGGACCTAGCCCCTTAGCCCCAGGCTGGAGGCTGGAGGTTCCAAGGTTGGACGTGTCTGGACGCACGGCACGGCATGTTGGAGCTTCGACTGGATTGCAGTCGATTCGGGCCTACAGGCCTGGGCCGTCGACGCCCAGCGCCCCTGGGGAGCGGCCTAGCAGGTCTGGATGGGTGGCTGGACATGTCTGATATGTCAACCCAATGCTGCTGTCACATGGGAAGGAACAGGAATGGAACCCGCCGCAGTCTTGCTTGTGGTCGCTGACATGTCAGCTTTCTGGGGGGGCCTCTTTTTTGGGCATCCGGGGAGTTTAGGTCGGGATGCAAGCAGGCACGAGGCACGCACGCACGCAGATTAAGCGAGGGAAAGCCCAGAACAGTACAGTGGTCGCCTCGAGGTCCACCTGAACGAACTGCTCACTCAGTCTAGCTGTGTAGCTGTCCAGGTAAGTACCCAAGTAAAGTAACTGATAGTACGGAGGTATGGAGCATAGAGAAGCTGCCTCTGGCCAGGCTAGAGCCGCCTAGGTGTACCCGTCCTCCGTATTATCACTCACTTATCCGACGCCTTCCCCCTTGCCAGCCCAGCCCGCCTGCTGGTGGCCATGTCGCGTGGAAGCCCAAACGGGGGTTCAGGCGAGCCCTTGTCAAGGTTGAGCATGCCCCACCTTCCCAAAAGGGCGAGGGGGGCCAACTGGACGGGCCTGAGGGGCCTGACGGGGGAGGGGAGGGCCCATGGCGCCATGGACCCAAAGACCCAAAGTTTCCCGCTCGCTCCCCCAACTTTTTGGAATTCCCAGGCCCATAATCCGGTGGCCCAGGGGTCAGCACCAACAAAACCACCGACAGTCCCGCCAGCCCGCCAGCCCGCCAACCCGCCCATTCCGTCGTCGTACCCAAGGCAGACAGACAGCCAGACAGCCAGCCAGGGCGCGAGATCAGACGGGCGGTAGGCACTCAGGCACTTGCAGCAAAGGCAATTACGGACGAACACTGACACAAACACACGAGCTGCCCCAGCCTTGTGGAACTGGAACCGTGCCTGTGCGCCAGCTACACAAACAAAACACGCCAGCCCGAGGTTGGAAACTCAAAAATCGTACATCGTATTCGAGGTCCAAGTGAGGCAGGTGGGAGTGAGTGGTGAGGTGAGAAGCTGGCAATTAAGCACCCCCAGAACGGGCGGGCAGCGGGCAACTCCCCTAGCGAACTAGCACGGACTCGGGCCACAGACCACAGATCACAGACCACAGACCGCAGGCCAGACAAAAAAAGCCCACTTTGACAATCCCACACAAGAGCGTGGCCGGCCTATCAAGACGTCAACTTATTAATTCGCCACACACACTCGCACTCACTCACTCACACAACGCACACGCACCACGCACCACGCACCACGCACACAAATTGCATCGGCGCAGCGGCGGTGTCTCTGATCTCAGCTTGGCCCAGACCCAGACACCACCACTGCCACCTGATTCGATTCGCCTCGACCCCCAACCGACCGACCCTTGCCGACTCGACTTCAGCCTCCTTGGCGAGCACACAAGAAAGAAGCCATCCGTCTACGGAGTGCAGTCCCCGTGCATACATACATGCCCCTACCTGCCAGCCTGCCAGGCCCGTCCTGAGATTACCACCCCGATACCGTCGGTCGCCACCGTCTGCTGCCCCTGCCCTGCCCTACCTAGGTACCCTGTCCTGCCCACCAGCCGACCAGCGACGACGACTTATTACGACTTGTCTGGTGTGCGCGTGTGTGTGTGCCCCGGCAGCCCGGGCGGCAGCATTAACTGACTAACCCATTACGCACTCTACTACCCGTCACCGTCAATCGACCTTACCTTATTACACACCTGCCTCTCAAAGCAAAGGCCAACCATCCACGCCCGGTTCCATCCTGTCCCATCGCACCATACCCGCACCGCCTTGGAAGCGCACACCAGCGCCTCGCATGGTGCCATCGCCTCCTCGTCCATCACCGCGCCCCCGGGCTTTCATGACTCTTCGCCTGCTGCAATCAACCCGCCAGAAGCAGCAGCAGCAGTAGCAGCATGTCGGCCACCAACCCAAGTGAGGCCGCATCGGGCGGCAGTTTCGACCTGCTGCGCAGGGCCACGGCGAAAATGCTCTACAACCGGTCAGTCATTCATTTCCTGTCTGGCCTTGGCCTTGCCTCCTTGCCTCCTGGCCTCCTTACTCGCTCTCCTGCACATCCGGTGATTCACCGCGCATCAGCTACAACTTCACACTCGGCGGCCCGCGTTCCAAGTTCCAAGTCTTTGCCAGTCTGCAGTCAGTCTCCCGGTGGTGGAGCTGGCCCCCCCCAGTGGGAGGGGTGCACCCTGCCCTCATGGCAGGACTCCCCCCGGCCCCAATACGTCCCCCAAGAAGGTTCTAACTGCACTCCTCCTGCTCCCAAACGCTGCAGCTGCACCGTCTTCCTTCTAGAACCCCTAGTCTGGGTAGTCTGGGTAGTACACACGACAATGCGCGTCACCACACAGACGGGCTGCCTTGTTTATTTCTGGCGGCCAGCGCCTGCCTCTCCACTTTAACTCGCTCTTACATCTCCCTCAACTCACCTCACCTCGACCGGTACGGCCTCTGATGCCCAAACCAAGTGGATGTTGGATACCCGGCTGGCTGGCTGGCTGTCGGTCTTTGCCTGTTTTGTGCCAGCCAGCCAGGCTCGACTTGCACACTCGCTTGCAGGACCCTTGTTGCAGCTTGCCGCGGCTGGCCCAGGCAGTTTAGTCTAGTTGCCCTGCTGTGAGGTCGCGGAATCTTGGGGCAGAATTGCCATATGGCAGCGGCATGGGCATATGGCAGATGCGACAGGGTCCTTGACAGACAGCATTTACCCACCGGCCCACACCAGCCCAGGCTGAGTGGGGGCACGCTGGGCCTCCCCTCAGGGAAAAGCACCCAACGCGCCCAATGGCACGCCCCACGACAGCGTTTTCGGCGACAAATTGCATCGATGCGTCGCCGTCGCGCCGTGGTCGTGGTGCGGTACTTGGCCGACGCCGCCAGCTAGCCCGTTATCACCTCAACCTCAACGTCACGGAATGGTCAAGCTCGAGCAATTGCCCGTTCCCCAGCCTGACTCGGTCTAGTACCGCTCTCCCTGGGCATATCTCCGTTGTCCCGGCTGCCGCGTTACCAGCCTGGGACTGGACTTTTTTGCGCGGTGTTTCGGGTGGCCTACCGCACCATCCATGGCATAGTACCATTATACGGAGTACCATCATACCGAGTACTGTACATCCATCCAGCAGAGGCACCTGGGCTGCTGGGCTGCTGGGCTGGGCACATTAGCAACCTTAGCACCCATAAGTGCCTGGGCTACCACAAACGTGCAGCAGGCTGTTGAGGTACTGCGGACTGGCCGAGCACCAGCTCCTAGGAGGCTGGTGTGCGTTGGGCACTGCACCTAGTCTCCTGCACCTGCACCCAAAGCCCGTACACACCTGCACACCGTCGATTCTCCTGCTGGGAGGCCCCTTTCCCCCCTGCTGTCTGTCTGTCGGTCTGTCTGTCTGTCTCTCCTGTCCGTCCGGCTGCAGTCCCCTATCTCCTGCCGGGTGTCCGAGTTTTGAACTCCGGCCGACACCACGAGGGAAGAAAGCCAGGCCTGTGGTCCCCGGATAGCCAGCCCACTGCGCACGAGCTGCCCACTGCCCGCCACATCTGCCGCGGCGCCGGGGGGGGGGGCTGACTGAGCTTCAAATCAGTCGAGCGAGCTTGCCAATGACTCGCTGACCGAGCGTGTCCCTGATGTTACTGTTACTGCGTTCACACCCCCCACACACGGCCCCAAGTGAGACTCGAAGCACCCTGTGCCTGGCGCGCCCCGGGCAAACTCTCCCTCCCCCCACCCCACATGCCCACATGCGCCCACCTTTTTGGTTCGTTGTCCCAGGCTCGGTTCATCAACCACAGACCACAGGCCGCACAGCTCCAGGTAGTCCCAAGGATGCTGGGCCTTCCAGGCTGCCAGGCTTCCCAGCTTCCCAGCTTCGACGAGAGCTAGCCCGGAGGTGGGCGGGTTCTCGGAGATGACACACTTTACTGGCTGCGCAGCAGGCGCTCTTGCATGCACCGTTTTGCAATGTCGTCCTGCAATTCGGCCCTGCCCCAGTGGCCCAGTGGCCACTGGGCCAGCCCTCACTGCTCAGGCCCTGAAAGTCCCGACGGCCAGTGTGCCCCCAGCATGGCTCCAGCACGTTGAAAAATTCTCCAATTTTCCCAGCCCAAGGACGTCATTCATTGACCCGCACATGGGCGCACCCCCTCCCGCAGATTAGCAATTCCCCATCGTGGCCTGCCTCTTTAAACACCCTGACCCGCACACTATCGTCACCGCTGGGACTTTCACAAGCTTACTGCCCCTGTCTTCCGATTCCTGCCGCCTGCCCCTCCGCCCTCCGCCATTTTTCTGCACCCTACCTACCCCCATAAGAAAGCGCAGGCAGAATGGAAAATCAAAATCCTAACGAGCGCAGCAGGACTGCCGCGGCAGACAACGAGGACGGCGCAGACCAGATTTACGACGCCCCTCGCTCCGGCATCGCTACCCCCCAACCAGATCTCCAAGACAAGCGACTGCCCGGCATCATGAGCTACTTTACTGGCCAGGTTCGTCCAGCCTCTCTTCAGCGTCTGTGGTCTGGCACCTTTTCTGCGACTACAAAGGCCGAGGCTGCGCCTCGTGATGCGCCTCGGCAGGAGGAGCAACGGGAAGAGGCAGGGGCGGAGGCGGAGTCAGGGCATGACAAGCAGCAGCATCTCACTTCCTCCCCACCACCACCACCACCACCCTCACAACTGCCAGTCAGCCCTGTCGATTCCTCCTCCCGCAGCCCATCTGAGGCCCAAGGACCACCTCTCCTCCCTCATGAGACGGTGGGCGAGCTCTCAGAAGAGAAGCCTCCTCCCGAGAGCGCCGAGTTTCATCCATATCCCACTCCTCCAACGTCCTCGCGCTCTTCGGTGCGCGGTGCCAAGGTCGGCGAGAACTGTGGCGAGGGCTCGAAGCAGAGGGCTGGCTCTGCTGTCACCCCGCCTCACCTCCACAAGACGAGCATCTCGGAACTCACGAGCATGAACGGCCGTAGGCCATCTGCGCTTGTACCGGTGGCCTCGGTGGCCATCACCGAGTCGAACGTGAATGCTCGTCACTTCTCAACTCCTGGCAGTCGCAGAGTTTCCACTTCACTCAACCCCCCAAAGCACGAGAACCCCTCTCCCGCGAAGACAGACGATGTTTCTGAAGACCCTGCTTCTGTTCGTCAACTTAAGAAGCTAACAAGCGACGTGGCTCAAAAGAGCGGCCATTCCACCCCAACCCGAACACTCTCGTCCACGAAAGTAGCCCGAAATGACGGAGCGGATGAGCGGAGGACCAGCGACGAGAGCTCGAGCGCCACGGGCACCCAGACCCCTCCCAGCTCCAGCGCAGCATCAAACTTGCCAACCGTCAAGGGCAAGCTCACCATCAAGATAAGCGAGGCGAGGGGTCTACGGAAATGCCGGGCACCGTATGTGGTTGCCGTTTTCCAGCGGAGCGAGCTGATCTCAAGCGGCCCACGCATGGAAGAGAACGACGATGAGACGGCAATCTCGAATGTCGCCATGGGAGGAGTGCCCATTCAACGGCAGAGCAGCGATTCAGGCCGGCCGATGGCCATCCCCATGCGAAGCCGCCAGAGCAGCAACACCAGCACCGGCGAACCCCACAGCTTCCGAACCCGCACCCAACGTCAGTCGTTCACCAACCCTAAGTGGGACGCCGAGGCTGTATTGTAAGTCAACGAGACACGGACATGGATGGGTAAGGAAGTACATCTCGCTGACCATGAGGCACAGTGATGTCGTCGACTCGGACATGATGGTCGACATTTCAGTATACGACCAGGGAGTGAAAGGCTCCGAATTCCTAGGACACGTTGACCTGCAAGCGAGGCGCCCCGACAGCAAAGAGCCCATCCGAGGCTGGTTTGCTCTGAAGGGCCACGCAGACACGATGGAGGAGGACGCACCTACCGGCGAGCTATACGTTGAGGCACTGTACCAACGGACAGAACGACGACACGTCGGCCCAGAAGATTTCCAAATCCTTCGCCTGATCGGCAAGGGCACCTTTGGTCAGGTCTACCAGGTCAGGAAGAAGGACACGGGTCGCATTTATGCGATGAAGGTTCTTTCCAAGAAGGTCATTGTGCAAAAGAAGGAGGTGGCCCATACCGTTGGAGAGAGGAACATCTTGGTACGGACAGCGACGTCAGAGTCCCCATTCATCGTGGGCCTCAAGTTTTCATTCCAGACGCCGTCCGACCTCTACCTCGTGACAGACTACATGTCAGGGGGTGAGCTATTCTGGCACCTGCAAAAAGAGGGGCGCTTCGACGAAAAGAGGGCTAAGTTCTATATCGCGGAACTTATCCTAGCAATCGAGCACCTGCACAAGAACGACATCGTATACCGGGACCTGAAACCAGAGAACATCTTGCTCGATGCCAACGGACACATCGCGCTGTGCGATTTCGGTCTTTCAAAGGCGAACCTCACAAAGAACGACACGACAAACACATTCTGCGGGACAACTGAGTACCTCGCGCCAGAGGTTCTGCTGGACGAGCAAGGCTACACCAAGATGGTGGACTTCTGGTCACTGGGCGTGCTGGTCTTCGAGATGTGCTGCGGCTGGAGCCCCTTCTATGCCGAGGACACCCAGCAGATGTACAAGAACATCGCGTTTGGGAAGGTCAGGTTCCCGAGGGACACCCTGTCGCTCGAGGGCCGGAACTTTGTCAAGGGACTGTTGAACAGGAATGCGAAGCACCGTCTTGGCGCTAACGACGATGCCGAGGAGCTCAAGCGCCACCCGTTCTTTAATGACGTCGACTGGGAGGCCCTGGCGAAGAAGGTCATCACACCGCCATTCAAGCCGAGCTTGAAGTCAGACACCGATGTGTCATACTTCGACCCCGAGTTCACCAACGCTTTGAACACGAACGGTTCCCTCAACGAGCGAGCGGCTGCTCTGGCACGCGGCTTTGCCACGTCCACTCCCCTGTCACCGTCTGTGCAGGCCAACTTCCAGGGCTTCACCTTTGTTGACGAGAGCGCACTGGACGACCACATGAGGGATCGAATGCACGACGATGAGATGGATGTGGACCGGCACAGGCCCACGGACTGGGACGAAGTAGACGACATCAACGCTCGGAAGCCAAACCGGATGAGCGGGGTGGTCCGTTCCAACGACGAGCACCTCGTTGGTGGTGGTGATTTCGACATGTGAGGAAGCGGTATCGGCTACCGCCGCCGCCGCCTCGCATCTTTTCTCTCCCTATTTGGGGTTACAAAAAGGCGATCAACGGATTTTCACGTTCATGAGATTGGTACTACGCATCACGCATTTGCATATGGGCGGTTCAGAAACAGTTGCGTTAGGCACATGATGCAGCGCAAGGCCCTGGCGTCCTGGAAACAGAATTTGATTTCATGATTGCAAAAACAAAACGATTCTTCCGGTTGGGTCTCTTTGCGGGGGCCATGAGACCCTCTGATCATTTGGGAGTCACGACGATTGCTTGGACGCTGCTATTTAGCGAAGCCTGTACGAGTGAGTGGTTGACCGCCAGCAGGATGGGGGGAAGGGGGGACAGCAACGGCCTGGTGCGCCTCAAATTGTGACTGTATGTCCGACAGCATGGGTTGATCGGAGCAGTTTGGTGGCTAATTTTGCACCGCCAGGCAAGAACCCAAGATACTTGATACTAGTATCTCGACGGCCACTTTTGAGACAGGACATGTCAACATGGTATGGCATCTAGGAAGTATTCCAGCAGCAGCAGCAGCAGCAACAGAGCGCTTTGCCATGGGTTGGGGAGGGATGGGATTGCGCTCTTCTACTCTGAGAGGCAGCCGGATGCCATTATGTAGTTAGGTCTCCAACAGATCGATGGAAAACAATGTCTAAGGTGGTAATTAATAATCCGACGTCCTCGACGCGGGCTTGCACCCCAGCTCGTTCACCAAGTTCCACGTGCTTGTACTCCAATCCAAGCAATGAATACTGTGACTCCGAAAGTCTGCCTTTGGTGGTGAGTTACCTGGCTCGTACAACGTAGTTCTACTTGCCTGGACGCCTCGAGGTGTCTAAATAGGCCAGACCGTCTCCCCAAACCGGGCGACATGTCCATCTGATAATACCGACCGGTTTCCGTGCGGCGCTCTATGCCAATCGTCGAACCCGTAGGATCCTCTGGCTATCTTGAGATCAATATCTGCTTAGATTGGGATTGCCTTCCGTCCTCGACGGCCGACTGGCCTAATGATAGCTGCTGCCAGCTGCTCCGGCGTGTACAGGCAACGAGAAAGCAATGTCGGCCAACCCTCCCTTCCCCGGCTCTATGCTGCCTCTTGCTCTGCTTATCTACAAGGGCGAATCCCTTTTTTTTGACAGTGGCTGCTGAGCTGCCATGAGCTCATGGTAGGAAGCAGGGGATGCAAAGCCGGGGCCGGGGGGGGGGCATGGAGGTTAGATGCGATGGTGACAAGCGAGAGTGACGATACAGGGAAGCGGAGGAGAGAGCAAGGGCAGAGCAGTGGGGTGAAGATACCCCATATAGGTAAGCATCAAAGCTTGGGTAACCTATGTATATTCCCACTCAAAGGTCCACAGCTATATACCAGCCAAGTGAGGCAGAGCCAGGACGACGCGTAGCAGGCTGGCTGGCTGGCTGGCCAAGGCCTCGTCTTCAATAACGCCACCCGTATCAGAAAGAAGCCTATGGAACAGGTGTGGACGACGGACGATAAGGCATCCTAACGTACGTGCCCGTGTGGACTGTCAAAACAGCATACGAACGATGCGTGGGGGCGCCGGGTTGCAAGACAAAGATAAGGATGCTGTGCTGTGCTGTGATGTACAAGAAAGGTGATGCTGCATTGGCGACAAATTTTCAGTTTTGTGTGTCTTAAGGTATCCTTTCCGTGCTATCTCGGCTCGCCAGCAAAACTTGCTGCAGAAGGACATCCTCCCCCCCCCGGGGGAGGGGGAGAAGGGAAGGAACGAAAAGGAAAGAAATATAGCTAGTTCAGCAGTGGAGTTAGATAGGGGCGTTATAGACACAAGGCTAAACCGATCTGCTCACTCACTCACTCACTCCACACGGCTTGTGGTCTCCCCTCGTAGATCCGTGTGTCGGCTAACTCGAGCGTGTTTTTTTATTGTTGTTGCACCGTATGGTGAGTTAGTTACTGGATTGCTCGGTCGCGTGAGCTCCATGTGGTGGGGTGGAAACTGGCGTGTTCAGTTCGGAGATGAATATCCGGTGGCAGAGCCGTGTCGAGAGAATATGATCTGGGCATCCTGCTGGTACGGCACCGCAAGGGTTGCTGGCTGGCTGACTGCTGGAGACTTTATAGAAGGGGGGAGAGGGATAGAGAGAGAGGGATTTTGTGTGTGAGTGTGTGAGCTCTCATGCGTTCCCCCGTCGGCTGTGAAACAAAATACCTGTGGCCAGCTTCATCGACGAGGAAGAAAGAGCTTCTTGTGTGGCTGGCCACGTTGAAGTCTCCTTTGTCTTTCTTTCTCCTCGAGGCCTGCGTTCGCCTGCTCGTAGCACCGCTGATGATGGTAGATGCGGATGCTCAGGGTGTCGTGCCGATGTCCGGGTGCGATGGTGGTTGGCATAAGAGAATCCGCGAGACTCGGGGCGGCGGCGGCGGCAATGGCAAAAACTATCACTTGTAGTTCTGACCTGGCCGGATTCAGATGATACGGTATGTCTCTTGATGATGTGTGTATGTATGTGGACCTAAATGGTGAGACGGTTAAATGGTCGGGTCATCTGGTGCTTGTAGGGAAAACTGCCTATCATCAGTCAAGAGCCGGGCGTCTGAGCTAGAAGACTTCTCTCCTCGTGAGTCCTGATATCAAGATACCTCGGCCTGACGCGCGCGTGGAAAGCGGCCATTGTCGGCCTATGAGGGCGGCGCGGCGTTGCTGTAACCATTCTTAGCATCACATGCGTTGGCAACACGACAATATGCAGAAGGAGCGGCTTTTCAAGTGGTTGCCCCGGTAGGGCGATGTCTTCGATTCCCAACGTCGTAAGGAAAGCCTGATAAAAAATGTACACGGATTACTCCTCCGAGTGTCTCCCTTTACTCCTCGCACACCGGTCCTCCCGCGTCTTCTTTTCGTCAAGATAAAAAAATCAGCTGCGCCTGCTGGTCTTTTTCTTCTCTTGCGTGGATGAGGTGTTTCCCTCGTGCTCAGGAGCTCGTCGTTATCTTCCTCCAACAGGCCCCGCCCATCGCTTTAAAAAAGGGTCTCTGGATTTCCTCTTGAGCTCGCTTGCGGCATATATTTAGTGGCCGTGGGCGTGCTCCTCCTCGTCCTCCTCGACCAGCCAGTCCTCGACGGCGGCGGAGGGCTTGCCGGCGGCGTCGGCCTCGTTGCCCTCAACCTCGACGGCCATGTTCTCGTACTCCTGCAGCGACGAGGCCAGGTCGGCCTCCTCGGGGGACTTGGGGGTCTTGGGCTGGTTGAAGGTCAGGACCTGGCCCTCGGCGTCGTTGGCCTTGAGTGCTGGTGCCTTGTAGGCCTTGAGTTCTTTCAGGTAGAGTTCTTGGACGAAGTCGGCTGTTGAGGAGGACGCGACGATGTTAGTATACCGATGCGATTGAGGCTGCTGATGATTATCGAGGGCAAGTGTTGAGCAGGAAGGGATCGATGTGATGGTGATGAGCTCGAGGCCGGGCGATGTCGGAGCAGGTGGACGACAGGGGACGGGTGCATTGCAGATGGGGGATGCGAAGGGCATATCACGACAGGCAGACAGTGATGAAGGAGAGGTAGCTAAAGGGCAGAGAGCTCGGGCGGGCAGGCCAAAGTCGTGACGTGATGCTATCTCCAAAGTCCGGCCCGGTCGAGGGCTCCTCCACCCCCCCCCCCAATCCACCCTCCTGCCGCTCCCGAGACTGGGGTGCGAACACGTGTGATGACGACCAAGGGATAAAGACAAGGACGGCAGCTGCTTCTACGTACCTCTCCGCGAGACGGTGGGGTTGAGGAAGGTCCTCATCTGAACGGAGTTGCGGCCAGCAAGTCGGGAGACTGCGGCGACGGCCTGGCGGCTCTGTGTGATTGCAGACGCGGGTGTTAGCGGGCGGGAACGAGAGAGCTCTGCAAAAACCACTTTGCGTGCATGCACGGGGCACCACGTCACGACAGGCGCCCCCGTCGCATCGGGCTCATCAGGGAATTCGACGTACGGAAGCTCGGGAGACGGAGAAGAGCATCTTGGCTGTTCTGGGGGTGCTCAATTGACGCGTGAGGGGGGGGGGAAGAGGCGACGACGGGAGGGCGAAGATGGGTGGTGGTTGCGGGTTTGGCCTGCTGAGGTCTTTTCCAAAAAATCGGAAGGCCAGGACGGGCGGCACCCGTTACCACTCATCATGGATTTCCGAGCTGCAGGCCAGCCTAGGCGAGATCACGTGTTCCCCGCACCCCGACTTTGTCTCCTCACAGTGACGCGCTCTTGCCGTTATGCCAGCTCTTTCGCCCCAGATTCTCGCTATCGGCCCCCGTTCGATCTAGACTACTTCTCTAGACCTCCTCTCAAGCTCATAGCTCGATCCAAGCTAAGCCTTTCCGTCTGCTCAAGTCGACAACGACGTGCACACGGGCATACGTCACCGTTGTGGTAGATGCTCAGACAATTTCTCACAGTCTTGACAAGCGTCACTTTCTCAGTCTGCCAGGCGTCTTTGCGCTCCAAAATTTTACATACAGTTCTCAAGGTGCACGACGGTGGACACGATATTTTCAAGCCATCAATTCAATTCAAACGAGGGTATCGCGATGTCCTTAAACCAAATATCTACAGTCCAGTTGCGCGCCAAGGGCCTTTTCTATTACGGAGCCCTTCATTAAACAGTTTCGCCAATTTCCATTACCTTGCCTCAATCAATGTTTCCCTGCCTTCTCTTATTTCCCATGCTGAATGTACTGGTGATTCGGATAATTGTTGAGGTTCACATCCTCCCCGTGCTCAGCATATCCTGACCCGGCGCCGGACACCTTACGCCCTTCCAGGCTGCCGTTGGACCTTCTACCCCTGGAGCGGAACGAGACAAGTGACTTGACGACCGCGTACACCAGGTACATGATCGCCGCGATAACGGAGTAGGCAATGATCAAGCCGTTGCTGGCGCCGGACAGCTGTAGCCCCAGGCCACCGTTGATGACGCCCAGGATCAGCCAGATCCGTCCCCACCAGATGTGGGCGTGGCTGAACATTCCGCGGCTACCAGTCTTGGCGAACTGCGAGTGGTGGATGAAGCCGAGACCGGGCTGGATCACGAGGACGCAGACCACGACAGTACCGAGCTTGACGTGTGTGTTTTCGAAGAGCTGGAGGCACTGTCAGCATCGATGAACCATGGCGGTTGGGCGCCATCAGAAGACTCACCATATTTCGCTGCCGTGCGCCGTATATGCCGAGGCCAAAGAAAGCCCACATCAGCAGCCAGCTGAGCATCTGCCAGGCTGTGCGTTCTATCAGCATACGTTCTCTACACTCCTGCCATGAGGCGATGTGGTGGTAGTGGAAATGGACGCGGAGACCCGCGGTCTACGCTTTTACCAGGCTACCGCAACACCATTCCCCAGGGAGAAAGATTTGATTGTGTTATATACTAACCACTATGGATGTACCACTTTCCAAACAGAGGCATGACGGCAGAGCCCAGAGGATACAGAATTGCGAAAACAATGGCCATCCCGAGGCCGTGGGCATAAATGACGGTCTGACTAGGCCTCACCGACGTCGATCCGCTGGAGCTGGAACCTGACGATCCCGACGACCCCGACGAGGGGGCGGGCGCGGTGGCCGCGGCGCCGACGAAGGGGTTACTGTCCGACTCGATGCTCGCCTGAGACAGGTCCAGGCTGAATTGCGCGTGATCATCATGTTGCGAGATGGATTGGGACGCGCTGGTCGACTGGAGCGAGTCCCCCTGCTTCCAGGCCCCAATCCACGACGAGCTGGAGCTGGCAACGTTCAGGGAGCCGCCCGACCACGACTGGCAGTTGGCGCACTGCACGTTGGCGACCATCTTGTCACCGCTGACGCCGCTGCCCTCCAGGAGGGTGATCTGCGAGGCGGTGGCTGCGTCGTACTCGGGCTCCTGGTGGCCAGTGCCGGACCTGGGCGAGACGGTCACGTTGCCGTTGCCGTCCTGGTACATGATGAAGATGTTGGCCCCCCGCATCTGCGAGCCGCTGCCCAGGGCCACCCATTGGTACGACGTGGGTGCCGAGATCTGGAAGTAGATGTTGCCGCTACCAGAAGAGGCCGTTGCGCTTGGGACGCCCACTTGGTAACAGATGTCCGAGGCGCAGTGGCTGACTGCTGCCGCGCTTGCTGTGGTCGCGACTGCTGCTGATGAGCAAAATCATGTTAGCGGCCGTGCTGGATGGCGAAGGGCAAAGCGTGTGTGGCACTCATCATATCACACCAATCGTGTCGGGGGCTCAATTGACTTACACAGTACGGCAGCCGCAGCTGCGAGCCCTGAAAATGCCGGCATGGTGATGTGAGATGCACTACTCGGCGTAGGCGCCTTGTTGGTGAAGACGATATATGTTGGTGCCCTAGTGGCTTGGGGTGAGGATGGCAGGTGTCGTGAGATGTCTGGCACGGCTCCTGAAACTCCAATGAAGAATGATGGGAGAGGCGAACGAAGTGATGATATATAAGTGTGAATGATATATCGGCAAGCTCAATGCCCGACCTCAGTGCCAGGGGTGGAATCCAATAGTCAGGATATGTGGATACTCATGTAAGTTTAGAGTTGGGGGGGTAGGGGGCATGTCATGGGCAGTGCTGATCGAAGCCGATTACTCATGTGTTGGGAGCAAAGGGCGGGCCACCTGCCGGACTGGAGCTTGGGGAAATAGGGAAGACGGTTGACAATGACCGTGACGCGGCGCCAAGCAGGGCTTGAGCTTGACGAGGCTTATGAGACAGGTCGGTAGCTAAAACGTTGGCGCTGGATGGTGCTGGCGGTTGACAGTGCGGCTTGGTAGAACGGGGACGGGATATGCTGGGTGGGAGTGGATGCTTGGGTCCCGGGGTCCCAAGCTCGCAGGCTCGCAAGGACGGTGCTCTCGGGGGAGCTAATATTGACAGAGAGATAATGGACAGGGTATACACAGCCAGTGGGTTAGTGCCCGGGTTGAACAAGATTGTTTTGGAAGGTGCGAGACAGGTTCAAGCCGCGGGCGACGAGACAGAGTTTTGATGGAGGACAAGTTATTTTGCTTAAGCCTTGCTGCTGACTGAGACAAGGTTGGTGCTCTCGCGGGCGTTAACTCGAAGTGAGAGCTTCCTGGTCGTCATACCTGGAGGAAGGGACTTGGTCATATGTACCACAGTACAAACATACCTACTCTAGGTACTCGTCTTCCTCTCTTCTGGACTGGACTGGGGGCACTGACAGGTTCCTGCGCTCGACAGCAAGCCGTCCGTCCGTGCTTGCAAAGATAGACAAATAATTCAGCTCGGGGGACTAACTACTTCAGCTACTGTACTGTGCCTGTGCTCAATAGGGGAGGAGAGACGTGCTCCGCCCCAAAAGGGCCCCATCGCAGGCCACTAGTGTGTGTGGTAGCACCCCATCAGACATTACAGTTGAACACGGCTGTGGGTAGGACTGGATAAACTGGACCCCTCGGGGATCGACCAGCAGGGTAGCCTTGGCGGCGACAAAGGCCCAATGGCAGCAGGTGGTATTCTCAGCGTCTCATCACACCCGCTGTCAGTCTTACCCCATTCCATGTCTACAACTGGCTCCCACGCCGCTCCGGTGCAGACAAAGGACGCGGGTCGGCGTGGCGCAGTATTAGAATAGAGCGAGAGGAGGTGTTGGGAGGGTGGGATTTGCTATTCTAGCAGCTGGAAGTCAACCCTTCCGGCTGGTAGCGCTGACGGTTACAACCCGTGGACCGTAGGATTTATGGCCGTCAGACTCGGGATTGTATATAGACTGAGCATGTCGTTGTGATTGGGAGCTGAGGGCTGGGAGCATGAATGATGCGAGCAAGAAGCAATGGGCATCTCGATACCGGTGAGACGTACTTGGGTACAGACACCACCATCAATTCTGTAACATGGACCAACGTGTGTCTGTCTTGGGTTTGGGTTTGGCAGGCAGGCAGGCTCCCAGGAGCTCCTTGGGTTCGCTCGGTAAGGCTGCCGAGCGAGACCGATCCACTCTGGGGGTCACAGTACAGTACGGAGTACTACACAGTAAGAAGCCTCCTTCCTGTTGTGACTTGGACCGTGGTTTCCGTGCAGTTGAGAAAAAAACTTCCCGAGGCCAAGGGGTTTTGACAAATCCCCCTTGCACGGCGCCAAGGTTGCTGCCCGTTCTTTGATTATCACGAGATGAACCAACGCCCAGCCATATCTCAAGTCAGTCAAGTCAGTCAAGTCACCTAGGTACCTTGGTAGAGCGCCCTGGCGCCCTGGACCAGCTGAACAGGCCCTGGCAGGGTGTGAGTGAGCCCCACCGAAGGAAACCACCCCGCCCCTCCGCCCCAACTTTATAATGTGGGCTCGGCAGCGCAGTCCCCAACGAGCAACCACGTCGTGCTTCTGTGGCCCCTGGGCGTTGCAAGAGTGACTGACTGACATACTGACTGACACTGACAGTGACAGTCCCGACCTAGCGAGAAAAAGACTCCGGCGCCTCGGAATTCTGCTGATTCATGCTCGTTTCATTGGGCACACACAGCGCTCGCTCTTCCCCACCTGGGAACCGTACCGGCTCAACCTTCTATCTGCTGTCTGCCGCTGCTGTTTCCAACCAGCCTTCCGTCCCATCTTGCTGCCATATGCGTGATGCGTCTCTCCCTTGGCTCTGATAAACGTTACGAACATTACGAGTTTCGGGCCCCCACCCGCTAATGCCGGGCTTCTTCCTGGCCCTACTGCTGGCCGCGCACACACCCAGACACGTGGAATGGGAATCTTGGACGGCCGGAAATACACGTGTAATAGACCATTAGGTGGCTTCGGGTTTACAACATGAGACGACGTGGTGACACCCCCAAGTCCCGACCGACGCTTGCCCGTCATGTCCACAGTCCATGCACAATGACGGAGCCTTCAACAGACGTGCTGCAGGGCCTGAGGGCCCAAAAAAGCTTCACCCTCAGCCCGCCCTATCAGGTCCCTTGGACCCAAGCCATATCATATCGCAGGGCCAGGGGCAGGGCAGGACAGGGCCGCGCGCAGGCGTAGGCGCATAGCAACCACATCACAACACACACAGTGGCCGAAACACTGGGCCCGGTTTCTTGCAGTTCCTCTGCGCACTATCAAAGCATCGCACGGCGAAAGCAAGAGTTAACGCCGCGATCAGCAAGACAACCTTCCTAATCTCGGGCCGGAGGGGTCCAACTCTGCGGAGGAAGGGCAGCACCACGTCTGTCGCCCAAGTCCAAGCCACCCTTGGCTTGCGCGGCCCACATATCTCACAACCTCGAAATCACCTGCACGAAATCGACCCAACGCCAAATCTCCAGCCCTGCCCAGCCTATCTCCCCTCCTCACCATCATCATCCTCCTCCTCCTCCTCCTCCGGCTCACCGATCCACAAAATACGGGCTTCCAGACCATGATGGAGCGCGCGCGGGGCGGTTCGGGGCAGGTGGGGGCGCCCACTTGGGCGCACCGATACGCGTATCGTACAAAATAAGGTAGGGTAGGGTTGAGCTAGGTCACGCCGTCCCCGTTCGAGAAGACCGCTGCCCCGGTCCACTGCTTCCTCCCTCGATGGGGCCGCCGGAGTGAGGTTGTCCCATCTCCCGAGAAAGTTGTCCCGACCGAAGCTTGGCGTGGCTTGTTTGCTTGTCTAGAGGGGTCTAATAACCCACTCTGTCTGTTCCAACTTCCCAGTCTGCTGTGCAAACTACCCTCCGGCCGACCGGCAGCGCTGCCCAGGACTCCTTGTATCCCGGAGTGGCGTAGGCGTTCGTCTGACCGGCCTTGTCAGTACAACCAGCCTCAAGGTCGTCCTGTCACAAGAGGTCGGCGCCGACGCTGTCCCGGCCCAGGGCCTCGTAAATGACATGCGTTGGCGCCAAGTAGGCCCAGCACTCCCGTGTATGAATGTCCAAGTCAGGTCCTCATATTACACAGCACATAAGTTGCAGGCCTGTCACGGCCACGAATCGATAAGCGGCAGCCAAGAAACATCCAATTTCACTAGTGGGTGGATTTCACGTGTTGCAAGCATGTCAGTTCAGGGGGGAAGGGAAAAAAAATACAATTATTGTTGTCCCTTTGCGCCTAAGAAAGTGTAAATGCTTAATGGAATCTCACTTCACCGCCAAGTAGTTCCTTGAGCCAACTGCCTAAAGGAGTCCCATTCGCTCGTGACTGGTGTCACCGCCAACAAACTGCTCCACTGCTCCAGTCGCCGTGTTTCCGCGCGGGAGATGCGGAATTGTTGCGGTGGACACGCGCTTCGCTGACGCCGACCCAAACTCTTTACCCCCCTTGCCCCTGTATATCTATCATGTAGCACTGTATCATGATGGGTGTATCCTGTATATCTCTTGTCCCCTGTGCGCTGTGTAGCGCTCTAACAAAAGCTTCAGTCCAAACGCGGACCATTAATCTGGTCTGCCCTTTCCTTGATGTCTCTGGACGGGCGATCGTCCTCAGGCTTTCTGAAGGCACGCAAACCCATGAGAGTTGAGCAGGCTGTGGCTCGCCGTAAAGCTAAAGTTCCCAAACGGGTTCTCCTCCGAGTTGGGCACCGCGGGGCTGAACGGCTCCATCATGGAGGTGCGCGGGCTGAGGCTCAGCTCCGTGAACTCGGCGGAGAAGTTCTCCGCGAGCTCCGGGTCGGTGATCATGGGCTGGATGGGCGGCTCGACCTCGCGGGCGGCCAGCTTCTTCCAGTCGATCTTGCGGAAGAACCGGTGGCCCTTGATGATGGCCAGGTCCTTGGGCATGTGGCTCCCCAGGCGCTTGCCCGGCTCCTTCCTGAGCAGGCGGTTCAGCAGGTCCTTGGCGTCCGGGCTGAGGAAGTAGGGCATGATCAGCTTCTGCTTGAGGATGTTCTGCTGGATCTTGTGGTTGTTGTTGCCGCGGAACGGGGGGCTTCCCGTCATGAGGTCGTAGGCGAGCGCGCCCAGTGACCACCAGTCGACGGCCTTGCCGTACTTCTCGCCCCTGATCACCTCGGGCGCCATGTACTCGACCGTGCCCAGCATGGAGCTGCAGGTGGCGTCGTCGGTGGCGACCTTGGAGAGGCCGAAGTCGGTGAGAAGCAGGTGGCCTTCCGCGTCTAGAAGGATGTTCTCCGGCTTGAGGTCGCGGTAGACGACACCGAGCTCGTCGTGCAGGTGGGAGAGGGCCAGCACCATCTCGGCCAGGTAGAAGGCTGCGGTCGGCTCGGGGAACATGCGCTCCTCGGCGAGATGAGTGAAGAGCTCGCCGCCCTGGCCGTACTCGAGGATGAGGTACAGCTTCTCCCTGTCCTGGAATGCGTAGTAGAGCTTCACGACGAACGGGTGCTTGTTGACGGACTCGAGGATCTGGCGCTCCGTCTTGGTCTGCTCGACGAGCTTCTTGTGCACAACGAGCGAGGCCTTCTTGAACTGCTTCTGCGCATATAGCCTGCCGGTGGTGCGCTGCTTGACCAGGATGACGGTGCCGTAGGATCCCTTGCCGAGACATCGCAGTGGTTCGAAGTCATCAGCCGTCTTCTTGACGGGCGCGCTCGAGAGGTCGCCATGGATGGCCTCGAAAAGCATAGGGCTGCCCGCGGCAAAGCCCTGGTCGGGGGCGCTCGCACTGATGAAGTCGTTCTCCAGGTTGATCTCGTACGAGGTCGAGATCTCCGAGGCTGCCTCGTCTCCACTTCCGTCGCTGCTGTTCGCTGCCCCGGTTCGCAACCCACGTGCGCGGCGCGGCGGGGCCAGGGGCGATCCGACCCTGGGAAGGCTGCTGCTGCGGGTCACAGAGCTCGCGCGAGAGGTGCTCGGGCTGTCGAGGTTGAAGGAGTCGACGTGCTGGGACCGCAGGAGGCTGATGCCGCTCATAGCGGGAGAAGCCACCGGGCGCAGGGACGGGCTGCAGTTGGCGCTGACTACGTCGTCGATCATGGGATTCTTGGAGCGGCGGCCACGCAGGACCGGGGTGGTGGCCTTGTCGGCTGCGATGAGTCGCGGTGTCCTCTGCCCATGGTCGGAGTCGTCGTCTCCCGAGCCGGCCGATGTCTGAAAGCCGCGCACCACAGTGGTGGCCGCGGGTGCGCCTGCACGTATCATGGTCGCGGTGTTTTGTCGTTGTGTGGGTGTATTTTGTTGTGGATTTTGGCTATCTGAGCCAAGTCGCGATCAGCAGTAGTCGCGTACCGGCTCACTCTCGTCAGGCGTGGCTGGCGGTTCAGGGTGCGCCGCGTCGTCCCTCGGGGTCGCAGCGGGAGTCGTTGAACTCGTTTCGGGCAAGACGCTGGTGGCACTGGAGGCGCATCTGAGACTTCAGGAAGCAGGAAAACGGGAGTTCGCGTGTATCGTTACTGGTATGCATTTGCGGTTTGTTGGAGTCTAGTCCGGTGTCGTGTCGGTTGCTTTGGCAGGGCGTGGGCTGACCTTTCACTTTGGAAGTGATGGAGGATTGAAAAAAAAGATCAGGCGGGAAAGGGGAGACGGGCAGGGTTGGCTGTCAGGCATAAATCTAAAAATTACCGGCTCGCAAAGTGCATGTGGGGCTTAGTCTAGTGTAGCGCGGCCCGCCCGCCTGGCTGATCCCCCAGATCCAGTGACGGGCGCTCTCCACCCGTGCCAAAGTCAGCAGGCTGGCAACTTGGGCAAGCGGCTGGAAACGGCTCCTTTCCTTTTTCCACAGCCAACTCGCACAAAGGGGAAGCCGGCAAGTGGCGGGCTCAGCAGTTCCCAATATTGCGGCAATTCGATCATCATGCGAGTCACGGCAGTGGTCGACGTTTCGAACGGGACCCAGCGACTGAAACACTGTGGCTCGCTGTGTGGTGGCCGGTCACCGAAACACCTTCCGTGTTCCGGCGCTTGCAAAACTGTCACCTTGCCTTGGGTATCTACCGACTTTTCTTCTGCAGCAGCTTGAATGCTTTCCTCGAACCTCCTTCTTACAGCGGCTCCGCCTCGTTGCGAGACCAGAGCTTGATCGTCCTGTCGTGGCTTCCAGACACGATCCATCTGCCGTCCCTCGAGATGTCCACCGAGCTCACTGGCGCCGTGTGCGACTCGAGCGAGGTGATGAGGGAATAGTCATCCATCGAGTAGATGTTAACCTTGCGGTCGAACCCACTGGTCGCAAAGAAGGTCGCGGACTTCTTGGGTATCTGTGCACCTTTTTCGTCTTGTCCGGGTGCTTCACCCTCCACAGGGTCATCGAGGCCCCTGAACACTCGTACATCCGTGACTCCAGATGTGTTGCCGGCAAGGTTGCCACCCTGCGCGACCTTGCGCACGTCCCACACCTTCACGAAGCCGTCAAGAGAGGCGGACAGTATCCTATGCCCATCTATCCAGCTCGAGGATGTTATAGGTTGAATATGGCCCTCACAGAGCATGATCGTGCGGCCGCTTCGAAGGTCCCAGACTCGACCAATGCTGTCCATTCCCGCTGTCGTAACCAGCGCACCCTCAGACTGGAAGCTGACCGTCATGACCGCCCTTGAGTGTCCCTCCTGAGACAAGAGCTCGCTGCCCGTCGCAATGTCGTAGAGTTTCCATGTCGTGTCCTCACAGGCTGCAGCCAGGTATCGGCCTGACGGGTGAAATCCGATCTTGTTGACCTTGGGCCCACCGGGCTGGGATAATGTAGACAAGGGCGTATCTTTTTGAAGTGACCATAGGTGAATGGCACCCTCTGCTGAAGACGACGCCAGCTGGGCCGTCTCACTCTCAAGGGATGCGACACCAGGGAGCCAGTCGATTCCACCTATCCGGGATGTGTGGCCCCTAAGCGTCTTCTTCACTTCCAGATCAGGTGTTGAGACGACCTTCAAGCTGCCACCCCAGTCACCTGTGGCGCACAGCTGTCCGTTTGGCGCCAGCCTGACCACACTCAGGTATCTCTGTCCACCGACCTGTGAGCTTTGCAGCTCGAAATCCTGTAGCTGCTCTTTGATCTGTTTCCGGTGCTTGACATGGGTTCGCAGGGGTATCTTGGCCTCTTGCCGCTGGAACTGGACTCGTCGCTTTGCTCGTGGCAGCGAGTACTTTGCGACCTCGACCCGGGATTGTAGCAGCTCGTCGTTCCCGCGCGTGTAGTACTCTTCCTCTTGCTCCTCGTCGTCTTCCTCGTCTGGGACATCGTCCATCTCGACATCAACACCCTCCTGGCCTTGGGCCTTTGCTCGCTCAGCCTCGTCGGCCAGGGTCTCCCTCAGCCTCTCTCGGCGGTCGGCCGGATTGTTCTCGCCGAACAGGGTGATGGGCAGCCCTCGCTCGCGGAGCATGGCCTTGATCGCTTCATCGTTGGTCGGGACGGCAAGGCGCGCCGCCATGCGCTTGCGCTCGAACTGTGAGAGCAGCGCCGATGCATTCTCGCCCGTGCCGAGATCGTAGTTGTAGTCGTTGGCTATGTCTCCTGTCAGCCCAGGGTAGCGCTGGTGGTGAGCGGGTTGCGCGATGTACTCACGAACTTGGTCAAGGGTCAGACCTCCTCCCCTATCCTGCGCACAGGCACACCAGTCAGTCGAGCGCCGCGCTGTTGTTTTGGTTTGAGCAAAGGCAGTGACCACTGTGAAGCTGCGATTTGGGTGGCTTACCTCATCCATGGGATGGTCCTCCACAAATGCTTGTCTCGAAGGGTGCATCATCTTGGCAGAATGTTCTAGTATGACAGGGCGAACAAAACGAACAATAGGAGGGATGCCTATCGAGAGGTCGTGGTGGAAGGTAGCTGTGGAAAGTTGCTATTCAAAGTTGACTTTCGAGCTATTGTCTCCCGGATACTGAAAGTACGTACTGCAGCACTGCCTGCCTGCCGTGAATATTTGACAATGGGGTGACCCGCTATTGAGGGTCCGCTTGGGGCTTGGCCGATAAGGCGATTGCAGCGACCAACTTCAACTTCCCGTCTTTCATCATCAACCATCAACCACAGGCGCTGCCCGTTTCCACCCCATCCCCAATTTACCCATGGCTATTTAATTCAGTTCGCACCCCCCACCAACAACCGCCACTCGCTGCCAAACAACCGGAGTGAGGTTCCAGCATCGCTTCTCTCCATGATCTAAGTCGAGATGGCCAGCATCGACAGATATCGCCCGCCCCGCGAGGGCTACCAGCCTCCCTCCCTACCTCCGAAGCCCCCTCGCCCATCCCGATCTCCGTCTAAGCAGCGCGACGTGCCCCCGGCAGTTCCATCGCCACCGGCTCACTCCTCACGCACATCCTCGCTCCCACCACAGTCCCGACGAGGCGCCCCGTCTCCAGCACACCCGTCGCCGACAACACCCCGAGCCCGCGCAAACCAGTGGTACTTCACCGCGGATGAGGCTCTCAGCTCACCGAGCATAGTCGACGGCCTGGCGCCGGCCGACGAAAGATTGAGAAGGGCCAAGGGGGTCAACTTCATCTATCAGGCCGGCGCGATGGTAGAACTGCCGCAGACCACATTATGGGTCGCTGCTGTATTCTTCCATCGGTTCTACATGCGCTGCAGTATGGCAGAGGAGAAGGGCGGGATACATCATTACGTTAGTTCCCTGGTCGCAAGCGCGCCGCGGATTGACTTGGAAGAACCAGGAGAGTGCTGACACCCGGAACAGAACATAGCAGCGACAGCCTTGTTCCTCGCAAACAAAACAGAAGAAAATTGCCGGAAAACAAAGGACATCATCTACGCTGTGGTCAAAGTTGCTCAGAAGAACCCGAGGCTCATCGTCGATGAGCAGAGCAAAGAATACTGGAAGTGGCGTGACAGCATCTTGATGCACGAGGAGTTGATGCTGGAGATGTTGACCTTCGACCTGATGGTGGATAACCCCTACCAGCGACTGTACGAGTGTCTTACACAGCTCGACATGCTTCATAACAAGCGCATAAGAGATGCTGCTTGGGCATTCTGCTGCGACTCGGCTCTCACCGTCCTTCCGTTACTCATGAACGCCAACGCGATCGCTATCAGTGCTATATACTTCGCGACTGTCTCGCTAGATGAGAAGATCGAGGACGGGAGGGACGGTGAGCCGTGGTGGCGAATACTGAAGGGTGATGAGGCGCTCACGCAATCAGCTATAAGTGTGGTGATGGACTTCTACTCGGAGAACCCTCTTAGGAAGTCGGACTCCCGGTATCAAGGATCACCTATCTTCAGCCTGGAGAATACCAGGCGGGGGCGCGAGCTTCCTAGCCAGACAGAGGCTGGATCGAGTCACACCGGCACACCTATGGGAACGGACCGTGGAACACAAAGTCCGCGTGCACGGTACCCAGGCAGGCCAGACCGAGAGGACGACACCAACGGTAACGTCGACACGAGAAAGGAAAGCGGGGACAATGGAGACAGCGAGCCAGCGACATCGCAACAAAGGGGCGATGCTGACGCGACTCTCAAGATTGCAGCCAACGACATGGATACTCACGCGGCAGACCGAAAAACCAACGGTGTCAGTAACGGCCTGAAATCCCCAGGCTCGAAACGGAAGACGCCAGACGTGGACCTGGACGAGGTGGAGCGAGAGACCAAGCGAGCACGGTTGTCCGATGAGGACGAAGGAGAAGTCCCGGGCTAGGTGCCCACCGGCATGACGCCTGACAATTACCTAAGGAAAATCCGGGGTATCTACACGGAAATAATCCCCAACAGCAGTGATAGGCGAAGGGATAGCATCTTATGATGCAAATGAGGGCCGCAATGCAAGGTGGTCCATGGATCCCAGACATAGCTCCACATGAGAACCGCTTCGTGAGACATCAGCGCGCATTGTTTGAGAGGATAGGAGGACGCGGTGTGCGAGCATTCAAGGATATGAGGAGATTATTCGCAGAGTCCTTCTTTCCAGTACATAAAGGGGATCTCGGATTAGCAGGCGAGGTTAAGGCCCGTCAGCAAGTATTGATAGACTGCGATATCCCAGGATGACAGGCATACCCACTCAGGCGTGCTCTACTAGGACAGGCCGACCGAGTTCATTGATTTTGAGACTTTGGATTCTTGCTACTTGCCTACCTACCCACATGGTGACTTGTCCCTCCTCAAGCCCGCCTTTCCGCATCTGGTCTCCATCTTTTCGTCGAGGAAGTCGATTAGCTCAAACATATTTGCGCAGTTGTACATCTCCACCCTCTCCTTCTTGTTGAGCAACGAACTCTTGTCGGGGCCGTAGCCCGGCCCGCACATCTCACCGACTGTATTTCAAATCAGTAGATCTTCGCAAAGCAAGCCCACTGGCATGCGGGGGACAGATTCAGTAGATAGTACGTACGATGGTGCTGGACCAACTTCAGCGGCAGCGGCGCCCTCACGACCTTGTTCATGAACAGCTCGACCGCCTCCCAGGGGCAGGCCTCGTAACCCGCAAACAGCGCCGGGTTCGCGAGAAGGGCCCGAGCGGACATCAGGCCTGCCAGCTTGGGCAGGTGTGGCTTCGTACTGCCCTCGGCACCCGGGAGGGGCGACGCGTACGGCAGCGAGCCCATGGAGAAGACGTCGCCCGACACGAGGATGGGGAGCTGGCCGCCGTACTTGTTGGTGAGGATCTCCAGGGCCTCGAGGTTGATGGGCGTCGTGGACGGTGTGCTGCGGGTGCGCGGGTGGATGGTGAGGAAGTCAATGTTGCGGTCTTGGGGGTTGCCTATGACTGTTTCTATGAAGTCCATGGTTTTCCTGGGCCATGGGTCAGCTCTGAATACATGGTTGATATGTCCGGTAGGGGACTGGTCGAGGTGAGTACTCGCCTGAGATCCTTGTGTACTCTTATCTTGACGCTCACACTCCTGCCCTTTGGGTTGTCGATGTCTTTCTCCTTGCCAACGGCCCAGCCTTCGTCTCTTAATTTCTGCCGCGTCTCGACCACCATATCTCTCACTAGCTCACGCTGCTCCATCAGGGCGGCGCCGAGGGTCTCTGCGCAGGCCCACGACTGAGGGCAGCCGCAGTTGATGTCGACACCGTTCACATAGGGGACGACCAGCGAGGCGGCTCGAGATATCTCCAGCGGTGAATTGGCGCCGAATTGGACTATCGTTGGGACCGTTGGCCCTGTTGTCGATATGGTGAAGTCTGAACCGCAAGTCAGAGCTGAGATTTTCGCATTTCTGGTTGAGATTCAACTGCTTGGGAATGGGTGATCTCACCGCTATCCCGAGCTATGAAACTGCGGTTGAACTCCTTCGCTAAGATCATGGGGGTCCAGCATAGATCCGTGTCATAGGCGTGGACTGTTTGCCTGAAGGCGAGCTTGCTGTACCTCACCATAGGTGCGCAGGCATAGAGCAGCCTGCCCTGTTTCTTGGTCACATCGAATAATTTGAGAGGACTAGACGCATGAAGTATTTAGTGACTGACCACCGCCCCGGCAGGTTGAGAGATCACAATGAGCTTACTGTTCTATTTGCCCGAGAGATGGCCCGCCTTGTGCGGCTTGAGAACCCATCCTAGCAGTAATCTTTAACAGACCCTTCGTACAGTGTTGAAGGTTCTGTACGCTCGTCCAAAATAGCGCTCGACGGTAAGGCTGCGGCCGGTGGTTCGGCCCAGAATGTGTGGAAAATGAGTTTGTCACATGCCCCCAGTCACCGAGCTAAGAATCAGGCAAATACAGAAATTTTACAACTCATGGTGTTCACCTAACCTCGCGCGAGCATCGCTTTCTCAAGATATCGGGAGTCATTCTGGACAAGCTTCACTAGGGTGTCCGGCACGCGGCGGCAGGGTACTTGGGACCCAGGTAGGTACCTGCCCCAATTCCTATGGGGCAGCGCTCCAGTGGGTTAACCTCCTATGGCTTACCCTCCTGCCCTCCTACGAGACACCCTCCTATGGTACACCCTCCTATGGCTTGCCCTCCTACGAGATATCCTCCAATAGAATAACATCCTATAGAAGAACCTCCTACACTACAGAAGGCGATATATCACACAGAGACCTAGGAAGTGCAGTACCAATAGTTCAGCTCGTGTGTACTGCAAGTGTGTGTGAGTACCTACCTAGGTACCTAGGTAAGTGATGTTAAAGTGCTTTTCATGAGCGCCCGTGTAGAAGCCGCAGATCCATTATGATTGGCGCACACCCTAGAGAGGCCCACCTTTTCCCAAATTCAGTCACGATTGATTCATGTGAGCCATTGAAAAAAACCAGCCCAGGGACATTTTCTTTGAAAGTCACTCTGTATCGACTTACAATTAGCGCCTGTCATTCTCAAGTATTTGAGGAAACTATTCGGATTCGTCCTTCTAATCTTTCATTCATACCCAGGCAGTGCAGCTCGGTTACTTCCTAGCACCACACTACTAGGTACGCAGGAAGGTACGGACGGCCCTACTGTTTTTATCAACCTGCAATCAACAACAAAACGCCCACCAACTTTTTCAACTCACTTCTTCCCAATTACAACCAACATTTTGCCATCATCAATTTCACCCACCAAATTCTGCCATCAATATGACTGTCATCGGTCTTCTCGGCGGCGGCCAACTCGGCCGCATGCTTTGTGAGGCAGCCGCTCCTCTCGATATCGAAATTGCCATCCTCGACGAGGACAACGCACCGGCCAAGAAGATCAACAGCAACAGCAAGCATGTAACCGGGTCGTTCAAGGACGCCCCCAAGATCAGGGAGCTGGCATCCAAGACTGACGTTCTCACGGTTGAGATCGAGCACATCGAAACCGAAGTCCTGGAGGAGATCGACGCACAGGGCAAAGTTGCCGTGCACCCGTCGTGGAAGACGCTCAGGCTGATCCAGGACAAGTACGAGCAGAAGGAGCACCTGGGAAAGGAGGGTCTGCCCATCGCCGAGCAGATGGCCATCGAGGGTGGCGCTGCCATGCCCCCGTCCCTGTTGCTGGCGTCTCAGAAATTCGGATTTCCCTTCATGCTCAAGGCCAGGAAAGGCTCTTATGACGGCAGGGGCAACTTCAAGATTTCGAGTGAGGCCGACATCGACAAGGCGTTTGAGGAGTTTGGCACACTCTCCTGCTACGCCGAGAAATGGGTGCCGTTCGAGCTGGAGCTGGCTGTCATGGTCGTCCGGACAGAGGACAGCCAGGGCAAGACGAAGCGGGTCATCCCTTATCCAGCGGTCGAGACCATACATGAGGACAACATCTGCTCCAAGGTCTTCATGCCACCACGGACTGTCTCCGCTGCGATCTGTGAGCGGGCGCAAAAAGTCGCCTGCGATGTGGTCGAGAAGCTTTGGGGTAGGGGTGTGTTCGCCGTTGAGATGTTCTTGACTAGTGAGGGCAAGATTCTGGTTAACGAGTGAGTCCATTTCCATGATATTTCGAGGTCACCAGCCTCGACTGATTGGTTATGTCTTCGATCTGCTGACCCATTCAAGAATCGCGCCTCGACCACACAACTCGGGCCACTACACCATCGAGGCCGTGCCGCATATGTCACAGTACAAGGCACAGCTCTTCTCGATCTTGGACGAGTCCTTCCCCGAGGTTCTTGAGCCTAATGTGCAATCCAGCATTATGGTGAATGTCTTGGGCGGCGCCAACCCCGATTCTCACCACAGACTCATCAAGCAAGCCAAGAACCTGCACGGCAAAGGCAAGGCTGTCTACCCCCACATGTACGGCAAAGAGTCCAAGCCGAGCCGCAAGATTGGCCACATCACCATCACAGGGTCGTGCTCCATCGAGGAGCTGGAGAAGTTCGCCCAGCCCTTGATCCAGACCGCAGACGAGATCCGCCGGGAGCGCCTCCAAGCGTCCAGCAAGGCCCTCCGGCCAACAGAGGCAGCCAAGTCGGCAGCAGCCAAGAAGGAGCCCCTGGTCCTGGTTACCATGGGTTCCGACTCGGACCTGCCCGTGCTCAATGCCGGCATCGACATCCTGAAGCAGTTCGGCGTCCCCTATACAGTAGACATCACGTCTGCGCACCGGACGCCGAGGACGATGGACAAGGTGGCCACCGAGGCTGCGTCCAAGGGAATCAAGGTCATAATCGCCGCCGCGGGAGGAGCTGCCCACCTTCCGGGCATGGCCGCGGCTTTTACCGCGTTGCCCGTCATCGGTGTGCCTGTCAAGGCGACACATCTCGATGGGATGGACAGTTTGCTGAGCATCGTGCAAATGCCGGTATGTTTCCTCCTCCTCCTCCTCCTCCATCGTTTTTCGCTTTCTGTGCACCTGCTAACTATGACCTCAGAGAGGTGTTCCCGTCGCAGCGGTGGCGATCAACAATTCGACAAACGCGGCGCTGCTGGCCATCCGTATCCTGGGATCGTTCATGCCTGACCTGCACGACAAGATGAAGGATTACCAGCTCGATATGGAGAAACAGGTTCATGACAAAGCAGACTTGCTCAAGGAGATTGGCGTGTCGGCCTACTTGGAGAAGATGGGGAAGAAGTAGAGATTATTCTCGTTGGTACTAAGTATGCTATCATCGCTATTACCCTGGTAGTTTAATACATGTCTTCACCTATTGTCCTATCGGTGAATAAACTCCTGTGAGATTACCTCTTGGGTGTTAACCTGAACACTTTGATCTCTGAGTCGCATAATTTGGGTATCCCCGCCGTTTTGTGGGTGTGAGCCTCTGACATCTAGTCGATACTTAGGTATTGTAGCTAGCTGACTTCAGTAAGGTGTTGTCACCGAGGCCACACTGATGCAGTGCCCTATGTTTTGTTCTTGCTGAGAAATCTCCAGACGGAGTAAATGTTCTCCAGCGGAAAACCCCCCAACGTAACATCTCTCAATTGCACTGCATGGGAGTCACTGGACGTGACAAGGGAAGGTCTGAAAAGAAGACTACTGCATTACTGGTTTCTAGGTGATTCTATAGGTGAGGCTCCCTGCCTAGCCTGGCGTCTGTGTCCTTATCCCGCTGCCCTTCTCCAAAGGTACATGTTGCCGGGCACTGACTGGGCGTCGGGCCTCCTAAACTGCATGTCCACAGCCATCCAGAAAAGGTTGACACTCTTCGATGACGATCGAATGGTGTCATTAGGTTGAATCCGCGGTGTTCGTATCCGTACGGACAGGCAAGTTGTGTCGATGGCTCAAGATTGCTCGAGGGGTACCTGGCAAAGGTTGCCTGCTGGGTTTCCTGGACCATGTCTCATCTACTTTCTCCTATTACCGCTACAATTGCTTCATAGCATCGATTCACAGCATCGATATCAGGAGCTTGCAAGCATTCCTCGGTGAGTCTTTGCCCAACCATGAACAAGCATCGGTCCAATTCATCGTCATTGCGAGCGTTCTGGCAGTGTTGGATGGATTCCCTGATGTATGGTGATGGATCATCCCAGTCCAGCAAGGATTCGGTTGCATCTTGTTGAGGTGCCGCGGTCACCCGGCGGTGGCTGTGGGAATCGTCTTCGTTGTTGTCTGAAACAAGAGGGTTGAACGGAACCTCATCGCCTCCGTCCGCCCAAACATCCTCGCACCCTATAATCCAAAACCCTTGTTCGCACCCGGCGTGTCGGATCGCCTTGATGAGGCACTCGAGGTGAAGATTCGGGTCTTCTAATGCGTCGCAGCCCTCGTAGATGAGCTTCAGAACGGGATGGTACGGCTCATCCGCATCCCGCCGCCCCAGAGTGTCTTGGTGCGTCAACCTGGATACGACGGCCGAAACGTCTTGACGAAGGTGGAGGGTCTCACTCTGGTCACCCTGGCCAGGGTAGACGAAAGGAGGAGACTTGTCGTCGGGCTTGCTGTCATCCCAATAGGGACTACCGAACCGTTCGAGCACCTGGGAGAAATGCTGGCATCCTGGATCCTGTGGGCGAGACTTGCAGACACGAGATTGGTCCTGGAATGACGTGCAAAGGAACGACTCAAAACCGGGGTACATGCTGTGCTCTCCGCAGAACTCGAAAACAGACTCGGCCAGTTTCAACTCTTCGGATTCCCAGCATACTTGGAACAAACTGGGCTTGAGCCAATATGGGTTGACGAGGGAGCAAAGGCAAAATGTACCGAGAACAGTTTGCGCAGAAGAGAAGAGTACCCGCTTCATGCCCCACGGGTTGCACTGAAGCTCCTCATCCTCCGGATCGTCAGGGTGTAGGTTGGTGGTCTCATGACCCGAGCCGGTCGAGGTGGCCGCGCTGGTTGCGGAACCCGCAGCGGAAGAAGCCGAAAAAGCTACTCCAGAGGTTGGAGAGGGCGTCCCCAAATGAATGATGGTCGAATAAGGGCCCCGCGTCTGATTTCCATCCGAGGCTGGATGCTGGGCGACGCCCAATCCCATGAGAAGACATGGCAGCAACAAGGACTTGGTCACCATGATGAAGATTTGACGAAGTGTTATAGTACTGTTGAGGATGAGGGCAATCCGTAAGACAAGATAGCTGAGTGCGTGGACGAGCAAGATGGGCAAATGAGAGCAGTAAACAATGGATCTCGGGAGTGTTGTAAAGTGGAAGTGTCTGCGAGTCGACCAGCTTTGACCGAAGAAGGCTTTAAGGGAGTCGTCCTTGAGCGAGGAGCACTTGTAGGAAACCACAACCCGTAGCGTTCAGGCAGCGACCGACGTCTTGCCGGTAGCAAGTCTGGTCCTGCAGTAGCCAGGCTGCTCCTCAGTCCACGTCCGGCAGGTGTTCCTTCCCTGGTCGTGGGGCAGCTTCATCACCTCCTTGTTGCGTGAGAATCCGGCAAGAACGAGATTTCCGTGATGTCAAGTGATGGTAGTAGCCGGCGTCGCACGCTGCAGGAACGGACCGGCCGAAGTCTGAAATTTGATTCGTAGATACTATCACAGCGTAAACTCCGATTCCATGCGCGAAGGCATACGAATAATCCCGATATACAGTCCCATCCTCGCGCATCGCTGCCTCCAATTGACCAACGAAACAAGAAACCCGTGTGTTTCCGGGGTGTGCTTTTCCTTCCCTCTTCTCTTACACAGCCATCTCCTTCTTGATCTCCGCAATGGCCAGGCCAGGGTTCAGACCCTTGGGGCAGGTCCTTGTGCAGTTGAGAATGGTGTGGCAACGGTACAGGCTCATCGAGTTGTCCAGGGCGTCCTTCCTCTCGGCCTTCTTCTCGTCACGAGAGTCGATCAGCCACCGGTAGGACTGGAGCAGGATGGCGGGGCCGAGGTACTCCTCCGAGTTCCACCAGTACGATGGGCACGATGTTGAGCAGCAGGCGCAGAGAATGCACTCGTAGAGACCGTCAAGCTTCTTCCGGTCCTCCTTGCTCTGGCGGTATTCCTTGCCCTATGTGGTTGTCAGTGAAGTTCCAAAACAAACAAAAGACCGCAAAGAGCGTAATCTTACATCTGGCGCTGGTGTATCCCTTTGCAGGTATGGCTTGATAGATTTGTACTGCTTGTAGAAGTGCGTCAAGTCGGGGACCAGGTCCTTGACGACGTAGGTATGTGGCAGAGGGTAAATCTTCATCTCCTTGTTTGAATCGGTAGGGATCCGGCCTGGGCAGACAATCAGCTGTGTTCGACGAGGCCTTGCTGGCCGGTGCTAGCCGGTGCTAGTTTACTGGATCAACTTACACAGGCAAGCCAGGGTGTTCATGCCGTTGATGTTCATGGCGCAGCTACCACAGATGCCCTCTCGGCAACTCCTGCGGAAAGTCAAGGTGGGGTCCAGCTCGTTCTTAATGCGCACAAGTGCGTCGAGAACCATGGGTCCGGTCTTGTTCAGGTCCAGCGTGTAGGTCTGCATGCGAGGCTTTTCTGTCGGCTGGTCTGGGTTCCACCTGTAGATCTGGAAGCTCTTCAGGCGCGCCTCCTCGGAGGCGGGCGAGGCGTGCGCGTTGGACTCTTCCACCTTTGCCTTGGGCTCCGAGACGCTTGCCATGGACCGTGAAGCAAGCAAGGTCGTCGCCGGGCGGAGCATCGGCCGTGTGGCGGCACCCAGGAGGCGGGTGGAGGTAGAGCGGAGAGCAGCCATCTTGGTCGGACGGGTCAAGGGATCGCGATCGTGATCGTCAGAGTCGTGGCGTTGTCCGGTCTGGGAGGAATCAAGACTGTTTGAGTTGATGGTGGAGTGGAATTGTCTCAAAAGCAATCAACCACGGCCTGAAACGACAGGATTAAGCCTCCTACTGGGTTCGGCACTCTGGGCATCGAATTGTGGCAACGGTCCAAAGCTGTCTAGAGGTCATAGAAGCACGCATGGACTACAGAGAACGGAGCGAGTAACCGAGGTGAGTTGCCGACAGCCAATCAGAACCGGCTTGTTTGAAAGCGCCGGGAAATCACGTGTCGGCAAGAAACGCCCCGGCGGTCTCGCCTGCAGCGGGAGAATCGAAATCCCTCGGTGGTTCTTCACATCAGCCAGCTATTCCTTCATATATGCTGTCGAATATGAGCGTGCAAAAGACCTCAAGGATGCACAGTCCAAGAGGTAATGCCGTGGTGGTTTTAATCCCGTAGGTGCTGTGCCAGTGTGCATGTGCGTGTAATAAGTGTAAGTAACCCCATGTGGCGGAAATAGTATAGGCACTTCCCCAAAGACGGTTTTCTGGTGACATGTTTTGCATAAAAAGGAACATTTCAATCCTGAACAATTCACCTCATTCTCGTCCTCGGACCTTGTCTTTAACAAACCTTGTTGCATAGGGATCAGTCAGGGGTGCAAACAGCAGGTGGCTGTTCCACAACATGCAAAACAACAAAGCACACCTGCTTCGACTCAGAAAAACGGGCCTCGCCGGGTCAAGTCGGTTCAGCGCCAATTGGCTGGATAACGGCGGCGCAAGCGATTGCTGCACGGTCAAGTCGCCTCGACTGCTGGGTCTAATGACATAATGCCCAGCAAGCCCAGGTGCTAATTATGGAGCTCTCTCCATCCCCGACTCCTGGGCCGGGCTGTCTGGCTGTCTGGGGTGAGACTCTTTAGATTGATGATTTCCGTGACGGACAACCAAAGCGGTCGCGGACAATTGGAGTCGGCTTGCTCGCTCTGTCGCCCGCCCGCCCGCCTGTCCATCCACCGTCCTCTCTCCTGCCAGCCTGCCAGCCAGCCAGCCGCTCGCCCCGGCATCCCTCGAGGATTTCCTGTCGATGATGTTGTCTGTTGATCAGTGAGCGGTCTGTCAACACCATCTCAAAGTAAAGCAGGCCCCACCGGGCTTTGCGTGCAGTCTCGTGCCAGCCGCCAAGGCGCAATGGCAACACCCAGCTGTACGACCAGGTTCGCGCAGTCAATCCGGCCACACCTGCAGTGTAAGCGCCCTGTATGCGACCCCCCAATATCGCCCTACAAACGTGCTCAACACCAGCCTGTCCGCAGCAATTGCTCGCTCTTCGGGGCTGCCTCGGCCCTCAAACCACATCAGGCCACCGCCGCGGATGCCTTCAAAATACAGGAAGCTCTCCACAACACCGGTGCTGGGCTCGCAGCAACCGCCGAAGCAGTTCACCTACAACGTCGCCGCCTCCTACATCGCGAAAGATCGGCCGTACGACCCCTCGACCCACATCTTCCACTTTAACCCCTACAACCGGGTCCAGCCTCCACGGAAACACACCAAGCGCACCCGCCCCGACAGCGGCCAGGATGCCTTCTTCGTCACGCGGCTGAACGGGACGGGCGGCGTCGCCCTCGGCGTGGCAGACGGGGTCGGCGGGTGGATGGACTCGGGTGTCGACCCGGCAGACTTTTCCCACGGGTTCTGCGACTACATGGCCGAGGCAGCATACTCTCACAAGTCGAATAGCAACGGCAAGCCACAAGCCCTCTCCGCCCGCTCCCTCATGCAGACGGGCTACGAGGCCATCTGCGCGGACCCCGCGGTCACGGCCGGCGGGTCGACCGCCATCGTGGGGCTCCTCGAGCCCGGCGGGACCCTCGAGGTCGCGAACCTGGGGGACAGCGGCTACATACACCTGCGGCTCAACGCCGTGCACGGGTCCTCGGAGCCCCAGACGCACGCCTTCAACACGCCCTTCCAGCTCTCCATAATACCGCCGTGGATCCTGCGGCGCATGTCCGCGTTCGGCGGTTCGCAGCTCGCCGACATGCCCGCCGACGCCGAGGTCTCGCGCCACAGCCTGCGCCACGGCGACGTGCTCGTCTTCGCGACCGACGGCGTGTGGGACAACTTGTTCAACCAGGACATCCTGCGGATCGTGAGCGCGGCCATGGAGCGCAGCGGCGCGTGGGTCCACAGCGACGCCGGCGGGATCCGGGTCAGGCCGGACCTGTCGGCCTACACGAGCGGCCCGTCTGGCGGCGACGGGGACGGCGGAAAGGCGGTGAGCCTCCAGAGCCTGATAGCGACCTCGATCACGGCGGCTGCCAAGGCTGCGAGCGTCAACACCAAGCTGGATGGGCCTTTTGCCAAGGAGGTCAAGAAGTACTACCCCATGGAGACGTGGAGGGGTGGCAAGGTGGATGATATCTGCGTCGTGGCCGTCGTGGTTTCGGAGACCACGCCCGATGACGCCCCGGTCAAGGCCAAGCTATGAGGAGGCCTGAAGACCACGATCTGGTTGGGAAATTCGCATGGTAGGTCGACAGGCTTAAGAGCCACAGCAGTCCAGGTACGGACCGACGCATAGACTTGATTTTGTCGAATTTGAGCATGAAGCAATATGTGAGAACGAACGCGTCATGAGTACGCAAGGCTTACTCGCGAGCCCTGCAGTCAGCTGGCCAGAAGAGAAAAGTCAGTTGTACAGTAGAGATCCGAGATACATAGACTACCACATTCAGACGGCAAGGCAACTTGTGACTGATGGCGCGGGGGAAAAAAGTCAACAGCAAACAAAGAAAAGAAATCATCCATATCCCTATAAATACACCCAAAGCTTTGTGAGAGTATATATTAATCATCTAGCCATCCCGTGCCAGTCGTCTAGACCCATCACCGCCCGAATCGACAACCGCTCGACTCCCACGACGGAGTCCCCGACGACGATCAACGAGCGCGGCTCCTGCCGAGATCTGGAAGTTGCCGAGGAGCGCCGCTGTGGAAAAAGAAAAGACAGAAAGGCCCTGCAAGCGCGCAAGCAGAAAGGCACACGCGGCTGATCCCAATCTACAGGGACGGAGATCAACGGCATCGTTCCGATCAACCGGCTGAAGCAGACAGACTGAGAATATCCCACGAGGAGGAGGATGGCTCGGTACCCGTAATGCATCGGTTTATCCATCTCCATCTAATCAATCGAGCCATGGCAGACGGATTGGGTGTGATGGACCCACACAAACTCAATCCCAACCGACAACACTGTATGTGTGTGCGCCGCCGATCCCCCTCGCGACCCTCTCTTATTATTTCTAGTCGTTACCTCGAGTTGGCAGTGGGGCCTGACTCAGCCCAGCCCAGCCCATGGCCTAGCATTGAACGACCCGCCGGCCTGTCATCCTGTATCAATGCTCAGACGGGGGACCGAAACGCGCCCCAACGTGCATTGTAAGGCGCGCCTGCAGCTGGCCGGGCCGCGGCCGCGGCCGTTGCAGATTTGGCGGGGGCCTCGAAGCGAAGCACAAAGGAGAGGGAGGGGTGACGGGAAGCTGCAGGTGCGCAGCTAGCTGCAGACGACTGCAAGCCGCCCGCGAGCTGCGTCTCTGGTGTGCCACTACAGGCAGGGTGACGGGGAGGCGGGCAGGTGGTGGTACTGGGGTCACGGAAGAACCCATGTTGACAAACATGTCATTGCCCAGGTGTCACTCGGGAGCGTCACAAATTGCTGAAGATGTCTGTGTGATGGTTTTGAGGTGGGCCAGATGACCCGGTGTATTATTATGCTTTTTGATTTTTTGGATTTCTCTCATGTCTAGTCAATTCACCGCAGTATCGTACCGTCATCGGCCCAGAGGCCGTTCCAAAAGGTCATGATGCAGAACGTGAACGACGTATTAAAATGAACCACATGTACCCTTCCCCTGTCCAACCCTATTATGTACCACTACCGAAATGAAAACAAAAGGCTTTCAGTAGCTCGGCCTATCTGACGAGACGGACGTCGGCATTGGCTTCCTTAGTTGAAGATCATCAGGGACACGACAGTGCCCAGGATGAGAGCAAGGGGAGAGCCCAGCTTCTGGCTGCCGTTGGTGTTGACTAGAAAGGCGCGTTAGTGACGGGCATAATTGTGTTGTTAGAAACGTGGAAACTCACCAGGGGTAGACTCGGAGGTGGACTCAGAGGTAGCCGAGGTACGGGTGGAGGTACGGGTAGAAGAGGTGGAGGAGGCGGTGGTGGTGCCGTTGCTGCTGGCGGAGCTGGAGATGGTGGCGCTGGAGTTTGCGCTCGAGGTGGTGGCGGAGGCGGTAGAGGTGATGGTCAGCGACGACAGGGTGGTGGACGCAGACGCGCTGGAGCTGGCAGAGCTCGACTCGGCGGTGGTGGCAGCGCCGTTGCCCTGGAAGGGGAACTGAGGGCTGTAGTTGGGCGACTGGGCGCTGGAGTCGGTGACCTCGAAGGCGTAGAGGTCGCTGGGGAGCGAGGAAGGAGGGGTCCAGGTGAAGGAGTCGGTGGTGATGCCGGAGGCGATGACCTGGACGTCCTTGAGGTCGCTGCTGGCGCCGTTCTTGAGGGTGATGGTGACGGGACCCTCGGAGTCGGACCAGGTCAGGGTGAAGGGCTGACCAGCCTCAACAGCGTAGGCGGTGTTGGTGAGCTGAATGGCCAGGGCGGGGGCAGCGGCCGTGACGACGGCGATGAAACCAGCAGTGAACTTCATTTTGGCGGTTTGGGTTGGTTGTTGTTTTGGTGGAATTGAAAGCTGATGGGCGAAAAGACCGTCGAGAATCTGGTTTGTTATGTGTTAGTCGGATGGGACGGGTGGGAGGTAAGGTTTGCAGGACGCCTCAAATAAAAATAGGCACGCCAAGTGGTCCCCGTAGTGTTTTGTCTTGGGCCGAGCCTGAATCACGGCCGGCGCAACAGTCGGGGAGGAATGGACGGGAGACCGCGTTGTGCAAGGGGGACGGTTTGACTTACAAGGCGATATTAATTGGCGGATTAGAGTATTAAGACGAGTTATGTCTGTATTCCACGTTGGAAAGAGTGACAACGAGCGACGACCGATACGATACGATATGATATGGTATGGATGGAGGTGGGAGAGGAAGCGAGATTCCAGGCGAGGCAGAGAAGGCGGAGGCAGTCGGTCAAATAGTCTCGTGCGTTCCTCAGTGCCCAGGCGCGGTTCCTGCAAGCCAGCAAGCCTCGACGACAGGAAATGAGCCGGTCGAGGCGGAAGCGCAGGAGGAACCTCACGGACCGTGGGAATCGTGGAGCCCACCCCAGCACAATGCGACTCATTCCAGCAGGGGGCTGCCCAATCAGGCCTCCTCCAGGGCCTCGGCCCACATTAGCTTAATATGAGCGAGATGATCCCAGCGCGATGGCACCCACGGCCTTCTGGGGTTGACAGGGATTCCAAGGCCCGCCCAGCCCAAGGCCTTGCCGAGCTGGGTCGACGAGGGACCAGGGTCAGGATCCTCACCAGCCTGACAATTGCCTGAACTGTCTGATGGCCACCGCGGACTCAGGGGGAATGACACTACACAACCACCTGCAGACCTGCTAGGCCGCCCATCCTTGGCCTCATTGGGTGCGTCTTCGCGCAGTGCCATCGATTCTCATTCGCAGTCCCGTCCATTCCATACCCTACCTTCCACCCCGTATAAGCTCTCACACGGCATCTAGATCGCTATTGCTGCGCCTCTCTATCGTGTCTCGACCGCGTGGCACACTGGGAATCTGGGACTCTGGCACACCCACTCGTCAGTCTTTGTGCGCTACAGACTACAGTCCACACTCCACACTCCAGGCCGAGCCGTGAGGCTGTGTACCCGCGCTCCCCTCCCAGGCCTCCCAACATAAGGTTTAGACGTGCCGAGGACAGTCCCTTTTGACACTGGCGCGGCCGGTATACCTACTGTGGACAGCCTGCCAGCCTGCCAGCCTGCCAGCCTCTGCCTGCACGGCGGGCTCCGTACCGTTAGGCCGTTCGTCATGCCTCCTGAGACTTGCGTACATCGCGGCGCCCGAGGAATTCGTCGGCTCGTCATTGTCGCAGCCCGCTTCGTCACCCCATGCCAATCATGAGGGCCCAGCTTTCCCCAGCTCTCCAACCCCCCAGCCACTTTCTACTGGTGCCCGTCCAGCCGTCTCACTACTCATCAGTCGCGTAGTAGTGGCAAGTCGTAGCGCCACGCCCTCTTCTGATCGCGGAGAACCGACAATGTCTGTGTCCTGTGGGTCCTGGATCCTCTCAGACCTCTTTGGCCGTCTGGCCACGGCCCACTCGTTAGCTGATGGTACCTGTCACACAATACCACACTGTCTGACTGTATACTTGTACAGCACACAGTTGGGGGAAAAGCAGAAGCACAGCATCGATTGTCACAACTGCCTTGTCAATCGATCACTCGTTCATCTCCGCACGAGACTGGTCTTGTCATACCCTGTGCCTTGCCTTGCCATCAGCCCTCAGGGGCGAGCTAGGCCCTCCCAGACAGCCAGATGCATACAGTTCGGGGCCGGATTTGACAGCAGCAGTCGTCACAGTTGGCGACTCGCGAGCTTAAAACCGGGAAAAGTCAAATTGGTCGAGGCAATTTTTTTTTTGCGGTAAGTTCGCCCGACGCCTAGGAGCACCCAAATCTCCGGGCCCCCAGAAGGTGTCAGACCGCCAAGCTTTGCATGACCCAATTATTTCGGTGCCTATCAGGAACGGAGAGTCTGTACCTGCGTCACAGGGGACGCGGTCCCTGCAGCTTGCATGTACCTTCGGCCGTGGCGTGCTAGCAGGCCGCCGCTCAACCTTCTTCATCAGAAGCTTGAATCTGCAGACCCCGATCGCCAGAGGCTCAGATATTGCTTAGTGGTAGTCTGGATCACTAGGAGTTGATGACTATCTTGCTTCTAGTCCTCACAAGGAACTTCTCAGGTCGGCAGCCTCTGGCGTGGTCATTGTCTTTGAAGTTGATTTTGCCTCATCCTATACAGCCAATGCCTGCCTGTATTGCCCTCATCACCCATCAACGGCCGGGCCTCCCGAGCGGAGGTTTTCCACAGCCCGGTTGCCGACGGCCACACGACTGAGCATTCCACATCACTATGGAAGCACTAGCGCACGACTCGCCGTCTATCGGCCAACGAGGCGTCGTCCCTCGGCAACCTTCATATAGACCTCTTCGGAGATGATTTCGTTGAGTGAAGTGTTAATGCCGCGCCCCGCAAGGGCCCGTATTGCGGATGCGACTCTGGCGGGAACGGGTATGCTCCAAGGATATGGCCGGGTAATAGCGGACATGGGAAGAGTTTGCGGCGGACTCTTGACAATACGGGACTCTGGTGCGGTCTGCGCCGGCGGAAGTTGACGAGTCGGTGTTGAATCGCTAACAACAGGGCGTCTCCCGCGCCCAACGTTGCCCTTAGACGCGCATTGCCGCCGGAGGTGCAGCAAACGCTCAACGTCCAGCCATAGCTGCATACCCACCTGATTCTAGTCTGGCCAAGAGAGGGCTTCTCATTAGCATGGTCAAAGCCACTCGTCTCAGAAAAGGAAACTAGGCTTTCCCAATCTTCGAGGAGAATTTTGGCGTTGTTCCTGATGGAGTCGTCCGAGTGCGCACAGGTGCGCAACATCTTGTGGCACGGCTCTATACCGTGCCTCATGGAAGAACGCACTCGACGACACCCCGTCTCACCCCCTCGGTCTCTTCTCTCACCATACTGACGCCAGCGCCGAGATCGCGCATCTTGTCCACGAAGTCGTCAAGAGAACCGCCGACTCCAAAATACAATCTCTTCGCGGCAATAATGGCCGTAGCCTGGCGGCTTGATCCAGCTTCACGCTCTCTGCGCAGGATCGAAAGTAGAGTGTCCGTGAAAGAACTCAGGGCAAATGGAGAATAGATGGTCTCCGCCCCCATGATCAGAGTATGGAGGGCGCCGCCACCATTTGTGCCGCTCGACACTGAAGCAGAGCTGGTATAGATCAACTCGACAAGCTCGGGCGACCAGCCACCCGAGATGAAGGACACATTGATACCAGCCGAAGTGAGGAAGCTCTTGAACGAGTCGACAACCTGCTCCGTGATCTCCAGCTCCCCCTCGGTGACAGACAAGGCATCCTGGATGAGCTGGTCAGAGCTTTTCCGACTCAAGGCCCATGCGAGGAGTAGATTGGGCATCGTGACGAGCTGCAGGACGCTGGGGTTGTAGTCGGCCAGTGTGAGTGTCAAGGGTGTCTGATGCTCCTGTGCCCCCTCTGCTGCCTGTGCCCTGCTGTGCAAGGCCCAGTGGAAGAGGGCGAGAGATGGCAATGCGGTGCCGCATCCCAGCTGTGGATGGGGAGGCAAAAGTTAGTGTGCTTCTCGATTGGCGGAGGTTACGAAGACAAATTTATTTTGCCCACTCACCTCTATGATGTGGAAAGGCGCCGCAGCCAAGGCCCCGGGAACCTGTTTTGCCGCAAGGACCTTGACAAGGTCAACACTGCTCTCCCAGCTCTTGAATCCTCCCTCGTAGATGCCGGTCTTGACGTCGTGGGCCCCTAGACCCGGCTCCAGCTCGTCGCCTTCTGCGTCTTCCTCGGCCATCAGCTGGAGCCTGACATCCCAAAGCTCTCTCCTTGGGATCTGTATGGAACCCTTGCCGTCCAAGTCCACATCCAGAAGGCTGTATGCTATCTTGGACGGCAGCTTCGCCAGCAGCTGGCCCAGGTCATGGTGGACCGGGGGGAGCTGAGGCTTCCCCTGCACTGGGAAGGCGCTGGACGTTGAGGCAGCCGGGGCTGGAGCTGGAGCTGGAGGAGTTTTCTGGGGTGCAGAAACGTCCTCGTCTATGTCATCACCGGCAAAAGAGAATGAGAAAGACATGGGGGAGGAGAGTTGAGATATCGAATACTAAGTATGATAGGCCGCTTTCATGTGGCGTTCAAAACAGATGGATTTCGCAGCTTTCAATCACAGCAGGGGAGAAAAATGCAGGGCCGTTTTTTACGACCGGGAAAAGAACCAGAGCTAGCTTAGGTGGGGCGCACGCACCCTTGGCCCCCAAGCTCCAGCAGCCCGGAGCCGAAGGCTTCACGGATGGTCCGACAGGCTGTGGTCAGGGCCCGTTGACAAGTCGCATCGAGGCATCCACATCGCAACGGCATGTGTAAGTAGCAACAGGGGCATCAATTGACTCCAATTGGCCCGAATGCAGCTGCAAGCCATGCAGGGTTCTGGGTGCGAGCGCCGCTTACGCTCCTGAGTTCGCCTCCAGGTCGCCTCCTGCACCTCCAGTGCACCTCGATGCGCCTCCTTTCAGCTTTCCGTGGTGGAACGCTGCCAGCTGAACGCGCAGGAATGTCAGTCTGAATGCCCAACCACGCACTGCGAAGGCGAGTGGCTGACTGTGGCTGCTTGATCAAAGACACGCGGCAGCCTCCTCCCTCCCCTTGCGTATCGCATCGCATCGTCCTGCCACGGCCCACGAGCTGGAAGTCCGGTACAGAGGTCAGAGAAATGGCCCCCAACTCACGGCTCGCACCTTGCACTCGACCTACTCCGTACCGGTGCAGTAGATGCCACAGCCCCAGGCCCCCTCATGGCCCCGGCCCAGCAACCGGTGCTCGGTGAAACCCACACAATGCACAATAATGTGGGAAGCTTCTGCTGCTCATCATCATCTTGGCCCGCCTGAGATGTTGCGAGGCGCCTTCTGTCCCATTCGCTGCTCACCGCCGCCACGGTCAGTTCGGAAGGGGCTGTGGCTTGTGATAGGGCAATTTACGATCTATGTCGCTTCCGCCCAGGCGGGAACCTTCCCACGCCCACTCAAGCATCTGCCTTTCAGATCCTTGGTTGCACCCACATCAGCGGGTACATCCTGGTGGCTTGCATGGTCGTATGGGTATTTGGTACGGACTACCGTGCTGGGGCGATGAGGCGTCCCTACCAGTTTCTCGGTTCGACATACAGCCTCTGTGTCGGTATGTCTGCCAACAGCCTCGCCGCTCAAGTGAGTGTTTATTGTTGCCTTTGCACATCCTTCATTCTACCGTCCGGCCAGCATCAAGTAGACTTGGAGAACGGCATCCTTCTGCTGGCGGGCCCACTCAAACCAAGATCCACAAACCCTGGTGGCTCGATTTACTTCATGACCTGGGATTCCCGGAAGCTTTTTTGACGCCGTCGGCCAGGCTGCATGGTTCTGCGGGACATATCCTGGGCCTCAGGATGAGGGTGCTGGGGGCGTGCTTGGGGGAGACCACCACATCGGGCTCGGCGGGCATTGATAGTCCATGGCCATCTCTCTGTCCTCCGTAAACCAGCCAACAGAGCTCGGCTCCTTCTTTCTTATGTTCCATTCCGTGGCCCGTTGGCAGGGTCCCATCCTTAGCCTCGCAGGTTAGATACTTCGCACTTTGCGAGCATACGGGGACTCCACTCCTGCATGTCAAGCGACCTACCAAGGCCTGAGGAGTTAGCATTTGCCGCGTGAGGCAGGAGCGATGAATTACTTGATATCCTGATGCCCAGACGTCTCCCGTTCCCCTTGCCTACTCAATTTGCCCGTCTTGTCGGCCATCCCATATATCATTGGGCGGTGACTGCGGACGGTCAAGTTCAAAGAGCCTCAAGTGTGACTAAGTTGAACGAGGGAACTGTTGGCCACCGTTGGGACCATACGTTGATAAAAGCGGTCCCGCCTCTACGATCGTCTCTGGGCAAGTTGCTTGATAAATACCTGGCCCCTCGCTCACCTTGCTGCCCAGATTCCAAGGTTGTCTCGGAACGACAGTACTACACTTGTTGAGACTTGAGCGGGGAACTGTTTTCTGCACTTTGTTATCAAGTACCAGCACATCTTAAAGATCAACGATGAATGGTCACGCGCATACGAACGGCAACGGGGTGCACCCGGTGTACGCCGTCGTCGACCAGCCCCTGGGCACGTCGAAACCCATCCGGATTGTGTGCATCGGCGCCGGCGTCAGCGGCATCAACCTTCTTCGTACTCTTCGACTCAACCTCACAGACTACGAGGCCCAGATATACGAGAAGAACGAGAACGTTGGCGGCACTTGGTTCGAGAACCGCTACCCCGGCTGCAGATGTGACATCCCGAGTCACAATTACCAGTACTCATGGCGGCCGAACAAGCAGTGGAGCAACTTCTTCGCTCCAGCGAGGGAGATCGGCGACTACCTGTGTCAGGTCTGCAAAGAGGAAAACATGATGCCTTCCATCAAGTTGCAACACAGAGTCAACTCGGCACGTTGGGAAGAGACCAGGGGTGTTTGGCTTCTGAGGGTTTCGGACCTGCAGACTGGTGTCGAGTTCGATGATGAAGCAAACTTCTTGATCAATGCCTCTGGCATTCTGAAGTGAGCAAGACAACAGATCATAGATATCATTAGCGTGCAAAGACTGACATGAAGCAGCAACTGGAAGTGGCCCGATGTAGAGGGCCTCCATGATTTCAAGGGGGATTTGGTACACACTGCGTCGTGGCCGGAAGAGTACGACCTGACCGGCAAGACCATCGCAGTGATAGGCAACGGCGCGTCCGGAATTCAATTGCTTCCAGCAATTCAACCAGGTGAGTTGCCAGGGCCTAGCCACTCGCCGCACCCCCCCCTTCTGACCACTGGTATAGATGTCAAGAAGCTGTATCATATCGTCCGTACACCAACTTGGATCCCACCACCATGGCGACAAGCGCAGGCTATGATGGGCGGCGGCCAGATGCTGAAGGAGATAGATCTTGACGCCAAAGAGAACTTCACCCCTGAACAAATCATGAGATTCGAGGACGATTCAGACTTCTACAAACGTTTCGTAAAGAGCATCGAGAAAGATACGAGCGGGAACTTTAGACTGGTAAGGCTTGCACCATCCATCCAGCACACGTAATGTATGCTGACTGTGTCGCCCTTCCTAGGTCGTCAAAGACGGTCCCATACAAGCATTTGCCAGCGCCAAAATCAAGGAGTACATGACAATGGTGCTGAGAGGAGACGAAAAACTGTGCAAGGCGCTCATACCAGACTTCCCTGTCGGCACGAGACGGATGACGCCTGCACCTGGCTACCTCGAGGCGCTGCAAAGGGAGAACGTGGAGGTTGTGTCGGGTGACATAAGGAGATTCGTGGCTGACGGGATCGAGATGAATTCGGGAGAAGTTCTGAAGGTCGACGCGATCATCTGCGCCACAGGCTTCGACATCTCGTTCCGGCCGCGATTCCCCTTGGTGGGCCGCGAGGGTAACCTCCAGGATACATGGAGCGAGGAGACGCCCAAGGCCTACATGTCGTGCGCCGTGGCTGGGATGCCAAACTACTTCAGTAAGACCCCCAAGACCCTTCCAAAAATTACATAACCGATCAATGACGGCAATTCGCTGACCACCATTGTCATCACAGCATTCCTCGGCCCGAACGCGCCCATCGGCCACGGCTCCGTCTTCACCCTGAGCGAGCACATCGCCAAGTACATCGTGCGCATCCTGAAGAAGTGCCAGACAGAACACATCCGCGCCATAGCTCCGACCCAGGGCGCCGTGGACGACTTCAACGAGCACATCGAACACTTCATGCCGCGCACAGCGTGGGGCGCACCGGGGAGGTCGTGGTTCAAGGCGGGCAAGGAGGACGGGCCCGTCGTCGCGCTGCACCCAGGGAGCAGGGTGCACTTCTTCCACATGTTGGAGGGCCTGAGAGGCGAGGACTTTGAATACGTTTATGACTGCGAGGCGGGCGCCGCCGCCAAGGCGAAGCAGAACCGCTTCGCGTACCTGGGGAACGGGTTCTCGGTCAGAGAGCTGGACCAGTCGTTTGACTCCACCTGGTACCTGGACGAGTCGGCAGTCATCTGAGGAATGTCTGTTCTTTTGTGTGTCTGCACGGGATTCTCGTCAATGTTGGCGTTGGGGAGGTGTGGCTGCGTTGCATCCTATGCGACCTGCATGAGCTTTAATGGGTTGGTCTGTTGGTCTATTAATACGTCTAGATAAGCATATAGACATTTTCATCCTTGGAATGCCAGTGCCCGAACATAGGGATGTATCCCTAAATTTGTGGCATCTTTACAACCATAATGCATACAAGGCAGCGCACACATGGTTGCCCTTTGGTGATGGGATGGTCTGATACAAGGTATAATTAATACACTCCCAGCCCTCATCATGGGGCTGAATCCCCCGGGTCTCCTTCCTCGCGGCGTTTCTTTATGGCCTGCATTAGCTCGTACAGCTGCCCTATTTGTTGATCTACGATTGTCCAGGTCAGCATACGGTCCTCATATCACAGGTAAAGTTCCAGGTCTACGGAGTCAACGCACCACTCATCTTCTCAACCTTGCCCGGGTCCAACTTCTCACCGACCCACGAGTCGCCCTCTATCTTCTGGGCATAAAGCTGCCACTCTGTGAGGAAGCCAATCTAGTGATAAAGGCCATCAGTAAAGCGCTACTCTAGAATGGTTGTGGTCTCGCAATTACCAGATGTGCAGGGTTGTCGACGTTGCGGTGCGCCCTGAACTCGTGCTTGATGTACTCGTCGCCCAGCACGCGCATCTGAGGGGGCAGGTGCTTGCGGTGGGCGCGGAAGAGGCGCCGGTACAGCGGTATTGGCGGCAGCAGGGCCATGGGCTCGGGGCGCAGGCCGTTGCCGCCGCGGGCGGACGTTGCGGCGGCCAGGAGGCGCTTTGATGAGTTCATGGCTTTTTTTGTGGTGTGTTATGTTGTGGTTTTGCTGGCCTCGGTGTGATAATGTACCTGAATTCCTCCCACTTTCACCCAGGCTCTGAGGAAGAGAAGGATGTCCGGTCAGCTTAGCAATCGTTTAATTGGATGCTCTCGTTGGTTGCTGCGATCAGCGGTGCTGAGTCGAAGCTATCACAGAGTGGGTAGTGCTAATGCTTGGGGCCTGGAGTTGGTGGATCATTGAGCTGTATCCAATTGAACGCTGGTGCGGTCATAGACCTTTGCGTATGTTTGCTCCCAGCTTGAGCGCGACCCCTAGGTCACCGTTGGCGGCATGGGCGTAGTTTTCACGTAGCCTACGCTTCCAAGCCCGGGTATTTTACGCCAATTGTCGTGCAATGATCGTCTCTCCCGTCCGCGGTCTTTTCAGAATCACGCCGTGGATGTGCCGCCCGACTCATTCATCAAATAGTCCCGAGAGTTCCTGAAGCATACAACTGATCTTTGCATACTTGAGCCAGTTCTATCTATCAGAATGGAGCGCGTGGTGGACCTTGGGAGCATGGGCCCTGTACAAGTTTGTCCCAGTCTGGGAGTCCACAGGGCGCCAAGTCTTGGACACGGCAATGCAATGGCATGATTGAATTTGTCTACTTGAGGTTCACAAGGCTATGTGAATCATGAGGTGACTTGTATTGGGACAGCCTCATATGGACTACTTCCATTCGGTACTCATTTACCCTTCCAACGCCTCCAGAACCCAGTTCGACTGTACCACGCTCACCTTCTTCGCGTAGTTTTTGGTCGTGAACACATGCTCAAGGAACATGATAGCCTCCTTCTTCTGCCCATGTAAAACACTGGATGGGTGTATTGCTACCACGTGTTTGCCTTGCGTCGTGACGTAGCTGGCATCTGGCGCAAGGATCGCTGTTTTCACAGAAAACCCCTTCAGGAAGCACTTCAACAGCAGCTCGGCATGATCGGGAGACAAAGGAGTGAAGGGCTGGGGATCCGGCTCGGGGGGCTCGGACAACATCTTCTCCTTGAGACATAGGCCACGCAGCTGCTTCCGAATGTTTACGGCCTGTCGCATGACCTTCACATTGATCCTCCTGTGCTTGCACCATTCGGCCCGATCCGTGTTTTCTGCAGTGTACTGCTGCATCGTCGTCAGATACGTGAGCAGGTCGCCTTCTCTGCGGTAGAGTCCCTTCCGATATTCTTCAGCGTTCTCTCGCTCCTCCTCAGAGCGGAGCTGGTGAAATATGTCCTCTCCTGCAGTAAGACACGAAATGACGTCGATTGCTTGCAAAAGACAGTCGTATTTGGGGTCCGACGCCGCAAGTAGCACTCGCGCATATGGAGCCGTGACTGGGAACGATGCCATCTTTTTGCCCATCTCCGTAATCGATCCATCATCTTGGATGGCTCCGAGGATGTGCAAATGAAGCAAGGCCCTGTCGAATGCTTCGTCATCAGGCGTGTCCATGAGGGGAAATTCGTAGATGTCAGTGATGCCTCGGGACTTCATTGTCAAGACGGCACCCAGGGTATCGACTCGCAAGATTTCTGGAATATCCGCTTCTTTCAGTGACTCAAAGCCTTCTTCGGTATAGAGTCTGTAGCACTTGCCAGCGGCCTCTCGTCCGGCTCGACCAGCTCGCTGAATGGCAGATGATTTTGAAATGGGCTTTGCCAAAAGGGACTCCATGCCCAAGCGGAGACGGAATTGCTTGACTTTAGCCTTTCCAGTGTCGACAACGTAACGAACGCCTGGTACTGTGACCGATGTTTCAGCAATGTTCGTAGCTAGAACCACCTTTCTCACAACCCTGCCCTTGACGGGTTGGAAGGCCTTCTGTTGCGCCTCGATGGACATCTGGCCGAACAGCGGGATTGGAACGAGTTTTGGCATTTTCGGATCCAGGGTCTTGGCGTAGTCCTCGATGATCTTCTGGGCAGTTTCGATTTGTTCCTGCCCGATGAGGAAAGCCAGGATGTCACCTGGGCACGGCTGCTCTGTGTGGATCTTGAAAATAGTCTTCAGGAGTGCGTCTTGGATGTCAGGTACGGGTTTTGGCGTATGGATCAATTCGACGGGGAACAGGCGACCTGGGATATCCAGAATAGCTGGCCTCAGAGTTCCGGTGTCTTTCTCAACGGTGAAGAACGACTGGACCTTTTCCACGTTCGCAGTGGCACTCATCACCACAACCTTCAGTGGGATGCCCCCTCGGCCGGATTTATCTCCTGAAAGGATCTGTTTGAGGAAACCAGAAAGCAGGTCCACGTCGACGCTTCTTTCGTGAATCTCGTCCACGACGACGGCGCTGTACTGTCGAAGGTGAGGGTCACGGAGAAGCTCTTGTAGGAGCATGCCTTCGGTGAGGAACTTGATCTTAGTTCCCTTTGGGACATTGTGGTCGAACCGCACTGAATAACCGACCAACCCCTCTCGAGCACCAGCTGTCTGACGGAGCGGCGTGCCTGCCTCATTTGAGACTCTGTGGGCCAGTGTGGTTGCAGCTACCCGCCGTGGTTGAGTGATGGCGATAACCCCACCGACGGAGGCATCACTGACCCTGTTGTCTCCTGAGCGAACCTTAACCGTCCTTTTTCGGCACCAGTCTTCGGTGAAGAGGAACTGTGGGACTTGAGTACTCTTTCCAGAGCCTGTTTCCGCCGCTACGATGAGCACGTCGTTCGTTCTGAGGCCGTCTCGAATCTCATCCCTATGCTTCCAAATGGGCAGCTTCTCCCGCAGTTTCAGTAGGTCCTTGTCTCCTTGCTCTCTCCTTGCTGGCTTTTGGTCTGTCTTGCCCGCATTTTTCTGATGCTTCTCTTTCACCGGCTCCTTTCGCACTTCCCCCTTCGGTTGCAGCTCAGGCTGCGTCGAGGGCTTGGCGTCTCCATCAGTCTTGGTGGTGTCCTTGGGCTTGCTGGGGGCGAAGTATCCCTCCAAGTTGATGGTCTTGTCTCCGATTTTGACAAAATTACCAGAGTCCGTTGTCTTTCGTCGTTTCGTCATTTTGAAGACTGCATACGGACGATGCAAGTCGGTTGAAGTTTCCTCACGATGAGAATTCAGCAGCCCTACGGTGTGGGTCCGCACTGACACTGAGTGCTACATATAGCTGCAAGGCTCGCTGCGGTGCCTAGGCATTAGGTAAGCCGAAGTGTCGGAGCTACCACCACCGCCAACATTGAATGCTCATGTCCAAGGCTTTTTTGGGATATCGGATGGGTGAGCCTCGTGTGCGATAAACGAGGCCTCGTGAAGTTACTTCGCTTTTTTTTACACCATTTCATTTGATCCAATTTCTTTTTCCAAACAGAAACAATGGAGTCATGTTCTAGTAATGCCATACCGGTTCGTGAAGAGAGCCTATAAGAATCGCACCAAAGACTTAATACTTCCAACCTACATGGTCTTTCCAAGGCAGATGTGCAGACTAAGCGCCGAAAATACTTGTTTACACATATCTGGCAAACTGTGCGCTTCGCCTTATATCTCAGCCTTGAAGAAGACATGCTCAGTACTCCATGAACACCTGGATACGTGTACCTAGCTCTGATGACGATGCCTCGGACAAAGATCTTGAGACAGGGGCAGACTCGTTGCGCAAAACTGCAGTCAAGCACAAAGACGACAACACAGTCTCTTTTCTTAGAGTACCGGTGAATGCTTGTTGTGGCACAATCTCAATTGACAGTCTAAACTCGTTGCCCAGTCCGTCCGACAACTACCGTTTCGTATGCCGTCTACAACGCGGCTTGCGAACCAAATCATGACCCCAGCAAAACAACTCTGTGAATGCCAACAACGCTTGAGGAGTGGTTCGAGCCTGGCCACAAGGCTTGCCCGGACGAGGATGATGCGGTGTAGAAAGAAGGCGCCCATCTTTCACAGATACCTAATGCTGGTTGTCCTAACGGATTCGGCTCAACTTCTCGCGGTTCATACGGACCTAGAGAACACTTTGTCAGCAGTTTTCAAAGACATATTTTTCTTCTCGCGCAAGCGCCCAAATATCACCAAAACGTTACGGTAATGTGCGATGAGGACGGTACTCAGATAGGCCAAGCACGAGCACCCACACCGGCGAGAGCCTTGGAGGAGGTAGTGAAGCAAATCGACGGGGCATCTTACATGGTCGTCGACAGCATCGCTCTGCACGAAATGTTAGCAAGTGCAACAAGATAGCAAAATACCAGCGGATCAGACTCGCCTTCTGAGCCATATCAGTCAAGAGTTCGTTCTGGTCAGTAATGCGACGGTTCATGCCCTTGGCGATTAGGTTCATCCTTTGAACCTTCTGCTGAACTGCATCCATGGCATCGTTTGTCCTTCGCATGTCGTCCTTCTCTGTTTCGCTCAATTCATCCTCGTCCTCGCCGTCCTCAAGATCTACGAAGTCGTACTTCTTCTTGTTGGCGTTCGCTCCTAGCAAGCCAGGCTTGGATTTGTTGGCAGACATGAATGTCTCTTCCATATCTTCGGTTGCCTTGTATTGTCCGCGGGCCGTAGCCTCTTGCTGCCTCTTTTCCATCTGGTGTCGCTCAAGAACTGCAGCGTCCTGCTTCTTGATTTTCGAGTTCGAGGTATGAGAAAAGACGGAGAACATGCTTTGGATGTTTTTGAGCTCCCTAGGGGGAATTAGTAGGTTGTTCGCAGGTGAGAAAGGCACCTCAGCTTGCTCCCATTGGGGCCGAGTCGATTGAACCGACCCCTTCCGCGGGAGAAGTCAAAGACAATGTTGGATGTGAGAGAGCCGAGGCTCTGGATAATTCAACGTACTTTGTCTTGTCCTCGGCAACTCGACTGTATGCCGCAGCTGAGTTCAGGTTTTGATCCCTAGAAACTTGCGTTAGCAGCGGCTTCGGTACCAGATCATATCACTTCTCGAAGGAGCCAAGGGTTATCATACGCTCGTCGCAGTCTATCATCTTGCGCTCCAAGCTCAGCGTAACCGTGCAGAGCAGCGTCAAGAGCAGTGTCGGCTGTTTGGTTTATGCGGTCGGCGGTGTCTGCCATGGCTCGTCTCTCGTTTTTGATATCGGACCTGATATTTTGATATCCCTGCTCGTCCTTTTCCTCCTCTTCGTCATGTTAGAATAAGAGAGCATGACTCTTCTGACGATGTATCTGTCCTTACCGGTCAACTCGCGAGGTGCACCATAGCCTCCATACTCATCGTCCTCTGCCGGACCCTCTTGTCTGTTAGACGGAGGGAGCGGATTGTATCGATCTTGGGCATTGCCAAGTAATGCGCCCTTCGAGTTGTCGTTGTTGTACCGACTCGGTTGGAACTGGGAGGGAGCAGGACCTTTGGATCCCTGCTCTGGAGGCACATAGCGGCCAGCGGCACCGCCGAATAGCTGCTCGTTGTTTCCCTCTTCGCCAAAGCCGCCGTATCCACCGGGACGCCTCGAGTTGGCGCTGTAGGATGAAGCGTTGTCATTGTCGTACCGGTTCGATCCGTACCCATTCTGGTTACCATATTTATTATCTCCAAAGCGGTTGTTGTTGCTCGCCGGCGCCGGGCTCTGGTAGGGAGGAGGCGCAGGGCTGGAACCGTACGAGTTCATGCGCGGGTTCGACGGTAGACCACCGGGGCCACCGGGCATCGCACCCTTAGCGAGGTCATTTCGGGCTTGCTGGTAGGGCGTGATGGGATTGGCATAAGGGTTCTCCTCCACAACTGGTTCCTTCTTCTTCCTGCTCAGAAAACCCATGTTGAGCTATGTCGTCGGTCAAATTACAGGTCTTGTGATGGCGAAAGGCTGTCGCGATGGTAGAGGCAGCGTCAGTGTGCAGGAGTGTCCTCGGAGTTAATGTAGGGCCTGAAATAGGGGATGGGAGGGGCGTTGAGACCGAGGCGTGTTTCGAGAGAGGTGACAGGGATAAATAGAAAGGGTAGCGGTGGGGACTTTGGCGGCCTGAACTGAGAGGTTTCAATGCTCCAAAGATGCTAAAACAGTCGTCAGGCACAGGGGAGTGGCACGGCTTTGTGCGATGCTTAGGAAGGCTGCAAGTAGCTTGGGGTGGTCTGGCACCGATGGCTAGCACTAGCCGCTCATCCCATGGTTCCAGTGGGCCCTGAAAACCCGCCCGGCTGCAGGCCTGGCCGCCAGATGCCGTCCGCAGACCCAGGATTTAGACCGCCCCCCTCGTAACAGCCTAGGAAGATTGCCACATGCCGGGTGGAAGCAAACGGTCTGACGGTGGTAGCATACGTAGTGGGCTGCTCCACAACATTCGAGCTAGGCTTCTATTGCGTGTGTAGTGTACATGAACCACAGCCCGCGTGGAGGACCTGATCTGACGGGCGAGCATGACACGCATGCACATGGTGGCTGGCCGTCAGGATCGGGTACTGCCCTCCCCTCGACGGACAGTGGAATAGCAAGCTGGGGGCCCCTTTCCCCAACACCATCAAAGCGGGCTTGGGGGATCATGGATGGATCCGAGAACCCAGGAAGTGGGCTGCCATGTCAGGCATGTCTGGGGTTTATTATACAATGGGATGGTATCAGACTCACCCTCTCCCAGGCCCTGCCAAGAGCACCCTTCTCTCTCTGCTTCCCACCTTTGCGGGGGCCGTTCTTATTGCGGCGGAACAGCAGACTTGACCTCTGCACTCCCGCATCTGCTGCAGCTGTTTCCGATTTGCCTTCTGGTTTACCAGATGCAACAGCACTTAGTTCTTCCTGCTGCCTCCTCGCACCTGTGGCCTTGGTCTTTGTGGTGACAGTGCCATCCTCTAAAGATGCTGCAAGTACGGCCCCAATACGAACCGAATGCTGTAAACGTGGCCGTGGCTGTGGTCTTGGGGAGGGGAGGCGGTGCGGGCGATGGCGATTGCGTGGATTTTCTTTCTCGTCAGCCTGTAACTTGACTTCATTGTCGCCTTCAAGAGCGTGATTGTTACTATCGCCCGTGTCGGCCTGCATCTCGAGTTTGTACTCGTTCTCGTTCTCGTTCTCGAGGGCCTCGTCGTTGCCGTGACTTATTTCCTGATGATCGGCAGTCGCTTCTCTTAGTGCTTTGCTTGACTTCGTAGCCTGCCCCAGTCGTTACATACACCCTTGCCATGTTTCTTGTGTAAGTAGCGGCAGCGAGTGCCCCGCCGTGGGACTGTGAGATTGACAGGTTGTTGCAATGATTGACAACTCGAGAATGGAGAGAGACCATTAAGGAAGAGCCAACAGTCGTCAGACAGTCGCTCGTCTCACAGTCCGCCTGCTAAGGTAATATGCGGCGTGACTCCTCGGTAGTCGTCTCTGTCTTGCCGAGTGTGAGCAACAGCGGTGACTGTCCACTTGAGCCGCCCGCCAATCCTGCACTCAAAGGCAGGAGTCAACGCCACCTCACCTTACCTGCCCCATTCCAATCCTCTCACCTTTTCCACATCTGCAGACCTCTTCCAACCTGGACCAATCGACTAGGGCCTCGGCACTTCAAGAAGCCAGAGAGATACTGATCACCACACCGAGTTTAATTGGCTTCACGATTGCAAAGATGCAGTGCTAAACTGCGCAACGCCGCAGACGGTCTTGAATCTTCAAGATTGTACCGCCTTTGTAGCTCCACGTCTCCAGAGAGGAAGAAGCTACGAGTCAAACCACCACCTACTCTCCTTCTCTGCGAAAGCAGTCAACGTTAGGTCAAAATGTTACCGCAAATACCAACAAACTATCCTCCCAAAAGACCTCTTAGAAACTCGCGAAATCCTGCAATATACTAAGTCCTGCTGCTCGTCAACACTCCCGAGCCTTGCATCATCGTTAACTCACCCAATTGCGCCTCGGTACCCTACGGAGTCAATTGCTGAGACGACGAGGCCTCTCAAGCGTCTGGTATAAGTCATAGGACACTTGAGACTGACGGGGCTGCTTTGGCTTGGCTGGGCTCGATATACGACTGAGGGATAGTCGTGTGTTCCAGCGATCACTCGTTGCTGCCCCCTCTAACCGCCCGACTGTTCCGGTCTTTGGCCCCCGCACCTGTCTTTGTGACAGGATCGCCGATTAATTACCGTCTCTTTCGAAAATGTCGGTTTTCACGTTCGAGACGGAGCCCACGAGGGTTTCTTCGCCGTGGCTACGTCCGGCCGAGACCCCGGAGAAGGCCATCAAGCTGGAGGCAGAGCCGCAGGAGGGGGCGATAGAGTACAAACTGCATCTGCTTCTACGGCCCAGACGACCGTATGAAACCATTAACTCCGGAAAGCCATCGGGGTCCCAGCGACCTAGACAGGATGAGCCTCACTCTCTTCCAGCGGACTCATCCAGTGACAACCTCCCTAATGTGGGTCGTCTCGCTCTCAATTCCTCTCAAACAGACGGATCACGACCCAACACCACCACCAGCGAATCGCGCAAATTGCGTCTCTATCATTTGACAACTCAGCTTCTCTGGAGGCTTCAGCAATCGACGAGATACAACCCTCTAGGAACCACCGACTCGCTAATCCCTAAGCTCCCTGACGATGGTGCTGATTTAGCTGCAGCGGTACGCCTTGGAAATCTCTGGCAAGGCCTAGAGGAATCTAAAGGTGCTTTATATGAGATAGGAGTTTCCGATGATGGCACGCTGGTCGGGCTCCCCGACGATGAGATGGAGGAGAGTCTTTTGACTCTTCGAGTAATGGCAGCAAGCTTGGGGTGTGTTGTGGAAGTGACCAGACGGCAGTGCGTTGGAGAGTGCAGATGGACCGAGAAGTCTCACCCAAAGAGAGGAGGTGACACAATTCCTGAGCCGGCCATTCACCAAGAGAAACTATACGTGGTCGAGGCATTTGTGAAACCTTCTCCTGGAATCGAAGATCAACCAGCGGACACAGTTGACCGAACTACATCAGTTTCGCCGGGACAAGCGGCTGATGTGGAAGCCAGTTCGACGACAGAACAGCTTCGTGTCACCCTCACAGGCCCGACTGACGGTGGCAAGTCGACACTGTTGGGTACGCTTTGCACGGGCATTTTCGACAACGGCTCTGGTAGGAGCCGGACCTTTTTGTTGCGGCATCGCCATGAGCTGACGTCCGGAATGACAACATCGGTTTCTCAAATGCTGATTGGCTACAAGAACAATGGTCACGATGAAAATCTCATCTATAGTTTCTCGGACCGCAACATCGACTCTTGGGAAGGCATACACGACTTGTCGCGAGATGGGAGGCTAGTCTTCGTCTCCGACTCTGCTGGCCATCTTCGATTCCGACGGACGATCTTGCGAGGACTCATTGGCTGGGCGCCTCACTGGACGATATTGTGCTTGGCCGCCACCGATGGTGATGCGAAGGGCAAGTCCAACCCAATGTCCTCACAAGATGAGGCGGACTCTCCCTTGGGTGAAGTGAACCAGACCAAGGCGTACCTTGACCTGTGCCTCAAACTCCGCATGCCGCTTGTCATCGTCATAACCAAACTTGACGTTGCTACTACTATGAGTCTTCGTGCCACGCTGACGAAAGTGCTGGCTGCAATCAAGAGTGCTGGAAGGGTGCCAAAGCTGCTGATCAAGCAGAGGATACAGTCTGACCCCACGAGAGTCCCCGCTGTGGACGAGGATGACATACAGCCTCTGATAAGCGGTATGAAGGCGAGTGGGAACCTGCTTGACTTCGTCCCGATCGTATCGACAAGTGCCGTGAAAGGCGAAGGGGTCGGTCTGCTTCACGCCCTACTCCAAAATCTGCCCATACCACCTACTCCCACAGCCCGAGACTATATCGGCCTTGCTCTGAATCCCGAACAGCCCGACTCTGTCTTTCACATCGAGGACAAGTTCAGTCTGTCGGCGTTGTACGGAAATGCGGTGAAGGACGACGAAGAAGCCGAGCATGGCACGGTCGTTGCGGGCTACCTACGTTTCGGGCGTATAGCCGTCGGCGACCGAGTGCTGGTAGGACCATTCCCCCCAGAGGATGACTCGAGCACCCTGACTCCCGAGGATCGTGCCTCGCCAGGCGGAGAAGGGCTGTCCGTCTCTCATCACTCGTCCTCAGAGCTCAGCCGACTCATGATGCGAAACGCGGTCCCTGCCTCCGCCATCAAGGGCGAGTGGTACGATGCCCAGATCGCCACCATTCGTAACCTGCGTCTCCCAGTGCGCGTTCTAGAGCCAGGCCAGGCAGGCACCATCGGCATTGTCTTTGACATGCCCAAGGAGGACCTTTCCGATAGCATCTTTGAGCGCCTCCCAAGACCGCTGCCGAAGATACGGAAAGGAATGGTGTTAGCCGTGCCCAGCAAGCACATGGTGGAAACGGGATTGTCACTCCAGGCAGCAAGCGGCGTCACTGCGGTCTTTGAGGATGCCTCTACGGACAATCTCATAGTGGGGAGTATCGTCAAGGTCTACATCGCCAGCGTCCGCGCCTCGGCTCGCATCCTACGCGTGTCTCCGACATGGACGTATCCTGACGAACCTGTTGAAGACGACGACCAAGTTTTCGTCATTAGCGACGAGAAAGAGTCGGTCAAGCGGCAGGAGAATGGCAAGCTAGTGTATGAGGTGCAGCTCGAGCTCCTCACGCAGCGGGAATGGGTTGAGATGGGCTCACAAGTTGTGATATTGGAGGGAGGCAGCAGGGATAAATCCGGACTCGAAGGGTTTGTGGGCAGGGTCGTAGAGATAGCAGAGTAGTCAGACAACGGCATTGTGTGTTTGCCATTGTGTTAGCCTTTTGATAGAGTACATTTCATTTGTTTGTATGCTTTACTATCTCTACGCCAGTCATGTCTGCTTATGCCAGAGCTGCCGTAAGTGCCTTCAACTTCATCCTGGACCTCTGTTGAGTTTGACAACCATCAACTTCTCGGCTGCATCTTGAGTTTCTTCGTAGCGGCTCTTCCAACAATTCAGAGTTGCCTTCGCCCTTCTTAGGGTCAACACGATGCCTCCAGCATTTGTATCGCGGGCTGAGCACGGTATTGGCCAATGAAGTGTATTTCAGATCCGTTCCTGGCGTGACGAGACTGGACAGCTGCGCCTGGCAGGGCGGGTATGAGTTTTGTTTTCCCCTTTGTGCTGTATCCTCCTCATCTCCCTCTCCGACGGCCCTATTACGCCCTCACCAACCCGTAAAACAGCGTCCATGTCAAGACAAACCCAGCAAGTCCTCCTGACAGCCCACTAGTCCATAGCTCGAGCTGTCCACGGAAGTAACGACTCGTGTCGAAGATGGGCTTCCCTGCGGACAGAGAGGCCGGGGCGACCCGGATGGCGTAGAAGAGGACGGCCGTCAGCAGAGTGAAGCCGATATAGAAGAGGAAGCCAGAGTAAGACTCGAGGCCGAGTATGCCGGCCGCAACACCGAAGAGGGAGGCCGTCAGGGACTGGAGGTTGGCAAGTGCCTGGGTGCATGGGCTGGTTAGCTGGCTCTAAACTGGCAACGAGGCCGGGGCGGCAGAGGCTGGGTGTATCTCACCTTGGTATTGTGCACGACAGATTCCTGCACAATCGGGGAGATCTGCAGCTCCTTCTCCGTCGGCATCTTGGGCTGCGTTCGCGTTTCAAGATTGCTGTGGTCAAGCTTGGGGCATCTCTGCTCGTCGTCGGGGGTTGCTCACCAACTGGGGCAGTGCTGCTGGGGCGAGCTTCGGAATGCTGTCGTCGATCTGGAAGCGTTGGACCTTCGTCCCGCCTGCCCGCCTGCCTAAGCAAGTATCCGCTAAGCCTCAGCGGGCATCCCTGCAGCTCTCCCGTTTCGCGGCGCCCTGGACCCAGCCAACCGACTGGCAGGCAGGCATGCAGGCAGGCAGGGCAGCCCAGGCCAGGCCAGGTGCTGTCCCCCCAAAAATGGCACCTGACGGGCCCGAACTGCGGCCCCAGCTTCCTACCCGCAGACCGAGATGAGCACTGGCTGACTGGGCCCATCCCACGGTGGCCTTTCCATCGCCCAGCGACAGGGCACCAGGGGCACCAGGGCACTTAAGGGACAGTTGGATGGACCCTTTAGCTCGTTCGGTCGACTCATTTTACTTTGATGAACACCCCTGGCACCGCCCAAGCGAGAGAGGGAGCGGTGGACATACGAGCATAGTCCAAGTTGTCCTTCCTCCCCTTTGATTGCACATGCCTCTGGACCTCTTCCTCTCTCTACTGATGAGATAGTGATTGGCAATTGCACTCATTTGCAGACGATATCGGTACCGCGCAGACCCAGATCTACATCTACAAGTCCATATTCTGGATATTCTGGAGACTGGCACAGACTCTGGCACTGACACCACTTGACACACACCTTCGTTACTCCGTGCTGCTCACACCGATATTCCGACCCCGAACCGGCCAATCCTGCTCATCCAATTCCCCCCCAGTGCGCCACCGCCTTCGACCTGCCAGGCAGTCTGGCAGTACCCTCTGGTCCACTGCAGTACTCGCTCGAGTGTGTTTCGTTTCGTTTCGAGGTCATCCTTTGTTGGTCTGGGCCCGGAATACCGACCACCCCTTTCAGCTGCCTCGGGAGCCCGTGAACTTCCACCGTTGGGATCATTAGCCTTTTTGTGCACATGTAACCGCATGGCTGGTGCACCAAGTGCCGCAGCTCGTTATCCTCGATTTAGATCTCTTTCATGGAGACGGTAATTTACGACGAGACTCCTCTCGCCGAGTACCTCAAGGGTCAGTCCACGACCTGTGCTTTGCAGTCCTTCTCCTTCGACCTATTGTATTGTTTCTCTTGTATCACATGGTGCAACATCAACATGCGGCCCCTTACGCTGACCGGATTTCTCTCAACAATAGATGAGGGCGAGGAACAACAACGAGACTGGGCGCAACAGGAACCAGACGTCATCATAGACACACCACCACCGAGCCCCCCAAGTCCTTCTTTCGCCCCTACAGGGAGGCCTCTGGTCAAGGCGCGCTTCCGCAGCAAGATACCCGATGCCCTGAACATCAAGCTTCCCACGCCCAAGAAGCGCCTGAGCTCTTTACAACATGGAGCGGTAAGAAAGCCCCCGTGCATGCGCTGTCATCTTTGGCTGATCCACGAGATATGCAGACCGCAGTCGCAACCAAGCTAGACCGCGCAGATAATTCAAAGTTCCTGGAGCAATTCCGCTACACGATCGTTGCGTCCCAATTACTAAGTGGTCACTCGATACTGGGGCAACATGGCCAGGCGCAGAGCTCCAAGATCCACCCGGAGAGCGGCCAAGATCCGAACATACCTACGCAGACCGGCTTGCTCCTCACGGCTGTTGGGGCGCTCGGGCTCGCCTGGTTCATCAGCTGGCTGTACGGGGGAGGAGTCTCGCACCTGACCAAGAAGAGGGTGGTCGTCTTCGTCGTCGTGTTTGGTGTCGCTGGTGTCGCGTCACAGGCATATATAAAGCAACAATGGCTCAAATACGTCAGGGAGCAGGCGCTGACGGAGATGAAAACCTTTGTGTCAAGAGCACAGGACTTTGACAGCGCATCGAGCGCCGCAGTGGCCCTGGTCCAGGAGGTGGAGCTTGTTTCCCGCGGATATCGCCTCAGCGCACCACTGCCACCTATCAGCCGAATCGAGGACCAGAGCCAGACCCGGAGATGCGTGAGGCTCAGGAAAGCTCTGAGGAAGAGCTTCGGGGCTATCATTGCCAAGTACGAACAGGCTTCCTCGGGGATCAAAGGCTTCTCCGAACAGCTGGATCTGGAGCGGTACTACGATATTTACGACATTAGCGACCTGGACATGTCGGATGCCATGCAGGGATATTCGGAGGGCGAATTTGAGGACATGGAGTCACTACGAACTCTGAAAATCGTGGCATCTCGGTTTCATATACTGCGAAAGATGTTCCTTTGCGCGCTTCTCTCGATGGAAGCACAAGGCGACGACTCCGATTTCATGCGATGGACAACTGTGGTCGAAACTCTGAAAACACTCAACGAGGCTACGGCTGCGTCTTACAAGCGGGTAGGGGACATTCTGGGGGAGGAACAGTCATTCAAACCGCCGGTCTCACTCGCAGACAAGGGCCCGCTGTCACCCGGACGCGAGAGGTGGCGCTCACAGCTTAGCAAGCTGAATTCGCTCACAACGGGTATCCGCGGGCTACAAGCTAAGATGACCTTGCTCCGGGAGGAGTCTGATCGTGCCTTGGACAACGCCTCCGATCTCTCGGAGCTGGGACCAAGCCTGATGGCACAATACGAGTCGATCGGCTCGGACCTGAAGATGCTCCAGCAGGCATGGGAGGATGGCAGAGCCGCTTTGGCGTCGGGTATCGACCGCAACGAGAAGCGTCTTTCATCCATCAGTGGCATACTTTCACCAGCCATCTCCTTGGGGGGATTAACCACGGTCGAGGAGAGCGGTGGAAGTGTCTCGGACGCGCTCAAAGCACTTACTGGGGAATCACCGGATAGCCCCGAGGCGGGCAGCAATTCTGGGGAGAGCGAGGAGATATTCGAGGCCGTTGCGGGGCCACCACCACGACCCAGGAGTATGCTCACGAGAGGAGAGAGGATAGCGAAGATGAGGGAGGAGCGCGAGAGGAGAGCAGAGACAAAAGACAAGTTCGAGGCGAACCGTGGCATGCTGAAAGAGCTCGAGATGGTCATCAACCTCCGCCCGAACAAGAACAGGAGGCAAACACTGCCCCCACCGAACCCGAACCGCGTCGTCTCGCTGTGAGCGAGTACCCTTTCCGGGCTGCATCCCTTGCCGCTCCTTTCATGATTAACGTTTGCTCATTTTTTTTTCTTTGGTTTTCCGGTTTGCTTGCTTTTACAAACATGGCTCTCGGCGTTACATCCGGCGGCGGCGGCGGCGGCGGCGGCTTCCAGTCCTTCGAGGATACCTTTTCTTGAAATTTTCTGACATCAATCTCCTTGCGTTGAAAAATGCATACAGCGGCGATACCAAGCAGCCTGTACAAAATCATATAGAGCTTGAGGGGCGACGGAACTCAAGGGCGTTGAGGAGAATTCGTGTGTTTGAATCCAAGGCACTTCTGATGTGGCCTTGGAGTATAGTCGATAATGTTTGGTCCTGTACAGTAGGAATATACTGACCGAGCTACAAGCCAAAAACACATCATCAATAAATTAAAAATTATACAAATCTTCAAGATAATGTTGCGGGCTGCCCAGGTTTCCAAATGGACCCATTCTGGGTTGAATGTCTTTGTTTAATGAATCAATACAGTACGGGCCATTGAATGCTCCCAATGCTTTCAAGTGACTAGGGCAATGTCTCTATGGCGAGTGGTGCCGAGCAGGAGGAAGAGGGGCGCTGGGAGCACTGCAGCATTGCAAGGATCATGGCGGCTTTCAGCTACCGTACCAGTCGTAAGTACACATGTGCCCCACTAATTTTTAATGGGCTCCAAGCGCGGTGCATCGCATTTTACGCGTCGGACGGAGGCGCGTCATTCAAAAACCGTGGGCTGCGACTGTGACTTACCTGCCTCCTCCTCTCTCGGTGCCTGCTCAAACTACAAACCCTTTATTTCACCTACTTGCGCAAACCAGCCTTACTTCTACACGATACCCACCAAGCTCTTCCCAGACGATCACATCTCTCCATCTTTCATTCCCCCTTAACTAATCCAGCAACTCTCTCTCTCTTCTCTTTCAGACATTCAGTGAGTTCAGCTACGCGCAACGTCCAAGTGCCTCTTCCACGTCCAGACGAACGCACACTAAATCCACAGCAGCCATGCTTGAGGCACGATTGGACCAGGCGTCGATCCTGAAGAAGGTAGGCACAAGTTTCCCTGATCCACGCCCCCCAGATGCAGACTTGTCTGACACCTCACCCTCCTGGCAGGTGGTCGAGTCCATCAAGGACCTTGTCCAAGATTGCAACTTCGACTGCAATGACTCGGGAATCGCGCTGCAGGCCATGGACAACTCGCACGTCGCGCTCGTGTCCATGATGCTCCAGGCCGACAGCTTCGCGCCGTACCGGTGCGACCGCAACATCGCGCTGGGCGTCAACCTGACGTCCCTGACCAAGGTGCTCCGTGCCGCCCAGAACGAAGACATCCTGACCATCAAGGCCGAGGACGCGCCCGACAGCCTCAACCTGGTCTTTGAGAACGCCGAGAGCGACCGCCTGACCGAGTACGACCTCAAGCTCATGGACATTGACCAGGAGCACCTGGGCATCCCCGAGACCGAGTACGCAGCCACCATCAGCATGCCCTCGGCCGAGTTCCGGAGAATCAGCACGGATCTGCTGGCCATGTCCGAGTCTGGTAAGAGCCACGCACCATGAGAATACGCGATTTTTCTTGCAGTGTGTCACGCGGCCTGGCTAACACTGGCCGACTGCGACAGTTACGATCGAGGCGAGCAAGGACGGTGTCAAGTTCGCCTGCACCGGCGACATTGGCAACGGTTCCGTGACTCTGCGCAGCCACCAAAATGTCGAAAAGCCTAAGGAGAACATCGAGATTGAGCTGAGCGAGCCCGTGTCCCTGACCTTCTCCCTCAAGTACCTGGTCAACTTCTGCAAGGCCTCATCCCTGTCGGACACGGTCAAGATCTGCCTGTCCAACGAGGTGCCCCTGCTGGTTGAGTACATTGTGAAGGGCAACAGCTACCTGCGCTTCTACCTGGCCCCGAAGGTGAGCCTCCATCTCCCGCGTCCGTGCCCCACTGCCCGAACGCTGTGCTGACAAGTTTTTGAATAAAAGATCGGTGACGATGAGTAATTGCTTGGAGAGCGACTTTGATGTACGAGCGAGGACAGGCGGCCGTGCGGCAGCAATGTCTGGCCTTTGGAGACAGTCCTGTGCACCTCGTCCCGGAGGACGCCGCACCCCATATTATGCTTGCCGGGTGGCCTGCCCGGCTCACCCCTTCAAGAGCAGGGGCATACGGTCCAGGGTCCTGTTACATGCGGTATTGTGAAAATTGGAGGAGGCGAGCCTGTGTCTGGGCGTTGCAGGATAATGCGCTTTTTATCATCATAGAAATGGGGAGTGCAGCAGCATCATGTTCGATACGATATTCGACGTTAATGAAAAACGAGACCACAAACATGCTTTGTTCGCCCGTGAAGCGTGCCCGGAACTGTCAGAGCTCGGCTGCACCGATGATCGCTGGGCCGTGAGTGAGCGCGCATGCAGGGCTGGCAGGCTAGGGTCACAACGTGGGGTGCCAGTGTGCACCCTACCCGAGGTCCCCCTGCAGTGGAATCATCCAAGCACCAAGATCACCGCAGCGGCACCGAACCGGTCAGTCAGTCAGTCCGTAAGTCTGCGATACACTGCGGGGCACTTTTTTGGATGTGACTGATACGCCTTTGGCTGGGTGTGTCATTCGAAATTTCTAGTAGTACGATGCCGCTGACTCCGGAAACTGGGCGCGACATCGCACTTGGGCTCTGACTCTTCATCTTGTGGTTCGGGAGAGCCCAATGACTTGCCAATTCCATTGTCTGTAGAACGGCCCTCAAATACACCACGCAACACTTTGTGGGCTGTGTCCAATTCCCCTCACCGAGCCGGGTTGATACATTGCGCATGCGAGAACCACCAGCGTCGTCTCGAATACCGTCCTGCCGCGCTGCCCCCCGCCCCCCTACCGATCTTTGACTTTCATGGGCAGCATCTGCCAAGTCGCACCGCCGAGGATGTCAGCCGATTTGCCAGTCCCAGAGACTCGCGTCCTCGCTGTTGCCAGTCATGTACGGAGTCGCGCCCTCTTTGTCTACCCATGAGCACAACCGCAACTGTCCAACCCCAACCTCTGCCCACCCAGCATACATATATATGTGTGTGTGTACATGTACAGAGAGAACGACGGAGATGCGTGCTGACATGATGCAAAGGTCGTCTCTGGGTGAGTACTGCATTCCCCCAGCGAGGGACCAGCCCGCAATGATCGACCGTTCCACCCGGCTGACCACGGCGCCGGTCGCCCCTCCAGATATGTCGGCAACAAGATCGCCGTCTTCGCGATGCAGTCGCTCGGGTGCGACGTCGCCGCGCTGAACACGGTGCAATTCAGTTAGTCCCACCACCCACGCGAGCATACACAGATCTACAGGCAGACCCGGGGCCCTGACCATGTCTTCTCTCGCTCTCAAAAAACAGGCAATCACACGGGCTACAAGCAGGTCAAGGGGACCAAGGTGTCGGCGCAGGAGATCACGGACCTCTACGACGGGCTGAAGCAGTCGTACCTCGACGACTTCGACATGATGCTCTCGGGCTACATCCCCGGCGCCGAGGCCGTGCAGGCCGTGGGGCGCATCGCGGCTGAGCTCAAGGCAAAGGCGGCGTCCAGGCCCGGCGGCTTCTTCTGGGTGCTGGACCCTGTCATGGGCGATAACGGCAGGCTTTACGTCGCCGACGATGTCGTGCCTGCGTACAAGGCCCTGCTGCCGAATGCGGACTTGATATTACCCAACCAGTTCGAGGCAGAGTAGGTTGCCTCCCCGTTGTATCTACGAAGCCTCAGGGGCTGGATTTAAGAGCAATAAAGGCTGACCGCAGACCTCCGCACCACGCGACAGGCTCCTCTCCGACGTCAAGATAACAGACATGACCTCCCTGACCCGCGCCATCGAGGTGATCCACACCAAGTACGGCGTCCCCCACATAGTCCTGACCTCGGTGTCGCTCGACCACGACGACAACGACAACAACAACGGCGCGAGCCCGAAGAAAACGCTCTCGGTGGTGGGCTCGACAATGTCGGCATCGACGCGCAAGCCGCGCGCCTTCAAGATCCGCTTCCCGGCCATCGACGCCTACTTCTCGGGGACGGGCGACATGTTCGCGGCGCTGATGGTCGTGCGCATGCGGCAGGCCGTCACGGCTGATGCTGATGCTGCTGCTGCGGGGCTAAGCCAGACGGCGTCGTGGCTGAGCCCGGACGACGTCGACGCCCTGGACCTGCCGCTCGCAAAGGCGGCGGAGCGTGTCCTGGCCAGCATGCACGAGGTGCTCGCCGCGACGTGCGAGAGCATGAAGGCCGAGGTGAAGAGGGTCGAGGCCGACATTGGCGGGGACGACGAGACGAGAATGCACCTGGCGCGGTCCAAGGCCGCCGAGCTGAGGCTCGTTAGGCATCTTGGGTCCTTGAGGGAGCCGACGGTTGAGTTTAAGGCACAGAAAATGTAGAGACGGTGGAAGATACAGGCATGTCACGTTAAATCTTGGGTGTTCAAATTAGATATAGACGGAATCATCTGTTGCAAAAGCAGAGTAGGACTAGACGGGCTCATTTTGAGCTTGAATTCTTCATTACGTTGCCTACCCATTGTAGGTGGCATTTAGAACCTGTCTATCGCATGTCTGATCCGACCATGTGACACTAGGGATCGGCTCTAATTCTACAAGTTGTTCTTTCCCCATGGTTGATCGCCCCTGGGTCAGTATCCTATCTAGGCCGTTGTAACCAATTTCTGCCGCACGCTTGCTCGCCTCCAACGAAATACCCTCCTTCACAGGAATAGAAGCCGAGGACTTGCAGCTGCTGCTCAGATAGCATTGCCTACCCAGCACGACTCCGAGAACCCAATGTACCTGTCACTCCACGGCCAGGGCACGTCTTTGTTCGACTTGGCCCTGCTCACGCCCGGGTGAACGGCAACGGCGCCGTCTACGGCCCTCTTCTTGTCTCGCAACCAGGCCCCCTAGGACGATGGTTTCTCGGCCGCAGCAGGGGCCGCCGCCGCAGCAGCAGCAGCAGGTGCGTCGGAGGCGCCGTCCGTCGCTCCGTTAGAGGCGGGGGCCGCCACCCCGGCGATTCCGAACCCGCCCGTGGAACCGAACCCGCCGGCCCCGCGCACGCTCTCCTCCAGCTCGGCAACCTCGAGCACCTCGGGGGTATAGATGCGCTCGAGGACGAGCTGCGCGACGCGGTCGCCCTCCGAGACGGCGAAGTCGGCGTCCGAGTGGTTGAAAAGGAGGACCTTGACCTGGCCGCGGTAGTCTGCGTCTATGACTCCGGCGCCGGTATCGATGAAGTTTCTGGGTTGTGTGGTCAGGGTGGCTGTTCCTGGTATCGACGGCGGACTTACTCACTTAGAGGCAAGGCCCGAACGAGGAGCGATGCGGCCGTCTGTCGGGAAATGGCAGGTTAGCGCCTGTCGGGTCTCGGAACTCATTCTTCTAGTTTAAGTTCTGTGCCAAACTTACAGGTCCCAGCAGGAACTGCCATGCTGATATCGGTGTCGACGAGGGCTTTGCCCCGCGCGGGGATGACGGTGGCCTTGGACGCATAGATGTCGTAGCCGGCGGCGAAGGCGCTGCCACGGGTGGGCAGGCGTGCCTTGTCGGAGAGCTTCTTGATGAGCAGCGGAGGTGCTTGGTCCATCGTGGTGGCGGGGACGGTGCGGGTGATAGAAGCAGGTCCGTCTGTCTTGACGCGTTTTGGTGGGGGGGAGTTGGGTGGTGACTTGACTGAGTTGTTCTTGTCTGTGTTCATGTTACGAGGTAGAGCAGTTTGGGAGATGTGGAGTGTACGGTGGGAAATGGAATAGAGTCTTGTTTTTGCACAGATTCGCAGCATGGTGGTTCTTTCTCTTAACTTTCCCTCGTCATGCAGGGATATGAATGGAAGTCGCGTTGATCGGACGCGTCCTTAAAGCCCTCTCTTATTGGCCAATTGGCCGATGTCGACCCACCTTATTTGCTATGCGGTCGGGAAGCTCTCAAAGTGCAGTGTAATAAGTTCCTACTAGGTAGTCGGCTTACACAGGGACATTTTATATACAACCTCATGATCATGTAAATTGTCCAGCTGAACTTCCTCGCAGAGAGAGAAATGAGGGAACTGGATCAGTGATCAGGCTACCGACTTTTCTTCATTGTCACCGCAAGCACTGGGTATCGGCCTCCCACGCGTTCGCTGTTTCTCCATGTTGCTGCAGCACTTATGAACATGAGCATAAGATGAGTCGCGCAACCATCAGACGAAGTTGCCATCTGAAGTTGAGGCAAAGCCGATAGCTCGGGTTGCGACTTTGTGAGGAAACCCCACTGTCGACGGTCGACATTGGGAGACATATTTCGTCAGCTTAGAGTCTTTGGAATAACTGTCACTCGACCTCAAAAGGTCGTGCATCATGATCGTCTTGGGTTTGGCGCCTGCCAGATTCGCATTCTGGCCGGCGGTCCTTGATCACAAGTCCCGGCGTGAGCATCAATCCGCGCCAAGGGTTAGCACTCGGCGTGCTGCGCTGCTTTCCCTTCTTGAGCCGGTTGAAGCCAAGATGTGCCGGTCTCGACATAGCATGCAGGTAGTTGACATGGACATCAACGTTAACATATGAAGATTTAGCACCGAGGTGTTTGAGCGGCCTGCATAATATATGTATTACAGCTTGTCAAACACCTCCTGTTGTCATGCTAGGCGTTCCGTCTGACTAGCACTGATCGACATTGTCGAGTTTGATTGACAGCGGAGCGAAACGAAGGGCGACGCAAGATGGCCCAGATCATCCATCCCGCCCACACCCTCCAAAGACTAATCAAGACTAATCGCCAATTTCGCGGCCAAAGTCCACGAGTCGCAGGCGCTTTGAATCCCTTGGGTGGAATTCGGCAACCTTCGATCGAACAAGCAATCGCACGGCCGCCGACTCTTCGGAAACACTGACGTACGCGTCCGAACTCGACCCATCAGCTTCCATGACGCTGTTCATCAGTTCTTCCGTAAGGCTTTGCATCTCTTCCCTGGCTGCCACCCTCTTGTCACTCTCGCCCTCGTCCCTGCCTGGACGGTCTTGGCCAACTTCAAACATATCGTCGATCCTCCGCTGCCTCTTGTCCGTCGCAGCATCTGGCTTGGATTTCTTCCGCTTGCCCCTCGCGCTGAAGCCAGCTTCTAGATCATCCGAGTCGATCTCCATCATGTCGCCGGCCACAGGACCTCCGCCCTGCTCGGCTGCAATCATCGAGGCTAACCTCTCGTCGATGAACTTTTTGAGGGCCCTGAGTAGCTTGGACGTGTCGGCATCGGTCGCTTTGATGTCCTGTTTAAGCTCTGAGATGCGCTCTCTGGTGATTTGTTTGGGACTCATGGTCGTCCTTGACTCGACCTCGTCACGGAGAGACTGTATTCGTCTCTCCAGCGCTTTGGTCAGGGCTGTCTGGTCCGACAGACTTGCCTTTTCGGCATCTAGCTTGTCCTGGGCATCCTTGAGCGACAGTTTTTGTAAAGCAAGGTATTTCTTCGACTCAACGATAGTCGAATTTGTAGTACGCAGGGCTACGAGTGCCGGTACAACAGAGTCAGGGAAGGGCAAAAAAGGCTCTAATGCAGCAACATCTCGATATGCTACGGCGACTTGTTGTAACTGCTTGCTGGTACTGATAAACTTGCCCTGCCTCTGTTTCCCATGGCTCTTTTGTGAAATGGCCGCACACTTCTCATTCTCCTGTGCCGTGGTCAGTCTGAGACGTGTGCATGTTGTTTACACATGAGTGGGGCCAAACCTCTGCAAGCGCTCGCTTCAGCTGTTCGACCTTTTTTGATAACTCCTTCCTCGAGCGTTCCAGGTAGCCTGGGTGCAAGTCTTCGCTGGTCAAGGCCGATGCAGGCTCTTCTTCCATCTTGAGCACACTGAGCCCCGCCGTCGCGTGGGAACGCGTCGGATGAAGCTACCCTCGAGGCAAATTTTGGTGCGAGTGCTCTCGGGGGCGTCAGAGCATCAACGAGCTCGGTCCGATTGGCCAAGGCACAGGTTGACGAATCAGCTCAGCTAGGGGTAGCTTTGTGAAGCAAGGTTCTAGAAGACGAGTTTCAAGGAGACCTCAAGTGTGCATGTAGCATTTATGCGCCGAGCGACGTCCCCAGCGTGTACGGCAGTGAGGGTAGATCCGGAAGACGGGAAGGAGGTGCCGCCGTATGCAAATCCCGGGCAAAGCGCCGCATGGGTACCTAGGAAATGCTCCGTAGGTGCCCGTCCACAGCGCAACCAGGCGTCCCAGGCGTGCCAGGGTAGGTGCTTTGTGCAGGTCTGGGCGTGAGACGAATTGGGGGGAGGGGAATGCGTTGGCGGACCTTTTTTTTGTGTCGCCTCCTGCCCAGCTGTTCTGTTTCATTCCGCTGTGGAACAATCCTGCTGGAAGCAAGACAGCCAATCTGCACGGAAATATTGATAGATGCGCCTCCTTTCACGCCCCGTCTCATGGTAACACAGGCATGGTGATCAAGGTGTGGGCGGCCGTTAGGGGCTACCTAGGGGTCTGAGCAGTGCGGGCTGCGTACTGTGGCAGTGGTAATGTGCCAGGTGGCAATCAAGAGCCGTCCCCCGGCCCCACTATCAGAACTTTGTGTAGCCTTAGCCTGCCCGTTGCCCAATGGCCAGGGCCTGCAGGGCGGCCTGGAGGAATGGTGCACGGGCCAGGGTCCCATAATATTTGACCTCCTGCCCTGCCAGTCTGCCAGTCTGCCCAGCCGACGCCTCTCTCTCTGCGAAGGGGCATCCGCCGACGGCACGGCACACCTCTCCTCCAGTTTCATCCCAACCAGCTTCTTTCACTGTAAGTCTCTGAATCTCGACCCCATCCCTTCCCGCCGGCCAAAGCACAAGCATCAACCGCCTGTTGCATTGTGTTTGCGCGACGTCCGAACTCGCATCGGGCAAGTTTAAGCCTTTCTCCACGCGACCCCACGACTGCCTGCCCTCTCGATCTCTGTCTCCCTCTTCCCGCTGCCCAAATTCTCAACCTTGTCTCCATCTCCCCGCTACACCCAACGACCCCTTTGGCGATCAATCACCCCGTCACCCAGATCCTCGTCGCCACCATCTACACCACGCCAGTCACTTTGTCTTCAACTGACCACCCCTTGCCTAGACTGTAGTACACAGTACCCATAGATCCTCACTCTATTTTTGCCCCGTAGGCAGTACGGTACGTGTTGCCCCAAAATGTGCGTTGCTGCGGCCTCTGCTCCGTCTCGTTTCAGCAATCACCTCCCCCTACCCAGCTCCCCCCAGCTTCCACACAAGCTCCCCATCATCGTTCATATTCCCTTCTCGCGTCACATCGCGACTTTCCTCTCGCACTTCCATCTCCCCCCCCCCCTACTTGTCACACACACACGCCAACAGGCACCGTCTCTCGCGCCCATACATCTAACACGGTTGCAGACTGACAGACGAGGTCCAGCATCGACGCCGCGTCGAGCTAGCTCTAAGCCAGCCCCAAGGCGGACATCTCGGGTGCTTGCTGCTGTTTTGTGACGGAGCAAAAAGGTTTGAGATCTGGTTCTCTCGGTATCCTGCCTGCCTGCTTGCCTTATGCTCTCAAGCATCACCGTACCCGTCACCTTCTGAGTTCTTTTGAGCGCCTGCTTCAGCACATCAACTCTTCATCTCGCGCCTCCCTTGACTACATCTACCCGACCTCCAGCCTCAGCCTTACGTCTCAAACCTCAACCTCAACCTCAATATCTTGGCCCGCACACCGCCTCGCCCTGCTCCCGACCAGAGCTGCACCTCATCATTCATCTGAAGCAGTCATCAGAGGAGGTTGTCTTCCCAGCACTTCCCCTCTTCCGCAGTGTCAGCAGTCGCCCTCCGCGATAGTTTTCATCCGGCCTGCTTTTCATACCCGAGACCTCGATCCCAGTTGCCTACCAGCCCGTCCGATCAATCTACATCACTCCCGACGCGCCACTACACCTGCACGTTTTCCTTGCGAATCCGCCCCCACAGGTGTAGATAGGACCAAGAATTCAATTCAATACGATTTTACCAAGACAAGAACCGCCGCACTTCTGCTCCGCGAGACAAGATGTCGGCCTCACCCCCAACCCAGTCCGCAAAGCGGCCCCTCGAGGAGACCTCATCCCCATCTCGAACCGACCAGCCTGACGCGAAGCGACCCGCACTGGACAAGGTCCTTCGTGGTGAAGAGGAGGAGATTCAGCTCAAGACGGATGTCCCCTCCGAGAACGGCCACGAAGATACCGTGGAGACACCAGCTGCCGAGATCAGCTCGAACGGCGAGACCAAGGCCAACGGAGACGCAGCTGAGACACACGACGGCCAGAGCGATGCTGCGGTGCCCGAGGTCGCCGGAGAAACCAAGCCCATCGTGACCACCAGCTCCCTGGGAGGTGGCAACTCGGCCCAGGCTGCTTCCGCTCATGACGAGACAGCGTGGATCCACATCAGAGCCGTGATTACAAGCCCCGAGGCGGCCACCATTATCGGCAAAGGAGGCGAGAACGTCTCGAAGATCAGGCAGATGTCGAACGCGAAGTGCACTGTCAGCGACTACCAGAAAGGGGCCATAGAGCGAATTCTCACCGTGAGTGGCAGTGTCGATGCTGTCGCCAAGGCTTTCGGGTTGATCATTCGCACTCTGAACAACGAGCCTCTGGCCGAGGCTTCGAACCCACAGTCCAAGACCTACCCACTTCGACTGCTGATCCCGTCCATACTGATTGGTTCCATCATCGGCAAAGGAGGCGCTCGAATCAAGGAGATCCAGGAGGCTTCCGGTGCCCGCCTGAATGCATCCGACTCGGTACTTCCGCTCTCAACAGAGCGCTCACTGGTTGTCATGGGTGTCGCCGATGCTGTCCACATTGCTACCTATTATGTGGCCAGTACTCTGCTCGAGCAGCTCAATGAGCGTTTTGGCGGCCCCGCGGCATCTGCTTACGCAACGCGAAGCGGTGGTCCAGCTGGAGCCATCCCCGGAGGAATGCAGGTCGTCCCATACATGCCTCAGCCCGCGGGCGGAAACTTTGGCCGAAGTGAGAACTACGGAAGGAACCAGCCTCGGCATGATCCGCGCGGCCAACAGATGCCACCATCGTACATGCCTCCCTATGGTGGCCAGCCACCCCATGCTCAACCAAACCCGGCCATCCCCGTTCACTATGCCGGTGCCCAGGCCGGTGCAGCTTACGGACCGGCGGCTCACATGCAACAGCCTCATCATGGCCCTCACGTCGGAGCGCACCCCCACGGCGGCCCCCAACCGCAGCAACCGATGCACGGTGGTGCAGGAATGCCTGGAGCCCCTCTCACGCAGCAGATTTATATTCCCAACGATATGGTCGGCGCCATCATTGGCAAGGGAGGTCAGAAAATCAACGAGATCCGGCAGATCAGCGGCAGTGTGATCAAGATCAACGAGCCACAGGATAACAGCAACGAGCGCCTTGTCACCATTACTGGCACGGAGGAGTGCAACCGAATGGCCCTATACATGCTTTACTCCAGACTCGGTGAGGCGTCCAACAAGGGACCGGTCCCGGCAGGTCGAGGCTAATTTCCGACGCAGAGAGCGAGAAGCACCGTATCTAGAGACAAGACACGGGCAGTACAAGGCGCTCTCTACCAAGCGCAGCGCTCACATGGGCATTGCCAACAATGCCTTGTCAGACAGGTTTGAGCATTCGTTTCTCGGAGTACTTCGGACTGAACAAGACTGAATGTCTGAATGGGAGGAGTTAAGACGGTATCTCAAAAACATTGGCCTTCCCGTCTACGGATACACATGGAGCGCACCCGGGGGGTTTCATGACTTCTTTAGCTCCAGCTGACTTGCGCGGCAAAAGTCTTTCTAATGACACACTCTTTCATTTCTACACTGATGCCCTCGTTCTGTCGCCCTCGATCACCGTCTATGCCCTTTTGCTCGCCGCCGTCCACATCTACCACTTGTTGTGCATTGCCTGTCCCACTCGTCCCGTCCCGACACCATCATGAACGTGCCCGTATATACAAAAGTAACTTCCCATGTGCCAACTGCATATCCTTTACATGCCTGTTCTCGTGTGTACACCTGTCCGGGTGGACGGCCGACGCACATCCTCGAGCTGAGATGCACCCCTCTGACCTTGCGGATGAAGTCCATTCGACCCTCCCTGGCACCACCTCCCAGCCCCGGCCGAGTCATGATACCGCAGTTTTCGCATTGTTACTTTGATGCACGGTTCTCTTGGCTAACCTGGTTGCACTGCAGCAGGGTTTACATCGACACCGGGTCAGTTGACCGCCGCCGCCGCACATGGATGCTGGCTCGTCCACCCTGCCCGAGTCGCCGATCTGGCGGAGTACTCGATTCTTACGGTGCCGTTTCGGATGATTTGGATAAGTACTACGTATGTGTAGATAAAGCCCAGTCATGGGGATCCTCGTAACGTGAAAGCAGGTATTCTGACATGGTCGATCCATTGGCATATCCTCAAGAACTAAAGAAATTGTGCTAGGTGGTTTGTCAATAGTACTCGATATCGTAGAGGGTGCACAGTGTAGATCCATATCACAGTCGGTAGGGATGTACTTGCTTTTTCCAGGCACACTCCACAGAGTTAAGTGTACACTATAATGTCGCATGAAGCACAGTTCATTTTGAAATGATTTGTATTGTGTCAATCTGCGATTGTACCGAGCTGATACCATGCTATGTGCCGTGTAATTCAATCCCAAGTAGCGCCAAACTGTGCCAACCTTGATCCCGAGGTCTTAATCATACATGTTGCGGATTCCATGAGCCGAGCTCGGGTGAACTCCCAACTCCCGACCACATACACTAAGTGGAAGGTCCTCGTACCCAGCTATAGTGCCGTTGGTCAGCTTCATTCTCGATATGAATTCACCTGGCAAACCATCATGAGACAAAATACAAAGCACTTACTTGTTCCACATCTTGCCAAAGATGCCTGGTGGTGGCCTTTGCTCACTCAGACTCTGACGGCGGGCGATGAGGGCCGGGTCATTAGGACGCTTAGTCTCGTGGAGCGAGGCGAAGAGGGGGCCAGAGCCGCGACGACCTGATCTGGTTGGTGAGACTGGGGAGGTGGCGGACGACTCGGATGAGACAGAGTTGGAGCGTTCGGTCTTGTCCATGTTGACTGGTCTGGTTGTAAGATTCTTGATCTTTGTAGTAGGGGCGCTTTCGCGGTAGTCGTATTTCACACAATAATCGTATGTAGCAGAGGGCTGGATGATGGTTCAAAGCCACAGACACAAGCAAAGACAGCGAGGAGGAGCGGGGTATTTAAACCATCGCGATGACAAGCTCTCAAGGCACGGCAGGGAAGCTCAAGCCGCTCGCTTGCGCGGAGGACGCAACCAATGCGTCGCAGCTGGGCGGATAGCTGGGTGAATAAGCTTTCACAGCGTCAAGGCCGATGATCTTTGCCAATGAGGTGATGCCCGTCCCATCCCAGAGCCACGGCAGAGCCGCCAATCTGGCCCCTGATCGGGACATTATGACGATGACGGTTGGGGGAAGCCCGATCAAAGGGGGAGGCGGGCAAGGATCCTACCGCGGAGGGGGCCATGTCCGTCCTGTCAGCCTGGACCAAGGAGGGTTACTCGGTCTGGTCCGTGTTAGCTATTAACTCGCACCACAAAAGGCATACCTCTCGTCTGATGGGGTATACCTTGGGCTTGCGGCCAGGAAGTGTGGAGGTCAAGGTACCACCCTCACCAAGGACATAACACTACCCCGCAGACAGACCACATACAGCAATCGAATGATGGTCGCGTGCTGCTGAGACGCGAGGAGGCAAGCTGACCAAGGAGAGGGTGCAGATGGGGCTGTCCCATGTGCCCCATCTCCCCCCTACATCGTCGTGCTGTGGCTAACCGTTTAGCTATTGGCATGAATGGCCCCAGAATCCACACGATCGCACGTTCCAGCAAGTTCTAGCCCTCGATGCCTTGGCTGTCGTCCCTAGTGGGGCCCAGATCGAAGCCTGCCTAGAAGGCCCCTCGCTGGCAGCAGAGAGGACTGCACTACTAGTAAGAGGCATGATGTCTGATAGAACGACGACACTGACTAGTAGCACCCTCGCATGGCCTGCGCATGGCCTGATCGAGCTAACAAGTCGTCAGAGCCTATCATCGAAAGGCGCCGGGCCCGGCGGTTTCATGAGGAATGCCCACACGACGAACAAGGGAGGGCCGGTTGCTGATCCGGACGAGTGAATCGAGTGAATCGGCCGTGACGATCGGAGCCGTTGTCGATGACGACTGAGGGGGCTCAGCAATCGGCCGCGAAGTGGGTCTTCCCGTGCTGGAACTCAGGGTCCGGGGAGCTAGGGAGGGGCCCCGAGGGCCGGCTGTGGGGCACCGCTACCCTGAACAGGGTAAGGAGGGGCCCTGTGCTAATGCAGCCGTGGCGCTCTGGCTGGGCTTATCATTGTCTTATGTGCCAGTGTGTCCTGCAAGCCATGCTCAGTGATCCTCGCGTGGTGAAGACTGACGACGGACCACGCGTGTATCAGTAGCTTTTCCAGCCAGCCATATGGTGATCCAATTGGCGACAATAGGTGTAAAGTGAGGGAGGCCTGTGTTTGACCGCTGGTGACTGCGAAGCAGATAGCATCGACCATCTATCGACGCATGTAAGATGATTGGACGTTGGCCGCGAAGCTCTGGTCGATGCCATGCATTACACTCGCCCACCATCTCCTCCACATGTTCTGCTCGGTTGTTTCCGAAATATTGTCTGTGGTTTTAATTTTAGTTTCTAGCTGATTTGACCCTCTTGACAGCACGTAAATGGGCCGGCCGCCTCGACCTCGCAGACTTTGAGGTACATTGTATCTCTGTGTTCTTGGTAGCGGGACCAACAGTGTGAAGGTATGCTAGATCTAGATGCTGTATTGTGTGTATGCATGAGTTCCTGGTACCAAGAATTCCACCACTCAGTCAGGGTATGGTCTGACACGCTTGTACACATGCAGCGCTCATCTTGCCGACTTGTAAACCATTGTCTCCTTCTACCCACCAATTCTCAAATTCAACCGGGAGTGAAGGGTCTCTGTGACGGGGCGCATCAAAACAGCATCAGAGATGCGCCGTCCCCGAGCCGGGAAAGTTGGTCAGCCGGTAGCAATCGATGATCGGCTTTCCCTCGGTCATCACCATCACCCCAACGGCAACAACTGAGTTCATCCATTCGTAGGGGCTCGCACCCGCCGCCTCGAACGTGATCTGCGTGAAGTACTCGGCCTGGTCTTGTGAGATGGTCAACGGCTTGCCTGGCTGGGGTGGCCAGGCGGCATCAATGCCGTCCATGGGTGGCCCCCCAATCACGGTCCCCACAGCATTGACCAAGATGAAGTGGCCATCGTCCGTCTTGAGCGTGTAGCGAGCATTTAGCTTGGTTGGGGCCTGCCACAATCTCAGCATGAAGATGTGCCAATTGACTCCGATTTGTAATAAGCCGGGGCCGGGAGGGCAACCTACCTTTGGGGACTCGAGGCGCTGGGCCCAATCTGCGCCGCTGTTCTTTACAATCTCGCCGTTGATATGTGGCCCTCGTACCGTGCCGCCAACGATTGGGAGGACCATGCGCGTCACTGCGCTACCCTGCACATTTGGGATCGGGGATGCGCCTGGGTCCATCTCTGCCACGATCCGATATATGAACTCGAGATGCGGCCGGCGCATCGGAGGCTCTCCCGACGAGAAGTCGTTGCCTGGTGAGGGGGTGTGATTTGGCGCCATGATTTTTTTTATGATATATTTCCTTCCGACTATACTCTCTGATGAAAAAACGAGAACGGGTATATATATATATTAGATTTGGCACCTCAGAGTTGTAGTTGTTCCTTATATTATCTCTCCTCACCCGCAAAGCCCGAGAGGGCGTGTAGCGCGGTTGTTGTGTCGGCATGGGGAAGCCATCCGAGATGCCTCGGCGGCTCCTTGTTCCGACTCAGTATGGTGCGGCCGTACTATCAGAACAATCCCAACTCTGCGCGAAACAATTTGGCTATCATGGCGTAAAAACTGCGGGCACATGACAGCTTACAGCTCCACTCACACCGGGGCGAGCTCGCGCCACTGTCACAAATGTGAAGATCCAGTTCAGGTCCTCGCCAGGTTACTGTCTGCCTGCTTGAGTGCTTACTTGGGTACACAGATGAAATCAGCAGCATCCCCTTCCCAGGTATGATAACCTCTCCCTGCCTTAATCCAGGCTCAATCAGCTGGAAACGATGACAAGAGTCTGGGCAAGTCCACAATATGAGTGAGATACCGGTACCGGTACATGATGTCCAGTTCAACTGGTCAGGAGCCGCATGTCTCAAACGGAAAGTAATATCAGGTCGTCGTACATGCATGCACAACCAACGACATCGAGCGGAGAGCCATGCATCTATTGTTGGTTGGTTCTGCTGGCATGCGCCGCATGCACAGGTTATTTCCGGGCGCCAAGATGTCCTTGAAAGGGGGGCACAGCATCGTCCAGGTGCCTGAATGAAGTTTCTTGTTTTCTCTTCACTTTAACACCCGTGAAGAGAACTTCAAGTCGAATTTCTCTCCAGTCTGGAGCCCGGAGAGTCGGCAGAGCCACCATGTTCGGTTTCGCAATCAGGCGTGCTCGAGGCGCGTCACGGATCCAAGCTCGGTCGTTGTCATGCCCCTCATCTCGCGACGTCATAACCTGTGCCGCCCGGGGTGGATATGAGAGGGGAAGGGGATCGAATGGATCACAACAGTCGAACAATTCCAGCGGTCATGGACAGCGACATAGTAGCCGTCTTCCTCTCAGGTCAACGGCCGTGGCTGGCGTCTCCACGCTTGCCGGCGCAGTCATCTCTAATAACGACTCGGAAACCCCAACGTCACCTACTTATGCGTTCAAAGACCCTTCAGGCTGGGACTATTGGGACAGCGACCCCTCAGCATATCTTGACCTGTTAATGAGAACTCGTCAAGCAATAAACGATAATTCCATCGAGGAGGCCCACAAATGTCAATTTCACCTCACGCGTGACTTTCTCAACTGTTGTCTCCACGGCGAACTCATTGACGAAGGACCCCTTCCGAACGACATTATGTTTGGCGCCGGCCAGTACGTGAGGAAGGAAGATACAAGGGTCTTCTGGATGCCATCTCCAGAAACGGGCAAAAGCTCCATACTATGCCTATCGGTGCATGCCGACCTAAAGGGTGATGAGAGGGAGTTGCGATTTCTGGGCTGTGCTATAGGGCCTCAGATGTGCAAGCGCCTGCTCGAGAAATTCAAGGACGATGGCGGAACACGCATCTTCGTCCACGTTCATTTTCCTGCGGGCTTCTTTTGTATTGGTATTCTCCGCGAGGACCTCGTGAACTGGATTGACCGCGAAAAGGCCATGTCCGACAAAGTAGAGTAGCATGGGGCATTGGTTGAATGGCAGATAAGTTATCTAGGTGCCCATGTGGAGACCTAACTCGGATATGGAACCACGCCTTGGGAGGTTCTCGGTCGAGGACTATTCCACGTTGCGAAATGGGCTCACTGCCGCGGGTCATATTGTATATATCCGACGGAAGGAAGAGGTGACTGTCTCATTGACTATTTAGATATATCTATAAGATCCAGAATCCTACGCCCCGCAGAGCCCTGGTGCTGGGTTGGCATATTGCTTAGTGTTATTCGGGGCCGTGAATTTAGACCTTCCTTAGTAGGCAATGCTGATACAGATAATGCAACATCCGCTGTCTCGGGAAAACGAGAGTTGGCCCCCCCCTGCAAAATGCCCCCTGTTCAAAAGTTAAACACTCCCTTTTAAAAGTAATTTCCTTTTAATAACTATCCTAATACTTAACTTAAAAATATATAAAAAATATATTTATAATCCTTATTAAAATCTCTATATAGCTATATTTTTCAAATATTTATTATCAAGCTTTTATCATAAAGGATATAGAGGCTACTTAAGTTAATAAAATAAGTAAGTATATAAACCTATTAGGTAGTTTAACCTATAACTTTAGTAATATATAACCTTTAAATAAAAATTATTTTAAAAATTTTATCTTATAAAGAATTTTATAAGGATCTTTATAATATTTTTATTATATTTTTAAGTAAGTATTTTAGGTAGTTATTAAAAGAAGACTACTTTTAAAAGAGAGTTAAGAAATTGGTCTAACTTTTGAACAGGGGGCATTTTGCAGGGGGGGGGCCAACTCTCGTTTTTCCGAGACAGCGGTACTTGCAAGAGCAATCACCCTCGTATCGCTATTATCGCCGTGGCACCACCTCAAAGCTGGTTTGACACATAAACTCCACTTAGTCTGCAACCCCAATGTTACTCCTCAGTATAAAACTTGTCACTTATGGCACGTTACAATCCGGATTAGGTTTGATTACCGTTCCCAGAGGGCCACCTACCGCAGTTGGACTCTTTTAGCCGCGGGGAAGTGGGTGAGGATATTGGCTGAGATGCTCATTGATGGACATGACACGAGAGAGTCGCTCTTTACCCTATGAATTTACCACCAATGTTAAAAACCGGGGCTGACGATATAAAGTGCTTGCTTGCGCTGCTCTACCTCTGACCCACGTTCCGGCAGTTCAAATAGTGCATGTCCTGATCGGCTCACTGGCGCTCAGTCTCTGTGTGCATCTGTGAATCTTTGGATGCCGATTTCAACATCGACCACGGGAGTCCTATCGCGATAGACAACCTCGCCAACCCAGTCATTGTGAAGCTGCACCATCCGAAGAGAATGCGGTACTACGCGCTGGCGAGAGCTCTGCTCTTCCAGGTCCTCCTCTGCAATGTCCTCGCTGCCAATATCAGAGCCATATATCTGTTCAAAGACGTGATGAAGTCCAACACCGCAGCTCTCAAGTCATCTGGCTTCAACAGTCTGATTATGTTCGGTGTTGGCGTGCTGGATAATGGCGACATCAGTAAGAAGCCCTGGAAGGATGATTTGAGTCTATGAACAACCGATCGCGAGCCCATCGTCATGTTCGAAAAGCCCAATTCCAGATGGCACGGCTAATCTGACGTGTGTTAGTGTACTACTCAAACACGCCCAACAGCTCAGACGTCCTCGTCGCATCTGACGGCGCCTACGTCGGCGGCACAGCACTGTCAGACAAGGTGAAGTCGTTCAAGACAGGCACAACGGGCGTCAACCGGGTCGAGATCTCAATGAACTCGCAGCACATCAAGGAGCTGGTGGCCAGCCCAGGCACGGGGTCCTCAACGCGGCTGTACCGCAACTTCGCGGCGCTCAAGACCGCGTGGGGCCTCGACGCCGTCAACAACGACGACGAGTCCATCTACGACGTGGCCAGCACCGTGGCGTTCGGCCGCATGCTGGGAAACATCGGCTACAAGTACACCATCGCCCCTTACACCAACTCGGGCTTCTGGAACTCGGTCCGCTCGCAGCTGAACAACGGCCTCGCGGAGCCGAACCTGCTGCTCGACAGGGTCTACCTGCAGTGCTACGACGGCGGCGCCGGCAACGACCCCGTCGGCTGGCAAACCACGCTCAGCATGAAGGTCGTGCCGCTCCTCTGGGTTATCAACGACTCGAAGCCCTCCTACGGCCAGACACCCGCCCAGGCGCAGTCGAGCTTCAGCAGCTGGCAGTCGCGGAGCGCGCTGGGTGGAGGAGGCTACTGGAATGACTATGACATTGAGAAGATGGGATCGTCGTATACCGACTACGGAAATGTACTGAAGACCGTTTTCCCTTAAATAGTCATCGTGTTACGGCATTTTTTTTCTTGATACGGCCGAGATCAGCGACTGATCGAGTCAAACATTCGGATAGTCAAGGAGAAAAGTCCGCCAAGGAATTGAACTGGAAATTCAGAACGCAACACTCCACAAGTCACCGCTATAATTTTATTTGAAGGCTTGCTAAAGTGCGACTCTGAGGCGTGTTTCCCATTTGTCTGTAGCACTTATTGAAACGACATAACTCGTACTGCAGAAATTCTATTGGCCACGTCTGATCGTGAACGTTAGCAGTCCAAATGACCCAGTGAGACCACGTACTCGGCAGAGTTTCTGGCCAAGGTAGCACTAGTCAGACAGTTCCGATTGACTTTCACTTAAAATAACGATGGTCCTGATCGTCGTCCTCTTGAATTTGGGGTGACATGAATGGCCGAGAGAGTCAAGGATGGCAACCAGTTTATACTGGCTCAGAAATCATTAGCATCTGGTGTTTCTTGGGCCGGAGCAGCAGTGGACGTCCGTAATATTGAAAAACAACTTCATGTTTGGATATCATATCTCGTGACTATCTATAGCTGTCTAAATGTATGTCTGTCGAGTGCCCTGTTAAGCACTCTGGGATCGTATTTACAAGCTATAAGGTGTATCCTTCCGGGTGATGTAAATCTCTCCCACGAGGACGGTGCAGCCGACGGTCATAGCGATGGCAATTATCGGGACGTTGACACGGGCGAATTCCATTCGTCGGATGTGGATGTGCTTCCTTTCCAGGATATCCCGCCACAGCAGCCCTGCCAACGATGCGCTGAAAGCTGTGCTGAAGGCGCCATAGTTGACTCCTAGTGCCATTGAGTAGACGGTTGCCCAAAAGGTCCGATCGCTGATAGCGTCACTACCAGGCTCCAAGCGTATCCTCTGCCAGGCTTGGATGACCCGAGATAGAAAAATCGTTGTGCCGATATTAGTTCCTGCAAACTGGAAAGAGAGCAGAGTAAGCACAAATTTATAAGATGACTCAAAAAATCCACGGTGACTTACATTGCAAAAGATTACCGAGAGGAAGCCCATCCCGCCGATGGCTCCGACTGTTCCTGTTTTACTCACCCAATGATCCCACCCGTATGCAAATACCGAGACCCAGCCTTTCGTAACGAGTGCCTGGACTAGGACAAACATTGAGAAGGCGAATGGGACAAGCGCGAAGGGCAGATGTGATATCACGGCCATGACAGTGGGGAATGTTTCCTGCGACCATCGATACCCATCTTTGCACAAGGACACAAGCGTCGGCGGGTCCAGACTCCTCCCGCTGTGTCCTGCCCTCTCGCCCAGATCGCCCATTTGCTTCCGGTCTGTGGATGCACTGATGCCCAGAATCGGGGCGCCTTGGACCAAAACGTCGATTTCGTTCGCATGGGGAAAGTCGGCTCTCTTCTCGGAAATGGCCCGGGCCCGGCTAGAGGGCCGGCTGTTGTCAGATGTGTTTCCCACCGCAGAAGACACTGATGGTTCCGGGCGTGGACTCGACTCGGACGCCGGCTTGATGCTGGCCTCGCTTGTCGGGCCGGCAGGCGTGAGCGTGAGGCGAGGGGTCAGCCCTCTTCCGGGACTCACTGGCGGCGTGTCATAGTCTGGGTTTTTGACATCCTCCTTAGCAACAGCATGGGTGTCCTGAAATTGAATCTCAGGCCAAGCTTCTCGAGAGAGGCTTCTTGTCATAGACAGAATCTCCGTACCGGCCCCAACGTGGTCGCCGTTCATCTGTCGTCTCTGTGCTCTCTCCAAATGAGCCCGTTCAACCTCAGCTCGTCCCTTGCGAGAGATTTCCCGTGTTTCCTTCCGGTGGATCCAACCGAACGCGAGATCCCAGCACAGCATGACAAAAGCAGCCGGCAGCGTGACCCAAAACACCTGGAAGTGCTCGTCATTCTTCGCCTTGACGGTGGCAGCGTTGATGGCCAAGACGGTAATAAGTGTTACCGACATGATAATAGCACCGAAAGCCGCGCCTCCCTTGTCCAAGAAAGGGTTCATAATCTCGACAAGAGAAAGGATCTGGCCTTCATCGTCGTTCGCATGGGCGTCCTCCTTCTCTTCTGCGATTCCTCTGGCGTTTGGAATATTGGGGTTGACAGCAGGTTTCGACGTGGCCTCTGCTGGAAGCTCGCGCATCTTTATGGAGACGGGGATGAGGCCCTCATTCGCAAATATGATGTATAGCAGGAACGGAAATAAGACAACTGCTGTAACAACAACAGGAACCACCATGTTCGCCGTGTAGTTGATGAACCTGATATTAAAAGCCCCTGCGAGGACAAGGTTGGTGGGATTAGATGAGACGAGGACTGCTGAAGCAATGTTTGCTATTGAGAACTGAGTAAAAATCCAGGCTCTGGGGTGTTTAATATTGTTCGAAACCCGCGTCATGTAAGCAAGGAATGCTGTACCAGACAAAATAATTGGGTCATTGCCGATGAAAACACCTAGGCTGAAGAAGAAGGCATATAGGTAGAAGAATAACCTATGGCCGACTTCACCTCCCCATTGCAAGACCTTGAGGGCTAGGTATCTGATGAGACCAGACGCATCAATCGAAATTGCAATGTAAGCTAGAGTGATAAAGAATATCATGATGTCTAGAGGGAAAATGCCGTTGTCTCCAAGAGTGCCGGCCTTGACTTCGTCCCTTCCAATGGCCAGGATGGCGAGCAGGAAGAGGTCTGCGATCAAAGGTGCCGTGACAGAATTCATCGGGAATCTCTTGCGCATGATTTTGGTGGTCTTGCTGTCAGGCTGTCCATATTGACAATCCTGTGCTGTTATGCTCGGTGGTATCACACGTAGTGCAATGAGAGAATTCTGAAGAGCTTGCCAAAGTCGAGTGGGAATATACACGGGTATGTGAAAAGGAAACAAGACAGCAATATCTTGATTCCCTGTTAGCGGTGCTCGACCAACGCAACGACCATAATAGATGCAAAACTGGAGCAGTCAAGCCGAGTCTTCGCGTACCACTTACTGGCGAGAAGAAAGACAATAAGCGTGATGATAGACCGCCAATCTCTTATCTGATCCGTCTCAATGCTAACTCCATAGATGTCCATCGTCGCGATCGAATCTGTTCCGCAAAACAGATTTTCGCGGAATAATGCATCAAGGCTGGCTTTGCAAAGATAAGAGGTAGTATCAGGTGGAATCGCTCCTGTAACCCACACCGTAGTGTTACGAGCTGAGATGCTAAGGTCAGTAGCCAAGGTGAGGCTCTACAGAAGAACAAAGGAACCGAGAGCCTCGCTTCGGTGCCCGGAGCGTAAGCCCTAGAAAGCCTGGTTTTCACACCTGACCGAACCCCGCACTTTTGACGTTGTACGACATGCTTGTAGAATTCCTTCCTATTTTTGCCAAGATGAACTATCCGAAATGAGAATGCTACATCACCGATCTAAGTGGCTGTTCTCCGTTGACCGCGGGAACGCCTCCCGAGCTAAGGGCATCACTTCAAGCTAAGTCAACCAAGTTGGGCTTTGCTCAAATTTACAGCACTTGAGATGTTCAAACTGACTTTCCGTCCTGGAAGAATGGGACTACATTCCCAGGAGAGCGGGAAAATGTTCCAATCTGGGCCAAGTTTGTTTCAATTTGCGGAATATGATTCACATGCTCACCATTCCTGATAATAATTTCGATGGGGAGTCCAACAGTGATCTTTGAGTTATGATCCATCCCCCTCTGCTGCGTCGGAAAAATATACCCCTAGCATTTATATCCCGTGGTGGACCAATGTGAGTCACTGATGCGTAGCGAGCCACTGGCGATGTACTTCGTTCTTGTCGTAACGAGACCTTCTGATTGAGATCCTGCCCGCTCTAGTATGTTGTGTCCTTGTATACCGCCTTATCGCAAGCGTTTCCGAATCCACCAAGTGCAGATGGCACAGACGACTCTATAGCGATCTCTTCTGGTCCACTCTGGACAATAGGTCGGTATTTCCGATATAGGATCTCGACAATGGTGACGCTAGTAAATAATCCCATGCAGTATGATATGATGAGGACAGAAAGATATTCAAGACAAGTCCTAATGTCCGATTCGAAAGAGTTTATGAACAAAAAGAGGAGAAACGCGAGGGCTGGATATACCCAAAGCATGAGAGGTACGAGCTTCTGCCATTCTATTCGAGTGAAGACTGCCAGATGAGAAAGTACTCCAAGTAGAGCAGTGAGTGCGCCTAATAAGGCGAATTCTCTTGTAGAAATCATAGTTTCGGGGAGTGAAACCTCTTCGAGTGGCGATTCTCAATGGATAAATGGATGGACAAGACGTGGGCAGATGCTTCCCGGAGGACTGATTTAGCAAGACTTGTAGAGGTGCGACCTAAGAGATATAAGGTGGACGCGGGTGCATGGGGCATGGCCACCCTTTGAGACCAACATGTTGTTGGTACGCTCTGTGAAATGATTGCTAAAATTGGAAACGCGGGCGGCTAAGGGCAGGCCTGGGCCTGTTGTTGGTGTTGGGCCGAGGCGTGGACTGCGGCACAGTGTAATGAAGCCCAGTCTTGGAAAGAATCACCAGCCACCGGAGAATTTGCAACAGCTGCCGTCGTAATAGCTGTACAGAGACCAAATAACCCCATGATGAAACGTTAAAATCTACTGAACATGAGCTTGAAATCTGCCCAAATGAAGGCATACAAGGACACCGCCAATCAGCCGATGTGACTCGACAGGGTTCAAACGCAACCAACAGGTCCCACATCTATGTTGTAAGGAAATGCAACCACAATGAATGCAGGTTCAAACTGCCCGAGTCATCTTTAAACATCTCTATAAAGACAATTATGGCTATCTAGAATCGATGATGAGCCGACGGTGGCACCTCAAGTGTTGCACGACGCATCGGTGAGCGGCCCCTTGAGCCGTCTGCTGTACCCTCGGCTGGTCTCGGTTGGTCAAAAGACAGATGTCGAGAGGGACTCCGTGACGGAACCGAGTTCGCATGTGGTCTCTGACTCCTCCCACGGGGCGAGAAGGTCACTTGTACTGGCGATGTGGGCGACGTGGGCGAACCCGGCGTTGGAGCCACCGAGCCGCCATCACTACCTTCTTGGGAATCCCTCGGACTGCTCCGCCCTTCCCCCATGCTGAAGCGATCTTCGTGCTCGGCCATAAGGTGGTTACGATAGACTTCTCCTGGTATTTGGGGCCACGCGCCGGTCTTGAAGTCGCCAGCCCGAAGGGGTCTTTTGCTGGGTTGCCGAAGTAATTGCCTATTTTCCCCAGGGCGTTGGCGATCTTTCGCCGCGGGTCCCGTTGGACTATTGATTCCACCACAGAAAGCCTGCCTTCTGGCCCAGGGAAGCTCTCCTGGTGCTCCTGATGGCTCGTGCTGGCTCGTGGGCTTGGGGCGTCGTCAAGCGTCCTTTGAGACTGCCCAGAGCCGTGGCAGTGCGGGCAGTTGCAATGAGTCGTGGGACCGAGGTTAGCGAGCTCGCCCTCGCTGTCTGCAAGCCAGACATAGAGCGAACCGAGACCTGCCATTCCGGTTCCAAGGATCGTTGACCATTGCCCTGGATGGGTCAGCCTCAGCTCGGGAAGACATGGAACAGTGGACTACGTACCGACAGTGCTTATTGGCTCAGTATGGTACGTGAGCTGGGGGCTCCGGAAGTTGATCTCGCCGACAATGAGCACAGCTAGCCAAGCACATCCAAACACCGGGACCTCAACTGCACTCAATAGAGACCGGATGGCCTGGTTGACGTCTTTCATGCCCTTGAAGGTGGCACCATTTGTCCCCGGAATGATCCGCCGGTCCTCCGACTTCTCTCTCTCCAGAGCAGCGCGCCCTCGGCGTGCTTTCCAGTTGATGTCCAATATCTTGTTCCACATGGAAACCAAGGAGAGAATGGCGGGGACGCACTCAGCCGCAGCGAGGAACATGGCCATGCCGAAGGGCAGCGTCGCTGGTTTGGGAACAACGTAGATCTCGCTGGTAGCACCCTGCCTCAGCGTGGAGAACGGGCCCTTCGTCTCGGAGCAGACAAGGCCGCATACTTCATCCCCATACGGGAACCCATCAAGACCGGGTACTTGGTTCGTTCCACCAGTCGGGCATGGGTGGGTATTGGAGCGGTAGAACTCAACGGCTAAGCTTAACAGGCCTGCTTCAAGGTCAGTGGGTGGCTGTGCATGGTTGCTGTTGTAGGGACTGTTGCGGGGACGCTGTTCTAACCCGACAGAATGAGGCCCGTCCAGAGGAAGATGATGTTCCGTCCGGGGTGGGAGAAGAAGGTGGACGACAGTTTCACGGTCACCGGGGCTGCCAGGATGCCAATTGAGCAAAACTGCAAGGCGCCGTAGATATCCAGGTCTGTGGCACCTAGATTGTCGATCCATTGTCAAACGATGCACAAACTTTAGGAGGGTCGGATATTATGTGCCACTCACCATCAACGTGGACTGATGCCAAGACGATACCATGAATGGCTGCGAGGGCCGGCACAAGCAGTGCAGCGGCTTGACAGACAGCTCTGATCCATTCCTCTTTCCGAGCAATCACACAGACGACGACGAGGATGTAGTATCTGATGTGTTGCATTAGTGCTCGTGCCAGGCCCGCGCCGAGTCCGTCCTCTCACTGTGTGGAGCTGCCGCCCTGGTGAGGGATTTGTGGGGAAGCTTCACTTACAAGACCCGCTGGCCGAGACCATATTGGCCTGACATGGGCCAGGCGCAGACGACCTCAATGCAAGGACCGTGGGTGTCGTCGCACGAAGATGCTACGCCGGTATCATCGTCCCGTCGGAGGAGACCGTACAACAGGGCGGTCTGCAGCAGAGGTGCCATTGCTTGGGAAACTAAGCTTACTTTTGGGCACACAAGGGCAGCTGTCGATTGTCGGTTAGGGTAACGGCCCAGGGGACCGGGAATCGACCGGCAATGAGACGTTGAGAGGAAACCGTGGGCTCGTCCTCATCTCTCCATTTTCTGCTTCCTCGGGGTGGGAAATAGGAAGGATCGCCGAACGCCATTCGAGGCTCTCAGGGCCGGGATACGGGCAAAGAAAAAGGGCTGGGCCGGGCAAGTGCTCGCGTGATGGGTGCGGCTCCTTCTCGTCCATAATGAGGCAAGCAACTTTTAGAATGGCGGCTGTGGCTGGCGGGGCGAACAAAGACACTGCAGCAGGCAGGCAGCTGCTGACAGCCCCCCCCCCCGGACGTAGTACAGCATATCGACCGATGATGCAGTTCTGGCTCCTGCTAGCAACAATGTGGGCGCTGACTTGATAGGTGGTCTTCGTGCTTATCTTATGTGTAGAAAGTAGAAAGTCTGAAAGTGAGGGGCCGCCCGCAGCGTTTCAATCCATGCCCTTATTAGGCGGCAGCCGCGTCACTCCGAGCAAGGCACTTGTCTCACTCGGTGAGGCGTGGCATTCCGACTGCAGCTGACGTCGACTCGCATACAGTTCCGCGTCGAGCTATGCAGTCTTGATTGGACAGAATCTCAGCCGAAGAAGTGTGAGCGAAGCAATTATTAGAGTCCCCTGGAATATTGCTGGACTTGCAGTGTCTCGAATCGCAGGAGCTGTATGTACCTAGGTATGTGTTGTTATGTGAGTCGTTATTCTGAGACATGAGAGTGTAGTAGGCACATAGTTACACTAATACGCCGTTGAGAGTACATTTGTACTTGCGTGTCTGTGGTTCATCTTTAGCATATCACAACGGGGACATCGCGACGTTGCATCCGAGCACCAAACTGTGTATACAAGAGTAGTTTGAAATATCGTGTATATCCCATAGACGTTTCTCATTGTGGTAAAACACCCCTAAAAACGTAATGTAGTACATATGTGATGTTGTCACACTTGAGCACCGGGCCAATTGAGTAGTGAGGCATCGAGAAGCGTCTGCCGTTCATAGTCTGTTTACGGCACGACAACTTACCTACCTAGATTCCCGAATATCTCATACCGCAATCCAAGAGGGCAGAGGGAGCACGTTCAGAATAATATTTACAGGGAATAACTTTTCCAGACCTACTTGGACCACTCTGTTGTCCGAGATTGTGCGAGATGGAGAAAAGTCGGCACGTTTTTCCCAACCGGTCCTTTCCAAGGATCTTGTCAGGAAAGACTGAGCCCACTCAGTTGCGACCAATATATTGTGGTAAGACTCACCTGTATTGGGCACGCATTACGTTTATTAAATGGGTTATGTCTAATGGAAATAATGAATGTGATGAAGCCGGGTTTCTTAGGTAACGAGTATCCAGCAGTCGGCTTGGCTTGCAGGTATATGTCTTGGCCGCTCCAGGTTCGCGATCACCGTCACGATCCTCAAGCTGCCCAACCAAAATGCTTGCTGTATAAATGGGCGTCAAAACCATGTGTTTGAATATGTCTTCGTTACAAGCCATCGTCTCACGTCCTTGCCGGTCTTTACGGGAGTTGACGCAGCTATTCAGACCATCAACCAGTTCTATGGAACCTAGATCCGCCCATTATATGATTCCCCGACAAGCATCACTTCCTCCAGAGGAATGGATCGCCACACGTTAAACATGACAAGCCTCCCAAGCACGACGATCAAAGACAAGATGCACGTGTACATGCAGCCGGCAGTCCCTTGGCTCGGAGAACACCTCAAGTCCTTCATCCGGAAACATGTGCCCGATGCAGTCTTCATCGATGACTTTGACAACTTCCCCTCTGATGCACAGACGGTCTTCCAGTATTGTGATGGATGGGCTCTAAACCGGAACTTTGCCGTGCTGAATACAGCAAAGTCGGCCCTCATCAATGCCTACCCCAACAGCGATGCCCTGGCTCGCAAGGACTACCTCTCCAAAGTCATTGAGTTCTGGGCGGCAAAGAGGGCAGGCAGTATCTTAAGGACCAATGTGCCCCTTACGGTCCGCTTGTCCCTCGACTATGCCGAATATGTCGACGAGGCCCTCACTGCTGCGGATGACCTCACGCTGCTGTCCTCGCTGGAGGAAAATGAGCTCAAGCCTGTCAAGGATCGCGAGTGGTGGATACTGAAGCCCGCGCTGGTGGACTGCGGCGCCGGCATCCGCCTCTTCAGTACCGTGGATGAGCTCGCGAGCTGTCTCGAACTTGCCGAGTATGAGATCGACGAGGATGAAGAGAGTGACCTTAGTGATGAGGTTATGGAAACCAGCGGAAAACCTGCCAACGGCGTGGAAGACGCAAATCCTAGTGATTTCTCACCGACTCTCACGATCCCTGGTCTGAACTCTCTGGATGCTCTTGTCACAGCCACTGGAGCGATGTCACTCGATGCGGCCAAGAATGGTATCCAAAGAACTCCCAAGCCGCAATATGTCTTCAAGGAAGGAGGCAGAATCCCGTCAGCCCAGATACGGGAGTTTGTCGCGCAGAGATACATCATCTCTATCCCGCCAATGGAGAAGAGGAAGTGGCACACGCGAGCTTACGTTCTATCCATGGGACGCCTCAAGGTCTACGTCTTCAAGGAAATGCTTGCCCTGTTAGCCGGGGAGGACTATGAGCCGCCTTGGCTGAACCCCAGTCTCAAGTCCTCTCTGACCAATACGGCACTACAAGACGAGGATGTCTTCGTGAACAAGGAGTCCATGAGAGACTTCTGGGCAGCCCCTAACGACTTGCTTCCAGGCGACTGGAAGGCTAGTGTGTTTGACCAGGTCTGCAGCATCTCAGCCGAGCTGTTTCGCGCAGCTGCTCATACCATGGCTGACAAGTTCACCACGGTGAACAAATGTTTTGAACTGTTTGCTGTGGACTTTCTCATAGACACAAACGGGACTGCATGGCTGCTGGAGGTGAATGAGACACCTGCCTTTTACGATGTCGGGATCGCCGGCCCATTGGCCTTGCGGCTCATGGAATCGGTTATCTGCCTCTCCATGGAGCACATGGGTCAGATCAACCCAGACGTGAAGGAGAATGACCACGTGAAAAAGAGGATGGTTCTGGTTCTGGATGAAAGAGATAAACTAGCAAAGAGCAACATTACGGAAATTCTCCCTGAAGACTAGAACTGTGCCTAGATAGAAATAACCGGCTACCCAAGATAGGGGGCACAATAGATACTTAGAATAACCACGTCCTGATTGGAATGTTTTGCCCCGTTATAGAGCCGGACTATATATAATATACCGACCGGGCTGTCAGATGTTGCATATAAAGCAGGACTGGAATTAATCTGTTATCTTCAGACCCTCGTGTCCACCTGGAAAGCAACGAAAAGGGCTCATCCACATAGCTCCCTGCACGAAAGCATAGGACCATTGACGGAGGACACGAAATTTCGTCTTCATTCCTTCTTGCTCGCAAACGCTTTGAACGCATTCTAAGCTTCGGCACAAACCCCACAACATGTTCCAACCTGGGGATCATGATTGATTGCTGGTAGTCACACAGTCTCAAGAAATCGATCGGACCGTAGCTCGTCTCTACGCGTTGCCAAGATGATGGGCTTTCCAGGGGCAACTGGGATGAACCAGCAGGACTCAATCAAGTCTACGCCAAGTCGAAGCTCCCGCGTGGCTGCCACGGCTCGCTAAAAAGCACGGTATTGCTTGTTTTCCTCACAAAGATGGCATCAGTACCTTTTTTCTTCCCGTCGATCATAGAATTTTACCCCAAATCCTGCCAAAGACTCTCAACTTGAAATGGGGCTCCGGCTTCCCTGCTGGAAGTATTCACCGACTCAGTGACATGGCTCCACCAAATAGGGGAAGATAGGCACTATCTGTCTGGGCAAACTGAAAAGATATTCCGGACATAGTCATGTGCCACGATGAATGATTCGGTCGAAATTGGAATTTATAAACTCACAAACGTTCTTAAACTCCTACACCATTGTTAGTCAGCCTCTCTTGTGGATACGCACGCGTTGTTCGAGATTGGACATGCAGGCACTGCCCTGAACTCCGAGCTGAACAGGAGACCAAAGCCTCCAACAAGATCGTCATCGATGCGTTACGGTGCTGCCACCGATCGCTCGATATCACGGCAGCAAAAGCCCGCAGGACCCACCCCCAAGGGGCTGAGCAGCTACGGCCGGGGTCTCGGTTGGGCTGCCGAGCAAAACGTCTGCACGCCAAGCAGAGGGCAGATTACCAAGTCCATCTCCTCTCCCTTCGCGTGCTGTACCCACTCTCAGGCTTCCAGTCTGGAACTCGGGCGGGCAGTCGCACCAGAGTGACAACAACGGGTTACGCAAATAGCACCTCCTTCTCGAACCTTTGCACTTGGCGTGGCTTGGCTGCCCTCATGAACCGCACCCAACGTGCGGGAGGGTCGAACGGGAACCCAGTATTTTCCCCTGCTTGCGGGCTGCCCCTACTATGGAGACGGCTCCCAATGAGCTCAGCTTGACAAGGGGTGTCTCAGTGGATGTGATGCCGCTCGGGGAGCCACAACGGGAGGAGCCAGCAGGAAGTCCGCACTCCCCGTGGTGGGCAGAAACAAGAAAGATGCTGGTACGGAGTACAAGTAACCAAATACACGCCCCACGGGCAACCTCTTCCCAAAAATTAAGCTTCTTTCCAAAACCCCATACCGAGCACAACGGTCATGTTCATGCGCTCAGAAGCCGGGAGCCTTGTCGACAGGAACACATAATACTAATAGTTCGAGGGCCCCATAGAGACCTGTTCGCCAGGGCTGGGCAAAGTTGCGCTGCTCTGCCCCGCCACGATGCTGCCGTCGGGCCTGTCGTGGGCGACCTTCGCCTCACTCGTGCTCGGCGTGAGCTGTGCCAATGACTTCGTGAGCGACAACACAAGCACGAGGTCACTCCCTTCACAATTCGGTGCCGGCACGACGAAGACAATATACTGGACCAACCCCACGGGTTATATAGTGGGCATATATGTGACAGGGAACGGACAGAGTGACGACTCGGCCGATTACAACTGGGTATTAGGTCCGTCAACTCCGTTTACACAGCATCACTTCTTCACTCACACACACCCTCTCTTGCTCTCTCTCATACCTCTTCCCAAAGAGACCATACCGTACCCACATCCAGGTCGTGAAGCTCACATGTGACCACACACAGACCCAAACTGCCCAGAAGAATCGGACAGTATATGCACAGCCCACGACAACACGGGACATGCCTCGTTCTACGTCAACGAGACCGCCATCCCACTCGGCTCAGGCTACCGGCTTCGTCTCCTATGGACCAACTCCAAGACGTACGAAGATGTCGACGACGACACGGAGGAGGTAGAGTCGAGTGAGTTCAGCGTGGTGCCGGCCGAGAGCCTCCCAGACCTGCCGAGCGACACGGGCCACGGGCTCGGCCCCGCCGAGCAGGCAGGCATCTCCATCGCGGTGATCGTCGTTGTGATATTCCTGCTGCTGGTCATATGGTTCAGGTGGAGGAGGACGAAGAAGAGGAGGGAGAGGAGGGAGAGGCTCATGAGGGGTGCATCGCAGGACAAGGAACAGGGCGGCTGGTATGAGAGGTGGACGGCCGGGAAGCCGACAAGAGACACAGAAGAGACCTGGACCGCCTCGGACCAGCCAGCCAAGCCCAGCCCCACGGTCTCCTCCTCTGCCGTTGCCGCCGCCGCCGCCGCCGCCGGGGCCGGGGCCGTTGCCGGGGCCGTAGGCGTCCGCAAGGTCAGCAACACCAGCAGCGACGGCGCGCAGCAACCACACCCGTACCTCGACGACAAGGCGGAGATGCCCGCCGGCGCCGACGGCGCCAACAGGCACGAGATCGACTCCCTGGGCACCAGCGCGGCCCGGAACAAGGTGGAGCTGGACGGCACGAGCGCGCCGCAGGGGGGCCTGGCCATCGCCGAGCTGCCCGCGGAGCCGGTGAGCGGGCACACCTCGTCGCGGACGGTCAGCTCGGCCACGACGTTCGAGTACAACCCCAACCCGTCGTACGCGCTGCAGCCACCGGCCTCGCCGCGCCCAGATGCTGAGATGGTATCACCTGTCTCGGAGGGCGTTGGCACATATAACTCGCTGGCCGGCTCCGTGTCACCCGTGACGCCCATCGCGAGGAAGCCGGTAGGTGGGATGGTGAGTACCATACCGGAGCAGGAGCAGCAGGAGCAGCAGCAGCAGCAAAATGGTGTTACTGCGGGTCAAGACATGCTGACTCCCGATGCGGCCGACGGAGCTCCAAAGAGGGGCAAGTCGGAGATTTTGAGAACAGAAAAGTCTCGTATCTGGAAGATGCTTGGTGGAGGTTCGACAAAGGGGAAGCTGAATCCGTCGGGCGGTGCCAACGTCTGATAGACTGGATTGTGATATATACCCTGCGCATCATTGAATGTCGCCGTTAGCGGATAAAGACATATTCGCGTCTCCTCGAATTTGTTGGATATAGTATTCCCAGCATGAAGCAGGCCGGTCTATATCTAGATGCCCCGACCGTTTGTCTCAACACATCATATCCCCGACTTTTCGAATTTCAGTTCCCAAAAACGCCCGATACCATGCCATTCCCTTGTCTATTTCACTCTTACTTCTCCAGGGCCGAAGGAGGCAGGGTTGCCACCTTCTCCTTGAACAGCTTCTCGGCGCCGGCCCAGACAGGGTCGTTCCTCCAGTCGTTCAGCTTGTGCAGGTGAGGCAGCAAGTCATTGCTGAAGGCCTCGGAAGCCTCACGCGGCAGCAGCGATGGCAGGTGGTCAATGCTGATGACCGACAGAGGAGGGCCCTGCTCCAGCGAGTGGACAGGGACGGTCGGCTTGTCGAAGGTGGTAGCGATGCTGTAAATGGGCACAGGGTTGAAGGGGTTGGTGGTGTCGGCGGAGACGTCGCAGACCACGGACAGCTTGCGGTCAGCCCCGGCGGCTTTGAGGGACTCGGTGTTGACAAAGTGTGGGATCTTGGAAGCGAGGTAGATGCAGTTGATGAAGATGTCGCTGTCGGTGATCTCCTTGAAGGGACCACCCTTGGCGGTCTCTGCCATGTCCCACTTGAGGATGTTCTCGTCGGGGACACCTGAGCGGAGACACATGTCCACGGCTCCCTTGCCACAGCGGCCTGTGAGGATGAGGTCAGCTGTGTTTTTTGTACTTCATGTACATGATGTTCCGGGCAATTCAGCATGATGACTTACCTAGTGCGCCAATGACGATGACCCGAGGCAGACGGCCAGCCTTCTTCTCTCCTTCTGCCAGGCCCTTCTTGACATTTGCAATGAGCTCATCCTCGTTGGGGTACGAGGAAACGCTGTGCAGGGGCTCGGATGGGTTGGTCAACTGCCATGCCCAGTTCTGCAGGGCAAGCGCAGCTCCGGCGAAACCGGCGTGGTATCTGTTGCGCAGATGATGTCAGTGAATTCATTCTATACAGTATAAGAGATCCGCAAACAGCGCATTGTATATCGTACCCGAAAGCAGCAACCCGCCTCCCCGTCTTGGGGTCTGCCAGGAACTCGAGGTCCAGCAGGGTACCACCGCCACGGGGGAAACGGGCCAGGACCTGGTCCCAGTTCTCCTGGCCCTTGTAGCAGTGGGCAAACTGGACGTGGACGTGCTTGAGGGGGAAGGTCTCCTCGCGCAGCTCCTTGAGGCCGACGATGATGTGGTCGGCGGGGGCGTCAACCCACGACTCCTCCTCGACGATCTTGGCACCGACCTTCTCGAACTCGGCGTCGTCGAAGATGCGGGTGGTGCCGGACTTGACACCGCAGCCCTTCTCGACGTGGACCTCGTAGCCGGCGTCGATGAGGGCCTTTGCGGTCGTGGGCGTCAGGGCAGAGCGGTGCTCGAGAGGCTTGGTCTCGGCTCGCAGGTGGAGGACGGTGGGCGCCATGTTGAGCTGCTTGCTGTCTCTGTCTGCTGGGCTGCTGGAGCTGGGTTCTTGTCTTTGGGCTGTCGCTGCCGTGGTCCGGTTGGTCAATTGGAGGGATTGAAGGATGTAGAAATAATTCCGGGGGTTTGACTCACCAGAACAGAGCTTATGTACCAGGTCTGTCGAATGTTGTTCACCTCGATTGAGTCATCCCACCTACACAGACATGTAGATCATGCAGCACCTTTTGCACCCCTCCACCTAGCTGGGCGTTGCCTGGCATGACACCAGGCGAGGGGCAGAGTTTTTCTCCACACTGGTCCCCGTTGATCGGAGCAGCCCTGGCAGGTTCCTGGACCCCCGCTAGTGAGAGTCCCCCAGTGTCCTTGGCAGACACTTGCCGTTCAGGGGTCGCCTGCAAGTGCTTCTGTCTCGACCAACCCAGCCCCTCGATTTCACCGCCTCCAAGCTCACTCAATTGAGCTCCAGAAAGCTGCCAGCCCCCGTCCAATCTCATCGCGGCCGCAGAGCGCTTGCTTGCATTTCCACCCCGTTGAGTTGTCACTCATTACCCACTCGAGAACCCCCGGGCGACAGATCGTGACGCCTGCCATTCTGTTCGGACGGGGCCATCTAAACCCAAAGTGAGAGACAACAGCCAGTCAACAACCACGCTGTGCATTAATATAGTTTGAGCTGCTCCACCCCGTCTCTCTTGTCCCTCTTGTTCACCATGGGTTTCATGGACGGCTGGGACTCTCAGTCGGTCATCAGCCGCAAGTCCCACCACTCGTCCAAGCACCACGGCTCCTCCAGCAAGCGCCGCAGCAAGTCCGGGTCCGTCTTCCTACGGCCCAAGTCCAAGTCGAGGTCGAGGTCCCGCTCCAGGTCCCGCGCCAGGTCCCCGGGGGCCCGCTCCATCGCCGCCTCCATCTTTGGTGGCGACGACGACAGGCACCGCCACTCCCGCCATGACAACCGGAGCTCCTTCTTTGGGCTTCCCAATGTCTCGACCAGGAGCTTTTTCGGCATGGGTATGTCTCCAGCATTTTCTTTCTCCCCAGCCTGCTCGACTTACACACCGGATTTGAGAAAGACGACGACTAACACGCAACCCCCCTGACCAAATAGACAAGCACCGCTCCTCGACCTCGTCCTACCGCCGCTCCCCCCGGCCCAACTTCCTCGCCCGCGCCTACAAGCAGCTGAAGCGCCTGCTGCGGGACCTGGTGTACTACGCCAAGCGCCACCCCGTCAAGGTGTTCAGCCTCGTGGTCCTGCCCCTGCTCACCGGAGGCGCGCTGACGGCGCTTCTCGCGCGCTTCGGCCTGCGCCTGCCCCCCAGTATCGAGAGGATGCTCGGCGTCGGCGCCCGTGCCATGAGCGGTGGCGGCGCCGGGCTCGTGGGCGAGGCCGTGAGGATGGCGAGCGGCATGGGTAGCGACGGTGGCAGGGTGAGCCTCCAGAGGGGTTACGACGACGGCCTGCAGTGGGAGAGGAGGAGCTGGGAGAGGGACTCTCACGGTGGTGGATGGAGCAACGGGCTAATGAACACGGTCAGGGACTGGTTCTGACCGGGAAGCCAGTGTTGGTTGTCCCGGGGCTCTCAAAAAAAGGGGGGGCCGCACCATGAATGAGGTTCATGAAGCAATGACTTATGATTTCTTTTTCTTCTGAGACAGGCAAGGCTATTATAGTTAGCATTGGTCCTTTGATACCTATATATACTCGAATAAACAGAATTAATTGTTCTCCATCATGCCGATACCATGCAAAGGCCTGACAGGATATGGTACGAGACAGGTTCAGTCATAGGAAATCAATAGTATTCGCAGACGCCTTTCTATGGAGTCCAGTCTAACAGAACAGACACTAATAATTAACACACGCCCAAGTTATTATCCACAAGCTCCCCAAAACATGGACACATGCACAGGTTGAAGGCCCAGGGTATCGTGGGAGAACACTCCCTCATTTGCTGCCCTTTTTCTTGCGGCTGGATCCACCGCCCACAGGTTTTCGTTTAGGAGAAGACGTAGCTGATGAGGTCTTTTTTGATCGCGTCACAGGCCGAGGCGGCGGGGTAGGCTCACGTTCCTCCTCAACGATAATCTGGTCTCGACCGCTCGAAGGCCCAACATTTGTGCCCCCAATGCGCGCTCCTGCAGCCACATCATCGCTAGAGTCATCCTCATCATCGCTGTCTTCGCTCTCCGTGTCGTCAGGACTGATCTGCCTGGACTGGCGCCGGGGGGCGTTGCTTGCGCGGGGATCCAAGTACACTGAAGAGCCAGACCGATTGCGACGACCCGCTGCATTGCCAGCATGATAAGGAGCTTGCGAACCCGAGGTCATGTATTTAAAAGGATCAACCGATGATGGTATTGAAGACGTAGATGCGGATGCGCCGTACTGCGGCATCCAGGATTCTTCGTGAGGCAGCGGACCACGAGATGAGCGATGTCGTAGGGAAGGGTCGGATGAATGCCTCGCGTTCGAGGGTGAGCTGGGCGGCTGGACATAAGAATACTGGAAAGGGGATGAGCTGAGTTCGCGGTCGGACGCCCTTCCGGAAGATCTGCGAGAGTCGCGAGAGTCGGCGGTTCCGGGACGGGACGACGGTGGGTGAGCGAACCAGCCCACCGGCGGTTGCAACCTGCCCTCTTGTGTCCTGTCGAATGTTCCAGGCGAGGGATGGGGAGGTAATGTATCGTCAGGCGCCACGAGGGCCCGGTTTTCCTTCTGCGATATTGGCCCCAGCTGCGAAAGTGGCACTGCGTATCTCTGCTCCTTCCTTTTCTTCTTGCTCCCGCCAGCTTCGGCCTGCATTCGCTTGCGCCGCTGTTCCAGAGCTGCCAGCTCCTTCTTGTTCAGTTTGACCTCCTGTTTGCCTTTTGCCTGTGCTCGTCGTATCCGTCGCAGTGCAGACTCCACCAAAGCATTTTCCTTTTCTCTTAGAGCAAGCTGTGTTTCGCTCTCTGCGTCGAGTTCTGAGTCTTGGTCCGAGTCTGAAGTATCGTCGTCGTCATCTGACTGTTGCTCGTAAGCCTTCCTGCGCGACCGCACCATGCTCTCGCCCACATCTACCCCCGTAAAACGAAGCGGATCGCTCGAAAAACGTCTCCCCGAAGCAAGACCAACTCCTTGTGTATCAGTATCGTCACCAGTCCCGAGCTCCTCCACCACCCTCTGTCCATTACCCCACATACCCTGCCCGTAGCCAGCAGCCATGTAGTCCCTCTCTCGCCTCGATGGTCTTCCCCATTGGGGCGCACGTTTGGGAGCTCGCGGCCGACCACCTAGACCGCCTCCCCGGAAAAAGCCTCCTCGAGGGGCTTGTCCATGATGGCTGCGTGGCCAAGAATGACCACACCGCTGGCGCCAATGAGCCACATGATGGTGCTGAAAGGCGAAGAGATCAGACCAATCGGGATGGCAATGACATACAGACCGGTGTAAAGCTGAGAGGTGGTGAGGCGGGTCTGGCCGATCTCGAGATCCTGGCCGTTGAGCTTGCCGATGAGGAACATGCCGACAACGACGAAGATGATGTCGAAGAGAAGCCAGGGGTTGGTCAGCAGAGCGTAGATGCAGAGCATGGCAAAGACCACGGCATAGTTGCTGGAGAAGTGACCGAGGTTGTAGTTGACACGAGACTGGGCTTCGGCAAAGTTCTCGGGCTTCGACAGCCGCTTGAAGTCGAAGAACTCGGAAATGGGCCGGAGGTTGGCGAATCGGCTGGACAAGGAGGAAGACCGGATGCTGTTAAACCGGTCTCCCAGTTGGAGGCGGCTCGTCAGAGCGTCAATGGGGATCTGGATGCGCGCCATGATGGCTTGTTCGGTTGGATGTGATGCTCTTTGCTAAGACTGTAGGCGTCACGGTTGTGCTCGATCAATCCAATCAGCAACAGGCTGATTTGGGCAACGAAGCTTTGGAGGAGGTCGTCGATGGCTGTCGGGGCAGAGCAAGGGAGTAGGGGCAGAGGCGCGTTCCAGGGGCCTCCGTTCGTCGACGAGCGACTGGGTCGACGGAGACAAGTCCAAGAAGGAGAGAAAGCGGGGAAAGCTAAGAAGGGAATGTGGCAGTCTAGAAGACCTTATAGAGGTGAAAGAATAATAGTCGGTGTGACTTGGCAATGGTGGTGATGGACAAACAGGGCCGGAAGGTGCAGCTGATCTGTGTTCTGCAGAATGGTAATGTAGTGCCTGTAAGAAGTGCCTGCAACTGCAACCGCAGGAGATGCCTGGCACGATACGTGGCGCCCCTGTAACCAAATGTTTGGATCCTGCCCGAAACAGGGAACCTGGCAGCCCTGGCCGTGCACTCCTGGGCCCCAGTCCTGCGCTAAAACAAAAAAAGACAGGGAAGGAGGTAGGGAGAGACAGTGAGCACGTGTCAAAGTGCACTCTCCCCTCCTGTTGAGAAGCGTTCATCTCTTTGCATACCAGTGTCGAGGGACTTGTCTTGCAATAATCCACTACGTGTAAGTTGACAGATATCATGCTTCTTTGAGGCAGTCATGCCATCCTGCCATCCTGCTATGTCGCCCTCTGCCTGGCCACTCAGCCCACTGAAGCTAGTTGGCAGGCATGCATTGTTGCCCAACTGTTCTTCTTACGCACTGCATTTATTAGTGGCTGGGTCCGGTCCTGCACGGAACTACGGCATACCCAAAGCTCCCCATGTCACCTAGACTTGGACGAGTACCCTACAGCAACACAAAAAGCTCATGGGCAACATGAACCACAGTTGCCTGGCTCCCTGGCTATATGGATGCCTGATAGACGAGTAGACTGATGCAGCAACACCATGTTGAGTTGACAGTCTACACACATAGATACTCGGTGTACTAATGCATCATCATCATTATTATTTGCTAAATTAGGGGCTGAGGTTCAGTTTTGGTGGTTTAGAATGGAGCGTCTTGCAGAGTACGGTCCCTGGTTCAAAATAAAAGATTGACAACCCCTCTTGTTGATGTGATTGTGGAATGGACATGTACATATGCTCTAGGGAGCACCTGTTGAACCACGATCAAAGTACCCAAACCGGCACATGCTCTCATGAACGGCCACTTAACTTCAAGTTGTTGTCATAACGAGAGGATGACCCATTGGAGGACTGACTTGCTGTGCCATATTTGCTCATGGCTACATAACCAAGCATGTAACATAAACATGTTCCTAGCCCGTAGCCAGGTGTCACCATGCACCAACAAGATCGTGGCTTCATCAGGAACCCCATCACCTGGGAATGGCCATTACAACTTACAAGAGTCAGTGGTTGATGTTCAGGGTCCTTTGTGGAGAACCCCCCCGGCCCTGCCCTGGGCCAGAAGCTTGTGTTACACCAACCAGATGCTAGCAGGTGCAGGGGGCCCGTGGCTCGGCACTGCTTCAGAAAGGAAAAAAGGCATAGACTATGTATAGATTAGTGCTGTGTACAGATCGCAGCTTCTGATTCCCAAACCTCTCCTTTTTGAGCCCATTGCTGCCAGCACCAACATTTTCTAGTATTTGTTGGAAGCCCCCTCTCTTGGAAAGCAGCAGTCATTGCCACATCGATATGCAATCATGAAGTTGTCTGTGTTTTCCCTGAGCCTTTTGGCTCTTCTGACACCTCTCTCTGCCGCCTGGTCAAAAGAAGGCAAGTACATGTGATATCCACAGACACACCCACCGTTTCCCGTCTATGCCACGGCATAGCTAATACTGACCTGCTGTCTTCCAGATCGTGAGATCTTCCGCGTGCGAGACGAGATCGCCACCTTTGAGGGCCCGGAAGTGACCTTCTACGACTTCCTCGGCGTCACTTCCTCCGCCTCCCAAGATGATATCAACAAAGCCTACCGCAAGAAGTCCCGCTCGCTCCACCCCGACAAGGTCAAGCAGCAGCTCAATGCCGAGCGCGCCAAGGCCAAGAAGGACCAGAAGAAGAAGCCCGGCGTCAACGTAGCCAAGCCTGCCACCCAGTCCGAGATCAAGGCCGCCGTCAAGCTGGCCTCCGACCGCCAGGCGCGCCTGTCCATTGTCGCCAACATCCTCAAGGGCTCCGGCCGTGCTCGATATGACCACTTCATGGCGAATGGCTTCCCCAAGTGGAAGGGCACCAACTACTACTACGACCGGTACCGCCCCGGCCTCGGCACCGTCATGTTCGGCGTCTTCCTCGCCCTCGGCGGTGGCGCGCACTACATCGCCCTGTACATGGGCTGGAAGCGCCAGCGCGAGTTCGTCGAGCGGTACATCAAGTTTGCGCGCCATGCGGCATGGGGCGACAACCTCGGGATACCTGCCGTTGACATCGGCACCGGTGGTGCGCCGGTCGGCACCGCGGCGCCGCCCCCGGCCGCCGATGAGCAACAGGAACAGGCCATGCCTACCAACCGCAAGATGAGGCGCATGCAGGAGCGTGAGGCCAAGAAGGGCAACTCCGGGGAGGCCCCCAAGCGCGGTGGTCGCCGAGCTCCCACCCGCGCCAGCTCCGCTTCTGGCACTGCTACCCCCACTGCCGCTGCCGGTGCTGCTGCTGGTTCCGCTGGTCCCCAGGGCGCGAAGAAGCGTGTTGTTGCCGAGAACGGCAAGGTCCTCGTTGTTGACTCTCTCGGTGACGTGTACCTGGAGCAGGAGGACGAGGATGGCAACGTGGAGGAATTCTTGCTCGATGTGGGTTCTTTCCACCCTTCTGGGCCCCCGTCAACCTAGGAATCCAGCCATTTGCTAACTTTGCTGCAGCCTAACGAGATCCCCAAGCCCACCATCCGTGACACCGCCCTAGTCCGCATGCCCATCTGGTTCTATGGCCGTACTGCTGGCCGCTTCCTCTCAAAGAGCCAGGACGGCGACGAGGAGTACGAAGAGGTCGAGGAGGAGGTCGTCTCCGCCGAGACAGACTCCTCCTCCGGCGCTGGCGGCAAGCGGACCCCGAGCACCGGCTCTGTCGACGACGACTTCGAGTTGCTGGACAAGTCGGTCGAGGACGTCTCGGCCCCCAAGGCGACCGGCAGCCAGCCTCAGGCCAAGTCTGGGAAGAGCAACAAGCGCAAGTCGAAGAAGAGATAAACTGATCGCTCCTCTTCTTCTTGGCAACCGCAGGGCACCATGTCGTCTTTCGTCGCGGAGAGGCTTTTGGCTGGCGGCGTTTGGGTTGGCTTTTTCATAGGTTTTATGACAGAGAGAAAGGAGCAAGACGGAGTGAACGGGGATGTGGATGTTGAGTCCCGTTGCGGGGCAGCATTTGCCATGATGAGGGTGTGATGGGAGGGCACCAGTTCAGTACTCTCGAAAGTATAATTGGATGTACATTTTGTTGCATCGATGGATAGATGGCAACATGGCAACACGAAGGATGGGCACAGCCCGGTCAAGAAGCCTCATCCGCACGTTTAGACTCTCTGCGCACATCAATCACAGAGATTTATTACGCCTTTCATTGCTAAACGACGATGACTTCAAGTGGTAGCTGCTTGTGAGTTGCCGTGTTTGGCTCGCATACCTCCACAACGCCAGGTTCTGCACAAGTTGTTGTTCTGCCTAGAGTCAACCACCAACAATTGGTCGCTCCCGTGAAGCTGTACGCATTGACCAGCATCACAAATGTAAAATTGTCGTCTGGTGATAACAAGCAGGCCATGCGGGGAGTGAGTGTATAATTGCTATCAAGAAAACAGAAGCCTAGACGCCATATCCCCTGCGGGTAGCTGTAAGTGTGTTATGAGTGAATGCTAACGCCCTTCCCAGTTGCAATGTACGCAACGCAGTCTTCCGGTATCATTGTGCTGTGCCATGCCATTCTTGCCAAAAGAAAAAAGAACAAACCATCGTGAAATCCCTCGCACCAAGACAGAGTCAGACAACTGGATCCAACCGGCCGTCATCAAAGACAAATGAAGGGGGAGTACAAGACCTCGACCCCGTGCCCCTACAACATCTCCTCATCATCGCCCCAGCCGCCGCCGACCGCCGCGCCGTACTGGTTCTCCATCCACTGCTGCCTCTCGTAGTCCAGCACCCCGCCCGTCGACTGGTACACCGGGTCCGTGGCGATCTTGTACTCGGCGACGCCCCTGCCACCGGCGGACGCGTCGTACTCCTTCTTGGCGAGCTGCTCGTACCCGCTCTGCATGTACGGCTCCATGTAGTGCTGCGCGTGGGCGACCCACCGGCCGTCGCCGGACTGCATGGACGCGGGGGAGCTGCCGAACGTGGTGCCCGTGTCGGTGCCGTCCAGGCTCATGACGGTCTCGTCCGGGAGGCCCTGCTGTTGCTGCTGCTGCTGCTGCTGCTGCTGGTACTCGTACCGCCTCTGGGCCAGCATCTCCTCCTGCTCGACCGTGGTGTTGCTCCACGTCAGGGAGGGGTTGTCCGCGGCGCTGTTTGGCGGGCAGATGGTCCACAGCTGGATCAGCCGCGCCTTCTGGGCGTCCGCGGCGTTGCGGAACAGCTCGACCTGCGGCAGCGAGAGGGCCGACGTGTCCACGCCGTGGCTGCGGAGGAGGAGCTCCAGGTCCTGGAGGCCTGACTGCGGGGGCTCCGAGGACCGTCGCTGCATGTGCTCGTCCAACTGGGCTGGGGGTTGCTGCTGCTGGGCCACGATGTGCGCGCTGTGGTTGTAGTGCTGGGAGATATAGATGATCTTATCGTCCTGGGGTGCTGGTGGCGGTTTAGAGTTGAGAGTGAGGCTCTTGTCAAAGAGCATCGACAGGTCGTCCTGGACAGCCATGTCGGGCTGGCTATTGTAGATCATGGTGTTCTGGGACGACGGTCAGCGTTGTTGTTCTGAATATATGGAGGGACTTTGCGGCTGCGGCACTCCCTGCGTGCCGCCGGACCAGACAAAAGGCCTCGCAGAGTACGGTGAGTTCTGACAATGTGATGTCTTTGTTCTTCCTCCCTTGGGCGTTTTCTTCCCAGCCTCTCGGATTTTAGGTCCCGAAAGCAACGTAAAAAGCAGTTCCTTTTTTTGTTTGCAAGAGTAGAGAACAGCAGGTCGCAGGACGTCTTGACCGTGTGCTCGGGGGTCGAGCCTCTCTGGTGAGACAACGTGGATTATATTGGGCTGGCTAACACTATGTACTTTCTGTACTCGAAAGCTGAACAAAATGACAATAACAGACTCTGCTGCGAAAAAGAAGAAGTCTGGCGACTCCAGCTACTGAGCTTAAGAAAGGGGGGGGGGTTGTCCGGAGGGTCGGCCTCGGGTGTCTGGCCGGGAATGGGAGATGATTCACGGTCGTCAGATGACGGACGGATGGCGCGGGGCGTGGACGGGTCAGCGGAGGGAAACGGCGAGTTGTGGCTCTTTCGAGTCCGGGAGATTTGGTGACGCGAGGCAATATGAAAGCTACTGGACAGCAAGGAGGTGGGAGAGTCGAGAGAGGAGAGAATGTGTTAGCTATTCTGGTCTCCTGTCAATGATTTGATATATGGTCGAGAAGGTCAAGCCCGGAATGAAATGAGGGGCAGCATCGGGCCAGGCGAAGTCCAAGATCAGGGGGAGGGGTGACAGGATGACGCCAATCATCGCCTGTGGAATGCAGGTCCGGACCCGTTCTGGGCAAGCCTCGATGGGGTGGCCTGGCACGTTTAGGCCTTCAGGCTTCAAACAGACCCAGCTCCCGCCTGTGATGGCCATCCTAGTTGGGCCGCCTGGCTGCCCCGACGCACTCCCATCACAGAAGAGTCATTCATGGCCCGCATGACAGCCGCCTCTCGACCACTTGTGAAACGGGCCTACCATCAGGACTGCATGTACTTTCATGTCATCCAATAGAGCAGTGACACGAAATGAAGTGGGCACGACAACTTGGGAGGGAGAAGAACCCTCGGAACCCTCGACGCCCTCGACGCTTCCGAGTTATGGCCGCCCCATCTCTCTATTCTTACTACCTCCCAACTCCTAGCTATGTCTTTGTTGGGAATGAAGCCCGGCCCGCCGGCTGTAGTGTTAGCCTTCGTTCTTGACGAATCCCAGACAAGCTCATAATACTGGGCTATTTATTACCAACAGACAGGAACGAACCGTTTCGAGTCGACAAGGCGGCTGGAGAATAAGGTTCAGTGCAATGTGACTTGCGATGACGCCAGACCTTGTTTGACCGACATCACAAGCCAACCCGAGGGGTTTATCTAAGTACGTAGAGATACATAGAGATGGATAGCACGGCTGCCGCTGCGAGACGTACCTACTTAGGCAGTCCACTACCGTCGAGGCCGCCATGTATAGCGCGACATAGCTGTGACTGTTCTGGAGGGCGGAAGCCACGTTTCGTGCGCCACAGATGACGTCGACCCCTGCCTACTAAGTATCCAAGTGACTGACTATACCATCCGATATGCAGCTGGCCATATGCCCGACAGTCTAGCAGCTCGACGTGCCTTTCTTTGTTCTACACGATAGCTGAGCTGGTGATCAATTACAGATACCTGATACCCCTACGCCCTCGGCCTTTTCCCTCCTATTTCACCAGAGACCGTGTTCCTAAGACCAGAACTTCTCACTGTCCAATATGGCGTCCGGACCACCGCCGAACTACTGTAAGTCCGCCCACTCCAGAGCCTGACATGCGATCTGTCCAGGGATGGGCCACCCACAAGAACATTTCTGCTGCTAACACGCCCCATAGATGCTATCCTTGAGGTACAAGAGTCCGCAAACACTCAGCAGATCAGAGATGCCTACAAACGGGCCGCCCTCAAGACCCACCCGGACCGTGTCCCAGCCGATTCGCCCGAGCGGCCCACGCGCACCCGCAAGTTCCAGCTCGTGAACGATGCCTACTACACCCTCTCCGACCCCACAAGGCGCAGGGAATACGACAGCCAGCGCAAGTTCTTCGGCGGCGGCGCGTCAACCTCCGCCGGCGCCGACCCCTTCGCCGAGCCTGGCAATGCCAGCGACACAGGCGCCGGCGCCGGCGCCGGCCAGTCCGCCTACAGCTGGGCATGGAACTTCTTTACCCAGCAGGCTGGGAACCAGCAGCAGCAGCAACAGGCGGGCCGCGCGCAGCAGGAGGCCGAGAACGCGCAGTTTGGCGATGTCTTTGAGGAGATGCTGCGCGAGCAGGGCATGGCCGAGCCCAACGGGACCGCCAACAACCGATTCTGGGGCCTGTTGGGCGGTGCGAGTGGCGGTGCCCTCGGTTTCATCGTCGCCAACGTGCCGGGTCTCCTGGCGGGTGCGGTGGCTGGAAACAGGCTGGGCGCGATTCGCGACACACAAGGCAAGAGTGTCTACGCTGTCTTCCAGGTGAGTGAGACCTTTGCGCAAAGCCGGATGGGTGCTGGCACTTTGCTGACCCTCTGTGTCTACAGGAGCTCCCACAGGGTGATAGGGCAAGGCTGCTCAGCCAGCTGGCTGCTAGGGTGTTCAGCCACGCCGTTGGGGTCTGAGGCGGCGTGAATGGCCCCGGACGGCGGCATACCTTTGGGATATTGAAAGCACGGCGTTAGGGATGGAGCATTGGAATCGTTACCACAGATAACAGCTATGGGGGCCGGCCCGCAGTTTTGAGCTCGGAAGACATATTTACAACGATCCCCATGAGTCTGTCGAAACGTGCCAGAAATATGCCGCAACTAGGCTCTGCGGTTGAACAATCCCGCCAGCTGAGGAGTGGTAGTGGGCAGGTATCGAAGCCTGCCATGTGAAGTTGGATGGCTCATGAAGTACGGGTTTGGCTAAATACTCCAAGCGACCACCGGCGTGGCTCAGGCAGACGGAACATGATACCTGAGCAGCGAGTTCCCCAGAAGCAAATTCACCTTCCCGCTTGACACACCGACGAAGCAGCTCATCGTTACACTTCCCTGGCGGTCTTGATATTTTTGGCGTGCGCTCAGGAATACACGATGTTTGCACTCTATTGAAACATGATGCCTTCGAGCTACTTCCCCGTGGCACCAGTAAAACGGGATAAGGGAGACATGTAGTGCGGGCGAGTACAAGGCGAAGATGTACGCATGTAGTTTGAGAACGAGTCTCAGTATATAGCCAAGGTGGGAGGTATGTGGAAAACACATGCATTGCCCAATAACAACCAAGTCCCCGTATTCAAGCAACCTGAAATGCTGCGCTCCCTGCCTAAACCGGTAATAACTGTCGCAGAGGTTTATTGCCCATATAAGCTTCCCTAGGCTTCTAGTCCCTTGGACTTAGTGCCAACACGCCGCCAGACAGAACTTACTCGATGTTGCAGACAGCTGATATTTAAACAAATTTATGATTCAGCTGAATCTGCATACGCTCCCATGCTATCTGGTAATGCATGTGGAAATGGATTGTGAGCAGTCTCACACTGAAGGACAACAACCTCAGGTACAGGGGCAAATCGATAAGCTGAGCGCTAGCCAAAGTGGGTAGCTCTGATGAGCTCACCCATGGCCGCGGGGCAGGCAGTGCCTGGCCTAGGTACGGAGTACTTCCATCAACATCGCCAGCTTTCCTTCCTTTGCTTCCCCTGCGCCAGCTACTACACACCCAGCCAAACACTCTACCTACCTACTACAGGCAAGATGTCATCCTCGGTAAATATCGAGTCCTCTGAGCACTTCAGAGGCCTGCTCAAGAGCTCCAAGATTGTCATCGCAGACTGTAAGCTCGTCCCCACCGTATCCGCCCGACGCCATCAGAGCCTCGTGCTTTGGAGTGCCCGCTTCGGACCAGGAACCTTTCGGAAGGCGGCATTAGAAGCTGACGGGGAACCCCAATAGTTTACGCGGACTGGTGCGGACCATGCAAAGCAATCGCCCCCCTCTACGAACAACTGGCAGCTCGGATATCGAAGCCTGGTGTCGTCACCTTTGTCAAGGTGAACACGGAGAAACAGAAAGACATCGCCGCCGCCTACCGAGTCTCGAGCATCCCTACATTCATCATGTTCCGCGACGGCAACAAGATCGACGAAGTCAAGGGCGCAGACCCAACGAAGCTACAGTCTATTATCGAGAAGCTTACCTCTGAGATCCAGAACGTCGCCAGCGGCAGCGGTTCGGCCGGCAGCAGCAGTGCCGGTGGAAGCTCAGCCCTCGGCTGGCGAGGCGCAGAGCTCCCCAGGGGCTACTTCGACGTCACGGACCAGGTCGAGGTTCAGAGGGCCGAGCTGCTGAATTTTGACGAGGACTTTGGCAGTGTGCGCACGCTTCTCGACTCCTCGAAGCCAGGAAGTCTGAGCGGCGGAAAGAAGACGGACAAGGACTGGGTTGTCAGCGATACCGACGAGCAGCTGCTGCTCTTCATGCCATTCATATCCATGCTGAAGCTGCACACCCTCCAGGTAAGGAAGTCTCCAGACGTCCACACTAATTTGCGCCCAAGACTAATTTTGTCACTTCCCAGATCACGTCCGCTGCCGATGAAGATGAGGATATCGACCGACCCAAAGTTATCAAGCTCTTCACAAACAGGCCACACAACCTTGGGTTTGACGATGCCGAGGGTGAGACCCCTACCCAGCTGATCGAGCTCAGCGAGAAGGACTGGAATGCCGAGGGAACGGCCAACATCCCACTGCGCTTCGTCAAGTTCCAGAACATCAACAGCGTGGTGCTGTTTGTTGAATCCGGAGACGGAGACGGCGAGAAAACGCGCATCGACCGCATCAGGCTGATTGGAGAGACGGGCGAGAAACGAGACATGGGCAAACTAGAGAAGGTTGGAGACGATGGTGCTTGAAATGGGCCATGTCTCTGAAGCGCATCCCCCGACGCGTCGTATCTTCAAGTGGCCATGTCTTCTTGCACGCTCCGTTCCCTACAAGTGGTATTACACGCGTGGCAGACGCTGGACGAGGGGCTATGCAACTTCAGACGCTGTTGATGACGTATGATGGTAGCGTGGGAGAAGCGTGAAAGTGATCAACGCGTTCCATACTGGTGTTTTTGGGACAGGGTGCGCAGTGTTTGATACCCGCGCCTGGGAATACCGAAACGGCAAGAAATGTCAAGAAGGCATGGAGGACCAAAAGATGATAGACCCAACACAGATGACTCAGGAAACCTGCAAGGCGGACCTGCCCAGGCACGCGACCATGATCAGCTATAGGTGTGACATGCGACAAAAGCAGACTGCTCCCAGATCCATGCGGTCTTTGCCTGGGCAATGCGACAAGCTCATGAGGAACTATCGATTTTCCCATCCATCACCCTGGACTCCAACAAAAGTACGATCTCGTATCCAGGAAACTAGTTCATGGTCAAGTCGACAGAGTCTTGACGATCCTCTCATGAGCTAAACCAGGCAAAAAAAAAAAAAAACATCGAAAAAAAGAGTTTGGTATGTCCGACCTCCAACCACCACCCAGATCTACCGCCCGGAGGCGCAAACTTCTGGAGTGGACAAATCGGTTGGAATGGACGGATGCAATTAGGTTGATCTAGGGCACAACTTGACGCACGATAAATATCCATAGAGAATTGAGGATCCGAGCAACAAGGGGAAACTTGAAAGTTGGCCAGCCGCACAAAGAACAAGAGGAGGAAGGGAAAAGCGAAGCTTTGCGCGCTCAGATCGAAGTTTTATGGCGTCGCGACTGGGGGTGGGGCCAAACCGAAGTGTCTAGCCCAAAGCGGGCTAGCGGCTGGAGCGTTGAAGATCTTTGCTCCGTGCGCCCGTGCTGCCAGGTCCGGCCTGCCGGCTTAGACGCAGCTGAGAAGATGCGTGAGGGAGAAAGAACAACTGTGGCCGACTGACTCTTGTGTAACCAGAAATCAGACTGTCGACTGACTCCGAAGTCTTGTCTAGAGCCATAGGAGACTCTCAGCAAGCAAAGGTCTATGATCGTCGAGCTGCAGCGTGGTACTGAACGGCCAATTTTTCAATCTAAATCCCTGTCGATAACGAATGCTTGGACTCTCTCGTCATCTCCCCTCGCCCCCCGCGGCGCAGGACTGCCGATATTGCACTCCCAACGCCGCCTCGCCTTGCCTCTGAGCCCAGCTGTCAGGCTGTCTGACCGGACGCCGCAAGCATCCCACGCCTGGGTTTAATCTATCAGGCCCCGGAAACACTTCTCACCAATAGTCCAGAACTAAGGCTCCGGTCAAACTGAGGGTGGCTTGCATGTCCTACCGCTCCTTCGCGAGGGCGGCTTACGGATATGGCCTAGTCCTGGGCTTCGTCATGCTCAGTCAACGGAGAAATGCCCCCAGAGGCCTCATCGACTAACCGTCCTCCCACCCCCACCCTTGATATCTCACCGCATGCTCATTTCCTCAGCAATCAACTTGCTCAAGCACGTCTTGACCATTGCCCGGAGGCCGTCGACCTGCACCCGAGCGCGTCGTCGTCTTGTCTGCGCCGTTGTATCGGGCTTCAAGCATTGCTGCCGCCGATTGAGCGGACATCTCAGCGCGACACCTCTTTTGGCATCGCTGCCGGCCTCTACTTACTATCCCTAATTTCCGTCCCATGCGCGCCCTCGCAGCCCTCGGCAGTGTCTAGTATACTACCTGACTACATGGTAGCTGTCGATTCGGATCGGCGCCAAGCCCCCCTACTATGAGAGTCTAGTAAAATGACAGCTGGTTGACGCTTTTGTGCGTATCGACAACATGAGCCAGCGTTGCAGTACTCCGTACTAGCGACTTGGAGAACCCTGCAATCCGGTTGTCCCATCCTCGCTAATGCCGCCCACCGGTCAACGCTACCCATCATCCCTCTGGCCGTCGACGCAAGGGAGAGCCTCCTGCACAGCTCGGCACACTGCCTGACTGCCATGTTTTCTCGGTTGACAAAGAGCTGAGTCTTGCGGGCTCCCCACACAACTCGGTGCCCTGTGTGCCTCGCACTTATGCTCGAGCATGCTGCCAACCCTGGTCCATCTCTGCCAGATACCCGTCGATCAAAGCTGCCATGGCCAACGGGCATCTACCAGGTGCCATGCGACCAGCACTGCTGTCGTTAAAACTCCGAATATGGGCACCGTGCTCGGACGAACCACCTCGCCTCTGGGTGTTGACCCTAGGATCACTTTAGGAGATCCGATGAAGATCTCGGACAGCGGGTTCGACTGCCGTGCTGAGCCCCCCGGTGCTATCACGTCCAAGACCTGCACTGCTGCACAGATCACGGCGTTATCTTACAGTTGACTTGAGCGCAAGCGCGAATGATCACTATGTACAGTCCTGCAGTGTCTTGCAAGTCCACATCATCTAGTCGATGGTGTACTCGGACCCCTGTCCATGCCTGACAGGAAGCAGGCTTGCCCTTGGACCATGCGACCCCATGCTCCACAGCACACACACACACAAGCGGGCGACTGCGGTGTGGCAGACACCTGTAAGAAGTGGAAGGGTTCCTCTCCGGTCTCCTAATCATGGGCGACAGGCACGAGCAAAGGTTACTGTACTTTGGTGACAGATCTGCTAACTCGTTTCTGCTACCTTGCCGATATTCATGCAAGCCCGGCTTTGCGGGTTGCCCTCGTGGTGGGCTGTGTGGTCCATGTCAAGTGACAACGGTCGGACCCATAATCTACCAATATCGAAGGGCAGGGCTACAGCCAATATTTCATATCTCTTGCTTTCGTGTACTATACCCCGGCCCTCACCGACTGTATTCGATCATAATGCAGACAAGACAGACTCTACACTCATAATTGCGACTCATGCCCCGCCTCACAACAGGCTCGCGACATGGACACTTCCCCTCTCTTAATGTATCTGCCGTTGACTCCACCACGGACGTCGTGCGAGCCATCGAACCTGCTCAGAGGGACTTCCACTGATCTACGGCTAGAGCTGACGGAATAGAGGCCGGCTTGGACTAGGAGGTATATTTGGCTTGCTACCCGCTCTTGGGCGCCCGACCAGCTGGGAACCCGTTCGTAACCATTACCCAAGGACATCGACGGCGCGATCTGGCGGCTTTTTTAGTGTATACTGTCATCTCGACGTGGGAGCGAACCAGGTGGCTGGACTTGAGTACGGCGACAAGGCCAGGCCAAAATACCGATTCTCGAAAGGAGGTGGCCGGCCCATATCTCTCGAGCCATTGCCGCATATTGTGCTCCTGATCGCTACAAGACGTAGCCTACACATTACAACCAGGAGACATGGCGGCAGGATTTCACAAATTCACCCAGTTACCTCCCGAGGTTCGCAACTCCATCTGGGAGCTCACTCTCCCGGGGCCACGAGTTCACGACATATACCCTGCATCAACATCTCAAAAGACGCCAGCGAGTGAGGGTTTGCGTTTCGCAAATGAGAGTACGGAGCGACCACCTGCCGCATCAGCCGTGTGCCGTGAATCTCGCTCCATTATTCTATATCATTACAGGCCCCTCACCCTCAGTTCAGCGACAAAATACGTCGACCTGTCGCGAGACATTCTCCTCCTCGAATCCTGCCTTCTCGAGAGGGAGCTCTACCGCGTGCTGCTCTTTATGAGCAGGATTTCCCAGATCCGAAATGGCATACGCAGTATTGCTTTCGGAACATCCTACAGCGCAAGTCTCGGTGGCATCTGGCACCCATCGTTAGGTCGGGACGCACCAAAACCACAGACCAAGAACAGTATGACAAAGTTCCTGCAACGGCTGTCTGTGTTCCCCAGGCTGGAGAGAGTGATCTTTGTGCTCTACCAGGAAGCGCAGTATGAAGTGAAGGAGCTCCCCCGAGCGGATGCTGCCTGGGATGGACACTTGAGCCAGAATGCGACGTTCTATCTGGCGGGGATAAAGCCGCCACGAGTAAGGGACATATTCGGCAAAGCGGAGAAAGCCACCCACGATTCAACGAACAATGAGGAGAAGATCGGAACCGACGGCCCTGAACCAACCTCGTGCACCATGCCCTGGACACAGGAGAAACCCGCGTGGCCGCACGTCAACGAGCTCAGATACTATCCACCAGGCCTCGGTGAAGACCTCCACGCAGAGGAGTCGGATGATAGAATTACAAAGTGGTATCGTGGGTCGTGGTCCTGCACGGTAGACGACCTGAGGCGGTTCAGAATGGACTGGACTCGGGCGGCAGACACGGCTCTGAAGGAGTCGCACGGTGACGAGCGGTCCCCACCCGGGTGGTGCAAGAAAAGAGGCAGGATCCCGGATGAAGAAGATCTGCAGAGGCCACAGAAGAAACAGAGCAGGCAGGTGTCAGTAGAACGGCTCAGGCTGCCAACTATGGAGACTGCAAGTCTGCTCTGGCGGTATACACTACCGGCTAAGACATCCTGACATGCAGCTGGCTGTGGAAGCTGCCTGAACGACCCGCCCTCGGGGATCAGATGAGGATTAGACGAGCTGCAGGTAGACATGCAAACTGTATTCGTACGGCTGCCTGTGAGTCCCCTTGAAGAGCAGAGTCGAGGGGGTAGATTCGGGCCGCGCGGAGGAGCAAGTCGCCGATGAGTGTGGAGCCCCGGACTCCGGGTCTCAAGTAAACATTGTGTTGATTCTTTGAGTCAAGATCCCCTTGGCCTGGATGATCAGCTCGTATATACGCCTGAGTTTCCCTGTTTAGATAACCCAGCATACACAATTGCGGATCAAACTATGAACCTTGCAGTCGTTCCCGTGGTAGCTTATTGCCATTGGATGGTGATAAACGATAGATAGATAGATATGTTAGGTGGTTGGTTTGTAAGACAGGCAACACTTATGGCTTGTAGGCACCAGTTTCAATCCCTGGCTTCCGGCGATGTGGTCATGATCGAAGGCAGACATAGAATTGAATTGAGTTGAATGATTCGACCGCAACTGCAGCACCGGCCAGGCAAGGGGGTGGCGCCACCTGTGTGGTTGTGCCACTTCGTGATCCTCGAGCTTTGCATACCAAGTGTGGTTGTGTGGGTACCTAGGTAAGTGTGAAGTGCTCTTCCAGTCGTCTTAGGCAGCGAGTAAGTGACTGTCGATCGGTTCAAGAACAGCCTGTCTGTGTGTGGACGGCGCATGGTCAAATCGAGGTCCAATTGGGCCGATTCGAGACGGTGCTATCGACAGTGTTTTGATTCCATCTCTAGCAGACCACCGCAGCGAGCCGGGAGGTCTAAGTATGGTGGAGTGCCTGCTGTAGCGACAAATCTGCCGGGCCCTGCAGCCAATGCGACGGCGGGCTTGGCCAGAAGAGGAAGGAAGTGCAAAGCCGGTGCCTGCACTGGCCCTCATTCACCACGGGCCCCATATTTCCCCATCACCTTCACCCATGGCGGCAGGGCCGCCATGCTGGGGAAGACAAGTGCTTACTTACATCAATTTCTTTTCGCTCCTCCAATACAATTCAACATCTTCCCCTCTCAGTCCGCCTCTCCCCGCGAGCTGCCTCTCCTGCGGATGGATAAGAAGGACGCGCGGCAATTTCAATTCTGGGCCGTGACCGTGACAATGGATTGACCGTCTCACGCTTCCGCAACTAGCTCGCCAACTTGTTCCCTCTGCCTTTATCACCCCTGTCTCAAAACACCACCAGCCAATATTGTCTTGAGACATGGCCCAGAACGGCCACTCAAATGGTTCAACGAGCCATGTCTCCGAGTCCATAGCCACAGAGCGCACACCACTTCTGGCCACTGGCGATATCGCCCCAACCGCAGACCCAACAGTATCCGAGGCCACGACGCTGCAGGGCTCTAGCGCCGGCACCTTCTCAGAGAATACAGCTGCTGATGCAGATGACGAGGACGAGGACGACGGCCGGCCCTTCCCAACATGGCAGATCTTCTGGATCTGCTTCGCTCGCCTGGTCGAGCCGATGGCCTTCTTCTCCATCTTCCCCTACATCAACAAGATGGCCCAGGAGAACGGCAACCTTGAAACCGCCGACGTTGGTTTCTACAGCGGCCTCATAGAGTCGCTGTTCTCGCTCACCCAGGCCGTCTTCATGTTGTTCTGGGGCCGGGCCTCGGACAGGCTGGGCCGGAAGCCCATCCTCGTTTTCAGCCTGGTCGGTGTCACCATCGCTACAGCCCTGTTTGGGTTTTCCCGGACCATCTGGGAGATGATCCTGTTCCGCTGCGCGGCTGGTGTTTTTGGGGGCACCATCGTTACCATGCGCACGATGCTGGCCGAGCATAGCACCCCTCGCACCCAGGCCAAGATCTTCAGCTGGTTCGCCTTCTCCGGGAACCTGGGCATTTTCATTGGGCCGCTCTTGGGTGGTGCCCTTGCGGACCCGGCGCACCAGTATCCTGGAGCCTTTGGGCATGTCAAGTTCTTTCATGACTATCCCTACGTGCTCTCCAGCCTGGCTGTTGGGCTCCTGGGCCTCGTTTCCGTCTTCACGAGCGCATTCTTCATCGAGGAGACGCTGAAGAAGGAGCCCAGCTCGGAGGATGGGGCCGTCAAGCCCAAGAAAGAAAGCGAGAGCATCCGGAGCATTGTCATGACACCCGGTGTCGCCATTGTTCTGTACGTTTACGGCCATATCATGCTGCTGGCCCTAGCTTACACGGCCATCCTGCCCGTGTTCTGGTTTACACCGGTCGATCTGGGCGGCTTTGGCTTCACCCCAATCCAGATGTCACTGATGCTGTCCGTCAACGGCGTCGCACAGGCGTCCTGGCTGCTCTTTGTATTCCCGCCCCTCCAGCACCGGTGGGGCACCAACAAGGTCCTCCGCGTCTGCGCGATATGCTACCCCTTCTTTTTCGCCATCTGCCCCCTGGGCAACATCGTGCTGAGGTCCGGCCACGACCTGGCGTTCTGGATATCGGCCCCTCCCATCCTCTTCATCGGCAGCGGGATCGCCATGAGCTTCACGGCTATCCAGCTGGCCCTGAACGATGTGTCCCCCAGCCAGGCGGTCCTGGGCACACTGAACGCCCTCTCTCTGACATTTGCCTCGGTCCTGCGGGCTTTCACCCCCGCGACGTTCTCGAGTCTCTTCGCCCTGGGGGTCGGGACCCAGTGGCTGGATGGCTATGCTATTTGGGTCCTGATGATCTTCTTCGCGATGGGTTTCACCGTGGTCGCGAGGTACTTGCCGGAGACGGAGAAGAAAAGGCCTGCTTCACGGGGACAAGAAGCGCAGGAAAGCGCCGAGGAGGACAGGAATTGAGGAGTCCAGCTGTTGTGCCTGCAACGAGTTCTGCGCTCTACTGCCATACGAGGAGACTCATCTTGATTTTAGACTAGACAACAATATAGTTAAAATTCTGCATGTGAGGCACGGTTGTGCCACATGTGGCGATGTATTTTCACATCCTCGCTGCAGTGCAATGAACCCTGAGGGTGATATTTTACCCGGTAGGCGCGGTGACATGCGACCGGAAGAAAATATGATGATCCTATTGAGGCATTTCCGACAATAACGGAATCGCCTCATCATCTGGACACATGTGCGGACCTGCCAGTCATTTACATGCATGTAAGCCTCCGTACCCGTCCCAACAGCCAGCCAGCCAGCCAGCCAGGCACATTGCTGGCGCCTGCTGGTACCCGTTTACTGCATGCCATACATCCACAAGACATCGGACTTGGTCGATCTCCACAAGTGGTCCCCTTGTGGTTCCGAGGTGCCATATGCGCCGCAGACCCGCTGCAGCGGGTTGGATCGTTAGGCCTGTTGTTTTTAGACTGGACATGGATCATTGTTTTCCTAAAGCGGTACAGCGCGCCTCTCGATAGTGAGGGTTTGGTCCCCAACGACACAAACGACGTGGGTATACCGAGGCGGATCAGACTGCTAAAATCTCACTTGGAATTCTTTGACCGTACGGATATCAAATCCATCATTGACTTTGTCGAGAGGCTGGACCCATGGCGAGAATTTGAGTAATATATAAAGGCCACGGGCATCCGCACAAGCAATGTAGGTTTTGATTTGGCGCATATCCGACATCTTTCTTCTACTCGAATACGTCGTCCATCCCAAACATCCCCTTGTGAAAGAAGTGAAATAATAAAAGGGCCACGCCTTAAACATGTCAGCCGAGCGACGATTTGAACAGAGGCGCTTCCGCCTCGAAGAATCGGTCACGCAGAACGCCGGCGCGCGCACCGTCTTCATCGAGCGCATGACCCCGGGAACCACCGTCCCACCGCACTACCACACCCGTCAGTATTGTCTGCACATTCTCCCCCATCACAGTTCCTCCCCCCCCTCTTCTGGAACTCCTCACAGCACCTTCTACAGGATCACCGGCACCATTTTCCTCCCACAGACCCCCTGACAGGTTGAACCAACCAACCAACTAACCCACAAAAAAAAAAAAAACCAGGCTTCTCGGAGACCTTTGACCTCCTCGAGGGCTCCCTCACGGTCCACTCGTCCAAGCAGGAGCCGACCGCCGCGGGGGACGAGGGCGCGGACCTGGAGCTCCTGGAGCGGTCCTCCACGCGGGTCTCGCCCGGGGGCGCGGCGCCGCCGCCGGTCGTGCCCGCCGGGGTGTACCACAAGTACGTCGTGGGCGGCGGCGCGGACGCCGTGCTCCGGTGCGTCGTGGAGCCGGGCCACGCGGACTTTGAGAGGCTGCTGATGATCCTGAACGGGCTTGCCGACGACGGCGAGCTCGAGGCCATGGGGGATAGCGTGTTGCTTATGGCTGTGATTAGTAGGTTGCCCCTTTTTCCGAATCTCTTTCTTTCCCTTACACCTCCCTCTCATTTCCTTGGTCTTTGTTTTGTCGTCCTTTCATGCTGTTGCTGTTGCTGTTGCTGCTGGTGCACGTGGACATAGTATGCTGATACGACTTGATATAGTGGACCTGGGCGATGCTCATCTTCTTGGGCCGGCCAAGTCCATGCTGGATGGTGTCTATGCGAGCCAGAGGCAGGAGGTTGCGGACCTGAAGGCACGGCTGTTGGCCAAGTACGACAATGAGGAGAACTTGAAGAAGCTGTTGGCCAAAAATTAGCCGGGTAACAGCATGCCTTCCTGGAAGTGGTCGCTGAGAACTGCTCCTTGGGGAGCCGACCTCATCCTGTGGGCGCATCTCACCATCATGGGCCAAAAGCAAAGGGCAGCAAGGCGTCCCTTTGGGCAGCTACGCCATGACATGATGCCCATATCACTCCAGCCAGCAAGTGATGACATTTGAGGCGACGAATACAGGAGTCAAAAAATTGTATTGCATAGCCTTCAGACTAAATAGGCAAGCAAGGATATCATAGAAGTGATAATAGTTCAAATTGATCCTCCAGAAATTCCAAACACCGCGCTGTCATTTCCATCTTTCCGAAATCTTACGAGATCTTGCCCAGGTTGGAATAAAAGAGAACCCCGCCGTTGAAGTCCCATATAGAAGTTGAACTCGTTAAATCCGTGGAGTCATTTGACAACAAAAGAGACAAGAGAAAGAACACGACTGAGAAGCAAAAGACCGCTGATAGCTATGGTTGGGGCTTCGACAAGTCCATGCGTGGACCGTCACTCGATCAACGGTAGTAGTACTCCCTAGCCCTCCTCCGGTCCTCGATGTTGATAGTGATCCTCTCCCTATCCTCCTCGATCCTCTTCGGCGGAGAGGGAGGTGCAGGGAGGTACTTCCTCTGCGGCGGTCCCTCGACGTAGCGGTACGTCTCGTATTCCCTCCTTACGGGGACTGGGATGTATCGATCCCTCTCGATAATGAGCTCCCGCTCCCGCTCATCATAGTGGCTGTGGCTGTGACTGCGACTCCGGCTCGTTTTCTTGGAGGACTTGGACGACGAGCTTGAGGAGGATGAGGAGGACCTCCTGGACGACTTGGACTTCTCGGACGGCTCGACGTCCACGGCGATGACGTCTATCTCATCTCGTGCCGGGGGCGGCGGTGGTGGTGGCGGCTCCAAGAAAACGGGAGGAGGCGGCCTCACAATAACTGGGGGCGGTGGAGGCGGCGGCGGCGGCAGAGCCAGCACAGGTGGTGGCGGAGGCTTCTCGATGGCTGGAGGCGGAGCGGGCGGGGGCACGACCGTTGTGATCTTCCTCCGGATTGTCACGCTGCCAGGGGTGGGTGGTTCGAGGTAGACCACCTTCTTCTTGTACCTCTTCTCCTTCACAGGCACTGAATGAGAGGCCCAGTTAGCAAATATGTACTTGGAAGAAACGGTACCACTTAGCAAAATCAAGGAGATGTGCAAGTGTGCGTTGTGGGAAGAGGTCAATACCGAGGACTGGTACGTAGAAGTACATTGCTTTGCAGACGGGTAGGTGCAGACAGAGGGTGAAGGTATGTACACAGATGAAGAGCAGAAAGAGAAAAAACGGGCGCACTGACTGATGAGATATAGCCCGGTAAACAGCAGCTGCTTGCGATGTAAAAATACCCAACGTTGTCGAGGGGCTATGCGGCTGAGGGCAGTCTTGTCGTCTAAGCCAGGGTTGCGCGCAAGCAAACGTATGTGGTATATTCGTGAAGCAATACAGAGGTGGGTTGCGGGCCCAGGCTGCGGCCGTGAAACACAAGCTGCTATTTATACGGTGGATTGTCGGGATCCAGTGAGAAAGCTTAAGTCCGTCTAGCGACCAAGCTTCGTTTTGACAAGAGTGATGCGATACGATGCGACGGATCCGGGCTCTGAAGGAATCTTGGGGGTCGCGGGACAATCGCAAGACGTGAGGCGGCCGCAGGTGTGGTGAGAGTTGGGTGGGGGCAAGGCGATGATGGATGGCGGGCCGAGAGAATGGGCTGAAAGGTTTGAAACTAGGAAGATATAAAAACAAGACGCAAGGGTTCGGCCTGGAAGTCAAGTGGCCAAGGTTGGGTATATATTCGGCGCAGGAGTGTCATATGGATCTCATGCTGTGTTAGTAGTATGGTGTATACTTAAGTAGATAGCGTCGTTCACGCGGGTCGACATCACCTCTTGCGATTTGGCACATGGGTGCGTGTGCCTAGTGGTGGCAGGGACCGCATTCGTAAAATGACACAGCCCATCTGGGACCTTGATCACTTGCCCAACCTGCGCCTCGGGGCGAGCAACAGTGACATCTGCCACCCGGGTTCCGCCAAGCTAAGCCTTTTCCCCCTCAAGGCTCTTCCAAGGTTCGGCACGTCTGCCCATCTCGGACAGGGAACCGTGGCCCATCACGGAAGCACAGAAGCATTCGAAGGCGCCTGCTTCCGTGTTGCTGGGAAGCCAGGTACTCGGTAGCATCTGCTCCCAGCTTCCAGCAACAGGCTGCGACCGACCCCTGCCCCCCACCATCACAGGAGGAGCCCAGAGGGAGGGGGCCGGCGGGAGCATCGTCCCGTGGGCTGCGGGTGTGGTTGGGCAACGGGCGTGGCCCGGAATCAGGCGATGACGTTGGCCTGCAGACCCAGGCGACGGCCCAGAAAAGCAGGGAACATATTCCAGGGTCTTCCTCAAGTTCCTTGTGGGCTGGCAGGCCTGGCAGGGCCCGACGTGGTGGCCTGGAACCGGCCATGAGTGGCTGGAGCAGAGTTGCCCCCTGCAGACAGGTGCCTCCCTGGCATCAACCTTTCAGCCTGCCAGCCGAGCAACTCGTGGCCTCTGCATTCTGTGTTGTAGTATGACGGCATCATCAATACTGTAGGCAGACCTGTCGCCCGCGCTGTCGCCAGAATCCCAGCACGTTTGCTGTCGCATCGAGTTTCAACCAGGCTTGTTTCCTGTTTCCACGAGGGTCTTCCCAGAGGCACAATAGGTTGCTGGACCCGATGTTAAGGTTCTGGTCGCTCTGCACGCAGGCAGCGGGCTGGGGAGCCATGCTCTTGGGACACAAAAGCAGGGCGGAGCCTGGCCGATAGGGTGATAGTGCATCGAGCTTGCTAAAGTCGGCAAGGCTGGGAGGACGTCCGCGGGCATTTTGGGCCGCCAGGCTGCCAGGCTGGCGGTCGACGCCCACAATTAGCCTATCAACACAGAAGGGTCCTGCGAGGAGTAACCTGGTAGACCCGGCAACCGTAGCGAGATCGCACATTGCTGGAAGGGGCGTCTCACAGAAGCAAATCTCGTCCAGACCACGACGTCGCGGTCCGATCTGGTCTGGTCTGTGATAGTGGGTCGATATGTATCGAACATCGAAACCCAGGGCGGGATCCAAAATGCCGCGCCATTGGGCAGCCATGGTTTGGGGCGCCGGGTCGTAACCGAGATCACGTTTAAAGCATGCCGTGTTCGCAGGGTGCAAGAAGGAGATCCAGGAGAGAAAAGCTGGCGTCGGGGGAAGCCAAGTCTAGGTGCTTGGGCTTTCGCGCCTTCCCTTCGTCGGTGCCCAAACGTCCTAGGGGGCAAATGTGAGAAAACCTCGAGGCCTGATCGCAGTACCAGGTGACCCTAAAAATTCTGGTCGTCTTTCCAGGACCCAAGACATATACACGCGCAAATCGCAAATGCTATGCCTGGGGCTGCAAGCCCGTGTGGTTGGGGCAAGTCGTTCGTCTACTCTCAACAGCTGTTGTCACACAATCCGGTTCTTCATCAAATACCGGCTTAGCCTGCCTAATTTACAATACAGTGCTATGGCACTTTATAACTGACAACACGAAGCTCTGGTGAGGAACCCCCATTCTCCGTCTGACGACGTACAGAGAAGATTTGCTGGAATCGACTGCCTCCCCCCGATCGTCAAAGCCATTTGCACGGCCTCTCCTCCATCATGTAGCACTGCTTATAAAATCTCAGCCTTCAAGCAGGGGCACCTAGCTACATATCCTGAATTGTTTCTAAATACACATTATGACTATCTTGTCGGAAGTGTTTCGTGATTTGCCAGTCTCTCTTCCAGGGCCAGCAAGACCCATCCCGACAACCAGCGCTGTCACAGTTGCTATTTGAACAACACCCATCTTGCAAACGCATTTCTTCATGCTAGAAAAGAACTGTGCAAGCATGCAGAAAAGCAGTATCGTATTTTACTCTCTTCCTACGAGTGATGGGCGGCCTTTCGAATAGTGACGAGCTGCCCCTGGTGACGGCTTTAGAGCTTCAGCTCATACAAAATGTTGGGCAGTTGTGGAACCTGTTCAACTAGATAAGCTAAATCACCAGGCTTGATGGCACATGGCACACAAAAACCTTGAAACACAAAAATCGGCTGTTCATGCTGACTGTGTTGTGTGTTCGAGTGACTGAGGCTATCACGCACTTATGGAAAGACTTGATCACAGACAACTCGGAGTTGACCTATACCGCCCGTGTCGTATGGATACTCTGGGAAATAAAAGGTACTATGATCCAAGACTGAATAATTATTTTTATCAAGCACTGCAGAGTTGAACAGCCATTCCCACAGACCCGAGCATCTCTTGGGGGGGAGACAGGGAGGACCACAAAAGACACAAAGAGTCCCGAGCAACCACAAGAGCCCAGGGACAACAGCCAAACCCTACCAACATGTCCGACGAAGATGACCCAAGCAGCCCGACCTCGCCCCTCTCCAAGAAAGCCCGCCTAGCCCACTGGATAACAGGCGGTACCAACCGCGGCCCATCGACCATGTCCTCCTTCATCCGCATGACGAGAGACCGCAATGACATCAAGAAAGCAACCAAGGCCTGGTCCCTCGCCGGGGAGCGTGCGCTTGACGAGCACCAGAGCCAGTGGGGGGCGTCAAGGCCGAAAGGGGCGGCCTTGATCAGATGGTATCGGGAGGGCGGCGGCGGCGGAGGTGGCACACATGAGGCGAATCGTGGGGATGCCGTACAGCAGCCTGAGATGCAGCAACGGGGACGGCAGGGACAAGGGGAGGCGGCTCCTGTAGAGGATGACATATATCGGGCAGGCGACAACACCCTTGGGCAGAGGGCTGAGGGAGGCAACACTGGTGATGGTGGCACAATAACAGCAACAGCGACTGGGGAGGGAGGCGATGACCGCTAGCAAGAGGTTGTGGCGCGTCGTGTGTAGCAACGAAGGAGACAGTCATGTGCGGCCAGGATCTAGATTATACCACAGGGCGAGCGGCATGATCGTGTGAAACACACCCACGAGATAGTCCGCGGCCTGACATCACAGTTCATAACAATGATACCCTTTTTATTCCCGTCTACCGTAAAAACACAAGCTGGTAGTCCAACACCACATTGTTAGTATGTACAGTGTGCCAATGCATCATCTCCCTCGTCCGTCCCTCCTTCCTGGCCACTGCCACTATGGAAAAGAACCAAAATCCCCTCGAGATGCTGCCGTATCGTACTGATCATCCAACCATTAAGATGACTCTTATTGCTGAGCCGAGCCATGGAGCAATTGGGAGAGATGACTGCGAAGAGGACCAGGCAGTGTCTGGCAGCAAGAGCAAGTGGAGGTTTGATGGCAGAAGAAACATCTTCCGATAAAATAAACAGAACAGAAACCAACACCGGTTGGGCACTCTCATACCGTGAACTCCCCTTCCAGCGTCCCTGAGCAGACCAATAAACACCCGTACGCCGCCGCAATGACCGAGTAGCGAAATCCGAGAAAGGTATAATCATGACCTCTCCGCTTGGCGCGCAATGAATACAAATTGGCGCTGAAGAGTGCGATGTTGACATAAAGCTTCGTCTTTGGCCTATGGATTCATGCAGTGTCGTAAACCTGAGTAGTTGTCCACATGCTGAGCGTTCAAGGTTATCGTAATCAGAGGCCGGGGGCTATGTCATCAAAAGACCAAAGAGTAGTTGCGTTGCTCGACAGGCAAGCACACAACAGCCTCTCACTCGTCGAGGGGAATGTCTAGGTCATGAATGTCGAACGCAGCCGCGTTCTTCTTGGCCCACTGGCGCGTCAGGATCGACGCCTTCAGGAACTTCTTGCTGGCATACTTCTTGAAGAAGGCTTCGTGACCGACAGGCCGGGCCAGGTAGTCGACCATGAGCTGCAGGCAGGGCTCAATCTCCTCCTCGGTGTAGCCGGCATAGAAAGCCAGCGTTGCATCCCAGTCACCCCTGTCCAGGATCAAGCGTGCCAGGTACATAGCAGTGGCAGCGACATGAGATGGGCGATAAGCCATGAAGCGGCGATCGACAACGCTGATCTCCAACAGGTACTTGGCGACGGTCCGGGTCTGGATGTCGTAGTTATCGGCCTTGGAGATTCGGCGCAGGAAGTTCATGGGGTTCGGGTAGCTGAGGTCGTACTCGAGAGTCTGGAGGATGAAGCGCTCGGCGGACAGAATCTCGGACTCGGTGAATCCGTTGTCTGCAACATGCTTGAAGTTGCCGACATGAGGCGACAGGACCTCCTCGTACTTGGACGCGATGAACATGGCTGTGATGCCCACCAGCTGGACGCGATCGAGTTGGACAACCTTCTCGGAGAGGAAACGGTCAATGATGTTGATGGCCAAAAACAGGGTCTCGGGAAGCAGGTGGAACCGAGTGTGGACCTCGATGAGCCAGTCGACAAGGATGCTTCGGGTCTTCCACTCAAGCTCGTCCTGGTGGTCCATGTAGTCTGGGTTGGGAAGAGAATTGGGCTCGAGCGTGAGAAGGTAGTCGAAGATCTCGTGCGCATACTCGGCAACCATCAGGGGGTCATCATGGTCCTCCTGGTCGAGGTCGACAACACCTTCGGGGTAAACGAATCCTTCCTGCTGGGGTGTGGCGGGCTTGACGACAGGCTCGGCGACCTCGGCGACCTCCTTAGAGCGCCGGTTCTCCTTCTCTGCGGTGTGCACCTTCTTGCGGACGGGCTCACCCTCCTCAACTGGTGTCTTCTCCTTCTTGAGGGCCGGAGCCGCTGCGGGAGGGGCCTTCCTCTTCGAGCCGATCTCGCCGGGGCCCGATGCCTTGGTAGTCTTCTTCGTTGCATTGGCTTCCTTGGATGCAAGTGGGGCCCGGGCGCGTGATGTCGCAGCTGATGTGCTCTTCTGGACCCTATTCGCTTGTGTGGTCTTTGATACAACGCCTGCCTTGGTGGCGGTGACCTTCTTTCCCTCGGTAGCCTCGACCTTGGTGACGTTGGAAACATCACCAAGGGCAGCGCGCTTTCGAGTAGCGGCGCCTGCGACATTGGAGTTGGCAGCAGACTTCTTCGACTGCAGGGGCTTGGATGGTTGGGCGAGCTCGTCGACGTGAAGGGCGGCCGCCTTGGCACGGGTCAGGCGGGTGGAGCTGCCGGTCATGCTGTTCTCGTCATTCTCGCTGGCGATGACGCGGGCGCGCGTAGTACGTCCCTACGAGCAATGTCAGAATGGGTGAGATGTCACGGGATTGCTCGAGACGTCGCGTCATTAAGCTGGCGAGTGTATGGGTGTCATCTTACACCGGCTGGAGGCATGTTGTCGATTGACGTGTATTAAGATACCCAAACACTAAGGGGTTGCTGCAGGAGACAGTCAGTAAACAAACGAGTCATGCAATGCAGCAGCAGGTCGGGGGACAGAGCTGGTGGGTGTGGTGGGTGTGGTTTGTGATTGCGGAGAGAGCTGGAGGTGGTTATGGTGGATGAGGAGGTGCACATGGCTGTGGAGCTCCAGCCAGCCCGTCGCGTCTGGTGAAAAATATTGCAATGGGGACAGGAGCAAGGAAGACTGACATTGAATACTCGGCAACAAAATGCAGAGATGCTAATTGTCTCTAAGACGCGTAACAGTGTCAATCACAGAGCGGCCAGCGGGATGAGATGGGTCTCGATGGTTATGGATGCCCGGCGACAGAACAGCGCGTTGTTGTGTGGGAAAGGCTGATTGATGGCTGTGTGGACTGGCAGAGCTGTGCTGCGTTGTCTGCCTGCTGCCCGAGGGGATGTTGCTGCTGTTGTGGTCCAGTGTTTGCAGAGGTGGAATGGCTAAGGAATGACCTGCTCCTAGGAAGATCAAGACTGACGGAGATGATGATGGGGACGATGGGGTGGGTGGGTGGCAGACGGGCAGACTGGACGGATGTGTGTTTATGTGCAGTGCAGGCTGAGCGGACAGACCTTGTTTTTGAGGTTGACGGGTAGCAGAGAGTGGGAGTGGAGCCCCCTGGTGCAGGTGAGGTGCAAGTGCAATTGCAATTGCAGAGCTGCCGCACACTTGCACGGTGCCAGGTGTGGGAAGGAGCGTGTTGCGGACGGAGCGTGAGCGTGAGGCGTACGTGGGACGTGGACCCCTGCACATGCAGCACCTGCGGCAACAGAGCGCGACTTGGGAGAGGGCCTGCTGCTAGTCCACCCAAACCAGCACTGGTATCCGTACTGTGGTGAACTGCCGCCTGCTGCTCCAGGCTGCTCGAATTGACGGCACGCGTCGTCCCAGGCTGCTCTCTGTACTCTGGAGTCCAAGAATGACCACGACATGGCGCGACGTGCGAGCCATTGGGAAGAGATGCAACCGAAAGAATAGCCACTTACCAGAAGTCACAGTGCCTCCTTGCTTGTTCAATGCTGGTTGCTGGTGGCAAAACGTAGGTGTTGTTGAGAGAATGAGAGAGAAGAGAGAAAGAGAGTGTGTGTCTGTCAACTTTCAAGGAATAAAGTCCAAGTTGAGACAACCTTGGGAGTTTGAGTGGGCTAAAGCTGACTGACCGGGTTGGGTGGGTAGCTCGAACTGTGGGGTCGTGCCGGACGTCGACGCGACGGAACATCGACTTTTGTTTATATTTGGTTTGCCCGTTCCGTCCTTGCAACCACGGCAACCGTCCTTCAACCGCGCCGCCATTGGCCGGCAGCACCGTTGCTGCTCAACCCCCGGCTCCGGAGCTTCAAGGAGCTCTAGCCTCTCGCATCACCAGCTGCACGCATCTCCACGGCACCAGGAGCTATGGCTTGACTTCTGGCTCTTGTATTCTACACCCATTGGCTTGCCATGAGTCACATTCTGCGAGGTTGCCCGGCAAGAGTCTACTCCGAAACGTGCTTCAACACCCGGACCTGTGGCAATTGATCGGGGGACAACGCTCCAGCAACGCCGTAGCAAGATAGATCGCCCAGTGCTAGCTAACACATATGTATGAGCATTTTTGAACTGCACGGCAACCACTTGATTCAACATGTGTGGTATGCATTCAATCGCTCCAGTGATGCCGGCGCGGATAGCATGACACAGAAGTGCGCACCCTTGCATAGTACGGAGTAGTATATATGGTTGGCCTTCTGCTTAGTCATCCGATGACCCCTGCAGATCGCATCGGCGAACTTCGAATTTTCGAGCTTGATTGACACCACCTTGAAGCCCATCGACCCGGCCGCCCAACGATAGCCGCAGGTGACCTCAGACGAGCCAAGTCGAGCCCACTCGTCTTTGCTGGTCCACCCACCTACTCGACTCGAAGGCACAGGCCCTCTCTGCCTGCATTGATGGCTGCCCGGCCCTACTGAGCCAACCACATCAAACGACGCCCGGGGAGCTCGACCCTGAGCATCCTCAGCCGCGCACCACCGAATGATGCTCCAACCAAGGTTCAGGCCACTGGCCTCGTCCATCAGGTCCCTGCTCACCTCCTCCAACTTTTCCCGAGCCTATGCCAGCAAGACCCCCAGCCGCGATCTGCCGACCGCGCCTGCACTGCGCGCCGAGGAGGCTCTCAAGCCCACCCTGAAAAAAGAAGAGGAACAGCTTGTGATTCTGCGGACCTATAAGCCGCGGACCCCCGGTGTGCGACATCTGAAGCGGCCCATCAACGATCATCTATGGAAAGGCCGGCCGTACCGGGCGCTGACCTTCCCCAAGAAGGGCCAGGCAAGAGGTGGCAGAAATAATACTGGTAGGGTCACTGTGCGACACCGTGGTGGCGGGCACAAGAGGCGTATCCGGACCGTCGACTTCGACAGGAAAGCCCCCGGGGCGCACCTCGTGGAGCGCATCGAGTACGATCCCAACCGCTCCGCGCACATTGCCCTGATTTCGAACAGGGCGGACGGCAAGAAAAGCTACATCATCGCAGCCGACGGCATGAGGGCTGGCGATGTTGTCCACAGCTACCGCGCTGGTATCCCCAAGGACCTGCTCGACAGCATGGGTGGCATTATCGACCCGGGTATCTTGGCCTCCAAGACAGCGCACCGCGGAAACTGCCTGCCCATGCACATGATCCCCGTTGGCACCATGATCTACTGTATCGGCTCGAGGAGAGATGGCCCGGCCCGGTTCTGCCGGAGTGCAGGCACCTACGGCGTCATCGCGTCCAAGGAGGAGGAGACAAGGGACGACGGTACCAAGATTGTGGTTGGAAAGCATGTCAACGTGAGGCTGCAGAGTGGCGAGGTCCGCAAGGTGGACAAGGATGCAATTGCGACGATCGGTGTTGCAAGCAATGTCCACTACAACTACACGTCGCTGGGCAAGGCTGGAAGAAGTCGATGGCTAGGCATCAGGCCAACGGTCAGAGGTGTGGCCATGAACACTGGTAAGTCACTAATTCTGAACCTTGATTGCAAATCATCGGCGGTCCACAGACTAACACCTTGGGTTAGTCGACCATCCTCACGGTGGTGGTCGTGGAAAGTCCAAGGGAAACCGGCACCCAGTGAGCCCTTGGGGCACACCAGCAAAGGGCGGGTACAAGACTCGCAGAAAGCACAACATCAACAGGTTTATTGTCACGCCTCGCGTTCGCAACATGGGCAAGAGGAGAGACAAGGGCGGCTCTTGAGTGTCTGTACATATCCAAGCTATATATGTAAGACTATTTGTACAACGTCGATCTCCACGTGCGTGCAAATGGCCTTGTTCGAGGATCTCGTGGCGGATTCTTCATCCGCAAGACAGGCTTACTTGAGGCGTCTCACAGGTGCCTCAAGCCATAGGCGTTCATCCAATGAGGGCAAATGATCTACTTTTGTGGCATATCTGACTTACCACAGTTAGTAGACAGCTGCGGCTCCGCCCTCAATAGAACCCACCACAGATTCGAGACAGCAAACCATAGCAACGACAAGTGCTCCCGCACCAGATTTCAATCAGTCCCAGAGCCCCCTCAACCCAGCAGGGTCCGTCCCAAGCACGGGATCTCGCTCGGGCTTCGGCACAGACCATACCTCCTGGTACCGGCCCTCGTGCTCGCCACCAACAGCAAAGTCCCAACTGGCACCCACAGGATACGCCCCGATCATGGTGAAGCCGGAGAGCTCGACGCCCGCAAGGCCAGGCCCGGCGGCCCCATCACCGGCCCCCGTGGGGTGATGGTCGTCCCCCGGGGTCAGGAGCTTGAACGTGCTGTCGCTGGGGTCCGGGTTGAAGGTCTTGTGGGCCAGCCCGGCGGGCAGGACGAAGACGTCACCGGCGCAGGCGTGGATCTCTATTCCCTTGCTGCTGCTAGTGTCGGTGTCGCCGCCGGCGGGCTCGTCATCAGCGACGCCGAACCTTATGGTGGCCTCGCCGCTCAAGACGGCCATGCACTCGTGGGCGGCGGAGTGGTAGTGCGACTGCTGGGTCTGGCCGTACCTAAAGATCCATTGGACCTGCCAGCCGTTGGCGGCGAAGGCGTCGTGCACGGCTTGCGGGGCGCGCGATGCCGGCGAGGGGAAGAATTGCCGGTAGTGCAGCAGGGGAAAGGGAGAGTTGGGGATCTTGGAGGTCGGCGGCAGATGGTACTTCTTGACCTCGGCCATGTCCGCAGGGGGTTTGAATTGTATCAGACGGCTGCTATGTTGTGGTGTACGCTGTGTGTACACATGTGTGTGTCTAATACTCAAGATACTATGGAGTTTATCTTGGTGCCGAGGTCAACGCCTGGCAATCATCGTCGATGCGACGTCGGGCAACCCATGCCCAGGTGCCGCGGTACCGGCACAGAGCGAGCTGTCATGGAGCATTGTCTAGCGCACACACCCCTGCCCGGGCGCGGAGATTTTTACTAGTATCACGATCGCAATTGGACCTGGCCATGAGGCGTCCAATGGCGGGCTCGAGAGCGTAAATACATGGTGTGAGTTTGAAGTCTGTTGCGACCGCCTGCAACCAGCCTGACGTCCACGTCCAAACCTCGGCTCTTACCGAGACAGCTTGTTCACGTCATCGTTTCCAGGGTGGGCTTGCGTGGTGTGAAAGGGGCTGAGCTGTTGCGTTACAACACAATGGCGGCCCCCTCGGATGGCATCTGATTCTATTCGGGCTCCCGTGTTGGTCCTGATACAAGCGGGCAGCATTGATGGGCGTTCCTATTCGATCGCCAGCCAGGCAAGTGGACCGTTTGTCAGTGCCAAGGTCGCGGGGCCCAAGAGTCTTGGTCTACCTCATCGCAATCTAACCATGGTACCGGGTAGAATCTGCCAGCTGGCTGGCTGGCTGGCCTTTTGCCCCGAGCCAAGCCGTCTGGGTGCTTGCTGCTTTGGCGATCAAAGGCTGATGAGGAGGAAGCAGTCTGGCAGTGCCCAGAGGATCGTCGTCTCGCCCGCCGCTCGCATGCCGCAGCGAGTGGCTGTGCCTGCCAGTCAGTCTCCTTTTCCTCTGGGCTCTCAGCTCTCTGTACCTCCTCCCAGCCTCTCAGCCTCTGCCTGGGCCTTAGCATTGGGCTGATTTGGTCCTGGGCCGTCCCATTTTAGAACCGTTGGCTTTATACTAACCCCCAAACCCCCCCAAACGCGCGCTCCCTTCCCGGGCCTCCCTGCAATCAGGAACGGACGGCTTCTCATGCTTCTATGTACTTTAGTAACCAAGCCGCTACGGAGTATAAATCTTGGGTTTTCGCAGCACGCGATCCCCTTCCTCCTTTGGAATACGAATTCTGCAATCCATCATCAATCCTGTACGCCGTCGGCTAGTTTCACCCGGCACTTGGAGGACCAGAGGAGTCGGTCGACGAAACCTCACCCACACCTTTTTCGTCCAAAGCCGCCGTAGTCTGCCAGTCTGCCAGTCTGCCCCTCGCGACACCGAGCCTCCAAGTAAGCCCAAGATCAACCTCCACAGCTCCAGGGGCATTGCTGCTGCATCCTCGCTCGGCCGTGCCCACCCTTGCGCCCAGTCTCCGGCTCATTCGTTCATTTGTCCCATTTGTACGCCCTTCCCCCGGGACAATTGGCCAAGAAACCCTGCAGTTGGCATCTGACTCGGGGGGGCCACTGCACAACGGCGTCTCGTCTCACGTCGGCGGATATTGCGTCGCCTCGTCACTTCCACCTGCCAACGGGAATGCTACGCCCAAAGTGTGACGACTAGCCCTCCTAAACACATCCGGCCCGTTCGCCACTACAGATTACCGTCCGTAGTTGCACCTCTTTGACCTTTAGTCCCCCCCCCCTTCCCTTTCAGAACATGTCAGGTGGTGAACCGAATAACGGCTCGGTGCCCCTCATCCCAATACAAAGCCGCCGCCAGTACGGACGGCTGGACTATGACATAGAGCACGACCCCGACGACCAAGACGATCGCGACCGCGACCACCTCCAACACCACGGCTCCTACCACGACTCTGGCGTGCGCCACGACGTCGACACCTCATACCCAGGCTCCTCCTACAATCCTACAGATGTCAACATGGCCCGCACGCACATCGCCGCCCAGCTGAGGCCGCGCAGAAGTTCCACAAAGTCTGCCGTCCTCGTCATAGCCTCATATGCCTTCGACTGGATCATCATTATCGTCGCCCTCGGCATCTCCTACCTAATGGGCCACCAACGGCCCAACATGCGCCCTTTCTTCCTCGAGGACCCAAATATCTCGTAAGCTATAGCCCCAGGCCCGGCCCCAACTGCCCTCCGCTTTGTTCCCAGGTCACGGGGTGCTAATTCTCCCCAGATTCCCCTTCACTGAGAAGGAGACGGTCCCACCATGGTTGCTTGTCACCTGCATGGGAGTCATCCCCATATTTGTCATCCTGATCATCGCTCTCATCTTTGTGCCCGGAAACACGGTACCGAAGGGCACGCCCAAGTCCCTGATCTGGAAGCGCAAGCTATGGGAGCTCCATGTCGGCTGGCTGGGGCTCGCCCTGGCTCTGTCATCCGCCTGGTTCATCACCAATGGCATGAAGAATCTCTTTGGCAAGCCGCGCCCAGACATGCTGTCGCGCTGCAACCCGGACCTTGAGAACTTTGAGAAATTCATTGTGGGCGGCCTTCGCGTCGCCGACGGCTTCCAACGCCTCGTCTCGGCCGACATCTGCCAGGGCACCGACAAGCCCGACTCGCAGGAGCTGCTGGAGGACGGGTTCCGGTCCTACCCCTCGGGGCACTCGAGCTCCGCCGCCGCGGGGTTGATCTATCTCAGCTTGTTCATCGCCAGCAAGTTCGCCATCACCTTCCCCTTCCTAGCGCCCGCGCCGGCCGGCCAGTCCAACCCGGCAGCCACCTTCTCCGCCTTCCCGTCGCGCCACCCGGCCAACCAGGTCCGGTCCCGGCGCCTGCAGGCCAGCCTCGAGGGGGAGCGTCTGCACGGCGCCCACGACCCGGAGACGTCGGACATGTTCGCGCGGCATAACAAGCGGCTCGCGTCGGCGCGGCAGCAGGCGGCCGCCCCGCCGCTGTACCTGCTCATCTTCGCGTCGGCGCCCTTCTTCGCCGCCATCTTCATCGCCAGCTCGCGGTGGTACGACTTCCGGCACCACGGCTTCGACATCCTCTTCGGCTTCCTGATCGGACTCATCTGCGCCTTCTTCGCCTTCCGCTGGTATCACCTGCCCGTCTCGCAGGGTGCTGGCTGGGCCTGGGGGCCCCGCTGCAGCGACAAGGCCTTCTGGGCGGGTGTCGGCAGCTTCAGCTACGCCATGGACTGGGAGGACCTCACCCAGGAGTTCAGCCCCGTCGACGAGGAGGCCGCGCTCGGCGATAAGGATCGGTCCATGGCCAGCACGGGCAGCGGTGGTCTGCGCGGGGCAGATGATGGAGAGGAAGGGGCGAGGCGGCGAGCCCAGTAGACGGTTGGAAACTTGGCCGCTCCAGGTCCTTGGAGGATTTATTGTCGAGCAAGGAAACTACATATTGGTACGGCGTTCCGCGTGGACTTACTACTGGAAAACACAGGCCAGATCTGGATACCAAGGATGCGTTGGGCTCTGGGGATACACACTTCCCTTATGTCCATGATGACGAAAAGCACGCTTCTCACGATTTAATTGCAGCCTTCAAAGCAATCAAATTCGGGTACTTTGTACCCCACCTTATCACCTTGGATCCCATCAGTAGAGTGACATGTGCAGATCAAGCTCGGCTGTTGTTTGTGACGTATTGGCTCGGGGCGGCTCAATTTTGAGGCCATATTCTGAGAGGCGCTCACCGAGCGCTTATGGAAACATCTCACGTGGTCAACACTACCATGTCCATAAACTTGCATGACCAGACAACATCTGAGGAGAATAAAGATGCTGGCTTTCGGCCTGGCAATGCAGCGTCGCATAAGGAGAGAGGGCACAAGTAATAATACAATTCAATATGATGCCTTGGATGACTTTTCAATCACTTGGATTATCTTGCCTGAACAGGTATCAATGAGGCAAAACCATAGTGCCTAATGCATGACCATAAACTGCACGCCCTGCCGATGCAACTGAGGTATTTCCATCGTGACCCATTATATCCCGGCCCGCCTGAACGCCAAAAGCAACAACACGCATACGCACGACGATGACGACGACGATGACTAACTGGCCAACCGCCCCTCTTATACCCCCGTGGAAGAATCACAGCGACGAAGATTCCGAACCGGTGGGGGAACGTTTGGGTTTGGTTGAGAATTGGCGGGGCTCCTAGCCCGCGACGTGTTGGGCTCCTGCCTCGGCACCGGCGCCGGCTGCGGCTGCGGCACCAGCACCCTGGTGGAACTCGACCTCCTCATCCTCGTCCTCGTCCTCGTCCTCCTCGTCGTCGTCGACATCGCCGTCGTCCTTGAAGCCGGGCTCGACCTCCTGGCGCTTGAGGCGGCGGCGCATCGTGTCGCGCTGCTCGTCCTGCCAGCGCTCGAGGGCGGCGGACGCGTGCACCTTGAAGCCGTAGCACCGGGGCGTGTGGCGCTCGATGGACTTGGTGGGCGTCAGGGACGGGTAGACCTGGAAGAGGATCTGGGCGAACGAGGTGCCGAAGTAGGCGCCGTCGATAGTAGCGTGGCGGCTCGACTTGGGGTTGTAGAGGTCCTCGCAGCGCGCGCACCACAGCTTGACCGGCTTCTGGTTCGGGACGTCGGTCAGGCCCACGGGCAGCAGGGGGTGCGAGTTGCAGTGGACGCGGGGGCATTTGCCAAAGTCGGCCTTCTTATACTTCTCGAGCTGGTCGTCCCTTCGATGTCAGTATGTCCGCGCTACACATGCCGAGTTGGGAGAGGCGGGAGGGGGGGGGCGGAGAGGGACGGTAGTGCAGTGCCGTGTGATGTGACGAGAATTGACAAACCATCTTTGCTAGACCTCTAGTCGTAACGATGTATCGGGCGTGGACCAGGCCATACAAGTGACGAGCGGACTTCTCGATGGCCTCGCGCATGTCATCGTCGCAGTCAAGGTCGAAGACGTCTGTGATCAGATCCAGCGCATACTGGTAATACTGGACTTCCGTGTTAAGACCCGTCAGGTTGAATCGATCTGTAAGGTACTCTTCGTCGATTTCGCAGAAGTACTCGTTGCCGCGGGACGAGATGAACTGGTTGTGGTAGAAGCGCGTCAGCCCTGATGTTCTTGCCTTCTTGGTGGGCGTCATGGTGGAAGCGAAGCAGTCCAGGCCGTCAAAATGCAAGACCACTGAGTCCTCCAAGAGCCTCCAGAGGGAGTTGGAGGAGTTGCGACGGCAGGAAAGCAAAGCCGTGGAGTGTGGGGGTTTGCCCTTTCGAATCGCAGTGCGGTGCTTTGGGCCAGGCCAGCCCAATGGCAGGTCGCAACGAAACGAGAAAAACAGGACGACATGGCCTTGTTGCGACGGGAAGGAGCAACTGGGAACGGACTACCGACTTACCCAGTCCCGCCAGTAGCTGGTATAGTCGCTCTCGCTCTCCGACACGAAGTCATCCATCATGGCGGCACGTCTCTATCGCTGTCGGCTGAGGAGTGATGCTCAAGGTCCTCTGGGACGGTGTCTAGCTCGGGTTCGTCACGCCCTCCACGTCGCCAAAACCCCGCTCTTGAAAACAACCTGCAGCCTCTCCTTGGCCGTATATTCGGACTCGTTGTCCCCTGCGCCAGTGGCGTCACCGTCGGGTCGTGTTGTGGATAGATCGAGTGAGTGATGTCGCCCGGGCTGGCACGGGAAGATGCAGGTTCTAGGTGCGAGGGGCGAGGGGCGAGGGGCGAGGTTGCGAGAGTAGGCGGTGATGGCGGGGAAGGTCCACGGAGAATGAGATGCGGCTCTGCCTCTGCCGCCCAAGTTTTTGGGGTGGTAAGGCACCGACATGCCAACATGCTTGCAGGGCCTAGAACCAAAGCTGCAGGTGGTCCAGGGTCCAACGCTCAGGCCTTCTCCAGCTGTGGTTGCAGCAGCCAGGCTGGCAAAGCCAAACAGGGTCTTGGGCCCAGAGGGCAAGGGTTCGGTGACATTGTGCCGCTTTTCAACTCGAAGCTGTGACGGTGACAACACTTGTCGCTCCTTCTCTCGCTCAGCACAATCGTTGCCACGGGATCTTCACACGGCATCCAAATATCTCCAGATCTATACTCTCTACAACTTCGACTTCACCTTCCAATCGCTTGTGGCCAAGCCAGGACCTAGCGGAGCAGGCATGTACTGTTTGGAAGCGGTGCCCAGCCCAGTAATCGCTGGCAATACCGTGAATAAGTCTCTATGTCTGAGGGTACGCTCCAGATAAGATGAAATTGAACATGTGAGAGTTGGTAAACATCGTCTTCGTGTAAACCAACCGGATTATACGACTCTTCTCCTGCACCTGGGCATCAGACAACCAAGGCCCTAGTTGGCTTCGACAATTCCCTCACAGATATGGTCAGGTTCAGCGAGATTACGTAGATTACTGCTAACGCAGGACTATAGTATTATATGGTTGATCTTCTCTGCGCCAACATAAGAACCTCGGCGGGTTGCACAACGCTGGAGATGTTTGAAATGGTTGCTCGAGCTAGCCAATCAGATGCGCAACTCGAAGTGCAGACTCCCACTCCTATCGAGCGCAGTTCTCTGAGATGCTACCACCTGCCCTGCGGCTTCTTCAAGGTGAAGCTGTCTACTGCCTCGCGCGTCGGCACTTCTCCAGCTCAACCGTCTTCGCGGTGGCCTGGAGGGTGCCCGCGTCGAACGAACCGCGGCCGTCCAGACCGGCGAACCCAGCCTGGTCGAGGTTGAAGTAGCCTCCAGTGGAGTCTACCGTAACGCTGTAGACCTTGCGCTTCTCGCCCGCGGGGTTGGTGTATGTGACCTCCACACACTGGCCACAGGCGTTCTTGTCCGCGGCAGCCCAAGGTGTGGCGATGATGCTGTAGTAGTCCTCGAGGACGTCGACGAAGTACTCGTACTGTGGGTGAACACGTCAGATGTGTTCGAGGTGCTTGTTTGTTCTTGACGTGTGGGGGCTTCTTACGTTCTGCACGACGCTGCCGTTGGGGGCGGCAGAGCAGCCGAAGTCGGCGATCTTGAGGCTAATGTCCAGGTATGCCGTGGCATACGAGACTAGGAGGAGTTAGTTCCATAAATGCACAGTTGCACATGTGGCCTTCTCGGATTTGGATGAGTCTTACCAGGCACAGTAGTGTCACGAGTCCCGACCTCGACGACTTCCCTGGGCAGTGTAGCCGCAGAGGCCAAGGGCGCCGCAAGGGCGAGGACGGTGGTCAGCAGAGCAGAGTGCATGGTGGAAAATGAATGGGTTTGGAAGAAAAATGAGCGTGATGAGTGAGTGAGTGACAGTCGTAAGGACGGATAGTAAAATTAGTATTAAAAAGAGTGTTGGAGTTTGGATAGAGTGTAATACCAAAGTAACAACGTGACAGGAATGATTTACATTTATACTATGCGGACACAATGCATCCTCACAACAATACGCCTTTTCAGCCCGCAAAACGCCATCATCTTCAACTCATCAGCGTCCAGTTCCGACGTATCCGTCGTGGGCGTGTCGAGCGGGTACGGCATGATCTCCATGCAATTTGATAGAGTTTGGTGGTTCGCAGACACGACTCGGGCGGCCGATGCTTCTTTTCCGTACTACACTCTTTTTGCCTAAAGATAGTACACTTTGGGAAATTGCGCCCAAGAAGCTCATCTCGGGGTCTTGGTAACTTCTCGTGCGAACCTTGGGAATTCATCCTTCTACACAGTACTCTGTACGTACGATAACCTTCTGAGCATTTTGTTCTCAAATTGGGACGTCTCTCCAAGTAGGCGCTAGCGTGGGAGCTTCTTTCACACAATCAAAGTGATAGCTGCTTGCAACGCAAAGTACCTAGGTATTGGCACTTTGCAATACGCCACGGTCCATTATACTTTGGCCGGCTTGCGCCTCACATCAATGATGCTTTCTTGTTGCCCTGGCATTGTAAATTACACCATGGAACTGACACGACGGACATCAACATACAATGGTGTATAGGTTCAGCGAGTCAGACGCGCAATGGCGCAAGGCTTGATTTTAGATCGAGATAATTGCCAAAACCCCTCGTATATCAAATACCCGGATGGATCTAATCAGATGAGAAACAATGCGTGGTGGGTCTTTTTTCTCTCCGAGGGGACTGCATACCGAGTCTACCTAGGTGGCGTGGGTTTTAGAACGTGCGGCAGGCAGCATCACCTATTCATGTGGCTGGGAATGCTTTCTAGCATTCCTGTGTCATTTGGACTGGCGTCATGATCGACGATACCATGCCAATGTACATAGGTACTCATATCTTTGACAGGGGGACTTGCCCTCAAGGGCCCATATATTCCTTTGGACAAGTTCTGTCACCAACACTGCAATTATAGTGCCACATGTGGGCCTAGATTGATCCTGCCTGTCCGTTGATTGCAGAAGAGTCGCATGGTCGGGATCACCGTGGCTCCATCCCATCCCATTCCAATCTTGGAGCAACACCCAGCATCGAAGCCGAATAGAAGGACTTTCGGATCATTTTTGGTGTAAGTGGTCAACACCGAACCGGATCATGTGACTCGGCCTGGCAGAAGTGCAGCAACAGGCCTGCGCAGAAATCGAGGTAATTGAACAATGAGTGAGGCCACATGCATACTTGTTCAGCCTTGTGAAATCACCGGCATGGTGCGAAGGTATGTTTGCTGCTGAAAGAGGAGAACCCGGTGGTTGAGTTTCCTTCGGGCTCATAATCAGATGCAATGGGAATCGAGTGGTAGGCTGCTAGCAGGTGAGGCGTGAGGCGAAGCTATATCGATCGAGTCACCAAAAAAGAAGAATGCTGAAAGCGGAAGCCAAAAACAAGTATCCTCGGATACGGGGAATCGAACCCCGAGCTGGTGAGTGAGAGTCACCGATGTTAACCATTACACCATATCCGACTACGGTGTGAGGACCTGTTGTTGATGTGACACCTGCGTTGTGTGGTCATTATAAAGCTGTGTGGTGGTGTGGGGCTGGGCGAAAAAGTTTTACTCGGAGCGCCCGCGGAAACCCGCACGCCGGGAAATTGGTGCTGTAACGTCCAAAAGCTGAAATCAAACTTGTCAGACAAAGAGTGATGTCGACACGTTTCGGTTGCAGCTCATTAAATCCTGAATGAGTGTTATTCTGACCCCAAGGTTGTGAGAGCTCCCATGTTTGTGCGCAGCCCACGTCTCTATTTACTAACTTGCCTCTGGAATTTTTGTACCTCTTTGGATACAGCTATCACACTGATAGAAGACTTCGTAGCTATCCTGACTTCCAAGGTTCAAATGAATGATACTTTAATTACGACGAAAATGTGTCATTAAGATGTGGCTTGTGTCCCAGAAGCAGGTATTTTTCTAGTTGTGCTCCACGTCGCGGTACTTGATGAGCACCTTACGCCTTGTAACAAGGAGAACATCACATTTCCGATGCTTACCTTTAAAATGAAGCAAAATTGTATTGCAGTTCCATTGTCCATATGGGATGCTTAGATATTCACTACAGGAAAGCGGCCCACAGCGCAGGTGGGATGCATAGGGCAAAAATCCACACAACGTCCTCTTCGAGCCCAAATAGCGCCAGGAATTGCATCAAGACCCAGCTCGCTACCGACGCCACAATTTGTGGCACAGTGATTGCCATGTTATGAACAGCCAAAAGCAAGGGAACATCGTCGTGCAAATCTGAGTTATCATGATTACCGTCTCCGCCCTCTGCTGACAACATTAGTATATCGTCCTCATCTGTGAATACATCGCTCTCTGCCATCGCAAGAAGCCGTGACCTAGCCTGTGCCGAGGCCTCACACGCGATCAGCGCATATGGAACCCAGTTCGATAATGCGAACAGTATTCCATTACCGCCAAGCAGTAAGGACACTGTGCTTGTGATGGTGGACGAGAATGGCCTGATGGCCGCGGAGACAAGCAGACAGACCGCGGTCAGTGATGCCGCAAGAGATGCCAGGCTTGGCTTCCAGATTAGTCCCATGAGTGTGTTTCTTGTGTGAGCTAGTTTGATACTGTGGCGATGAACCATGCTATCACCGTGAGTCTCGGCGCGGGGCTGCGCTCTTGCGAAGCGACTTCGGCGTCCAGATCGTCGCCAGATGGTTGACACGACCACGAGTGTTGCTAGAGCGGCCATGTGGAAGATCAATGCTACCCGGGACATCGCGCTTGCAGATTCAGATGGCAATTTCGGCGATGCTTCGATGTCAGTACTGGGAATATTAGTCCCTCCATCTAAAGAGTAGTCAGTACCTATTTGCTCCAACACGGGACTTCAAACCTTGGGAACACGAACAAACGAAAGATGTGAATCTAATTTGTATGATCAGCACAAGGTCTTTCCCTAGAGGCAGCTGGTCTAAGCCGTCACATGAGAGTGAACGAGGTACTCACGCGCTGGTGTAATTTAGGACCAAGAACCAAGCGAACCATGACACAAGCTGTATGCGACACGTCTGACGTGTCATTGGTGGTAGATGGCGCGCTTTCTTGGTGAGCCGGCAAACGTGGCCATAGAAAGAACCATGACCAATACTCCCATCGTTCTCTCGGCCAGCATGCGGCTGATGTCCAAGCCTAGCGGTGTTTGTCAAGGCCACGACGCCCAGCAGTAAGGCCATAATGGATGTCACCACAATACTCAAATCCCGGAAAGCTGGGCTATACCACAACCCGACAAGAGCGACAAATACCGACCCCAGAGCCGAGAAGCAGCTGACCCACAGCATGGCTGAAGGCTGATACTGCGGACGGAAGCAGTCAACCACCGAAGCACGAAGGCCGATTGACAGAGGCTGGATGGAGAAATTCAACGCGTACATGCTCAGCCCAGCAATAACGTGTGAGGTTGTTTTGGTTTCTTCGGAGGATATCGAGCCGATGATGCTGCAGTCCAGTCTCACTGCCAGAGACTCGGCGGCGCCTAGGACGAGGAAGGAGGCAATGGTCCCCACACCGCCACTGAATATGAACGGTCTTCTCTTTCCCCATCGCCCGTCGCATTTCTCACTGAGCGCTGCAACAATTGGTGGCCCGATGAGACCTGCCAGTGGTCCAGACAGCACAAAGATGGGCATCTGAGTGTTGGGGACCCCGAGAGAGGATAAATAAGGCTGTCGAGTCCCCGTCAGCTCTTCAGGTTCTAAGATGCGCCACATTCCCCACGGTAACTCACAATTCCATAGACCTGCTGGACAGTCCAAGCAAGCTGAAGACTATAGTCCATGATGGGTCAGCTGATACTCGTCGCTAGTGTTCTTCGAGAAGTGCGACACGTACCCAAAGAACGGCACCGTCAGTACGAAGAAGTCCCATCTTCGTGGTTCCCGGACGGCAGTCGTGTCCTCCAGGGGCTTCGGCAATGATCGATTTTCAACGAGTGGAGCATTGTCTAGATCTATGTCGTCGTCGTCGTCGCGCTCCATCATGGGCCTTGCTTCGAGAGTGAATGAATCTTGGAGGACGCAAGATTCCAAGATAGCGAGAGCGGCTGGAGTGAACCTTGGAAGTCGGCAGAATCACATGAGCTGAGCATCAGATGGGTTTCAACACCACCTGGGCATCCAAAAGCATTGGAGTGCGAAACAGGAGTCGCACTGTCAAAGGATCGGTCCGAACACGCCAAGCTCTCAGTCCGAGCCTTGAGTCCAAGCACAGTACCCTACCTCTCAGGGTAGCACTCAAGAACAACAACTGGTAATTACAAAACTATGACAACACTGGTCTGAGAGTTTACCACTGTATGGAATAGAAACGAAACCAGGCATTTATAGGAGAAGTCTGTCATGGGGCTGACTCGGGTGACTCGGTGTGGGATAAAGTTCAAAAGTTAATTGCGCAGCTCACCGTTCCGCCCATCATGATCATGACGCCTCCCTGGTCTGCCCTCGAAAAGTAGATACCTAGGTAACCAAGAAAGAGCCAAGGAAACAAATCCAGCAGAATTGTGACAGATAACATTAATTACTGCAGGAATACCCTCAGATCAGGTGAATTTGGATGCAATAAAATTGCCAGTGTAACAGCCAGGTATGCGGAGCAAACGGATGGACGCCTTGGCGCTCCCGCCTCCTTCCACACCTGGGCAGTGATCTGGAAAGCACATGGGCTCGTGTCACACGAGAAACAGCCACCAGGACTAGGTACAATGAATACACCCAATCTTCAGTAGTAGGTGCCGTCGATCAATTTACGTTACCTTAATGGAATGTCTTGTGAGGAGACAGTCTAAGGGGTTTCATCCACGCTCCTCTTGATTTGGGCCTCAACGTCAAAGCAAAGGCGGCTACTTTCATCGTGGGATCTCGGGTAGTTGCAACTGACACGTATCCATGCCGCCATGCTGCCACGATGTGAGGATGGCGGGGTAGTCGCGGTCTCATGCCCAAACAACTGACTCCTGAGCACATGCCGACACCGCTGAGATCGCATTCAACTCCGGCGTGGATCGATTCATGGAATTTGGTCTCGGTCACGCTTTGTGGACCGGCGAATTACTTTGCTATTTGTCTAGAATAAGCTTTAGATAGGAACTATAAACGTGCTATAGTTCTGAAACCCTGCAATCCAATTGGTCGTTCGCCGTAAGTACGTACGAAGTACATACAGCCTAAAGCACCCTGAATCATAGTTCTCAAAAAAAAACAAAAGTCGTAAGCTAGTTAATTGGTCCTATACTGGACCCTAGCGGCAAAGCCTACCGGGGACCCTATAGGTAGGGAGGGGGGGTAAGCTGGAGGCGGTTTGCGGGACACAAAACGCCTCCGGCAAGGGGGAGGAGGCATACGTATGTAGGCACCCCCAGCAAGAATACTTCGAAGGCCAGAAGACCTAGACGAATAGCTGACAGGGTCTAGGAAGTGACTTCCCACCTGGTTTAATCAAATAAGCCGGTTTTGTGCCTCAAGCGTTTGATCCAAGCGTCTGGTGAACACGAGTGGCTGTTCTCTAGTTAGTAATACGAAGACCTAAGGGGCGACCACATCACTTCATGCAACAAAAATGAATGATCGAATATCTCTCCTTGAATGACTGTCAAACACTTTTACCTCTTCAGAGTTGACGCAGGACACTAGACCGCTGTTGTACTTCAAGGCTGGTATCCGAGACGGGAGAAAGGAATGCTGGTATCAGCCAATGTCTGTTGCCGGCAGGAAAGACCTGTAGTACCACATTCATATAAAGGAATTGGAAGACCTTCGGCATCCACGAGACAGTATTTAAAAACAGGCTGGCATCCGGCTCTCTAGACCAGTCATGGGTTTCGCTTGCAAACGGATGCAGTGTGCTCACGAAATAAGTAACGCAAGTGCTCTCTGGCTTTCCAAGACCGGACTAGAATGTGTTTTCAGCGATTTTTCGAAAATCACTGAGTGTTTTTTAAACTTGGTTTACCTCACTAAGCCATGTTGGACGCTGAACTCGCCGAAGCGCTTCCTTCCGCAGTCGACGGTCCCGAGGGTGTGTGGAAGAAGAGAACCAAACAGTTCCAAAGTCCAAAGTCCAACCACAAGAAATGGCCTGCCGATCATCAGCAAGCCCATTCACTGGGTGATAGGGAAGAGCTCGAGGATGAATTGAAGCAGCTGAGAAAGAGGTTCGCTGACATGGAGTTGGCGGATGTGAGAGCTACGACGGAGCTCAAACAGCTCCTAAGCCGCCCATTGACGCATCGAGATGGCTCGCCAGACATCGAGGAGCTGTTCGCTGAGGCTAATAGACGCGACACAGAGTGGCGCCGCATCAAAGCAGACCGAGAACGTCCCGGCAAAGATAGGAAGACCATCTTACATGAAATCGAGAGGATCCAGATGAAGCTTGAAGATCTTGGGGGACCACACGTTTTGGTTCGAAAGGAGGAGACGCAGAGACTGGGGAGCAAGCTACAACACTCGGATGAGCTGGAAAACCGACCAGAATCTTCAGGCAGCGTAAGTTGAGACCCATGCATTCCCGATTCGTCGACTCACATGCAACTTGTAGTTGCAGAAAATCTGTGACGACGCCGCTCGGAAACAGAATGAATCAATAATTAGAAGATCCAACCTTGCCGCCAAGGAGCTGTCGGGTATTCTATCCGCCTCGGCTCACGAACACAGATGCATTGGCTCTCTACAGGCATCTATGGAACCTATTAGCCGCACTGAATTCAAGAAGTCGCTAACTCCACGGTGCCCGATCACCAATCGTACCTCAAAGCTCCCTGTCACCAAACCCCAACGCAAGCTGTCAAAATCATCTCCTGTGATTTTTCGAAGTCAACAAGGCCGGTACAAAATAGAAAGAGCCAGACCTGGACGCAATTGGCTAATGCCGACAGGTGAGTCGAGAATTAAGTTGATAGTTCACAGTGCATGTCAGTTTCTGAATAAAAGTCAGGGCACCAAAATCACCGTCCGGCATCATCACTCACTTTCACTCAATTTGCGCTTGCGCACACATCTCTCTCACTCGAAACTCATGCCAATGACAAGAACCAGAGGTTTGGCTGTGACAATCCCAAGAGTCCCACACACTGGTTCAGTTCAATTGGACAGACACGAGAAGATAGCGCAAGGTGGCTCTGTTCGCCGTGCGTGCCATGGGGTGCTGGATGAGCAGGGGAGAGTGAGTATTTTCTATCAGTTTCCAACTCTCTCGAGTGTAGGCTAACAAAACACAGGCAAAGACAGCATCAGGACAAAAACCAGCGAGGCATCAAAGTCGGGTGGCAACTCCGAGTTCCAGCTACGGTCTATCAGTGGTAGCTGTGAAGAGGCAGAAAGATGAAAAGATAATACTCCTCGCATGTATGTCCTCGGACGTATACGGAATAGAAGCGAAACCACATAATACTCCTCGGGATTAACGCCACAAACAAAGATCCGAGACGTGATGAGAAGGCGTATAGAACTGTCGAATATCTTCCCATGCACATTACACAGTAAATCACCCCTTGCCACAAGTAATGTGCATGTGCCCCAAACTCTGTATGAGAAGCGGAGGACATTCATAGCGAAGGGCACAAATATGTTCATCGTAAAATTTTTCAAGCAGCGAAAGAACCGGGATCGCATGTCGTCAACTGCGACGTTGGGCGTAATCACATATCCCCGACATAGTCACGTTCGCCTTGTCCTTTGCTTATGTGTAGAAAATTGCCAATTGGGCAGGATAAATACTTGGGTACGCGAGTCTCCACCGAGCTATGTTTTTCTTGATGTTGTTAAGCAAGGCAAATTGAAAAAAGGCAAGCCCCATGAGCCAATGAGTGTTAACTCAGATCTATAATCTCGACTCCAGCATAAGTATGGACTATTTATATTTTTTTTTAGTTCCACTATTAAGCTGGAAACAAACAGTTAGGGTCCTAAAGGGACGAGACACAATATATATTTTAAAAATTAGCTTAACTAAGTTTACCATACAGAACTTTTTATAGTAACTTCACAATCTACTATATCTATAACACCATCTATTATCAGAAAACACCTTTCAGCACTAATACACTAGACCATACCTAATCTATTCAGGCTAGCGCCATTAGCCTTAATATAAATTAGTTTATTAAAGGTTAAAGCTATTACGGACCGCAGGCTACCTAGTCTTAATACTGTCGAGCATTATATATAATATCGCCATATAACTCAGGCCTTCTAAATTGGCTAAAATAGGTGAAGATAAAAGCTACCATTCCCCTAAAGGTTCTAACTCTACTTAAGTAAACACCTATCCATTAACTCTACAAGTAAAACTACTTAAAAGTAGTCATTTAGTTAAACTAAGAAACAATTAAATAAAGTAACTATACTTTATTATTTAAGTTTATAGTTCTAATAGCTTTATAAAAGAAGAAATAACTATTAATAATTAAATCTATAACTATATAAAGGTAGACCTCTACTTTAAAGAGAAGTTATTAATATTTAAGATAATTAATATATTTTTAGAAAAGCTAAGAGATTATAAGCCTAATTTAAAGTATATTAAGATCTATAAGAATCTTAAACTTAAAATTAAGGAATGTAAAGCTTTAACTCTTTTAGAGATATTAAAGCTAGAAAAACTTAAGAAGAGGCTTAAACAAGGTTAGATAAGGTTGCAATAATATAATATAATTAAATAAAAAACCAGTTATAAAATCACAATTATAGGTCTTTTAGCCTTATACCCAGGAGGGTCCAGCATAAGTATAATACAATCCTATCCAAACTTGCTCCAAGCACCACTCATGAATTCCAATGCGAGCTCGTTCGCAAGCTTGTCGCCCACCGGGATCAATTGCGTCGCGAAGAACGTTGCCAAACCCCTTTCCCGGTTCATTGCCCAGAGGACATTCGGCATTCCCTCCCACGTGACAGTGCCCTTGGGCATCCGCGATAGCGGCAGCTTTTCCTCCTCCACAACCAGACCAGCCGCGCTCCAATTCAGTAATGGGGCTCCGCTCCCAGCTGAGGGTGTTCCCGCACAGAAACCGTAATTCTCAGGGTTGCCACGCAGATCATTCATCGACGCACTGGATGGGACGAACTGCCCGATGAAAAGGAGGTCGATGTGTGATTTTTGTTTGAGTAGCTTTGGGCACGGCGAGACTAGATCGCTCAAAATTGCACCGACGTCTGAGATACTGCATGTCAAGCCTCGTGATGCGTCATCTGCTGGTATAAGGCTGTCGCTGTCCCGTTCCACCATCCTCAGACGTCTGTTCCAGATGTCCGAATTGGCTTGCGGTGCGTAGGTAGACGAACTCATGGCCAGAGGTGAGAATATGTGCTCTTTAATGCTTTTGCCAAAGCCGCCGTCACTGAGCCGATTGACGAGTAATTGAGTCCAGTGGATGCTATGTCCGTATGCAAAACCCTCACCAGGCTCGAAGATGAGAGGAATGGAGAAATGCTTGACGATCGGATGTGCACCCTCATCAACATTCGGTTTCTCGATGGTATCTGAGGCCAGGTACTCTGCCACCAGGGGCACATCAGGGTCAGAAAGGCCGCTGGTATGAAGAAGTAGGTGACGGAGCGTTATATTATTAGCGGGTCTGCGGATCAGAAGCGGCTGGTCGCTAGACGCATGAGCACGAGTTACTAGAGGGAGATCTCCAAGCTCAGGAAGGTGATTATAGACGGGCTCGTCCAGACTGATTTTCCCTTGCTCGACAAGATGTAGGGCTGCGATATGAGTGATGAATTTCCCAGCAGATGCAAGGGCAACAGTGCTATTGGGATCCAGCGGCAAAGCATCCGTGTCCAAAGATTGACGACCTGATGCGTGATGATATAGCACGTCACCTGCTGCCTGTTACAACCTGCTTCATCTATGGTATTGCTTAGGTCTTCATACCTTTGGTACCAACTACTAAGCCTATCGCGCCTAGAATACCCTTCCCGTCGTTGGATGCCGTTGCTTGGCTTAGTTTGGCCTCGAAAGAATCCATGGTGATTGAGGGCTTTGGTTTGTGTTTGCGAAGAACTGCTCTGTGACACAGAGTTTGATCGAGGGATTTTGCGGGAAGCAAGCAAGGGAGATGAGAATACTCGCAGATACCTTCTTGATTGATAGGGCAAGGACTCAAGCTTGATGCTGGGGGTACTTTTGCTGATGCGTAACGTGGTACTGTATTATCTACCTAGACGCTTCACTTCAGGAGGGGCACTTGCTCTGAATAATCGGGGGCGGGGACAGAGATTGAAATAATGTTAGGAGGCATAATTAAAACATCTACAATCACCGATGAAGACCTCGGGAGGTAGGACCTGGCACCGGTGTAGAATTAGGCATCAGTCACTTCTGTCCCTCAAACACAACCGATGAATGAGAGATTTGAGGGGATGCAACATGCAGCCGCCGCCGTACTACATGCGGGGCTTGCTTCTGCACTTGTGCGGTAAGACAGCAGGCACCAGCAATGGTGAAGTAGTGGGGTCTAGGCACCCCTCTAAAAGGGGTGGGCTCGTTTCTAATCCCCTGATATATAGTACCTTTTTACAATAATATATGCTTAAAACTTAGTATTTTAAAAAATAAAATACTAAGAATAATGTAAGTGGTTTCGCTTCTATTCCGTCTACATCCGAGGACATACATGGCGCTTTCATGCACTGGTAAGCACTTAAGACCCACACGCTGAAAGAACCAAAGAAATGTGGAAATCCATTAATTTAAAGCGAATTGGACTTGTTAGAAGAACTTATTCCACTTACCTAGGTATCTTCGGACAGAGTGCTTGGATGTAAATCCCAGGCTACGCCTCAATACCCAAGTAGATTGATCTGCTTTCATGCTATCATGGCTCACCGTAGCACCTATTCGACCAACTTCTGTTATATTCATGTCTCCAGTATCTTGTTAATTCGGCATGCTAAGAATGGGGAAATACACATAAGCGTTTAGTATCCCTGTGCCTGAAAAATTTCGTAGATAGAATCTGGGTAGCCAGACGCGATTTTGGTGCGCAAAGATTGCGTATTTCACTGGATATAGTTCTCTCTTCAACGGCGTTTCTCTTATCCCAACGCGTCATTGATGAATCAACAACATCCACTTCTTAGTATCTCTGGAATATATTGAACCATGATGTTCCGTCCCGCGGACCGCGTCGTCTTCGCGGAGCTAGGCCGAATAGAGGACTTTGAGTGAGATCGGAAAACTGAGTCTGTGCCGGATTCCGTGGTGGGATGTTGTATTGGACTGCCAACTTTCCGAAGCAGCGATATCTGCTGTGCTCAGCTGCTATGCATGGCTAGCTTCTCCTTCTTTGCAGACAATTCTCGAAACTTATCGCCCGAAACGGAGTATTGGGCATTGGCACTAGATAGCGGCAACTACTATTAGGTAGCTGAGGCACCCTGGCTGATCTATCTTTGCCGCAAGAAGCTAACCGAGATGGTGACTTGCTTGACCAAGAGCACATATGTGCTAGTTTCAACTCAAAATGGAGCACATGGTGTCTTTAGTAAACCGTCTTGATCACGGTATGTGGAAAATTCGCACGTACAGCGCCGGCACTTGTCGTATTTTCAACACTGTTATCGGCATTGAATGTTTCCCAAGGGTTCTTTTTCTTCAATCGCTGGGTCTTTGAGAGTTCATCACGTCATGAAGGCGCCCTGTATGGCTTTGGACGCACACAGAATAGAACCTCGGAAGCGAAACCAGGTACAGCACCGGCTACCGCGCAGTCAGTCATTCTATGCGAGGGATGCGCTCAAGCGATGTATGGCCAAATCAGTCCCCGGCAGACCAGAACACTCCTCAAAATGAAACTGATGCTCCAAAGATCATGCATTCGGCCGTGAACGGGCCTCGAAAAGCGGATCTATGTGCTGTCAAATCTTTTTTCGGGGGCTCACCTTCCATTGCACCCACTGATCTGGCGACATTTCCTCTTTCCCAACCAGTTCATCCGCCTCGCTTACGGTAGCCCATGCTCGAGGGGACCCACAATGCAGCATAGGCGCCGGCTCTTACCCATGTACCGAAGACAGTTTCCTAATGTAGAACTTCCGAGCCGTCAATCGCGACTGAGCCTGATAATGTTTCTTGGCTGATAGGTGGCTGCAGGGAAATTCCAAATGATAAAAGACCAAGGCTGCTTGCAGTTTACCTGCCTAGGTAGGTACCTACTTAAGTAGGTATGTAGCTGACCCGAACCTTTCATCTCCTTCGGTCACTCCTCAGCTTAAATTTTGGTCCGCTTGAGGTTTTTGTTTCAATCTAGGGGTTTTACCTGCAGTCGCGTTGTTCACTATGCGCTCTGCGCTTTCCACACTCGCTTCTCTGGGCGCTTGGTCGCTATTGACGACCCCCCAATCAGCTCAAGCTGAGTCGACGACATGCGATGGGCTAAGTACGTCGTCTAACATTGACATCTTTCGTTCGCCAGCCGTGGAATACACCCGTGTTTCCAATGACTACTGGTAATCAAAAATGCCTTCTGCTTTTATCATTCGCAAGCTCTGGAAACTAATGAGACCAGGTCGACGGGATGTGCTGCACTCAAGCCAGCATGCATCTTAGAGCCAACGTCCGCGGGCCAACTTTCTCACATTATGCAGACACTGGTCGCCAACAACGAGTCTTTCGCAGTGAAGTCCGGGGGGCACAACCCAAACAAATACTTCGCTAGCATTTCGGGGGGCCCTTTGATCTCCACATCACAATTGAACGAAGTGGTATATGATGCCGCCAGCAGTACCGTCAGAGTCGGCCCAGGCAATAAGTGGGATGACGTCCACAAAGTGCTTGACCCACTCGGTGTGACAGTTGTTGGAGGAAGGATCGGAAACGTTGGAGTTGGAGGATATGTACTTGGGGCTGGCCTCAGTTTTCTGTCCACTCAATACGGCTGGGCTGCCAACAACCTAGTTGCTGCTGAGATGGTTCTCCCCAACGGCACAATCATTACTGCATCAAACTCATCGAATCCCGCAATTTTTCAGGGTCTCAAGGGAGGAGGTAGCAATTTCGGGATAGTGACGACCTACGTCCTGAAGACTTACCCAATTGGACAAATCTGGGGAGGCAACCTCGTGTTTCTCGGCGCGCAGAAGACGGATGGGATCCTCTCGGCGGTGCGGAACTTCACGGAAAACTACGACGACCCCAAGGCAGCCATCATTGCGACGAGTGAGCTCACACTCGGGAAATCCACAGACCTCTGGATCCTGTTCCTCTTCTACGATGGTCTCGAGCCCCCGGCAGGCATTTTTGACGAGTTCCTTGCGCTCAAGCCAGACATCAATTCCTGCAAGACCAGATCTTACAGCGACCTGCTCACGTCAAACAACGCCTTCGTCCTCAAGGGAAGTGTCTACACGATTGGCACAGAGACAACTCCTTTGCCTCCAGCAGATCGACCAGATATCATGCGTTCGTATTACGACCATTGGCACAATACTTCAGCCACACGATCCGGTGTTTTCGGACTGGTAAGCACTTTGATATGGATCCTCGCTTCCGGTCACAAGGTCCATGAGGTCGTTTGGATTTTGCAAAAGATCACGAATGGATCGCTGATGATAAGACCCTAGATTTCCTCATTGGCACTGCAGCCTCTGCCAAAGTCGCTTGCCACAATAGCCAGACAAAACGGCGGAGATTTGCTGGATTTTGACGATGACGTTGATAGGCTCATCTTTGAGTTAGATTACTCATATGTATTTGAAGATCTCGACTCTGACAAAGTCGATGGTGCCATGGTGGAAGCTTATTCAGGCCTGGGGAGCCTTGTTAGCGATGTGAGTGACTAGTGTTCTTATCAATCTGCACCACCTGGGCACCTACAGACCGACCATACCAAAGGAAACTCCAAAGAGATGTCTCTTTAAGTGCTCAGTGGATTGGCATTCGGAACATGATTGAAGATGCGGACTGGTTTTGGTGCTCGTGGAACTTCCGATCTTGGGGAGTGGTGATTGCTAACAACGTGACAGTACGTTGCGGACGGGTCGCTTCCAGATGTGTATTTGCCTCTTTTCATGAATGATTGCTACTTCCGGCAGGATTATTGGGGAAGACTGAAGACAGAACGCAGGGAGCTCGCAAAGAATGCTCAAGCTCAAGCCGACCCCGCTGGTGTCATGAAGACGCTGAGCCAAGGTTTCCATCTGTAGAATCAAAGGTACCTAACATAGGTTCAAATTTTGGCCTTCACAGTGTATGGGCTAGCATTGAGATCAAAGAGCAGACTGGGGCTCAGCATATTGTCAAGTCTTTCAAACTGTCGCTTGGTATCAGTTTGGCGGCGAATCTTGCAATGTCAACCTATTATCTTAGTCTTTGAATTTGTGGAGACAAAGGACTGCTCCCTCATTTGGTCTTATTCCATTTGAATCTTTTACCTTTTATATCATTTGCCTGGCGACTCACCAATGCATGCTATCAATCCATACCACTATGTATTTACCTCGGTAGGTACCATCTTCTATCCCAGAAACAGTGCAGTACCCAAGCTCTATAGGTCGTGTCTCGCATGCTTACTCTTTGACCTCACCCAGTGGCCATACTTGAACAAAACAAAGGGAATAGGAATGAAGGCAATGCTGATGAAACCTAGAGTCGAGCTCGCCCAGTCCACTCCAAGCTTCTTATACATAGCCGATGCGAACAGCGGGAAGCCAGCGCCTAGACAACTCCTCAGGAAATCGTTGCCGGCCAGAACGCTGGCCGCATACTCAGGGTACGCGTCAGACAAGTAATTGAGGACTGCATTGAACAGTAGGAACGCGCCCACGCTGAAGAAGGATGTGCCGATGATGGGGACAATCCAATAGATATCTGCCCGGCTGGTCCAACCGAACCAGAATAGGCAGATTGGAATCGCAAAGGCGCCGATGAAGGCGGGTGTGAGGCGCCACTCCGGCGTGATCTCGCCGTTTTCGTTGAATTTGGGCTCGATGTATCTGTGCTGATACCACACGAAAGGCGGTAAAACAGCAAATGTGCCGACGAGGATGCCCAGATAAGCAAGCCCCAAAGTGCCGAGGGAAAAGCCGTATATACCCTCAAACACTATTGGGAATGACTCAAACCAGATGTACAGCAACCCATAAATGAGCGCAATGTAAAGGTCCAGCGCAAAAACGATCGGCTCGGTGAAGAGCAGGCTGAAGGGCCGCACGAGCGTCATGGTCAGGAGGTCCTTGCCCGACATCTCCTGACCGGCCAGCTCAGGCTCAGAGATAATTTTAACGTTACCTGTGAGCTTGCGCAGCCGCCGAGCGCGGCGGTAGAGGATGTTGGCGGTAGATGTCTCGGGGAGCAAGAATACCAGCACGGCCAGGCAGAACCCAGACAGCCACATCAGCTCCCAAATGGCCCAATTCCACCCTCTGGCTTGGACTGCGAAGCCGCCGACAAGAGGGCCGAGTGTTGGGCCGCATACGGCGCCGATACCCCAGACGGCAAGACCGTACGTCCGTTTGGCGGGCGTGTACATATCTCCAATGCTGGCGCCGCCGGTTGCGAGGGCCGGGCTCCCGATGAATCCTGTGAGAAAGCGGAAGGCGAGCAGCATACCGAAGTTGACGGCCAGCGCGGTCGGAATTTGCAAGACCACGAAGACCGCCAGCGTCAGGATGTAGACCGGGTTGCGGCCGATCTGCGGGATTTCGGACATCGGCGCCCATACCATTGGCCCCACGGCGTAGCCTGCGACGAACAGGGTGAGGCCGAGAGTCGCTGCAACCTGGGAGACGCCGAACACAGTCATGACGTCTTGAATACTGGCGGAATAGATGGCGCTGCCTATGTAGACGCTGAAGGTGAGGAAACAGATCTCAAAGGTCACAAAGAATTTCTTTGCATTGGACCAGTTCTGAGGGTTCTGGTGGGGATTTGTTAGCTGACACTATTCTTGGCCAGGGATCAATCTGTGAATGGCGGTGACTACCTCTGGATCATCCGGGCCGTACCAGTCGACGATGTTGGGATCTCTACCCTTCTCCTGGTCTGCACCGCAAGCCCCATTGTCGTCGCGGGTGGTATGACCGTTTTGTTGATCTGCTTCAGTTGCCGTTGATGACGATCTTGTTGAGGAGCTCGAGGCGCTGTGATTGCCATTGGCTTGTTCGAGGTTCTTTTCTAGAGGCATTTCAGAATACTGTCTCTGGCTGGCTAATTCCCTATTGTTCACATACCTAGGTATCGATGCCAAACTAATGAGTCAGTTTCTTCTCGGTATTTGAAAACTCGTCCATTTGTGGCCATACGGCAACACTGTCCGAAGAAGGAGTCCCGAATTATGTCTTTCATAGTGATGTTCACTGTCAATTGCGAATAGATTCAGACAACTAGAAGATTAAAGATGTCTTCTGTACGGCCATGGGAAAATATAGTCGCAAGAAAAGGGGGAGGGGTGAGCTGTGTACGGAAATCTGTACAGGCGTGACATGTTCAAAGCTCCAGCAACCAGCGTCATGGATCTGCAAATCACAGAGGAGCACACGGGAAATGAGTTCTCTAATTTTAGGGATCTCGGAGAATACGACCTAGCCTCTGGTGAGCCATTGGGTGTGGGACTCGAAAGAATTTCTAGATGTCTAGGTACACAACGATGATCTGATCCTACATGGCGAATCGGAACGATTGTGATGGGAGCAAGGATGAGAAGCTTTCGGTGATTTCCCCCTTCCGCCGCTAATCCACAGTAGTCGTACAGACTAAAAGAAACCAACTTTGGTAGGCGTCATCACTGGGTTGCGGCTCTGCGGGCCAAGTCTATGACGCGGAAGGGCCTCACGCGGTGGGTTCCGACGTCCAGGAAATCAGACGCCACACTTCGTGCCTGTTAAAACATACCTAGGCACTCAATCAAGTAAGTGATATTTTGGAATATAGCAGCGAACTTCAGGAAATGGGCAGCCATCAAAAATATCAATGCTCAGAAGTATACCTAGGTAGGTACTTAATAAAGCATGTCTGCTGCTGGTGCACTGGATTATTTCGAAAAATTGATGTTGTCTGTACCTTTAAATATGATTGTCTTTACCTGATACTTGTAATGACGGCAAAAGATGTGAAAGGAGTCTTCAGGAAGCTCGGGCTTACAAATTAAATGCTTGGAGTTTGTGTTGGGTGCTTCTTCGACCAAGCGATGTGTTTACTCCCTTAGCCGCGATGGAGGCATTGTACATAGCAAGAGATAATCATTCTGCCAGGATCCTCTGTATAAAAGCTCATATCGGAGATTCGGCCCATAATTGTCCACAAAGAGACCCTCTATGTCCTCGGACGTATACGGAATAGAAGCGAAACCACACAAATAAGTTTAAAGGTATATATTAAGTAATTATTAACTTTATACTTAAAGTATAAGCTAATAGTTAGTTTAAAAGTTAAGAAGATAATAAATAGTTAAATAGTTAAATAAAAAATATAATATAGCTGAAGCTAAGGATAAACTATTGCTGCTGGGTCTTGTCCGCAATCCAAGTCGTTATAATGGCGAACAAGAAGGCTATAAACGAAGGAGGAGCAGAAAGACCTTGCGCATTGATTGCCGTATAGCCCATATCCTCAAGGATGGTCGGCAGGAAGACAGGCAGACTTGAGTAGGTGACATTACCGCAGAAGTACATCAGCCCGCAAAGCCATACCTTGATATCAACGAGGGTAGGCCCGATGTCCTTGATATTGAACTTCCCAACCCTTGAGCACTTGAGGGCTCGAGTCAAATTTGTCCCTACCTGTCTTACTGCTCTCGACCTTGTGATGTCTTTTTCCTCGGCTGTCAGGAATCTCGCCTTTTCGAGTGAGGCCGGTATGTAGAAGAACATTACAACAGCCATCGTAATTGTCGGAAGGCCTTCAACAAGGAAAATCAGGCGCCAATTAGCAAATTTGGCATGGCCGCTTGTAATCCCAAAGGCAAGGGCGCCTGCAAACTTTTGGCGACAGCGGAGCCGCCGAGGCGAAGATGCCACATCTGAATCCAATTTCGTGGCGTAGGTAGAAAAGTGACAAGAGGTAAATAATACCTGGTCTGTTGGATGTTTTCACCGTATGAAGGCGCCATGTATTTCCTCGGACGTATACGGAATAGAAGCGAGACCACCCCACACAAAGTGTACAATCTGAAGACTTTGCAATACTGTTGGTCTACACGGTTTCACATAGCCCACCAATGTAACAACATGAGGAACTGACTGATCAACCAATTCCGAATCCCGCGCGATCTTATCTCTGTCTCCATGCCCAGGCCTCTTTCTGATTCCCTTCAAGCGGCCTATTGGTGTCCATGGATCGCAGCTAAATGATCCTTCACGCCCACCAATAACAGCACAGGGCCAAGGTGCACTTTCTGCAAGAGATTCGGGTTTAGGGCCGAACAAAATGCTACAATCGCCGCTCATACTGATCTGTATGTTGAGTTGTCACAATGCGCACATGGATAACACATGTCAGCCACGTTGTGGTAGCCCGATCTGCACACCTTCAAGTTCGGGCTCGGGTGCTGCGGGCACCCCGATGTCAACTGTCCGTGATCGCCACTGCCTGGCAAAGGGTTCTTGACGCCGTTGTACTATTTTTCAAAATTGTAACTTCTCATAGTATACACACTAAGCATGAGGTCTTTAAAAGCCGTCATGTGGTCTCCGTCTCTTCCATTTTCATCGTCCACATCAACTTCACCCGGTCCGCTTCCGATTCCAACTGATCGTGACGAGAGCCCAATATGGCGCCGAGCCCCACGCTGAAGAGCTCTTTGACCCAGGCATTTCCGCCAAAGCCCAAGTTCACCGAAAATAACTTGCCAGACCTCACAGACAAGATTTACATAGTCACAGGCGCCAATACGGGTGCAGGAAAGGAACTGACCCGGCTGCTCTACACGAAACATGCCAAAATCTACATGATGGCTCGCTCGGAAGAGAAGACGAAAACGGCTATCGAAGATATTCAGAAGACCACACCAAATTCCGCCGGGTCCCTCCACTACATCAAGCTGGATCTCGCCGACCTGAGCACTATAAAGCAGACAGTGCAGAGATTTCTGGACTCGGAGACGAAGCTTCACGTCCTGTTCAACAACGCAGGGGTGTTGTCAGGCGCCAAAGAGATGACCCTCACGGCTCAAGGCCACGAGCTGCATACAGGCGTGAACGCCCTGGGCTCATTCCTCCTATCCCAGCTTCTGACCCCGATCCTCACGGAGACGGCCCGCCTGGAGCCTGCTGGCACGGTCCGCGTCGTCTGGGTCGCATCGTCCGCGGCAGAAATGTTCGCCGAGGAGAGGGTCGGCGTCAGGCCCGAGACTCTCAGCCCGGAGGCCCAGGGGTCCCGGAACGGGCTCGAGCGGTACTGGCATAGTAAGGTCGCCAACTGGGCCCACGCCACCGAGTATGCAAGGCGCCATCAGGCGGACGGAGTCGTCAGCGTCGCGGCCAACCCGGGGAACCTGCAGTCGGACCTCTACCGCGACCAGGGCTTCTTGTTCCGCGCCGCCGGGAAACTCCTCATGTATCCGCCCCTCAGCGGGGCGTACACGGAGCTCTTCGCCGGTTTGTCTCCTGATGTGGACATTTCAAACACTGGGTGCTGGAGTGAGTTTCTATTTTACACGTCCTATCTACAGCATAGCCCTCTGTCCTTACTAGCAATATCTGGAACTCGCAGAACAAAGTTCTAATTGTGCTTCTCGTTTCAGTTGTCCCGTTTGGCCGCATCTATCCCATTCGAGAAGACATGATGTATGCGACCAAGTCCGAAGCCGAGGGCGGGACTGGAGGAAATTGTAAATTTTGGGAATGGAGTGAGGGGCAGGTCGCAGCGTTTGTTTAATTGCCTGAGGCTTGGAGAAGCTCTACAGGGCACCACGATCGGTTTCTGAGGGATAATAGCCTATACACGGTGATGGATTTTGAGATGATTTCGTTTATATTCCGTATGCGTTTGCAGCCATACGAGGTGCCTTCATTCACACATTGGTAAAGACCGAATAACCCACTGTTCAGAAAACACACAATGCCAATAACAGTAAGTAAATGATAGTTGATGGACTCTTTTTTTAATAATACACATGTGGCATCATGCTTTTCAAATCCATGTCCTTTCCATGAAGATGACTGTTGGGACTGATCAAGTGGTCCTTGGGCAATTTGTGCATGTGTGTCATGAAGTGTTAGGACAAGTAGGACTAACTCCAACTCTTGAAGAAGTCCCAAGTCACATCCAGTCTCGGTTGAATGCAACAATGTTCTATTTGTGTCTGTTGCAGAGCGCATGGAGCACGACGGCGAAGTGGTACTCCTTCCGCTAGCACCACGTTGTAAACTGGCAGGGAGTAGCGGGTAAGGCTATGGACAAAAAAAGAATGTGTTCAATGCATTGTAGTATATGATAAAGACGTGCCAAGCCTCAGTACCAGCCGTGTCTATGCGGCGGCTTACGGTTAAATATATTCTTAGACTACCCTAGAGTAGTATGTCGACATCAACTTGTTGGTCCAAAATGCGAGAACAAGGTGCGACGTTGTTAGGAAATTGAGACTCCAATCGGAAGCATCAATGGCCTAGTATATTAGTGTAGAGGACTCGAGTCAGGTGCGTCTCTCTCAGCTGTTCGAGTGCAGCACCGAAGAGGAGCTTTCGCTCTAGAATGTCTAGGGACGATGACTCGACCAAATGGAGCAAGATTCTCCTTTTGTGAGCTGCCCTTGTCAGGTGGCCCCGGGTTGATCGGCAGCCGAGCTCTTGTCTGAGGCCAGCCTTGGTCTGGCAATATGCTCGGGCGGCTGAAATGACCGCTTGTCAAATGCCATTGTGATGCTGTGTGACAGTGTCACATATCAGGGCAGTCAAGGTTGTTTTCCACATGGAAAGAAGACCAGTTGGCCTTTTCTTGGCCCTTCCATCCCGTCCCTTACCGTGGTATGGGAACCTCGCCCGGGTCCGAGTTTGTTTCGGTCCTGGGACGAACTTTTGCAAGGCCACGACTTGAAACGCAGGGCGGGTTGCCCGGGGTCCAGCCCCACAAAATACAGTCCTATCAATAATACGTAGTACGGATACTCAACTAAGAGTAAGAGAGCGTACACTTGATGCTGACCTGGTGCTGAGATGCAGTCGACTGCGGTGCGTGTGCATTAGTAGTAAGCCTGAATGGTCCGCCTAAATGGTCCATGAATATACGAGGCGTCAGACCAGTGCAGGACGCTTTGATCTATAGCTCAATGCTGATAGCGTCGACCATGAGCTGGCCTCTTCACCCAGAACTGGGTTGGCCAGCTGCCGTCGGCGGCATGTCACCGAGGGTCGCTCGATGCCGACAGCAGCCCCAGAATACAGAGTTACTCAGGCACAGAGGTCCCACGACCCACGGCCCACGAACCCCACCTTTTGCTTGGGGGGGGGGGGGCAGAGCTACTGCGCGTGCAGTACAACAATAGGTATGGATCGCTAGTGGTTGTGCGGGTGGGCCCACGGTTCCGGCTAACGAACAACCTTCTGTGGCCATCTGGCCTAGTCCCTGGCGGCCCGCCATCCCAAGCTACCCACCCAACCACCTAGGCAAGCTTCGGCTTTGAATTGGAAAGGACAAGGTGTCGTTAATCCACACAGCGTTCAGTGACCCTCGCCTCGGACTTCAACACCTACTTCTCCGCCTCGACAGCTCACCACACACAACACCATCGCCAGAGACAGTCTCTCTCTCTGTCCTTCCACCTCCCTCGCCGCCAGGGTCAAGTCCAGTCCATCTCACTCACGGGCTGATCGGTTGCCTTCATTGATAAACTGCATCTTTTTTATTCTTCGCCTTCAGCATCGCAGCCCAGACTGGGTCTTGCCTGTGTCCACACGTCATCCAGCTTTCCTTTTCCTCGAGCTCGTCTCCCGGACTGCCGCGACGCCTCTCCTGCGTCCGTAACACGACCACGACGGCCTGTCGCACCAGCAGGTCTACTTCGAGGAAACAACCTCCCTTGTCTTCTGTGGGATCAAAGGAAACGAAATCGGGGAGCCTTTCGAGATGGCCACAATGCGAGGAAATGCAGGGGGCTACGGCATGGGAGCACCAAGCTATGGCGGCATCAACAACAGCCCCTCAGAGGGCGGCAACGCTCTGGACGCCATCAGGCAACAGACCAGCAAGATTGAGGACATGCTCGACTCTGTTGCCGAGCCAGTGAAGCCGTACGTCAACCCCACCCGGAGACCACGGACACTGCCGCCAGCCGCCACAGGTCGGCAGGCCCTGAAGCTGTGGATCACTTACTGACAGTCAACCACAGTTACATGCCCGCCATCGGCCGATTCCTCATCGTCGTGACGTTCCTCGAGGATGCCCTGCGCATAATAACACAATGGAGCGACCAGATCCTCTACCTGCACGACTATCGCCACAGTACGCACATGCCCAATCCTGCAGGGGCTGGGAGTTTCTATCTTTGGTAACGTCTTACTAACGTCATGTGCGACAGTTCCAAATGGCCTGACCCATCTCTTCCTCATCGTCAACGTCCTCGCAATGGTTGCTTGCTCCACGCTCGTCATTGCCCGCCGCCACTCCGAATATGCCGTCGCCGGCCTCATCGGCGTTGTTGTTACCCAGGCTCTTGGCTATGGCCTGATCTTCGACCTGAACTTCTTCCTGCGCAACCTGTCTGTCATGGGTGGTCTTCTGATGGTTCTGTCCGACTCATGGGTTCGTAAGACAAAGGCCTTCGCTGGCCTGCCCCAGATCGAGGAGAAGGACCGCAAGATGTACTTCCAGTTCGCCGGTCGCGTCCTCCTCATCTTCCTCTTCGTCGGCTTCGTGTTCAGTGGACAGTGGTCCATCTGGAGGGTCATGGTCTCCGTCATCGGTCTGATCGCTTGCGTCATGGTTGTGGTCGGATTCAAGGCAAAGTGGAGCGCCACGCTGCTTGTTTTCATCCTGAGTGTCTTCAATGTTCTGGTGAACAACTTCTGGACTGTAAGTTGCGCGATCCGCTCCCGTCCCCCAAGAGACAAGAGAAGTACTGACAGGGGTCACACAGCTTCACGAGCACCACCCCCACAAGGACTTCGCAAAGTATGACTTCTTCCAGATCCTCTCGATCGTTGGCGGTCTCCTGCTCCTGGTCAACAGTGGGCCAGGCCAGTTCAGCATTGACGAGAAGAAGAAGGTATACTAGGCCCATAAAGGCATTGGGCAGTAACTGCTGGGGCGGAGACGCCATTTTAGGAGTGGAAAATCGTGCGGGATGTTGGGGTCTCATGGGATGAACCAGTGTGTAGCGATCCGCTTCTTCGAGCACGGCAAGTTTATGGGAATGCATCCCCCCCCCAAGAGGCGTTTTATGGGTTGAGTGGGCAGAATCAATACTTCCGTGCATAGTTGTCAAGATTCAATCTACGCTCTGAGGTGTGAGGTTGCCATTGCCGCGTCGAAGAGAGGGTCCCCGCATTTTGTCACGCGCCCTCCCTCTCGTCGCGCTGCATAAACTCATACTCATCGCTAGAGGGCCCACTGCACGTATACGGCAAACCAGAGTTTGCCAGAGCGACAGAGACGAGGAAACTCTAGAGCACGAATTTATGTGTGTATGTAGTGGCGCCTATGGTAGAAGGTGCCATCTCGTGAAGGAGCGCCTTCGAGCAACGTGATTTAGCATGCTTAAGGCGATTTAGTTGCATAGACCACATTCAGTGCGGCGCAAATAAAGTAGCTTGTATTATCAGCTTGTCCCCCACGCCCTGTTAGCGAATCATTTCCTGCATGGAGCAATTTACTTGGTTTGCCGACGCACGTGGACTATATACTCAGACTTTATCGTACATTGGCCTCTCCTGCCAGGCAGCGACCAGATATCAGTTTGTATCGTATCGACAACCACCAGAGCACATGAAAGATGCCAGCTCAGCGAGCTCCAGGGCTGCCTCATGCGTGTCTACTGTCTCATGCAATGTATGACCACATCCCAGCGCCACCAAATCTTAGGTCCTGAGCAAGGCTGAGCGTGGTTTGCGATCATCTTGGCCCAGCTAATGAGCACATCGCGCGGCCAACTCCAGATAACCTCCTGGTCTGGCAGCCTCAGAACTATCTCAGGAGCGCACCGCTTCCTCTGTCTGCATGCCGACACAGCAGCGTCCTCCAGGGTTCACAGCAGCGTCCTCCAGGGTTCACAGCTGAATCCCTGACCCAGGGTTTTCTTCGGGCATCTTTGGTCGCGCATAACCGTCGACAGTGGCTGTTGGCCCAAAGGTCGCGATCTGGGTCGAGATGTGAGCCATAGCGTCTTTGGGCCCGGGTTGGCTCGACGAGTTGGACATCTGCGCGAAGGTTGATATCTCTTTTCGGCCACTGCCGCCTTTGGGCCGGAAGCTGAGTCCTCGTGATGATGGTAGCGACACCTTGGACAACCTGCCTGCAGGGGCATATGGATCATTCGCGACCCCTGAGCATCGGCAATCCCGAAAGCTGTTAGGGCGACGATAGATCCAATACTCTCGATTTCACGCTACTAGGCGTGGTTCGTACCCGGGGCGGGCGAGGGCTGGCAGATCACGCAGAGCAGGTAGAGATGGCTCGAGGAATAAAGAACCACTAGGTCGGTCATAGGCTTTCCGGACTTCGAGAAGCAGGGCGATCCTCATATCTTGTCGAGATGTCTCGATGGGGTGTGCCGATTTCAAGGAATGTCCAACGAGGCTATCGCATCCTTCGCGAGCTGGATTATCCTCTTGCATTGTGGCTCCTCGAGGCGCGAATGCTGCGCATGCTTGCCCAAGGGGCCCGTCGGCCCCGCCAAACCGGCCTCCAGCAGGGCATCGACCTCGGCGTGGCGGGCACTGCTCCTCTCCTCGAGCTGGACGACGATGTCCTTGAGGCCCACCTGCGTGAAGCGCAAGGTGTCGCTGCCCGGTCCCTCAGGCCGGCAGTTGATGCCGTAGACGTCGACTTTGAGCAGGGCGCGGATGGTGAGGCGCCACATGGCGGGCTCGAGCATGACGTCGTCGTAATGGTGGTGGGCATTGCCGCACATGGCCTCGTCGGAGCCGAGCCGGCCCCACATGCCTCCGTACGCGCGCAGCGAGAAGCGCAGCTGGCGGCGCTCACAGATGGCGCGCGCTGTCTCGATCTCGATCATGTCGACGATCCGGCGGTACGCGTCGACGACGGAGGGGAACAGCGCGCCGAGGACCATCATGTTCTGGAACGACGACATCGAGATGGTCATGCTCTCCGTCAGCGGCGGGCAGCACACTTTGCAATGGGCGTTCTCGTGAGCTGCCCGGGTGGCCCGCCGGGCGGCCCGGATTGCAGGTTCGACCTCGGTGGGGAGGTTATTCAGGGAATCAAGGGCGAGATACAGGCCCGCGAGGCAGCCGCAGCTTGCTTGCGAGGGCGTCGTGGACGCGTTGGTATTCTCAGGGGTAGATGCGCCGTGTGATGACAGGCTAGGCGTGCCGAAGCTGAGGGCCGCGCTTGTGTCGCTGTTTCCCGCCGAGCCCGAAGGTGGGTGATGGTTGTCGAAGTCGATATCGAAGCTCCAGATGTCCCTTTCCACTGGGTTCGGCTTGGGCTGCCACTCTTGTGCGTGGAAAGGCTGGGTCGAGACAAAGTCCGGGCCCAGCAGGTCCAACAAGCCGGCATCAGAAGTACCGGTAATGTGCAAGCTCGGATCTACGAATGACGACGGGTCAAGATCCATCGGCACGTCCGGCCCGCGTATCGCAGACGTATCTGATGTAGTAGCGGACGAATCCGGCGGGGCCGGAGCACTTATTGATACCGAAGTCGCCTGATTGGCACTTGCACCGTCGCCATTGGGCTTCTTCCTCGGCCTGCCCATCTGCTTCTGGGCAGAGTAGTGGCAGACAATGCCCTCTCTCTTGCAGCGAGAACATCCATCTGTCTCCTTGGTACAAGCCAGTTTGCGAGACCCTACAATGATGTCAGAAAAAGAGTTCGTGGAACACAAAGATACGAGTGGGAGAATGGGGGACCAACGGCACTCATCACAGGCTCGATGCTTGACTGGGCTTGGCCCGCCCTCGGTTGGGGGCTGATTCGTCGTCGTACTCATGATACACTATTGTGGGCCCGCCCGAAACAGCAATACACAGTCCCCGCAGGAGAGTTTGCAATGAAGGTTGAACTAATAAATAATGGGTCTTTGGACATGAGTGTTTGTGAGTATATATGACTGGCTCCTGACCAGCCCAGCGTGTCGGGTCACCAGGCTACATTGCAGATATGTAAGCTGCGAGGGGCCGGTTTCTTGGCGGCAGGCCGCGGAGCACTCGGCGGCCCGTGCCTTCAAATGTTGTGCGTACCCCTGAAGTAGCCTATTTGGTGTGCAGTGACTGTAATCCCAATTGGAGGTACTTGGGCTGAAATTATTTAAGGCTATAAATGAGACCTCACCTGGGCTTCACGGCATAAGGGCTTGGAGTTTGCACCAAATAGTGTGGATTTCATGAGTAGGTCTGCCGAAGGAAGAAAAGAACAAGGGAAGGCTGCCGCTCAGGCTTCAGGGCGAGGGGTGATGATGGCAGCCTTATCGATAAGGGGCAGGCATAGCCGTGCTATGCATGTGCTACATCTTTGGTGTCAAAAGACAAATCAACTCTCTTATAAGCCCCACTGCTTTACCCATCTCTCCATCATACTTCCACTGATAGGGCCAAGCCCACCCAACGTGGTCGAATGCTGCACCGTGTTCTCAGTATCCAAATGAATACTCTTGCCTCCAACCAGGCTCTCGTAGAAGTCAAGGATCTTCACAGCAGGATTCAAAGTCAGGTTGTCTGTCTTGGGAGCACTCTCGCGCAACGCTGCCACCCATGACTCCAACGGGACGACCTTGACTCCACCGAGTATCTCAGCAATGACGGGGACTAGCTCCTCCCACCTCGTCGGCCTTGGGTTGACCACGTGGTACACCCTCGCCCTGTTCACGCTGGCCGGGTCTAGAGGGACGCGCCGAAGCTGCTGCTCGTCACCCAGGAAACCCAAGCCGAGCTCGACGACGATCCGGCCCAAGGCGTCGACGGGGACCCAATCCACGTGGACGTCCGCTCCGCCGCCCACCAGCGACCTCGGGAGCAACCCCAGGTGCTTCGAGCTCGCCACCAGGCTGGGAACCCATTCCTGCCTCGGCCAGCCGCTCTCGCTCTTACCAGACACGGGCACGCTCGGCCCCGCGATCTGGCCGACACGGCAGATCGCGGTAGGGACGCCTGCCGTCTGGGCCACGGCGTCGAGGATACGCTCCGCCACCAGCTTGGACTGGCAGTACCCGCTACGCTGGGAGGCATGCCAGTCCTCTACCACCACCTCGGGGACTGAGGTCGAAGTGGTGGTGTTGCTGGTGGTGTTTTGAGTCGGCCACTCGGCGACTGCGCCGATGCTCGAGATGAACATGACGCCCGCACCGAATCGCGAGTGCGCCGCGAGGTCGACGAGTCGGCGGACCGCGCCAACGTGGCTGGCGAAGGCGGCCAAGGGCAGGTTGAAGTCGACCTGCCACGCGTTGTGCACGATCAGTGTGACTTTGCTGAGGAGCTGCTTGTACTCCTGGACAGGCAGGCCGAGGTACGGTCTGGACAGGTCTGCTCCGCCAAGGCAAGTGACCTTGTCAGCATGTAGCGGCGCGAGTCCCTTTGCTGCCTGCGACTTTGACTGTCTCTCGAAGCTCTCGGTTCCGCGGTTGAGGCAGTATATGTGGGCTACATCAGACCTTGCGATTAAAGAGTCGAGGATATAGGATCCCAGCGAGCCCGTCGAGCCAGTTAGGAGGACGCATGCCTTGCCTGGTTCTTGCGGCTCAGGAGCCCGAGTGTTTATCGGCAGTTCGGCGGTGTGCAGGTCGTAGAGGATCTGCATTTTCTCCTCGTCCGCTTCTGGCGCCATTTCGGGGGCTTTCTGACCTTCGCAAAGTGCCTCAATCAGAGATATGAGGGCCTCAAGGGTAGGGTGGCGGTACACCAGAGAAGCTTGCATAGCTGCTGGCTTCCCGAGGCCCACCAGATACTTGTTGGTTTCCTTGACAATCGCAGTCACCTGGAGTGAATCCAGCCCCAAATCGAAAAGATTCGCGTCTGCAGGGACACAGGCGCTGTCGATATCGGTGGTTCTGGTGATTATGCTTCTGGCAGCTTCCTTTGCATCTGAGTACTGCCCAACACCAAGTCCAGCGGTAGTGGTTGCGCCGCTGGCCCCATATAAAGCCTCGAGCTCCGTAACATAGAGGTCCAGGGCTGCCTGACGTATGACGGTGCCTTTTCCCGCACGTGGCAAAGGTCTGTCCGCGGTCGTGAACAGCACCATGTCGCGATGGAGGCGTCCGTGGGATGGGCTCTCCTTGTTTGCTTTCTCCACGGTGTGCCATATGTCCTCCAACAGCTTCTCACGCTCGGTGTCATCTTTGGGGGGCTCGGTGGTCTCGACCAACAGGCTCGACTGGAAGCGTCCGGCGCCACCAATCACCGCGCCTTTTACGGCAGGGTGTGATTGTATGATGGTCTCCATGTCCACGGGATTGCTAAAACGCGTTCTGGTTAGCTGGGACTAAAAAGAGAAAAAAAAGACATTTCAAGACTAACAGCTTTTCGCCAGTAGAGAAGACAATTATATCATCTGCCCGGCCTCGATACAGCCACAGGCCCTCCTTGGTAGGGTGCTTGGAGTAGAGATCTTTCATAGGCCACTCTTGCAGATCCGGGAAAGTCCCGAAGACACCCTGGTACAACTGCAATTCTGGTTTGCGTGGTATGATGTGCTCGTACAAGTTGTCAGAGACTTGGCGGTATTCATGCCCCAAAACAGGGCTGAGCTTCATGTACTGCCAGTCCTCTGGCTCGAGTAGCTCGTGCGGCATGACTCCAGCTTCCGTTGTGCCCAGCACATTCAGCAGAATCGTCTTGGAGCTGATGAGATCTCCAATTGGCTTCGGCATTGAGCCGCCTCCCTGCGAGAACATCATCAATATATGTGTTATGAGAGCGAGGCCGGGTCGAGGACCACAGGCCACCCAGTGCTTGCTCGAGGGTGGGTAAAATGCAGGTTGGGACATAAAATCGCGGAATGCATACCGTTGTCACATTTTTCAGTCGACGCAGATTGTCGAGATGATTGGGGTCCTTGGAAAGCTCTATGAGAGTGAAAGGTGCGACACAGCTTTCCTGAACGTTCCCATGCACATGGATTGCATTCACGACATCCGCGGAAGGTGGGAACGGACCAAGCACAATTGTGAAGCCCGCAAAGAGAGAGGCAGGCAACAGCATGGAGACCCCCGCGCAATGGAATAGTGGGAAACCAAGGTAAATCCGCCTGCCACTGCTTAGGCCCGGGAAGCAGGGCGAGTAGCCTAGGGATGGAGCACCGGTGAAGGCATCGAGGGCGGAATATGTTGCGTGAGTCTGGATGATGGGCTTCGGCATTCCTGTCGAACCGGAGGTGTGAAGTACGACCCAAGGGTCCAACCTTGCTTCTTCATATGTCTTCGTGTACGGATAGGACTCACTGGGCTGGTTCGGATTTGTCCAGTGGGCGACGGGAGGGCCACCCTCAAATTTCGTGCCGACTGGATCTGCTTGATTACGGGCAACGGGAAGCCAGAGAGTACAAGCATTATCCCACAGCTCGTTTTGTCCAGCAGTGACAGATGAGCGTCGAGGGTATTCCGAGGGGAGCTCAGAAGGAGCTTGTACCCTGCTTTAATTGAGGCCAGGATCTATTCATATTTCGCCTTAGTTTCTCCTCAGACACAAGGAACGAAGCGACACCGCCAGTTGGCACTGGAAACGAAGCCAACGTACTAGAATTGCATAAGCCACGTCCTGTGGTCCCATATAGAGCAGGGTGGGGAAGCCATTGCCGCGACCGAGTTCATTCTGTAAATGCCAGGCGCATCGGTCCACGGCTTGAGAAAAGGTGCGAGCATCTATATCCTCGAAACCATCCGCAGGATCTCTGGTTTTGGTTACAGAGAACAGAACTCGAGATGGATCATTGCGAGCAATTTCGTCTACCAGGGATGGCAGCAGACGACGGCCAAGGTTTGCATTAGGAGTTGGCGCCATTTTGAAGGTGTGCAACGACTCGAGGGGGTCAAGCATTAAGAGAGCTGGTGCTGATCTAAAAGCAATTTCGTACCATTTGATACAGACAGAATTTTGAAATCAGAATGAATTATCAACAAGGGCCGGCTTTTGAAAATAATGAGAGGGGGGCGCCGCGGGGTACTTAAATATGTTGCTCCCCTCGGTACTTAGGCAGCATCGAGCCTCGCCTCAAGGAACTTAGAAACCAACTAGCATAGAACAAGCACTGTGCAAAGAGCAGATTAAACCTCAATCATCTCATTATAATCCTTATAGTGTATAATACTACCTATAATATAATCTTTGTTAGTAAAAATATATTATTATAAAATTTTAAGATTAAAATTATTTTTTATTTTAAAATTTACTTTTTATAATTATAACTATTAAATTAAATAAATTTATAATTATTTAAATAAGTTTAAAACTTTTAAAAAAAATTATTAAAAAAGTACCACCTTTTTCACTTTCTTTAATTAGTATTTATAATTATTTTCCTTCAAATTATATAGAATATAGAGTATGTATTTCTGTTCTTACTATGTGGGACCCCGGGTCAATCCAAAGCACTGCCAACAGGCGGACCAGTCTCCCAAGTGGACTCTCGATGGGGTCACATCCTTTGAAGTCCCGCAGCCCCAGCTGCGCAGCGAGTCTGTTGGTGATAATTCTGTCGGCTGCATCGCCCGTTGGCCCACCGGGAGGCAAGCCGGTCGACTTGTGCTGGGTCCCAACCAACAACCTCCCGCTTTAGTTGCCATGATAGGCTTGGAAGAATCCAGGTCTGATGACTGGAATTTCCTCTCCAATTTTTTTTTCTAAACTGGAAAGGCGGCGTAGGTGAGTGCGCACAGCAGTACGCACGGCGTGTGACTAAGTTCTTTCCCTGACATGCGAATTTTGCCATGCCACCGGTCCATGCACCTAACCCTTGGCTTTGGTTGTTCTAAGTCTTTGGTCTCTTGCTTTCTCTCATCCACAGCATCGAGAATGGCCAGCATGGAAAACATTTCAGACCTTGAGGGCGGTATCAATTGCTAATGGAAGCGGCAAAGTGATCGCCTGTGCCGTCATATTCATAATTTTCTGTTTTTCCCCCTTGGTCTCATGCTTCTGGCCCGTCGTGCAGCGCTGCAGGGGAACTTCTTCGAAGACTGATTGATGGTGCCAGCATATCTTATGATGATGGGCCTCCGTGCCAACGTCACTTGCGGTATGTTCGCCCATCTCGCCCTCCATGCTTCAGGCCTGATCTAATGACGCGTCCTACTTGGGAGAAGTTGGGCAGCACCAAGGTTGGGTCTTGTTGCACAAGCCTGATGCACTGGTCCAACTGCCCTAGTCACTCTTCGCCACAGAGCTTATGTACGGCATGCTGAGTGCGACGAAAGAGAGGAGCATCCTCACTTAAAGTAACTAGAAACTTCATTTACTTAGCAAAATCTAGGTTTTTAGTCCTCTACCATAGAAAATCATAATTTAACTTCAATCACCTTTAATACTTAAGTACTACTATAAAAAAGTCTAGGTAATATCAAAGTACTACTACCCTATAGACCTTATTTATGACAGTACCTATAGAGACTATTATTAGGTACTTATCAAGTATAAGGGCTATAGTCTCTCTTTCTATATTGAACAGAAATTTAAGCTCCATCATGGCGGGACAGCAACGCAGAGTCGACGCAGAGACTCAACAAGCCCCGTGACGGTGTAAGTGGTGCCCTTGTCACCAAGCTAGCCTGATCTGGTCACCGCCTAGCCGCCAAGCCAAGGTACAGGCTGCGGCAGAAAAGGAAAAAAAGTTCCCAACCCTCTCTCGACTTAAGGTTTCTTGCAGGCAGTTCACGACTAGCGAATTTGAGGTCCCTACAGCAATTTGCTCCTACCTTGCGAATGAACGGCATCACCATGAGGCTGCGGTCCGGGATCAAAACCCCATCGGCCGATGGCGTGATTCCCCAGCCTGAGATCGTTGAATCACCCCGAAAGGCGCAGACCCCCAAGTCCAAAACCTCGGCGAAGACCAACGGGGCTTTGTCCAACAACACTGCGTCTCCCGCAAAGAGAGGTCGCCCCCCCAAGAACCGAGAACCGTCGCCACTCAAGCGGAAGGCAGCTTCGCCTGTGGATGATGCCAAGGAGGAACCCGAACAACAAGCTGAAGAGGGGGATTCTGACGGAGACGGGTTTGGAGACGCTCAACTAGAGGGCGCACTGTCCGCAAGCGAGGACGACTCAGACTACGAGCAATCTGGGGACGAGGCCGCTTCCGACGACGATGATGATGACGACGACGAGGGCTCCGAGGATCCAGATGAAGACGATGCGCTCCACAGCGACGATATACCCTCAGACGAAGATGAATCCTCCTTGAAAGTGCCACCATTGGAGCCCGGCCAGGAGCCCGGGCTCGACCCGCCCAACGCTAACCAAGAAGACGATGACCTCCGCAACTACCGCGTCGAGACTGATGCCAATGGGAACGAGAAATATGTCTACGATGAGATCGACCCAGTCTACGACTCGGACGACACCGATGCGAATGAGCCAGCCAACACCATTGGCAACATTGACCTCAAGTTCTATGACTCCTACCCACACATCGGCTACGATATCAATGGCAAGAAGATCATGCGTCCTGCCGCTGGCGAGGCCCTCGACGCCCTCCTGGACAGCATTGAGGTGCCCAAGGGATGGACTGGCCTCACGGATCCCGCCACCGGCAAGCCTTTGAACCTGAGCCGGGACGAGCTGGAGCTCATCAAGAAGATCCAAACAAATGAGCTCCCAGATGGCTACGATCCATATCCCGTACGTACTTACACCACGCAGAGGGCTCGAAGTGATTGCTAACCTTTCGCAGGAAATGGTCGAGTGGTTCACTAGCCATGAGGAAATCATGCCCCTTAGCGCCGCCCCGGAGCCGAAGCGCCGGTTCCTTCCTTCCAAGCACGAGCAGAAGAGGATAATGAAGTTGGTTCGTGCTATTAGGGAGGGTAGGATACTGCCGTACAAGCCGCCTGAGGAGCGCGAGGAAGAGGAAGAGGAGGAAGTGCACTTTGACCTGTGGAAGGACGAACAACCCAGAGATCCTCATGTCATGCATCTTCCTGCGCCGAAGCTTGCCCCACCAGGTTACGACCTCAGCTACAACCCTCCGCCCGAGTATCTGCCGACAGAGGAGGAGAGGAAAGCCTGGGAGGAGCAAGACCCTGAAGACCGCGAGAAAGAATATTTGCCCAGCAAGTACGACTCCTTGCGAAAGGTTCCCGGCTACGACATGTTCGTCAACGAGCGCTTCGAGCGATCCCTGGACCTATACCTTGCGCCCCGTGTGCGGAAAAACAAACTCAACATCGACCCGAACTCCCTCCTGCCCAAGCTACCAAAGCCGGAGGATCTCAAACCATTCCCCACAGTATGCCAAACGATCTTCCGGGGTCATGATGGCCGCGTGCGTACGCTGGCTGTGGACCCAAGCGGATGCTGGCTTGCGACTGGCGGTGACGATGGCACTGTAAGAGTCTGGGAGATCTTGACAGGACGACAGGTCTGGAGTGCCAGGCTCAGCAGTGACGAGGCTGTCAACGTGGTGAAATGGAGGCCTGCCAAGGACGCCTTCGTCCTAGCTGCAGCTTCTGAGGAGGACGTATACTTGATTGTACCACCTGTGGTTGATCCACAACTGGAGCAGGCGAGTCGGAACGTCCTGGACGCCGGATTTGGTTATGCGGCCAGTGGCAAGGCCTCCAACCCGGCGATCGACAAGACCAAAGAGCCAGCTGCGAAATGGGCGCGACCGGGCTCAAAGCTCGAGGATGAGGGCGTCCTTGTGAGGGTGACTGTGAGGTCGACAGTGAAGGGCATTGACTGGCACAGGCGTGGTGATCACTTCTGCACCGTCTCACCAACGGGCCAGAGGAGCTCGGTCGCCATTCACACCCTGTCGAAGCACCTCACACAGATCCCCTTCAGGAAGCTTTCCGGTCTTGCACAAGCAGCACACTTCCACCCCTCGCGGCCCCTCTTCTTCGTCGCCACACAGCGCATGATCCGCTGCTACGACCTGCAGAAGCTCGAGCTCGTCAAGACGGTCCAGCCCGGCGCGCGGTGGATCTCGTCGTTTGATATCCACTCGGGTGGTGATAACCTGATCGTTGGTTCGTACGACCGAAGACTGCTGTGGCACGACCTGGAGCTGTCGATGCGGCCGCACAAGACCATGCGCTTCCATCCCAAGGCCATCCGCGCGGTCAAGTACCACAGGGACCTACCGCTGTTCGCCGATGCTTCAGACGACGGCACGCTACAGATATTCCACGGCAAGGTTGTCACGGATCTGATGGAGAATGCAACTATCGTGCCGCTCAAGACGCTGAGCGGGCACAAGGTAGTCGCCTCGCTGGGAGTGATGGACGTTGATTGGCATCCGAGGGAGCCTTGGCTCTTCTCTGCTGGAAGTGACGGGACTGCCAGGCTCTGGATGTAGAGATTTGGTACTGCGGACAGGGAAAGAAAGAATATCAGAAGGGGAACCTGTAGAGTAGACACAAGGGGTCGCCGGGTGCCTGGGAGGATCACGTATGCGTGCATGGGCGTGGCGTTTGTGAGAGGACTGAGCCAAGAATACCAACAAGACAAAAAGTAATCGCCAGTGAGAGGCCACAGCCAACCGACTTCGTCCGTCAACGTTTTGTCGCGCTCCGATCCTAGGTCATTGGGCAACTCGTCGGTAAGCTAAACAAGCGTGTCATACCGACAACCAATGACTAGAAAACAACCAGAGGCTACATGCAGCTGAGGGCCCACCTGTGCGGCCTCAACTTGGGTGGTTGCGGCCGATGCATGGGCCATAAGACCTGAGGCCCAACCGTGACGTGGTCAGGCCGTGACCCGTCTTGCTGACCGACTCTGTATTATTCTCGACTTCTCCCCGGTTCTTTTCATTTATCCACACAAGACTTGTCGCCATCCTCACCCCCGCCACCTAAACCTCCTCATCGACACCGTCCCTGAACTTCTCAAACAGGCTCAGGTCCACGGCCTGCGCCATGGCCACGTACCCAGCCGGGTTGAGGTGCAGGTAATCCCCGCTGTCATAGAGCGGGCTCAGCATCGTCCCGTTGGCCGGGTCCCTCACGGCGGCATCAAAGTCCACGACGCCGTCGAAGCGGCCCGACGTCCGGATCCACGCGTTGACCCTCTGCCGCGTGACCTCCCGCGCCGGGTCGCTGTACGCCTGCACCGAGGCGTTGCCGCCGAACGGCGTGATCGTCGCCCCGAAGACGGGCAGGCCCCTGGCGTGGACGAGCCCGATGACCTGCGCGTACGCCGCGAGCAGCCTGTCGCCGACGGCCTGCTGCGCCGCCGCCGTCGCGGCCGCGGTGCCGATGTCGTTGACCCCCTCGAAGACCACCACGTAGCGCACCCCCGACTGCGCCAGCACGTCCCGGTCGATCCGCCCCAGGGCGTTGGGCCCCAGCCCGTCGGCGAGCACGCGGTTGCCGCCCGCGGCCTGGTTGACGACTGCCAGCCCACGCTGCAGCGCCGTCGCGTTGGCGGCCTGCAGCCGCCGCACCAGGTTGTCGGGCCACCGGTTGTTCTGGTCCGTCGTGCTCCCGCGCCCGTCCGTGATGCTGTCGCCCACGATGGCCACGGCGCCCGACGTCTCCGACGTGGGCAGGTACGCCTCCACCGCCGAGATGAAGTACCAGTGCGCGCTGCTCTGGGTCGCCGGGTCGGCCGAGAGGTCGGCCTCGCCCGTCTGGTTGCCCGGCGCGTAGAATGACGTCGTCCGGCTGCCTGGGTGGCCCGTGATGCTGTTTGTCGTCTGCCCCGAGGCCAGGTACAGGGAGATGGTCAGGACCTGCTGCGCCGTGACGGGGAAGTCGACCGGGTCCGAGATGATGCGTGCCCCGTTGGGGATGGTGAAGTTCGGCAGGCCGCCCGAGAAGGTGAGCGGCACCAGGGTCTCAGGCTTGACGGCTGACGTCCCGGCAGATCCGTTCAGGGGCAGCGCGATGGTGGCTGCTGAAATGGGCAGATCCGAGCCGCCGAAGACGTTCGAGATGACGAGACGGATCTTGGGGGCTGACTGCGTGAGGAAGATTGTCTGGCGGATGGTGGCATCTTGGAAGACCACGCCGGTGGCATTCTGTCCGAGTGGGTTAGCTTTTCTCACTGTCTGAGAGAGTTCAGAGCCAAAGCGTCGTCGAAGACGGAGAAGTACTTACATATGGCGCAGGAGGCAGGTTGGCCGGCTCGACGAGCTGGGGCATGGACCCCCAAATATCGACCCATTGGTTCTCTCTCTGCCTCTTGACGTATGCCGCTGTCCATGATTGGAACAGGAGGAGGGCCGCGAAGGCCACCCTGAATACCGAGCCAGCCATGGGAGATCTATACTGCAACACAACAACACCTCGGACGAATATCGAACAGGGAGAATGCGTGCAACATCACAGGGGCCGGCAGAGGAAATCCGGGGCCCCGGGTCAGTTTATACCACAGCACATACTTCCGCAAAGGCGTGTGCGAGCAAAGCATCATGACGAAGCTTAAATGACCCCGTCCCGGCATTATGGAAACAAAGTGTCATCTCGGGTACGAAATTAGGCTAAATGGGGCTGCGCAGGCCCAGAGTCGGTATACCCCTGAGAGCCTTGGAAGCTAAAGTGGGATCGTGGGGCGGTGGACGACGACATCGCGGAGATGATCTGCGGGGGTGGACAGGGAAAGCTCTGGGGCGGATGAGCATGGGTCAGACTTGGCTTTCGCCCCATCTTGAATTGGCTTCCCTGCACCCGAAGCTAAAGCAACCTTTCGCCCTCCCCGGGGAGAGTCTGTGTCCTCAAGTCTGTTGAGAACAGACCGTGATAGGGATGTCCTGGGCACGAATTCAGGGGTGATGGGTTGGAGAAAGTTGGAGAGAACTTCATCCCATTCCCTGACGGCTGAATGGGATGTTAACGCGTACCAAGCAGTCAAGATGACCTCAGCTGGAGGGGGAAAACACTCGCCTAGTTGTGGTTGCGGCCATGAGGTCACCATTCTCATTGTACCGCTCGTCCGGCCCAGCTTTGATGAGACTGACAGTCTGTCCCGAGATGCTAATAGGCGTGACGCGCCACAGGTTGCGTCTCATTTACTCAAGGCATGACGCTGAAGTTGGCAGGCTTACGATGTATATCGAGCGAGTGCCTGGAAAAAGACATGCAGGTTGAGATGTCGTCGTGGCAGTGTAACGAGAGAGCGTCCACATACATCGGCAACGACTAGCCGAATATTCCGACGAGACCAGTGGTGAACCACAAACGCGGCGGCCAGCGACGATGCCCTAGATGGATGAGACGTTCAGCTGGTTATTGGCACATATGATATCTGGTGCAAATATAGTCTGGCAGACTGGCACCAACCTAGCCCCGCCTTAGACAGAGCCTTATATCACACACCCGATCAGAAGAGCACCATGCGCAGGTCGATGACCCATTGCGGAGCCTGCCCAACGTCCACATCTTTCTTTGCATCTGGGTGGCACGACTTGGGCGGACGGCACAGCGAAAGTCATCCGGGCATATATGGAAGCTCACTGGTGAAGAGGCTTCGCAGGAGAAGAGGTGACTGTGGTTTTGTGATGAGCGATGAGCGATGAGCGATCATGTCGTTTTGCGGCGGCTTAACGACTGCACACTCAGGCTACCATCGGCACAATCGGGCGACAACACGTCAAGCCCCCCCCGAAACACCCCCTTCCACAAGGCTGGCTGTTGGCCTATGACACCAGCACCGAAAAATGCCCCGGGGTGATCGACCACATATTGGCGCTGCTATTGATTGCTTTCTTAGCTGTCATGATGCTAACTTCATTATCCTGGCTCACTAGTCTGGATGATCTCATATAGTGCCAGGACGGGGCGGCTCAAGCGCGCTTGGCTGGAAATGCGAATACCGGTCAGAAGAAATGGTCTTCTGCAATGCAGCTGCAGGCGATTTGTCGGATGGTTTTACTGCCGAAGGCGCAGGGTCGTCCAGTGTTCCTTGCACATTCGATGCCCGATGCCCAGAATCTCTGACATGCATTCGAAATCTGATTTTTTTTTGTTGCGGAACAAAATTTGGGTATCTTACATTTTTAGGTCATGGCTTTTGTGTTAATGATAATCCCCCACTTCTTGATACATGCTTGAGAAATAATGCAGAAATGTCCTGTCCCAGGGTCTTACAAGATGATCTGCTGTCCTCCAGCAGATGGAAACCCCTGCCTATATCTAAGTGACATATAACGGGCAAAAAAGAAAAAAAAGAAAAAGCAAATACCAATCGACTCAAAATCAAACAATGCCCTCCGACTCGTCAATTGCCGCACGCCGCAATAATGCGGGGAAATTGCAGAAAGAGAGTGCCGTCTCAACAGAAAATCTTGGAGAACACCATCCCCCCAGGTGTTCGTATAGATCAGGAAGCGGAGGGAACAACGAAAGGACAACCTGCTCAGAGGAGAAGGAACAAGGACGTGGGGGCAGTGGCGTGGGGTATGGCAAGTTCCGTCAGTGGCCAGAGACGGGCAAACAGTAAGCAAGCCGTACAGCGGGTGTACCCAGTTGCGGCACAGCGCCCTCAGCGACTTGGCCCCAATCTCTAGTCCTCGTCGAGTTCCATATCCGAGCCATAAGACTTGGTGAAGGGTGTCTGCTCGAACTGAGCCCCCATGGTCAGCGCGTCACGCCCAAAGCTCGAGGGCTGGGCCGGGATGAAAACGAAGTCCAGGCTGCCGCCGCTGCTGTAGCGGGTGGTGGCTCTCGCGAAAGGCATCCCGCCGGCCTGGTCGCAAATCACAGGAAGACGCAACCAGCCAAGATCGCCATTGACCCAGGCCTGGATATCTTTGACGAGCGCAGGAGTGTTGCTTGGGAAGAGATTCGCCTGAGTGAGGGGCTGGGACGGGCTGTCGTCCTCGGCGGGCGTGCCTGATTGTCGGTCACTGCTGACGTCCTTAGGAGTGCTGAATGTTCGACCCGTCGCCGTCGAATCAGCAGACTCCACCACCCTTGGATCGGAGGTGGGGTTGCCATCCAAAAGCTCGACGTTGTGTAACCCAAAACCAACAGTGGGGAGATGACTATTTGCTTGCGCCGACTCCAAGGCTAAGTCTGAACGAGCTTCATTGTTGATAATGATAGCAAGCTTTTTGGTTGACAATGCGTCGCATGCCTCGATCTGCTGTCTCGTCTTGTCGCAATGCAACGTTTCTTGAACCACGACCCAGGTACCACTCTGTTCCTCCTCAATGTAGGCAATATCTTTGTAGATCGGATCCATCTTGTGGGCGTCGGGAAAGACGATACCCGACCCGGTCGGGTGGGATAGTAATTGTGTGGCCAGGACAGACTGCTCGGTGTCAGCAAGCAACCGGCTTGGTGGTGACACTGGATCATAGAGCTCACTGTTTTGTGTCCACCCACGATATACCCGAATGATAAATGAGAGAAGTCGGAGCACCCAGTTCAGATCGGTAGAATATCGCCGGACGGGATGGGTGAGTGGTGAGTCAGGGAAGCGATTTGGGGTGTTGAGTTGCGAAGGCCTGAAAGGGTCGAACGTCAAGTACACTTGACGAAATAGCCACACTTGGATGGTGAAGGAGATATGAGGATGAACTAAATTGAAGGAAATATAGACAGAGAAGCCACGGCAGCCACCTAGAGTAGTCCAGTGGTTTTGGTTGTTGAGAGGTACGAGTGGAAAGGCTTTTCGGAAGGAAGCAGAGAGGCGATGGTAAAGAGTGGGGGATGGGGCGGCCTTGATATTTGAGGTGGGATAGTAACAGCTGCAAAGAAGACTTACCCACCGCCTGGCACCAAACATGATGCAGTGCAGGGTGGGGAAGGGAGAGCACAGCACTGCCACGGCGCAACTGGTACCTGTCCTCGACAGGCCCTCGAGGAGATGTTGATGTACCCGCCCGGGACACGTTGAAGGCATGCAGGAGGGCTTGGGCTTGGGCTCCCATGCCTAGCAGGCGACCCAGCCCAGTTACGTCCCCTTCAATTCGTAGTGACACTTCATGTGTCGCTCTCGTCCCGTAGACTAATTCGACCGGTGTGAAGAGAAGGTGGCCCGGATGGTGGGGCAGGGATTTGGCCTGTACCGTCGAGGCAGAGGGAAGAGGGCAGAATGAAATATCACTGGTGGCCGTGTTGCACCGACTAAAACGAACGCGTTTGTCTGCCCTCGTGCGTAGCGTGGTACGTAAGTAAGTACTGAGGAGGCCCGTTGGGGCGGCCATGTCGGTAGCTTGCACCTTGAGCTCGACGGGATGGCAGGACGGGCGTGGCCAAGACCTGACTTGCTCCGGGCAGGCTTGTTCCTGGATCCCCTTGCCATTGACGGTGAGGGTTGGTCGGAGCCTTTGCTGGGCGCACAAGCGTAATGTGGCATGTGTCCCAGTCTCGCCGTCCCGGAGAAGGAGTGAGACCTAGGCAAGTCCTAGACTCCACACAGCCGGCGATTCGGCCGTCGCAAGCCTCACCTTTGGTCCTGCATGGCCCTGTGCAATTTCACCTCTGCCCCTCGTCATGGCCACCCAAGTGAGAAAATTTTGCCTCTGGCAAACCAGGCTCGACGGAGAAGCCTCGAATCCCCGCACTTGAGCGGCGTGTGGATGTTGACGACGGTGGTTTGGTGGAGGGTGGACACGGTCGCGAGGCGCTGTTCCATGCAAAGTGGAGCGTTGTCTTGCCCAGGCTGCGGGAGCTTCATGGCTGCTAGTAGTATGTTGCACAGCTTCACGGAGTACTCCGTACACGCAGCCAGCCCTATGGGCTTGCTAGGGATTAGGTTTGGCTGCTGCGTCGCCCCCTTGAACCACATGTACGGAGTACCCAGGTACAGTACTGTGTACCTAGGTGTGTGGTGCACGATGCCAGGGCCTATCCTGCGTGTCAATCGCCTTGTGCCCACTTGTCTCCATGGGTGGTCCCCCGACCCTTGTCCAACCCACCAGGACAGGGGCTGAACAGGGCAGGCCAGTCAAGCCGCAGGATGAAATCGGCTGCAAAGGACAGTGAGCACCGAAGTAGGCTCCGTGACGACCTTTGTTGCTTGGAGGTGCCAAGGGCAACGTTCTGGGTCGGTGGCAGTCTGCAAAGAACACTCCTGGTACGAGTAACCTGTGGAGCTGCTTATTGATTGACCACACCTGTTTGGCACGGAATCAATGGCCATCGTTGCAGCATCAGCCGTGGGAGGGGTGTGGGTTCATTGAAGCGAAGCCACCACGAGAGAAAAAAAAGCAAGGTAGCCTGCATCCATGCAAACCGCTGCGGCCGCTGTGAGAAGCCAGGTGTTTGGGTACTTCCTGGTGGGCCCCCGAGCGGAACTTTAAATGCAGCCAGGTCGGGTAAGGTTCCGTGGCTGCTGTGACCTGGGTACGGCGCGGTAGGCAGGCAGGGTACGGTCCCGGCACAGGATGACACAGTGAGACACTGCTTGCCTGCTCGAGATAACCCACACATAGTCCCCGTTGGGCGTTGCAGTTGTCGAGATGGCAATATGAAAATCTCGTCGTACAAGTCATCCACACTATTTGTTCTGAAAACAGGGGCAGTGTGCCGGAGGGGATGACAGGGAGGGCTGGGATTTGGCCTGACTGGAGCTGTCCACCACGACCCCGGCTCATGGCCTGACGGTACATCCCAAAGTTGTGCAGCGTCAGAGGCATCTTCTGTCGGCAGAGACACTAGCGTGGAGGCGAGATTTTGGAAGGCCGTTGAACCTCACAGCTTCAACCAAGTCAACGGTGAATCTGCACGCCGGCAGGCCGGGCAGGCACTTGGCCATGGCTCCAGAAGCCTGAAGCCTGCGTGAGATGTCCCGAGTGAAGCATTGATCTGCCTGAAGATGTACAAGGGTCACAACGGCTCTGAAGCAGGCCTGATGCCAATCGTCCCTGATGCTGCTAACCGTCAGTCGTTCGCCGCTCGGCCAGGCTTTGCTGGAGGGTGGGCGGTTTGCCGAGCTTGGAACGTAAGCACTCTGGCAGGTCTGGTCGAGAGATGTTCTTACACTACTAGTGGCCGCGTAAGTCGTCCGGCCCACCTTTGATTAAACAGCCACCCCCCCCCGGTCCCAATCATCAACAGGTAGATTCGTTTGGTGCGACAACGCACGAGGCCAGATTTGGGGGCGGCCTGAACAACCTGAACGCCTCGAGGGACGATCACCAAGGTGGGCGTCAGTCGATCAGGATCCTGCTTGTCTGTCTGCCAGCCGGCACGGGCGGTCCGTCTTGTTTCTGGCTGGCAGGATTGCGCGTGGCAGGGGGGGACGGCACGGTTTTGGTCCCAGCCAACCGCTACCTGGGAAGATCAGCATGCGCCCAGCATCCTGGCTCGCCTGGTGCATTCGAAATGCACTAGAAGCACGCTAGAACGATCCCAGGCTGAGGACTGTGGGCCTGTGGCATCTGCACGACAGCGGGCCTGGCAGCCCTGGCAGGCCTGCCGTCATTGGAGCTGCGCCCCGTGCCAGTTGTCCACCTTTTGCCGGTCATGCGCAGCCCGCCCGCCCGCCAGCCCGTTTGCAGGTGCTTATCAACGCAGGCACGCAGGGGAGGCGGCGGGCGGTGTGACGGTGTGACGACGGCGCGAGATCTGCGCGAGTCCAGCTATTGCCAATCTTGATGTGGATCTCGTGCTCTTGATCCGGGCTCGACGGCGTGTTTGCCGGCCCAAGTCATCCGCAGAGCCTCATTGTTTCTTGTTGGGTTGAGGCGTGCAGGCTGGCAGGCAGGCGGCCGTTTCAGAGTGAGTCTGCTGAGTGGAAAAGTTGGTCCACCTGACACAATGATCAGCTTGGGTTGACCGGATTGACCAATGATACCCGTGGCCATTGGGTGGAAGGCTCGTATCCATGAAAAGTTGCATCACAGACTCGAACATGTGCGGTGCCCGGCTGTATTGTGTACTTGAGTGGTTTGTTTGTAAAATGTAGGTGCGAATGTGGTGTTGGCCCAGGCAAGAGAAGCTTGGTAAAATGGACCAAGACAGGGGAGCTCCTTGTGCGACAGACAGCCTGGCCGAGCCGCGAGCCCCGAGCTCTTCTGTGACCCACTGGCGCGTCAGCCCGTCAGGCGTATGGATGTTTCTACCGCGGCGGCAGCTAGACCCTGCCAGCCCTTGCCGTCAGGGATATGGCTGGGCTGAATGCAAACACCTGGGGATCTGAATTGGGTTGACGAGCCCCCCAGAAACGACTGCATAAAGCTTGAACGTAGTTGCCTCGACATTTAGCATGTCGTGAAACAGATGGTGTCATGGGCTTCAGCAGGCAGCAGACATACCTAATGTATTGGGGCGCACCAGGGACACATTCGAGATGCACGATACTTGGCCGGTAGATCTTCCACAACGTTTCCTGGCAAAAGGTCAGGCGCGGCAAAGTGATGAGCAAGGGTCACCGTCACCCTATCCTAAAAATATCAGTGTGTGATGGCTGGAATCGCACGCACATGGAACTTTGGCGGTGAAAAATTCGAGTAAAGCCTCTTCGTGATCGTGCCGTGAAACTGCACTTTGAGGGATCGCTTGGTCTAGCGGTTGCCAAAACGATTATGGTGGCACTATACACCGTCTTCAAGGCAGCTAGTGCAAGATATTAGAATTTCCCTGCCAATTTTCTAATTATCTTTTTTAAATAAATTCGACGAGTCGACCGAGCATGCTAGAGTCACGACCCAGTGTCAACATCAGCATCCTATTTTCGGAGGTCATTCCAAATTTACTGGAAAGCTGTATGTCTCGCAACAGCAAGATTTCTACATGCTCGTCCTGAAGTGACTCGAACATGCCTAGGTGGGTAGGCCACTGTCGAAATTGCACGGAATCACGCAAACCCTTTTGCATCACTGTGCACGGGTGCTGTGCGCCACCAGTCGGCTCCATTGCTGTCACTATTGATGAGATTTGGGGCGCCAATTCCTCACCCCTGTCCTTCTTAGTACATATAAGATAGGTGGGCAAAAAAATCATGAAGTCAGTTTAGTGCAGCGGACTGTACCGGTATTAGGAGGAGCTTGAACGGAAATGGCTCCATGCGGCAACTGTTATCTATCCTTAACCCACCCTGCTGTGTAATGAAGGCAGGAGACAGTCGATGCGGTAGTTAGAGTAAATTTATATCAGAGTCTCGGAGGGACTTTTTTCTTAATTTGAGGCTTCATTTGAAGAAAAGTCTAGAACAAAATCCCCGGCTTCCCTGGAGAGAAAATATGGAGCAAGCAGGGGACCTTGGCTCCCCCCTGATAGAAGAGAAGCTTTATGCATGGAAGAATCAAATATATAGCAGCCTACTAGGAATAACAAGATCACTCGACGTCCCTAGCAGCATCTATCTTGAATCCACCGGGCATCAAGTCAGTATAAACCCTGCCAGGGTCATACTTGTCCCTGATCGCCTTCAGCCTGTTCACACTCTCCTTTCCATACCTCTCAAACACATCCTGCCCGACATCCGCATCGTTGAGGTACAAATACCGGTTAGTGCCATTGATCGCCTTCAGCTGCTCCTCCATCGCTGCGTCCGCCGTGACAAGCCACTCCTCGATCTCGGCGTCGTCGGTGGCGTCGGACCAGGAGATGGACTGCTCGACCCAGAAGGCCGCCTCCTGCGGGATGTTCTGCGGCAGGCCTGCGGACTCGCGCGCCATCGTCGGCGTGACGGCGTTGAAGGCCAGGCCGGCAAAGAAGCCCGGCGCGCGGTCGGCGAGCCCGTTGGCCGCGAGCGTGTCGAAGAAGTTGTCGTGCACGATCCGTGCGGCCTCCTTGGTCGCCTTGCACGGCACCACGCGGAACTTCTGTCTGAACCCGTGGCCCGGGCCGCCGGCTTGGAAGGCCGGGCGCAGGAGCCTGGCGTTGTCGGCGAGTGTCTGGGGCTGGAGGGTCGAGGACTCGTTGACCGCTTTCAGGGTGGCTCCCGAGTAGAAATCGGCGAACGGCCCGGAGGTTGGCGCCGTGGTACCATTATAGAATAAGGTTGCTTCGTACGAGGGACTCGTGTAGTTCGGACCCCAGCGGATGACCGGTATGATCGCAGCCCCGGTGTCTTGATCACCGTTGTTGGCAAAGTTGACAAGAGTGTCGATGTAAGCATCTCGGGTCGCGTTGGGGTCGCCCTCGTAAACGGCATTTGCTACGAGGGGCGTTGGGGCGTAGAATGTTTGGAGGTCGAAGCGTGTGATCAAGGCGAAGGAGTTTCCTCCGCCGCCCAGGGCCCAGTGGAGATCGGCGTATTCGTTGTCGGCAGTGACGGTGGCGATGGTGCCGTCGGCTAGGACTGCCTGTCTTTGATGTCAGTGAGTGCAGTGCACATGTCCACGTGGTGAAGATATCACCTCATATGCCTTGATTTTCCCCTTGGACGCTCCGAGACCCAACTTGTAGCTGTAATAGCTAATACCTCCCCCAAGGAGTAGACCCGGGACACCAACAGGCGCTAGACGTCCTCCCACAACGGTCATGTTAGAACCGTCCATATACTCAAAGACATCGCCCCAGCGAGGGCCAGGTCCAACGGACATGGTCTCCTTGTCTTCAGATAGCTGAAGCGTGTTCAGGTTGGTACTAGAAATGAGAACACCAGTCGAATTGATATTTGCAGCGTCCGCTATCGGCATGTGGCCACCTCCACGCATGGAGAAGCGCGTGGATGTCTGGGAAAGAGTCTTGATGATCGAGGAGAGCTCATTTGCGCCCTTCGGCATCACGACACAGGCAGGGCTGAGCCAGGCGCCGGACGACCATGAAGCTACAATTTTTTAGCAGTCTGAATGGGCGTATTTGCATATTTTTGTGAGCATACCCTCATTCTCAGCTTTGTAACCTTCATCTTCAGGAAGTAGCGTGGCGTTGGGGAAGGTTTGTTTAAGAAGAGAGCATGCTTGGGAGGGATCTGACGGCTGACATGACGCGCTGGCTATTGCAAAGCCTGCAGCAGATGTGGAGAGAAGAAGATTGCGAAACACACCCATGATGAATTTCAAGAGCGAGCGATAGTGGGAGGTTTTATATTGTTAGTAGGGCGAGGGTGGCAATGAAACGAGAGGGTTTTTATGGGAACACTCCGGGCTATATATATGTATATGTTGTTGCTTTTGATTAAAATGACAAATCACATCGAGAATACCTCTCTACTACTTCCTATTCATGCATGTGTCTACGTAAGTACTCATTGCCGTATGGGCCCCGTGGGTGACGTGCATATTGGCCACTAGCCCGCAGAGTCTTCATGGTACACAACAGCAGGAAGGCTGTGTGAGGCAGTATTCAACGAATATCGAGCTAAACCTTTCACGGCTGAGTGTGAAGTGGTGCCTGTCCATATTGCCGCCCACAACATACCTGTTCCTGCAGTGGTTTGGAATATTGTGATACCGCACTCGTATGGTTGCAGTCAACATGCCAAGACCCTTGCTGCAAAGCCTAGCCCCTTGTAATCAATCCGCATTGTTTTTTTTATACACCACCTGTAGACTAATAACCAGGCAAGCACTCATTGTAGCTGTTGACCACCTAGTATGCAGTCGTTTTCGGGTCCATGCAAGTTTTGGGGTCCTCTCACAACAAAGCATATCCCTGCCCCACTTTCACCGCACATCAACATCGCTCTCGCGCTCGTATTTGATGTACGAGGCGATCGTCTCTAACCTATCCCCATCACAACCGCAGTCAAAAACGACGTCTGGACTTAGAAGAAGCTTTTCGAAATGAGCCGCTACAGCCTCAACTTGACCACGTCAACATCAACGAGGCTGAGCGAGTACTCGTGTAGCTGACGACGATGATAAATATAGACTACTCATATGTGCAAACTGCATCCGCTACGAGAGCGAGCCTGCTCGTGCTGTTTCTCGCTCACAAATGCGCATTGTTCTGGGAACACCGTCTCTTCCGAAGCAAGCCACTTACCGGCGCGACCAGTGTCCAGTCCAGCACCGCCCGGCCTAGTCCGCGGCGTGACAATTCCGAAAATGGCCCGGAACATGCGGGTTGACAACATCTGCCCGAGTCCGAACTCGCGTTGGCAGCATCAGATCGCTTGCACGGGTTTCCGCCATCCCATCAATCGGAATCCCGCTGTCATTCGGGCACGCATTGAGCTGCTCAGTGCCTCCCGCGAGACCGCGGACCAGGCCTGCCGCAGATATGCTCCCGCTAGTCAGGGACAGGTACCCTTTTGCATTTTCTAGAACTTCGGAACTCGCAGAATTTGAGTTTCCCGCTTTCTAACTACACATGATATTGGCCCGAACACCCCGATTGCCTAGGTAATTTGAAGGAATCTGGGAGATGCTCGAGTAAGGTTTGTACCACTACACCTGCCCCTGCCTTGGGGGCCAACTCCATCTAAAGCTGAGAAAGCAGTCTAATTATCACATACATAGTTATATCAATGACCTACACAACCTCCACGGCCATGGTGACTACCCTTTCAGCTCCTATGACACCTGTATTCACTCGGCCAGCGCTGTACACGTCTTTTGCTTTTCCTAAGTAGCTAGCAGAGGAATTTGATAATTTGAGGGAGTTGCATACTTAGACAAATGTAATTATATGGACACAATTCCGACAAGATGCTTGTAGAAAAATATTTAATACTACCTAAGTACGTAACGTGCTGCAATCTTCAAATGTTGATAGGCGAAGTGATGGCAAACCTTACAATCGAGTTACCAAAAATCTGGCGAAACTTATGCGCAGGGTCTCATATCCCATGTCAATTATAACCAAAGGCGATTGCACCTATAAAGGCTTTTGCATATTAATTTTGGCGTAAGCTGGGGGGAACAAAGGCCACTATCACGGTACCCACCGGCCGTCACGGCCCACCCGACATAAACGCTGCGGCTTTGCCAGCGGCTCGCAGCTCTTAGACCTTGTCCTCCTTGTGCAACAGTGAATTCACAAACTTGAACAATCTACCCGTTGTGACAGAAACCAGCTACTGGGCTTGCATTGAACATTGGAAACGTGTGGATTTATGTGAAGCAAGTAACGGTATTGTATTAAAGGAGTGTCTCCAAAGATTTCTATGATCCTATGTGTATGATCAAATCAAGGCGACTTCATCGCCCGGCTCTACCTCCCATCTAGTCTTTCATCTCTCATCTTAAGCGTGAGATCGCAACGTCTATAGTCAGAATGGATAGCCTCCAAGCAGGCAAATGTGAAGTGAAGCCTCACAGTCCAGAAAAGGTGGTTCCTCCAGAATCGAATAGCCCCTCAGATCCCCGCCACCTCTGCCAACACTAGGGTGAAAGCGCCTGGAGTTTAAAGGTACTGACAGGTAGCATAGGTCTGCTCCTGAGGAGGTCCGATGGGAACATCCTGGGCGCTGCCGTACAGAACGGTGTCCGAGCCGTCGACGCCGTAGCTGTGGCAGACGGTGTTGCCGGAGGAGTAGGCGGAGATACGGGTGAAGGAGAGATCGCTGGAGATCAAGGTGTAGGAGCCGTCAATGGGGACATGGGCTGTGAATGTGTTCTCGGCGGCAGCCCAGAACTCGAGCTGGACAGTGTCGGTCCGGGCGGCCTTGTTGGAGGGGGCAGCAGCGGCGAGGCCGGCGAAGAGGGTAGCGGCGGCAGTGAAGAACTTCATTTTGAACTGTTGATAGGTCTTTTGAGTCTAAATGTTTGAAAGACTTGTGGTGAAGTAGTAGAGACTATTATTGAGCGATGGGGAGTTGTTGTGGTGGATGATGCTATCAGAGTATGCTTGACATGGAGGATATACCGTCCCTTTTTATATCTTTTTGGACGTGATATTGTTCGGATGAAGACTTTGGTAATCTTGAGGCTTCTGTACTCTGGTGTCCAGCCTCCACGTTGCGTCGGCCGCTCGGGCTCACGCGACCGGGCTGTGACCAACTTGGTGCAACGCGCCTATTAGCATCCGTGAAATCTGTAGATCTGCAAAAGCCGATATCAGCTGGCGAGGCTGAGTTCCTGCAGTGTGAATATACGTGGGCTAAAGGCCAGTCAGACAAAGAATCAAGAATCAAGTAGCGTGGGATCAGCCCCGATCAGTGGCACGATTCGAATACGATGATAAGCTTGGACAACTCAGAGCTTCGGCGAAATAGTGAGGACGTAAACCCCGGGTCACTCAGTCTTACTAGAAGCGGTGACCAGTCACATAAAGAGCAATTCAATTGGTTCTCTAAGAACAGAGGTCTGCTGTCCAAGGTCGACGACATCTGGAGACACAGCATGCTCTCCAAGCCACGAATCCATGGCATACAAGTGAGCCTAAGCGACACGAACATTTCGCAGGCCACCCACCCTATGAAGGTTACAAGTGAGGTTCCGTGGTGGGAGAGAGACATCGACTACTAGACAAGTCGAATAAGCTTATTTCGCGGTTGTTGGTCCACTCGGCTTGGCCGGGCACATGTCGACGCAATACGAATGGGTAAGGTAAGCGCAGGCAGTCATATGATTTGTGGATGGTGCAAGTAGAAAAGCCAGCGCATTGCCGGCCGTGGCTTGTCGTGAAGGAGCGGTGGCTGCTGCGGGATGGTCAGACAGCTGGTACAAGGATTTAGGGTTGAAGTTGTTTGTCTGGTGGTGAAGCGGAGTACGGCAGGAAGGCAGCGGCAGGGCACCCATTACCCCAGCTGGCCCGCATTTAGACCAGATTGGTGTAAGATGATTGGGCGGTCCGGGGCTGGCTGCCCGCAAGGGCGGACTGCTGTCTCGGAAAAACGAGAATTGGCCCCCCCCCTGCAAAATACCCCCTATTCCTTGGCTAAACCAAAACTTTACTAGCAGAATAAAAAACCTAATATTTTTACTAAAACACCTATATTAACCTTATTAATATTAGTAATAAATTATTTTTATTATTTAATTAAATAAAAATAATACCATACTAGTTTTATATAGTTAATTTAAACTTAGCTTATAAAAATATATATAATTTACTTACCTTAATATAAAATAATATTAGCCTAGCTAATATTATAAATAATATATTTTAACTAACCTATTAAGCCCAAACTATTTAATATTTATTATATAAAATTTATTTAAAAAGTTAAATTATATAATTTATTAATAAAAATATTATACTATTTAAATAATTATATACTTAAAAGCTAATTATTAAAGCAATTAAGGCCTAGCAAATTACTTAAAAGCGCTTATAAATATTTTTAAAAATTACTTAAAATAAGGCTATTATAGTAAATTAAGTAATTTAAAGGGCATAAAAGAATATTATTAAAGTTAATAATAATAAAAATATATCTAATAATAAAAAAAAAAGGCTTTAAAAGGTACTAATAATAAGAACCTTTTTATTAATAAGGTGGAATTTTTAATAAATAATAATAGCAATAATATTAAGTATTTTAAAAGTTGCTTAATTAACCCTTTAATATAAATATATTTAAGTAAATTAGCTTTAATTTTATTTATTAAAATTTATAGCCTAAAAGCTAATATTACTTTTATTATATAATTTAAAAAATAAATTATTATATTAGGGAAAAAAAATAAAAATTAAGGGATTTAAGGCTTTTTATTAAATTATATTAATTTATTTAAGGATTTAATTAAAAGAAAATATAAAAACTATTTAAATATAATTATTAAGCTAAAAGACATTTTTATTAAAGCTAATTGGCTTATAGGCTAAAAGTTTTTAATTTTATAATTAAAAACTATAAAAAATATTAATAAGAGGATTAAAGTATTTAATTATAATAATATTATAAATATACTTTTTAAATTTTAAAAATTTTTTTTTTAGTTTTATATAACTATAAAATTATATTACTAATATAAAATTGCAAATACCTATATTATAAAATAATTACTTAATTAAATACCTATTAGTTAAAGTTTTTTAGCTATTATTAGCTATTTAGCAAATAGCTATTTTAAAAAATAGTTTACTAACAATTAAATAAATAGCAAACCTAAATATACTTAATAAAACCTAAATCTTAAAACTTTTAATTTATATTAATAATTATTAAATAAAAGGTTAAAATAAAAATAAAAGCAAACCTTATATAAAAAAATATAAGCAACTAATAAAAATATAATTATATTCCTTAAATAATTATTATAAGGCTAATTATTATTATTAAATAAAAGGAATTTTTATAATAATAGTATTTTATTAGGCAAAATAATATATATATTAACTTATTTAATAAAAATTTAAGAAATTAATTTAATATAATTATAATAAATAATATTATAATTAAATACCTATTAAAAGTCCTTTTAATTACTAAATAGCTTAAATAAAGCCTAATAAAAAAGCCTAATAATAATAGAATTAGCCTTATTTTTTAAAAAAATAGTAAAAATAAAAATAAAAAAAAATAATATTAATATAATTATTAATTTATTATTTAATATTAACTTATTTAAAATTAAATATAACTAAATAGCTTTAATAAAGCTACTATTATTATTACTACTATTAGCTTTTTTATAAATTTAATAGGCCCCTATTATTATTAATAATAATAATAATAGTACTTAAAAGCCCATTATAAAAGTAAAAGCTGCTAATTATTTTTTTATTATTATTACTATAAGTAAAGAAAAATAAAATAATTTTATATTAAAAGTTTATTATAAAAGCATTTTAAAAATATTTTAAAAATTTATTAAAAAGGGCTTAATTTAAGCAATTTATAAAAGTTATAAAACATAAAGGGCTTAACCTTTATAGGCTTTATAAAAAAAAAAATATTTAATTTAATAAATATAATTTAAAGGCCATTTTATTAATTAAAATATTAATTAAGCTATATTTAAAAAAAAAAAAAACTTTACTAGTTTTTTTAATAGTAATAATAATAAAAAAAACTTACTATTATAATAGGGGCTATTAAATAACCACCTAATAAATTACTAAATAAATATTAAAAATATATATTTTATAAAGCCTATAAAGGTTGCCTAATTAATTAATTAACTTTATTTAATATTAGGCCTTATAATTAAATTAATTATTTAATAAAAGGGTTAAAAGCTTATTAAAATAGTTTTTTATATTTAATAAGGTAAAGGAGTTATATAATAAGTTTTAAAAACTTTTAAACAAAAAATAGTAATTAGGCATATAAAAAATATAATTAGTAATAAAAAGTAGTTAAAAAAAAATTAATTATTTTAAGTAAATAAAATAAATTAAATGTTTAATATTAGGTAATTAATTAATTAAATAAATTTACCTATAATTAATTTATTTGTTTTAATTTTAATTACTAACCTAACTATTTAACTTATAAATAATACTTTTCCACCTATATAATTATATTTAATTAAAACTTTATTAATTTTAATTTTTATAACTTTTAATTAGTATTATTATATTTGCCTTATTTTATACTTTTTTAATATTTATATATAATAAAAATATTTTAAATGGCTTTAGTTTTAAACTTAATTTTTAAATATAAAAGAATAAAAATTAAATAAAATTTTATTTAAATTATAATTTAATAATTTATATTAGTATTAATAATATAAATAGCGCTTTAAATTATTAAAATATACTTTAATAAAATTAAAATTAAAAAGTATAAAAATAAATATTTATATTTTATACCTTTTATATTTATTACCTTAATTATTTTTATATTATAATATTATAAAGTATTATTTATTATAAAAATTAACTTTAGGCCTAAATATAAGTTTATTTTAATAAAATACTTTTATTAGCTATTATAAAAGTACTTTTTATTATATAATTTTATATATTATAATAATAAATAAGCTATTAAATATAATTATAAAAAATATAAAAGCAAGCCTTTTATTTAAAAGATTTTTAACTTATAAAATATATTTAATAAATGCCCAATCTATCCTTTTATACTATTTTATTTATTAAAACTAAATTTATTAATAAAAATAAATATCTTTATTATATACTTAACTAGTATATTTATTAAAGGTAATAATTATAAAGCTTTTATTATATTAGTAAACTAATATATATATTTATTTATTACTTTATATATAAGCTTTAAGGGTATTATTTATTATTTTATAATAATATTAATTTAAAATTACTTAATAAAAAGTATTATATTTTATTAAAATATAAGTTTAGCTTATTAAATAAAAGATTTTTAGCTTCTAGCCTATATAACCTATATATTAGTTAAGCTTTATAAATTTATTATAAAAAAATAAACTAATAAACCTTTAAAGCCTATTATTTTAGCTTAATTATATTTAATAATAATAGTAATAATATACTTAAGGTAATTATATAAGTAGTAGCAACCTTTTAATAATATTTTTAAATTATAATATAACTAACTTAAAACTTGGCTTATAGCTATTTATTTAATAGGGATAAGTTAAAATATAAATAAAACTTTAATTATTAGAATTTATAACTTAATAGGTAATAGCTTGCTATTATTAGCCTTTTTTTTTTCCTTTTTTAAGGTATAAATAGTATTAAGTATAATATTTTATTAAAAATGTTGGGTTTTTTGCCCTATTAGTAAAGTTTTGGTTTAGCTAAGAAATAGGGGGCATTTTGTAGGGGGGGGGCCAACTCTCATTTTTCCGAGATAGTGCCAAGACGATATGCCGGTTCAGGCAGCCTCTATAGGTGGCAGGGTGGCTGTTACAGGGCTGGGGTCTCACGTTGTGTTCTGTGTGTGCAGCTGCCACCAAACCTAACCCAAACTTAGGTTTGCTGTTAATGCGGACGCGCAACGTCAACCCCACTGGTGCCTGCTATCTAGCTTGGTTCCCTACCTACATGTAAGTAAGTACTTAGGAAAGTACCCAGCGTATGCCCATCCCATCTCGCAATTAGTTTGCCTTGGATCGACCACCTGCGCTACTAACCTCTCTGCCCTGAACATTCAAAGGCTGAGGCTACAGCTGGATCTCACATCAGGTCAGACCTGGCAGAAACGCATCAGGTGCTTTTTGGCGTCAAACCCCGCAATCTCAGCCTCACCAACATGGCCGAGGGAAAATGCTGGACCATCTTGGGTAAGCCCATCCCTCAGCTCACTGCACAGCAGAACGCCACGGACCACCGCCAGTGCCCGCCGAAGTGCTCTTTGGCCCGTTCTCTGACCCACTCGCGCAGAGAACAACCCCGACGTGATGAACGCCCTCAAAAAGAAGCTCGGCCTATCGGACGAACTGGAGTTCTACGACGTCTACTCGCTCGACGACCCTGAGCTCCTGTTCTACATCCCCAGGCCAGCCCACGCCCTGCTCGTCATCATCCCCCTCACCAAGCCCTGGGACGATGAGCGCAAGGCCGAGGACGCGGTCTTGGAGGACTACACCGGCTCGGGCGACAAGGAAGCTGTCATCTGGTTCAAGCAGACCATCGGCAACGCCTGTGGCTCGATCGGGCTCCTGCACTCGGTCATCAATGGCCCTGCGAAGAACCACATCCTCCCAGGCAGCGATCTGGAGAAGATCCGGCGTGACGCCATCCCCCTGGGCATGAAAGACCGCGCCCAGATGCTCTACGACAACGAGGCCTTTGAGGCAGCCCACAAATCGGTCGTTCATATTGGCGACACCGCTGCGCCCCCGCTCGACAATAAACGCCATGCCGGCCAGCACTTTGTCAGCTTCGTCAAGGAGGGCGGGCGCCTCTGGGAGCTGGAGGGGGGCAGGAAAGGTCCCATCGACAGGGGTGCCCTTGCCGAGGACGAGGACGTGCTGAGCCCCAGGGCTATCGAGCTGGGTATTAACAGGGTCATCAAGCTAGTCCAGGCCGCGGGCGTGGATAACCTCCGGTTCAGTGTCACGGCTCTCGCTCCCAGGCCCATACGAGGCTGAGCCTACGCAGGCTTCCCCCCCCCCCTTGCATTCAGTCGGTGTCGGCTTGGTGCGCCAGTCGCTGTTGATGCTCCCGGCTATTCAGCCGTCAGCACACATTTTAGCTTGTGAACTTCTTGGCACTTTTCTCTTCCCGTTTAAAGAATCGACTACTAAGTAGCTAGTTGCGGCGAATGGCCATAGATCTGGATCTAGTGTGTGTGGTTTCGCTTCTATTCTATATATATTTAAGGATATATATAGCACCTTTATATAGTAGTAAGTACTTAAGACTTAGCGCTTAGAAAGAATATAATACTAATAATAATAGTTATAATATAATAAATACTTATAGCCTTAGCTTTATAATATATAAATAAGGTTAAGGGGTATTATTTTAATAATAATATTAATTAGAATTATAAATAGAAGTAGTTTATAATTTAGTTATTATAAAAGAGTTATATAATAAAACTAAGTCTAAAAATAATTACTATATAAATAAATTATATTAAGAGAAGCTTAACTAAAAATTATCCTTTTAAATATATATATATACCTTATAATAAGATCTTTATTAAATAAGCTTATAAAGTTAATATTATAGTTCTTATTTAAGTATATAGTTATTAACTTTAAAAGAATTTAAAATAAAGAAATAATTTATAATATATTATCTTTAAGACTTTTATAATAAAGTATTAAAACTCTTAGAGAGAGTTTTAAAAGTAATTTATAAAAAGATAAAAGGAGGGTATAATAAGCTTATCCTTTTTTAAGTTTATATTTTTATTATTAATAACTATTAACTTCTTAATAGTATAAAAAAGTATAATAAAAATAAAGGAAAGAGTGGATTTAAAGTTTCTCTTTAAAAGGATTATAAGGATATATATAAAGCCGTTAAAGACTTTATGTGTAAGCTTTGGAGGGAAGAAACGAGTGGTTATATAGTATAAAGGAAAAATACAGTGTGGCCGAAGCCCTGGATCCAGTGTGTTTTTCTATTCTGGTACATGCCAAGTACTATGCTATTCCCTGTCTGATACCGCTAGCTACTTACTCATCAGGTTCGCATGTCTCGTACTCTACTTCCTTGCCGTGATATTGACATACTCACATTGAAAAACGCTGCAATTATGTTTCTTTGAAAAAACTCAGTCTATTTTTTCTAGTATGCACTCCTTACCTGACTTGACAAGGGAAATGTGGGACACAGCCCAAATACAACCCATAACAACCTAGGCCGTTGCGTTGGCTCCGATATGGCTTACGACAATGCCCCTAATGACCTCGCCGATCGTTTAGAACTTGAAGGACTGACACCATGTCTGTCTCTCAAAACCGCTGGGTCGCTGACAGACCGATGGCGTTGCGTGAGAGTGCACCGTCGGGGTGGTTGAGGCATAGACAGAGGCTGAGCATCGCTACTACTCTGTACCCGGCCTCTCTGATCAGGCGGTGGCGGGCCAGAAGTAATATACTGGCGCCCTGGAGGCCCAGCTGCGAGGGCTGCCGCTACAGTCATGTGAAGAACGGTCCCAAGAGGATCTGCCAACATATTTCTGCGGATGACCTTGGGCTGGTCGACTTCCTTGCCTTTAGACTTGTCAACGCTAACAAAGTCATCATCGACTGAAGCTTCGGCCCGTGTGGCAGGTTTGACCGCAAGAGGGCTTGATGCAGAGCTACTATCCTGTCTACGCGGACGGCGACCGGACTCTGCGTAAGGGTTTCTGATGTACTCTTCTGAGTCCGCAGAGACATTAGAGACCTGAGTATGTACGCTTAACCTCGAGGTCATATGGCTTGACATTACTCGGTTGTTCTGTGGTCTACTCGCCGCGATGACCTGGTGGAGCGCAACAGCGGCTCCAAGGTCGTCTGCATTCTCGCGAAGGGCCGTGGTTTCTTCTTGACCGCGAGTTGCCGGGGCGATAACCGTCCACTTCAACTGTCGATTTTTGGGCTTCCGCTGTTTCTTGCGCCAAAAGAAGTCCCACATTGTTATTGTCTTCTCCCGGTGGTGAGCCCACCTTGGATGGCTTCGAAACACTGTGAATCAGGATTCCACAGCAACCTTGGAAAAGAAAGCGAGCCTGCAGCAAGATCAAATCCACTGCAGATACGCTAGCTCAGACAACTCGACAGGATAGACTTTCTGGACTGACTATTTTAGCACATACTTTTTATATTGACATACCGCTGGATCATGATAATGGTATTGTCCTGTATCCTTAACAATGTGGTTTGTTCTATCACAAGAATTACGAACGAAAGAATCAACCGCCACGTTCGAGACCTTCTTTCGGGCTCGGGACCTCGGGAGACATGATTATTGACGAGAGCTACGAGGCGTTCTAGAACAACAGATTCAAAGGCATTGAGCCGCACATGCGACTTTATTCCAGGCGTCATTATACTGACTGCCGCCCCTTTGTACTGAGGCATCCCGTGCCGTCCCTCCGAAAACATATAAATACGGAAATTCCATTCTTATTGTTAATCAAAGTTGAAGCAAGTATCCTGGAGATCTACCATCAACCACCAAATACCTGATTCTTATTCTTCGACATGTGCCTGACCGCGGGGAACGAATCGAAAAGGCGGTACGAAGATATCTCGCGACCCTCCAGGCCTGTGGCCCCGGTCTACAAAGCTGACAGGTACGAAAACCCCAGAAGGGCGCCTGTGGTTCCCCCTAATCCACGGGCGAGAAAGATGAGCGAAAAGCAGGTGAAGGAAGCACTCCGCGACGCAGAGAAGATTGCATCAAACAGGAGGGATAAGCTCTTCGCTACAAGTGACAAACACGCGGACGGAATCCGCGAGCTTGCCCTTGCGAAGGCCAGGCAGAACAAGGCTCGGGAGCCTGCTCCGCCACCACCTCCTCCTCGTCCTGCGGCTCAACACCAGGCCTCGTTTGCGTTCTCGGATATTTCGTCGGACTCGGAATCACACCAAAGCGCAGAAGTAGCCCCTCTGATTATCAAGAAGGATACTCCGCCGCCGCCTCAGAAGCATCAGCGCGCCGTGAAGCCAGCGGAGCTCGGCAATACCGTCTCGATCCGGAGGACTCATAACCCACCAGCGGTGGACGAGAGGAACATTCACCCGGCACTTCGGAGCTCTGGGAAGGTTTTTGGCCAGGATGATATCCAACCAGCATCCAGGACCGCTTTCAAGCCCAGAGATCTGCGCCGTCCCCAGCCTGGACCGCAGACTTCTACCAGGCAAGTTGAGCAGTCTCGCGTACACTCATCTCTGAAGACTACTGAGGCCCTGGAGCTTCGGACTTCGCTCCACCCAGCTTTCAGAAATTTGCCGGATGACGAAGCCCACCCTCGCCACCACGTGTCAGGTTCGAGAAAGCACGCCGTCGAGAGGGAGGTGCATACCTATCTTGGGAAGCCTCATAATTACGCCGACTCGCCCCGGGAAGCCGAGGTCTCGCCGCTCAACGTAACACACAAGCTCCCCTATGCGGCCTCACACAGAAGAAGGTAAAATGAAGAATGCGAGCGTGAAGAAAAAAGAATCCCACTGGTGGTTGTCTACCACAATTGTCTCCTTTGTCATATTCCGGGCGGGACAAAGCGAGGGAAGTTTCTGTGAAGCTTCACTCGGAAAACCTGCCTTTGCTTTCTTTTTTGCTCTTAATGCCGGTATCCTGTGGATACTTCCTCTCCTTATCAGTTTTAACTAATTTCACTCATTTGGCATGTCTGCTCAGGTCCTCTTGTAGCTATTCCGTCTTTTTTGTCTGTGACATATTACCGTAAGATCTGCTGACCCATAGGCACTCTCCAAATACAAAAACAATGGCAATTTCATCCTGATACAAGAAATATGGGCCAAACGCAATTGTAGGGCATTTGTTACCTTAGCCCATATTGCATCCCATATCAAGGACTGGAGCTCAAAAGATCCACTCTCTTCGTCATAATACTGTCGGGACAAGGTGACCGACAGGAATATTATTGATGTTAGTCACCTGCTGCAGCATTCGGCAAAGTCTATACAAAGGCATGTGGCTGGCTGCAGGGTAGAGCAAGCAGAAATCTAAATAACAACTATACTGTACACATGAGTTCTCCAAGCGCTCTAGCTGCACAGTTGGCAGAACTGCCTCCTGCACAACAAGTCCTAATCAGGCACACAGAAAATGCAGCTAGCAAAAAGAGGACAATGCTAGAGTCTGGGCAACTCATAGTGCTAAATATCCTAGAGCGTCAAGAGTGCACCTCCTTTTCCCCTATGCAATCAACAAAGAAAAGCTGCATTTTGATGTACGAGCGGTTTCCGATTGAGCCAATCAGACTTCAGAAAATACCGGGGCCCAGCCATATTCGGCGTCCTTGGCCATCGGCGTGCTTGGCCATGGGCGAGTGATGTGAGATGGAATGCTGACATGTAAGCGCTGACATGTGAGCTCGAAGGGCAGCTGTTGAACGAAGCGGTCCTTGCTTCCTCTTGAACCGGGCCAAATATTCCGAGGTGCCTCCCACCAAAGTGTGAACGGTAAGGTTGGCTGGGAAAGCGGAGCACCGATCCGCCTGAGACAATTGTGATCTGGGCCGTGCAACCATGGACCGGGCCACATCCTGGTCATTATTCTCCGGTATCTTATGTTGATTAGGTATCATGTCCCCATAATCACTCGGCGTGATGGCTTAAGGCCGCCGTTTGTCGTGGGACCGTGCTATCACATCTAGAACAACGATGGAGTTCCGCGTATCGGTCGGATTGCCTATTGCGCCTTGCCGTTCTTCCCTTGGCGCTCCGCCTTGAACTTGGCGATGTTCTTCTCGACCTGCTTGTCCACGCGGTCCTTGAGCTCCTTCCGGTAGCCAAAGAAGAACAGCAGCTCCAGCCAGACAAACAGCGGCGCCAGGAGCAGGGCCTGCATCAGGTTGTCGAGCAGCGCCGGGGCGCGGCCCTCAAACTTGCCGTGGCCGACAAACTGCAGGATCCACGCGACGGCGAATATGGCCCCCGCTATCGTCGTGGACGTCTTCGCGTCGACCGAGTAGAAATAGTTGTCGGCGGCGGCCATCCCCAGGCAGATGGCGCAGAGCAGGCTGCCTGCGACGGGCTCCATGAGGACGTAGAAGCCGCCCCAGATGATGCCCCCGATCGTGCACATGTTCAGGGGGAGGTATTCGAGCGTGAGGGCCGGCGGGAGCGGGATGAGGACGCCGGAGTTCGCGGCCTGTTCACCAAGCCGTGGATGTTAGCATGATCGGGCGGATGGGAGGGATTGTCGCGGAAAGGTAGCCGTAGCCGTACCAGTAGGAAGCTCGTCATCAGGATGATTGGCACGCAGACCATGTGTATTCCGATGTTGACCACATTATTGTGGTAGGAGCCGTACTGGAGAGGCGCATTAGCTCTGGCTCGTCGGCATTGAGTGGTTCTTGGTCGCTCACAAAGACTAGGTGTCGTTCCAGGTCGAGAGACATGTTGAATGCCGGCGTCGTTGGCGAGGACGGAGTTCGAGGTCAGTGATTGGGGATGGTTGGGGAAGACGTGGAGGCGTCGGAGAGTGCGGGAGGGTCCGGGAACGGAATCGAGAAGGCCAAGCGCAAGAGTGTCGAGGTTTGGGGGGGTGGCATCCACTTCTTATACGGACGGGTGGGGATGATCTCGCATCGGGATTCTGTTGGGCAGGCAGGAAGGGAAAGTTTGCTCCTACTGTGAGGGAATGGTCTGACGTCTCCTGATGATGAGTTGGACGGTTGGACTGTTGGAAGGGTGCCTCGGGGGAGGGGAGCCGTCCGCGGCCGTCGCTGGCGGGACAGGTCCACATGCCTGGTTTTCTGGAGCGGGAGCACGCACTGGCCAGGAGACCCGCGGACCCCTTGTCAGCTTCTCACCTCCACGATGGGTGGGTCCCTTCCCTTGTCATGTCTGCACTCAGCCATACTCCATGCTGCCGTACCAAGCTTGTTTGATGGGGGACCTCGGGTGCTTCCTCCCAAGCAGGTGAAGACCGTTACCAATTTACTGTCAGGCCGGGCCAGCTCGACAGTTTGACCTCGGCCAGCGTGCCAAGGCTCAGCAGCAAACATCGGGATGCAAGCCTAGACACCAACTCAAATCCAGCTCTCTTTACGCCCACACATTGTACCTCTTATTGCACAAGCACACCCAACAGCCCTCATGGCAATGTAAGAGGAGTACATATGAACATTCACTATACAGGAGGAAGACCCTACAACTTGCAGTACAGCACTGCATGAATCATATTCAAGTCACTGAAATCCAGTGCCTCACAGCTAGACACACAGTGTGTGAACAAGTGCCTAGGTACCTAGGTCTGTGTGAACAATAAGTGTTTTTAGAACTCTGTTCTCACCAGGTAAGTCCATTTTCACCCTCATGTCTCTTCAACCCACCGTTGAATTGGAGCTGCCAAGCACAGTCTCCTTTGAGCCTCAATTTGTGGGGTATGGGAAGAGTAACTGACCCTGATAGTGATCAGGGCGGAATTTTGATGGAGGTTCTTATGTCGCGTTGATAGTGCTGTTATCGCTCTTATCGCTCTAGCACTCAGCATGGTGGGACTGGCGCATGCTTGCGCTAAGGAGGTGGACCCTGCACCCCTGCAGCCGCTGGTACAAGCTCGGACAGCTTTTGGAGATGGACGTCCAGCCTTCCAAATCGTGTTCCTGAATCCGTGGTCTGCATCTGCCTTCCTCCTCCTTCACCGGCGTCAACCCCTCGAGCCGCCCAAAACCTGCCCCAGACGAGTCGCCATTGAAGGTTCGATTCCCCGCCCTAAAGACTCTGGCCACGGCAGGCAGACCATCATTCTTTATCGCCTCGGACGGGCGTTGTCGCAGAGGGCAGGTCTAGCTGCTTTCAAACACGACCGCTTGCCTCGGGCGCAAACCTTTCCAGCGGCCAGGTTCCATCACTCTGCATTAATCGTTCAATCCAGATACATTCCTCGTGCTGAAAGACCAGTGAGCCTTGCTGGCAAGACCCTTCCATAGCTGGGACCTGCACCACGAGCAGGTCAAGGACGCGACTTGGCCATCTCACGACAACGTGTCGCGTCAAGTTGAACCTGTCCCTCCCAAACGACCACCGAGCGCGAGACACTTAATCGAGTCAAGATGTTTTTCCTCCACAACCTCACCCGACATGTGACTCTTCACCCGTCCTACTTCGGCCGAAACATGCACGAGCTGGTCACCACCAAGCTGCTGAAGGATGTGGAGGGCACATGCGCGGGCAACTACTTCATTATCACCATTATGGACACCTTTGATATCTCAGAGGGGCGCATCCTGCCTGGGAGTGGGCTGGCAGAGTTTACGGTCGGCTACCGTGCTGTCGTGTGGGCTCCGTTCCGGGGCGAGACGGTAGGGGTAAACCGCTGCGCATGGCTACGATCATGTGCTAATAAGGCTCAAGGTTGATGCTGTTGTGTTCTCCGTCAATCCTCACGGCTTCTTCTGCCAGGCTGGCCCGCTACAGCTGTTTGTGTCGAACTTCGTACGTGCCGCGAGGCCCTGACCGGTATACCTCTTTGTTTGGGCTCGCCGGTTTTGGCTGACTCTGTCACAGTTGATGCCCAAGACGTGCAAGTACGATGCAAATGCCACACCCCCACAGTTCACCGATCACGAAGGCTTGACCATCGAGAGCGGCTCCCACGTTCGTGTCAAGATCGCCGGTATCAGGAACGAGGTTGGCGAGATCAGGGCCATTGGCAGCATCAACGAGGATTACCTCGGGTACGATATTGGGTATACGCATTTTATTGTGACTACTTGCTGACAACGGCGCCAGACCTCTGCAAGACTAAGAAAGACACTGCGCAGACAGCGTCCCGAGAAGGTCCTGTGGGCGCGCGCCCCAGTCACAATTTGGGCAGCAAGCTCGAGCCGATGTGGGTGGCACTAGACACGGGCCAAGACCGCCCGCTGGTGAGCCAAAGTGACTGCGGTTGTTTAAAGCGCTATTCGCTCGAGCGTGGTGCGCTTGAAAGTGAATCAGACCCCCCAAGGACTTGTGTGCCTATCGCTTAGGTAATGCTCTTTGTGGATGTTATCCAAGGTTCCACTTCGGGGGCGGCGCGCCCGCAGTTGCAAAAATTATGGTCGCCCGCGGACTTGGGCGGTGAGGTTCCCAAAAGATCGAAGTAAGGCTTTACAGGGCACAGCAAAAATTGGCCAGGGCGATTAGGGCACAGTCTCCCAACTGTTTGAAGCCGGCGTTGCAGTGGTCCCTCGTCTTATAGAATCATGTTCGCTCGATGAATCCAGAAGAGAAGCCCTCTTTTGGGTATCGAACTTGACAAGAGCAGTTCTGGCGATCAGAGTGACAGCGCACTGGATGCCTGGCCAAGAAGATCTGGCCGCTATCTGCCCCAAGCGATATATAGCATGACTTCTGGAATTCGGAAAGGGCTGGACTTTATGATTATGGACCATTCCAAATTTGCCCTTGCCACATTCAAAATGTCCCTGGACCGTGATTTATTTGCTGTGGCTCAAGTGAGGACAAGGACAACCGACTGGGAGTTCTCGCTCGCCGTGCAAACGCAGGCACTGCGATGGTGCAGGCACCTTGGGCTGTCCTCTAATGGCGATCTCGAGTTGGTATCGCAAAGAAGGTCCTGGCGTCCAGCCGTCGTCCCCTAGTGACCGGCCCGGTCCTTCTTTCCCCAGGACGTTCTGATGGCGGTAGTCCCCCACAGTGCTTCGGTCCAAGTTGACCTAGGTAAACTGCATGTTTCTCAATTTTCAAACTTCGCTGAATTGGAGAGCCCATAGAGGCGCCCGGTCATCATTCGCTTATCCCACTTAAGTCTTTCATCACAACTGATTATCGTTTGTCCACTCGCTTCCCATACATTGACAGTCTTTGTGTGCGATCAATACCATCGGAAGCCGGCGACTGGACTGGCCCTGCACACCCATGCCTGGGGAGCCCTCGAGCCTCGCAAAACCCATTCCTCCCAGAAGAACGGCCTGGGCTAACAACTGTCACGATTTGTCCTGATACCATGGTGTCCTCTGCAAGCAGCAATATGACAGAAGATATGCGGCGCTTCAGGGAGGCTGTGGCGCGATATCGTCGCCAGCCAGCTTTGACAAAAATCACATATTGGCGTGAAAAGTTTAATCCAATGGGTCGGATAGATGAGGTGATCCAGATCCCCAACGATAATGACTTGCACGGGGGGGAACCACACACATTTGAGGAGAAGGATTCCGACGGCAGGTGGTTACTCTACGTCGCCGAAGTTCACAAGCGTCGTCAGTCTCCTACTGCCCACGCTGTGAGGCTGCCGCCTTCCTATACACAACGCCTTCCATCAAGTCAACAAGGCGGACCCAACAACGTTGGGGGTAGGAACAAGGAGAACATGAGGGGGCCACAGTCTTCTACCGACATGGTGAATTCGTGCGCAATAGAATCTGACAGTAGCGATGACGAGGACGTGGGAAACAATGCGGACGCAGATGATGCAGAACGGGAGCGCATCTCTCAGCTTTTCGAAGACTTCCCGACATGCATCCAAATATGCAGAAATACCCTCGACATAACTAACGACGAGTACGGCATCATGGCCATCAGCAACGAGTGGTCAGGCTGGCGCCACCTCGACCCGGCGAAACTGCCACGGAGGATCAGGAAGTACCTATCAGGATTTACGCGCAGCGATGCCGCGGCCTTCCCCGACAGCATCTTCTCAGACCTTGCCACGGAAGGGACAGAATCTCACCACTGGCTACTAGCCACGGCTCGCAGGGAATTCATCTGCGACACCTCGACGCTGGACGTTTGGTACCGGCCCATCGCCAACGCGCAGCGGAGGCCACCGCCACAACAGCCGCTCTGGGAGCTTGCGGGTGACTTTGCACAGAGGAAAAGGCGCCGGGCTCAGCAACCATGGACCTACCAACCTCGTCAGGGCTATACAAGTAGAAGAATTCCTCTGGCGCGTCCGGTCCGCCGCAGGCGTTTAAAGGCCCCGAGGACGCTGTCGAAATGCAACTGGCAGTTTTGGGATGAGCCAGACGATACTAACCACGGGCCCCAGATCACCGTGACCGAGCCCAACGGAGAGTCACACTACCTTGTTGACCCGGATACCTACCGCATGAAGGTCGTGCAGCGTCACGGACGCCAGTCAGGCCAGGCTGATTCCCATGTCTAGACGTGCAGGATAGCGGGCAGGACCGACGTCATGAGCAGTCTCAGCTTCGAGGAAATGGACGTGTATAGCGAAGAAGACGATTCCGGGCTCCTCCCATCTTGCACATCAGGGCACAGCGCGAGGTGGTGGCAGAGATGGGGGAGAATGTTCCTCAAGTCCGGGACGCAGCATCGGCCCCTGCTACCTCTGTTTCATCAAGCAGACTCGTCCTTCGAATCCGAGGAATTGGCCCTGCTTGGACATGATGGTTCTCAGGATGAAAGGGCTCATCTTGAAAATATGTGCAAGACGGCCCGTCCCTCGGGAGTCGCTGGTGCTTCTAAGTTTGCGGAGTCTGACGTGCTGCTACCCAAAGTCTCAGGTGCTTGATGGGGGTTGGAAATCCTAGCGGCGGATCATGTCAACTGGTCCAATTAAAGAGATCCACAGCGATACATATGTAGTACCGAGTACCTCTCACTTGGATTATGAATCAATTTGAACTGTCCGAGGGCTCAAAGGCCCCCTCGGAATAAGTGATAGGTCGGCCCTGTTTCAAATACGTCTAGAGGTGCGATGTCGGTGCGACACTAGTCGTGGTCCTGTGAAAGGCGCGAGAGTCCCCCTATAGTAGTAGCCTCTTTCGCGTTGACGCAATTCCCAAAGAGGAAGAGTTCACTTTTCGGGCCGCGGTTGGCAACCGATATATTGGCCCTGATTACTGAACACCTACACTATTCACTCGCGCATCTCATCGACATGTTCGCCCTTTTCAGAATACTAAGCGCCGGGGGTTACATATTCCTGCTCGGCATCGACATATCGCAAGCACACCACATGCGAATCTCTCCCTACCAATAGGCTGTCTCAATCAGGGTCTAGTGTCTGAGGGTCCTCTGCACTTCGGTTCACCCAAGGCTTTGGAGGAGCTCTTCAAGCCTGTGACTGAGGTCCGCTAGATGATGGATCCCACTAGCGATCTGATCATAAATCAAATGAGGCTGTTGTGACAGACAGGCATATAATATCAAATTCCCAGGTCCATATAATTCAAGACTTGGCATCCTCTACAAATACATGTAGACAGATTCTCGATTCTGCATCGCCGGAAAAGAAATCCCGACTTCTTTGAAATTATATCGATTCACTCCTCTCTGCGTTTATTCCCTATACACAAGGATGGGCGACACTTTGGCAAACACCGCAAATTTCGAACCGGACAAAGTCAGCAGCGGTGTCTCTAGGAATTCTTCATTGCTAGACGATGAAAACACTGTATCTGAGTCTGGCGCAGATAGTGACTCCGCCATCGAGAGAATGGAAAACGGCGGCACCGCCTACAACGAGAAGGCGCTGACGTCCGACGCGGAGGCTCCAGACTGGGAGAGGGATCCTGAGAACCCGTACAACTGGCCGACGGCTAAGAAGTGGCAGCAAGTTGCCATGTGTGCTTCCTTTGGCTTTCTGGGGTATGCAGATTCCCGATCCGCCCATGATGGACGTATGATCATGGAGCTGGAAGATCCCACACATAGACGCTTGTATCTAACATCAGCATACAGCTCGATTGGAACCTCAATAATGTCACCTGCAACAACGCAACTCCAAGAAGAATTCGGTGTCGGCTTGACGGCGTCCCTCGCCCCGTTGTCGTTGTACGTCTTCGCCCTGGCCCTCGGCCCCGTTCTCGGCGGGCCCCTTTCCGAGACGGTCGGCCGCCACTCGACCTACACTGTCCTCGGCTCCCTCGGGGCCCTGTTCACGCTGGGCTGCGGCTTCGTCCACAGCTTTGCCGGGCTGTGTGTGCTGCGGTTTCTGTCAGGATTCTGCTACGCACCGTCCCTGGCCGTGTCCGCTGGCGTGCTGAACGATGTGTTCCACCCGAGGGAGAGGGGTCTGCCGTCGGCTTTGTTCGTGTTGACGCCTTTCCTCGGGCCTGGTGTGGCGTGAGTGTTCCCTTCACATCACAACTTTCTAAGTTGCAATGGCCCTTTCATCTTGCTAACTTCGCCTTATCAGCCCTTTGATGGGAGCTTTCCTTGTGAACAGGATGGGTTGGCGATGGACCCAATGGACTATGCTGTTTTTCTACATAGAAGCCATGATAGTAGGCCTGGTTTGGGGCCGCGAGACCTACGCACCAGTCCTACGGCGCAGAAGGGCGAAGAAGCTTAACATCCCCCAGCCTTCGTCTAAGCCATTCCGGGCCCAGATAAAGCTGTTCGTCACCGTCGCCCTAATCCGGCCGGTCCACATGCTCTTCACCGAGCCCATCGTCGCCTTCGTCTGTCTCTACGCAGCCTGCGAGTTCGCAACCCTCTTCTGCTTCTTCGCCTCTGTCCCGTTCGTCTTCCGGGGTATATACCACTTCGGGCCGGAGGAGGTGGGGCTCGTATACATCAGCATCATCGTCGGCTGTCTCATCGGCTTCGCCACCATAGTCATTTGTGATATTTGTTTCTACAGGCCTCAAGTGGCCCGCCATCCTCCCCACCAGGTGCCACCCGAGTATCGACTCTTCCCAGCAATGATCGGCAGCTTGCTGGCCCCCGTGGGCATCTTTTGGTTCGGCTGGACCGCGAGGCCTGAAATCTCGTGGGCGAGCCCCGCCGTGGCAATCATGCCTTTTGCGTGGGGGAACATCTGCCTGTTTGTGTCGACCACACAGTACCTGGTTGACACCTATCACGGCAATACGGTAGCCAGTGCTATGAGCGCCAACAGCCTGGCGAGGTACGGGCTGGCTGGCGCCTTTCCTTTGTTCACCATTCAGATGTACCAGAACCTTGGCGTTGGCTGGGCTACCAGTATATTGGGGTTCATCGCGGTGGCTTTGCTCCCCGTGCCGTGGACATTATTCAAGTTTGGGAAGGCTATCAGAGCGAGGAGTCGTTACGAGACTGCCAAGTTTTGAAGCGTAATAGGAGCTCTTCTACATGGGTGCATCTGGGAGGATCGCCGGCACCTTGGTGATTTCTTTGTTAACCTGTTTCCTTCCCGAAGGCGTACGGTCCCGTCATACAGCGGCAAACGCTCAAAGATCCAGTGTTCTTTTTTTCTTAAAAAAAAAGCAATGTCAATAATATTATAAGAAGACACTGCCTGGGCACGTGAACTCAGCCTGGTGCCGCACGTCCGGAGATGGCACTGGCACATGCGATTTGCGATATGCTTCGCGTGTCAGTAGGTATTCTCTAGAACCAACTATGCACAACTGTCCCGTTTTCCAAGGAGTTCAATGCAAGATTCTTATTAATCTTCAAAGATGAGTTACTTTTCTCTTTAACAAAGAATGACACTGGGATGTTGTAGACATCATGCTCCGCAACAGATGTTTGTGCCTTACTGGATTGCAGCAGCTCGGGTCAACTGATGGATGTTTTAGCAAGTAAAACATTTGACCAAGCTTTCATGCCTCTAACTCGAATACTATGGCGTTTCCTAACCCATCTCGTGGCCCTCCCCTTACTAGGTCCCCCTCCCATGCCCATATCTCCCCTCTAAGCGCCGCTGTTTTTACCCAATCCTGACACAGGTAGATAGGGTTCTCATCACCGTAGAACGAGGTAGGCACATCGTATGTCATGACCTTCATGACGTTGGTCGGGTCGATCTTGTCCCACTTCCACCTGCCCGCCATATAATTGGGCTGGTTGGTCGATGTGTTGACAATCACCACCTTGAGCGGCCGCGGGGGTGCCGACTCGACTTCAATCTCATTGCTGGCACCACTCCCAGGCGCAGTGCCAAAGTACTCACTCTTCATGCAAGTACTTTCCAGCCCATCCGCACGCGTCAAAACAACAGTGTCCAGTGCGCCCATTGCCCTCACCGACTTCCAGAACCTCTCGTCGGCATCTACGTTGTAGAGCGCAAGCCTCCGCAGTCTCGGCCACAATGTCCAGACGGCCGCCTCCCTGTCCGTGCGCCACTCGGGCTCCAGGACGTCGAGGTACAGCTCGTCGCGCACGCTCGTGAACTCCTCGAGCGCGGTGAGCAGGCCAAAGGCCTCCCTGAGGGTCTTGCGCACGCTGAGATGGTCATCAGCGGGGCAGAGGCTCCGCAGGGGGATGTCTATGACGAGACGGCGCAGCGTGGGGTGCACGAGATAGAAGAGCTCCCGGATCCATATCGCCGTCGGCTGGTTGTCGATGGTCCGGGCGAAGGGGGACAGGTATAGGCTTGATATAGGGCGGATGCTGCTGCCCGGCTGTATGGTCAGTCTATAGCCCTGGAACCTGTGCTTGGTGGACTCGACGGTGTTGATCAGGTCGCGCAGGCGCCTGTCATTATCTATGAACAGGCATTGTTCGCGGAGGTAGTTGGTGGCAACCGGGTATGTGGCTCGGCAGACAAGGGTGAAGGAGAGAAGGGTCTTGGTGGATGACTGAGCCGGATTGTGTATGATTTGGGGGGGACCCAGCAGGCTTGCGATGATGTTGAAGATAAGCTCCAACGGGAGTCTGGGCAGGTCGCTCATCTTGTGTGAGGTGTGTACTGTATCCACGGTCGTTGTAAGTCAGTGATTATGGGTCATGTCATGGGTCGACTTCAAGCCTCCCCCACAGCATGTCTTGGGCCCCACTTATCACTAAGTTGCATTAGCGCCCCCGTACCTGGGGCTTACGCAGTAACCCCTTCGGAGAGGCTCGTAGTTATCAACGCGCCTACGATCGCCGTCAGACTCTGGGTAAAACAACGAGTTGTCTACTAAACCTTGGCTTGGAAAGCGTTCCAACATATGCATTCCCAATCAACATTCTCCTGGCACAGGGCTCACGGAGGAGCCCTCACCTAGTTCAGTGGAGTTGATGATGACATTGCTGGTCTGAGCGAGTATGTCAACTTCGACGATGATCTGGGGTGGCCCGTTGGGACGCCTGGTCGTTGTGGAGACCAGAACCTCCTTTATAAGATTATTATATTAGGGGTACCTCAGTACTATTCTAGTCTTACTACTACATAGTATATAACTAATTTACTACATATTTACCACTGTTATTGTCATTGTAAGGGTTTTTTATTTTATTGCATTTAAATGATTGGCCTTTGAGCGTTTGCTATTGTATGAAGGCATCGCGTATGGCTTTGGATGTATACGGAATAGGAATGAAATCAAGCAAGTACTTAAGTAATTAAGCCCTGGAGCACTTTGGGGGAGATGAACGGCGGTAGGCGGACCCCGGCCCCACGCCCCGGCAGCCCGGCCAACGGTAGACCCTGGATGTCGGTCGGTACGGAGTACTTGGGGGTGCACTGACCATCGGCCCCTTTGTGCAAGGCCAACGTCGATTGTGCCATCTCACCATGCTCGACTCCGCGACAACCCACCCGAGCCTGTCCGCCATCTACTCGCCCGCAGAACCGATGACATGATCCGGCTCTCCGCGCTCTTCCGCCTGCCGTCCAAGGTGAAGCGCCGCGCCCGGCGGAACAGGATGGCCACGCTGCTCTACCTGGTGCTGCTGGCCGTGCTGCTGCTGGCGCCCTTCTACGCAATCTACCGCCCGCCGCGCCTCCTGATCCGCTACTTCCAGCACCGGTGGCCCGACGTGCTGTGGGAGGTGTCCGTCCCGGCCGGCCACCCGCACCCGCCGGGCGCCGGCAAGGTCATCGCGCTGACCATCGACGACGCCCCCTCCGAGTACACGCGCGAGATCCTGCAGCTGCTCAGGGACAACGACGCCCGCGCCACCATGTTCGTTATCGGCGGGCAGGTCGAGGGCCGCGAGGAGGTCCTGCGCGAGGTCGTCGCCGCCGGCAACGAGCTGGGCAACCACGCCATGCATGACGAGGCCGCCCGCGCCCTCGACCTCGACACCCTCGAGGACCAGATCGGCCGCGTCCAGGGCCTGATCCGCCAGGCCTACGCCGACGCCGCGTCCGGAGGGCCCCAGCACCAGTACTTCCGCCCCGGCAGCGGCCTGTTCAGCACCGACATGCGCGCCATGGTCTCGCGCCTGGGCTACCGCCTCGTCCTGGGCAGCATATACCCCCACGACCCGCAGATCCCCCACTGGCGCCTGAACGCCTGGCACATCCTCAGCATGGCCCGGAGCGGCGGCATCATCGTCTGCCACGACCGGAGGAGCTGGACCATCCCCATGCTGAGGCACGTGCTGCCCGAGCTGAGGCGCCGCGGCTACAGGGTCGTCACCGTCTCGGAGCTGCTCGAGGCAGCGGGCAAGTGAGATAATTACTCGGGCCGGAATGGCCGCATCATGACAGAGCGCGTGGGCATAGCACTGGGAATAACGAGCATATTGTGGGCGTATCGGGATAGAGATGTGGTCTTGCCTTTTCACATGATAGATACCAGGTGGTGAGAATAACGTTCAGAAAAGTGTTGCTACGGCGTTGGACGATGGGCGGGTCTTTGGTACCGGCAAGGTAAATTGCATGCCTCTGCGTGATCTGACTTGCTGTGTGTGCATAGATAGAAACTTCGTGGTCCAGATTGTGCCAACACGAATGACGACACGGCAACGGATGGTGGCGCTCGCGATGACCTCGTTGCCCCGGCTGCGCGTTACGATCTGCACATGTCTCAGTTTGCAATTTCCATCACCACAATTGCAACGTGCTGGCAGGCTGGTCGTCCAGCAATTGTGCGGCTGGTCACACCGCATCTTGACCGCTGCAGGGCATCTCGCATGCCTAGGCGAGAAAGCAAAAATACTTGCTTGGCTGGTCGTCAAGCCAACACGTCCGTCGATAGCCCTAGGAGGATGATGTCGTCGAAGCCTTTCAGGCCAGCAGGCAAGATGCATGAGGTCACCAGCAACGACGCTCACCAGGGAGCTCAGGTCACTTTTCGTCCATATGCGGAAATAAAACAACAGTCCGCAGCGGTCCTGGTTGGCCCTGCAGCCCCGACCAATAAGCCAAGTGCCGCCGCCCGGTGACGCCGCCCGCGGTCCGGCGCAGCGGGACCAGGCATCACCTCCGCAAACAGGGTTCAAATTAAGCTTGGTGGATAGAGTTGTATGATACCACCACGAACACCTGGCACCACAAGGGAAGGTTCAGCGTTTTGGGTTTCACCGAGTGTCGCATGAAACAAAAGGGGACTCAGCATGTCTTTTTTGGCTTTGGTTTTATGTAGCATCGGCCCACTGTGGCAGCGTTGGCAAACCGGCCGGCGGGGGGTGGATGGGCAGACACGTCGTGAAACACTCCAAACAAAACCGGCACCGAAAACAGGGAGGCGGGGAGTGAGAGAGAGGCTGCACTGCCCCGAAGTGAATATCAACCACAACCTCCGAGCTGTAACTTACAAGTCTCCGGGAGCCGTTGAAGCCGTTGAAGGAGGCCTAGCAGCCGGCCGGGGGAATCCACCCTAAATCGACACCGACCCCGCTCCCGTTCCATGAATACATATCCTACGTAAATCAGATAATCAGACGGCGTCTGGACTCTGGGGCGGCGGACAAGAGACGAGATGATGTGCCGCCGGCCGTCGTCAGGAATAGATTGAATCCACCGAGCTGGGTTCGCCTGCCTCACCCCCGGTCCCGAGTCTTGCTCCAAGCGGTTTAGCCTGGCCTCTAGCATGCACCCGCGAACTGGCCCCCAAGGGGCCGGCCGAAGGGGCACGAACCACGCGAGATGAGCACTTCATAAACTTAAAACAATGTCATCGTCGTGGAAAGTCCGGAAGTCCACTGAAGGGGAGCCCCGAACAGCCAATGGCATCACGCATGTTGCAGGCGAGGGGAGGCATCTCGTGTATCACCAGCTCATAATGTCTTCTTCATTCGTGTCTCTGTGTAGCTGTTTGTGTGTGTGTGTGATGCGCCGGGATTTTCACCTCTGGGCAACCTCCACGGACAACCATATGTTTCTTCCCCACCGGCGTGCTTCCCTTCCCTTGTTGCTATGGGCCATTGCCCGCAGCACATCATTTCACTGCGCCCCCGCTGCTCTCATCCGTCATGAGGTCAGAAGACAAAATGAAAAATAGTGGTTGAAGGAGAGTCCGAATGTAGTAGTAAAGTAAAGTCCCTCCAAATGACTGGCTGGGGTATGTAAAGAATAGAAAAGGAGTCGCGCTTCTTGCTGCCGCCATGGGCTCGGGGAATAAATACAAAATAAGGTGAACTCAATCAATCCTCACAATTTCTCAACGCCTCTTGCCTCATGACACCCGCTACCACCTGTCCAACCCGATGAGTACATCCTGAATGTGGGGTATAGAAAAAAAGAAAATCCAGGCTGTAGTTGATTTCAGTGTGTGGTCTGCCGAGTCCGGTGCGACCACATTTGTGAAGCCGTTTTGATGGATCGTGAAATTCTCAGATCCATTGAGGAGCCGGAGCCCTTGCATGCCTCGTCTCACTGAAAAATGTTGCAAAGAGTCCCTGGATCTCAGAGATGTAGTCCTCGGGAGAGAACTTCTTAAGGCCGAGGTCGGCTAGCTCTTGTTCCTCCTTGGTCGGCGCCGGGCGCTTCTTCTCTGCTGCTGCGGATGCATACTCCTCAGCCAGCTCGGTCACCTGTGCCAGCTCTTGGCCGAACGGGTGAGACGGTTCGTTGGCAGCGGCGGGTTCCTTGTGGTGCTGGCCTGGCCCCGAGGTTGACAGCGCAGCAGGTACGGGCGGGGGGATCATGTGCGACGTCTTAGGACCCTGGTGTCCGCCGATCGAGTGGTGGCTGCTAGCCGTAGTGCTAGTCGAGGTGGACGACGACCGGGAAAAGCTGAAGCTGGCCTTGCTAGAGACGGTGCGACTGGACTGCTCTGACAGCCTCGAGACTGAGGGCTTGCGGCCGAGGGGCTCATGGGATTTTGACTCTGCGAGCCTCGAGACAGACGGCTTCCGAGCCAAAGGCTCATAAGACCTCTTTGTGTGCGAGGGCGATCGCTTTGGAATGGCCGGGACCTCTGGCGTGGGCACGGAAGACTGGCCAGGCAGGGTGAAGTAGCATGAAAGGTGGTTCGGCTCGGCGGCAGAGGCTGGTTTGGCGTCTTTGTCGTCGGGAGGGAAGGGCGAGTCTGGGCTAGTGAGAGGTGAGGAAGCACCGGTCGCGAAATGATCAGAGCTGCCGTCAGAGCGGAGTGAAGAGGACGACGTCGTCGATGTGGCAGTCTTTGGTTCCTTCTGAATATCGGGGGCGTTGTAGGAGAGCATGTTCGTTGTGTGAATCAGCTCGACCGGCCCCGAGATCTTGCTTCGAATGGGACCACTGAGAGAAGTCTTGACGGTGTGGCTCCTGGCGGGCTTGCCCTCTCCATCGCCACCCCCGAAGACCTTGGCCCGGCGGGTCGTAAACGCCCTGGCTAGAGACATGTTTCCTGGCGTTTTGAGATGTGGTTGAAAAGACGGTGGGTTTTTTGCTTCGTTTTCGAGAGTCCTTCCTTTCTGTCAAAGAAGAAACGTCCGGTGTGGCGGGGAATGTGAGCTGGACTTATGAAGTGCAAATAACACTCGCTCGGTCGAAGTTTATCCAAGGTGAGTGAGTGACGTGCCGTGTCTTAATCAACAGGTCACTGACTGAGATGGGACGAATGATGAGTGGGCAGGTGCAACCTCAACTAGTGAAGTCGAGAGTGTGATTGGGTCTGACGCTACCCTGAGTCGGTCGGGTGCACAAGTGCTGCCCTCCAAAATCCCCAAAACCCGCTTACCGAGAGTCGGACAATCCCCAGGTGACCCTTTTAGATGCAACACAAAGTTTGGACCGGATGATGAGCAGCAAAGCGGGCTATCGCGAGGCGGCTGCCACTTTATCTGTCGGGACTTCTGAAAAGGATGGTGGCGATCGGCGAATTTGCATCCCCGAGTCTTGGTGCCGGAACGAAGAACCGAAGGCCGAGGGAAGGCAGGCTTGACCCGATACGGTGCTGAATATGGCCCGGTAGAGAAAGAAAGGCCTTGAGATCTTCAGGTTGGGAACCAGTCCTTTTGAGAAGAGTGAAGGTGAAGAGTGAGAGGATCCGTTTGACCGTTTGCAAGCTCGGCTGAGGGTGACGGGCAGCTATGGGTGAGGTGATAATAGCTGGGCCGATATCAGATGGTTTGTTGGAGCTGCTGCACACCAGATCCCCGCGTCCAGGGCGGATTCGCCAGGTGCGAGGCGTGTTTCGAACTTGGAGCTTGGAAGTGACTGCTCGCTGCAGCAGGGTTCGGTGTCTGACTTTGGTGCCCTGGTTCCGCAGTGCTACTTTCAGTCCAAGTGGTCCAAGTTGTCTGAGATCGACGGTGCACCGGGCTTCGAAAACCAATTCGAGGCTGATCAGGGCCAGACGTGTCTTAAACCGAGTCCTCAGTTGGGTTTCGCCTTGCTTTTTTCCTGTTCGTTCGCGGCAACTCTGGATCAAGGACCAGAGTTCTGACGGTGAATGAGTGTGGCTGTCTGTTGATTGATATCAAGTGTGCGGTCTCTGGAAGGAAAGGCCCAAGAATCCTGGCTGAGGCTACAGAATCGTTCTCGAAACCTGCGATGGCGTATTCTGTAGGTGGATATCTGGTGGTTGTAAAGGGAGAGACACAGTACCGCAGACCGTACTCGATGAGTGACGGTTTGTCGTCAAGAAGGAATGACTGACTGGGTGGGCTGAGAAGAATAACGGCGGCTTTGGAAGCCTGATGGAGAACAAGAGAGAAGCTCTACAGAGTACAGAGGGCATCCGAGGAGGAACGCGCAGTAATAAAAGTCAAGTGGAATAGGTCGAGTGGATCGAGCTCGGAGCACAAGCATGGCTCCCTGCGAAGGGAAAACTTGGCTAGCGCAGGCACAGAGAGGCAGAGAGGTAGAGGGGACATGGATTCTGGCTCTTGTCCCCCGCGGGCAGAGGGTCCTCAGGACCTGCAGCTCAGGGGTATCCACTGTCGGCTCAAGGATGGTACGACAGGCATCCTTGCGTCCCGATGGCCACTCCCAGCACAGCGAGCACGCTCGACGGGGCAAAACCTTTTAACAGTGTGTCCCGTGGCCTGTGGGCTGGCGGAGGATGACTGTGCTTCGATCTCGGCATCCAGGAGGGCGAGATCCCCCTAGGGAAAAGGCCCGGCTGTCCTGCTGTCCCGGTTGTACGCTATCTAGGTACCGGCCTAGCTATAGTATCTCATATTGAAGTTCATGACATGCCTAGGTACATAGTATACTGCTGTTGTTTATCTCCTCAAGTCCTGATCAGAGATTCAAATCGATTGCCACGCAAGCCACGTAAACATTCCCACCCACGCTGCGACTGGCAACGAGAAACAAACTTCGGTTTGCCTCCCGGGTGCGACTGTTCAGGTTCGATGGTCCGGAGCCTGTTAGCTTGCGTGGCAGCCGTGGATGATCTGTGTGGCACACGGGCCTGACGGGGACGGTGCAGTGACTCCGCACCCCCGTCTCTGCAGCAGGGGGGGAGCATTGATTGGCGGGGGTCAAGTCCTCTCTAATCTCATTTGGGCAGGGACGATGCAGGAACCAGGAGGGGATATCACCCGCAGGCAGGCGGGTCGCACTTGCACCTGCACCTGCATATTGGACCACCAGTAAAGTCGCAGCGACCCACCAGCACTGCACTGTTTTTATCCTCTCCCATCCCGTCCTGGTCTGGACTGGACTTGTCTGGGCTGTCTGGCAGCTCTGGTCGGCCGACCAGAGCCACTTCGGAACGTGGATGATTTCTGATTGCCCGCTTTTGCCGTCCCCCTCTTACTCACATCCGGTGCACTCGTACACAATACAGTAAGACTATGGATGCGGTGCTCCCTTCTGTGCTGCGCTACGGCAGACGGAATCATGACAAAATCCATCTCTTGCCTGTCTTAGACTCTTAGCCGCTCCATCTCAAGTGACCCACAGAAAAAGATAAACCGCGCACCTACCGGCTCTTGGGTGCCACACCACAGACCGGTACGTACAGTGATCGGTTGACTGGTTGACTGGTTGACTGGTTGACATCAGATCATCCGTTCAAACAGTTCGGTGCGCACTGATGATCGCCTAACTCGAGCGGGCGCCATAGCTTCGGCCGCCACCAGGGCCACCTTCTTCTGCCTTTCGCTACCCGTCTGCCAGCTCGACGCCGCAGGCACATGGCTGACAACCACCTTGATAGCTCCAGCGACTGGATCTCAAAGGTCGAATGCCACGGCCAGCCGGTCTGTGAACATCAAGACGGTAATCCAGCCCTGCCTCTCATTCGCCCACCCTGCCACCGTGAGTCAAAGTGACCGAGCAGGGAGGACCCAGGAGGGCGATCCGCACCCGAGCTACCTCAACCGGCCTAGCTGCCTGTCGATGAAACCGACGGTGGCCAGGCCTTGCTCCCATTGGGACAATGTTCCAACCCTCCACGCCCTCCAAGACCTCCGCAGCCAACCAATCCGGTCGTCCCCGGACCTCGACTGCCGCCCCAAGAGCTCTTCATGCTTCTCTCCAACGCCAGCGCGCCCCGTCTCGCCCGATGTGCCCAGCCTGTCAGCTCATCTTCAAGACCTTGCCGCTCGTTGACGAACCGCGCCGCCGCCAGGTTCTTGTGGGACTGCGCAAGTCTATCACCCTGCACAACGGCCACGCAACCGCGGCTCTAATGGCTTTGCGCGCGCCAGACGCTTGTGCAACGGTCAGTCGTCCACCGCAGCTGCCGCACCACACCGCACCCACGGTGTTGGTCCAGCTAATCCGAGCATGCCGTTCGGCCCATAATCAGAAGGTGCCCATGCCATCTTCTCGACCAGCCGTTTCGCGCCTAATGTCGAGCGCATGGTTGCAACGCTTCCGGTGGGGCACAACACGTGTGTAGTGGAAGCGTTTCGACGTCTGCGGTAGCGTCTGTGCTAGCTCTGCAAAATGACATGCCCTGAATTGGCAGATGGGCGCTGCGGCCAAGACCAAAACTGGCGACGTCTTGCCATAAAAGAGTTCAAATGATCTGCAGGTGGTCGCTCCCGCGCCCAGGGAGACCCCGATCTGGACGCTGTCTCTGCTCAGCGGTCCAGCCACTTTCCGCAATCGCATGCTCAGCCGCTAGGGCTAAGTGCGACGTAGAAGATCATCAAACCTGCAAATGCTTCACGGGGCGAAACTATAAGCAAAAAGCGAGGTAAGGCTTTTTACCCTCACTCCTTCGCATCATACAACAGCCGAGTTCCTATGCCGTGTGCGCCCAAATGGTGTGCCAAGTGCCGCCTCACTGTTCAACACAATCATGCACTCTGCTCACTTGGACTTCATGGTGAAGTGATCGTCAGGGCATCTGGCGAGTTTCAGTGGTTAATTTTTCCGCCGGTCATTGATCTCTTACGTTGTACTGCTCGCCAATCTCAACAGACTTGGCGAGGCTGACGTCGCAAGAATGGTCGGGTGCTTAGTGACGGACAAACTATCTGAAGGCCATGCCGCCGCCCCGTCTCTTCACGACCGGTTTCTTGACCGCTCCAGATGTGACGATCTTCTTCTTCGCCGCGCTGGTGCTGTCGCTTGGCTTGACTTGGTCCACCAAGGCTAGCTTCTCCTCCTGCTTCCTTTTGTCCTCCGCCATCTTGGCCTCGATCTCCATCTTCCGATTGAACTCGGTCTCGATGACCCTCTTGTCCCGGGCCGAGTAGCCCTTCTCCTTGACCGAGTAGAAGACGCCACCCAGCTCTGCCAGCCAGTGCGGGTCTACGCTCGTCACCGTCGACATGTATTCCTTGCTCGTGAGGATGAGCTCATGGTACACCACGTAGTCCGGCAGGAACCCAAGCCCGTATAGCGCGCTCGTCGGGTGCAGCTGCACCGTGACGCTCGTGCGCAGGTTGATATACTCGCCGATGCCCTTGACCTTGGCGGCCTGGTGGTAGTATCCGCTGCAGATGCACTTGCGGATGACGTCCCAGTCCGTCCCGCACGACACCATCTCCATCTTCTGCATGCGCATGATGTCCAGCAGCTGGTCTCTGACCTCCTTGGCCCGCCGCAGCGACTTGGAGTGCAGGAAATGTTGCGAGCACCACCTGTCGCTGTACCCGTTGGACTTCCACTGCGAGTACACGTGCAGGTACGTCAGGTGGTCCGACTCGGGGACGAAGAACTTCTCCCGCGCAGCGTCGGACTCCTCCTGGCGCTCCTTGGGGCGGAAGAAGACGTTGGGCACGCTCAGCATCGACACGATCGTCACCATCTCCTCGCTGCAGCCGTACTCCTCCGACATGATGAGCAGCTTGGCCAGCGGCGGGTCCATCGGGAAGGCGTTCATCTTGGTGCCTAGGTCGGTCAGCTCGCCGATGTTGTCGAGGGCGCCCAGGGCCCACAGGTCGAAGAGAGATGTGGTGATTGTCTCCTGCGGTGGCGGGTCCATGAAGTCGAAGTCCAGCAGGTCCTTAACGCCGAGGGACTTGATGAGCAGCACGGTGTTGGCCAGGTTCGTCCTCTGGATCTCTGGTATGGTCTGTATGTACAGCTCGTCATTGTACGCCTTCTCAGTGTAGAGTCGATAGGCCTTTCCTGGGCCAGTCCTTCCTGCACGGCCTGATCTCTGGCCCGCATTGGCTTGAGAGATTGGGGTGATTTGCAGTGTGTCCATACCCATCCTCGGGTTGTAGACTTTGAGCTTTGAGTAACCGGCGTCGACCACATACATGATACCGTCAACCGTGAGACTGGTCTCGGCAATGTTGGTGGCGACGATACATTTTCGCACGCCTGGGGCCGCTCGGTCAAAAATCTTGGCCTGTAAATCCGCGGGCATCTGACTGTAAATGGGCAGGATGCTGAGTTTCGGTGGATCATTCAGAGCATTGAGTCGCTTTTGAATTAGATCGCAAGTGCACTCGATGTCTTCCTGACCGGTCATGAAAACAAGAATATCTCCTTGTCCTTGCGAGACATGGATGGACAGCACTTGCTGCACGGCTTGGTCCACATAGTCCTCGACCGGTGACCTGTGGAACATGACATCCACCGGGAACGTCCGGCCGGGGATCACAAACTCGGGCGCGCCTCCGAAGAAGTCAGAAAACCGCTTGGAGTTCATCGTCGCTGAGGTAACGATAAGCTTCAGGTCCAGACGTCTCTGTAGAATCTTCTTGAAAAGGCCCATAAGCACGTCGGTGTTCAGTGCCCTCTCGTGAGCCTCGTCCATGATAACGCACGAGTACCGGTCCAGGTTCTGCTCGTTCAGAGATTCTCTGAGCAGGACACCATCAGTCATGTACTTGATCACCGTCTCTTTGCTCGTACAATCCTCAAATCGAATTGCATAGCCAACAGTCCCACCCAGCTTGCACTCCATCTCTTCGCTAACACGTTTTGCAACACTCATGGCCGCAACACGACGGGGTTGAGTACACCCGATCATGCCTCTGTTGCCATATCCGTCCTCGTAGAGAAACTGCGTGAGCTGGGTCGTCTTTCCGGAACCGGTCTCGCCGACCACGATGACGACCTGGTTGTCCCGGATGATTCGCAAGAGATCCTCTCGCACCGCAAATGCTGGCAGGAACTCGCGCTGCTCCCGCAGGGTCTTGCTCTGGCTGAAGTTGCTCGCGCCTTCGTTCTTGGACATGTGCTCGCTGAACTTGTTGGACTGCGGCTCAGGCTCCTTGCCGTCCTCTTCCTTCAGCACTGGCAGCGCGCTGTCCGTGTCGTCGTCGTTCTTCACGCCCATGACGTTTCCTAGGGTCGTGCCGGCGATGTTGGTGGCCTCCTGCGCCTGTTTCTGCCTCTCCCGCTGCTGTCTCCTCTCCTTGACAACCCTGCTTCCCTTGCGACTAAACACAGCCATGTCGCTCTGGTAGTCCCTCACCGCGGGCACCGGGTCCAGCTGTTTTGTAAATATCGTCCTACCGTCAAGGAATGGCGGCCGCAGATCGTGGATCAGCAGGTGCACGCGCATGGTATCCTCGTCATCCTCAAACTCCTGCCCGCGGCGCTGCGCCACGCCCGAGGACAGCATCCGGTTCGTCTCCCACGCGTCGATTTCCTTTTGTTTCTGGGCCTGGCGCGCGCTCTGCTTGTCGAACCGGCCCACACGCTTCTCGACCAGCTCGCGCTCGGCCTCCTGCGACTCCGCCGCGTTGTAGGCCCCGAAGGGGTTGTGAGATTCATCGCCGAAGGCGTGCCCGAACTCGTCCCCGGCATACCAGTCCCGATCGAGAGCGGCATCATCTTGGTCCTGGGCCACGAAGTCGTCGTCTCTTGTCGGCTCGGGCGTGGCTACGTCGCGGTTGCCCCGGGGTGTCGAGCGGCCAGACGAGAAGCGGCCGTTCCGCGCAGGTACATCGCCCCAGCGGTCGTCGGATCGTAAGGGGTTGAAGTTCAGCCTCCTCCGCTTAGGATCTCGACTGTCGCGGTCCATTGCTGCTTTCTGAGACACCTGGAGAGTCCCGGCTTCCGGGTCTCTAGCTGTCGAGTGCTCTTTCTCGGTCCTTGGTGTAGAGCAACGCTTCGCAGGCTCCCTGTCAAGATAACCCCTGTGGAAAGAGCCGCCTTTATCGCCTTGTTGTCATGGACCGATCCAATCGAGCAACTCCTTATAGCAATGTTGTGTTCGAAGGCTGATTTATGCTGCTCCCGGTATCTTTGAAACCTTCCACCATCCACCTGGATTTGCGAGGCTGTCGAGCACCAAGCCTGGGGCAACACTAGGCGTCGGCCACTGCAAACCACCAGCTCAATGCTAGAGCAACAAGGGTGCGCTTATCGATAAGCCCAATCTACCAAAAAGTTTCCCCAGTAGGTCAATTCTCAAAATTGTTTTACTTCCACTCGCAGATACGTTAAGCATTATTGTGGTGAATTTTCCCAAGATGTCTATGATCACAACGGCAACATGGGCACCGCGAGGCTTCGCGGCGCCCTTCCCACAGAAGTATGACTTCGACGAGGAAGAGTTCGAGCGCATCGCCTCGCTGGCCAAGCTGAACTTGGACGATGCGAACGACGACCTCGAAGAGGCGAAAGCAAAGGAGGAGAAGGGCAGCTCGGACACAGAAGAGTCGAAGAAGGCCACTGACGGAATCAAGGACGAGTATGCGCTGCATTCTGGACTGCTTCTACTGTTCCTTGCTAATCATGTTGCAGCATCGAGATTGACGACGACCTGAAGGAGTACGACCTAGAGCACTACGACGACGACCCAGAGGAGGATATAGAAGTCGCACAGAGCATGGGCATGTTTGGGAACGTCAAATCGCTTGCATACTATGAGAACAACAAGGAGGACCCCTACATCACGATACCCGACGCCGTGGACGACAACGAGGAGCGGGAGGAGCTGCAGATTCTTGCCACAGACAACCTAGTCCTAGCAGCGAAGGTCGAGGACGAGCTGGCACATCTGGAGGTCTACGTATACGAAGATGACTCCGACAATCTCTACGTGCACCACGACATCATGCTGCCTGCCATACCCCTGTGTGTCGAGTGGCTAGACATTGCTTGCGGCAAGTCGAGCGTCGATAAGGATGCGACGGCCAACTTTGTCGCCATCGGTACCATGGACCCCGATATCGAGGTTTGGGATCTCGACACAGTAGACTGCATGTACCCAAATGCTGTCCTGGGGCAGGGAGGCAACCCAGAGGACGAAAAGAAGAAGAAGAAGAAGAAGAAGAAGAAGTCGAAGAAGGCCAACGACGAGTATCACGTCGACGCAGTGCTGTCACTCGCAGCGAATAGGAAACACAGGAACCTCCTCGCCTCCGCCTCCGCCGATAAAACCGTCAAGCTGTGGGATCTGCACACCTCAAAGTGCGCCAAGTCATACACCTACCACACCGACAAGGTCTGCTCTATCGCATGGCACTCCGTCGAGTCCACGGTTCTCCTCAGCGGCAGTTACGACCGTACTGTAGTCGCCTCGGACATGCGGGCGCCGGAGGCGAAGCCGCGCAGGTGGGGTGTTGAGAGCGACGTTGAGAACGTGCGGTGGGACTCGCACGACCCCAACTTCTTCTTTGTCTCTACCGAGAACGGTGTCGTCCACTACTACGACGTCAGGAACGCGCCTTCAGACCCGGCCAAGAGCAAGGCAGTGTGGACATTGCAGGCACACGACCAATCTGTTTCATCATTCGACCTGAACACCGCGATACCCGGCTTCATGGTGACGGGCTCTACGGACAAGACGGTCAAGCTCTGGAATATACAAGCCTCAGGGCCTTCGCTGGTGGTCTCTCGTGATCTCGATGTCGGGAAGGTCTTCTCCACGACATTCGGTCCCGATCCAGAGGTCGCATTCCGGTTAGCTGTGGCTGGCAGCAAAGGCACGATGCACATCTGGGATACCAGCACGAACGTGACCGTTCGCCGTGCGTTTGCTGGCAAGCTACCTGACGTTAAGCCAGATGAGGAAGTCAAGGAGAGGCTGGTTGGGGTTACTAATGATGAAAGCGACTCTGATGACGACGAGGAGGAGGAAGAGGAGGGCGAGGGCGATGGAGACGAATCCATGGAAGAGGATTAGAGATTCCCTGACAGAGCAAAATGAATCAATGTTTGAGCAGTCTCGCTCAGCGAATGAAGTAGATATGTCTAGAGATATCGTTGACACAACGCCAGTCCGTCTCGAACGCCCAATTTATGCCATGCACGATCCACCACCAAACACGCCAATGGAGCCCTAGTGCCGAACCTCGAAGCCAGTCTCACCCTCTACGACATCTCGATCTTCCTTCTCGAGCTTGACAACCTTGGCACCTGCCGGGCCACTGTCCACGTCCTTCAGGAAGGTCTGGAGGACGTCCTCGTTACCCTGAGCCTCGCCCTCGACCTTTGGGGTGAGGTTAGATTCCCAGCGTTCCCACTGTACATAGAGTCGGGTATTTGACTTGCCTTGTTGTTTGGTGTGTTTCTGACCCAGCCAGTTATCCCGTGCGCAGTGGCTTGCTTTCGGGTAAAGTATCTGAACCCGACACCCTGGACCATTCCACCGTGGGCGACGAAGTACACCTAGCCGTGTCAACTCCTGTGCCTCTGCTATAAGCTGCAAAGCCCTCCGACTTACACGTTTTGTCATGGTGACAGTTCGATATTCGAATCTTAGTCGTAATTTCAGTAATGAACTAGAAATGAACCGGAAGTGAACCGGAGTGTAGGATTGTCTTGGGATTGGAGCTGCCCTTGACACCAGGCTCTGACATCACAAACAAGGGTCTCCAAGCAGAGACGGGCCACCCCGATAAGATAAGGTAGCTTATTTCGACTGTCTCCATGGCTTAATGAACTACCCTCGTCTCAGCCACTCACTCATCATCAACCAACGACTACATCCAAAATCCGCAAGTCATCCATACGGTCGCGCTCTTTTTGAGTGTATGTTAGAAGCCATTCGCCAATATGGATACGGCAAAGACCGAAACCCCTGAACCGCAAGTTGTTTTCCGACCTAGCAAGAAGCGCAAGCACCTGCGACAGCGCGCAGAGGAGACCGAGACCGAACCAGATGATGCGTTGCAGCAGCCTGCCGCCCAAGCGCTGCCGGATGATGGAGAGACAAAAATCGAAGTAAACCGCGACACAGAGCCAGACACGGAGGAGTCATCAGTAAAAGAAGCGCTGCGTCTACGCAACGCACGCAGGACAAGACTCAAGGGGGTCGGCTTCCGGCCTGAAGGCACATCCAAGGTTCCCGAGGAAGCGAACCAGGAGCAGAGTCTAGTTCTCAAGGACGATCCAAATGGCGCAGATTCTATGGACTACGGGGTATCGAGGCGCTTTGCGCCACAGGCAGGACTGGTCGGCGAGCTCGTCAACAAGCATATGTAGGTTGCCCCACCTGCGGCCGCTCCCCCGTCACACCGGACATGGGCTGATCATGTAGGGAGGAATATATAGAATCCGAGTTGGCTAGACGGCACGCCGCCGAGAAGGCTACTGAAGCAGAAAACCAACAACCGCAGCACCAGCAGCAATCATCACGAGCGACGGGCTCGCTCATCGCAGATCCGACTAAACAGCTCGGAGAACGGCCGACGATGCACGGAAAGCTGCAGGAGGTTGACCTCGGCGAGGAAGTCCGGATGCGCAATGCGAACATGACGGAGCAGGCACGCAGGCGCCTCGCCGGCGAGGCCATCGATGACGACGACTCCGACTCGAGGAAGCGGGTTAGGATCGGCAAGGATGGCAAGCCGTGGCGTGGGCGCAAGAGGCGCGGAAGCGACGACGTCAAGCGTGACCAGCTTGTGGAAGAGCTCATGCGCGAGAACAGACGTAGGTTTCACTTGTTACCGCACCGGCTTGGAGTGTTCGCTAACCCGAGTGCAGTGGATGTGTACGATGTTCCCGCCCAGCCGGAGGCTTCTGGTGAGCCTGGATTCGATGAAGCCGCGGACGAGAAGATCGCAGAGCAGTTCCGCCGTGAGTTCATGGACGCCATGTCTGAGAGGCGGCACCAGCGGAGGAAGGCGGCACCGCAGCCGAGTCGGCCGGGAGCGAAGCAGGAAGAGGTGCTCAAGGGGCCGAAGTTGGGCGGCAGCAGGAATGCTCGAGCTGCGATGCGCGATCTGTTGCTATCACAGCAAGAGAAAGACAAGAAGCGGTGATCAGTGCCGTCGTCCTGCACGGACCGACAATTACATGCTGGCTTGTGGTGGTCCAGGGGCCTCTGAGCATTTGGACCAAAACCTGCAGGTGCTTGTGACCTCCACCGTCACCCAATAGGCTGGACAACAGCATTATGGCTGAAGAGGCGCAGCTTGGGCAAAGTTCAAGTATCGAGCTGCAAGTGATCCTGCGATTGAGAGGAAAGGAAAGGAAACGAAGCACACCGGAGCATAATCTAGCAAAGAATCCTTTTCTCAATCTTGACAATCCTTCACTTTCGTCTTGTCTTTGATCGCATCTGCGAGCCTCTGCAGGCACTATCAAATGATGGAGAGCACTAGAAGCGACAGCCAGACTCTCGGCTCATCCCGGAGTGCTGTGGTCGATAATCAGCCCAAAATCTACACCGTTGCGACACCCAGGCTCTTATTAGTCCCAGATTAAAACAGAAACATGAATTTTTGTTACCTAATTAATTAGAATCCGCATCTCTCTGGTGGGTAGTTCAACTGCAGAGTCCAGACGTGGATGTTTAGATGGTCATTCACGAGCTGATTACGTAACCCATCAAGCTTGCAAGGGGCCGGTCCAAAAAAGTTCGGAGCTTCCATATGATCCAACCTAGGCGATAGAGCGACTGAGCGCGACACTGTTCTTCGGTAGGGGAACAGCAGGTCGACTTACACAACCGGCAACCATGTTCAAGCCAAGATTACGAATATCAAGGGCCTGCGCCGCGAGGCTGTCCGCAGCTGCCCCTCGCCCCTCGCCGCCGTCACCATTTGCCGTCCCCGCGAGACAGCAGCAACAACACCTGCAGAAGAGGTCTCTACACGCCTCACCGGCGCGGCAGCTGCACTCAGTCGCCCCCTTGACCGACGATGACAGGTTCGAGCGCGAGGGTGTGCGCGGCCTGATGACGGCCGAGGCCTTCGAGATCGCGTACAACACCTACCAGGCCCATGTGCTGAACAAGCTGAACGAGTACACAGCAGGTACTGGTTATACCCCCCCCCCCCCGGGGCCGGCGGTGCTGTGGACGCCCATCGCTAGCTGGGGTGGTCGAACCCCTTCTGTGGACAATCATGCTGACCAGGCTGCCTGCCACCCCCTCCAGGCACCGCGTACGCAGACATGACCACCCTCGAGACGGCCATCGCGACGGCCCGCGAGCCGCACCTGGCCGCCACGTTCAACTACGCCTCCATGGCGCACAACAACCACTTCTTCTTCAGCGGGCTGTCCAAGACGGGCGGCGCGGACAGGAGCGAGCACATGTCCGAGATGATGCGCAAGGCGCTGGAGCTGTCGTTCGGCAGCCTCGAGACCCTGCAGCGCGAGATGCTGCTGACGGCGGACGCCATGTTCGGGCCGGGCTTCGTCTGGCTCGTGCAGCAGATGGACGCCACCGGGGCCAGGGCCTGGCCCTTCAAGATCCTGACGACGTACCAGGCCGGCAGCCCCTACCCGAGCGCCCACTGGCGCAGCCAGGGCAGCGACATGAACAACCACGGCTCCCACGGCGAGGGCGGCCAGGTCGTCAAGGAGTACTTCAACCGGCAGAACACGGCCAACCGGCGCGAGCCCCTGCACGGGGCCGCCCCCGCCGAGAAGAACAGGTTCGCCCGGCCGCCCGGCGGCACCGACGTCGTCCCCGTGCTGTGCGTCAACACCTGGGAGCACGTCTGGATGTGGGACTACGGCGTCGGCGGCAAGATGGACTTCCTCACGAACTGGTGGAACATCATCGACTGGGGCAGGGTGGAGTCGCTGTCCAGGCTCTCCGGCAAGCGCGCCATGACCGAGAACCCGCAGGTCGGCCCCGGCGTTGCGCAGGTGGCCCAGCCGGCCCCCGCGCCTGCGGACAGTGCGGTCGAGGGAGCACCTCAGTAGATTGCTTGCTTGATTTGCCTGCCTGCAATGACGAGGGGTCGATGGTGCTTGGGGGCTGTATAATAGACACCAGTGGGGTAGCCGCGGCTGAGGTTCTCTTGAGGCCCGGTCGCTTGCCACGTAAAAAAAAAAAACCTGCCGCGACATATCGAGTGTGTAAAGTATGCCAAAGGCGCCCAAAAGAAAGGATAAAAATAGACCTATGTGCTACCATGACCACGAGGTGATAAACGAGTTAATTGCTTACTTAGTGACTCGATTTGAAAGGATGCGCTTGTCACGCCGACGTGATGAAGGCCAATGTGGACAGTGTATCCAGAACTGAAAAAGTTTATGTACTTTGTATATATTTAAACTAGTAGTAAGCGGTAGTCTTTGTTGGCAATAGTAGTTGCTAGTACAAGACAGGTATCTCTTTATTTCCGTATCCAAACCGCTCCCTGGGTAAAACAATTATCAACGCCAGTCCATGCATGCTATATATATGCTCTGCAGTCTTCAAAATTACCTCCTCCTATCCTGGGCGTCGTCCATTATGTCTGTAAATCTAGTCATCCTGTCCCCGGTATAAGCCTGTGGCGGCGTGAGAGGGACGTTCGAGTCGGCAAAGACGTCTATGTATGCCCCGTTGGGGTCCCGCTCGACCCTCTGGCCACCATAATCGGATATGGGCGACCCCAGGGCGTCCCGGCCCTCGGCGCCGACGCTGACACGGTTGTCCTGGCCACCAAAGTGGCGGGCCGAGGGCATCTTGAGCGGTGCCTGGTACGCGCCGTCATCCGCGTAGTCGGTGACGGCGTACATGGAGCTCACCGCTCTGTTGTTTGTGAGCGTCGGGGGCGAGCGGGGCACCGAGTGCAGGTCATTCATGTCCACCCCGCTCACGGGCCTGGCCCCCATTGTGCCAAACTCCCTCTCGTACTCAATGTCCTCGTCGCTAGCGGTATTGAAAGACCCGGCCCGCGGGCTAACTTTGCGCCCAAAGTCACTTCTCATGGCGCCCTCGTCGACGATGGGCTTGGAAATTACCGGGCATCCACCCATGCGCAGAGAGTTGGTCATCGGGTTGTTGATGATGTTGCCAAAGGATGACGATCGTGACGAGCGAGATTGAGGTAGCTTCTCCTGAGCGGCCTCGTTCTTGCGCTTGGCCTCCCTCTTGATGAAGAACCACACCAGCATTCCCAGGAAGACGGCAGCAGCGATACCACCCACGACACCACCAGCCACCAGGCCAGCCGAGGGTCCACTCGAAGAGCTGGAGCTGTCGGAATCGCTATCGTTATCACCAGATCCCTCGGCCGCGGCGGCCGTGGACGAGGACTGGGACCCGGAGCCGGTCGCCGTCGCAGAACCTGAGCCTGAGCCGGAGGCTGTTGCAGAGGCTGTTGCGGAAGCCGACTGTCGCGACGCGGAGGTCACGCTCACGCCGACTGTCTCACTGCTCCCGGCTGCGGACGACGCCGCCGTTGTTGAGGGCTGCGGTCCGGTCGAAGTCAATGGCTTCGCGTTCTGGTCTGGGTTGAGAATGCAGTTCTCGCCGTCACAGCTGTACCCAAAGGGGCAGCACAAGTTGGCACACCTGGGAATCGTCCCCGTCAGGGCGTTGGTCATAACCACATTCTCCGGGTGAAGTCCTTTGTCCTGCAGGCTGATGTCGCAGGGGATGGGCCTGATGCCATTGCAGTCGCTGTCGCTAGGGCAGCAGAGTGCGGTTGTCTTGCCGGCGAGGGCAATGCATGAGTGATCGGCGGGACAGCAGAAGTCGTCAGGAAGGCCAGCCGTGTTACATTTCGCGTACGAGGAGTCGCCGCATGTGGAATCTTGCCGGCCAAAAAGCTCTGATGGTGATACTTGGATGTAGAGGGCTGAGGCAAAGGAGGGTAGTGCGGAGAGGAGCAGAAGCGCCGACGCCCTGGCCAGCGCTGTGCTTTTTGTTTGTTTCTTCATTGATGTGTCTGTGCTGTTTCTTGTGCAATGGTAGAGGTAGAATATGTCGGTTGTGTTTCTGATGCCCGGCGCGTAGCGCGGATAGGTGATGTGTTGTTGCGGAGTACCAGACAGTAGTCGGCGGTTGCAGAGAGGATCAACGTGGAGAATAACGGGGGGGAGAGACCAAAAGAGCAGAGCCCCTTGGGTGAAAGGTTATGGGCCAGAAGGCATAAGAAGTATGATAAACAGTGTGATTCAGGACACTCTCAAAGGCAGTCAAGATGACAATGCCTTGTTGTGGTGACTCGGGCGGCAAGATCGGAGGAAACAAAAAGGGCTGGGAGAACAAGGTCGAGAACAATGGCGATGTAATGAGAGAAGGAAGAAAGCGATGTCCCGGGAAAGCCCAAGCATGCGGATATGACGTTCCAAAGCTGGAAGCCGGACAAAGACGACGGCGTGGTGCCGGGTGAGGTGACAAAGACCTCGCCAGGACGACTGCTGGCCTGTGTGCGTGGAGAAGGAAGCCGCACTTGGACGCATGGGACCCGTCTTGCGGCCTCCGTGTCCAGTCGAGGGCAACGCACAGGGTGTGGTCGGCGGCAGCAAGGCAATGCTCAGTCAAGGCGAGTGGCCGTGGTGTAGCCGCCGGGGCGGGGAGTCAAAGAGGCGCCATGTCATCATCATAATTAGAAGGCCCCTTCCGCTCCCTAGTTCGTCTCAGGGCGGGCGACGAACACCTGGTGGGCTCGCAGGAGAGCATGATGAACACGGTGGAAACATGCTACCGGCGGTGCCACGCAAAGTTCCGGGGCGCATCCGGGGTCGAGACGTGCATCTGCACGTCGCAAATGGCAGAAATGGGTGGGCGAGCGCGCGGGTGCGAGACGCGGTATGGGGCAGTGCCGTTTCGAGGTGGCCGAGACGCCGTAAACGAGAGGCCACGGAGAGGCGCCAGGCACACGCCGGTAATCCGTAATCCGTATTGCTGTTCTGGCTGTCTGGGCCTGGGCCGGGCAGGGAGCAAAGGGAGACCTGAGGTTGGTCAGCCGTCGACGGGCCCTTCATACTGTGAGAGAAGGCCGCAAACGGTTGGCTGGCGCTTATTCCAACAGAGACAAGGGCCAGGCACGAACAGCACCAGGTAGGGCCAGGGTCGCACGGCTCAGGCGGTGGTCTACCCGTCTCAGATCAGCCCGGCCAGAACGGTGTCTAGCGTGGTGACCATGTACCCGGGTACCTAGGTACCCAAGTACCTCCAGCCGCAGCCAACAATGTGCAAGCCTGCATCCGTGTCGACGTGGTCGCGAAGACGGACAAGCGGACGGACACGTCTTCTTATCTAACTTTGCGCGTTGGCACCAAAAACCATGCACGATTCCGAACTGCACCTCCCTTCACTGCACGTCACCGCACCCAGTCAGTGGTACCCGTGCTCCACATGTGGAGACGGCGTGAAAACTGATGAGCCTGACTGAGTGAGTGAGCGAGTGAGGCCTGCAACGAGACCAGCGAGGAACTCAAACTCAGACTCACACCTTGCACACGTGCACACGTGCACTCGAAGCACGCAAGCTCAGCAAGCACGCACATTCGCACATTCCGACATTCGGAACTTCCTGGCTCGCTCAACGTTGCACTGGCCCAGTGGGTTTCCAGATCTGGTCTTCCGCAATTGCTATCAGCCAGGGTTGAGCCATATGAACAGTGACCACACAGCCAGGCCGATGCTAACCCGCGAGACACGAGTGATCACATGAGCAGCCACGGCGTGGCACACCGCTCACCGTGAATGGCCCGAAACTTATCAATCAGACAAGCACCGGGCTTGGGGGAGGGCGGCACGGGCTGGGGTGATTCGCCCTGGGCCGAGGGCACAAGCCCTTGCCCTTGAGCTTCGACGATCCTGTCCCGCCCAGGTGACCATCCCGCCGGTCCAGAACGAGCTCCAGCCCGCCCAGCCCGTCTTCCTCTTTTTTTCCAAACCGCGCTCGCATCCCTGTCCCGGCACCCTCGAGCGTCGAGGGTTCAGCCATCCAGGCCCTGCCGATACGGGAACGGGACGGGATTTGCAGAGACACAGCAAGAATGCCATCCACGGGATCCCGATTCTTCAGCTCGTCAGGGTTCGACAGCACAAGGCCCTTGTCCCTTGCAACCAGACAGCCAACAGCCAGGCCAGACAGCCAAAAAGGGCCCTGCCAGACCACCCCTCCCTTCGCTCCGAGGATCGCCCCGAGGCTATTATCTATCCTAACTCTCCCGCTCACCTGCCAGAGTCGGAGTATCAAGGAACCAGGGAAAACCAAGCCACAACCTTGGAAATACGCTGTCAAACCCAGCCCTCGCCGGTACCCGCAACTGGGGCCGGCGGCGAAAGCCCTTCACCGACTCATCATCGCCACGGGCCCAAATCACCGGTGAACCCTCTATCGTGAAACTCAACACGTAGATTACGGTCGTAGCGCACCGAGGTCACATGGGGAGGGGAGTAGCTCTATCAAAGATTCCAGAAGATCCTACATCACGAAGCCTCAGAGATCGGCTCATGTCCGCGCTCGCTTGCCCGTGACCAGGTTTTCAAGTCGCCCTCTGGACCATTTGCGTTGTCCCAGTGGCTAAGCCCCCCTGCCACCTCACCCTCACCTCCCTTGCCCGTGACGATGACTCTTACCTTACCACAGAGAGTTTCGTTGGGTTGCCTCACCATCGTCACGGTCCCGCCTCTTGTTACGAATGCAAGCGTGCGAAGAGGGGACGAGGGGGGCCGAACGGTGCTCCTCCTTTTTTGACGTGGCCTAGGATGACTGGAATGCTGTCGTTGCAGAGCAGCAGCGGTCACATGGGCTGCCACCTGTGTCGGGATGACTGGACGTCAGTCGATGGACAAGCAGGTTTTGCCCTGTCTCCTCGTGGCTGGGTCCCATCCTGGGAGGGGCTTTCGTTTCAAGCCACCACCCATGGGCGCGGTCAGCGCCGAACGCCTCCCGCCCCCCCCCCCCACTGATGCATTTTCTTCAGGGCCCTGATCGATTGGAAGCGGGTTGGGGTTAGGGTCCGTGTAAGTGTGATTGATTCGAGATACACGTAGATGTTGTTTGCTGGTGGCGTCCTGGCAATTTGAGGATGTGAGGATGACGTGAGAACTGTGAAGCCGGTCGGGCCTCCTCCCGATACCAGTGCTGATTGAGAGGCGTGTCTCGGGCGAGTGAGATGGATGGCCATGAGGCTCGACCGCCCGTGGCCGCCGGCGCGACACTGGTGAAATTGCCCGTAACCGCCCCGGCCAGCACATCAAGCAACCTCGAGACTGATTTGCAGCTTGATCCCCGGGACCCAGGCTTCGGTCAAGTCAGTATTGAGTCGCAAACTCAGAAATAGCATGAGAGGAAAATAAACAGTCAATACCATGCGCGAGAGCATTGCTTTCTCTGAAAGTCGGCGGCACGCCGGCCAAGGGGCCCTTTTCTTAATTCATTTTCTTGCCGCCAGCCCTACTTTCGACGCTGACTGGCCGCGATGGCTTCAGAGCTCAGGCCGTGGTCCGTCGCGCGCGTCTACAAGGGACGGGGAAGTCAGATTCGACGCCCATTTCTTTTTCTCGTCTGCTTCCATGGCAACGGCCATAACCGCCCACAACAGCGCAAACCGGTTTCAAGTCTAATTCTCATGGCTCCAATAGACGGGCTCACCAGTGGTGATCTCATTCAAATATTGTGATTTCTTTTCTTGTTTGGGAGGGTATTTATCGACTTAAATTACACATTGGCGACCAGTTTAAAGGCCGGCCGACTCCCAAGAGACATGGAAACGGCGCACTCGCCTGATGTCCTGTATCTCTTTGTCTTTTTCCAGACGCAATTCCAAATGCTCCAAGATGTTGTTCCAAACAACTGGACTGGTATCCCAGAAAACACCGGCAGTCTCCATTCGTCCAAAACACACAGCGAAAAAAAACTCCTGGCCCCATGTGATGCTCTGGTATACCGAGAAGAAAACCAATTGATGACGAGCAACCGGGGTAAATCACAGCAACGAGGTTCGTCTTATCATCCATCACGTCAAGCTCCAAGGCATTGTTCACCCGTCCGTATCTCGCTTGCAACCGGTGCCGTTGCCTATCCATATCATTGTCCAAAACAATCCAAAATAAAAACCCAAAAGCGCAGCTTTCCAGTCCAGCTGCGGTCATCCGTTGAAGGTCCAGTGTCGTCCAAGAAGTTAGGTATCATTGATGAAGTCCACTCATCTCAATTTTGCCTTGCGGCAGCCTCTAGGGTCTTCGGTCAAAATCTCAAAATAAAGAAGGGGTATAAGTTGAAGCGAAAGTCGGTATGCGTGTAGACAAGGAAGCGATACCCTGCATCGCTCCAGTCGCCACCGTCAGGAACAGGGGCAAAAACGAGTGGTTGCAGCAGGCGCTGGCACAGATATCAGGGTATCCCTTCGCAACATCATCTAGATGAGCAGGAAATCCCAGCCCTTCATCTGCATCACGTCCCTCCAGTGGACAAACGCCTGCTGTCCCTGCTGCTGCGATTCCTCGGGCTTGATGCCAGCCGCCGCGCTGGTGGCAGTGCTCGGCGAGCAAGCAAGGCCAGCATTGCGGGCCCACACCTCACGAAGCAAGGAAGCCACGCGGCCAAATGAGCCATAATCCGCCTGGTCGCCAAGCTGGGCGACGCGGTCTTCGAAAAAGGTCCGGAACGATGAGCCGACACCACTCATGGACCCACCGAGCAGGTAGACCCAGACCAGGGAACGGTCAAATCCACCGGGCCCGGAGGGGATGTGCTGCAGGACGTTCGTCAGACGCTCGACAAGGTCGATGCAGCTGGGCTGGGACGGGTTGAACCCCGGTACAAGACTGCAGAGGTAGATGCGCGCTGTGAGGCGGAAAGCCTGTGTCATGTTCTTTGACAGCTGCTTGGGGCTCAGAGTGCCGTTGGCGTTGAAGGGCATCTTGGGGCCGGTCTCGCCCATCTCCGTGAAGCCAATCTGGTCACCGAGAACATGTACGTGTTGGCACAAGGTAATGTCATCCATGCCATCGCGCTTGAGTGCTTCTAGGCAGGCGATCTCGCTTATGAGATACATGACGCGGTCCTCGCAGCCCATGAGCTCACGGAGGCCAAGCGAGTGGTTGACCTGGGACAGGTGCTTCTCGCGGTAAGTGTGGGCAAAGGTGGGTGCACGACCCATCATTGTCGCACCGAGCACGTCAATCCACGCGGTGAGTGTCATGCTGAAGGGTGTCTGGGAGAGCGGATGATGCTCGTCTGAGACCATGTGGGGCAGGTCGAGCTTTTGCACGAGTGAAATGGCAGCTTGGAAGTGCTGGTGCCAGGCGATATCGGGGAGCGCGTCGTCAAAACGGCCGACACAGCATTGGAAAAAGATGAGGCCCAGAGCGGCGTCAAGGATCTCCTGGTGGTCCTCGTCCTTGTTGAGGGCGTCGCAGAGCGAAGAGATGGTCGAGTACCTGTGGCGCATGATGTCGCTGTCGATCTGCTGCAGCATCTCGGCATCCACATCGCCATTTTGAGTCATCATGGCCTTGTAGTGCTGAGCCGCGATACTCAAGCAGCAGTGCAGGTAGCCCTTGTTGCTCTGCAGGGCGGGTAGGATGAGGTCCGAGCCGACGGATCCGTGCTGATTTGATTCCAGAACAGGGAACAAGGTTGGAAGCACGAACTGGATGAAGTGATCCAGGAGCCTTTGGTCGCTGTCATCAAGCTCAATGGCAACTTGCCTGGTGTCCATTGTAGGGCCGTGAGCGAAGTCAAAGAAGTTGCAGTTCAGGGTCTCTTCAGCCAGCGACTCCCTCCTCTCGAAGTTGACCTGCTCCGTCCACTCGCCATCAATGGGGAATGAGGAAGGAAGCATGGTACCCGGAGGTGGGGGGGTGGTGTAGGTGCTGAAGGTCGATGTTGAGGTCTCCCTCAGGGTGGGCACATCGTTGACAAACATTTGTCGCTCCGTCTTGACGTCTACCTCGTAAGGTGCATAGGGAGACATGCCGCTGAAGACGAAATCCGGGTGCATCTGTGTGTTGTACGCAAATGGTTCGGTGACTTGTGGCGGGCTGTTGAAGTCGAAGCCGAACTGCGAATCAATCGACTGAGACCTCGTGCGATCAAGGGGGTCTGAGAAGGTCGCTGATGTGGGGAGCGAATGCGACAGGCCCGGTGGCGAAGGCATGGAGGTCTGTATTGTGTGTGCATGCGAGTGCGAGGCCTTCTCGGACAGCTTCTTCCTCTTGATGATCATCTTGATGTCGTCCTTGTGCTTCCTGCGTGCATCGTTGTTGCTCCACCACATTGGTCGCTTGTATTCGCAGACGAGGCCGAGATGCTTGCACGCCGAGCACATGGGGGTGCCCTCGTCGCACTTCTTCCTTCGCAGTCTGCAAGTGTAGCAGCCTCCAAGGAAAATTCATGTTAGCCATTGAGTCCTTAATTGTGATGGCCAACACCTGGAGCCCGAGTTGCAGAGTGAGGGCGAAAGAAGTGGCGGACGACCGAGAGACGGCAGGCCAGGAAGGGAAAGCGGCGCCGGTCTAAGTCCCGGAGAGCACACAGATGAGAGGGTCAGAAACATGTGGGAAAAGGGCACAAACCTGTTCTGGAGCGGCGATGCATCTGTGCCTTTTGCTTTGAGGCGGCATTGTTGGTAGCCTTAGGGGCCGATTTGGTCTTTGTTGGCTGTGCGACGGCCATGTTGGCTTGCGATGCTCTCATGAGTTCCTCTCGGTGGTGGTGACCGTTGGGGGGTTGTGTTGACATTTGTATCCTCGGGACCTATTCAAGGCAGGTACCTGCGTGCAGAGGCAATCTCCAGGGGTACCCGGTAAGGGGGGCGTGAGAGTAAAGGGTAGGGGTGGCTGGGGGGTGGGTGTGGACTGTCGACCTTGTTGATCTTCTGGGCCGAGCGAAAGCGGGAGGGTCACAAGCCGGGGTCTCCCAAGTCCTGGTCCAAGTCCAGAAGCTCGCAAATCCGCACTCGCTTCTCACACAAGGCAAGCTCGACGGGACGGTTCGGGGTTGTTGTGCCGAAGAACCAAAGCCCCCAGTCTCTTCGGAGCCAGATACTAGTATTAAGAATTTGACGAGCGATTTTCGTCCGATTGTTTGGTTTGGTTTGTTTTGTTTTCGTATGCGAAAATGATTGACTGGTTGCGAGCAAGTCCGGCTTGCTGTTGACTGGAATTGTTTCGAAAAGGAAAGCCGATGTTGACCGTGTGTTGATAGACCGTGAGGGGGATTATTAAAAGACAAGACAAATACTCTAACTGGACGACACCAAATAACCCATAGACCTTGAACAAGAGAGAAACAAAACGTCGTAGGGCCTGTGATGGATGGCTCAAAAGACTTATAATCGTGGCCATCTCGACGGCCGTGAACCGCTGCTGGCAATGCGGGTTGAGTGAGATTCTAATTTTGGAACTGCCAGCAGCAATGGCACGCTTACCTATCTTTGGACCACATTTCCTCGCCCTACCACAGAGAACCAGGCAGGGCACGCAACTGGCCAGGCTCCTCTGCAGGGCCCATGTACCTAAGCATAGCACAATGGTCCGGAAGTGACCTTGCTCCCCTCATGTGCTCACACGTCAATATGGGTCCTGCGCTTATTGTTGCCAATGAGCGGTCGCCCAGAAGGTCTCACTCGGATGTGGGAGCCAGCATCTGCCCCACCCAGGGATGGCGTTGTCGAGCTCTGGTAGGACGACGGGGACAAGGGGACAAGGGCATTGTACCGCTCGCGATGCCGGCCGATGCAGTTGCGCGACTAAAGAGGCAGCTCTGGCCTGATGGCTGCCCATCAAATCCCACCTATTGGCGCAACTATGCAGAGGTCATGCAGGCCACAAGGAAGCTAACGACGGACGTCCATTGCAATGCATATCTGGCTTACCTGGATCCTGGTTGCCTTGCAGATCTGATCTCACAAGGTTTGGCGCACGACCCCAAAGATGGTCTGGAAATGGCCTGCCCCCGGGCAGCTCGGCCGTACGCGTGCATTGAACTATGGCCTCGCCTTGCTGCGCAGCAGCATGGCACATTGTTGATCGGGATGGGGCTTGGGTGACGGCGCACCACCTGGGGGCGATGTCCATGAACGCTGCACAGCGCAGTCGTGATCATGTAGACTACTGCCGTGCAGGGTGGCAGACAACTCGAGGCGGGACTTTGCCGAAAGTTTGACATCGATGCCCCGCAGGTTAATTCCTCAGAACCACGTAATGGACTCTTGTTGAGTGCGTGCCGGGTCTCACTGGTGTCCAGGGGGGCACGTCGATAGCACATGCTCGAGAAGACACTTGTGGCTGAAAAGTCTGTAGCGCATGTCTCGGGGGAGAGTGAACGGCGAGCATGGCAGGCGTGGGAGCGGACTCGACTCTCATCTGATGATCATCCTCCCGTCACCCCCCTAGACCACACACATCTTAGATTGCACGAACGCAGATGCAGCGAGCCATAGCTTCCCCGACCCCAACGCGCAGCGAGCCCGTTGAGCGATGTGGTTGCATCCGCTGAGGATGGGAGGGGGGGCGGCAGGGTAGGATGGAGCCTATCCGGAAAGACCTGTTGGTAGCCAGGAAGTGTTGCAAGGTATGCTTGAATCCCTCCAAGTGTTCTCGATCCAAACCGTGATGGTGGACTGATCCATGCCAACGTAGGATAGAGTCCGGGCTGAAAACTGTACAGTTCTCTATGTCTTGATGCCCTGCATCCTTCTATCGTCGAACACTGGGTCCACGGTGGGCCGAGCGCGGGTTTAGAGCGCATTGGCTGGGAGCAACCCAGTTGGGAGGCATTCAACATTGTGTTGATCTGGTCGACGATAACTGTACGACTGATACGGTATGTACTGTGCGGCAGAGAACAAGACTAGCTTCTCATGTCTCTGCGTGGAGCGTGTCCGCGACTCGTGAGCAGGACAAGAAGGGGGGTGGGGGACGATGGCGATCCCTGCGAGGTACCCAGCCCACAGACCGTTCTCGGGCGTGGCAGAGGGTGAATTCCGTAGGGAGCCACGACGGTTAGAGGCGTGGACCGGAGGTATTGTTGCCGTGTGGCCGTGTACTCGAGTAACAATGGTGTTACTGGACGACGGCTCGCCTGACGGTTATTCCTGCAAGCAATGCTCGGTTGGGGGGCGGGAGAGGGCTGTACCACAGTAGTGCGCTATGCCGCGCAGATGGCAGGCCGGAGGCAGGGCAGAGGCAGGATGAGATTGGCACCGTTGCACGACGTCAGGGCTGGCTGGCTGGCTGGCTGGCTGGCGCACACGGTGCACACCACACCGGTGAAGGGTGGACGGTTGGTTGAGGTCGGGCTTGGGCTTGGGTCGGGGCGGGTGGTCAGCTCCCATGCAGCATGCGCATTGCAGCTGCGTGCACGGTGCATGCTGGATTGGGAAGGGCTGGACGGGCCAGAGGAGGGGCACGGGGGACAATGGGGTTGCACTTGGTGTCGGGCTGGTGGTGTCGCGGGTGTCGAGGGTTGCATGGCGAGGGAGCGAGATGGAGGAGGATTGGACGAGACGAAGTGACGAGCTGTGGGAAGTGCATGGTGCAGGCAGGTCGATGTAACGCTGGGGTGGGCCGCGCTAGCAGCTTCGGGCCGTTCTTAGATCGGATTGGCTCGAGCGGCACAGGCCTGCACAGCAACCTTCTCCGCAGCCGGCAAGCCTCTGGGCCAATGGCCGTGCAGAAGCGGCATGCAGGCAGGAAGCACGGGCCCGCCTCCCATGGGACGAAAGAGCCAGAGCCCCACCCGGCGGGAAGGAGGGGCCAGGGGCTGGGGTCAAGCTCAGGGACCAGGGGTGCATCTGGCAGCAGGGCAGCAGGGCAGCAATAGCAACTGCTCTCTGCTCAAGGACTGCGAGCTGTGCAAGCTGTGGTGCCACAGCTCTGCAGGTCCGCTGCGAGGCCCACTGGGAGCTTCTTTCCGCAGGGGCACGTGCGACCGCCGCCGACGCGACGGCTGATGAAGGACAAAGTACCTGAGCACCAGACGTCCAGAGCACCACCAGGGCTAGGCCCCCCTGTCTCCAAGGTCCAGCTGCACAGTAGGCGCCTGTGATGCGATGCTTTGCGCGCGCTAAACAAGCGTTCAACAGCTCGGGACCCGTTGCTTGGTCTAATTTTGGCACCCAGAACTGACAGAAGTGACAGGCCGGCGCGAATCGTCGGTGCCCCTGGGCCATCTTGTGCTCTCCTTGTCTCCTACCCGCCCTCCATCGGCGCTTGTGCTCGATCTATTGATCGAATGCTGCAACCCGGCTGCTCAACATCCGCGCATGCTATTAATACACGGCCAATACTAGGTAGTACCACCTGTACTTGGCCCGCCAGACAAGCGCAACCGCCGCTCGGGTCGCCTATGGCGTTACAGCCGACAGGATGCCTTCGGACTCGACATGTTCCGCTAACAATTTCGGATCGCAGCCACTTACTCAGCCTCTGGTCTGCGGTCTTTGCTCTCTGGTCTCCTCCCCGACGGTGGCAGCCACCCTCGGCCCACGGCATGGCCCAGGCTGGCCCTGCCCTGAGGCTGCCGGCCCACCCACTTAGTACGCTTTCCTGCCGCAAGATGCGGGAAAGCTTGCCCTTTCCCACGGCCCAGCTTCCCCCCGACTCCCACGTTACCTCCGGCTCTGGGGGCTGGACGAAGCCGAGATTTTCTTTGGGCTGATCGCATTCAAGCCCCGTCCTTGACTCGCCTGTCCTCCACTCTCCGTGCTCGCCTGGGCAGATCTTCGCCCAGACACGGCGATAGGCTCTATCGTCGTGCACCTAGACAGCTAGTTCAACTCGCATGCGGGAATTCAGAACCCCGTTAGGCCCTCAACACCCACACCGGTCAGCAGCAGATGAGACCCTGCCCCATACCACAATATCGCATATATCCACATTGCTCTCTTCTCGCTCACCTCCCCGCCGTCATTCAAGCCGGCATGCCGGCAATGGGGCTTCACACAACGAGGTCATCGGCACGGACACTTGCTCGCCCTCGGTCCCGTCTCAATTCTACCCCTGATAATCCACACGGGGCTCCCTTGGGCACGAGTGTTGGCTGCTGCTCTTCTCGACGTATGACGTCCACATCACCCACCAATTGCAACCACATTCCCTGTGCTGGTCCGATGGTTGAGTTTGATTGCGGAGGGACGAGCCATGTCGTCCTGTCGTCCTGTCGACCCAACAGCCTACTAAGCTTCGAGCATTGATCAACGCTCAGGCATATGGCCTTCCTATCACCAGTCTCATTTATGGCAAACTTCTTTTTTCCCCTTTTCGGAGGGGGTGTACTCGTATACGCGTCTCTGGTTCTGGAATTGTCAGCCAATAGTCGATGTGATGCGTGATGTCCAGGACCAGCCTTGCAGCCGTCGACGGCTCGATCAGGCGTTATCTTGGCTCAACGCAATGAGATGGTTGCTGACTATGCCTGAACAAGTCAGGCTCACATATGGGGAAGATCCCGGAGATGGTGTCGTCGCCTTGTCATTCGGCTAGGCTAACGCATTTTCCATCCATTCAAGACACCCAGTCCCATCTTCGTCAGCAGCCAAGAGCGAATCCGCAATGGGGAGCAATACACTATCTGGCCAGATGCAGTCATGACAAAGCAATGAGTCTGAAGGACATGAATCATGCTCGAGCCTTGGTCAATTCCCGAAGGAGCGAATGCGATCCACGGACCACGAACCCTTCGTGGTGCCCCGGATACCATGTATCCATTCTCTTTTGCATGAACCCTCCCACCCAAGGAAGCCCCTGGGCACTCTAGAGCCACCTGCTATCAGGCGGGCTGCTGATGAGAAGGTGCGGTTCCCAGTAGTCTAGTGTCCCAGTCTTTGCTACGACTGTGACGCCTGGCTGGAATCTGGCATTACAGTTACTATGGTTACGATTCCCGGCTTCCCACTCGGGCCATCTGGAGATCATTGCTGCATCCCCATTACGCGGGATCCGGGGTTGCTTCGTGCCCAAACCGTGGGTCAGTGCGCGCCATGCAGCACAGGGTGGTGAAGCGAGATATGCCCCTGGGGTTGTTGGTGTCAACGGCCCTCATACCCCGTGGTCAAGCAATTTTGCCTTGGACTGCTCATATCCCTTGAAGCGACTCGACTCTACTGGCAGCCACGGAGGGGTGTGGCACACACACCTTCTCGTGAAGGGTCAAGGGTGGCGACGGGGCAAGAGCTGGCATGGGGCCTACAATCATCCCATAGCATCCAGCCTGGGGGACGATCTTGCCAGATGTGGATTTGCATCAGTTGCATGGTTTTAGTGCTGCCGCGGGAACCCTCGCTTGCCATCATGATTGAACCTGTCTCTCTGCGTGGGAGTGGGTTCTCATCAATCAGAGTGGACTGTCATCAAACGCCAAACGAATGGTGTGTCCCTGAGTCAACCATACAGTACGCTCCGGGTAGGCTCATTGGCCTCGCATTCTGTCATCATCATGTGAGGCAGACCAACAGACCCTCATGGCCACAACAGATGTCTATGTCGTCTCCATTGTGGACATTTGCCGCATACATCTGCACCTCAGGCTTCTTTGTGCCGGCAAGCAACTTGATGGTGTGGGTTCATAACAAGACCCTTCCAGTCCACTTGCCTCATTCGGCACGGGAGTGAACCTATCAGTCGCCTGAGTGGGTCCTGTCAACTTTTTGTGACGGAGGATCGGTCCTCACCGGTCTAAGCGGCTGAACAAGCAGATCGAGGAAAACTTCTTGCGGAGTCGGGCAAGGGTGACAAGAAAAAAAATTCATCCTGCGGTCTCTGGTGGGAACAGTTTCTCCAGGATTTCTGTGTGTATGTGGCTTTGTGGGCCGCTGATGACAGATGGCCAAATGCCGGAGACGAAATACGATCGAAATCTGACCGCCATCGCCGTACATAGTACGCAGCACAGGGCCGAAGCGAAACGTGGGTCGGTGCCCGCCCGAGACAACGACGCCGTTCTGGTCCCCGTGGGTTCGGGCACGAAAGCAGGCAAAGATGCCCAAGGTGAATCAAGGTCTTACACCACGTGTGACACGAGTGAAGTTTTCTCGAATGGATCGAATTGTCGGTGAGCAGCGGAACATTGCGAGCTGAGGCGGGGGTTTCGGTGGTCGTCATCGTCCTCTGGGCTCCTGGTGGCTGGGCGGACGGCGGACCTGGCCTACATGCAGTCAAGCGGTCGACGGCTTATTTCACGATTTCACGATTGCATCGTGCAGCGAGCAGGAAGCCTGCATATTAATTGTGGGACAAGGGTGGCAATCGCGGGCTGGGTGACGGGAGAAAGCGAATTCGCAGCTTGCCCTGCTTGCTCGTCGACAGCCACGCACACGCATCCACGCTCTCCTTCCAGTTCCACCTGCAGGAGGGAAATGATTGCTAATGCGCCCCGCGAAGAAGTATCCCGAAATGACACGAGCCGATCTCTTGCGGCTGATACCGAGTCTGACGATAAGATGGCCAAAGAGATATGCATCTCCATTGAGTATGCTTTGCAGAATGCCTGAATGCAAGCACTCCGACAGGCATCAATTAATGAAAGAGTGATGCTGTGTGATAAACCCCTCGCATATGCAGCTGCACCCAGAGTTCCTTGCGGAAGCGGACCGAGTGACACCTGCATAATTTGCCAACTGTGGGTTATCGACCAGGTCTCCCAAAAGTGAGGCTTGACCAAGCAGCCAAGGTAAAGCTCAAGCCCTACCACAGTACACGGCCTGCGGGTTGGCCGCAGACATAGCGTCATTCCCCCATGCCTTGCCTGCAGCTGGACAGGCACACAGGCACACAGGCAGGCAGGCAGGTGGGCAACTGGGGTGACCTCGGCGACCCGTTATCTGGCCCCAGACTTCAGCTCTCGTCGCGGGCCACAGAAACGGCGTTACACAAGGTCATGTGGCCCCAAGGCATGGTCACGATGTATGCCGAGGATCGAGTCCATTGGGGGGTGAGTGCAAGGAGCGGGAATGAGCAAGATCGCCTGGTCTCCATTCCTGGACACAGCTCCCGGGCGAGCCCGTCTCAAACGGGGGTCTCGACTCGACGGGACGAATGGCGAACGCCCAAAGTTCCCACAAGGGCAAAATCTTGCTCGACTAGGGGCCGCTGTGGGAGTTCTCGAGAGGAGAAGGGGGATCCACGGCAGGCCGAAGCTAGGCTTCCCGAGGACAAACAGGAAAACCAAAGACGGATATGGGGGACGACCGAGTGGTGTAATCGGCCGCTTGCTCTGTCAGTCTGTGGCGGGCCCCCATGATGTGACGATCGAGACCCTTCTTTTCCCGCGCTCGCCAGCGGCCGTCGCACATCCTTGGACGGTGGACGGTTCGGCCACTGCCTGCTAGCGGATACTGTGAGACCCATGCAATAATATGGTCAGGGAACACAAGATGAGGGGAAGCGTCGAGCAGAGAGTCATGCAGTGCTAGCCGAAGCAAATCCTCCCGTATTGCCGTCCTCCTTCTCACTCCATGGCCGTGCTAAACCCCACGCAAGCCACAGCTTATGCCGCATGCAAGCTTGCAAGCTTGTCAACCCCGTCCTGCGTTGAGAGTGTTCGCAAGGAAGCTGTGTCACCCATCCTTCCGGGAGACAGCTCGCAACAAGACTAAAACTGGGGGAGGTTAACCCTTGGGGTCGCAATGCAGTTGACTGACAGGCGTACAGACATGAGAGGGCAGAGCGGTCGTTACTCGGCCTTTCAGCCATTCATCCATTCATCCAGCCAGTCCGGGAAGAGGCGGCTCTCCCCAGCAGCCACACCTGCGAGACAACAGGACAATCGAAGAATGAACAATGGGCCTGCAGGTCGTGGTGATAGTGAAGAGATGCATGGAGGCACACAGGCACACCCTCTTCCTCGGGGCCCGCGGTGGATACCCCTCAATCCTTGCCCTGGCTTCCTCAACGTCGCATTCTATCTCAGCCCCCGGACCCTGGCAGCCTGGCATGACTGTCCCTTGTCCCCACGCTACGTGCCCAAAGGCGAGCAAGGCGAGGACTCCCATGCCTCGCTCCCGCCCAATGGGCAGAGGTCAACGGCCGGCGCTTGCAAGTAGCCAATCACGGAGATGACCTCCCCAACCTCCACGCCAATCACCACCCAGAAGAAGCAGCTCGCAGCTTTCACGGCCGTCGCTGTCGCTGCTGCTCCCTGATGCCCGACTTTGCAGCCAACCAGGCCCGCGATGCTGGCCCGCTTGCCGCTGCAAGACGGCCTTGACTGGCCCCGACTCTCGCAATGGATCTGCCAAAAATATACTGCACACGCACTATGGCACCACCGCCTGGTGCTCGTGGAGGGTGGCCCTGCCCTGTCAGTGCCTGTCCTGGCCTCCAACCTGCCATGCCATGCCATGGCCCATCACAACTGAGAAGCGAGAAGCACACACTGCCGGCCTGGCATGCGGAGGACCGGTCTAGCGAGAGGAAGGCCCTTTTCCTGCCCTCGTTTCCGCCCCTCTCCACCTCGCGTGGACTCATGTACCATCTGCTCACCGATGCTGCGCCGGGCTACCTCTCCTCACCTCTTCCCACCCGCCCCACCGCGCCGCTCTATTTGTTCGAAACCCTCTTCTCTGCCCGCCATCACACCTGTGACCGGCCGTCCTCGTGCATATGCCGCTCGCTGTGAATCTTCTCACACAAGCGTAGTCTTGTCTCGTCCTGCCATACATAACCTCCTGTAGGCGCCCGCCCAAACAAGTCGTCGTCCGACCCTTTTCCTGGTTTGCGACCTTTGTTAGATTATACGAGCATAGCGGGAGATTTCCTTTCAGTGTTGCTGGCAGCGACCATATCAATGCGAACAGGCACTTTTTCCTACTGTCAACCAAATACAAGAACCTGCGCTGGCAACAGCATCCCGGACCGATCCCAACACACAAGCACACCATCCAGCCAACCTCCGGCACCGAGCACCGGGGCCACCAAAAATGGTGAGTGGTACAACATCTGGCCCGGAGCAGTAGCCCCAGAGCACACAACAGATCGCTGACATGGTCCCACAGGAATTCGCCTCAAGGCATGCCATGGCCGAGAGGCCCCATCGCGAAATGATGGAGAAGTCTCATATTCGCGAAACTTTCTTCTCAGTCAAGAATGTGCCGCCACCGCGACCAGACTCGGTGCACACCGAGTTTATGGAGACAGACTGGGAGGAAGATGACATCCTAAGCGAGTTGGACGACGGTGACTCGTCTCCACGTCTGAGTCTCGACTCTGTAAGTACCTTGCTGTGCCCATGCCAGCCCTTGTTGGCTTGCCAATCCATCCTGGAGTCTGGCTCCTGACGCAGAATTTTGAAATAGTCGAGAGGCGGACCTAGTATGACAACTCTGTCGACGTACGATGAAATTCGCACCCCTGAGCAGCGGTCAATTGCACGGTTTGAAATGGGACCCGACCCTATTAAACCCATTGTCGGCCCAAGAGGACCTCACCTGTTCCGCAGTTCCATCAGCAGTGCGAACTCGGTCGAGTACGAGAATGCGCTTTCGCTGTCGCCGATCACGCCAAAGGTGTTCAACCGAGAGGCCAACTACCAAATGCCCATCACCCTGGATCTGGATCTACCGACGCCGAGGGCCCCTCGCGACGGGCCATTTCAGTTTACGAGCCGGGAGCTGGAAACCAAGAGCTTAGCGCAGTGGTCCCCGGAAATGGTGGCACAGTGGATGCTCAATGCTGGCGTTGAGTTGCAGTTCGCGGAGACGTTCGTCGAGAATGATATTAATGGCGCGATTTTGATCACCTTAAAGTTCGAGGATCTGAAGGAATTGGGCATCGCCTCCTTTGGCGTGAGGACCAAGATCTGGGAAGAGATCCACGTGATGAAGGACATACGAGCTGCCCCGCCCGACCCTGAGACACCCATAGAGGACGAGCCGAGCAGGGAGGTCAGGAGGGAGGAGAGGAGGCGCGACAAGCAGGAACATGGCGGTGAGTTGAAGCGTCGTCAAAGCAGTCGCAGGCGCAAGCAGTCTCACAATGAGGACACGATCCGGCCCGGGGAGTCTGTGTCCATCGTGGGCATTGAGCAGGTCATGCCCAAGCCGCATCACTGCTCGAAAGGCGAGAACTGTCGCAAGTGGCGGAAGCAACAAAGAATGATCGAGGCGTTCAAGAACGACCATCCTTTCGTTAACATGGACAGCGGCGGCGTCATCATGGTTGCTGGTGACCCTGGCAATCCAGAGACTGCCCGAAGGATCGAGCCCGATGAGGACGTTGTCTTCCGCCCAGTCTCAGACGCCGTGCCTTCGGTCGTGGCCTCTTCAGACGTTATGGGCACAGAGGGGCTGCCTCCCCTGCAATACCTGCAGCAGGCCACCCTGCGCAACGCCCAAGAGCAACAGAAGCGCGACAATGTGCGCCAGTTTCTTGAGCTGCAGAACACCACCTCCTCAAGTGAGGTTCCACCGACCCCACCGTTTGAGATGCTTCCTCCTCGGAAGGCACCTCACGGGGGTCTTCGATCCCTTTCGAAGCTGGCCATCCCGACCCAGCCCAACCGTTCACGCCCCGTCGAGGATATACCAGAGTCCGCGTTCCCCGGCTCGGCGTGTCCTGGCTCGGCACATCCTTCCTCTGCGCACCCTTTCAGCCAGCCTTCGCAGCCCTCGTTCGCGGCGCAACAACGCCAATTCTCCCTGCCATCGCCATCCCCATCGCCGGACTCTCGTTCAAATACACCCAATGGCGTCTACCGTTTCGGAACGCCCTTCTCAGAGATGGACGTCCCGGTTACTGCTGTACCTATGGGACCCATCCCCCGAGACACATCTCAGTCCGTCCCCCCCGAGATGAACTACCACTCGGCCTCCAACCCACCACCACGCTCTCTATCACGGTCCACCTTCCGCAGGCGCTCCTTCTTGACCATGCCTCCCGTGGACGAGAATCACGCGACCCAGGTCGCAAATCACCGCCGTATCCCCTCTCCAATCACCACATCAGAGACGTCCCCTAGGTCTAAGCAGCAGCGGCCACTCCAGCCTCCGCCCCGGGTACAGTGGCCTTGGTCGCCGCCAGCCAGCGCTCGGCAGTTCGAGACGGCCATCGCCCCCTTGCCCAAGGGCCCTGGCAGTAGCTCATCAGGCAGCAGCCGCAGCAGCAGCGGGCAGCACACGCCCAACAGCAGCGTGTCGTCGACCACCAAGATCGGCTCCCCGCTGGGCGGCCACGCCAAGGACCCCAACAACTACCAGTACCAGGGATACATGAAGAAGCGCAAGACCAAGATGCTCCGCCACGAGTGGCACGAGCACTACGTGACGCTCAAGGGGACGCGGCTCGCGGTCCACAAGGACCACGAGGCCGTGGACAAGACGCTCGAGTACGTGGACGTGGACGACTACGCGATCGCGTGCTCGTCGATGGCGACGACGTCCAAGCTCAACGCGGCCTTCAAGGCCATGAGCATCCGCAAGGACAAGGGCATCAGCAAGGAGGACATCGCCGCCTTCAGCTTCCAGCTCATCCCGCAGGGCGACATCTCCAAGGGCGGCCTGCCCCGCCTGCGCAAGAGGGAGAGTTCCATGAGCGGCGTCACCGGCCGCCACCAGCGCAACGGCAGCTGGGACGGCGCCATGGAAGTCGGGGACGCCTCGGGGCCGCCTCCCCCGCCCGAGGCCGTCAACGGCACCGGCAAGACGCACCACTTTGCCGTCCGCAGCCGCGACGAGAGGATCGACTGGATGCGGGAGCTGATGCTCGCCAAGGCGCTGCGCCAGAAGGGCGAGGGCTTCGAGGTCAGCGTGAACGGCAACATGATCTAGGCGCGCTAATAAGCACATGCGCGCCTTCCTTTTTGATGATGAATTTACGAACATGGCGGCTTATCTGCATTTTCAAGGGCGTTTTGGGCATCATGACTTTTGTTTACTTCTTCTTTTACTCCGCTCAGGTTCTCCTGCTCCTCTTCTCTTCCGATTTCGTTTCCTCCTCTCACTTATACCACAATCAGATACGACACGATACCGATGATACCTTGAATGTTTTGCTCTTTTTGAAAATTTTCTTGTATTCTCAGGAGATGTAACGGCGCAAGCCCATAGTCTGGTGTGTGAAGGGCTTATGTGCCGAAATGGAAGAATTGTTGACAGTGTTGATTTGGGTTGATAGTTGCAGGAGAGGAGAGCAAGAAGATGAAAGAGAGATGCCGAGAGACAGGCCGATGATCGCAAGACGAACAAAAACGACAGAATTGAGGATAGGTAGCTAGCCAGCCAGCTTTTGTTGTTTGGTGGTGAGACTTTGCCAACAAATAGGTACCACACTCCTTCAATGGGATGGCCATCTGATAGCAACTGGAGTCTCGTCTAATTAATTTTCATGCGTACATTCGATCCTCTGAGTGACTTTTTGCACTCGAAACATTAATTGCGAGCGCCTCACTGAGGGAGCCATTATGTGAAGACCTGGTGACTTGTTCGAGCTTGAGACGATGCTAACGCATGCGTGAGGCACAGGTGAGGCTGGTGATTATTTTCGATGCTGGCTCACCGTCCACGCGGGCGCCTCCTACTCTCCACACCAACGTACATCCTCTAGACCCAGATCCAGCCAATAAGTTATTTGTGCTCGCTATGGTGGCCCCATAATAGTGGATTAGGTATTGCGTGTCAAATACCCCGAGGTCGTATCAATGTTACTGCATCGCATCGACAGCTCTGTTCCTCAGTGCCCATCACGACTTTGTCATCTCTTTACCTGACGTTGCAGCGAAAATGACACCCTCAGATGGTAACGCTGAGTTGGCCTCGGCGATAATCAACTGGACACTTTACGATGATCGATCAGGTCGCATCCACCCGCACGAGCCACTAGAGCGTTACGCCCCAGGCGGCTTCCATCCTGTAGCCTTGGGGGATACGTTCAAGGACGGCCGTTATATTGTCCGACACAAACTGGGATATGGTGGCTGCTCAACAGTGTGGCTTGCCTCAGACGAGCAGGGCTCCGCCCGCCGTTATGTGGCCATCAAGATCAAGAGTAGCTCATCATCGGAGATGGGTATTGATACAGACCCGGAAGTTCTGAGGCTGGAAAAGCTAGAGGAGCACTACCTCAAAGGCCCACAAGACAGGCCCAGGCCATATGCACAGCTGCTGGACTACTTTGATATTCAAGGTCCTAATGGGTGCCATAACTGCCTTGTCACAGAGCTGCTTGGCCCATCGTTAGCAAGTGTGCACTCCTTGTATGGACAGCTCACACAGGTGTTGCGGCCCGAAACTATCCTGCGAGCTTCCAAACAGCTGCTTCAAGGAGTGAACTTTATACATCAGGCCGGATTGTTTCATGGAGGTAATTTCATTCCTTTTTGGTTTGTAACTTTTAACAAGGCTAATAAGCATGACACATCTAGATATTTCCGCTGGCAACGTCACCTTTACTTGCCACTCGCTGCTAAACGATGAGGATGACGACTTTTTAGACCTGGTAAGCGAGGTATATACAGCAAACCCATGGCCCGACAAGCTCCTGCCACCACATCTCCCCAAACAATTGGTGCAGACCATGAAGTGGAACAACTGGGAAGACGAGACAGAGGAAGACATCCGCCTTGTTGACTGGGGTTCTGCCTTTCCAGTTGGTGAGACTCTGCCAGTAGAGGCTATGGCACAGCCAATTGACCTTCGATCACCCGAGACATTTTTTATCGGCAAATTCGACTACCGCCACGACATATGGCGAGCTGGGTGTGTGATGTTTGTGCTATTCTACCAACGACCTCCATTTTTCGTTGTCTTGCCTGACACCTATTTCTACCTATTACGGATGAGAGAAAAGCTTGGGCCCCTTCCGGAATCTTGGCTTCCTCACCTCGCCGAACTACGCAACGAAAGTGTATATGCGGAACGAGATGGTGAGTGAAAAAGAACCAGCAATATCTCCGCATTGACTCATCAAGACAAAAGCTTTGAATCTGACACTTGATCACAGACGGACGAGAGGATCCTGATGCGGACGAGTCAGAATTGATTTGTGATACGTTTGAGCCGCGGCGTCAAGCAATCATCGCAGAATTTACCTCTGGTGACGAGAAATATGATGATCCTGATGAGCACACCGAGTACGACTTTGAAGCCTTGAAGTCGCTCCAACGCCCTATCATCGCTTTACTCCAATATCAGCCCAGCAACCGCGTGACAGTAAAGGATGCCATGGGAATGATCGAATGGGTTGATAATCGTAGAGAAAAAGAGGGTGGCGATAATCATGATGGGGAGAAGGACGAAAATGGGACGGGAGACCAAGGGGATAATGTGGGGGAAGACAGCCTGAACCAGCTGTTCTTGAATGATGAACAACGCAAATGATAGATGTCATGGACAAATAGACAACTTTTACCAGTTTGACTACTTTTTGTCGACTCGTACAGGCTAAATCCCGTGCGATGAAGCCACCGCCAGCATTTCTTACCGCTTTGGGTCCCGTATGTTCCGAAAGAGGTGCCGGAGTCCTTTCTGGTATCTTGGGCGTTTGGGCATTTACCACTGTATGAGGGACCACATATACCTGCGGGAGTATACGGATTTAGAACGAAACCAATTGATAAGGAGAAGCTTCCCTACCAACACACGAGCTCCGTGGGCAAAGGCTGTGGACCGTAAGGGGACCGCGGGACCATAAGGTAAGCGCACCGTGAATAACAGGTGTCTATATAGCATTGGAGGCCTTAGTCTAACCAGGCGAGCATGGTTAGCACCGGACGGGCGGGTTGGACGGACGTTGCCATACGGTAGAGAAACGGTAGGCAGCCCCGGAGGCCGGGGCTTGGCGCGGCCGTCCGTCCTCCGTAGCCACCGGTGGGGAGGCCAATGCGGTGACGATAAGTTGTCTATTAATTGTGGCAGGCTGGACGAAGTGAGTGATGGTGGCTATTATATATAGCCGAGTAAAAAAGGAGTAAAAATATATAATACTAGGTATTTACTAGTTATTACTAACCTAACTATTAATTAAATAATTATAAATTTAATTAAAAAAAATAAATAAAATTCTATATTTTTTTATATTTATAATAATATATATATAAAAAAATAAAGTTATATTTTATATTATAAATTTTAAAAATTTAAGTTTATTTAAATATATATAAATATATATTAATTAAAAATTTAAAATTATTAAAATAATTAATTTATTATTAATTTTTATAAATTAATAATTTTAATTAAAATTAATTAATAATTTTTAAAAATTTAAAATATATTATTATAATTAATAATAAAAATAAATTTAATTTTAATAATTAAAAATTAAAATAAAATAATAAATAAAGTTATTTATTAAATAATAATAAAAATATTATTAATTTAAAATAATTTTTTATTTAATTAAAATTAAAGTAATTTATTATTTAATAAAGTTTTAAATTTTTAAATTTAAATATTATTTTAAATAAATTAATAAAACTTAAAATACTTTTATTTAATAATTTATTTATTAATTATTAAATTAAAAGTTTTTAATTTAATAATTTATAAAATAAATTATTAAAATTTATATTTATATTATTTATATTATTAAAATTTAATATAAATAATATTATAATATAATATTATAAAAATATTTATATATTATATAAAATTTAAATTATAAACTTTAAATTTTAATTTTTAATTAAAATTCTTTTATATATAAATAATAAACTTTTTTATAAATAAATATTATTTATAAAATTTATTATTTAATTATTTTTAAATTTTTAAATATTATATAAACTATTTATTTTTTAATTCTATTATTAAACTAAAATAAATAATTAAAGTTTTAAAAAATAAAATATAATATATTTTTTAAAATTAACTTAATTAAATTTATTATATAAAACTTTTATAATAATTTTATAATTATTTATAATATTATTTATTATTAAAAGATATTTTTATATTAATATATTAAGTTATATTAATTTAAGTTAATATTATTAGTTTATTAAAGGTTAAAATTATTATAAATTATAAGTTAGTTTAATATTAATAAATATTATATATAAATATTAAAATTTACTATATAATTTAAGTCTTTTAAATATAAATTAGTTAAAATAAGTAAAAATAAAGTTATTATTTCTTTAACTAAAATTCTAACTTTATTTAAATAAATATTTATTAAGTAAAACTACTTAAAAGTAATTACTTAGCTTATTATATAAACTAAGAAATAATTAAATAAGGTAACTATACTTTATTACTACTTTAAGTTTATAATTTTAATAGTTTATAAATAAAAGAAAAATAATTATTAATAATTAAATTTATAATTATATAAAATAAATCTTTATTTTAAAAAAGTTATTAATATTTAAGATAATTAATATATTTTTAAAAAGTTAAAAATTATAAGTTTAATTTAAAAGAAATTAAAATTTATAAAATTTTTAAACTTAAACTTAAAAGGTTTAATTTAATATTTATATTTATAAAAATAAAATATTTATATAATTTAAAAAAGTTTAAATTAAGTTAAATTAAATTATAATAAAAGAAATTAATTAAATAAAATTAATTAAAAATTATAATTATAAGTTTTTAACTTTATATTAAAAGGGTTTAAATATTATATAATCTTTTATTTTTTAAATATAAAATTAAAAGTTTATAATTATAATTTTTAAATTAGTTTTATTTAATTAATATATATTATTATAATTTAATTCAATTTTTAACTTTATTTAATTTTTTAAAACTTTTTAATATTTTTTTAAAAAGTTAAATTTAAAAGTTTTTAAATTTAAGTTTAAAATATTTATAAATTTTAATTTATTTTAAATTAAATTTATAATCTTTTAATCTTTTAAAAATTATATTTATTATTTAAAATATTAATAACTTTTTTAAAATAAAATTTATCTTTATATAATTATAAATTTAATTATTAATAATTATTTTTATTTATTTATAAATAATTAAAATTATAAATTTAAATAATAAAATATAATTATTTTATTTAATTATATTTTAATTTAATAAATTATATAATAAATTAACCTTTTAAATATAAAGTTAAAAATTTATAATTATAATTTTATAATTAAATTTTTATTTAATTATAAATTATAAATTATTTATATTTTTTTAATTTTATTATTAAGTTAAAATAAATAATTAGAATTTTAAAAGAATAAAATATAATATATTTTTAAAAATTAACTTAATTAAGTTTATTATATAAAACTTTTATAATAACTTTATAATTTATTATATTTATAATACTATTTATTATTAGAAAATATTTTTATATTAATATATTATATTATATTAGTTTAAGTTAATATTATTAGCTTATTAAAGGTTGAAATTATTATAAATTATAAGTTAGTTTAATATTAGTAAGTACTATATAAGTATTAAATTTACTATATAATTTAAGTAAATATAAGTTAGTTAAAATAGATAAAGATAAAGCTATTATTCCTTTAATTAGGTTTTAACTCTATTTAAGTAAATACTTATTAAATAAAACTATTTAAAAATAATTACTTAATTTATTATACTATTAAATTAAAAGATAATTAAATAAGGTAATTATACTTTATTATTTAAGTTTATAATTTTAATAACTTTATTATAAATAAAAAATAGTTATTAATAATTAAATTTATAATTATATAAAAATAGACTTTACTTTAAAAAAGTTATTAATATTTAAAATATTTAATATATTTTTAAAAGGTAAGGAATTATAAATTTAATTTAAAATAAATTAAATTTATAAGAATTTTAAATTTAAATTTAAGGTTTTACTTTAATATTTATATTTATAGAAATAAAAGTATTTATATAATTTAAAAGGAGGTTTAAATTAAATTAAATTAAATTATAATAAAAAACTAATTAAATAAAAATTAATTAAAAATTATAATTATACTTTTTTAACTTTATATTAAAGAGGTTTTATTTAATTATATTATATTATTATAATTTTATTTAATTTTTAATTTTATTTAAATTTTTTAAAATTTTTTAATATTTTTCTTTAAGAGAGTTAAATTTAAAAAAGTTTTTAAGTTTAAATTTAAAATTTTATAAAATTTTAATTTCTTTTAAATTAAATTTATAATTTTATTTTTTAAAAATATATTAATTATTTTAAATATTAATAATTTTTTTAAAATAAAGATTTATTTTATATAATTATAAATTTAATTATTAATAATTATTTCTTTTATTTATAATAAAGTTATTAGAATTATAAACTTAAATATTATATATAATAATAAAATATAATTACTTTATTTAAAAGTTATTTTTAATTTAATAAATTAATTAAATAACTATTTTAAAATAGTTTTATTTATAATATAATAAAGTTAATAAATAAATATTTACTTATAAAATAAAATTAAAACTTTAATTAAAAATAATAACTTTATTTTTATTTATTTTAATTAACTTATTTAAATTATATAATAACTTAATATATAATATTTAATAATATTAAAATTAAGTAGTTTATAATTTATAATAATTTTAATTTTTAATAAATTAATAATATTAATTTAAATTAATATAATTTAATATATTAATATAAAAGTATTTTTAATAATAAATAATATTATAAATATAATAAATTATAAAATTATTATAAAAGTTTTATATAATAAACTTAATTAAATTAATTTTTAAAAATATATTATATTTTATTTCTTTAAAATTTTAATTATTTATTTTAATTTAATAATAAAATTAAAAATTATAAATAGTTTATATAATAAATTAAACAATTATTTTTAAATAATTTTATTTAATAAATATTTATTTATAAAATAAAATTAAAATTTAAAAATATTAATATTTTTATTTTTATTTATTTTTATAAATTATTTATACTTTTAATTTTATTATTAAATTAAAATAAATAATTAAAGTTTTAAAAAATAAAATATAATATATTTTTAAAAATTAATTTAATTAAATTTATTATATAAAACTTTTATAATAATTTTATAATTATTTATAATATTATTTATTATTAAAAATACTTTTATATTAATATATTAAATTATATTAATTTAAGTTAATATTATTAATTTATTAAAAGTTAAAATTATTATAAATTATAAGTTATTTTATTTTAATATTTATAAATATTATATATAAAATTATTATATAATTTAAGTATAAGTTAGTTAAAATAAATAAAAATAAAGTTATTATTCCTTTAAAGATTTTAATTTTATTTAAATAACTATTTATTTATTTATTTTATTATATTATAAATAAAACTATTTAAAATAGTTATTTAATTTATTATATTATTAAAATAAAATATAATTAAATAAAATAATTATATTTTATTACTACTTTAAATTTATAATTTTAATAAATTTATTATAATTAAAAAAATAATTATTAATAATTAACTTTATAACTATATAAAGATAAACCTTTATTTTAAAAAAGTTATTATTATTTAAAATAATTAATATATTTTTAAAAGGTAAGGAATTATAAATTTAATTTAAAATAAATTAAATTTATAAAATTTTAAATTTAAGTTTAAGGATTTTAATTTAAATTTAATTTATTTAAAAAATATTAAATAAATTTAAAGAAAGGTTTAAATAAAGTTAAATAAAGTTATAATAATATAATATAATTAAATAAAAACTAATTATAAAATTATAATTATAAATTTTTAATTTTATATTTAAAAGATTATTTATTTTTATTAATTTATTTTAATTATATAATATATTTAATATTTATAAATAATATTTATTAATATTAAATTAAATAATTAAAAATATAATAGTTTTAATTTTTAATAAATTAATTTATATTAAAATTAATAATATTAATTTAAATTAATTAAATATTATTTAAAATATTAATATAAAAATATTATAAATAATTATAAAATTATTAAATAATATTTATATAATAAATTTAATTAAATTAATATTTAAAAATATATTATATTTTATTTTATAAAATTTTAATTTTTATTTTAATTTAATATTAAAATTAAAAATATAAATAATATATATATATATATATATATATATATATATTAATAAAACTTTATTAAATAAATTTATAAAGTTTAATATTAATAATTATAAACTTTTAATAATATAATAAAATATAATAAAAATAAAAATTTAAAGTTTTTTATAAAATAATTATAAAAATATATTAAAAATTATTAAAATCTTTATTATAAGTATATATATATAAGTAACTAAGAGCCCTACTAGCTACCTACTACTTAATTATCTAGTATAACCTATTTACCTATACTTTTAAAACTTAAACCTTCCCTTTATAATCCCTTTAAACCTTTCCCTTTATATAAAAGGTAGTACTATCTTAATCTAAATTAATATATTAAAGATAATTACTTTATCTTTATTTCCTCTTTTATAATATTTATATATAAATTTTTTAAAAAAATTATAAAATATAAAAGAATTTATAATATAAATAAAATATATTTATAATAAAAATAAAATATAGAAATATTTTTAAAAACTTATTAATATTTTTAATTTATATTTATTTAAATAAAAACTTTTTTATTTTATTTTATAAATTTATAAATAATTATTATTATAAATTATTATATATAAATTAATAATTATTTTTTAAAATTTATTTTATTATAATTAAATTTTATTAAATTTTAATTATTAAATTATTAAATAAAATTATTATAATATTTTATAAATATTATAATAATTTTAAAATATTAATAAAAATTATTATAATTAAATAAATTTATTTTTAATTAAAATTATTATTAAAAATTATATTATTAAATATAAAATTAATAATAAATTAATTTTAATTTTAATTTTAAAATATATATAATATAATAAATTATATTTAAAATAAATAAATTTAATTAAAAAATTAATATTTAATAAAGTTTTAAAATTTTAAAATAAAATAAAAATAATTAATAAAATAATAAACTTTAATAAAATTATAATATAAATAAAATATTAAAATTAAAAAATTTAAAATAAAATTAATAATATATTATTATTAATAATAAAATTATAGGAATAATAGGCTATAATAGATTAGCTACTATAAGTAAAATTAGTAGGTTCGTGCCTACACATAAACTACTAAGCTTAGTTAGTAGGTCTAGCTAACCCAACTAGGCGCTTTACTGCTTAGCTAGGTAGACCTTTAATTAACACTAATATATATTACTTTTACCTATTTATATATAAATAAGTTAACTAATACTAATTAATTACTAACTAACTTCTAACAATAAGGTATTTAAAGTTATTATTAAAGCTATCTATAAATATTTATAGGTACTATAATTTAAAAAAAATAAAATTATTTATAAATACCTATAGGTATAATTAATTAAATAGAACCCTTTTATTAAATAAGTCTTATAACTTTAATAACAACCCTCTCACTCTTTTATAATATATTAGAAGAGATTTAAAACTATAAATATCTATAGTAACTCTCCTCTTAAATTAATTAATCCCTTTTATAATCAATAATTCAAGCCTACCTACTTATTAAATTCTTAAAGTAATGTTTAACTATCTACCTACCAATCCATTTAGCAGCTCATTTAACGCCCCACTAGCCCACTTTATATCACTTAAATAAGTAATTAAATAAGTAATTAAGTAAATAAGTAAGTAAACCCTTTTTATAACAACCCTCTCTCTCTTTTATAATATATTAGAAGAAGTATTAAACTATAAATACCTATAATAACCCTTATTATCTATTAAATAAAACCTTTTATAGTAACTATAATACCTATTAACTAACCTATTACCTACTTATAATATAATAATACCTATAAACCATTTAAGTTATATATAACCTTTAAAAAGTATATTAATAATATTTATTAAAATCTACTAACCTAAACTAAATATTTATATTAACTTAAATTTTTAATTATATAAATAACTATTATAAAGATTATTTAGTATATTACTTAAAAGGAACCTATAACCTATAAGTTTTTATAAATTCTTTAATATATTAAAACTAACTTTAATTATAATTATTTTATTAAATTTAATAAACCCCTTTACTATAACTTTTAAAAGTACTTTAAAAATTAAAACTTTATAAGAATTAAATATAAAGTTCTCTAAAAGCTTTAAGAGTACCTCTACTATAATAGTATATATATTAGAAAAAAGGAGAAAATATTAAAGACCCTTATTAACCTTAATAGAATCCCCTAGCTAGATAATAACTACTAATTCAATCTACTTAAATAACCTTAAAATAAATTTAAAAAAGTAACCTTTTACTTACTCTTAATAATATATAAAAAATAAAAGTAATAAAAGTAACTACCTCCTTTTAAATTAAAGTTAAAGTTAATAGCCTTTAAGCTATTTAAACTTAGGCTTAAGCCCCTTATAAATAGTAGCTTTACTAGCCTTAATAGTGGCAATAGTAGCGGTTTTAATAGCTTCACCCCAACTTATTAATTTAAGCCTAACTAAGAAAACTATATTACTAGTAGAGATAAAGACTATAAGGAAAAAAAGAATTACTACTTAAATAAAGGTAGATTAAACTTTACTTTAAATAAAGACTTTAACCTAAATAATAACTACTACCTAAATAATTATACTTTAAATAATAATTTTAATTATAATAATAATTATAATAATTATAATAATTATAATAATTATAATTTTAATAACTTTAATAATTGCTACTCTAATTAAAAGAAGCCCACTTAATGTATATTAAAGCGCCTTAACTAGCTAAATATAAAAGAAGAAGAAGACTATTAGAAGGACTAATTAAATTAACTAATAATTATAGATTAACTAATAATTAGTTATAATTAGTAAATAACTAGGCGACGGCCTAGTAACTATTTAATAGACAGCCCGGTAAGTAATTAGTTGATTAGTAATTTAGACTTAATTTTATTTATTAGTATAATTCAAATTTAAATAATTTAAATAATATATAAAACATTAATTTAAAGCGTTTTTAGGTACTTAAATTAAATAAATTATAATTATATATTTAATAGTAATTTTAAGTAATTAAAGCGATTTAATTAAAAACTACTTTATTAATAAATAAAGCTTTCTAATTAGTTAAAAGGAAGATTTTAAAAGATTTAAAAGGTACTAATGTAGGAATAGTAGGCTGTAGTGGATTAGCCACTGCAAGCAAGATTAGTGGGTGCGTGCCTACGCATGGACCACTAAGCTTAGTTAGTAAGTCTAGCTAACCCAACTAGGTACTTTACCACTCAGCTAGGCAGACCTCTAACCAACATTAATATACACTACTTTTACCTACTTATATATAAGTAAGCTAACTAATAAAAACTTTATATTATTTTAAAAATATTAAAAGTATAAATAGTTAATATTATTATTTTAAAATAAAAATAGAATTAATATAAAGAGAAGATAATAAATATAAATAATATATTATTTTATAAAAGATAGAATGATAAAGGGTAAGATTAAGCTAGAGTATATACTATAAGTGTTAAGTAATCTATGGTAGCAGCTAGTACCATGCAGCGGTACCGAGCCGGCCAGTTTTCAGGGTTCTATTCATCATCCTCACTCAACGTGGCCTGAAAGACTGGATCGCCTCGTGATGTCTCTGAACGTTGATCGAGAAAATCATCCGGGCCGCCATGCAGAGTGGACTGGGAGTCTAGGTACGGCAAGTATAGGATTGCTGGATCCGGTGTTGTTTGTTCGATTGATGCGAGCCAGGAATAATGTTGCGCACCCGAGAGTTGTCTCTCTATACTATTAGTAGCTAATAATTAGGGTGCTTTCCTCACTGGCCTCGGTAGGGTGGATGCCGGACATTCCATGCCTGTAGGAACAAACAACAAACAATTTCGGTGGGATGCAAGAGCCTTCTGGAACGGAAGCTGTCCTAATGTTTCCGCAGTGTCGACAAATACGTCAAAGGCAAGTTGAGAGGTTGGAAAAGGAACAAAATTATTTGGCAACTACTCAAAATCCGGAGCCTCGCGTCTTTAAAAGTTGTCAAGGAGAACAGAAATAGGAATAATATTTAAGGAATTGCGGTAGTGATGGAAGAGCGGTGGGGGCTCACATCATAGGATATGGATGGAGGACGTAGGAACAAGGAAAAAGCCGCCCCTATAAGCGACGCTTGTCGGAGCTCTGCCGCCTTGTCTGCCACACAGAGGCTGTCAGGGCCTGGAGGTGGGGGGGGGGGGGGTGGACTAAAACGGCTCAGCACGGTAAGCCGTCTCAGCTTCTTCATATGCATCATAAGACCAGATCCACCGCTGTTGTTGAGGATGTGTCCTACGGAGATAACAGTGTGAACATACGAAGAGGTTCCTAGAGCGGTTGGAACTTACCATGTTGTAGGTTCCTCAAAGCTGCGTGCCAGGTCAATGTTGCGTTTCTCCTGAAGCTCGGGATCTTCCTGGTGCCAGTTCTTCGCATGAATGTGTGTCTCATTTAGCATCCGCGTGGTTCTCAAAACCCTCAAACGTTCGTACAACGCAGTTGCCTTGGGAAGCTGAGTCGTTGAATTGACATGGCTGAGGAGAGATCCGAGAACGGCTGCATCTTCAAGTCCCATATTCAGACCTTGAGCCATGTACGGCAAAATAGCATGGCAGCAATCGCCAGCCAAGACACAGGATCCTTCGGTAGAGCGCCATGTGGGTAGAGGCGATACTGTTGAGCAAGGTCAACTTCAAATCAAACAATGGTGCAGTTCGGATTGAGTTTGGTAAAATTTGACTGACAGTTCATGAGCTTCCATTTGGTCACTTGGTGCGCCCTCTGCAGAATCTTTGCCAATCTAGCAGGTGCAAATATCTTAGCACGGAGCAAATATCACAGAGCGTTATTGCCAAAAACCCAGAAACTTACAAGGGATCCCAATCGTTGAAAAGACTTCGGGCCTCTGCTATGTCGACCGCACTTCTTGCGTCCTTACGCATATTTTCCGAGTCTTGAGAGTCATCCTTGACCAATAAAACTACATTAAGCTGCGTGCCGTTCCGAACCGAGTATGCAACAGCATGTGCACGGGAACCCAGCCATATCTGTATGCGTGGCTCGCTCATGAAGGTAAACAAGTCGTCATCCTCTTCAACCACGGCTCTGTCGAGTGTGATCCGATATGCAATGTCCCCAGTTGGCTCAGGAGCAACAGGACGGCCGAGTACCTGTGACGTTGAATGTGACCACACGCCGTCGGCCACTACTACGAGGTCTCCACGATACTCGACGCCGCTTTCAACTCTGACTGAGGGCCTGGTAATGGCTGTGTGTATATGAACAACTCGCGATGCGAATTTGATTTCGACCCCGAGCGATTTGGCTCTTTGAACGAGGGCATGTTGCAGGTCTACGCGGTGTAGAGTCCACAGCGGATGACCATATCGTTGATTGACCTCTTCATCGTAATTTTGTCGACGTGCGAGAACAGAACCGTCGAAGTTACGAATCTCAAGGACACGCGGACCCGTAGCGATGGGTTCGAGGAGATCGTGCAGGCCCCAGCGATGGTAAAGCCTCGTTCCGTTGGGGGAGCTCTGGAGCCCTGCGCCGAATTCATGTTGCTCTTCGGAGGCCTCGAGGATGGTCACTCGGTGTCCTGAAAGCGCTACTGAGATACCTGTGGCCAGACCACACAGCCCGCCCCCGACGATTACAATTTCCATGACCATTGTTGGCGGCAAGAAGGCAAGCACGGTTTCTGTTCAGAGAAAGCGCGAGGAGAGAGGAACCCCAAGGTCAAAGCCCAGAGGGGGAAAGGTGTCGGGAGCAGAGAGGGCAAGCAATCCCTTCTCTCTTTCCCCAGCACCCCTCCCCTGGTGGGTCAAGGGATTCATGCTGTGGGACAGAAAAAAGGATCAGACACAGATGAGATAACGGGGGGCAAGTGTGTGTGGAGTCACGTCGGCCTTGTCGATGCCAGTCTTGCGGATTCCGTAGTTTGAGATCTGACAGAAAGAGATAAAGTGCATAAATGCATGGTCAGAGTGGTGGCATACAAAAAGTACCGAGATACAATGCCTGGGTGTGGGGCGTAGATAGTGGAACAAAGGGTGTGGAAGCATCTGCTATGACCACTCCACAGGATTTACAAGTCTCACCCTTGCTCAACACCTTCTCGAGAATCCTGCAAACACGCTCGGTTTGCTTTGCTTTTTGATTACGCACGTGTGTAAAGGAATGAATCCACCTCGGAAGTGGCGCTGAAAGCCGAATACGCGAACAGACGGCTGGATTTCTCATCGAATTTCCAATCTGTTCCGCATTAGATCATCAATCAAGTCCTTGTTCTCAATTTGTAATCAATCTGGCGGAATTAATTCCCAAGGCTTGCACTCCTGGCCTGAATGTCGCCTGGTCGCATAGAACATAGTCTCCTTCAAACGTTGTTAAATGGCATGGATTCACTTTACAGCCAATGCCAACAAGATAAGTACGATCAAGGTTCTGTGGCCATTTATTTTTTGTAGCTCTTCTCAAAGTTCACCAAGAGCTCTCTTATTCTGTTGTAACCACTCGGTCAAGAACAACCTTCACTTTTTTTTTTCTGAGCAGAACTGACCATAAGTATGGCGGCTAATGCTGAGGTCGACGCAAACGCCTACACGGCTCCCTTCATGCTCACCAAATCGCTGCATCGCGATGTCTACCCCGCGGTGGACCCAGTAAACAACCCGTCGGTCCGCGCTGATGGAAAGGTCGTGATTGTCACTGGTGCGAGTGGTGGTCTTGGCTTCGTAAGTTCCACCTTCCGTCCAGTGTTTCACGTACCGTGCGTAACATCCCGGAACAAGAACTGATGCAAACATAGGCAGTTGCAAAGTCGTTCCTACAGGCTGGTGCCAAAGGCGTGGTGCTTGTGGCCCGGACTGCTGAGAAGCTCGAGGCTGTCACTGAGGACTTGGCAGATCATTCCCGCGTGCTCACTATCTCTGGCAACGTGGCGTCTCAGGAGGACGCCGACAAGGTCTTCAAGGAGGCTGTTGAACGTTTCGGTCAAGTCGATGTCCTCGTCAATGCTGCGGGCGCCATGAACGTTGCACCCATCGACCAAATCAGCTCTTCGGCCTGGTGGGAGAACTTTGTGAGTAAAATGTTCACATCTTCTGACAGTCTCATGGTCGCGTCCTCGATTCTGAGTTGTACAATATCTGACTTGGAATGAAGGAGGTGAACGTTCGCGGCACATTTAATGCGATTCAGGCTTTGGTCAAAACCACCGGCGGCAAGGGAACGATCATCAACTTGGTCAGCCTGGGAGCATCTTTTGTTGCTCCCGCCATGTCGGGCTACAGCGCATCTAAGCTCGCTGTCATCAAGCTTGGCGAATGCCTGGACGTTGAGCAGCCTGGGCTCCGTGTGTTCTCCATCCACCCTGGAATGGTCGAGGCAGAGAAGGGCCGTGGCATGGTTGTGCCACCTTTCCTGCCTTTTTCAAAGGACAAGGCGGCCCTTACTGGTGGCCTTTCTGTTTATCTTTCCACTGAGAAGGCAGATTTCCTAAAGGGAGGTTACATCCATGCTAACTGGGACGTGGAAGAGTTGGAAAAGCATCAAGAGGAGATTGCAGAGAAAAAGCTTATCAAGCTTGCTTTCCTCAACGGCCAGCTCCAGCCTGGTGGCTACCCGTGGGGCACAGCTTGAACAGGGATACGCAACCCCGAGCCAAAATGAACTGGAGGAGGTGATCCAGGCCAGATCAGCAGAGGTAGACTAGTCTCTTTTGTACAGGTAATATGAAATAAGAAATTGCCGCGCTTAAAATCCAAGCCCCGATACGTTTATCAGTCCTGTGACAAACGACTGCATATTAACAATGTAGGAAGGTTACGGTGGTTTCAGCTTTAACCCATGTTACCTAGGTAGACATGTGAGTCCGTATGTGGATCCTTTATATACTCGTACAAGCCCCTGGGAGCCTAAGGGTTCGGCTTTGGATAAAATAGCAAAACTATGCCGACAGACTTAAGTTCAAAATCCAATTTTAGAGGATATCAGGTTTCATGTGAATCGATACCTTCCGTATTCAGTGGTTGCCTACGGACACTTGGCCGCTGCATTCGGCTTCCAATACACAATCTAAGATTCAGGAATTTGTGTATTGGGAATTGGCTGAATTTCGAAAGGCCAGAGTGACATGAGATCTTATCTATGACGCAATCTATGAAGCATGGGAAGACGAGCAAATAGATCCTTCGAGGCCCTCCATGCGCAACCGCGTTTCTGCTTGATGCCTTTGTCCGAGATACCTCGAACACCAAGGGAACAGGTAGTTTACCTAGGTAGCCTCACTATCGGACCTTCTATGCGCCTTCTGGGAACACGGAGGACTCCTAAATCTGCCATATTGTGAGTCACACAGCCCTTCAGACTTTCCTGATTTGACTATGGCAGATGACACACAAGATACAACAAAATGCACGCCTCCTTTCATGCATCGGGTAAGCAGAAATCTCACTGTACCTAGATCTGCATACATATGTATGCTGATATCCTTGATACCATATCCTCCATTAGCGACTTTTATGGCTAAACGTCGGCCAGAATCGCCACCACAGCGTGGAGGTCATCGACAGGCATGCATGGGTGGAAGGTCAGGCAGCTCCCTTGGTCCCATACAAGGATGATTGTTTGATAAGGCATAGAACATCCGGCCTTATCTTTATTATATAATCCATACAGAAAGGCGCAACGTGCGTGTTTAAATCATCATCAAAGACCTCGAATCGGGCAAGAAGTAATGAACCTCTTCCATGTTCGTCCAACCACCAATCCGGTGGTTTTTTTTTTTTTGAGATATCATTAGTCGAGTCAAACCATCTGTGCTAGAGAAACGCGCAAAAGGAATATTACTAGGGTGTTCTGCCCAAATTCCTCCCGAGCATGTCGGTACTATCTTTTTGCTCTAAGTCAGACCACTCGCTGGTGCCAGCTGCATATAAGAGGGCATTACCACTTGTCAGTTTGTTTCGTTTTATAGTTGCTTTTCTGGGGACAGGAAAATCGAAATGTCTTGAAGTTAAAACTAATAGATTGTTTCACAGGTCTCTCAGGGCAGCACGCAGATTCAAGAGTCTCGTGAAGACATTCGCAAGATCCTCGCCAATGGAAATGGCCGGTACGGCCGCGTCATAGTTTTCATCGGTCCATGCAGCGTCCATAGTACTGAAGCTACCCTAAATTACGCTAAGCTCCTCGCCCGAGCCGCGGCCACTCATCGCGATGATCTCCTCGTTGTGATGAGGGTTTACATCGAGAAGCCCCGCACGACAGTAGGCTGGAAGGGTTTCGTCCATGATCCGGACCTTTCAGAGTCGGTAGCTGATAGTTCAACGAGGGTCGCTGACCTGTCCAAAGGCCTCTGGCTCTCTCGCCAGCTCATGCTGGACATCACGCAACTTGGCCTTCCGGTCGTGACCGAGGTTCTGACGCCGCTGGTCGTCCCATTTATTGACGATTTACTATGCTGCGGCGTCATCGGTGCACGAACCACCGAGAGCCAGACACACCGAGAGCTGGCCAGCGGTTTAGACATGCCTGTGGGCTTCAAGAACGGCACTGATGGCAGCCTGGATGTGGCTACCAACGCCATGGTGTCTGCTGCTGGGCCGCATTCCCTCATCACGGTCAACGACCACGGCCAAATGATTCAGCAACGGACAAATGGAAATGAAAGCACTTTCCTGATCCTACGTGGCGGTAGATCCGGTCCCAACTACAGTGAAGACCACACGTACAGCGCCAGCGCCGCCGTTACCAAGGCGGGTCATGGACAGCCGGGTGTCGTTGTCGACTGTAGTCATGGCAACTCGAACAAAGACTACCGCAACCAGGCCCAGGTTGCAACCTCTATCGCAGGCCAGATCGCTAAAGGCGCACCTGTGGTAGGTGTCATGATTGAAAGCAATATTAACGAGGGACGCCAGGACATTGCTAGTGCCGCGACTCCGGAGGGCCTCAAATACGGCGTCAGTGTCACGGATGGGTGCGTTGGGTGGCAGGAAACGGAGGTTATTCTCAAGTTACTTGCTTCTGCTGTCCAGAAGCACCGGCGTCAGCGCCATGACTGTGATTTTGACATACAGCCTTTGGGGAATGAGCTACAGGCCAAGTCCGAGGAGATTGAAGTTCACGTGGAAGAGCTTGTGTTTGTTGACAAAAGGATTTAATGCTGACATATATATTGAAAAGCATCCTCTTCTTTGTCTCCCATTCACAGCAGAAAAAGTGTTTTCTTCATGGTATCATATGTATTTTTTGACCAATTCACGCGTTACCAGTATCATGCCACATGATCAGTACATTTCTTTCGCTCAAGGCAAGGCAGTCTGCCTTTGGCTTTGTGGCTGGTTGTTCCCTGGCATTCTGCAGATGACAGGTGCAAATTCCAAGAATGAGTGACGGGGAGAGAAGAAACGTGAAGCGCAGTTGCACGTATTCCAATCTTTACACAGACCGGTCGCGCCTGACAGGGGCCAAAACCCCAGTGCATAGTATGCCATGATTTTCCAGGGATGTTTTTTGATGGTCTTCTTCACGTGGCAAGAGCGTTGAAATAAAGCAAAAGCTACGGCTTTTTCTACATTCTTTTCCCAAAGCGGTATGTTGTTCGAACTTGTCTTTGGTGCTCGTAGTTCTCACCCGATCGCGAGAAGTCACATGCAACCTTCGATTGGCCTCGTTTTGAAGCCATCAAGGCCGTGTCATCAGCTCGGGACTGATAGAAAGAATTTACATTGGTGCCGAAATTTCGGGCAGTGTACTTTAGGGTACTGCAGCGGTACAGATAAGCTAGACCCAAGATTCAAGCCAACAAGCTCATGGTATCGATACGTGGTTGAATGATACTGTATCACTGGCCCGCGGAGTTCCGCGCCTCACCATGCGATGCTCCAAGAAACTTCTCATTGTTTGCCACTATGGACACCCCCTATCATATCTGATGCTGATACTAACTACCATGATGTATACGTACCCGAGATACCGACGTTGGCTGGCCATGAAGCTGGTCTGGATGGATCTCTAGAGCCTCGTGTGGCTCATGGCCTAGCCTACCTAGGCAGGTAGCGAGCGGTGAGGACTCACTTGATGGTCTTCTTTCCGGGTCCTGCATGCCCGAATGCACCTTCACGCTCGGATCACAGCCTGGAAATTGCCGGGTCCAGTGGTCGCGTGTGATTAGGCCACCGTAGGATCGGAGCTCGATCCTTTGCGTGATAATCGTTGAAGGGAGTGTATGGTTGCAAAGCTGTCGTCTTATCCGGTGAGGTGGCTGACTAATTGCGAACCACAGAGCAGCCAGCCAATCGATCGGTGGCGGCCTGGTTCCGCAGGTCGGCCGGCTTGGCAGGCGGCATCTTGCTAAATGCGGCGGTATTGCGTGGGGGGCCTTGGGGCCCATATGCTCCCTGCGGGTCCTCATTGTATTACTAAGAATTAGGCATCTACCCATGCCCTCTAGGGAGAGTCCGGAACTGATCCGAAAAGGAGTGCATTTAATTTGAATCGTCAGCAGCCACGCGGCACGCAGCACGCGGCACGCGGAGTGTTGCGCAAGCGGGAATACCCGTGGGTCTCGGTTCTTCTTGGCCGCTGCTAGCGCAGGCTACTGTGGTACAATCACGCAATAGCTAGAACCCTGTTCACCTACAAGGGATTTACCCTATGTAAAAGTAAACTTTTCCTTATATAAAGCTAGTTTTACTTAATTATACCTCTAATATATAAGTTAATTAAAATATATAACTAATATTTTAATAATAATTATTTTATAAAAATTAATATAAAATGTTTTTAATAAATAAAAATTAATATAAAATATTTTTAATAAATAAAACTTAAAATTAAATTTATTTAATAATTTTTTAAAATCTTAAAAATGTTAAATAGATAATTTAAACTTTTAATTTAAAAATATAATTATAAAAGTATTTAAAAGACTTTTTTAAAAAAAATAAAGTAAATATTTTTAAATATTATAAATTAATATTTTAAAATAAAAATTAAAAAAATTAAATTTTTTATTTTAATAATTTTATTTATAATAATAATAATAATAATTAAAACCTGAAATTTTTATATATAAAAACCCCTCTCTAGATGTTACGGGATTTTAGCCATTGCGCGATTATCACCCCCTACGCCAAGAGCGTGGGGGGCAAGGAAGGCCTGAGCCCCGGGCAGGTTTATCTTGTCCACGTCCTCAGATCGTGGAAATCGGTGCTGGTGAGACTGATAACGCTCTGTGTGCGGAGCAGGCCGAATGGCCACACACCTGTTAGTGTGATGGCAATTTGACAGACTCATTCCTCCAAGACCTTTTCCATTGGACGCCTCGTTAATAAGGCGCAAAGGGTGTTATTGGTCTGAAACCATCGCTAAGCATTCAATTTTCCAATCATCCTCAGATGCTGGGAGGCTAACCTCGCAATCGGGAGTAGTGGACAAAGGCAACTGTGACATGGAAGCACGGAGTAGGACAATATGTGGCCCTGGGCGCTCAACGTAGTATTTGATTCTCTTCCTGAAGTTCTCGTGAGACGTGAGATATCAACGAACGAGTGATCGATTTCAGTGCAAACGACTATAGAACAGAACCTCATCTTGCTATTCACCAGCCTAAACTATAATGGCTCGGCCCCCTGTAAGCACTTGATCGGTATGGGCTGGCACTTCATTATTCATTGTATCGGTTCCTGGGGCAGAACCAGAAGCCCCACGAAGAGCATGGAACTTTCTCAGAACCCACTCCCGACTCGTCACGTATTCTGAAAGACTATCCTCCGAAGACGACGAAGTCCTAAGGATGAGAGGGCTTTCAACCGGGCGAAGGAGAGTGTCATCCTCGGGCCGCATGAGGTAGGCAAAGCTGAAGCGCTCATCCATAGCCATTCCGGGCGGGGGTGCGACCCTGTGAAGGGCACTCTTGATAAGCCCGCTTGTGAGCATGGTCATGCAGTCGCCAAAGTTGACCACAGCGCAGTTCTGCCGAGGAGGAACGAAGACCCAATCCGAATCCTGCGGTGCCCCTGGCTTTTGACCGGCCGCACTTGTATGGGGGAGTACCTGCAGCCCAGGCGTTGCGGAGAAGACAAAAGTTAGACTTCCCAGGTCCGTGTGCGGCGTCTGCGGTGAGGCGCCCTCGCTAATGGGTGTCACGGTGCTGTGGTACTTTAGGAGGCGTAGGATGTCTGTCGATGGACGACTTGGATCGTGAAAATCCTCAAAGCGCTGCCCTGGCTCAAGAGACAACGTGTTGGAGAGGGACTTGAAGATGGTTTGTGCTGCGTTGCCAAGGCCGCGTAAGAGGAAGCCTAGCGACTGCATACGGGCTGCGACAGATGGCGTATGCGGGAATGGCTCTTCTGTCAATCTGAGTAGACCATTCCGGGGTAACTGATGAATGAAACGCCTCTGTTCAGTCACAGGTTCTGGCCAGTGTGACTGGGAAATCTTGCGAAGATGCTTGGAACTTACAGCCCAGCTTTCGAAGCCATCTCTGGCCCCGTCCTTACTAACGATGTTTCTTCCCTTAGGTTTGTATCCGTTGGTCTTCATTGACGAAATCAAGTCTACATCGAAAAGTCTCTTCGTTTCATCATCATGGTTGAAAATGATGGTGGAAAGGTCGAGAACGGTGTCCACGCTGTCTAGAATACCTCGGAACGAACTGTGGGAAAGGTCAAGGTAGAAGAAGCCGTCTGTGATAGCCGCCTCGAAAAGCAAGGTCTTCTGTTCTTTGATGCCATTCTGGAGAGCGTAAAGGTCGATGACCTTGAGAACTGCTGGTTGGTTGTCTCCAGCGTCACTGTTACGCGAATCCATCATAGGTGGAATGAATCAGAACGAAGTTTAAAATAACTTGAATAGCTTAGGGAGATCTAGATGATGATGATTTGAGTAAATGAGCTCAAGAGCTTTGGGGGGTTGCTACTTTTAGATCTAGAAAGTCCTACTGTTACAACTAGAATCCCTAGAGTAAGTTTAGGAAACTTATAATAAAATTAAAAAAAAGAAGAAATTATACTACCTTTAATCTAATTTAATTTTAATTATATTATATTTTTCTATTATATTATATAATTCTTTATTACTTTTTTTATAATTTAATATATATATAAAGATTTTAATAATATTATATATATTTTAAAATTAAAATTAAAAATAAATAGAATTTAAAATATATTTATTAAGTAAATATAAATATAAGTATAAAGAATTTTATAAAGATTTTATATAAGCTTTAGACTAATAAAGGGTCTAACGGCTAAGTAGATAGCAGATAGATAGATATATAATTAAGAGGGAAGGTATAGTGTGGCTGAAGCCTGAAAGTTAGTATGTGACTATCGAAACCCTAGGATACTCGTGAAGTCCAGAAAGCAAGTCTCGAATCCTTATCGAGACTTCCCAAGGCCAAAACGCGAACCATCAGCCAGCGGGCGTCAATCGGCTATTGTTGCCAGAGTAAAGCCTCTGACATTGGCCAACTTCCATCTTGTGCCGTAAGATTGCTTGAGCCTGTTGGCACTTGCATGATAAGCAGGCAGCCTGAACTAAAGCACAAGCTCCGGGTCACACCATTCCTGCGAGACTTTACCGTAATAAGTTCGTCATATCTGACAGGACCTGTGCAGCCTGATTGTCGCCTGTTCCAGAATTCGCCGATATCTTCACATATCAACCTTGCTCATTGCATTGGCAACGACCATTATTGGCTACTTGCATAGATTTGTGGAACTACGGTCTGCAGCTAATTGATGGAATGGGATCCGCACTCTGACTTCTTGTTTTTAGACCGTGTACCGTGCCGCAAAGCATTTCTCCGGCTGCAGGCCTGTTCAACTCGGTAATATCTTTCTCACATGTGGATCCACTCCATTCATAAGCAAAAACTGGTTTAGATAACTCAGAAAACCATTCATTGGCTCAGGTGCTCGCTACAATACCGGAAATGCATTATCCGTCATATCTTGTCCCCGAAGGATGATCACGTTGTTCGACAAGAAAGGAAGGTCATAATTTGCAAAGCGCAGGACTTTGCACGGATTCCACCCCTTGACTAGAATTCCAATGGGATTTTTGTGGTGCCTTTTTCAACATCGTGCGGCAAATCTGGATCCGAGCCCCTTGGCATACACTCACAGAATGTTTCAGCGGCTGTATAGCCACATGATGATCCAACATACACCCGAAGTGACAGCATAACCCCCAGTCAGCAAGTGGAAGACACAGGAATATGTAATTGTAGGTCACCTCGTGCCATAGACTGTGTTGGAAACCCAAGGGCGGAACAAGCATGGAAAATATTCTGTACTACTTTGTATTGACCTAGTCCATTATTGAGTGCTCTATTTCCCCCACTGATTTGCTCTGGACTACACTTGCACCAGTAGTCACTTGTACGGGATATATGTTAAAGATGGTAGACCCAGTATTTTGGCTAAGAGTAAAGAACAGGCCTTTGACAACTTATATGCATTCAGAGACAATAACAATCACATACCAAATCCATAACCACATATTCACTTCACAATTCGCGTTCTGTTTTACCCTACCTATGACTACTCCAACGGTCGTCGCCCCTCGATGATGACGTGGTTGCTCCCTTTGAGCCGCCACACCTTAACAAGCACTAGTCCTGACTTACGCAGGAGAGCTTTCCACTGGGACTGTGTCCTCTCGATACCCCCAAGCGCCATCATGTTCCAGTCCTGCAGCGCCATAGACCAAGGGACGCCGCTCGTCGGCACCTCGATGTCTGCAATCAGGATACGGCTCCGCAGACCCATAGCCATGACCGTGTTGTGAAGGATTTGAATGGCGATAGGGTCAGACCAATCGTGGAAGATGCGGCGGAAATAGTACGCACGCGCCCCGATGACTGGGTTCGGCTCGAAGAAGGAGGCGGCCTGGGCTTCGATCTTCTTGTTCAGGAGATCATTCACCCCCGCCTCCTTGATGACAGACTCTTGGTCTTGAAGGACTAGTCTGCCACCTAAGCCGGGAAAGGTCTCCGCGATTTCCAGCAATGCGTGCCCGCGTCCACCACCGACGTCGACGACAGCTACCTCGTCTTCCTGGAGAGGAGGCTGGTTCAGCTCGGTGTCGAACGGATACAGACCCGCAACGAGATTCACAGACGGTCGGCTCTGCATCCCACTATTGAAAAGACGCTGTCGATCTGGTGAAGCCGCCAGGTACTCCCAGAATCCCCCGGTCTCCTTTGTCAGTCCAAGCGCGAAGCTGATAGCCGAGTCTTGGTAACCCTCGGGGCTCTTCCAACCCGTCTTTTCGAGGTAGTCGGCCATGGAGTAAACGCCTCTTCCGACGAATTCGTACATTTGTTGAAACATGTCCCGGTTGGATTCCTTGAGGAAGCAGCGGGATAGGTCGTTATGAGCAAAACGACAAGTTTGGACCATTGTCTTGTCGTCAGCATCGTTATCACCATCGCTCGAGGACCCCATGATCTGTTCAAAAGTGTTGCACGAGACCAGCGCCCGCATCAATCGCTCGATGAGGAGATTGTCTGCCCCACAAGCAGAAGAGATCTCTTCCGTGGTGGCACCATTTTCACCAATAATGGTGAAAATGCCGAGACCGATTGCGCATCGAATTGCGGAATTCTGTGCAGTTCGGCAGGCAGCATAATACACATTCTCTTCTGGGTCACGAGCAGCGATACCAAGTTTCTCAGTCAGTGCCACGAATCTATTACGATCCTCTCGGCTGACGGATCCGGCTAGAGATTTGTTGGTGATCTTGGACGCAAGAAGAGTGAGCTCCTCGACAAGGTGTGGAATGGAATTCAATGTGACTGTGTTGGACCCCATCTTTTCCCAGAATGAAGGAAGGCCGCCAATACACTCGGGAATGCAGTGGTGACAGTATTGGGGTGATAGTTCGAGGCTACTGGAGAATGTCGAAGCAACTGCAGAAGAGCGATGCGTCAATCCTTAAGGGTCCAAAGAGCCCCTAGACATGTTACTGGTAATTTTCCCTCCATGAGAGGCAGCACTCGTCGTCTTGTCGGGCTTGAACCACTACATCTGTTCAGTAAACGCATGACCCTTGTAATCCACAGACTCCATCCAGGCCGGTAAGCAGTCGGGGTTCGATCCGGAGGCTGGTTTTGTGGGGCGAGCGAAGCCTGGCCGGTCTCATGGCGACCCGAAGAATCCCACACAGAGAGATAGGTAATTTGTCGGTCAGTAATGAACAGGGTTGAGGTATCTATCTCATGGGTCTTGTCCATGTACATGTGAGATGTTGAGGAGGGGAGGTGGATGTATCATAGGCAGAGGGTAGGTGATAATCAGACTCCCAGTGTCAACATAGAAGTTAGAAATGTCTCACCTGCATATTAGGGATATAGGGATGGGTCTTGTCCCGCAGATGAGCAGATCCTTCCTTTCTTATTGAGTTGAAGCCACAAATACCAACCACTTTAGGTCACCAACCGCGCGGGATGGCCGCATCATGATCCACTTGCAGATAAAGAAATGTCAACAGTATCACACCGTCACCGCACTTGCAAATCCAATAGAATTCTAACAAGGCTGGCACACCAAAACAGTCATGGCAATGAATCAGAATGATGCTGGCCCGGCTAGAAAGACTTCTGCCGCGCCAAGATCTGTACGTGCCCAGGTGTCATTCATCAATGACACATCTAGCAAGCGATGCACCGCCTTCAGTTCTGAATTTGCTACGCAGTGATAGCACAGCGCTGAGAGCGCACGGCAAAGTGACGGCCGCTTTTCTTTTAGCGGCCGGCTGAGTGAAAGCCACATGTGACAAACTGAACCAACCACTCACAGCAACCATGGGGGCCCACATCTCCCCATGCTCCAAACTGAGCTTGACCTCGTTCCGCAACATCTACCCAGTTTTTTCGGTGCGGCGAGGCATGGGATTACACCCTACGGAGTGGCTGAGCTGAACACGGGCCCGGAATGTGCTCTTCGTGTGAGCAGTTGCCGCGGCTTGTGCAGGATGCCGAAGGTTCTTCTCCTACCAAGGAAGGGAGGGGGCCATTCTTTAGACAGCATTGAAGCCAGCTGACCTGAAGGCCGCGATCTAGCTGACCCAACGCTTTCTTCGAGGATCGCAGAGTCAGGGGCCAAATTGCTCAATTTGGACACTGGCGCAGGGGTTGATGAACGGAGTCAAGGATTGCGGCGTCCCCGGGGCACACACACTTTCACTGGACAAGACTTTGGGTTCATGAATTATCATTTCAGGGGTCTCGCTCTTGACAGATACTTGCCGCTAGAGCGGATGTGTCACGTCTAACTCCACGGAAGGAGCGCAAGGCAGCGACCAACAGCCTCTCTAAGGAAGATCCTAGTAACAGCCTTGGAAGACCTCATCATTCTAGTCAGGTTACCCCGTCACTTCACGGCGGCCTCAGTAAATCTTATCGTTATTACCGGCCCATTGAATCGGCGACCTAAACTATCCAGAAACGCCACCAACACCGGTCCTAGAGCCACATCGCGAAGGCTCGAGCATTCCAGACCTAGATGGCCAGAGTGGATGGAGGGAGAATCTACGCCGTTTTATCGAATCCTTCGGTTCCTACCGTGTGAGGATGGGGGCAGAGGATCCGGATGGAATTGAGCGTGGAAAGCACAAGTCATGATACCAAGTTCGCACATCCTGAAGGATGATTGAGAGGCGTGACGCTGAGACTTTTGTAAGAGTGACTCCGCAAATAGTCTATTCCGTGCCTCTTGTGAAGATAGGACGGGAGTAATGGTCAGATCGCCTCCATAGCCTACGTATATATCTAGGCGACAGCTGCCGTGAAGAACGACGATATTGTTGATGGCTCAAATCAAATACACTCCTCATAGCAAAACCTAGTTGCCGTGAGCAAACTCCAGATCATCATGTCCTCGTTCATTACAAAGCTCATCACGGGTGCTCTACCACTGTTTGGCGGCCTTCCAATAGAGAGAAGCAATGGGTAAGTTGATTCCAGAAGCTGGAAAGACTTTTGAAAGTGTCGAATGACCACTGAGACCTGTCACACAGACATTTCAAGAGTTACACGATATCTCCTGAGTGGCACACAAAGGTCTGTTAAGCCACAAGCACAAGGCTTTTAAAATAAGTTGATGGGTCTAATCCAGAGGCAGACACTGATGCACCGATCTTGGAACACATCCCAACCGGGTGATCAAGATCTTCCGAATACTGGAGTCACAAGAAACTACACGTTTGACATCTCTCGTGCCGTGTTGGCGCCCGATGGGTATGAGAAGCCAATGATTGTCATCAATGGCCAGTATCCAGGGCCGATGATTGAGGCCAATCTGGGAGACTGGATCAAAGTGACAGTCAGAAATGCCATCACTGAACCTGAAGAGGGCACAGCCGTACACTGGCATGGTTTTCTCCAGCGCGAAACGCCGTGGTACGACGGTGTTCCCAGCGGTATGTCCGGGGTCTCTTGCTCCTCCGCACAGATGTAACCATCATTACTGACCTGTTGCCAGTTCAACAGTGCCCTATCGCCCCAGGATCCGAGTTCACTTATCTCTTTCGCGCAGATCACATCGGAACAACATTGTAAGATCCACCATTCTCCATGAAGTCTCCGGATCCAACACTACACAGTGAGATGTAAGAAATCCGCTGACTGATGGTCACTGCCGCAGCTATCATTCCCATTTCTCGGCCCAGATCAGCGCCGGTGTTTCTGGTCCCATTATAATTCACGGAGATACACCCCCGGAGGAGGACATCGACCTTGGGCCTGTCCTCTTGTCGGACTGTACGTTAGCCTCATTCTGTCTCCAAGACAGGAATATTGCATTTGGCTTTGAGCTAACCTGACAATAGGGTTCCACACCCAATACGAGGAAATCATCGAGGGCGTGATGAGTACAAACAGGACACTCATGACACCGAATTCGAACAACAATCTGATCAATGGCAAGATGAACTTTGATTGCTCTCTTGCCACGGATGGCACCCCTTGTGTCAGCAACGCCGGGGTATCAAAATTCCGATTTCAGCCTGGTAAAGCACACCGCCTACGCATCATCAATGGTGGCTCGGCTGGTTTGCAATACTTCTCCATTGATGAGCACGAGATGACGGTCATTTCCAACGACTGGGTCCCTATTGAGCCATATAACACCACATGGCTGACTCTGGGAGTGAGTGTCCGGGCAACCCCGGCCATTCCATCATGCCAACAAAGCGTTTCAAGGTGGCCTATTTTCTGTGAGGGAGAACAAGTGCTGACAATTGGGACCTAGGTTGGCCAACGACACGATGTCATTGTCTACGGAAAGACAGAAAGCGATGCTGACAGGGCCTATTGGATGCGGGCCAACCTTTCCACAGTCTGCGCCCTCCCCCTTCAGCCTTACGCGCTGGCCGGCATCTACTACAACGAAGAAGACTTTGACAAGAATACAACACCGAGCAGCGCCGCTCAAGACTTTGACCCAAGCCCGCTGAACTGTGGCAATGAGCCGCTGACCAAGACTACGCCGCGGACAGTAGTGCCCGCCGTCACAGATCCAGACACGACAATTGAGATTGACATCACCTATGCTATCAACGCCACGGGACAACAAGAATGGCGCATGAATGACATTGCCTTCCGGGGCAACATGAACCACCCGATCATGGGCCTCCTCGCCGAGGGCAATGATAGCTATCCGCATGACCCTCAGTGGAATGTTTACAACACAGGCACCAATGGCACTGTACGCATCATCTTCAACAACGAGCGAGACGCCTCTGAGAGCTTTGCTCACCCGATGCACCTGCACGGCCACGACTTTCAGGTTCTCGCACAGGGCAGTGGAACCTGGGACGGGACCATTACAAACCCGAGCAACCCGCTGCGGCGCGACACGCACATTCTTCAGCCACTAGGTTACCTGGTAATCCAGTACGAGGCCAACAACCCTGGGGTCTGGCCACTTCATTGCCACGTTGCTTGGCATGTCTCTGCGGGCTTTTATATCAACCTGGCGGAACAACCTGATGATTTACAACTGATTAGTACCATACCTGAGGTAGTAGATCAGACTTGCCGGGACTGGGAAGCTTGGACTGATGCCCATGTCGTCAACCAGATTGATAGTGGCTTAAAAGAGAAGCAAAGGCGAGAGGACATGTCTTAAAGCCGGGCTAAGGAGACAAGTAGACTATAAGGCTTCATAGTACTTTATTTTTAAGAACGGAAATTCGCACACCCAGAATTAGAAGGCGCGCACCTATCTACTGACTAAAAGGTACTCTATACAAAGACTTCTTCCATAAAAGGGCTGGCTAGGGCGAAGGGGGCAAGCCCTAAAGCGTAAAGTATAGCGGAGGGCTATAAGTAGGGCCGATAGGCACAACCTAAGTTCTTAAAGAACTAACTTACCCTATTTATAATCTTAAATAATAAAGAGGATTTATTTATTAAAATTATAAAAACTTAAAGATTCTATTCTTTAATTAATTAAATAATAAAGAGAGTATATATCTTTTAATTTTAAATATATAAATTTCTATTTTTTTATTTTTCTTTTTTTTTTATTTTTCTTTTTATTTTAATTTATTATATTCTCTTTATCTTTTAAATTATTCCTTATATATTAAATATATTTATTATATATTTTATAATTAAATTTAACTTTAATAAAAATATTAATAATTTTTTAATTTATATTTTTAAAATATTAAAAACTTTAATTATAATTTATTAAAATTATTTTATAAAATGATAATTATAATAAAATAATTTATTTAATAAATTTATATATTTTATTTTTATTTTATATATATTTAAATATATATAATATTTTATATAATAATAAATATTTAAAATTTAATATTTTAAAGAATATAATATTAATAATAATAATTATAATATAATAAATATTTATAATTTTAATTTTATAATATATAAATAAAATTAAAACATTATTTTAATAATAATATTAATTAAAATTATAATAAAAATAATTTATAATTTAATTATTATAAAATATTATATAATAAAATTAAATTTAAAATAATTTTATATAAATAAATTATATTAAAATAATTTATATATATATATATATATATATATATATATTAATACAGTTTTTATTAAATAAATATTATAATTTATATTTAAATATATAATTAATTTTAAAAGTTTAAAATAAAAGAATAATTTATAATATATTATTTTTAAACTTTTATAATAAAATATTAAAACTTTTAAAAAATATTAAAAATAATTTATAAAAAAGTTTAAAAAATATAATAAATTTTCTTTTAAATTTATATTTTATTATTAATAATTATTAATTTTTAATAATGTAAAAATATAATAAAAATAAAAATAAAAGTTTAAAAATATTTTATAAAAATTATAAAAATATATATATAATTATTAAAAACTTTATATATAAATCTTAAATTAAAAAATAATTATATAATATAAAAATATATATAATATAATTAAGATTTTAATAAATTTATAAATATTTTTAAATATAATTAATTTAATAATTATAATATTTTTATAAATAAATTAATTTATTTATTTAAATTTTTAAAAAATTTAAAATTTAATAAATTTAATTTAAATATTAAAATTTAATTAAATAAATTAAAATTTTATAAATTTATAATTATTTTTAATTATTTTTAAAAGTTATTTTTAAAAATTATTATTTTTATTAATTAATTTATTTATATATAAATTATTATTATTTATTATTAAAAATATTTTTATAATAATATATTAAATTATATTTAATTAATTTAAATTAATATTATTAATTTATTAAAAATTAAAATTATTATAAATTATAAATTATTTTATATTTTAAAATTAATTAAAATATATAAATAATATAATATAATATATATTTTAAAAATTTAATTTTAATATTATTAAATATTATATATAATATTATTTAAAAATAATTATTTAATTAAATTAAAATAATTTAAATAAAATAATTATATTTTATTATTATATATAATATTTAAATTTATAATTTTAATAAATTTATTATAAATAAAAAATATTAATAATTAAATTTATAATTATTATAATAAAAATAAAAATATAGTTAAAATTAAAATATAATTAAATTATTATTTATTTATTAAATTAAATTATAAATATATTAAAATAAAAACTTTAACTTTATTTTAAAATTTATTAATTAATTTAATAATTAAATTAAAATCTAATTAATTTATTTATACTTTTATATTTATTATAAATATTAAATAATAAAAAAGTATAATATTTTATTATTTTTAATTAATTAAAAGCTTTATTTATTAATAAAATTATTTTTAATTAAATTATTAATTTATTTAAAATTATTATTAAATATATAATTATAATTTAATTAATTTAAATATTTTAAAAATATTTTAAATTAATATTTATAAATTATTTAATTTATTTAAATTTTAATTTATTAATTATTAATTAATTATTATATAACTTTTATTAATTAATAAATAATTATTAATTATTTATAAATATATATAAGTTATTATTTTTAAATAATTAAAAGTTATAAAAGTTATTATTTTTCTTATTTAATTAATTATTTAATTAATTAGTTTAATAATTATTTTAATAATTAATTTAATAAAATTAATTTAATAATTATTTTAATAAATTAATTAATAATTTAATTAATAGTTTAATTAATAGTTTAATTAATTACTTTAATAATTATTTTAATAATTATTTTAATAATTATTTTAATAATTACTTTTATTATTATTACTTTAATTATTTATATATTTTAATTTTATATAATTTTCTTTTTAAATATATAAATAATATATTTTAAAATTATTATAAAGTTATATAATTAATAAGTTTTTATTTAATTAATATAAAATTTATTTATTATATAAATTATTTAATTAATAGTTATTTAATTAATAAATTTAAAGAATTTAAAAGTTTAAAAGTATTAATAAATATATAAAAGAAAGATATTTTTATTATTAATATTTAAAAAATAATATTAATAATTATTAATAATTATAAATATTTAAATATATATAATTAAATAAAATAAATTATAATAAATAAATTTAATTATATTTTTATAAATTTAAAAGGTTACTTAATATAAACTTTATAAATATTAAAAATTTAAATTAAAAGTAATATAAGAATAATTTTAATTAAAGTATACTTTTAAATTTACTTTTAAAAATATTATAATTACTTTTAAAGATTTAATTATATTATTTAAAATTATTAACTTATTATTAAAGTATTATAATTACTTTTAAAAGTATTTTTAATTCTTTAAAGTAATATTTTATAATTTAAAAGTATTAACTTATTATTAAAAGGTTTAATTTTATTATTAAAGTTTAATAATTAAAATAATTTAAATAAATAATTACTTTTTTATAAATTATTTTTATTTAATAATTATATAATTTTATTTATAAAGTTAATTTTAAAGTATAGTTTTTCTTATAAAGAAATTTTTTAAATAATTACTTTATAAAAGAATAATTTATTTTATAATTAAAAATAAAATACTTTTATTATTATTAAAATAATAAAATAAATATTTAATATAAATAGTTTTAAAAATTATTTTAATTTTTATAAAATCTTTTATATAATTAAAAGTTATATTTAATAAAACTTTTAATAATTTTATAATAATTATTTAAATAAATAATCTTTTAATTAATAAGAGTTATTAAATAAGTTTTATATATTATTATTATAAAAAAGAAAAAGAAAGAGAGATTAAGTTAATTAAAGTATTTTTTTAATTTAATTTAAATAATTATAAAAGTATAATTTTAATAAATAGTTATAAAAATAGTTTAATTATAAATATAATTATAAATAAATTAATTAATTATAATATTTATAAATTAATAAATTTTAATTAAAAATTATTAAAATAAATATTATTAAAATATTTATAATAAAATATTTTAATTAATAAATTTTAAAAGTAGTTATTATTTATAATAAAAATAAAAATAAAGTTAAAATTAAAGTATAATTAAATTATTATTTATTTATTAACTTAAATTATAAATATATTAAAATAAAAACTTTAATTTTAATTTAAAAACTTATTAATTAATTTAATAATTAAATTAAAATTTAATTAATTTATTTATACCTTTTATATTTATTATAATTATATAAAAATAAATTTTTATTTTAAAAGAAAATTATTAATATTTAAAATAATTAATATATTTTTAAAAATTAAAAATTATAAATTTAATTTAAAATATATTAAAATTTATAAAAATTTAATTTAATATTTATAATTATAAAAATAAAGTTTTATAAAATTTAAAAAATTTAAAATAAAATTAAAATTAAATTAAATTATAATATAATAAAATAATTAAATAAAAATTAATTAAAAAATTATAATTATAAATTTTTTAATTTTATATTTAAAAAAAAATTTAAAATATAATTAAATTATAAATAAATTAAAATATAAATTTTAATTTTAATTTTAAAATTTATTAATTAATTTAATAATTAAATTAAAATTTATTTATATTATTTTATATTTATTATAATAATTAATAGTTAGCTTAGCTTATATATAAGAAGTGGTGAAAGTGGAGTGAATTAGTAATAGTTAGAAGGTCTGCCTATAGGCGGTGAAGTACCTAGTTGGGTTGGCCAGACCTACTGACTAAGTGTGGTCCGTGCGTGTGTACGGGCCCACTAGCCTTATAGTGGTTAATTCACTATAGCCTACTATTCTTATATTAGTAACTTTTTAGTCTTTTAAAATTAAAGTCTAAGATTATCCTTTCTTTTAACTAATTAAAGAGCTTTATTTATTAATAAAATAGGTTTTAATTAAATTATTAAATCTTTTAGAATTACTATTAAATATATAATTATAATTTACTTAATTTAAATATTTAAAAACGCTTTAAATTAATATTTTATAAATTATTTAAATTACTTAAATTTAAATTACTTTAATAAGTGAAATTAAGTTTAAATTATTAATTAATTAATTACTTATTAAATTATTTATTAAGTAGTTATTAATTATTAACCTTTAATTAATTAACTCTTTTAATAGTTTCTTCTATTTATAATAAACTATTATTTATTTTATTAATTCTTTATTTTATTTAAGGGTTTTATCTTTTATTTAATTAACTATATAGATAGTTATAATATCTTTTTTATTTAAATAAAGTATTTAAATAAAGGTAAATAGAGTATTAAATAATAATTTAGTATTTAGTTTAATATAAATATTATTAGAATAAAAGTTATTATAAAAGTTTTTAAAAGTTTTAACTTAATTTATTTAAAGTATTTTTAATTTAATTCTTAAGGTTTTATAAAATATTAAAAGTTTTTATTAAAGTAATAGTTAAAGTTATTAATAAATTATTAAATTTTATTATTATTAGATTTAATAGTTATATATTCTTTTTTATAGGTATTATTAATATATTTTTTTATTTTATTTTTTAATTTAAACTTTTTTTATTAGAATAATATAGGTAGGAGTATTATTAATATATACTTATAATAGTTATAGATGACTTTATTTTTAAAGATTTAAGGTTATAGTAGTTATATTATTAGAGTATCTTCTATTTAGGTGTTGTGAGAGAGAGAGAGAGAGAGAGAAAAGTTAAAAGAGTGCTTGGTTGATTGCTTGGGTAATATAAGGGGAGGTGGGTAGGTAAATAGGTTAACTAGTAGGTAGCTAAACAGGTTAGCTAGCAAGTAGTTAGTTTAAGGGTCTAATAGGTAGGCTTGAATTATCGGTTACGAGAGAGAGATTGCCCGACAGGTAGAAAAGGCTTCTATAGCCATCCGCAGTCTAATGCTTCTTATAGGCTGTTGCGAGAGAGGTTGTCGCTTAAGGGGTTGTATACTGGCTTGAGCGAAGGGTATGAAGTTGTCGTGTTGGTTGCAAGACTTGCCTAGTAAAGGGGTCCTGTTTAGTAGTTAAATTTGCGCTTGGGTAGCCTAGACAACTCGCCTTCTAGAGAGGCTGCGATAGCGATAGCAATATCGCCGATTTATCTTCTTTAAACTGTAACAGCAAAGCAGCCTTACCAATTCGTCCCCTAAGAGGACTTAACGCCTAAACAGCTTAAATGATTTACCTTACTATTAGAAGCTAGTTGGTAACTAATCAGTAACGATCGGCTTAGCTTACATGTAAGAAGTGGTGAAAGTGGAGTGAATTGGTAATAGTTAGAAGGTCTACCTATGGGCGGCGAAGCGCCCAGTTAGGTTGGCTAGACCTGCTGACTAAGCGTGGTCCGTACGAGCACACAGGCCCACTAGCCTTACAGTGACTAATCCACTACAGCCTACTATTCCTATAATAATATTTATATATTATTAAAAATAATTAATAACTAATTTATTTATTATTATTTTTTAATTAAATAATTTATAATATTTATTTAATTTTTTTAAATTTTTTAAATTTAAATTTATAATTTTAAAATTAATAATTAAAATAATTATTTAATTATTATTAATAAATTAAATTATTTAATTAAAAAATTATAATAATTAATTTAATAATTAATTATTTTAATAATTTATAAATTTATATTATTATATAAAATATATTATTAAAAAAATTATTTAATTATTAAAAATAATTTTTTTTATAAATATATATATATATATACTTTATTATTTAAATTTATTTAAGTATAATAAACTATAATAATTAGATTATTTATAATAATAATAAGTCTTTAAATATTTAATAAGGCTTTTAATTTAATATATTACACTTTCTATATATATTATAATAGCTTTAAATCGATATAGTCGGTCTAGAGACCCACTCCCGCCCTTCTAAGGCCCTAGTAACTATATATACACGGTAAGCCCCTTATTTAGAAAGACTTATTTTAAATATTTAAATACCCTTAGCTAGACCTATAGTCTAACTATTATTTATATTATTTAAAAATATAAACTCTTTATTTATTTTAAATAAAAACTTTATAATTTATAATAATTTTATAGTTAAATTAATTATTAAATAGTTTAAACTTAAATAAAGAATATTTAAAATTAAAATATAAAAAAGTTAAAAGGAAATAAAGATTTTATATAATAATTAAAGGTACTCTTTTTAAATACTTTTTAATTTTAATACCTTCTAAATTAATAATTTATATAAAAATAATATATTAAAGAAAAAATTAATAAAAGCTTTTTTTTAAAGTTTTTTTTATTTTTTTAACCCTTTATTTAACTAAATATAATATATTTAATTAATAAATTAAAGAAAGTAAGGAACTTTAATTACTTATATTACTTTATTTAAATTCCTTTAAAAATAAAGTATAATTTAAAAAAAATAATTAGTATTAATATTAAAACCTTAAAAGAATATTTATTTAAAAAAAAGGAGTTATTAAAAAAGAAATTTAAATTTAAAGCTAGAGGCTTTTTAAAGCCTTACTTAATCCTTATAAGGATTATATTTTAGTTATAAACCTTTATACATTAAAAGCTAACCTCTCCTTTTTAATTATACTTTAAGTAAGTAGTAGCTATAAGTTAAGTGTAGCTTTCCTAATATAGAGGTCTATATGTTAAAGATAAAGAAAGACCGGTAGCGTGCCCTGAGGCCCCGCCCCCTATTGCTTCTTCTTGGAGGCGTTCTTGGCCTGCTCTTCCGTCTTCTCAATCTCCTCATACTCATCCAGCTCCTTCTTCTCAGCATACCACTGTCCGCCTTGCAGGACCAGGATTCCCACCAGGACCAGCGCAAGGATGGTGTTACTCGCAGCCATGACCTTCAAGCTGTCGTCCCGGCCGAGGATGATCTCCCCGGTGAGCGGGCCGTTGTGCCTCTCCTTGAACTCGTCGCTATTCCACAGGTCGCTCGAGATGGTCCTGAAGCCCTTGACGATATTCGCGATGTAGACGCCCATACCGATGACATAGAGGACGAGGGAGGCGCCGTCAAAGAGCATGTTGCTCTCGGAGGGCTTGAACAGCTTGATGAAGAAGCCCAGGAAGCCGACGGCCATGACGATGTTCAGCAGGCGGGCGATGAGCGGGGGCGACTGGTGCATCCACTTCAGGTGCGTCTCGAGCTGGTCGAAAAAGGTTGCCGGGACGGCGTCCGAGGTCCACAGGAGAGGGTAGTCATAGGGGAACTGGGCGAAGATTATGCCGAGGAAGAAGCAGACGGCTTGAGGGCAGAGCGAGTTAGCGATACGGTCCACGTTCGAAGGGGAAGCAGCGCAGCAGCGCAGCGTGCAGGGGCAGCAGGGAATCACTTACGCCCCACGATCATGAACGTGGCAAAGGAGCTGGACCCCCGGTAGTCCTTGGACTTGACCGTCTTGGATCGGTCTATCTTGGGGAGAAGGCCCGACATGGTGAAAGCTCGGGTGGGAAAGGACTCGAGAAAGGTCTGAATATGGGCACGGAACCAATTGGCGACTTTGTCGTGTGTGGCCGCTTTCTTGGTTGTCTGTGTGAGGAAAATGCGACTGTGTGCGTCAAGAGCAGCTGGTTGATGTCGTTGGCAAGGCAGGAAATTTGTAGGCGGTGAGGACCCGAAGCCTCTGCCTCGGCCAGGAACCCCGATAGGCAGTGTAAGCTTACCTAACTGATTGACCCTTATCTTTCATTGGCAGGAGGCCCCTCAGTGGAGCCTGGACCCCAGGTCCGCTCAAGACCCTGGATTTAGACCACGCTTTTACTACCATAGCGCTCCCCTGGGGGTTTTTAGAAACAGTCACTAAACCGTCCCTTCCGCTTTAAAACAGTACCCTAAGCAGTCCTTAATACCTTAGAACTATTCCCTTACTAATACTCTTTAGTGATAACTATAAGGTATATTAATACCTTTCTTTAAGATTAGATTTTCTTTAAAACTAAAGGGTCCTTTAAAGACCTTCCCTTTCCTCTTAAAACCTTCCCTTTCCTCTTAAAACCTTCTCTTTCCTCTTAAAACCTTCCCTTTCCTCTTAAAACCTTCCTTTTCCTCTTAAAACCTTCCCTTTCCTCTTAAAACCTTCCCTTTCCTCTTAAAACCTTCCCTTTCCTCTTAAAACCTTCCCTTTCCTCTTAAAACCTCCTCTTAAAACCCTAAAATATAAAGGAAGGAACCTAACTAAGGCTAGCTAGGTAAGTAGAGTAAGTAAAGAGCTAGTTAGAGGTCTATTTTAAAGGGGAAGACTACTAAAGGAATAAGAGAAGAAATCTCTCTTAGCTAGTCTTTATATTAAAGTAAAAGCTTAAAGTTTAAGGATTTTAAAGACTAATACCTTTTAAAGACCTTTAATACCTTTTAAAGACCTCTTCTCTCTAAGAGACCTCCTTCCTACCTAAAGGTATACTAAGGAAGGAAGGACTATTAGGAGTTATAGCCATTACTAGAGAGTATTAATAAGAACACTATTTTCAAAAACCCCTAGGTGTGCGGTATGGTAGTAGTGTGCTAGTGTGTGCTAGGGTACTTCCCTTTCCTCCACAGTTCTCATGACTGCTAACACTTGGATGCATCCTATGACCACAGTCCGTCTCTGACCAGGACCACTTACAGGCATCTTATTGTACGATCAAATATCTCATATCAATGATTCTAGGAAATTTTACCTTTAGTTGCCTGAATCCATTATTCCATCAAGTATTTCTAGCTTAGTGCTAGGCTGCTAGCTCTGTGCGGGTGTCCGCTGTGCTGCCACGGCATCTAGGCCCCACAACCTCCTGTAGGACAGTCTCCTATCAGCTAGAGGATAATCTTGTAGGGGATAGCCTCCACAGCAGGGCTTTTAGGTGCTTGGGTAGGTAGACTATAGGACTAGTCTCAAGGAAGTGGAGCTAGGTAGGCTTTGTGAGCTCTGGTAGAATAGGATAATTTTGTGAAAGTAGTATCACAGTAATAATAACATATGTGACTGTGACTTGAGTGGATTGTTCCTGATTCACAATTTTGCAGTAGTGTATGTACAGATCATACAACAGCCTTGTGGTGACTATTATACCTTTCATTCTCCGTTTATATATGTGCAGTGTATATAGTTTGCTAGGTTGATATGGAGTAACTACTCTGTAGGTAGTTAGCAATATCAAGTGGAGCACATTCCACATACCAAGTAAGTTTGTCCAGAAGGCGGAACACGATTTGTACCACAACACACAAATTATTGAGATAAACCGGGTGTTTTACGGTGGGGATAGAGACTGTAGTGTATGAGTGGCAATTCAGATACGAAGAGGTTCACGGCACACCGGCTTGTGAGCATGGATTGTCTTGCCACTGGGAGTGGGCGGTCTTGTTTTCAATGTTGTTGAGTTGCAAATCGCAACTCGATGTACTTGGATTTCACCTTCGCGATCTAAAGGGCACCGTATCTGTAGCAATCCGTAGTAAACCTACCGATCTCGACAAAGTCTAGGTGCTTTCGGGTCTGTGTGCGACCGCGTCCAAGCAGCTACCCCTCGGTAGTGCGCCGAGCACAATTGTCGTGGACCGATATCATGTTGCTTTCGCCTACGTTGAGGAGTCCGTAGCGGATGGTACCGCACATGCCAAATAGATTATCCTCTGAAAGCCGAAGGAGGAGAGAGTTGAGGTGCACCTTGAGGCAGGTCTTTCGGGAGATCCACGAGTGTGCCTTGACACCACACTCGTACAGTCATGGTCTACTGTAGAAGTGACACATTGTGATTGCAATATGTCAGAGCGGTGATGTTTTGAGATGTGTTTAGGTATTTGCAGCTTGCAGAGAGTGAAGGATTTACTGGAAAATGAAGAGGGGGTGACATTATAATGTTATGGGTTCTGAACTTCAAGATGGAGGCCTTCCCGATGTGTAGCTGAGATTTGTGTAAGTTTCTGTTGAACTCGAAGGCATTGCTGAGCAAAGTTGTTCGGGATGCCGACTACTACTCAGAGAGGAAAAAGTGAAGCCGGTGGAGTGATCGCCACGCAGCAAATTACGCTGAGAACCCATATCAATTATTACGCCCAGAATACCTCGTTACCAATATTCATAGCCGATCAAGCAGATTTGAAAATTCCTGCTCGCGTGCTTCTGCGGCCACATTGGAAGTGGGCTGAGCCCCAACTTTCTTTTCGGGAACAGCCAGCACCGATTCAAACTCTCAATTTGCCACCACCGAAAACTCGGTGAGAGTGAAGGACACAACAACCTCAAGGCCGTTGTGAGGACAAGACAAACGGTGGGAGTGAGATTATATGACCTGTAAAAGAAGACGGCAGCGTAATTTGTAGACATAACAGTCTGGGCACAATGACCAAGAGACATAATGTACTCAAAAAAATGCGAACATGGCTGAGCAACGGACCTACTCCATCAAAGAGGTATGCATCACCAGACGACTTTAGAATCCAAACTCGATCAGCATCAATATCCAAACTGAAAGATGCCACACATGCAAACTCTACCCGCGAAGCATTTTGACTCCCATTACCAAGATCGACTGAGCGGCGCAGAGAGCAGCAGACGGCCTGGAACAGTCAAAGGGACAGATAGTTGGCCCCTGAATATAATAACAACCTCTGTACTGCCTTCAATTACGATCGTCTAGTCTACATGTAGTAAATACATACAAGGTCTTATCTTCTATGGTAGAATTATAGCTCCCAAGAGTGGCGGGATATACTTCGGGCAGTTGCTCGCGTGTTGACACGAAATACCGCGGCGTGACAGGCTCACCTATACACGCTCATACAACACCATAGGATATCGGTAGACCGAAACTCGTGAGACCAAAAAAAAAAAAAAATCACCCAAGCAGCGCCTCCCTGACCTGGTCAACCTCCTCGGCCGTGCCACAGACCAAGCCGGCCCTCTCGTCCGTGCCGCGCAGCACAGCATCCAGCACCCTGCGCCCGTCGGCAGGGTCCACGGCCCGCCCGCCGGCGGCCTCGACGACGAGCGCGACGGGGCACAGCTCGTACAGCCGCCGCAGCTTGGCGCCGCTCCGGGCGGTCACGGGGCTCACGTACACGCCGTGGCCCTTGACCAGCGCGTGCACCACGTCGGGGACCAGCCCGCCCGAGTACCGCAGCGTGTAGCCCTCCTGGATGTAGCGGGCCACGAGGGCCATGTACCGCCCGTCCTGCGCGGCGGCGCGCAGGTTCGCCGGCGCAAAGTACCGCGTCTTGAAGGGCGGGGCTGACAGACGCACCTCGGGGCGCAGCACCTCGACGGGGCCGTCGCTGCTGATGCCGACCTCGAAGCACGCGGATATTGCGGGTGGGGCGGCGGCGCTGGCACCCGGGATGCGCACGGCGACCACGGCGGTGGTCCGCGGGCCGTAGACGCCCAGCACGGCGGCGACCTGCGCCTCGTCCGGGGCGCGCCCCACGGCCGTGGGGCCGTCCCACACGCCCAGGATGGTGCCGACGGTCCAGTTGGGCGCGATGATGGAGCTGCCGTCGAGGGGGTCGAAGGCGACGGCGTAGCGCTCCGCGGTGGTTGTGCCGGCGACGGGTCCAGCGGTGTGGTCGACGGGCTTCTCGACAGGGTCCTCCTCGCTGGACGCCGTGACCACGGACGCGCAGCGGGCCGCAAAGGTGCGCCGCAGGATGTCCTCGGCGGCGACGTCGACGTTGAGCTGGTCGTCGCCAAAGGTGTTGGCCGTCCCCGCGAGGGCGACGCGGTGGGCGCTCTGCAGGGCCTTGGCGATCTCGCCCACCGCGTCTATCACGGCTGGCAGCACCGAGCCGAAGAGCTCTGCCCGCGAGCCGTCCTCCGGCGCGAGGGTCTCGAGGTGCGAGGCCAGGCTCACGGGGCTCTGTGGCGACGGGCCGTTGCTCATTTTTGTGGGTGAGCTATTTGTTTATTTGTTGGTGAGAAAGGACTTGGGTTGGTTGTTTGGATGCGCTAGGTGGTGATTGGCTCGTCTTGTTATTATTTTTTGATGGTGTGCCTTGTGAGATAAATGAAGCAGGTCGATAGTTAGATATCGAGTGCCCAGTTGATGGAAAATACATGTAATGGCTGTTGAATCCTCGCATCACGTCACATTTGAAACTACTGAATCAGGCAACGTACGACCAGCGGCACGAGCTAAACCACGCCGGTATTCACATTATAAAACTGCGAGTATTTACACGGCATTCACATTACATATGAATCCCAGAGTCAACGGCGCCGTGCCATGCTTTCCTCACCCCCAAACGCCAGCACTGAGTCCAGGTGCCCATGACGCCGGATCCGGCATCACTCATGCTGGCCGTGGCCCAGATCCACCATGCAAAACACTATGATAGCTAACACCACATGGCGACTCTCACCTCCCACCGGAGCTCGGCTGTACCACAACGACGACAACCAGGGATATGACCATGAGCACCAGTGCCACGAGCGAGACCAGGATGACGGTGCCGCGGCTGGCGGGGAACTTGCCCAGGATGATGTACTTCTGCGCCTGGAAGTACCGGTGGTAGCCCAGGAAGAGGATCAGGATGCTGATGCCGAGGAACACGGCGCCCAGGGGCTTGCCCAGGTGCCGCAGGGTGTGCTGGCTGGCGCTGTCGGACGGGCTGTCGGCGATGGACGTGTTGAGCCGGAAGAGCTGCGTGATGGCCACGCCGATGGACGCGAAGGCCAGCGACGTCCGCAGCCACGCGAGAAATGTCCGCTCTGCACGAGGTAGAAGCCATAAGCATATAAACACACACACATGGGGTTTCTGGGGGGGACTGCCTACCTAGTGCCAGGTGGTCCCTCGCGACGGAGCCCTTGTTCTCGAGCTCTATCGACCCGAAGTAGGCCAGCCTCGACCTCCACCACGCCCTCTCCTCCTTGTCCGCCGCGGCCCCGCTGCCGTTCCCGGCCCCGTTCCCGGCCCCGGACAGCGGCGCCGCCCTGCCCTTGCTCGCACTCCGGGACCCGGCGCCGGCGGGCGAGTCTGCGCCGCCCCTCGCCGCCTTCCTGGCCCGCGTGCCGGCCGACTCCACCGTGCTCTGGTAGTTCATGGCCGGGTTGGTGCCGCCGGTGGGGCCGCGCGTGATGATGCCCGTGAGCTCGTCCGGCTCGTGGTCCTGCGGGCTTCGGGCCGGCGACATGGTCTCGGCGCGTTCACGGCCCAGCTGCGAGCCGCATCTGCATGTCAGCGTCGGGATGAGGGTGGTATGTGTTGAGGGGTTGCAGGGTAGGTAGGGCAGTGCAGGATAGAACAGCGCGGGGTGTAAGAATGGTGAAGATGATAATAAGAAGAACAAGACGAGTAATGTGGGTGCGTCGACGCGGGTGTCATGAGACGGGCGTGGGCGTGGGAGTGAGTGAGTCTCATGTGACGACGGGTGGGCCGGTGGCAGCCGTGTTGCCAGACCGGGATCATCTATACGGGACGGGTCACGGCAGAGCACCTGGGTGAGCAGGAAAAGTTTAAATGGACTAGTGCACATACCTCTAGGATGTCACTTATTCTGTCCTGGGTGTTGACCCTCCGGATCCGCCTCGTGGACGCCCCGCTGCTGGATCTCCGGGGCTGCGGTGGTGGAATGGTGACCGAGGTAGCTGCTGCCACGCTTCTCGCCCTGGCCACGGGCGTGAGGCTGGGGCTCGGGGCTGGGATGGCCGAGGAGGACGAGGAGGAGTGAGGCTGGGGGAAGGAGGACGAGGATGGGCTTCCCCCGGACCGAGGGGCAGCCATTGCTGCTGCACGCCGGGGCGAGTGTCGTGCTGATCAGATTTATTATCCCAAGCGCCAAGGATGCATAGATCTCAGGACGGGGGATAACTTGACTGCAGGATAGTGGAAGCGATGATTGCGACGTCCGGATGGAGAAAGGTGGTCGCCCAATGAGCACTGGGCCGCGGTCCTAGCAGCAGGCCGACAGGCGAGGGGCAGGGGAGCTATGGCGTGATGGCCGTAATAGAAGCTATAGCTGCGGGCCTCGGGTCATGACGGTGGAGGACAAGACCAAGATTGCTACCCTTCCTGGGATGTGTGTACGTAGGTATGTAGACAAATCTGATGAGTGAGGTTTTGTGAGATCGACACAGCGGGAGCATAGATCCACAGGGCCCGAGATGTACACAGCAACGTACCCCTCCTCCAACCACACCTACCAACCCCCTAGTCACCTACTAAGTATCTGGTCAGAACCATACACACATACTTACATACCCTCACATCCCAAACATCACACATGTCGACATGTCGACCAGACACAGCTCACTACATACACCAGCACCAGCTAGCGCAAACCATGTCGGTCTTTTCACCATGACAAGGGCCAGCTCCGAATAACCCTTCTAGCACCCGCCATGGCGATCTATATCATGATACTACATAGTACATACAGGCAGACAGGTCATCCACTGCAGCAGAAATTGCAAGCACTTTGCATGACAAGGATTCACCAGCAGGCCCAACCATACTGCACCGCACCACACCCTCCCCCCGTATCTACCGGTGCTTCTGGCCCCTGGCCCTGGCCCTGGGGGCGCCCTCGCAATCGATGGCCAGAATGAGTCCATTGATGTGGCTTGCAGCCTACACAGAGCCTCAACCACTCCCCGCCCTGTAATTCGACGGCCCTGGACGGCCTGCGAGGTTGGTGATTCGGGCCCGGGCTCGAGATAATGCATGTGCACACTCCCGGCCTTGGCTGTACGACCGAAAGAGGTTCCCACAAGACCTCTCCAGTATTCCAAGGTTGTGTGACTTGACTTACATATATACTGGAAGAACAATCATAAGTCGTACTGTGATGTGACTGGGTAGGGCACAAACGGGTAAGACAAACCAGGGCAGAGTCAGACCTCAAGTCCACAAAAAAAACAGCTTTGGATTCAGAGGACTGTGCGACTGTGCGACTGTGCGACATCCTCGTGTACACTACATCAGCCAGCCTCGGCGTCGAATGCCCAGTCAAGAAAACGCTTTTCCACATACCACCAACCCCGCGCCCCCATTTTGGTATCTAGACGCCGTGCGAAAAGTCAACCGCTGATATGCACATACATGTCAAGCAGAGAGGCGGGCAGGATGGGGGAGGACAAGCAACCGCCCCCCCACCCGCCCAAAAGCCCCTCTCGTCTCCCCCCCTCCCCTTCGTCCTGGCACCCCTAGCCCGCCATGGTCAACACGTAGCTGGTGATACTACTCATCCTCTCGCTCGTCAGCTTCAGCCCTATCCTCAACAGCTCTTGCGCCACGTCCGGCTCGCGCTTCTGGAGCCGGTCCCAGTTCTCGCGGTCCATCAGCCACACCACACAGTCCCGCTCCGCCGTCACCTTGGCCGTGCGGTTGGTCTCCGAGAAGAACGGCAGCTCGCCGCACGTCGTGCCCGCCACGATGCTCTCGTACAGCCACCCCTGCGGGAGGTTGTACTCGGCCTTGAGGATGCCGCTCTCAACGAGGTAGAAGCCCTGCGCCGGCTCGCCCGCCCGGAACAGCACGTCGCCGCGGTAGAACTCCTTGCGCACGAAGAAGTCCTTGGCCCGCACCCAGAAGTCCTCGTTCCGGTCCGACAGGTCATGGAAGATCTGAAGCATCAACCGGAGCGGCTCCTTGAAGTTCTGCCATCGGGAAAGCCGCATCACCTCGCGTTGCGTCATCGACTCCTGTGCGGCCTTGTGCAGGTGGCTGCGGCGCGGCGAGCTCCCCAACAGGTCGTCGCTCAGGTGGTTGTTGTCGGCAGCATCGAGCATTTTCCCCACCGGCACGTCCAGCCCAGACACGTCCGCATTCCTACAAGACTTGAAGGCCTCCTGGCTGGTGTAGAATGTCCGTAGAAGCTCGTTCTCGCAGTTCTCCAGTGCCGAGTTGAGGCTCGGGCTGAAGATGACATGCGTGCCGTTGGAGCTGGTGCCCAGCCCCACCGCGCGCAGGTCCCGACCCATGGGGCTGTCCGTGTCCACGCCGCTCAGCAGGAGGACGATCTCCTTGGCCGCGAGAAGCCGGCTGACGGTGCTAAAGGCCTCACTAGCCGAGTAATCTAGACCAGTGACCTGTTGGAGGTCCAGTATCAGATACTTGATTGGCCGCCGCGCGAATTCCTCATCAGCGATGAGCTTGCGGATTTTGTCTTCGACGCCGACTATCGTGCCGAAGAAGAGAAAGCCCGAAAGTTTCATCAGGAATACCTGTTTACCGACTTTCTGGAGGTAGTGTTGCTGTGATGGGTTCCTTCGGACAGTCGACCCCACGACCTCACCCGAGTAGGTCGCGCGGATGGCCGAGACTCTTGATGCCTGGAAGATCAATGAGGCGAATGCTAACAGGACTCCGACTCCGATACCAATAACAAAGTCGTACATGCCCATCACTAGCACTATAGCGACAACCTGTGAGGTTCTGTTAGCTCGCGCAATACACATCCCACCCGCCCGGGGAGTCCGCATACCGTCAAGTATTCGAGCATGTTCAGTTTGGATTTGGGGTTCCAGAGCGCATCAAGCAGCAGCTCGAAACCCAGTATGAAGATCAGGGTACCGACCATCATGACCGGGATGAATCCAATGATCACCGGGCCGATGACCAGGACTACAGCAGTGAAGAAGGCCAAGAGATATCCAGCAAGCCGACTGTTACCACCAGACTTGATGAAGAACTGACTGTTGGCATATACCAGGTAGTTCTGGATGCTGCCCGCACAGCCAGACAGGAAATTGGAGAGACCATGCAGCTTCAGCTCGCGATCGAGACTCGCATGGTCTTCCCCTGTTTGAAGAGCCAGGGCTGGAACGTTGATGGGAACGTGCAATACACCAAAGAAGGTGAGAGCCAGCATGGCTGGAATGCATTCTACCACCGCTTCCCAGTGGATCAGGTTGAATTCTGCAATATCGTTAGTTTCTCAGTGGCAAGGCTGGTAGTGACTGCACTTACTGAAGAGGGTATAGAAGTACCACCATGGCTCTCCGGCAGGCGGTGACTCGAAGATCCAGCCCTTTTGCCGCAGTGGCTCAGGCTCGAGCGAGTCGAGGACGACGACAAAGAACCAAAAGATGGCAGGCTCCAAGCAGATAAATACAGGCAGGACGTAGTGGTTGTCCTTGAGCTTGCTGGTGCTCGATAGAATGTACAGAATTATGGCGAGGCCCAAGGGTATTGTCCAGAGAGGAACGGTGTTGGCTCGGAATAGCAGCCGGAGCGTGTCCAAATCATAGTGGAAGCTTCCCTCGAGCCTCGCGGAGACCTCGAAACCAGTCTGAACAAGGAACCAGCCGACGCCACCTATGCACCCTATGAGGATGTGGCGTGGGATGAACCCGACCAGACCCCCAAGTTTGAGGGCGCCCATGGTGAAGAAAACGGCGCCGGTGATGAGCGAACTGAAAGAAAAGCAAAAGATGGTCGTGGCGATGACTGCGTCTGGGTTGTCTTCCCCAACAAGCGATGTGATGGTGGAGGCCATGTTGTGGAAGAAGGGCACGACCTCAATCAGTTCGGACCCCACTCCTCCCTTGAATATACTACCCGTTGAGAAGACAATCTGCGACACGATCGTGCTGACATAAAAGATAGAAATTCCTGCCGGGCCCAGGTTTGCAAAGATGGGGTTCCCTAGTGGGAAGAGAATCATTCCGTATGAGAGGGCATCCAAGATGTTGAGGATGAGACCGACAAACACTGCCGGCAGGGTCTTGACAGGATCGACAACCAAGGTATGCAGGATTGCCTTACCATCCCAGCATCGGGGATCATGAGCTGCCTTTGCGAAGCCCTGCAGGCCTGTCTTTGCGCGGTCCGCTCTCTCTGCCAGCCAGCTCCGGGACTCAAGCGGCTTCTGGCTCTCGATGTCGACGACGGCGGCAGAACCATTCCCGTGTTCGAGATAGGAGCTCCCATGAGACCTATTCCGCAGTAAAGGCGTGTTCTCCGTGTCGTTCTCGGCGACTGTATCTTCGCTTTGTGCCCACAATTTACTGTCGTCGCGCCTTGCTGAGCTTGGGTGGATTTCGAACGGGGCAGCCAGTCCCGGACCCTGCCCGAGCTGTGAAGGCTGCGCATCCTTGGGCATAAATGCGTCCTTGTAACTCTCTGGTGGTGATCTCCTCAGCATGTTTGCGAGCATTGAGGGACCGTCATCTTGGTGGGGGTCTTCCAAGTACTCTTCAGGCGAGGGGGGCTCAGACTCTTCTAGGATGGTGTCTGCCGTCCCGCCAGCTAGAGATTCACCCTCGTCATCCTCACCAACAAGCAAATCTTCGGTCCTTTGCTGTGAAGACTGGGATCTCTGGCGTGACAGGAAGTTTGGGCTGGAACGCTGAGTCTTGTCTGAAAGAAAGTAGGAAGCAAGCTCAGCTGTGTCCTCCCGGACGCTCCTCGCGTACAGGGCGCTGTCGATGGGTGCTGCAGTGTGTATTAGTAAAGTGGTGGTTGCCATGTTTTGCCGGAGCGGGATCAGATATGATGGATGTTATTGAGCCAGAGGAAGCGGGTGAGTTGGGTGAGTGTAACCACTTATGCGTTGCACAGTAACCAAACCCCAGTAATGTGGATGTCTGCATGGCCGGGCAGAGGGTGTAGCATGTGAAGACGGCAAGACTGGAATGTATAGGACATCAAGGGACTCACCTGGACTGTCTCGGGCGGTGCCAGAGATAAAAGAACGGATAGGCTCCCGGTGGGCGGTTGAGCTCGAGGTGGACAGCAGGCGTGGGTCGCCGATATTCTGAGGTTTGGCCCGGGGAGAGGTCAGGAGCGAGGGAGTAGGGGTTGACGAGTCCCGGTCCTGCGAGCTGATGGACTGGGTCCTCCTACGCCATGAGCCTGTAGAGGGTGATGCCATCGTCGCAGTAGTGGTGTTATCTCACGAGTCGGGCCAGAGACTCATTATCCATGCAACGGGGCCTTTGGCTTTTGCAATGAGCAAAGATTATGTCTCGGATGGCAATATGGTGCAATCTGGACAGGCCGTCTGCGGGTAGCTACCAAGTAGCTAGTCAACTGGCGTGCCACCGGTTCTTGTCCCTATTGACCAGTGATGAAAAACTACCGGGTCACAGGGCGAAGACACAGACCACAGCGTACAGAGTACAGCAGTCAAGATGACGGAATATATGCGGCAGCCAGCCCGACTGCAGCAATGGTCCGCAACAGAGTGCGAAAAGAAAGACCGTCGGGCGGCAGAAGTGTGAGGGCAAAGGAAGGAAGCAGGAATGGCAAGATGCAATACCGTGGTAGAAGCCCGGCGTGAAGGGATGCAAATGCAAATGCAAATGCAGACGATACGTGATAGACACACAGTAGCAGTAGCAGGGCGAGAGACTGGAGCCTGGGTGCTGGTGTGGACTTGTTGAAGAATGGCCCTCCGTGGTACTGTGTAGAAAGTTGAAAAGCATGTGGATGCCAATGCCACTCCTGCCTCTCCGGTCTGGGATCCGATGTCCATGCAAAGCCTTCACGAGCAAGGATCTTGAGGGGCCGCGCCACCTCGCTGTGTGGAATGGGAGGCCACGGGCTAGCGGTGCACCAAGGCACTGGTATTGGGCACTGGGTACTGGGTACTAGGGTACTTCTAGCACCGGGTACCGACCGACCTCGAGCTTGGGCGAGGCCTGGTCTTGTCCATTGCGACTCGTGGTAGAAACTAGGGGGAAAAAAACCCACGCAGGGCTGGCCAGAGCTGGCAGACTAATCCTCTGCGAGGTAGCCAACAAACTCTGGCCCACTCACAACCTCATGAGCAGGCATTAGTTCGCCGCACATAGTCGCATACCTACGCAGGCCGTGGCCCTTCTGCCCGGCCTAGTGACGGTGTGTGCGAATCAATACCGAGAATTGGGCAATAAGCTCAGCAGCGGAGAGCAGCCGTCGTCACACAGCAGCTGTCCGAAAATGCGAGGTTGACGACGATCTGGAGACCAGACAACACATCACGTCGTCAACAAGCTGGACAAGTTTCCCCAGCACAGGGCGGGGCCGATGTCAGATGCGGTCAATTGGCGAATAAGAAACCCCCATCGATCCAAGCAGGGGTTTCTTGGGACACCGCATGGACCGGGGGGCAGTGGAAAAGGGGGCCGTTCTGCACCTTCTGCAACGTCTGGACTCTGGACAAGAAAGATGGATGTCTGCCAGTTGTTATTCCACATTCTCGTCTTCGGGTAAAGTGCTGCTGAGTTTAATGCGAGACCGCCGCCCATGTACAGTACCCAGTACCCAGTACCCAGTACCTCGAGACAGGCATTGATCCTGCACCCTCTCCACCTGCTCTTGAATGCCTGACAAAACTCTGAGCTTCCAGCAAACCGAACCGCTTCAACTGATTTCGATTGTTCAATCAAGCACCGTCGTCGGTCCAGGTGCTGTGTCTTTGTTATTACTGTGTATAACATGACTTCTGAAATTCGCAGAAGCCATATATATGCGCTGGGTTCACCCTCGTACAGCCCAGGCGAGGCAGTTTTTGCCGACCCGGCTACTGTGGTACACAACAGGTCCTGTCAAGCTCAAGCTATATTTGGCCCCCATTCCCACCTTACCTGCAGCAGATCTGCTAGCCGAAATACCTAGCTGCTCCGTACCTCCCCAGCTCCCCCACGGCCTGGGCGGCTCTCGTTTTGGCAAACGTCCAGTCACCCGAGTGGCATGCCTGCAGGAACTTTGTCACGATCTTGACTACGAAACCCATCGTGCATATCCCCTCACATGCTGCTTATACGTTTTGCCGATGCGCACCACAAGGCGACTGTGACACAACCATCAGTTCATTAACCCCCTCACTCCGCACGGCCCATGCTCATGCATGTAAATTGCCTGTAAAGCCAATCCCCTGGCCGAGACCACACCACATGAGCTCGGCTTCAACTCTGCTGCGATGCCGGACATGACGCGCCGCAACAGTCGTCACGCTGCCCTGGTTTTGGCCTGCATGACCTGAGGATTGTCGCAAGAGCCGGGGCCCCGCGCCTCATACTGTCGTCAGGTCGCGCGCATCTTGACCCTATTGCTGGATAAAGTCAGCAGAGGAGAGCTTATGCAGGCGACAACCTGATTTGACAGCATCTCAGAAAGCATTGCTCGTGGCCGAGCTCCGGTTTCGTTGCTTGCCACCTGCTTCGCTTGTCTGCCAGTGTCTGCCAGTCTGGGCTGCAGACTCATCCATACGGAGACGAGTGCAGGCCAGGCAACGTCTTCTGTTGCGTCGAGCGACTCGTCATATCGTTGTCTTGCGCTCTACCCCAGTTTCTGGAGGTAGCCCTGAGCGATGAGTCGCTCCACATCTCCTTGTCGGACGTAGAACTGGCTGTTCTTGGTCAACGTGATGGCACTGTGTAGGATTGTCAGCCAAGAAGCCCGGCAGATAGTCTCGTTCTTTGCCTACCCATATTCAGTCTGAATCTCGCCCGCGTCTTTCAGCACCCGCACGTCGATGAACAAGTCGCGAGGAGGCTCGAGGCTGCCGGTGAGGTCGATGTCGGTCCACTGGCCCTTGTATGCCGCCAGCAGATCACCGAATTGCCTCACATAGTCCTCCTCCTGGGGGCTGAGACTGCTGGTCCCCGAGTCGCCAGGGCGCGTTGCGACCCCAGCAGGTCCAACAGCTTCCCTAAGCTGCTGTCCTGACAGGTCGACCACGTCCGCACCGCTCCACACCAGTTCCTCAAGCTTGTCCGTCCTCGTCTTGTGATACGCGAGCAGGCAACGCTTGTTCCTCCTCATTGATAGGTGGTTGACGAGGAGTGTGCATGCTGTGGCCTGGTCGGCGTTGGGATCAAATGATCCTTGGAAAGGCTCAAGGAGACTGGCGACATCGCGATCTAGATCACGAACTTCGCGGGCGACCTCACGGACAAGCTCGGTCTGGTATGGGGGCAGGTTTGCCAGGTTCTGTGTTCTCTTGGCATGGCCGACCTTGAACGGTTAAGCTTGTCAGTTAAGTCCAACATCAAAGCCCATGGGCTTGCTAATGTCCTTGCAAGAGGAGAAATACCAATTTATTCCCTTGTTCGCCGTACATAGGCATTGGAATGTACGTGCCGTCATGCAAAACGGCAGACAAGAAATTCGACGGGTGCGGGTTGTCAGAGTTGGAGATGCGATGGTGGCTCTCTGGGCATGAGGTCGTACAAGACGCGTCTGATTAAAGAGCATTGAAGACTATTGTCGCGTACCCCAGTCTGCGCAAGACCTGAAGCGACTAGGCCTACACAGCATCCTGGAGGCATGGGGGGCAGGGGCCGTCGGAGCCCAGCCGTTAAAAAGCACAGGGCTTTTTTGCTAGATCACCCAATGAAAATCGCTGTAACTTTATTGGAACTGGGGCCACACGTCACAGGCCTTACAGCACAGCAACAGGGTTCAAGATAAGCCCCTCCAAATTTCTCGTACCCCGCGGGGAGCAAGGTCACTGCAGTTGGGATTTTTTTCCTGCCCACTACAAAAGCAGAGAAAACTCCTGCACCGTTCTCGGAACCCAGTCAAGACGCTGCTGTAGCCTGTCGTGTTTTCAGAATTGTTTCTTCAGCCACTGTCTTTCCTCCTCGCCTGGCTGGTTGTTTGCACAGATTCAAACACCGACCGGTAGTCCTCACCCCGATCTCGCAGCAGGGAAGCAGTCAACACCAGCAAGATGGCCACACAAAACCAGTCCGCGGGCCAGCGCATTGCCATCGTCTCTGTCTATGACAAGACTGGCCTGCTTGACCTGGCCAAGGGCCTGGTCCAGCAAAATGTCCGCATTCTTGCGTCCGGAGGAACATCCAAGATGATCCGCGAGTCTGGATTCCCCGTTGAGTATGGCCAAACCTTTGAACCAGCACACACGTCCCGTTGCTCGTTGTCCTAGTCTTACTCACAACGCTCTCCTCGCGCAGGGATATCTCGGCCATCACCAAGGCCCCCGAAATGCTGGCTGGCCGTGTCAAGACCCTTCACCCTGCCGTGCACGCCGGCATCCTCGCGCGCAACCTCGCCTCGGACGAGAAGGACCTGGCGGAGCAGAGCATTGACAAGGTCGACTATGTCATTTGCAACCTGTACCCTTTCAAGGACACCGTCGCCAAGATCAACGTTACCGTGCCCGAGGCTGTCGAGGAGATTGATATTGGTGGCGTCACGCTGATCCGTGCCGCTGCGAAGAACCACTCCCGCGTCACGATCCTCTCGGACCCTGCCGACTACGCAGAGTTCCTCAAGGAGATCGAGGCCGGCGAGGTTAAGGAGTCCAGCCGCCGGCTGTACGCCCTCAAGGCCTTCGAGCACACCGCAGACTACGATGCGGCCATTTCCGACTTCTTCCGAAAGCAATATGCCGCCGAGGGCCTCCAATACATGGCCCTCCGTTACGGTGCCAACCCACACCAGAAGCCCGCAGCTGCCTATGTCAAGGAGGGCAAGCTTCCTTTCAAGGTTCTGGGTGGTTCCCCTGGCTACATCAACCTTCTGGATGCCCTGAACAGCTGGCCCCTGGTCAAGGAGCTCAAGCGAGCCCTGGGCAAGCCCGCGGCCGCAAGCTTCAAGCATGTCTCACCCGCAGGCGCCGCAATCGGTCTGCCCCTGACCGCCGAGGAGAAGAAGGTCTACTTTGTTGAGGACATCCCCGGCATCGATGAGTCGGGTCTGGCTCAGGCCTACGCCCGCGCTCGTGGTGCCGACCGCATGAGCAGCTTCGGTGACTTCATCGCCTTGAGTGATGTTGTGGACGTCGCAACTGCCAGCATCATCTCCAAGGAGGTTTCTGATGGTGTCATCGCCCCTGGATATGAGGATGCCGCACTGGCGATCCTCAAGAAGAAGAAGGGTGGCAAGTACCTCGTGCTGCAGATGGACCCCGAGTTCGAGCCCAACCCCAAGGAGACTCGCACCGTTTATGGCATCACGCTTGCGCAGCAGCGCAACGACTTCGAGATCAGCCCTAAGTCGTTCGGTACCGTCATCACACCCAAGGACGCCAACGTCCCCGAGAGTGCCCTCCGCGACCTTACCATCGCCACCATTGCCCTGAAGTACACGCAGAGTAACTCCGTCTGCTACGCTGCTAGGGGCCAGGTTGTTGGGCTCGGCGCTGGCCAGCAGTCCCGTATCCACTGCACACGTCTGGCTGGCGACAAGGCCGACAACTGGTGGCTGCGATTCCACCCCCGTGTCCTCGACATCAAGTGGAAGAAGGGCACCAAGCGCCCTGACAAGAGCAACGCGATCGACCTGCTTGTCAGCGGCCAGCTGCCCAAGGACGGACCTGAGAGGGAGTCTTTCGAGGCAGCCTTCGACGGTGTGCCCAACGCGTTCACCGCTGAGGAGCGGGAGGAGTGGCTCGGCAAGCTCACTGACGTCGCTGTGTCCAGCGATGCATTCGTAAGTGCAACAACCCATCGGTCACATGTCCCAGCACGGAGACTAATTACGATCACAGTTCCCTTTTACCGACAACGTCTACCGTGTTGCGAAGTCAGGCGTCAAGTACATCGCTGCGCCAGGTGGTAGCCAGAACGACCAGCCGGTCTTTGAGACGGCTGAGAAGCTGGGCATCACCTTCATTGAGCAGAACATCCGCCTCTTCCACCACTAGAGGGCGCAGAAGGAGATGTTGCCCATGCGAGGGTTCAGGAAGAATCAGTTAGATGGTGTAGATACCCTTTTCGAAACTTTGGACACGACTTGCATTTGCGCTTCCCCACGAAATCGCGAAACGCTGAGACGGGGGAGGCTGGTTTGGGCATATAGGACAGCGGGGCGGGGACCAAAAAAATACTTCAACATTGAGTGGCTGTGGAGCTTTCAACATCTTTATTCGACAAGGAATGGCGTTCAGAGAAAAGGCGCGTGTCTAGGTCTGTCTTGGTCGTATGCGACATATCCAATTTGATTGAGTTGTGTCTTGCAATGGTTGTTGTTGTGCAGACTTGAGATCCGGGAACAATTAATCCTGATAGCACGCTTGGAAGACTTGTGACTGCTGCCCTGAGTAGACCGCAACAACACTGAGGACTGGGCGAGCAGTGCCGTTGCTATCAAAAGCGATCGCGAGCGATTTGGCACAGCTCTGCAGTGTCCAACGGAGCGGTTCAAATACTGGCCTCCCCCATCGGTCAAGTCACACGCTTACACCGGCATAGAATTGAACAATTATTTGGAACAAATGTCTTGTCACTATTTCAAATAGGTTTTGGTCTATTTTCATTATTGTGCTACATCGGAGTAGAGCCTGTGGCAGCTACCCCACCAGTCGACTCGTTGCTCGGCACTGCTTCACAACAGGGTCCTGATCATGCTAGACCGCGCCTAGAGGAAGGAGCATAACCTGATGCACTAGTCAGCACGCTGATGAGCCATGGGACGAGGTACAAAAGTGCAAAGTGAGAGAAGCGATCAGAAATGCACAAAGTGCTTGTTGGTTTCCTCATTTGAACAGGGTCTTAAGCTGCTCAGAAACACGGACCAATGTATTCATCACGTAGAGGGAGGTTCTGTAGAATAGGTGGATAATTGAAGTCAGTCGCTTACCTTTTATATATGATGGGAGAAGCTGTCGCGCAATGCGACCTCGAGGCGCTGGCCCGAGAACGCTTGCTTGCGTGTTACCTCGTTTGTGGTGAGGATGTGAAAAGACGCGCGTGGAAAAGTTGAGGCCAAAAACTTATTTATGGGGACGCAAGGATGTGGGTCCGTCCATGAAGTGGTGTTATCGATAAGGCCTCGCGACATGGGTCTAGTGTTAACGGCTGCAAGCCGCGGGCCGCAGCTCGAAGCTTCTCGAGATATCCAGCCGTGTCGGCGTCATAGTGTGGTTAGGCTCGGCTTCTAGATGTTGATTCGGTGGGGCCCCCAGTTCAAGAATTATTTGATGGGGAGGACGAGCGACTGTTTCCTTTCTCAACTTTCCTTTTGCAGCGTAGAGAATCACATTGCCACAACTGCTTCACGATGTTAACGAGGAGAAACCTACTTTCGTCCACACGGCGCATCGCAAATGCGCAAACCAGTCGATCGACGGCGAGAGTCTTAGCTCTCCGCCCAACTCTTGCCGACTCAGCTTTAACACCCACCACAACAACACCAAGATGTAACCCCCCACGACTTGTACCCTCCATCTCGACAGTGCGACACTATGCGAACGGCCGACCGCACCCGCCAGGGGGCACGCACCGGATGGACATGAGCGGCGGGGAGGAGAAACCGGCACTCGAACAATACGGAATCGACCTCACAGCCAAGGCAAAAGAAGGCAAGCTGGACCCAGTCATCGGGCGGGACGCGGAGATCCAGCGGACGATCCAGGTCCTGTCGCGGAGGACCAAGAACAATCCCGTCCTGATCGGCCAGGCGGGCACGGGCAAGACGGCGATCTTGGAGGGTCTGGCGCTGAGGATAGTCAGGGGCGACGTGCCCGAGTCGATAAAGAACAAGCGCGTCATCACGCTGGACCTAGGAAGCCTGATCGCGGGCGCCAAGTTCCGCGGCGACTTCGAGGAGCGGCTCAAGAAGGTGCTCAGCGAGGTGGAGCAGGCAGAGGGCCAGGTCATCCTGTTTATCGATGAGCTGCACACGCTGCTTGGGCTCGGCAAGGCCGAGGGCTCGATCGATGCCTCGAACCTGCTCAAGCCGGCACTTTCTCGTGGCGAGCTCCAGTGCTGTGGTGCGACCACGCTGAACGAGTACCGGCTTATCGAGAAGGATGTGGCTCTGGCACGGCGGTTCCAGCCCATCCTGGTCAATGAACCCACCGTGGAGGATACCATCAGCATTCTGCGTGGCATCAAGGACAAGTATGAGGTCCATCACGGAGTCCGCATCACCGACGGGGCCCTGGTTGCCGCGGCTACATACTCGAACCGTTACATCACAGACAGATTCCTCCCCGACAAGGCTATCGACCTGATGGACGAGGCTGCAAGTTCATTGCGGCTGCAGCAAGAGAGCAAGCCAGAAGACATCATGCGGCTTGATCAGAGGATCATGACCATTCAGATCGAGCTGGAAAGCTTGCGGAAGGAGAAGGACGTCGCGAGTCGGGAGCGCCGGGAGAAGTTGGAGGCCGACTTGCAGGCGTTGCAAGACGAGGTCAAGACGCTCAATGAGCGATGGGACAAGGAGCGTGGCGAGATCGACAATATCAAGAAGACACAGGCAGACCTTGACAAGGCAAAGGTCGAGCTCGAGATGGCCCAGAGAGAGGGCAACTTCGGGCGTGCCTCTGAGCTCAGATACAGCGTGATCCCGTCCCTGGAGCAGAAGCTGCCCAAGGAGGGAGAGGAGGGAGAGCAGCCCAAAACGGACGGCACCCTCATCCACGACAGCGTCACTGCAGATGACATCGCACAGGTCGTCGCCCGCATCACTGGCATCCCCGTGTCCAAGCTCACGTCAGGGCACATCGAGAAGCTGGTGCACATGGAGGACACCCTGCGGCAGTCGGTCAAGGGCCAGGACGAGGCGCTCGAGGCCGTCGCCAACGCCGTGCGCATGCAGCGCGCCGGGCTCTCGGGCGAGAACAGGCCGCTCGCCAGCTTCTTCTTCCTGGGCCCGACGGGCGTGGGCAAGACGGAGCTGTGCAAGAAGCTTGCGGGGTTCCTCTTCTCGACCGAGTCGGCGGTCGTGCGCTTCGACATGAGCGAGTTCCAGGAGAAGCACACCATCTCGCGGCTCATCGGCGCGCCCTCGGGCTACGTCGGCTACGACGACGCGGGCCAGCTGACCGAGGCGGTGCGGAGGAAGCCCTACGCCGTGCTGCTGTTTGACGAGTTCGAGAAGGCCCACCGCGACATCTCGGCCCTGCTGCTGCAGGTCCTCGACGAGGGCTACCTCACCGACGCCCAGGGCCACAAGGTGGACTTTAGGAACACCATCATCGTGCTGACCTCGAACCTCGGCGCGGACATCATCGTGAGCGACGACCACGCCCGCGAGGACGGCTCCGTCTCCCCCAAGGTGAAGAAGGACGTCATGGACGTCGTCAGCGCAAACTACCCGCCAGAGTTCATCAACCGCCTCGACGAGTTCATCTTCTTCAGGAGGCTGTCGCGTGAGGCGCTGCGCGACATCGTCGACATCCGCCTGAGGGAGCTGCAGGAGCGCCTCGACGACAAGAGGATCACGCTCAGCGTCCCCGACGGGGTGCGGACGTGGCTCGCCGACAAGGGCTACGAGCCCAAGTACGGCGCGAGGCCGCTCAACAGGCTCATCACGCACAAGATCAGCAACAAGCTGGCGGACAAGATCATCAGGGGCCAGATCAAGATGGGCCAGACGGCTGTGGTGTCTGTCAATGAAGACGGGTCTGATCTGGAGGTCAATGCTGAGGGCGAGTCATAGGGTTGGTCTTACGGTATGACATTTTCATCAGTGGCGTTATGGGGATAGGGAAATATGGCTGGGGAAAAAAAAGTCTACGACAGTGACAGTGGCATGCATTGGCGTCCTATTGTATATTCATGTGCATCTCTTCTCAAAGATACCAATAATTTCACTTTTCGAAAAGGTTTGAAGTACCAAATCATTCAGACGAAGATCGTTCATGTATCCTATAAGTATGGGTGAGCACTAGAGCAGCTCATCTGCGTGCAAATCCAAACAGCAATGCGTACTGCACATAAATGTGCAGAGGCCATCATCGTCAATCACTAACGAACTGCCCACACAATCATCTCATCGACGGTCTGCGCACTGATGTCCGTAGCTTCAACGTCGAGGGGGCCAAATAGCGCCCAACTGGACAAGCAATGCACACCAAGCACAAGCACCCAGAAGGCCCCTGGGATACCCCATCCTTTCACACGGACTGTGCGCACAATCCGATTCCTGACACTCGACCCCAGGAGAGAGAAGAGGGGACGGGACGCGACCCTTGGACCCGCAGTCCAGCCCAGGGGGGCGTGTGTCAACTCTTGCCGGGGCGGGATGGGCGAGACAAAGAACAGGAAGGGGGGGGGAAATCCCCAAAGAGAAACGGCGAGGTAGCCGATCGAGTCCTGTGGGAAAAGGCCACCTGTCCGCGTCTGTTTCGTTTCGCCGCGTCAGAGAATACGTATTTACCTTTGCGTTGCTAAGAGAGAGAAACCCCGACGGTCAGCTTGCTTGACTTGCTTGGCCTTGTGGTGCGGGGTGGATGATCAAGTTTAGGCTTCACAATTACTACATCCCACCTGTTCTATTGTATATTTTGGACATGGATAATGGCAGGCAGCAGCGGCCATCAGCGGTAATGAATGGAACATGTGGCAGTTTGGTAACCAGCACCGAGTAACTCAGGCTCATCCAATCTCGAGTACCGCGCAGGGGGCGCAAGGGGAACAGAACTGTGAGAGGGTTGAAACGCAGTGACTTACTAGTGGGTCATCCGAGCCGCAACAAATGTTGCTGACGTTGCGCAATGCACCAAGGGACCAGAGCCTCGCTCTCGCTTCTAGAATGTTTCCTCGATGGTGGGGCCTCTCCGGATATTTTGCAGCGGAGAGGCCTAAACTTTGGGAAAAGAATTAATCATGCCTCGAGGCTTGCTCGAAGAAACGATGATGTGTATTGCAAACTTTTCTTCTTACTTGACTACACAAATGCCGACCCGAACCGCGCCTCTGGCATAAGACAATGAGTGGTGACTTTGACGGAAAGACGTGGTGTTTTTCTTTCTTGTCCCATGGCGCGTGCGAGACAAAGACCAAGGCGCACAGTGGAAGAGCAAAAATAAAACCAGTCTATGTAAAAACGACGATAACAAGAAAGACTCCTGCTTTGCGTGTCAAGAAGGAGCCCCGAGAGGCGGGGGGAGCGAGCTGATGCAAGGGTGGACCACTGATTCCTCCTTCTCTCCCACTCGCGTATCTAAAGCTCGATGAGGCGGCGAGGATTGAAAGACCAGACCAACATAATGCCTTTCGTTTTGATTCGTAACCCACTCCCTCCCTCGTATCAAATGCTGTTGATGAAAGAGGGACGTGACGTGTCTTGAAAAAGTCGGAATCATATCCTCAAATCGTACAAAGATTCCTTGCCCCGTTGCGCCCCGTTCCCCGCCTTTCTTTCCGCGAAAGACCAAGCGTGCGAAATGACCTCGTTTGCCCCGATTAGCGGCTCTACTGATTCATTCGTGACCACCTTGCGATGCATTATGTCCTGGTTCATTGTCCTTAAATAAATTCGATTGCGTTGAGGTAACTTGTGAGGCACAACCGAGTGCGGACTGCCGAGGAGATATCCGTCGAAACCGACGCCTTAGGCGCTGCCAGCCTTGCGGAGGGATGTGGCGAGCCACTCGAGACCTTCATAGAGACCATCACCGGAAGTAGCGCAAGTGGATTGGATGTACTGCTCGTTGATTAGCATACTGCTGCGCCAGGGAATCTTGAGGGGGAGGAGGGGCTGAGGCATACCCAGGCACGCTGTCGCAGGCTGTGGAGGCCAAGCTTGTCTGTGATCTCTGCGGCGTTCATTGCGTTCTGTCGCGTGGTTAGCAAAGCGAGCCATCCGGGGCGGGGGGGGGGGCGGGTCGCATCAGGAGATACTTACGGGCAAATCCTGCTTGTTGGCGAAGACGAGGAGGTTGGCATCGCGCAACTCGTCCTCGTTCAGCATACGCTGAAGCTCCTCCCGGGCCTCGACGATACGATCGCGATCGTTAGAGTCGACGACGAAGATGATACCCTGGGTGTTCTGGAAGTAGTGCCTCCACAGAGGTCGAATCTTGTCCTGTCCACCGACATCCCACACGGTGAAAGAAATGTTCTTGTACTCGACCGTCTCGACGTTGAAGCCTTTACGGGGGTCAGCACGCGAGCCAATCCGTGCCCGACAGGCAATTGAGGGTTATCTTGAAGCGGGTTGGGTTGGGCCGACATACCGATGGTGGGAATGGTTGTGACGATTTCACCCAGCTTGAGCTTGTAGAGAATGGTAGTCTTTCCGGCAGCGTCCAGGCCGACCATCAGAATTCTCATCTCCTTCTTTCCCCACAGACGGTCAAACAGCTTTGAGATGGAGAGACCCATGTTGGCGGTATGTGATGACGCTTGAGCTAGGATGTGTGTGAGGAGGCGAGAACAAGACCCTTTATCTGCGCGATCGGTTCGGGGTCAGCAAATCGGAAACCGACTATTTCACAATGGTGTCGAGTTGATTGCGATGGATGGGAGGGCGGCGCGAGGGTTGAGCGCTGCGGCAGAGAGAGCACACCTTTGTACTCGGTGCCGGGGTAAATGACAGATAGCAGAAACGGACGGCGCAGGCAGGACTCGGGAGGGACAAGGCAGCAAGGAACACAGGCAAGGTGTAGCCAGGCTGCGGCCCGAGATGATTTGGAGGTGACAGATAAACGGGAAGAAGGCACAGGATGGGATTGAGGGCAGGGTCACGAGGCACGAGGCACGCGTGTCGTTTGCAGGCCGCCCCTTGATACGAGGATGGTAGGGTGACGATGACGATGTCGATGATAATGATAGAGGTGGACTGGTCGGGTCGCGATGCAGTGGGCAGAGGGTGATGATGGCGGTCGTCAAGGAAAGGGGGCAAAGGCAGACTCACATGCAGTGGGGTCTCACAGTGTCAGTGTTGATAGAGGTCGGGCGAGGTGATGCTCGTGGTCTTGTCGTGTCGTGTGGTTGGGATACTGTCGGTGTGAAGGGAGGACTGGATGTGAGAGAGACTGGGCGGTAGAAAAATAACGGGGCCTGTTGAATGAGAACAGATTGGTGGTTTTTTTCGGGCAATGGGACAGGCCTTAGTTGCCTTGGCCCTGGCTCTTAACAGCGTGCTGCAGTGCGGGTGATAGGAGCGGGCAGGGGATCATCAGCAGCCTTGGGTACCTAGTAGTAAGCACGCTCTACGCTACTCTACTCTACTCTACTCTACACTACGCAGTACCGGCCTGTCTGTCTGTCTGTCTGGCAAGGAAGGAGGCGGCGGACAGGGCCCCCTAACAGTAGCACCTGTTGTTTGGTCAGAGGCCACTGCGGCCCAGATTTTCGGCGAGCAGTCGGGAGCAGAAGCAAGGCATCGAGGGGGCCAGACCAACCAGCTGCCCGCATCCACCCCCACCCACTATAGCCAGATACCTCTCGGATGCAGCTGCGAGGGGTTATAGGGGCTTACCAGCTCGGCTAACCTCTTGGCAAAAGCTCGGCTAACCTCTTAGCGCCAAGCCACTAGCAGGGATCAAGAAAGGTATAAAGGAGATACCATATAACTACATTTTAGAAAAATAGAGTATTTAAACTATTCTTAGCCCTAATTTAAAAATAATATTAAACTAGTTTTAAGCTAGCTAGGGGCTAGTAACAAATTTAAAGCTATTATAAATAAAATAAAAGCAAAATAATAATAGCTAATACTAGCAAAATACTAGTATAATAAGTTTTTTTTTTTTAGCTTATAAAAAAATTTTCTTATTTTCTTAAAACTAGTTCCTTTTAACCTAAATAATTATTTTCCCTTTTTTTTTTTTTTTATTAATAAAGCTAGTTATAATAACTTTTAAATATAATATAAAAACCCTTTTAGGTATAAACATAAATAAATTAAAATTAATTTAAAGCCTTTTTTAAAATAAAAACTAATATATATATATAAAAAAATTATAAAGTATATTATAACCTAAAAAAGCGCCCTATTAATATTATTTTATTTACCCTTATTATAATTAAAAATATAAATATTTTAAATTAGGTTTTAAACTAATTTTTAATTAGTTTTATACTAAATTATTAGCCCTATTAATAAATATATAATTTATAAAAAATATATTACTAATTACTAATATAATAAAATCTTTTATTACTACTATAACTTAAAGAAATAAAAAATATATTTCTAAAAAATATAATAAAAGCTTTACGCCTTTTTAAAGCTAGTTTCTAACTAATTTTAAGGCCCTATATTAGCATTTTCTTTTTATAAATATATTTATAATAACTATAAAATTAAATAAAAAAAAAATACTATTAATATTAATAAGGGTAAAAAACACTTTAAAAATAAAAAAATTAATATAATTAATTAGTATATTACATTTAGCTTTAAACTAGTTTTTAACTAGCTTTAAAATTCTATAAGGCCATTATAAATTGCTACTATTAAAATATATAAAATAAATAGAAGAATATATATAGAATTTTATATAATTTTAAAACTAATTACTAACTAATTTAAAACTAATTTTTAATACTAATAATACTAAATTTTATAAAGTTTATTTATATAAGCAGGCTAAGGCTTAAACTTAAACTAATATTGCTATTATTACTAAAAAGGCTTATATTAAAAAGGTAAAGTTAAATTATATTACCTAAGCTATTACCAACTTTAATAATACTATTAATAATATTAATAAAAATAGTATATTTTATATTTATTTTATTTATTATTAGTTTTTAATTAATTTAAATTTAAATATAAAGGCTTACTTAGCTTGCCTTTATAAAAAGGCTTAGCCCTTAAAAAAGCGCCTTATAAAAATTAATTTAAAAAATTAGGTTTTAACTATAAATTATATATATATAAATTAAAATTAATTCCAAATTAATTTAAAAATAAGTATATAAAACTTATATAAAGTTAAATATAATTAGTATTATTAAAAAAAATAATTTTGCTAAATAAATTTATAAAAACTATAAAGACTTTAATTTAAAATATAAATAGCTTTATATTTATATAAAACTAATTTCTAATATAGTTTATAGCTTATAATTATACTAATAACTAGGCGTATACCCTTTTTTAAAAATATAGTAATATTATAATTGCCCTAACTTTATATAAGTATATTTTAAAAAGGTAAATATTATATTAATAATAAAGTTATTATAGCCTATTTTAAAAACTTATTTAAAGTAATTAATAACTAGCTTAAAACTAATTTAAAAATTTTATTAGCATTAAATTAAAATACTTTAAGTATTAGCAGTTTTATATAAGGGTTTTAATATTTATTAAATAGGCCTAAATTAGGCTTTAAATTTAACTAGTATTTTATAATAATTTAATTTATAACTATTTTAAAACTAATTTAAATCTATTTATAAAATTAACTATAATTTATAAAAATATTATTTTTATTAAATTTCTTATTAAATTTCTTATTAAATTCCTTATTAAATTCCTTATTAAACTTTTATTAAATTTTTATTAAATTTTTATTAAATTTTTATTAAATTTTATAATAAAATTTTATATTTTATATTAAATATAAAATATATATTTATATTTATATTTATATTTATATTTATATTTATATTTATATTTATTTATAAATTTATTTTATTTAAAATTTTATTAATATAATAAATATTAAAATTTTATATATTTAAAATTTATATTTTATATATATTTTAATATTTATTATATTATATTTATTAAATTTATTATATATATTTATATTTTATATTAATTTTATTAAAATATTTTATTAATTTTTAATTAAATAAATATTATATATAATTAAAATTTATTTTATAATATTTTAATATAAAATATATATTTTAAAATAAAATATTAAATATTTAATAAATATTATATTTATTTATTATATTAAATAAAATATTAAATATTTAATAAATATTATATTTATTTATTATATTTAATAAATATTAAATAATATAATAAATAAAATATTAAATATTTAATAAAATATTAAATAAAATATTAAATATTTAATAAATATTATATTTATTTATTATATTAAATAAAATATTAAATATTAAATAAAATATTAAATATTAAATAAAATATTAAATAAAATATTAAATAAAATATTAAATAAAATATTAAATAAAATATTAAATAAAATATTAAATATTTAATAAATATTATATTTATTTATTATATTTAATAAATATTAAATAATATAATAAATAAAATATTAAATATTTAATAAAATATTAAATAAAATATTAAATATTTAATAAATATTATATTTATTTATTATATTAAATAAAATATTAAATATTAAATAAAATATTAAATATTAAATAAAATATTAAATAAAATAATAAATAAAATAATAAATAAAATAATAAATAAAATAATAAATAAAATAATAAATAAAATAATAAATAAAATAATAAATAAAATAATAAATAAAATAATAAATAAAATAATAAATAAAATAATAAATAAAATAATAAATAAAATAATAAATAAAGTAATAAATAAAATAGTAAGTAGAATAGTAAATAAAATAATAAATAAAGTAATAAGTAAAGTAGTAAGTAAAATAGTAAGTAAGTATAATTTTAAAATTAATATGTAATATTAATTATAAAACTAGTTTAAAATTACTATTAAACTAGCCCTAATATATATAAAGCCTATAAATAAACCTTACTAACTTCTATTTTTATTTTACTTATAATAATATTAAAATAAGCTTACTTTTAGCTAATTATAACAACTATTATTATTATTAGGGTATATATAATTTTATAATAAAAATATACCATTTTAATAATTAATTTAAAGCTAATTTTAGATGGCTTTAAATATTTTATAAAAATTTTATTTATAGCTTATTATTTTACCTTTTCTTAATTTAGTTACTAATTAATATTATTACTATATATAGAAATTCTTTTATTAAAAGCACTTTTAAATATACTAAAAGAATATATAATTATACCTATTTTTATAAAATTAGCATAGTAGTAGCCTATTAATAATAGCTATATTTAGCTAAAATTAAAATATATTTTTAAAATAAAATATATTAAATTATTATATTTATATTTTTTAAAAGTACTTTTTTTATATTTAATAAATTGCCTGGTATTATTAGGATATTTCCTTAAATATTTTAATACTTTCCTTTTTTAATAGCTTTAATTTAATTTAAAATAGGTTACCTAGCATTTTTATAAAGGGCCTTAAAATTAATACCTTATTTATTATATAATATTAAAAGGTTTTAAAGGCTATTATTATATTTTTAAATGCAAGTAGCTTTATTATTAATATAAATAGGTTTAAAAATATAGTAAATATAAATATAGATTTTATATTAGCTACAACTTTAAATATTAACTTAACTACTTTAAAATAAGTTTAAAACTAGCTTAATATATAGCTATAAATAAAGTTTAATAAAATTTATTATAAATAAAATATAATATTATAAATTATTATATTCTTTCTAAATTATTTTATTATACTAATTAATATAAAGATTTTTAAAATTATATAAAAGCTATAATATAAATACTGCTATATACTTATTATAAAGCATATATTAAATATAGTAAATTATAATATCTATTAAAAGAGAATTAAAGCACACTTTATTACTTTAACTATTATTAAAAATAAAAGTTTTAAATTAATATAAAACTAGTATTACACTAATAGCAAATATTTATATTATTTTTACTATTTACCTATTTAATACTTTTTTAGCTTTAGTTTTAATTTTAGCTTTTTAACCTTTAATTATTATTACTTTATCTTTTTTTTTTTTTTAGTTCTTTCTTCTATTAGTTATATTTTATATTACTACTATTTAGCCTATAAAAATAAGGCTTAAGTTAAGTATATAAATATTATAGTACCATTTTAAGAAAATATTATAATAGATAAATAAGTTTTTAAAGGCTTAATAGACTTAATATATAGCTTTTTCTATATAATAATTTAAAACTAGTTTTAAATTAAAATAATATTTATATTTAATAAACTTTAAAATTTGCTTTATTTTTATTATATTAAAGCTATTTAATAAATTTAACTTTTATATAAGTTATAAAAGACTTAAGAAATTATTATTATTATTTTTAAGTAAAATAGTACTATAAACTATTATTATATTAAATGGGAATAGTACTTAGCTTTATTTTTATTATAATTATAAACTAGTTTTAGGTAAATTAAGTATATTTAAGCAATTAGTTTTAAAAGTATATTTTAAGGAAATAAAATATAATATATTAAAGCTTATAGGAGTTATATTTATAAATTGTCTATTTTAAAGGTTAATTTTATTTTATTAATTATTTTAAATTTAAAATTATTAATGCTTAAATTAAGATTTTTATATATAATAAATACCTTTTAATAAGGCATAATATGTAAAATAATACTATTAATTAATGGACTTGCTATTTCTAATTACTTTAGCTAAACTAAAACTAGTTTTAAAGAAGTATATAATTAGGTGGCTAACTTTAAAAATATTAATATAATTTAAAATATTATTTTAAACTTTTTATAATATAAAAAATAGGTTTTTATTAATATATTTAGCCAAAACTTCTTACTTTTATAACTTAGCCTAAACTTAAACTTTATTTAAATATTACTTGCCTAATAGGTATTAAAAACTAATATTATATAGGTATATATAACTATATATACTTATAAAAAATTATAATTTATAATATATATATTTATATTTTTATATTATACTAGTTCAACTATATACTAATATATATTAAAATTTTTTAACTTTAATATAGTAAATATCTTATATAAAATAAATTTTATAAAAATAATAATATAAAAGGTGCTATTTTAGTATTTATCCTTATATAAAAAAGCTTTATAAGTTTAAAGCAATAAAATATTAGCTAAGTTCTATAAATAATTAATAAATAATATAAAACTAATTTTATATATTTTATTAGTAAGCTATATAATACTATTATTTATAATTATTATTTTCTATTAATTATTACTAAAACCATAAATATATTACCACTAATTTAAAATATTAAACTTTTAGTTAAAAGTATAAAATATTATTTAAATAAATAATAGTAGCTATAATAAATTTACTATTTATAAAAATTTATAAATAAATTATTACTAATAATAAAGTTAAAACTAGCTTTATTATAGTTTTAAAATATTTACCTTTATTAATAAAATGTAACTATCCTAATAATAACCTTACTTTTATTATATATATATAGCCGCTTTTAAAACTTATTAATTTTAAATATATAATTTTTAAAGCTTTTAAATTATTTTTAAAAAGTATATAATAAGGTAATTTATTTTATTATAGTAAATATAACAGATATATTATAATTAGTTAGGAACTAGTTTTATATTAATATTATATAATATACCTATAGCCCTTTTTATAAATAATTTATTTTTATATATTTTAATAATAAATTTAATATTATTAAGATTTGGGTATTAAAAGTATATTAATATATAATTAAGGCTTTTAAATAAATATATTTAATAATTTAAGCTAAATTATAATACAATTTTATTATAAAAATAGTAAAAATAAATTTAAACTTTAAATATTATAAAAGTATTACTAGTTAATATTTAAATTAAATTAAATAAAATTTAAAACTAATATATATATAAATATATAAATATAGCTAACTAATTTTATAATTAATTAAAAATCTTATATAATAAGGCTTTATTAGTTTTATTAGTAACTAAAAGTTTATAATAATAGATTTTATATATTAATAATATTACCTTTTAATATGCTTTATATTTTAAAAATAAAAAATAAAATTATAGCTATAATTAATATATATTTATTATATTAATTTACTAGCATAATTATAGCCTAAAACTAGTTTAATATAAAATAAAACTAAATAAAAATAATTATATATAACAAGTAGACTTTTAGCTTTGCCTTTATATTATAATATTATAAATGCTACTATTATTCTATAATATATTATATATAAGGTTGCTAAAAGCAATTTATAAATTATTAATAGCATTATATAAAAATGGTAGAATATAATAGAAATTATAATAGGCTTTTTCTTATTTATTATAAAGTATTTATATTAAATAAAGTATTTTTTTATTTATAAACTTAAATTGCTTTAAAAGCAATTTATATAGGTTTTTATATTTTAAATAAAAGTAATGCCCTTATAAATAATATAGCTAGGCTATAATTTATATTAATAAAACCTTTTTCTTAAAACTTTTATATAATTATATTATATTATCTATATATTAATTAGAAATTAGTTTATTAAAATATATATAAATTTATAGTATAGGCACTAAAATAAAATGGCTATCCTTTATATTTTATATTTTAAAAGCTACTAATTAAAATAGTATATTTATTATTTTAATAAAATTTAAATTTATATTTAAAATATTATTTAAAATATAAAAGTATATTTTAATATTATTATATTTATAATAATATTTAATATACTAAGTATTATTTAAAAATAAATATATAATAGTAAGTTGATAGCTATTATTAAAATATATATTAAATATAATTTAAATAAATATAAGTATATAGCTAGTTTTATACTAGTTTATAGTTTAAGCTATACTTATTATATTATATATTAAATTTATAATACATTTTTCCTATAATATTTGCAATTAATATATATTTTTATTCTAATATCTTAAAATAAAGGGCAGTTTTTATATATATAATCTTTAATATAAATAGCTTTAAGGCCTTTATAAAATAATAAATATTATTATTAAATATAATTATACTATTATTATTTTTAATGCTATTTTTAATTTAAAATAATAAAACTATTTTATAAGTTTAAAATAAATATAAAACTAGTTAATTATAATATATATATACTAGTTAATAATAATATTGCTTATAAGTTAATTATAGTTATTATTTTATAAAATAAATAAATAAAATATAATTAGTAAAGGAAATTCTAAGCTTATAGGTATTAGGCCTAATATTTTATTAAAATTACCTTTATTTATTATTAAATTTAAATTAGCTTTACTAGTAGTTAATTTTAAATATATTATTATGCTTATATAATTGGGCTATAAGTAGTATATAAAACCAAACTAAAAAAAGTTTAAAACTAGTTTAAAAATTATATATAAAAGTATATATAAAAGAATAGCGCTATTTCCTTATTATATTCTTATTATATATTATATAAAGCTAATATATATATTAAGTTTCCTTTAAGTTACTTGTTTATTTAATTAGTGTGATATTAAATAAGCTTAAATTTTTAAGCCCTTTAATTGGTTGCAGCTACCCTTATAATGCCCTATAGGTTAGCCTTTACCGGGCCTGACGGTTAGCCGAGCTACTAACCCGGGTTGGGGGCTCCTCCTGCCCATCCAGATAGCCCAGACTGCCAGACCGGAGCCAGACCAGGCTTACCTGGGCAGGTGGGCCCGTGCTTCTCAATCCTACCAGCCTGCCAGCCTGCTCGACTTCTCCTGTCTTACCCATCAGGTCCGCCCGTCACAGACAGGTACCTGAAGCCCAGTAGTCCCGGGTACCTCCCCAGCCCACGTTCCGCAACACTATACACGGGTAGCACCCAGCCCAGCCCCCGTATCCTACACTACACGTGTACTCCACACACACAAATCCGTCCAATCGGCGGAGCAGACACGCGATCCGCTCCCTGTCAAGGCCGCTGGGGCCTGCCGAGTTGTAGCCAGCTGCGAAAGCTCCAAGCTTGTGAATAATCGCCAGCTTGTCCCGTTGTGCTGGAGGCTCCGCGCGCGCGCAACGACGACAGATAACCACCACAAACACTACCCCCCCCCCCACCACATCGCCCCCCAAGATGCAGTTCCCCTCGGCGTCGTCGCTGCTGCTGGCAGCTGGGCTCTTCACTTCCGCAGTCGCACACAACATCCAGCTGCCAGCCCACGGCCGGGAATGCTTCCACGAGGTCCTCCACAAGGATGACAAGATGACCGTGTCCTTCCAGGTGGGAGACAGGGAGTTTGGCGGCGCAGGAAATCTGGAGATCGACTTTTGGGTATGAACATATGAACAGAGTGATGCATTGTTCCAATTGCTGACACCTGGCTCCCTCGATTAGATCACAACCCCAGTCGGACAGTACGAGGTTTTCGAGAAGGCCACCTCCAATGGCGACCACTCCTTCGAGGCCAAGCACGACGGCAAATATCTCTACTGCTTTGGAAACGAGCACTGGGGCTCGTCCAGCAAGGAGGTCTCGTTCAACGTCCACGGCGTTGTCTACGTTTCCGAATCCGACACACCATCAGATCCTCTCGAGGCTGAAGGTATACGCCTCCCCCCTCGTCTCCTCCTCCTTGCTTGTCCCAACCTGCTTTTACTTGCGTACTAACATGGTCCACCAGTCCGCAAACTCTCCGAGGTCCTGGCCCAGGTCAAGGACGAGCAGTCGTACATTGTCGTCCGCGAGCGCACCCACCGAAACACCGCCGAGAGCACAAACAGCCGGGTCAAGTGGTGGAACGTCTTCATCATCGGTGTCGTCATTGGCGAATCTGTCTTCCAGGTCTGGTGGCTGAGGAGGTTCTTCGAGGTCAAGCGGGTCGTGTAGATGTTGTTGCACCCCAACAACACAACGGATACTTGATTAATACGAGCGGGCTCTGTTCTCAATACCCAAGACGAGGAGCATGCAAAGTCCAGCGCGTTGTGCAATTTTAGGCGTATCGGGAAACGGGCAAAGAAAGTGAACATGACGGATGGCTGTCATGTATGCTACTGTACGAATGCAAGATATATGGCAAAACCTGAGGGGTGACTCTGCCGAGCAGTATGACTGATGTGTTTCAGTAATACTCTTGATATTAATTATCGCCATATCCAGGCATTTTGTACCCCGGGTGTGCACGCAATTACGGCATATCTGGAGGCTCAGTCGACAAGCTTATATCACATCCTCTATCGGCTAAGGATTATTACTGTGGAGCACCGCAAATAAGTCCTCGACGATCCATGGGAATCAACGAAATAAGCCACGTTCAGTTCCAAAAGCACAACGACAAGCGTAGCATCTTTACACAATTGACAGCAAAAGGGATTACAGATCCAAAAGTGAAGTAGAGAACAAATAAAGGGGGCTGAAAGTGGACATTAGGGCCTGCCCACGACCAGAATTGCGCCGGAATAATTGTGTGTTCACACCACCGGCAGCAAACATTCGAGGACGATAAGTGCAGCCAACCCAGTTGGGTATAAGCAGACGGCCGCGAGTCCCTACCTGACTGAATATACACAGACGCACGAATGCACACGTGTATTGACTAACAACGACAAACCAGACACAGCCAGTTCAGAAGGCTACCTACCTATCCGCCCAAGCAACCATAGCGACTGGACCGTCTCATCGTGTTTTTCATGCCACACAACAAATCAATCAGATCTTGGTCATGATCACTGCCGTTCTACACGAGAAAAGCATGCGAACATTTCATACCAAAGAAGCCCCCACTAGACTATTCATGTTGCTTTACCTCCGGCGTCCCTTCGACCCTCGTTGTGGACGAGCAACTGAGGCAAATATTCTCCAACACAGCAAAGCCCGTGGATCGCGCCGGCAGATCTTTCACGCCCGGCGTCAATAAGAATGTAGATCACGGCGGGCCTAGAGGCGAGGATGCAGATAACGCTGTGAGCGCGCCTGGGACGGGGGACTCAAACACTTGGGGGTGGGTGGGGGGTAATAGGCTTTCCAACTATCAAAGGCTTTGTCTTCAAAAAGCACATCACCGAAGTCAACGAGGTCCGAGAAGCGAGCATCGGTGTTGTCCAGGTCATTCATCACTCATCATTAGGGCACCGTAGTGCGTTCTATCAAAAGCAGAATATGTACATGTATGCTTTTCTAACCCAGTGCTGCCTCGGATTGTACCACCCGCGCGAGGCCTGTGATGAATGATGTGGATCGCATCTCTGTAAATGAATTGGGCGAAAAAGGAGAGGCGCCCAGGGACACAAACAAAATGGAAAAAAGATCCAACTCCCCCCAAAACTTCGACAGACAGGCAGAATCCAAGCACAGCTGGATGGCCGAACGCCCAAAGCCCAACCTCGAAGGGCGGAGACAGACACCATGTTCCTCCTGATCCAGACATGATACGCTTCCCAGGGCCTTTGCGCCCGCCGCCCATAAGCCGAATAGGCCTCTTGTGATTTGACCCGTGTCCCCCGAAAATCTGACGCCAAGAACTCCTGTAGTGCCTTTCCGGCTGCCCGCCTCATTCGGCCGGTCGCCCATGTGATATAACCCTCTCGTGTAAGCGCAACGATCCTTCCGCCGCTATACAATTCGCTCGACTTCATCTCTCCCACTCATGCCGCCGGGTCTGACTCGACGACTTCTTCTCCAATCGGATCCTGTTCGACTGGCAGGTCAACCCCTTTGATTGGATGCAGTAACATGGGCGGTAGACACATCCGCCCCTCGCCGCCGCGCATCTGGCCGACAGTGCTTTCGTCCTTGCTCATATCTCTCACTTGCTCGAACTCCTCGCCGCCGTCGTTGTTGACCTTTAGTCCCAGCCAGCGGCGATATAGGTTCGGCGCAAAGCCCGAATTATAAAACCACGACAGGCCCTGGAGGTTATGTTCCCTCTGACCAAATACCGATGTTCTCGAACCGCCCGCAGCGCCATTCTTACCGGCATTGAAGACTCCAGCCATGTACTGGGTGGGCCACTCGCGATCGACGTATAACGGGTGAGGGACGTAGACTGCCTTGTACCCATGCTGCAGGGCTACCGTTGCGGGCCACATCTCGGGAAAGGCGTGGTGCTTCTTGAACGCCGTCTCGCGGTGCATGGTCAGGAGCATCCGCCGGGACATTCTCGAGGCCGTGATGATCTGGGCGCGACGGGGAGGTTTGCCGATGCCCTCAGACTCGTTGTAGCCGGTGATATCGTCAGCCAACAGCCAAGTCGTGCCCTCCGGATCGAACATGGGGTTCAGGGTGATCAGGTCGGGTTCTTCACCAACGCCCCACTGATACTTGTCATGCTCATACGGTGGCGGGACTGGATCCTTTTCGGGCTCGAACCAATCCTTCTCGTCGACAGGACGGACTGGGCCCCAGATGACCTTCTCTCCGCGAGTATACTCCAGTGGTTTTGGCTGCTTGTTGCCGAGGCCCTTCCATATGTCGTCGACACCCGGGGTTCCCATCTCTGACTGCACACGCGCCATCTGTTTGAAGTCCTCCCAACTCCCGTGCTCCGCTGGCAGGTAAAAGCGACCGTTGCGATCCCACAGGCCTTTTCTCGGCTGCTGCACGGCCCACTGCTCCATCTTGGTGAACAGGTCGAGGTAGTGGCCGGTGTACCTGATGTCCATCTCCCACTGCCAGAAATATTCATACTCTGGGTGGTTGTATGCAAAGTATTGCATGGCCATTTGCAGTCCGCGGTACACTCCATGAACGGGCAAGCCCTCTCCCCGAGTCCACAGGTCGTGGATGCCTTGGTACAAAGAAAGCATCTGCGTCTCGGTCCAGAGGGTAACCATGTTCCGCAGCTCTTCTGGGACAGTATCCTTAATCCTCTGCTCATACACTTCGTCATCAGCCCAAATGGGGTGTGCTGCGTCGTTCTTAACCTGAACAAGGAGATGGACGTCATAACGGCCGCCGGACGCAAGCGACAGCTCAGTGATGATGGTCCTCAAGTAAAGGACATCCTCCTCCCTCCACGGGTATTCATCCCAACAGCGAATGACGACGGCCGTCCGGGGCAAATCACCGTGCTCGGGCTTCTGAATTGTTTTGTCAATGGTCGCGTCGACAGTCTTGTCTTTATTCGTTTCTTTCTGGGGGTCAGGTGCCTCTCCGATTTTGGAGACGGGGTCGTCTCTCCTGAAAAGGGTCTCGTTGGCGAATTTCTCGTTGATGTAGAACCCGCGAGGCGGGTGGTGCCTGCGGGCGAGAGGCTTAAAGCGCTCTTCGTTGGACTGGTAGCACTGACGCTGCACATCAGCCCAGTCGGTGTTGCGCCAGTCGATTTTCTGACTGTCCTTCCAGACAAGCTGCGAGCCGTCCTTGTCTCCGTGCTCACCAATACCCAAACCACCTGCGCGGACCGAGTACCCAAATCCATATGGGCTGAGCCTGCCATGACGGTCGAAGCAGATATCTTCGGGAAGATCCAGGAGTTCATACGAGCCAAGGACATTCTGAGGGAATCCAGCAGGGCGCCCATCATAATATCGGATGTGAGGAACTTTGATCTTCCGCTCACTGTCCAAGAAGCACTCGGTTACCTTGTCGCCCTTGGCAAAGACCGAATTCTTGTACTCGGAAGCAAATGCCTTGCTCGGAGGGAGGGCGCTGCTATCGACAGGATCCTTCGCACCGGTGAAGAACGCCGGCCCATCGCCTTCGGTACCGTTGAAGGGGAGCTCGTCGACAAGCCGCGGATACTGAGGTATGTTGTCCTTGAAGGGGACCAGGGTCCTAACGCCTCCGTAGTAGCGTGTGAGAAAACTAAATGACTCCCATGTGTTTGGAGCTGGCGGGCGCGGCGGGAATTCACCCTTCATCACCCTCCGGTTCTCCGAAACGCCGGCGTGGTACAAGGCGGAAATGAACAATATCATGCCTACCAAGAGGCCGAGGCAGAGCATGCGTGTGATCTTGTGTGGGAGTCGGTAGAACTTCCAGCCCTTACCAGTGCGAGAGAGGGTGAATGTGGTCCGCCTCGAATTTATAGGGCTCAGCATGGCGGCTGCAGTTGTGGGGGGTGCGAGTGTCGAGTTGATGCTGAGCTTCCGCTTGAGCATCTTCGTTTTTGAGGACATGGAGGACGTTGTCCGTCTCGAGTCTCGGCTGGGGGATGATGCGGCGGAGGAGTCGTCCTCGCGCTCGTCGTCTGTGATGTCGGAGTCATACTCTTCCTGAGAGGACAGTTGATCCTTTGCGACCTTCTCGTAGACGGGTAGCTGGGGCCCATGGCCGTGCCGCGAGCGGAGGGGGTTATTGAACCCCATGACGTATCGAGGTAATTTGGTGGCCGTGCCAGAGGCGGCAGACGGGAAGTTAAGAGGGTCGCGGTCGGGGAGGCAGATCAGACATGTGGCGCTGACCAGAGAGGTAGACAGGAGAGTTGCTGCGTGTCTTCACCGGAGAGTCGCAATAAGGTTTTGTGCCGAGCAACAACCACCAGACTGAACCTGCAAGGTTCGGGGGGGGGGGTTTCGGTCAAGCTTCCAGGTGATGATAACTGGGGCGCCGACAGTGGGGAACAGGGTCAAAGTCGCGGGGGTTGGGGGCTGTTGTGTGCCGGTGGATGGGTAGGAAGAGATGGACAAGAAGGTTGACAGAGACGTCAGGAGTAGATTGAACGGTCAGGACGGGATGGAGTGTTGTAGGGATTCCTGGCTGAAGATATTCAGTCGAGAAGGGGATCTGGGAGTCTGGGAATATCACTCGTGTGTGTACCCGTCTGTCTAGGCCGAGGAGTGGCCGCTGGGGTGGCGCCTGTGCTCAGAGGCTGAGGAGACAAAGATGGATGTCGGTTGTAGAATTAAGAAGATCCAATTCCAAGAGAGGCAGCACAAAACATGCAGGAGCGTGATTGTTGTAGAAAGTGGGAGAGGGGGGTTGGGATGGAAGGGCCAAGGTTTAGCTTGGATGTACCTCGCTAGTACCGGTCCGCTAGTCGTAGTCGTCCCTGGCCGAGGAAAGAGCACATGTAGTAGTGTAGTGTACATCACAGCCATGGACAAAGACAAGAAAAGGGCGCTGGGCCGCACGGTACCCAGCAAGTGGGCCCAGATTGGGTGGGTACTTGGGTTCCTGGGGGGCTGGGACCAGGGCTAGAGACATTCGATTGATTGATTTCTCTCGAAATTTGGCAGGGACGCTGGAGACGGCCGTCATGCGGGTTGCGCTGCGGGCGATGGCAAGCGCCGCAAGGGGGGCAGTACCTGTGGGTTACATGGATATGCAGCCTGGCTGCAGCGACCTGGTGTGCGAGAAAAGTTGCTGAGCAACGGAACGCTCTCATCCTATGAGAGGCACATCCCGCCACCCTTTGAAGCAAGCTCATCCAGGCGCTAACGCCATCGGGAGCGACCGCATTTTGCCGATGACAATCCAAGATTGCTGGACTGGACCTGAGCTATGGTCTAGAATACGGAATATAGGAGACGGTTCTCCTTTTCTCGAGATGGTGTAGATGCTTTGAGTTGCAGCGAGTTGCAGCGACTTTGTTGCGCAAACAAGTACCGACAGCGTCCATGACTCGGTCTATTACAGACTGCGCAGGTGGCAATCAAGTGCACACACGGTACTGTGTTGTGTAATGCAGCCGTCACTACAGTGTGACTGTCTGGCTGTGCTGCCAGGTGTGCTGGGCTGGATAGACAGGCTCCTCTTTTTGTAATGACTAGGAGACGGGACGCGTACCTATCTCTCCAGTCTCTAGCGAAACTGGTTTGATGGAAAAACCGGGGGCCCTCCTGAGACTCGTCGGCCCTGAGACCAAGGACAAACACGCCAGCAGCAGTACCGCCCACTAGTCTGTGTAGGTGCCCACTCGACCTTTAGGGTATAATCACAGAGGAAAGTCAGTGTAGTGTAGTAATTAAACGGGTTATATTTCAATAAGGATATAGTCTTAGTAAGGCCCCTATTCCTAATTTAGTAGTAGATTTTATTTATAAGTAGAATTTTCTACTTATACTAGTTTATACTAAGCCTTAGTATATACTTCTTACCCTACTATAGGCTATAACTATTTTAGAAAAAGATCTATATATATTTTACTATTAAATTAGTGTTTTTATTAGTTTATAAACTAACTTTATAAAGTTAGTATAATATACTAACCTTTATTAGTATAGCCCCTATAATTATAATATTTAATAATTAAATTTAATAAATATACTTTCTAATAGCTATTACTTTAATAATTAATACTTTTAGCTTTAATAATTAATATAAGGCTTAAATTTTATTATTTATTTTTATTATTATTAATATTAATAATAAGGATAATAGGGTTAAGCTAGAGGCTATAAATAAGTTAGTAAATACCCTCCTATATAGGAGTGAGATATACTTTTATAATATATTTTAAATATTAAAGCTAACCTTTAAAAGCTTTTTTACCTAACTAAAAGAGTATATAACCCTTAGTAATATAAGGTAATTAATAGTAATATTATAGTTAATAGTATTTTTTTAGGTATATATATATAATAAAGTATAATAGAATTATATTTATTAGTTCCTCCTATATTAGTTAATTATTAGTAAGATTATAAGGAACTATTTAGGGTATTTCCGTATTTTATATAAGAAGGTTATATATTTTAAGCTAATAAAGTGGCTTAATAAGTAGTATAAGCTTTAAAAGAAGAATATATACTTTAATAGGTGTATTAGTATAATTAATAGTATATATATTATAGTTTATATTTCTATAAGTAAGTAAACTAGGTAGAGGGATTGAAAAGGAATAGTATTATAGAATGTTTTTACTATAGTAAAAAGTAATAAATTATTTATGTATATATTAGTTAGTAGTGAGGGCTTAATAAGTGATTGTATGCTTCTTAATGTAGCTATAAAGAAGGGCTTTAAGGTTCTTTTAAGTAGATTTTATCTAGTAGATATAGGATTTAAGCTTTAAAAGGGTATTTTAGTGTTATTTATATTAATATAGTACTACCTTTAAGACTAAAAGGAGGGAAAGTAAAAGCTATATAATATAAAGGAGTTATATAATCTTTATTATACTTACTTTTATATTATAATAGAATAGGTATTTAGGCTATTAAAGAAGAAATGAAAAATTATTTAGGTCTTTATACTTAAATATAATATTAAGGTGTAGATTAGGTTTATTTACACTTATATAGTATTATAAAACTTTTTAATTAGCTTTAGGTAGATGGAGGAGAATAAGGTTTTAAAGGGTGCTAAAGAGAGCTTTTAGTAGGCTATTTTATAAGTTTATTATTATAGAGTAAAGTAGATAATTTATTAAATAAAATCTAAGGTATTAAGGAAAGTAATTATTATAGAGATATAGTTAGATTATTATAAAAGGTGTTATAGTAGTATTAATTAAGAAAAAATAATAGTTTTTAGTAGGAAACTTTAATAGTTTACTAGTTAAGTATTAGAGGGTTATTAGTTAGGTATTTAAAGTTTAACCTTTAAGTACCCTTTTATAAAAAGTATTAAAACTTAATACTTTTTAGCTAAAATAAGGTATTTTAATATTAAAAAAGTTTTAAACCTATTAATTAAATTTTTTTATTTATATATATTAACTTAAATTTTAGTTTTATTAATTAGTTAGAGAGATATAGGAGTTTTAATATTTAAAACTTAAATTTACTAGAAGAATTAGGTACTTTACTAGTTATAGCTAAAAATATTAAAATCTATTATATTTTAAATAATACTTTAATATATTTTAATATAAAAGAAAATAAAATTTAATTATTAATAGATTATATAAAGTAAAAATAAACTATAAAATATATATTTTAGAATCTTAATAGAATATAATTTATAAAAGTTAAATAAAAATATTTAATATAGCTTTTAAAGTAGTTAAAAGCTTTTAACTATTATTATATTATTAGATATATTTATAGTTTATTAACCTTTTAATTTAATTAATACTATTTACTTTTTAATTATTATTAACTTTTAAATTTAAGTTATTATTAGATTATTTTTAACTACTTCCTTTATACTATTTTATATTATAGTAATTAAGGAGTTTATTATAAACTTAAATAAATAAGTAATTACTATTTTATTACTATAAAGGCTTAGCTAATTATCTTTTATTTTATAATAGGTTTATAGGTTTTTAAAGGTAGCTATAATTATATTAGTTTCTATAAGTTTATTTAATTAAATGGCTATAGTTAGTATATTACTATTTAAGGTATTATTAATAGTCTTTTAAACTTGCTAAATAGTTAGAAGAAAAATTAAAGTCTTAATAGAAAATAATAATATACTATTAGCCTTTAAGGCTTAATTTAAATTATTAAAATTTTTTAATTAAATATAATAATACCTATAAGTTAGCCTACTACTAGATTCCTCCTTTTTATTAGCTATAATATAATTATTAAAAGAAACTTCTTTTTATAATAAAGTATTAATTTCTTTATTTAATATAACTTTTCTTTAAAAAACATTTTTATAAACTATTTTATCCCTAAGTTTTATACTTAAAAACTAACTTATATTTAACTAATAGTTAATTATTAATATAAAGTTTTCCTTTAAGCTTTTAACTTTATTAATTTTTTATTATATAATATATTAAAGTATATTAAAACATTATAAATTATTTATATTACTTTTTTAATATTATATTTTATTTTAAATAGTTTAACTATTTATAATTAAAAGATTACTCCTTTAATAAAGCATTAATAAGCTTCTTTTATATAAATCTTTATTATAATTAATTTATTAAATTTAAAAGTTTTTAAACTTATAATTTTTAATAACTTTATAAATTACTTTATTTATAATTATATAAGTTTAAATAGTACCTTTTAGGTTACTAAAATTAATATTATATATAGGCTTAAAGTATATTATTACTTATTTATAAACCCTCTTATAATTAATAATATAATTTTTTACTTTTATAAACCTACCTTAATTAAAAATATAGTTAGTATTAATTTTAATTAATAATAAACTTAACTAATAGGTTTAATAGGGTTGAAGGGGTCCTTATTATTAGAGAGAGTTCATATAAGTATATTTAGTAAGGGAATACTATCCTTAATATTATAGGTAACTTAACTAATAGGGGATTTAGGGGTTATTATAGTAATTAGAGGGTATATACTTTTAGTTGGTAATAATATAGTCAACTTACCTATAATTAAAAATGACAACTTATAGCTATAATAGTAATAATATGAACTTCTCCTTACCTAATTAAACTATTTAATGAGGAAGGTAGTGACGGCCTTGGCCCCTAATAAGTGACTTTTAGGTTAATACTTGAAGAGGAATAGTTGTATATATGGGGGGCTTGGTAAGAAGGTTACTTTATAGGGGCTCATACCACACTGACTTTCCTCTGTGATCACACCCTTAACCTCGGAGCTGCAGGCTGCAGGCCTGCAGGTACTACACTACACAACAGATAGGGGGGCCACCAGGGCTGGGAAGGCAATTAATATCCGGTCGCCCTGCCTACGCACACTCGCACGCTGCCACGCCAGGGCTCCCAGACTGTGACGAGATCACAAAAGCTCATGGTTTCTATTTTCGTCCCGTCGCAAGTAGCCAGCGGCATTGATACAGCCCTTGTATCGTCGCGTCTCGCTCGACCTTGTGCTCTCCTTTTCCGGACGATCGACAAGCAATTAACCTAAAAGCCACCAACTGCCAGTAACCCACGAGTTCCATCTGGATTGTTTTTTCGTCCGACAAGCTGACAAGCATCCAGCAGTCAGTCGCCTCTCCCGCCTGGGCAAGGGGCGTCGGCAATATGCTCGCTTTTCCCTGCGCGATGAAACCCAAAACCGACCAGCCCAGCCTTAGCTGAATATTTTGAGTTCCCATATGCGCAGTGCGCACACACCTCGATGAAATATGAAATGCCATTATGTACGGCAGTATCACTAGTGCACCAGCTCTGTCCTCTGCTCCCGACTTGGACGGACGGCGAATACACAGTTTGAGAGCTGCAGTACGCCGTCCGAGTGTCACCAGCCACTGCACAGGATCCTCCGACGGCGTTGCTGTGGATACGAGGAGAGCACCCGGCTTTGGGGTTCTGTCACATGTTGCAGGCTGACTGCCTACCAATCCTGGCTGTTGATCCTGCTAGAATCCAGCATCAATCACAGCAGTGGTGAGCCACGACGAACCACTCATCCCAAATGTAAAACGGCCGCCGGCCTCCCCGCCCACAGACTGCATACCGCATAGCTGCACTCTGCTTCTCCAGACGCCGGCCTGCTCGTGCGCCACAGGTTGGCTCCGAGATCTGGGTGGAACCCAGACGGAGGCTTGGGAGGCCCAGCAGCCAGCAGCATCGACGTCATCCCGCACAGCTTTACCCCATAGCCCTCTGGCTTCCCCTCTGTATCCACCCCTGGCTCCGCCGCCATACATACATACAATACAGTACACGGCAGTCAACAGAAGGAAGTCTTGTTAGCAGAAGTACCAGCATTGCCTTCTCCGATGCAGGCAGGCCAGGGGCCAGACAGCGGGCACATTGCAACAGCTTCGTTTCCGCGGGCTTCTCTCGACCAGCCTGCTCGCATCTGTACCTAGGTATGTTGGTATGGTCTCGTGGCCTCTCGGTCTCGTGCTCACCATCACCGTCAGGCCTTTGTCAAGCGGCACCGCATCCAATTGGCGGCCTTCCATACCTAGACTGACCCAAGCCGCTTGTCGTCCTTCACCTCGAGCATCACCAGGCGGGGCTCGATACCCGCCCGGCCTCCGTGCCCACTTGCCCACCTACCCCAACCTGCCATGTCTGCCCCAGATCTGCGACCCCTTGTACCGGAGCACTTGGCCCGTTATGCTACTGGCTGTAGTGCCCTCTGTCTATCACTGCCCATACTCATTGCGGCCGACAGCGTCCCGCCAGGTCACACCCAGGGCCACAAATGGATGTATCGTTGTGAGCGTGACTGCATGGTTCGTTCCCGCCTGAGTTTGCGGTCTCAGCGTGGGCCGCAAGACATCAGCTTCGGCTTCACAATGAATCTAATCAGTGGAATCACTGTTACGCGGATTTTGTATAAAGAGGCTGGTCTCAGGAATAAAGAAAGGGCGAATACAGCGTATACAGCGTGTACAGCATACATAATGTAACCATCTATAGAGCGGATAGTTGGTGTTTGCTGACTTCAATGTTCTTCGAACCTCGTCTTGCCTGCATGCCAGCTCATCCGGCCGCCCTTCCATACCGACAGCCGCACCAGGCGGGCAGAGTCTCGTGGGTTTTGCATAAGTATTAAAACCAGTTGGTGCGGCCGTGCCCGCTTTGACAACGAACATCCCCATCTGACTTGAGTTTCTCGAGCTTATCGCTAGATCACGCATGCACTCCCGCCTCCAGACACGCCCGGGACTTTGTTTTCCTGTATCCGTGTTGCCCGAGTCAACGGTGAGCTCGAAGACACTCCTTCCTACCCGAAAGGCATCTTAGACGGCCGTCCAGCCGTATCTCGCTCTCCTCGCTTGAGACACGATCGCCCCCGGCCTCAAACTGACGTCCTTGTGACCACATACCCAAACTACCCTACATTTGCATTCGCCCTGTCCCACAGTTATCACATCCTCCTCATCAATTGTTCATAGGAGCGCCGTGCGTGCTGGACTGACCCTCCATCCCCGTGTGTGTGCTCTCATGATACTGTCAAGCTTTACTTGACAACCAGTTATTAGACTGTCCCCCTGTTTCTCTGCTTCCTCGCCCTTGGGCCTTGGTCTTTGGACCCCCACGTTCCAACCAAGTCGGCACAAACCCAAATAGTACAACTCAGTCCCTCCCGTGCCTCTCAAGGCCGCCACCGAAGCTTGCCATGTCCTTGCTGGCGACTGCCCAGACGGAGCAATTTTCACGAGGCGATACTGCAGCCGATGTCCCAGCCAACATGGTGGACAGCCCTCGTGCAGAGAGGAAAAGCCTCATCCTAGGCTCGGCAGCCGACAACGCCCCCGGCCAGGCATTGAACATGGTCATCAGGCAGGACCCCTTCTCAATGACCCTGGACGCCAACGCCCTCCTCGCCGGCTCGCTGTTCCTCATCATGGGCATGCACTTTGTGCCCCAGTTCCTGCTCGAGTCCCTCATCCTCGCCGTGCCCATCCTCCTGCTCGTCTGGAACGACTACCAGAACTTCCTCCGCCTGGGGCCGGGCGGCACCCCGCCGACCCTGTCGGGCTACGCGCGGCTGGCCTGGTTCCGCCTCTTCATCCTCCGGGACCCCTTCAGCGCCCCCTCGCCGGCCGCCGTCTCCCGCCCGGCCGCCGGGGTCCTGGCCTCGCAGAACCTGCCCTACCGGCCCGGGCCCCGGCCCACGGTGGCCGGGCTCGCCCCGCAGCGGCAGCTGGACCAGCACGGGTCCAGCGCCGCCTTCGCCGCGCTCAAGAGGGTCATGAGCAGGCTGTCCGCCGCGCAGGCCGCGAGGTTCGGCATCGCGACCTCGTGCATCGAGAAGCACGGCTTTGCCCTCTTCTCCCGCCACCCGGTCAACGTCTGCGGCAACGGCGAGGTCTGCCACCTCCACAACTCGGACCGGAGCATGCACATGAACCTGCACCCGGACGACATCGCTGAGGTCCTCGCCAAGGGGTGGGGCCAGCGACACCCGATGGCCTGGGGGAAGGGGGACAACAGGGAGGCCGTCAGCGCCGCCAAGGCCTGGATGATGCCGAGGAGCCCGTTGCCTGAGACTTTTGTCCTAGTTTATGCTCCACGGGGTTAGTAATGCTCCTTTCCTTGTGGCTCTCCCTGAACCACAATCCCACTGAAGTTTTGAGTTGAAACCGAACATGCTGACCACCGACTTCAAAGACGACACCGACCTGCGGGTGGTGCTGAAAATCATCGAGTCGGCCATCTGGTACACGGTCGAGGAGCGTGTTGACCTGGAATCTCTGCTGGAACAGTAGTGCCGAGCCCCAAACCTATGAGGGAATTCGGCTTGGACAAGCTGTAAATGAGTAGAGAGACGCACAGGGAGAACAGCACTGAGATCGGAATCGAGAAAGGAATCAAGAATCAAGAAAGAAGCCTCCCAGCTCCATCGCTTGCGCTGGGCAATCACTGACGCACGGCGACAGTCACCTGTTCCTGCCTGCCTCTTCCAGAGCAAACAAACACCACGCTCGTCCTTCCGCGGCCCGACCGGTTTCAAACCGCGTGTCGCGTGGTTTTTTATCTCATCGTCCGGACTGTGAGTCTTCACATCCTCCACGTGTTGATCCCTAACACTCCAGGGATGATCTGGATTCTTGGGCGTTCATCCACAACATTTTTGCGCGCATAAATTTTGCTTATGTGGACAACTGAAAACGGAGCACCAAATTGCGAACACGGCGTTCGGGAACCGGATCGGCCCATCATGGCTGGGAGTTGGTGTCATGGTGTTTTGCTTTTCAGCGGGAATTCTGTTCTATTGTCGCAGATTGGTACCTATATCGACTATATAGCAGCAAAACCGTTTAAGACGCAAGTGTCCCTCATGAGCTGTGTCAAGCCGTCCTTGCGCCATAGGTCTTCCGATGTACGCCGTAAAAGGACTAGGAGTTTCTCCTCACCATTACTAACTCACCTCACCCTTCGGACTCCCTTAGTCATCCTCGCCAGCGTCGTCATTGTTGTCCTTGGACCTCTGGAACTTTAGTCGCCCACTTGGGATGTAGGCCTCGACCCGCTGGCCACCAAAGGCCCGGCCATCCATCAGCTCCACGCACGCGGCGGCTGACTCTGGCTTCTTGTACTTGACGCTCACGACGCCGTCTTCCTCGAGGTCGTACAGCACCACGTTGGTCACCTCGCCCAGCTTCTCGCACTCCTCGCGGATGTCCTCCTTGATCTCCAACAGCGCCGCCGGGTCGTCCTCGAGCTCCTGCAGCGTGAACATGTGTTTGAGGATGACCATCTTGTCCTTCTTGCCCGTTCGCTGCTCGGGCGGCACGTAGGCAGCCTCGTCGTCGGACCAGTCGGCCAGCTTGGCGTCGAGCTTCTGCGTCTTCTTGATCACCTTCTCCCGGTCCTTGCCGCCCCCGCCCTTGCCGCCGTTGTTCTGCTGCTGTCTTGACGACCCAGCAGCACCACCGTCTTTGGCCTCGCCGCCCGCCTCACCTTCTGCTGTGTACTGCGTCTTCTTGTAGCTAGACTCGGCGGCCTGCACCCGCATCTTGCCCGAACCCAGGCCGGTGTCGCTATAGCGGAAGTGCGAGTCGTCCAGCAGCATGATGGCCATCTCGACGCTCGGCGGCTTGAAGAAGACGATGAGTGCGTCCCCCTTGAAGTTGCCCTCGGCATCCGAGTATAGCTTGATTCGCGGCCGCCCGCTGTCGATCTCCTCGGCGATGACGCCGCACTTGCGGCCAAACACCTCGGCGACCTCATCGACCGTCACGTCGAGGGGCAGGCCGGTGACGTAGATGGCCCTGTTCTGGGGCGGCTGTTTTTGAGTATTTTGTTTCTTGTTTTTGCGTTGTTTGTTGGAGGCAGAGGAGGAGCCATGATTGTCCTGGTCCTGGAGTAGCGCGGGGTGCGTGTCAGTTTGTCACCAGATTTGTTTTCCCATAAGCAGTTGAACTCGGCATGGTACTGTTGCTTTCTGGTCCCTGCTGCACGTTTCTTCTCCAATGCATAATTCGGTGGGATTTTCAAGGCGACTTGGCTCAATCGAGGTAGTGTTCAAGGAGGGTCCCGACCACCTTGGACGGACCAGCGTGCGCAGCTTACCTCGACTTGGTCTTGCTTCCGCTTTTTGCCGTTGCTAGGCTGGGCACTGCTGTCTGCACCTGATTCTTGTGCATTGCCATAGGCGTCTTGATGCTGTTGTATGAATGCTTCCTCATCCTCGTCTGCGACCGGGATCCAGCGCTTCAGCTGGTGATCAAACTCGAACTCGGTGCCGTCGGATTCCTGAACAGCGATGAACTTGTTGTCTAGCTTGGAGAACGAGATGCGGTCGTCATTCTCGAACTCGGCTGGATCTGTCGGGAAGGTGAAAACCTCCGCGACCGATTGCTCTGTCATTTTGCTGCGAATCAGTGTCCTGAGAGTTGGGCACGACACGTCGAAGAGAGTCCCCAGATTGGGCGCGAAGGAAAGCGTCAATGTTGTTGGAGTTAGGGAATACGAAAGTTCCCAGCAGCCGGGCAGAAAAGATGCGACAGGGATACAAGCAGAGCTTACGCACGGGCCTCCGATGTCATCCCTAGACTGCCCCCACTTATCACACTGCAATTGGGTGCAGGAGCCCTGGAGCTGTGGCTGCTGCTCCCTTGGCAGATAGACTTTAATCCCACCGAGGTATGGGTCAAACCGTGGCTCTGCAGCACCAATGACTTATACGATTCCAAATATATACCTCCGTTTGTTCTCAATACCCATGTTGAAAAGAAGTATAGGCCCAAATTTCGTCAATAAGCAGCTCGTCGTACAGAAGCCTGGAATCTGGACTGGCTCCCTGGCTCCCTGGCTCCCAGCACTTCGTGATTTGCCCGACACGTTCCTGGAGTATTCACATCTACTTCGGCTTGTGAGCGTACTTACTTCTTCTCCTCCGGCGGCGGCGCTCCACCGGTCGTGGGCAAGCCCATGAAGATCTTAAAATAGTCCTGCAGTCGCGTCGTCAGTGATCCTCACCCTGCATCGTGGAGTCAAAAAAATCAAAAAAGAGGGAGAAACCCACATAGATCATCCACTGAAGACCAGTCAAGGTTCCGATCATGACAATTCGCATCGGTAGACCATTCCACAGTCCCCTGAAACCAATGTCCTTGTAGATCCTCGACACGACGGTTCCGAAAGCCTCCCCAGGCTCGCGGTAAGCATTGAGTTTGGAAACCATGACATCTGCCGGGTGAGAGACTACGGCGCAGAGAATCCCGGCCAGATAACCACCAGTGAAGGACACACCGGTCTGCGCAGCCTTGCTGTAATCGTTCTTGGATCCGGGAAGACGGGCATAGATCATTTCAACAATGGTCTCGAACGAGGCGAACTTCATCATCGTGTAAGGGATCTGCCGGGCCCAGAGCGGGTAGAGGCCTTTGTACAGCCCACCCCAGCCTTCCTTCGCAGTGATCTTGCTAATGCCATCGAAGGTACCAGTGTAAGGCGGCGGAATCGTTGCTTGCATGCGGACCTTGACAGCTAGTGTATGTTAGTACAAGGTTACGGGATCTCAAGTGATGCACCCCCGAAGAGTCGAGAGGACAGAAAAATAAGGAAGGGTAGTAGGGGAGATTTATACGAACATTCGAATGGGCAGAGTGCTAAATCCGCCAAAAACTCAGCCGAAGCAGAAGCAGCCAAATACAGGGAAGTCTTGTACTTGTACGCGTTCTCCGGGCCGGCGATGTCAGCGTCTAGTTCACGTTAGTCACCTGCTACGGAGCAAGATGTGCAGCCTTGTCAAATATGACAGACAGCCACGATGATTTCCCCAACAAGTATGCCTTGGGAATATGTCCTATGAGATGACCGTAAAAGAAAAAGAAAACTTGTGCTTACACGTCTTTTTGAAATATTCGTACCTGTCACAAGAGTTAGACTCGGTGTTTCGATGGCTTTGTACGGCATGTGCTGAACACTTACCATCCATATTTGAAGGCGCCTTGGGCCGAGTAGCCGAAGAAGGTTGGGGACCAACCCGTGAAGATTCCACGGACGCCTTCAGTTCGGTAGATCTTGCCCCAGGCCTGGAAATTCCCAGTGTAGAGCTTGGAGTCCACCTGCTCACCGTTAGAAGAGTAATCAAGGTTCATATCTATAATGCATACCTGTCGCCGAGTCTTGACAACATCCAAAGGAGTCACGGCAGTGTGAGTAAGTCCACAAGCCATCAATCCTCCAAAGGTGCAAGCGGCGTAGTACTTCCCGGAGTACAGCTCGATCTTGCCGGCCTTGGCCTGGGCGGCAGAGCTGGCCTTGTTGAACTCGGCGGTAGCTTCGGCGCTGAGCTTCTTGGCCTTGTCCTCGATGGTCGAGTAGGCGGAATACAAGTCCATACGGGCTTGATAAGGAGTTGCCTTGCTCGCCGGCGCCTTCAGGCCATCCTGAGGCTGGCGAGGGAAGGTCTTCTGAAGAGTGTCATAGCGAGGATACAGATGAGACATCTTGTTGAGCGAGGTTGAGCCTCATTCCAGACCTGGAAGACGATTAGTCACTTGATGCGTGATAAAGAATAAAGAGTAACAGGATTACGAGTGACTGAGACAAATGACAATTGAAGCACACGTGCTTAGGTGCGGGAGACAATCCCCTGGCCGGAGTTATCGGGAACCCGGAATTTACAAGTGAGCGATCAGAGTGACAGACGTACTTTGAAGCACCAAGACGGACACACGCCCTTTACAGTCTTCCCGGTTCTGTACAAGATCCTGAGAGAGATGTCTCAAATAGGGTTATTTGAAGGGCTGGCTCGAGAAGTCGAGCAGATGAACGCTCCGGTGGCTCTAGAGAGAAGGGAGGTTGGAGGTTTTTGGAGACGGCGTGAGTGATACGAGAAACAGCTGGACATTTATTGAAGGGTGCCAACCATTGGCTCCAGATACAGCAACCGGCGCTGTCAGACAAGACAGCAGCGGCTGGAGAAACAGGCTCGCTCCTGCTGCGCTGCCGCCCTTGCACGCATCTGTTACCCACACCCACCACATCTCCAATGACGTCGGCATGCTCTAAGCTCAGGATGGTCCCAGCGTACATAACAAACAATTAGCCAGACACTCGCACGAGAGGGGATTCACGGTGTTAGCACTAGCGACACATCCAATTGACCTTTTCAGGCCTATGTTAATTTCGTTGTCACTGGCCGGCTGCGATTGCATGCTGAATGAAGTTCATCACCTTGGTAATTCCGTTTGGCCGCGATGGAGATGCTTGCATTCTACGACCAGGTCGACAGTGGACGGTGATCAGCCCAAACGGCGCCGAAATCCCACTGATGGTTGATTGTTCACAGGCAAAGACATTTTTGGCGGAACAATTAGGAGGACCTAGATCATCTTTCAGAATGGTAGCTTTTGAAACGGAACCATCCGTCAAATGTCTAAGACGGACCCGCATACGGCGATGTGAAGTACTGTTGTACACGGAGGTCGCGGCCCCACACCCCGCCATTAACGGACGTCAGGGTGGTGCCAAGCGCCGCGCCAACAGTGCTAGGGACAAGAAATCTAGGCCCATTGCAGACCCAGACAACGCCGACTCATCCCATCGCAAGCCGAGACACTTGCTTACCTGCATTTGGACCTCACGAAACAACTTTTTAACCATATCTGCACCCTCTCCTGATCCCACCACGACAACCAAAAACCAAATAATCAACCATGGCAACAGGCATCATGGCACCTCCTACCACCAACAACACGCAGGCGAACGCAGGCCCATACGTCTCCAAGTGGGCAAACCGATACCGCGGGGTAAGTCATGAGAGACCGAAGACGTCCATCCCCCGACCAAAAAAAAATCCCAACGACACAAAACGAATAGCCTGAGGATGGACTGACAAACTTGCCCACCCAGGCCGCAGTCGAGGACCTCCAACCCCCCGCAGCCCTCTCGCTGACGCCCTCGGACCCCATCTCCCTCGCCCTCGAGGCCGCCTTTGAGCGCGACTACACGCACCTGACCATCGTGGACAGCCAGACCCGCAGCCTGCTGGGCTACGTCTCCATCCCGAACCTGCAGGCCCAGCTGGACGGCGGCAAGGTCAAGGCCGAGGACCCCATCAGCGCCGCCATGACGCGGTTCCAGCGCCGCGGCCGCAAGTACAGCGTCATCACCATGGACACGCCGCTCGAGGAGCTCGAGGCCTTCTTCGAGGGCGCCCAGACCGAGGGCCAGAAGCAGGAGTTTGCCGTCATCACCGACGACAACAGGCGCTTCGTGCTGGGCGTCGCCACCAGGAGTGACCTGGAGGAGTTTGTCAAGAGGAGGCCGGCGTAGGGGGCCTGTCTTGATGTCGCCTCCGACCGAGGCAAGCGCCAGCTACCAGCTTGGGCGACCACCATGGGCGGGCGCAAAAAAATGATTTAGCATAGTTCTGGGACTGGCAGGGCTGTCGGGTTTTCCCACCCGGGCCATGTATGTGACACACTGACTAGGGAGGAAACAAAAGGGAAGTGGCGCAAAAGAAAGGATACCCTAATAGAAATGAGAGAAGGTCGAGTCTCAACGACAACAAGAACGACAACGGGGCGAATGCATATTCATCTATGGGCGTTTCGTGGCAATGGGTATCTTTTCTTAGAACTGGACTATTCACAGGCGGCGTCCCTTCAACAGGAACAGGAATCGGAACTGGAACTGGGACTGGGACTGGGACTGGAGATGGGGCCAAGATAGGATGTATGAGAGCTACCCTGGCAGATTACCAATTCCACAGGTCAATTCATCCTGCTCTTGCTTTCTTGTGTCAGAAATCAGAGTGCGTCGTACCAAGATCAGTAACAAGCCCTGGTAGATCCCCGTGTTGATTCCTGGTGATGTGAAATTCACGCCCAGCACTTGTTCCGGCCTGAGCAATCCGTCCGGGAGAATGTACTAATAATGCAGCGCCGACCGTATGCCACAATGCTTGGTTGTATCACCATCTCGATGCAGGGCGCCGGGCTTCAATAAGGTGATCTCGGATGCATTCACCGCATAGACAGATCAGTAGCGTTGATCCAGTAGCAAGTATTCAGAAAGGTATACGCCGTCCTCGACCCAAAGTCAGATCTCCCAATGCCCCCGTCTCTCGGTAGCAACTACACAAGCCCAGCCTCATCGAGCCTCGCAATTCCGCAATCTCATCCAGGGAGAAGACGCCAGCCCGTGTACTCTATCCCCAACCACCGAGCTCACCACCTAGGCCTCCTCGGAGTAAAAGTCGTAGACGAGCCTCATTTCGACCCTCTCGCTGCCCTTGGCAACAACAATGTTGCGCGCATACCTCCGCTCGCCGTTGACCTCCTGGAACCCCCAGACCTGGGTGGCCGTCCAGCCGCGGTCGAGGCTCTCGACGTAGCCCACGACGAACTCGGCCTGCGAGGCCTCCCAGCCCTTGAGCAGGAACTGGTCGGTGATGCCGTCCTTGGAGGCGACCCAGCCGGTGCGGCCCTTGACGTTGCCGAACAGCCAGTCGCTGTGCTCGCGGAAGGTGTCGTCGAGGGTGCGGTTCTCGGCCGTGCCCTTGACGCCGCCCGTCGCGGTCTGCTGGATGTCCACGTGCGTCTTGCCGTCGTCGTCGACGTACTCCTTGACGTGCAGCGTCACCGTCGCCAGGCCGATGGCCTTGCGCGTCAGCCAGCCTACGCCCTGCAGCGCCAGGGCTGGGTCGGCCGAGTCGGACAGGGACTTGTTCTGGTGGGTGGGGGTTAGCTTCCGGGTTGAGGAGGAGGCCGAAGGGTGTTGGGGGAAACGAGGCCGTGGTTTTAAGGTTGGCTTGTGGCTTGAACCCAACCCCGGGTCCATCCATGTTGACTTAAACCCCCACGATACTTGGCACTTACCATGACCCAGGTGCCGTTTAGGTCCCGGAGTGTTTTGTTTGCTGGGGCAGCCATTATGGTCGGTTTGAGGTTGGTCTAATTTCTAAAGACAGGCGGTATAAGACGATGTTGAGGAGTTTCTATGATGTCGGCGGTGATGGTGGCGGTGGTGGTGGTGAGTGGCCGCCGCAAGATGGCTTTCTCGTTTCTAAACAAAGACGTCTATCCTGAAGGAGGGAGCGTTTCAGTATTGGGACGGACGGACCGGTGGGTGCAACAAAGACACACGAAAGAGAGCTGTGATGGAATTGCAAGTGGGATCCAACGCGAGGGAGAAGGGAGAGCGACAGTCCTTTTCAGTCAACTGATTCAAACAGGATCCGGGGAGGAGGGGTGCAAGGGTCCGGATTGACTGTCACAAGAAAGGCAAAAGAGCACTCGCATGACATGCGGCCGAGGCTCTTAGGGATTGGGATCTGGGTGGAACGGTCGATGTACTACAGTATCGCGCCTGACGGTTCGACCAGCGGATGGAACCCTGCTCGGGATGGTGACAAGCTAGGTGTAGCTGCCCAGGCGGTCCCGCAGCGGGAAAGCATACTACTTTACACTACAGCAGGTGTCTATCTCATGGACCAGTTGCCCGCCCAGCCTTTTGGCTCCCGGGAGCTCTCCAAAAGCGGCAACAAGCTCCCTCTTGGGAGGGCTGTCAGCCAGCCAGCCCAGGCAGAATTGGGGCACGCCCAAGACCGCCGATCTGCCAGTTGCCAGGTAGCCTGTGATCCAAGTCGCCTCCCGAATAAGCCATGGCTCCAGTACGAACAGACCTCGTCCACGTGCAATCTGTTCTCGACACGCACTGCTGGGGCCAACCTTGAAGAATGCTCAACGGTCCCCGCGGGTTTCTTTTTTTTCTCCGTCTCTCACTTTGTTTGATTTCGTCATCACATCTGATGTAGCTAGCCATGTGTCGGACGGCTTTGGAGGAGGGCCCACCCGGCAAGAAAAAGGAACCCGTACGAGCAGCAGTAGACGTGCATCAAGTGTCCAAGTACACATACATGTACCTCCCACAAGGTCTCACTTCCCCCACTCCAAGAAGCACGGTACCAAATTCCGCTCCTCAGCAAGCAAGGCGACCTTGGAGACAAATCTAGAATATTGATCACTGCACACACCTTCTTGCCCTTGCCCTTCTTGCCCCTCGAGGACGGTGCCTTGCAGGGATACGGGCCAAAAGTGGTTCATCTCACCTCGACTCTTCCGCCCCCACCATACTGGACTGTCTCCCCCGGCCTGCAGGCCGAGCAGCCTACTGCACGGTTCCTAAATTCTTCCCTCCCACCCCGGACGATGATTCCTTCCCGTGCCATCTCAACGTCTAGACCAAATCCTACATACTATGTAGATAGAGAAACCCAGCCAGTGAACAGCCATTGGCACATGAGAAAATCCTTTTCCTCCATGGTCCGGTCGCGACAACTTTTATAACCTGGTCCCACCTCTCCTTGTCATAAATGATCGGCCCTTTTCCCTCAAACACATGCCATTCACTCGCCACAGCCTCCCAAGGTCGGTCGATGATAGGGGGACCATCGCCTATCCTGGCCCAGATTACCTGCCTGCCTGCCACAACCTGTGGTCGCGGGACGACGGACGGGTGCCGGGCCAAGGCCCGTCTCGGAAGGGTTGCATTCGGCGGCGGCGGTGTCACGGGCAGATTCTCGGCAGCGGGCGGGTGTGTCCTACGGCGACCGTCCCGACAGCACACGCAGCAGCCAGCCTGCATATGTACCCGTCTCGGAGCCCGGGCGCGGAAGGCCTGGGCTGTCGGCTGGCTGGGCTGGGTGGTAAGCGGGATAGAAGCTGTGTGTTTGTGTGTGTGCGGTATGCCACACACGGCCATGGGCTCCTCGTACTTGCCCAGTCATCATCATTCTTTGCCCGACGACGACAACTCACCTCCGGAGACATGCTACCGACACCACCCTGTGGGCCCCCTACATCGCCTACGCGCCGTGACTTCCCAAATCTGTGCCCCCCTTCCCCCGTACATACATACATACATGCCCACTGTGATTACACCAGAGCGCACGCAGTAGCATCGCATGCGGGAGGGCCAATCGGAAAATTTAAGCCGCCCACTCAGAGATCGTCCAAGACATGGAGGAAACGTGACAGGGAGACCGCGCGGCACCCACCGGCCGTCGACCGGATTCGTTGTAGAAACTGGAGCCGGATGTAGGTACGGAGTAGGTTGCTTGTGGTAATATGCCCTTGGTAGTGCGAGCAGTAGGTGTGTGTGTGTGTGTAAGGGTGTATGCGTGTGTATGTGTGTGTCCATGTTTGTATATATTGGCCCTGTATCACCCCCCCCCCCCCATCGTCCGACTGCGAACCTCGCATGCTGACTCACCTCACCCCCTTGCTCTCTTTCTGTCTTTCTCTCTCTCTCTCTCTCTCTCTCTCTCTCTCTTTTCATTTGACCTCACTTGCTCTCCTCGTGTGGCTACACACATCTACCTCTTTTGAAAGCCTCTTAAGACCACGCCACCGCGGCGTGCCACCATGTTCTTCACTTCTCCGACCGCCTCGAGGTGTGTGCGTAAGCACGGGGACGATGATATGGCCCGGGCGAGCAGACCAGGAGACCAGAAAGGAAACCGGATGTTATAATGGTACATTTATAAGCCAAGGAAAAAGGATCTGGACCGTGGTGTTCGCGCAGGGGGCGGGCCGACCCAATCAATTCGAAGGTGCCAGCGCCCGGCAAGATGCGAGTTTCGAGATTCGGGGAGACTTCAGGCTTTGGCGTGGCTGGGTTCCATCTCCGTGGGCAATGTCGTGTCCAGAAAGAGACGATGTTGGGTTTCTGTCAGGTTTGGTTCTTCCCCGCTGTCGCCTCTTTCCCCGGGGTTGTTTCGTTGGTGAGTTGGCTGGTATCCTGGGCCCATGACCCTCGGCCACACGAGTCCTACGTCGGTTTTCCTTGTTCAAGCTGTTGCTTTATTCCCTAGGGTGTCTTTTTTGAAGGCTGCTCGCTACGGCCACCACTTCATCTTCTTATAACTCTCAATAACTTCCTCCAATAGCTCCTTGTTGACCTGAGGATTTTGGTACTCGAAGCCCAGCACCTTCTCCAGCCTGCTGCCATCCATGCTCAGATCGGTATCCTTGAGCAGCTCCTTCTCCATGTACGGCGTCAGCGGCCCTGGCCTCGTGATGCCAGCAGCCTCGAGGAGGTCCGCCCAGGGGCCGAGCAGCTCATCGTTCACGTCCTCGACCACGGAATCCATGTTGAGCTTGGCAAAGCTGCTGATCAATGTGCCCTGGAAGCCCGTCTTGATGCCAAATATCGAGCCGATCAGCTCGGCCATCTTGCCCTGCGTGGTGGCGCCCTTGTCCACGACGTTGAAAATCGGTACCGGCCCGCCCATGGCCTTGTCGTCCCAATTCTTCTTGCCGGCCGCGTACCACTCTGCCACGGACCAGAGTGCCCGCACGACGTCGTCGATGTGTACTGTGTTTGTGCGGAGGTCTTTCGTCCAGAGGAACTTCATGTCCTCGTTCTGCGCCTTGTAGACACGCGCCATACAAAGCGCTGTCGCGACCCACTGCGAGGCGTAGGGCCCGTAGACGTGGGCGAGGCGGATAATGGCGAGGTTGAGACTGGAAGGGGTGCGCGTGGTTAGCTGGATGTCCCGCCGCCCGCATGGAGGGCTTGGGACGTGTGCTCTTGCTCACCCTTGTATCTTTGCTAACTGCTCCTCGGCCTGCAGCTTAAACGTCGCAATCTTGCTCCATGGTTTTGTCCTGTCGGTTTCTTTGCTCGTCGCAGAATCTGACTTGTATACCATGCCCGTACTCAGTTCAATGAAGGCCTTCACTCCCCGCTTGGCTGCCTCCTTGCCGACGGCCAGCGACAGGCCAAGCGAGCGCAGCTTGTACACCTCATCCTCCTGTGAATATCGAGTCTCGCCGCCGCAGTTGAATACGTAGTCGAATTGCTTCCCGTCTTTTCGGTCGAATATCCGGGCTAATGCTTCTGTATGGGGAGAGTCGGCGCTGTCAGAAACCTGTCTGTCGAGAGGAGACGGAAGGGAGAGGGCTTTCGAACGGAATGGTATTTTAAGGGGGAAAGGGGCCAGTAACTCACGTTCTCTGCTTGCGTCGGCCTGCAGGAACTTGTCGCCAGCGCAGGCCTGGTCAAACTCTGGAGCCAGCCATGCCAGCTGCGGCAGGACCTTGTCGACGACGCGGACCTCGGAGGCCAGGTCGTTCTTGTGGATGTAGAGGGCCAGGAAGCGGCCGATATATCCCAGCCCTCCAATGATCAACACCGAGGGCTTCTCCGCCATCATGGACCGATGCGTAGGGAAAAGGGGGCAGACAGGAAGGGGGCGGCGGCGCAAGGACTCTCGCTACGAGTCACACCCAGCAGAAGCAGTGACGCTCGGTTCAGGTGTTTTGCTGCAGAACGTAAGGGATTGTTGTAGGTTGATTGAGGGAGGGGTGGTTCAAATTCCGTATGCCTGTGCCCTGGGCGGGGCTCTCGTCCCAATCGATGTAACACTTTTGGAAGGGGGGTTTTTGATTTCAATGAACGGTTGGCCCGGGACGACTAGGACGGATATACAGTGACGGGGTCTTGCAGTCTTGTTGTTGGTTCGCGAGGGCGCCGTCCAGGGGAGAAAAAAAGCCGGGGCACGAGGTATATAGCTTGACGTTGAGAGGATTGCCCCAAGAGGAATGCTCGGTGTGCAGGTGTGGATGCTGGGATTGGGGGTGTGTTCTCTGAAGGGGAGGAGGGGGGGGGAGGAACAAGTCGACTCGAGAGGAGGGAGCCGTGGGAAAATTGGTTGGCCGTCAGCAGCCGAGCAGCTGCAAAATACGCGAGATTAAAGCTATCATGGGAGCAGCGAAAACACGGTCGTTGCGGTCCAGGTTCGAGCTGGGGGGGGGGGTTTGTTCTGTCAGGTCCTGCTGGGGTGGAAGAGTGGATGTGGAAGGGTGGGTTTTGGGGGCAGGCAATCTCGAGGTTCCAATGGCCGAGTGGGTGGACGGGGTGGACGGGGTTGCGACGGGGTTGCCAGGATGGGAGGGCAGCTTTTTGGACTTTTGGATGGACGATCGCTCGCTTCGTCGAGAAACCTGAGCCGACTGCACGAGCCAGAGCCAGCCCGACTTCGGAAAGACGCCGCTCTTGCGACAAACTGCAGTGGCTACTGCTGCTGCTGCTGCTGCTGCTAACAAACGGGGGATGGGCCCCAGGGTGTTGTGTGTGTGAGCCAGGCGAGTGGGCGTGGGTGAGCTATTTAGTCTGATCCGCGGGAAGAGGCAGATGAACGACCGAACGACCGAATGACCGAACGAACGGTCAGGACGAACGGGGGGCGTGCAAGATGGTCGTCTGATCGATGCTACCCTCTTCAATCGCAGGCGGCCAGGGCCAACTGGGATGGACGATGTCCACCAGATGAGAGACAGCGGGCGGGTGTAAGTGGATCGGACCGGACCATCACTTCTGAGTCGGTCGGGAAGGGAAGACTGGCCTTCTTCAAGTGCTTCTGCCTGTCGCCCTGGAACCCCTACTCTCGGGTTTTCCCTATCTTTCTACTAAGTTGGTCGATCTTCGTTCGCGTTCGCGCCGGCTAAGCAAGCAAACACCAGCACCCTCCTTGGTCTCAGGCAGGGTCCTTGTATGTGTCATGTATCATCAAATATGTATCAGTAGATGGGCCAGGTGGGCAGGGCGAGTGAGTGAGTGAGTGACGTGGTGCAGACCGTGGCAGCTAAGTATTACAGTACACTCTGGGTGTACGTATCTGTAAGTCTAGTAGTCTACTTATTAAGTAGGTACCTAAAGCAGGTAGTCTACTGTGGTATGCTCCTACAAAGCAACATGTCAAGTCATCAGTCGAGCATGATTCCGGTCGACCAAGGCCCGGAGATTTTCCCAGACGTGCCTGGGTCCTACTATGCACTACCACCACCTCGTCAGGCCGTCCAGACCCATGAGATGTGTACCGAGTACCTGAACGTGTACGTATGTACCTGCATCCACGCAGGTCTCTTGTCTCTGTCTCGGTCTCTCTGTCTTCGGTCCTTGGCCCCCTTTCATCCCTTCTCTCTCACTCTTTCTCACTCACATCTCAAGTCTCACATCACAGTCGGGGTTTGAATCGCAGGGACAACGCAGTCGCAGGGCATAGTTGCACGCCCGACTGCATGCGGACGGCCAGACAGATGGACATGCCAGGCATCCTGGCCCCTCCTGGCCCCTCCTGGCCCCTCCTAGTTCCTCTTCCTGCCTGCATGACCCGGGGCCTCGCTGGGCTGGAAGGCTGGAAGGCTGGCATGCTGGCATGCTGGCAGGCTGGGTCGCGGGCTCAGTAACGAGGCAGATCTTGTCGTCAGGATCCCTCGTCTAAGGACCCGTGGACGCCACCAGAACCTCCGTCTCCCACTCACAAGGGCCGAATGTCAATGTTTCTCGGCTGCAATAGTATCTGTGACACAATGGGGGGTCCTGCGAGCTCTCCTACCCCTCCCCCCGGGCACTCCTCCCCGTCGAGGCTGCTCGTCGCATGTGAGATGTGACAAAACCCACCGCGCTGGAGGACGACATGCACGTAGTTGAAAGTGCAGTGCTGGTATGACAAATTGTCCTGCGCATCCGGGCTGTACCACCGTCCGCAGCGCAGGCGAGGAGAGAGAGAGAGATGAGCTGGAACTGGAGCTGAGAGTTTGGAAACCTGGGGGTTGCCAGCCGTTTACCTTTTTGGCTTGTAGCCCGGAAAAGATGCTGGATGATGGATGAATCTGGAGCACCCACCCGCAGAACCCCTTACATGATGAGCTCGCCCGCCTGTGGGACGAGGCACTCGGGGTTCCAGTGCAGGACAGACTTGAGACAACCATGCCGATGCACCACCGTAACAGGGAGCCGCACAAAGGTAGGTAGATGCTCCCTCCCGGTCTGCCCAGGTACTATGCATTAGCAGCAGCAGTAGGTAGGTAGTAGCGGCAGCATTGGCTAACGAATCTGGCGTGCTTATAATAACTCTCCCTCATACATACACGCAACACGCACTGCTACCCTCTCACGCAGACAGACGCACAGGCACACAGGCACACAGACACACACAAACACTCCCACACTCCCACACTCTACACATACTACAGTATACTGCACATACTCTTTCTCACCAGCCGGCGCGAGACGGAAATGACAACGACTTGGACGGGTGCGCCTGTCTCACCGCGCAGACAATCGCACACCCTTTCCATTTATTAATCTCCACGCGCAGTATCATGACGGCGCACTGTAATCATGTCGCGACTGTTGGCCCGCGGCGTTCCCGTCCAAGATTGACTCTAGTTTCAGGCCTGCATAGGAGCATGCGTTAGTGGATGGGAACGTTTTGGGGCCCCCTCGGGAACAAAACACGACCTGAGTGTGCCTTCCGTCGAAGGGCGGGAGAATGCGGCAGAACGATGCCCAGCCGCCCAGGTAGGGTGGGGCCCCAGGGGGCCAAGCTTCGGCCTCCTCCGCCCTGTTTCCAAGCTTCGTCTGCCTGTCACATTTTTTTTCGACAGCTCGCCCTTCTAGAAGTCTTCGATCAGATTGCCCGAAGCGGAAAGCCCGATGTCAGGGAACTCCTCTGCGGACATTTTTGCAATCCTGCCAACGTCACTCCGCCCCGTCCACCGAGATTCGCGAGACTGACGGCACCATGTCGGTGACAAGCGAGGACTTTGTTGGTCAACGAGCAACTCATGTCACCCACGCCTGATCCTCCGCGCCGCAGCTGGCTGGCCGGGGTTCTCTTCGCGCACGCCGTAGCACCACGGCCACCCGGACCACGAGACATGGTGGTGAGATTCCGTCGCCAAAGGGTTCTGGTTCCTCAGGCGCCACCCCTTTCTCATCTTGCAGACGGAACACGATCGCCTGCTGATCGAGCGTCACCGAAACTCTAGAGTATGAATGAGGCCTAGCATAGCCACACGGCGGGCGACTGGGCCATCCCAGATGGGGTCACCAGACACTGGTGCAAATTTCTCGCTGCAGGAGCTGTCTGTCGTCCAATTTCCCCTGCAGAAACTCTGCAGTAGAAGCCTCCATCAAACTCCAGAACAGAGAAATGGGGGCCCCGGACTCCGACTACACTAGCCTGGATGGCACCCCTTCCCTCAGTGCACGGCAGTCCAAGACCTCTCGGCTCTGGGAGAACCAGCAAATTTCCTCTCTCGCTCCCGTCCTCCTTCCTGTCTTGTCAAACACGGTCCTCCGGCTGAAATCTTTGCAGCCCCTCCGTCCCCTTCCTCCCCACCACGAGGCTGGCGCACGATATCTGGCAGTTGACGACGTGTACAGGCTCCATTGGCTTCTAATATCCCCTGTTGATAAGGCCCTGCGAACATTCAACCTGCCGCACCAGTAACATCCAGACAATTACTGCACTTCCAGCAAGATGGCCGCATCGCAGGCCGCTTGATCACCGCCTGCCACCCATGCTGGAGCATGAGGTCGGGCCAGCGGCCACAGGAGGCTAGGTATTCACTGGGGACGGTCTGGCCGAAGATGTGAGCTCTGAATGCCTGAGAGTGCCGCGGGACGGCCCCCCGTCTCGTCCCCCGGGCTTCCCACCGCGCCGGGAACCCCAATTAGCCTTTTGGCCGTCGTCATCCCAGACGATATCGGCTGTTTGGCGAGAAAGGGGAGGATAAGAGGAGGCTCGTGAATCAGAGACACCTAGACAGCCCTGCGCGGCTGGGTGCCCCGTGTTCTGCGCTTGCTGTTGGGCGCGAGACGGGCCCCGAACCAAAGCGTTGGGATGAGCCTGTGTCAGTAGATCGTTCATCGTGCAGAAGCGCAAAGTCTCTTTTTTTTTTAACTCCCACACCGAGCCTCTCAGGGGCCCCTGCTGGTATCTCCGCGGCTGGGGATGACACACGCACACTTACACTTACCATGCACATGCGAGGACACAGACCAACAAACAAACAAACAAACAGAAAGCCATAACGGAAGACTCGTCACACCCTTTTGGGAGGCTTTGAACACCACGCGCGTGCGCAAGATTGTCTGCAGGCCTGCAGTAGGCTGGTCTCGTCGCCGGGCTTCGGAGACGCGATGGGACAGTTTGGTCACTTTGACCCCTCGCAATGTACGGACGAATCCTTGGTGCATACGCATAGCCTGCCTCTCCCTCCTCCTTGGGGAATTTTCGCCTTTCTTTTCCCTTACAGCAGTAGCAGTCATGGCACTCCGGAACGAGTGTTTCCCGTCGGGCCCTACCTGGACTGAACAAACAAGACACCGACTCGGCTATGAGTAGCCTTATTGCCGAATGTATTCAGACATGATGCTGGCCTCGGTCAGATGCCAGAAGCCTCGGTCTGACCTCACCGCCGTCAGGGATTGCAGGGGCCGACAAGCGACAATTATCGCGAACGTAAAAGGACGACCGGCAACACAGTCGGGAGAAACATAGCATCACCCATTCCCCGTAGGTGGTGACAATGGGCCGCGTAAACTACCTCTGTAGGATATCCCCTTCCCCCTTCCCACCCTTAGGCGTGAAGGAAGCACAGTCCCGGCTCCTCGGGAAACTGAGCCGGTGAACGCAATGCTTGATGGGGGGAGGGGGATGGAGGATAAAACGGGCCAAGGGTCTTGTCCAGACTGCGGGCGTGTGCAATGTCAGCGGCCGGAGCCGAGCCTAGATCTACGTGCGGACATCATATTCCTTTGAAGTGCCCGCCCGCCAAGCTCGGCCGATGCGCATTGCATGTCAAGTGCGAAAGAGAAAAAGTCTAAAAGGGAGTACATCTGACAGCAGGGATTTGGGGTTGGTGGTTGGGGTTTCCTAAACAGGCACATCCGCAACGACCACCGGCTCTAGTGAGCGACTGTGCCGAGTATGAAGGACAGTACGCATGTGTGTTCTCTGTGGGTAGGTATTCTGTGTATGCAAGTCATTCCGCCACCGGCGAAGCTGCAGATTCCAAAGAGTCAAACCACCCCTGACTTCCCTTCCATGTCACCCTGCTGCTGCTGCTGCATGTTTTGTTGGCCGAGGTCCGGCGTCCAAAACAGCCGTCGGACACAAACCCGCGAAGGACATAACCTTATTGCTACCTGGACGCAGTGCGCAATGGGAGCGCGAGGGCAGATAGGGGGGAGGGAACTGTACTTCTCGAAACAACACGTTGCACAAAGACGCCGTCTCATGATCTATCGTTCATCTCCGCGTAATAAGAGCATGACGCATGTGCCATATCCTCCATGCCCAGCAGGGATAGGCGTCAACTCCTGCAATCAAGACCCGCGTGTGTCATGAGCCTGCCTCTGGCCCGTCCGCCCCATCACGTCGCGCGGCTGGCCTCTGCAATTACGGAAAAAAACATGGCGCAGTGGTTGCCTCACCGGCGCATGCTGCCGATGATCTCCATCTGCGCGTCCCTGTCCTTTTGGCCCTCGCTGAGGCTCCCGGCCGACCTAAGGTCGCCCACCACGTCCTTGGCCTTGCCGAAGTACACCTCCTGCAGCAGGTTGCGCATCTTGAGCTCCATGTCCTCGACGAGGCGGCCGATGTTGGCGATGTGGCTCTCGTCCGTGTCCACGGGCAGCTCCTGCTCGACCTGCCGCGTCATGTTGCCGCTCAGGTCCATCTCGCCGAGGGTGACGTTGCCGTTGGCTGCCAGGCTGAGCATCACCGTTGAGGTCATGCGGTAGTGTGTTGTGCGGCCTCGCTCGGAAGCCTCAAAGACATGGATCGAGTCCCAGACACCGCTGCTGCTGCCGCCAGACGGGGAGGCTAGACGAGGTGAGACATGTCAGCTCGGCTTCTGGGAAACAGTGATATCGGCAGGGAGAGACACCACTGAGCCTCGGGGAAATAAGGCGCTGATGAGCGAGAGACGCCCTCGCTTATAGACGATACCTCCTGGCCCCACCAGGCCACACTCCTCGACGGGCACACGCTAGAGACTCACACTTCTTCAACAGCACCACGCCGGCAAACCCATCGTCCAGATTCCACAGGTAGACGCTAGAGACGCCCCCCTCATAGTACAATTCACGGTAGATGTCGAAGGCCTCGTTCGCCTTGACCTCCATCTTTCTCACACGCTCGCCCGGGACGGCACCCTCGCCGGCGCCGTCGTTGCCACCGGCTCCTACACCGCCTGGTCCGGCCTCGTCCAGCGGCGGGTCGAACTGGTTGGACCACGGTGAGCGGTACGAATCGCCATCGCGGTTGTAGTCACAGAGCAGGTAGTCGCGGCCAGATTGCTTGCAGCGCTTGACGACGAGGGGCTGGTCGACGGAGGACAGCAGGTCCTCGGTCAGGTCTGGGGCGAGGCGGATAATGTAGTCGAGGTTGCGCTGGGTGTACTTGGGGTTGAGGCGGCGGAGGAGGTCGCTGGAGGCCGGCAACGGGGACGGGGACGGGTTAGCCTCTGGCAGTCAGGGGGGGGGCATGTGCTGGCTGTTGGCCTCTCAGGGGGTGGTGGACATGGCTTACAGGGCCGAGTCGAATGGATCGGCCGAGGACATGTTGGGCGACGTCTGCGAGCTTCACAACAAAAAAAAGCCGTAAGACTCTTGCGAAGCGGGGAATAATTGGCGTGCAGGCGATCCTGGACTGGTCGACAGGTTGGTGTGCAGGTAGTTCGGGAGGTGGAATGCACAGAGGAGGAGAGTGGATGTTGGTGGCTTGACAGCTAGAGAGGTTCAGGTTGTTAGCTACACCGACGTTAAGTGTGCCCCTCAAGCTGCCCCTCCAATCCCTGGGCTCTCGGGCCACCCCTGTCGTCACCTGCGTCTGCCAACCTTGAGCCGCTTCCCCAGATTCTGTTAGGCCAATACCTGGCACCGCATCTTGCCACAGGGAGATCTCGTGCCCGTGAAACGCTGCGGCCGTGCAGCGATTGATGCTGCTTCTGCTGCCGGGCGGGTTGCGAAACGATCAAGGTTGACTCTTGTAGCTGTGAGCAGCGTATCTGCCTATGTGTCTACTGTACAATCCGTGCCCAGAATGCCACCCTATGTGGATATGGTCGAGTGACACCAGTACAAGACACATCCCGGCAGACCGTTTGCTCTAATGCTGTGTCTACCCTCCACAGGGCGAAACTGTAGCCATTGAGCCCGAATTTATATTCAGCCAGTAGCACGTCACTATATTCTGCTCTGGATTCCCCGGACTCTTGAGAGCCAAAGACAAGAATTCATCCAGCCTGATTGTGACCGCTTATGGAAGCCGCTGGAGAGGTGGCTGGAGAATGGGGCAGCGGCTACCAGCGGGTGGGTAACACCCTAACAAGCGGACCTTTCCGACGGTTGGGTCCTGAGACGAGGGGACCTGCCCGTCTGAGGCACTCTCGCGAGACCAGGATCGTTACTATAGCACCCAACCGCAAGCTAAAACAAAGAAGCTTCGGGCAGGCACACAGGCACAGTGGGAACATTGGATTACCTAGACCAGTGACGGCACCTGTGGTGAAGGCCGGGAGACGACATAATAAATGCATCGTCTTCCCCTCTCCGTAGCAAAGACAGCAGCTCGTCGACTTGTCACATCGAGCCCCATTGCGCCCAAAACAACTGCACTTGTTGCCTCGAGAGCCTCACGTGTCCCTGCGGCAAGCTTCACCCTCACCCAGCCGACCCGTCAACACCTCACCATGGATGCCAAGGAACTCTCAAGCTACCTGGCCGACTCGCCCCCAAGCGTCGTGCCCCTGGAGATCGCCAAGCACTTCGACGCCCTGACCGACAAGCAGAAGAGATATGCCCATTATATCAGCAAGTGAGTCCGTTCAACGCTCACTTTCGCCTATTTGACAGCCTCCCGCTGTGGCAGTCTTCCTCTGAGATGATCTCACACCATGACCTCCTCCGGGATCAGTGTCTGCTCCGACTCCTCGTCGACCAGCTTGTTCCATCCTGGGTAGAATCTTCACATCACTGACACTTGGACCAGAGCCTCGTTTGCCGGCCAGCGCATCACTCTGCGGCAGGTGTCCCCGGAGTCTGAGCCCATCTTTGACTTCATCCTCGCCTTGCACAAGAGCTGCAAGGGCGACTGGAAGGCTCTCGGCCAGAAGGCCGGCGTCAGCGAGGAGGATGTGACTCTTTTCTTGCAGTGGGCCGCTCAATTCCTTGGGAACAGGTAAGCGCAAGCGAACATACGCCGTAACTTTGGGTGTTTTCTTATCATTTCAGCCATGTTGACAAGAAGCCTCTAGTGGCAACTACAAGTCATTCGGCGACAAAAAGTTCATTCCGAGATGCAAGGAGAGCGATGTCGACAAGCTAGCTGCCACGTCGCCTGAGGCCGAGAAGTTCTACAAGGCTACCAATGGCGGCATTTTCTCGGCCAGCAGTCCGGGTTTGATGCATTTGGGTTACCCGGATGATGGCCATCTTACCACCTACTACCCCGACTCCCCAGACGTCACCAAGGCAGAGGTTGGAGCCGTTGCCGACTTCATGGAGAAGAAGGGTCTGCTGCCTGAGAACACCAGGCTGAGGAAGACCAAGGACGGAGTCTTCGAGATCCTGATCGCATCAGCTCAAACCAGCATACCTTCCGAGGGAGGTGACATCGGAAAGGAAACCGAGTTCAAGGTGAACGACGGGGCGTTGGCTGGGAAAACCATCAAGCTCGTCTACGGAGATCACGCCAAGGAGATGGCTATCATTGCCGACAACATCTCCAAGGCTGCCGAAAATGCAGACAACGAGACCCAGAAGAAGATGCACCTCGAATACGCGAAATCCTTCGATTCTGGCTCCTTGCTGGCTTTCAAGGACAGCCAGCGTTACTGGATCAGGGACAAGGGGCCCGACGTGGAGACCAACATTGGTTTCATCGAGACATATCGTGACCCCGCAGGCGTGCGAGGCGAGTGGGAGGGCTTCGCAGCCATGGTCAACAAGGAGCGGACTCGTGCTTTTGGGGAGCTTGTCAGCTCAGCGCCGAAGCTGATCCCTCTTCTGCCCTGGAGCGCCGATTTTGAGAAGGACAAGTTCCTTGCCCCCGACTTCACATCTCTCGAGGTTCTGTCTTTCGCAGGATCAGGAATACCGGCCGGTATAAACATCCCGAACTACGATGATATCAGGCAGTCGGAGGGTTTCAAGAACGTCTCTCTCGGTAATGTTCTCGGTGCGAAGGCACCTAACGAGAAGATCCCTTTTATTCGAGACGAAGACCTCGAGATTTACCAGAAGTACCGTGACGCTGCCTTCGAGGTTCAGGTTGGTCTGCACGAGCTGACAGGCCACGGGTGTGGCAAGCTGCTGCAGGAGACCTCCCCCGGAGTCTTCAACTTCGACAAGGAGAACCCGCCAATCAGCCCCCTCACCAACAAGCCCGTTACATCCTGGTACAAGCCGGGACAGACCTGGGGGTCCGTCTTCGGTGGCCTGGCTGGAGCCTATGAGGAGTGCCGAGCTGAGCTCGTCGCCATGTATCTCAGCTGCGAGTTCCCCGTGCTCAAGATCTTTGGATTTGGCGATGGCACCGAGAAGATGGACAGCGAGGCCGGCGACCTGCTGTACGCCTCGTACCTGTCTATGGCGCGAGCCGGTCTGGCCTCGGTCGAGTTCTGGGACCCCAAGAGCCAGAAGTGGGGACAGCCACATTGCCAGGCGCGATTTGCCATCCTCAAAAGCTTCCTGCAAGCCGGCGAGGACTTCTGCAAGCTGGAGTCCTCGGCCGATGATCTTTCGGACTTGAAGATCCACCTTAACCGAGACTTGATCCTGACCAAGGGTCGCAAGGGTGAGTTGCTTCCTGAGCGGTTCCCACCCCCCATCAGTCCTTTTTCTCTCTTGTACGAAAAGTTCCAGGCAGTACTTAACTAACAATCGCAATTACCAGCTGTGGGAGACATGCTGCAGAAGATCCACATTTACAAGTCGACCGCCGACGTTGAAACCGGCACCAAATATTTCGCCGAAGACATGTCCGCCGTTGGACTTGAGTACTGGGGCACCAAGGTCCGCCAGGTGGTCGTGGCCAACGCACAGCCGCGCAAGGTCTTTGTCCAGGCCAACACCTACCTGGATGAGGCGAGCGGCAAGGTGACATGCAAGGAATACGAGGCAACGCTGGAGGGGATGATCCAGAGTTGGGTAGAACGCGAGGAGAAGCAGCAATAGGGAAGGCAGATGACGGGCTCGGTGCTGGGGCGCCGAACCCGCTCCTTACTTTAAACGTGAGCACCCGTGGTGTATGTAGTTGGCTAGCCTCCTCCGCCCTCGTGACGACCGCCGCGGATAAATAACAAGATCCCACAAACCCACTTATGTGTACACAGATCACATGTCGACTCGGGCCTGCAAATGCGTGACGTATGGCAAGCATCCACCCCCCACACAGCGAGCGGCAAGGACAACGGCTTCCGACGTGCACACGTCTTGGATTGGGGATATCTCTAGATGCTCAGTACCAATACCGGAATTCACACATCCAGGAGAGGAGTTTGTTTGGACGCCCTTCTATATCACACTCGCAGTCACACACAACCAGATTTCTCTCGGGCCTTTTCTTCCCCTCTTGTCAAAATTCGTTTCATGTCCTCATTCGTGAAAAGCTCGGCACGCAGGACCACCGAAACTTTGGTTTGACCGGTTCTGTTTGGTTTTTTTGTGATGTTTGGTAGAATTCCCTCATTACAGACGCCGCGAATGAACCGAAATCTTCGACATGGAAGATGCAAGTGGCCTAGCCGTAGGTCATCCCTAATTCCGATTTCCACGAATGCCGCTTTGTAAACCCCTCCCTAAAAAGCAAAGTTTCATCTTTTTTCCGGAGGGTGTTCTTGGTGTGTCGTCGTGCGCCACGCCCCCTTCCCAACCAACCGACAGCTTGACATAATCTACCACTTCATCTCGTGGGGCTTGTCACCCTTGCGCAGGCTGAAGGAGGAGGCCAGGTAGCTCGCGAGGAACTCGACCTTCTTGATGTTGGCCAGCAGGGACTTGTCGATCGCCTTCTGGTCCGCTGCCCGGGTGGAGGAGACCTCCTTCTTCTAGAAATCACAATCCTGTTAGCTCCTATCGCTCTTTTTCCCATGTGCCCCATCCGCCGTCCTCTCTGGACACCAGGGGCACCCAGTCGCTCGGGACAGTTGTTTCGTACCTGTGCCTTCTCGCCCTGCTTGAAGAAGGCCTCCTCGCCGGCCTTCTCCTTGGTCTTCTCTCCGACGAAGTACTTGGGCTGGCCGACCTCCTCGATCTTCTTCTCGTCGACTCCGGCCAGGTCAACCTTCTGGGATGTGGCGATGACGTATCGGGAGTTGACGCGGCGCAGGGGGACACCGTTGATCTTGAAGGGACCGGTAACGAGGAGAACACCCTGGTCGAGGTTCTTCAGGAGGACGACGCGCTTGCCACGGAAGCGGCCGGCGAGGAGGATCAGGATGGTACCGGGCTGGAGGGACTTGCGTGGCTGCCAGGCGCGGACGGCCTTGCGGACCTGTGGTGATGCATGAGTTAGCTACTATGCCGTGTGGTTTGTTTATCCCGACCAAGTGCATCATGCCGCGGGTCTGCCGCCTCTCCGGTCGCGAAACCCCCCAATATTGCCTGGTCGTCCATTCAAATGTGTTGCCTATAATTTCGAAATTCGGTCGCGTTGTCGATCATGCCAATGCTGTTGCTGTGGTTGTCGGTTTGGTCGTTGCCATTCTCATTCGAGAGAGAATATGGCCCTCTTTGCGCTCCAGCTCGTCTCCACCGAGCTCTTTGATATCGCCATCTTCCTCGCGTCCGTGTGTCCCAAGCTCCTCCACAAGTAGAAAAATCCCGTGTCGGGCAAATCGCAACGTACCTTGCGAGGCTGGGCATCGGCCTCAGCAGGGTACCACTTCTGGGCCTTCTCGGAGTGGTGAGGGACCGACCGGGTGCCCTTGCCGAACTTCTTGGACTCAACCTTCGCCGACATTTTGAATTGATGGAAGGGTTAGTGGTGAAGGCGAGAAGGAAAAGAAACGAAACGTGGTACTGTCGTCGTCGTCTGGAGAAGTGTTGCTGGGGGGCGGGTCGGGTTCGCGATAAGCCAGAAAATCCAGAAAACCACTTGGTGCGGCTGCCACAGGTTTCCGGGAGATGACAAAGCAAGCGATCGGTGGACGGAGGCACGTATCACCGGTTAGTTTCACTAGCACACCCGCGCTAAAGACTTGCAAATTCACTACCTCCACATGGTGGAGCCACTATACAGACGAGGTGCCGCATGGACTTGGCAGGCAAATGGCGTCGTCCACTGTGGATGATCCATCACCACCCAGCTTACAATTCACCTTGAATCGCAACAGATTTCCGGTCTCTCCTATGGCGGTTGTTGACTGGTGAAAACCCGGAATTTGAGAGTTGGGCGAACTTGTCGGATTTACACAGGTTGCTATACGGGCTGCCATGTGGAATTCTCTGAAATGTGTGGTGTCTACAGATGCACATGTTCAAATCTAGCAGATTCCATGGGTTCAAGCATAAGATAGATATCATGAGTGCTGAGAATATGATTGCTGTGTAAACAAACGATTAGTGCTTGCTCCGACTCGATTGCTTAGGTAAAAGCGTCAATCGCCCGCCCCCTGCCCCCCTGTCAGCAACACGTCAGGGACCGCAGCCTTCCCGCTCTGCTGCTTGGCTGGAGCTCCATCGAAGCTGCCTGTCCGGACGGATTTACCTACACTACACTACACTACGATCTTCATACTTCCGACCAGAAGCTGCTCGCATCAACAGCCTCCCTAACACTTTCACACCCTCCTTTCCACCCTTTTAGAGCGGATTGGATTCTGGACTCATAATACACCCCCACTAAACCGGCACCATGTCTCTCCGGCCGATAATTACCTTCAAGGCCGGCATCTGCGAGGTCGACGTTAGTCTCTCCAACCCGTGTATGATATCGGCACACGCGAACTGTAGCATACTAACCTGTAGAGTAGCAATCTACCAAGCCATACAAGGTGAAACCGTCACCACGACCCGGCTACATCTACCTCTACCAAGCTTCCGACGATGGTAGGCAACGACGTCCCCCAACCCCCCTGCCGCCGTCTTCCCCTCGGAAGCCGTCTTCCCCTCGGACACCTTGAAGCTAACCCTCCCCGTTTGCAGACCTCCTTCACTTCTGCTGGCGCGAGCGCAGCGTCCCCGCAGACCAGCCCGAACTCGACCTCACCATGATCCCCGGCGACGGCACCTTTGTCCCCGTCGAGCCATCCTCCGAGACCCCGTCCGCCAGGACCCAGGGCCGCATCTTTGTCCTCAAGTTCGAGTCCTCCTCCACAAGACACCTCTTCTGGCTACAGTCGCACCCCCAGAGCAGCAGCGGCGACGCGACCTGGCTGTCCCCGCGCGACCGCAAGATCGGCGAGATCGTGAACAACCTGCTGCAGGGCGACGAGGTCGACGTCAACGCAGAGCTCGCCTCGGTGGGGAACGGCGGCGGCGGCTCTGGCGGCCGCCGGGATGCGGACGGTGACGAGTCCATGGAGGATACCCAGGGCCATGGCGGCGACCGGTCTGAGCCTGGCAGTGGCGGCGCTGGTGCGGATGCCACGGGCGGTGACGTTCGGGAAGAGGGCGAAGAGGCGCGGGAGGGTGGCTCTGACGGTGCGAGAGCGTAGGTCAACTTCTCCCCTTCTCCTTGTTTGAAAATCACCGGGAGCCTGCAAGAATTGCGGGTGCAGCAAGCCACACGGTGTCGTGGGCGCCGCCTGACGAGAGAGCACGGTGTTGTGCAGAGATGGCGCGAGACGGGTCCTTTGGCAGGGGCATTTCAAGCGGGAGGCCGCGAGGCCAACAAAACTTGACGATATCAAGATGTACTCATAGACATGATTTTTCACGGGGAGGCAATTGATACTGTGGAATCTACAGACCCCCTCGCCGTCCTGCTCGCTCGCGCTCTCAACATTTCCCAAGTGAACCATCCGCTAACTGGCCCGGCAGTGCTAGCAACATAGCCCCCGACGCCGCAGCAGCGGTGCGCAACTTCCTCAACTCGCTCAACCCGGGCGGCCAGGGCGGCGCCCCCGGCGGCCAGCACCCGGCAGAGGGCAAAGCGTACCCGCTCCTGAGCGACCTCCTGGAGGCGCCGACGACGGTGCCCATGGTGCGGGCGGCGGAGGAGGGCTACATCGACAGCCTGCTGTACTTCCTGCCGCCCTCGGTGCTGGTGCTGGCGCAGCAGGGCGAAGGGGCGGCGCCCGACGTCGTCGAGGGCGAGCCTGGCGCCGAGTCGGCGGCGGCGGCCATCGCGGCCATGACGCCGGGCCAGAAGAAGGCTCTGCTCGAGAAGGTGCTGCGGTCGCCGCAGTTCCACCAGTCGCTCGCCAGCCTCACCATGGCGCTGCGCGACGGCGGCCTGCCGTCCATCGCCGAGGCGCTCGGCGTCAAGGTCGAGAACGGGGGCTACATGCGGGGTGGGGGCATGCCGCTCGGCGGTGGCGATGCCGTGGAGGCGTTTGTCGAGGGCGTCAAGAAGAGCGTGCAGGACAAGTAGCCTGTCGGGCGGTTCTAGCAAGGGGTTCGGCCTACCTGTTTAGGTGGCAGGCACCCTTGGGCTGATGCTGTGTCATCTGGGGACGGGCTCGCTGAGCTGGGGTGGGCTTTGCTGTTGCCTACTTCCATCCATGTCTTGTTCATAGGACTCGTCTGGCGTGGGCACATATGATCATAGAGAGGCATCCTAGAAAGCCATGAAATCCAAGAGTTCACCATCTTTGCGCCGCAAGTCGAGGAGGCCCTCTGAGCGGCGAGAGCCAAACCGTGAACGCGCGGCGTCGCCAGGCAGCGACTCTTACGGATTCATCCACCTTGTAAGCCCCCCAGCCAGCCCATGCGAGCCCCCGCCAGGCAGTGCTTACAAAACAAGACTACGAGTTGTGGGTAGATGTGGGTGTGCTATCGTTGTTAGGCACCCAGGTCGTACCTTGGTGTAAGTGGGTACATTACAAGCAGCCGATGCCTCTGCGTGTCACACACTGGGCAGGCAACCAGCCGCCGCGCAAGTCATGCGCACGCAGTGTCGTTCTCTCCTCATGCTCTCTCGTCTTGGCACATCGTGGACGGACACCCTCCTTTGCAACGAACCTCGTGAGGACGAGACGCTAAAGCGGCAGTGGCTGCACAGGCGCGGTTGTCGGGACTGTCCTATTCGTGCGATGGGACTCGAAGCTTCTGTCTTCGGGGGGGTGTGGGATGGGATGCACGTGTGGCTTGCCGAAGGTCGCCCAGAGCTCAGGCCGCGCACGAGACTGGACGGACGGTGCGTGCGACACTGAGGTTGTTCCGTCTCACCCACTACTATGTGCAATACGGGTACTGCATGGCAGCCTCAGCCCAGTAGCCTTACGGTCCGCATGGCTACGTTGCCGTAGAAGCTCGACCGACAGGATCCTGATAGGATATTGGTAAGTATGCACGGTACAGAAGACGAGAGAAAGACAATGCGTCCTAGTCAAAAGTACCCCTACAACACACCGCTTAAGTGCCCTGTGGGAGGTCTGCTGGCTGCCGTAGTCATTTCGAGAATCAAAGGGCTGATCGTCCACAAAGCAATATGCCGCGGTGAAGTATGACCAGTTATTGAAGTTATTCATATATGTTTATGATCCCTGTGTGCTGTAGCCAAGCTGACTGTGATTGATTCGGATGACGGTGCTTCTTCGGTCCTGCTCAGGCTGGTTGCTGCACGATGGTGCTAAGTGGTTGGCAGAGCAGGTTGAAGCAGTGCGTCATGCTCTCTGGTGTGGATGTACATGCAGAGTGGGCTGCACTGAAAGTGTAGGCACAGTGAAAAGGGTTTTGGTTTTGACTGTGGGCGGCAGCGACAGCCGGCCCCACGACGATCTGCGGGGGTCGCTTATTCTGAGCCAGGCAGAGCGAGATGACTGGGTTTGATTAGACGCAAGGGGGGTCAAGTTGGGGGTTTGCGAGGCGTTGGTATTGTCTGCATGGCAGCATGGACCAGGAAAGCGACCAATCATGCTGGGAATGACAGACAGAGTCAGAGACCCCATGGTGTTCGAGAAGCTTTGATGGTGCGGAAAATGTCAAAAGGCTGGCATGGCTGCACCGAAGTCCACAGGGTTGAGCCCGAGCCTGATACCGAGGGGTCGGTTCTTTACCCCACAGTCCTCTGGTGGCTGGTGTATTAGCAGACAGGTACTATGAACAGGATGGCCGTGGCCGCTGGCGCGCCTATTAGAGTGCAGGGTCGTATTAGCAAAAACCGCGAGCAAGTTGTTAGGGTGTCCTAAGGTCGTTGGCAGGGTGGTGCTGGTGCGGCGCACATCCAACGACACGATGGCGTTGTGTCTCAGCACTTGTGCACATAACACAGTATCCTCTTGCCTCGAACGAATGGGTCATTGTTTGAGACAATACACAGTACCGCTCGGGTCTCGCAGGGTCTGGCGAGCTTCGGGCCGTGGGATCGCAGCACCGGGTGGTGGGAAAAAAACCGCGCAGCTGGGCCGACGCACCGGAAGCGGGCTGGCGTGCTTGCTTGTGTGGCCTCTCGGAACAATGTAACGTCGTCGACGATCCAGGCGTGGGATTTAGTGTAGATGGTGCGTGCCACCAGATCGGGACGGCCGTCACGGACACAAACTGGGGTTCCAGAAACAAAGAAATGCTGGGCACGATGCAATTGCGGACGAGCAACGACTGAGCAAGAGGGGCTCGCCGGTGAAACAGACTCAGCTGGCTGACTCGACCCAGCTCGAGCCGGTCGTCCGTACTTTCAGCGTCCAGGCATGGGGGCAGGGGCAGGTGGTTGCCCCACAGCTAGGTTCGGTTGAATTGAAACGACTCCGATCGGGTCGTGTGACCCCTCCTGATGATGATGAAGAATGACCAGACGAGTGAGAAGAGAAGTGCATCCAGCCACACCGGAAGATGGGATATTACACACCGGGAGCAGACTGGCAGGACTGGGTGGGCTGGCTGGCAGAATGCTAGCCTCCAGGGAACAGTGGTACGGGCCATGTGGCGTTGGATGTCGAATCTAGTGTACCTACTGTGGTAGACATTCGTCCCCTGCCGTCCATGCCACACAGTGTGCCCAGACGGCTGATTTTAATTGGGCCCAGCTGTCTGGCAGAGAGGGGTCAACGGCGAGTGACCCCCCCCCAATGACAGATGATCCGCACCTGCAGCAACCCCTGCCTCTGACTTGCTTGACTTTCGCGGTTACACCCATAATTAATCGTCAACAACTGCCCTAGAGGCTCGTGGTCTGCAGCTGCGACAGGATCGGGTTTGCGTTGAGTTTTGAGTTGGGACGGCCTCAAAGCTTCGTTCAGCATGCGGGCATCTGCACCCAGAAGGAAGGATGATGGATCTGATGCCAACTTGCCGTCCCGCCAGGGTCACAGTAGGAAGCAGGAAGTGTCTGCATTCTGCATTCCGCATTCTGCACCTGCTACCTGACCTGCAACCTCGCAGCACCTATCACGTCCTGATCCCAAGCTGACCCTGGAACCAACGGTGGGATTAATCAATCGCTTCCTTCTTCTGGACCCGGCTAGGAGTGCTAGCTTCCTTAGGCTCGTACCAAAGGTGCAGTAGACGGCCGACGGGGTTCGCGACTTTACCCTGCAGAAGCCTGGCCAGGCAGTCTCTGGTACGGAGCAGACTACGTCGTGGGTTGCGACACACCAAGTACGGAGTACTTGACCTAGTCCATACCCCCTCCCCCACCACCACCACCGCTGCAGCCGCACCTGAGTTTCTGCGTGTTGGCTGTCCTGCTTGATCGTTCTGTTCGTTGCAACCTCTGGATATCCATAGCCTTCTGCGTGTGGTGGTTCGTGTGGTGTGTGTGTGTGTGTGTGTGTGTGTGTGTGTATCTGTGTGTGATATCTGTGTGAATCTGTATGTATATGTATGCGTGCATGTTATCATGTACAGATAGATAGACAGATGTACAGGACCTGCCCACGACAACCCCGAATTCCCGTCAGGCCGAGTCAAGCCATGTTGGTTTGAGATGCAAGAGGGCCTGAGGGCGTGCACCAGCCCCGCCACACAGTACCTGCTCCGTAGGCCCTGTCGCTCACTTACAGCAGCCTCTGGTACAGACTGTACAGTATCTAGACCACACTATCTGCAGTCAATTCAAGCTACTCCACCAGCGACAGCCAGCCCCCCCCTGCCCGCCTCACCCAACTTGGCGGATGAACCGATCCCCAAGTCCATGGGGAAATAGGCAAACTGCCCCGGACTTGCAGCCATTAGTAGCCGCTGGCAATGATTCCTTCCGCCGCGTCTTCGCATATTCCCTCGAATGCCTGACTGGCCCACGACAAATCGCTCGCTACCTGCCCTCCTCCCACCGTTGCTGCCCTCCTTACCACCGCAGCTCACCTCGCTTACCCGATCGACAAGGTTTCTAGCTCACCTGCTGCTGCTCATCTTGCTGCTTCATTTGCGACCTCTTTGCGGCGCACACCAATTCGCCCCCCTCCAACGCCCTCGTCCTCCTCGTCGTCCTCCTCCTCCTGCCATATCTCCTCGCCCACAAATACGCTCACGCATACGTTCACGTACTCGCTCACGCCGTCTGAGATCCCGCCTTCCGAGACAAGGTTGCATCGGGGAGCTCGCGCCGCACACAGCACATCCCGCGCCGCAGTATTGCATGCCAATTGTCACACTCGGCCAGCCTGGTTGGGACAATAGCCCTCACACCGAGCATTGATCTGAACCGAGTGGGCAGAGTCCCGACAGGACTGTCGCGAACCATTTCCCGGATGTTGGCCCTTCGATCTCGCTCATCCACCTGAACGCCTGGGTTCGGCCGCTCAGCCGGCTCGACGTGCCCTCCTCCTCCTCGCCCCCCTTTCCCCGTCCGCTGCTCGCTCGCTCAGCTTAGCCACACACTCGCTGCTATATTATCATGGCCGCCTTCATGAAGAAGCTGAGGAGCGCCAGTACTGTAAGTTGCCTACGAGCGCTGTCTCCAGTCTGCGCGCCCGCGCCCGCGCCTGGTCCCGCGCCCGGTCCGACACCGACTTCGGCCCGCAAATGCGCTGTTGTCCTGGACCGAGGGCTAACATAGAATACAAATGGCTTGCAGGGCGCTTCGACTGCCACCAAAGATCCGACGCTCAAATCCAAAAAGGACGAACCGCCACAAGAACTAACGCCACTGGAGAAAATGCTACAAAATGCAGGGCCGGTGCGGAGTGACGGGAGCGACAAGTTCTTTGGCCTGGAAAACGTACGTCACGGGCGCTCCTTGACCCCTGTACCTGCTTGACATACGAGCTAATTTGGTGTTTCTTCAGTTTGGCAATACATGGTACGAGACACTTTACACCGCATCCGACGATACTCGGCCCAAGACACTGACTGTGGGGCAGTTATTGTAACTCCATCGTACAGGCGCTCTACTACTGTGAGACCTTTCGCACTAATGTCGTGAGCTACCCACCACACACCCCGGTAGGGACGCCGAACGGGCAGACAAGCCAGGTCAAGGTCACCATTCGACCGCCGATGAACGGGAATGCCACCAACCCGGCAAACAAGCAAAAGCCGTTGACGGCCGCCCAGGCCATGAAGCAGAGGCAACAGATCAGTACTGGACAGCTGCCATCAGGGCAACAGAAGCCAGAGGACAGGCCCGACTCCCCTGAATACAAGAAGAAGCAGGCCATGATCAAAGGACCGGTATTGGAACTGGCACAGGACAATACTGAGGCTTACGGTATGGAGGAGTGTACATTCACAGGGCTGAAGGATATATTCACGGCCCTGATTGAGAGCAACACGCGGACAGGCGTGCTGAGCCCCCAGCGCTTTCTGGAGATTTTCAAACGCGACAACGAAAACTTCCGGAACCAGAACCACCAGGATGCCCACGAATTCTACGGTCTCGTGCTGAACGACGTTATATCGAGCGTGGAAGCCAATGCGATGCGGTTGCAGGAACTGGAGGCAACGAATGCGAACGGATACGCGAATTCAGTTGGAAATGCAGTCGGGGCGTCGGCCGCCTTGATGAAGGCCCAGCAGGCCATAGGGACGACATCCCCCGGGACTGGGTGGGTTCACGATATTTTCGAGGGTGTTTTGACGTCGGAGACAAAGTGTTTATCCTGCGAGACCACCTCACAACGAGATGAAACGTTTCTTGATCTTTCCATCGACCTCGAAGAGCATTCATCGGTCACGGCTTGTTTGAGAAAGTTCTCCGACGAAGAAATGCTTTGCGAGCGGAACAAATTCCACTGTGACCAGTGCGGTGGCTTGCAAGAAGCTGAGAAGAGGATGAAGATCAAGAAGCTGCCAAAAGTCCTGGCTCTCCACCTGAAGCGCTTCAAGTACACCGAAGATTTCACTCGACTACAGAAACTTTTCCACCGGGTGGTATACCCTTACCACTTGCGCATGTTTAATACGACAGATGACGCCGAGGATCCCGATCGGCTGTACGAGCTTTACGCAGTCGTCGTGCATATAGGAGGCAATGCCTACCACGGCCATTACGTGTCGATCATCAAGACGCCGGATCGAGGATGGCTCCTGTTCGACGATGAGATGGTCGAGCCAGTAGACAAGCATTTCGTGCGCAACTTCTTCGGAGACAAGCCCGGCATGGCTTGTGCGTACGTGCTGTTCTACCAGGAAACCACACACGAAAAGGTCATGGCAGAACAGGAAGCTGAAGGTCTCGAGGAAGTCCGACTGGAGCGCGAGAAGGCCGACTTGGCGCTGGAACGCGTCAAGACGAATGGCGAGCCGAAATCACCGTTGGTCAGGCAGCTCACCACACCTATCTCGCCAATAGACGACAAGGACAACTTCGCTGCGCTTGACCACGCGAGGACTGCGCCCGGCATCTTCGACCACGCACCGCCAGTGCCATCTATTCCGGAACACATACCTGAGCCCGTACAAACACATTCGCTCAACGCCGCGCCGCCACCAGCACCAGCTGTCGAGCCCAAGACCCCTGTCTCCGCCACGCCCCACTCCGAGGACCCCCAGACACCAAAGGACAAGAAGACAGAAAAGAAAGAGCTCAAAGCCGCCGAGAAAGCCCGCAAGGTTGCCGAGAAGGAGGCGGCCAAGGAGGAAGAGAAGCGACGCAGGGAAAACGCCAAACGAATGCTCGAGGCACGCAGAGCCAACGAAGAGGAACTGCAGAAAGCGCTCGCCGAGAGCAAAGCAGCAGCAGCAGAGGACGAGAAAAAACGGAAGCAGGAAGCAAAGGACGCCGTTGCATCAAGCCCAATCGCCTCGGCCAGCGCGAGCCCCAAATTCCTTAGTAGAGGGCACAAGGGCAGCAAATCGTTGAGCCGCAAGTCCATGGGCTGGCTGGCTGGGAGCTCCAAGGACAAGGACAAAGACAAGGACAAGAACAAAGAGGAAAAGATCCAAAAGCCGGGCAGTAGCCCGTCTGAAGGGGGTGACGTTAATGGCAGCGAGGCAAGGTCGTCATCCACAGCAGACCGGCCAGAGAAGCATGCTCTCAAGGAACGTTTTAGCATCAGCGGCATAGGGAGGAAAAAGAGCAATGTGTTTTCGTAGAAGAGGAGTCCTGGCCGGGTCTTATCGGGATGGACTCCGCTTGCATGGGCGTTTTCACGGGATGGCTTGGATAACCCATGAAGATGGCCGAGCAAAAAAAAGCCACGCCCAAGCGTGGGGTCTGCCGCCCCTACTGCACGATTCCAGGGGCACTCACTCCTGGGGCGGCGGCAAGGGAGCTGGCTGTGTATTGTATATGTCTGCATCGGCTCGAGGGGACTTGATTTATGGATAGTTGAGTCGGTCAGGATCTGGCACCTTGGGATAACCGTGACCGGTATATACATATACCGAGCGAGCACAGAAAAACAAACAAATACAGAATTGTATGGACGGCAACACGGGCGGGTTTCATACACATTTGGAGAGCTTCTCAAGGATTTTCTTCTGTTGTATAGCGTTTGGCGTCCGGTTCGCGAAGTGGGCGCATGTTCCAACACGAGGTAAGGTGGCCGTGACCGCTACGTAGTCCCAGTATCTACCCAAACCCCCCAAAAAAGACTACCCTCCACAAGCCAACCTCTTGTAGGTCACATTTCTATGGTATGACCTTCTCCATGTAATAATTTCCTATGGGACACCCTCCTGTGGGGCGCACACCTTTGGGATACTCTCCGACAGGATGCGCCCCTAGAAGCTACCCTCCCATAGCAAGCAAAGCCTCTAATAAGATAACCTCCTCTGGGATACCATCTTGTGGATTACCCTACTCTGGACCAAGTCATGTGCAGAACGGATTGAATGTGATTATATAGATATCAGTTCAGTCACAGGGACTCTTCTATGAGGTATTGTTATTTGTCTGACAAAAGCTAAATTGATTTCTTGAAATAAGCCACCGCTGAGCTGAGTATGCGTAAGTCAAGATCAGGCTCATCTGAGCCAGCTGGCATGAAGCACGAGTCCCTAGTTCACGATGTCTGTTGCACAACGGACTGACCCTTCAATAAAACCATGATTCTATCACTCGCTCCTTTTCCCCCCCAACGCCTTGACGCCATGTACACGGAGCATGGACGGTTTCGATCCCATATGCCCTCAGACCCCCAAACCGTTGTGAAGCACGCCACGGCCACGCAGCCTCCTGGCTTCAAGGTTCTCCAGGTAGAATAGCCCGGCGAGCAGCAGCACCCACAGGACCGCTCATCCCAGGATCAGCTCGTAGACTATTATGACGGTATTTACGAATATCAGGGGAACTGTTGGTGTCTGGTGGTCAGCTTTGGGCCCGCCTGGTTGGGGGGAGGGGGGTGTGGGCGCAAGGCGCAAGGCGCAAAACGTACACCTCACGACCATCCGCACGCTCGATATCAGGCTGGCGATCTTGCTCCACACGCTGGCGTCTGCACCTGGCTGACCGAAGGTCGGATCGATAGATTTCGGGGAGAGGTTAACTGTAGTTTGGGAATGGGTCAGCGCCTTGAACTTGGTAGCTGTTCGGCCCCCGTTTTTATGTTGGACAACCCAACCCCCATTTGCCGGGCCTGCATCTGACAAACACTGAAGCACTCGAGTCCTTGGGGGGATGGGTGCACGAGATCGGGGGAGGTGGGGCGTAATTCTTCGGGTTCGACGTACTGCGCGCGAGGAAGCGGTCTTCGGAGAGGACGCACATCGCATTGAGGATGAGGACGACGACTGGTGGTGTTGTTAGTTAGTTGCTGGTTGGTTTGCAAGGCCGATGCGGCGCCGAGGTGCGCTTTGGTACTTACCGTAGAGGATCCCGCTGATGAAGCCCATTGTGAGAGTCTGTGGTGCGGCTTTCGCAGCCGTCGAGCAAGATGCGAGTCTGTTGTTGGATGTCGCAACGTGTGAATCCCCAGGGTCTTGCGAACAAGGTGTCGCCTAAAGGAGACCGGATCCCAGGTGGCTTTGTTTGTTACGTAAGCAGACAGGCTACCGACAGGTAAGCTTCACAACACCATGGTCCCTTACCTCACTATTGTCGTAACACTTTATCAATTACTTGCCCCTAGTATGTTGTCTGTGTTGCAGTAAGTTATTCTATAAAAGGTCCCATGATAGGTCGGTCTCGAGGAGGTTGGTTTCTGGCAGGTTGTGCCGAATGAGGTTGTGTTATAAGAGGATATCCCATATAACGAAGTTACGCCATGGGAGGGATGCGATAGGAGGATGGGGGAGGATAACATGGCGCCGAGTAATCAACAACCTTGGGGAACCAACATACCTGCAACCTTCATTCAGTCTGCAAATCGTCGTGATCTTTGCGATACTGGCCATTTGAACCCCTGCAGGTAGGCAATAGGTTGCCCACTGTCAGCGGGTGGCTAGCGTGAGTCTGCCCCCCTGCACTGGCCCAGCTTGCTTGCAGCCCCCGGCCGGCAGGGTTGCTGGCTGGTCCCGTACTCAGTACGCGTGCTTGGAGCTGCCTTGAGCTCCGACGACATCAGCTCTCGCCAGACTATCGACCCGTCGACCTCATCGTCCCTTTGCCCAACCCACCTGCCTCCCGCCTTCACGACCCCACCACCATCACCGAACCCAGCGTTTTCTTCAGTTTCGTCTCCATTTCCTCGAGTACTTGGGTGGTTCATTTCCAAGAGAGCATAGCCCACATTCGACGTCACCATGGATACACTCGTCGCAAAGTACAGCCGGCCGGCGTACGCTCAGAATGAGGGCCTCACAGAGCAGGATGAGATGGACTTCGCCGAAGGGGTGCCAGGCCCATCTCTGAAGTTTGCCATGCCACCAGTAGCACAGGTACGGCCCAGCGTCATCGAACTCCCGTCCACGTCCGCCCAAACTACCCTGTGCCCACCCACGTTGCTGGCACCCCGTGTAAACCAAACACAATGAATGCTGACACGGCCCTGCCCACAGCCCTCCTCCTGGCTCCGTGCCGCGACAGACGACCGCTCCAACCCTCAATGTCCCATCAAGATCGCCCACGGCACCACGACCCTCGCCTTCCGCTTCCAGGGCGGCATCATCGTGGCCACCGACTCCCGTGCCACCGCGGGCAACTGGATCGCCTCGCAAACCGTCAAGAAGGTCATCGAGATCAACAGCCAGCTGCTGGGCACCATGGCAGGAGGCGCCGCCGACTGCCAGTACTGGCTGGCCTGGCTGGGCATGCAGTGCCGCCTGCACGAGCTGCGGCACAAGCGCCGCATCTCGGTCGCGGCCGCGTCCAAGATCCTCGCCAACCTCGTCTACCAGTACAAGGGCATGGGCCTGTCCATGGGCACCATGTGCGCCGGCGTCACCAAGGAGGAGGGCCCCGCGCTGTACTACATCGACTCGGACGGCACGAGGCTGCCTGGCAACCTGTTCTGCGTGGGGTCCGGCCAGACGTTCGCCTACGGCGTGCTCGACGCCGAGTACAACTACGACCTGTCGGACGAGGACGCGCTGGAGCTGGGCCGCCGGAGCATCCTGGCCGCCACGCACCGCGACGCCTACTCGGGCGGCTTCATCAACCTCTACCACGTCAAGGAGGAGGGCTGGGTCAGGCACGGCTTCAACGACACGAACCCCATCTTCTGGAAAACGAAGCTGGAGAAGGGCGAGTTCACAAACGTCACGAGTAACCTGGACTAGATGGGAGGATCAAGGAGCACCATGGGGTCTCGCAGGGTGAGGCTTAGAAAAGGGTCCATAGAGGAGACATGGGCACGGCAGGGTTCGAGATGGGTCATGAGGTCCTAATGCCAGGCCTTCCCATCTTCTCGGCCACATTCATGACAGCCGACCAAGATGGCGGACGCCCGTGTACCTGTACAAATAAATGATGAGATGTTTTCCCCACGCAACGTGCCATGTTCCTGCGCTTCACCGCTGCGGCTAGATTGCCAGCCAATTCTCGGCACGGTCATTGTGTTCCAACGCCTCGTTATGCGGATTACGCTACACATATCTTACAGAGATGCGCGTCCCTCACAGACCTATCCATCTCTTCAGCTTGGCCAGTCCCGTCCCGAGCGACCCCTTGGGAGCCGGTTCGTCAACGGCGGGCTGTAGCAGACGCACAATATGCCTCTTGGGCTCATCGTACTCCGTCTTCCTGTGGGGCGTCTTCTGGTCCTCGGTCTGCTTGTGCTCGTGCTCCACCTCCCCGATCTTTACTGATTCTTTCAGCGCCTGATCCGCCCTAGGCACCCGCCCACCTGCGGGAGCCATCTTGGGCTTGAGTACAGGCTTGCCTAGGGGTGTCTGCTTGTGCTCGTGCTCCACCACCCCAATCTTTACTGATTCTTTCAGCGCCTGATGCGTCCCAGGCACCCGCCCACCCGCGGGAGCCAACCTGGACTTGCGCGCAGGCTTGCCCAGGGGGGTCTGCATCAGGGCCACGCGTTCCCGCCGGTCAAGTGGTGTCACCCTCCGCACCGCCACTTTGCGCCCCGATCCCTGAGGCAAGGGTCGCATAATCTGCTCCTCTGCCGCTTTCAAAGCGGCTACTGGGTTGGTTTGGTTGCCGTGCACCGACTCTGCCGCGGCCTCGGTCCCGGGACGGGGCGCGGGTGCCCGTGGTGTTTGCGTTGGCCGAGTAGGACGATCGACGGCCTTGTTTAGTAAGCTTTAAGCCGTAGCTTCCTGGGGACGAGATGGCCCCCCGCTGTCCGCTGCGCCTTTTCCATCCCTCGACGGCTTTGGGCCTGGAACAGGCTTCGCATCGGCCTTGATCTGGTCACCCTCGTCTTGTGTGACGGGCTCGGGCTCTGAAGCCTCGACATCGTCTTTATGCACCCAACAGTCGACGCCCGTGAGGATCTCCTCTATCGGCCACTCGTCCTGGGGCAGAAACGACAAGTCAGTTGTCCAGCCAGCTGTATACATCTTTTGTCCCGCCCAGGCGATCATTGCAGCATTGTCCGTGCAGTACATGTGCCTGGGTGCCCTGACATCCACATGGCCGAACCCTCGTGCCTGTAACACCGACGCAGCAACATTCCTCAGGAACATGTTGCTGGCGACGCCCCCGGCTATCACCAGTGATTGCGGGGGGCTGGCCAAGAGCTCTGGGTCATTTTCCAAGGCCAGAATCACTCTGCTCATAAGGTGCTCAAAGGCGAGCCGCATAGTATGGTAGGCCAATTCCATCCTCTCCATGCGTTGCATATCGGGATTCTGTTGCATTATCGCCCGGGCTTTGCCGCCGAGGCCCGTGAAGTCGTATGTCATATCTTTCGTATGCCGGAGGGGTGGAGGGAGGGACCAAGAGCCATCCTTTGAATGATAAACTTGGACTTGCTCATGGTATTCCTGCGGTGGTTTGTATTCATCCAGCATCTCTTTGCTATATGATGGTACCCCAGCCTTGCAATAGATTTCCATCCAGTGAGCATACACGATGCTATCAGAATTTCTCCCTCCCGGAAGAAATTGTGGCGGAAGGACTGGAGAAATTGTAAGTAAAATTCAGCCCTGTCTGCTACGTGTCGGGGAAGAAGACCACGGAGGGGGCTGCAGATGATCTCGGCATTGAGCTCCTTTTGTGAGGAAGGGGGGGGGGTAAGAAATGCGGTCCACTTACTATCCCTCGCGCATTTGTCTAGCATCTCTCCAACGGCCGTGGCCGAGCCCTTGCCTTTTTCACTCGGATTTGTGATGCCGCGCTGCGTCGACGCCAGAACCCTGTGTTCGATTGCTGACTTTGTGAGGACCAGCATTGTATGGCCACCAGAAACTCTGTTCTTGTTGTCTGGTTAATGATCGCAACCGTCCGAGGAAACTGAAGACGACATGGGGCTGGACGGAGACGAGTATAATCGCACAGGGCAGGTAAATAGATACGTACAGGAGGGTCAGAAAGGGATATTCTGGCGAAACGACGTCCTGTGCAGGACCGCCCCCCCGATGCGAAATTGCTAGTTCTTGTGCATCTAGTTGGATGCTCAGGGCATGTGCCTGCATGTGGTGGACGCCGACGAGCGGCACACGGCAAGCAACTGACAAGGCCTTCGCAAATGAGATTCCAACGCTCAGACAAGATTTCATGCCCGGACCCCTGGTGACAGCAATGAGGTCTGGTTTGTGGTGTTTCAAAACATTTTGCGCGAGTTTGGCCAGGTTACGGGTGTGCGACTCAACCGCCTCCACGGGATGAATGCCCCGGTGATGCTTATTCGCGCAAGTGACCTTACTTCTCTTCATAAGAGCAATAAGACTGCCGTCAGCTGCAGTATTGATAACCGAAACACAGGTGTCGTCGCACGATGTCTCGATACCCAAGGTGATAAGGGCACGGCGCTGACTGGACTGCCAGAGAGCTGGTCCGCCGAGCCCGAGCCCGAGCCCCCTGGGGGACCCGAACTTGGGGAGCCCAGAAGGTAAAAGCGGCCCGGGATGTGGCCATAACCTGACCATGGTGCAGGTACAGAGATGAAGCTCTACAGGTGGGACGTGTTAGCATCGGAACCCGCTTTGAGGCGTTGGGATTGGGCTCCCTGCTCATAAAACTCCCATCCGGATCAAGTGACCGGGTGTCAGGACATACGCTCTATTGATAAATGAAGTGGCTATGAGGTGAGAAGCCCCGGTGGGTTGAGAGGGCAGGGCTTCCAAAAGAATGGCGGCCCAGGTGCGAGGTCAGCCGATGCCGAGATGAATGGCCGAGATTCGCAGCCACGCAGCCACGCAGGGCTCAGGCCAGCCTTGATCGATTTTGTTTCTCAATGAGACTTCCAGGCCTATACCACCGGTTTAAAAACGAGTGAACAGTCGTCGGCGATGGAGTGCCAGGAAGGCCGAGACGGAATGGTGTGATGAAGTGAAGTCAGTGAAGTCAACAATTATTTTTGAAGGCTGCAGGGGCCAGCCTTGTGCCCCACTTGAACTTTTAAGCCACCAACCACCCTGCATGGACATGTACAAGTAAGTACCTGGGCGGGTAATTTCTGTACACGTTAGTAGAGCAGAGACACTCTCTATTTTTTTTATTTCCCTTTTATTTAGTTTCTCTAGGTCGAGAACGGGGAAATCAAATATAGTTGGACAGAGTTGTTTGCACAATGCAGGAACGTGCCAACTGCCCCTTCCCCCCTAGATATTGCTCGTGACACCGGGCTCGATCTGGTCCAGGATGTCACTCAGCTCCTTCCACACCTTCTTGCCGGCCCTGTCGCCCTCGTCACTCCGCACAAACGCAGACAGGCTCTGGTCCGTCACGACGCCGTCAGACATGTACCTGCCGTGGCTCTCGTCGCCCGCCAGGCCCGCCGCCACCAGCGTGCGCGAGCCCACCTCGGTCGACCGCGCCAGGAAGAACTTCATGACCGTCAGGCCCAGCCCGCCCTCGCGCGACAGCTCCGAGTGGCACAGCCCCGGGTTGAGCATGTTGAGCACCACCCCTCCCCGCAGCCGCGGCGCCATCTGCCTGACGGCCAGCACCTCGAGCAGCTTGGACACCGGGTACCGCTCCTCCATGTCGTCGCTGGCGTCCAGCGCCGCCAGCACGCTGGGCTCGTCGCGCTCCGGGAACTTGCACCACCCGTGCACCTCGGACGACACGATCGTCAGCCGGGGCTTGACCCCGAACCGCGAGGCCGTCTCCCTGAGCTTCGGCAGCATCAGCAGCGCCAGCAGCAGCGTGCTGATCACGTTGATCGTGATGTGCCTCTCGTGGCCGCCCACCATCTCCTTCTTGCCCCCGGCCACCCCGGCGTTCTCGCACAGCACGTCCACCCGCTCCAGCTCGCGCGACGCCCGCCCCGCGAACGCCTTGACCGACGCGTAGTCGCCCAGGTCCAGCGCCCACACCTCCACCGTCCCCGGTGCGCACTGCGTCGCCCTCTCGATCTCCGCCTTGGCCGCCGAGCCCGCCTTGATGTTGCGCACCGCCAGGATCAGCTTCGCCGCCCCCAGCCGTGCGAAGTGCTTGGCTGCCTCCTTGCCCAGGCCCGTGTTGGATCCCGTCACGATGACCGTCTGGCCATTGACCATCCGGGTGGGGTACGCCGGTTTGACGAAGAGCTGCGAGTAGAGGAAATTCGCCATTTTCTCACCCAAGTCTCAGTCTATGATTATGATGATGCTGCTGTTATTCCGACTTGAACGAGGCTTGTCTTCTTTTCTGCTGATGAGGGATACAGTGCTTCAGACACCCGGGCCAGCGCAATGACGACGAGAACTCTGCGATTTATATAAGCTTCCCATCTGCGGATGGCGGGCTTAACGTCACAACCGGTGCCAGCCTAACCACCCACCCGTCCGCGCCTTCGACAGACGTCTCGGGCATGTGAGTGTGAGTGTAAACCATCCCTGGCGTTAGCCGGCGTTAAGGAGCCTTAGTGCGTTGTGGCTGTCGAGGCTGTCTGGCCTCAGATGGTGTGGCCAGTGGAAGAAACTAGCTTCGGCATGGCGGATTGATCCGATTCATCTGAACACTCCCGGCTGCAACATTATGCGAACAGAACTACCGGCCAAGGAGATACAGCAGTTGCATCAGTGCGATATGTCCGTGGAGCATACTAGTAAATGCATCTCAGCGCTCGGACGGCCTCTCCAATTAGCTTCCAGCATCCTGGAGCGTGTAATCCCGAGTCGCATCCTTCAGTATCTCCGATAGGTCCGTGAATTCGGAAAGGGACTGTGTCACTGTAATGTCCTACGGGTTCGGTGTATCTATCATTTGACACTGCTTTATAGGATTTGCTAAATGCCATCATCCAGGCTATGAGACGTGACCATCGACCCAATCATTTGGGATTCGTACAACCGATGACGGTAACGAGATGAAAAGAAAAGGACTCGGCCCTCGCCCTCACTCAAACCCCTGGGACTGTAAAGTCGGGATAATTCGGCCAGTTGCCCAGCCCGGCCGGATCCCCTCCAATCCGCACGTACACGCCCACCGCCGGCACGCCCCCGTCCACCACGAAGAATTGATACCACCCGGGCGGGCACACGTGCGCATTCGGCGGCGCGTCAACGGTGCAGCTCGTGCCCGAGCACGACATCTTCGGCACCAGGGTCCGCGCCCCCATGCTGTTGCCATGCGTGCTCGACACGGCGCCCAGCAGCGTCACCTTGATGTCGCCGTTCTGCGCCGCCCCGCCCAGCGTGAACGGGATTCCTGTCGCTCCGTACTCCCAGTCCCGGTTGGAGATCGTGAAGGTCGGCCGCGGCTTGCCCTGCAAAAGGTACGGTGGGTTGAAAACCTCAATGCGGTACTCCTGCGGGTTTGGGTTGTCGCTCTCGTCTTGGGGGTCCGACCCCGAGATGATGACGCGTCCGTCGAGCAGCGTAATGGCTTCCGAGTGGTACATCCGCGCTATTGTCGTGTTCGCCATGACGCTGATTCTGCCTCCCACTGGCTTCGAAGGGTCGTAGAGAAGAGCGTTGAAGTTGGGTTTGAAAGCTAGGTTGAAGCCGGCCCAGCCCTGCAGTGCGCCGTTCACAATGAGATATGTCCCGTCGGGCAGAGGTGCCATACAGGACATCACCCGGGGTGAAGGCATACGCTCCAGGGTCCATGTTGGGTTGGCATCCTCTGGGAAAGTGGTCACACAGTTGTCGATTGCGTTGCCAGGACCGTCTACTGTACTGCCGCCGCAGATGAGAACCCCCAGGTGGTCCGTGTAGGGGTACACCTGAGGCAGCAGGACTGCTGTTCCTTCTTGAGGATATGTTCTACCACCGAGATTACCATAGACCACACCGGGTACATTGGGGAGGATCTTCGTAGTCTCGAAGGTCCTCTCGTCCAGGATGCGGGCTTCGTTCCAGTACTGAACGAAGATGCCACCAGATGGGAGGACAGAAATGAAAGGATACAGATTGTTGGGGTTTGTCCTGTCGAGCCACTGTCCGCCAACATTAACATAAAGAATCGCCCCTGTGTCGGTCTGGATAGGATAACTTACCTCCATGTACAAAGGCGCTGTGCCAGTGTACGGAAGGACCTCAATCGAGGGTACGGCCGCGAGATTGGAGCCAATTTCACCGCCAATGACCATTATAGAGCCGTTCGCCATTACCATAGCCGAGGGATACCAACGTCCGATCTGGAGGCTAAGTTCGTTGACATTTTCTTGCCAGTCACGTGTGCCCGGGACACCAGGCGAGCCGTCGGGCCAGTACAGCCTGACACCCTCGGTCGACTCACCGGACCAACCACCCACTGTTAGCTGGCGGCCTCCCTTGTCAGGCAGCACCACACCAGCCGCGCAAAAGAGATCCGTCTTGACGTGCAATGTCCTCCATGCCTTGGAAAAATCATTGATCTGTGTGAGATCGAGCTCATACGCGCCTGTCTCGTTGCCCGGGCCGGTACCCCATTTGGATAGGAAGTTGACCTTGCCGGTGATTGATTGAGACACCATCAAAGGAATTGTCACGCCTCCGATGAGGAACTTGTACTCCCCAGCTGCGGCGCCCGTGGGGTAGCTGAAAGTGTAAAGGGGCTCCGTTCCGTTCCAAAAGTACGTCGAAATCCGGCTCTCACCTCCGCAGATGGCTGATGAGTTGCCCGCGCAGACCATGCTACAGCCGGCCTCCGGTTGCTTGGTCGCATTATTATTGGTGATATCATGCGGGTCGCCACCTGAAGCCATGATGTCAGTAAGCCAGCGAGACGAAAGCAGATCACAAGAGAAACTGACAATAACATTCTTGGCCATACTCCAGGCCAGCCGCTGCATATCCGAATGAGGCGCACTTGTCAGTGCACATTGCCGGAGTCAAAGTACCAGCGTAGATGAGTTGCCATGGGAATGTCCTTTGGTTGGCGCCGTTGGCATTGTCATTGTAGCAGCCCTGGTACGTCCAGCTGCCCACCTGCCCGATCGGCGCAGGAGGAAGCTGGACACTAGGTTCGCCTTGGGAAACAATGGACAGTCTCTCTGGGCCACCGCATTTCTGCTTGGTGTCTCCCGCACACGTAGAGCTGCACTCGGTGTCCGCCGCAGCCCGGACCCCACCGTTTGATATGCCCTTCCCGCAGAAGCACTGCGTGCTATACTCGGTCCCTGATACGGTGTAACCGGCGTTGCTGCACGTGAGAGCACAGGACTGGGGTGTCAGTGTTTGCGAATCAGGAGCTTTGAAAGAGAGGATACGATTCTGGTTGTTGTCAACCCAGCACCCTTGGGCAGACCAGCCCATGGGGAATCCGGTGGCCACCGGTGTCGGGGCTGTTGATGTGAGCGCAGACGAGGTGGGATCCGGGCCACTGGGCACAACACCATTCGCAGAGTACAAGGAAAGACGGCTGCTTCCCCCGCAGAACTCGGTCTGGTTTCCACTGCATAGCATATTACAGCCGCTCGAAGCCGCCGTGGCGCCATTCTGGATGTTGTTGTCACAGTCTGCCGGGGGATCAGCACAGAATCACACAGTGAGTGTGGCAACAAAGACATTAACGTACAGCATTCCGAGGAGTACTCAGTGCCAGCCAGTGAGTAACCGGCGGTCTTGCAAGCAGATACGCACCCGGCAACCGTCATCTGTGCTGCAGGGACGGATCCAATGCCGTGTGTCAAAGCCCTGCCGCTTGTTCCCTCGCTGATAATCAGTTAGCATAGGAATACACACACATCCTCTGTCTTTCCGTATGTGATGGCTCAAAATGTTGTAGATCACGTACGAGTAACAGCCAACATAACTGAATCCGTCAACGCCTGGGTTCGGCTGTGGGCCTACGGGCTGAGAGCTGTAGTACAAGGTCAAGCGATTCGCTCCTCCACAAGGCTCGTTGGCATTGCCCGTGCAGGGCGAAGAGCAATCTGACTCAGTAGCATTTGCTGCGGCGGGTGCCAATACACTGCCGCAGTCTTTCGGAAAAGTCATTAGCACATGCCCACATACACAGCTGTTATTCGAGTGGACTTACAACACTCCTGACTGTATTCCGTCCCGGCATACTGAAAGCCCCTGGACGAGCAGAAGTTGATGCAGTTCAGAGCAGTCATGTTTGTCCCATCAACGTAGGCGGCATCGCTGATCGTCCTCCCCACGTCTCTGTATCCCGAGGTCAGTCATAGCAGTGACGGTGGGTGTGCTGTATGCATGCTCACGTGTAGCAACCTTGATATAGCCATGATCCAGGCAATGTGGCAGGTGGGCTGAGAGCTCTTTTCACATGAGCAGCGCTGGAAACGGTAATCTGGATATCATTAGCAAGATTTGAGTATAGCAAGCGTCAGACAGCTACTCACGAAGTCTAGAAGCAGAAGCAAAGATGCTTGCGGGCCACAGAATGCGGCCTTCATCGTGAACAAAGCGTAGCGCAACGACGGCTAATCTTGATTCAGCGAGCACATGTGGCGAGGATGTGCCATGCGCACCGAGAGCCTGGGAGACGGGGGTGCGCCGCTGGATATAGCCTCACGATAAGAGTTCCGATCTGATCCGTCAACTTGGGACAGATAATGGCATCGTTCCACGTATGCAGACACAGTCAGATTTAATACGAGGCTCAGGCCATGAAGGCGTCCTATCCCGCCCAAGAGTGGACTCGTCCACGCTCAGGTTCAGTGGGATTGACAGCTTGAGTTCCCCGAGGGACGGGGCGGACAGGGGCTGTTCGGGCTGCAGGTGTGGACATGGGTTTGCAGCACCCTCGAGGTAGGCTTGGGGGTTAGCCTCATGCACATGTGCTCAAGCGAGCGTTGAGTCCTGGGCAAGCGCATCGTATTTGCCAAGATGGCTGGGTGGCATGGAGGGCGGTGCCTCTGCTGAGTGTTGGGCGAAATGAAAGGCATGTCCAAGCCAAATTTCGGGACTTGATGCTGATCGGCCAGCGGCCATGTGGTGGTACTGCATGTCAAACGCGTGACATGACGGACTCCCAGAGATTTCTGGGGAACAGATTTGGAAGCTACTTGTGACAATTGCTCGCGGCATCCTTCCTCATGACGTGAAGACTTGAGCATGGACTTGGTTTCTGCTATGTGGTACCGCAGCGAGTTGGGTGCTCGACTAGCAGCCTCGACGACTACGCGTGCGGTACCTGGATGGTACCTCAGCGACTGGACTTGTCCTATGGTTGCTTCATGATGGATGTCGACGCTAGGTCTGTCTGCCCCGTAGTGATCGAGGCACCTCCTCGAAGCACGTGCCACCATGCTGGAACGCAGTCATCGACGAGATATACGGAGGGATTCCGACTGGGCTCGGCATCACCAGCTTGGGAAGCCGACAAAGATATCAGAGACGACAAGACATGGGTGGGACGAAGCGAAGCAGAATGTTGGCAACAAGCCAAGGCAGCGAGATAGCAGGCAGAGAGATAGAGCTTAGAAAGTTTAGATTTGGGACGCGAAGGGGTGTGTGTGTGTGTGTGTGTGGATGGCTCATGCAGGAAATTTCCGGCGTCTGTCGTCAATGTGCATGTAGCTGTGCTTACCAAAGTACTCGGAAGCTCACCTTCCCGAATGGGAAGTGACCAAGCAATCCAAGCATGGGTCGGGCTAGGTACGTCCATAGGTGCCTCTGTGCCTCCGTGGCAGCGTGGCAGGCTGCTGCTGCTGCAGTCAGTGCTTATCCCAGAAAATACGAGGCAGGCCAGCATCCCGATCCTGCTGATCCTACTCGGCACCCTTCTTCTTCCCTCTTACTGCTCCTCCTGCCAACGAAGCTGCCACCACTATCGCTACCGCTCTTCAAGTCGCCGGTACTATCTACTCCGCGCAGTAGCCCGTCCCCCTTTCCTGCACCAAGTCGTCTTAGTGACCCGGCATAGAGGTCACTTGATTGCTATCTAATGCAGCTGGGGCTATCTGCTGTTACAATACCTGCCGGTAGCGAGCCCATCAAAGTCGGCAGTATTGTGGGGTGCATCTCTTGGGAGCGTGAACAGTAGTGTGTCATTGACAATGATAGACACTTCAAGTTGTCGGAGCTTAAATGGATCCCACTCGAGCGCCCAGGTGGTTTGCTTTCTGGTTCTCTTTGGCCCTATTTTCTGCTCGCGGCTGGGACGCCCATCAGCCCCCGTGTCACCCTTCCGGCCTGCACTTGTCGTGGAAATTGGGCCATGCGCAACGGTTACATATGTAGTCACCTGCCCGCACTTGCACGGCGAGCATCTTCAACCGCCCAATATATAGGCCCCAGCGCTCCAGCCGCACTCGATCGGTCTCCAATGCCCCCAAAATCTCAACTAATAAATGCTCATGCTCTCACCGTTGACGCATGGCTGCTGTGTCATCGCCCGGGGCGGTGGACAGCAAATTGCAGCCTGTCGGGGGCCTACATGACAGCGTCACATCGGTGATTACATGCGCCACCCCAGCTAGACCCGAGCTTGGTCCTCTTGGTCCTGTACACTGCATGCGACGTATTGATGCTTGTTGGTGCTGGAGAAACCAACTACATTATGAGTCAAAAGGACGCCGCAGCTTCACCGGCTGCTGCTCCATCGGAACGACAGTTTACGGGATAGTCTCTGTCAGAAAATTCGGCCCGGTTGCAAGCAGTTGAAGCTTGCCAGCCGCCAGGACTTGCTACTACAATGGTTGCGAGAAGTAGGTACCTAGGTAACCGTCAGATCTCAACCCTTTGCACGTACATGCGCCGTCCGCCTCGAAAATGCACAGCACGTAGCTGCTCATCTACTAGTATGTCCTGAAGTCTCTCAAGGGACGATTTTCCATTGACTGACACGAACTCGGTTATTTTGGCATTGAAACTGGCGTTGGTTGAATTGTGAAGTGTTGAAGATCAACTAGACTCCTGACTTGTCTATGTTCTCAAAGAAAGGATGTGGTATGCTCTATGGACAGTCAGATCAGCTACACGTCTAAGTAATATTTCGATTCATAACACAGCTCTCGCCCTATGTTGTGTTGTCTGCCGGAGTAACAGGCTTCCTCCGCGTATTCCCCCATCCTCCTCATAACCTCCATACTCCTTTGTTTGCTCTTGGCTCATTAGCCTATTGATTTCGCAAATACTGATAGCTTCACTAACTTCAATTGGTATGCAAACTGCCCCTTGATGCATTTATATGGAACAAAAAAGCTTTTTAATGTCCCTTGGACGCACAAGATCAGCACTTCGAGTGGCACTTTCAGACCTCCACTGTGTAGAACCAGGTAATGATCAAATCTGGCTTGCTGGAGGAGTCCGAAGAAATCACTTTGGAGCTCTCGACCGATGCAAACAGTTTCCGACACAGATCCAAGTCAATAGACCTTCTGGGGCATGTGGGCAGTGACGGAGGACCCGTGGTAACGTGGATTTGCTTTGACACTTCGACTATGCCAACACACACCACCCGATATGCTACAACAATTCGTGGTTCAGCGTACGGACCTTGCAATCTGCACGTCTCTCATTCCTCCGAAGCGCCTGGTGGACCTTGGGCGTTGAGTGGCCGCCGGAGAGCCAGTCCCGGCACTCTTCCACTCTTCTTTTGCAGGTCAATATGAGAATCAGGTGGTGAAACTGAAGCGAGGCAAAAACGCAATGCATACTTATTGGCTTCCGGCATCTCGAACTATCCTCCCTGTGATGAGTCCGGACTTCTTCACTAGTACTAAAGACATCCATCCTCAATCACGGACAGAAGAAGTATTATCGCACATGTTGTCAGAGGGCCCAGAACTTTCAGAAAGAAGGTTCAACGTATCTTTGTGTTTCAGTACATGTTACATATGTATGCACGAAGTAGTAGTCGAAGTCTCCCTGCCCTGTTTTGCGCCCGCGCATGACCCGACCCGTGCAGGAAGTATGACCTTATTCCTAGGTAGCTCTGATCACGAAGCCCGGCTCGGTCATCTCTTCCCATTGACTAAATACTGCAATGGCGCTGGCAGGGCATTTCTTACAGTAAATCAGGCCCCAAATAGTTGGTCAGGAACTTATGGTAACAGGGTGCATTACGGTAATCTAGTACATTACGCTTATTCCTCTAGAGGTACCCTCCTATTTAATTTACTAGTAAAGGTACTTACACCTGAGAGTCCCCAATGCTCCCAATCGCTTCGGCACAAAGACTGACCGTTAAAGTCTTACTCTATGATGCCCCTTTATTATGTGGTATTTCTTCCCCTTCCCCCCTCTGCCCTCTGCCCTCTGCCCTCCGGCTGGTAAGCTCCACTTGGAGAGGTTTGGAGGTCTTTATTATCGTTAACTATAAGGAAGGGAAGGAGCAAAGCGGGTAGGCTTGTGGTAAGGTACTCTCCTTATTAAATTATAAGGAAAGTACATCTAGAAGAAGTGTAATACATTGGATTACCGTAATGCACAGTATTGCCGTATGTTCTGGACTAACTGTAAAAAGTCCCCTGAAGGCGCCATTGCAGTACGTATTACTCTTTCCCATCGCGAGTTACTTAGTCTCTAGTGCAAGTCCCCTAAGAAGCCCAGCGATGTGATACCTATTCAGAGACACATGTGCATAGATACTTAGGTACACGGGTATTTACCTCGGTAGGCAAGTGGTTGCAGCCGAGAGGAGCGGCAGGAGGGATGTAACAGGGGGGGCTTCAATCACACCTGGGCACCAGGCTTAACCCCAATAAGACACGGCCTCGAATTCGAATGGAACACCTCCTCATCTTCGATCGGGAGCCTAACCGGACTGACGGCTGCTGCACGCACGGGAGAGAGACTCTGCATGTGCATCCTGAATACTTACACTACATACATACGTCGGAATAAATCGCATGCGTTTCGCTACCGGTGAAAGCTTCGATTCGTGTCACCAGCCCTGGAGACCACGCTCTTCCGCCTAGGTCCTATTGGTGATGGATTTACACATTCAGGCAATTGCCCTACCTGACGTCAAGTCTAAGTATATTAAAGTCTGCTCATGTGCACTCGCAACCGTCGCGAGCCATACTCCATAGGCCCCACCCCTGCTCGATCAAAACCATTCCTGAGAAGGCCCATGTGGACAACAGCCAAGTGCTAATACTGGAAACGTTGTGTCTGCTTGGGTCCCGCGTCACTCGACCACTTTCTTTGAGGTGGTGCATCTGGCCAGCCAGCCACATGCGCAGCTACGACGGTCTCGGGGCCACATGGCTCACAATAGCATGCTGCATGGACGGCAGCATTTGAAGCATGCAGAATTGCATACAATATGCGGCTCGTTCCGCCCACAGCGGTGTTTCGTCATTTAAGCTAAAAGGCCTCAGATATTTGCACTCCCTCTCGCCATCCTGTGGTCCCGAGCCCGGCTACCGCATTGCCAAGTCTGGCTATCAGGTCATCGTCTGCCCACCCGCCCAGCTTCGGACATCAGATGTAGTTATAACTCACATCGAGGGCCGCTCATGCAACGCTTCAGCTCCTGCAGCCACGGAGCGCAGCTGGTTGATAGCAACATAGCTTCGCCATCCTTCCCATCCCGCCCTTTACCCCGCTGGTTCCCATCGTGGCATCGTCAGCCACGCCCAACGGCTGGGCCCTTCTCGATTCGGCCACACGTTTCCCTCTCAGAACCCAATCTGACCATCTGTCTCTCAGCCCGCACAGTCAGCATGTTACTTACCGGATACTTGCTAGGCATGTGATGGGTAGACCAACACTTTGCAGAGTCCTTTGCGGCGCTATATGGCAGACTATCGACTGCTTCACACCCACATCCACAAGTCATGTCTGACCTTACGAGCATACACCCCTCTTGGGTATCGAGGGAGCAGCTGACCATCATCCCGCTCTCATATCACCCTTGCACTTGCCCTACATGGTTTCCTGCGAGCACTTGAGATTACTACAACCCACTTTTTTTTCTGCATTCAGTAAGATTCAAGTGCTCTGCTGGAGGAGTCACAGGCTCGAACCATTAGTCTTGTAGTCAGCTTATTGATGACAGTTCCTGAGCTAAGACTAGGATTAGTTCCCACCGCTCTTCCAACCAAAGTCTGTATCGGGACCTCCCGCAAACTTATCTCTGTTCCTGGATTCCCCGCGGATAGCAGTCCAGCTAGAGATGAGCCCATAAAAGTTCCCAGATGATACGCCTTGAGTGTCTTTCCACCTGCGTTTTGGCAGGAGCATTGATAGATCCCCTTCTATGTGGTTGTTTTCCAACCTCCGATTTGTGTCGTGCAGTCTTCCGGCAATTGTCTCATTTTCTTGTGTGTACTGATTGACCTCTTCAGTCCTTCTACCAAATTAAGCTCTAATTTGCACTGCCCATAATTATAGGGTATGTGCTCAATAGGGCCATGTCATCTCTGTACATCACAGAACATTATAGACACTGAGGTCCAGATGTCTGCCAATTAGCTTCAGAGCTGACAGTCGACGTGCCATGGATGTTCTCATGTGTTTGCTGTGTTTACTGACCGTATGCAGCAATTAAGCACCTGAATTCCAACAATTTCTTTTTTTTTCCTTTGAAACACTGGGTTTTGAGCGTTTACCACTATATGAAGGCGTCACATATGTTTTCTATATATGGGGATTAGAAACGAAACTACTCATTCTCCGAGTTTGTAAAAAGAGGCTCTGTCTTCTAGAAAAGCAGATATATAAATGCTACCGGGAGAATTACTATCTTAACTTAGAAAAGGCTATAGAACTTAAAGAGCTAGACAAGCCTGGAGTATCACATTGGCTTCCTTCCTACTCGGGAAGAAAAATCTCTTGTCTGCAATAACATTTACTGAAATTGTAGGTCTAGGGTCTTCACAATGGCTGATATAAAGATCAGTTCTCGGGACTTTGCCAAGAAGCGGGCTTAACTCAGTTGGGAGAGTGTCAGACTGAAGCGTACTTCAGTAAGAAAATCTGAAAGTCGTGTGTTCAATCCACACAGGCCGCAAAATTCTTTTTTTAACTTTAGCCACATTATATTTTTATATTTAACTATATATTCATTTATTATCTTTTTAACTTTTAAACTACTTATTAAATTATATTTTATATAAAATTAATAATTATTTAACTTTCTTTATATAATATAAAATTAAAATATATATTTATTATTATATAAAAGTATTATATATTATATATATAAAAAAATTAAAAATAAAACTATTTTAAACTTTAATTAAGTAATTACTTAAATTCTATATATAGTAAGTTTTTAAGTTATTTTTAATTATATTATTATATTTTTATCTTAATTTATTAGTTTTAAAAGCTTTATTTATATTTATATATAATAATTAAATAAAGTTTAATAATATAAAAAGTTATTTAAATTAAGTAATAACTAAGTTAAAGCTTTAACTATTTAAAAATAGTAATAACACTTAAATATTTATATTAATTATATTTTATTCTCTAATTATTAAAATTAAAGTTAATTAAATAGGATAGAATATAAAGTGTATGTGAGATAATTTTAAATTAAAAGTGAAATCTGGATGTATACCCTAATGACCTATAGATGGAGAAATATGAAATAATTCAACCATGACCCTGATAGGATTTAATTAGCTTGGTGGACATGTGGGACTTGTTTAGAACTGCCTTTTGACTTGCAGCCTCAACCATTGTCAAAGTGCACTCACTGGCCAAGTGTTGTACACACCACTGCAATACACCGAGGTGTTTACCAGAGAGAATTAAAATTATGACACATGAAACTTGTTAATATTGCGCTCAGTCCCAATTCACTTGTCACAATCCATGAGCCATCTTGGAATAGTTACAAACTCAACAATTTAAATGCATTATATCCTTGCTCATCATAAACACAACCGTGATCACTCTATACGGACTTGCTTTAAGAGCTGGGAAGTGGTTTCTCTAGAGAGAGAGTGAAGTCTAGTGCATGTGGAGGCTCTTGACTGAATCGCAGGTCTTAGCAAGATACCATAGAATCCAATTCAAAGAATATAATTGACCCTGTGACCAGCTTCGTCTCACAAGTCCACAGAGACCAAATATCATTGACAGCATTGATGGATTTTCACCCGGGTTCCACACCATTAATTGATCTTGACATGGATTCCAACATGAGGCTTCAGGTGTTTACCATTTGCTTAGGCTTCCCTAAAGCCTGGTGATTTCTACTTTTCAAGGGACGTTACCTTGGCTAGACATACATGGATGATGTCCATATGAAGAAAAGGGCCTTCGCCAATGGCAACTACATGATGTTTGGGAGTCATAGTCTTAGAAATCCACTCAGCCTCAAGATGTTACTGGTGTGAAATCGATGGGGCGGTGCGAAGAGTCACAATACTGAGACAAGATAAGCTTTGCTATGCATGTATGTAGTCTAGGTGAAGTCTCACTTCTGGGAGGACCGGGTTGGGGCCGCCGTGACGGGTGGCAAAGCGGGACCAACCAAGCACTCGGGCCCCATTAACGGCTAGCGGAGCTCGGGTGCAGGGGGGTGCAGGTGCCTGTTTTGCCTGCATCGAAACCGACCGGGCCATCATTCATTCTGAGTCACTCTGTGGATGGCTTCGCCCCTGGCAGGAGCTGAATTGGTCGACCACTGCAAAATCTTTGTTTTCTACCTGCCTCCTTGGGAGGTTTCCTCTGGCAGGTCCGCTCCAGATAAGACCCAACGAGCTCGCCACTGGGATACTGTGACGGATTCTCGTTTGCATCCTCTGCATCTAGACTACAGCACGAAGCAACAGACTTTTTTCACCTCAACTCGCAGTGGCCAATCTGATTACATCAGCCTTTCCCTTGACTGCCCAGCTGTGTCTGTATTGTCTTTCAACAACGCCCAGCTTCCGTCTCGCATTCACACTTCGAGTCGGAGCACAATCCTTGTGCAGAATTTCCCAACGTTTCCAAGTCGCTGTATTTCAAAAAGCGCAACACCACACGTATCCACGCTGGCTTCCCGACAACGTAGTCTGGGACGCCACACACCAACATACTCACGTCGTCATGGCTGACTCCCAGGGTACGCCCGCACCTGGGGCACCCCCGCCAACATCCTCGCAGAGAGGCAACTCAGGCTCAAATAGGAGGGGCAGATCTGGCCGGGGAAGAGGCCGAGGAGCACGCAACGGAGCTGCTGCTCATGGAGGCGGAGCGCAAGCGCCGCCATCAGGCGGCAATGCCACCCCAGTAACGACTGAGAACCCGAGCCCAGCTCCAGTTGAGATGACACCCAGCTCTATGGAGCCAAGGACGGCAAATTCAAGGAGCCGAGGGGAGAGGAGGGGTGGAAGGCGAGGAGGTAGGGGAGGCCAGGCTGCTCAGGGGACTCAAATTGCCCCTCGCAGAGCATTTGGCGGCCATCTTTCCTCCGCAGTAGCCCAAGACGCCGCATCATCCCTCAGCGCCGACGCTCCTGCCTTCGTCCCAGGCCAGCCCGTGCCGACAAGGGAGAGGCGACCACCAAGGTCGAAAGCCCAGGATGCGCCGAAGCCACGCCAGAGGAGAGCTTCCAAATCCGAGGCCCCTGATCTGACCACGCGAATCCACGAGGACATTGATAACGGCCAGTACGAGTGCGTCATATGCTCATCCGAAGTCGTCCGCACGTCGCGAATATGGGCGTGCACCACCTGCTGGACTGTTGTTCATCATCACTGCACCCGGAAATGGTACAAGAGCCAGATGGAGGGCGATCAGCCACAGGGCCAGGAACCCACGTGGCGATGCCCCGGCTGCAACTCAAAATTGACCGAAGAGCCCGGCCCCTACACCTGTTGGTGTTCCAAGGAGTTGAACCCAAAGTCAACTCCCGGTCTGCCGCCTCACTCATGTGGACAGACATGCTCCAAACCACGTGCGACCTGCCCACACCCGTGTCCGCTCTCCTGCCATTCGGGTCCATGTCCTCCTTGCACGCTCATGGGCCCTGTTCAGCCGTGCTTCTGCGGCAAGCACACATCTCAGAAGCGATGCATCGACACTGACTATGTCACTGGTTTCAGCTGCAACGAGGTCTGTGGCGATCTCTTGGCATGTGGAGAGCACTTTTGCAGTCAAACATGCCACCCGGGTCTCTGTGGCTCTTGTAGTGTGCCTGTGCTCTCAACTTGTTATTGCGGCAAGGAACGCAAGGAAGTTCTCTGCAATAAGCGAGAGGACGTTCTCGATAGCTACAATTTCGGACAGCTGCAGGACGACTCATCAGATGAGCCCGATGCTACCTCTGGGACTTGGTTTGAGGGCTCATTCGCCTGTGATCAAGGATGTGGGCGCAAATACGACTGCGGGCTTCACACATGCGAGAAGCCGTGCCATCCCCAGGACGAAGAAGCCGCCCATTGCCCTCTGTCCCCTGATGTGGTCACACATTGCCCTTGCGGCAAGACGCCGCTGGAAGAGATCATGCCGGAACCTCGACAATCGTGCCAAGACAAAATTGCCCATTGCACGCAGATCTGTGGAATCAAGATGTCTTGTGGCCATTTCTGCCAGGAAACCTGTCACACTGAGAAATGTCCTCCATGCTTCCAGAAGATGGAAGTTTCTTGCCAGTGCGGCCGAACAACGGTTGGGTCCACCTGTCAACAAGTCCCTCCGGAAGAGGTCCAGCAGCCAATGTGCTTCCGAACTTGTCGAGCCACCTTGAACTGTGGACGGCACCAATGCGACTCCCGCTGCTGCCGCGGCGAGAAGGCTGCGGCCAAGCGCCAGGCGAACAGGCGCAGAGCCAATGTTGCGACTGAAGACGTTGAAGACGAGCATATCTGCTCCAGGATGTGTGGGCGTTTGCTGACGTGCCAGAAACACTTCTGTGAGCAACTCTGCCACCGAGGCAGTTGCAACTCATGCCTTGAAGCTATCTTTGAGGAAATCGCGTGTGCTTGTGGTCGCACTCGGCTCTATCCACCCCAGCCAGTACGTATCATTTTCCTGGACCATGCCTCACACCTGGTAGAGACTGACTTATCCTCTCAGTGTGGTACGCAACCTCCCCAGTGTCGCTTCCCATGCACTCGACCTCGGACGACCTGCAATCACCCTCAGGTTGAACACCAGTGCCATCCGGACGAAGTGGAGTGCCCTAAATGCCCATTTTTGGTCGAGAAGCGCTGCATTTGCGGCAAAGAGGTCCTGAAGAACCAGCCGTGCTGGTTTGAAGAACCTCGCTGCGGCCGGCCGTGTATGAAGGAACTGAAATGCGGGTGCGTTGAACAACCCCGTGAGCCCATGCCTTGGAAATACTGACAACCTCTTCCAGTCTACATGCATGCCAAAAGCTCTGTCATCGCGAAGGTGAATGCGAGGATGTGGACATCCCCGGCACACACTGTTCGCAGCGATGCAACAAGGCCAGACGATCTTGTCCGCAGGGTCACGAGTGTGTTGACGAATGTCACGCGCCACTGCCTTGCAACGAGGACAAACCATGCCAGTTAGAGACGTTTTTGGTCTGCGACTGCCAGAGGCGCAAGCAGAAAGTAAAGTGTCTATCAACCCGTATCAACCCGGAAGGACCACAACGGGACCCGCTGAAATGCGACGACGAGTGCGCACGGCAGAAACGTAACCGTCAGCTTGCCGAGGCCCTCAACGTCGAACCAGACCACACGGACGATCACATCCCCTACCAGGCGGTCACGCTCAAGCTCTTCCGGGACAACACCCAGTGGGCCCAGACCCAGGAGCGCGAGTTCCGCGTCTTTGCCGAGTCGAACCTGCGCAACATGCGCTTCAAACCCATGAAGTCCTACCAGCGGCAGTTCATCCACGCGCTGGCCGAGGACTTTGGCCTGGACTCGGAGAGCCAGGACCCAGAGCCCCACCGGCACGTCAGCATATTCAAGGGCCCGCGGTTCGTGTCCGCGCCGAGGAAGACGCTCATGCAGTGCGTGCGGCTGGCCAAGGCGGCCGCGCCGGCGCGCCCCGAGGCGTCGCCCGCGGCCGCGTCCAAGCCCGCCCCGCAGCCGTACAACGCCCTCCTGATCTCGAAGCCCAGGTTCGGCCTCACGGCCGAGGAGCTCGACGCGGCCCTCGCCGCCGACCTGGCCGCCGCGGTCCCGGCGGAGCACAGGAACAACCTCACCCTCACGACCAGCTTCCTGCCCACGGACGAGGTCCTCATCAGGGCGGCAACCAGGACGACGGCGGCAACCATCGCCTCGGGGACGCTGAACCCCGCCCAGGTGGAGTCGCTCCTCTCCGCGCTCAAGCCAAAGGTCGCCAAGGCCGTCGCGGCCGACGGCCTCGCCGCCGGCGGGGTGGTGCTGTGCGCGGTGGCGGCGGCGGCGGCGGCGGACTCTGCGTCGCCACACATCCTGCGCCGCGAGGGCGACGGGTCTGGCGGCAGCGGCGGCGGCGGCTGGTCCCAGGTGGCGAGCCGTGCCGCGGCCCGACCTAGGCAGTGGGCTGCGGCGCCGGTCATCGACGCCAAGGTCCCCGGGACGGGCTTTGTCGCGCTGCGGCGGCTCGGCGCGAGGAAGCAGGAGAACAAGGCCGAGGTACCCGCGGAGGAGTAAGAAGGCCATTCATGGGACTTGGTCTATGTACCTGGCTCGAAGGAACAGTGACATCTACGACGGAGGATGGGCAAGGGGTTGTTGGGGGAAGGGTGTCCCGCCGTGGAGGCGATGCACAACGCGGGAATTGCTATTCGGACTCGGCCATACAGCCGGTGGGTGGGCGAATTGGCGCGAGACACAATCTCGCTCTGCAGCCCATTTCCCCGTATGAGGTGTTTTCTCTCACGGTGAAGAAAGAGTTCCCCGGGGCCCGGGCAAGCAAGGCAAGCCCGACGGGCCGGCCTCTTGGATGTCCCGCGTGCACTGGAAAGCATACATATTTAACCGAGGGAAAACTCAGTCACATGCACTGCTGGCCCGTAATCGTGGGCGACAGTAAATGAAATGATCATCGTCCCAATATGTTGCTTGTGTGTATTGAACCAGGTTTTTTTTGTCGTGAGGTCATGTCGCTTGTGACTGGTAGCCTGCGGCGGAGATGTACGCGAGATGGGGAGATATCGCAAGTGATTTCCAGGCCATGATTTTGACACTCGTCTTTTTTTCCTGTCTTGCTTTTTCCCTCAGTGTTCGTTTCTTTTCTGAAACACTGTTATCTTGTCTCCGGGCAATCGGTACGCAAGTGGGGACTGAGAAATATCCCGACAGAACAGGGTTTCCTATCTTGGATTGCTTCTTTGTAGTGTTTCTTGCCTGTGTATCTGTTTTCTGAATACCAACATGCTGGCTGGCCCCCACTCCCCGAGCCCCCCTGGTCAACGGGCGCCCACCTTTTGGATCGCCGCACTGGGTAATTACACTGGGAACCTCCATTCCTCAGGCGCAGCAGCTCATTTCTGGACAGCCCTTCTCTTTCTGAGACAAGCGAATGCCAGCTTCAACATGCAGAGAAAGGACTTGGTTGGTTGGACACTAGGTAGATAGATACTACATAGTAATGCAGTAAAAAATTCCAACAGGGGGGTATCTTTATCAAAGGCGCAATTTTGTTTGCCAGTCCACGGGGCCAAAATAGCCTCGTCAATGCATGCCTCACGACGCCGGTCTACCAGCCAGCCATGCCGCCACATGCTTGCTCTCTGATCGAAAGCCTAAATCCCACGCTGATAGATAGATGGAAAGGGACGAGCGAGCGACCTCGCTTTTGGGTCCCGGCGGCCGGGGGGCGGTGAAGATTGGGCGGCGGCTCCCGCACTACCGGCCTTTAGTTCACGACCCGGCTCCCTCCAGTTCTAAATCCCACGCAGCTCACATGCGACTCTTCTCGGGTGGGGTGGTGGGATATTCCTGGGTGATGGAGGCGATAAAGTCCGATATCGACTCGAAGTAACCCTCCTCGAGCACGCTTGAGTTGTGGTCGCCGCCGGGGAGCGGCTTAAAGATCTTGTTGGGTGCTTGCGATAAGTCGTAGAGCTTGCGCATGTGATTTGGTCTAAGACATACATAATTAGCGCGAGACACGGGGTCATGCATGTAAACGGCAATATGGTAATCCCGGAACCAGAGGGTTCAGCATCCGCCAAGCAGTCTTAATCATGACGACGAGTCGACAAGTGTGACAGGTGAGGTTATGTGGGATTGCCGGGTCGGTGTTGGCCAAGACGGGCTAGCGGGATTGGACTCACGGGACGATCTCATCCTGCAGGCCGGACAGGAACAGGATGGGCACTTTCGTGATGTTGGGTATTATAGAGTCGCTGGGCCAAACCTGGTGGCACAGAAGCGACAAGTATTTTGCAGGAGGCAGGACTGAAGGGATGAGCTTCCGCATCGAGAGGAAGGTGTTCTCCAGGATCAAGCCAACAATGTCGCCCTCCTTCTGGTTGTCTGCGACGAGCTTGATGCTAACCGCGCCGCCCAGACTCTGCCCGTAAATTACTAGCTTGTGGTTGCTCGTCTCTGCGCGGTCGCGCAAGTAATCGAGGGCGGTTTGCGCGTCGAGACATATTCCAGACTCGCCCGGCTCGCCCGTGGACAGACCGTAGCCTCGGTACTCGAGCATGAAAACGTTGCAGCCCGTCAGACTGATGAGCATGCGGGCGATGGGTAGTCGGTGGCCGATGTTGCCAGCATTTCCGTGGAACATCAAGACGGTGACGTTGGAGTTGCGCCCGTGACGCGGGCCGCGCATGTAGAAGGCAGACAGCTTTTCGCCATCGTTGGTCGGGATCATCAAGTCTTCGAAGTCGTGTATGCCGAACTGGGAGGGTCGGGGAACATCTGTTCGGGCATTCGGGGGCATGTGCGAGGGGTATATCAGGGCCCTGTCAGCTCGGGTTAGCATTTCGAGGCGAGCAGCACGCAGGAGATATCAAGAGGCAAGGCTTACTTTTGTTTGAAGTAGAGCAGGGAGGTGAGCACAGCAGCAACGCCCTTGGTCGCGATCACATTAGCGAAGTGCCTCAGGTCGCGCCTTCGGTCGTCGGTCACGGACCGGCGCATTCGGAGGCGAGGGAGGCAGATGCCGGGGCTCGGGCAGGTCGAACGACATGTAAGGCCGCGGAGGGGAGCAGACAAAAGGAGTGTGACATAGGCAACGCCGGGATAAAGGGGAGGGAGGCAGTATGCCTTACAGTCGAAGCTATGGCCGGCAGACGCATCCACGAGGCGGCGGTGTAGAGCAGGGTGCCGGATTGCTCCAGGAAGCCTTGGGGTGGAGGACCGGGGGCAGACATGGCAAAGAAGAATTAAAAAGGAAGGAAGGGGAGAAGAAAGAATGGGAGGGCGTAGAAACAAGCGAGGCCTGCCCTAGATGCGCGAACTGGGTCCTGTTGCTGGGTATGGACGGGTATGGGCTGGTATGGGTATGGGGACGCGGGCGTGGACGGCTATTGGGACGGCTGGCCAGCAGAGACGGGCGGAATTAATTGGGTGATACCACAGCCGAGACGAGACTGACTGACTGACTGACTGACTGACTGGTGGGTGAGGTGACTGCCAGACTGCCCAGGCGACGATGAGTAACAAGTGTGTGGTCTAGGGCCAGGTGTAGTGCAGTGGCAAATGTAAGGTAATGTCAGGATAATGCCATGCAGTGTGGCCTGCAATGCATGCAATGCCGTTGTCCCGGGCGACGTGAAGGGGGGCCGAGATGAAGCGTTGCGCGTTGTGCGTCGTGCGTCGTGCGTCGTGCGTTGTGCAGGCTGCTGATGCCAGAAAGAGGTGGATGAGAACATGGGATTTACTGAGAGCTCCCTCCCACTCTCCCTACACAGACGGTCCTCTCTGTCTTGTCCGTGTGTAGGTACCTAGATACCTACTGTATAGACTGCGGGCGCAGCGAGATGGGGCCTCGCCCTCGACTGTCAGGGTATCATCTGGCCCGGCACAGGGTACAAGGGTACCGGGGTACCTCCGCTTCCTGCAAGTGCTGTGCAGACTGTGGTACCACGCAGCAGCCGATCAGATCCTTGGGATTTCATCCCGCTCAGGGGTCCAGCCCACTCAACTACTCAACCACTCAATCCACATTCCCAACGTGCATTGAGCGAATTGACCCCGACAACCCGATAACCCGAGGGTCGCAGCCTCATCAGCCCTGGTTGCGACGCTGTGGCCATAAAAGCGACACGACGGTAGCAATGGTCGCAGCATTGGCTTTCGCAGGCATGACAGGGTCGAGACGCTGGCAGGCTGGCAGGCAGGCTGTCAAAACCGAGCCGCCTGGAACTGTCTGTGGATGCCTCGGCGCTGTTGATCTCTGGTGTCAAGACGTCGGCCATGACTAAGTTGGTCAGCGCGCCACGATTTCCACTCCCACCTCGTGTCGGGCGCTCATTGACCGGATAGTCTATCAGAATGTCAGATCTGTGTTGATCTGTGCTTGAGCCCATCATCCATCAGCCATCAGCCATCAGCCATCAGCCATCCTCCATCCTCCATCAGCCACCCGCCATCCGTCTCCTGCTGAGCACGGTGCTCGCCTGCTCTCTTGGTCCTCGCGCCAGCCAGCCAGCCAGCCCAGCCAGCCTCCCACTGGCCCTGGGCCGAAGACAAGAGAGCAGACGTTGTTTCAACCTCCCTCTGATGAGCTGATGTTCTGTGGAGCTGCCCTTCGGTTTCTTCCAGCTGCGAGAGGAGCTGGCCCCTTGATCCCTGACACCGAAGGCATTCAAAGATTTAAAGGATACTAATGATCACGACACATGACCTCGGCTGCGGATCGCAAAAAAGTTTTCGACATTGCGGGCTAGCTTCGGCTGAGCCCGTATGTGGCAAGAGTGATTACCTGAATAGCGCTTGCAGCGGGAATTGCTGGCATAAAAGGCAGTACCGGCACCGAGTAGATGTGTCTGTCTGCACATGTATGTGTGGCTTGCCCCGGCACCCCGGCTGTTCACTATGGGTATTCATTCTACCACCCACCCAGCCAGCCGGCTCGGCTGCCCTTGTTGACCTTCAAGGTTGGGTTTGTGTGCCCAGGGTTGTGCTGACACAAGCCCTTCACCACCTGCGTCGTAGTCACGGCGTCTCGGAGTCGAAGCAGCTTGACGTGTGCGACCTGAAACACATTTCCCCGTTGTGGGGTCTCTGGTCGGCCCCCCTCCCCCAGCGGTGCGGACTCGTCCAGAAGAGGTCGAAAAATAGACGGAATGACAGGGACATGGCCCATTCGGGCCTCAAGTTTCCATGTCAGCACCCACCACCCTTGCGGCCTTGCCATACTCCGTAGAGGGCCTCTGGCTGAGATTGGAAGCCCGCCTGGGCCCTGGGCAGGAAAGCTGACCGGCTCCGAACTCGAAGCCGAGGGCATACCCGCGTGTCTAGCCGCATCCCAAGTCCGATGGCCGTCCCTTCACATACTTATTTACACTTGTGCACTAGAGGCCCGCCTCCAGCCGACCAACCGCAACATCAGATGGGGTCTGGGAGAGATTGAACCTTCGAGATGCTCAGGCCGCTCGGTCGGCGTCTTTTTGCGTTCAACTCCTGTCACCGAGGATCGATGTCAAGGACAAAACCAACCCCCGTCGCCTGAACCATGTTGCTCGGCTTGGTGTTGTGGTCGGCCACTTCCTCGGGGACACCAGTGTGTTCACTGCTCACAGCTTTTGCCCAGCTGCGAATAGTTGCGAATAGCTGCGAACAACCCCCGTGTGGCTTGCCGTCGGGCGGGTTGTGGGTGAGCTAGGCCTCGTCATGTTATAGGCCGCGGCGTTCTAATATGGCACATCGCAGGTGTCGCGGCATTAATGAGGCTTTCTATCTGTGGTGGCCCCCTCCAGTAGTCCGTGTGGTCTATGGATTGACTTGAGCTAGGGGGCCTTAGCTGGGAGCTTCATCCAGGTTTCCAGAAGGATGGATGAGCTGAGCTGGCTAGGCTCACACCCCGACATCGGCAATCGTGGCTCGCCTGGCTCGCCTGGCTCGTCTGGCTTGGCTTGGCGTGCACCTGCTTGGCGTACGCACCTGGTGCTTCAACCAGAGGGATGCAGCCAATCCTGCACGCGCCTGCCGTTTCGCGCTCCAGGTTGTTTTGGCCCAAAGCTGACCAAGTCAGGGTGCATCTCCCTCGCCTGCTCGCCTGGCTCTCGATGGCCCGCCCTGCTGGCTTGTCACGTCCTTAGCGAACTGCATGGGCGCCCGACCAGCAAAAAACTTTTCCACGTCCCGAACCCGTCTTATCTTCTGCCTCTGTCAACAGTCAACGACATTGGCCAGACTCGCAGCAGCAGCAGCAAGAAAGGAAGAAAGAGGAAGGAGGACAGACAGGGAGCAACAGCAGCGGCGGCACCAGTACCAGCGGCACCAGCAGAAGAACAAGAAGTGCAAACGCCGATCGATCGTGGTCGACCATCGCCGGCCAGCTACTTCGTACTTCGTACTCCCTCATCACACTCCGTGCCGACTCCTTCACTCCCTGACTACCTGGGCGCTGCATTTGTGCTGCTCGGAGGCTCCTGCAGATCCGCTCCCCACGCCCCAAGATCTTGCCACGGCGCGCTCTTCTTCAGCCCTGTGACCAGGCCATTTTCTTCTGTCGCGGCCCCACTGCTCGATTTGCAGTCAACCGCCAGCCCGCCAGCCCGCCAGCTCGACCTGGGCCAAGGCCACTTGCTGCATTGTCGCATTGTGTCCCAGCACGACGGTTCTCGCTTTCGCGCCGGCTTTTTATTGAACATCATCCAGCCGCCGCCAATAATAACCCAGGCCCAACGGTCCAGCCAGTCCAGTCCGGTCCTGTGCAGTCGCGCGTCCAAGCTCAATCCTTCAATCATTTCGTCCCCATCCCTCCATCCGCCGCCAACTGCAGCGCGTTAAATTTAACTCGCCAACCAAACCCAGCTCTGTCAAGTCTCAGCCCCGGGGTCCAAGGCGTTTCAGCTGCATCGCACTCAGAACTACCGTCTCTGTCCGTCAACTCTCTTTTTTGGGGGCACAGGTCCACCGGAGAACCCCCAAACGTCAAGTTTGAGCTTCGGTGAGCAGGAAGCGGACGTGCATTTGTCTGTCCGGGAGAAGCAGCAGCAGCAGCAGCAGCAGTCGCAGTCTCTGGTTGCCCAGCCAAACCCTCTGGCAAACATAGGCCCAGAACAGGAGGCAAATCTGCAGGACAGCCCAAGCCCAAGCCGGCGCGTCCAGTCAAAAACACCCACACCTGCTGCCCGTCATCTTCGGCTCCCTAGTGCCAATCACTTGTTCGCTTGTCTCTCGGAAAGGGCACGAACTGCCAGCTGCGATTACTACCAGCAGCCAAGATGGTGAGCTTCCAGTGTGAAGGTAAGTCAGGACATCCCCGATATCAACCTGCCACGAGATCACCCCAGTCCTCCATCACTTGATTAGACTCTGTGCCACTGTGGTGAGCTCATGTCTTGTCTGGACATCATCCCCGGTCCCCTCCTACGCACACCCCACCCTCCCCAACCTGCCGTCTTGGTGCCACACACGACGGACTTAGCACGTCACACACCCCCTCCACCATGTCCTCCCTCTGTCGCATTCCCGCCCTCCAGCTACTGCCCCTTTCCGTCTGATGGCATTGAGACCACCCCCAGTCCGTGTCTCTGCTGCATTATGACCATCCCAATCCCAGTATATCCATCTCTCGAACCCAAACACCCACACACCCTCCTCGGCCTTCATGCTGCTCCCTCTCCCTAATTTCCTGCTTCCCAAGCTTTCTTTGCCTCCTCAAATCCAAACTGACACTTGTCCCAAATGTAGCCTGTGGTGATGTCTTGACCAAGAAGAAACTTGACCAACACAAGAACCGCTGTCGTGGGGCTACATTCACTTGTATCGATTGCATGGTTCATTTCTACGGCAACGACTACCGATCTCACACGGTATGGCTCCCAATGTTACGCTAGGCGTGTACACACCCCTGAGGCCCACAACCCCAGACTGATCAGCTCGCAGAGTTGCATGACCGAGGAACAAAAGTACCAAGGAGCTCTCTACAAGAACAAAAAGGCAAAGACAGCGACAGCGGCAGCCAACACACAGTCTACGCAAAAGGATATGGCCCACGCAGCGTACGTGGAGGAGGTCGCCGACTATGAGGGATGGGAGGATGTTCCGGCCGCGCCACCCCACGCTCCCAGCCCGCCCACGGCTTATGGTGGGTTCAACGTCTTCGACTACCAAGTGGACGCAACCCCGAGCGCATCGACCGTCGCGATACCGCAGGTTGGTGCTCCGGCTCCAGAACCCGCCGCAGAGAGTACGGAGCTGGTGCGGTACGAGTACAAGAAGGAAAGCTACCGGGACATCGATGCAGACATGATGGCCGACGACGAGGCTCTGGTTCAGTACGGATCGGGCCCCGTGCCGGCCGAATCCAGTTCCTTTCACACGCCGGCGCCAAAGAAGGACCGAAAGAAGGCCAGCAAGGACGACAAGAAGGACAAGAAACGGAAGCGTTTACATGTGGACACGCGTGACCTCGACATGCCGGATGCGCCTGTACTCCACTCTGACCTCACCGGCGGTCTGAACCGTCTGATGAGCAGACCGCACGCTTTCCCGCCGTCCCCCGACTACTCAGGATCCGGTGGAGAGGTTAACGAGAACCCCGCCAGCCCATTAAAGAAGTCCAAACAGTCCAAACACCACAAGTCCAGCCGTCCAGAGAGCGGGATATTCAACGGTATTGCATCTATGCTGTCAAGTGGGAGCTCGAAGCCGGCAACCAAATCCAAGAAGCGCAAGCACACCTCGACGTCGACATCGGCGTCCACCAAGAAACGGCATTCTCACACCTCCAAGCGACTCGAGGGGGCCAAGGAGGTCAAGATGCTCGAGTACACCAAGGGCGATGAGGAAGAGTCGAGGGATGGGCCGGGCGCCATGGTCGTTTTCAAGCCCCAGGCAGATCTCTTCCTGAGTCTGGTCAAGAAAGGCTCTGACAGTGAACGCGGTTGCAGTGTCCACAAAGCGTTGAGGCGATATCACCGTGAACAAGGTTGCTCAGGCCGAGCAGCCAAGTCGATTGAGGAGAAGGAGTTGTTCCGCTCATTACGGCTGCGCCGGAACGATCAGGGCGAGATTGTCTTGTTCAGCGTGCCCGACGAGGACTGATGGGTTACCATGTGGGTTTGCAGCATATTGCGGTTTTGCATATCAACTGCCGAGGCGGCATCTGGCTTTATATTGTTTTGGCCCGGAAGCGGAGTTACCAAGGTGGTTCAGGGCGGTCTTATGATACCTCAACATTGTACTCCGGGCTTGATGCTCTGTGTTTGAAAGACGAAGCGATTGCTTTTGCATCATTCCTGTATGGCTTGATTGCACATGGGCTGCTGGGTGATCTGAGGCGTATGGACGACTGGTCGGAATGCTTGGGCGATCGTCATGTTGTTCATGTACCTACTACCATGTGCTGGGAAACGGTCGCGGGCTAATGGGTTCGCTCCTCAGCTGGATCTCACTGGAGCTTATAGAGCAGGGAACAGGAGTTGCGGCCAGGCTTGCACGGTACTTGGTTTCGTGGCTTGTATCTCCAGTCTCATTTTCTTGGACAAGCAGACCAATATACTCGCCCTAAGGTGATCTTGGACCCTTGGTCTATTTGCAGGCCTTCCTAACAAGATCCATTGAGGAGTCATATCGATCTTTTCCCCTCATCATACGAGGATCCCCGCGATGCCAATTCACTTCACCCTATTGAGACCTCGGGTAGTCAGTCACTTGCCTGGCAGACACTGCTAGTCACCATCTCCCATGTCATCGCCACACGTCTCGTAGTCATCATAAGCTCGTTGTCCCACAATCGAAGCCGTTGAGCGCCCGAACCCTACTTCATGCCACCCGCAAGGGCAGGATGTGCTGCACCAGAGCCTCCCGCCTACACAGGGGGCACTCTGGCTTCTCCCTGACCCAGTCGCCGATGCACGACCAGCAGAAGACGTGCCCGCACGGCGTGGCGGAGGGGTCCTTGAGCTCCTCCAGGCACAAGGTGCACTTGCGCTGCGACTGGCCCTTGATCCAGCCCATGACCGCGTCCCCGCCGCTGCTAACCCCTACACCGAGGTCGTACCTGGGCGCGTCGCCCCGGGGCACGGGCGTGTGCGTCGTCACGCCGATGGCGGCCTTGGAGCGCCTCCCGGCCCCGGCCCCGGCCCCGGCCCCGGACTGCAGGAGGAGGTCGTTGTTGCCGCTCCCGTAGCTGTGGGCGTGGTCTAGCGACACGTCGGCGGCGGCGGCGCTGCCAAAGGCCCGCTCCCGGATGACGGCCTCGACGCTGGCCTCGTCCGGGTCCCCCGCTGCGCCGGCGGCCAGGACGGAACGCACGTGCAGGTACGCCTGCACGGCGAGCTGGACGACGAGCAGCACGCCCAGCACCTCGTAGCCCGCGCGGCCGTCGGGGGTGCCGCCCTCGCTGGCGCCGCTGGCGCCGGCGGGGTGCTCGGGCAGGCGGCGGGTGAAGACGTAGCGCAGCCCCGTGAGGCGCTTGGAGAGCGAGTAGTAGGCGCCGGTGAAGTAGAAGGTGGCCAGGACGGCGGCGTGGACGTGGGCGCCCGAGGTCAGGCCGGCCAGGTGGGCCAGGACGTAGCGGCCGGCGCGGTACTCGGCGCTGTTGTGGGCGGCCCTGTGCCTCCGCTGCAGGTGGGCGAGGCGGGCCTCGAGGCGGCTGCGGAGGCGGCTGCGGACGGCCGGGAGGAGGCGGCCCAGGGCGTAGGGGACGAGGACGGAGAGGGCGATCAGGCCTGAGCGGCGGCCTATGGAGGGGAGCCTGGGCCCGCCTGGTGCTGCTGTGGTCTTGTCAGGCTCCTCGACCTGGATCAGGTCGCAGTACTCCTCGCCCAGGGTGCGGTTCCCTATCAGGGTGGTCAGGCAGAGGTACAGCAGGTCGGCGGCGGTGCGCGACTCGTTGGCCCACGCGTGGGCGGACCGGGCGCCCAGGAGCCGCCTGTGCAGGTCGACGAGCTGGTTCGTCAGCAGGCCCTGGAAGTATGCGTCCTTCTGGTGGGCGCGGATGATGTCTGGTGCCGTGGCGTAGGGGAAGGGCGACGAGGCGGTGGTGGTGGTGGTGGCAGAGGCCATGGTTTTCCAGCTTTTTTCTCTCTTCTCTTCTTTTCTAAGCGGTCTGCCTGGATGTTGTCTGCAGTGCAGCTTTTGTGCCTGCGAGCATCTTCAGCCTGCTCACATTGTCGTGCTATACTATTATGGAGTAGATAGAAAGAACGTTGATAGCCGGCACGGCCTGGGCACAAGAGGAGAATCAGCCTCGGTACAAGATGGCAGGCAGGCAGGATGGCTTGACAGGCTGACAGGCTGACAGGGAAGGCTGGTCTGCAATCTGGGCGCTAATGCAGGCAAGGGGGCCCCGTCCCCGTTGCCGATGACGTGAAATGCGCCCCTAAAATTAAACAGGCGGTTTTCTCTACCTGCGACGTGTGCAAATAGTACGTGGTACGTACCAGCCTAGCACGTCCAACCAACCCATCGTGGGATTTCCTCTCTTTGCCCTCCCACCCCGTTCAGTCGGCATACTTTCTCAACGCCTCCGGCCCTATGCCCTACGGGAATTCCTCTCATTCGATTCTTTTCGATGTATCCGGCCGCCAGACAGCGCATCACAGAGGACGGATATAGGCAGGCAGCCAAAAAATGGACGGCGACCCGGCGGTTGAGCCGCAGCTCGACTCCTTCAGCCTGACCTTTCCCTTGCCCTACCGCGTCGCTTTTATCGTCGTCCTAGGTGAGGACATGGCAGCTCCTTATTACGATAATAACAATGGTGGTGACCACTGCTGACCCCCTCCCTCCCTCGTGCGCAGCCGTCTGGGGTTGGGGCATCAACCTCCACCATCTCTACAACCTCAAGATCGACGTGCCCTCGCTCATCCGCTACCCGCAGCGGCCCTCGGCGTCGCACCCCCCGCACCACAGGTCGACCTACCGGCTCGCCACCGTCCTGTCCTCGACCCTCGCCTTCTCCATCGTCACCTTCTGGCTCTTCAGCCACCGCGACCCGAAGCTGGTGGTCTACTACGACTGGATGCCCATGACCTACCTGGCCGTGCTGGCCATGCTCTTCGTCCTGCCGCTGCGGCCCCTCGCCCTGTCGCACGGCGGCCGCTCCCGCCTGGTCGCCACCCTGCGGCGCGTGAGCATAGGCGGCCTGGCCCAGGCCAGCGACGGCAAGTTCGGCGACATCCTGCTGGCCGACGTGCTGACCTCGTACGCCAAGGTCCTGGGCGACCTGTTCGTCTGCGTCTGCATGATGTTCTTCCACGGCGCCGCCGGCAGCGCCACCGACCGCCCCGACCGCAGCTGCGGCGGCACCGTCCTGGTCCCGCTCATCATGGCCCTGCCCTACGCCATCCGCCTGCGCCAGTGCCTCATCGAGTTTGTGCGCGTGCGCGCCGCCCCCTACAAGGAGTCCACCGGCTGGGGCGGCCAGCACCTCGCCAACGCCTGCAAGTACGCCACCGCCTTCCCCGTGCTGCTCCTCAGCGCCCTGCAGCGCAGCATGCCCGCCGACGCCGGCGCGAGGGGCCTGTACCGCGCCTGGGTCGCCGCCTGCCTCGTCAACAGCCTCTACAGCTTCTACTGGGACGTCGCCAAGGACTGGGACCTGACCCTCTTCTCGGGCCGCCGCGAGCGCAACTCGCCCGAGCACGCCCCGGGCCTGCGCAGGAGGCTCCTGGTCGGCGGGCCCGCCCTCTACTACCTCGTCATCGCCGTCGACCTCATGCTGCGCTGCACCTGGAGCCTCAAGCTCAGCCCCCACCTCGACCACATCGTCGACTTTGAGTCCTCCATCTTTGTCATCGAGTTCCTCGAGGTCTTCCGCCGCTGGGTCTGGATCTTCTTCCGCGTCGAGACCGAGTGGCTGCGCAACAACGCCGTCAACTCGGGCCTCGCCGTCGACGACATCCTGCTGGGCGACTACCAGGGCAAGTATGAGGACGATGAGGAATAGGGCTTCTTGTTCCTCATCCTGCCCAGATTATGTGAGAATGACAGGCGGTTCGACTTTTATACCATCGGCTACGGCCACGGCCTCGGCCTCGGGTGATGACCTTGATTATTTTTTTGTGGGAGAGCACGTAGCATCTCTTTTCTTCTCTTTTGCGGTGATGATACCACGTACGTTAGAGAGAATCGGGAGGGAGTTTGATGGCGCATATCATGAACTAGAATTGAATTAATACGCATAAATGCACACCAGACCAACCCTTGTCTTTTTCATCTGCCTAATTCTGAGAACGCCGCCCTATGCCTTGCTGAGTTGGTTCCCGCTGTCGCGCAGATAAATCTAAAATGCACCGGGCATCTCAAAAGCAAATCCCCGCCATGAGTTCCGAACCCCCCCTTCTATCTTGAACAACGCCAGTCATGAACACATACTCATGATGCCTCCGCCGGCATACATGTGTAGTAAAGCAGAAACGAATGCGGGGTATCTTGGGTTTTTACTTGCCCTCCCCCGCCTATTCACTTCGGAACGACAATTACATCGCAGCCGCTTACAGGAACCACGTCAGCCACGGCCGATTCGGGCTGCTGGGCTGCTTAAGCTTGTTACCGCAGTAGCCAGGAAAGTTGATGTACTTGGTCGCGTCGCAGGTGCAGCGGCAGCCCACACCGCCGTCCTGCTCGTCCGAGTACAGCCCGTCGCCCAGGGCCACCGAGCCTTCGAGCTGCAGGCCGGGCGCGTTGGCCGGGCACTGCTGGTAGCTGCCGTGACGGTAGGAAAAGTCGGAGAAATGGTGAACGCGCTCAGGCCCGACAAGCATGCCGACCGCGAGTGAGTGGACGGCCGCGTCGCCCCACTGGGATCTGGTTAGCATGCCCGGGGCAGGGACTAACTAGGAAGGTTGTGCGCAGGTGAGGAAGGCAGGCTTACCCTCTCGTGATAGAAGCCCTCCTTCTGGTCCAGATAATTGAATAGGTCTTGGTAGTTCTTGCCCCTGAAGAAGTCCAGGTCGGCAATCTCAAAGTTGCTCCAGTAGTGACACATGCTCCACACGTCGCCAAGCTTGTCGTGGTGGGGCAGCCAGCTTAGCCAGCTACGGAACGGGTAGGGCAGCCAGGATGCCGACATCATCGCCTTCCACAGGCTCGTGGTTGGGATCAGGTTGGCTTCCTTCCAGTCCGCCACGTGCCGGAAGAGACTCGGGCAGGTGTTGCCTTCTTCCCACAGGCTCATGGTCCAGCCGTACACCTGCCTGTGCTTGGCCATCTTCACAAAGGGGTCGTAGGTGATGGAGCACGAGAATTCGACGTCGGGCTCCAGCCGCCAGTACCACTTGTATCGTCGCAAGGCTTCCAAGGTGTAGAATCTGCTGCAGGTGGGCACAAGCTGTTAGTTACACAGGTCCTACCAAGCAGCTGGACCAACTGTGTGTCAGCGAACGTACCCTGAGAAGAAACGGCACATGTGGTGGTACCCTTCTCTTCCGCCGTAGTGTACGCCGCTCTCCCCCTGCTCCAATATGCTCTGCTGCGCCGCAGCCTTGTCGACCCATGACGGGTAGTTCCACTCGTGGTCCGGAATAACCTCGAACCTCGCCTCGCCGCTGACAGTCTGGTTCATGATGCGCACGAACTCGGGGTCCCAGGGCTTGTCGTTGAGAAAGACATAGGGGTAGTGGAACCAGCGGTTGAACTTGGCCTCGACAGAATCGATTGTGCGCTTCGCGGCGTCGATCTCCGAGTTCTGGGCGAGCATGACCAGGGCGGCGTTCTCGCGCCTGCCACGGACGTCGGGCTCCTGGCAGCCGGTCTGGAAGGGGGGGTCGAGGTCGCGAGAGGGGCGCGGGATGTCGAAGGAGCGCCAGTGGAGGAAGGCCTCGATGTAGAGGGGAATCAGGATCGAGGCGAGGATGACGAGGAAGCGCCGCGAGGGGCGAGGCAGGGACCGGAACATGGTCGCGGGGTGAATATCAGGTTGCTTGGCAGACAGTCGAAGAGTATCGCATTCTCGTCAGCTGGGGTCTCTACCGTCGGCAGGGTGAGGTGTGATGCCGGCTGGTCCGGCTGCTCTGTCCAAGCCTGAGGTGGGCGTGGGTTGAGAGCAACAGACTGCTCTGCCTCGGGGGTCGGGGGGCGCAAGTGAAGTATACGAGTGAATGGAGGCGGTGTTCACGGACTTGGAGTGACGCGAGATGGACCGACCAGTGCGTCCTGGTAGGACCGGGGGGTGTGGAAGGGACGACGGGACGGGACGAGACTGAGCGAGGAAGGAAGAGGCAAGATGCTGGCTGGATCGTGGATCCGGTGTTTGAAACCACGACGACAAAGCAAACAAACCGGTGCTAGAGAGGGAGGAAGTAACGACTCTGCCAATATCCACTCGGATATCTTGGGGGCAGGACAGACGTCGGCCAAGCCAGAGGGCCAAAGGAAGGAAACTCTGGGGACCATGCTGGGATCAAGCTGTCCACGATCGGGTCAGCATCCACCTTTGAGATGAGGGAGAGAGCCTGTCCCAGGCGCCAGAACAGGACAGGTCAAGTCTGGACTGGATGGACCTTGGGGCTTGGGCTGCTGGTTCTCGCCAGGCCATGCGCCAGCCCGACCGTGAACCATGGGACTGGGAATGGACCATTTGCAGGCTGGCTGCTGGGGCAGCATTGACAATCCCATGCGGTGGAGCTCCACTCTCACGAGTCTCACGAGGATGATCGCCTGGATGGACGGCTGTGTCTCGACTGGCGCATTCCTACCCGCGGAAGAGAAGAGCCAGGCTTGCCAGGCAGCTGCCATGCCATTGGATTGAGTTCACTAATGATACGCCGGCGCCATTCCCACCGGCTCCGACGGCCTGCACTAGCAGACACCGAGTCGGCTGGCCCCCGTGCTCGGTTGCCTCGAGTTGACTGGTTGCGTGTTTCACCGGGACGAGAGCAGCAATGCGAGGTATGTAGGGACAGTGGCAGCCCACGGTTCTTGCTTGCTCGCTTGCTGGTCTGGGGCTGTTGTCGTCGGTGGCCTGACAGGTGCGAAGCTGCGAGGTGTGTGAGAGCTGCGAGAGCTGTGAGCTCTTTGTTTGTGCAAGCACTTGGATGGAACCTTCTCCCCCTCAGCATTTTCTAATACGGAGTATTGTCAGAGACGCCACGGGAGGTGGGGCTGAGCTCGCTCGCACCCCTTCCCAAACAGCACCCACGTACGGGCCCACGCTCCCACACGAGCTTGACAAGCTCTCCCGCACAAGAAACAGGTCGCCGCTTCTCTGACCAGCCATGTGCTTCTTGGTCAGGACTCCCTCCTTCCAGCCTGCCCCGGCATTGCCATCCCCCGAGCTGTGGCACGCTGCGGCACGGCTTCCAATGCCGGTGGTTTTCATGACTCTCTCCCAGTAGCAAACATCCAGACATCTTGACACAGGCTGGTCAGCCAGTCAGCTGGCACCCGGCGGGTTGACTTGAAGGGGGCTGCCGATCGTTATCGTCATGTTTGCGAGCCACGGCAGGTAACCTGGTTACCTGGGCTTCCGTTGACGTCCACAATAAGCCCCTTCCAGACAGATATTACCAGTCACTTTTCCCCAGAGCCCAGGTAGCTCTACTGCCGTTCCGGCACCCGAGGCCCCCCCCCCTGCAGCATCTCGCTCCGTCTCTTGGCAAACACGGGAACGGCTTGAAACTCCCCGACACCCGCAGCGTCGCCTTGCACTATGCCACTTGCGGCCCGCCAACGTCGTTGAATCTCTGCCAAGAGCTGCGACTAGCATACTGATGTATGGGGCAAGCTCCCTGGTATCGTTGACCAATTGCGCCAGATCCTCACGCTTTATCGCCACCTGTGTCCACACCTGCGGCAGCTCCATGGCCTAGCCGTCCGGCTTTTCTTGCAACGACGTTCGACAGCAAGGCTTCGACGCAATGCTGGCTGTCTCGCCGTCAGTAGCCCTGACTGACGACATCTGCCCTATGTTGCGTCCAAGCTTCCCTCACGGCGCATCGATGGTGCTATTTTTGGCCCCCCCTCTGGCACGCACGCCTCAGCTTCTGCAAAACGGGCTGAACGAGTTGCGTCTTGGGCTTGGTTGAAGGAGGCACGGCTCCAAGAGCTGCACATATGCCAAAGGCATCACCCACCTGCTGCTTACGGGTCAAATAACGACGTTCCACGACTCGTGATGACGCGGGCTAGTGCCCGTCATCATTGGGCTTGAAAGCCAGGAATGCGGCACGGCTCTGCGCTAAGCACGCGGTAGTGCCCACCCTCCATCGTGCATTTCTTTGTTCAGAAACAGAACGGGAAGCCATCGTCAAGTGACACGGGCTGAAAGCGGCTGGGCGGCGGCACCTCTCCCACCCCCGTCTTTGTGTGCTGGACCCCAAAGAGAGGTAGCATCACCAACGCAATCAATATAGTCTGTTGGGCTCTTGGACACGCTCCAAACCCAACCAACCCCTCAACAATGCCTCCCGATCCCAGCCTGTGAGCTGAAAACTGAAAAGTGATACTATCTGAACATGGACACGGCTCATCACGATGATGCAGGTCTGGTCAGGGGCCTGGGAATCGTCATGGACGCCGATTTCGCACCGCCAAAGCATTCGGCTGACTATGAGGCAAGGCCACTGCCGGCGATCCCTCCAAGGACGTCTTTCTCCATCCCAGACATGAAGGCTGTGTTCAAGACATCAAAGAACAACTTGACCAACAGACATGTATACGACTGGGACAGGCAAGTTGATGATATATCACTCAATACGGATTGCCGCACCGGAACACCGCGGAGCCGCTCTCTGCCCGAGAATGATGGGAGCAGTATCCCAACGACGCCGTCCAACGAGATACTCTCCCCGCAGCCGAGGCATAGCAGGCAGAAGATACTACGACTCACTGGCAACATCAGCCCCTCTATGGCTCTGGCCTCGTTCGAACCATCGCAGCATAACTCACAGCAGAAGATCAAACAAATCACCGGGTTGGATGTAGGCCCCAACATCTCGAGCGAAAGCCCATCGAATCCGCTGCTGCATCCCTTCCAAGATGAAGTGTCACCCGTGTCGCCGAGTGAAAGCACCTACTCTGTGGAGGGCCTCGAGGCGACAATCAGCGAGCCCGACTCGGAATTCTCTGATTACACCCTGCACAGCGACGCCAACGGCGTGACGACACAGCTTACCGCACCCTCCTTCAGTGCGTCCCCGAGCCGGCCGGTCTCGACAGGCCCAGAATCCCCTCCCACAAAGGTCCGACTGAGCAGCTTTGCTATGCGGGAACCAGACACGGACGGCCAGCGCGAGCCACTAACAGATTTCAAGGCCCATTACCGACGTGGCAGCAACAGCAGCTTCTGGGCGTCGTCAAGGAAGAGCTCGGCCACCGTCGTCCCACACTACGCCAGTGGCAGCAGCGACACGATCAAGTTCAGCCCGCGCGCCTCAGTATCCACAACCAGCGTCGTTGATGCTGGCTTACCGTCCCCCTTGTTCAAGCAGCGCAGTCTGGTATGGGACAACAGCCCAGTCGAACACCAGACGGCCGAGACCGGGCACGACCAGGCCTCGCCGTCCTCCAGCCCATCGCCTCCTCATGCCTCCTCGACGTCCTTGGTTAACGTCAAGCCAGCAAGCCTTTCGGACCGCCGCACATCCAATAGGGGCCGCGTGCCTCCGCCGCTGGAGCCAAACGGCGAGCACCCCGTGAAGCCGCCCCGCAAGTTTAGCCCTCCCCAGCGGACGCCTTACCCACCCCTGCCCCCGCCGCCGACAGTAAATTACAGCGCCTTCGACGCCGACTCGGACGACGGGAAGCGTACCTCGTTCCTGGGCAAGGTGTTCCGCGGGGGCGCCAACGCCAGCAGCCACAGCATCACCAGCAGCTACAAGCGGCGTTCGCGCGGGCCCCCGACGCCCTCGGAGCAGAACTTCGTCTCTACCACCTCCCTGCCCTGCGGCGGCGGTGGGTTCAGCAGCACAACCTCGCCCCTGTCCCCACCGCCCATCCCGGAGTCCCACCCGCAGCGGCCCCAGGGGCGGGATACGCCGCGGTCATCGGCCGAGGGAGGAGGCGCACGTGGGGGGTCCCAGGGTGCCGGGGGCAGGCCGCTGTCGGGTGGGGCGGGGCTGTTCCAGCGGGCGCGGCAGAGCGTGGGCCTGCGGAGCAGGTCTGAGAAGCGGAGGAACACGCTGAAGGGCAAGATCGGGGCTATTGAGACGTAGTGTCCCGGGTGGGGGAGGGAAGCATTGGCGCTGTGCGCGGTTGCGAGGTTCTTGTACGATATTAGGCGGTCGGTAAAATTGTAATCCTGCGTAATATATTCCATACCTCGAGAGTAGCATCATGACTATGTATGCCCTCGGACGTATACGGAATAGAAGCGAAACCACATTGTTCTCAGCGTTGCATAGATCCTGAGACGTCATGCTCATCGTTTTGTGTACATGAGGCAAACTGCTAGATACTACGGAACGGTGCCTGGCATGACAAGAGTGCGGTTGCCTGAATAGTGGTGGGATGGATGGCAAGCTCTCAAGTAGCACCTCCTATACCCATTTCTCACATTCCTCGTGAGCAGCTTACCTAGGGAATTCCAAAGAACAATATCATGGTCACATTGGTGAGAATATTCACTTTCCAGCTGGTCATGATTATCAAACTTGGAGTGGATGTACTTGGTAAATATTCTGATCTGACAGAGGACAGGTACACGGACAGGTTGCTATGAAAAGAAAAAGTAAAATACAAAATACCCAGCAGTAGAAATGTTAACGGAACTGGTTTCGCTTCTATTCCGTATACGTCCGAGGACTTGTCATAAACACTATGTCCCAGGCAAGCACAACTGACCGTACAGCCTTTAACCCAATACTTTCTTACCATGGGCTGGCTGAGTGGCATCAACCAGAATCTGGGCGGGCACACGAGAAGCATGGGCTTAAGTGAAGGCTTTATGTGTCAGTAGGTATTATGAGTATGGGCGACACAGCCCATTAACTAGACATTCAACGAAAGTACATATGTAGCAGTGAATAGTCAGTAGGGCTATACATAAATAAGTACTTGGTGGCTTACTTGGTGGCTTCCTGGACTCGGTCAGGCCCGGCTACACGCGTGCCCGTACCAACCAGACCGGAGTGGCCCGATTCCAGATTTAACAAAAGGACACTGCCGCCCATGCTAGCCAGTGGTTGCATAATTTATTCCAATATTCACAAAAGGTCCGGACGACGGTCGGAAGTCAAGATTGACGGAAGATATACATGTCGCTGCCACCGGTCGATGGTGATAAAGGAGAACGGCCATGCACAGTGCATACCACACCACTGGTAATCAGAATTCGCTTGCCCTTCTCTGGAGCACATATTTCCTCACCCGCAGTCACCACTCTCACAAACATGGCCAGGTCATATTTGCAACCGAAGCAAAATGACGGGCGAGAACACCAGTCACTCCCCAGCCCCGTCCTTGTCGTCGGCGGATGTGGGTTTCTTGGTTCACACCTAGTCAAAGCCCTCCTCAGCGATCAATCGACTGATACTGCCCAATATCAAGTACACGCCCTCGATATCCGGACAGACCGCAACCGAGTCCAAGGCGCCGCTTATCATAGCTGCGACATCACGTCTGCAGATCAGGTCAAATCAGTCTTCCTCGCGACCAAGCCAAAGGTTGTCTTTCACGTTGCGTCTCCGGACCCTCTATCTCACAACAATGCCCTCTTCCAGCAGGTCAACGTCAAGGGCACACAGAACCTGCTTGAAGCGGCAAAAGCCGTCCATACACAGGCATTCATATATACATCCTCATTCTCCGCCGTCCACAACCACACAGATGACATACGGGATGCCGATGAGAGCCTGCCTGTCCTCAGGTACCCAGCACAACAAGACACATATACCCTGACCAAGGTTGCGGCCGAGGACAAGCTCCGTGCTGCCAACCGGGCGGATGACTCGTCCTTGTTAACAGCAATCATCCGTCCAGCAGTTGTCTTTGGCGAAGGGGACTTCCAGAACTTCTGGTCTCTTGTCCAGAGGGCCCGATCTGGGCGGGCCAACTTCCAGATCGGAGACGGTACCAACCTCTACTCGTACACATACGTCGGCAATCTTGTCGATGCCCACCTGCTTGCGGCCGAAGCACTGGTTCGTGCTCATGGGAAACCGCCGCCGCCGGCTGAGTCACGTGTAGACGGCGAGGCATTCTTCATCACCAATGACGAGGACTGGCCGTTCTGGGATTATCAACGAGCCGGCGCTGCTTCGGTGGGGTATCCCGTCAGGAAGGATGATATCAAGGTTATCCCGATGTGGTTGGCCCTTGTTGTGGGTTTGGTGGTCGAATGGGTAGTCTGGCTTATATCCCTCGGGAAGAGACACTCGGTTCTGAGCCGGCAGGCTGTGCGGTATAGCTGTATCAACCGGACCTTGAGATGCGACAAGGCCAAGAGGGTCCTTGGGTATAGACCGAAAGTGTCTATGGCCGAAGCGATTGGGAATACGGGTGCCTGGTTCGTCCAGGAGTTCCCCGAGGCCGGAAAGACTCAGAAGACTGTCTAGGGACCTAGGAGCGTGGGTTTTATCATTGCAGTTGGGTCACTTTGTGGGTGTGGCTGCATGGAAGTATACTAGGTACTTAAGTATGCTGGGGACTACATAAGTATATGACGTATTTTATTCTCTTTATACTGTTATTGGCATTGTAATCTTTCAACGCTAGGTCTTGAGTGTTTACTCTTATATATATGGGGGAGAAACGTATAACCGAGTACTTATTAAGCCCACAAAGTGCGGATCAGCCACAGCAGGCTACTGAGCCTATCCTTGAGTACCTAGGTATTGAGCTGGGCATCTTTTGGAGAGCTATATTAAAGCGCCCCAAACACCATGCCACGCCATGCCACGCCACGCCACGCCATGCCACACCGCATCAATTGTTTCATGCCGTTGCACCTTGCGGAATAAATAATCTCTCAGTCAGTTCAAGCCACGTTCGGCACGGTCGAAAGGGGTATGCCGGCTTGCCATGGCCCTTTTTATTAAGCCTCCGCAGGGAGTGAGGCGGCGGGGTTCAGTTTGAGTGGCTGACGACGGGTCGACGGACGGGACGGGCTGGCCAACTCGGTCAAGGATGAGCCCAAGGGCCGATTTCATGCTTCACTAATTACTAATTACATACACACAGGACCACAGGACCACAGGACCGCGTCCCCTCCTCCCTCCTCCGGATGACGGATGTTGGGTCGGTGCCAGTGCCGGGCCCCGAGCCGAGCAGCAGAGCAGGCGACCCCACTGGCCCTCTGTGCTGCAGACTGCAGTGGTGCTGCACCTGCATTTTCTCCCCACAGTGTACATGCCTCGGACTGACCACCTCGGAAAGCTTGGTCTTCCTCTCTTGAGCTTCAATTCCGGCACTGCAGCCAGGTCGACCCTCCTTTCTGTTGCCAGCCTGGACTTGGGCTCCCCTTCGACGACTTGCATCTCTGCCCCGAGCCCCCTACCTTCCCCGCGGTACCTGTCGCTGCGTAGCACCGCAACTGCAACCGCAGACCGCAACCGCATCTGGCATCTGGCATCTGGCATCTGGCATCTGGCATCTGCATCTGCATCTGCATCTGCGCTGTGCAGCACAAGACATCTTGGCTGAGCGTAACACCACCGTCGACCCCCTTTCGCCCTCGCCGACCCCGACGCCGTCACCCGCCGATCCGCCGACGCCCGGTCCCACGGCCCAATTCCGAACCTGCCGCCATCCACACCGACGACCTCTGATCTGATCACTGCCCCTCGCCTGCCTGTACCCGGTGCGCCGCCGCTCCTGACATGCCGGAGAAGCCCTTAACGGTCGCTGCCTATGCGGCCGGGGCGTCTCTGGCCGCCGCGACTCTCATCTATGTCTTTGCGCCCACCTACTTCCTCGACGCCGATGCCGCCTCCTCTGGCTCCAGCAACTTCCTCACCGCCGGCGGCCGCAAGAAGGGCGTCATCGTCGGCCTGGTCAACCCCGCCAATGACTGCTTCATCAACTCCATATTACAGGCCATCGCCGGCCTGGGCGACTTGCGCGTCTACCTGATCCGCGAGATGCACCGTCGCACCATTGACGATGGCTGGATATATACCCAGGCAGTCCCGAGAGACTTCAACGAGTACGCCGACGGCGACAACGAGCACACAAGGTCCGAGCCCGACTGGAAGATAGAGGGCCAACAGAAGGGCCTCGTCACCCAGGGCCTGAAGGAGATGCTTGACCAGCTGAACGAGAGGCCCATCTACAGGAAGACCATCTCCGCCGCGCCCCTCGTCAAGTGCCTCGAGGATGCCTACCGTCAGCGCATCAGCAGGCAACAACAGGATGCCCAGGAGTTCCTACAGGTCCTCGCCGAGAGGCTATGCGACGAATACCACGCCGGCCACAGGGCGAGGCGCTACGCCAGGTGGAAGGTCGGCCTGGAGAGCTCCAGCGGGCAGCCCCTCGCCATCAACGGCGACGCCTTCAAGCAGAAGCTGTCAGAGCTGGCAGGGCACGAGACCAACGGGCACGGGCACGGGCACGAGCTCGAGCTCGAGCCTGAGCGCGGGCCAGGCACCGTCCAGGGCACACAGAGCAAGGTCACCTTCAGCCCCTCCGAGGACGACGACGACGAGGGCTTCCCGATGGAAGGGAAGACAGAGTCGCAGATCGAGTGCTTGAGCTGCGGCTTCAAGCCGAGGCCCACCGAGTCCAGGTTTTGCACCCTCACGCTGAGCGTCCCACACGACGCAGCCTCCACCACACTAAACGCCTGCTTTGACGGCATGTTCAAGACCGAATACATAGAAGACTACAAGTGCGAAAAGTGCAGGCTGGTCCACGCTCAGGACGTATTCCGCGCCGAGATGCAGAAATCAAGGTCCGCAGACTTTAAAAGACAGGCTCAAGAGGCCTTGGACAAATTACAGCACGCAATAGACACGAATCCAGAACTACCACCCGAGGACGTCGTCTTGCCCGACAGTAAGCATGCGCCAAGACGCAAGATTGCCAGGCACACTCGGGTGACCGTGTTTCCCAAGATCCTGGCCATCCACCTCAACCGTTCCATCTATGCCAGGCAGACGTCGTTGAAGAACTCCGCAAAGGTCGCGTTCCCAGAACGGTTACCGCTCGGCGGGCTCTTGCTCCGGAGGAAGTACAAGCTGCTGGGCCTTGTCACTCACAAGGGCAGCCACCACAGCGGTCACTACGAGTCCTTCAGGAGGCAAAACGTCCCGGCCCCCTACTCCAACCCCAACACCTTCCAGGCTTCTGGCATCTACAGCAAGACTGCTAGCCCCATGTCCACGCCTCAGATCCACCCCACGAACGGCACGAAACGCTTCTCCGAGGACGGGACACCACGCACCGCCACCCCTGACCTTCCCTCACCAGCCTCGGGCAGCCCGTCACTGGACTACGCCAACACGACCCGCCGGAGCTCGCCGAGCCTCAATGGCAACGGCAGGGCGTCCTTTAAGCTAGGGCCCACCTCCGCGCCAAAGGAGAAGGACCCCGAGACGAGCAGCCTGAGGTCCATAGCCGCGTCGGCCAAGTCCACAATCTCCAAGATATCGCCGTCCAGGCACGGGAGCGGGAGCGGCGGCAGCAGGGCGGGGACCCCGACGTCGAACGGGCCCGCGACGACGGGGTCGGCGCACACCACCGCCAGGCCGCCGGCCAAGAAGCAGAAGCAGGACCGCTGGTGGCGCATCAGCGACGAGAAGATCAAGGAGGCCAGCACGCGCGAGGTGCTCGGCATGCAGCGCGAGGTGTACCTCCTGTTCTACGAAATCGAGCGGGACGGCCTGTAGGACGGCCGCCCCGGCCGCCTCCGCCTCCTCGACAGCGAGGGCGGCACGCTCGGGTCCTCGCTGTACCTCCGGGGCGACAGCTACTGCGGCTCGGGCACCGACCTCGACCTCGACCTCGGCGCCGGCAGCGACGAGGACCCGTCGGGGTGCATCCCCTGCAACCTGGCGAGGAAGCGCCTCCGCGCCGCGGCGAACGCCCTGAGGCAGCGCCGGCTGTCGTGGTCGTCCGCCAGGGACCACCGGTACCGCCAGCTCCACGAGGCGGCGTGGTCGGCCCCCTGATGGGGGGGGGGGGCGGTTTTGATGAGGAGGGGTCGCGGGAGTGCGCGAGCGTGGGTGCGTACATGTGCGTGGGTGTGTTTGTCGCTCGCGAACTGCATTGCATTGCATCATTTGGAAAGAAAATCACTGGGTTCCATCCATCAGCATCAACTAGAGCAAGAGAGAGAAGAGATTTATGTTCAGCCAGCATGGGGCCGGGCCTATGGGTTTTATGGCCCGCTTCGACCGGGAGGGGCTCGTAGCTTGTATAAAAAAGTACTTTATGAAAAGGCTTATATGAATGAAGTCATGCATTTCACCGGCCTCATTGGTAGTTGTATGTCTGGCTGTGCCTTGTGTTGCGAAGCGGCTGTGCGGTCAGCCGTGGTTCTCAAATTACGTGTGGACGATCCGTACTGGACCGCAGGTAAGACCATTCTTCCATGGTGGTGAACTTTCCAGCAGAGCGGGCAAGTATGTGGTTGTGGTTTCGCTTCTATTCCGTATACGTCCGAGGACATACATGGCGCCTTCATATGGTGGTAAACACCGCTCTCTAAACAATTCATGGATATTGGTTCCGACACGAACTCAACATGGGCATCTCCAGCATTCAGCAATGAGTTCAGAAACATTTCGCCCCTCGAGATATTGAGTGGAACTTGATGGCTTGCTCGGTGATCGATAAAGATGGAAAGGACACAAGAAATAGCATTGTCTTACTTGTTGCTGCTAAGCTTTGCGGAATGCTATTTTTAGACTACATAGAACCGCCGCTGAGTGGGTCCCAGCAACGCTGACCCATCTGGTGCCATGATAGCGGATTACAACAGGATCTTCCGTGCCGATATTCATATACGACTCGGAGCGTCTCGTGTTCTGTTCTGATTCCAAAGCATGCTTAGCTGCTCGAGTACCTCTTTGATACCTAGGTAGTTCCAACACGTTTGAATTCACAAACGGACTACCAAAAATGCCTCCTATCAATGCAACACTTTGGCGACCCATCGCGCTCATCTGGGCCATGCTGTTCTTCCAAGCTTTTGGAGTCATGGTCTCGATCGCGCCGCAGACGCGCCTCTTTGAGGATATCGCCTGCCGACGCTATTTCGGCAGCGGTGACCAGCTGGACGAGGAGCTCTGCAAGGACACGGCGGTTCAGGACGTGGTCAACGGGCTGTTTGGGTGGCAGCTGTTCTTCGACGGGATCCCGGGCCTTGTCATGGCCATGTACTACGGCGCGATGGCGGACGAAGAGGGGCGCAAGCCTGTCCTGATGCTCTCGCTGGTTGGACAGGCACTTGGAGCTGCCTGGATCCTCTTTATATGTATGTGCCCCCGGGTTCTGTGTGCTGATGAATGTGCCCCCATTAATCTAGTCCATAGCACTAGTACTGTTTCGCTGACAATATCTGTAGGCTGGATCCGGGTCGACCCGCGGTGGACTTGGCTGTCATCTGCGTTCTACTTCATCGGTGGAGGCGGAACGGTATTCAACGCAGCAGCTATGATGATCCTTACTGATGCGTCACTTGAGTCGTTCCGGTAGGGAGGTTTTTTTTGTGCCTGAACTGCTGTCCCTTGGCGGATGCTGATGTGCGATGTGTTCTAGTTCCAAAGCATTTTTCTACTCCCACGGCGTCACAATCCTTGGAGAGATGCTTGCCCCACCGCTAGGGGCCTATCTAATGGAAAAAAGTCTTTGGGTACCCATAATCATTGGATTTGTATGCCTTCTGCTCGCTGTGTGGCTCACAGTCTTTATGCCTGAGACCCTTTTCGTGGCTGTCACCACAGACCAACAAGATGAGAGAGGGTATCAGGCTATCACGACAGGAGCCGACGGGCCTCCGGAATCTCGGGGCATCAAGTGCGAGTTTGACATCAAGGGCCGGCTCGAGGCGGCTACCAGGCACACCTTGTCGACATTAGGCTCTGTCCTGAATCATCGGAATCTCGTGTTGCTCATGGCTGGTTTCTTCTTGACCGACTTTGCGCAGCAGTCTCTCACGGTCCTGTTACGTTATGTGTCAGCACGATATTCAGTGTCACTTGCCAAGGTAACTACCTCCCGAGGTCCCCCTTTCGAATCTGTCATGTGCAAATGATCTGTATCTGAATCCATGTTGCAACCATCATCATGCTAACTGGAAGTCCTGTCGAATTGCAGGCCAGTTACTTGTACTCTTTCCAGGCCTTTGGACAAATGATAGCATATGGCATCGTCCTTCCCCTCCTTGACACTACACTGGTCAGCCAGGTCGGACTCTTGCCTCGTATCAAGGATCTTTACCTTTCCCAACTGAGTGCCTTGATCCTTGCCTTATCTTTCGCTGTGATAGCTTTGGCAGCGAGGCTTGACTTTGTCTTTGTCGGTAGGTCCACACCTATGCACCTCCTAGTGGAATATGGCCGAGGTTGTCAACGGCCATGTCTAACATGCTCTTACAGGTATTGCAATCTACACCTTGGGAACTGGCTTCCATTCCTTTGCACGGTCCCTGGTCAGCTCTCTTGTCGACGTAGATATGATTGGTACAGTGTTCACCGCACTGGCAATCATGGACACCCTGGCCATTCTCTTGGCAGGTCCTGCCATTGCCGCAGTTCTGAAGCTGAGCATGCGGCTGGATGGTGTTGGCAAAGGATTGCCTTATTTATTGGCATTTCTTTTGTGTGTAATCACAGCCATTTTTCTGGCTCAAGTGCGTGTCAAAGAGTCAGCTTCCCGCGACGTACTGGAGGATGAGGAGCAAAGACTTTTGCCAGGCGGCGAGGATGAGCGTCGCAACGAAGGACCAGCTTCGCCATAGCGCTGACTTGAACTGCGTCATGGTCAGACGGATTTTTAAGTTCATGGTCTAGAGATTTTGGCTACGATATCTCAGCACATGGCAGGTGTTGGTGGATGGCGACGAGCAGAGTAATCTTTGGTGGTCTCTGCGCAAGATCAAAAGAATCAGCAGCTGCATTTATTGGGTATCGCGGCACGGAAGAAAAGACCAGATCTCAAATGAGAACTCTCCAAACGCCTCCTCTTGGCCACCATTAAAACAATCTGGACCCTGCCACTGTCACACTCGACCATGCAGCTCCATGCCTTCATCATACAAACACAGAGTCGCCGTCATGACACACCGGGGCCCAGGCGGCAGCACTTTTCCCTGACGCCAAACCAAACCAAAAAAAGAAATCACTCTTGACGCATCCAAACCGATAGATGGATGGCCGGAGGACAGCGAAAACCTCCTGAGATAGCGCAGCCGCGAGCCGAGCCACCACCTCCACCGCTACTGCCCCATCCGCTGTCGCTGCGCGGCTGGTGCATCTTCTTCACCCTCTGACGAGGCACCTCGGCGTCGACGGCGCGAGCCCTGTGTGTCGACAGCCTCCTGGCGCCGCCGGATCTCCAGGTCGTTGGCGACGACCTGGGCGTCCGCGACACCGCCCAGGCCGCGGCCGGCCCCCTGCAGCGTGTTAGCCGCAGCGGTCATGTCGAGGGCGGCACGTTCACCGTGGTCGCGGCGCACGCACGCAACAGTCGCGTCGTCCCGTAGGTTGCGCCGCAGCGCCTCCGTGCCGGGGACCACGGCGGCGGCGGGGGTGGCCGGGGTGGACGGCTCGTCCAGCTCGGCTGACAGGGTGGAGTCTACCGCCGACGAGGCCTTCGAGAAGTTGCGCTTCCTGCCTCTGCCTGGCAGCGTATCTGGCGAGAGTCCGGCGTGGGCAGGCTCTTTGCCCTTGCCCTTGCCCTTGCCCTTTCCCCTGGCCTTGCCTCTGTTTATGCCACCGCCGATGTCACTAACGGTACCGTCGCTATCACCGTCGTCGTAGTCATCATCCGGGCTGGTCTGCCACGTGAGACCCAACTGGGCCCAGCGGGCCGCCCAGCGGGCCGCTGTCTCGTCGTAGTGGTTGGGCCGGCCGGCGAACATGTCACGCGCGAGCTCGGGGATCCCGAAGGGCCGCCGCGCGTGGCCTACGACACTCGGAGTAGGGGCGTAGGCCTCGCGGAGCTGCAGCCGGGATGCCCGGGCGTAGGGGTCGGGCTCGAGAAAAGGCGGGGGCGGAGCCGTGGCTGAGTCTGTCGCGTGGTCTTGGTCCTCCAGGACGCTCGAGGCAGTGGCGGGAGGAGTTCTAGTGACGACAACACTCTCGGGGATGGGAACATGGGAAGATGGCTCCGCTTGTTGCTGGGCTTGTTCCGCGGTCTGGCTCCTCTCATGCACCACTGGCTGAGCCCCGGGTTGGTCCCGTACCTGCCGTTGTGGTTGCTGAACCCAGGGCTGGAAGTGTTGCAGCGTATGCGGTTGCTGCTGAACTTGGCCCCGTTCTCCCTGCGATATTGACAGAGCTTGGTTCCAATGCGGTCCATTACCTGAGGGTTCCCTTGCCGGGGCTGCATGTGCCCCCGCCCACGGCTGCCGTGTATGCTCGTTCACTTGGAATGGGTGTTCTTGGAGGGAGGAGTGCTTTCCGCGCTCCATAGGCTTGTGCTCTTTCTGCTTCTGCTCATTGCTCGACAGGTCATCGGACTGCTCCACATGCCCATGAGGCGTTGCATGACGAGCTTGGAACCCTCGCTCAAATTCCTCAAAAAAAGGGACTTGCAGACCCTGTTGTGTCGAAGGTTCGCCCGGCTGTCCACGAGGGTGACCCTGTTGGTGAGGTGGCAGCTGAGGGGCGTATGGGAAGGAGTTCCCGCCATAAGGTTGGCCAGTAAAGGGAAAATGACCAGGCACAGGCTGACTACGGGGCACATTGCCTTGTGGGACATATCCTCTCTCATTGTACATTCCAGGCGGCTGGGGAACGTGTTGGTGAAAACCTGGGCCAGCGAAACCAGGTGGTGTATGGGTCGACGAGAATGGGAGGGGCTGACGGCCTTGGAAGCCTCCAAAATTGTTTGGTACCGGGTAGCCGCTGTGAGGAAACTGAGGGCCAGGTGGTGTGTGAGGAAATTGAGGACCAGGTGGTGTGTTAAGTCGAGGAGGTAGTTGACCGTAGATCGGTCCCATAGGCATGACAAGTCCCCCTTGGATTGGAGGCTGGCCAGCAACAAACGGTAGCATACCGGGCGGCATCGTCTGAGCCGTAAACGATTGATTGTATCCCTGAGGCACTCCAGGGCGGGCTGGACCGAACTGGAAACTTCCATGGCCGTGGACGTCGCCGGCTTGCCCATGATTGCCGGCAGGAATGTTGAATCCACCACCATAGAACGAGTCCATATTTTGCGGGGGTCTGGAGTGCATGGTCTGAAATTGAGGACCAGACTCGTAATAAGCACTGGTGTTGTGACCTGATTGTTGTTGTTGTTTCGGTTGACGCCTCCCAGGCCTGGTCTGGCGTCGCCCCCGATTTGAAGAAGCAGAGGGAGGGGAAGAGTTTGACTCGCTAACAGAGGTTGTCCTGTGGTGTGTCGTACGCTGGGGTCGAAGGGCCTTTCTCCAGTCCATGTTGTCAATGGAATCTTGATCCATTCGGTGCTTTTCGTCGTTGTTCAGCTTTCCCGTTTCGACACACTCTCGGCAGATATGCATGTTGCAGTCAACACACTCTTGAAGGCCATCGATGTTGCCCTTATTGCAGAAGTCACACCGCATAGTCCTAATGACTGCAAGCTTGAATTTCTTGTGAGGAGCCATCGTGATTCACAGAACGGGAGACTGGTTTGAGAGGATAAATGGTGGGAGAGCGAAGGTTTTCGAGTTTCGGAGCCTATCTCGAGGGAAGGAGGGTGTTAGACTTTGCCAAAGCACAAGATAAGTAGATTACCGTGACTGCTCACGCACAACAACAGTGAAAGAAACAGGCAGAGGGGCAGAAGACCATACCAGAAGGAAAGGGGGGCAGGACGAGACTTGTGCACACAGTTCTGTCGAATCGAAGAAAGCAGTATGTAGTTGGTCATATCAGTGTTGATATTTATGCCGATGCCAATGCCAATGCCAATGCCAATGTCCGTGGTGATTGACTTGCTATGTTGCTCCCAGGCAGCTGGTGTGGTTGAGGTGGACAGACCCAAGCGGTGACTAACCAAGAACAATTGAGAATCTGGAGTAAATGTAGGCTGTAGACTTCAGTATCTCAGTTATGAAATCACATGCGACTCTGGGTACCAGGGAATCAAGTAATTTTAGAAGAAGGTGTGGGAAGCCCACAAAGTGCTAGGATCTGCGTGGTGTTGACTGTGGATGTACAAATCCAGAGGGCGACTCACCAAGATGCATGTTTGGACTGTGGATGTACAAGTCCAGAGGGCGACTCACCAATATGCATGTTTGGACTGTGGATGTACAAGTCCAGAGGGCGACTCACCAAGATGCATGTTTGGACTGTGATGAACTTGTTGAAGGGAAGTTACAAGAACGAGATGTAGGTGGAAAGGAAAGAGCAGAGGGGCTTTTTGTTCTTATCTGCAGCGGCCTCCAGCAGCGTCTCCTGCTGAAGCTGTCGTGACTTGCAAATAATTGTTATACATAATCAACATGAATTTCACCATGTTCCCTAGTCTTTCTAGAACCTCACTTGTCATTCCGTCCAGTGACATACCGACTGAAAGTTGGGATGAATTCCAGGCCGTTCTGCTGTTCACAGTCAGGACCCACACTGACAGGTGCAAACAGCCCTAGTGAGGATCGGATGGCAAAGCCAACACTCACTGCGGACCCATCCCTGTGCTCTTGCCAACCAGTTTCCCATAGATTTGCAAGCCACACATGGACCTGACAGGTGAACCTTGGAATCTTTGTGGACAAACAATATCTGTTGAGCTGATTCCGTTGGTGAATTGACAAGTCTTGCCTGCCAGTTGGTGGCAGCTCACATTTTCCCTTCCCTGTTCCCATGTAGTAAATTTGCAGACACAAAGCGCCATCAAGATGCATTAGGCACATGAAAAGCTTTGAGAAAATCCGGCCTGCATTGTGAAAACAAACAAGAACTTAGTCTCATTGATCATAGAAGATGAGCAAGTTGGTGTTGATGTTCTCAAACAAACCTGGAATTGAAAGTGAGTTAAATTCCTACCTAGGTACACACAAATGTGAAAGCCAAACCAAGAGCACCTGAGCCCATGACTTCCTGCTGTTTCCAAAATGATACCCGTGAGGCTGGATTGCATGTATTTCAGGTTTCATATTTGAATTTCCAGTTGAAGAGAAGCCGTCCTTGATTTTATTGATTGATTCTAGTGGTAAAGAGCAATCTGCTGCCCTGGATTCAGTACATTTGAGATGTACAGTCCAGCACACAATAGGTTACCCCACAACCAGTTCAGAGCACACATTGTCGGATGATGAGCTTGGGCACAGATAAGGTCATGTTTGCTTGAAATTCTACCGAAGCATTGGTTCAGCTGTGCATATTGAGATGCTCCGGAAATTCTGAGGCCGGTCAGCAGTTACATGCTGTTGCTTTCTAAGCACAACATTCACATACTAGGTGAATGTAAAGTGCTGATGACGTCTAGGGCGAACTGACCCTGACTTAGTGTCCTCTGTATGTATCTTGGCAAGCTAGACTTGTAATTGATGCCAAGTACCCAACCTTCCTTCCTGTTATCTGTTCATCCACTCTCTAGTTCTGCTGATTTCTAAATCGGCAGTCTATTCAACTCCCCCGGGTAGCATGGCTCTATTTAAACTTTATATGCGATAGTGACTCCGCTTGAGTTCTGATGAGGCGCTGCATGCAGTCTTGAGAAATCAAATAAAGCTACCTGGGTGTATGTACTCTCTTAGTGCTGCATTGGTGCCTACCCATGTGCATGGACTACCCAAGCAGCAACGACCCACTCTGTTGGTGGGGTAGGCAGTTCACGGGGCAGCTCTAGAGCTTACTCTGAACATACTGTTGCCTTGTGCTTTTAAATCAAAAGAGTGAGGCAGGAGAAAGGGAATAGATCCTGGTCCCCCTAGTTCGACTCCATTGGCCCGCCTGTGACCCAAGAACACACCTACAATCCTTCAGACAGGGCCGAATGACGTCTTGTAGTTATTGATATTATATGCGACCCAGAGATAAGTATTTCAATGTGGTTGTCGCCCGGCCCACATGACCATCCAATTCTGCAACATTTTCCCACCTTCAAGCACTGCTGTAAACGGACGAGGAAGTTCAGGACTGGCGGTATGATGATCTCGGCCTTGTTTATAAGCATGGCTGCCGGCCTTGCGGCCTTCGCCAACGGACAGGCAACCCAGCCGGTCTCTTCCATTCCCTCGGGAGCCCCCGTGGTTGATCTGGGATATGTTTCCTACTTGGGTTCCACCAACGATACATCCGGCATCACATACTATAGGGGTATCCACTATGCCCAGCCGCCGGTGGGAGCCCTGAGATGGCAGAAACCGCGGCCTATCGAACAGGCCAACGATTTCGAGGGCGCGACCCTGAATGCCACACAGGCAGCGCCATCCTGCTACCAGAGCGCGCCGGAGAGCTTGTTGCTTGGCGGGCTGGGCTCCCTGCTTACAGTGTGTTCTCTTTTTCCATTTTCCCCCATCGTGTGGTGGATATTAAACAGAATTGATACAGGAATCGCTGGGGGTACCTCAGTCGGAAGACTGCCTGGTGCTCGATGTGCTGGTCCCCAGTCGTCCGCAGTCCGACTCGTTGCCGGTCATTGTGATGATCCACGGCGGGGGGTATACGCTCGGCGGAGCGCAGAGTTCACCCGGAGATGCCATGGTGCATGCCTCGAACGGCAGTGTCATCTACGTGAGTATCCAGTACCGCCTGGGTATCCACGGTTTTCTCGGAGGGAGCCAGATCGCCAATGACGGCGTGCGCAACGCGGGACTGCTGGACCAGCGTGCTGCTTTGGAGTGGGTGTCGAGGAACATCCATGCATTCGGCGGCGACTCTTCGAGAGTGACGATCGTACGTTGGTTCTATCCTCTCATGATGTCAAAGATTCCATGAAAGTTTCGTCACTGACAACTACATCTCAGTGGGGCCCGTCTGCCGGTGGAGGTTCCGTCACACACCAGCTCACCGCAGGCGGCGCGTACGACGAGCCGCCCTTCTCGGCCGCCATCGCCGAGCATCCTTGGTGGCAGCCACTGCTCAACAGCTCCCAGCAAGAGATCCAGTTCTCCCAGGCGCTCCGCTTGGCCAACTGCTCTTCCGTACACTGTCTGCGTGAGCTGTCGTCAGAGGCCCTAGGCACCGTCGGGCAGGCCGTCCAGAACGCATCGTGGCCCGGCGCTACAGGCTACGGCTCGTCCTATTACGGCCCAGTAGTCGACGGGGCGTTCATACGCGAGCTGCCCGACCAGGCTTTCAAGGCGGGCCGCTTCTACGACGTGCCGCTGCTCGTCGAGCATAGCGCCTACGAAGGCCTCCTCTTCAGCAACACGTCGGAGACGACCCAGGCCGAGCAGGTCATGGACGCCATGGACCTCTTCCCATATGCCGGGCCGGCATTCTTCTCGCGGCTCTACCAGCTCTACCCGGCCTCGGACTTCAACTCGTCCGTCTTCCAGCGCCAGGCCTGGTTCGGGGATTTCATCATCAGCTGCCCGACCTACTACATGGCGTCCCGCGCCGTGGACGTGAGCCGCAACGCGTCTGCCGTCTTCAAGTTGATCTTCGCCGCGGGCACCGAGATCCACGGCGCGACGGGGCCCTTCCTGCAGAACGCAGACATTGAGTGGGCAGGGGCGAACAACCGGACTCTGGCGGAGATCATGACGGCGTACTGGATCAGTTTTGCGGTTACTCATGACCCGAATCCATTGAGGGACGCTCGTGCGCCGTACTGGCCGAGTTATGTCAGTGGTGGCAGTGGCACTGTAGCTGAGGGCGAGAGCGTTGGCTTCTCAACCTTGGCTGTGACGTATGCTAGCATTGGTCCTCAGCAAGACCCTGACATGGGGGCAAAGTGTGATTTTTTTGGAAGCAATGGGCTAGTTGTCAGGAATTAGCAGGGTGTCAATAATGTGATATGGTGTACTCATATGTTGCTTGTCGTGGTAAGTAGTGCCATAACAGTAACGAGGGGTCATTTGTGGAGCAAAAACAGCTGGATTCTGCTTCAAGACGAGAACCAGTGGCTCACACGCTTGACTCCTTCATACTTCATTCGCCAAACCGACAAGCGGTGACCCGCCGAACGAAAGCTGGCTGACTGCTGGGGCATTGCTGACTGGTTTGCTGGGAACGACTCAGCTCAGCCTCGCCCATGGCATGTAGTTGGGTAGCAGAGGAGCCCAGGGTCGGCCCTTTCAGCCGAGTCATGGAAGTAAAACCCGAGAAGACCCATTATGCGATTCAAGCCACTGCCTGCTTTCCTGTCCAGCCCAAAGAATGAAGGGCGTGAAAAAGGGCGCAAACTCGATGATACGTTGGAATTGGGAGCAGGGAGTCCCTCCTTGACTAAGTACCTAGGAAACCCGAAAAATTCTGAAGTTTACCGGGGAGTGCCTGCCCGTCAATGAAGCAATTTACCAAGGCAACGAGTTCCTTGCTCTGGACCCTTATTAGTCTAGCTGTCTAGCCGGTGTGGTGTTGCAGGCTAGCCTTAGCTCCCGGGCGACCCTGAGGACCCTCGAAGTTCCCCAAAGCTTCCCAAAGGGTCCAGGGATCCAAGCTCCGGGGGGGGGGGAAGGTGTGTCAGGAGGTTGGAGGTGGCTGGTTTATGCTCCTAGCCGGCTGCTGCTGGGCGACCTGGATTTGGCGCCGGCGTTGTTACCTTGCTTGAGGGGAAGTGCAACGTGCGGCGAGGCCGGGTTCGGCGAATTGGGCACTGGCATTGGTGAATTCACCCAAGCTTTCAAGAGCTGGCACGGCGAAGCTGGGGGAGGGGAGGCGGGGGAGGGTTTGGTGGTGGCGGGAGAGCGCAGGTTGGCCGGACGCGTGCGCGTTGGCTTGCATGAAGATGATCCTGGGCGCATGACGACCTCACTCGGGGCCGGGCCGCGAAGGAGAAGAAAATAAAGGCCGCCGGCCAACGGGGATACAGGTTTCCAGGTTCCCAAGATATGGGCAGGGGCCAGTTTTGGAAAAGAATGAAACTTCCAAAGGAAGGGTCCTCCAGTTCTTCGCCCCATCTGCCCATCCACCCACGCCTGTGCGCTTGCTTTCTCTTGGCCAGATGAGATTTTCGGATCACTGCAACGGTCTGCAAGGAGAGTTTGATGACGGGCATGGCATGGCATAAATCTGGGTGGTTAAGCCTGTCAAGATACCACAGTAGGACACGAGCTGGCAGGGAAAAGTCGAGGGCAGGGGATGCTGACCATGCTCGCCGATGTAGACGGGCAAGTTTCGGGCTATGATGACGGCCTTGACACCCAGACACCTTGAACGCGGTCCCTGGAATCTCGGGGCAAATTACGAGGTGTGCACAGGTTCGTGCCCGGGAGTGTTCGATAGCCGACCATTTGTCGGTGCCGCCGGGGATCGCATTGTCTCTACAATATGCCGGTTGGACTGTCCTTGACGGCTCGTGGCGGCTATTCACACAGCACCGCAACGACTCAATACGCGCGACCAGCTCAGAAGCCCCTGACCTGGGAGGAGGCGAGAGGCAGGGCTTCAGTCGGGCCCTAACAGATTCAGGGTGTCAGGGTGCCTTGGCAGGGTCCTGAGAGTCGCAGCCGAGGCATGTAGTGTGTGTGTGCTAGCTGATTTCCGTCCAAGTTGATAATGTGCAGGCTGGCAGGCTGGCCGGCAGGCTGGTTTGGCGCAAGTCAAGGCGACCAAGTGCGCCGCCTCATCGAGGTTTGTTTTCTCACCGCCCCTCGCGCCGGCGCTTGCCTGTGTGTGCCAGGTGCCAGGGAAGTGATGCAAAAGTGACCTTTGGCATTGCGGAAGGCGATGGGATGGGCCCGCATGTCGGTCGCATGTTGCATATGTTGCATGCCCACGCTACGTCTGGGTCTTCTGGGGATTCCGAAAAGGGGATCCGGTGACTGCTCAGGGGAATCGTCTGGACCAAGAGGCTCGGTGGGAACCTCAAAAGACGGGTCCGGATCTTTCGGGCGGTGAGCTCCTAGCGCGTGGGCCAGGGACAAGGCGTGCGTGCTGGAACCGTGGAGCCGCGATGAGATCTGGCAGTGTCACATCGACTGGTTCCGAGGCCTCAGACGGGCCCGACACTCGATTTGCAAGTGGGGCGCGCTGGAGAAAGTCAATCAAACTTGGTATAAGATGATTGGTCAATGGGCGAGTCAATTTCCCGCCACGCGTATCCACCGGGTGGAGACGCGTCTTTCCCCAAGACGCGTCTCGCTGCTTGCTGGCGTCCAAGCTCGGGCATCGCACGTCCTCCCCCCTCCTTCCCCCCCTCCGTTCCAAGCTTCTCTTGCTTCTCTGGTCCTGCCCACCCCCCATTGCCCCCCAGGTGGTGACATGACCTGTAGGCCATTCATTCTTGCTATGTGAGCCCATGCCACACGATGCTGATTTGTGCGTCAGGCGCACATGGCGCATAAAATGATTCCAGTAGGCTGTCTCTGTCTCGAGGCAGTGCCCCATCATGCCATCAACTGGTGGTCATGCACTCCACGATGACACGCCCCGTTGCGGATTACAACAGTCACATGGCCGGCGAGGAACCAATGATACGAGTCTCTCTGCCCATGCCGTACCGTGATTAGATGGTATTCATCGCACAAGATAACCTTCTCTAGCACTGATGAGGCCAAGTGACAGATGACACCCCCATGATTTGGCTTGCCCTCGCGCGCGGCAGGACAAGAAATCCTCCGAGCTGCTTACCACAACCCCTCCCCTCACTGGGCAGTCAAAGACATGGCTGGGAGTGAAATTGTGGATGGCTGGGAAACTGCAGGAGGAGGAGGAAGAGGAGGGGGAGGGGAGGGGGAGAAGAGCAAGCCGGGGATATTCAGTCTGCAGGGGCGGATGTAACAGAAGCATCACAGAAGCGGAAGTGGTTGCAGGAGAGGGGAATCGAAGAAACGGGTTGCGGTTCCCGGGGCGCTCCACGATGGAGTCAGGCGCCCAGCTGCGGCGCTGTGCAAATCCCCCGGGCCCCCAGGGAGAGTAACTGTCAAACGCCGGTCCCACCTGGGGACTGACTTACACGCCGTGCAGGCCAGACCTGGAAGGTGACCAAACCGGCCGGCGTGTCGCGGGCATCAACTGTCTAGGACAATTAGCAGCACAGTGCAGTAGCAAGCAAACTTGATGGAGCAAACGTCATGGGCGCATTAACCCCAAGGCTCCATGTACGTCACCCGGCGATGAGCATCATTGATCGCGATGGGGGAAGAAGGGGACGACGAGGATTGAGCTGCGGATAGAAAGAGACGACAAGACGGCACCCTGTCGCCTCGGGCAAGGGTGGTTGCGGTGTATGATCGTGTATCATGACCGTGTATCTGTCTTGCCCGAAGCGGCGGGTTTCTTGCAGGGCTGTTGCATGAAAGCCCAGAGGAACCTGGAGAGTATGATGTAGTGACAGCCATCCCCAAGGCCTGGTGCGATCGACAAATGCGCGATCACATCGGTGGATAGGCTGTTGATGGCGTCGTTTGAGCCAGGTCAAGTGGTCTCGACTGTCGACACGGGGACTGGCTGGCTGGCTGGCTGGCAGGCTGGCTGGCAGGCCGGACCGCATGCTGGACCGCATGCTGGGCCACATGCTGGACCACATGCTGGTTGCCTGTCTTGGTTGGATGGCGAGAATCGAGATTGTAAACTCGAGGCCCAAGGAGATGAATGCGAGCATGGCAAGGGCGCACCAATTTCACGGCTTCCTGGGTTGGTCTGTTGTTAATCTCTGGCATATTTCAACGGCCCACCGACCGAGGGTATCTCGACACGCATGGTGTACATCGACCCGTGCGAGTGCATTCGGGAACACCCTTCGCACGGCCACTGTCATGGGCCAGAACAGTACACTCGGTACTCCGTACACAGCACGGTACCCAAGCAGCCCAGGCCAGCGGGCCCGGCTGTCAGGCTGTCAGGCTGTCAAGGGCGAAGGGCCACGGGAGCAGGCGAGACCGCCAGACCGTCAGGCTCACTCTCTGATGAGACTAGCTTGACTAGAGCCATCGAGCTTAACTAGCCAGGCAAGATTGGCTCGAGAGAAGGGATGTGCCCTCTGCCGTCCAGCAAGGAGGGTATCAGCATCCCCTAAGCGGTAAGGCTCGCCTCTCCATGTTCCGAATCTGATGGGATTGAATGTGTATGTATTGACAGACACGAGAGGAGCATTCTACCACAGTGATACGGCGGGAGAATACGGCGGGAGAGAGGGTGGGAGGGAGAGAGTGAGGTGGGTGTGCAAGCGGGCTCTGGGGGTTGGTGAGAGGGCTGGAGGGTCAGTAACACCAACCACAGACCGACTGTTGTCGTCCGGTTTCCCCTCACCTACACCACAGACATGTACCTTTGTGGATACATGCCTAGGTGTGACGGCAAGTTGAGCGGATGGTAAGCACTGTAGATAACCTGCAGCTGTAGAGCTGCATGATGGGAATGCATCTGCCCCTCTCGATTCGAACGACGCCAGGATGCATTACAGTACAACTGTCCAGGGCGGGGAGGGGGGAGAAGAGGCACAAGGTGAGCAAGGCACAGGTCGGTGTCAGGTACTTGACGTGGCTGCATCAGGACCTGCAGGATAAGAGGCTTGGGGCGGCAGTTCCCACTCCCTGGTGAGACTCGGACTGAGGGAGAGGGAGGGAGGGAGACACAGAGAGAGAGGAGAGAAGACGAGGGATTTCAGGTGTCAGTCATACTGTGGTGGTGGCTCGCCATGTACCTCAACCCAGCTCGGGTACCTTGAGACAGGGACAAGGGCAAGGTCAAGGTCTGAGCCCCCGACCCCCTGTCGAGCGTCCCGCGCCCCACTTGGGAGCCCAGAGGTACAACAGCACCTGCGCCCAAGTGGAGCCGGCCCCCGTCTGGCCCCCCCCCAGTGCCCAGTCGTGGCCAGTACGTACTCTGGGTAACCGGGTCAACTGGGCGTTGCCTGGGTCTGACCCTTATTACGGGCGACTTATTCCCCTCTAGCCTCCTGCGCTCCCGCCCTCTTGTCATCTCAAGTCTCTTTTTCCTGCCTCGCCGCCCGTTTCGCCGCCTCACCACCCCAAACCACACCGACTTTGCTCCCCCATACTCTGCCCTCCCGACGACCGATCCCGACCCAATTCGATCGCAAGACTGCTCCATACACCTTGCGATTGCTTCCAGCCACAGTTGCGATACTCGTTCCCGCCGCGCATCCTCGTTGCCCCCGGCGCATTCGCATTGTTGTTGTGTTGATCCCATCGCATCCTGTCGCAAACCAGTCGCACTCGCCCGCAGCCTTCCCACTCGCCATCGCAGCTTGCAACTGCGATCCCAGCATTTCAAACACATACATAGCCGTTGCGAATCATCATAACATTGCGCGCATCATCGAAAATGCTACTACCGTCGGCGCTGTCCTGCGACCCGTCGCATCCGCGGCTGCAGTCTGCGCTCTTCATCTCGCCACCCTCCAGCCCTCCCCAGCTCTCAACCCAGACCGCAATCGGAAACCTCATCAACTCTTGCCGCAACCTACACACCATGCTCTCGTCACAAATCCCAAACGAGCCGATCCCAGATTCAAACTCCCACCACCTCCCCTCACCGCCACTTGCCAACGCGCCCAGCCCTCTAAGCAAACCTCGCCTTCGCCGTCGCAAGGCTGAGCCATCACCCGGTCCCTCTTCCTCGCTGGCACCGAGCGAGCCCTTGCTGCGATACAGAATCAAGAAGCGCGCACCGCCCAGGGGTGCGAACAAGAGAAGACGAGACGATGACGACGACATGGGCCGAGACGATGAGGACCGTTACAGCAGTGACGAGCATTTCGGCAAGGAGAACGTCAACATCTTCGACATGAACAACGAGACAAAACGAGAACCCGGCTTGTTTGTCTTTAAGGGATACTCCGAACCATCATCATCATCAGCATCATCATCATCACAACGAGCCGCCCCGTCAACGCCCAAGAGGCAGCGGATCGCACCACCAGACGTCCCGCGCGGACTCACCAAGGAGGATTTCCACAAGCTAGGAGCCCCGGACGCATTCGAGAGGGATTCCGCAGTGGGCACCAACGTCGAGGTCGGCGAGCGCGGCGACCAGTGGAGCCTAGAAGACGACCACAAGCTGGTCGAGGTGGTGCTCGAGAAGGTCAAGAACATGGACCTGTCGACCGAGGTGTGGGATGACTGTGTACGCAACCTACCCGGCAAGGACCAGAGCAGTGTGAGCTTACGGTGGCGAAGTCTGTTAAACAGGGACAAGATTGGCCTGCAGAATAGGGGAACCAGGACCCGGGCGAAACTCCACGGAACATGGTGAGCCCGTGGCGGAGGCCTGCTTAATTCTCTTCTGTGTTGCAGGGACACTGCAAGCTATTGGGTATATTTCTGTTTTATTCACTGCATCATGATAACGGCTGGAGTTTGGCAACTACTAGACAGGGAACACTGCACTGCTATTGTTTTTGGTCAAACCTCGAGGCGAACCTCGAGTGCACTTCGCAGAGACTGCGACACTCAAATGAACAATCCTCTTTTCTCAAATGCCGCGCTTTGGCCGCCTTTTCTAGTGTGTGTCCTCTTGTGAATCAACACCTTCTCACGTCACAGCCTTGGAACACATGATGTGCGCAATGCGTGGTCTAGTTGGACCAGGAACCAACAGCAATGCGGCTGTACGCTAACAACAGCTCCCGTTCACAACGACGGGCTATCCCAGGCACTCGGGACAATCGAGGCCACCAGGTCTCGGCCCAGCTCAACCAGCTAGCTATACGACCACTCTGTCCATTATGGGCCCAAGCAATGACGGAGTGAGTCCAAGCAGAGAGCACAAGTCAAGCCGACTGGGGTGCCCCCATCTCGCCGGCGCAGCCCGGCCTCGAGGGAGCGTCGAGTTGTTGTCGGTCCAAAACCTTATGACGGCCTGGACACAGGCCCTGCTACAAGCTAACTTTACCGACACTTCGCATTGTCAGGACGGAGCCCGGTTGTAATTGGGCCAGCGCAGCAAAAACCATGATCGATCGTTCGTGCGCCCGCCCGTGTTTTCTGGGGCCGGCCTTGATCCCCGCGGAACCTTGATCGCTCACCTCTCATCCTGCCCGGGTTTGGCTCGGCCGTCGAGGCGAATCGAGGGATCTGAGAGAGTTTGTGAGAGGAACGAGACGTCCTGAGTGACTTGCCCCTCCTGCGGTCTACCTCCCCTCCCCCTCCCGTCCCGCGATAAGATTACCATGCAAGTTAGTTCCATGCAGTTCGAGGGCGGCTCGGGTGGTCGATCGATCCCGCACGAGGCTCCTGGGATTGAGTGCAGCGACGGTAGGGCAGGAGGGGGGAGGAGGGGAGAAGGGAGAGGCAACGGACCGGGAAGAAGCAACCTCAGCCCAGCCCAGCCCAGCCCAGCACAGCACAGCACAAGCACAATTCCCGTCTGTCTGGTGCTTGACTAAGGTCCCGTCCGTCAGACCGTGTCTTGTTAAAATCACACCAACATATACACTACTGTAACCTGGGTACCCAAACGCACAAACTCCCCTTACCTGCCCGCACCCGCACTGCTACCGTACCTATATCCACGGAAGCAGAACAGCAACCCGGCCGACGGCACTTGCGCACAGATCCTCTTCTCTGAAGTGCCCCCCCCCCCCCGTGCTATAGCATAGACCAGCCGCCATGTCAATTATAACCCTCCCTCCCGTCCATGCCGCCCTGCTCCCCCTCCTCCTCTCCCGCACGTCAGACTAGCTGGGGGGGGGGGCCTTATAACAGGACCTGAACTAGCAGACCTGTCAAGCCCGGCAGACACAATGGCTCATTGGAGGGGCGGTAGATTCCGCGCACAGCCCTCGTCTTGTTACCTGTTCGGCACTCGTTTCATGTGTCTGGACCGTGGGCGATCTGAGCGGGAGGGCGAAGGAGGGATGTCGGTGCAAACACTCGTTCAGATGACGCGCACGGTGCCCTCCCCCGAGCTCTGTCTTCCTTCCTCTGGGTTGTCCCCCCAAGCTGAGGTATCGACACACGCATGAATGAGGGCACTGTAAGGGATGTTCGTTGGAATATTTGGTGCTAAGACTGGTGTGAGATGGAGGGGCGAGGAAGATTCGCCTCCTCCCCCCCCCCCGGCCGGATGAGGACGTGACTTGCTCTGAGGCGATAGTCCCAGAGACTCATCTCCCTCCCGACGGCATGTCCCTTTCCGAAGAGAGGTCTGCTCAATAGTCCTGACGGAGTCCCGTTTGTGGAGGCTCGATCTCAGCTATAGCCTGGGAGTGGCTTGCCCGGGGGCTCAAGGGCACATGACTTGACTATTGTCTGGCAGAGGACCAAGCGCAGGGCAGCAGCTCGAGCTGATGCTACGGGGCACGATGGCGCTGCTCACCTTCAAGTCATGTGAACTGAGTCGTCGGTCTGGGGACGCCAAAGCCTGGGTGTGGTCGATTGTCGAGGCCTGTCGGAGGCTGTGTAGACATCACACGCTCGATTATTGCGGCAGATTTGCCGGGACAACATTCACTAAAACAACGGTACTGGTGCGTTCATGCACCCCGGATGAGATGTCACATATCACAGAAATGATGAAACACTGACTGTTATGACCGGGCTGTCAACATATACACCATAGGCGAGCAGACAGACCAGTCAAGCTTGATATACATTCCTGGATAGGAGTATTCGGACTGGGGTCACTGTTTATCACACTTTACTTCTCACCACCATCCTAGATCTACTGTAACGGGTCTCGTTCAACATTGTGCCCTCTCATTGGGAGCCAGGGCATCATGAGAAGGGCCATGGATGAGCCTCTTGGTGCGCGAGCTGCTCCCTCGTCGCAGGGCCCTCGCCGGCCCCGGGTTAGTTGCTTTGGGAAGATTAGTAAGTCACACTTCTGGCAGAGTGTGACGCCCGTCGACGAGGTTTTGGGTCTGGAGCCAACATCATTGTCTTGTGCCTGGCCGGATCACCCAGCCTACATCGACGAATACCCGCACAGACCTAGAGTCACCCTCAAAATCGTCTTGGATCTAGGAACAGGAACCAAATTCAAATGTAATGAATCCCAAATAGTGCTATTATTTTTTTGGTCGGTGCATATGTACAATTATTCATGCAGACCGCACGAGGAAGCCAGCCCAGGAGCCCCCCCAACCTGCTCACCACCCATCGAGCACCGTGGCCTTCACCCACAGCCCCTTTGCCGGCCTAGAAGTCACACCCGCCTTGATCTCCATGTTCTTCTCGTCCATCTCCGCCTTGTCCCTCAGCTCAAACTCCATACGGCCCACCCACGCCGCCAGGAGGCACGCGAACTCGGCCCTAGCAAAGTTCATACCAATGCAGCTCCTTGGGCCGTGCAGGAAGGACACTTTTTCAATGTGTTAGTGATTACAGCGCGCGTGATGCTTGGCTGGAGAGGGGGGAGGGTACATACTGAAGGCATAGTTACTGCTTGCCCCACCAGAGGCGGCGCTCTTGTCCCCGTCGTGCTTGGGCATCCACCGGTCCGGGTTGAACTTTGTGGCGTCGGGCCCCCAGAGGGAGGTGTCCTTGTTGGTGGCGGCGGGGGCCATGACGATGCGGGTGCCCTTGGGGACGCGGTGGCCCTGGATGGTGGTGTCGACGGCGGCCTCGCGCAGGGTCATGGGCACGGGGGAGAAGTAGCGCAGGACCTCGGAGCAGACGGCGTTGAGGTAGGGCATGTGGTCGACGTCGATGCTGGAGACGGTGGCGCCGGCGTCGTCGATGGAGGGCAGGCGGCTGCGGACCTCGTCGCGCAGGCGGGACTGCACGCCCGGGTGCAGGCACAGCATGTAGATGGCCCAGGTCATGCTGCTGGCGGTGGTCTCGTGGCCGGCGGCGAGGAAGGTCATGAGCTGGTCGACCAGGTTGTCCTCGCTGAAGCCGCCGCTCTCGAGCGCCACGGACAGGATGTCGACGTCGGTGAGCTCCTTGCGCGCCAGCTTCTCCTTCTTCTCGCGGATCAGGTCGAAGCACACGGAGCGGATGACCCGGGCCGCCTCCTGCACGTCCTCGTTGCGGCGCACGGGCAGGCGGGTGACGAACCACGCCGGCAGGATGAGCCCCAGGGTGGCCAGGAACCGGGCCTGGCGCGACGGCTTGAAGAGGTGGTTGTAGGTCTGGAACAGCTTGTTGGTCGGGTCGGCTATGGCGCCAAAGTCCCTGCCGAGGCCGGCGATGCCGATGATGTCGAGCGTGATGCGCGACGCCCACCCCCCGACCTCGAGGATGGCCGCCTTGTCGCCCACTGCCTTCTCCGGGTCCTGCGGCGAGGCCTGGGAGGCGGGCTCCTTGGCCGCGTCGACGAGGATCTGCTCGGACATTGCCCTGACCCCCTGGCGGGCCTTCTCCCAGAAGACGGGGTACAGGTCCTTGGTGTGGCGGAAGGCAAAGGCGGGCATCAGGTTCTTGCGCTGGAACTTGTGCTCGTCGCCCTCGGCCAGCAGGACGCCGATGCCGAGGATGCGGCCGATCGAGTACCGCACCATGCCCGGCTTGGCGAAGTCGTAGTTCTTGGTGACGAGCACCTCAGCCAGGGCCTTGGGCGACGTGAGCAGGAGCCGCTCCTGGTTGAGAGGGCCGAGGTAGCGGATCACGCCATTGTTGGGCACTGAGTTGACCCTGATGTGCTGTCAGCGCCTGTCGCAAGGGAGAGCAGCTTTACGTACCATTCAAGCATGGGCACCCCAGTGGCAAGTTCGCGAATCTTTGAGTACTGCCCGTTGATCCACGATGGGTTCTGTGGTTCGGGCAAGCCCAGGAGAGGCGAGAAGAATTTGGGATAGAGGATGACGGTCCAAAACCCCCAACATAAGAGGCCCAGCAGCCAGCTGACGGCGAAGTATCTGGTAAAGGCGCATCGTGACCATTCCTGTTTGAGCAACGAGGTTGCGGCGTAGGCGGCGACGGCGGCAAAGGCCGTCACACGTTTCCACGGCAGGACCATGGCGCGCTGTGGGATCAGTTGCGTGAACTCCGCAAGCACTTGAGCCTATGGGTTGTTCTGAGGTTCGATGTTGGTCTGTTGTACGGAGGCCGACCTCACAACAAGCCCAGCCTGGGTTGGACTGTGAGACTATATATCAGAAGAAAGACTCGAGGATTCTCAGAGACTGACTATCTGTGCTGAGAAAAAGCGACTCTGCACAGCTACCAGCTGCAGGCGTCGAAGCACGCGCCGGGGCTTATTCCTACTTGGATGATGCGGTGCGATCAAAACAAGACATGCAAGGATTGGTGGAGTCCGCTCTGTTCGAGAACGCAAACGGGTTCGCACGTGGGAGCAAGGGCTTGGTAGACTTCGGTGGGAGAGTTTGGAGCAGATACTGTGCCCAGCCAGCATGGAGGACAGGGAGGAAGGGCGACAGGCCGGCCCATAATATCGAGTTCATGACGACAAGAAACGCTAAGCCAAAGCAGGGAAAAAAAGGATGGAGACGGGGCAATTGTGTAGATGGTTAGGATGGTCCCCTGCACGGCGTCTGGGCATGGGGCAGGGCGACAGGGCGGCAGTCCGAGTGCCGACTCCAGCGGGCAGGATGGCATCTAGGATGGCATATCAACGGGCTCGTGTTCGATTGGCCGACCGCCGTGAAACATTGGCGGGCCACGCCTCTCGATCGGATGGATTACCAGCTAAAGCATACAGGCAACCTGGAACTCGAACAGCTTGCCGTTTCGATCTGCTGCGTGGCATTGCAAACGCCCAATCGAAACCATGGCTTGAAGCGGAAATGCTCGCGCATCGAGTGGTCAAATGTACCTGATCTCAACTCCACGGCCCAAGATCAACTCAGAGACGAGACGCACCCAGGAGACAGATCGCCCTGAAGAGACCGGATAGTGGTAGATGGGCGTTGGTCCCGAGGGAGTCGTAACACTGTCGTATCCTGACTAGTCTACAACTGGTCTACTAGTACTTACTTACACAGTACACCTCCATCAAGATCTCCTCGGCGACTTTGTCGACGCCCCAGCACGGGCTAGCCTGTGATCGCCGCCTGGATGCTACAGAATCCTTCTAAAGCCCGCTGCGGCCCAGCAGGTGCCGATTGGCGGGCATGTGCCTGCTGTCAAGAAAACCCCGTCTCCATCGGCTGCGGCTCAAATCATATCCATCCATCCATTGAGATGGAAATCCTGCACTCGGCCATTTTCTCACAGACGGCTCTTGTTTGTCAGCTGACCGGACACACTGCTGTTACCACGATCAAACGGACTCGGGGCTCTCAGACACTCCGACCACTCGGGTCGCCACTTTAGGGGCTTCAAACGTCCTCAACGGTCGACCGGCTGGCTGCACGACAGACCCCAAGGTTTCAGGTCCGCCCCCAGGGTCCAGCCCTCTAAACTCTCTGCACCTCCACTGCTCAAACTTTCATCTACTTTCCTTTTGGGGCAAGTACATGGTTCATCTAGGTTACTAGTCTTGTCATGACAGCTTTGTGCCCAGCCTTATCCTCTCAACTCCGGCGTTGGCTTGCTGCTCGGGGCAGGCATGAACCATCGTAATGTTGTAGCCGAACTATACCGTGTCGAAATATAGACGTGGAGATGATTCGGCTGAAAGCTAAATTAAGATATCTGTCCGTATCAGAAATTCAATCTGCCATGGTGAATTGCTGCCTATCCCCTGAGGTTGAGGCACCGCGTGCTGCCAACTGTAAAAGTCGGAGTGGGCAGTCAGTCTCTAAGATACAGGAGAGAGGGATAAAGCTCACCCAACACTTCAAATTCCTCAGCCCCCCTAGCTTCGCCAACCTCTACTCGTAAATGGGACCTAATATCGGTTACGCCCAAGCAGATCGGGTAGAACATAAGACTTAGCAAGCATCGTGATTACATACTTTCCATGCCAAAACACAAGAGACATAGAGGTCTCTGAAACTGAGAGATGACATACCAACAAATTGCCTGGGCAGGCACGAGAAAAGGGTTTGTAAAGTATGATAGATCGTTTGATGGAAGGCCAGGACTTCAGGAATGGAAGATTATTGAAGAGAGTCTGAGCACACGAATTGACCGATCCATTTTCTCAACCCATCAGCCTCATTCTGGAAATGAGGAAGTCATGAAACTGGCGCGGGTGCCATGACACTTGATAAATGTCTGACAACGGGAAACGCTCAGCGTCTAGTACATCTGGTATCTTGGTCGTTATTGAACACAAATCGTCAGGCCCAAGATGGTTCTTCGGTAGTTCAGGACCCGACTATTGAAATTGTGTTTTTTTTAAACGCTTAGGTATTGCGCGTTTATCACTGTATGCAGGCGCCGCATACGGCTCCAGGGTTTATACGCATGGGGATTAGAAACGAAACCACTCAGGACCCGACAAGCCGGATCTATCTTCCTATCGACGAGTTCGAGAATCACGACTCGAGCTTTTCATGCGTTGTTGGTATGCTCCAGGGCTTCGAAAATGCTGAAGGAGATTCCTGTGTTGACGGGCACTAGCTGCATTGTTCGTGTTCGGACCGATTCGTACTCGAGCTATTATATGAACAGGTCAGACCAGGTTCATGAATGGGATTGTTTTGTATCAATGAGCTTTTCATCTGGACAGATGAGAATGCACTATCCCTCTTGCCTGTTTCAGCCACTAGTTATTATTAACATTACGCCGTTGACTGCACCGCTGAACATTTTAAGCATGCCATCCGAGCCGGACATCCGTCGACCATTACCAACCAACTCAACCTATTGCTCATACTAGCCAGTGGCAGCTGTCAAACCCCATGCACTTCAAACCAGGCTCAACCGCCAGCCCCATGTGCACCAGCTTGCGGCTCTTCAGCCCTTTTTCGCCCTCTCCTTATCGACCCAGCCCAAGAACATACCCACATCCTTCGCAATCTGGCCCGGGATCGCCTTGGTCTGCAGGAACAAGGGCAGGATGCCCTTCGCGTCGCTGGCAGTAGCCATGACCCACTCGATCTTGCCCTTGTCCTCCCCTTGACCGGGCAGTCTCCTCACCCTCTCCACGCTGACATACGCCCCGACCACGACGCCCTTCTCCAGCGACAGCGAGGCCTGCTCCTTCAGCGGCCCCGTCGCAAGGTCAGACACCGTGACCGAGACGACCACAAACTCGTCCCTCTCCGCGCCGTCGCCGCCGCCGCCGGGGGCAGACACGGCCGACGCAACGAGCTGGAGCACGGGGAACACGCGCGGCTTCAGCGGCGGCGGGATCTTGTGCTTCATCTCGAGCAGGGCGAGGGTGAAGCGGCCCCAGGCGACGCCGCCGACCTCGACGGCCGCCGCGCCCTTGGCGCCGCCCCAGGAGACGGCCTCACGGTGCGCCAGCACCGTCGGCGTGAAGGCGTCCTCCGTCTCGGGGTGCCGGTCGCGGATGCAGTCGGCAAACTCGGCCCAGCTCGCCGTGCCCCTGGCCGCCTCGTCAGCGTGGACGCTGCGGCGGCATGCCCACGTCTCGTCAGCGCCGCCGTCGACGGGGACGACCCTCTCGCTGAGGTCGATCTTGGCCGTGGAGTCCGGGTGGGTCTTGGAGCCCTTGGACTTCCAGAGCGTGTTGGAGGCGGGAGGGGCCGGGACGGCGGGGTCGGTGAAGTCTGCGGCCCGGGGAGCCGCCGTGTCAATGAAGGGGACCGACTCTTTGAGGAGGGATGTTATGAATGGGGTCAGCTCCTCGGGTGAGGCCGTCGCGGCGGGGAGCTGTGCGGACTTGATGCCTGCCAGGCGGAGGAGGGGTCCTTTTTGTTTGTCGGCCATTGTTGGTTTCGGCCGTTGGCTGAAGCCACTAGTGTTTTACTTTCGGGAAATAGTCGTAGTCAGTCGCATGGAGTGATCGTTGGTCCAAGGCTCAGGGCGGGAGAGCTCTCGGGCACGCAAGTAGTTCTGTGTGTTGGGTAAAACGAGCTGTGTTAATGGCGATGTTGGGGAATGGTCGCTTTGTCGGCGAGTGGCTTCGGCGAGTGGCTCTGGCAAGCCTGCCCCATCTGCGTCATTGAGCAGGGCAATGTTACTCACCTGCTTCAAATGCAGTGGATCGTCGCCTCATCAGCACATCCCTATCAAAAAGAGAGAAGAAAGGGAACGAGATCCCCCTGAGCGCAAATGCACAGCCTGGCGTGCCTGCGTGCTCGATAAGTGCGAAATTGAAACCGTGCAGGACTGCTCTGGGGTTTCATGACCCGATTTGGTGGTGTCCTAGCCAGATACAAAATGTTGGAACCGCAGATCAAGAGCCCGACCCGGCTGTCAGAAAGCTTGTTTGTCGGTATTGCGGCTGAAGGCCCGTGTGTTCCTTCCTCTTTCATCAGGAATTGGACTGTTGGTTGGTTGGTTGGTTGGTTGGTTGGACCTAGTAACAACACCAAAGTACCCGTTCTATCAGAGGTAATCGAAACGTTCCTCAAAGACGGTATAAACACGGTTGGTTCTCTGTGCCGTGGACCTCGGAACCAGAGCTCACCTACTAACATAAGCACTGTTTGTGCTTGATTATAAGTACCTAGGTAGCTTCGAGTAGTCATGTCTCTGTAGGTTTTACTTGTTTTCATTCATTATTAAGATTATCTGATGCTCTCGCACAGTGTCTTGCTGCATAGCCACAGCTCTAGCATTGCAGGCGCCTTTGTTCCGCCGGCTTTTCCACTCGAACCTTGCCTCACCCCAAAGTCTACCTGAGTCACCAAACCCTTATGTACACTCATAACGAACCTGATTCGAAAAGAACAGTAGATCTATGCTCTGTCTTACCGCCGCTCCCAGTGGATGGGAGCCGGCTCCAGGGGCCGCGAGAAGAGCGAGGCATAGTCGGTGCCTACAGTCTTGCCGGTCGAGCCGTCCACGTTCCTGAACTTGAACAGCCGCGTGATGTTGGCCACGATGGTTTGCAGCTGCAGGTATGCAAACTGCTCACCAATGCACCGATGTCTGCCAGCGCCAAAGGGAAGGTAGGGCGACGAGGCACCCTTGCTGACCAGACCGTAGCCATAATCGACCTTCTCTTCATCATCATCGCCCTTCAGACTCTTGAGTGGCGCAAGAGGGTGGCTCGTCTCCCATCGGTGGGGCTCCCACGTCTCGGGCTCGGGGAAGTACGACTCATCGTTGCCCGACACGCCAGGTGCGGCCAGGAGGGTGTGGCTGGTAGGAATGACGTACTTGGTTCCGGGAACAGGCATCGGCGACTTGACCTTTCGCATGATGGAGTGAATGGGTGCGTGCATTCTCAGAGTCTCCCTGATGACGTTGGCGTTGAGGGTCAGCTTGGCGAGGTCCTCGTACTCGAGTGGCTTGTCGATGGAACCAAGTACGCGGATCTGCTCCTGGTACAGGTCTTCCATGATGTCAGGTCGCGAGGCCAGGCGGCACATGATCCAGGAGCTGGTGGAGGACGAGGAGTGTTGGCCGGCCATCAGGAGGGCAATCATCATGTGGGCGATCTCGTGGTCGGGAACGGGGGTTCCGTCCTTGTAAGAGGAGTTCATGAGGTGGTACATGATGTCGTCCGCGCCCTTCTCGCCGCTCTGTCGTCGGGCCTTGATGGTGTCGGTGTAGATCTTGGCAACAGTCCTCTGGGCGTGATCGCGCCTCGCGTTCTGGGGCAGTGGAGCCCAGTGGAGCATGAAGTTGATGGGAGTGAAGCCCATGTCCAGGTCGTGGTACAGGTCAGCCAGGGACTCGTCGAACTGGTCGCGGACGGCCGTGCCCTGAAGGGCGTGAGAAGCAGTGAAGATGGTGAGCTGCGCCATCTTGGGGGGGATGTTGACGGTGCCGGACTGGGCCTGGAAATCGGGGTTGCGCTTGAAGTACTTCAGGACCTCGTCGGTGATCAAAGGAACGTAGCTCCTGAAGGCCTCAGTGGTGAGGACGTTCTTGATGAGCTGTCATTTGTCATTGTCAGCGAAATCCATTCCCACGCGTGTCGCCCCGTAGAGACTCGACGTACCCTCTTCTGCTCCATGAGCTTGGCGTTGGGGCAGTCGTAGACGACATCCTTGCCGAAGACAGGACCTGTCAAATTGTTGTAGATCTCCTCCGCGTTCACGTCCTTGTGCTTTCCGTTCAGGATAAACTCGTTGCCTTGGGGGCCGACGTATACGGTGGTCTTCTTGCCGAGAAGGATGAAGGTGAAAATGTCGCCATGCTGCAGGCGCATCAGGTCAGCGGGGAGCAAAAACACAAGTGGCGGCTAGCTGGGGCTGGCTGGAGTTGGCTGACCTTCTTACTGTTCTCCTTGAAGAAGCGTGGGGGGTCCATGCCATAGGTGACGGTGCTGCCGATCAAGGGCAGCCAGTGGAAGACGACAGGAGGCTCATTGGGGTTCTTGAACATCAATTGGTTCAAGACATTGAGCACAACAGAGAGAACGATGACGGTGGTGGCAACGATGCCGACCTGAGATGCCGTACCCAGCTCGCTGAACCATTGGGACAGCGGCCCTGCTACCTCTTCGAGGAGCCCCATCGCAGCGCGCAGATGTTGGGGAGATGCAGAGGCTGGTCGGATCAAGGTAATAGTTGGTGTCGCGACGTCGGTGATGGTAGGATAGACTGGAAGACTGCCACAAGTTCGACAGTGAGCGGAAAGGGGGTCGAGGGTGAGAAATGCGTCGAGCCAAATAACACGGAAAATCCAAGGACGGCCCGCCTGTAATGGGAATGATAATCCGCGATGGCGGTCTGCTAGTTAACGTGTAGCATTTATTTGTGCCCCACTTTTACTCGTGGCGTACAGCCAATCAGCGCTCTCAGCATGCTGGCCCCAGCTCATGCTCTCTCTGACCACGCCACCTGTGCATTTCCGACCCATCCGACTCCTAACTTTTCCTTGTGCTTTTGTGTGGTAGTCTAGTTAGGCGAAAACCATCACTGCTGTTCAATGCGCTGTCCAGCAGTTCGCAATTCCCCACTGCTTGCTGCAGGTGTCAGTCAGCCTTGTTCAATCGATTGTGAGAGGCTCCGGCTTATCGCAATAAGAATACGAATAAGAGATAAGTGATAAGTCATGCGGATATGAGATTAGGTGTATACGGCTACGATCTTCTTTGTGCGCCAATGTAGGGGTGAGCTAGTGAAAAATAGTCCAAACCCCATCACCAACCAGAATCCGAGGCCAAGCAACACCAGTTGACATATGTCGCCAAACGCTGCCTCGTAGGCGATGAGGCGCAGCAAGTGGTGTGGCGACGAGCACGTGGAAGCCAATCTATCAACAGCTGACTCTATAATATTCTCCCAGTCCATTGCGATACAACGCCTCGAATCTTGGTCCAGTCCATCCGGAACAACACAATATCAATTGCAGCCTGCTGTTCATGGTGATGACCCTCCATGAGGGCGGGGCTAGTATATGTACTCCACAGCCTCGACACAGCCAGATCATAATCCCCCTGATACTTGTAGCATACCCACCGTCCTTGAATTGATACTTTTTGTAAGAGTGCGTGATTCATTACTGAGCTGCTGTATGAAGAAAATAAAAAGATTTGTCTGTCAATCCCGGCATATTTGGCCCTACATGCTGACCCCAAAGACCACAGTCTGCCCGACGCTCTTGATCTTCGGAAACGGTGAAGCTTGAAGATATATGTACTTCTGATTGATATTGTGATGTCGTCTGATTGGGTGAGAATGTACTTTCTTAGCTCATGATATAGCTTAGCCACTGTGGCATACTTGTCGAAAATCATCATTATTCGTGTCAACTAGTGTCTTAAGTAGTCCGCCGCCGTCAAGACGGTGCCCGTTAGTTAGCCTTGTCTGTGCGTCGTAAGGCTGAGGCCACATGCACCTGTCGTATTGTTATAAATACCGTATATAGATACCGTATGTTTTATAAACGCTGGGTCTTAAGTGTTTACTACCGTGGGAAGGTGCCATGTATGTCCCCGGACGTATGCGGAATAGAAGCGAAACCAGGCAAGTAATCCAAGGGGTGGGGACTCAACTCAATTTGCGAGGGCTGGGCAGTATTGTAGTAATACTCTCAGGTGCTTGTCTGTCAATGAAACCTGGAACTGTCAGCTAAATGACCTTTCCTTCATCGGCGTGCTGTCTCCTGCAGATTCCCCGTCGTTGCTGTCCAGTTCGAACGCATCATCGAGCTCCTCAAACTGATGCTCTTCCACGTGCAAGTCTCTCTCCTCCTGATTTCCTACCTGAGCCTGCTTCTCCACCTTGAGGAAGAAAGTCAACAAGCCCAGGTCATAAGATGCTTTCATCGACCCCGCCACCACAAACGCAATCCAGAATCGATCTGATCCTGCCAATATGCCCGTGAAAGTAGGACCACCACTCTGACTCAGCGTCTTGACCACATTCACAATACCCATCACAGCCGTCCTCTCCTCTGCTGCAACTACCTTGCTCAGGAATGCCGATCGCGGTGCTTGGTCCATGCTGGCCAAGGTCCCCCTCGCGACGAGGAGGACCACGGTGAGCCAGACAACACTCGGCGCAGGAAATAGCGCCAGAAAGATGGCAGAGGGGAGGTGGGTGAACACCATGGTCTTGACCAACCCGATGCGCTTCGAGATGGCAGATGCAAACACGTTGCCAATGCTGGCCATGACCCAGACCACCGACATGATTTCTCCTAGCGTGCTCTTCGGCATATGGAACTTGCGGTCCATGTAGAAGTTGACGAGAGAATTTGCTGCCATGCCGGAAGCCAGTGAGTCGACCGCAAAGAGAGCGCATAGTCGCAAGAGCGTCCATCGTGTTTTGCTTGACAGTTGTGCGAAGCTCATCTTCGGCTTTGGCCGAGGCGCAGGTCGTTCTTCCACACTCGACTGTGCCGGTCCCTCATCACCATCATCTTCAGCTTCATCGGTAGCCACAGTAGGCCGGCTCTGCTTCGCCCCCACCGGTTGGTATGCGTTTGTGCCACTATCGACCTCACATCTAGGGCTCAGAAGCGACGTGATGACCCCCTTGACCACTCCCACTGCCCCATACAAGCAGAACACCGCGCGGAAGGCCTCAAGCTCCGTCCAGCCCCGACCCTTCAGCCCTTCCACAAGCCGCCCCGCCCCAGCGGTACCCGCCGCGCTGCCCAGGGTGCCGACGACGACATACCACGCAAAGACATCACTCCGCCCCTCCTCCCCGACCAGCCCCGCGAGAACGCTCTCCTCGACGGCGCGAAACGGCCCGATCTCGTTTCCCGAGACGGAGATGACACCTATCACGGCGGCAAGCAGGAGCAGCCAGTAGTTGCTGGAGGCAGCGAATGCCGCGCCGGCGAGGACCATGCCGGCACAGCCGAGGAGGAGGATCCGGCGGCGCCCGGCGGCGTCCGCGATGAGGGTCAGACCGAGCGACAGCACCACGTCGCCGAGCAAGGTGAGTGTCATGAAGAGGCCGATGCGAGTCTCAGAGATCTCGAGGGATGCGAAGAAGAGCGCCAGGATGAGTGAGACAGAGCCGTAGGCGGCCATTCGGAAGAAGCGTGTGAGGTATATGAGGGGCACGTCGCGAGGGGCGCCGGCGATTGTCAGGAGGCCGAGCTCTGTAGCGAGTCGCCTTGGTGTGAGGGCCATGGTGAAATTGGTACTAGTTCCTTGCTCGCGTCACATCTATAGCTGCCGTGTAGTCGCACGATGCCAGTGATATCGTGAGATCGCTCGAACAGACGAGTCTTAGTAAATCTTCTTATTCATCAAGGCCTGAAGGCTTGCGGAAACTATTCAGGCTCCCTCACAGCTTGAATACACTCGGTGCTGCTTTAGTCCGGGAGAAGGCGAGAGCACTTGAGGCTTGCTTTGAGAAATTTTCTCAAGGTGTCGAAAGGTGGCACATCTTGCAAAACCTGGAGCCAAACAGACAGCCTGCTTTTGGTATTGGGGTTTCCGAGATGGTGCTCGGAATAGAGCTCGGAGCTGTCGGAGCTGACGCACATAGCTCCGGTTCGGTGACACGGAAGGAAAAGTCTCGAAGATGTGGGCCGATATACTGTCCGTCGAATGATGCGCCCCTAACCCTGATTTTTTTTGAGTCTGAAAAGTGTTGTGTCTTCTTGTATACACTACTCTTACCACAGTACTGATTGAATGGCTTACTCTCAGTGTCGTGTGAGACATTGAGATCACCGTGCTATTTCGCGCGGGCGAACGGGCCTTTCTCGAAGCACGGGAAACCCTGAAAAGGTGCCTGCCAAGCCGGGTGACGGTGCGGGCCACGGCTCTAATTCTTTTTGTTTGCTTAAGTATGCTTGGAACCTTTGAGATGAACAAGTGGCTTAGCAAGAAAGACTGGGGATCCGAAGATCCGCCCTCCACGCCGTCATTCTAGTGGCACCTACGCAACTAGAACTGGAGGTGGATGCGAAGAATCAAGCTTTTAAAGTTACGTGCCTATATATCAGTCCACGGGTCCCTAGGTATACCAGGGGTAACCGGGGTATTGTGCCACCTTGGAGTCGATCAGATTGCGCACAGGCAAGTGCTTATCAATTTGAACGTCTTGCTTAGCCACCAAAGTGGTCCTCATATTCGTCCGCCGGTGGAGCTTGTTGGGCTGTCACTATCTATCTATCCCTTTTCCTTCATTGGGTTTTATCTCTTACACTTCTGATTTTGTGGTCAGGAAACTGTGAATTGCTGGGACATAGGCAAACAAGTACCAAGTTCAATTCTAGTCACTCAAAATCTAGGTCTACTGATGGGCCAGACGGCCGTTCGTGGTTCGAGGAACAGCTTCTATCAATTATTCAATCTCACAAGGAATTCTCCCAGTTGCTAAGGCAAAAGAAGTTGAATATGGCAGGAGGTGTGCAGATCCTATGGGAGTCGCAGTGGGACGAGGCAAGACGTCTGGATGGAACCCAGCCCGTTCTCATGACCTCGGGACTTCCAAGGTCACAACAACTATAGCACCTGCATGTACCTAAAGAAGGCTGAGGCCACAAGCACCTATCGTATTATAACTATTGTTATCGGCATCGTATTCTTTCCAAGCGCTGGGTCTTGAGTGGTTACCACCGTATGAAGGCGCCATGTATGTCCTCGGACGTATACGGAATAGAAGCGAAACCACATGTACCTAAAGGTCTGAGAACACATGGGACGTCTTCAAACTGGCACCCTCGAGGGCCACCTTCAAGGATTCACCAGTAAAGTTTCAATGCTGAGCTACAGGACGATGACGAAGATCTACACACGGCACGGTTGGATGCTGCTTATGGTTGAATTGTTGGCCACCGGCGGTACCATCCTTGAATATATATGCCTTACTTCTTGATTACAACGTGTGGGTTGCATTTTGAAACATGGTTGTGATATCACCTTGTCGTTTGAGCTGGCTGTCAGTCATTGGCAGCTGTTCAATACTACCATCATGACTCTTTCACGAACAAGATACAAGGATGAGCATATATGATTCTTTCCTGTCTTCCTGTTTTCGGGAGAGTCAATTTTGTCACTTACATGATCTTCCCTTAATTGTTGCCCCACAGGTAATTCTAACCTGCTCTAATGTAAACTTGTTCCCACCAACCAATTACCCTCACCGCATTTCTAAATACAACACTACAAAACAGCTACCTAAATTCTAAATCAATTCTGTTGTGTCGCCTAGTATTCATCTGTCAACACACACACACAGACCTTGGATCTACCTAGGTACTTAGGGGGTCCTTTTTGGCCCCTTATAAGTCACTCTATGACGGATATCAAGCTGAGGGAACACACCGTATCTAAATGTTAATCAACAACCTTCCATCTTAGCCACCACAGTATTTTAGTGTATCCTCACTCAAAAATCAAGATGCGACTCAAGCAATCTCGGTGCATCGTTCATACTGCCATCCTATTCGAACTGGCCAACATCACTGATGCCAGCCCTCTCAAAACGCCACATCCAAGAGCGACTAGCTTTGGTCCAACCACCGCCACACAAAATGAATTTGCGTCTCATGCTCTCGAGGTGGCGAGATCACGAGTTGTGAACTCTTCGACCTGCAATGCCGAGGACATCTCTATAAGGAAGCCATGGGAGAGTTTGACCAGCGACGAGCGCATCGCCTATACCAACGCAGTCAAGTGCTTGATGGACAAGCCGGCCAAGACCCCGTCAGATGTGGCACCAGGGGCAAAGACAAGATATGACGACTTCATCGTCACGCACATCAACCAGACGTTGAGCATACACTCCACTGTATGGCCTAAATTCCTCACCACAGGGAGAAGTGAGACTGACTACTCACCAGGCGAGCTTCCTCGGCTGGCACCGCTGGTTCATATGGGAGATGGAACAGACCCTGCGAAATGAATGCAACTACACAGGCTCCATCCCGTACTGGGACTGGGCAAAGACAGCGGAGGAAGGGTTCGCCAGCTCGGAGATGTTCGATGGCTCCGCGACGTCCATCTCTGGCAACGGCGATCCTGTAAACTACACGGACTCGGATGTAATTGTGGTGAGAAAGGGTACCCCTGGGGAGGTTGGTGAGTCTGGCCGGGAACACGGGGCGAGAAAACGGACTGCCTTCAGCAGAGCCACTGACTGTGTCTTCTAGTCCTGCCGCATGGCACCGGCGGCGGATGTGTGACCAACGGGCCATTCGCCAACATGACCATCAACCTCGGACCCGACGGCCTCCTGGTCACCAACGGCACGAACAAGTCCGCATGGGAGTTCGAATACAACCCCCGCTGTTTCAAGCGCGACCTGACAGACTACGCACTCCAGCGATACGCAAACAACTCGAGCGTGCTGTCGCTGCTGCGCGAGTCGGACGACATCTGGACCTTCGAGACGGCCATGCAGGGCTCTGTGGGTAAGGACTTTCCTCCCCCTCTCCTCGGCAGTACCTCCTCAAGTATAGATACCTAGGTAGGACACCTTAAGCTGACACTTTTCCACCAAAAAACCACAGACGAGCCCGAGATAGGCGTCCACGGCGGCGGCCACTACGCGCTGGGCGGCGACCCGGGCCCGGTGACCCGGCCTTCTGGTCCCACCACGCCAACATCGACCGCGTCTGGTGGATGTGGCAGATGCAGGACCCGGATGCCCGCGCCGCCAACGTCTCGACTGCCGTGCGCGGCTCTCTGACCAAGAACGACGCCTACGAGCCGCACGGCAACGGCACCATCCTGTCGGAGCAGAACCTTGGCTACGTCGCCGGCTGGGAGACTGTGCCCCTGGGCGAGCTCATGTCTACCACCGAGGGCAAATTCTGCTACGTGTATGGGTGATGGATGCTCACTTTGCTCGTCAGGCACTTATGCTTTGAATCGAGGGATCGGTTCCTGGAATTTTGCTTTCCAACCATTCTTTTTGGGCGTTGTGGCGGGATCCTCACCTCGTTTATATTGAATGGCAAAACATACTAGTAGTTGTAAATCTTGTGCCTTTTATCTTTGGGATACGATTACCACTTGACCTGCCATGGACTCATCCGCCAGCTTCTTGCATTTAAACTCTTAATCACCGTATGAAGGCGCCATGTATGTCCTCGGACGTATGTGGAATAGAAGCGAAACCAGATATCTTCAAGTGACGAGGCTTCTTATGCCATGCACGGGCGCACTGAATTTACACATTTACACCGGAGGCGGATGAGCAAACCAAAACAACCAGTACATAAGGAATAGTTTCATATGACGTGGGATTCGTGAAGCCCGGCCCCGGGCGTCCACCAGACAGACCGTTGAGTCGCGATGCTCCTAGCTCCTTTTGAGAAGTACATATACAAAACACGGAAAATTACGCGTGTGGTTTTTTTCTTTCCGCCTGCTGTCAGAAATGCCTTTCCTGTCCATCCCATGCTGAGTGTGGACAAACCTCCTCGTTCCGTTTCGCCTGATTTTATACAAGGAGGGCGGGGTGACCTATACGGATGTGTCCTTCCCACTTGTCCTAGAGATGTACCCTTAGCCGATGAATCACTTCTGCTCCACCCGAGCAGCGCCTTTCACACACGCAGTGTTTGGGCTCCAACATAGTCGAAAAACCCCTTCTCTATTTCTGCCGAGCGTGCTTTGAGTTCATCCTATCTCCTCGCAGCCTTGTCGAAGTCGGCCACGATGCTGTCCTTGTCAGAGACGGGGGCCGAGGCGGCCTCGGCGTCGGACCCGGGCTCGATGACGTTGTTGTGCTCCAGCGCCTTCCTCGCCGTGGCCTTGGCCTGCACATCCCCGACCTTGCCGTACACGCTGAGGGCTGTGGCGATCATGCCGCCAATGTCCCCGACATTACCCGGCACCACCACGGCAGTGCCCTCCTTGGCCAGCTTGCCAAACGCATCGACATACTTCTCGGCAACCGACAGGCTGACCGCACCCTGTGCCGCATCCTGGCCCTGGGCGATACTCTTGGACACGGCGTCGATCCCTGCGGCCGTGGCCTTGGCCTTGAGCAGGATGGCCTCGCTCTCTCCGTTTGCGCGGTTGATCTGCTCGGCGCGCAGCGCCTCGGAGGCCAGGATAACGCTCTGCTTCTTGCCCTCGGCGATGTTGATTGCGCTCTGGCGCTGACCCTCGGACTCGAGGATCTCGGCCCGCTTGCTGCGCTCGGCGGTGACCTGCCTGTGCATGGCCTCGACGACGCCGACGGGGGCGTGAATGTCACGGATCTCATAGCGCAGACATGTGACGCCCCAGGCCTGGGCGGCCTCGTTGATGGCGGCGGTGATGTTTGTGTTGAGAGCGGCGCGCTCTTTGAGGACGTGGTCGAGGGTCAACTGGCCGATCTCGCTTCGCATTGTGGTCTGGGCGAGCTGGGAGATGGCGTACTCGGCGTCTTCGACGCCGTAGCTGTGGAGTCATTGTATCAGCACGGCCGGTCCGTCTCATCTAGGAGCAGGTGAGCGCGAAGCAAGACGTCGACATACCTCGCCTTGTAGGCATCAAAGACCCGGGTGTACAGGACGCCGTCCAGATCAAGCGTGACATTGTCGGCGGTGATGGCGCTCTGGCTGGGGATCTCGATAGCAATCTCCTTGAGAGACTTGACGTAGGCGATGCGGTCGATGAAGGGCACCAGGATAGCAAGACCGGGCTCGAGGATGCGGTTGAACTTGCCCATGCGCTCGACGATCCATGCCGTCTGCTGCGGGACGAAGCGGATGATGGTGTTGGCGGGGAGGGAGGGTTTCTGGAAGTAGGAGGTGGTCAAGCCGGGCCCCCCTGGGCCGGAGATGCCTAATATCGAGGGGTTGGGGGCGCGGGGCGTCGCGGACTGGGAGAAGCTTCGTGGTATCGAGGAGGAGGGGGAGCTGGGGAGCTTGTGGGAGGCGGCGAGGCTGCGGGTAGCCGAGGAAGCGAGCACACGGGCCGAGTGTGCGGGTGTGGTGTGGGCGGCGAGGCCTTGCCGCATGGTGGGCACGAGGGCCCTCTGCATGGAGAGCATCGACATTGTCACCGGTGCTTCATCGGTTGCGGAGCTTCTGTGGTCGAGGTTCGTGGCTGATGCGACGCGGTCGGGATGGGATGGGATGGTTGGTAGCTCTGAGCTGACGCAGATCGCCTGCCGTCCCAGAAAGAGCTTACAAGCAAGCACCTGCCTGCCGCACGGTATTTGTGAGCCGACGTCGGGCAGACGAGGGGACTCTCCGGGACTCTCCTTCCGTTTCGCCAATCAAACGGAACGTATTGTAACGGGCAGCAGAGCCGCACTCCTTGTGCCATAGCGCCGGACACACTAAGCCCTGGCGCGGCGCGCCAACCCCCATAGCACCTTCCCCAGCGTTTAAGCCCCAAGCCGCTACTCCTTGTAGGTGCTTAGCATGCGGTGGGCCATCTTCACATGGCATTTGCATGATGCCCCGTCTCCCGTTGTGAGGTCATTGACTCTGCTCGCAATGACCATGGGGAAGCAGCGAGGTGAACAATGAGCCTAGCTTGGAACACACAGGAATTGGAATAAGTACTCCTGGTACTCCAGTGAGTGCCTCCCATATACAGCCCTGAGTTTCCTGTGAGTTTGCAGTCTCATGCTCTCTTTCATGCGACCCTGGTAAACCGTATTTATATACACCCCCAATATCCACATCCACATCCACATCCCTGTTCTACACCATGGCATCCAAGAGGAACACCCTCCGTCATCTCACACCAACAGAATCAGACCTCGATAATAACAACACCAGCAGCACCGGTCAAGGGGAGAAACTCCGCGAAAAGGCCGCCAAATCCCTTCACGGCCCCAACGCCAACCCATCACAGCTGGGAGACCCCATCAGCCTCAAAGCTGAGATCAGCGACAACATCCCCAAGCCAGACGAGGCCGGATCCCAGTCGTCACCAACACCCCCATCCAGGCCGCATAGAAGTGGCCAGGGCGGCCGCGAGACCCTCCGCGAAAAGGCGGCCAAGAAGCTACACGGCCCTGACGCCAACCCGTCCCAGCTGGGTGACCCCATCAGCCTCAAAGCAGAGCAGAGTGACAATGTCCCCACGCCGGGCGAGGAGGGGGCTCACCCTGCCGGGCGGGATCAGCAGCGGCAGAAGGGAGTTGAAGCAAGACCGTCGAAGCTATGAGGATTTGGAGGCGGTCGGGCGGCCAGCGGATGCCCATGTCAAGGTGGATTGGTCGTCTTTCCTGACTGGTGTCGTCCTCGGCTTTATCTCACGCGGCCACGCCTCGCCTGCCAACTCTCAGTACAGACCTGGAAAGTCATATCCTTGATTATCATGATAATTATTATACTACTAAATCTATCCATTTGCGGTCTGGGAACTCGATCCTGCATGCTGGCAAAGCAACATCTATACGCGTTGCTGTCCACTTCGATTGCAATTCTCCCTTCCGCATCCCAACACCCCATGCGATCAAGACTCGGTGGTTGTGATCTCACACACCCAAGCCCAATTCACGCCCCACAGCGTCCAGAGAAGCGGTGACCAGTCCGATGACTTTGTCATCCCCCGGATTGACCATGGCCGCCTTCACCAACAAGGGATACAGGCTGTACAAGTGTCTGCCACGCTCGCTACTTATTTGTGAGAAGCCAGGTATGGCTTCAGGCTCGCTCTGCAGCTCAATGAGGCATCGGAGGATCCGCTCCAGCTCCTGCCTCTGCGATAGCGGCTGTGGCATTCGACCGCGTAGGGGCTGGTCTGCCACGTAGGCCCGCAGGCTCAAGGCACAGCGAAGGATCAGGTATGGTGCTGCCGTGCGTGCCAAGCGGACATGTAGCTCGTGGGAAGGCTCCTTCACTGCACCTTTCATGTGGCTTTCTTGAGCGCCGCCGCCGCCAGTGGTGTCGGGCACAGGCGATTTCAGTGGATCAAGTGGTCCAGCAGCCGGGGTGCCAGACGGGGGAAACCGGGGCGTTGGTGGCTGTAAGGTAATCTCGGGACCAGCAGCATTCGGGTCGTGTGCTTTGACAATATCAAAGAGTTCATCCAGACATACGTAGCTCATCTCCTTCCGCAATGTGGGCTGTGGGTCGATTGTGCGTCCATTGCGCGGCTTGTAAAGCGCGGCCAATGCCTGGTCCATGGCCTCGGCCCTACAATCTTGGTTACTCCCGGAGATGATCTCCGCCTCGGATGGCGCCGGTGCGTGTATGATTGATGTGCGGAATAGCCCTTCAGCATATGCACGGCGCGTCTTGTCAGGTATTGAATCGGAACCGAGCGATGGAATGATCAGCTCCTTGAGAGCCCGGAAGGATGCGATGTCGAATTCCTGGTCTCCAGAGATGTCTGTGTTCGTAGAGGCGTTGTTGTAATTGGCTTTAATGATGCCGTTCGATATTTCGACTATGACATCCCAGATATCCTGTACCGTGGCTTGCGAGATCTTGGCTGCCTTCACCTGCGGCAGCGTAGATTCCAGTAGGGCCAAGACAGTGGTAGTCGCCATCTTCCATGGCTGCTCTGACTTTGTCACGATCCGGTAGTCGTACTTCAGAATGATCGGTTTTGAAAGGGCCGTCAGAGCATTCGAAAATGCGCCACTCACGTAGATGTCCGAATCAGTTGCATTCGACACAACATGATGGTGGAGAATATTCATGCTCTCCTTGGCCATGGCGATGTAGGTACGCTTTGAAGTCGCAGGCTGACGTGCCCTTTCTTCGTCGAAAGCGAGAGCGACGAAGTCTGCAACCTGAGAGATCATGGCAGATGGGACACCGGCTATGTCTGTCCGCACCAGTTTAAACACCTCCAAGATGCGTCCCTGCAGCGGCGTTAGGTATTCGATATCGCTTGCGTAGGACCCAGGTTGGGCCTGTTGCATAGCGTCTCGAAGTAGGCTGAGCATCCGCTTGACTCTTTCTAGGCTCAGATCAGCCTGGATGAGACGATAAAGCTCCAGCAGGGCTTCGACCCAAGACATCAAGCATTTTTGCATATCGTCGAAGCTTCCGTCGCTTGTTTGTTCGCCCGCTGGAATCCCTCGAGACCAGAGGTCCCAGACAAGGTCGATGGTCTTCTTATCGAAACTCGACTTGGGCGATTCTTCACACTTGGAGAGAATGTCTCCTAAACTGGAGAATGCCGCGCTGTTGATTTCAAGTGCTTTGAAGTCAATCAGTGCGGCATAATGGTTGATGAGGTCTTGCCACAGGGGCGTGAAAGCCGGGTACGACGTCAAAACTTCCAAGTAGTTGGCAAGAAGATTTGAGACACCCTGCACGATGACCACGGCTGTCTCGTTCCACTCGGATCTCACGTCTTCTTGAACTCCGTCTTCTCTCACTGCTCGCAGTCTCTCTTCGATTGAGGACAGCAGTTTGAATATGACGTACTTGGTACATATCGACCAAGCTTGTGGCCCCAGAGTGCTCCCGTAGGCGTGTATGATGCGAAGCAGTGTTTGGATTGCGCTATTTCGGAGTTCTAGCCGTTGATCGGCCGTCACTGCCGTCAATCTCAGGAGTAGAAGCATCCAGAGTGCCGCGCTGGAGCCATCCTTATCTGGGTGTGAGGCGAGGGCAATCAGTGCTTCGTCTTCTCCGCCACCTATCACGTCTTCCGTAATGGACATGGAGTTGCTCTTTTCAGAGAGGAAGTCTGATATTGCCCAGAAAAATGTGACCGTGGTAAGCGCCACATTGAGGTCATCGTCTTGAGAGCAAAACTTATAAAGCGTGTCGACAAGCTGCAGGAAACACGTATTCGGGAGCGAAGACAAGAAGTCAGAGCAAATGAGCTGAAGCGAGCCAAATGATGCCTTGATCAGTTTTGTTGACCTCGTGGAAAGAGTGGTACCAGCTTTCTTCTTGTCGGAGGCATTGTTTCTGTCCGAAAAGATGCTGTCGATAATCTCGAAAGTTAGGTGCCAACCATTACTCAGGCTCTCACCGCAGTTTTCGAGGATGGTCTTGAGACCTTCGAGAACCACCCTATGAATCTCAATGTCTGTTGAGTGATTCGTCACCGAGACATCCCGTTCTGCTGACTGCAGCGGAAGGAGAGCATCCCTGAATGCCTCAAGGAGACGCAGCTGAACTGTACCACGGACGTCTTCCGGCTGCGATGCCGTTGCATTTGCGGCTTCCAAAATCAGCCTCACAAGTATCTCCGCGGCTCGTGTTCTGATAGGAGCTGATACGGCGGTGGCACTCAAGGCCGCGTTAAGCTCCGTTACCAGGGGCGTCCAGCCAGATACATCGGGCGGATGTACCAGAAGCCTCTCGAGGTTGATGCTGGCAAGGTCGCCTAGCTTGGCCAGGGCAAACTGGTCTGGTTGAACCGGACCAGACGCCAAATTCAAACCTGACACTTTCCTGTGCTGCGAAGTTGGCGACGGGAGGTTGGAGGGTATTTCGCCTTCCGGTATTGTTTCTGGCCGAGCGTCTCTCGCACTAAAAGGGAAATCTGGTGCTGGCCGCTTCTCCAGAAGCGAGCACACTGCGTTGACAACCTCCAGAAAAGCGTTGTTGGGAAAATCAATGGTGCTTTCGAATAGCCTTGACGCCGCAGTCTCAACGGCCTTGACTTCAGTGCCGAAATTTGATAGCAAAGCATTGGCCTCTTTATCCGCATTGGGATCAGGTCCTTTGGCAGCCGTGGGTGTCCTTCCAGCAGTCTTGCCGGTCGTGAATAACACAAAATCAGCTTGTTGTAGTGTTTCAAGAACGATCTGCCATGATGCTGACAACGTCGGCCCCAACGCGATCCCTAGGTTCAGCAGCGCCCGAAGGCACAGCAGATTTCGAGTATTTCTGTATCGACTGTTAGCAGGCTTCGATCGCTCACGGCGCCCAGCTCACCATTATGACGGCAACGGTTCACAACGGTCAATGCAATAGGGGTGACAACAAAAACACTGGGAACTCACAGTGCTGATGCGCTGGCATCGAAAGATTGTGATCTCGGTTTCTCCACCGTCCCTTGGCTGACGAGGCTTTCTACACTTAGAAGACCCCGGGCATTGCTTAGAATACTATTCCCCGCTGGCTCAGGCGCTGAGGCAGGGGGCGGTTGTCGCGACTGTCCCGAATTTATGCATGCAGTGAAGACATTTGGAGGCACGGCGGCCTTCCCAAGCGTGGTCAAAAATGCGTCTCTTGGTGTCGCTAACTGCAGCAAGCCAGCTACGTGAGCAAATCTTTGGAAAGCCCTGACTAGACCATGATAGTATTCAGAGTCGAGGGCGGCGTAGAGGAAGGCCGAGCAGGTCGCCAGGATCGCTGGCCAACATTCGTCGATGATAGCCGCACAACTCTCGACATCTGCATATAGCGGATGCTCCTTGAGAGTCAGCGGGTTAACAGAGATCGGGTTCTTCCTAAAGGAAGCGGTCCTCTCTGGGAGACCTGGACGGGGCGCAGGGCTCTCAGAGCGGTCATCGCTGCCACCTTCGCCCGACAAGCCCTTGCCACGCCTCCGGCTCCTGTCACTCGGCGCAGTCAGGGGCAGGATGAATTTGGCCAGGCCTTCGGAGAGTGAAGTGATACAAGCAAGCGTCAGGCTGTACACGTAAGACTCAGGTATGGCAGGAGGGTCAGTTTTATCGAGTTGATCAATGCAGGGCACACGCATGGAGCTCCACTGCGTGCTGATACCTGTGTCATGGGCAGCACCCCCAACACCTGCTATGACAGAGACACTCACGCCGCTGGCATCAAGTACGGCCTGATCGGCAGATGTAGAGTATGGATTGGCCACAGGTATCGTCGACTGATGGCCGAGCCCAATCACAACCGGCTTCTCGGTGCTGACCCGGACAAAGGTCGCAGTCAAAGTCTTGAGGATATCCTTTTCACCTTCCTTTGCGTCATACATCCTGAAGATGCGTCGAACCAGTGCCGGCTCAGCGAAGATCCCCCTGAAGACCTCCATGCACAGAGATCTCTTCCATAACGTGGTGTCCTGGTCGAGTATCTTGGTGAGGATGTCCAAAGCTTCTGCACTCTCCTTGGGTATCAAAGCAACATGGCGCCTGAGAAGGGTGTATAAGATGCGAAAGAGCCTGACCGAGGCTGCAAAGTGTGGTTTCCCAGAAAGAGTCTGGATGATGAAAGGCAGGACCTTGGTGCGCAGGATATGGACCTGCTCGGGGTGGGTGGCGAATATGGCGCCGTGGTTGGTCAGGGCCGATTCTATCAGCTCGAGACCAAAGGTCTGTGGAAGTCCATAGAACCTGAGGTACTCGGGGCGTTCGGATTGTGTCAGAAGACAGAGGTCGTTGAAGACGCGGAAGGCGTCCAGCGCCGCCGCCCTGAGCTGGACGGTCCCTTCTTCCGAAGGGGCTTCTCCGACGAAAGGAGCATCGGGGATCTTATCCTCGGCGACAACCTTGTCAAAGACGGTGACAATCAACTGCTGGAGCGTTGCGGCAGATGTGTTGTTGACGATGGCATTCTTGCTGGACTGGAGGATGAAGCATATATTCAATGCGGTCACGAGAAGGTCATCCTTGATGTCTGTAGAGTAATTCTGGAGGAGTGAAGGGAGGGCTTGGAGGATCTTGAGCTGGACATCAAGACCAGCAGAGGTGGCCTCACGTAGGGCCTCGAGGACAGGGCTGAGTTTGGACCGCGGCAGGGCTTTGGAAACGATAAGCCGCTGTAGGCAGACGATTGCTATGCCGGTGAACTTTGCGTTCTTGGTGCCGCATGCTATTATGAAAGGATTGACAAAGTTGACCTTTTGTGAGAGCTCTAAACAATTTGCCTGATCAGCCGCTTGTTCACTCTGTGAGGGCGAACGCCGGATGTTGCCATGTCTGGTGTTGATGAATCTCACCGCGTCCAAACTGAGCCTCGCTCACGCGAATGCTCTTAAGTTCCTCGAGGGACTTCTCGGCAGCCTGTGCAGGACTGGTCAGCCGAAAGTCGCCATGCACGTGTAGGAAGCAGACAGACATGAGCCACATACCTGTCTCAGGTCCTGGTGTTTCCGCTTGCTCTCAGTTATGAGGTTGTGGAGCTCCGTCGCGAGGAGCTGGGCAGACATGATGGTCTCTTGGAGGCTGAGGGATCAAGATTCATGTCGCTCCTACTGCAGGGAAACCTCGGGTGGGAAAGCAACGAGCGTTACGATTTCATTCGAAAATGGAAACAACCATCTAGGGGATCACAGGTCGAGGCAGCATGGCCCTGGTGGTTCGGAGGGAGAGTCCAAGGCGTTAACGTACGCCCTATAATGTTACGTACTGTACAGCAGAGCAGCAGATTACACGCCTGCCTGTCCTCTGAAGCCAGATCGATGCACGCGGCCCAGGGGCTCCGGAAACCGACCCGCACTCGCACTGCCTTGATTGAGCAGACCCCTGCTCCCTAGACCGACCGCGCCTGCTTGGACTGCTGAGTCATTCAAGCCGCTCCTGCCAACAGTGCTGTGTGGTGGTAGGGAGTCTGCACAGCGGTTTGAGACAGACACCAGCGAAACAACCCCACCTACCGTCACTGGGTGACAGGGGTGGGGGCCACCCCGCCGGAGCTGCCAATGCAATTGCGGACTGGACTGGCAGCAAGCGTCACTCCGAAGCCAGAGCCGACATACATACCTTCCAAGGTTATTAGGTACCTGGGTGGGCAGTGTGGATGCACCTCTCTTTCCCTCTCTCCCTCTCTCACCGCACAGCCAGCCATCGCAACTCAGTCCGTCGCACACCCCCCCGCGCCTTCCCATACAGACAGGAACCATGGCTGCTCAAGTTCCACGCAACTTCAAGCTCCTCGCCGAGCTCGAGAAGGGCGAGAAGGGCATGGGTGCAGGCAAGTCCCATCACCGACACCGACACCGACGCAGACACAATCCCCACTGGTGTCGCAAGCAGCGAACATGCAGCCTAACGATGGTTTCCTACTGCAGGTGCCTGCTCATACGGTCTGGAAGACCCTGAGGATATCCTCATGACCAACTGGCGAGGCACCATTTGGGGACCCCCTCATGTGAGTCTACCTGCCCGGCAATAGATTCCATCTCCTTGGACAGTCGCGAAGCCGCCGTCGCTGCATGCTTGCTGACCACGGTCTTCTCTCGCAGGGCCAACATGAGAACCGAATCTACGAACTCAAGATGGAGTGCGGCCCGAACTACCCAAAGCAGCCCCCGATCTTCCACTTCGTCAGCCAGATCAACCTCCCCGGCGTGAACCAGCAGGACGGCCGCGTCGACCAGAACTCCGTCGGCATCCTCCGTGACTGGGAGCGAATCGCGACCGAGCTCTCCAAGAACCCCCGTCCCAAGGAGGACCCCCTGAGCCTCGAAGCTGCTTTGATTGCGATCAGGAAGTCAGTACAGCCTACGAACCTAGAGACCTTGGTGACAGACAGAACAAAACAAGACTAATATCGACGGGCATTGGCCTATAGGTACATGGACGAGCACAAGAAGCTGCCCCAGCCTCCCGAGGGCTCCAAGTACGCCATGTACAAGTAGATAGAGGCCGCAGTATTGGGGAACGTATCGGAATTCAGAGTTGAGAGGCAGGGGATCACAACGAAGTGCCTCGAGGGGCGCGTTATACCTGGCATACCTAGGTATCTAGATGTTGTAGAGTCCGCCTGCAGGTCAAGTATCTGCGAGGCAGAAATCTCTCCCAGAGGTATGCGCCCACGACAGGGTCTGTCGGTTTGACCCGGGCTCCGGTCTTTGCTGCAGCTGCTTCACTGGGAGCGAGAGGTGCGACTGGTGTCTGTCGAGGGGATGGTGTGATGAAGGAATGTCTTGCTTTCTTTTTACGACTGCATCTCTGGGGGGTTGTGATGGCACTCGGCGTAGACATGGGATTCTATTAATTCTTAGCAAAACACGGGAACCCTCCCCGCCTCATGCATGCTGAGATGCTCAAAGTCCACGCGCGCGACCGACATGGCCGACACGCGCTGATGCCGCGGGACCCACGTGATCCGATCTAGAGACTTTCAACCCCGGGGATTCGGGCAGAAGATTTCCTCAGGCCGATCAACACCACGCCGCCAACTCCACTGCCCGGAAAACAGCGTCACGAGCCCCATGGACTGAACACATTGACAGGGGCGAATCTGCGCCAGGTCCAATGAATGCCGTCGCTCTTCATCCCAGCCCGCGACTCGCGGCATAGAGTAGCATGTGCGACGCGCCCCACGCCACGCCATCCGTCTCTTCTGGTCGGATTTGACTCTCAGATGCTGACCCCTTGCTTTTCCTGCAGGCTTTGCTTTGTACCGGGCACTCCTGCGCCAGGTGCCACACATCTCCCTACCGGCTGACCTGACATCCCGCCCGGGATGGATCAACCCCATTCGATTCCTCATCCACGCGGGCTTCCGCCGCAACAAGAACGACACGTCCCCGCGCCTCGTCACGGCCGCCCTGCAGAGCGGCTACCGCTTCCTCACCATGCTCACGCAGGCCCATGACGCCTCCGCGCCGCAGCACAGCGAGATCGTGGCCTTCCTGCGCGAGCGGCAGAGCAGGTTCCCGCCCCCGCCGGCCCCGGGCGCCCGCGACCCGGAGGACGCAGACGAGAAGAGGCGCGCCGCGGCGCCGCCGCTCCTGACGCTGGTCAGCGCGCCGGGCGAGAAGCCGGTCTACAAGTCGACGGTGCGGCCGCGGCCGCTGGGCGAGCTGTCGGGCGGGGTGCGCAAGGTCCCCGTGCTGGACCAGACGAGCGCCGGCCACTCGTTCCTGCGGATCGGCAAGCCCCAGTCGCACTTCCTGGGCAGCTTCCTGCAGCGCAAGTCCAAGACGCGGCAGCGGCGCATCACGCTCATGCAGGAGCTGGGCGACGAGTACCTGACGCAGGCGGGCGACGAGGACAGGTGGGAGGAGCAGCTCGTGCGGCTGGCGCGCGCCGAGGGGGCCGGGCAGCTCGAGGGCTACGGCTCGGGGGGCGGGGATGATGACACGTATGTGCAGGCTGTCCACGTCGGGATCAGGGAGGCGGGCGAGGGGCTCACGAGGGAGGCGGAGGACATGTTTGCGCGGGCGAGGGCGATGCTGGATATTGTTGAGGAGGAGAAGAAGCTCGCTGAGGCTGAGGCCAAGGACAGGAAGAGGCTGAGGAAGAGACAACGCGCGACGAGGAAGAGGGAGGAACGGGAAGAGGCCGAACGGGCGGAGCGCCGGCGGCGGTGGCAGGAGGCGCGGGAGCAGGAGACATGACGTTATTGTTCTGGGTGATGAGATGTGTGCCATGAGCTAGTGATGATTTTTCATTCAGCTGCACATTACATCTTGAAGCTGTGCGGCTGCCCCCATCACGGCCATCATATTCAGATCCGGCTATAAACACACTTGGTCGAGCGACATGGATATGCTTTCAACCCGACTCTAATCCTGGCCACCCTTGCTGGCCTGTCCCAGGCTTAGCCAGAGCCTCGAACATGTTTTTTGTTCTTTTTGTGCCTTCTTCTCATGCAATCACATAAACGGCCGCCCTTGCAAACAATCCTAAAACCCAAGTTCTGCACCAGTCTTTGTTGCCGTCCAAAATGCTGCGTCGACAGCTGAGGGCCGAAACCCGGGGGACCGTCCGAGACAGGTGCCACGTCTGGCGAGTTCTGCAACACATAGAAAAGAATTAGCTATCGTTTGTGCAAGCAAAAGGGGGGGGGGGGCAACGATGGCTGTGAGAGACGTGAGTGGCAACGACTAGATGGCTTACCTGATAAGAAGACATTGACGTCCAATGTAATTAATTTCTTCCCGCCATCAGTTGGCGTCCCACTGCCGCTACCGAGCCCCGACATTCCATGCCCAGCTGTAGCACGGCTGAACATCTCGGTGAAAGTATCGATCGGCCATGTGCCCGTGTCCATCCCGACAGTCGTCGACGAAGTTGAGGCCGAAGTCACTGCCTGGCTGCCATTGGGCGAGGAGCCGCTGGGTGCAGGATTGTCAAAAGCCTCATCCAGCGTCCGCGACCAATCCTCAAACCGTCCCGCGGCCTGCTCCTGTCCTTGACCCTGACTGTCCTGTCCCGCTGCCGCGCCGTTCTTGAATGACGCCACGTCGACCTCGGTTGTCAGGTAGTCCTGACCGGGGTGTATCACGACGCCGCGAGCCTGCAGGTACACCTCGACCTCCTCCGGGTCGTAGAAGTCGCCTTCGAAGCCCGGCAGCCGGATCCTCATGCGAGGGTCAATCCTCTTGTCACGGGTCTCGCTGACCTTCGCGTCGAATGGTCCCAGGCCGAACTGCCCCCCTGGGTATTGGTACTTCATCTGATCAACCGTGCCCTGGTTGCCCACGCGGGCCTCATTGCTGGCGCCGGCGCTGGCGCTGGTGCCCTGCTGAAGCTGGTGCTGGCCAGAACCACCGGCCGCCCAGAAGGGGGCCTGCCACCAGTTGAGGGACTCGGAGGACGTCCGCTGGAGACATTGGGCGAGGCGCTCGCGGATCTTTTCAGCGGGCTCGAAGAGCAGGCAGAAGCCGAACGTTGAAGCGTATGCTTGCTTGGGCGGGTCTGGCATGGTGAGAAGCCGGTATGCGAGTTCCAAGCAAATCCTTTGCAGACGCCGGCCGAAGGTTGACTCTTCGAAGGCCATCGACTGGGGGAGTGGAAGCGAGGAGTAAGGGGAGATCGGGTAGGCTGGCGAGGCTGTAGAGGCCTGTTCGAGCATGTTCGGGTAAGACGATTCTGGATTCAGGTCAAAGGGGAAGCTGGCGTTCTCGAAGGTCGGCATAGTCACAATCTCGTAGCCGAGGGGCGTCTGCGGCACCGACATGATGGTGTTGGAAGGCAAGGCCATGGATACATCTGGTGCCGTCGTCTCGGCCTCGTGGGCGACCATGTAGCCTCCCCAGAGCGGGACGGTCGAGTTGCGTGCAGTTTGTACTATGGGCACATCTGACGAGCTCGAGTCTTCTGTCTGGCTTCCGCGGGGAGGTGGCTCCGGTGCAGAGCCCTCGGTTTGCTCGTCCTGCCCGCCATCTTCACTGGATCTTCTTGCGAGCGAAAGTATCTTCTCAGTGGCCGTACGAAGCTCATTAGCAAACCTCGGGGATTGCTCCAGCACCCCAAGGTTCACGGCGGAGTCGTGGAGCTTGAGGAAAATGTGGCTCAGCTCCTCGTTGTTCCCCTGAAGCTCTTCGACACGCCTCTCGAGGGTCTGGATGGCATTTTCCTTGCGACTCCTATAAGCTCGCTGTGCTAGGCGTATTTGTGTCCGTCGGCGCTACGCTCAGCAAGCAAGTCAGTCGCCTCGTGAAGCCTACACGGACGCGTTGTAGGGGTTACGGGACATCTTGAAAGAATTTGGTCACAGCTGGAGGTGGTGACAGCCCTGGAGGCCAGGGTGGGCAGGGGGAAGGGTGTTGTAGGAGTGTGCGGCGCGTGATTTCCAGGGTGTCTTCCGAGCCGCGAGCAAAGCCGCGAGGGGAGAAGAAGAGGAACGGGGCACATGTGCAATCTTTGGGGGAGAGGGATGGGATGACAAGGTAGAACATTGACCCACCTCCGCAGCTGTCTGGTCCTTTGTATCGATCCTGGGCCTGCCTCTTGCCCTCTTCGCACCGTCGTCGTCCCCATCCTCAGCCGATTCTGTTTCGGCGGTCGGGGGAGATACCTTGGCCCTCTTCCGTGGAGCAGTCTCTGGCTTTGAAGTGGACGGCTTCTTCGCCCTGCTGGTCCTGCCAGAGAAGGGCCCGTCGAGGTACTGTTCAGCGCTGAGAATCGAGAGATCTGAAGGCATGGCCTCGTGGCGCATGTTTAGTCCCAACGATGGCCACAACACCTAGGTACTGTTGTCCGGCCCGTAGAGTCAAGGTAGTATAGGCTGGGGGGGCAGGTGTGAGACAACCCAGCACTCGGCGGCTGGCTGGATGGAGTAGGTCTGGCCTGTGGCCCGCCAGTGGCTGCTCTACGGGAATATACTGTGGATTCTCCAGGTTACACAGAGGTCCTCTCTGGGCGAAGAGTGATAAGTCTAAATCCAGGACTGATAGTGGTCGAGGCCGGAGTGTGCTATAGGGTCTGGGGCTGTGGCCTGGCTGGAGAGGTATCTACGAGGTATAGAAGTAGTGATACTCCGTGGAACATGTAGGTATTCGTCTCCAAGAATGGGTTTCGATCTTCTGAAGGTGATGATGAGGTAGACTTGAGCTTTCCTGGGCACTCGAGAGTCTGATTGTGTCGGTCTTGGGGTCTGTTGATGCGTCCGGACCAAAGGTTAGCCAGGCAGCTTCCACCCGTCGGCGCGCCCTTGCAACAAGTATGTCCTCAGAATGATGACGCTGAGTAATGGAGAAGCCACATGTGTTTTTCCCCCAACAGTAGGCGAAAAGTCATAATGCAACTTGGCTCACCCCGTAGGCAGTGAAGCATAGTCGGTCACTGGCTTGTTGCCAAACAGGGGCCCGTCGTGGAGTCTGGCTGGGCTCAGATGGACATGATTACTCAACATTGGCCTGCGGGCCGACTAACTGCCCCTATCGTCCGAGCAATTCGGAGTCGTGCGAAGCAGTTAGCGCATGGTATGACTGAAGCTTACCGTCAAAGGCTTAGACGCAACGGCAAGCTGAACCCCCTCCGGCAGGTGGACTTATCCACGCCGGCTGACAATTGTCGTAGTACGACTTGCCGTGCGGCCCAAGTCAAATCATGGAGGTCCTGCCATGGAAAGTGACCAATTGTTGTGTCGCGTGTCGGAACAGCGGGACGTGTTGAGGTGCTTCTCGCGCGGTCAACTCGATACCACCCAGGTACGGAGTTTTCGCCGATGTGCCCATGACACGGAGCAGGCAGCTGGAATTGGTCAATATATATATGCTCATGTGCAAGGTTTGCAGGGAGACTCGGAATTATTTACTAATAAGAAGAGAACACGGTCACTGGGATTGGACAATCCGGCTCAAAATTCGGGGGCAAGGGGGCCATCATCCATGACATTGAAGCGGACGAACATGGACCATATCACCATTTCGACAGGGTCAGGGAGAGGTCTGGGGTGACCCTGCCAGGCCTGCTCCCCAACGCTTTGCATTCATGTACGGAGTACGGACCGCCGGACGAAGTGGAACACGGGCCAGGCGTTCAGCCCACACTGGCGTTTGCGAACTTGAATCCTGCACGCCAACGACTAGGCCGTCTTTTCGGACATCGCTTCACGGTGAGCCCTCATACAACAGCGGCGGCTTATTCCGGCGTTGCTACGCTGGACTCGCCCGTCGACAGACCAGTCTTCTTGACAGACCCAAGCGTGCCCGCAGCTCGCTTTGTGTGGCACCTGGGCTCTTCCCAAGACAACCATCTTCTTCTGTCCAGCACAAGTGGCTCCGCTGATGGCGGAGACGTTGACAGCTGGAAATGGCCGCAGATTGCACATCACAAGACTCATGAAACAGGCAAGAGGTACATGTCCGTGACCGGAATAAGAGCACAAACAGTGCTTGAGTCAAACAAAACTGCCATTGACATGCAGCTGTTTCCCCAACCTGTCAGGCCAAAGGCCTACTGATTGTGGATACTGGGGCCCACTTGCAAGCAGACCTTTGCCGATCTCGATGTGACCCGTTCAAGACACGGAAGATTCAATGCTCCCATCTTTGGTCAATAAAAATTCCTGTTCCTTTCAAGCACCAAGAAGGCCGACGAATTCCGGGACCAGCGGTGGGCAAAACCTTATGTCCGCCCCATAAGGACAGTGACGAGCATACTGTGGTATCAGGCCGGAAAGCGCCTTAGACGGACCATGCTTCCGAGTAAATACGGTAGCCCACTTCAATATTTCTGGTCTAGGCACTCCTAACAGCGAGGAAGGTATTGGTTGTCGCCGGAATAACACTTAGGCGGCCAGTGGAATGTACCTAAGTACTGTGACGAGGCTGCTGGCTGCTTGCCCCGGATCTATTTTCCACAAATGTAATTCCCGGCACTGAACATTCAGCCGTGCTTCTCGTTTTTTTGGTCCAACCGCGTGTTGCCTGGTGAACATCGGCCAGACTGGTGAAAAAAGTGATCATATACATAGGCTAGTAGCATGACGGCCGAACGGGTGGTGAGTTCTACAGGCGGCTTGAGTAGGATGCTCAGCGAGGAGTTTGCACGCTCTACATATGTATCCTTCTGACTCTACTTCCTAGGTACTTACTTTTTGACGCTTATTTCCGAACCCATACTACGTACCCAGGTACCCAGAACCTGCACTGGGTCTCGTGTGGGCTTCAATTCTCATGGCCAAATTGCTTTGATCTTATTTGCCCTCGCGATCCAGTACCTAGGTAGGTTAAGGACGAGCGCGGGGCGCTGTTGTACTGCACCATATCGTCAGCCCTGCTTTTGATAATGATCTTTCCTGGGCTGGGATTCCGGCTTCGTCGATAGCGCGCTAGTGACCGCTGCTTTTACCAGGCAGGTGTATCACTCGTCTTCTGGGAAGAGCGACGTAACCCATGACGCAGCTTCTTGGAGACCGGGCGAGAGGGACGGGTACGACAACGAGAATGCTACGAGATTATGTTCCTGGCTGCTTTATGAAATCAGCCCCGGAAAGTCTGGACGGCCTGGGTCGAAATGTATGAGGAATGGATTCCGGGTGCGAAAGGTGCATCAAGATGAGCAAGCATCTTCAGATGATAAGGAGGTGAAGACACAGCTTCAGGCGCCAAGGCGCGTGTCATGGGAGGAGGCTTGGAAGGACAGGAAGGACCCCGCCCCCGTCCCCCTCAAGATGCAGTCCCCTAGGAGATTGCCCCTGATGAGGCTGTCTCTAAGCGGGCTGTCCCCTAGGAGGGCATCACAGAGAGGGTGATACCCTGAGAGGTTCCAAGGTTGGAGTGGAGCCACCTGGGCACGGTCTCGCATTGGGCCAGGCAGAAATGCAACCAGGTCAAAACCACAGACTCATGGCTGATGATTGCCATGATACCTTCCGACCCCTTCCTTCGTTCCCAAGCTCTGCACAAGTGCTGATGCAGCAGCCACACGATCCACTTCAGGACCCTCTTAGTCTCGGTGCTTCACCTTCGAATGCCTTTGAATCATTTCCGGAGGACAGTTCAGACCCGTTTCTGTGTGATCCTAGCCGGAACGCAAAGTCACCAACTTGATAATGCGCAGCCGAGTGGATCAGCTATGGGCACTTGGAGGGGGAAATTAAGCCCGCAGTACGGCATGTCAAGGATGGTTGTTGGCCGATTACAGAAAGCCACCTGGGATCACTTGAAGTACGGGCTTATCCGCAGGTATATAATTGTATTGACCAGTATGTCTTTTTGTATGGCCTTGGAGTCTAGAGGAAGATCGACACTCGTTATCTTAGCGTGCTTGAGTGCAGGAAGAGTCGACATGGTACAATGGCAAAGCTCCTGCCTGCTGAATTCCATACAGACTAATGGCCGCTGTGACCAGATTGCTATTTGATCGAACCACGAAACATTCTATAGAGGCTCTGATGCCCTTGCCCAGTTGGCCCCATAACTTCATTCACTGCACTATTGTGATCATGCCATGCCGCAAAAGTGGTAGAGTACGACCATACCTAGGTATGTGCCACCTTGCTGCCCGTAGTGGGAGCTCTCTCCTAGCCCTCCGTCGTGTTGATCTTAATTTCCAAGGCTGTGGATGGGTGTTGAGCTCACTAGCCTTGAACTTGATACCCTATAACTAGCTTCTGTACCCTCTTGTGGATGATTCTCAGAGTGTGGAGACGGTCGTGTGTCTGACATGGTCACACGGCCTCGTCAAGCACGGGCAACTTGTGGGTGCGTGGTTGCAGTGGTATCTTTGCTTGATCATATCATATCTAGAGCCCGGAGATACCGCCCATGGTTCTCTATTCTGGCAAGGGCCTCGTGTAATGCGTCTTCCACTCGGACACGATCCTTGCTCTCTCGACTAAGCCCAACTCATCCAGCCAGCCTTCTAGCTCGGTGATGTAAGTCAGGATCACTATGAAGTAGTTGGTAAGCAAGATATGATTCCTCATACACGGATGAGGCCAGCAGAAGTGACGCGGGGCAAAGGATCGCTGGACATGACAAGAAATGGTGGAGTACTCACTCGGCTCGTCTTCCCCGCGCTCGGTGCGCAACACATCGATTGCCTCACGCAGGTATGCCTCCATCGCCTCACCATCCCCGCGGGCCTTGCTTACCTCCGCAAGCATCCTGAGAGCGTTCACCCGTGGCACCAGAGTCGGCGAGGACCGCAGAATCTGTTTGTATATTGATATGAGCTCCTCGTTCATATTCGGGTCCAGTCCGGCGTCCTTGTCCTTTGTGAAGCGATAATGGGCAGAATACCAGAGGATCTGGGCATACGAAGGCCCGTACTTGGGCTCGACCCTCCTCAGCGTGTCATCGATGTACTCCCCGAAATGTTTTGGTAGCTCGTTGGACTCGCCGGCGTACTGGAAAGACAGCCAGTCGTTGATCAGGGTCTTGCTGCCACCCCGGCCGCCCAGGAAGGATTCCCAGGTCTTGCAGTTGAGCTTCCACGCCTGAACGGCGAGCCTGTTCAGCAGGAATTCGTCTTCAATGCTCGCTATGTTCCGAAGCAGCTGGCGCAGGGGTATGGGCAGGTCGGTGTCGTCGCCGGAGAAGGCCACTGCCATGTACCTCATCAGAGCCTTCACGACGGCCGAGAACTGTTTCGCCATGGGTTCGTCCGGGAAGACGTTGCGGCGGGTGCTGATCATCAGGAAGAAGAAGATGTAGCCGGTGACGTTTGCCGGCTGGTGGCGGATCAGGGCGCCGAGCTCCTGCGGGGCCCGGCGCATCAGCACCAGCGCGTCGTTGAACATCTGCTTCTCGGCGGCGGCGGACCTCTTCAGGAGCGGCCTCTCCAGGGTGGCGGCCCTGATGGCGGAGCTGTAGCTGACCCACCGGGTCACCAGCTGGTCCGCCTGGCGCACCCGGTCAAGACCCTCGCCGGTGGTGACGACGCCCTGGAAACGGCCCAGTAAGTAGTTCTGGGCGGAGGAAAAGACGGCCTCGAAGATGCAGTACGAGTCCGGCGGCCGCACGGTCGTGATGGGTGGGGAGTTGCTCCGCTTCGAGCGGTATCTCTTGCGGCGCACGTGCTCAGCCAACCGGTCGGCGTCGACGGCCAGGCCATTCGAGAGCCGGACGGTGCGGCTCCTTGCTGTTACTGGGGTCCAGTAGGGCACTGGCTGTGTGTCGTTGGCGGGCGAGGCGAGCTTCTGAACAACGTCGTCATCCCGCCCCGCCCTCAGCCTGATGTTCTTCCGCAGGCCCCAGCTGATAAGCCGGGTCTTGAACATCTTCTCCCTTGAGTCACCGGATAGTCAGGAACTGAGGCTGTGGAAGAGACAGTAGGAAATGGAATCGCATACGACGCAACGAAGCCATGCTCCACCCTCATGATCCTCACCACTTCCTTGAGCGTGCGGTCCTCGTCCATGTACAGGCGCCTGATGGTCGGCATGTGGGTGTTCCAGTCGAAGGTGGACGGGCCCTGCCTCTGCTTGCCATGCACGATGACCGGCAGGCCATTGCCATCCACGACGGCATGGTTTGGAGCCATCACGGCGGGGCTGTGGGCGCGCAGGCACCGGTCAGGACCTAAGGCTCCCGACTGCGGCCCGTACGTAGAACAAGGCAAGCCTCGGACCGTGTGGGCGGCCGCCTGAAGAAAGTTCCCCCAATGTGTGAAGCAGAAGGTATCAGTGCCTGATGGGTCTTTTGGCCTTGGGCACGGGTCGCCGCACGAGCGTGTTGGTTTGTGCAGGCCAAGAGCGATGCGAGATGGAGCTGGCATGTGAACCAGGCTGTCGGTCGCGCGGGAACATCTGGGGGGAGACCTCTTGGGGGGTGTTCGGCAGCGGCCGCGTGACGGTTCTAAGATTAGAGTGACAGCCTGCTGTTCTGTACTTTACCGTGTTACTGTGGTAGAACCGAGTGTAACGCCACCGCAGCTCGCTTGACCCCATTCGGGTAGAGTGACATGGGCCCTGCCGCTGATATCTTGGCGCCGCACACCATAATCCTGCATTAGCAGCACAATTATGCTTTCTCCTGAAGCAACACAGGAGAGACCGGAAGTAGAACAGGGAGCCGACAAAAAGACGTGCTTTTATGCTGGCTCGTAAACCAGGCAATGAGAAGGCTGCGATTGTTTGATATCGGTATCGCCCTTCCCTTAATGGCCTAGCACAAATGACCAGATGGAGCACCGCTTGCTTCAAGGACCGACCAATGTCGGCATTGCTTATCATTCAGGAATGTATTGCCTACAATCCGTAGAGGAAGATTGCTTGCAGCTTCACCTCCTTTCCCGTCATCCTGCCGATTGTTACCCCGTCATAGCACAGCACCTTGGAACCCCCTAATTTCCAAAAGCGGAAAACACCATCCTTCAGTACTTGGTGTGACGTCCATCGCGTGCAGTACATGTCAGCCCTAGGACCCGTGGCGATCCAATCGGTTTGGTTGGGACCGCCCTTGTATTTGCAGAGAATGAACCCTCATCAAGTGACCATTGATAAAGGCTCTACGGTGCCCGTAGTGCAATGGCCTCAAGCAACCCTGCTTCAGGGCATTGGGAGAGAGCACATGGAACCAATCTCAAGCGACTTACTTACCAAGGTCCATCACGTCCTGAGTTCCGATTTAAATCAGATGTTGCTTCGTTTCACATGATACTAAACAGCTCCATAGAGCCTCTGTAGGCGTTATGTTGACATTTAGAGACTGCTGATTTGGGCCACTGGAAAGACCTTTCCATCTATTCCCGTAAAAAGGGCAGATAGTCCTTGATGGATTATGTCACTTCTGTGATGCGGCATTCTGTATTCCCAAGGGCTGGTATGGGACAACCTCCCACAGGAAAATATCCTATGGGGTAGGTTATGTTGTCTCATAGGAGGTTCTCCACGGGGCTTGAGTGTACCCTCTGTCTTTGTGGGTATGAATCTTTGACATCCAGAAACGAAAACTACTGTTTGATTCAAAATACAAGACTCGCTTGGCTAGAGCCAACAAGAAATATTATACTGTCGTCCTACTTAAAGTTCGCTTATTCTCCATCATGTCCGTAGGGTTTCTCTCGCTCAATGGCGGCAAGCTAAAACTGGAACGCCATGAACCAACAGCTAAGCTTTCATCCAGTGTCATCAATTTCTGGCTCTCACACCTGCACACAGTAAGGCACGGGACCAACGGATAAACAAAAAGAAACCATGAACACTATCAACTTTTCTTCACCCCCCACGATTAGTAGCTAGCATCTACCACGTGCTGCACAGGTCAACTGGTGGGAGAGCACATGGGCGAACAACTTGAATTCCCAATGCGAGCATGGAACCGTGGGTCTTGAATTTGAAGGTACCTAGGTACCTACTAAGAAGGTAGTTAGAATTTCAAGTTCTGTCAAACAGCAATAGGTGTTGTCATTCTGTCTGATTGCACGCCAGCCACAAAACCAAAATGAACCTCCCCCAAAAGGGTTGGTGGTCTTGGGTCACATTATGAGCGACAGCATAATCTTTGATATTGTTGAATTTGTCTGGGAGCTGAGTGAAATGAAAGTGCAAAACTCAAACCTCAGTCTGATTGGATTGAATGCCATGGTAAGGTGCCAGGCTGCCCGATCTCCACTTTATTCACTTACCTAGGTGTCCACAGAGCTATGGTCAACAAAAAGGCTGGCACCAGTTAAGGCGTATCGGGAGGCTCGTTTGAAGCAAGGGTGTGAGCCTCTGCGCTTAAGGCATCCGCCATCCCATTTCTACACCCGTCCCCTCAACGACAAATTCAACAACGGGCACAACAGGGAATTGAGACTGCAGGTATCTGACACAACACCATGGATGACTCCGACGAGTATGCAAAGCATCATATTATCACATTCAAGTACGAAAGTCTTGCTAATTTGAACAATTTCCAGTTCGTTGTACCATCCCGATGAGAGCGATGACGCCTTCAAGGCGAGGTACGTTTTCAAATGAGCAGCGGATGCACGACAACGGCTTTCAGTCATTGCTTGCATCTTTCACTGATGGTGCTTGCGATTCACTCTTAAACATGGTAACTACCAAATCATTCTGCATTGCCCAGGTGCTGATCAATACTATACAATATAGTCAACGCAAGCCCCAGCCTTCTCGACCACAGACGCCCGAACCAAACAATGACACCAAAAGGTATGACGCGGCTCCCACGCGCGAAAACAAAGTTGGTCGCTAACTTTTCTACAAGCGTCGCATCCGATCCGCCGAGCGCACTTCGTCGCTCAACACGTCGGCCCGTGCCGGTGACGAGACTGGACCCGTCTGTGGACAAGAGACCAGTGTCACTTGCACTACAGGTCCCCAGAGAGGCATCCACACACAAGCCGGGTACCCGCAACCACACGATCCATCTGTTACTGAAGTTGCCTGGATTCAGCTTCACCAGTGACACCAATGTCTTCAGCGCCAGTAGGAGCACACGTTTCGCATATTTGCTGGGCGCCCAGTCCGCGCCAGCTTTCAACGAGAGAGTAGTGATTCCCAGCAACCAGAGCATCGTCTCAGTCCGTGTGGCCGACGTCCTTGAAGTGTGTTGCGACGAGTGGCTTGAGTACTGGCAGGATGAGCCCTTGACGAGTGGATTCTGGGGTGAAGCGGCTGAGAGCCTTCGCTGTCAGAAGAGATACTGGGCATCGAGGAAGCCCAACGCCTCTGGTGATGAGGTATACACGATCTGCTTCGCGTACACGCGCCACTGGGACGAGAATGGACGTGGCCGTGCCATAAGTGACGAGGCCAGCTGGGGCTTCGAACTGGGCGCGCTTACCTGGGGCAATACCAAGGCTGCAATTGATCCCGATCTATTTGCGAAGCCATGGGAGTATGAGCGCGCTTGTAAGTCACCTTCCCCTAGCCTCACCGTTGTTTATAGCATCGGCTGATGAGAAAAAATGCGCAGAGAATGCCGCACGTGACTTCTTGGAGTGCATCAGGGAGAGCGAGGCCCGTTTTGGCCTAATCGAGAGGGCGAGAAGCGTCGACAGGAACAGGTCTGCCAACCGGAATGGAACCACACGTGCCTTGGTAGCAAATGATGCGCCGTCCCGGGGCTCCAGATCGAGGACCGCTGGCATGGACAATGGGCATCAATTCGTTCTCGGGGGTCACAGTGATGTAGTCGTTGTCACGGGACCCCGTCACGGACACAGCGATCAGGGCCAGGGAAGCTCCTCTAACAGGGTCAGGGCCAGGGTTGAAAGGGGCGATCCAAACCGACTTCTGGTGACCTTCTCCGGTCTCGTCAATCAGATGCCGGGAGAACGAGAGGCACTACATGGCGATGAGGGTAAAGATGTCCGGCCCCAAGCTGGAGCTGACGAGGATGTGGAGATGAGTTGAAGGGTCCTTGACTTCGTCGTGTTTCTCTGTTGGCGACGAGGTGACATGAGGAGTGCATATCCTCTGATTCTGGACAAAACTTTGTCAGTTAGATTGGCAGGCAACAGAAAGAAACATCTTTATCACCAATATGTAGTTTCAAGCGCTAAATTCGTCCTCGGTGCTAGCAGCCCTGTAAACATTCATGATCATGTCCATTCAGGGGCCCTTTGGCTTCGAAATTTGGCCAGCAAATTCTTGGGAACCTGATGGAAATACTGCAACCAACGAGTGGACCTTCATTCATCCATTGAAGGCCATGCCCCTGTTCCATCGGAAAAGTATGGCCAGTGCTTCAATTTGACAATACTATTTCTACTCATTGTACCCAGGGGCTTGGCAGAAAGTACCTAGGTACTTAAGTCCCTGGTTGAAGCTCCCCTCGATTCAAATCAAGGAAGGTGCAGAGGTTTAAAGTGCAACTGCCCTGCCTTCTTTCTGACCCTCCCATCTAATACTGCAACCTCCTGTCTTCTGGAGCCAACCCACCTTCTCCTTTCCACATCAACCGACGCAACCAAGCTCTGCAGCTCTTGTCTCAACAAATCAACCACTCTGTGGTATCAATTGTATGCAGCCACTGTGAAAAGCCACACCCTTCAAGGACTGGCTTTGGAATGAGGTAAGTACATCAACTGGGCCAATTTTTTCGCATCTTGATCGCGCTTTCCTGGCCTGCTGTCTCTGCCTTACTTTTCCCAGCACTTGTCTCTTCCTGATTTCTTGAAGCTTGGTGGAAAAGTTCAAATCACAATCCAAATCCACCATTCGTCTGTACTCAACACCTGAGAATCCAGCAGGGCTCTCCCCTCTGCTACGTTCATACCAAACCCCCCCTGGACTTTCACACAAATTGCCCACACAAGATCACATCAGTGGCAGAGCTCTTGGCCTGGATCTTACTTGTACTCCTTCTTCACCACTGCATCTGCTGACAAGTCAAAATCAGCACCCCCAAAATGTGTCCTCCACCCGACCACACTCCAGCCAAGCTGGACCAGATCGATGCAACAACGGTTTCTCTGCCTGACAGTGGCCACAGCTCCCCCAAAATTCCTGCTGAGGATAGTGTCAATGGCAAGACCCATTCCACAGTCAAGCCAGACGCTGCTCCACAGACTTGTGAGACGGACGCTGCAGTCATGACCGGCGAAACCGGTGGCTTGGCCACAATTCACGAGCAATCCGACACTGCTTCTCCCGATGACAACTGTGGAGTAGGAGCGGCCACAAGCGGCAATGCCTCGCTCGAGAAGACCACTGAAAACGGAATTTCTGTCCACCAGGCACCCGTTGAGCCCACCGATGTGCCCCCAAAGTCAGACTCTGCAATGGATGACGTCGACGGCAACGAGCCTGCGAGACTCGCTTCGCAACCTGCCAGTGGTGTGGCCCGCATCTCAGCCCCAGAGACTGCAAGCCCCATCATAGTTGCCTCCGCGGAGGCCACCGGCGACTCTGAGCAGGACGCCGCCCATACGCCCCATTCCACTACTACCTCAGCGAGTGATTCAGCCCAGTCCGAGGAGCACAAGTTTGTGGACCCCAACGACAAGGCAAACATCGGAACCGACGTCATCAGGTTCTTCTACACTGCCAGCACTCGCAAGAGGCCATCGAGCCCCGTCACCACTGCTCCCGGTTGCTGCAACCCTCGACTTCATCGCGACAGTGATTTGTACGTCAAGGTCAAAGGCGAGGACGGCAAAGTCTACGTGTTCGAAGTTGCATCGGCCACTCTTGAGAAGGCCTCAACCAAGTTCGAGGCCATGATCTATGGTAGCCACACTCGTGGCAACAAGGAGGTGTGGGTGTGGGAGCTAGACGACAACCCGTAAGTGCTAAAGCCGCGCGCCTCCTTCTCCTTTTTCAGTGCCAACTGCCTTGGAATTCCTAAAAGTCTGCCCATGCCTTCTCCTATCCCAACTTTGACGTTTCCTCTGCATTCTCTCGGCCCCATTCCTTGCCGGTCAACCTTCTTCAACCGTTCAAGCTTCAGCCTGCTGTCATCGATTCTTCATCTCGTTGCCAAGCTCTTTCTTTGATTATGAGAATCTCCATGGGGCCGCATCTGACCGTCTTTACTCCAGTTTGGGCCTCAAGATCATGTTCTGTCTGCTCCACAACAAGTTTCCCAGAGCGCTGGTGGCCTCGAAGCCCAATGCCGATCAGCTGTACAAGGTGGTTCAGGTACTCGAGAAGTACGAAATCCATCTGGATCAAACAAACTACCACCTCTTCGCTCCTTCTTGGATCAATGGCTTCAGCAACGGACTGGCCACGTCTAATCTAAGTGTCGTTGAAGCTCTTCAAGTTGCCTATGCAATTGGCGACTTCAAGACTACGAAGACCCTCATCCGAGAAGTGGCCCACGAGATCAGCGACGAGGTCGGAAAGCGCATACAAGATTTTCCTATGAAACAGCAGGATATTCTGGACAGCCTCCAAAAGATCCGCAACGAAGGCCTCGAGAATCTGCTCGCCTCACTGAAGGTTCCACTCGATTATTTCATGGACGCCAACAATTTTCAAGGCAATCGGTACTGCAGGTCCAGCGAAGGCCATTTCGAGTGCAATCAGAAGCTCTTGGGATCTCTCATGGCCAATCTGGTTCAGCAGTCGCTGTTTCCAATTCCAGAGGCTGCCAGCTACAAAGGAAGTGTGGCCACTCTAATTGCCAAGATCGAGAAAATGGAGATCAGAGGCTTGTTCTACCCTGGTGTCGTGATGACAGAGCAGAAGCATACTCTGTGCAAGCTAGGCCAGGCCGCCACAGTTGAGGAGGTCAAGGGCGGCAAGGATGGGAAGGGACCCCTCCCGCTTTCGGATACTCTCTTGGAGTATATGTACTTCGCCTGCAAGCGCAATGGCCTACTGCGGCAGGAGCAGAAGGAGTTCGAGCCTTACAAAGATCGGATTCAGGATTTCGACCTTCTCTATCGGGATGAGTTCCAGAAAGACATCTGGTCATGGAGCCACGATGAGGCTGGTGCGGGGGACAATCCTCGCGACGGCTCCGATGACTCGGGAATCTTCGACATCGCGGACAGTTACGGCTGCGTCAAGCGGAAGGTTTCTGCCTAAGAAGTGCGGTTTTCAAAAGTGTTTTGGCCTGGAATTCCAAGGTTGTGTGCGCTGCGGGTGGATGAAGATGTGGGCACCTGGGCAGACCCGGTCCAAGTTTGGTCTGGGCAGCTGTCAAGTCTTGCAAAAAGCCTTGCTGGAGATTTCCTCCGGAATCAGGCTTCGCTCAGTTTGATGTAATTTTGAAGGCATATTCGTATGCCACTATGGGGATTGTGCTCAAGATTTGTGGGCTTTCATCAGGTCAGCAAGCAGCCTGTTGATGGCCGAAGGAATACGTCCATTGTGAGACAAGAGGTCAAACTCGTCCGTCATGTTGGGGAAGTCAAAATGAATGCTCAGTCGCAAGCTTTACATAGGCTAATAAACGTAACGAATCCGCCACTGTGAGTTGTCTCGGACCTATCAACCTGTTTCTGTACCAAAGAAATTTATAGACTTGCAGGCTCCGACGCGACAGGCCAATCAATGCACAAGTCACGGACGCTACAGTGTCACCAAAACACCCACTGTCTTGGGCGACCAAATCGGACAACCCAGACAATTTTGTTTGGAGCATTTCAGATGAGCCCATTTGATAAAAGGTCAGAAGATGGATAGATTGATGTCTCTTATTGACATCAAGCGAACGCCTACATTTTCGTCCCGGCCAAATCCTTGGAGCACCTCATCCTCATTGTCCCGTTGTCCAGGGGTGCTAAGCAGGGTATGCTCTTCGTACAGTATTTCAAAAAAGGGGGCTTGTCAATTCTCCTGCCCGCCGATTCTGACCAGGGCTGTCAGCTTGTAACTGACAGGACACAGAAATACAATTTCGCCGTGGGAACGACCCGCGCCTCTCGTTGCCTCTACTCACCCTTGGTCCTGCAATGTCGGCTGAACGAGCAATCGAGCAATCAGAAGGCAAATGGCTGTCTTCACGAGACGCAGTGACAGCTCAGAAGCAACACTCCCGGTCCATCGGATTTTGCGGCGTCAATCTCCCCCCGAAACACCGTAGCTCCGTATGCTATTGTTCTCCGAAAGCCTGACATACAGACTGATCAGTCAGACCTCGAACATTCGACGACCTTGCCCGGGTGGTGTCCCAGGAAGGAGGGGTCGCGCACCAGCGTTGGTGTACAGATGCCGCCGAAGCTTTTCTCGTGGTGCCTGGGGCAAAGTTTCTGTGACGATCCTATGGAGGCCATCTTAAATTACTGTTTGAATAGTTAATCCGCACAAGCTTTTACCTGCGTACGCGCAGAGTCAAATGCCACGAGTCAAAACCATCCGGTCGCCAGATAATCTACCTAGACCAGGTACTACAACAGTTTCAATGGAATCCTGTTTTAAACCCGCAGAGCGGTGAACATTCCAGTCCAGTCTGGGCGATTGTTCAAGCAATTCAAATCCTACCGGAGACGTGTCTTGTCCCGGCAGTCCGAGCAATACGATTCAGCCGTCTTGAAGATCGGGCTGGCCCACGAGGATGTGCCACCTCGCCCACACAGACACGTTGTGGCTCTTATCACTTTGGGCCTTTGGACTGTTTGGTGGAGCCCGGCCGCAGCAGGAACATCGATTTGGGGAGAATATTGTGACATGACAAAGTAACCATCATCTCAGGATTGCAAGGAATGTTGGCAGTAATTCGGCAGTGGGGACGGTCTCGACCCTCTCCTATCCTCCACAGACGGAAAACATTTCTGTAGTTACCTGGTGTAATGTGCCGTGCGCTTGGATATGCGACAACAGCATATTGCCGTAGGCAGTGTCTCCAGCCGGGCCTCCCCACCGTCAAGCCACCTACTTCGGACGGGAAGTAGGGCAAGAATACCGACTGGTCCAGACGTGTGAATTTTGTGCCCAGACGGCTGATCACCCGCCCAAATGTCCGCCTGGCTGGACCCTGGGAGTCACACCCGGCGTGGGCAACTGGGCGGATGAGCCCGCACGGGTTTGGCTCTCACCCGAAATCCACCTCGGTCGGGGCCTGCTTAGACCCCGTAGGCAGTACTGAGACAAGATGGTCAGATCAAAGGATTTGTTCTCCGTCAGCGTTTTCCCGTGGTTGAAGGATGTGTGGCAGGAGTTAAGAGTGGGGCCCTTGTTTGCGAGCCCGAGACACTTGGCGTGGCCAAGAACCGCAACGAAGAGAACAATATCTCCAGCTGGCTGGGAGTATGCCTGGCTGATTTGGGTTTGCCTGCGCACTACTATGATAGAGCAGGCTATAACGGTTCGGCCGATTTCATCTGTTCCTGTAAGGCTGTTTTGTGCTCATTGGCCCGTCGACCATGCATGTAGCTACAGTTCCCAGGTTGTTGGGTCGTCCCTGGCCGATCCGGCCCTACAACATGCCAGTGTTGGGGATCCCGGTTTGAGGGCACCACGCTGCCACGGTGGTGATCAAGAAAAGAAATGATGACGAGTGGGTGAGTATTGAGGCTCATCACCACCACACCACGCGGCTCCGCGCCGCCGTCATTGGTTCGTGCATCATTAATTGATGTCATCCGATAACTATCCTTGCGGCCATGAGTTGGCAAGGAGCCTTCCCTCGATGTGAGCCTCTCTGCCTTGGTCCCCTGCCTTGCCCAGGATTTCCCGACAAGATCCCGAGCCGTTTTGTCAGTCAGTCAGTCAGCCGAACTTAAGCCAAGCGCTTGGACTTGTCCTGCGGGTTTTTTTTGGGGGGGGGAGGCGGGTTGATATCACCCGTACAAGGCGATCATGCAGTGGAAAAAGAGTTGTCATGTGAGAAAGAGCACAGATGGTGTTCTCGGGGCCTTATTGGGCCCGGCTCGTTGTTGTTATAGATCCACAAAGGCTGGGCAACTACACCTGGGCACCGGGCGCCCCGGTTGACCGGGCGGGTCCAAGTATCGGCTCGCAATCGCAATCGCATAGGCTAGAGGAGACGCGAATAGTATGAATGCCGCGTGGACAAGGTTGTTTTACCAATCGTTCACAACAGCGCTTGCCGGAGGGACAGTGAACCGGCAGGGACTTCTTTTCTGTATACGAGAAGAGATTAGGAGAGCGTGTGTTTGAAACTGAAGCGGACACACGGCTGCCAATGCCATGCTGGCAGACCAGACTACTAGGCTTCATCCAGTGGGAAATTATCACGAAAAAAACATTGGTAGCTTCTCTCTGATCGAGAGTCTGCAACTTGTATTGGTAGAAAGTCACGGTGGTCGCAGTTCGGAATATGCTTACGTTACCCTTAGTGCAGGGGCCATGCTAATCTCGTCTTGCGCAGACCAGTTTGAATACATGACTACACGTCAGCGTTTCAGAGATGTTGAGGTAGCTTCAGGCTTCAGCTGTACGGGGACGTTGAAGTTGCAATGTAATGATGATGATACAGCTCCCGGTCGTTGCCGGATGGCAGCCACCTACGGAGCACCGTGGACCCGTCGAAGGGCGCGGCGGATTTTCTAGAAGCTTGCAGGTGCAGGATGTCAGTTTACGTGTACTGTAGATGTGTAGTCCAAGCGCTGGACGGCTGCGCTGTAACCGGGACATAAAATATAAGGTTCTGGGTATGGCAGATTTGCTCAGCTGGATCCCGCTGTCCGTCTGCCGAGTGTCGTTAGAGTTGCGAAACGCGGGGGCAGCAAGATACGGAGTAGACTCGGGTGTGTGGCTGAGTCAGGAGAAACGAGACGTGGCTCATCTCACACAAGGTCAGACGGACTTGCTCAGCACTACACTACACTAGACGAATTTCTTTGCAAGGACGAATTGAGTTGGCGACGGACAGATCCTCTGGCGCCACGGGCAAACGGACTGTCGGGTTGATCGAGACCCCGACCTGCCCACAAAGCGGCCAATCTCATTGCACTGCTCCGGGCCGAGTGCTGCTAGCTCGCGGGCCCTGCTGACGTGGGGGGAAAATACACAGTACCCGGCGGAATCATCCTCACATAAGCTCGTCGCCGGCCGGGCTGCCCCGCCCTGCTCCGGTACGGGTCCAGGTACGGGCATCCATCCATTTGTTGCATTCCATCTCTTCAGCTTGGTGGTGACTGGATGAATGACTGGCTGGAAGCATCACGGCCTCGTAATGACAAGAGGCACGAGGAAACAGGAGCGCATGTGGGACCGCGGCAGTCATACGGGGTGAACGTGGCACTAGTCCGTCCTGTCAAGTCCGAATTCGAATTCGAAAAAGAAAGAGAAGAAGAATTCGATCCCGGTCTCGCCCTGGGGCGATTGGACCAGTGCTCTGCAGATCCCCCCCCGCCCGGGCGCGATCTCTGCCTGCCTGCCTGCCCAGCTGCCCTCAACCCAGTAACCCATGCCCACAGGCCCAGTGTTTGTGAGTGATTTGTGGAGCAACGATATGTGGGGCTCCTGGTATCGGATGGCCCGAAATCACCGGCCGTAGCGTGTGTCCTCTCGCTTGACGAATGCGGATAGCGCCCGCCCGTTGAAAGGCCGGTCCCAGGCTCCCAGCAACGACAGCTGCCAGTAGAGGGTAGCTACAGCAGATCAGCAAACAGGCGGGCCAGAGACTGAAGGTACAGCAGGAGGCATGATTGCTGTACAGTACGTGCCCAAGTGCCAAGTGCTGGCGTCAGCTGTGGCCTCAGCGTCCTTCCGCCTCAGCACCGTCAGCCAAGTGAGCCTGCTCGTTGTTTGTCACGGCCTGCTGGCGAGCCCGGGATAGGAACCACCGAAGGCAGGCGGATGTGAAGTCTTGGTGGTGGGTGGTCAAAATCGTGCAGTGCGGGCTGCATTTGTACGGTAATTTGTACCCGTGCACCACTGACTAGCAGGCTGCTTTGGCGCATGCTTTTTGGCCCGCTGCGCCGCAGATACTGTGATCCAGCAAGCGGGACGGTTGCAGCAGATCGGCTTAGATAAACGAGACTTCCGGAATGGGCCGAATGCGAGGCCAACAAGCACAAGCATGGCAAATGACTGCTCCCAAAGATTGTTAGCAAGCTTGGACTGCCCGCAGTGCCATTGTCCGCCGCCAGAGCAACATCTCCAGGACAACGTGAATGCTACAAGTGAGGCGGACTGTGGAGGCTCAAAACAGACACTGCCTTGAAAATGATCAATGACTGTAGATCAGACCCGCGGGTCGATGCCTGCAGAACATACAACACCCGTGGACATCAGATGGTGGCGGATGGAGGGGTGCTGCTGCACCGGTTGTTTGTACCCCCGTACCCCAGTACCCTCGTACCCCCGTACCTAGGCAAGTATCCTCTCACATGTGCTCGCTGGGTTCGCCTCGGGGTCTTGGTCTCGACCGCCCCCGTTCACAACACGGTACGTACCGCCGTGCTGCTTCCGCCCAGGTGGTACAGTAAGATGGTAAGACGGCCCTGAACATTCCTGGGCTCCTGGGCGCGGAACCTGTGCAGATATGCCAGATACGTGATGCGTGCTACTAGCCGTAGTGTACATGCGCAGAATACGCTTGTACGGTCCGGTACGGTCCCCACAGCTCGGTAAGCCCAAGGCCCATGGCCCTGCTCCTGCTGTCTGCGGAAATCAATGATGTGCCGAACCCCTGCTCGTCTCCGTCGTGTGGTTCGACCCTGGCCCCCTGCCCCCGACCCCTGTCCCGCGCCTTTTGGATCCTCACTCACACACCCGCTACCAAGACTGCTCAAACAAGTTGACCTAGCCCGTGCAACGCTCGTGCTGTGGTCATAATGTCTGCAGCGCCCGCCTGCTGCGTCTCCAAATAATATTTTTGCCTCTTCATTAATAGATAGGTCCCTGCCCGGCGCCTTGTTAACTGCTCCTTCTGGGCCTTCCTGGAGCCTAGAAACCGGAGCCTCTTCTGCCTTTTTCTGCACGTCGACTGGCTGTACCCAGTACATTGCGACGAGAGGCGAAGACTGGCTGGCAGACGGACTGGACTTGTTGACATTTCCCTCGTCCTATTCTACAGCACACACGTGTCCAGCTTGCCACCAATATTGCGTGGCCCGACTTTCGTCAGTACATCAATTTCGCCTCGCGAAACGATCCAATTAGCCACTGACAGGCGCTATCATAGCTTTTCAACAATTCTTTGTTGTGTTGATCAGATCGCAGCGGTGCACGACTGGCGCGCTCGCTTGCGACTTAGTGGCCAAGTCCCGCCGTCACGATGTCTTACACTGGGGGCACTGGCGCCTTTGGCAACTATGACCTCTCTGCACAGACTGGCGGCTTGTCCCTAAGCAGAACAAGATCTCGCGATCCAGTTGGGGACGATGCCTCGCCGGCCCCTACCAAAACCACACCTACCAAAACCACCCCGAACAACGAGACAAGCACCACTCTGGCCGACAACGAAAAGACCGCCTCCACCACTGGAACTGGAACACCAGCTGCCAAGGCCGGCGTCCCTAACGAGAAGACCGCCAACTCTCCGAGTGAGACCGATGATGACGAGGTAGCTGAGACCCGCCGCTCCAACATGGTCCAAAACCTGGCAAGGCAGTACACGAACAAGTCCCACGCCTCGGGAATCACCGGCGCAAACCCCTTCGCCGAGCACGCAAACGACCCGGATAGCCCTCTGAACCCCAATGGCGACAAGTTCAACGCCCGCGCATGGGCCAAGAACGTCGTGGAGCTGGTCTCGAGCGAGGGACACGGCTTTCGCACCAGCGGCATTGCTTTCCAGAACCTCAATGTTTTCGGTTACGGCGCTGGTACTGACTACCAAAAGGATGTTGCCAACATCCTACTGGACGTCGCCGGTGTGGTCCGCGGGGTCTTTGGTGGTGGCAAGAAGAAGAGGATCGACATCCTGCAAAATTTCGACGGTGTTGTGCACAAGGGAGAGATGCTCGTGGTCCTGGGTCCCCCAGGCTCTGGGTGCAGTACCTTTTTGAAGACCATCTCGGGCGAAATGAACGGCATTTACGTGGAGGATGCCTCCTACTTCAACTATCAGGGTAAGCGCGAGTTCCCGGCTCCATACATACCATTTACTCGGCCAAAGAAAAGGTTGTGTGGCTATCAAGACTGACGGTACCCGACAGGTGTTTCGGCCAAGGAAATGCACAAGCACCATCGTGGAGAGGCGATCTACACAGCTGAGGTTGACGTTCACTTCCCCATGTTGACCGTCGGTGACACCCTGACCTTCGCATCACGAGCGCGTGCGCCCCGCGAGCTCCCAGGCGGCATACCCAAGCATCTCTTCACCAATCACGTCCGGGATGTCGTCCTGGCCATGTTTGGTATCTCCCACACCGTCAACACTCGTGTAGGAAACGAGTATGTCCGTGGCGTGTCCGGTGGAGAGAGGAAGCGTGTGACCATCTCTGAAGCAGCGCTCTCAGGGGCGCCCCTGCAGTGCTGGGATAACTCCACTCGAGGTCTCGACTCTGCCAACGCCATCGAGTTCTGCAAAACACTGAGGCTTCAGTCCGAGCTCTTTGGCAGCACTGCCTGCGTCTCTATCTACCAGGCCCCACAGACTGCGTACGACTTGTTCGATAAGGCGGTGGTTCTCTACGAGGGCCGTCAAATATTCTTCGGTCCCGCGGATGAAGCACGACAGTATTTCGTTAACTTGGGTTTCGACTGCCCGCCACGTCAGACTACCCCTGACTTCTTGACTTCAATGACGAGTCCTCTGGAGCGCATTGTGCGCCCTGGCTTCGAGGACAAGGCACCCAGGACGCCCGACGAGTTCGCCGCCCGCTGGAAGGAGAGTGCCGAGTATAGGAGGCTGCAGGCTGAGATCGAAGAGTACAAGACTTCTCACCCCCTCGGCGGCCCTGATGCTCAACAATTCCGAGCCCACAAGCGTGCGCAGCAGTCGAAGAGGCAACGCCTCAAGTCACCTTACACCCTAGACTATTGGCAGCAGGTAGAGCTCTGTCTGTGGCGTGGGTGGAAGAGACTCAGCGGTGACCCCGGCCTGACCATAGGCATGTTGATTGGTAACTTTATGATGGCTTTGATCATTTCCAGCGTCTTTTACAACCTGCAGATGACGACCTCCAGTTTCTTTCAACGTGGTGCTCTCTTATTCTTCGCCTGTCTAATGAACGCATTCGCTTCCGCCCTTGAGGTAAGAAACCATTTACAGCCGCCTTGCGGTGATCTCCTGCCTTGGTTTACGATGGAAATACTAACGAGGCACCGACAGATCTTGACCCTTTACGCCCAACGGCCGATTGTCGAAAAACACGCCCGATATGCCATGTATCATCCATCGGCCGAAGCCATTTCCTCGATGCTGTGCGACCTGCCCTACAAGGTTTTGAACGCGATCGTGTTCAATCTGACGCTGTACTTCATGACGAACTTGCGGCGGGAACCAGGACCGTTCTTCTTTTTCCTGCTGATGTGTTTTGTCACGACTTTGTCCATGTCCATGATCTTCCGAACCATTGCGTCGTCCTCCCGAACTCTGTCACAAGCCATGGTACCGGCAGCCCTGATCATTCTCGACTTGGTCATCTTCAGCGGTTTCGTCATCCCAATTGACTACATGCTGGATTGGTGCCGTTGGCTAAACTACCTGGATCCTTTGGCCTATGCTTTCGAAGCTTTGATGGTGAACGAGTTCCACAACCGAGATTACACTTGCACGCAATTCATACCGCCTCCGCAATTCCCAGGGTACGAGAATGTGAACGGCACGAATCGCGTCTGCTCCGCAATCGGCTCCCAGGTTGGCCAGGACTTTGTGAATGGCGACAACTACATCAACAGTGGATTCAAGTACTACGCGGCCAACAAGTGGCGCAACTTTGGTATCGTCATTGCCTTCACCGCATTCTTCCTCCTCACGTACATGATCGCGGCGGAGCTCGTCTCTGAGAAGAAGTCCAAGGGCGAGGTGCTTGTTTTCCGTCGTGGCCACAAGCCTGCTGCCTTCAAAGAGCAGAAAGATGATCCCGAGGGAGGCAAGACTGTTGGATCATCCGCCATTGTTGCCCGCAACGAACACACCGACTCCGATAAGGAGGCTGGATTCATCGAACGGCAGACTAGCGTGTTCCACTGGAAGGATGTTTGCTATGAGGTCAAGATCAAGAGCGAGACTAGGCAAATCCTGGATCATGTGGATGGTTGGGTCAAACCTGGCACACTGACGGCTCTGATGGGAGTCTCGGGCGCTGGCAAGACAACACTACTCGACTGTCTGGCCGACCGAACTTCAATGGGTGTCATTACTGGCGAGATGCTTGTCGATGGACACCCCCGCGACAATTCCTTCCAGCGCAAGACCGGTTATGTTCAGCAACAGGATCTTCACCTCCAGACTACCACCGTCCGCGAAGCCCTCAACTTCAGTGCTCTACTTCGTCAACCAGCTCACATACCACGTGAGGAAAAGCTTGCCTATGTCGATGAGGTTATCAAGCTTCTGGATATGCACGAGTATGCGGATGCTGTTGTTGGTGTTCCTGGTGAAGGTCTTAACGTTGAACAGCGAAAGCGGTTGACTATTGGCGTGGAGCTTGCGGCAAAGCCACCCTTGCTGCTATTTGTTGATGAGCCTACCTCTGGTCTCGACTCGCAAACCTCATGGGCTATCTTGGATCTGCTAGAGAAGCTTACCAAGAGCGGCCAAGCCATCCTGTGCACGATCCACCAGCCCTCTGCTATGCTCTTCCAGCGCTTTGATCGGCTCCTCTTCCTTCAAAAAGGTGGCAAGACCGTCTATTTCGGCGAGATTGGCGAGAACTCCAAGACCATGACTTCCTACTTTGAGCGCAACGGCGCGCATCCCTGCCCGTCCGAAGCCAACCCCGCTGAATGGATGTTGGAGGCCATCGGTGCCGCTCCGGGTTCACACACTGACATTGACTGGTTCAAGACCTGGAAGGAAAGCCCCGAATGTGCCGGCGTCCACAAGGAGCTGCAGCGACTAGTGGATGAGGGTGACAAGACCGATGCCGAATCCAGCCCCGTCCACGACAAGACCAGCTACCGCGAGTTCGCCGCACCCTTCGGCAAACAGCTTCAAGAGGTCCTCCTCCGCGTCTTCCAGCAGTACTGGCGTACCCCGTCCTATATCTACTCCAAGGCGGCGCTGTGTACCGGTATCTCTCTGTTTATCGGTCTTGTCTTCCTCAACGCCCCGAACACTGTTCAGGGTCTGCAGAACCAGATGTTCGCCATTTTCAACATCCTGACGGTTTTTGGCCAGCTTACCCAACAGCAAATGCCTCATTTTGTTGTTCAACGATCACTTTACGAGGTTCGCGAACGACCTTCTAAGGTCTACAGTTGGAAGGTCTTCATGCTCTCACAGATCATAGTAGAACTACCCTGGAACTCTCTCATGGCTGTCATTATGTTCGTCTGTTGGTACTACCCAGTCGGTCTCTACCGTAATGCTGAGGTGGCAGACCAAGTCCATGAGCGCGGCGCCCTTATATTCCTATTCCTCCTCTGCTTCATGCTGTTCACGTCGACCTTTACGGACCTGGTGATCGCAGGTTTCGAGACAGCTGAGGCCGGAGGCAACATCGCCAACCTGATGTTCACGCTGTGCCTGATATTCTGCGGTGTCCTCGCCAACCCGGACTCGTTCCCGCGGTTCTGGATCTTCATGTACCGACTGTCGCCGTTCACGTACCTTGTCAGTGGTATGTTGTCGGCGTCGGTGGCCAATACCTTCGTCGAATGCGCGTCCAACGAGTTCCTCTCGTTACAGCCTCCCGGTGGCCAGACCTGCAAGCAATACCTCGAACCCTATATCAGCCAATTTGGCGGCTACCTCGCCGACGAGAATGCCACAGCCAACTGCAGCCTCTGCCCCACGTCGGACACCAACACCTTCCTCACCGCTGTGGGCACTTCCTACTCTGACCGGTGGAGGAACTTTGGCATACTCTGGGCCTACATCATCTTTAACATCTTTGCGGCCCTCGGCGTGTACTACCTCGCACGTGTGCCCAAGGGGAAGAAGGTGGAGAAGACCAAGAAGGAGTAGAAGAGGGGTGGAGAGCAGAAAATATCGAAATGTAATGTTGTCTAATTTGTTTTGATTTTGTACAAAAGCATGTGGACATGACCATGTCATGTGAGATGGATTTGCAGGATAACACTTGTCCTACTGATGTGATATCATATCTAGGCATATTATGTGCCACAGCCACGGGAACCTCAAACTGGTTTATTGTCGTGCCCGGCTATGATGGGAGAGGCTTTGAGGGTTTCATTTTTTCCTTTGCATTTATATACCACAAAACCGCCCTCTCTCAACTCTATCTGTTTATTCATAATGTTCCGGTATAGTTCTGTATCCGTCTCAGTAGCGCGCTAGAGGATGGGATTGCATGGTCACGAGTTCTTTTTTTTTTCTTCCTGCACATGTGGCTTGAAGTCAATTAGAGGATTTTTAAGATGGATGGACTGCAAAGCTGTACATATCTCATAGAAAGGACGGGGCAAGAGACCCTTGGGTGGGAGAACACGATTCGGGAACGACATCCTACCACGCTGCCAATGTGACTTGTTCACTTAAGTACCTGTGATCCTCCCAGATGAATTGCTTAGATACTTGAAGCTGTGCCTAACCTGAAGGCTCACGTGGAGCTCAGTAGAATGGATTCGGTACCGGTGAGTGAGGGTCGCTCTCTCAACATTGCATGTGCGCGTAGACAATGGAGCACCTGGGCAGGTGTTGGAGGACCACCCGGCAGCCGTAGAGGTAGGAAGGATATGTCAAAATCGGCAAGCTCACAACACCAAAATAAGCAAGTCAGGCTGTTTCATCGCTCGACACATTCAGCACCGACTTTACGCTCTGTCTGCCTTGACCAAGGGCAAGATAATCACAATTGCCCTCTCGTGACGCTCGTAATTGAATGGGCCACTCTCCGAGTCCTTGATATAGGATAATAAAAGTGATGAGAGACGATTTTGGGACCCTGTCTCACCCCTGAAACGTACGCCCTGGGACAGACAAGCTTTCCCAGCATGTCAACAGTTGGGAGCTTCTGGCCTATGGCTAGGTCGCCTTCTTCCTGGGCCTTCTTCAGGACATCAGGGAAGGCAACAAAGAGACATATCAGGCTCAGAAGGGTTGCGGAGGTTGTGTCTGCGGCGGTGCCAATGGCAGCCTGACAGATAATATGTCCCAAATCCAAAGCAACAAATTTCCGCTCCCGTTTGATGACGTCTGGCGTGTCCTGTCCTCGGAGGCAATGATACTTAGAAGCACCCACAGATGCCTGTCAACAAGAATAATTCAGGAGGTATGCTTCAATCTCGAGGCAAATTGTAAGTGTGCTAGTAGCGTACGGAAATGAACGGTCAAGAGGAGATGGCAGAATCCTGGGCGGCTTTGTATGCTTGATGTCTCCACCCGATCAACAGGTGGTGACAGCCGGCAGCGGATACATATTCCTTCCCACACAGAGCAGACGCGCAAACGACACATCACCTCCAAGTCCTTCCTCTCCACTGAATAACCAGGATCGGAACAACACAAAAAGCCACCATCACTGTAAATACCGGAGTCAGATATGATGATAGCTCGCGAGGACATAGAAAGTATGATCACAGCGGCTATGCTATGTGGCTCGGGGGTAAGGAATGGACTTACTAGCAACGGCAATGCCTGCCGTTTCTCTGTAACCAACCTCTTCGATACTCTGTGGGAACCTTTTTGATTCGTCAACATGGTGTATGAATAATGGAAGATCACATAACACATACCAGAAGGGTCCAATGAAGCCCCAGATCTGACGCACGAACGTGATGAAAACGCCGACGCTCGAGGCATCGTGCCGGTAACAGTCCACAGAGTATGTCACAAGCACGGTGGTGACCACTTGGTTGCCTGCTGCCGCGATCCCCACCCCGATCAGGGGCGTGACGTTCCACGTGTGACCGGCAGCGTAGAGCTGGACCAGGAAAACAACCACGCCGACGACGCACAGGACGAAACCGAAGTAGCTCAGCCACAGCCGGTATTCGGGCTCGGGGCTCCTACCACCGAGCCTTTTCCGCCTCATGGACATCCAGATGTCGGACATGCGCCCGCCGATCTGCTCGCCGGCGATGGTGCCGACGATGACGGAGATCATCTGCAGGCCGTTCTGCTGCGTGTTGAAGCCGAAGAGCTCGGGGAAGAGCTGCGGGATCTCGACGGTGGTCATGATGCTTGTCCAGAGGAATTCCATTGCGTAGGCCACCGCTGGGAGCATCACGCAGGGGCGAGCTGCGTATACCAGTGGCTCGACGAAATCGTACCAGGTCATTGGGGTTTTATCGATCCGGCGGAAGCTCATGTATTGCTTCTTGAAGTCGGACTTGTTCTTCTCGTCCTCGGGAGCTTGGCTTCCGCGAATGTATCGTGACTCTGGCCCAAAAAAGAAGTATAGGCCCAGCTGGACGCCGTTTATCTGCGCAGTATGTATCGTCAGGCTTTCCGTTGGTGGCACAACATTCCATGGATTCTACTCACGATTGCTAGGATATAGTATATCCACCGGTATCCAACTCTCAGAGCGACAAAGCCAAAGATGAAAGGGGCGACCGGTACACCCAGCGTCACAAATATAGTCCATATGCCCATATAGCGAGCTCTCTCATCTTTAAAGAATGTCTCGGCAACAACACCGGACCCGATGGCAGCAGCGGGGCAGATGAAAAAGGCTACGATGGCACGGCACAGGCACATGGTGGCGTATGAGTGGGCATTAGCGCAACCAATGTTCCCTACCAGACTGCAGATGAGCGAGATCATGAAGACTGTCGAACAAGGCCAGTTGTTAGCAAGAATTTGATATTGTTGCTCGGGCTCTTTGGAGGACTGACTGGGTCGGCGACCATAGCGCTGAGACAAGGGCCTCCAGATGAGAGGTGCCCCGCCGAGGATGGCGATGACCAAAGAAGTGAGATAGCTGGCGGTCTGGACCTCAATTTCAAGGTCTTCTGCAATGTTCACGAAGGCGGCCATGATGGCCGCTGCTGTGAAGGTGGCCATCATGGCGTGGAAGGCGACCAGGAACAGGTTCGTGACCTTCTTCTTTTGCGACCAGTTATAAGGGTCTGCGTCGCTCATGTCCGGGATGGGGTCGAGGTCCAGAGTCCCGTGTCTGTGGAGGAGGTATTCGCGGTGCTCGTCTGAGAGCTCATTGATTCCGTCCTGTCAGACTTTCAGTCAACGGTTGCCCTCTCACCACGGTGGACAGCCAGCTATGGCACTGTGGTTAAGCCTACGGTGTTCTCGGCCTGGATGTCCCGGGGCTGAAGACCGTCCTCCAGCTTCGCCGATGACGGCACTGATTCATTTTCTGAGTGGCTCATTGTGGATATCGTCGTTGTTGCGGTTGGGTTCTCAGGTCTCAGTCGGTAGGACGGTCAACATGAGTGCCTGAGCCAGAAAGAGAAAATGGTCGAAGACTTTCCCAGAGAAGGGTGAGTTAGAAGAGGAGTGGGACAAGCAGAATGTTCGGATTTCACTTCGCGTCTCCGAGGCAGGGCGAGGATGTGTGAGCACATCACGTCCACTCGGCCCAGCGGCATATCCCACAGAGCCTCAGTGATGCAGGCCAGGGGTCAGGGAACACCTATCAAGCGGCCACTAACAATCACAGCAAATGGAAAATCGAATCTCAACCAAAATGAAAAAGGTTGTACCCGGGATCTCGACCGCCGGGGAAGGACCGACATTCTACACGGGGCATGGGGGAGGAGACCCACACAACCACAGAGTCCAGATATCTAGGCCAATCCGACGAGGCACTGAGGAAGGTCTACCACTAGGTCTGTGAGCTTCTGTGGGGAAGAAATGGGTCTCCTGCCGGTGTGCATTGCTGGATAGAAGTGTCGCCAGGAGCACTTGTCCAACTGCTTCACTGCCGTCTCTCAGGTTGCAGAGGTACGGAGGTACCTGTCAATCTTGCCGCATCGCTGTCTTTGGTCGAAGGTTTTTGACCACGACATACTAAGCTTTCGCTTCCGAACCAAGACGCTAGAGGGGCGGGACGATGGGAGCCATCGCGACTCGGCGCAAGCCATCTAGACTCTGGCAGTCTGGGCACACAGATTAGGTTCCCAACGCCCCGGAGATCTTAAAGGCAGGCATTCTGGATCATCAGACTTCCGGGGGTGTAGCCTTTTCGGGGACGTGGGTGGGACGTGGTCCCCCAGCAACCCCATACACTAGCCGCGTCTCCCACATCTCTCTCAATGTTGCGGGATGTGGGTGGATCCCTGGAGCTTAAACACGGCGCAATGTCCCCGCTGACATATCAACATGCGGATTTCCCGGCCTTTACCTGATTCAACTGATAGACGGCGGGCGGATATTCCGGCGAACGAGGAGGCAGCGTGGTAACAGCAACGACGAGGCATTTTCCAAAGCCAGGTGTGATGTACATGGCGATGGCCAGAATTGAGTGGATAATTCCCTGAGCGCGGACAGAAAATCCCTGAAGAATCACCTTGTCACCATACCGACACACCACAGGAGTTAGCGGGCGATCTGCACAACACCTGGAACATCTGCATTCTCCTGAAGTCCAATAGCTTCACAGCTTCAGTGCGCCACGGCCAGGGTCAACCCGGAACTGCCACTCCGCACCTGGGCAGGGAGCAAGAGGCCGGCTTTTACGACTGTATTTCCGCCCTCCACGATTGATCCTGACGTGTGTCGTTGGACCTCAAAAGAAAGCCCGAGCCGACCTCAATGACAGATTCATTACATCGACACCCAAAATTTGTGCCCTCATTGAAATCAACTAGTAATTGCAATGTGAGCCCGGGTCGACCACAGACCATGCATGATATCAGTAGCCAGGGGCTAGCTTCAAGTGCCCTCCAGGACTGATTGCTTATATGCCTGCACTAAAGAGGCATTCATTTCAAATGTCTTGTACTGCCAGTCTATTGGTATTACTAGCGAGGCCCTTCTCTTTTCGATCGAGACGTCATGCTCGAAATAAAACAGAAAAGGTTTGTGGTAATCATCCCCTGTCTAGTGCGAATGTCTCATTTCGTATTGTCTTTGTCTTGCCTTCGAAGTTCCTCCCTCTTTTGAACTTAACAAAGCTAAGCTCCCGCTACCATACTTTTTTGACCAGAAAAGGCCAAGGACTTCACGAGAGCTGTCATCTGGAGATCCTAGGCCAGAAAGAGCCCCTTGTGTTTCTTAGTTTGAGGCTCCATCTCTTTTCGTCCACAAATACTAGTCTGCAGCCCTGACTATCCACTCGGGTGTAACATATCTGCTTGGAACTACTCCAGATTTCATACTATAGAATCCTGCAGGAGCCACTTATCAATGTTGCCTAAGCACAGTTTTTCTGTTCTTGTCTCGCCATCACAAATCGGCACAGATCTCAGCCAAGACTTGTAAGGCCAGTAGTCTACCAAGCATGGATGCACACAGCGCTCTGGTCAGACATATTTCGGAAGCTGGGGGCACTTGTGGAAATCCAGAATCTTCCCTTCAGTCTCAGCCCTTGCCTAATTTCATCAGCCAAGCACTTCCACGAAATGTGCTTCGATTTTCTGTGTACGCCCCACTGGATCCTCATGCATGGGATCCCAACGGCTTCATACCATTGTATGAGCGCCATGTATGTCCCCGGACGTATGCGGAATAGAAGCGAAACCAGACCAATTACTTCCAGAGCACAATTCTTACAAGGCACTCAGAAAGAAAGCGTAATAAACTGTCAGCTCGTCCCGCGAACTTCCGTTATGCTTGGCGTTCTGCGTGCTAGCTGCGGAGTGAGGTCAAAGAGACCCATGGAGCCACCTTGATTCGACCCATTTGAAAGCCAGCAAAATTACGACATCCAGGATTTCGACTGACGCTCGAGCGCAGAGATTTCTCAAGACTCTCTATCATAGGCAGAGACAGGATTTATTCTTCCTTGGAGCAAGTTAGCCATCAAGCACAAGAGCCTGAAAAATACGCCTTTAAGCCAGTTTCGCATGTCTTGCCGGCCAGATCTGCAATGCAACTACCCAGAGCAGTGGGTCAGTTGTGGCTTTCGCCTCAAAGCTAGCCCGAAATATGGTAACACCCATACGCCGTGGGGGAGCGTGGGGAAATCGGGCAACTGCCGAAGACCGGACAATTGAGGCTATATCATGGGTCTTGATCATCATCTGCATACTATCTGAGTACTGTCTCTAGACTCTTTTCAAACTGTCTGTGAGCTGCAAGACGGCTTTACTAGATGCCATGAACGGACGTAACGGCAGTCCTTCCAAACAACAAACCCGTCTTGGGCCCTCGACCGCACCTGACCCCGACTTCAAAGATGCAGGCATAGATGCGATACACCAGGAGGATGCCGGGGCCTGCTCCGCAGCACCGAGCAAATGGCAGTGGCTCAGCTCGTCCTCCGCCGCGGACACGGCTGCGACTCTGTTTGACGACGGGTCTGCCGAGCCATACACCAAGAGCGACGAGAGGCGCCTCGTCCGCAAGATCGATTTCATGATCATCCCGTACCTGGCTGTGTGCTACGCGTTCTTCTACATCGACAAGACGACCCTCTCATACGCCGCCATCTTTGGCATCCGAGAGGACCTGGATCTAAAAGGGACCGACTATAACTGGCTGTCGTCGGTCTTTTACTTCGGGTTCCTTGCGTGGGCCCTTCCGACAAACTTCCTCATGCAGCGGCTCCCGCTGGCCAAGTACCTCGGCGCCAACATCTTCCTGTGGGGTATCCTCCTCATGGCCCAGGCCGCGGCGAACAACTTTGCAACACTCGCAGTCCTCCGGGCTCTGTCTGGGGCAGCCGAGGCCTGTGCTGACCCAGCCTTCATGCTGATCACATCCATGTGGTACACCCGACGACAGCAGCCAGTGCGTATCGGACTGTGGTACACTGCGAACGGTTTGGGGATAGCCCTGGGCGGTCTGCTCGGTTACGCGATAGGACACATCCGTGGCGCCCTTCCGAGCTGGAAGTACGAGTTTCTGATCATCGGTGCTCTATGCAGCGGGTGGGGCATTGTGCTGATGATCTTGCTCCCGGACTCGCCCGTCACGGCTCACGTGCTGACGAAGAGGGAGCGGCGGATTGCCATCGAACGCCTCCGGGAGAACCAGACTGGTGTCGAGAACAAGACGTTCAAGATGGATCAGGTCATTGATACGCTCAAGGACCCAAAGACGTACTTCTTTTTCCTGCTCGCCCTGGTCCAAAACCTCCCCAACGGTGGCATTTCCAACTTTGGCACCCTCATCATCAAGGGATTCGGGTTTAGCACACTCGGCACCACCCTACTTCAGATGCCTTATGGCGCCCTGATAGGCCTCTCCATCCTGAGCTGCGTCTACCTCAACGACTACTTCTGCACCAGGCTACAAAAGAACACTCGGTGCTGGTTCATCATCTTGTACACGCTGCCCAACATTGCTGGCGCCTTCGGCCTCCGTTTCGTGCCAACAGACCAGCACATTGCAAGGCTCTGGTGTTATTACCTTACAGGGCCGTATAACGCCGCATTCGTCCTGATTCTGAGTCTCGTGACAGCCAACACCGGCGGGCACACGAAGAAGGTGCTGACGAATGCCATCATGTTCCTTGGCTATTGCGTTGGTAAGTGGAGGCCGTCGATAAGAATCAAAACTCGACGATATACCTCTGACGTAGAACCTCGCAGGCAACATTGCAGGACCGTTCTTCTTCAAGACCGAGCAGCAACCAACTTACCCACTGGGAATGGCCAGCATGATTTTCTGCCATCTTGCATCAGTAGTTATGATCAGCGGGTTCAGAGTCCTGCTGAGCTTGGAAAATAAAAGGCGTGACAGGATCTCGAGCAATTCAGAGCACCCAGATCTGGACGAGACGGCTTTCAGCGATATGACGGATCGGCAGAATCCGAACTTCAGATATGTGTATTGAGTTGGCCCAAAGGCCTCAAGTCCTCGAGGTTTGGGAGTGAGCATCCAGGGTGCCTGGCCGGTCCCTCTTGAGATACATCAAAACAAGCTTTGCTATGAGCTCATAGTAGATTTGTAGGTCCATACGGGCCAAGTCACCTACCTGGCCATGAATTGATGTGTCAACATCGAAGCCAGCACAACTGGTAGTTTCGTGATCCTGCTTTTTGTCGGCTTAAACGCGCAGCCCTCTTCCGCCGAGGCCCTGGCTGTCTTGGGCTACCCTACCGCCAAAGACATTCCGAAGCAGGTCTGGTACAGGTGCCCGAATTGGCGCCAAAGACTGGTACCCGCCCTTGTGCCCTACTGAGGTCTCCCACATTGCGGCGGATTGTTTTTGACATAGTAACCACCTTGACCTCGCGAGGCATGAGATGATGTCGCTGACCGATGATGAGGCTATGTGGGATCTCATGGCCGCATCTGCCCCGGTATATCCACGGATCACCAGAAGGAGAAGGGGGCATCCGTGCCCCCGGTTCCGGTTGCCGCACCTACGGTCGCAGACGTGGTGGGAGAGGGGTGGTCCCATGCCGGACCGTCGGTCTCCTCGACACCTCTCTCCAGCTCAAAGTCGGCCAGGATTCTTCAGCCGAGTCCGCAAAAGAACCACACTCGTCGTCCTCTTCTCCGGGTGGCGGCGAGTATTCGAGGGACCCAGCGCCATTGCTGGCGCCCTGGGACTACCTGTGATGGTCATCGCCATAGCCTGCGCCGGCAGCCTGCATATAATCCTCCTGTTCTTCGCCTGGAGGCAGGGGATATTTATGCAAAATGGGACAGGTCCCTGTGCCGCTGTGTGGGGCTGAAACAGGAGTGACATATGGTAGGTCCTGGGAGTGTGGCGACAACGCTGCTCCTGGAACTGCCACAGACCGAGGGGAGGCGGTTCCTCCCTGCTCTTATACCGGGGGGCTTGTATCCATCAATCTTGGCCTCTTGTTGGGTACCGGCTGCTGCCCTGGAGAGAAATCGCTGCTGTGGGGGGGGGGGGCAATCTTCATCTAGGCCTTGGTCCCCTGCTCCACCCAGCGGGCCGTATGTGCCGTTCTCAAAGCTCTGCCAGCCCGGTTCATACCCAGGTGATCTAGGGAGTTCTACCCTTGGTCCTCACAAAATTGTGTCATCTGGGCAGTCTCCAGCCTCTGTGGTCTCGCGTACGGTGCGTGGCGCACGTCGAGGGCAAAGTCGTCGGCACTGACCGCGCCGGTGTTGCGCAAGCGGGCAGTATAATGGTCGTTGAACTCCTTGCTGGTGCAGTCCTTAGTCACGCCGATATTGGCTGACTTGTTGCTGTGCCCCAAGACCCTCCTGGCCGCCGAGATGTCAAAGCCGGGTCACGTCCTTGACCCCACCGTGCCCGATATCGTGGGCCACCTTGGTGAGAAATGCTGTCCATGGCCTGGGTGTTGAGAAGGGACCTGGTCATGGCGCTGAAGTCGCTGTTGCGGAAGACGGGGACGGCGGAGCTGTAATTGTAGAAAACATGGCCCCTGACTAGAGATTTCTGCCTCCTGCCTGCTTCCGACTGAAAGGCAGGGTAAATCACACCACAACGCCCACTTGGACGTCGTCTCAATACCTTGTGGATTTGTTATTGACTGTAATTGAGAGAGACTCATCATGTTGTGATGTTCGGGAGAGGGTAGTTCTCAGGGAGCCGACCCTCTGTGTCGGGAGGCTTCCCTCTGGAAGTGGCGATCGTCGGGGATTGAGCGATGCTTCACACTGTGAGCACCTCAGAGAATGTGGTAGGGAAAAGGGGGTAGTGGTGGCGGGGTGGGTGGCTGACGCTCCGCCCGTCATCGCTCGCTACCGCTCGCTCACAGTTTCGAAACGGGGTATCTCCTCCATTAGGGTGCAAATTATTGGGCGCCGTCGTTGTCCAGGCGAGCAATTTGCTTTGAAAGTCATACTAGCCGATTACAAGGCCATCTGGGCCTTCGACGTGTTGCCGCCGCCAGGAGGAATCGAGATCTCAGTATCGACATAGGGTATAGGGATGCTTGTCGCGGAGCCTTTGGACCCGGCCGTGATGTTCAAATTCTAGGATGCCAGCCGGGACATAGCTCTGATAGAGAATGCGCCCAGAACTGCTGGCGTTGCTAGAGAAATGTAGGGTTAAACCAAGCTCATCGGTATGGGTGGGCTCCCCTAAGGCAACCAGTTCAAATGAGACAGGACAGGCATCGACCTCTGCTCAGTGGCAAGATCTTATAAGAGCAGCGAATAAGGTACAAACAAGAAATTACAATGCCATGTAAGCAGGAAAATTTAACTGAACCTGTTGTAGTATCCCATATTGGGGATGAAATCAATGAGGTCCATTGCAAGTAAAAGCTGACCTCTAATGACTAGGGTATCATGAATCGTGAAGCTCCAAACTCCAGCGCCAAAAAAGAAAGAACCGAATCCCGAAGAAGGCACGTTGGTTGCTCACCGCAACCCGAAACCAGCGACTTTCTACAGCGTCCCGGTATGCTGAGTCTGGGCGGAAGACATATTGGCACCAGCCGCCGCAGCTGGCGCAGTACCAAGGTTCTCCAGGGCCGCCTTGTTAACGAGCGCAGCCTTCTGTGCCTCCTTGTACTGCTCCTTCTGCGCCTTGCGCTCGTCCAAGATGCGGAGAGACAACCAGTTGAGTTTCCTCTTGCCACGCTGCGTGTCCAGCGCCCGGACAGCGCTCTGCTCGTCGATCCCGTCCGCCAGATACTGCTTGATCTTGTCGGCGATGGCCTTGCGCCGCTTGTAGAACTCTCTCAGCTTGAAGTCCTGGCGCCACCTAGGGCCCCAGATCGCGTCGAGGGTCTCAAGTGACGGGTTTCCGTTGCGCCCGTAGCGGAACTCCTCCCAGGCCTCTGCGGCGGTGTCGAGGTGGCTTATCTCGACGGTGGGAGGCTGATTCGGGCTGTCGGACTGCGTAATCTTGAGGTCTCTCTTGTCTTGTGGCTCGACGGAAGCGCTCATGGCGGTCCGCGTAGGAGTGAAGTTGGCAGCAGATGGGGTCTCGAAGCGCGCGCTGCGGGGAGTCGACGTGGCTCTCAGGTTGTTTGCAGTAGGTGTAGATGGCGGGCCGGCCACGATCGAGGGAACAGGCGATTGTCGTCCAGCCGACAATGACGGGTTCGTTGGCGGAATTGTGAGGCCCCTGTTGGAGGCATTGGGGGCTGTGGCAACCGTGGAAGAGAATGGTGTGGTTTGTCCCGGGACCGAGATCGAGGCCACACTCTGTGATCGAGCCGGTCAGTTGAGAACCAATCTCCTGGGCTTGCACGTACGAACCTGTTGGACAGACTGGAGCGCCGAGATCTGCGAGGCAAAATGGCCGTTCAGGGTATGGGTGAGCTGCTCCAACTGACGGCTGACGGCCTCGTATCGGTTCTGGAGCTCGGTGATATGCTGGTCGTGAGCGTAGCGCATCGACATGATGATCGTGACAAGCTCGTCCGGCGTCTTGCCAGCCAATTGATGTTCTGCCGCTTCAGAGGGAGGGGCGTCAAGTGCGCCGTTCTGTCCATTGGCAAGCGGGGGCTGCATCGTCTGTCGCTTCGGAGGGGCCCTGCTGGGATCGAATGGCTCCTCGTCCTCGGGTGGTCTCTTGACGGGCACGTCAGGGACGCCAACTGCAGACCGAATTGGCTCCATATTATGGCATTTAGTAGGGGTAGTGATGGCTTGATCACGTAGTGACTTTCCTGGAAAGCGATTCTCTTACGTTTGTGGCCGTCCTTTCTCGATGTCGCAAGGTCTGTTCCAGATTGACGAGGGACTGATTGGGATCAGTTGGTTCCCAGCTGGCCGACCTCGGTCCCGAAGCTCCGACCAAATTTACCCAGGTACCTGGGTGAGGACAGACCAGCCTACTCCGTACTACATTAGATGAGACAACGCACTCACAATTTTTGTCTCTTAAAGATTGTTGTAAATCGAGTGGCTCAGACCATGACATGTATCAGTGCACAGGCTCAAGACTCACTTATATGGGGAAACAAGGAGATGCTGCTGCAATGGGGCATTCTTCAGACCATCATACTTTGCATTTGCAACCCATATCCTGAAGTCCCACAAAGTTTGATCGTTAGACTTATTGATCCTCTGGGATCATATGGTACATATAAGTATAATCTGAAGGTGGCAAGCCTGAAGTGAAGGCCATGCCGATGGTGGCCAGCGCAGCCCTGAGAATCATGAGCTGTTCACCTGGGCATTGATCCCGAACATTAATGTTGCCGTCCGTTCGCAGAATACCAGGACTTTGTACAGGCAGGATTAACTTAGCGACAAGCAATTAGAACTCCTATGGATATCACAAATTGTCAGCATCTTGTTAATCCCTCTGGTGATCTAAACGACAGCTCCAAAGGGCTCATGCTGTGACCAAACGTTCTTGTTCACATAAGACTCCTGGGTTTCTCGAGAAGGCATGATGTACTACACCCCAGGGCTGACGATTTTTGTAGGACAGGTCAAAGCATTACATTCTTGGTTTGCTACATTAATACAACCCTCTCAATTTTTCTACTTATTTAACGTTTGTTTTTAGAAAAGAGGTCTCACCAGACATCAATCCCACTTGCATGCCAGAACAAGCTCCCACGCTTGCTGTCAATCTAATAGATATTTCATCAACGAGTTTGGAATGCGCAACATTCGCCATTATCACACCCCATAGCATTCATATCAAATGCAATAAGTTCCACCCTCACGATGCGGATACAAGGAAGGCAACCCTCAAAACAGAAGGTCGGTCACACTGATACAACATTTCTGCATGCAGATGTGTGCAACACAATTGAGTCTCCCACCAAATAAATTTCTTTCCGAAATATCTCCAAGTTGAGCCCAAGTCTGCTCACCGGCCGGGCAGGACAAATATTCTCCACATAGCTACACAGAGTCAGATGATGCTGCCTACGCTTCATTTTTGTTTCTGTAGGGCTTGGCTGAGGCACAGATCCTTGCCATGGTGAAATTTGCTGAGATGGAGTGATGGGTGAAACTCTGACCGACAATTCCACGGATGAAAAAAAAGCAAGTATCACTTCTTGTTACGTGCAGCTGCGATGCGTTGGCCTTCTGGAATGGGCATGCGTAGTGGGGAACTACTGCGGCCAACGTCCAACATTCTGCACCTCATCGGTGAGTAATTAAGGCACATGCCGAGATCACCGTTCGCCCGCCTTACGGACATTGCACGAGACGATGAAGAAGCCATGCACGGTCAGACAACCCCTGAGTATCCCATTTTTCTGACTTCATGAGGAAATCATCCACAGAATTGCCCTGCCTTCACTTTACACGTTGAGAATGGAAACATCCAGATCGAATATCGTGATCATGTCCTACTTACGGCGTCTTTAGATATTCATTGATTCACTGAGATTTATTTCCAGTTGTGGTAAGGTACATTTGGCAGCGATTTGAATACCATTTCTGTAGCTACTTGCATGAAGTTCTTGAGGCCGTGCAGAGCTTGGAAGAAGGTGTGGGGCTTGCAACAGTCTCTGAGATATCTGTAAATCTCGCCAGGGTCAATGGATCGCATGCTTCAGACGGTGCAAAAGCAAAGCCTCAAGATGCCTCCGAAATCAACGGCCACATTATTTGTAAAGTAATCCTCCCGGTATCGGTAAAAGTACCCTCGAGGATCCTTGATTATTACTCCTTTTTCACAGTATGACCTCCTTTTCTATGAGTTGTCAGGCGTCTTGGAGTGATCTTCGAAGTCATGGCCCACACATTCCACTGCTATTTATTCGTCGACGTAGTGAATCAACACCTCACCGTACTGTTACTTCACCTTCACGGCACGTATAAACATCCTTCTTGAAGTCGTCATTGATTCAGAATTCTCTCATTCCCATAAACAATCCTTCTTGAATATCTCAGGCCAAATGAAGATGTCAACCCCCACCATGTCAAATAACAGGCACCATTACTATTTCATTGATGATACTTGCGACACAAATGCCCGGAACGCTACGCAAGGGAACAAGTCCTTCGACTGCTTCGTCCAGACCGCTCAGCGCTGGGCCAGGCGCGCGGTAGAGAGGCTCCGCGACAACAGCGATACCGACTTCGCTCGTGTCTTCAACGTGATTTTTAAGACACGCAAGAACGATCGGACTCTTTTACCACGGTCACACAGGTGGCAGAGCCGCTTCGGCTACCAGAATGATCGAGACTGGGTGACAACTTTAGAACATGTCGTCAATGTGCTTTCTGATTTCGGCAACAACTGGCAGAGGACCGACAACAGAGAGGAGGCTTCCCTGAGATTCTTCTCTGACAACCGCAGGAGGTGGCTGAATGGGGGCCCTGATCCTACAAGCCAGCAGGATAGGCGCTACGATCCAGTCAACCACGTATGGTTCATGGGAAATGTGGCCGCGCTGGACTTTGGGCAAGCGGTCGGGTCAGATGGCATCCCGGGGTCGGAGCAGTTTCCTCATTTCCACCCCAACACACGCCAGAATGCACGACCCGAGAACCCGAACAGATATGTGATCGATATCAGCAACAACGCATGGAACAATTTCCATGACTGGGATGAGGTGCTTGGGTCGCGAGGAGCCACCTTTAACAACGTGGCAATCAACGACATCATTACAGGCTCCATGACGAGATTGTATGTTGCAATATCAGGAGCGCTTGCGGCCCCCACGAATGAAGGTCTTTCGAGTTTTGCATGAAATTCCTACTGACTTGAGCCGATCTAGGATACTCCACGAAGTTATGCACTGCCTTCCCTACTACCTTGACGACATCGCACTCGAGTTCCTAGACGGGACTTCTGAAACCTCGAGCTGGGAGGCGGTTATGGCCTGCAAGAAGGGGGATGCGCATCGCAACGCCGAGTCCATCGCGCTACTCGGTCTTTGGGCAGCACTTGCCGACACGCTACCTCAGGGGAGGAAATTTGGAGGCTTTACGCTGGACCGAGCTTGGGATGTGATTCCTGGGGCGTGGGAGGATGCTAAGAATGACTTTGACGACGAGGAGCTCGACGAGGACGAGCGTGGAGGCGTGAGCCCTTGGACGCAAAAGTGGACACTTCACCTGCCGTATGCAGGTAATCGGGTAAATCGGGCTGTGCGAGGCGATATTCGAGGTTATTTGGACCTCACAGGTACGAGGCATTGATGGGTAAGCCCCAGCTTTTGAGTGAAAAGCTTCCCATTTGAGCAGATGCTCAGGTGGGCACCTAAGAAGTGCCAGCCAACAAGATTTCATTTCCTCCAGTTCTCGTTCCTGGACTCCAGCCTGTATGCCTATTGTGTGGTTTCGCTTCTATTCCGTATACGTCCGAGGACAATCACACTGGAGAACCAGACCTTCTTCGAATACAAAGCGGAAACGTGGGTTCGATTTATAGCTTGCTCGCATGAAGATCCGGCTATTCGTCCGTTTGAGGCCACCTTGTGAGCCATTAAGCTGGACTATAAAGACTTGGTTGTGTATCAAGGCATCACCAGTTCACACCGTCGACTCTCAAGTTATGATTGCGCCACTACCCGCCCTAGGTATTGCCTACTACTTTACTATGTATGAACAAGCCTGTTCACATTTAGCTATCTACATTCTCTTCCCTTGAACGTGAATCTGGGTTGATGTGGAATTGAGTTGTGATTCTTTCTGCTGGATCAAGGAGGATCAAACCTGGTTGTCCACTCAGTTTCTGACCCCATCATGAACTCCGCATGCAAACCTAATCCAGCCTCACTGTGCGTACCTAGGTAGCGGCTTGCTTGACACACAGCCGGTGCAACTGCCGAGAACTTGGCCGTGTTCGTCGGATCGTGTCTCCAATAATTACCCGTAACCCCGACCCATTATGACGGGACCTGCGAGCCCTGCATCCGAGTGTTGCCCGGCTCGATTAATTCTTACACAAGGATGGGGTTGCAAACCACATATGCACGCCATGCCAAACCCAACCCCGCATGATGATGAGCGATTGACCGGCGCGCTACCCGAAGAATCTTGGTGCGCCTCGGCGTTGCTCAGGTGTCCTGTTTCAAACCTTAGAAGTGTGGTTTAAAAGCGGCGGAGGGGCCCAAAATCAAATTTAAATCTGGTGCTGCGCTTCGACCTCACTGGCGACTTGAAAAGCAGAGGAAACATTTGCACAATCATTCACCACGTCCTACGGCAACATGTCACTCACAAATATCGAGACCGAGGCCTTCGTGGTGACAGAGCCAAAAGCACCCTTCAAGCTTATACCTATTTCTCTTGATGAGGTGCGCGGAAATGAGATACTGGTTGAGATGAAATATTCTGGAATATGTCATACGGCAAGTCCTCTATTCCCCTTCCTTCAAGCGAAATCAGTATGAAATTCTTCCGGCTCTCATGACTGACCCGGCCGAACACAGGACATTGTTGTCCAACAGGGCCTGCTGTCGCATCTTACAGAATACCCAGTGGTCCTAGGCCACGAGGGCGCAGGCATAATCAAGGCAATCGGCTCAGACGTCAGGGACAAGTCCCTCCGCGTGGGCGACCAGGTCCTCTTGTCATACACAATCTGTCAGGGGTGCGGGCCCTGCCTCGAAGACCGCCCGTCGTTCTGCACGACACATACCGAGGTCAACTTCAACGCCGTGCGTGTCGGCGACAAGAGCACGCCGGCGCGGCTCGCCCATGATGAGAAGACGACCGTCAGGAGCCAGTTCTTCGGGCAGTCCTCGTTCGCGAAGCTCTCTGTCGTCCACGACTACTCCGTGGTCAAGTGCCCCGTCCCTGACCTCCTGCCAATTTACGCACCGCTGGGATGCGGCTTCCAGACCGGGGCAGGGACAGTGCTAAACGCGGCCAAGCCGACAAAGAGCTCACGTGTTGTTGTTTTTGGCCTGGGGAGTGTCGGCCTGGCGGCTCTCATGGCCGCCGTCCACCTGGAGGTCAAGCAAGTCATAGGTGTCGACATTGTGGACGGCAGGTTGGAGCTGGCAAAGGAGCTTGGTGCGACCGATGTGGTCAACTCCACCAAGGAAAGCAACCTGGCTGACCGGCTGAGAGAGCTCTCACAAGGCGGTGTTGACATGGCCATCGATTGTAGTGGCGCCCCGTCAGCTCTTCAAGCTGCAATTGACTGTCTGGGACACGGCGGCCAAGCAATTTCAGTTGGGGTGCCTCCTCCGGGTGTGAAAATTGACATCGAGACACAAGTAAGCGTCCTCGCCTTATACGCTCCGTGATCGGGATTGTATCTCAACCTGGGGTTCGATGCTGACTCTTGCTCGTTATGTGTAGCCATTTTTTCTAGCGCACAAGAGCTATAGGGCTGTCATTGAGGGAGAAGTTACTCCATCCGAGGTATGTACAATTGTCAGGAGTCGAATTTACGTGGAATGCTTTTCGAATCATACTAACTACTTTCAGTTCATACCGGAACTCATCGAGCTCCACCGAAGAGGCAGGTTCCCCATCGATAAGCTGTGTAAGGTGTACTCTTTCAAGGACTTCGATCAAGCTCTGGAGGACATGCACAGTGGTAAAGTCGTCAAACCAATTATCAAGTGGGATTAGGACATGCCCCAGCGTGACCGCTTTATAGTTTTGTGACCATCTCGGTACCTAGGGACCTAGTCAATCTGGACGAGGTGCAAAACTGTCTGCTGTCTACATTTACGGTGGCTCTATGTTACAGCTATTTATTCACGACATCACGATGTGATCTAGATTGCGCAGTGACTTTTGTGGTGTGACACTCTTGTTTGTCAATGAAGTTACACAGAAGTATTGTATGTACAAAATTCCCTCTCAGCGCCTTTCTTCATGCCAGACTCTCCTGCGACTGGCTCCTTATAATATGTACAAGGTTGAATCAGTCCTGCTTGCCGAGGTGCGCCAACCAAGTGGCGGAGCTCAAACAAACCAGGACAGCGTAGCCTTCAAGGCTGCCGGTATCGGTGGCGTGCTCAAAGCTAGATGGCTTAGAACTTGAGGGTCTGACCGGCGTTGGCGGTGACCGAGGCCTTGACGTTCTTGGAGCCGAGCAGCTCGTACTCGTAAGGGACGGACTTCAGGGTGCCGGCCTCGACAGTGTTGGAGCCACCGCCAAGGTCGACATCGTTGACAACAGCGTAGCCAACGGTCTCCGAGTCAGCGGACTCGATGGCCTTCGCAATGCCGTCGAAGACAGCAGACTCGATCAGGAGCTGAGCACCAATACGGGTGTTGACACCGGTGGAGGACTTCTCAGCGTAGTGGTTGTAGATGTGGCCGGTACCGAAGCGGAAAGAGGGGCCACGGGAGTTGATGTTGGAGAAGTAGTTGTTGGCGTAGGTCACGATGAGGTGGCCCTTGTCCTCGGCACCGTTAGAGTCACTGTGACCGACGAGCGACGCCTTCCAGTGGTCGTGCAGGTAGCAGTTGCTGATGGTCACGTAGTCGGAGGCGTGGGTGACATCCAGCAGGCCGTCGTAGTAGTCCTTGTCGTGGTCCATGTCGGAAGACAGGTCAAGGTGGTCCAGCCAAACGTTGCTGGAGGCCTGGACAGTGACGGCATCTCCAGCCGAGGCAAGGACCTTGGAGATCTTCAAGTTTCGCAGAATCACGTTCTTCGACTTCTTGACGCGGAGGCCAACACCCTCCAGGGAGGAGCCGGCAGCGCCGACAACGGTCTTGTCCGAAGTAACGTCGACCTTGTCGGAACCAGTGATGGTGCCGTCGATGATGATGACGGCCGGGCCCTCAGCCTTAGCCGCGGCCTTGAGCTCCTCCAGAGAGGTGACGGTGGTCTGCTTAGCGTCGCCACCACCGGTGGTACCGCCGTTCTGGGTGGCGTAGCCAATGTTACAGGCCTCAGTGATGGATCCGGAGGAGTTGGCAGCGCGAGGCTGAACCAGGTTGAAGGTCGGGGCAGCCGAGACGGCGGCAGCCATGAGGCTGGCGACGAGAGTGAACTTCATTTTGAGAGTGTGAAAAGAGTGAAAGCTTCCAGAGCCTACAGTTTGTTTGAAAAGCAATCAATTGCTGAGGATAAAAAAGAATGTGTATGTAGGGACTTCTGGAGTATGGGATGAAAGTCTGAAGAACAAAGCTCACCACCCATCCCAGAGTTGAGCCAAGGGCTTCTTATATTTCAGCAAGACAGCTTCCATCCTGCCCGTGTAACACGGTAGAACCGCCATGCTGCCATGCCATCACATCAGTACGGAGTACCCCTGAGTGGGGCTGATCCGGAGGTCATCCAGAACACCCCATCTCCTTGCTCGTTTGCGCCGGCGAGCAAACGAAAAAACGGGCCAAGCTGATTGACGGAATCCCGTGTTGGTGGGCGGCGCTGACCTTGCAAGGCATGCCTGACAAAGATCCTGGCAGGGGATCGACAATTGGGAAGATTCTCCGTTGTTGGTTCTTCGTCTAGATCTTGGCATGGACAAACAAACTCCACCATGTTTCGAGCAACTGCATGCGATCCTGCCAGGCCTGCCCCCGGGCCGCCAAGGTAAAAAGGGTTCGCAAAGGCGGCCGTGAGGCCAGGGCCCCTGGGCTCCCCTGACTTGTACTCCGTACCTGCAGCCGCCTCGATGAAGATCCCATCAATCTGCGACCGCGACGGAGCTGTAGCAGTAGGGAGACAATTTGGGCCGACCCTGCCGCGGGCCGGATGAGCCTTGTGGTGGTTGCAACCTCGGGACCGGCCTCCTTTTGCACGTTTGACAAGAGTAGTCGATTTTTCTTCACGTTTGGTCGAGATGACGCAACAGAGATGGATCTGATAACGGCAAAGCAGCGGGGGATAACAGGCGTCCTCCACATGCACAGCCCATCTGCCCGCCGGCAGTTCTACCGCCCACGCCTTGCATCGTGACCCGCTTGGGCGATGGGGATGGAGATAACTGACAGCTCCGCATCTACTCCGTAAGTTCGTCTGGCTCGAGCGCTTGTTGGGCGTGGTGTAGAATGAGGAAAAGTGTGTGTGGACGCAGCACCCCTGAAATATCAATCCAATGTCTCGATTAGGTCTTGGCACCCCCACAGCTTGTCCGAGTTAGGCCTCGGACTGGCCCCTCCACTTTATCATGGCCAGGCGAGGGGGTTGCAATGGGCCCAGGAACCAGGGACGCTGGGCTGTCGGCCCCACGTCATCTCGTCGAGCACCCACCAACCTTGGAAACCTTGTTTCTACACTAGACAACAAGCACGTCGAGGTACACGAACTGACGAAATGGCCCCCAAACCTTGCAACGGCCCACGGTTCCTGCAAGCCTGCAAGCCTGCAAGGATCAACGTGATCTGCCATGCCGCCTCGCATCATTTTAGGAATGCGAGCCCACTCGTGTTTCCAAAAGTTTCATCTCGCGCCGAACGATATTGGGCGCCGAGTCGCGGACATACAACCACATTGGCTCCGAGGAGCCGCTTTAGTCAACCTCTTCCAGGCGCCGTTGCTCAAGTGTGAAGTCGCCAATAGATTATTCGGTAAAGCTTCGAAGCGCCCATGATGCCATCATGTATGGATCCCCGCCCGGGCCTTCCGCCCAACAACTGTTCATCTGGGAAACAGCGGACGCGAGTCGTTGACCACATCTGGCTGCTACGCACACCGATCCCGTCGAGGTGGTAGTCTTGGTAGTCTGCACGGTAGCGTACCAGCTGCTGATACCCCTGTCTCGGGAGGTGAACCGAGGTCCTGATATTGATTGCCACAAGGCGAAGCTTAGTCGTCTTGGTCATCTTGGCCACATCTCAGTGCCAATGGAGATTGATGAACAACCCACCCTAAGCCTTCTGGCAGTGAGGCTCTTTCTTGGTATTCGAACCTCCACCCAACCTGGGCCCCTCACATACCTACGTGCGTCGGTGGCCACTCACTCAGCCAAGCCCAACAGTTCGGCTACATGTTCAACCCCTGCGGCCACCATCTCCAGAATATTGACACAATTATACGGGGGGCGAGGGTCCAAATTTGTCAAATCCCCGCCCCATGCTGATGAGGATGCGGATACTATGTACGTGCGCAATGACATGTCTCCAAGTAAATTGTCCAGGTTACAGACCTGAGGAGGCCGCCCAAGAGTCGTCCGCAACTTCTCGCGGTTTCTCATCCAAGAGGTCTTACGTTACTCTGTCCTTCTCCTGTCATAAAGGTTTGATCTAGATTGGTACGTGGCGGCACTCCAAATGTCATGCTACGGATCCTCATTCACAATTCTCCGCGAGGAGTACGCTGCTGCAGGCAAACTTTGCGTTCCGTCACTCCTATTTTCAGGGTCTGTGCATCATAATGCTTAGTTGGCCAAGTCGCACCCCTTTTGTCATTAATATAAGCCCGAATCATTATCCCCCGAGCTCCTACACCGCAGCGGGGAAGTGTGGGCCGTGGGCGCTGAAGGGTTGCTCTCATCAATACCTAGTTACGCTAGGCAGCAGTCTATTGATGTATGACAATATCCTGGATCAAGTCCTCGTCCTGTCCAGTCCAATACCTGATCCAGTTGAAGATACTCCTATGCCACACCAGGCTGTTCTCCCGATTCACGACCCAGTGGCCCTCATCAGGGAAATGCAGGAACCGCGAGGGCACACCGAGGCTCTGTAGGATGTTGAAGAGCATAACGCCCTCAGCGATGGGCAGCCGGTAGTCCAGGTCATTGTGGACGACAAACTGTGGCGTGCTGAAGTTCTTGGCGTAGTTGAGTGGATCCCACCGCTCGTAGTGGTCACGGTTGTCCCAGATGGTCCCGTTCTGGTCCTGCTGGATAAACCACAGCTCGTCGGTGCCGTAGGAGCCAACCTGGTTGAGCTTGCCGTCATGTGTGACGATGGCTTTGAACTTGCGGCCGAGGTCGTGGCCCTGGATCCAGTTTGTCCTGCGGAAAACATCAGTCAGTAATTGCGGTCCTGGGTTACAGGCATCATCTGCACGCATCACAATGCTTACATGAAACCGCCGTAGGAGGCACCGGCTGCGATGGCGTTGCCAGTGTCAATGTACGACACATTGGCCTCCAGGTACTCAAAGAGCTTGACAAGATCGCGGTACGGTGTGCCCCCCCAGTTGGCCTGGATCTTGTCCGTGAACGCCTGCCCGTAGCTAGGCGACCCAGTGAACTGCGGGCTGGTCACAATGAAGCCCTGGTCAGCCCAAAGCCGCAGGTTCCACCTCGTGCTCCAGTTGTCGGCTTGGGTTGATTGCGGGCCACCGTGAATGATGAAAGCCAGCGGGTACTTCTTGGTCGGGTCAAAATCTGTTGGGTAGAAGACGAAGGTCTGGATCGGGTCGCCATCCCCGCCCTCGTACCAGAAGTTCGAGACAGAGTCAGGTTTCAGACCTTCCAGCTCCGGGTCAACCTCGTTGGCGGTGAAGAGGACGGTCCTGTCCCCGCCTGGCGCCTGCGTGTAGAAGATACGGCTCGTCCAGCTGGCTGCTGCGGACACAAGCGCGGACCCGTCAGGCAGGAGAGAAAAGCCAGAGAGTGTGGTATCCGGCCCGGTGATGTTGACGGGCTCGAACGACGCCTCCGCGTCGTGGGGGACCACGAAGATGCGGTTCGAAGCGTGAAGCTCGGAAGTAACCCACAAGTCTGCACCATCGTGGCTCCATTGAGCCCCAGCGGGACTCGAGTCCCAGTCTGCAGCGACTGGAGAGACCTCAGCCTCAAGACCCTTCACACTGGCAACGTAGAGCTGGGAGCGGTCTGACTCATATGAAATACCATTCTGCTGAACGTACGCAAGCTTGGTGCCGTCGGGAGACCATTTTGGAGCGCCAGAAGCACCCTTGGCAGCCTCGGGTGCAGTGCTGCCGGGACCATTCACTGCGACTGGAGGCTCGGAGCCGTCATGAGGCACTATGTAGATGTAGCTCGCCGTGTAGTTCGCCTTTGGCAGTTCTGGTGCCTTGGTGAGGAAGGCCACGACACTGCCGTCAGGGCTGATATCATAATCTCCCTGGTCACCAAATGGCTGCACGGGGGTCTCGGGACGGGTCACAGTTGCATTCAGGCCAGAAAGCAGGTTTTTGACCTCGCCGTTCAGAGTGAGGTTGCCAGCGCCACCAGACAGAACGCCGCTGAAGATGGCATATCGTTCAGCGGCGATATAGGTGTCCCAGTGGCGGATAAAATTCGCGTCGTAGAGCTGGCCGGTACTTCGCGGGGTGCTCGCGAGCTCTGGGTTGTACGCTGATCCGTTGTTCCAGTAAGCAAGGGAGTTCACCACAAAGTTGATGGAGCCAGAGTCGGTCTGCACGGCCTTGAGACCTTGGAAAGGGGCTTCTAGGGACGCGACGACGGTTCTGCATCAAGTCAGTGGATGCATTCCAGGACCGCTGAGAGACCAGATACACATACGGCGAGAATACATCCGCTGCCACGTCTGCAGTATAGAGCGTGACGCCCCCGGGAACATCGTCATTTGTACTGTTGATGTACAGGATGCTGGTGTTTGTCGGGCCTACCCAGACAACCTCGGACACACTCGAGTCGAACGGCGCTTCCGTAACATCACCACTTGCGACGTCCAACAGCTGCCACGTTGTCGTAGACTTGTGCGTTGTCCAATTATAAGTCGTGGATGTGAAAAGGGCTGTTGTCTGCCCCAGGTTAGACTTCTTGTCAGATCTGGAAATCAATGTTGAGAGCTTGACGTACCCCGTCAGGGTTGACATTTGCAGTGCTTCGCCGCGGGGCAGCAAGCATCCCCCTGGAGTGGCGCGTCAGCTTTGATCAATCTGTTGTTTGTTTGTCTGGTTCAATTGTTGAACTAGTGCGTGCTCAAGTGCTCTTACTCGGTAGTGATGGCCCGGGCCGAGCTGAGGAGCAGGCTCCAAGCCCAAAGTGCAGTCTTGAGAGCCATGACCACACTCAAACTGCTTGCCAAAGGCTCAGTTAGAAGTTGCTACTCGTGACCCAGACACCAATTGTTCAGGACCTGCCCAGGTGAGCCGGCTGTCGCCTTCAATGTTATATAAGAGGAAACAAGCTTTCGGGATGGATTGGACGCCGGCGGCGGCTCCACACCCAAGAAGTAATAATACCTGGGGCAAGCAAAATCTGCCATATCACCTACCCATTTCGCCCAGATGCCAAGACGTGCTGGAATCGCGTCACAGGCATTATTACGTTTTTCGAGCTGTCTTCTCCTCACCAACACCATAATGTCAGCACTGGAACTGCAACGCTATCAATCACACCACACTCCATGACGTGATTTGGTTGGTAGCCTTCATAGAATCTCCGCTTATCCCTTGGCACGCCTCCGAATGTTGCCTACAGTACTTGACCGGTCTCACCGGTCTTCGTCGGCTTATTAGAGATCACCGCGAGATGATGCAATGAAAGCCTGTGGTTTCTTACCATGTGTGCCTAGAGAAAAAACTATGGTCGGGTAAACTTGTATGCCGTCGGGTAAGATTGCCACAAGACAGGCGATCAATACGAGTAGCAGTAACAGTCTATTCAAGGTCACCAACTCGAGGACCCGGGATGCCGTCGGTCTATGACAATGTGCAGTTCACCTTTTCGGTGCCATTACAATTCTTTGCGAACTGTACGGCCTCACGCTATATTGCTGGCACAACCACGGACACATCATACGTCTTGCCAGCCTCCACGCCGGTGATGTGCGCCTCTGAGAGGGTCTTGCCGTCGAGAACCACCTGCACCTGCTTGACATCCCCACGACGGATCTCCACGTTGAACTCGGCCCCGCGGAACAGCCGCTTCACCGTGATGCCGTCCCAGTCCGAGGGCAGCTGTGGCTTCACCCTCAGCCCGTCAGCATCGCCCCGGAGCCCACACAGGCCCTCGATGAAGCACCGGTACGCCCACGACACGGTGCCGGTGTTGAACAACTGACTCGACCGGCCAGCGCGGTCAGGGAACTCCTTCCAGCCGCCGCGGTAGTAGTTCGGGATATACACCGGGAGCTGGCCTCTCCGCAGGTAGTCGTCCTCGCCGGGGCCCGGCAGCATCTGCCGCAGGAGCTTGTAGGCGCGGTCCGCCTCGCCGATGCTGTAGAGCGCGTGGATGTAGAAGACGGCTGCGTGGTTATACACGGAACCGTTCTCGCCCTGGCCGGGGAATTTCTGCGTCACGCGCCCGATGTCCTCGACCATCCCGCTGAAGGGCGGCCAGAACATGAGGACGCCGTACGGGGTGCCCAGCAGCTCGTCGACGTGCGGCAGCATCTTGGCGATCTTGTCGGCGTCCGCCGCGCCGCCGAGAATGGACCACGCCTGGGGGTTCAGCCAGATCTTGCCCTCCTTGTCGTCCTTGACACCAAATACCCTGTTGTCGTCGGTGATGCCGCGCAGGAACCAGTCGCCCTCCCACAGGTGCGTGGCGGCCGCCTTGTTGACCTCATCCGCATCCGCGCGATACTTCTTTGCCGCATCTGGCCGCTTGGAATCGGTGCAGATTTCTGCCCACAGCTTCAGCGCGTATCCGGTGGCGACAGTCAGCCAGCCCGACACGCCTCGGCCCTTCCATCCCACCATGTTCATGGGATCGCACCAGTCCCCCTGGGCGATGTAACTCAGGCCGTACTCATCCCTAGCATTAGACGAAACAAGCCAGTCCATCGCGCGGCAGAGGCGGTCGAAAACAGTCAGGGCCTCCCCGCGAGGCCCTGGGACACTCTCTTGGAGCAGCTCATAGTCGCCAGTCTCGGAGAGGTACACCTCCAGCGCAATGGGAAGCCACACGCAGTGGTCTGTGTGCGGGACCTGGTTGATGTATTTGAGCTCCGCGTCAGGTGACAACAGGATGCCGTCCGGCATGGCACCCGTCTCTTCCTGCTGCGACAGGGCCGTCACGATGGCCTTGCGCGCCACGGCGGGATTGATGTAGCTCATCCCCATGTTGTCCTGGAGGTAGTTGCGTGTCTGCGGGTCCGTAGTCAGGCGGTTGACGTCGCCGTGGTAGAATACCTGCCGAGGCAGCCAGTTGTTGACGAAGTTGTCAAGCGCCGCATCCGGTGTCCTCATCTGGAGGCGACCTCTCCCGGATCGGATGTATGCAGCGTAATCCTGTGCCGACTGGGCAAAGGCGTCTGCACTGAGGTACTTGTCCCTCATAGATCTGATTTCAGCATCATCAAAGGCTGGGCCAAAGATGAATCGGTAGGTCTTTTCCTCGCCTGTCGCGAGGTCGACGCGGTACTGCACTGCTGCGACGGGCGTTTCGTAGCGTGCATCTCCATTTTTCAAACCGTCGCTCTCCAGCACGGCTGATGGAGCATGGAGGCCACCTTCGCCCTCGAATGAATTCTGGTTCGCCTCCCATGCCGAGGGTGGTTCTTCACAGAGGAAGTAGGTCTTGTCCTTGAGGAACTTGTTTTTGGCATAGTCCTCGGCTTTCTGGTACGGGGTGATGCTGCTCCCAACGATGCCCCCGAGGTCGGAGCGGTACTCAGCCCCCTGGTTCATCCATGACATGTAGCCGAGGGTGAAGTAAGGATACAGGCTGATCTTCCGCCGGCGGGCTGAAGTGTTTTTGACCTTGACTGTCCACAGTTCCGCGACGTCGTGGGTTGGCAGCGCCAAGGTCATGTCCACCTGAACGCCGTCGAGCCCCTGCGTCGTCCAGGACGCATCACTCTTGCCTGCGGAGAAGACGAAGCGTTCCGGCTTGGCACGGACAGGCTCGTGAGGCGCTGAGAAGATGGAGCCAGTCTCGTCGTCTTTGACATAGACAAAGCGACCGGGGTGGTGAGCGTAGTAGTTCTGCTCGGGCTGCATAAAGGTCCTGGCCTCGATATTTGGCGCGTGCGAGTATTTGGCAGGCTCAGGCTGCATGAATTGGGCGGTGGCATAGCCGCGACAGGTGAAATGTATCATCATCTTCTGGTTCCAGAGGAAGCCGCCCGCCTGGGGCAGCGCCGTCGGGCTGGTGAGTTCATAGCGATCGCCATCAGCAGTCGGGCTTAAGAGGGCAGTGTCTCTGGATGCCATTTTTGCGGGAGATGGGGACCCTCAGACATGCTCGGGCAAGGCAGTGGGGGGCCGGGTTGGGATGGGTCGATGGGTATTTGGTGTCATTATATATGCCCCGTGTTTTCAACCGCCAAGATGAGATGACATGCATTCCCGCCAACAGGATCGTGCAGACTAAAGCCGCCCTAACGGCATCGCTCCCGGGGAGCAGCCAAGAGTAAGAACGGCGAACGGCGGCCCCTTTGGGAATAGCTTGGGCAGCTGTGAATTTAGCCTCAATTGAAGAGACATGGGAGAACTTTGGGGCTCCCCAAACCAATCCTCCTAGACGAGTGGGTAGTACTTATGACCTGCACCAAGTTGACATAACCCGCAGTATGACAAGAACAATCTGTGCACTCCAATGCAGTGAGTTCCAATCACTTTGAAGGCCCTGAGCCGCGATCTTGAGCAGAGTCGATACCCAAATGTGTCTCCACACCAATGCCAAGCCAAAGTAGACATGAATCGTGGGCATCACCTGGGCATCCATCACTTGGGCAATGCAGACACTGGAGCACTGGCTTTCCAAGCCATGAAGCGTCGGAATCGTTCCCTCGATCCCGTGTGTCTAATAGAGGCTGTTCTAGAAGTGGTGTTCTGTTCCGCCCAAAGACCTCAAGCGTCAACGCGCTGTAGGCTCGGCCATTTGTTCTGGCAGCCCTCGAGTGTCTGGAGGGAGCTCGCCGAACCCCCAGCCCTCTCACTTGCAAGCGACTTTGGCGCTCTTCAGCAATACCTACTTCATAAGTAAGTACGGGTACCTAGGTAGGTAGTGGGCAGACAGCTACAGGACAACCTCCTATAGAATAACCTCCTACAGAACAACTTCCTGTAGAACAACCTCCTCTAGGAAAACGACCACACCTCTACTCAACGTGCACCCGTGTTTTCAACACATCTACGTACTTGCCCAGGGGAGTACTTGACAAGTTGACAAGACCATCCCATCACTGCTGCTAAATTTGACCGTTGGTCTCATAGCAACTGCGTCTGGCCGCTGTTGGTTTCCCCAAACCTACCTGACCTACCTACCTACCTACCTAGGTACCTACCTACTTGACCTACCTTGGTACCTACCTAGGTACTTAAGTAGGTACCTAGGTACTCAGGAACGAGCCACCTGCTTCCAAGGTTGTTTACTGTAGCTTTTCAACTTTTCAACTTTTCAACTTGTCGAAAACTTCCAACAATCTCATACTGTCGCCCTACTTTACAACTGCTTCCTCTTTCTATATACTAGTCACTTCACAACACCTTTATATTAATATGTCTAATATTAATGAATTGGAGGCTCTTAAGGCTAAAGGCTGGATTCTTAGTGAAGCTAACGGTAAATATAACAGACTTATTAACGACATTAAGATCCAGGAAGAGGAATACTTAAAAGAGTCAAATTAAGCTTATAAGATTAATTAAGAAGCTCTTTAAAAGAATATCGACTAAGATGAATAGGTATTTAATAGGTTAAAGGAAGCCTTAGCTGCTTATAAGCGTACATATAAGGCGGAGATTAGACTATTAACTAAAAGATTATAAATTTTAAGCGCCTTAAGAGATATATAGGTATTCTAGTAAGTATGCCTCCTATTAATTAAATTGGTAGGGTGAGGGCAATCTTCTCCTAACCTCATTCCCCTCTTAGTTAGTATTTAGTGGATAATATTACCTACTTATAGTTAATTACCTTAATGTTCTTATCACTCCTTCCTATCTCTTACTAGTTCTGTTGAGCACCCCTGCAGTATAAGCTAATTGTGAGGTGTTACAGTCCGAGGCACCAGAACTTCCACACCCTTCCCGGACCTCGGATCTCAATTCTGGGCAGCGTGCCCTTGAGAAGTCTGTCGAGCCTCAGGACGATCTCCACCATGCATCCCATGCAGAAGTACCAGCTCATGGAGGTACCTCCCCGGCCACATACCAGAGCCCGTCATAGAATCTATCTTTAATAAATAAGATTATACCCTTTGATGAAGTCTATAGACTAGCTAAAGATCCTACTATAAAGTATAAGTATTATAAGTTTTTAATAACTATATAAAACATTATTTTTTATATTCTCCTACTAATCGGAAATTAGGGATCATTAAGAGAGGTAGTAACTACTATATCCTTTACTATATAGAACATTATCTTAATTAGGGAAAGAATCCATCTTAATCTATACAGCTATACCTACTCTTAAAGGTCTATAAACATTTAAAGAGAGAAAACTTAGCTTTTAAGGAACTTAGCGAGCTTATAGAAGGTTATAATATAATTAAGGCTAAAATGAGTAATAATGAGTACTAGAAGGCATTAAAAGAGAGCTACAGTCCTAATAATACTATAAGGAAGCTAGAATAAGAAGTACTAGTAAAGCTAGTGATGAGGTCCATTTAAGAACTATTAGAGAGTGTTACTAATCTAGAGGTAGGTAGAGTATACTATACCTGGTGGGATAATAACTACATTAAGACTTGGTTCGCAGTGGTCATTCTACTACACCTAGGGAATGTAGATTGGAGAGAGGTCGGGATAATAGGTACCCTATTCTCCTCTAGACTTATCATTCCAAGCTGCTTCAAGAAGGTTAAGGGAGACACCAAAGAGTAGGCTATGAAGCTGAGGTGGGCCGATGGATATGAGGACCATGGGCAGAAAGTCCACCTGCGCCAATTTCCCTGTCTGTTCCTACACACTCCGTTGAACATCCCTCCTGCAGGCCAGGCTCTCAGGATGGAACACCTACATGAAGCTGAAGTGCTTGCATTCGTAGCAGCAAAGGACCTACGTCATCCACCAGCTATTCTGCCTAAACAGCTAGACAGGATGGGAGTGTCTGCCTACGAGAGCCTTGCACATGCTTGGGAGGCAAGGCTGGGAGCAAGCCGAGCGAGCCAGCATCTTGCACCAGAGCCAGGCCCCGCCGCATACACTAGCACGGCCAGCAGTGAGCAGCATCCCGCTCCCACAACTTCTACTACAGGTATGGGGTACCCCCAGCCTTCCAATACTACCAGTGGTCCGAAACACCGTAGCGGCGGCAGTCGCAATGGGCTCTCTGCGCAAATCCCTCGGAATTCTTCTCCTCTAGGCAGAGGGTATAATCCATTTGGCAGCTACACGAACCTGCCTGATCAACCCAGGCGATCACTGGGTTTTGATGGAAATGTGCAGGGCTCTGTCCGATCAACTTTCCAGCCTACATACCATCAACAGCAAGCCACGAGCATTCCCGCCACACCTTCTCATCTGCAAGGAATGCAGACTCCGAAAGCAGCCGGCCCATCAGCGTTGCGCTCCCAGGAGGCGATACACAGCCAAGGGCCCAAGCAAGACGGGACAGTCCGCCGCGGCCACTCTGCAGACACGTTGGAGAGGGGGGTTGTGCGTCCAGGACCACATGGACGCCTTTCTCTGAATCACTTCGACAACCTTGGCGACAGTCGGGAGACCAGTGACCATTAGAGTCACAGCAATGCATCTGTGGGGTTGATGGTTGATGACGACAAGCAAGCTTGGGTTGAGGGCTGAAGGCTGAACATCAATGTTCAGCCCTCAACGGCTTATTCCTTTAAACCGCTTTTAAGCTGTTGGTGTGCAGTTTATTTGGAAAGTGGCGGTAAACTTGCCGCTCAGCACAAGGCTACGGTTGAAGGAGGAGGGAGCAGCTCCTTTTCCAACCAACCGCACAACTGGGAAAGAGCGGCTTGTAAGCGGTAATTGAGCGGTTAGGAGGGAAGGAACTGGTGGTTGTCGTGAGCGGCAAATTTACCGATCGGCCCACCCGCCGTTTATTAGCGGTATTGATGTCTGGGGCTTCAGCGTCGGGAACAAGGCAGGGAAAGGACGTGCATTAGGATGAATGTGTTATTTGTGTAGGATACAAGTTGTTGACAGGACTAGAAGCTGAGTGGCTGCATGCGCAAGTAACATACAATGTACAAAGCTGTTCCGTTTATGTGTAGCGTGTGGCAAGTGTAGGCTGGGCGGCTACTCCGTACTTGCCAGGTGTTAGGGGATGGATGATCTTGGGGCGGTTGTAGATTTCGGATTGTCCCGGAACCAAACCAGCCCACTCCACTTTGCCCCGGACGTCGAAGAGGACAAGGGAGGTTTAGCTGTTAGCAGGCCGAGCACCCAGCTCTGTGCAAAGCAGATAGTACGGTATCTCACCCGCAGTCAGCCCATCCGGTGGCCCCCGATCATACGACTTCCCCGTCAAAGGGGCCTGGTCTGCGCCTGATGCCAATGTCATTGTGGGCTCGAATCCGGGGCAGACTTGGGGTCAGAAGAAATGACTGAGACACCACATGCCTCTAGATCCCATCGATCAGCCCATTGCGGCATCTCAGCCTGCGAGATGCGTCTCCCAGCCAGATCGGTCGGCTGGACCAGATTCTGTTTAAATATCTTGAATCTCAGCCAGCCTTCCGTGCTGCTAGATCCTGCAGATACTCATCTCTCAGCTCAATACAGCCTCAAACAACAGCCTCCATTGAACCCTGACTAGTACAGTGCACAGTCGCACTCATCACCTTGGAAAATCCAACACACATACATCAACAGACAATCAACAACCACTGCCGGCCATGGCTCAGATGCAAGCACGCACCATCGACACTCATACTGCATTCCCAAAGGCAAACTCTCTCTACACTGGCTCTTTCGACGACAACATGCTCTGCCACGGCCCCCAGTTCGTCAAGCCAATCGACACATCCTTCATCACAACACAAATCACCTCCATCTCGAAGCGATCGTCGCTGACGGCATCGCCACTGTCTGAATACGACGAGGACAGCGCCGTGCTCGGTGACGACGACGAGTTCAGCGAGGACGAGCTTCCCCCGTCCCCCATCAGACGCCACAGCGGCGCCATGTCCGTCAGCCAGGAGGAGCTTCCCTTCTGCCTGAACAGGCAGGCCCTGCGGAGGGAGACAGCCGCCCACCGCGCACAGCAGCACATGGCCAACGAGAACAAGAGGGAACGCGCCGGCACATTTACGTCGCACGAGCAGTGGGACTCGGAGATCGATGGCCCTTCCATGTCCCTCTGGATCCCCCAGCCAACTGCAAGCTCGACCACAGAGTACAAGCGGAGGCGAACAGAGACGACCGCCCCGGCCAAGAAGGAGGTTCCCGTCCAGCACCACGTCCGGCACATCGAGGGGCCCATGATGTCACTCTGGGAGGCCTAGAGCTACCTACAGCGACTACGACGACACTCTCAAACAATAATTGTGAACATATCTTGAGTGTCTCACGAGTGACGACAAAATCGGCGTTTTCATCTTTTCTGGTTTTAAAAACGGCGTTCCGGGCACAATACCAGCATCAACAGGGCCGGGGGTTCTGGCGGGAAACTGAACATGTCATGCAATGGGTTTTGAGGGCAGCCATGGCGTTTTGGAAGGGCGAGGGAAACGTGTATTCTTGCTATCACGCATGGCTGCACACTGTACTATTAGACACTCTGCATGAGAATCAGATGGGGGGTCTGCTGAGAATGAGCAAGCCCCGGGAAACGGAACAAAAAGAGTCCCGCCCATTATTACTACCATACATACTACTGCATATGAGATATGCGGACCAAGAATACAGATGCAATCTAGACCATACACAGGAATTCAGACCATGGTGCTACTCGGTGCTCCCCGGCCAATCCGAGACGTGATCTCTGGAGGCCGGCAATGCAGTGCTACGTCGCTCGACGCTGGTTTGCATCGAAGCGCCTCCCCGGTCGACACAAGCCCCGGTGCGTCGAAAACTGCTGATGTGTGTCGCATGTGAAGACCGGTTTGGGCGCGGCCGGTGCATTGTGCATGCGCGCAACTGGCACGGGCGGCACCTGTGTCATGCCACTTTTTCCTCGTTTCTTTTCGCGGACGGCTCCGGTCCTGACTTTGACAACCAATAAGATGCCCTGGCGTTAGCCTGACTGCTTGGCTGGACTGGGATTTCGGTGCGTCCATGCGGTGTCTGACTAGTGTTGAGTGGTCTGGACCAGATTTCATGTCTACCGGTTTACAGAGTAGGCGACACCTAGAAGCGGGACGTCACACATGACACTGGCTCTCGAGAATGTGAGTTTTTCAGAGCAGAGATTTCAGTAGCAAATGTTGACCGAGTGAGTCCATGTGAAGGGAGATTAGGCGAGTAAAATCCGTTCATCCTACTCTATCGCTGCCCAGTTCCATAGCATGCTTTAGAGATTTTGATTCAACTTCAAGGGAAAGCTTGCTCCTTTACTTCAGCTTTGAAGAAAAGGTGCTTGCAATTCGCTGAACTTCCCATAGCGATGAGGAACAGTTCCAATAGTCCTATTTCGGTCTCGGAAACTTCAGAACCCCGTCGAGCTATGATGGTCTGACTGAGTGATTCAGAAGAGATGTGACCTAACTCTACACGAGCCCCACAATGTTTTGGACATTTTATACTGCAACTTCAAGTTCGGTACGCAGAAAGACTTCTTTGTCCTTCTGATGAAAACTATGGCTATTTCAGACACTTCCACTATATCACAGTTGCCCGACAGCTTCGTGAAGCTGTCTCAAAGTGCCGCAACTTTAGAACCGATCTTGTTTGTTGACGAAGGCGCAATGGAAGTTGAACTTGCTTAAAAGCATGTAAGAGTAACAGATTGTCCGGTCTCTAGATTGAATTATGAAACCAGATATTCGCACCCGCAAAAACGGAGGGTACACCCATACTAGACAACTTGGAGATTACCTAGGTAAAGTACTCAGGTTAGTACTAAACTAGTTGTCCTATAGGATAATATTATAATGAAGGTTATCCTAGAGGAGTTTATTACATAGGAGGTTATCCTATAGGAGGTTGTCCTATAGGAGGTTGTCCTGTAGGAGTTTATTCCTTGGGGCTTGGGTGTACCCTCCATCTTTTCGGGTGCAAATATCCGATCTCTAAATTATAATACACAAAGCTTCTTATGGCGAAAGAGGCAATGCACACATCACGTTGAGAGGCCTCAGCCGTTGGACCCAGCCCCCTTTACTGGAGTCAGAACTCTCCAAGTCAATACTGAGCTTCGCCAGCCCACCCGGGCAGCCAGCACAGACTCCGCGCGTACCTCATGATTATTGGAGTCTCGATCGATACATGAAAGAGGTTCCGGAGGTATAGCATGATACAGGCCCAAAATAATACAGGAGGTGCTTCAGTCAATTTACAAGAAAGCTTGATTCAAAGGCGAACAATCTTATAGACACGCCACAATTTGAATTCTCAAGGTCCCCAATCTCGGTCCAGCCACTCGTATTCAACAACTAATGGACACCATTCCCATTGGTTCCATTGGTACCATTCGACCCAGCGCAACAGCCCTCATCGAACGCCATCTTGCTGACCTTATCCGTAGCGTCAACAATCGCCTCCTTGTTAGCCGCGACCTGGCTGGGGATGGACACATAGCTCGGAGGCACATTCATGACGGGGTTGTTGGTGAAAAAGTTGCGCGGGCGAAGCAGGAGGGTCATGGGCTCTGCAGGCATGACGGGGAAATCCTCGGGGGCGGGGATGTGTGTCACGCCAAAAGTGTGCCAGAGGACGACATCCGTATTCTCGATGGACTCGTTGCCGTCGCCGATCCACTCCGGCAGGCCGCACGATGGCTCGCCAGAGGTCTGCGGGACGTGGCGACCCGCGGGCCAAAGCTGGTCGTCCGAGTCTATGTGGCAGTAATACGAGGTCAGCTGGGTTTCGATCTTGAAAGGTTGATTTCTCTGGGGAGGGCTTGGCCACCACTTACACTTGGTCACATGCACGGCGTGCCTCGCAAAGCCCGCCCTCTTCCACACCAGAGAACCCTCCTTGGGTAGCAGACCCGGCACCTCCCTACTGACGAGCTTGTACGAAGCGGGCTTCTTGCTGTACGGGTGCAGCTTCCCTTCGTTGCAGATGTCCCATGTCCGGGAAGTGGCCCCGTTGTAGTCCGTCATCGACTGGCCCGTGGTGGCGAGCTTGGTCCTCTTGGCATAGAAGGCGTTGCCGTAGTAGTTTTCTGCGCTGCCAACGGGGGCGTCCGAGGGGACGGTATCGGTCATGAAGACGGTGTTGTTGGGCCCGTCGACGTTGGGGTCGATTCGCAGGCAGAAGAGATGCTGGTGGTTATGGGCATTGACGCCGGGGTAGACCTGCGTTCCCCAAGGCGAAGGGTCCTCGTCGGCGTTAAGGGCGTAGGTGTTGAGGATGCCAGTGAGCTTGATCTCGGGCTGGATGGTTCCGTCTTGGTGGAAGACCCACTGGATTGCGTACTCGTAGTTGGCGGCCGTGAAGATCTGCTGGATGACGAGCTTGCGGGCCCGAGTCACAATCACGGAATCGTCCCGGAAGTCAGAGTGCTTGAAGAGAATCCCGTCATCCTCTTCATGGATACAAATGGCGTTCTTGATGGTCCGAACGCCTCCTACGCGAGTGGGGAAGTGTGCGTCGAGGTAGTGGATGCTCCCCTTGCAGTCACATCCGAGCGCAAGACTGTTGGTCATGTATCCACCTCCATACTCCCCGAGATCAAAAGCGTGCTTCCTCTGGTGTGGATGCTCAGGATTTCCGTATGGTACCACCATCTCCGCCAGCGATAAGCGGTAGAAAATGGGTCGGACTGTTCCCTTATCATCGTATGTTATGTTGTTCAAGACAATTCCCTCTCGGTAGTTGAAGCCAATGTGCATCTTCCAGCTCTGCCATTCGATCTCCCTACCGTTCAGCTTGAACGAGACGCCCTCGGGCTGTGTGATGTTGATGGGCTTCAGGTCATTCCTGTAGCCACCCTCCTTTTCGTTGACATATGACGGAGTGTAGTTGATGGCTGCAGCCGTGCTGAGCGGCCGTCGCACCTTGGGTATGTCAATCGCGACGATGGCCTGCTTATCAGCATCATAGATCGGGCAGAAGTCCAGAGGATATTGGTACTGGAAGTCGTCCACATTGGGTCGGTAGTACATCAGTGCTTGTTGCAAGCGGACCTTTGAGCCGTGTCGCTCGTCGTAGCCGATCGTCCACGGATCGCAGTACACCTTGTGCATATCCTCTTCGGGGATGCCGCTGATCTTGCATTGTTCGATTACACCAGGGTCTTTCCGACAGACATGCTCGACTGCCTGGAGCTCTTCCATGGTGATCTGTTCCACTTGTCAGACTAACCACCTGGGTAACTATCTTGCTACTAGCTTGGGATAATCATCATGGACTCACGATAGGCTGGAGGCCGTCCAGCTGTTCCCAGTGCTTGATGGTCGCCGTCTTGACATCCACCAGGCCATCGAAGACCTTTCCGCCCGGTGCAATGACCACAACATCAGCTACTCTGTCTGGGCGTGGTAACTTGTCTGGGTCCGCGAGCCATGCGCTCATCTCGGCCTTGCGCGGCTCATGCAATGAGACAACATTGAAGAAGACATCTCCGTGGGCCTTTTTTACGGATGTAATGACAGTTTCGATCTCTTCGAGTGACAGAGGGTCGAAGGGGTGGGGGATTTCAGTTGCAATGGAGCCCATCTTGAAGATGACGTTGGTTTGTTAACTTGCGGGGGGTAGGATATTCTGATGCGAGTGAGACAGAGAGAAGGCAACTATATAGAAGGCATTGATGTGGGGTTAAAGGCTCTCCTCGTAACAAGTGACAAACTTGGATAATGATTGGGTTTAGTTATACCCTGTCGCAGGCTTGGAGTCTCCTGCAAGCTGAAGCATCACAAGGTGTGTCGTGGTGTGGCACGTCCGTTAACGGCACTGGCAAGCTGCATGACCAGGTGGGTTGATAAATGATAAAGATCGCTTGTGACAGCTATCGCACTAGACGGATGTGCTTGAAATTAGCAACAGCATCTCACAACGGCAACGGGGCCAAGCCCCCGTGCGGGTCGATAAGATCGGAATAGAACCACGATCGAAACCTCGAGTCTAGCGATCAGCAGGTACGCCCTTTCGCCTTAGCAGATTCGAGAGATAAGCACCCATAAGCTCGTGCCGATGTCGTCGGGCCAATAACCGACTTATTCAGGTCCCATCTCCGTCTGCCCGGACGCTGGCGTGGGCCATTGGCCAGCCCCGCATTATCGTCCCGAGGGTGCTCTGATATCGGCTTCTTCTTGGGACCCAGTCTGATTGGTGGCAGACTATCTAGCTCCACGGTCTTGGGACACTTTCCCAGCTTTGGTTAATAGAATGAGAACGCAGCGGCGCGCATGGACCTGCCCATACCAGCAGAAGGCCTAACTAGAACAACTTCTTAATCTGCGAGCCGTGTTGTACAAGGTTCTAGGCTTTATTATTCGAGGCCTGACTGATATCAACTGGTCTCTCTCATACAAGTGTACTGATTAGTCGGCCGCATCAAGACTGCCAACGTGGATGTCGGCTCCATAGTAGTCAGGTCCAAATCTTTTCTAACTGCCTAAGAACAGCGGCAGACAGCCGCCATTTGATGGATCTAGGTCACAAACCTATCAAGAACATACACAAGACATTATGACGGACAGCATGGCTAATTCGGGTTAAGATTAGTCAATCTAGAAGACTTAGAAGACCTCCGGTATGTCTAATTCCGAGGTTGTCTGCTGCTCTTTTTATGTGCACGCCGTGCGGGCTGCGTGGGTTCGGATCTAGTCTACTGTGTGTTTCTTCATGAAATGCGTTGATGCTGTGATACGCGGAAAACTCCAGATGCCACTGTGCCCGCCTGTCTCCTATACACTGCCGATGCAGGTGCCGCGCTGTCTAAACGTTGGGTGAGAGGAGGTCATATTTTACACATCGTTCGACCTGGTCCAGAAATGCGTTGGTCAGCTCATGCTCCGCATCCGGTTCAAAAAAAAGTACGGGATGCTGAAACACATACATCGTCAATACTTATCTGAAGGAACCTCCTGGTCTCCAGGCCCATCCATAGAATGAGCATGCTGAAGTCGCCTCCCTTGGCCATGTCCTTGCCCTGTTGCGTGCTCAGTTGGCGCAAAATAGGCAAGCTGCTACTCAGGAGATCTGTGTTGGGATCCAAGGTGCGCCCGATGCCCTCGAGGAGGAAGATGCTGATGACAACATTGACGAAGTCGCCTTCGAGACGGACGTGATGGCTCCGAACCATGTCGAGGACCTTCTCTAAAATGTCTCCGATCTTCAGGTTGCCCAGAGCCAGGGTCTGGCTCTTGACTCCGAGGACCAAGTGTTGCATTTTGAGCGCAAAAACTTCCTTGTCTATCACAGCATCGGGCTGACGGCACCTCTCGCACATGAGATTCCCAGCCTTGTAGCCATCAAACTCCGCGACAGCACGGAAAAGATCGAGGAAGTTCTTGCGATTCGTTTCATTCAGCTCAGTGACCAGGCCTGTGTCGATGAAAATCAGCTGCGGACGGTAGCCTTCCCGGTCGATTTTCTCTAGTTCGGCATTCCACGCTTTAGAGTCCTTCCGGTGACGAAGGGGGCGAAGCCTGGCTAGCACCTTTTCCGTCACGTCGTTCTGCTCCGATGGTATTGTCTGATCCTCTCCATCCTGACGGCGAAGGCGGAGCTTCAAGGGCAGTTCGGGCTGTTCGGCCTCATAGAAACGGACCATTATATTTCCAGGATGCAAGTCGGCATGGATGAAGTTGTCAAGCAGTAACATGCGGAGGAAGGCGTCAAGTCCCTCCGAGGCAATATCTCGTTGGAATACACCGCCTCCATTCTCCAGGAAGTCAGCTAGTGGCATGCCGTGGGCGAATTCCTCTATCAAGACGTTCCTTGTCGTGAACTCGGTGTACGGGAAGGGGAACCAAGCTGTAGTGCGATTCCTGAAGTTCTTGCGGAAGATAGTGAGGTTCGCAGCTTCAATGCGCATATCGAGCTGCAGCTTCATCATCTCACCAAATTGCTCAACCTCGTCAGGCAGAGAGAGCCATTCTATCGTGGGGATGAGATTGAGAACCGACGCAATAGCTTTCATAATGCGCAAGTCACGGCGTACAGTGCGCTCGACCCCAGGATGCAGGACTTTGACAGCAACATATGAGGAAGGGACTCTTTTCGGCGTACTCTTGAGGACGGTGCCAACGTTCTTCGTAACGTTCTTCCGGATTGTTCCACCAGGTTGGTCATCGATTAGATCAGGGTCTCCGGGGCCTGCCAAGTCAGGCTTGAGCTTAGCCTTGTACACTTGAGCAATGGCCCCGACGCCGAGCGGCCTCTCATCGAATTCGTCAAAGATCTCCTCGAACGTTCGGTCTCCAAAAGCAGCCCGCACTATGCGCTTTGTTGCATGCATGGAGTGAGCTGGGGCATCTGAGTGTAGTTTTGACATGATCTCACACAGCTCAGTCGGGAAGATATCAGATCGAGAGGCGGCCCATTGACCCAGCTGTTGAAATAATTGTCAGTCTCTGACTATGCGTCTCCCGGAAGTGAGTTTCAGGCTAGCTTCCTGATGTGCTTCCACAGGTCTGGCCACTCAAGCCCTTCTGCCCCTTCACTCGTAGGAACAACATGGACATGGCCACCAAGGCGAATGAGTGTACCGTCACTTTCCATGTTTGTTACCAAGGTGATCAGGTGGAGATGCCACTTGGCTGCCCATATGGTGTCAAGTTCATGCCAAATTCATTGCCGGGTCAACTGGCTCCCCCTCTTGTCCCCCGTCCGGGTCTTTTCACTTCCATTTCTTCTCCTTTCCACCTCATTGTTGGCATCCACTTGGCTTCCTTTCAAGACTCTTGACCTCTCTCTTAGCCACTTGGCTTTCTTCCCCAACCACCAACTCCCCCAATCCAAGCTTTCTCACCGCCCACTTGGGTCTCCTTCACTTCAGTGGCCAGTCCTTGGACCCACTCTGCTCTGTCTGACCACACTTCCTCCTTCCTACCCACCCATCTCGACCTGTCTTCCAAACCACTTGGCTCTTCCTACCAACCCTCCCTGCAGCCACCTGCAAGGCCGATCTTGGCAACAAAGACACATCTCCTGCTGTTACCGTGGACAAATGATGGGCACCATTTTATCCCACACAGAGATTTCACCACCTCACCACCTCAGGGTCCACCCTCGTCACACCATGGCAGGCCCACGAGGGGCCTCATTTCTCAGGGCACTTCCTCATAATGGGGCCACGAGTTGCCAAACAAGGACACGATGCTTCCGATCTGGGGCTTGGTTCTCAAATCTAACATCAACTTTGAACGTACCTTGATGAAAGCTGGACCAGCCCATTCCATGCCCGTCACCAGGAAACCATACCACCAAAGTGTACCGGACCGTTCGCCATTACGGTCTTTCTGCCTTCCGCCGATCCATATTGCCGGAACAGCAAGGATGACTGGCACAAAGATGAGGGCAAGGTGGAGGAACCGGAACCCAGTGCAAAGCGGCTCCCAGACATAGAGATCAAGGAACAAGACAACCTTGTGGCGGAGCCGTGACACGCCTCGGTCGTCGTCATCAACCTTCTTGGCGATCTCCTTTCGGGATGCCTGCAGCATCCGCTGCTCGCCGGTGTCCCCTGAAGCCTCCTCGTTCTCGGAGAGCTTGACGAAGGCTGCCGTCCCTAGGGCGCCCGTGGCATGCGCTGCTGCCAGTAGGGGCACTCGTCCTTGGTGAGGCGGCGTGTTCCACTGCCAACCCTGCTCCTGCCTTTGGGAACCATGCCGCCTCTGACCGGACGTCTGCCCCGGCTTTTCTCCCGAGGGCTCTCCCGACTTCTGCTCTTTCTCTTCCCACCGCTTTGGCCACTTCTTCTGCCGTTCGTTTTGCCACTGGGTGCTTGTATGGCTTCTTATTTGGCCTTTCCGACCGGTCCGAAAGCAGGGGAGAATGGGCTTTGGACTTGTGCTCGACCTGCTCGCTGCAGTGCTCGTTGCTGCCCATGGCGTTGTTGGCAACTGGAGGATCGATCCTCGAATCCGGAGAAGCGAGAGCCGGCCTTGGGCCAGACAGGAAGGCCTCATCTCGAAGAACTGGTTGCTCTATGTTGCGACATAGTAATGAACCCAACTTGGTGTCGTGATGATTGGGAAAAGACCACTGAGGCTGGCGGAACGAAGTCAATCAGCACATGTCGAACTAAAGCTCTACGGTCAACAACCAATGACGTAGTGGCCGGCCGGGTGGTCCGAGCGCTGGAAGCTGGCTAAACTTCGGCTGACTGGGGATAAGTACCCTGAGAACATCATGGTGAGTCTCATCCTCCCAAAAGATCACACTTATACTCCTTTGGACTATGGTAGATGCTGTAAAATTTTATAGTATATATGAATGCTGAGTAAATTTACAGGCAAAATATAGTTGAGTTTGCTAAAGGGTTTGTTAGCTATACAAACGAGATGGATAATTCCTATCCTGCTCTGCCTCCTCCTTCACAGGCACACACTTGGTGTCGAGCCTGGCTGATGGAGGGGGGCAGCTTTTCTGCTATTGTTTTTAACACCGGCCCAAATCTTTCAATCAATCGCGTCTGCCACCAAAGTCACCAGTGGGCACACACACTCTCTCTCTCAGCTTCACAAATTCCGATACCATCCTTCAGTGTTCCTCTCGTGCAACAAGTTGCAACTCCGGCCAGCTCAATTTCTCACCAGGGAGCAAGTTAACACCAACTCCTGTACACTTTTTGAGATATTGCATCGGGCTTCCTACTCTACCATTACCAATCTGTGCATCGCGCATCGCCTCATCCTTCACGCAACAACCTCTACAACACAACAAACAAGTCAGTCTCTGAGTGCTTTAACCTGGTGAATTTGTGAGTATATCACCTACCCTCTCCTTCAGTGTTATTACTTTTCCCTGATTTTGTTGAAATGTATTGACATAGTTGGACAGTTTGTGGCAACACGCGTCAAACAACACGTCCTTCCCTGAACCATCACATCTCCTGGAACAAAGTACGTGAGTGACCATGAAGTCATAAACCCTATTTAGTTTTACTTGTGAGTGCCGCATCGGACAGACTATCACTAACTATTTCCTCAGAAAGGATTCAACCATGGCTTCACCTTCTGGCAATTCTGAAGAGGCCCCCGAGATCCGTTCGTCGTTGGAAATCATGGGGTGCCGTGCACCGCCTACTCGTGTCACCTTCGGTGGAAGTGCAGCAGCCAGGCTCAGTCGACCATCAAGTATGCCTGATGTGCAAAACATTGTGCTTTCCAACTCTCCTTTGCCTATGGAGGCGCAGACTACAGAGTCTGAGGGCAGCAGGCAGGAGAAAGCAAAGAGCTTTATCCAGTTTGTGGTGTCTGTCTCCTTCCTTTTCTTCAGTCTCTTGTCTATAACTGCCACCGGTGCAGTCATGACTGTCTTGAACCAGGTTGGAAGACCCATGCCTGTCGGTTACACTGTCTGTATGGTTGTCAGCATCACCATTCTGGTTCTCAGTGCTGCCGGTCTTGGTCACGTCTTGTGTGGCCCAACTACAGCCCCCTCACGAATTCAACAATCTCGACTACGTCGCTGGATGAGTCGCTGTCTACCATTCACGTGGAAACTCAGCCTTCCAAAATTCAAGTGGCCGTCTCTGAAAAATCAGTCTTCCCAACAAGCTCTTGGTAGACTACCTCACCCCAACGAGTTCGAGCTAGATAACTTGGGAATCCAGCGACACCGACCGCCAACCCCTTATCCTGGACTGATCAGACCGGTTCCTGCAGTCCCGCCGCGCAACTCCCATCAAGACAACCGCTACCTGACATTGCCCCTTGGCTTCCCTGCGCCTCCCTCTGGTGGAGTCAACCGCACAACAAGCAGAACGGGTCACACCAGCAAAATATCATTCCAGCCAGCTCCACGTTCGGTCAGCCCCTTATCGGATGTACCTCCCACTCCGCCTCCAAAGCAGCAGACTGTGTCTAGGTACCAGTCTCGAGAACACCTGCTCGCAACTACGGTCTCTCGTGAGACCATGGCACAGTCTGATACGAGAACCTCAATCTTGACTGAGCTTTGTGAAGCCGAACAAAGCTCCAATCAGGAGAACCAGCCGGGTACTACTGCCCAGCACTACCAGCTTGGCATCGTTAGCAGCAATTGTCCGGTTCAATCACCAAGACCAGCCCACCCTATCCAGCTGGCCCAGCTGGCATCTCCCCTGCGATCTCAAGGCAGAGAGAATGATGACTAGACTCTCCCGTCATCATGGTTTGGGACAGACTTGCAGCACCTGTTGCTGCAGTGTTAGGGTTCATCACGTTTGGATTTTCATGCCTTCCCTTGTCTTTTACTTCCTTTCTTCCGCCAAACTCATCTTCATGCTGTCTCAATTTGAGAACAAGCTTCTGCGAGCTTCTGCATGCATCAGCTACATGGCCTTCGATTCCCCCCCTGTTGCATTGCTGGATCCCAACGCCTCCTGGCCGTTTGCTCCCATGGAGCCTACCACGAGTCTATCATCTGGAGTCCTCCTGGTTCTGACGACTGCATCTGGTTTTGACGCCTGTGCCTGCTTGAGGGCTCATCTGTGGTTGGCCACCATTGGCCTGCCTTCTTCTAAGATCAATTTGTTGTAAGATAAAAGGAATTTGTATCAAAAGGAAGCATATTTATGGAGGAGGTGTGGACGAGATCACAATTATTTTTAGGAGATGTGGAATACACCACAACAGATGAATGATCAAGCACAAATCGTCAACAGCACTTGAGGCTGCTTCGACTGAACATGGCAGTAGCATAACCAGGCTTCATAGACGAAATTGACAAGGATTAAACTACAATGGTGGCAGGTGTTGAGCCAAAAAAAGGCTGTTCAGTTGTGCAACTGTCTAATTAAGTAACCGATAGCTGCCATCTGTTGATCAAGCGGCCCGGGCCTTGTTCTCCCTATACCTCTTCTGCTTGGCTGCTGTCTTTCTCCTCTTCGCCCAAGACCGATTGAGGTCGCCTCTGTTCTCATAAAACCACTTCTGGAAGTCAGTGCTGGGGTTGGTCTGTTCTCCCTCCTCATCATTTGCCTGGCTGGCACCCATAGGGCTGTTCGATTGATCATGATATTCCTCACCCTCTGGGATGCCTGGGCTCTCCTCCCTGTCATCTCTGAGTGGCCAAATCCTTGAATACCGGCTGGGATGGGCAGTATCGGGGGTGGGAGCTGCACTCCGCATACCTCGCCACTCAAAGTCCTGCTTAGAGAAAGGAGTCATGGGCAGCTGGCTGCCCTGGGAGGGACCTGCCTGACTGCTGTTTTCGTCATTATCGATCCCGGAGCCACCCACCCCTTCTCCTTGGCCAAGGTCGTTGTCGTCTTCTTCCTCAAGATCCTGCCCGCTGAAGAATGAAAAAGGCTGATCAGCTGTGGTGTCTGCCTTATCCTCTGCTTTGTCTTGCTGTTGCCGCTTGTACAAAGCTTCGAGAGGATGGATTTTGTTGGAGGAAGGGGTTGCCGGGGGTATCTTGATTGTGAGGCTCCTGGCCGAGCTCGAGGACTTTGGTCGAGCAGAATCTTGGGGGCTCTCCGAGCCCGTGCTGGTCGCAACATCTATAGCCAAAGACTTGAGGGCTGGGTGTGCAGCTTTGCGCTCCTTCTTCGCAGCAATGTTGTCATCCTCAGCCTCAGAATCCTCCCCCTCCTCTTCTGAAGAGCTTCCACTGCTACTAGTAGTGTCATCCTCGTCCTCATCATCCTTGGAAGTCTTCCTCTCGACTAGGGTCGTTGGCAAGCCCTTGGGTCTCGTGCTTTTGATGTTCTCAACCACATTTCCATCGCTGTCCACCCAGCCCTTGCCCTCCACAAATTCATATCCGGTTCCAGATGTAGTGGCGCCCTTAGAAGCCTTGAAGTATGTAGGGAACTTTGTTGTGTTCTTGAACTCATGGACAACAACTTCGTGCGTCTTGTGTTTCTTTGACTTTTTTGCCTCGCCTTGAGAGTCACCAGCCACAGTATCACGCTTGTTGGGTGGAAGTTGTGTCTTCACCAAGCATTCAGGCCCATCGGTGTATTCGGACTCGGCATCTCTCCGTCTCTTCTTCTTATCCTTCTTGTCCTTCCCCTCCTTCTCCTTTTTGTCCTTCCCTGACTTGGACTTTGCCTTTTCTCTCTCCTTCTCTTTCTTCTTCTTGGCCTTTGCCTCGTCTGGCGTGACCGTCCAGCCGCGCTTAATCTTGCGGCCCTCTTCTAACTCAATGCCGGCAATCTCCTGGGGGTCACGCTTCCTCTTCTTCTCTCGCTTCTCAGTTTTGGACTTCTTCGATTTGCGCTCCAGGTCACCGCCGGCAGCAGTGCTGATGATCGCATCGGGATCGGGCTTCGGCATGTTGTCCGGTCGGGCAGGTTCAACCCGAATCTTGACGCCTTTCAGAACTGCCCCGTTGAGCTTGCTCTTGATCTTCTGAGCGGCGGCAGAGGGGATTTCGATGAAACCGTATGGCCGCTCGGGGAAGGCCTGGAGTGTGTGGTAGGAGATTTCGCGAGCTTTTGGGAGGACAGCTTGTGGTACAATGACCTTGAGGAGCTCGGGATTCAGAGGCGCAATGTGGAGACGGGTGTAGTGTTCCTCTGCCTCTGGATCGGTCTTTGTCATGGGTGCATCGGTCATGACTTCCTGTGGTCTCTGCGATTTTGTACTGCCATCAAGACTCGGACAAAGATACTGGGTGGCGCCTAAGGCTGGATGACAAACGAAGCCAGCTCTATTTTTGATCTTCACAGCTGACCTTGGCTGCAGAAACTAGCGCCAGAAAAATAACTTGGAGGACCCTGAGCCGATAACGATAAGATAGACAGGGGGATGAGCTGCTATCAACGGAGCTGCAGACTTGAAAGTTAACCGGGGACACCTTCTTCATACCTGGGTATTACATGCTACCTACCTGAGGTACGTATCTTAGGTGGGCGGGAGCGGGCCATACCAATTTCGTAGCTACTGTGGTACCTAGGTACCTGGGTCACCTTGTTAGTCCGCTATTATTAGCCTACAGTTTGCAATGGCAGTTTGAAGTCACCAACTTGCAAGTAGCAAAGCCATCCAGTATTCCAAGGTCTTCCCACTGCTCAGCGAGAACCATCACCAACCATCCTCTCTCCCACTCAAACTACCAAACAATTAAGTTGCTGTGTTTTTCCGAAGAGATGAATTCTTGGCTATGGCAGAATCTATTTCCAACCATCTCATACATTTTATCCTGCAATAACTCCCCTCAGGACTTCATCCAGCTATGAAAAACACTCTTCAACAGTGAGGCTGACTGCCCCGTGTCCAGTATCCCCTGTAAAGAGGCTTGAATACTTAAATAAATTGGACAGCTTTGCTCCTGCGCTTTGAGAATCCCATCTTATTGGCTTGACGCACAGGTTCATTGAGTGCTTAGAGGCCCACTTCAGCTGTGCTCTCGTTTTTGTAGAGAAGGGCCAGCAGCTTGGGCAACAAGCTCCTTGAGAAAGCTCCTTGAGACTAGGCACAGCACTGAGCTGATGTGATGTGACTTGGAAGGAAATTGCCCACCACCCTGGTAGCCCGCCCTTATTACTGGACCGTTTCGTCATTTTTGCGGTGAACATGCACCCTCTCTTCTTCTTGCTCCTTCATCACTTTCAAACCATCCTTTCAGGATGTCCGGTCTGGTTTGATATTTCTCCCCTCATGTTCAAATGGCTTCTTCCTTTATGTTCCGGTTCTCTGCTCCAAAAGTTCACCGTCTAATACATTCATTTCACTTTTCAGAACCTGCTTCCATCCTCTCTGCTGTTGTGAGACGGAAGAAAAAGTGCCCCCTTTGTGCTTGTTACTTACTGGCCTTTTCCTTCCCCCACGTCCTCCTCACTTGTCCTGCCTCCATTACAAAGTGAAGGCAAGATACATCATGCATGTCATCTCGTGCCTTCCTCTTCTGTTATCATGTTGGGTCCTGGGACAAAAATGTCTCTGTCAACCATTCTCTGCTCTCATCTGGCATTTTCCTCCTTCTCTTACCTGCTCTTCTCTACCCGACCCATCAACCTCTTCTCAACCATCATCTCAAGCTCTCTCAGACTAATCCCTGATTCTGGCAAATAATCACCTAAGACACAATCATCATTCTTCCTAAAGCATACTTCATAAACAGCTCACATGGCGCTTTCGGCGCTGGACAAAAAGTACCCCCGTGAATCCCAGCACAATCCGGCTTTCATCCCTCGAGGTGAGGTGGAATATGTCTTTGACGAGATTGCAGAGTTTGTTGTCTCAGCAACCAGGAAGAACTGTCCAGAAACGGGCGACATGGTCATTGCTAAGGGGGAGTGTCGACTCACGCTCGGTGACATGAGAGGACTATCATACTATGTCCGTGACCTGACTGATGAGCTCTTCAAACCCAAGGAGTACAGGACAATGCACATGAAACACCGCAGACCTACACCTGTCGTATTCAACCCTCCAGTAGCCATGCAACCAACAGGCTCCACAACTGCTGATCCCATAACGTCCCTAAACACTAGTCCAGCCGATGGACCCATCAGATTCCCAGGCTTTCCACACAGGCTGCAGAGACTGCCAGGACCAAGCATGGCTACCTTTGTCTCGGCGGAAAACGTGACCGAGATCACCTGGTTTGGGCCCATATCAGGGTACCCAAGCCCTGATGAGGTGGAAGCTGAAGAGATTCCACTGCCCTCTCCCGAGGCACGAGAAATTCCGGCCATAGTTGTTACAAGACCCTCGGAAGAGGGAACCGGCACCTCAGCTGGCAACAGGCAAGGAACAGCAACCGCCGAAGGCATGACGAGAAGACCACAAAACTCGAGGCAGGTCCTGGCGGCTGTAGACGAGGAGGGCGAGGCATCGCAGTTGCAGGCACAGGACGAGCCCGAGCCGCCCAAGACGATTCTCGGCAAGATGCGCAGAAAGAGCGTCGAACTTGGTCAGACGGTTGGTGGCTTCATGAACGGCGCGTACAGGAACTCAGACTATAAGCCGCGCCGCGAGTCAAGCGCCTTGAGGATGCGAGCCATCCTCGACCGGCTCTCGCCACCGTAGCCGTCGGCAGAGGACAATGCAGATGTGTTCTCGGCCATGACAGGTGCTCGGTCCGTCACGTCCGAGGACGTCTTCAAGGCGAAGGGTCGGCTTGGTCGGGAAAAGCCAACACTGGCCGGATAAGCTTTGGCGGGTGGTAGCAGTAGCGGAGAGAGGTGCAAGAAGCCAGTTCGGGAGGTGCAGTGTAGTTTGTGCACGGCGCGATCGGCGCGTGGAAGTTCCCCGAGAGCAGGGGAGGCCCGGCCACATATATCATCAAACGTCGGCTTCCCGTCCAAGCTTCCGGCTCTCTGACAGCGGGGGGATCTGGCAGTCTGGAAAGGCGACGTCTGAGCCACCATACCTCATGCAGCATCCGATGGGGAGCGCAAGGCGTTTTTCGAGATTGCCTTGCGCTGTCGCTGCCCAGGCTCCCCACAAGGGCCGAGTTTAAACTGTGGTAGTGGGCGGGGAGACTCGCAAGAAGGGTACGGAAGGGCATGTGAAACCTGGATGCCAAGTGCGCTCAGCCTGTTTGGTTCATGGTGACAGTCCACAAGATGCCGCCTCCGTCCACACTCGGGTTGAAACACCAGTGTGCTGTGTCAAGGCATCCTAGGATAACTTGTCAGCGTTGCAAGCAAGGCAGCTTCGACAGCAGTTCGGTGGTATGCATCATTGACGCCGATGAACATGAGGCCAAAGTGGCTGACGTTGTCTAGATGTCGATGCTGTGCACTGGTTTGTTTCAGCTAACCCGACCGTCCCGGGTGTGATAGGCTCAGCCTGACAGCGTCACAATTTCAGACTAAAATCTGTGGCAATGCAGTGTGTCGTCCTGCTTTAAGAATGCTCCCTCCCATGGACTGAATGGACCATCACATGTGTCTGTGCAAGGCGTCGCGTCCACGTCACTCTCCCATGACAAATTCAGGGGGCATATTATCGAGAGGCTTCACTGGTCGCATGTACCAGATCGGCCCCGGCGCTTTTCCCACATTTCTCGCTCTCGCAAGTCTCCCGCAGGATATGCTGTGGTCGTTATGGTCAACACAGGGAAGCCGTCCGGTGCCTGTATCAACTGTCGGGAGAGGAGGATAAAATGCGACGAGGCAAAGCCGGGCTGCGTCAAGTGCCTCAAGTCGGGGAGAACGTGCGCGGGATACTCACAAGGCTTCAAATTGCGCGACCAGACGCAAAAGACGATTATCAAGGCCAAGTTTGGCAAGGGAAGCAAAGGCAAGCGGCTGGCTGCACTCAAGGAAAATGCGGCGACCAGCAAGAGCCCAAACTCAACCCTTTCACCCGAAGACTCCTGCGCGTCGAGCGCGCAGGATACACACCAACGAAGGTCCTCGGTGCCCGTCCAGGACGAGGTGACAAGCGGCCAAAGGGCACCTGGCGGTCACAGGAGGAACCTGTCGGACCCTATCACCAAGCCGAGGCGCGGGTCGACTTGGCCCATCTCGGCGGCCGACATTGATGGAAATACATCCGGGGTAATGGGTCTCGGCTTGCAATCGATACACACGCCGCTGGTCGACCGCGCGCGCTGTTACTTCCTCTCCAGCTATGTCGTGTACTCTCCCGGCAAGTCGGACACGGGCATGCTGACGTTCATCCCGTCACTGCTCGCATCAGAAGAAGGGTCGAGCCGATATTTCCAGGACATGTTCAGCGCCGTCTCCATCGCTGCGTTTTCCATGCGCCCCAACTGTAGGGAGGCCGCAGCTTCGACGCATCTGTACTACGGCACAGGCGTCCGCGGGCTGAGGGAGGCGCTCCAGGGCAAGGAGTCAGCCAAGTCTGACACCGTCTTGGCTACAACAATCCTGCTGGGGGTATATGAGGTATGTGTGCAACGGTGTCAAGGGATCAACAGAGTGCTTTGCATGCCGGGATGCTGATGCGCAGCGAACCACAGGGCCTCGCATCTGGCGACGCCGACAAGATCGCATACACACAACACTTCAGGGCTGCGCTCGAACTCCTGCGCCTGAGGGGCCCTGAGCAGTTCTCTTCCAAACATGGCACCGAGATGTTTGACCTGGTGATGGAGAGTCTGGTACGTATATACAATCTCGAACTCCCTTGGAAAGAGCGGGTGAGTTTGTACCATGATTACACCTCTTCCAACGCGACCCCGGGGGACCCCTTCCTCACTCTGCGCACATACACTAATAGTCATATTCACGCCCCCAGATGCGCCAGTATGACTTGTCTACCGTCATAGGAGACGACGACATCATTCGTTGGTCCACACAAGCCTCTAGTATTCCCCGCGCCAATCGACCACACCTGACGTCGATGAGGATGTTGGACCTGCGGTCCAAACTGGCTAGCCTGCTTGCGTCGCCAAGGAGAGATTCCGAGGCCACCCGCAAAGCCGTCAAGATACTCATGACGGCGCAAGAGTTCGAGAGGCGTGTAACCCAATACTACGAGTCGGAAGACCTGATGGCCAAGAAGAACCTGTGGCATACCAAAAGCGAGTCGGCACACATTGTGTATCCAGACTGGTGGACAGCGACCCGTTGGCTGAACAAGTACGCATTCCGTCTGCTCATCTGCCACATCATTGCAGATGTTTCAAACTGGCTGGCCGAATCTGCGGATCCGTGGCCTCAAACATTGGGGACAACAGCGTCTCACACCGCGAAGGAGGACATCCACAATATCATCGCTAGCATACCGTACTTGTGCTCCTGGAAAGGAATAGGAGAGGATCCTCCGAAGGGGGCCAAGTCACCGTGTGGAAGTGACGATGCCGCCTCGGTCGAAGGGATCACCAACCTGATGGTAATCTGGCCCCTGGTCCTGGCGGCGGAGAGCCAGTTTGTCACCCCGGAGCAGAAGGAATACGTGCAGGGCAGGCTTGGGTGGATCGGCCAGAATATGGGAGTCAAACACGCGGCCGTTGTGTGCGAGGTACGTTCACGAGCCACAACTCATCACCCGCACAAGCCTGGCGTTGAGAGGAGATTTTGGTGCTGTTGCAGAAACCGGCTAACCATCCTCACAACACACAGCAAATGAAGGCTGGCAAAGTGTCGGAAAGCTCGACACATGGCGGTCTGCGCGCAAAGGCGACCGTTCCTGGGCGGTGCCAAGCACGGCGGCCAGAGAGCGAGATCGCGTACTTGATTTCAGATGTGGACCTGTTCTGAGCATGCGGGTTCAGTCGATATCTAAATATTCTACAAACCGTGGAGTATCCGGGGGGGGCAGCTGCCCAGGTGTGTCTTATATAAGAAAAGACCGCCTCCACACCAGAGGGTGCCACTGGACATATTCAACTTTTGCGATACACCCGAGGAAGACAGGACTCGGTAAGAATACACTGGGAACAGAGCTCGGCATGTCAGTCAAGCACGGAGCGGCCGGCGAAACAGGCCATAACACGATTCAGGAAAAACCTTGGGTGGGAGGGGGTTTGGCGCTCCTGGTTGAATCACCAACGCGGGCAGCTGGTGACAGTCGGGAGAGGGCTGAAGTCTCAAAGTGCCCAGGATTATTCGACCTTATATCCACAATGCGGCTCCTGCCCAAGCTTTCCCACACGGCGGCTCGCTCCGCCCCCTTGTCTATGTACAAGACGCCTGGCTTGATGCGGCGTCCTGAAACCCTGCGGCCCAGGGGGCCGCGCGCAGGTCAACCCCCATTGAGCATGAACCGCTACTCCAGGGAATTAAAGTTTCTGACGGGCTGGGGTCTTGAGTTGTATCAGATGGCCTTATTCGTTCGAATACAGCACCCCTCGAGGGGCTCAACATGCTCAATTGCTGCACCTGTGCCGTTGCTGCGCTGTGTTGATCGTGGGATTAACTGCTCAAGTGACCCACTCGAGTCCTGTGAAACGCAATGTGTGTCAACGATGAGCGTCGGCGCCATCCACCACGATGATTTGCACCGGGGTTTAGAGCCGCACATCACGAAAGCGAAGGTGTCTACGATGTGTTATAAGTGCCATCCCTTCTTGTTGATCCCGCATGAGTTTGTCGATCGCCTTCATCCGATCCACTGATCTCCCCCGGCCTGTCATTCCTTCAGCAACCAGCCAGTCTCGATTGTAATCTTCAATTCTTCCCAGCTGGCCCTGCCCTCTATCGCCAACGCCTAGACTGTGTCTTGCCCGGCTCATCTGTCGCTTCTGTACGATTGACGTGCCGCGATTTGGCCCCCGCCCATTTGATACCCACACTCCGATATCCTATTCTCCGCCATGCGTTATACCGCCTCCTTCGCCCTGGCTCTGGCCAGCCTTTCCCTCACCGGTGCAGGTCAGTAACCCCCTCGCCGCCCAATGATACCTCGATATCCGCTGTGGACCGAAAGGGCTGACATTTCCATTTCCACCCCGCAAGTGCCCACCTTGGAGCCCCGCCAGAACGCCTGCTTCGTGGTCGGCAACGAAGCGCTCCCGCAGGAAGTCCAGGACTCGGTCACGTCCATCCAGTCCGCCGTGACCTGCGGCTCCGGGACGACCATCGACAAGGTGCCCGACGTGACGTCCGGGTCGGCGACCTTCAGCGACATCGACTTCTCCAAGTCCTCCTCGAGCCCCCTCCAGTTCGCCCTCGACACCTTCGCCACGCCCGCGAACCCCGCCGACGCCGACCTGGCCACCCTGCAGGACCAGCTCAACGTGTACCTGGCCACCGAGGCCGGCCTGCGCAGCGTCGGCGGCAGCCTTGCTATCAAGGTGCCCAAGTTCTTCCTGGCTATGCAGGTCAGCAGGGTCCAGACGGCTCAGGTACGCTCGTTCCTTCTCTTGTCTTGCCCTCCCGCCGCCCGGCCCCTCTTTCCATGTGTGCGTGAAAGTTGTCGCTGACTGGGGTAATTCGAACAGGGCAACCCACCTGCTGCTGCAGGCCAGCAGGTTGATCACCTCCGGGACAAGGTCACCAAGAACGCGGCCGGGGAGGACAAGGCGCTGCTGGACCAGGTCACCCAGCTGGCGGCTACAACCTAGGTTGAGCGAGGCGAGAGTAATCGGGGGTGGTCAGGGACGATGAATTGGAAAGCCTCAGTATTAAACCTCTTCGAATAATAATGGCCTGTTTTTTTGTTGTACATTGCGTGTTGCTGTCATTCCGATCGTAATCCTGTACAAGAAGAGAGGAGAGTTGGTTGTAATTTGCGACAGGGCCAGGCAATAATGGCCCTCAGGAAGACACGCACCATCCCGGTATACCCAATCCCAAACGCCAGCTTTCAAGTCAGAGTCTAGTTAGTCCACACCATGCAGCAATCCACCGATCAGAACCACGTGCTCCGCCGCTTCTGCCCGCCCGTCTGCCCGAATGCCCGGCTGAGCCAAGACATCACTGTTGAGACTTCTGGTTGGCCTCGCGTACTACTCCTCCCGAGGCCCTCCACCAGACGTCGCCGCCCCATCTCATCATCCGCTCAACAGCGCCGGTCGGGGTGAGGGCGGGCCGGACGTCGAGGTAGAAGACGGGCTCGCCGGTGGGCTCGGGAGGGCCGCTGTAGTAGTCGATCACGTAGCGCACCTGCTTCTCCTCGCCGTTTACGTTCCGAGCGACGTACCAGTCGTGGCGGTCAAAGGGGGGCTCGGTACTGCCGTCCTGTTAGCACCTGCGATTCCTTTTCTTGCCGCGCAAAAGCGAGACAGGACAGGGGCTGGATCTCAACTCACGCGAACTTGGCTGGGTACAGCCAGCCCATGACCTGGAACATGGCGGCCTTGGGGGTCATCTCCTTGGGCCGGCCCTGGAAGCGGATGAGGGTGGGGTTTATGGGCTCGGCGTTGGCCTTCCAGTCCAGGACGCGGCGGGTCTCGTCGGCGTTCTCCTCGCCGCGGCGGCAGATCTCCCAGGCGCGGGACAGGCCGCCGCCGAAGCGCCTCTCCCACTCGACGACCTCGGCCCAGGCGCCCTCGTTCAGGAAGTTGTGCACGGCCACCATGCTCTCGACGGCCGTGACGTCGGTGTCTGTGTAGCCCTTGCGCAGCAGGGCGTTGTACATCTGCTGGGGGGACGGGTATTCCCAGTTGCCGTCGCCGGTGCCCTTGGGGATGGAGCTCGGGTCCCGCTCGACCGGGAGCGCGTGTGTCTGGTTGGGGGCGGGCGCCTGGGATATCTCGCGGAACATGTAGTTCAGGGGGTTTATCTTGGACAGGAACGAGGCGTCATCGGCCTTGCCGGCTTGGTCGTGTGGGACGGGACATGACGACGGCGGAGGGGATGGGCGAGACGGGGCTGCGGAGCCCAGGACGTCGACGGTCTTGTTGTGCATGGGGCAGCTTGGCTGGGTTCTTGTCAGTCTCTGGGGTCTACAGAGTAAGGAACGCATGCCGGTGGAAGAGGCTTACAGGTGGTGCTGCATCCCCGCGCTGTTGATGTGGCACTGGGCAGGACGAGGGCTTTGGCGCCGGAGGAGCGGCGGACGGGGCATGAACCGCGGCAGCATCATCAGCCCAGAACCAACCCATGGTGCTTGATTGTTGTGCGATTCTGTTGGTACGGCTGACAAGAGCAATCAAGTCGAGAGAAGACGGTTTTTGTTTGCAGTGCAATAGTTGGTAAACCTGGTCGGGATTGGTAAAAGATTGACCCAGACTGGAGGATGATGGAAAGATGGAAATCGTCATTGCAAGGGTGCGGCTTCTGGAAATTTTAGTGGAGTCGCCTCTTCGGGTGAACGCGGCTCGGCTTCCCCACGGCCTGTCTACATCACTTCAGCATCGACAGGATGATTTCCCATTCTCTCATTCTCCCATCCCACCGCAGGCTATGAACTAGGCTTTAGAGCCTTGAATGTCTTGGTTATGTTGGTGATCGCCTCCTCGACCGGAAGCCTCTCCATGGATGATGCCCCGTAGAACCCATGGACTCCCTTGACCCTCTCCAGCACGTATTTTGCATCGTCCGGGGTTGCGATGGGCCCACCGTGGCACAGCACCATCACGTCCGGCTTGATCTTCACAGCAGCTTCTTGGATCTCCTGGATCAGCTTGACGCTCTCGTCAAGCGTCTTCCCGCTGGTCGCCCCTATGCTGCCGGACGAGGTGAGGCCCATGTGTGCCACCAGAATGTCCGCTCCCGCCTCTGCCATCTTCTTGCTCTCCTCGACGTTGAAAACGTAGGGCGTGGTCAACATGTCCATCTCTCGAGCCTGGCGGATCATGTCGACCTCCTGGTCATATGACATGCCGGTCTCCTCGAGGTTGGCCCTGAACTTGCCGTCTATCAGTCCCACCGTCGGGAAGTTCTGCACCCCGGCAAACCCCAGGTCCTTGAGCTGCTTGAGGAACCCAGGCATGCTTCGGAAGGGATCCGTGCCGCAGACCCCAGCTATCACCGGCGTTTGCTTCACGATGGGGAGAACCTCGTTGGCCTGGCATGTAGACACCTGGTCAGCCCTGGAAAGCCGTCAGCGCGTGTTGGGGTTGGGGTCCTCTGTGCTTGCCATGTCCAGGACCACATCGTTTGCATTGCCATAAGGCATCAGGCCAGCCAGCGAACCACGGCCCGCCATTCGATATCGCCCGCTGTTGTATATGATGATCAAGTCCCCTCCCCCTTCTTCCACGAACTTGGCAGAAAGCCCAATCCCCGCCCCGGCTCCGACAATGGCATGGCCCTTGGCCACCTGGCTTCGCAGCTGGGCCAATATCTCCTGGCGGTTTGTCGGCGGAGCCATGTTTGGTTGTCTTGTCTACCACACGTATGGGGAGCGACTTTCGGTTTGTAGCAATTTGTACTGAGTATCAGAAATCACAAGAGGCTTGTCTCTCGTGATACAAGTATCTTTGTTGACCCCGTTGATCCTGACGTCACTAGGACATCTTCAAATGAAGCCCGAAGCCCCCGCAATTGTGCCTCTCATCCCGACCTGTCAACGGCAGTGTAATTCTACCACTTCCCAAAGCTCTCGGCACGATTCAACAATTGACTTCGGCCGATGGCCCGATTCGCATGTTGGCTTGAGGCATTTCTACCTTTGCGTGTTGACATTTCTGCAACGAATCCGCCTGGCTTCTCCCAGCACTTGACCATTGGAAATATCACATTGACAAGGCCTCTTTCACCTTGGCTGGCCAGCTTCAATACCATCATCCATCTTTAGTTTGACATCATTCTGTGTTTGAAGAGCCAGGCTAACTACTTTATTGATTGAAAACCTCGAAATTGGTGCTCTTGATTTCTCCACATATTCCCCCGGGGCCGTCTCATTCTTGCCGATAATTATCAGATTCTGGTAAAAGGCTCATTCAATCAACTCCTAGGCGACTACTGTGCTCTGCCCTACACCATGTCTAACCCCGGAGCCCCAGCTACGGTTCTGCTCTTGGGCACATGCGACACTAAGTTGCAAGAACTACTCTTTCTCAGAGATCAGATACGACATCATGAATCGGTGGAGGTCATGTTGCTCGATGTTGGCCGAGAAAACGTAGAACACAGTGCTATCAACTTTAGCCAACATTCTCTTCTCAGCGAGCACGGCGGAGGCAAAACGACAGCCGAACTGCCCCGGGGTGAGCTCGTCAAGTTCATGGCGGCTTGTGCCTCTCGTGCTGTCAGGCGCCTCTTCGACGAGGGCAGAATCCATGGCATCATCAGCGCTGGCGGATCAGGGGGGACCAGTCTCGCAGGTAACGTGGTCTCTATCGTCTCCTTCTAAATCGAGTTACATGCATTACCTGTGTCTAACCCCAACATTCGTGTCGTTGAGAGGAAACGTTTCGCTGACAATTAGTAAGCCGAGGTAATGAGGGAGGTCCTGCCAATAGGCTTTCCCAAGATGATTGTTTCCACCGTCGCCAGCGGTGACACGGGACCACTGGTGGGCGAGACTGATATCGCAATGCTGTACTCGGTGGTAGACGTAGCTGGACTGAACCAGGTCCTGAAAGACATCCTCAGCAACGCAGGGGCTGCCATCGGAGCCGCTGCAAAAGCGTACGTATCTAGGACACGCGTCACACAGGAGAATACAGGCGGATCCAAGAAGCGTATCGGCATCACAATGTTTGGCGTGACGACTCCAGGTGTGGATGCGGTCCGCAAACACCTGGAGTCTAAACACGACGTCGAGATATATGTATTCCACGCAACGGGACATGGCGGAAAAGCTATGGAAAGGCTGGTGCGACAGGGCCAGCTGGACGCTGTGCTTGACTTGACGACGACCGAGATATGCGACTTGCACACCGGCGGGGTTATGTCGGCCGGCCAGGACCGCCTCGAAGCGGCCGCCTTGGCCGGAATCCCCAATATCATAAGCCTTGGGGCCACGGACATGACCAACTTCGGCCCGAAGAGTACAGTCCCCGAGAAGTACAAGGGCAGGAACCTTTACGAGCACAATCCTACGGTGACCTTGATGAGGTCGTCGCCTGAGGAGTCTCGACAAGTTGGCGACTTCATCGTCGAGAAGTTGAAGAATCATGCCAAGAGGCCGGAGCTGGTTCAGGTGTGGATGCCCCTTGGGGGAGTCAGCATGATTGCTGTGCCAGACGGACCTTTTGCCGATGAGGAGGCGGACAAGGCACTGTTCTCATCTGTACGGGACGGCCTCGCGGGATCAGGTATCCGGGTTGTGGAAGACAAGAGGGACATTAATGACGAGGGGTTTGCTCATGATATTGCAGATGCCTTGGCTGGGCTTCTGGGTTTGTAGTGGTTGCTGCGAAACACTTGATGCGTTCCAAGCCAGCAAGCACAGTCGAGGAAACTACGCATTGTAGGCGCCCGCGGGCTGGCCGAACCGGCTATGATAATAATTGTGATCCGGATCCAAAGATGCCCTGTCGTGTGGTCGTTCACAAGCAACCTTCGGGGCCAGGGCGAACAGACGTAAGTCGAGTTTTTGGTATCATTTCCCCAAGCGCATCGGCTGCCCAATTGAAGCTGGTGGACGGTGCCGCAATCCCGGAGGCTCGGAGACGAGTGACGGGCAAAATATCCGCATTTACCGCTGCGCCGGAGAACGGGTAACGTTGCAGATCTCCTGGCATCCATGTAACATATCCGGGAGCACGCTGCTAAATCTTGGCCAGGCACGGGCGGCCACCACCTCACTTGCTCACCTCTCCAATATTCCAACCGAGGAACACGGAAACAATTTCCCTGCGGCTGCTCCCGAGATTGAACTGCCGCAACTACCGCTTCATGGGACCGGTGTGGCCTATCTGGAGCGCGTGTCAAGCCAGTCAGCTTAAGAGACCCGGGAGTGCCCCAGCTGACGCCCTCCCTTACCTCCCTCTCGGCAACAAAGATTGACTTGTCACTTTGAGCCGAGACCCCACGTAATGTGTTCCATTGCAGATGCTTTATCAGGGCGATGATGAGGTCCGGATGCCACCCCGGGCCACGTTGTTTTGATAAGGTCTGGCTTGGACGTTGGCTCGACTCGGTCATGATTCGTTGAGGGTATGCCCACGCTATCAAGGCCGGACCACACAGCACGCGGGATCGTGCGGGCGCGTGTCTGTATTAGTATGGGACACGATGTTACGCCCCGTCCAGCGGTTCTCGGCCCTTTCCTGTGTCGGCGACAACTTGACAACTTCCAAAAGGAGCAAGTGACCACACGAACCCCGGCTCGTCCACCTTCTGCCCTTGCTCACATGCAACCTCCCACCAGCAACGACTAATAAGCACCCAACCGGCAGGCTGAAATCCTCCAGGGTCCTTTGTACAGCATATGACTGTTTCCATTGGTTGGCCGCCTCGGCAAGGGAGATTCGGTTAATGATCGAAGCATATCCGATTCGAGAACAAAGACTTCACAAGACTGTGCGGGTTGTTGGTACCTGCATCTGTGTCCCCCGTCTAGGCCAGATGACAGGGTCAGTCATCTAACGCACGATTGACATGATGCAACCCCTTGTGCCAGACTACAGACTGCACTTTACTATTTCAGCCATTTTGCCCTTGCTTGGGAGATTACATGTCTATCCTGTTGGCTATGAGGGCCGGTCAGCTGGTCGAGCGCTCGGTGGACGGAGGCAAGTGGACACTTGCCGCCAACACCAGCAGGCACCTGGTGAGATGAGATACTGACGAGGCGAGGCGACGAGCTTGCCCTGGTGATGGCACCTTGATCATACGTCCCTGCGATCCCTTGCCTGGAGAAGAAAGGGGTATGTGCATTTTCTGTTCCCCGGGCCCACGAATCAGGATCGGCAACGTTGCTGCTGTTGAAGATATCAATTTCTTGTCCGGAGGACTGCCAGGCTTGGAGTGGAAGTTACCACGTGTGAGGTCGACAAGAGACATCCTGTTGGTCATTTGTCTCGTGCCTGATAAAAACTATGCTACATCGACACGCGACATTATTGATTAAGAAGTCAGACATAATATATAACTTAGAACACCGACGCCCGAATACCATTACTATAAGTGTTCGACAATGCTTTCTCCCGCCCAGACGCAGCATCACACAGTACATGAATTCACTTTTGGCTTCAAACTCTGTACAATATGCGTTTCAATCTTCTTGCTCCAATCCTGGCCCTGGGGCCCTGGCTCGTGTCTTCCAGCCCTATTGCACAAGTCGATAAGCGAGCCACTGGCTATGAAAACACTGTATATTTTACGAACTGGTAAGTGTCTTCTTGGTGGAGTCAACTTGAACAGCGCATGGGCTGACGCATGTCTTTTCAGGGGCATATACGGACGGAACTACCAGCCTCAGGACTTGCCAGCCAACAAGCTCAGCATTGTCCTCTACGCTTTTGCGAATCTGAGGAGTACTGGTGAAGTGTAAGCTAACATTGCCAAGCCTGACCTTCTCGACTCTCTGACACTAGACCAGGTATTCTTCTGATGTTTACTCGGACCTCCAGAAACACTATCCCACCGACTGTAAGTCTATAAGGCTTTCTGTACTGTTGGCGAGTTGGTAAAAATTAGTGCTGATCAGTCAAATTTCAGCATGGAATGACATCGGAAATAACGCGTATGGTTGCGTGAAGCAACTATACATCCAGAAGAAAGCCAACCGACAGATGAAGGTGCTTCTTAGCATTGGTGGCTGGACTTACTCAACCAACTTTCCCGCAGCAGCCAGCACTGCTGATAGCCGTGCGCTCTTCGCCTCGACCGCAGTGACCCTGATGAAAGACTGGGGCTTCGGTATGTCTTCTCCACAGCGGGAGCCGAGACGGAATTGCTTGAAAGGCGACTAATGAACTGATTCGTATTTCTCCAGACGGCCTCGATATCGACTGGGAGTACCCAGCAGACGCGACTCAAGCCGCCAACTTCGTCGCGCTGCTCCAGACCGTCCGCAAGGCGCTGGACGATTATGCCGCGCAGTACGCGCCTGGCTACCACTTCCTGCTGACCATCGCCTCGCCCGCCGGCCCGCAGAACTACAACACAATGCAGCTGTCCGCCATGGCCCAGTACCTCGACTACTTCAACCTGATGGCGTACGACTACGCAGGCGGCTGGGACAGCACGAGCGGGCACCAGGCCAACGTCTACCCCGCCAGCGACTCGGGCAACGCCCAGGCGGTCAAGTACTCGACCGAGCGCGCGGTGACTGACTACATCGCGGCCGGCGTCCCCGCGTCCAAGATCGTCCTCGGGATGCCCCTCTACGGCCGCTCGTTCGAGGCGACAGGGGGCATCGGACAGACCTACACTGGCGTCGGGTCTGGGTCTTGGGAGAATGGCGTCTGGGACTACAAGGTGCTGCCCAAGGCGGGCGCGACCGTCATCACGGACCAGGCGGCGGGCGCGACGTACAGCTATGACTCCGGGTCCAAGGAGCTCATCACCTACGACACGCCCGCGATGGTCTCGACCAAGGTTGCCTACCTCATGAGCAAGGGCCTCGGCGGGAGCATGTTCTGGGAGGCGTCGGGCGACAGGAACGACACCGGCAGTCTCCTGACTACTAGCTACAACGCGCTGGGGTCGCTCAGCTCGTCGCAGAACTTGCTTAGCTACCCGAACAGCCAGTATCTGAACATCGTTGCTGGTGTGCCGAGTTGAGAGAGCCTGGGGGAGATAGACCATGCGCCAGTTACCGGGTGTGGCAGGGGACTGGCAATTCCATTTTGTACATACACGCCTCAGAGATAGGGCTTTTATATTTACAATTTCATTTATAATTTGAATTTTTCCTGACCCTTGACTCATCTCCGTGCCGGAGCTGATTTGATTTCCACTGTAATACCTGTCTGCGATGTGGTCTGCACTGCCGATTTTGTGATTAGCTATGTTCAATACCAGCCGTGCCGCAGGAGCTGCTCGGGCTCAAGCTGTCTGAATACAGGTACACTGCTTTATATGGTGGTCTAGTGTACCATCAGGGACTGTTACGGAGACACCGTTCTATGGTGCCGCTTTAGTTTTCATATCAAATGCACAAAGTTAGACACATGACGGGGTTTAAAGATCAATGAAGCATTCGATCCATCCCTGTCAGTTTGTCTGTTTTGGTCTAAACACAAATGCGTTTTGAAACACCCATCAACGATGGGCCTTTCTGCCATGTCATAGGAGTTGTCCATCGGAGATTGTGCCAATCAAGATTGACTAATGAAATACTTATAAATTTCACTGCAAGAGTTCAGCTCTCTTTTTCTTGATGCTATCCTCCTTCTTGTTGGCCTCTTCCGTGTCGAAGCGTTCCTTCTCAAGTTGGACTCGTGCCTCGTTCTCGTATAGGTTGATCATAAATGATATACTGTGGAAGAGCTTGGGGGAAACGAAGTCGCATTGAATGTGTATGGTGCTTGATTGTTGGGAGGAAGGCTACCTACCTATGGAAAGCGTGCCCGCAGGCGAAGCTTTAAGCAGGTCGCCCAAGGGCCGCCAGTCACTCACTCACACACACTCACATATACCTTATAGATAGCTAGCTCCTCTTATGGGAATATTGTTAGTACGCTATGTCAGCTGCGCCGCACTGGGAGCAACCAGAGCCCCTCTCATTTTGGCATGAAAATTTCTTTCTGCCCAGGTGCTTCAGCATAAACCCGATCCTGCCTACTTCAAGCTTTTTTTCTAACAAGCAAATTGCCACCATCAATTCCTCCTGCCTTGCTTGGGGTAGCTGCAACTCCGTCCGCAGACGTCCGCACTTCCCATCACATGGAACCTCTAGCTTGAAGCAGACATTCCAATAGATGATATGCCTAAGCCCAACAGCAAGACTGTGCAACCTGCGAGGCTAAGCCTAGCGATCAAAAAGAAGTCCATCCAAGATTCCTCAAAAACATCCAAGTCGTCTGTTTGTACAGGGCAGAAAGCCCCAACAAAGGAGCCAACAAGGACAAGCCATTCAGAAGCAACCACCAACAAGGCACCACTCAGGCCAATTCCAAAGGCACGAGAAAAGAAGGCCAACATCATGTCAACCGATTCGACACCTCTGCGAACTTGTGACTCAATGCCGCTTGACCGAGGGGACTTCGTGGACTCTGATCATGAATGCGACATTGAAGATGAGTCAGAAGACACACTGCAATATCTCAACGGCTATTTCTACCCGGTATGCATCGGGGATGTTTTGAGTGAGCGATATGAAGTCATCCATAAGCTTGGGCGAGGCGGCTTTGCGACCGTATGGCTAGCTCATGACCGGAAGACCGGGGAAGATATGGCTCTGAAGATTCTCAGCTCAGCTGGGTTTGCTGCCGAGGAGTACGAGGCGCATCTGAGAGTCGCACAAAGAGTACGGGATCGTACTCGAATTGTCTTGTACCAGGACAATTTTATTCTCAGCAGAACAGCCAGTAATGTCACGTACAAACATACCGTCTTAGTGTTCCCATTACGGGGCCCAAACCTGTCAACCCTTGTGGAGTACACGAAGAAACCTCTTTCTATGACCTACCGCATGTCAGCCGCAAAGCAACTTCTACAAGCTGTTCTCAGTCTGCACGATGCTGGTCTAGTACATAGAGGTCAGTCGCCCAAGCAATCTTTGCTTTCTCTACACTGTTAATTAAGCTTCTTTTCCAGATATTGTACTTCCTAATATCGTGTGTGGTCTCAATGTAGACCTCGGAAAGATGTCTACGACAGACAAGTATGAGCTTCTTGGCCGGCCCCAAAAAGCACGAGCACTGGTACGGAACGATCAAGTGGTTGGGGAATTAGTTGCACCAGCCAATTTTCCAACCAAAATCCTTGGCTCAGATATCTATCTTTGCGATTTTGGAATCCTGATCGAGTCCGGTACCTCAGTGCCTAACAAGCTCCAGTCGCCGCCAGGATATTGTGCCCCGGAGCTCTTCCACAACTTCGAACCTAGCTTTGCTAGTGATATGTGGAGCTATATAGTTGTGTTCTTGTATCTTTATGTGCAACATCCAGTATTCTATGGGCCAGGCTTTGCGGGTAAACTTGGCTCAATCGTCAGTCGTGTGGGGATGCTACCACTAGAGTGGAAGGGTTGCTATACAGCTTACGATAAGGAAGAAGTTGAGGCATCATGGTATGGCAATGGCTCACAATCGAAGGATCTTCTTAGCGAGTTCTTGGACCAGCATCGTCCTGATATCAGTGCGAGGGAAAAAGCACTTACGCTGTCGGTTATCCGCCAGGTATTCCGTCCGAGGCCTGAGGAACGCATCAGAGCTTCAGAATTGCTGGAGAATGAGGATTTCAGGGCTTTGATGAGGCTTTACGGAGTTTGAGGGCTTTTGACTATCGGAGTTGTCGATCTGAGCAGAAGCCTGAATTTGTAATGAAAAAGATCACATGGACGAAAATGGGGACTGTATTCTTGGTCAACGGGCTTACATAGTGCACAGCATTATACGGGGAAGCAGGTATTCGCAATCCGAAGGTCTCTGATACTGAAACCATGCAAATATCAGAAATTATTGTCTCTCCTTTGTCAAAAATTACAAAACCAGCATAGCTGTTCAGGGAAACCTGCAGATGGCCAGCTCAGAGTATTTGCTATCATTGATATCAAGAATGGTCAAGTAACGTTGACGACCTTGCGCGCCCAACAGAAAATTATCGGAAAATAAACGAACATGATAGGCACTGTCTGTGCCATAGAGGAGACACGCAGTAAGAGGCTAGCAGTGTTGCTAGCTAAGATGTGATGGGTGGAGGAACCGTTCAGGTTACATTTAGGCCGTCTCGTTGTGGCAAGCTATTTCGCTGTAGCTATGTGAATGTAGGATTTTACCATATGAATTTAAAAATGTCATACCTCTTTTTACCTGTACTGTCTAGCATAAGTACGGGTGCAAAGGTACTCAGGCCCATTGACATGACCGTTTCCGCGTGCCTTTTCTTTAGTGGCCTAGCTATCGGACAACACACCTAAAACTGTATCACAATGTAACTGGTTACGCTTCTATAATGTAAATGTTGCTACTTATGAGTACAGTTCCGAGGGCTATTTGCATTTGAGTACAAACACACGCAGTCTATACCGGCAAGGTTAACACCGTCAAACTACCCCTTGCTCCCATGCCCATCATTATGAGCTTTGTGATTGCCTCAAGAACTGCTCGGCGTTGGTCCACTTCAACTCAGGGTACCTTGCGTTATCCAGTGGATCCAGCTTCCCCTCCCCTGAATACATGTCTACCATGTATTGCACTGCGTTACCAGGATCAGCCGCATCCATGGATGCAAGTTCAAAGGGCTGATTCGAAGCGTTTCCGAGAATCACTTACTGCCTTGCCATGCAGGGAAAATATCCTGCTCACTTCCGCCTATAGAGAACCGCCTCATGAAACCCGATGCACCCTCCAAGAAACCGGGACTGCCCACCCACAACGTCGAATACGTCGCGCCACGGACACGACTTACAATTTCCGCGAGGCCCCTGGCGTCAAACGTGTCCCCGGCAATGCGCAAGAACCGGGGCGTCGGGTTGGGGTCAGCAGCAACGGCGGCGGTGTAGGCAGCCGTGTCAGCCACGGTGGTGAAGTCCAGCTTCTGCGCGTCGCTGCCCCAGTACAGCACCCTCTTCAGTCCGTGGTTGATGATCGGCGCGCCGCCGGTCAGCAGGTCCATGAAGCCGCCGTTGAGCACCGACGTCCACACGATCCCGGACTCGTCCAGGCGCGCGTGGAACTCACGGCGCAGGTCGAGGTTCCGGTTCGTGCCGGGCCGCGTCTTGGTGAAGTCGAGCGAGTAGTCGGACGGGATGAAGCGCGGCACGCGCGCGGCGACGGCGGCGTCCAGGAGCGCGCCCTGCGTGTCGTGTATTGTGTCCCTGAGGCCGTTCAGGGCTGAAACCACGCACGTTGCACCCTGCATGTTCGTCGTCAGGGCGGCCACGTCGCGGAGGTCTGCCTCTGCCACGGTGACGCCCGCGTCGCGGAGGGCGTTGGTGCGCGAGGGTGCCGTGCCTGGGCGTACGAGAGCTTTGACTTGGACGTTGCGCTGTCTTAGTTGCATCGCGATGACCCGGCCTAACTGGCCTGTGGCACCTGCCACGGCAACGAAAGGCTTGGACATGTTGATGGCCCAAGTGAGGTTTTGGTTGCCGGATTATGCGGGCAGCGAGGATGTCCTTTGGTGCTCAAGACAGACGCATTGGAAAACTGAGAAATTTGTCCAAAGTCTCCTTTTTCTGGCTAGAAAACGGATTCAAGGCTACTCATCTGACCGCTCGCCGCATTGACTTGAGTTGGTCTCATCAAAACACTGTTTGAGTTGTGAGCCGTTGCTTTTGAGCCGGTGTGTTTTGACCTTCATCGCCTCTCTAGAACCATGGACGTAAAGGGCTAATTTATGGAATTGATAGGCAGACCAGCCTGGTTGTTGCCCTCGCATCGATGAAACCGCTCATAATGATGACCAAGCTGCGCGCACTTGCTATTCATCCGATCCAAATGTCGGGCACAATCCTTCGTCTCGGGCCCGAGATGGGGGAGTTCCAGTGGTGATGTCACGATCGTATTTGCCGCGGCAGAACGGGCACGGGTTGCCCGACTTCATAAGCGATCACTCCTGAAAGCCTACGAAGTGGAATTGATATGAATCCATAATCACTGTGCCATTGCTGAGTTATGTGCTTGTCCATGGTCTGGTCCCGTAGTGTATCTCGGTGTCGGCACATTCTCGCAAGGGTCATGGAGCTATCCACAAGGCACGCAATCGGACCGAAGGCCGAGCTTATCAATCGAGCAGCAGTTCTGAACACCGAGATCTTCTTGCTTATGGACGTGAGACTTTGTTTTGTCGATCGCATCCCACAGGCTTAGCTGCTTTCTAATGCTTTGGTGCTTCGCTCTCTTCCCCTGGGGCTGTGCTCGCTCTTTTGAAGAGGTATTAGGACACATGCGTTGACAATGTCAGGGTTGTAGCAGCCGTATATCTTTGCCCGTCTGTCCTAACTCCAATGGAATCAGATTACTGGAGCCTTGTTAAACTCCTATCTCCATATTCAATAAAAGACCATGAGACCTCAGACAGCTCTGAGCACAGTAGTGCAACAAACGCTTGCCAGAGCCCCCTGGGGTTCAATTGCGGTTCCGGTCCAGATCCTCAACTCTTCTTGATCTCAACCTGGAACTTCGCAACCCAGTCCGTAAACTCATCCTTCTGGCCAGCCCATGGCTTGGCCAGAAGTTCCGAGACCGCAAAGGCATCGAAGAAGCACTGGTCCATAAGGCGGGTGATTTCTGCCGAGTCGAGGTCGTAGAATGCGACGGCAAGACTGTTAAACCGGTCTGCCATATTTCTGAGAAGAGGGAGTACTTCGTCCAGTCGGGAGACGACCACCGAGTCATCCTTCGAAGCCAGTGGCAGCTTAGGCAGTGTCTTGAGCCTTCGCTTGATGAGGGCCTGGAAGAGCAGCACCGTGAGCCGTAGCCTGCGCAAGGTCGAATCGAGCCTGTCCCTGATCTTGTCGGGGTCGTCGCGGGGGATGGTGGTGTGAGAATTCATGAGGTCGTCAATCATGGCCTGAGTGCTGATGTGGGTATTGCTCACACCCTCAGCCAGATCTTGGACGTCTTGGTCTTGTACTCCGTGAGCATCGTCTGACTCGTCGTCGTCGTCGTCGTCATCATCCTCTTCGTCCTGCTCTTCAGACCACTCCTTGAGCTCCTCCATCACGTCCTTGAGCGTGTCCCTGAAGTGCTCAGCCCTCTGGACAAGATGGCCCACTACGCCGAGGTTGGCGAAGTTGATGACCTCGTCACAAACACTCCACAGCACGCCGGTCGCCATGATGCTGCCTTTGGCTCCCTTTGCACTTTGGGGCCCATCCCGCTTCTCTTGTGGCAGAACCTTGCCGTCCTTTGGGATTTTCTGGATGAGCTCCCTCGTCTCCTTGAGAATCCGACCACATCTCCACGCCAGATCCCGGCGGATGAGCCTTGTGTAAGAGTCGGCGTGACACAGTTGAACGGCCGAGGCAACAGCTGGGATGGGCTCCTGAATGAGCTGCCTCAGCACTGTCAAGATAGCGGATGGCGTGAAGGGCTCCGTGATAATGAAGAGAGATATCTTGGTGGCATGAGCCTTGACTAGGGTTGCTGAGTCTCTAGCGAGGGCTAGGCAGTCCACAGGTTTCGAGCCATCGTCTGGGAGCCTCGAGGCGGCCCATTTGTCTGCGGATGAGCCTGAGTCACTGTTGGAGTCGACGACATCTTTAAGAGAGGTCTCGAGGCTCTGTATGAGGGCGACAGAGCTATCGATCAAAGAGCTGAGCTCCTCTAGCCCCTTTGAAGCTGTCGAGGCCATCTCATGCGTCTGTCCAAGTGATCCCTTGCAGATATGCACTCGTTCAGCGTTGGCCGGCTTGCCAGAGTGCCCGTCGAATTCCAAACTCAACTTTTGAAAGAGGATGGCGGGGCACTTTTCACAGGTGGGGCACACTCACTGAGAGCACACATGCGTAATGCCTGGGCAGCCCCTGGGACACGGCCAGTGGCAGGCGTAGAGCTATCCGTGCAGGGGGTTGCCGGCCGGTCTCAGAACCCGGGGTCCTGCCATGTGATTGGCCGGCTGTAGGGGACCGTGTCTGACACTGTCTGTATTTGCCAGCAATGCTTCTGATGCTAACGGTTTAAGTGCCACGATTCAACCACATCCCCCGACCTTCACAACCCAGGCTGCTGCACGACGACGACACGAGGAGCAGCTGTGGTTTTGCTTTCATACTTAGGAAGCAGGGCAGTCTAGCTTGGAAATGCATCAACAAGGCCTGGTGGTGCTTCTGGGCACCCTTGCCAGCTCTCGGGTGGCAGCTGCTGGGAGCTTGCCTCGAGGTGTCGGCCCCGAGTGTAAGTCAACATCCAAGCCAAAGCCAATTGCTTGAAGACGCATCAGAGTCCCATGGATCTCCACCCGTCCAATGCCTTCCAATATCATTCTGCTGTGGTGCCTTAAACCTTCTCAAATGACCACAGGCTGACAAGATCTACGCAGTCGCCAAGTTCTTCCAGACGAAAGAGACCTTCCAATGCATCGGGCATCCCTCCGTCGTCCTAAAACCCTCTCAGATCAATGACAACAGCTGTGACTGTCCTGATGGCTCTGATGAGCCAGGCACTTCGGCCTGCTCCTATCTCGACCCATTGTCCCCCGAACAGCCCTTGCCTGGCTCCACGAGCGGGACCACCAACGTTTCGAACGCCCTGCCTGGCTTCTGGTGCGAGAACGCAGGTCACATCGGCGCATATGTTCCCTTCGTGTTTGTGAACGATGGCGTGTGCGACTACGAGATCTGCTGCGACGGCAGCGAGGAATATTCACATGCCGGAGGGGTCAAATGCCAGAACCGCTGTGACTCCATCGGGAAGGAGCACAGGAAGCTCGAAGAGGCTCGGAAGCAGGCCAAGGAGAAGGCCGCCAAACGCCGGAGGACCATGTCCAAGGAGGCCAGAGAACTTCGACGCAGGGTTGAGGCTAAGATCACATCCCTGGAGGAGGAGATCAAGGGCCTGCAAGCCAAGAAGGACGAGCTGGAGCAGAAGTACCAGGAGGTCGAGCGGTCCGAACGCGGAAAGGTTGTCAAGACTGATGGCGAGGGCGGCAAATTGGGGGTTTTGCTGGGCCTGGCCAAGGGCAGGGTCAGCGAACTACGTGACACCCTGGACAAGGTCCTCGACCAGCGCGATTCTCTCCAGGAGCGTGTCAAGGAGCTGGAAGAGATCCTCAAGAAGTTCAAAGAGGAGTACAACCCCAACTTCAATGACGAGGGTGTCAAGGCCGCAGTCAAGGGCTGGGAGGACTATGCCGCTAAGACGGCAGACGCCAAAGAACCCGAGCTCAAGGAGTCTGAAATAGACGAGATCTTGAAGGTGGACGGCGAGAACTCTGGCATTAACTGGCAAGAGTTCGAGGGCGAGGAGGCGACCGATACCGATATCCGTGAGTCTCGCCAACTTCTCGTGACATGAACGCATTCGCTGACAGCCAGCAGTCTACAGCATCGAAGCTTACCTGCCCGAGTCTCTCCGGTCATTCCTTCACGGGAAATTCAACGCCCTCAGGGTGTGGTTGATAGAGAACGGCATCGTTGCTGATAATCCTTCCTCTGGCCAGGAGTCGAAGCTGGTGGTTGCTGCCCGTGAGGCTTTCCAGGCCGTCGCTGATGATCTGTCCAAGAAGGAGCGCACCCTCGGCGAACAGCAAGACGACCTGAAGAAGGACTACGGCACTGATGACATCTTCCGGGTCTTGAAGGACAAGTGTGTTGACGTTGAAAGCGGTGAATACACCTACGAGATTTGCTGGCTTGACAAGACCACCCAGAAGTCCAAGAAGGGCCACGGCAACACCAACATGGGCAAGTTCACCCGCTTTGATATCGAGGAGGCCGACGACGAGGAGCGCCTAGACGGCAAGAGCCTGGGCAAGGGGCCGCGTACGGTGATGCGGTATGAGAACGGCCAGAGCTGCTGGAACGGGCCCCAACGGCGCACAGACGTCTGGCTCGGCTGCGCAGAGACGGAGGAGATATGGAGGGTCAGTGAATCCGAGAAGTGTGTCTACAGGATGGAGGTCGGCACGCCGGCTGCATGCGAGGACGTCCACGAGCCCGGTGTCAGGTCCAAGGATGAGTTGTAGACGGAACTCTTGACAGCAGATAAGGGAGGCGTTTGAACTGGGTTTCTCAGCGATCATTAATGTTCATACTGATGTAAAAACATACCTGGGCAGGCTAGAGATGGGGTCCGCATAGAGAAGATAGCGAGGGTATCACAATGTCACATTTGCTATGAATCTTGAAATCTGCACCGCTTCATCAGATGTTCACCTGCACCTGAGATGCTCCTCATCCCCGTACTGCTGCCAATTTCCGCCTCTTGTCCCTCTCAGCCTGTTCCGCCATTACCCTTTTGGTTAAGTTGGCAGCCATGGGATTGTTGATAGAGGGGGCATCATTCTTAGTCGCCTTTTGGGCTTTTGCCGGACGGCCGTTCTCCGAGTCACCGTTGTTCGCACCGTCTGGACCGTCGCCTCCCTTCTCGCCTGCCTTGCGTTTCTTTTTCTTCTCGCTCTTGTCCTTCTTCTTACTGTGTGTCAGGCCCCTGGCGCGCAGGTCGTCCATCCTCTTGGCGACCCTCTCCAGGTCGGCCTCCTCCGTCGGCAGTATTGGCAAGACATCCTGAGTCTCGAACGGCTCGCTGCACTCGGGGCAGTTATGCTCCTGATCTGTGATCTCCTTGATTGCCACCTCGGCGAAGACATGGCCGCACGGGACAATGTAGACAGCTTTGGTCGCGGGGCCCAGCTCTTTCAAACTGACAGGGCATGCCCATATCTCCTTCTCCTTGGGCCCGGCCGGCTTGTATCGCTTGAACCGCAGCCTAACGATATCCCGCAGGCTCTTGATCCCCGTCGACGCGAATGTCATGTCATGCCCATTGGCCTGCTCCTCATCTGCGTCGCCGCCGTCATGGCCCGGGACCAGCCCCTTTAGTATGGATTCGTAGTTGTAAAGCCTGCCTTTCCAATCTGACGCGACGTTTTCCATGTCGAGGGGCTCTGAGGACAAGGGGTCTTGTGTCCATGCGTGGCTGAGGGATTCGAGGGCCGTAGCTTTCAGTTCGCTGACGGTCTGGGCCCGCGCTGCTTCCTTGACGAGTTCGCGGCGTTTCGGAATGGAGCCGCCATCGTTTCCCATGATGGGCAGGGACTTTTGTGTGTGTGTGTGTGATTGTGGTCAAGTGGGCAAAGATTTCGGGGAGAAAACTGTAAGGTGTTGGGCCTCGGGAGTTCAGTGGTTTTGCGAATGGGCGCAGAAGGCTGAAAGGTGAAGTGCCTAGGTTTGCAGATCGAGTTAAGGGTACTTGACAGCGCTTGCGCAGTGGCCGTTCGGGAGGTTTAATGCTAATGCGCAATGGTGCATCATACGGCTAGTTATCGATAAGAACTAGCTAGCTGGGGACGTGATTCGTCCCGAGGGGAAGGGGGGAGACGCCCGCCCAAGCCGACCGACTGCAAGCAGTAGGTACCGAGAGCAGCAGGAGAGAGCTACACCAAGCGGCCTCTTGTGAGTTGGCAGTTTACTACTGTACTGGCTCTTGCCTCGTCGTTCCCTTTCCTTTTGCCTCCTTTCACTTATTAGGCAGATACAGCTGAGTCTGCTTTCTGCCACCCCCCCCTGGCAGCCCTCGTTCACCCTGCTGTCCAGCTGCATTGTTTCGCAGCACTGTCGCAGCACCACCCAAAACGTGGGCTGTGAGCACACCAGAATCTGTGGGCGACCTCAAATCCCTGGCCACAACAATCCAACCTATTCAATCAGGCGTCGGCGGAGCCTCTGAACTGCCCCAGATACCCCGACCTGTACTCCTCAGAATGAGATAGGCCCTTCAGGATTGCCCAGTGCAGGGACAGCAGCCGTCCGGGACAAGATGGCGAATCAAGGCTCCCGCCCACTCGAGATAGCCCTCGAGAACCTGGACACCCTGCTTAGGGAGATCAAGTCCAGGACCATCTCTGAGGACCAGCGCAAACGCTTCGCCAGGCAACTGCGAGATGCCATTGTCGAGCGGTGCCACCGCGGTATGTCATACTCTCCCAGCCCCTCTGCGACCGGTCGCGCGACGTTGACACTGACCGACTGCCAGAGCTCGCTCCCGAAAACTTCGCGATACTCTCCGCCCAGTTGCAGAAGGCCATCAGCAACCTCATCAATCATGGCAACGACACCGCCGAGCGCCTGGGTGGCGTTTATATCATCGACACGCTGGTCGATTTCGAGGGCATCGACATGGCGACCAAGTACACCCGATTCACACAAACCCTTCGACAGATCCTGCGAGGAAAAGACATAAATCCCATGCGCCCAGCTGCTGAGGTCCTTGGAAAGCTCTGTAGGCCTGGTGGGTCCATCATCTCGGAACTGGTGGAAGCAGAGACCAAGAACGCCCTGGAGTGGCTGCAGTCCGATCGCATAGAGGAGAGGCGATACAGCGCGGTGCTTGTTCTGCGGGAGCTCGCAAGAAATGCCCCCACGCTCATGTACGCTTATGTTGGCATGGTCTTCGACATGCTGTGGGCCGGACTCCGGGACCAACGACACTTGATCCGAGCCACGTCTGCTGAGTGCGTCAGCGCGTGCTTCCGGATCATCAGGGAGCGAGACCAAGAACTGAAACAAATCTGGATGGATAAGATGTACAGTGAGGCGTTGCAGGGCTTGAAGACTGGCTCCGTCGAGTTCATTCATGCTTCCCTTCTTGTCTTGAAGGAGCTGCTGGAGCAGGGCGGCATGTACATGCAGGACCACTACCAAGAAGCATGCGACATCGTATCTCGATTTAAGGACCACCGGGACCCGACCATTCGCAAGACTGTCGTGCTGCTCATCCCAGACCTCGCCAACTATGCACCATCCGAGTTCGCGTCCACCCGACTACATGGGTTCATGCTACACCTCTCCAGCATGCTCAAGAAGGAGAAGGAGAGAAACGACGCATTCCTCGCAATCGGCAATATCGCCAATTCGGTCAAGAGCGCAATTGCGCCCTATCTCGACGGCGTGCTGATATATGTTCGCGAGGGTCTGAGCGTGCAGTCTCGAAAGCGTGGCTCCGTCGACCCTGTCTTCGACTGCATCAGCCGACTCGCCGTTGCTGTTGGCCAGACACTGAGTAAATACATGGAGGCACTCCTGGCGCCCATCTTTGCTTGTGAGCTCACGCCAAAGCTGACCCAAGCTCTTGTCGATATGGCTTTCTACATCCCCCCAGTCAAAGCCACGATCCAGGAGAGGCTCCTCGATATGCTCAGCAAGGTGCTCTGCGGACAGCCCTTCAAGCCACTCGGTGCCCCGCAGCCAAATACTCTCCCTTCAGTGCCAGTCATCCAGAAAGATCCGAAGGACCCGTTGGCGTATGAGCACAGAAAAGCTGAGATAAAGCTGGCGCTCAATACTTTGGGGAGCTTTGATTTCTCAGGTACGTTGGCTAATGCCGTTGAATTTGGCTCATGTTTCGAGACGAACCGTACTCGACACCTAGCCGTGCGCTTTACTTTTGGCATCGACTAACACTTCTGACTTAGGTCATGTCCTTAACGAGTTCGTTCGCGACGTTGCGATCAAATACGTTGAAGATGATGACCCCGAGATCCGGGAGGCGGCCGCATTGACGTGCTGCCAGCTCTACGTCCGCGACCCAATCGTCAACCAGACCAGCTACCACGCCCTGGCCGTTGTTGGCGAAGTCATAGAGAAGCTTCTGACTGTGGGTGTCTCTGATCTTGATCCCACTATCCGCCGCACCGTCCTTGCAGCCCTCGACGAACGCTTCGACCGGCATCTCTCAAAGGCTGAGAATATCCGGACCCTGTTTTTTGCCCTAAACGACGAGTACTTCCCCATCAGAGAAGTAGCCATCTCAATCATTGGCAGACTTGCGAGATACAACCCGGCTTATGTGGCTCCTTCCCTCCGCAAGACTCTGATTCAAATGCTTACTGAGCTTGAATTTTCGAACGTGGCGAGGAACAAGGAAGAGAGTGCCAAGCTTCTTTCGCTGTTGGTTCAAAATGCTCAGGAGATTATCAACCCCTACGTGGATTCTATGGTTAAGGTCCTTCTTCCCAAGGCTAGCGATAAATCCCCTTCGGTCGCCGCCACCATCCTTAAGGCGCTTGGCGAGTTGTGTGCGGTTGGTGGAGAGAGCATGCTGCCATACAAGGATGAGCTCATGCCCATGATCATTGAGGCTTTGCAGGACCAAAGCTCCGCTCAGAAGCGGGAGGCTGCTCTCCACACTCTCGGCCAGTTGGCTAGCAATTCTGGCTATGTCATTGAACCTTACCTGGATCACCCGCAGCTTCTCGAACTTTTGCAGAACATCATACGCAGTGAGCCCCAACATGGACCACTTCGGCAAGAGACGATCAAGCTTCTTGGTATTCTGGGTGCCCTTGACCCTTACCGTTACCAGCAAGTGGAGGAGCGCACCCCCGAGATATCAAGGCGTGTCGAGTCTACAGCGATGACTGACGTCTCGCTGATGATGACCGGACTGACGCCGTCCAACAAAGAGTACTATCCCACTGTCGTCATCAATGCGCTTCTCAACATCCTGAAGGACCATTCCTTGGTGTCCTACCATGCTCAAGTCATTGATGCCATCATGAATATCTTCCGCACTCTCGGTCTTGAATGCGTGTCTTTCCTGGACCGTATCATACCTGCGTTCCTGATGGTCATTCGCAGCACTAATGGTCCGCGGCGCGAATCATATTTCAATCAACTCGCCATGCTGGTCAGCATTGTGCGCCAACATATTCGCAATTTCTTGCCAGAGATTGTGGACCTCCTCCAGGAATTCTTTCCCGACAAGCCCCCAACCCTGCAGTCGACAATCCTGTCGCTCGTGGAAGCTATTTCTCGGTCTCTGGAAGGCGAGTTCAAGGTTTACTTGGCCGGGCTCCTGCCCATGATGCTCCATGTTCTCGAGCATGAGACAGTTCCTAAGCGCACCGCCTCCGAGAAGGTCCTTCATGCTTTTCTGGTCTTCGGCTCGAGTGCAGAGGAGTACATGCATCTCATCATCCCAGTCATTGTTCGGACGTTTGAAAAGCCCAGCAATCCAACAGTCTTGCGCCGCTCGGCGATCGAGACGATCGGCAAAATCTCTCGGCAGGTAAATCTTAACGACTTTGCTGCCAAGATTATCCATCCTCTGACGAGGGTTCTACAAACGAATGATGTCACCCTCCGGATGGCCGCGATGGACACGCTCTGTGCCCTCATCCAGCAATTGGGCCGTGACTACCTGCATTTCTCCCACACTGTTGGCAAGATCCTACGAGATAACGGCATACAGCACTCCAACTACGACCTGCTTGTCAATCGTCTCAAAGAGGGAGGTGTCCTGCCACAGGACCTCAGTTCCGAGACACGTTTTGTTGACCAGGTTGATGAGACGCCCTTCGCGGACCTTGGAACTAAGAAGTTGGAAATGAACGCTATACATCTGAAATCTGCATGGGACACCAGAGGCAAATCGACCAAAGAAGACTGGCAGGAATGGCTACGTCGCTTCAGCACGACGCTGTTGACAGAGTCACCAAACCATGCCCTAAGAGCCTGTGCCTCGTTGGCAAGTGTCTATCTGCCCCTTGCCCGAGAACTCTTCAATTCGGCATTCGTAAGCTGTTGGAGTGAGCTCTATGAGCAGTTTCAGGAAGAGCTTATTCTCAACCTTGAGAATGCGATAAAGTCGGAGAATGTGACTCCAGATCTGCTCAACCTCCTCCTACACCTGGCCGAATTCATGGAGCATGATGACAAGGCCCTGCCTATTGATATCCGTGTCCTTGGCAGAGAAGCAGCTCGATGCCACGCCTATGCAAAGGCGCTTCACTACAAGGAACTTGAATTTCTCCAGGACCAAAGCAGTGGCGCGGTTGAGGCATTGATTGTCATCAACAACCAGCTTCAACAGTCCGATGCAGCAATCGGTATTCTGCGCAAAGCCCAACTCTACAAAGATGGGATCCAACTGCGTGAGACTTGGTTTGAGAAGCTCGAGAGATGGGAAGAGGCCCTCGCGTTCTACAATAAGCGTGAAGCCGAGGTCCCTGAAGAACAAGCAGTACCAGTGGAGATTGTCATGGGCAAAATGCGCTGTCTGCATGCTCTGGGCGAGTGGGATGCACTGGGTCAGTTGACAGGGACTACGTGGGCGAACTCGTCGCCTGAAGTCCAACGACTCATTGCCCCCTTGGCCACTACTGCTGCCTGGGGCCTCGGGAAGTGGGATTCCATGGACAACTACTTGCAGTCCCTGAAACGGTTCTCCCCAGACAGAGCTTTCTTCGGTGCTATTCTCGCCCTCCATCGCAATCAGTTCAGGGAAGCCGCGCAGAATATCGAGGCTGCTAGGGAAGGCCTTGACACGGAGCTCAGCGCACTCGTCAGCGAGTCTTACAACCGGGCTTACCAGGTCATCGTACGCGTTCAGATGCTGGCAGAGCTCGAGGAGATCATCGTCTACAAGCAGACTGATGCAAAGAAGCAGGCAACAATGCGCCGCACTTGGGAGCAGCGTCTGAAGGGCTGCCAACGCAATGTTGATGTCTGGCAGAGAATGCTACGTCTGCGGGCCCTCGTCATAACACCGACGGAGAACATGCACATGTGGATCAAATTCGCCAATCTTTGCCGCAAATCAGGACGTATGAGCCTCGCCGAGAAGTCTTTGAAGCAGCTCATTGGTAGCGATGCGCCTTTGGAGTCCATGATCCCCTTCTGGAACGATCGGAACCTGCGCCCCAATATCCCTAACCAGGTAGTCTACGCTGTTCTGAAATATCAGTGGGAGCTCGGCCAACAAGCCACACACAAAGACACGGACGTCTCGGAGAAGGCACTCAAATGCCTTCGGCTGTTCACTATGGAGTCGGCGAAAGCTTTTGAGATCCTTAGAGCTGCTCCTATGCAATCGCACCAAGCCAACGGCGACAATTTCCACTTGTCACACAGTCTTGGGTATGCGGACGGCCATGGCTCCCATGACGCATACCTATCCCAGCAGAGGGCCACTGTTGACGAGGCGGTACTTCTTGCAAAATGCTACCTCCGTCAAGGAGAGTGGATGATTGCTTTGGACACCGACAACTGGCAACATACACACGTGAGGGAGATCTTGACCTGCTACTCGCAAGCCACAAAGTACAACTCCAGATGGTACAAGGCCTGGCATGCATGGGCTTTGGCAAACTTCGAGGTCGTTCAGGCACTCTCATCAAACGGCGAGGGCGTTCCATCGCGAATCGACCACGCTGTCGTCGCCAATCATGTTGTTCCGGCTGTTCATGGTTTCTTTGAGTCTATCTCTTTGTCCCAGGGCAGCTCCCTGCAGGATACTCTGCGGTTGCTGACGCTTTGGCTCACCCATGGCGGATACTCTGAGGTCACGTCCGCTGTCACCGAAGGGTTTACTCGCGTCAGTGTCGACACGTGGCTTGAAGTTATCCCACAACTGATTGCGCGAATAAACCAGCCCAACAAGCGAGTGCAGCAATCTGTTCACCACCTGCTGGCCGACGTGGGCAGGGCTCATCCCCAAGCATTGGTTTACCCCCTTACAGTGGCCATGAAGTCTTGGCAAGGTAGCCGTAGGTCGCGATCTGCCGCACAGATCATGGACAGCATGCGACAGCACAGCTCCAAATTGGTTGAGCAGGCTGACACAGTCAGCCACGAACTAATTCGTGTGGCTGTCTTGTGGCATGAGCTGTGGCACGAGGGCCTCGAAGAGGCGAGTCGCTTGTACTTCGTTGTGCACAACATCGAGGGCATGTTCGCGGCGCTAGAGCCACTCCATCAACTATTGGACCGTGGCCCAGAGACGCTCAGAGAGATCTCCTTCGTTCAGACGTTTGGCCGGGATCTTACGGAAGCCAGGGAGTGGTGTAGGCAGTACGAGGTCAGCCATGATGTGAACGACCTCAACCAAGCCTGGGATCTGTACTACCAAGTCTATCGGCGCATCTATCGGCAGCTGCCGCAAATGACATCCCTCGAGCTGACGTATTGCTCACCAAAGCTGATGGAGGCCAAAGATCTCGATCTTGCGGTGCCGGGTACCTACAAGAGTGGCCAGCCTGTCGTGAGCATCACGTCTTTCGACACGACGTTCAGCGTTATTAGCAGCAAGCAACGTCCGCGAAAGTTGAACATCAACGGCAGCGATGGCCAATCTTATACCTTCCTGCTCAAGGGCCACGAGGACATACGACAGGACGAACGTGTCATGCAACTCTTTGGTCTCTGCAACACTCTGCTGGCGAACGACTCGGAGTGCTACAAGCGTCACTTGAACATCCAGAGATACCCGGCGATCCCCTTGAGCCATAGCTCTGGCTTGTTGGGCTGGGTCCCAAACAGCGACACGGTGCACATGCTCATAAGAGAGTACCGAGAGAGCCGAAAGATCCTCCTTAATATAGAGCATCGCATTATGTTGCAGATGGCCCCTGATTACGACAACTTGACCCTGATGCAGAAGGTCGAAGTCTTCGGCTATGCTCTCGACAACACCACAGGCCAGGACTTGTATCGCGTGTTGTGGCTGAAGAGCAAGAGCTCAGAGGCCTGGCTGGAGCGGCGCACGAACTACACGCGCAGTCTTGGTGTGATGAGCATGGTCGGCTATATCCTGGGTCTTGGAGACCGTCACCCTTCGAATTTGATGCTGGATCGGATCACCGGAAAGATTATTCACATCGACTTCGGTGACTGCTTCGAAGTGGCCATGAAGCGGGAGAAATACCCCGAGAGGGTCCCATTCCGTCTCACGCGTATGCTCACGTACGCTATGGAGGTCTCCAACATTGAGGGAAGCTTCCGAATCACGTGTGAGCATGTGATGAGGGTCCTCAGGGACAACAAGGAAAGTGTCATGGCGGTCTTGGAAGCGGTAAGTCACTCCTTTCATCTCGTGCCCCTTTTTTCTCCCAGTAGTTACTGACGGGCTTCTGCAGTTTATTCATGATCCACTCCTTACCTGGCGGTTGACCAGCGCCGCCAGCCCAGCAGGACCTAACTTCACCTCTGAGAGAGAGCAAGCCATTGTTGGCGCTCAGGCGCCCCGCGGCCGACGCGCATCTATACTGGACGCAGACCCTGCCGCGCTCCGTGCCGCTCAGGCAGCGGTCAGCTTGACCAACGACAACACAATGGCGGGCGGGCCACCTCGAGCCCGTGCACGCACGAATTCATCTGCTGGTCCCGTCGTCGGCAGCCTGGGTATGAACGGCGCCAACGGCGTCAATGGCCAGCAGAACCAGGATCCCACCGAGATACAGAATGCACGGGCGGTCGAGGTGTTGGATCGGGTTTCTCAGAAACTGACAGGCAGAGACTTCAAAGCTGGCGAGGAGCTGGACGTGCTCACACAGGTCGACAAGCTCATTGTCGAGGCGACAAAACTGGAGAATCTCTGCCAGCATTACATTGGTTGGTGCAGTTTCTGGTAATTGAATAGAGGGCACAGTGGATGGATGCTTGTGCGACCCTCATCGTGGGCAAGGTATGAAGGGAGTATGTGTATGTTTCGGTACCTTTTCCTGTTTCTATGCATATGCAGAGGCGAGCATCAGGTTCTTGACAAAGGCAAATCAAAATTGAGCTCGGGCTGGAAAGGTTGTTTTCAAATTCGGAGGAGTGGTGTTTTCGCGAGGAGTTTGAGGTTGAGGTTTACAGGGCCATTTCGATACCGGCAGCAGATAGCCATAGAGAGGGGGGGATAAATGCTCATTTCTCGACCTTGGTCTCTATTGAATGCCGCGCTCTCAGGAAAGCTTTGACAGTAAACCTGTATTTTCTCATATCTCCTTGAACCAATTCACTTGGCTCACATGCACAGCCCCAATGCGCTCAGATGCTGATTGGCTGTGCTGGAAAGTTCTGCCCCATACGTAAAAGCTCACTCACCTGTCCTGTCTTGTCCTACTTCACGTTGACGCACACATCAGCGGGCCATCTCACCGCCCCTTAAATTGTGTTATTCCTCGCGACGACTAGCAGTGCTTGTTGTAGACATTGACGATATCGCAACTTCTAGGTTGCCCTTCCCAGTGAAAAGCCTGCGAGGAATTTCATTCGGTCAAGGGTCGAAATTCCCCTGATCGCCGGGCCCTCTGCAAAATGTTGTCCTTCTTGACTGGTTGTATCCAACGCCATTTCGGCGACGATGATGAAGAAAACGGCAGTCAGCCTTATAATCCCCCAAACCAAGGTCACGGTTCGTATTGTTTTTCTCCTCTTGCTGCCCATGAAACACAGAGGGCGGCCGAAACTGCCACCAGGATGCGGAGATTACAGCCTGGAGCCCTGTGGCTTCCTTCAAATTGCACATGGAATACTGCAATGCTCTTGTTCGTGGCGCACTATGGGTGCTATTGGTGCAGCGTACCAGTATTATTAAGAGAGTCTCATCCGGGCAGTCCAATGGCCCATGTCTGTTGAGGGAAGAGCTTGGCTTCAATGCTGTCTGGCGTCAGGCCACCTATCTCTCATCGTCCCACATGCCGACCATGTGCTCATCGAAGATGCCGGATATACACGCTGACACTCGTGATTCTAAGAACGGAAGGTTTTCGCTCACTATGTGGTAAGCATTGCCCCGGAAGAGGCACAAAAGATTGAATGGCGATGTCTGACAAGAGATAATTATTCCCAGTTCGGCCTCACCGACGGGCACACATACGAGGACTGGAACCAGGAGATCCTCGCCGCCCACGCGGCGGGCATCGACGGCTTCGCGCTCAACATAGGGCCCAACGACCACTACACGATGCCGCAGCTCCGCCAGGCCTACTCGGCGGCGTCATCGCTGTTTGGGGGCCGGTTCGTGCTGTTCCTCTCGTTCGACATGGCGGCCGGGGACTGGCCGGTGGAGCAGGTCGTCGCGTGCATCAACGAGTTCAAGGGCTCGCCCGCCCAGTGCCGGGTCAACGGGCTGCCCTTTGTCTCGACGTTTGAGGGCCCGCAGTGGGCCGAGAACTGGCCGGCCGTCAGGGAGGCCACGGGCGGGATCTACTTGGTGCCGGACTGGAGCTCTTTGGGGCCGCACGGTGTTGGGGAGCGGCTGAGTCTGATTGATGGGGCCTGTGAGTTCAAGTTGCTCTTCTCCGACCGAATTTTGAAGGCTCATGATATGTCCTTGCTCTAGTCTCATGGGCTGCTTGGCCGCAGGCAGACCAGCACCATATGTCGACCGACGAGGATGTTCAGTACCAGAGGGCGCTTCGTGGAAAGTCGTTCATGGCGGGGGTTTCCCCATGGTTCTACACCAGTATGGTCGCCCCGTAATAGTAATGGGTCTGTTGTCTGAGTCGAGGCTAATGCTTATTCAGGATTGCCCCAATGGGAGAAAAACTGGCTCTCCGCAAGCGAGAAGCTCTGGTATGACCGGTGGATACACATGCTTGAACTGAGGCCCGAGTTCGTCCAGATTATCACCTGTAGGTTACCTTCAGCCCAAGCAGTCAGCACACCGAGGGTGACTGGTCTTCTTACAACCCCACAGGGAACGACTACGGCGAATCCAGCTATATCTACGACCCCGTCCGCCCGGGTCAGATTGTCCCAGGTGCCGAGCACTATGTGCACGACCTGTGCCCACATACCGCATTCCGGGCCATTCTTCCTCATTTCATAGCCGCCTACAAGGCGGGTAGCACACAGATCGGCATGCCGCAGGAAGATTGCGCCATTGCGTGGTACCGAACCACCCCGGCTGCGTGTGGCCACGATGGAGGTGAGAGCCGGTCTCCGCAAATAGTCCAACAGCGCTCCGTTCCACTTGCTGCACATGTGATGGTGCTGACTTTTTCTCCCTCTGTCCAGACACCGCTTGGGGCCAGGGCGGCGGCCGATCAGCAAGTCACGGGGCCAGGGACGTCGTCTCTGTGCTGGCGGTCACAAGAGAACCGACCGCTCTTCACGTCAGCATCGGTGGCCTGTCGCAGGAATTCATCACGCACCACCAGCATGGGCATTTGACGTTCCTCGAAGTGCCTTTCGACGGCCGTGTTGGTCCGGTCCAATTGTTTATGAGTGGCAAGTCGGTGACTGGGCCGGAGATTCGGAATGAGGTGCCTCCGTGTGGACATAACACTTACAATTGTACGGCGGTCAATTTATAGATAGATGGTGAGGTGGACATGTGACGAGTAAGGTGAAAGTGCACTAGTAGATACGAACTCGATAGACTAAAACTTATTGTTGAATCGGTCTCGGTGCCGACTGCCCCGATCGAGTATTTGACCCCTCGAGACTGCGCGTACAAATGCACCGGTTCGCGGGTTATTCAACAGCGACGGTTGGAGGGAGCGATCCTCAGTGCCAGACCTGTCATCCACGATGACTCGCATCTTGGCCCTTTCTGTCAAACGGAGCTGCGAGGCCGGCATTAAGAGCGCGCCATGCGACGCTGTGTAGCCGCAGTGCAGCCCCGTGCTCGTCGTGTGCCGAGCCGGCTTGGCCCAGTTCTGCTGGCAGTGCCCATTTTTTCCCCATGTCACATCGTAGCGAGGTGTGGGGAACCGCACGCACCCAAGACCCGACATGAGCGAGAGGATAAGCTTTGTCCAATTTAGTCCCTCACAATGTCCCTAATGAGAGGGTGACATACATCCCTGTGGGCTCTTCGCCGTGTTTTGTTTCACGGGCGCACGTTGACATCCTTCATCTCGGCACTGGGCCACCCCCAGGTTCGGCAATGGTACCGAATCAGGACTGATACGGATCCGGAGATCACTTATTGGCCTTGGCATCACGAAGAGGCTCCTGGGGTGCTGTTATTCCGCCAATTGCGCCAGGATGACAACATGCCAACCGCTCCTCAGGCCGCACACAGCGGCCAGATCGTCAACCAACCCTTGGGATGACATTGCTAGGGGTGAGATCCAGGTTGACACCCAAGACACCATCGAAAGGTCGGTACCTTACCGAACACAGGCCAAGACTCTAAAGATATACCCCTGCGCGACTGAAGTTCTTTTCCAACAATTGAGCTGAGTGTGAGCGTGTAGACTCCGTATATGTGTATAAAACTAGTAGATCCTTCCCTTCTCCTGCCTCCTGGGCGGTTGGCTTTGTCTCGTCCTATTGGTATCTCCAAGCCTTCTGCTGCGAGGCTTTGATATCATCATCATGGGTTTCAAGATGCTCCTCCATTCCTTGCTGCTGGCCGTATACGGCTTCACTTCTGTCTTTGCTGCCTTCGGTTTCACCAAGTCAGGGGACAATTATGTTATCGACGCCGGTTCGTCCAATGCCCTCGTGTTCCAGGTGTCGTCCACGAGCTGCGACATCAACTCGATCCTGTACCGAGGAACACAGCTGCAGTATTCCGGCAAGGGTTCGCACATCAGCTCAGGTCTGGGGAGTGCGACTGTTTCCGTCAGCCAGGTCACCGCCTCGGGTACTAGCTACATCAAGGTCACATGTGTCACTTCGACCCTCACCCAGTACATGGTCGTGAAACAGGGAGAGAGCAATATCTACATGGCAACATACATCACTGCCGAGCCGGATATTGGAGAGCTCCGATTCATCGCCCGTCTGCTGCCGTCTGTCCTGCCCAACGAGTACCCCTATGGCTCCGCCTCCACCACCGCCGGCGGCACCGCCATTGAGGGCTCCGATGTGTAAGTCTTGTCCTTGTCATGACCCAGAGGAGGAAGTTAGTTCATGGGCTGGGGAAAGTCAACTGACAATATCCGACGTGATCAGCTTCCTCGTGGGCGGTCAGACCCGTTCCAAGTTCTACTCGTCCACTCGATTCATCGACGAGAACGTGCACTGTGTCAACAGCGACACCATCCACGCCTGCATCCTGACTCCTCAGCAGGAGTCCAGCTCCGGGGGTCCTTTCTTCAGGGATATTGATAACAACAACGCCGGTGACTCGACGAACCTCTACAACTACATGAACTCGGGCCACGTCCAGACCGAGGCCTTCCGCACCGGACTCCATGGCCCCTATGTCATGACATTCTCGCGCGACGGCATCCCGACCCTCAAGAGCATCGACACCTCCTTCTTCGGCGAGCTCAGCATCCAGGGATACGTCGCCGCCTCCGGTCGCGGAACCGTGACTGGCACGGCCTCAGGCGTCGGCTCTTCCTTCACCCCCGTCGTGCACTGGTTCAACTCGGCCGCGCAGTACTGGACCACGGCCAGCTCAAGCGGCTCCTTCACCTCGCCTGCCATGAAGCCTGGCACCTACACCATGGTCCTGTATCAGACCGAGTTCAAGGTTGCGTCCCAGTCGGTGACTGTGAGCGCCGGCAAGGCCACGACGTCCAACATCAAGAGCACGCTTGCGAGCCACACGTCGCTCTTCAAGATTGGCGAGTACGACGGCCAGCCCACGGGCTTCCGCAACGCAGACAAGTTCCAGCGCATGCACCCCTCCGACTCGCGCATGTCCTCCTGGGGGCCCCTGACCTACACCGTCGGCTCCTCATCGCTGACTGACTTCCCCATGGCCCTCTTCAAGGGCGTCAACGACCCCGTCACCATCAAGTTCAGTCTCTCCAGCGCCCCGAGCGGCACTGCTACCCTGCGCATCGCCACCACGCTGTCCTTCGCCGGCGCCAGGCCCCAGGCCAAGATCAACAGCTTCACCGGCGCCGCCCCGGCTGCCCCTACCAAGATCGACTCCAGGGGGGTCACCCGCGGCGCTTACAGGGGATTCGGCGAGGTCTATGATGTCTCCATCCCTGCCGGCACCCTCGTCAGTGGCAGCAACACCATCACCATCTCTTCCATCTCGGGCAGCAGTGGGGACACCTTCCTCAACCCCAACTTCATCTTTGATGCTGTTGAGCTGTTTACTGGTTAGGGGTACTTCCGGTGTGAGAAGTAGGTGGGAAGAGCATAACAAGGCAACGAAAGGCCACTCAGAACTGGTCTAGGGTTTTCTTCGTCTCTGTCTATCTCGGGCCTTCCTGTACATACTTACACATTTGGCCCATTCTGTACATACTTTCTTATTACAATGCATACATATTCATCAACAAAAATATTGTCGCTGTAATAGTCTTCATCCGAGATCCATATCCCTCCGACCTAGCCTGAGCCCTTGCCTTGCACGCCACTCGTCCTCCAGGATCGCGAACCCCAGGAGGTCGCTCCAGCCTCCCCGAAACCAAACCGCCTCACGCTTGCGCTGCTCCGGCACGAAGCCGAGCCTCTCGTACAGCTGCCCGGCCCCTTCGTTGTGCGAGAAGCTCTCGATGCTGATGCGGTGCAGGCCGTAGGCCTGGAACCCCCACTCGACCGCCCAGTTGATCGCCTCGCCACCGTAGCCCCGGCGCTGGTAGGGGGGCAGGATGTCGATGCCGATGTGTGCGTTGCGGTGCTGCGCCGTGCTCATGTCCGACGACCCGCACAGGCTGATCTGCCCGATCGGGGTGGGCCCGGCTTGCTCGGTGGGCCGCGCCGACGTCTCGTCCTTGGTCTCGCCGGCTGGCAGGCATATGATGACGGCGAGGATGCATGTACCAAGGTACTTTTTCCACTTCTTGGTTGCCTCCTTGTTCGGCGGCGCCAGCGCCAGGGTGTTCGAGTTGGCGAAGCCCTCCGCGTCGAGCGCGATCGAGTGCAAGAAATTCAAGTCCTCGTCGTTGTCCTCGATGGCTCTGTAGATGAGCCGCTCCGACCTGAACATATTGCTGCTGGCCATTTTATTAGAGGGATTGCGAGGACTGCAGAGCAGAACTGTGACAGATCCAGCTGTGAATGTGTTGGCTATCCAGGCAAGAAAAGACAGTGCTCGCGTGGAGCGAGATGCTAAATTGTTTCCAGTCAGCACTAGTCTTGATTTGCGGCACCTAGGAATGGAGAGAGCACGCAGCCAGCTGTATAAGTCGCAAGTATAAACCCAAGTAGTCCTACTTACACTATACACAAGCAAAGTGGCGTCTGTTGTGTTCGGGATAATTTAACTCGCCTATGTCCTAGTGGTCCCGCACAGCACGAAAAAACGAATCACGCCGTGAGTCAGCTTGAACCACAGCGGCGAAGCTTGTTGGGAGGGCAAGTGGATCCATATTTCTAGCTATACTACTTTTGACTGACTGATTCAAATGCTCAAGGATTGGCGATTCTGCGGCATGTAGCTCCAAATCGTGTTGTGCTAGGTACTAGTAGTAAATAAGTTCACCATGGCAGCGTACAGAGTCACGAAGATACCAATTGATGGCGAGTTTTGAAGATTGTCACAAAGAAACATTGAATGTAACTACAGGATGCCGCTACTCTGATACAAAATGGAGATTCGATTCAATAAGACGACCCAACTAATTCTCAACCACCTGGGATATGCGGGTAAATGGTTTCGTTTCTCTTACATATGCATCTCGAAGGCATACGGTCCCTTCACACATTGGTGAACGCTCAAAGAGCACGTGGGTAGATTTATTTGAAATTGATGAAATAGCTTTTCTCCCTAATCACCATTGTACAGTCTCCATGCCGCTACGTAGAAATAATACTCAGGTTATTCTCAGAATCATTTCAGTGCCCAGGTGGTTTCGTTTCCAATCCCCATACATATAAAACATATGTGGCGCCTCCATAGGTATAGTGGTAAACTCTCAAGATCTAGCTTTTAAAAAACACAATACCAATAACAGTATAGAGAGAACACAAGATGTCTGTGTCACAAGGCCTAAGCCTTATAACAGCCGCACAAATGAGGCTAACTCAGGGAGAATCGCTCCCGACGGCACCATCGACTACAATAGTTGGTACGGCACCAATAAATCAATAGACGTAATTTTCTGGAATCCATCCATAAGTGTCTAGTTCTCGAGGATTACTTCAGCATACTGGAAGCAATTTCTCATGTTTCCCGAGAATCCTTGTTATCAACATCACAGACAGCCTTGCGCCAATTCTCAACAAGCCCTAGGTAGTCGTGACGCTGAAATGAAACTCGTCGGACCCAGCATTTCTCACGAATTAGAATACCAACGACTAATTATTTTAAATTCTTTTCAACCAAAAGAACCCACAAATCAGGGCCTCGTCACCAGAGATTCGACACGCGCCGGGGGAGATGGAACACATGCATCCTGGGAAGTTTAGAATCTCATCTGTATCCCACATTCGATGAGCCAGGTACGAGCGAGCGTGTTCTGGAGCAGCAGATCATGTAGAAAGAAAGAAAGATCATAATACAATTATCAAGTGTGGGAGCACACAAGCGTAATATCTCCGCCAACATATAATGTGGCTGCCCCCGGGGCCGTCTATGCGTTCCAATGTTCCGTCTTCTTTTTGGTCGTCCATCCCGCACATGCAGCGAGCGTTGGTATCACACAAAATCAAATGCTGCCCAGTATCCAAACTTCCCACTGTAACACTGCGGCACACCCGCCTTTCACCAGGGCTTCAGTGCAACACAGAGGAGCGGTTCCCTCTATATGAAAAGGCGCCACATACGTCTTATATGCATGGGGATCAGAAACGAAACCACCTGCAACACACAGCCCTTCAAACTCCAATGCCCGTCTTCCGACCTTTTATCATTGTCATGATGTGCTGCCACCCAATACGCCACCGCTGGGAGCCTCGGTTTCTCCCTTCTTAGTTTGTTTCCTGAACGAGAGGAGCACCTCCTTCAGGGTGCGTCGCGGCTTCCTCGGTTCGTAGAGCGGCTTGTGCTCCTGATCGATGTCGTGTTCATGCTCGTAGTCGACGTGGACAAAGGCCCGCTCGACGTCTTGCAGCCCTTCTAACTTGCGCTGGAGTTCCTGATTGACATCATGGGAAACCTTGAGTGGTGTCTTCTCATCCATGACGACATCAACCTCGACGTAATACTTCTGGCCAGCGTGGTAGGCGCGGCACTGTAGGCTGGGTGTTAGTCACAAGGACACAACTGATGACTCCTCAGGCTCATATACTCACAGTATCCACCTTGAGGATCCTTTCATCATGGGTTATGGTCATGTAAACGAGCTTGGAGATGAACTCTTTGGGAGCCCCCTTTCCGACCAAGAGCCACACCTGCTCGAAGGCATTGGACACCCACGAGAACAAGATCAACAACGCAATGCAGATGGCGCCGATGGGATCAAGATACCACACGAATCGGTCACCGACGATGGACATGATCAGGCCGAAAATGTTGACGACAATGTCGTTGCGGTGGTCGATGAAAAAGACGTGGACCGAGGGGTACTTCCGCAAGAAGAAGCAGTAGACCATCAAAGTCGACTTGGCACCAACTGCGCGACCAGTTAGTATTTTCACAACTACAAGGTTGTTGTTCGGGGGCTTAGGAGGCTGCTTCTTACTTGCACAAGCCACGCAGACAAGCGGAACGATCTGAAGTTGCTTGGACTCTTGCGGCCCTTCCCCAAGAGACCTTCCGGACTCGACCAACAGCTGGATGGCAACAGTAGTCATCAGGGCGCAGAACAAGATGATGCCTATTGTCTCAATTCTGGTCCGCCCCTGTGCATTTTGTAAGCATGAAAAGAGACAGGCGGGTTTTGGTCACGGCAGTCTGTCTTACCACAGGGTACTTGTATATACTGGGACGGGCAGCCATTCTCGACGTCGTCCACATTACGAAGGAAGACACCAGGTCCATCTGGGCGGGAGCTTGGTCAGAAGAAGTATCGTCGCGGTCAGGAGAACAGGCCATGTACTTACGAAGGCATCAGCTGCGGTAGCGAACAGCTATGATAGACCAAAGCGTGTCAGTTGTTGATGTATGCTGATGGAGACACGGCTATGTATGGTGTGGCATACCGATAGCGACCCCGTCGACACAGCCGCATACAGCTGGATAACAAAGAGGCAAAAGTTGACACCGAAAGAAGCGTTGACGGCGAAGCGGATCTTGGGTCCCATCTTGACTTCCTCGGCGATACCGGCCCGTTCCTCATCACCAGCGCCCAGAAACTGGTCAATGAGCTCGTTCTGCCGTGTGTAGTACTTCCTAAGCTTCCTCTTGTTCCCCGTGGGGTGCTCCTTCTTCATCTGAGCCTTGGAGACATCGTCTTTCCGCATGCGACCATAGTTCAAGGGGTCGGCAGGGTCAAAGGCAGTTGACCCGGTCCTGTTGGACGACGAGGCCGGGCCATGGAAGTATGGGACCTCCGTGGCCGAGGCCGCCACAGGCGCACGATCACCACCGACATCCTTTCCTTGGGTGACGACAGTCTGCTCTGAGGTGAACGGGGCCTTCTCATCACCAACGTCCAGCATGGACCTCTTCCCATTGGAAGCTCCAGAGGCCACGGGGGTCTGTGGACTGGACAGCGGTTGTGCGCCAGTATCATGCTTGTCTTTTTCGCAGAGCGCACCAAGAAGGTCAAGAGTTAGTTGAGAGCACTATGAGGCATACTGAGATGACCTTGAAAATAATGGGGCCCCGGATTGGTCAAAGTGTGGGTGTTCGAAACAGAGCCGGGTCCGGGACGACGATGAGACTTGGGGATCGTAAAGCGGACCCCCAATAATCGGGGAATTGTTGCGCGCGGGAGGGCATTTACAGCTGGGTAGAGAGCCAGCGAATAACAGAGCACACATACCTTGAACCGGACCCGTCGTGCCCGCGGTACCTCTCGACTCGTCGCCTTGAGGCTGGCTTGCTGGCCTGTCGGAGGTGGACATTGTGGGAGGGGACAGCCACGCAACGGCAACTCTGAGTGACTCTGAGAGTGTCGATGGGGGATGTTTCGAGTGGGCTTGAAACGAACAAAAAAAAGGTCTAGTAGTATTCTGAGAGGCAACGATGCAGCAACGAGATCCAGCGAGGTCAAGGAATATATTGATTGTCGAATACTCGTGAATGGAGGGGGGAAAAGGCTTGTCGCCCCTGCATCGGTGTATAAAGAAATCCGTTGAGAGAAACCGGAAATGTGCAGCAGAATGGGCGAGGAGCGACAATTCGAGGCCACTTAGCCCCCCTCATACCGCTCGGTCTCGCTCAGCGCATAGTGTACAGGAGCCCATAGCAGCGGGAAAAGGCGCTGGAGGCAGTGAGGGCGGGCGGACCACGGAGGCTGGTGGCGTCAAAGCTCGGCATGTGGAACACACATGGTGCTGGCTCCTCTAACAGGAAGGGGCAAAGGGGAGTGGCAGATAGTAACGTCAAGGGGCCCGGGACGATAGCGACCGCAGTCCTCTGGACAGGCAGACAGGGCACAGAGCAGGACATGGGCGCGCAGAGACGTGTTGTTGAAGATCTGCGCTCGAGGCCAAGCATATCTTGGAACCGACCCCGATTCGGTGGTGCGGCCCGGGTAGCTGGAGCCGGGGAGCGAGGCGTCCCAAGCTGCAGCACGGAAGCTTTTGCCGAGACCCAGGACTGACACATACCGACTTGGCTAGCCTGGGCTGGCCTAGGCCGCGCTTGAGAAGCTTGAGAAGCCTGAGAAGCCTGAGAAGCTCGAGAAGCCTGAGAAGTGATGGACGGCCAGACGGCATAGTTTAGATGGGTTTCTCGAGTCTGCTGCATCGGGCACGGAGCAGCACTGAGCACTGTCTGCCGTGGGAGAGCTGTGTGAGACCTCATTGCGGTCCTCTGCCGGGTTGTCTGCGCTGTGGCGGGTAGAAACAAAAGAAGATTTTCGTGATGGACATGAAGATGGGATTGCTGAAGCTTAGCTGGGCCCAGGGGCATGGGCTTGGGGTGTTCTAGCACCTGGGCGTACCTGGGCGCACCTGGGCACCGAAGCTTAGCCAGACAGCCAAGTCCTGGGGGATGGAGACGTGCTGCTGGGGCCGCTGAGGAAGCAGGTTGGCCAACTCAGACTGCCAAGAGGAGGACAGGTCTGGCCCAGGGCTGACTATCACCACATCGAGGCCAGAGGCCAGATTGGAACGATGATGCTGTATGATGCTGTTTGATTACAATGATTATGATGACCCAGGGCACCCACCCACAGCCATTGTGGATGTGAAGAGACCGAAGAGCGCTTGGGAGCATCTGGTCCTGAGAGCGAGGAGCAGACGTCGGCAAGATAAGAACGGCCAAGAGATGGCGACCACCAGGGACATGATATATGGCATGTCTGCCAGCTATGACAGCTGCTTTCCGTTCCCAATGACACTGTTCAGTGTCGATCCAAGGCCGCCGACATAGGATGAGAAGAAGGTGCACATCCCAAGTGCCATGTACTGTGGGACCGTGTACAAAGGTACATACACAGAGTCGTGTGAGAATCCGATGTTGATATGCAACGGGGATGGGCGGGAGGTGATGAAGCTTACTGAGGAGCTTCCTGAGGAAGGAGGAGCCGAAGTTTCTGCTGACGTAAAAAGGAACATTTGGGCCGGATGCCCCACATCGCTGGCAACAAGCTCGCCCGCAAGGCTCTCACTTGGGACTGGGGTTGAAACGGGCTGGAATCGAGTGCAGGCAGGCAGGCAGGCAGGCAGGAGGGAGGGAGGCAGGTGCAGTCAGTCAGTCAGTCAGTCACCTACCCCATCTGCCCATGCACCCAAAGTCTGGGGTCTGTCAGACGCTTGTCGCCGCCAAGGGGTTGTGTTGCAGCTTCGTCAGCCTGACCCTGACCTCGCCATGCACACATCCAAGCGTGCACTCGCCTCTCGCACATTCGACACTCGACGCTCAACAACCTGAGACTCGAGGCTGGCGATCAGCCCCACCCCCCAAGGTGCTGCTGCCCTCATCGTCTGGTGCCGCGACGGCTAGGTTGTTACGAATCGGCGCATCCTCACAGGCCGCGCCCCGACTTGCTTTAAGAAGGCTGCGCTCCCAGATCGTCATGCCAAGTCTGCCAAGTAGTGCCCAGCAACAACATCTGTTTTACCTGTCGTGTTCTCTCCCCTTCTCATACTCTTGGCACTCCCTCTTCGTCCTGCCCTTGGCTGACTTTTTGTGGTCCTCACCGGCTCCTAACTCGCCTCCGCTGCCGCTGCTACGGAGTACTGCTGCTGTTGCTGCTGCTGTTGCTGCTGCTCCTACTGTAGCATGGGCGGCCCTCACCGTGCTCCGGCCTGCCCGGCCGAAACCAGCTCATCGGCTCGAAGGGTACCGCTCGCGGCCTGCAGCTGAAGTCTATCGTCTGCGATCTGCATTGCGCTGATGGGCTGGTCGCCGCTCAGAATGCCCGTCTCCACCGCCAGCCCCCAACGGACGTCATGATACGCCATCCTTGGTGCAGGCAATTATACCCTCTGCTGTAGAGGTGTTGGACACGGAGACCACTTATACTTGGCCTGTCTCGTGAACCCTCAAGAGGTCTTGGGTAACGCCGTGCCACTTGGCCCGGCCAAGGTGGTTCGTCGTGACTCCTAAGCCCTTGGACCCAAACCCTAGCTGCTCAGGAGACGCCTTGGTCAGCCTTGGGTACTCGGCCAGCTGCCCAGTCAGTCGCCAAATCAGTCACCCAGTTCCAGCCGGGCGCGGAACCATGGAGCACGACGTCCTGCTACGCATTTCCATGCCCGGAGAACCCCATCACGGAAAACTGTGCGCAAGACTGTGGAGCTCCTGCCGCAATATCAAAAAACGACAGCACTCAATGCCGGATATGGACATGTGCTTGTTTCAATGGCGATTTGAAATACGCCGGCGGGAACATGGCCCGTGGTTTGACGCTACGGGCGCGGGAGCTAAAGCATGCATGGAGCCGCTGTGCCTATTTTCCGCTGGGGTAGGGGGGAAAAATGCCCGGGTCCCACCCCGGCGTGACGGCTGCACCACCGTTCGACTTGCACATGCTTCAACACCTTGGCGGGCCGTCGATCATCGTCCCAGATGGAGCCGACCCAATGTTCTTGCCCTTCGCGTCTTTGTGGTCCACTTTTTGGCCGCCGCCGCCGCCCTCTCTGCCTCTTTGCCTCTTTCAACCCAGCAACCTCAGTCATGGCTGACGAGCCCTGGGCCTGAGCCAGCCCAGCCCGATGGCGATCAAGGATGCTGGACAGAGGTAAAACCTACCCGTCTCCGGCCGCCCGGCCCACACCCCACAAGTACCTCTGCGTGACCTCCCCGCGGTACCTGCCACTCGTATCCCGCCCATGCGTCGAAACACGTACCAAGGTGTACCACCCTGTGAACCACCCCTGGCCACAACCGGGAATATCGCTGGAAACACTCTGGGGCTCTGTACTGAGCATTGCACTTGCGGCTTCATCGCCATGCTTATCTGGGACCAAGTGCTTCAAGATGGCCGTGGCATCTCAACATTGAACCATAGTTCTTGTTTCTATTCTCATCTCCCGTGGCAAGTTGAGCCTTGACCTGCAGGATCGCCGCCCTCAATCATCGGCTCCTCTTACCATACCAAGTCGTCCATATTCCTGGACACGGAACGCTTGGGTCACAAGAGTATTAAAACACTCAGACACCCGGCTGGTTGATTGTGCCAAGGTCGATGATACTCTTCTTCACTGCGGACTTGTTATCGTCTGTCCTGATGTTGAGAAGTCCGTGATCTTTCGGTCCTTTCTTTCCTTCCCTTTTATATCTATTTCTTTCGACGTCGGGATTGAATCCTCTCGTCTGTTTTCCTCTCTTCACCCTTTATTTCCTTCTCAGTCGCCGGACGGCTTTTCGTTTCTTAACTTTCAATTCCGAGCCTGGTGTATCAGCTGTCCAGGTGACCGACTACATCGAAAATGGCCGAGGAAATGGCAAACATGAAGCCCGCTTGTGGCAGTGGCGAGGTGGTTGGCGAGTATGACCTGCCATTGCACGTCATCGGTCTCTGTATGTTGAAAATGGAACACCAACTTGGATAGTTTCGGCGGGCTAACGAGGCGGAACAGTCTTGGTTTTGTTCTTCTCATGTCTTGGTACGAGTTCATGGAACCCCTCGGGGAGCGGAGACAACAATATACTGACGCGGACGTGCAGGAGCGGGCTTTCCCGTCGTGGCGAAGAAGATCAAGTGGCTTAAGATCCCGGCCAGGGTGTTTTTTGCATGCAAGCATTTTGGAACAGGCGTTTTGATCGCAACAGCATTCGTTCACGTACGTAGTAGCTGTCAACGGTATCTTGGAAGATTCATCAGGACGCCCGCTGACCGGCCCTCTAGCTGCTGCCCACGGCGTTTGCCAGCTTGATGGATCCCTGCCTTCCAGACTTCTTCACGGACATTTACCCTCCGATCACCGGTGTCATCATGATGGCTGCGCTGTTTGCTCTCTTCGTTATCGAGATGACTCTCAACCACAAGATGGGTGGACAGGCCCACTCTCATGGCGGAAACTTTGGTACCAGTGCGCCCGGCCCGGCAAACATGCCCGAGCGCCCGCCCCGGTACAACCACCAGAGCTTCGAGACCGATGTGTCCTTCGAGAAGAAGGTCCAGCAGCAAGTCTATGCCGACCAGGAGAGGTTCGAGCGCCTGCAGCCGAACCCCTTCGGAGACGATGCCCAGGAGCTGGCTGCGCGGTCGGAGATGCCCCCGTGGTTTGTCGTCTTCTACGAGCAGTACGTTCGCCAACGCATGGAGATGGTCAACATCCTCAAGGGCTCGCAGCCTCAGGTCTCCGTCCAGCCTGCTTACAACGTCTCCGAAATGCCCAAGCCCGCGGTTGGCCTCATCGACTCGCCGTACATTGACGTCGAGACTGGCCTGCCTGTCGACGAGATGACGTACAAGAAGATGTCAATGAACATCACCCTGCTCGAGGGTGGTATCTTGTTCCACTCCGTGTTCGTCGGCATGACCGTTTCTATCACCATCGAAGGCTTCGTTATCCTGCTGGTTGCTATCCTGTTCCACCAGATGTTCGAGGGTCTTGGGCTGGGTACCCGTATCGCTGCTGTTCCCTACGCAAAGGGTAGCATCCGTCCCTGGGTCTTGGTCTTTGCCTTCGGCACCACCGCACCCATCGGACAGGCCATCGGTCTTATCACTCGCAACACCTACGACCCCAACAGCGCCTTCGGTTTGATCATCGTTGGTATTTTCAACTCCATGTACGCGTCCCTCACACCCTGTACCCAATACCAAAAGGCGGACATGTCTGACAATTTCCCACAGTTCTTCCGGTCTTTTGCTTTACGCAGCCACTGTTGATCTTTTGGCCGAGGACTTCCTTTCCGAGGAGGCCCAGCACACACTCACTAAGAAGGATAAGATCACAGCTTTCTGTTACGTCCTTTTGGGAGGTATGTGCTTCAAAGTATAAAACCATTTAGAGGAAGCAACTAACATGGATTCTCAGCTGCCGGCATGTCTATCGTTGGTGCTTTCGCCTAATTGCACAGCCCGCCAGTTTCGAGTCGAGCGAAGCCATCCGAAGCATTGCAGCCCAAGTATCGAAGAGCCGGCTTCGCTCCACGCGTCAAGCCCCGACATCCGCCAAACTGCGAGCCATCGCCCGAGACCGCTTGGCGCGTCCATCCATGGCCATGAGAAATGGGAGGGCGCGCTTTCGAATGGCGTCATGGCGGATCCAGCGGGGAAGAAACCATTCCCTCGTTTTCTCACCAGACACTTGTACGAGCGCATCACACGGCTTTGGCTTTCTCTGCTGTTCCAAGCAATCAAACGGGATGATGTTTTAACCGCTCTTTCCGTTTCCAGGCCAGAGCAGAGAGCGAAGCAGGCGCAGACAGAAACACAGACAAAGAAAATCCCACACACTCGTTTACCAATCTCTTTGCGGACACTGCCTCCATTCGCCGCGAGGGACGGTGTGTGGTGCGTGTTTCATGTTAGTCAGCGGTGAAGACGGAAGGGGACCACAATTGCCAGTCTCGAACAATTTGGCCGCGGTGCGCATCTGGGAACTGGCATGAGACAAAGCGACAACGATTTTCCTATTTCTCTATTTTGCTGGTATACGGTTTCTACGGCCCGGGCGTCAGAGCGAGCACAGAACGAATTATTCTTCTAATTTCTCCCCATCAGGAAAGAAATTAGTGTACTATAATAGGACAGTAGATAGTTACTGCTACGGAGATGATATCATAAAATGCCACAAAACCGTCAAAAGAAAACCACTTCTGAGAGCTGCTAGTGATCATCATAATCGCCCATCTGTGTCCAAGCGCGAAAGTATGCCACCCCGAGATGTTTGGAGACTTCCGAGGCAGTGTTAAACCTCCTGTCGGAATATAGAGTTTCCCCATTAGTCTACCAAAGCGCCCTCTGAAAATACGTCTGCGGACTCCGGAACCAGCCTCCAGGCGAGGCGCACCCAGCGAAAGCAAAAATAGCCTGTGCTTGCTGACCACTGCGGAACGAGGCTGACTGAGATGGGACGGGATCACTGCGGGCAACCAGAAAATCACCAGTTTTGACAGCCGATGCGAGTTATGGGGATGACATATGGGCGGACAATGTTCAGCCAAAAACTACAATTGGAACCACCTGGGCGCAGGCATCCAGGAACAGACCACCCCCTACCTCATCTGAAAAAATTAGGACCTTTCTGGGAGACGCGTGTACAGTTGACCCGTGTTGGGGAGGGTGTCCGCAAGTGCCGCCCGCCCATCCAGCGGTGGGTGGTATCGTCTGAACGCCTTTGAGCCTCGTCCCCTTTCCCATCCGTTTCCCTCCTTGCCACAAGTCACCTAGGAGGGAGGGGCCACGCGCAGGATGATTGGCGAGAACACCCAAGACAACAGACATGAAATCCGATTACCAGAGCGACAAGGCGCGAAGGAGATGGGACCAGGCCTCGCGGCCAATTGGGCGGTATCCAGGCGGGGCGAGGATGAGGTCGGCGGCTCTGCGCTGAAACGTGAGGGGTGTCAAGGATCTACACGGGACGATGGCAGACCGGACGAGGTGGTGGCGGGCGGGAAGGGCTGGAGGGGCTGGTAGGCAAGGGGTTACGTGGGCCCAATACGGCTGTTTTATGTTTCGCTTCTGACTCTGTGGCCCTGACGCCGCGATGGTCACCACCTCCCCTGGAGACAGAGATTGATATCGTGCGGGAGCTAAGAAAGGGCCGCGACGCGGGCGAGATTTGGGTCTGGACTGACTGACTGGAGCTACTGCGTAAGGCATAATAATGACGGCGGCTGAGGCTGATGCCGTGGTACAGTTAGTGGTTGACGGGTAGGGCGCCACCGGTACTTGAGAAATTGTCCGAAGTACCCACCTAGGTGGACGGCTTCCTGTCACAAGACGCCAGTATAGACACAAGGAAAATATCCCGCGGGCCGGTCAGGCGTTGAACGATTATGAGGCGAAGCCAGTGTGTCGGCTTTTCGCACAAGCAGTGTTATGGCCTGATAGAAGGTCACTTATCACACAGTGAATGAGTGAGTGAGACAGGCTGTGAGAAAATTCGCCGACCGAGACCAGAGAAGAAGACAATAGCTTCATGCGTTCGACAACAACTGCACATGCGAGAACCCGCAGTGTCTCGGATCGAGCCGAGTACAGTAAACGTACTTGGTGTACTCCGTACATCAAACACCCAGCCCACCGGACAAACCCACACGGTACTTTGCAAGAACAAAAAAAGAATCATGATGTAAGAAGAGAAATGAGCCTCATGCACGTGATAGATCAGATAAGATGAAAGAGATGGTGTAGAGGAAGGACAAGAGTACTTGTCTGTCGCAAGGTACTGCGGTACACGCAATTCGTGGACGATCCGGGGGTGGCGCCCCTGTCAGGTTCCAACATCAGACAGAAACAGGCCCCCCCAAAAAAGAGAGAGAGCGAGCTTGTTTTAGCCCCATGTTATCGAGAGCGAGAGCGAGCAACGGCGGCCGCCCCACAGCTCGCTCTCGCTGGAGCAGGCCGAGCCGATGTTTGGCCAGCGAACTAGTAGATCAGGGTTCGTTCAGGCGCTCGTTCACCGGCTGCGCAACATGATTCAAACCAAACGAGGGCGGTTGAACCGTGTTCTCGAAACTTCGTGGTAGGTTTCGCAAGGCGCACACGTCGGCCTGTTGGGGTAACATCTTGAGCTGCAGTGGCTGGTCCGGCCGTCAGGGCATGTGCTGAGTGGATGAGGCTTGGCCCGGACGGTGTATGTCATACCTGCGCGAGTAGTCATACAAAAGGACAAAGACACAAAAGAGAGGCACATGCATGCAGCCGCACTACGTGCATTTGGGATCTGTGGCGAGGTCGCATCCGCATGCGTATCTCGCGCATATCTTGCATGCGTTTCTGGGATCCTCGAAGACTCCCTCTGGAGAAACGGCGGAAATCGTTCGTATTCGTAAAGCGCTGCTGCACTGTCCACAAAGGTTATTTGCCTGCGGCCGATGACAATGCCTGTGGCCCTGGCCATCCTCCGGGACTCTATCTATACTGGTCTTGCATAAGAATAGTTGGCACGGAATCATTTTGATCGCGTCTGAGTGATCCTCCGTCGCTCTGATGCAATACCTTCTCGATGCCTTTGACCACCGGCCGTTGAGGTGGCCACGAGTCGTGCCGGCGTATCGCTCTCGGCGCGATGCTACCCGGACGCATTATCTTCGAGACTGTACGAATGCAAACTCGATATGGCTCTGTCGTATCGCCGGATCCAGCGACTCTCCCTGTGGCAGAGGGGCGTGGTGGCGCTTTGAATGACATTAGAAGGAAGCTGTTGCCAGCGCCACCTGGGCATGCCCTCAGGGTCAAAGAGATGGCGAACTGAATACGGAACCCGGATTCGGGATCGATGGTGTTTACTGACCGAGCCTGGTTGGACGTGGGCGGGATCTGGCTGTATGTGGCGGGATAAAGGGACGGCACCGGGAAATGATCCAAAGGAGCATTCCAGGCGGGAACAATGAAGAGACCGACCTTGACTTCCTGGACCCCACGAGGCCTCGCAGAGAACACGACATGACCTTTGCCACATCCTTTGATTGCGCTCCGAACTGGCCCTCGACGTCTGTGCCATCACGCTGACACCAAAAAGGGCGTCGACACGTTACCACGCGAACAAGCAGCATGGCACCCATCTTCCAGCAAAGGCACGACTACAGGGCGGAGAAGAAGATCGATGACAACGTCTACGTCGTCAGCCGGCTGTCCGACAATGAGCAGTTCCTCGGCACCAAGTGGGACGCCAGCACGGTGGACCCGGCCTTCACTGGGCTGCTCGAGCGCGGCACCAAGGGGGCGCTCGGCAGCCTGCTGAACCATCCAAATCTGATCAACTACACCGACACGGTGGCGGACAACGTGGTGTGCGGGCGAGGGACGGCGACGGCGGTGTCGGCGCAGCGAATGCTCCTATGGGACTTCTGCGAGGCTGGCACGCTGCAGAACCTGTTCAGGCACCACCAGGTGGTGCCCAGGACGGCGTCGCCCGACAGCCAGGTGGTGACGCAGTATCTGCCAGAAGGCTTGTGCTGGCACGTGCTGCTCAGCGTGATGAGCGCGCTCAGCTGGCTTCACGAGGGCCACCGCGACGACTCGTCGATCGAGGGGCCGAACGGGCGACGAAGAGCGCGCGACTGGTTCTCAGACCCCGACTGGCTGCCGATCCTGCACAGGAACATCCAGCCCGAGTACATCTTCTTCAAGCATCCAAAGGGGACCGAGTCGTACGGGCTCTGTAAGCTGGGGAATTATAGCGCCTGCGCCGTATCGGGCCACGTCAACAGCAACTTTAGCGGGCAAGTGATCAGCTCTACCCGGGGTGACGAGAGGCTGGACACACTGCGCGAGAACCTGTGGGAGGACATGTCTACCATCGAGGCGGTAAGTCAAGCAGGCCACTCACAGCAATTGTTGGTGGGCGTAGCGAGCTGACCAGTGTGGCGGCGGCGGTGGGCAGGACAAACGGCCGTACACCAAGGCCACGGAGCTGTACCAGCTGGCGCGGATCGTGTACAAGATGATGTCGACGAGGGACGTGCCGGACCCGGAAGACGACCAACAGCCGGCGTTCAATGTACAGGCTGAGATGGACACGCTGACTGCATACTCGGCTGGGCTGAGGAGTATGGTGTCATTTTTCCTGGGCAACCACCGCGGGCTCTGTGCGCGCGCTGAGGACCTGACGTCGACACTGTACATACAGGCGCGGAGCCTGTACCTGCAGTGGAAGCGGGATACGCCCGACGGGAAGCTGCACCGCGACTTGCTGGATGACGGTTGGCGGCGCCAGTTTAATGAGGACGAGAGGATCCGTGCCGACGAGGAGTTGCTGGCGAGCCAGGGCCAGCTGAGCTCCCACCGCTGGACCATGGACAACCTCAACCCGCAGCCCAGGCAAGCCGTGCCTCCCGTTCCGACCCCGCCGCCTTCTTAGCCACGGGCTGAGGCAGTGGCTGGGTGGTTGATCTCATGTGTTGGGTTGGAAGCGGCATTGTGGTGTGCAAACGGGTCCAAGGGAGAGAAGAGACCAAATGACTTAGAATACTTAGGTACCTTGTACACAAGTACAGTACGTAGCGCGCAATGTCTCCACACTTACTTAATAGCTCCCCATGTGCTCGGGTAGGTACGTACCTAGGTGCGTTCTGCTGCTGTGGTACATCTCCCTACCTGATGCGCTAGTCTATCCGTCACCCTGCAGCATTTGAGCTTAATCCGACGTGTGGTGTGGTCTCGTACCGTGGTGAACCAGAAGAGCCGTTGATTGTCACCCACGCGCACCAGCACATGTTCAGACCACGCCATCTCAGATCCTCCTCACACCTGCCCGAACCACCACTGCAACCACCACTGCTGTACTGCCATTGCCATCCGAGTTTCTCTGTTCTGCCCGCAAGCTGCTACACATACCAGCCGAAATTGCCTGCAAGCCACCAGGGGTACCGAAGCTGCAGTCCCGAGCCCGATAGAACCGCCTCACCCCGAGCTCGCTCCTTCTTCCCACGCACATCAGCGCCGACAGACGCCATCGGACACGCGCACCCGAGCCCCACGGCGACGAGACATGGCGCACCTACGCCCCCCGCCGCTCCTCCTCACCAAGCGCCTGACCTCCTTCCTGCAGCTCAACCTCTCCGCGCAAATAACCACCCTCCTGCTGCTCACCCCCGACGGCAAGCTCCTGGCCTACGCCTCCCAGCCGCCCATCCCCGTCGTCACCCTGCGCACCCACGGCACCGTCGCGGCGAGCCTATACACCATCCACAGCAACGGCGCCGACCAGGATACCATAGACGCCGCCCTGCCGCCCGGCAGCAGGGCCAGGAGGGCCAGCCGCGGCGGGGGCAGCATCACCAGCAAGAGCGACGGGCCCCTGGCCGTGACCATCCAGCTCGAGAGCGGCACGGTGCTGGTGATACGGCGCCTGAGGTGCGGCATGCTCTTCGTGTGCATGGGCCCGCCAGCCGGCAGCGACGCGCAGGGGAGCAGGCCGGCGACACAGCACCAGCAGCAGCACCAGCACCAGCATCAAGGCGGCCAGACATCTCAACTACACCAGCTACACCACCCACCGCGAGGGTCACAGCAGAGCCTCCGCCCCCCACAAGCAGCAGACGACGCTTCGGCCGGCGGCGCAAACGGCCACACGCCAGCCTCGAGCCCCCCGCCGCCAGCACCGACGACATCGACGACGACGACATCAACATCAACATCAACAACAGCACAGCCACCACCGTCCGCGTTCCAGCCGCTGGGCTCGCCCCCGGAGACGGCCAGCATCCACAGCGCCGCCACGGGCATGTCCACGACCAGCACCAGCTCGACCGTCTTCGGCGCCGGGACCGCCGGGGTCGCGGCCACGCGGCGGCACGCGGAGGAGCTGGCGCGGTGGCTGGACGACAAGCTGGGCGCGCTGGACGTCCCGGAGGACGGCCTCACGGGGGTGGTGGGGTGAGGGCCGTGCCCGGGGGGGGGGGGCTGGCGGGTTTGCGATCCGATCGTGCGGGACACGTCTGTTTGTCGGGGCGGGGGCCGGGGCCGCCCTACGGCTCTCTGCGGCTCCGGTCGGGGGGATATGGCTGGCCAGATGGACTTTTGAGAACCATTCTGCGCGCGCTCGAGGCAGGTCGGTGTGTAATCCTACGAGACGCCGTTCGCGCAAGGGACTACGCCGGCAACGAAAGGTACGGAAAACTTGTGCCAAGGTCATGAAGAGCAAGCCTCGCGGCCTGCCCATGCCCAGGTAGACGACGGGACGAGACAACGCGTCGTGGTAGGGTTTGGAAACGTGCACATCACGAGCCGCATGTTGAGCGACGCCAGCAGGGTCGTCTTGACCATCTTGCTATGAATATGATGTTTGAATACAACGGTCAATGTACAATGCGCCTACCAAGGGGGCCGGCGATGAAGAAACGAGAACGAGACGCCATCCTAGGGGCGTGCTAGATAATCAACCCCTTATAATGCTAATCACATCCGTAAGCTCTTGAAGTGGAATCCGCCTCGTGCGCCTCCGCTGCGCAAGGCCACTTCCTGTTGGTCCCGAGTCGGGAACGATCCCCTTTTGCACCCTGCGAACGCCGCTTGAATGCTGTGCTGATTCATGGCCTCCTTCCATCAAAAGGAAAGAAAGGTGGATGGCCAGGATCCAAATTCTTCTGTTGTGCGTGGCCTTGCCACTGATCATGTCAAGTCGTCCCCAAAGTCGGCAGCCTGGCGAAGCCTCCTGCTTGCCCGCTTGCCCGCTCCCCCGGCCCTTTCCCACTTGGTGCCTCACTCGATACTTAGCCTCGTGATGCCATCATTAGTGTCCACCATACCCTGGAAACCTATCCGGCCCTTAGCTCGCGTCTTATCGCCGCCGTTGCCGCTGCCGTTGCCGTTACCATTGCCGCTTCCGCTGGTCTCGCTGTTCGGGGTGTCGTTCCGCCCACCACGGTCACCTCCGTTGCTGCCGGGCCTCGACCCCCAGGGCGCGTGCTGCATGGGGCTCTGCATGATGGGAGATCCCTGAACGCTCATACCCGGCGACACGGCGCGGCGCTTGAAGCTGACCGGGTCGAGGTCATCGTCGCGGCGGCGTTTCGTCAGCCGGCGCGTGACGTCCGCCACTGACGGCGGTAGCGGTTGCTCGGTCGTTGGCATGGAGGAAGAGCCGCTGGGCTGGGGGGTGTCATTTCCCGAGCTGGGCGTCGTGTTCATGGGGAACATGAAGCCGCCGTTGCTGCCTCCTTGTCCGGAGTTGGCAAAGGGCGAGTCCATGTTCATGTCGTCCAGACTCATCCCCGACGAGGAGCCACGTGGTGGGCCTGGGGGAGGCGGGGTCGTCCTCGAGCCGCCCACACTGCTTGTCTCCGAGAAGTTCTCCCAGAACATCCTTCCCTTGGAATTTCTATGCGCTTGGTTCTTGAGGCTGCCCGAAAGCCCCAGGGCGTTCGAGTCCACCATCATCGCATCGTCGACTGCGTCCTCGAGCGAGTCCTGTATTGGCATGCTGGGGCTTGACTGCGTTGTGGCGGCGACAGACGCGGGCTGTTGAGCCTGGCGGGGTGGGTCGAAGTCTATATCTTCTCGCACCTGACGGATGACCTCTGATTCCCGTCTGAACTCGGACTCGACAGGTGCGCCTTCTTCAGCAAGCGCAGCCTTTATGCGGGCGAAATTCTTGGACTTTGGCTGCTCACATGTCAGTCAATAGCCTGAGCGAAAGTGGCAGGGGACAGGGGCAGCATTGACGAGATGGGTGGGTGCATACCAGGAGATTGCTCCGCCGAGTGACAGCGCGCCTCACGACCCTGTTTTGAGGATCTGCGCCGGGGCCCAGCACGCCGTCCACGTTGACGCCGGTCTTGGGACTGTCCTCACTATCACTGCCCGCGATATTCAATTGGTTGGCGGCCCAGCTGATGCTCTCACGACGGGCATGTGACGAACTCATTTCCTTGGCCATGTTGCCGTAGGGTATTGGGTTTGTAGGAGGGGACCGGGAGAGGTTGGCGGCTGATGGGGTTGGGGGGCAACCCATGCCAAAAGGGCCGCGCTCTTTCTTCTTTTGTTGTTTGCGAGGCCGCTGTCGCTGCTGGAAGGACAAGAGGCTGTTGACAGCTGGCGACCCCACCCCCGCTGGCCAAGCAGAGCCGGCTTGTGCCGCGTGTGGGTTGCTCTTGACGGCCTGGGGTGTCATCAGGTAGGGCTCGTCCATGTCCTCGTCCATGATGTCGTCCTCGTCGGAGCTTGTGGAGGAGTCGGAGACTATGTTTGCGGCGCTCCCCACGGAACTCGAGATGTGGAAACGCTCGTGGTTGCCCATCATAGACCAGAGCGAATTGGAGGTCTGCTCTGGTGCGCCGAAGTCGCCCGTTCTCCTGCTGGGTATGTTCATGGCCCGGCCGCCGACGGTGGGCGACGAGTCGGGCGACGACTGCTCTGCGATGGTGGTGTGGTGGAGGCTGGTGGCAGCACGAGAGAAGTCGAGACCCCTGGAGCGGCGGGGCAGGATGTTGGTGGGTGACGAGTATATCTGGGAGTGGTCGAGCTTGGGAGACAGCGGGGCGGGCTTTGAGCCGGGCTGGTTGAACTGCTGGTGGTTCTGGGTCTGGGTCTGGTTCTGGTTCTGGTGCTGGGTCTGGTGTGGCTGTTGTTGGTGTTGCTGGGACGGAGGGGTCGAGGCCTGGGGTGGCATCTGCAGGGAGAGGCAGCGCGCAGGGAACTCTGATCGGTGAGGAGTGACGGGGAGGGCCAGGGGTACGGAGGGCGAGTTGGAGGCGGAAAAGGAGTCGCGCAGAGGCAGCGAGATGGTGCTGTCATCCTTTGAGGTGCGCCGGGCCTGTTCGGCGAGCTGGGCCGGCGTGAACTTCTGTGGTGTGCCGCCGCCGTCGGAGAGCGAGCGGTAGTGGTGCCTCCCGCCAGGGGTCCTGCCCACAGCAGCAGCCTCTTCCGGCCCAACATGACTGTCCATGTCCACGGCGAAGGCGACGTCGTCCCCTATGTCCGACATCACGGCAACCTCGTCATACTCCACAACGGGCGTGTGCGGTAGGAGCGGCCGGTGGGCCATGCCGGACGGAGCTGGGACACGCAAGGTGCGTGTCAGAGCCCCTCTTTGCGCTGGTGCCTGTGCCGGATGATGCTGGTGCTGGCGAAGTGTCTGAACAGTCGTGGGTGCTGAAGATCTGAAGATATCCCGGCATTGTCTCCAGGGAGGAGGTGAGTCCTACATGGCCGGCACAAGCTTTCGAATGGGTCATGGGAAGGCTAATAAGGTACCTGGCAGAGGTAGTTGGGCAGACTGGCAGACTGTACCAGCCCGGTTCACGAGAGGAGGGGCGGCAGGGCGGAAGGGCGGCTAGGGCCCCCTGCATGGCAGCTAAGTGGGAGTGGAGAGGTGATGAGGAGAAGGCACAGCCCAAGTCCCGGTGCCGAGACGGGCCTGGCCAATGGCTCGGCCGTGTGCAATCTCCGCATGCTCAGACCCTGGTCCTTGAACCACCAGAAAACTCCCGAATTGACTGGTCTGGTCGGGCTATGATTCCTACACCACAGATATACATACGGGGGAGGCCATTCCAGGTGGCAGTCCCGGCTGCATCCCGTTAGCACGAGGCAAGGCAGCTGATTGTTCATGAAATCATGGGCGTGGTGATTAGGATGTAGGAATATCAGACCAATAGTTGTCATTACTCAATGTTCAATAACCTTCACCAAAGGCACTTTAGTGGAGTGAACTGCCTTTATTCTTAAATTCAGTAAAGATGGATACAACATTTAAACTTCCAAAGTTAAAGGACAGGCTGGTCATGCAGTAGGCAGCAGTCTAGGTGAAGATATGCTTGACTGTGGGTGGTGCAGGGTGAGATGGTCCTCACCATTGATGGCAAAAGAGACTGGCTCAAATTCTCTGTGAGGAATTATTGATTTAAAGCTATGGTTGCCTAAGGAATAGTAGGGAGGAAGCTGCGAAGCTGCAATCCGGCGCGTGACGTATGAAGGCCACTTGGGCTGATAAGATGAGCAGAGTGCACAGACCGACTAGTTGGTCCTGCAGGCGATCAGCCCATGGCCCTAACACAGGGTGCAAGAGGTTAAAAAAGAGGGCCTGGGATATTAAAAAGGTACCATGGGACACAAAATTGTTGATTAAGGCTAGTAGTCTAGGTGAATATGTGCTTAATTATGGGTAGTGTAGGGTGTAAGACAAGGAAAGGAGGGAGGGAAAAGGGGAAATGGTGAAAAAAGCAATGTACATTATATATGACTGTGACAGAGTCTTAAGAAGGAACCTCTTATATAGACAAGTACCTAGGTATGTTGTGTGCTCCCAAACTCCACATAATATATTGACCGGCACATCACTACGTAACAAAGAAGAACGAGCTCAGTATAGTCAATCTAATTCTAAACTTTGAAAATGGAAAGCGAGTATCACATTGGGGATCACTTGAGGTGTGTTTTCAAACCTATGGTTATCGGTATTATATGATATCTAAGAGAACGGATATTCACACAGGAAAAAACGGCTGGTACATAGGTACAAATGCCCCCTGGTGTGCCGACCTTAATTTACACTACCTACTTACTATATAAAATATAAATTTACACTAATTGACTATACATATCCTTATTAGCCCTCAATTTCTAATCCTCCTATTATCGCTTCTGGTCTGGTGGTTTGCTACTTCTTTTCTTGTCGCCTAGGGCGCTCTGGCGAGTCCCTAAGCACCATAATATCCTCCTAGGTCTCCTTCTCGTCGCCGACGAGGTCCTCTATAGTCAAGTCAACCTGTGTTAGCTGGTTGATAGTCCTACAAGCCCTCATATAGAGCTTCTAGCGAGGAGGGCTCCTGGTGAGGGAGTTTTGTTTAATGGGTGAAGGAGAATTAGTAGGTCTGCGTAGGGAGTATAAAAAGCACTTTGTGTGGGTGGTGTGTGTAGTCAGGGTGGTTGAATAAAGCCCTCTGATTGGCTGCAGCCCTGGAGGAAATATTGTACCTGTGTACCAGCCGTTTTTTCCTGTGCGAATATCCGTTCTCATATCTAATACTGGGTCTTTGAGTGCTTACCACTTTGTCAAGGGACTGTCTATAGCTCTATTTATGTGTACAGGTTAAAAGCAAAACCGCTTATCACCCTCGAGAGCAAGTTTTGAAATGGGCACGAGGGTAATCAAGAACTTACAAAGACTGAACTTTGACAGTCATCCTCTCAGCACCAATGCCTCTCGACTTGGCTTCCTCCAAAATGGCCTCAGTAGCCGTGGCCCCGATCCGACTGACACCCAGACTCCTGACCCTCAACAGATCATCCAGCGTGCGCACGCCACCCGCCGCCTTGATCTGCACACTCGGCTTGCAGTGCTCCCTCATGAGCTTCAGGTGCTCATACGTCGCGCCCCTGTAGTTGTAGGAGCCGTCCTTTTGCTTCACCATGCCGTAGCCCGTGCTCGTCTTGACAAAGGCCACGTCCAGCTCGCTGCAGATCCCGCACAGCTTGATGATCTCCTGCTCGCCAAGGAAGTCGTTCTCAAAGATGACCTTGAGCACCGCGCCCGCGGCGACGACCGCCGCGTTGACGGCCTGGATCTCCGCCCTGACGTAGTCCCACTGCCCCCCGAGGGCCTTGCCGATGTTGATGACCATGTCGATCTCGGCGCCGCCCTGCTCGGCGGCGCGCCGGGCCTCGAAGACCTTGACCTCGGCGGTGCTGTTCCCGTGGGGGAACCCGATTACGGGGCAGACCTTGACGTCGGTGCCCTTGAGGGCGGCGACTGCACCGGGGATTGCATAAGGCTTGACGCAGGCTGTGGCGACGTTGTACTTCTTGGAGATGGCGTAGCCCTCCGCCAGGATCTCGTCCGTCATGGTGGGATGAAGGAGGGAGTGGTCAATCATCTTGGCGAGGTCATGGAGAGAGACCTCGATGGTTGAGGGGAAAGTGACGGGAGACATCTTGGGGTGTACTTATTTGTGAGGAGAGGTTTGTAAAAGGGGAACCCAGTATTTGGATGTTGGGGATGATGGTGAAGGTAAAGTGCATGCGCTGGGGCTTGAGGGAAACAACTACAGAACGCAGGGCGGCCTTTATGTATTAGACGTTTGGGATAGTTACGGTAAACGTGGAAAAGCCTTGTGAAGCCATGCTCAACAAAGGGTGGTTAGCTGCATGAGCCACGGCCATTCGGGCACCATCTCAGTCGATGTATCCCTCGTAAGCACTCGCCGTTAGCTTCAAACCGGTATGCGATGTACCTAGGTAGTCCCAGCCAACATGTTGACTGGTCACTTCTGCCCGGGGCTCTTCGCATAATTGCCCGATAGCGGGTGGTCGCGAAGGACTTCAATTTTTGTCTGCTTCAAGGAGATGCACGTAAAGAATATACTTTGAAGCCTTTCTACGTATTCGCCTCACTGGTCTCCAACATCTTTCTATTCCGAGTCCTGGGAAATTATTACGCCCCGCCCTCAAATTTTTATTGCACAGCTATCAGCGCTTGCTGTTCAAGTATAGTCTAGGCACTCAACATGTTGGTGGTCTGTTCTCCTCTGAGCAATGCCGCCGCCGCCATTTACGAGTATGGTTCGAAGCCACAGATATTCCCGCCGGTGGACTTGACATCCGCGGACAATATATGCCTGGTTTGAGCTCCATGGTTTTGCGACGAAAAATTTTTCGGACTGCAGAAGACAAGCCAATGTCTCTGCAACTCTGAATCCACCAACTGCAAGTGAAAAGATAAAGCTGAAATCGTGAGGAAGTCGTGTCGCGTCGCGCTCCGTTGCGTCGAGTGGATGCGGCCCACAGCATTTGAATCCTCCCGAGGTTTCCGGGCGCCGAATCGACAGATGGGCTGGCTCATCCGAAGTCAAGGCTGCATAGCACTTGAGGCTGACCCCGCTAATGAAGAGCAGGCTCAGGTGATCGTGACACGACTAAACGCGCTACAAGCCTCTCAAAGAGGCACTGTTATCTTCTTACTCCACAGGATATGTACGGTAAATATTGCCCGTTGATCCTCTCGAGTGGATCGTGCAGTATTGTACTTCATGTAGGTACAACTCGGGTCAAACTTGATACTTCTTTTTATGCAGCAGACGCTCCACCTGCACCACATCCCGTTGGTTAGTAAACGAGCACTTCCTGAGGGTGGGTGAAGCCGCAACAGCCTAGGTATGAGGTGTTGCACTCATTACCTTGATGGCTCTGGCAAGGCGGCTTCTGATTGGAACAGGATACCTAGGTATCTAAAAGTCCACAGACACACATCATATTTTAGCAACATAACCTGTTCGCCATCCTCGCCTAGTACGATAGTGCCGAGGGAGCGAAATATGATAAGCACGGGGAACGAGCAGCTTGGATCATTATATTCTGGCTTGTGCGAAGTCGACGTGTCTTGGGAGCAAGATTTATGGAACGAGACCCACGAGAATTCCGATGTCTCCACAGTCGGAGCCTCGTGCCGTGAGTGTTGATAATGGATGCGCCCGCGGAACACTGACCTGGTTTGAAGCTATCGCAGATTTTCGGTAACACGATCGTAGGTACCCACTATAGGCATGACATTAGTCACCTAAAATTCTGTGCTCGTAATGATAGCATTTGGGCTCCTTTATCTCTTCCATTCACTCTTGTCTTTATCTCACCTTAAGTAGCGCCCGTTGCTCGAGAGCCTCAAAGTGTGCTAGATTACCCATTCATATTCCTTCCAAGGTCCGAATTAAGTTTCGCCTTTGCTGCCAGCGAAATCTCACTTGGGGACTTGTTGTCTTGCTCTCACTCAGCCCTTTTCTCGCCACTTCTCTTTCTCTGCTAGTGATAATTCAGGGCGACTCAGCCTTCATCTCAAAATGCAAAAGGTTATAGTTCATTTTGTCCGCCGTGAGTACTCCAATCACAAGCCGTATACCTCCTTCTTACCCATTCTAACTTGACCCCGTAATATAGACGCACAAGGTCATCACAATGTCCCGACGGAGAACCGCCTCCAGATCCCGGACCCGGACCTGACACCTCTCGGAGTCACACAGTGCGAAGCACTCGCCCAAAGCTTCCCATATCACTCCCAGATAACGCACCTCATGTCCTCGCCCATCCGCCGCGCCCTTTACACCTGCCTCCTCTCCTTCCCCAGCTCCGTCGAGCGGGGCCTCACCGTCCTCGCCCTCCCCTCCGCCCAGGAGTTCAGCGACTACCCGTGCGACACCGGCTCGAGCATCTCGGAGCTGTCGCACGAGTTCGGCGGCAAGGTCGACCTCAGCCTCCTCGACGACAACTGGAACTCGAACACGGGGAAGTGGGGCCCGCACTGCGATGTCATAGACGCGCGTGCCAGGGAGACGCGGCGCTTCCTGTGCCAGTTTGGCAGGGACTGGGTGAGGCAGAATCCGGGTGGTGGCAGGGACTGTCACATCGTCGTCTCGACGCACGGGGGCTTCCTCCACTACGTGACGGGAGAGTGGAACGGTACGGGCGGTGCTGCGGGCACAGGGTGGCGAAACTGCGAGTTCCGGAGCTTCACCTTTGCGGAGGGCGACAGTGACGAAGACGCCACGTTGGTGGAGTTGCCGGAGAGCAGGGCCAGGAGGCCTGATGAAAAGATTCTGTCCAAGGAGGAGCACAGGGCTTTGAGGGAATTTGCAGAGAGAGAGTGGGTCAAGGGCGGATATCAGAAGATCCCACTGCCGGATGTGTCGTTTGCTGAGGAGGAGACACTCGAATCGAGTGCGGGTGCAATCAAAGTGCAGGCGTAGACCAGCGGCGTAACGTAGGATGGGAATAGGTCGTTGGCTGTGGGAGTCGTCCATATGAGTAGAAACCAGTTCCTGCGATGGAAAAGATTGTAGAGAAGAGAATGGGGATCGACTTTTTTGCAATAGGTTTCATGTTGATATGGTGCACAGTATGACTTGCGGAGGCATACATTCGGAATCTATCGTATTATAACTATTGTTATCGGCATCGTATTCTTTCCAAGCGCTGGGTCTTGAGTGCTTACCACCGTATAAAGGCGCCATGTATGTCCTCGGACGTATACGGAATAGAAGCGAAACCACATACATTCGGAATCCGGTATAAATCTCGCTAAGAGGGCATTCACTAGTCGCTCCACATGCACTTGGAATTCAAAGCGAAATGCTCGAGTACAAGAAATGATAGCTACTAGTGACGCTCCATGAGGCTGCTCTTTTTGCCTTGGGTAAAACAAGCCGTCTGTGAAAGTTCGCAGTTGGCGTACCCAGGTACCAACAAACTAGATGTTAGCCCCATTCCATCTCACCCCAACGGCTTTGGCGCAGGCCACCAAATCGGTCACCGCTCACAGCAAGTCACAGCAGGAATTAATTCAGCATTGTGGAAAGAACATACAGTTCACACTCTGTATTTCAGATGTGAACATTGGAAAACTTGGCCAACAAGGTCAATAATGGCTTTGGTGGGTGGTCGGTCCACTCAGATGCCCTGCGCAGAAAGACCATATTTCGATTGCCAAAAGTTGATAATTAAACACTTTTGAACGGACCGAAACATGATGTTGAAACAGTAGAAAAATAAATGCAATGGCTGATCGAGGAATGCTCGATATTCTGTGGCTCTCGGCCTACTCCCTCATCACAGGCTCGGATCGCCCCCACGAAAATCCAATCTTATCGCTATCGATAAGCCCCGCTGTAGCTGCCCCACCACGCAAGACAGACAGACAGACCCCTGTACCCCGCCATATGGAGTCGAACTTCTCATCAAAGTTACTGGAGAAGCCGACAAATTTGCTCCTGCAGACTGGACATTGCATCCCGCGAGCAGTCAGTTTCCCACGCGCCAAATTCCGACTACGACCGGCAACATGTCTTTCGACACGTACCAGACCCCATTGGGCTCTCGATATGCCTCCAAGGAGATGCTCCAGCTCTTCTCGGCCCGCTCCAGGCACAGCACCTGGCGCCAGCTCTGGCTCTGGCTGGCCGAGGCTGAGAAGGAGCTGGGCATCGACCAGATCACTCCCGAGGCCATCGATCAGATGCGTGCAAACCTCACAATAAGTGATGAGGCCTTCGAGGTTGCCAGGGAGGAGGAGAAGCGTCGCCGTCACGATGTCATGTACGAAGCCCTTGCTCACTCTGCTCCGCATCACACCAAGCCCACGGATGGAAACTCGTGCTGAACAACAGAGCAGGGCTCACGTCCACGCATACGGGCAAGATGCGCCCGCGGCCGCTGGCATCATTCATCTCGGGGCAACGTAAGCATCATTTCTTACCTGTCGTGAATCCCCGCCTTTCATGTTGTGGATTGTTTTAGTGTGCAACACTCTTGGGCTCGTGGCAGGACTAACATCAGCAATAGGAGCTGCTTCGTGACTGACAACGCTGAGCTCATCTTCATACAGAAGGGCCTGAAGCTGCTTCTCCCTCGTCTTGCAAAGGTCATCCACAACCTCAGCCAGTTTGCGTTGAAGTACAAGGACATGCCCACCCTCGCCTACACCCATTATCAGGCCGCCCAACCCCACACCGTTGGTAAGAGGGCTGCTCAGTGGACCCAGGACTTGTTGCTGGATCTTCGCAACCTCACCCGTGCTCTTGAGGATCTCGAATTCCGAGGTACGTCCAAAGAGCAGTATATCCCCGCATTTACTAGCAGCTGACGTGGATACTAGGTGCTATGGGCACAACCGGAACCCAGGCTTCATTCATGGAAATCTTTAACGGGGACGGTGACAAGATCGATCGCCTCAATGAGATTCTCTGCGAGAAGGCTGGATTCCCTTCCACCTACTCCGTCTCTACCCAGACATACACCCGCAAGGTCGACCTGAACGTCGCTCAAGCCCTTGCAGGAGTTGGTGCAACTGCTCAGCGAATTTGCACTGATATCCGCCACCTGGCCAACCTCAAGGAGATTGAAGAGTATGTCTCCTCGGACTTCATCATCCATCAGTCTTGTTATCCCATGACGTGTGAACCGCGGTCAAAGAAGTCTTACTAACGGGAAGTCGAACAGGCCTTTCGAGAAGGACCAAATTGGTAAGAACTCCATTTTGCGACCGCTTTTGTGATGCCTGTTCGGGCCATGTGGCTGGCTGCCGCGCTGTGGGCAGAAATACCCCGCCCACTGTCCTCTGTAATTTCGCTTTCCGAAGACTGATGCCGGATTCCACAGGATCCTCGGCGATGGCGTACAAGAGGAACCCGATGAGGTCGGAGCGCATTTGCTCTCTTGGCCGCAAGCTCGGCAGCATCACAACTCCTTTTGTGGAGACATACACAACACAATGGTTCGAACGGACTCTCGATGATTCTGCTGTAAGTCATCTCTCCAGAATTTTTATGCTCGTACCAAATTATCATGAGACAAAAGCCGAGGTGGCCATCCACTCAGGCTCCTGCCACCGAAGCCCCTGGGTCTTTTCTCTTCACGCTGTGTGAAACGGAAACCATGTCCTGACGGTAACAGATTCGCCGGATTGATATCCCTGAGGCATTCCTTCTGGCCGACGCCATCCTGCTCAGCATGGATAATGTCACAAATGGCCTTGTCGTATACCCAGCTGTTGTCCGCGCAAACCTGATGAAGGAGCTCCCCTTCATGGCTACAGAGAACATCATCATGAAGATGGTCGCCAAGGGTGCGTCCCGCCAAGAGTGCCACGAGGAGATCCGCGTTCTCAGCCACCAGGCCTCTCAAGTCGTCAAGGGCGAGGGCAAGCCTAACGATCTTATCGAGAGAATTCGTAACACTGCTTACTTCGCCCCCGTCCATGACATTCTTGACGAGGTTCTCGACCCTGCTCTTTACGTCGGCCGCTCCGCCGTCATCGTCGAGCGCTTGGTTGTCAAGGCGCAGCAGTCTCTTGCCCCTTATGCCGACTACCTCGGCAAGGCCGAGACAGCCCAACTCTCTGTCTAAGGTCAGAGTATATCAACGTGGAAGGTTTGTACATGGGGTCGGGGTATCCTTGTGGACCTCCGTGTCCGGCGTTCAGGATGGAAAATATATATAGTATAGGATACAAACGTTCACACTAAATGCATGCACATATGGCATACAAAAAAAGAGAGACAGAAGGCCGTGAGTCTATTTTCAGCATTTCAAGAAGATGATTCACTGGAATGTAGTAGTGTGTTTCTTCACTCGGAGCCTGCTGTATGTAAGTGGCGGTGCAGTCATTAATCTGTGATGATCAGTCTCATTACTCCCGATCTATTCTAGGCTCATGGAAGTTGAGGGGCCCTAGTCCGTGGTACCAAATGCCTTGTCAAATCCAACGAGGGAAAACCGATAATGCACCTTATTCTCCTTGACCCGCTCGACGGCCTCCTTACATCCCTCCTCGGAAATGTCGATTGTCTCCACCCATGGCCGGATGCCCTTGTCGGCAGCCAACTGCAACATCGACTCCATCTCTTGATGGTTTCCGAGATGGCTGCCAGTGAGCTTCGCGGCATTGCCGGCGAAGTTAAACGCAAGGAGCTCGGGAAGGGGCTCATCAGGCAGCCCGACCATGTGAAATTCGCCACCGACGCGCAGCGTTGACATGTAGGACTTCAGGTCGAACGTGTGGGTCATGTCACTGCAGTTGAGGATGAAGTCGAACGAGAACGCCCACGGCTCCGCCCAGTTCTTTTCCGTCGTCACGATGGCCTCCTTGGCACCCATCTTGCGGATGTCATCAACTTTGTTCGCCGAGTGCGTCAGCGCATAAGTCTCTGCGCCGAGAGCCACGCTCCACTGGATGCCCAGGTGGCCCAGCCCGCCTATTCCGCACACGGCTACCTTCTTGCCGGGCCCAATGCCCGCACGCACCAGCGGCGAGTAGGTCGTGATACCGGCGCAGAGAAGGGGCGCCGCATCTGCGGGAGGCAGCGCATCTGGGATCTTAAATGTATAGTATTCATGCGCGCGGATGTGCGAGGCGTAGCCGCCGTGGGCCTGCCCTCCGCCTGCCTCCTCTGGGTACTGGGAATTGTATGTGTCCTTGGGCCGGACACGCGTGTAAGTATGGATTCGTGCACGTACTACTCAAATGTATGGGCTTTTAATTGGTGCAACTCACGACGAGGTGTGGGCAGTAGTTCTCATTTGCCGTCTTGCACTGCGGGCACTTGAGACACGACCAGACCTGGGCCCCCACGCCCACACGGTCTCCCTCTTTGATGCCGGACCTGACGGCCTTTCCGACCTTGACAGCCTTGCCGACCACCTCATGGCCGACGCAGAGTGGCCCTTGGTAGTCACCCCAGCCGCCCGTGATGGTGTGGACATCGGAGCCGCACACGCCACACGCCTCGATCTGCACGTCGATATCGTTGTCCCCAAACGGCTCTAGTGTGTGTTAGTTACCTGCTGTAAATACTCAAGCGATGCGTTGTGGATTATTCGGTAGCATGAATGGTGGGTTTTCAACCAAAGGAAAGGAAAAAAAAGAAGATACTGACTGGGCGTCAGTTCTTGCTTCTTAAACTGGTTCCATGTCTTAGGCCCTGCAACACAGAAGCCCTCGAAAGTATCTGGATATCCCATTCTGGCGTGACAATGCGGACTTGATGTTTTTCAGTGCTTAAATTGTGGATAGATGTTGTAGGAAGGTAGCTTGCAATGTCATGATTGACCAGAAAGAGGAGCTTGTATGCCAACGATTTACACATCTACCGCTGGAGTCACCTAGACACCTACTTCTTATACCTGACCAGAATCGTTTATCTGTGCCGCGGCATCAACTTTGTGATGACGTCGTGAACGTGTTAGGGACAACGGGCGCCCGGTCTCGTTCTGTCCCAGGCCTTTGGGGCCGATTTTGGGCCATTTCGCTGACTTTACCGATTACAGAAATCGTAGAGTCGGGTAGTCTATGACGATGGTGCTCTTGTACCCGAACAGGGCCATGTCCAAAGAAGCCATAGGCCGTGTTCATGATCCCAAGATGTACATATGACGGCTGGATCAACCGGACCATGTTGTCCGGCGCCGTTTCGGTTGGCCGCAGTCCAGTTTTTAGCAGATAGACCAAGGATGGGATTTGGATGCAATTATCCATCATCTTAACATGGTTATGTGAAGAAGGAGCCTGGCTGATCGGATCTGTACCGAGCACGAAGCTTACCTGGGTACCTAGGTACCTACCACCCCTGTTCACCCCTCACTTGACGTCACTAAGCCATTGGCGGGGTTCGGCGATTAGATAGAAGCTCCAGGAACTGGAGCAGCGTGCTTATTATTATGCAATACTTGGATGAGCTTTTTGAGGGGCTACTTAATTCTTGCAGCATCTTACAGTCGTCAGGCTTATCACTACATCCGCCGACAGAAGAATTATCAATACTACCATTTCTAGATGAACTCCGTCCGAGCATTGCAAAGACTGAGACTTCAAGCTTCCCATTTAACGAGATCAGCCGCAAAGCCAGGTAAGTTTGGTCCTTGACAGAAATGCAGCAATTTGGCAAACCGGCACTTGGTCTGACCCCTCTTTGTCAAGCCATCTTGGAAACAAGAGCAGCACCGAGGCCAACAATGGCAGCAGCTACCGATTTGAAGACCTACAAGTTCAACCACTCCATGTAAGTATCGTGACGGGCGCGAGGAGACAATGGCACATATTACTAACACCACTGAATTAAGGATCCGGGTGAAGGACCCGAAGGAGTCTGGTGAGTCGGCAGCCTCTGAAGAAGCCCAGACAATGTGTCTCGCTGACAACTTACACCTGTCTAAGTCAAATTCTATGAGTTCCTTGGAATGAAGGTCATCAAGAAGGCAGAGTTCCCTGAGGCAAAGTTTGACCTGTATTTCTTGGGTTATGATGGCCCCGGCGCGGTATCCCACGGCAAACACGTCACCGACCGAGAGGGGCTCATCGAGCTCACCCACAATTATGGGACGGAGAACGACCCGGAGTACAAGGTCAACAACGGCAATGCAGAGCCTCATCGTGGCTTTGGACATACCTGCATCAGTGTTGTATGTGGCCAATCTTGTTGAATCCGGCCGACTCCTCTTTGCTAATTATGGATCAGGACAATATCCAAGCCGCGTGCCAACGACTTGAAGATGCTGGATACAAATTCCAGAAGAAGCTCACGGATGGGCGCATGAAGCACATTGCCTTTGCACTTGATCCCGATGGGTACTGGGTCGAGATCATTGGACGCAAGCCAATCGAGGAGACCGAGAACCTCAAGGAGACGGACGTTGGAACCTACAGGATGAACCACACCATGATCCGAGTCAAGGACGCAGAAAAGTCTCTGAAGTTCTACCAAGAAGTGCTGGGCATGTCTCTCCTGCGCGAGGCAGGCAACCCCTCCGCGGGGTTCACCTTGTACTTCCTCGGGTACCCGGGGGAGCAAGGCCTTTCAGAGGACGGCAAGACCGCCGACCGCGAGGGTCTTCTGGAGCTTACTTGGAACCACGGGACCGAGAAGGACGAGAAGTTCAGCTACCACAACGGCAACGACCAGCCCCAAGGCTTCGGTCATATTTGCGTCACGGTCGACAGCGTCACTAAGGCCTGTGAACGGTTAGAGAGCCTCAATGTTAACTGGAAGAAGCGACTCACGGACGGCCGGATGAAAAACGTGGCATTCGTGCTCGACCCGGACAACTATTGGGTCGAGATTGTTGAGAATGGGGACCTGTAGGGGATGGCGACATCCTGCCACCTCGCGAGAGAACCTCGCTCCGCCTTCAGGGGGGAGCTGTTTGCGATGAACTGTCGTTCCTGTACATAGACAGCCTCTGTCCGCGGTCACACGGACACAGAGGACAGACCTGAATGACGAGGCGTTTGCAGCAAGACTATCTCGTTCATACTCGCCCGCCCACCCGCTTGCTCAGCAGCCTTTTCAACTTATCCCCCCGCGCCATCCCCACGACGACCGGCAGCAGCACATCAGCCTGAAAGGTTTGGCCGCGTTTCAAGAGGCCCAAGAGCCCAAGAGTCGCATCAACTAGTGCCCCGTGGGGAAACCGGACTAAGTGATCTGACAGGGAGGCATGGGGGTTCCCCCGCAGCCGCTTCCCCAAAGGCAGAAAGGTTGCTTCCGCCGGCATGGGGGCTGTGCCCTGATTGTCTCGAGCACCGATTGAGTTGCGGGTGGAAATGCACGTTCACGACTCCTCCATGCTTCCTATAGGCTCCCCTCACTTGGTGCAGCGGCTTCCCTTGTAGCTCGGGGGAGCTGTTAGACGATGTTATTGCTCATCCGTGCACGCAGCACGCGGCACGCAGCACGCCGTTGAACGTGGCGCTCAGTAAGTAAAGCCCAGTCCCCGTGGTCTTTTGCATGGAGGCGGAGTTTTGTTTTCTTCTACCCCTCCTCCATTCCTCTTCTTTTCTCCCCCAGGTTGCTATTTCTGCCATTGGGCATACATCGACCTGCGCACAATCTGTCTGCGGTCTGCTGTCTACAGAGAATACAAGAAATTCAAGCATCTGAAGCTCGGTGCCGCTCCGACCTTGACCCAAGGCACACCTCACATATACGTTTTGCCAACATCAACGGGAATCTGCTGTCACCATGGCACCATCCGCAACAGGCCATACCAACGGCGCGGTTCCCAGGATCCTAGTCCCGGAGAAGGTCTCGGCCGACGGGCTCTCGCTCCTGCAAGAAGCACACTTCGAGGTCGACGTACGGCCGGGTCTCTCGCCGGAGGACCTCTTGTCGCTGATCCCGTCGTACCAGGCGCTCATCGTCCGCTCCGAGACCAAGGTCACGGCGGAGGTTCTCGCGGCGGCCGGAAAGCTCCGGGTTGTGGCGCGCGCCGGCGTGGGCGTCGATAATATCGATGTGGAGGCTGCCACGGCGCACGGGATAATTGTGGTGAATTCACGTCAGTATCACTGTTCTCTCCTTGCGGGCCCCCATCCTTTATGTCCTGGGGTGTTCTGGAGTGCAACACTTTGGGATCAGCAGCAGGACTAACGTCACCACTAGCCGCGGGTAACATCGTCGCGGCGGCGGAGCACTCCATCACGCTGCTGCTGGCCACGGCACGCAACGTGGGAAGGGCGGACGCGGGCGTCAAGGCCGGGCGGTGGGAGCGGAGCAAGTTGGTCGGTGTCGAGGTTGCGCGCAAGGTGCTGGGAATCGTCGGGCTAGGTAAGGTCGGGATGAAGGTCGCACGTATGGCCATCGGACTGGGGATGAAGGTCATAGGAGTAGATCCATATATGAGTGCTTCCGTGGCGAGGCAGAACGGGGTTGAGACTGTGGGCTCGCTCGAGGAGATGCTGCCCCAGGTCGACTTCCTCACGATCCACACGCCGCTGATCGCCAGTACCCTAAACCTGCTTGGGGAAAAGGAGTTTCAACTGATGAAGAAGACGGCGAGGGTCCTCAACGTCGCAAGGGGTGGGATTTACAACGAGGAGGCGCTCGTAAAGGCGCTCGACGAGGGTTGGATCGCCGGGGCCGGCATCGACGTCTTCACGAGCGAGCCCCCGAAGCCCGGGTCAACGGCGGAGACGCTCGCCCAGCACCCGAAGTGCGTTGCGACCCCCCACCTCGGCGCATCAACGGTCGAGGCGCAGGAGAACGTCTCGCTGGACGTGTGCACGCAGGTGGTCGAGGTGCTGCGCGGCGGGCTGCCCACGGCGGCGGTCAACGCGCCGCTGATCCTGCCGGAGGAATACCGCAAGCTGCAACCTTACGTGCGGCTGGTGGAGCGCATGGGCGGGCTCTACACGCAGCACTTCGTGGGCCGGCGGGGCGGGATGATCGGCGGGCGCAGGTTCGAGCTCCGCTACCAGGGCGAGCTGGCGGGCGTGTCCAACACACGGCCGCTGTACGCGGCGCTGGTCAAGGGCCTGACCAGCAGCATCAGCGACAGCGGAGGCCGCGACGTCAACATCGTCAACGCAAGCCTGATCGCCAAGGACAAGGGCATCGCGATCAACGAGACGCACGCGCGGGAGGGCGGCAGGGAGGAGATGGTGTACGCGTCGCTGGTGACGCTGCGGTCGTCGCAGAACGGCGGCGGGGAGGAGGGCGGCGGGGAGCAGGTGATCGAGGGCTACGTGAACGGGGCCGAGGTGCAGATCAGCCGGCTGGACCGGTTCACGTGCAGCTTCACGCCCGAGGGCACGCTGCTGGTGCTGCACAACTACGACGAGCCGGGCAAGGTCGGCAACGTGGGCATGATCCTGGGGCGGTTCGGCATCAACGTCACGTTCATGCAGGTGGCGTCGCTGGACAACAAGGTGGTGGTGCCGGCGGCGGCCGGGGACGGCAGCGCAGGCGTCAAGAAGAGGAAGGGGGGCAATGAGGCGTTGATGATCCTCGGGGTCGACGGCGAGGTCACCAAGGAGGTGCTCGAGGACCTGGGACGGGCTGAGGGTATCTTGGATGTCAACCTCGTGAGGCTCTAGGAGGCGTGGACCTTTATACTAGATCTGAAACTGAGACACTGATATTGTGTGCTCAGGACGGTCAGAAATAGAGGAGACGGGTCCATAACTTCATACTGTCGATGCTCTAATGATAGTAAAGTATCATGGCCTCATCCTCTCCCCAAAAGTGTATAGTTTATAGTGTTTGTCGATGGTATCCTTGCGACTGCAGGGTCTTGTTCTACCCCCCGTCCCCCCTCACATGTCTGTCGGTCGAGTCGTTGAATCGCGATGGTGGACCAATACGAGCAGCTACAGCACAATGGTGGACCCCAGGCCAAGACACGGCATAGGACGGTGTGGGTGGCACAACAGGATGGCTGACGATGGTGCCGGGCTCCCAATATGAGGTCAGTCGTGGGTGGTCAGCAATTCCAATTTCAGACAAAGCAAGCAGCATCCCGCCGAGTCTTGGGCCTGCCTGCCTGGTCGACTCGAGCCTCAAATTTCGGGGCCGGAATTGTGCCACGCAAACAGTGCACGAGAAAACCACAAGAAAATGCAACAAGGCAGAGAGACCCATATATTGTGTGTCTCGGCTGCTGCCAGTCAGTCAGACCATGTTGTAACTTGTGGCCTGCCAGCCTGCAATGTGCATGCCCAAGGGTCCATTTTAGGTCCACATCACAAAAGATAGCACAGCGTGTGTGCCACCGGCCTGACCCAAGCCAGACCGAGAGTTGACCAAGCAACAAAGTCAATTCCGCTGAAGCCGCTAATAAATAATTAAAATGGCCTATCAGGCGCCGTGGCCTGCCGGCCGATTGGCGTCATCGTTCGTCAGGCAGGGGTCCTCCCCTGCAACGGCCCTCGGGTGTAGCGCGTCAATGGCTCAGTTGGTCTTTGCTCCAACAAGCCAGTGCCAGCCAAGCTCGAGCTCCGCGGCAAGACAAGAAAGAGCAAGTGGCATTACACCGTACCAGCGTACCAGCGTACCAGCTAGGTACGCTAGGCGGGCGGTGGGGCTCCCCACCAGCGGCGACTGACGGCACATACCAGCACAGCTGCAGCAGCACTGACCGTCCTTGCGTCCCTAACCCACAGGCGGGCCTGCGAGACCCACCGTACCGCCTCCCTCCCCCACACAGACACTTCACCAGCGCCGGCCCTGGCCTGGAGGCTTGCAGGCTTGCCGGGATACGCAGCACCTGTAGGGTTCAAGCTGCGAGTTTTGGACCAGGGACTGGCTGCTCTGCCTGCTTGCTTATCACGCTACCTACGAACACCCTTCCGGCGCACACGATCCCACCTGCACAAGCGAGATATTTTCTCGAGCTTCGTCCTTCTTCCCTCCTCATCACAGCCACCACCACCGCTTTCCCTCTGCTTGCCCGCCTGATCTACTTGGTGTGGATTGGCTTCTCGTGCTCAGCCTCTGGCCATTGCCCGATTTTTGGAGCAATCATTCGAGGGGTAAGTTATCAGCAGCCCGTGCATCCCGTCCCATCTCTGCCTCGATTCCACCTGGAGGGAGCTCCATCCTGCCGCCGCCACCACATGCCGGGTATCGTTCCTGTCTGGCGATACCGGCCCTGCCACCGCGACTTGCTCCCCGGCGTCGGGGACTATGATGTTTTGCGCGGCCAGTGACACTGACAACCTTCTCAGCTGCAGGGCGGACCGAAGCGTTTGACGAGCCCCAAAATATCCACAGCGCGTCATCGGACGACGCTCCCACAGCCTGCAACCATGAGGCAAAATGCCCGAACCCACCCGCTGATGGCCTTCCGCCCAGCCATCCTCGGGCTTTCCAGGGCCGTCTTCACCCTCGGCGTCGCCTCTGCCGCACCCATCAGCATCCTGGACGAGCTGCACGACGGCAACGAGGAGGAGGGCGGCGAGTTCTGGGTCCTATTCACCATCTCCATCTTCCTCGTCCTGCTCGGCGGTGCCTTTGCCGGCTTGACCATCGCCCTCATGGGCCAGGACAGCGTCTACCTCCAGGTTATCTCCCAGGACCCCACAGAGCCCCAGCAGAAGAACGCCGGCCGCGTCCTGCGCCTGCTCGAGAAGGGAAAGCATTGGGTCCTCGTGACCCTGCTGCTCAGCAATGTCATTGTCAACGAGGTATGCCCCTTCTGGCCACTCCCCCCCCCCCAACCAGCTCCTGGAAAGGTCCCCTTTGCTGACATTTTCATCCCTCAGACCCTGCCTGTTGTTCTGGACCGGTGTCTTGGCGGAGGGGTGGCTGCCGTCGTCGGTTCTACCGTGTTGATCGGTGAGTTAGCCTGACATCGTCCGCGGTCGCGGCGCAAATCTGCGAACAGGACGTCCTGACCAATTTCCTCTTTTTTACAGTCATCTTCGGAGAGGTCGTCCCTCAGTCCATCTGTGTCCGTTACGGTCTTGCCATCGGTGGCTACATGTCCAAGCCTGTCCTCCTCATGATGTACCTGATGGCCCCGGTTGCCTGGCCCACGGCGAAGCTCCTGGACTGGGTCCTGGGCGAAGACCACGGCACCGTTTACAAGAAGAGCGGGCTCAAGACACTCGTCACTCTGCATCACACCATGGGCCCAGCAGCGCAGCGCCTCAACGAGGATGAGATCACCATCATCGGCGCGGTCCTCGAGCTCAAGGAGAAGCCCGTGCATGACGTGATGACCCCAATGGAGGACGTCTTCGTCATGTCCGAGGATACCGTCCTGGACGAGGAGAAGATCGACATGATCCTGTCTGCTGGCTACTCCCGTATTCCCATTCACGAGTCGGGAAACCGGACCAATTTCATCGGAATGCTCCTGGTCAAGATTCTCATCACCTACGACCCTGAAGACTGCAAGAAGGTCAGGGAATTCCCCCTGGCCACTCTCCCCGAGACCCGTCCTGAGACCAGCTGCCTGGACATTATCAACTTCTTCCAGGAGGGCAAGTCACACATGGTCCTAGTTTCCGATGCCCCAGGCGACGATCACGGTGCCCTTGGCGTGGTCACCCTGGAGGACGTTATCGAGGAGTTGATCGGAGAGTAAGTTTTCCCCATCGCGGGTTGAAAGACAGGGAAAGGAAAGCTTGATATGACTGACACGGGTACCTCGACAGGGAGATCATTGACGAGTCCGACGTGTACATCGATGTCCACAAGGCCATTCGACGCATGGCGCCGGCACCCAAGGCCCGGTATCAAAGACGGCTGTCCCACGGCCACGCGGGAGCAGATGGAAACGACAGCAAATCTAGTGAGGACACAAAGGTCGGCGAGGAGGACCCCGCAGACAACTACGAAACCCGGAAGAGGAGATACAACTCGGCGACCGAGACGGGCGAGGCCCCAGACCGGTCTAGCAGCGGTAGCCCCATGCCAGGCACATTCCTGTTGCGACGCGCCTCGGCCGGAATCGACGGCAGGATGGAGAATGTTCCGGTGAGGGCAAGCTACAATGACATAAAGCAGCATCTGAAGCACCTCGGCCCGTCCAACCCAGCCTCCAACCCCAAGGCTACCAAGTCCACCACCGTCAAGATCAAGCCCGGCGTTGTTGTCCACGATGCACCGAGATCGACCCCGCCAGTGGCCGAGCAGGTCATACGGGAGGAACCGCGGGTGGAGAACGACGACGAGGACAACGACGAAACGACGTCCCTGCTGCGACCAGTACTCACCCCCAAGGATGGTGCACAAGCCCTGGCACAGAAGTATGGCGCGACCGGACAGTCGCCTCTATCCCGAAGTGTTGAGAACAACTCGGCTGTCAAGCCAGGCTCGGATGATACAGCGACCAAGGGAGTCCAAACCACTGAAACGGCACCAGCGCACAGCTATGCAGCAGTAACCGCCCAGCCCCCGCAGCCGCAGCCGCAGCCGCAGCCGCAGCCGCAACAAGAGCTGCATTCAAAGAGCTCCGGCTCCGGCAGCGAGCTGGCCCCGGCAGACCAGACAAGCCCATACTCACACCGGAGTAACCTTTTTGCCCGTAGCGGTAGTATCACGGAAAATATTGTGGAGTCTAGAGGCATCCGCAAGGTTGTGCTGGAGACAACCAGCAGCAACGAGGATGAGGAGGAGCAAGGCGGGTCGGAGCGGAACGCTAAGAGTGCCAGCCGGACCAACCTGAACCTTGAGTCGCACGCGTCGCCCTCGACGGAGGGCGATGAGAACGCAAGCGGCCCAAACAGCCCGGCGGTGACGGATGCCGCTCAGGCTGAGTCTTCGAACACGACGGCGCAGGCCAGCGGCAACGGCAACGGCGGCGGCGGCGGCAACAAGAAAAAGAACAACCGCAGGAAGAAGAGAAAGGGCGGCAAGTAGGGCAGCTGGCTCTGGAGCTCGCCTCGGTATGCAGAGAGCATAGGGTGAGGATTATAGGAAACATGATCATTCGACAGGGGGAGCAGAGCACCGACTACATACCCTTTCGCATGGGATTGGTGGCGCAGAAACGAACGCAAAGTGATTTCCAGCATTGGCAAGATGGATTACTGCGGACTTGTAGGTGTTTTAGCAAAGATATCGTGTATCACTATTAGGATGGTCTTTTCTCTTTTTTGGAGCATCGGAATTGACATTTACGCTGTCTGATACAAGTTGTCTGTGCCATTTGCTTATCTACTCGAGTGCTTAGAATGCCCTAATCATACCAGATGGCGTTCATGCCGAAGCCGGGCTCCTGGATGCGGGTCCTGGCGACGCGGACGAGGAACTCGTCCTTCCAGCGGTAGATCTCGACCCAGCCCTCCTGGTCGTCGGTGAGGGCGAGCCACTCGTCGGACCAGTCGCAGGGGGCGACGGCGTTGGAGTGGCCGCCGCTGGTCGGGGTGGGGTTGAGGCAGATCTGGCGCTCGACGCTGCCGCAGTCGCGCAGGCGGAAGGCGGCGATGTAGCCGGTGAGGTCGAAGCGGTTGGCGCGGCTGGTGGCGAACAGGTAGCGGCCCGAGAAGCTGACGGCGCACACGTCGGAGCGGTACAGGCCCTTGCCCGTCTCGGGGTCCCGCGTGGGCTCGGTGCCGGGGGGGATCAGCGGCCACGAGTGGTGCGTGTAGACGGGCATGCGCGTGGCCGGGTCGATGACGTACTCGCACAGGCGGTTGCCGGCCTCCATCAGGGCGTACAGGTAGTTGCCGGTCGGGTGCATGGCCACCCAGCGGGGGTGGTCGCCGGGCGAGGGGGCGTCGACGCTGCCGACGAGGGCCAGCTCGCCGGTGGCCGGGTCCTTGCGGTGGGCCCACAGCTTGTTGGCGGTCAGGTCGGCCGAGTAGAGGTGCGTCTCGTCCGGGTCGAAGACGGAGCCGTGGATGCCCGTGTTGGGCTGGAAGGGGTAGTTCTGCGGGTTGGCGGCGAGGGCGCCCGTGGCCGAGACGGTGAAGACGTTGCCGTAGCCCGCGTGCTTGTAGAAGGGGTTCGCGTAGACGTTGTACGGCGGCTTCTTGGCCGCCAGGAGGAAGATGGCGCGCGTGTTGGTCGTGGCGTCGTTTGCCTTTGCTGTTTTGTTTTGTGGCACATGTCAGCGAGGGCACGATGGGACGGACTGTCCAGTGGGACGAGGCAACCTGGACAGACGTACGGTCTCCGCCCATTGGGTGTGAGGCCTCGTGCACGATCTCGGTCGGGCTCCTGACTGCAAAGCTCGACCATTTCTTCATGGCGGACCCGTAGAGGTTCTTCTTCTGGTGCTTTTCGGCGGTCTTGTTGTCAGTCCCGCTCACGAGGGGGTCCAACTGGGCGGGCAGCTCACGTCAAAGGCCATCCATGATATCGGCTCGTCCTCGGGGATCTCAGTCCTCTTGATAAGCTTCAGCTCGAGCTTCTCGTCGTCGAACTGCACCGTGAAGATGGCCCCTGGGGGGGTCCATGTCCCGATCATAAGGTGGTGTAGGCCCATCCTGGCGGTCCTTGCAGCGAGGCCCGTGGAGCTCGCCGGCAGTGATGAGAGACGGGGTCGGCGGCTGAGCCCGGACAGAGGGCGCGTGAGGTTGGAGAGCTTCACTTTGGAGGGACGCACAAGAACGTCGACGGCAGGTCTCGAAAACTACATACAGGTCACATAAACAAGATGGTGGAGTGGGAAAGGATAAGAGGTCTGGAAAATGGAAAAAGAAGAAGGCGGTATGGCTGAAAAGTATGGCTAAAAATGGTACCTTGGTATATTTCCAAGAGACGCGGCATCGTCAAAAGTCGCGGCGCCGGCGCCGGGCTCGGCAGCCATCGCATCAACTTTGCCCCTCGTTCTGCCGTCCCTCGTTCCGAGGGAGCTCAAGCTACCCCTGGCGGGTGGGTTGTGGGGGTGGGGGGATAAACGCTTTGGCTGCCCCGAAAGGCCTGTTCCCGAAGAGGAAGCGCCTTGTCCAGCAGGCTATTGTATAAGTCTCCTTGCCAGCCTACGCCTCTTGGAAAAGTGCAGCAACAACAAGATTGTTCGAGCACAAGTGAAGCTGGTAGAGGTGAGGTCACAGATGGCACTTCTTGAAACCCATGTGATTGTTTGCCTCTTGAGTGCAGTGTGTTTACAACTCGTAAGATGACTCTGTGTCAGAAAGTTGAGCATCGTCCATGTTGATGCACTTCGTGTCCAGGGATCGTCACTGCATCTTCATTGGCGCCCCGCCGCTGTGCAATTCAGTGTCTCAGTTCAATGACTGGGGTATCAATTGAGCCCTCAACTTGACTTGTGCACTCTCACTCAACAGTAAAGCCATTTTCCGCTTTTCTAAAGAATAAATATCCGAATCCGGTGCGCTGGATCATTACTCGTCCCCCCATCAGCCATTTCCTAGATGGCCGGCTAAAGGCTCATCCGTAAAAAGGCCCGCTCCAAGTCTCATCAGACATGCTGCCAAAGGCTCAGATGTATTCAATTGTTACAGAGCATGAGCATGAGTCAATAGGAATTGATTCCGAAACCTGTTGCACCCATAACCTTTGATTTTACCTCCTCCGTGGCCCGCTCATAACTTGGCGCAGATTCCACGACTCTTCAACAACGCATTGCCTTTGGCTTGTATCAAATGCTTCTGGTACTTGCCGCTACCAGTTTTGGGCAGTTCTTCGCCAACATCAGGTTCTCCAAGCCAGAAAATATGACTAGGAGCCTTGGTGTGATCCATTTCTGCCTTCACCCAAGATCGAATCTCATTGTCAGATGGTCGTCTTGCTCCAGCACTTCCCAAGAAGCAGGACACCACTTCGCCGTACAGGGAATCCTCCAGGCCAACAACGCAGCATTCCTTGATGTCGGGATGTTCTGCAAGACGGCCTTCAATCTCGATAGGCGAGATGTTCTCTCCGCCTGTGTCAAGTATCATGTCTGCAGTCAGCAAAATGATTTCGGGCGATCCCACCAGTAACAGAAATGGCTTACCTCGAATAATTATATCCTTGATTCGCCCGGTGATGTGCATGTATCCAGCTTGATCAAGAAACCCTTCGTCACCAGTATACATCCACACCACCCCTTCCGCGTCCGGTCTCATAGCCTGTGCTGTCTGGGCCTTGTCCCCCCAGTATCCTTTCTGTAGCCCATGTCCACTCGTGCAGATATGGCCTGGCGTCCCACGTGGCACAATGTTGTCTTCGCCATCTACTACCTTGCCGGCGCAGTGTGGGAGTACCTGCCCCACAGTGCCGAGGACTCCATTCCGCGTGTCCTCGATCGAGGTGACAAAGCTCACCGGACCGGTCTCGGTCATGCCGTACGCCGTCAGCAGATGCGGGAGGCCCATCTCCCGCTCCAGACGACGTATCAGGACCGGCGGCACTGCCGCGCCTCCGGCTATCCCGGTGCGAACCGCCTCGATGCGCCGGGGAGTCTTTTTGAGTTCCTCGAGGATAGCCAAGAACATGGATGGCACGCCCAGTAGTGCCGTGGCCTTCTCCTGCACAACAGCGTCTAGGGCCGCATTTGCGTCAAATGTCGGTGCTGGGAAAACAATCTTGCTGCCGTGGCAGAACGAGGTCAGGAAACCTATAACGAGCCCGAAGGCATGGAACAGCGGCGGAGGGCAACACAACACGTCCTCTTCCGTGAGTTGCATCGCAAGGCCGAGATAGCGGCCATTATTAATTATGTTGCTTGAAGAGTGATACGATGTTAGATCAACAGGACTATTTCATCGTGGACGGGAGGGACGGACTTATTGGTGAGTGCGGCTGCTTTTGAGAGTCCAGTTGTACCTATTCGTCGGGTCAGCATGTTTGGTTGAACCTCAGCATCAGGGAGACTGAGCCTCACCTGAAGTAAATGAGAAGTTCACTACGTCCGCAGGTGCCACCTTGCTCTCGGCCCTGCTTAAGAGGGAGTCGCTCACGAAACCAGCCTCGATGGAAGCCATATACTCATCGTAGGTCTGACACTTGATTCCCGTCATGGGATGCAGAACTTCAGCCAGAAGAACTAGGAGGCGGATTGGAAGTTCTCCTCGGGGAGCGTCCGTAATCATCCGCAAATGGCCCTGCAGGTTTCTGTTGCCAACTTCTGGTGCAATGAAAATCCCCTTGCAATCTAGGTATTCGTAATTAGCACATGTTGTGATATCTGGATGCTTGGAATCATACGAACCGGTCCGCTCTATCATCGCCTTCAGTTCTCGAGGCGAGAATGTGTTGTTGAACACAGCGACGGGGCAGCCGATACGCCCGGCTCCGAGGAATATCTCTAGATATTGGTAGCAATTCCCAGCCATGATACCCACGCAGTCGCCACGCTTGAAGCCTCCGCCCAGGAGAGCCTTGGCTAGCAAGGCGCTGCGTTGCCCAAGTCTGCCATAGGTAAGACGAGCAGACTGCCAAGGCACGACAACCGCTTCCCGATCGGCATACTTGGACTCTTGTTCATGGATCAGATCTGCCACTGTCTTGTTCCAGAGAGGTGGAGAGCTTGGCCCGAAGACCAGGGACAAGGATGAGGACATGATGGTACAGTGTCTGCCGTTGAGAGCGTTCTGGGTTGTGTTTTTCCTATGCTGAGTATGCGGCCATAGTCGTGCGTTCTAGGTGAACAAGCATTTGCCCAGAATGTGCCAAGTTTTTATTCGATTTGACAAGTCTGAAGGTGGTCCGCCCCCTTGCGGAGTGTTCGAACTGAGTAAGCTTACCATTTGCAAGTGCGAGCGGGGTGTTGTACGAAAAGTTGTTTCTAGCTTGTCCAATTTGATAGGAAAGTGAACACGGCAGATCTGTAGGACGGCATTTAGCTTATGATCTTCACGACTTAATTTGATCACGTAAGCCCTATTTATTTCTGGCTTTTGGATACTCACCGTCCGGATACGACTTGTGGAATTCGGGACCCCAATTCGGGAGATGGGGAAGGCACTGTAGCTTGATCAAATCTCACAAGGTTCTTGGAGGATCTGAAGATGAGCCTGGAGAATTAGTTGGATCAGCAATGTCATAGGATATCAAAATTTGCTTACTGCAGAACTCTTGCGAGTCCATATGACCACAGTTTCCTGTCAAGCAAGAAATTCTTCACTTGCCACGATTCCACTTTACAGAGATCCCATCAACACCTGGGTAACGACTTGACCCGCTAAAATAGCAGAAATGGCCGTATGACAAATATTGGCCGATCATCAATCCTAATGGACAGGTAGAAGTCACAAGAATGTTGACATCCAAAGTCTGTTGAGACTGCATGTCCTGGGCCTTGGCTGGTACACATTGGGAGGCTTTTACTGGGATCAACATTGAGTTGTTCAAGCAGGAACTCATTGTAAAGTAGGAACATATGCACAGGCAGACTTGAAGAGAATGCGACAAAGAACAAGGGTGATCAGGTATTTTTCTCTCTTCTTCTCCTTGGTGCTACAACCCTCTCAATTCCCAAAGAGGCAATGGGCAATATCAGAGGCTGATGAGTCCCTTCAGAGACCAAAGGAACAGAAAGAATCAGTTGAGCAATTACGGGCACGCTCCAGAAAATCAGTACAAAATTTCCACCCCTGTTTAGGGCCTGTTTTCGTGCAGTGGATCCCCAGGTATTTGGGTACCTTGGTAGGCTTGTGTTTGTCTGACAAGCTTGGAGTCTTAGGGCGCGTTCATTCTTCAACATCTTGACTCTACCCACACCACCTTCCCTACCCCCAGCACCAATCAGACTCAGCATCCTTCTCGCCTCAAAGGCAATACCATTCAACCTGGCTTGTTGTCACAAAACTCTCTTCTGATTTACAAACTGCCAAACTTACCCTCAAGATGCATGCCATGCTGTATTCAATCTTGTCCGCAGCCATGCTGGCCGCTGGTGTCCTTGCGCAGCTCGTCCCTCCCTACTTCAACAACACATCGGTCACCGATGGCGACAAGGACGGTGCCCTGGCCCTCCACAACTTCTTCCGTGAGAGGTCCAATATTCCCCCTCTCCACTGGTCCGACAACCTCACCGAGATCGCCCAAGTGGCTGCTGACTGGATTTCGTCGGCCGACATACCTGGAACCCCCATAAACTTCACCACTCGCGCAACCCACGAGGCGTACTACAATCTGGAGGTGGTCTACCTGTCCCCTGGTACCCCTCACCAGTTTGGAGCCTTCTACCAGGCGACTCTGGCTTTCTGGGCAGACAACACCCACTACCATGGCGAGGTCATACCCAGTGGTGACTTCCTCGGGTACTCTCCCTACAGTGAGTGCCTCTACAGAAACACATCTACAGGATAACAGGAGGTGCTCCCTTGTTATGGATCTAGCTAACATGAACGAAACCTCACAGCCCAGATGATGTGGTGTGGCACCACTTGCCTGGGAATGGCCGGTGCAACGAACAGCGAGAACCGAACCTTTGTGGTTGCGGCATACTCTCCCCCTGGCAACGTGTAAGTACATGGTTTACCACAGAACTTGAGCTGGGATTTTCTGGTGCATTATGAGTTCTCCTCATTCTAGGGGTATCATCTGACGTTGCGATAAAATTACAGACACGGAAAGAAGCCCTACAACGGTAGTGTCTTCAATGCCACCTGCGACAGTACCTGATCATACCATGCCAGAAACCTCCTTCTGGCGTCTGATTGATTGGGCGTGCACTGGCTTTTCATTTTGATCAGTTCAGATGGGCTGGGTTTACCCTACCTGGACGTATTGGTTTTGGAGCTAAATACATCTCCTGCCGTGTCATCCCGAGATCTCCACGGTTGTGGAGCTTGTGCTATTGGAAGAGCACTTGAGAGCCATGCTTCTCAGTAGTTAATGAGGTTCAAAATCAGACGCTCTCATAATTGACCTTTCTGGGTGCTATCCCAATGGCCACTTGAACATGCTAGCAAGTTGTGACCCTTATGCTGAACTTTCACAAACATCATTACAGCGACACAGCCCCATTCAAAAATTGTCAGTTTGGCAACTGATAGTTGCAGTAGCCGTAAAAAACTGTCCTATAGAAGGTTTCCTATGTCTGTGTGGCACGAGGTTGAGGCTACACAGGTCAGACCACCACGGCCAGACCACCTTGGCACAGAGATCACAGCAAGCAACATTTGAGGTTCCATTTACAGTCTGCACTGTAATTTGTCCCATTCTGAGACCAATTCCCGTTTGGGAATATTCTTAATATGATCTGTGAATGCTGTCCTCGTCGGAAACGAGTCAGTGCAAATTGGTACTCATCTGGTGAGATAGTCGTCTGCATAGTTATGCTTTGGGGCACACCCCAAGAACTGGAGACCAGCTGTCTGGTATGTTTCAACTCAAAGTCACAAAAGCCAAATGGACAAGGGCCTATGTCATAGCTGGACTCTGAGTGAGTGAGATGAGCCACCAGAGGAATCTCCCATACTCATGCTACCGGAAGCCACTCATGGTAAGCAGGCCCCAGTATCCCAGAAAACAATCAACCACAGTCTGCGAGATTTTCCCCATCAGAGTTCCCTAAGCCTCTCAATCCTCTCCCAGACCCACGGGCACCAAGTAAAGCCCCCAGGGAGCCCCAGCTTCCATGCGAGAGAGCTCATTCTCCAGTACACGCAGCGTTCCAGCTGCGAAGTCGGAGGTAAGAACATCATCAGCGTCGAAACCGTAGAGACGGGCATGCAGGGCCAGCCTCTCTCTCGCGTACGCGGCGGCTGCTCTGATGTTCCCGAGCTCCCGTTGAAGCCAGATGCAGAGCTGGAGTGCGAGGCTGAGGGGCGGGCCCAGCACGTCGACGGAAGGGTGCCGGAGGATGCCCAGCAGTTCCTCTACCTTGGAGAGCGCCCCGAGGGCCTCCTTCCGCGGAATCGAGGCCGAGTTGGCTTGTTGGGGTCTCCCGTAGCTGTAGACCCTGTTCCGAAAGTCAGAAAGTTCCCGGTACAAGTCGGGGATTCTTTTCAAGACGGCCTCGGCCTCCTGGCTGTTGCACAAGGTGCAGTCGCAGACAAACTTGTGGCCGTCGAGAAGGATGTTGGCATGCCGGAGTTCTCGAGGGAATTCAGTGCCAGAGATGTACGAGACAAAGATCTGGTCGCCGGCCTTGACATCCCTGACCAACTGGACTTGATGGCGTTGCTTGGCAGGGTCGTAGTACGCTTGAGCGTTTGGCGAGCAGGAATGGTTGATGCGGGAGTATCGATAAAATAATGCACTCGCATCTTTACCGGGCAGGTCAACTGCGTGACCCTGGTAGAAAGCAAAGATCTTCGAGAACGATTTAACGGACCAGGAGAGCAGGTGTGCGGGCATTGGCTGTTTGAAGAAGTTCTCGACCGCCTCGATGATTTGCTGGTCACACTTGAGGCGCCTAGAGAAATCGAACAGATCATAATGTGTGTCGATGTTGACTCTTATGACCTCCTTGCAGACAGCGGCGACGTTCTCGGCGAGTGAGCGGTCCTTGTGCGCTCCTGGCACGGTGATGAGAGGTGTTTCGGAAAGAATGCGTGTACCGGCAGGCATGTCTTTGACGGCAAAGAGACCATAGCCCATGTCACCTGCGGAGGATATCTTGACCAGAGATTCATCCTTGTCGTATGGTGAAGCTGGCATATTGTTAGTGTCTGAATGAGGGGTGACCATGCACGAGGACAGTTGACCAACGGATGGTTGTGCGAGGGTCCAAGCGTGAATCTTTGGGTCGCTCGAGGCTCATCTTGATTGACAGTGTCCTGTATGCGGAACTTCGGTCGTGGCGGAGCGTTCACGTCGACAGAGCAGAAATGGGAGGACGGGTGTTAACAAGCGAAGCCGATGTCAGCTTTCCAAGACGACGGGACGTGGTGTTACAAGTCGGCTGTGACAGGGAGAGCTGGTGCGTTGAAAGGAAAGGGCGAGCAATTTGTATGTCAAGAGAAGAGCAGATGCTGGAAGACACAGTGCCCTCACGTATCTAATTGAACCGGCTTGAACAATACTAGTTGGGTATTGAATAATTCAATCATACGCGGTGTAGCCATTGTTGTGTGAAGACAATAGCTACATTGCAAAGCAATGCTCAAGTGGTCTCCCTGGACCAATGAGATCTCGGCAGGAGGCGTCAATAGGATCGCAATTGAGGCGGTTTCAAGCCGTGATACCTAGGGTATGTTTGGAGAGTCCGAGCTCAACTGCGAGCTTTTTTTCTCAATGGCCGTGGTCCATGTGAATGCTTGGCCAGTTACCTGCAGACGGTGCTTTCCACTGGCAGAGAGTACACACAAGTTCAGTCCCGGCATCTGCAAGCCTGGCAGAGTCAAACATGATGCTCACACCTCCTCATCTGAGAACAGCTGCCGTCTGCTCACTGGAAAGTGTTGACCATGTCCAAAACAACGTCGCTCACTTAGCAGCCTGCAAGTCTCCCAAGGTCCTCGAAGTGTTCTGACATCTTAGCTGCAATGTTTTCAGCAATAAGAATCACACAGAGACAACAGCACCAGCGCCAGCTCTTTTCTTTCCAACTTCCAATTCGTTACCTGGTGCGATGAGCAGACGCCTCTGAGATAGACTCAGGTGGCCACTCATCGCTGACTAGGCACCTAGGGTTGGCAGCTCGGCAGATGGTCGCTTGTCAAGATGGCGAACCAGGTAGTAAGTAATGCACAGATCCGCAACATGTGAATTCTTAAAAGATCTTCGTCAAGCTGACTCGATCACGATGCCTCGGAATAATGTATAGAATCCGAGCGACTCTGCCAGACGGCTCTAAACTTTTCTCTGGGGACAAGTGTATCCGATATGCCTTACAGAGTTTGGTGACTAGCAAGAGGGCAGGTTCATCGGCATCCGAACACCAACCCAATACCTAGGTAGGCGAGTGGTGATAGTGCACTTGTTCGCCCCTTAGAGGCAGGCTGTGTACAGCCGGCTTTGTACAAGCATACATTACGAGCTTCAGGGCTTGTGTAGAGCAACCAGCGGGAGCAAGACAACGTGCCGTCCTTGGTGGCTTACCCGGCCTCCTGGGACCGGGGTCGAGCCTGGGTGACCGGGACGGACCGAGAGACCTTTCATTGAATGTTTCTGCAGGCCGGCGGCGCGGCCGTGTGCCAGCCACGGTTGGAGCAGGATGTACAAGCGACATTCCTCCACATGGTGCCATAAGTGGTACAGGGTCCTTGAGAAGAGCAGGATCAGAGTGCTCGACCGGCCTGTGCCGAATGGCAGGCAAGCCTAGTTGGTGGTGGTGGTCGGAGGGAGAAGGATAGATCTAGAACCATGCAGACTTTGTCTCTCTCGATTGGGCACCTCTTGGGCAGGGTAACGGCCAATACTAGCGTCTGGGTGGGAGTGGGTGAGGTGAGTGGTCAAACTTGGGCGCCCAATGGTCCCAGACGAGCTGACGAGGTCCGGCAATGCACCTCTAGCCCCAAACGTCATCACACATGACACTTGCCTGGGCTGTCAGGCTGTCTGTCACTCATCACTCATGATTTGGTGAGGAGTGGCGGAGAGCGGTCAAGAGGTTGAGCCTACTGCGGAGAAGACAGGCAGACAGCACTACTGTAGTAGACATTGGACACTGGGCACTGGGCACAGAGCACACAACATTGCGTCGGGACGACAAGCACGTCTTGTCCTCATGAACATGCACCTTGGCTACTGTCACGTACCTAGGTATACTAGGAGAGCCCTTGACGGGAACGAGAAACCGAGAAACCCAGGACAAGTGGGGAGCGAACTCTGGAATGATGCTTGCAGATGCTGCCCGACTGGCGAGCCCGAGGGAAAGGGGCCGAAAAAAACAAGATAAAGTGGGCAGCGGAAGAGGGAGCAAAGTGATATTGGGCCATGAGAACATGTGTGCCTGACCACGGTAATAAGTGTGGTTGAAAATGAAAAGAAAAAGCCGGACGAGGACAGGAGATGCCTGCTTGGAGGGGTCGAGGTCGAGACGAGACAGCATTGGTGGGGGAGATTGGACGAGATAGTCGGCCCATACGGGACAGGCGCCACCCACTAACACGTCCCATCTTCAACACCCACAAGGCTTCTTACCGGTCTGCCTGGGCCTCCCCTGCTGGAGCTGGACACGTCCCAGGCGGTGGCAGAGGGGAGTGGAGCGGCCCAAGGAGGCCAGGGAGGCCCACGGCAGATGTGGGCACTACTGTGAGCTCCACCGCAGCACAGCAGGCAAGGCAGCCATGCCAAATAGGAAACTGACAGACCGACATCGACATGGCCCAGGATCGGGGGACCCATCGAGATCCAGCCCCCGGATTTTGAGTTTGGATTTACAATTTGCATGCACCCCATCACTGTTTGATGTCTTTAGACCATTTTTCTGGGCTTGTCTTGAGACACACACCCGGGGGGGAGAACAAGAGCAAGAGCAGCATTCGGGACCGTCGACTGACCGGCCATCTGCATCTGTGTCTTGTGTGTCTGCACCTGCACCTGCACCGGCACCGGGCCCATCCTCTGAGATATAGACATTATACAGTAGACATTGCACATTACTTCGTACGCACGCTGAGGGCAACCGCCAAAACCCTGACCAGGTCAACAAGGAGCAACAGCCTCATCTGTCCTGCTCCACATTATTCGGCGATCCGGCAGGGCTCACTTGATTTAGGGAAGCAAGCAGAGAAGAGAGAGGAAGGGAGAGAGAGGGAGAGAGAGAGAGAGAGAGAGAGCTTGTGACGGACGACCTGGGAGACACAAGCACACACACACTCACACTCACACACACATCCCTCCCTCCTCCTCTTCTCTCTTGTCCCCCTGACCCATCATCACCCGGCCTGCTTCTCCTCCTCTGACCACTTCTCCTGGAGACACCGTGATTCCTGTCGCACAGGCTAGGAACTCGGCTTCCACTGCCCACGGAACTGCACATTGTACCATCTCCACCACGAGGTGACTGTCAGGCAGCCCCCACCTGCTACTCCTGCTGCTGCTAGCACTTCTCACAAGGCTCGCGACGGTTGCTCTCCTCTACCTGCCTGCTTCTCGTCCAACCGCCCTCGTCGAGTCATTTCTTAGCTGCTTGCATATCGGCGGCCATCTGGTCTGGCCTGCCACCGGTTTCGAGCGAGCATTAAGGCCCCCATTCGTATAAATACATACATCGTCTATCCACAGCAGCTTCAGGGACAGTCCCCCGCCCCCCGAACTTGGCTGTTCGATTTCGACCCTGCATTGATCCCACAGGCCTCTGCTGTGCAGACTTCCTGTGACCGGCCCAAGATACAGACTGGACCAGGTCGGTCCAGATCAGACTCGAAATAACTTACACAAGCACCAGGCGACCCGGAAGGCAGCCAGTATCCGTATAAGCGGGTACCATCATCCCACCAGGGCACAGGACCCCATTTGTGAACCCTCGACCAGGCAGTCTGCCTGCACTACTGTGTACTCCAGTACCCAAGGTACCAACCGGTGGTAGGCGCAGCCCAGCCAGCCCAGCCAGCCCAGCCCAGCCCGCCTAGGCCGAACCCACCTGCTGCTGCAGCTAGCTTGCTGCGGCCCTTTGGTTCTGTCGTACCCCAGTCGGGCAAGGAAGGGGTGGAAAAACAGAGCGAGTGAGTGATAACGGTCCCGGGGCCCAGTCACAGACGGCGAGTCCATCAGCCCCTCCATTTTCTGTCGTCATCTGCGCCAACTTTTGAGACACTCTCAACTCTCTCTGTCCCGTCCTGTCCTCGACTCGACAAGACTCGACCTGCAATACTCTCTTCCCCCACTCAACAACAACATCAATCTCTTCGAAGGCGCCCTGCTTGTCCCTGGCCCAGGCGACTTGATTTGCATCGGATTTCGGCGCCATTTTGCCTTCAAGCTTAACGTTCCCCCGTCAGAACGTTTCTCCAGCGCGCTACTGTGGTTGCCATCCCGACCTACTGGTCTCACCGTTGATCCCGTCCGCCGCTTCGCTGCACCCGCCGCCTGCCTGCAGCCATGTCCCGCAATACCTGGGACCGCGAACGCTTCATGTACGAGCGGGATCGTGACCGAGACCGCTATTATGAAGAAGACGACCACTACCACAGAGGTGGCACAAAATACCGCGAACACTCGGCTGACGAGCGTTACGAGCGCCGGGAGAGACGTCCCTTTGAAGACGAGGTGGTCATCCGCGACTCCCGCAAGGTCTACTACGACGAGCCCGAGCCAAGGTTCTCACGCCACCGTTCACCTCCAGCCGATCTCGAGCGCGACCGTCGTGTCGTGATTGAGCGCGAGAGGCAGAGGGTGTCCAGCCCCTCCCCGCCAAACAGGCCTGCATTCCTCCGCAGACAATCCAGCCTCGACACATTTGACAGGCGGCCCAGAGGATACCACTACGAGGAGGAGGAGAGGGAGAGATACGGCCCGCCTGCGAGGCGCGAGGAATTCCGCCCCAGGCCTTATGAGCCCATCCCGCTGCCTCGCAGCCGCGCCCTGCCCCCGCCCAGGAGATTTGCCGAGCGCGACTCCTTCGACGAGATCCGTGTGAGCGACCCAGACTACTATGGCGACGAGGAGTACCGGTCCTACCCAGAGCGCGTGCGCGAGCGGGAGATCATCCGCACCAAGAGGCGAGACCACAGCCCCTCGGCCCACACTCACAGGTCCAGTCGCACCCGCAGCCACCGTGGCAGCACCGTGCGCAGCAGCTCTCGCTCATCCACCACTACCAGTAGCTCAGGAAGCAGCAGCGGTGGCACCACCGTCACTGTCAAGAGCGAGTATCCCAAGAAGGGCAAGACCCGCATTCCAGCTCGCCTCGCTTCCAAGCGCGCGTTGATCGATCTGGGTTACCCATTCGTTGAGGAGGTAAGTGTATCTGCACACGTCTGCCGAGTTGCAACAAGTGCTAACGCCCCTACGCAGGGTAATACGATTGTTGTATTGAAGGCCCTCGGCCAGGAAAACATTGACGACCTGCTCAAGCTCAGCGAGGACTACAAGAAGAGTGAGTCTCCCAGGTCATCTTGCGCCAGCAGGAAGCCGTCGACTGACCCTACATCACAGGCGAGCTTGAACTTACCGCCGGACGGTCCGAGGCGGGCAACATTATTGAAGAGAGGCGGGAGGAGACCATCATCCATGCGCCAGCACCGCCGCCGTCGCATCACCCATCTATGCATGCACCACCACCACCTCCGATGATGCACGGCCCCCCTCCGATGATGCATGGTCCGCCGCCGCCCGTCATGATGCCGCCGCCGCCAGTTGCTCAACCACCTCCCATGTTCCACGCGCCGCCGCCACCGCCCCCACCTCCAGCTGCTGAGGTGGTGGAGAAGACCACCGTCATCCGTGACGTCTCACCCGCTCGGTCGTACACCACGACCACATCTGGAACGACGCACACGTCCCGCACGCCCTACATTGTCGACGTCCGGCGCGAAGAGATTTCCGAGGAAATTCCCGTCGGCGCGGGTGCACTGATCAGGTCAGAACGCCACCGCTCGCGCTCGCGCTCCGACCGGGACATACGGCACGAGATCCGTGACCTCGAGCGACAGCTTGAGCGGAAGCGCCACGGCGAGCGCGAGCTGGTCAAGGCGGAGCGGCTCAGCAGCGGGGAGCTTGTGCTGTACGAGGAGCAGGTGGAGAGGATCGAGGAGCCGCGGCGCGGGGTGCGCATCGAGAAGGACAAGAAAGGTAGGATGTCCATCAGCGTGCCGAAGTATCGTTAAAGGTGCGGTGCGCGATGTTCTTTCCACCGTCCTGGTCCGAACAGCGGCTGACTCTTTTTCTGTGCTTTAGGCCCTCCTCCTGGAATCGTCAAGGCCATGCTGGCAACCCTGACCTGAGCCCGGGGAGCTGTCGGAAGAGGCGCCTGGCGTTGAACCATTGGGAGTCCAGCCGTCCTATAATTTGAGAGGGAGAGCCATGTTTTCATGATATCTATTTGCAATTCAGAGATGACGAATCTGCATCTTCACACCTACCGCCCAGGTGTGGCCGGGAAAGCCATCATGTTGGGGAACCAGGAAGGTTTCTTTTATGACGATATGATCTTTTGCCTGTTCCTTGAATATCACAGATTTATATAGATTGGGGGACCTCAAAGCTGTACAATGATTTCTGTCGGGGGCGACGCATCAAGAAATTAAAACACAAAAATACCCAACAATCGTCGTCCCCTTGTGCACTGTAGCACCTGTCAGGTTGCCGACTGGAGCTTGTCGCCAATGCGAGAATGCGTGTCGTGAGAGCCTCTTTTTTTTTTTTTTTTACCCTCACTTCACGCATAAGTCTCATCATCTCCCGTCGGTGCTCCTAGCGGGAGCTAGCTGGTTGCAACGCGGAGTGGTCTCCTCCGCCCACGTGACGCTCCTTATTATCAACATTCAACATTACCTTCAACCCCGGGTCCCACCCCCACATAACTCAATGCCCCAAGTCCGGACTAATTTCCACGAATGCTGCGAGCAAGGTCGCGCGCTCTTGCTCTCCGCCCCTGTGGTCTACAGGAGGCACTTGAGAGAGGCATAAACTTCCGGTCGACCGCGAGCCATACACACACACACACTGGCATCGGAGAGAATGTGCTCATCATTACACTTGACCGGCGCGTCATGGTGTTATGGGGCGACCTGACTTTGTGTGACGCACACCCCTTCCGACCCCCGAGTCGGTTCCTTGTTGCGGGGCCGTTTGCCTCCTTGCCTCCATACACTACTACTTGCAGCAGGGCCCTGGCCGGAGTGTCTCCATCCTAGCGAGATTTCCGGATCGCCAACTCTGGCCCGCTTTCCTGACCATGTGGCCCATGTGGCCCATGCCGCCCCAGTGTCGCATTGGGCCGGGGGGAGGCGATCGCCCGGGTTTCGTTTCTATCTGACGGGCAGTGGGTATCCAGCCCGTTCCTGAGTATATATTGCTCTCGCTCCTTGGCGTTCGGGAAGCTACATTGCAGGCCTCGCTTGCGGCTGGGTAGGTTGTGTAGACAAGAAAGTGCCGAGGGCTGACTGGTGCGAGAGAACGTCTTATAAAGAACTTACTCGACCTTCCTCTCCCATAGTTGGCTGCTTGACCTCTGAGTACTGCTCTACGTTGACCCTCACCTCCGGCTCATAAATCACCATGAAGCCTGTCACGCACGTCCTCCCACTCGCCGCCGGGGCAGCAGCCTCCCCCATCTCGTCTCGGCAGTCCGCCCCCAATGCGACCTGTGCGGCCACGACCGAGTGGGCAGGCTTCTCAGGCTTGAAGCATGCCTTCGTTTTCGGCAACTCATACACGCAGACCGGCTTCAACTTCACCCAGGAGCCGTACCCACAGCCAGGCAACCCATTTGGTAACCCATCCTACCCAGGATATACCTCCTCCAACGGGCCCAACTGGATCGACTACCTGACCGTCAAGTACAACTCGTCCGAGTTCCTCACGTACAACCTGGCCTACGGCGGCGCGACCATCGACTCGGCCCTCGTCAAGCCGTACGAGGACACTGTGCTGAGCGTCAAGCAGCAGGTGCTGGACGAGTTCGTCCCCGGGTACACGGGGGCGTCGCCCAGCGCGCCGGGGGCCCCCGAGTGGGCCGGCGAGGACACGCTCTTCGCCGTGTGGATCGGCATCAACGACGTCGGCAACTCGTACTACAACGGCGAGGACGCCACGGACGCGCTGTACGCCAAGATCTTTGACGTGTACTCCGGGCTCGTCGACACCATGTACGAGGCCGGCGGCCGCAACTTTGTCTTCCTCAACGTCCCGCCCGTCGACCGCTCGCCGCTCATCACCGGGTCGGGCGTCGAGGGCGCGGCCGAGCAGGAGAGGGCCGCGATCGGGGCGTGGAACGGCAGGATCGGGGACATGGCTGCGGCGCTTAAGGGCAACCATTCTGAGGTCAACGTGTGGACTGTCGACACGAACTCGGTGTTTGGCAAGGTCCTTGATGACCCGTCCAGCTTCCCGCAGACGAGCGGGTACACGAATACTACTGGGTACTGTGAGGCTTATGAGAAGTGAGTTTCTCTTTCTTTTTTTATCTGTTCTTTCCTTTTTTTCGTGATGATGACTGACATCTCTTTTTTCCCCAGCGGAACTTCTGAGCGGGACAGCTTTGATGAGAGCTGTGGTGTGCCTGTGAACCAGTACTTCTGGTTGAACACGCTGCACCCGACGTATCCCATCCACGACGTCGTGGCTGAGCAGGTCGCGAAGGCGTTGGAAGCTGGCCCGAATGTATGCATATGAGGTCGGCTCATATAGATGTAAATAGAATTCAAGTGGCATATATTTCAATGACGCTCTAATTAAGGCATGCCCTTGGGCACTTTTGTTCCTGCCTTTATACTCGCGTGTATTGCTGTCATGTACTCCGTAATAGTCAGCCTGCCCGTAGCAGCCCTTCTTCGCATAACATGAAATGTTTTGAAGCGCCTGGGAATATGTTCAAACCGTGGTTTTATCTTGAATTTATTGCCTAATTTCATTCTAGAATCACAAATCGCTGTGTGATATCTATTCGCGACCTCGGTCTCGGGCTACTTAAGTATTAGTCTCGGACTCTTGGTGACACATGTCTCACTCTAGCCTGTGCACATATGCGTATGTCGAGAGCCAGTTGGATGCTTCATCCAAGGATAGATCCCGATCCAGTCAGCCACGTCGGTGACGTCTTATTCTAGTCTTCTCACTCGGCTCTTGACAGGATGGCAAGCTTCTTTCTGACACATATCTCCTTTAGATAGGTACTTGCCGTTTTCCTGTATGCTTTTTCTTTTGCTTATTTTTTTTCAAAAAGAATACTGGGTCTCTGAGTGTCCGCCTCTCATTGTATGGAGGGACCACGTATTGGAGGTTGGTAAGTCAAACAGGCTGCCTACATACGTATTAACTAATAGTGTGAGAGGAAAGAGAAAGGGCACAGGCATAGGCTTCCAAGGTTCTAAGGCCTGCATATTCAACTTGCCCGCAAGACTTGGTTGAAGTGGCCGGAAGCTATATTTAAGAACAAAATTATCTCAGTAAGACTCACAATATAATTAAATTATACTAACGTTCTTGTCACAAGATTCCTCTTATCATCTTCTTGCTGAGAAAAGGTTTTCTTCATAATATTTAGTTCCGTTCTGTAGGCTCTAAGAAAATTGCTTGTTTGTTCCAGGTGAGAGACACGTCAGTCAATTCTCAAGGGTACAAGAAAGTTGAAATGGGCTTATCCAAATCACTGCGAATCAAGAATTTCCAAGGCGCCATGACGTCTTTGCAAATTGAAGACGTCCCGAGATCTCTAAATAGGAACAGTGCACACAAGTCTAATCACTGCATTGTTTGTGATACGACTTCAAGCATGCCTCCAAAAATAGGTACCCTACTAGCTCAAGCCTAGACACTAGCTTGTGGGCCGAGGAAGCATGCTATTATATGAACATCTACTTTCACCCATGTTACTACCATTTGTTGATTGCCTCTACTAATAGATTTCAAGTCACAGATATCATGAGCACCTCCTGTTTACTTGATATCACATATGATGCATGAAAATGCAAAACACAGTCTAGTTAGACTGTGCAGTTCTCCTAAATCACCAATCTAATGCCGCTACAGCTTGAAAATAAATTTTATTCAAAGTAAGAGAATCCAGTATGTAAATTTTGGTAGGCATTTAACCCAATGCTGTGTGAAAAAAGGGGTTGGCTAGCCTGGCCTGAACCTGGGCGTGGCAGTGCCGAGTCATACCATGCATTTATTAAGGTTCACAATGGGAATAGTATCACCGGTTAAGCCTGCTTTAGCGGAGGAAGCCGTGTACCTCTTCGAAAGTATACGGGATAATAAAAACGAAATCAGTTAGCCTGGGAAAAGGAGACCAGATTAGATACAACTTTGAAATCTCCTGCTTTGCCAGGTTTACTTAAATACTGCTTCCACCTGTTCAATATCACTGATGGGTGAATGGGATTCCAATCAATCCAAAATTTGAGGTGTTCGACAGCTGTTGTCAGGAAAGACGAATTTTCAATATGAAGCCAACAACCGTCTTCATCCTTTCCGCTGCCAGTCTGGCCAGTGCAGTGGACATGAGCCCTTACAAAGCGGGAGTTGGCGTCGACGAGGGATTCGCTACATTTGTCGAGGAGTGAGTAGAAGCTTAGGAACTTCAACAACGAGCCTGATGTAGGCTGACTGTCCTGCCCAAGGTATTACCGCATCTCCGAGGACAAGACGGCAACAAATACATTCACCGATTTCTGGACCACGGACGGCGAACTGATAATCGCAGGCAACACATACAAAGGGTACAATGCCATGCTGGGGGTTAAGCAGGCTCTTCTTCCGGTTGATGGCAACAAGGCATGGTGGCATTTGATCCGTGGCTCCGAAGTTGTGGGCGAGGCGGCAGACTCCAAGACATACATGGCAAACATTGTGATTCAGACAATATACACCCCGGGGAATTGTTCTCAGGCATAGTAAGTGAAACAGACAGTTGCCATTAGAACAGAGTTGCTGACGGATATTACAGTGGCAATGCATCCTTCACATTGTTGAAGGGTGATGATGGCTTGCCCATCCTCACACCTCACAGTCAAGCATTGACTGTCTACAATTTGAGTGTCTCAACGACGGCATCACCAACAGACATTGCCTGCACGACGTCCTGATTCACCTAATATTCTTTGGCGTTCCAGATGCGGGTGGTGTGGAAACTCTATGATCGTCACCAGGAGCTTTCAAGTCTGTAGTCGTCTTGTCCAAAGTAAACCACGATGTTTTCAACAAATAGATAAAGGAGTGTTCTCATAGAATTAGTCAAAAGTCGTTTCATTCTCAATTCTGGATGCACATTGAGAGCCAATCCAACAAAATTTGCTCAGGATGGGGGAGGCACTTGGTAGATACGAGGTCCAGTTTGGCAGAGACCAGAGGACAGCTGGGCAGAGCAACTAAGAAGTCAGTGCTAGCTAATAAGGCTCAGATTCAACGATGCAGAACTAAAGCCCTGCTGTGTGAGATAGTATGGGAGGCTCTGCAGTGGAGAGCTTTGGAGGGGTGGGGCAGGTCTTGCGTCTCTGGTGCTCTGATAAGATAAGCCCCGCGGTTGCGAACCCCCTGTTCAATCGAGTCACTACTGACAAAATTTCCTGAGTCACCCCGCGTTGGTACAAAACGAGGACTGGATTTCTTGGTCGCCTTGGAATCCGGCAACAAACAATTGACAAACCCCACTGCAGCAATCTGACAAGATGGCCGGAGAACCAAGCGACAAGGCCCCTGCGCCTCCTACTGAGCAGCTCGAGAACCTCTGGCTCGACGAGGTCACCGGAGAGAAGGTATGGTTGCTAATAAGTGCCCAGTCTCGGCCATTCGCACTGCCCTGTTGGGATGGGATGGGAGCTCACCAGTTTCACGCGCATAGGTGTCCAAGTCAGAGCTGAAGAGGCGACAGAAGCAGCGCCAAAGGGACGAGGAGAAGGCCAAGAAGGCCGCCGCCGCCCCTCCCAAGGCTGCTTCCAAGAAGAAGGAAGACGAGGAGGAGCTGGACCCTCGAATGTACTACGAGAACCGAAGCAAGGCTATCAAGGCGCTTCTCGAGTCCAACAGCCCCAATCCTTACCCCCACAAGTTCCACGTTACCTACGACGACAAGCAGTTCGTCAAGGACTATGACCACCTCAAGGTGAGACCCGACGAGTCCTAAATATCATCAGGCTAGAGCTGACCCATCCAACCGCACAGTCTGGGGATGTCGACCGCACCAAGGTGCTTCAGATTGCCGGCAGGATCTACAACCGAAGATCTCTCGGCAAGCTGATTTTCTACGACCTCAAGACCGCCGCTGATACCGTTTCCATCGGCACCAACATCCAGATCATGTGCCAGGCCGAGAACGTCCCCGAGGGCACCACCCCATTCGAGAAGCAACACGAGAACCTGCAAAGAGGTGACGTGATTGGAGTCATCGGATACCCAGGCCGCACTGCGCCCAAGAAGCTCATCGAGCAGGGCAAGCAGGGCGAGCTCTCCATCTTCGCGTCAGAGGTCATCCTGCTCGCCCCTTCCCTGCACATGCTGCCCACACAACACTACGGCTTCAAGGATCACGAGCAGCGATTCCGTCAGCGATACTTGGATCTGCTCTTCAACGACGCTTCGCGCCAGACTATGTGGACCCGCTCCAGGATCGTCCGGTACATTCGAGATTTCTTCAACGACCGCCGCTTCTTGGAGGTCGAGACTCCCATGATGACTGCCATTCCGGGTGGCGCCACTGCCTTGCCCTTCATCACCCACCACAACGATCTCGACCTGGACATGTACATGCGAATTGCACCTGAGCTGTTCCTCAAGATGCTCATTGTCGGTCAGTTTGGCAAGGTGTTTGAGCTCGGCAAGAACTTCCGAAACGAAGGAATCGACCTGACCCACAACCCCGAGTTCACGTCTGTCGAGTTCTACTGGGCATATGCCGATGTCTACGACGTCTTGGAGATCACAGAAGAGCTTGTCTCGGGTCTCGTCAAGCACCTTACCGGCGGCTACAAGACCAAGTTCACCAACCAGCACGGCGAGACCTACGACGTGAACTGGGAGGCGCCATGGCGACGCGTGGAAATGCTTCCGGAGCTGGAGCGTGTCACTGGCGAGAAGTTCCCGCCCTACGAGCAAATGCACACAGCCGAGACTGGCGAGTTCCTCAAGAAGGTTCTCAAGAAGATGAACGTCGAATGCCCACCACCGCTGACCAACGCACGCATGCTGGACAAGCTGGTTGGAGAGTTCATCGAGGAGACGTGCATCAACCCGACATTCATTCTCGAGCACCCCGAGCTGATGTCCCCACTTGCCAAGTACCACAGAGAGAAGAAGGGCGTGTGTGAGCGTTTCGAGGCGTTTGTGTGCAAGAAGGAGATTGCCAATGCCTACACGGAGCTGAACAACCCCTTCGACCAGAGGATGCGATTCGAGGAGCAGGCAAACCAGAAGGCTCAGGGTGACGATGAAGCCCAGCCGGTGGACGAGAACTTCCTGACGGCGCTCGAGTACGGCCTCCCGCCTACTGGTGGCTGGGGCCTGGGTATCGATCGCCTCGTCATGTTCCTGACAGACAACTACGCCATCAGGGAGGTGCAGGCATTCCCTTTCATGAAGGACGAGCAGGGGGCCAAGAAGGACAAGCCTGCGGCTGAGGTGGTTGATGTTGAGCCGAAGCCGGTCGAGGGAATTGGTGAGTGGTTGTTGAACCGTGCTTTTTTTCTGAATATTTGCTAACCTATTCACAGCACACAAGTAGGCACGGGCACTTCCCATGATTGGTGGGCTGTTGCCAGAACCCGTCGCGCTTTCAATACCCTATAAGTGCATGGTGGTCGATCTTGATGTTGCCCATGATTATGAGTACTTGTCTAGGATACATGAACCGCCATTAAGAGTAGATGTGTTGTCTGGACAGTGCCTAAAATCGTATGTTGAATTGGCTAATGCTATATGTGTAAGCTCTTCTTTTGATGTAACTTCTGATGATCCACACTTGAATAAACTATCAGAAGCCTTGCTTGGAAGAACGGTTCGGGGTCGGGCCAGCTGATAAAGGTCGGGCGGCCCGTCTGAGTCCATTGCCTCTTTGAACCTCCATATGATAATTGAGCACAACTTGACCGCGTCTAACATGAAATCAACAAGATGCGGTAACTATTCGGCAGATTTGTTTGTATCGGCAATCACTGCAACCGACCGTATCAAGCGTGCCGAGATGCTGAACTCTTTATATTGGAGGAGTAGAGATGTGATTCATTGTGCCCAACGAACTTTGCCGGTTCGGACGGAATGGCAACCAATGTCTGCCAGTGGGCTGTCGCCGCACATATCTACATAGATATCTAGATTGAGTCATGAATCTGAAAATCCAACGCTATGCGTAGCCCGAAAAAAAAACATTTCTAGAAGTCTACCGCGCACACATCACTTCTTTTGCTGCATTGTCTTGAGCTGCCTTTCGACCAGCCTCATGGTCCCCCTTGGGATCCTCAGCCTGCTCCCCAGGACCAGGGCGCCGGTCAACAGGGCCAGGGCGCCGGCCTGGTGGGTGGCGGCCAGGTGGGTGGGCACGATGTAGATGAGGGTGCTAATGCCCAGGGTGACCTGTATGAGCATAAGGTGCAGCAGGCCCATGGCGCCCTTGCGGGCGTCGGCGGGCAGGACAGCCTTGACCCTGCGGGAGCGGCTGTACGCGAACAGGGCCAGCACCGAGGCGCACACGGTCATGGCCAGCATGCGGTGGTCGAGCTGGACGAGGCTGGGGTTCTCGAGGATGTTGCGCCACCAGAGGTCGGAGCCGTCGTCCTTGCGCGAGTAGAACTTGTCCCACAGCTCGGAGCGAGGAGGCGTGATGCCGGTGCCCATCATGGGGAACTCGTTGTAGATCAGGCCGGCGTCCAGGCCAGCGACGAGGCCGCCGGACATGGCGGTGACGAAGACGAGGGCAGTCAGAGCGGCGGTGTAGCGCTTGAAGGGGGCGAGGGCGGGGCTGGACAGGACCTTGGAGAGCTTGGAGGCGGCGGCGGGGTCGGCGAGCAGCCTGCGGGTGCGCAGGATGGAGAGGCCGGCGAGGAGCATCCAGGAGTAGCAGACGAAGGCGGTGGACAGGTGGGTGGTCAGGCGGTACTGAGAGACGCGGGGGTGGGCGCCCGGGGCGAACAGGTCGTCCTTGAGGCCCGAGGCGACCATCCACCAGCCGATGAAGCCCTGGAAGCCGATCAGGGCGGAGATGCCGACGAGGTTCCAGGCCATGCGCTTGGTGACCCTCCTGCGGGCGATGAAGTAGATGGTGGGCAGCACGAAGGTCATGCCGATGACGCGACCCCAGAGGCGGTGGGTCCACTCCATGAAGTAGATCTTCTTGAACTCGTCAAGGTCCATGTGCGGGTTCAGCTTGACGTATTCGGGCGAGGCGCGGTACTTTGCGAATTCGGACTCCCAGTCCTCGGGGGAAATGGGAGGGAGGGAGCCGGTGACGGGACGCCATTCTGTTATACTCAGGCCAGACTCGGTCAGGCGGGTCAGGCCACCAAAGACGACGATGCCAAAGACGCTGGCGGCACTGCCCAGCAGCCAGTAGGCGACAGACTTGGAGCTGGTATCTGGGAAAGAAGAGCTCTTTGAATTGGACTTGTCGTTGGATCCGGAGGCCGGCTCGGCGGCATATTCGAGACTCGCAGCTGGAGAGACGGTGCTCTTCTTGTTGGCGGTGGTGTTGAGAGATCGGGCCGGAGAAGAGAGCGGGCGCTGGAGCTGTTGGATGGTCCGGGAGCGAGCCAGGGAGGCAATCAGAGAGGGAGCTGCAGGTGTTTTCTGACCGGTGGTCCTGAGACACTGGCGGCAGACGAAGGGCGAGGCAGCCGTCGAGGTCGAGGTCGAGAAGGAGGTTGAGAAGGAGGACGAGGGCGACGACAGTCGCGATAGCTGGTTGGCCAGCCCTCGCAGGCCGGCACGGCGGATTGGCGCTGGCTGGAGAAATGCCATGGCCGCCGGATCAGAGATGCGACTTCAGAAGCAGTGTCTTTCCAGAGCACAGGCCCATTGGATGATTTCGAAAGACGCTGAAGCACTGGATCACGAAAGTCGAAAGGGCCTGCCCGATTCTCGGGCACTCTCGAAAGACCGGGTCGATCAGCTCATCAATGACTTTTTGCCAGTGAGCTGATTGGCGATTGGCGCGGCGGGAAGGTCCTCGCTAGGTACTCGGCACGGCGGGGCAGGGATCATCGCACGACATCTGGAGCGTCCAGGGTCCCGAAGGTGGGCTGGCAGGCAGGGCTGGCAGGTGGGGTGGGTACACCTGCAGCTCTGCAGCTCAAACTCTCAAAGCATGCATCCACCCGTTGAGCCTCGCAGCACACCTCTCAGTTAGTGTGCGCTGCGGCACCGCTTCAGCATCCGTTGCTCTCGATTGGGGCGCGACCATAGGACATGGCATGCCACAGCTGAGGGTATTATTTCCAAACCTCGTCGCTACTCACAGAAAATAATGCTAACTTGATCAGATTAGGGACAGGCCACATCTGGGCTCCGGCTGAGCATGAAACTGAGGATGAGCGTGCCTAGGAGATGGCTTATACGCTGGCCCCTGACTTGGCGCCAAATATCCTCTCTATCTGCCTCTCGACCGCCTCAGAAGCTTGGGCACAAGGCTCTACTTGGACCATCATGTCCACGTTCAAGCCCCCGTGTCAGCAGGGCACCACAACAAAGACTATTCTCAACCCTTTCTCCTGAACGGCCCACTGAGAATATCGTCCAGGAGCCAGCCTCAACTTTGCGCGAGCCCACCATGCGTCCTGAGCATCTCTTGCTGAGCATCTTCGAGGACCTTGTTCCTCGTGGTCTTTTGCCCCGGGTCACCAAAAAGCCGCCGTCTTCCACTGCTGTAGGTCATGGATCGGTCTGGACTGCAACCGTAACTGTTGCGGAATTGGGCGTTGAAGTCACGGGCCACGGCTCAAGCGTCGTGTTCGCCGAGGTTGCTGCCGCTATCCAGCTCGATCTGGCACTGAGAACACCCGAGGTCGTCGCCAAGCTGTCGTCTTGGCCACAGGCCCAGTTCTCACTTCCAGGTGCCAAAGACATAATTCAGAGTTATTGGCAGTTCGCCTACAACTCCAAGGGCGCCCTCAAGAGGCTTGAAACGAGATCATACTCGGGTGCTTTTGAGGCTCGTATCTTTGCAGGTGACGACCAGATTGGAGTGCCTGTGACATCGGCAGCCAAGGACTCCGCTAGAGGTATCCAAGACCTGACCTTGGCCCATCAGATCATCAGTGGCCATCCTGATTTGTGGCCCATGAGCCCTGAGAATCCATTTCAGGCCAGTATTGTACTCGATCGCCCACGATTGGAGAAGCTACAACAATTCATCACAGCAGCAACCGACTACATCCGCACAACTCCCGAGCAGCTGGTACGCGGCAGGACCACACAAGAGGGAGGTCATGTTGTAGCACCCCGACAGGATATGCCGGATTTGGAATTATGGCTTGCCGCCTTGCCTTTCCCGCCATCGACATCTAAGATGCTGATAGTAGGTGCAAGTCTCCGCTGCTTAGAGCACGCCATCGTTCTTGCTGCGGTGGGGAAGCATGCCATCTACCGAACGAAGGCCAGCCCGAGTGAAGAACACGACGGCAGCCGGGATCCCGCCTTCCGGGAAGCGATAGTAGGAGATCATCCTGATTTGCTCTTGTTATTTCAGCGGGTCCGGGATGCAAAATGGTTCGAAAAGAAGAAAAGACGCATCCCCAAGACCGACCCTGACACCGAAGACCCGTCGCCTTCCACCAATGCTCGATTACCTGACCACAAAAGTCGCCAGACCGCATCACACCACTCCACAGAACCCTCTGAGACGGCCCCCACAAACGTAGCAGCGGTGGCCAGACGCTTCGATCTTTACGATCCTGACGGAATAGCTTCTGTCAGTGCTTCTGCTGAGGCCATCGAACGCTTCATGATCACTGCCGGTCTTGCGGGCTATCCAAAAACAACATCCCATATCAGTGTGCCGGAGAGTGAGCTCAAGATACGAGCAGAACCCTACGGCGGCGACTTGAGCTGCACCGCGTACAGGACGAACGTCCTGCGTCATCTCCTGGTCCTGGGCTTCCCCGAGAATATCGCGCACATTGGGCATGGCACTTTAGCCCCTGGACAACCACCGCAGCTACGCATTGGTTCCCGGCAATTGTACATAGACTCGCCACTCAAAGCTCATATGCCTCAGAAGCAGCTCCACAAGACATTGGGGGCTGGTCCTATGATGGTCGTCACTGGGATAACGGACGACCCCCGGGACAGCTCGCTCAGTGCTCGTTATCGCACCCCCATCTCCACCTGGGAAGCTGTTCTCTTGGGGAAAGACTTGAAACTTCCCGGCGGCGAAGACTCCCCTGTGGCCGGAGCTGCCCAGGTCCTCATCAACGACTGGCTTCCGGTTCTCGTCAGGTCAGAGGTCCAGGGCGTCTCGCACGAGCAAGCCCGGGACACACTCTTCGAGGCACGCGAGGCCCTTCACCGCGCCATCGACAAGGCGGTGTTCGACTACGTCAAGTACTCGTGGCAGTCGCCCGACTTTTACGAGTTGCTGGTGGGCCTGCCAAACGAGGACAGCCTCACGGCTAAGGCGGTGCCGAAAAAGCAGCGGGAGGGACCACCGCCAAGGATGTATCGCAGACGTCCGAAAAGGAAGTGATCAAGTACATCGAAAGCTTATTTCGAGAGACATTGCGCGTTCCAGTCTGGAAATTCAGTGCAAGCGATGATGCCTTCTCAGTGGTCGGCATACGATCTGGCTTGCATGTGTTTGCGTGGGGCAATGCTAGCTGGTGGGAGGTGAGTTGAGACGCCCTGTCTATGCCTCCTGCTTTCAGGAATATGCAGTCCGGGCATCTGGGTCAATCGAGCGAGCAAATTGCGAGTCAATGGGCTTTTCGATCCTGCTCGCTGCCGCTGGTGCACAAACACCGGGAAAGTCATCGGTGGCCTACCTCCGTGCCCACCGAAGCTTGTCGACCAGTTCGACGTAGCCTCTGCAGGGCAATCTGCGGTGCCACACCCGCCCACTCCCCCCCCCCCCCGACGATTCCGCGAGGGTGACTTGCCCCTCAGCATGGTATCGTATTCCGGCGTTGTGGATTCGACCTGCAAGGAACTACAATACAAAGGGACTCCGGCCGAGGCTGAGAGAGCAAGGCGTAGTGATCCTTCTATGTGGGAGCGCGATTTATCGTGGAAACGTCGTCGGGCTCAACGCACCATATCAACTAAACAACGCTCGATACATTAAACCAGACAAATATCACGCTTTCAATGATCGAAAATAGTTGAAACGAGGGTGGGGGCCGAGGCATTCTCAAGATCTGGACCATGTATACTGTAGGGAAACCGGACCTCCGTCCTGACGTATATATTAGAGTAGTTATAAGTGTCTGCAGACGATGTATCCGGCAGTTCCTCGTACCAGAGCTTTGAAAGGCTTCGTCCTTCGTCCTCGACCACTTTGACGGTTCCTCTCATTCTCTCCCAGGTCACCACGCCGGCCCGCGCACTCACATGTGCACACTCACCGCTAACACTGGCACGGGCGCGGCTGTTTCTTCACGTCTCAGGAGAATAATCAGACCCAGACTCCGTCGGTTGACCTGGGATGTGAGATCTATACGGTCACCAGGAATGTGCATAAAATGCCTAGGACTACAAAGTGTACAGGAATGAATCGCTGTTGATCTGTCGAAGAGGCATCTGGAGGCTATTATGTATTCTCCAATGTCCCATACGCGGAGCAGCCTACTGGTGACCCACTGTTTCACGTGGGCCTCCCTCAGGGACCAACTCGCTTGTTAACATCGGCTCAATATATATGATTTATATGCAATGGTACCCTCAGTCGACTATTGAGCTCACTGCCCAGTCGGGTCGGAGGGTGTATCGATGGAAATAATGGAGCAAATCATGCTCTCCCAACCAGGGCAGACCAAGGCGTGTCTGATGCTTCATATTTGTATGCCTACCGACATCTTTAAGAGAAAGAGACAGAACCAGGCACGTATTGACCTGTCTTGATGATCTCTGGGAACGATTGATTGCCCTACTAGCTCACAACCAGTAGCACCTCACGTCCAGCTGGTATGGATACACGCCCGGGCGGTGATGGCTTCACATCAAGATCCAATAGTTCTGGCGGGAGCCCGGCTGGCATCATTGCGGGCTCAAAGTTGGACAACGATGAGTAACTCACCGTCGTGTGGATCAACTACCGTCTCAGCCTGTTCAGTTGGCTTGGAGCCGGTGGCATCACCCCCACCCTGGGCCTACACGACCAACGTGTAGCCTTAACATGGGTTCACGAGTAAATCAACCATTTTGGAGGCAACGAAGATTGTGTTATTGTGATTAGTAAGAGCCCTGGCGCGGCGAGCCTCCCCCATCATTTTACAGCCTATGGTGGAGAGGGTTCACTCCCTTCCGCTCAGAGCATGATCCAGCCTCCGGCCTTCCATTTCAACCTCAATTTGACAGATGACTTATTCCATCCCACGACGCCTTGACCAGGTGTATTTTCCATTCTGAGTCGCGCCCGACAATATTTTTATTCCAGACAGAGCAAGTTTCTTGGAACATATGGCAGTGAAGGACATCACCTACACGCCTGGTACTTACGAGCTGTGAAGATATGTCTGGTGAGCTGAAAGTGCAGAAAGTCAACGCTCACTAATAAACCATGTCTGACCCGTCTCGGCTATCCCATGCAGCATCACACCATGAGTCGGGCCTGTTCTAAAAGACCGGGTGTGATTCACCAGAAAACTTCCCTTGGAGTTTTCAATACAAGCAAGCTTTGCGGCGGATTCACATGAATTTTCCCATGGCAGTAGGCGCCAGTTCCGTTTGAAATCACCAACAGTGATGGGTTTCCGTCTGTAGAGGTCGATTTCTTCTTTTCTTTTTCTTTCTGGCTTCCGCAACCCCCGTCAGAGTAATCCTAATGCGTTGTACTTGGTAGCGTCACGCAGGGCACCAATCGGCGACAAGCCTCATAACTCAAGTACATTGCATGGCCTGTCGTCCCCTGAATCTGCAGGACCTTCATGCTGCTGGGAGTCAGGGCCATTGACTATTGCGTTCCCGGATAGCCGGAGCCACACAAGTTCTGTGGCATTCGAATTTGTAGGGGGGCTGGGAACGAAATCGACAAATCATTGTAATCGTCTGAGTGACACAATGCAAGATGACCCAGATACTGCGTGAAATATGCAGTTTGAGCTACCTGCATATGCGAAGTACGAACACGATACTTCTCTCCAATCTGTGCCATGCAAGCACGCCGCGTAATCGCACCACCCTTCAAGTAAGCATCGACGCCACGCGCGGGGCATGCGCATGTTGACCATTGACCGGTGGGCACGTATACGGACAAGAAGGGTGACATAATGTGTAGTGTATGCTCAAGTCAGCTTATGGTCTTTGCTGTGTACTAGTGTTGTCATCTTCCAATTTCTCCAAAGTATACTTCACTTCCTTGCAGGGGATAGACAATGCATCGCATGATATTGTGTTGTGCGACTTAGCAAGCATAACGAACGACTCCGCCACTATAAAAGAAAAAGCAGACATCTCTTGGTCAGCTGCTGATGCGATGGGCCATTTCGGGAAAAACTGATCATCCATCGCATCTGTGTCTTTCTAACCGTTGTGGTTCCGACATACCAGAGTTGGGGGCAATGAAAGACTCGCTGGTGTCGTGACGCTGATCGCGCCAGGCCAAGAGATGCTTGCACATTGCCGGAGAGGAAGGTGGTGACTTTTGGTGCGAAGCTGCATGGTCTATTGTGTATCGTATCGTTGAGGCACTGGAACCTTTGGATTTGCGATGCTCGTTCAAGCATGGGCCAAAACTCTCCCTATATCAAACACGTCTTTTCCATAGAACTCACACAACTTGGGTGTCATATGCTTTGTCTCAGGTCATCTCCATCCATCACCCCAAGCAAGAATGAGCTTTGACTCGATAAACATCACCAGTGCTTCACTGTCGCCACCGCAGGCTCTGGACTGGTCCAACTTGGGCAATGGATTCAATTTCGTGTCAGGGCCGTTTAGCTGGTTATGCATGGCCGCGTTCTTGAGTGGATTCGTGTTGGCCCACTTTCAACATCAAAGTTCTTTCAAAGAACTGTATGATAAGTACGGAAATGGAATTCCTGACGGTCCCAAGCCTCTTCCAATTCTTGGTAAGTCCTCATCCTTGCAATTGTGATAGGGTTGACAAGTGAGATGGTAAAAACTGAATCATCAGGATCTTTCCCTTTTCTGACCCAATACCCGGAGCTTACCCTCGACAAGTGGGCTAAGAAATATGGAGGGCTGTATTCCGTCTGGCTTGGAAATCAGCTCTTCGTCATTGTGTCGAGCCCGCAGGTTGCCAAGGATCTCATGGTGACGAACGCCGCGGTGTTCTCCTCCCGGAAAGACATGTTTATCAAGAGCCAGACCGTCTTCGCAGGGCGTGGGATCACTGCCACGCCATACAACGGCATATGGCGAAAACACAGGCGCATAGCTACCAGCTGGCTGAGCCACAAGGCCGTCGAAAAGTACGCATCTGTTCTCGACCGCGAAGCCACGGACATGCTCCTTGCTCTCTACGAGGCTGGCGATGGCGGGAGGAACCACGTCAACCCGCAACCTTATGCAGCACGATGCTCCTTGAATAACATGTTGACCATCGTATTTGGGGCGAGAACAGACTCTGTCAAGCATCCGATGGTCGAACTCGTTCTCGGAATCGGCCGGACTTTCATGTCAGTCCCTACCTGCGCCAGCCCGCCGCGGCAAGTTTGAAGTCAGATGCTGATATAGAAGCGAACCGAAGCAATTGCACCGGGCCAATGTCCAACCTCGTTGACTACATCCCCATTCTCCAATACTTCCCGTCTCCCATACGGACTCGCGGCCGCAGATTGCACCGAGATCTGGTGGAAACTTACGGTGGCTTGATCAACGACATTGACATCAAAATGCGGCGCGGCGAGGACGTCCCTGAATGCCTAACCAAGACCATGCTCCGGATCCGCGAGACAGAGAAGCTTGATGATCTCGACATAGCCATGATGGCGTCGGCCTTCATGGTCAGGGGCGTTGAGACGGTTGGTCAAATCGAGTGTAATCCCCTTGCGCGCAGCGGAGAGGTTGCTGATCGGAGAGCTTGCAGACTGCTTCCATCGTGCAATGGTTCTCTGCCCTCGTTGCAGCTTACCCAGAAATTCAGAGAAGGGCGCAGCAAGAGCTCGACCGGGTTGTAGGCCGCGACCGACTACCAACCGTGGAAGACGAGGCAGACCTCCCGTATGTGCGCGCTATCGTCAAGGAAGTCGAGAGGTGCCACAACCCTTTTTGGCTAGGGACTCCGCATGCTGCGTCGGAGGATTTCACGTACAACGGCAACTTCATCCCCAAGGGTACGGTGGTGGTGTTGAACACGTGGACGATGCACCACGACCCAGCTAGGCACAAGAACCCGATGGATTTCAACGTGAGTTGTCACAGCCAAGAGGGCATGTCCCACAAAGCAGATAGATGCACGGGCATGATATACTGAAACCAGCGCAACTACTGCAGCCCGACCGTTACCTTGGAGACTCGCTCACGTCTGCGCAGTCATCCAAGCTCACAGACCCATACCGGCGCGATCACTGGATGTTTGGTGCGGGGAGACGCATCTGCCCGGCCATGGCAGTCGCAGAGCGTGAGATCTGGCTGGCCATCTCCCGCCTCATCTGGGCCTTCACGCTGGAGGAGGTGCCAGGACACCCGATAGATGTCCGGGGATACGATGGGCTCAGGGGCAGGTCGCCGGCACCGTTTCACATCAGGCTCATACCGCGACATGACAAGGTCAAGACAGTGATGGATGCTGCCGAGTCAAAGATGGACTGGGCTGCTCCGAGGTAGAAGGGGGACTTGGTGTGGAGAGGGAGTGGCGTTTGCTGACCATTGCTGACACGGCCACCGAAGTCCCCGAGGAAAATACCGGGCCTCTGGGGGGGGATCAGTATATTTTGTAAGGGGTGTGGCCAGACTGCATAAAGTGTGAAGTCATACGATGGCAGGCAGTGTCCCTATGTATGTCGAGAATGCATGGGCCTCCCGGGCCTTGGTCTGGTTGTGGTGCCAGGACAGGCAGAACAAGCTCGAGCATGTCTTGTCCCTTGTGCCACTGTTAGTCCAACAAAGCAACCCCAAGGTACCAAGGGCCAATCAGAGCTTCAAGGAACTTGATGACCACCCCTGCCCCACACCATCAGTCCTTTTGCCAGGGAAGGAGGTCCTCTTAGGGGGAAAAAAGAGAAGGGTCCTTTGGAATAGAACAGAAGTACTTGGGTATTTTAACCTGGCTTTCTTCTTTTTTTCTTCAATTTTCTGTTGCAGTTTGACAGCCTTGCTTGACCTGGTGGTTGCCATCTCCGTCACGACTCCCCATTTCGACTCCACATCCGACCAAAAGTCATCCCCTGTGAATAACTACAACACAACCTATTTTATTCCCTGATTCGCTCCTCGGAAGCCGAAAGAAGTCATCCTCTGACGACGGCGCCGTGGAGGAAAACAGGCTTACAGGGCTTCTTACGGATACTTATCCAAAATCAGGCACGTCAACCACAATCATGGCTCATCCCTCGGAAGCAGCCCCACTGCTCGGCAACCGCGCCGCCAACGGTCGTCATCACCACCCCCGGCACGGAGCCGAGCCGCCCGTCGAACGGCCCCCACTCAGTTCACCACTGCTCCGGCCAGATGCCCTGAGACGGCCCTCGCAGAGGCATCTCTCTCACCAACACGACCCTCATCACCATGAGGAGGAGCACAGCAGCAATGGCGACATGATCCGCGATATCACAAGTAAGTCGCACCTTGATTTTCATCCATCCTTCACCAGCCGTCGTCAATACACTCACTCACTAACAAAAACCTATTCAGTCGGCTTCGCAGACGGCCTCACCGTGCCCTTTGCCCTGACCGCCGGCCTCTCCTCCCTGGGGAGCACCAAGCTCGTCGTCATCGGCGGCCTGGCCGAGCTCTTCTCGGGCATGATCAGCATGGGCCTGGGCGCCTACCTCGCCGCCGCCACCGAGCGCCAGCACTGGGAGGCCGAGTATGAGCGCGAGCGCTGGGAGGTCGACCACTGCCCGGACCGCGAGCGGGAGGAGATCTACGAGGTCTTTGACAAGTACGGCATCTCGCGCGACGCCGCCCGCGCCGTCGTCGACGAGCTGTGCGTCACCGGCGACCCCAAGCGAGAGGAGCGCTGGCTCAGGTTCATGATGGACTTTGAGCTGCAGCTGCCCGAGCCAGACACCAGCGCCGCCTGGGTTTCCGCCGTCACCATGGGCCTCAGCTACTTTGTCGGCGGCCTGATCCCCATGATCCCCTACTTCATCATGGACTCGGCCCGCGTGGCCCTGTTGATCAGCATCGCCATCACAGTCGTCATCCTGCTGGTCTTTGGCTACGTCAAGACCTGGGTCACCATCCACAACAAGAGGGCCGGTATCTGGGGTGCCCTGCACACGCTGCTGATAGGTGCCCTGGCTGCAGGCACCAGTTATGTCATAGTAAGGCTACTTGATTCCGGGGATGGTTCCCCTTGAGAGGCATCGGCCTGGGCGTGTTTTAGGCTATGTGATTTTGTGGTGTTTTGGACGGGAAAAAACGTGGCATTTGGCGGTGGCGTGGAACCTGACGGCTTTAGGAGTTGGGATTTAACGCCTCTCACGATCAACAATGGAAGACTTAAAAGGGAAACTTAGTGCACAGCCTGCGCTGTTTATCCCCGGGTAAATGTACTCTTCGCTGGGACAAACTGTGCTGAGGATGGAGTTTAAGGCACAATACATATTTGATGCTTAAGAGGCGCGTTCGGCTATTAAACTAGCCAAAAGAGGCTTGTGACCTTTCACAATGTCATGCATCGGGGAGTATCCCGCATGACAAGACGATTTTCAGGTGACACGTAGATAAGCAGGTGATTGAAGAATATAATCTGCTGTGAATTGCACTGAATAACGAGTGCATCTACAGGAAATGTTTACATTATTTGGAATGGATTGGAAAGAGTTTCTCAAGGATGACAGAATGTTCGCGTAGGCTGTAAACCTTGGAAGTCGCATGTCCATGCCGTCTCCCCCCCACAGCCGACGGTACATTCAGAGAGAAGCATCATCTACTATCTTAGATGAAATCAAGTCAGCGAATTTATATTATGCCCAGGCCTTGTGTGGACGGGATGGTAGGCATGACAGGCAGGCTATCAGCACTTGAGTCCCAGTCGAGTACTTCAATTATCAACTGCCACAGATGCCTATGAATACCCTGCGTGTGCAATAGCCCATTAATCTATTTTGGGGAAGGAAAAAAAATATCCCTGTGGTGCTATTGCCGGTCGGTGTCATGATCGTACACGCTCGGCTCGGGAGTGGCTGACGCTGACAGCCGTCACGAAGCCGACTTACACGAACAGACAGTCAGCATCACCAGCGAATTTTGCCACTTGAAGACTTAAATAGAGAATTTGAGATGGAGCATCTTGACTGTTTTCGTATTCATTTATTCCAACAGCAGAGACACTCACAAGCGTTTATCAGCGCCAAACTGCCATCACGACTTCGAACCCTGCACGCTGGCTCCCTTCCAATACTTTCTCTTCTCCTCGGCAGACAACCCCGAAGTCAAGATGGTCCGCGTCGCCAACGTTGTCCTTCGCCAGCGCGGCGGTGCAACTACCAAAGAAAACGACAGTGCACCCGGCAAGGAGGCCGGCCTCAGGCTTACCACCACGCCGGTTCCCACCCCAGCAGAGCCCGAGACAACCCAAGAGGCCACCGCGGAGCCCGATTCTGAGGCCACTGATGCTGCTGCTGCCGAGGAAGTCCCCGAGGAGGCTTCCAACGCCGAGGCAGAGACAACCCCGGCCAGGGCCAAGCGTGCTGCCCGCCGCAACCCGGCCGATAAGACCGGCAAGAAGGAGGCCCGCAAGGCCGAGCGGGTAGAGAAGAAGGAGGTCCGGCAGGAGAAGCGCGAAACCAAGAAGGTTGCCAAGAAGGAGGCGCGCAAGGAGGCCAACGACGCCAAAAAGGAGGTCCGGGCGGCCGCCGCCGCTGAGAAGAAGGAGAAGGCTGCTGCCGCCGCTGCCGCTGCCGCCGAGAATCCCGAGAGTGCTGGCTACTTTGCTAGGCTCCTGAGCTGGGGTAGGGGTACCTCTCCGAAGGAGGGCGAGGTCAAGGCTGAGGATTCCGAGAGCTCTGGCGACGACGAGGAGACCCAGGTGGAAGAGACTGCTGAGGAAGCGAGCGATGAGCCGTCTGTTGAGCCTGCGGATGAGCTGTATGTTGTCAACGACATCCCCATCCGGATGACCGTTGCCCAGCCTCAGCCCATTGCCGCTTGCTGAAGGTGCATCAGCTGTGTCCTCGAGATGCCTTTCGTTTCTTCAGGGAATGCTGACGAGCGTGAGCGTTCCAATCCGGCAGGTTTCTCGCCTGTTGGATTCTTGTAGAGCATAGAATTGACCGACCAAGGATTTGTTCCATGATGGAGACAGCCCTTGATCACTGGGATTCTATGACCAGGGTCCTTGAATTTCAAGCTTTTAACCGCACGCTTTTTTACAAACACATTTTACAAGTGCCATGACATTTCAAATTTCGCATTGGTAAGAACATTATCATAATCTAATAATCTGTACTCGTATAAGAATGTGTCCTAAGTGAGCCGGAGGCATCTCTTCAGGGTGCGATATCAAGCTTCGCGTTTATCATCTCCGGAACAATCTGACCTCTTGTGTGCACCCACCTTGGCATCTTTGAGATATATGAGCCCGAATCTTGCCAATCACCACTTTCCCGACTACCGCACTGACAAACGTCAGGTTCAGGCCGTTTGTCTCCATTTTTGCGACCACACACGCCTCAAACGTTGAGTCTCGGCAGGACGGCATGGAATGTGCGGGTCAGTCGACAATCCATTTGGTCACCAAGGACATGCCGGAGATCTCAGTTGCCATTGGGAATCCTGCGAGAATAGTGAAGAAGTTGGACCCAATGCCGGATAGGTCCACCCCTGACAAAACAATTTTCAGAGCCTTAGAGCGTCCACAAGTCATGACATTCTGATAGAACCAGTGTATTGATTTCAGAACCTTAACTTCAGCTGTGAAAAGGGATTCTATTCTCACTGGACGTGACAGCCAGACTCTGCATGAAATCATTTAACAAACAGCTCTGAAGCAGGTGAACCAAGATCACAAGACCAGTCTTGTGGAAGAACACCGAATGGTCCCGTTGCTTTGAATCAGACAGTAGCGTTCTGGACTCTTGTGAACTTGTTTTTTGCATACCAAAATCCACAAAATGGATCACACATTGTAAGTTCCAGTGATGGGTTGTGCCCATTCATATCAGAACTCTTGACAACCTAGCAAGCTCCAGCTTGAAAGGAACCGGCCCTATTTGTTGGATATCAAGTTCAAGGTTGAAGCCAACCAAGTGTGATTTCGTTTCCATATAAAACGTATGTGGCACCTTCATACAGTGGTAACCGCTCAAGACCAACCGGTATGTAAAACACCCGGATCTGCTCTGCAAAAACATGGCCGTCCTTGGCACCGAGAAGTTGATAGACTCTCATCCTTCTGTATTCCAGAGCCTGTTGAGACCTTGTATTGAAAAACAAGCCACGAACTCGGGATCCAGCAGCATTCAGTTTGCCGCAAGCCTGCACAAGTGACATTCTGGGAGGTTGGCCACAGGGCAAGGGCCAGTCACTGCCTGAGGTTCTAGAGCCCAGAGTGAATTCCTTCATTGATCCGGCCTCGGTGATACAGTCCCAAGTCCATTCTGGAGGTCCACAACCACAACTTTTCTTTCTTCTCTTCCTTCCCTTTCTTCCATTCCAAGTCAGCCAGATCCACAACCCTCGAATCCTCCCTCCAAGACACTTCTCCGTTTCGTCGTTAGCGATGGGAACTCTCCCAGTCGAATCGGCCCCCACAGTATGGATCAGCTCTGCGAAACGCAAGTTGGGCGGCGAGGGGCCTGCCTGGACAGACTACCGCGAAACCAAACGACGCCAGATCATCCCTGACAGCCTGCTTGACGGCTTCTCCAAGCTTCAGGTTCTCTCCCCACGACAACTCGATGACCTGCCGCAAGAGATCCTCCTCAATATCTTCCAGCACTTCGCAGAGCCATGGGTCCTGACCGATGACCTGGCCGACTGGGACGTGTACACGCTCGACGGGGAGAGCAAGATCAGGCAGAAGACCTTGGTCGCTCTCACACAGACATGCCGCAGGCTCAACGAAGCCGCCACGAGCATCCTCTACAGATGTGCCCACATCCCATCGTCCAGGTCATTTACGCGCTTCCTCAGCTCCCTGTGTGTCCAGCCAAGCCTTTCGGAGCTCGTCAAGCAACTCTCATGTGATTTCCTGGTAACCATATCTCGCCACCCCCAAATACTTAGGAGCGACCCAGCACCACTCAATGCCGAACCTTTGGGGTCGGGAAGCCAGCAGACAGGGCCTTCTCGACCTATCGGCAGGGCTTTGCAGACATCCAACCCAAACAACAAATCTGTTGCCAACGGTCACGTCCTCGATAGTGTCCTGAAACACATACCGGCTATCAGAGCCCTGTCCATCAGCAGCGTCCACCCATGGACCAGAATCTTTCCAGTCAGTATGCTGCCGTTAGAACACCTCTCCAAATTGAGAATCAGCACGGTACAGCCACTTCGGCTCTACCTATCAAGCTATAATGCCAGGAACGAGCCGGCGGTGATATGGCTGAACAAATCGAACCTTGGTCGATATCCAGCCCTGAAGCAGGTGGAGCTCGTCCACCCCGAGGGCAAGTGGACTGCCAGCCTCGTCACCGTGGAGGCTGCGAACGGGTCTGGACCTCCCGTGATGGAAAAGTATGTCACATCGCTGACTACATGCTGGCGAGACAGCCTGAGAGCAGCTAGGTGGGAGCTCTTGAGCCTGGGACAGGATATATTCGCCGCAGAGCACCTCCACACCCTCGAGTACGGACCTCAGCGCCAGAAATGGGGGTTTTTCCCGCACTCGCGGCAGCTGCCTGGCTGGGATCTCAACCGCTTTCTAGCCACCACCGGGCGGCGTATCAGGTCGCTCAGCCTCGACTGGGAGACCACAAGCACGCCGCTGGTCCAGCTGGGCCCGACGGGGACGCTTACCACGCTGCCGATGCTCACGTGCCTGACGCACCTTACCGTGTCGATGCAGGTCCTCTTCCAACAGGCCGTCACCTTCCAGGACCAGCTGGAATCCATCCTCACAGACCCCGAGGCCGAGCTCGCACGGCTCCTGCCCGCCTCCCTCCGCGTCCTCCGCCTCAGCGAGTTCGTCCTCGGCGTCATCTCGCCAGAGAACCAGTTCTTCGAAGACTACAACGTCGCGGGGTACAACTTCCTCCTCCTCAGCTTCATAGAGGTGCTGCGCGCCTACTGGCTCGACGCCCGCCGCGGCAGGGAGCTGTGGTTCAGGCACTGCGTCGAGCTGGAGTACCACCCGCGCCTGGCCGACGTGCCGTCGCGCTGCCAGCTGAGGTGGCTGGTCAGCTCTCAGCGTCGCGGCGACGTCGGCCGACAGTTCGCTCGCGTTTACCCCATGCTGCCTGGCAATGCCGCCAGATACCGCGACGAGACTGCTGCGAGCCATGCGAGCTAAATCGCAATCGGAGCCAGACTGGAAGGTATCAAGCCCGGGCAGCTAAGGCACATGTCGACGACGTGAAATACTTCCCACGTTCCATCAACCTCGGGTGAGACCGTTCACAGTGCGAGACCTAGCGGTCCTCTTGAATCTCACGATGGTTGTGATCCCGCCAGTACAGCACAGGAGCTTTGTCTCGGTGCGAGGAGAGGGTATCATTGAAAACGCGGGAAGAACCACATGTCGGTTCATCCGCATCATCTAGAATTTTGAGGAAGAAAAGGACGGCGGAAAAGTGAGAAGGGATTATGTTTGTTCTATAGCCACAAAATTGCGCTTCACCAGTCAACATTAGCAGCTCAATTCAGTCACACTTGACTGGCCTTGTTCGCCACACCTTGATGCGCATATGAGACCACTAGTGATGTCTTAGATCAAGTACGACGATGAACTTTACTTCATATTCTCCCGTCGCATTTACGGGCGGGCCCCTGTCCCGGTGGCCGCTCAAGATCGGTCAACTTACCTGCATTGTTGAATGGAATCAATGAAAAATCAGCCACTCGCCGGTGTGAGATGTGCAAGGTTGGAACTTAAGGGCGGATGGGGCCCCTTCATTGTCTCTCCACAGAATCATGACAGGCTTATTGTTGTCGTCAACAAAACAATCATAGGAAACGTGGAATTGTCCCAACCACTCAAGTGCTTCGTGCCTCGGTGTTACTACAAATGGTCCTTGGCCGTCACAACTAGGTAGTAAGACATAAGGCACGGAATCAACACCACCAATTCACTGAGTCCTCGACTTTTTACAAGAGACCGGTTTCGAATTTCCACGTGTCCTCTACTACCGGAACAACCACTAACATAGCCTGAAGTGTGGCAAAGCACCTGTGACCCACTGTGGGTGCTTCGACTCTCTCTCCCATTGAGGACCAATGACCGTCTTGCCAGGCCGGTCCTTTCATTCCTATCAACGCCCCTGGTGACTCCCGCAATGGTGTCTCGGCCAAATGAATTGAGAGCTTGAAGTTGAGAAGCCTAGGGTGCAAGCCGCTTGCTGAACCCATTCACACCGCACCCATATCCCGAACACGGGTAGTCTTCCTTCAGGCCTGCCCATCGCCCTGATATTCCATATGATCAATACATGATTTTCCATACAAATGGCCGTTTCGACCCACGAAGCAGACGACTGCCAGCCCTGATCGTCGTCTCTCATCCAGCATTGCTGGGTTCTTTGCAGCTGAGCAAAGTAGAAAAAACATGGTTGTACATATCCCCTTCCATTCATGCATCCATATCGTAATGGCCAAACCGGCCACGGCTGCTCTCTCTCTCTCTCTCTCTCTCCTTTCAGAGTCAATACACTCTCTCGCTCTCCCGGACGACACAGAAAGAGCAGAAATTGATACCATCCGGCACTGAAGTTTGCCGAAAGGACGAGGTTGAGGTAAGCTGCCGGCTCCGTCATCAAAATTGCCTCTGTCGCAACTATCCAGACCGCTGCTGAACACGCCCCCTTGGGTCTTCCGAGGCAGGGATTGTTCTAACCTCCAGGGATGTGTGGTCAGTTCTCAAGTGCCTTCCTCCTGAGCATGTTCTCAGAACCTCTCAGCTAGTCGCCTTGGACCTTGAACCAGGTGCTCAATGAGATGAGTGAGGTGTCAATCGGCTTCCGCATGTGCAGTAATCGAAAATGTGACCAGGCAGAACCATGAAAACGCTGCAAGTCTGCGGCCGAATATATGCAGGCGAATCGGTATATGGGAGTGTTGATATTGGCGATGTGGGCGATGTAGACGCTGATCTTGTTTACAAAGGCTAATCGCTTGTGCGAAACAAATAGTCGATGTGGACTTGGGTATTAGGTTCGCTCATTGGCCGCCTTTGCGCGCCTTCTCCTGGGCCCTGGCCTCACGTGCTGCGCGCACGAGGGGTGACAGCTGGCCCAAGTCAACACATTCTTTCATAAATTCATGCTGGCAATAATCGTTAGCATTTCAAATCATGCCATGAGGCGAGGCCGCGATGCTATGGGTAAGACGTACTCTCAGGAGGTCATGCGCGCTCGCTCGCTTCTCGGGATCCACCTTCAGAGCGAAGTACAAGAAGTCCCGGAAAACTGCTGACAGGCTGTTCTCGTCCTTGATGGTCGGAGTACCGTTCGTAGCAATGAGCCAGAGAGCCCGCAGAGGTGACTCTGTCAGATATGGCGGCTCTCCTTCAATCATTTCGATGGCCATGATACCGAGTGACCAGATGTCAACCTTCCTTCCGTATTCCTTGCGGGTGACAACCTCGGGAGCCATCCAGTACGGTGTTCCGACCATAGTCGTTCTCTTGTTATGGGCCTCATTGATGGTAGCGCAGAACCCAAAATCAGCTGTTCGGCCAGGTTAGCATGTATGCTCACGAGAAGGCTGTCTGATAGACTTACTAAGCTTGATATGGCCCTCCATCGACAGCAGGATGTTGTCAGACTTGATATCGCGATGAATGACACCCTTGGAATGGAGATGTTGCAAGCCCTTCAGAGTCTCTCTGCAGACCGACGCAATCTGTCCCTCGGTCATGATGTTGAAGGTGACAACGTCAGTGAGACTTCCTCCCTCCATGTACTCCATGACTACCCAGAGCTCCCCTCCGCAGAGGTAGCTGTCAATGAAGTTGACAATGTTGGGGTGGGAGCTCTCCTTCATGACCAGGATCTCGTTGATGATCAGGTCCTTCTTGGGCTGCTGCTCGAGGTTCATCTGTTTGATGGCAACCAGCCGGTTGCTGCCCCTCTCGTGTCCAGTAAACACGCCACCAGAGGCACCTTGGCCGATCTTTGAAAATCCTCGGTAGATCTCTCGAGGATCACCTTCCGAACAGATGCGCTTGAGCTGGGCGATGACGTCGATCCCGTTGCTATGTCTCTGTTGTCGCTGGCGGGGCCTGGCGCCGGGCACTGCGCCAGCTTGCGGCTGCGGCGGTCGCTGCGCGCCGTTCTGCTCAGGGCCTCGTGTGAACTGGTGTTGCGACTGAGGTGGGGTTGGCTGCTGGTTCTGCTGTCTCTTGCTCGGGGCTCGGCCGGGCTGGCCCGTCATTGCTGCTTGCGCCTGTGCCATCGCCTGTTCTTGCTGCTGCTGCATCAACTGCTGCTGGTATGCGGCCGGGGAGGGCTGGACAGGAGGGGAGGGCGCGGCGACAGGGGTGGTGGGGACGTTGACACGGGAGTTCGACCTGGACCTTGACCGGTGCTCTTCGGGTAGCATAGTCGGGGGCTCCTTCGGGTGGTTGTATGGGCCTTCGTCGCTGGCTGCTGGCATACCGATGCCGGAATCTTTGGTCGGGTAGGGGGCCGGGGCGTTCGCGCGGTGCGACATGGAGACCGGGGGCTTGGGAGCTGGCCGGTTGGGCATCAGGTTGATATCCTTGGGAGGATGGGAACCAAAACCTTTCGGGACCGGAGGAGGGGACCGGGGATTTTCGAAACTGCCTTCAATATTCTGAGGAAACCGCGGGCTAGCAGGCGGGCTAATCATAGGTGACATACCCGTATATCCAGGTGGGGGCAACGTGGCCGACCCAGGCTGAGAGCTCATCTGGCGCATCTCGGGGGCTCGAACATCATGGAACTTCTCCAGGTTCTGGTCCTCGTGAGGCTTCTCTGTTGTCTCCTTGTAAAATGTGAGCACGTCGACCAGCATTTGGGGGTTCGCCTGTCTGTCCTTCTCAGGGATGCCGCTCTCGTTGATCAGGCGTTGCCATTCCTTTGGTAGTCCCTGGGGGAGGCGAGGCATGGGTTAGCAGATGATCTCTCAAAAAGGGCCAATTGGCAAGATCGAGGTCAGTCGGTTGGGAAGGGGGGGGGGGGCGAGGGCGCAGGGGCGACCAACCGTGAACTGGCCGGTTGAGCTGTCATAGCCGACATGGGTGACATGCACAGGATTCTCGGGCGCTGAGATGAGGGGCTTCTTGGGTGAGCCGACCAGGCTGGTCATGAAGCCGGTGAAGCCAGACTTCTTCCTGAGGACGGACGGCATCTTGGGCTCCTTCGCCTCGTCCGAGAATCTCTTGGGCCCGTTCAATTGATTCTCGGACACCTTGGCGCCCTGTGACTTCTCGGCGGCCATGATGTCAGGAGCAGCCGAGAAGCTGGCGGACTGTTCGAGAGTCGGGCCAGGGACACGGGGATCTGGTGAGGTGTAGGCGGCGTGTGGGATCGACGGTCGCTGGTGTGTGGTGGGGGATTTCGTGGCTTCGATGCGGTTGAGGATCGCAGATCCGTCGAATGGGGCGCCGATGAATTCTTCGGAAGCCTTGGAATGGAGGCGATGATGAGTGGACGTGGCCGAGGCCGTGCCGTGATTAAGATTGTTGTTGTGGGGATCGGACAGACGATAGTGGTCCCTGCGGGTAGGGTCGCGGTTGGCAGTGGCAGATTGGGGGTGTGATGAGAAGGAGAGGCCGGCAAACTCGCTGCTGGGCACGACGGGGGAGGGATTGAGAGAGCGCTGGGAATAAGTGGCCCCGGAAGTGGAAGTGGTGGGAGGATGCCGTGGTGAGGAACTGTTTGACGCGTTGGAGGTGGGAGTCCTTGCGGGTGGAGCACTTGGCGCTCGCCTCAGACTCGTGGAGCTGCGTTTGCTCTGGATAGATTGAGAGTCAAACCGACCATCGATGCTGTTGGAGCTGCGGTGCTGGTACTGGTGCTGGTACTGGCTGTGCGAGCTGGGGGGTTTCTTTGTAAGTCTCCGTCGCGAGGAGTTGCTCGAGGCGAGATTAGTGTTGTTTTGGCTTGAGCCGTCCATGATCCAACGCAACGTCGAAGACCGGGCGGAAAGAGGGGGGGGTAAGAAAGGTAAAACGGAAGAATGCTGACGGTATGAAAGCCGGGAGATGGACGGACAGGGCGAGACAGGGCAGGGCGTGTGGGATGAGAAGGCGGAAGGGGCCCGAGCCTCTGTGCGGTCTACCAATGAAGACGCCGGACGGAGATGAGCAGAGGGATGCGCGCTGTGCAAGATGCGAGGCCCGGCCTGAGCATGAGCGCGAGCCTGGCAGGTCTGCAGCGAAAGCCAAAGCCAGAACCAGAAAATGCACTGAGAGCAATGCGATGGAACGAGCGGATGGGGAATGGTGCAAGTTGGAAATGAATAAGGTCGCCCTTTTGCCTAGGGATTCCCGGGAGCTTTGTCTTGGCCGTGGACCTCTCCTGCCCGGCCGCCTTTTTGAAGGACAGCCCGAGTCCAGATGATAAAACTTGCGTGGTTGCTTGCTGCGGTTGGGCTCGACTGATGGATGGTGAAGGGCCTTGAGCGCAGGTAGGTACCCAGCTGCCAGGTAGGCATGTACTGTGTACCCCTACTCCGTACGCGGGTGTGCAGTAGCAGCAGCGCAGGTGACAACGGTCTGCTGGCGCGGGTGCAATTAACAACACCGGCCTGTTATGTGTAACCCCCCACTACCGCACTCGTCGTGCGTGCAGTAAAAGTATCGAGCAGCTCTATGTAGTGTACTCGGTACGGCTTGGCCCGACCGTATCTAGAGTGGCAACTTGTTTCCTGCCCTGGCTGGCCTTTGGGGCTGGCAAGGTGCAGGCAGTCAGGTTGTCAGGCAGTCAGGCACTCCTGCTGGGACTCTGCAATGCGAAGCCCCTCCTGTGGGACAATTGAGGACGGGGGCCACACTGGGGCCTCGAGGTTGCGTGTTGCGTGTTGCGGGCGAGCACTTGGGGTGGGGTCGGAGGTTTTGGACAAGGGATCAGGGAGATCAACGATGGGGTGTCCTTGTGTGAGATGGGCCGGGGCGGGAGGCTCTGAGTGGCCCGCTTGCCCTTGCTTTCCTTGCTCTTGATGGGCCCTCCTTTCGGGCGAGGAGGGGCAGGCGCGACAGGTGATAGGCGCGGTGGCGGCGAGGGGTTGGGTGAGCGCCACGGGGGCGTGTCCGTAGTAGCAGAGACGGGCGGCAGGTGACAGGCGACAGGCGACAAGACAACAGCGCAGGCCTGGAGACGGAAGAGCGAAGCCAATGAAGCTGGTGGTGGGATGGAATGCGGACCGTAACTGGGCAGACACGCAGAGCTGCCACTCTGGGTCAAGGCGCCAAACAAGCAGACAAGACAACGGCGATGGGCGATGGGCGACGGTGACTGACAGGGTTGCTAGTGCAGTAACGGCAAGGTGCAGCAGCGTAGTCACCCCGTAGCGTCTTGTCTGTGGTGTTATTGCTGCGCGTGCCCCCAAGTCAGTCAGGCAGGCAGTCAGCCAGTCAAGCCAGTCCGTCAGTCCGTCCGTCCGTCCCAAGGGTTTGGCGACCAGAGGGAGCACCCGTCGACCGTTGCGAGATGAGACCGAGACGGTGTCCGTGGGCTGCCCCAGCACCGGTGGGCTGGACTGAACCCAGCTTCTTCTTTTCTTCTCTTGTTGTTTCGAGAACGGTTCGGTCGAGGTCAGGCCAATGGGCGATTTCGGGCCCTGTGTTTCCTCTGCTCTTGCGTACTGTACTGACGGGTACGGTGCGGGAACGGCAATTGCCAGAACGGTGGCCAACTACTGTGTAGTTTTCAGTCCCTTCTTTCGCTGGTGGCTGCTGTTGCTGACCTGTTTTGCGGCTTGGGGCTCGATTGGAAGCTGGCCATGGCTGCTCCTTTTGCGAGCCTGCACTTTTTTGGCGCCCATCCATTGTCAAACCCAGGGGAGGTGTACAATGGTGTTGTATACTGTGCGTGATCCTGGTTGTTGGTGGTGTTGATGACGAGCTGCTTTTTGCGCACGGTGTTTTTGGGTGTGATTGATGTGGGTCAATACAGTGCGAAAAGAAAAAAGACGCTAGCTTGGTGGGGTGCAGGGGTCAGCGGGAACAATCCTTGGTGGGGCCCCACCAAGGAGCAACATTGAACCTAGCAGGGAATTGCAGGGCTGGCTGGAGCTTCCAAGATTCCAGCAATGGTGGGCTGTTTCTCACTGTTGTTGTTGTTCTTGTTGCCCATGTCAGGGCCCAAGGGGATTCTGGCACTCATTACAGGGCACCCTTCATTCTTTCATCCTTGGGTTCCACCTGCAGGGCCAGGAAGCCAGGAAACCAGCCAGGACTGGAGAGCATTTCTTGCTTGCCACACACATGCAGGGTCCGAGCCAAACGAGCCAAACAAAGCCTATTCCAAGGCTATTTTTCTTCACCTGTGATCCTGTTCCCACCCTAGAGCCCCCAGCAGGCAGCAAAGGCCTGGGAGGAGATCTGGGGGGAGACCTGTGAGCAAGCATAAATTGACCATAGGACTGCCCTCTGCCCTCTCTCTGAGCAATCAAGCTCGGCTTCTGCTTCCGTGTAACCGAGCTGGTCTTCACTTCTGGCCCCCCTTGGTCCTGTGTGTGACTACGTTAAATGAGGCAATGATTTGCCACACTTTCTACCAGCCTGTCAAGCCTGTCTTGCTACCCTGTCAAACCCTCACCTTGTCTTCTTGTCTTGCCAGTCTGCCAGTCTGCAAGTCAGCCTGTTCTGCCTGTCTGCCTGTCTTGATTGTCTATGACCTCCAGACTACCGTTTTCAGTAATACAATACTATTGTCCTGATACACAGTTCCTTGGTGACGTATGCATTGGACGTTTCCTCCCCAATGACTTCATGACACATGACACCATCACTACCGAGGCAGAGGGTAGCGGGCGCCATCACAGGTGATGAGCAACGAGCAACGAGCAACGAGCAACGAGCAACGAGCAACGAGCACATCGGACGGCAAGACAAGGGTTGTTGGGGCAGATTCGGAGCATGATGGCGGTCGGACGCCATCAGGCAAGGCTCCCGGGCTGCTGCCGGGAAACATATTCTCGGATGACGCCCGCAGTGTAGCGGAAGGCCACAAAGCCTCTCGGCCAGACACAATCCCATGGTGGTGAGCTTCCATTTCCATGTCACCTGGGACAGTTTGGCTCGTGGATGATCATTTTTCACTTGGTACTCGAGACTCGACATCACGCCCTGACAGGCAGTTGATGGCCTCAAGCGAGGTTGAGCGTCACCGGCCGCCTAGGCTGCCGGCCAGCTGAAGCCGGGCCCGGTTCGTATCCTGAGCTCGGATGAGAAAACATCGGACCAGCTTCCAGGGCCAAGCCTTTATTACATCGACAGTCAATGCGAGGGGCAGCAACGCCCCCACCAGGCTTGCGTTCGTCTGAGCGACAGCAGGACTTGGCCAATCGCCGAGCAAGGGCCTTCGGCGCGCTCATATACCTACTACAAGGTAGAATCAAGTGCAAGAGAACACCTCGCCGCCGAGGCACAATCGCGTTTTCGTGAGATCCGAGTCCCGGCTGTTGCGGCCGTCATCCATCTTCTCAAACTTCCCTGGACGGAAAACGGCTCGTTGAGAGGCCTGTTGTCGTCACCATGCTGTGTACTAAGTGATCTACAGCTAGACATCGCTCACAGCATAGCAGAAAGGATAATGCAAATGTTGGTGGACCAAGACATGTCTGCTTCTGATTTTCATACGCATCATGAGACTTCGTACTGCCTTTTGTCTCTGTCTCTCTCTCTCTTCAAAGTCTGCCCTCGGAATTTGTCCTCCAACAGACCGGTACACAGACGGAAGATAATGACTGCGTGATCCGATCCCGACGCCCACATGTCCGCTCAGCCAAGGTCTGTTTCGATGCAAGCGATCGAACACTACACTAGGAAGATCCGTCTCCAGCCATTGCTCACCCAGCACCAGAGTATGAAACCGCAACCATCCTCTTCTCTCCTCACGCCCAGCGACACAGTGCGTAGGTACGCAAGTAGACCAACTTTACTCGTGTGGGACACACGGCTTGTTTCCTCCGGCCCAAGGCACACCACAGCGTTGGGTGCAGAAGTCACAGAAAAGAGTCCTAAAGCCGTCGAATGGATTGACCAGCGCAGACTTTTGAACCGCGCCGCCAGCAATCTCATCGGCCGTCCGTGCTACAAGGTCCCGGGCGAAGATGACGTTCGCGCAGGCTGTGCATGCACAAGTCTCGCACTGCAGGTTCCAGTCCACGGGTGACCGGAACACGCCCACGAGACTGGCGGGCCGGATGTTAAGGCTTACTTCCACGCAGGCGTGGGCAAAGGGGGCGATCGGGTTGAGCCGCGCGATGACCTGCCTGACTTGTTCTCCGCCGTCGGTGCCGTCGAGGACCTGGCGCAAGGCGAGCAGAAAGCGCGCAACTGAGATCCACATGTGACTATCGCGAGGGACAATGGGAGCGGCCCTCTCGACGGCGTCGGCCACGTGCTGCAGTTGGCTGGATAAATTGGCCTGCCTCATCCACTGCGCCGTTCCCGTAGAACCCTCGCTGGAGACGAGCAAGATATTCTTCAAGAGCGTTGTGTGGTAGAAGTTCCAACCAGATATGACGATCGCCTTGAGATGGGGGATGCCAAAGAAAGTCGCAACAGTGCACAAACCAATCAATTCCGAGATGCCATGGTCGGCTGAAAGCGCGAAAGCGAGGGCGTCCGGGAACGGCCGGCGATCTGGGTGGCCTTTTGGGTAATCATCTTGAGTGAGGGTTCCCGATTAGAGACTTGCAAGGTACGAGACATGTAATTGACGTGGTTCAGGAGCACAAAAGTGCTGACTTACGGGCGAATTGCAGGTATTGCAAGGTCCAAAGAATCCAGTTGTGATCAAAAAGTTTGGTCTTGAGGATTGACTCGATGGGAGTGATGTCGACGGCCTGGACGATCTGGAAGCGATCACGAGGGAAATGGCCGAGCAGCTTCCTCAGAAGCGCCGAACCTGAGATGACCACATCTCTGTGCGTAACCCAGTGGAAGAGTACACCAAGACGGAGGGTGAAGAAGGTAAGACGACAGTCAAACCCTCTACCTTCTGGGTGTTGGTCTTGGGCAGCCTTGCTATGGGGTTGTAGATCTCAAGTTAGCGCCATGCTGTCCATGGACGGACAAGAAAATGATCGAGCCCGCTGGAAGCGATGAGGCTGGTGAGCCATCGGCCGACGTTGCGAATCGCAGTCTATAAAGCATTCCGGGGACTCCTCTCACTGCAGGCCACTTACCAAGTGTATATCACGCGTCCATCGGACTCGGAGTTGTAAGATGCCGTTCCATAGTCCTTCATTGTCTCCATTGTGTCCGATTGGTGACACGGTGGTGGTAAGGATCCGGTAATTCCTGAAGTCGAAGAAGTTGACAGATGTGTGGATCGTGGGTAGGTGTTTGGACAACGGACAGTGTGAAAGGGATGGACCGCATCAGGGCAGCTATCTCGCAAACTGTAATTGCTACTCGAAAGTGAAGTGTTGATTGAATATGGATTGGGCCTCCACTCATAGGTGGCATTTGTTTGATTCAATAAACAAACATCAAGTGAACTATGTCCAGGATTGTCACAACAGTTATGGTGCCCTAGAATCACATAAGAGGCATTCACTGACGTAAAACATTGCCCGATACATTAGGGACAAGTTGGCCAAGGACATCTGGAGGAAACCTACCAGAGTATGGCCAAGAGACTTCCAGACAAGGGGTTTTCCAAGTTGCATCCTTCATGCAAGCAAAGCACAGACCAAAATGTGACAGCCGAGCCGTGTCGACATACTGAATAACATATGTCCCCTTAATTATTCTACCAAGCTACCTAGATACATGGCTACTCACAAACCCTTGGTGCAGTGTTATCAAGAGTGAGGTGGAGGAAATGGTTTATGTGGTGTGTTGATATCACTCCCAGGGGCTGTGAGCACCAAATACAATTGCGGACCTACCAATTCAAGTTGACAACCAGGGATATCGTTAGGATGCCATAGTATTGAAGGGATAGACGAAGAGAAATGCCCATAGATACTGCTCTGTATTCAAAGAGACAGCAAAGCCGGAAGGGAGCACATGCAATGTTAAGTTCAGGGCTGCCGTACACTACACTACACACACTAGGCTTACTAATAGAATATAAATATAAATACTTCAGCCTTTAGTATAAATATAATATAATATAAAGACCTTTAGTATAAGTAAGTATAGTATAGTAAGTTTAAAATTTAGGTGTAAATAGGGGGGGGGGTAGGGAGGAAAGTCTAACTACCTATTTAACTACCTATTTAACTACTTATTTAACTACCTATTTAACTACCTATTTAACTATTTATTTAACTACCTATTTAACTACTTATTTAATTATTTATTAAAGTTAAAAATAAATAAAATAAATAAAATAAATAAAATAAATAAAATAAATAAAATAAATAAAATAAATAAAATAAATAAAATAAATAAAATAAATAAAATAAATAAAATAAATAAAATAAATAAAATAAATAAAATAAATAAAATAAATAAAATAAATAAAATAAATAAAATAAATAAAATAAATAAAATAAATAAAATAAATAAAATAAATAAAATAAATAAAATAAATAAATAAAATAAATAATAAATAAAATAAATAAATAAAATAAATAAAATAAATAAAATAAATAAAATAAATAAAATAAATAAAATAAATAAAATAAATAAAATAAATAAAATAAATAAAATAAATAAAATGAATAAATAGGTGAATAAATAGGTGAATAAATAAGTGAATAAATAAGTGAATAAATAGGTGAATAAGTAGGTCTTTTCTCTTCTTATCTTATCTTATCTTATCTTATCTCTTATCTTACTGCTTAGTCAGCTTTCCTCTCCCTCTTCCTCCCTCCCTCTCCCTCCCTCTCCCTCCTCCCCCTACCCCCCCCCTATTTACACTAAAACCCACTACATTACACGCACTGGATACTTCAATATAATATAGTATACTTCAAAATACCCTCAGTATAATGGGGTGTAGTGGGCATATTTACACGCACTACACTACACTAATTACACTGAGTGTAGTGAGCGGCAGCCCTGGTTAAGTTCAAGACCCTCATAACTACCCATATAGAGACTCAAGTCAAAATACCTAGCAAATATAAAAGTCTCATCAGCATGCCCAGAGATATCTTGATTTATATCTCCTACATTGATTCTACGGAGCCACAATTACAAATCCCAAGTTTCGTAGTATAATAAACATGTGGATCACATCCCCCTTATGCACATCAAGGCCATAAGCTTAAGAATGACAAGATGTCTGGTGATCATAATTGCCTAAAAGGGAGTTTATGTTTAAAAATATGAAAGCTTATGATTCTTTTGTTTAAGGCCATCAAGGATGTAACTATAAAAGCAGGTCTCTGGTGATTCTGTGTCTTGGTTTTGGAGCGGGCAAAACAAAGTATGGGTAGAGAATGAAACACCCTTCACAAATCTTTCCGTCTACAAGCACAGGTTCCCAATCCTCAAGCTCACTCATCTCAAATTGGACAATCGTTCTTAGATTGTCCTGGAATTCACATCCCTTAGAGAATACTATTGAAAGCTTTCTTGGCTGAAACATCACCTTCACCAGATCAGTGCAATAATTATCAACAAAGCCGATTGTTAGTACTACAACATCTGTCTTGTGTGTTCATGTGTATGTTACCTACCTAGGTACTTAGGTAGGCATATATGTGTTGCTCGGGCTAGGTACTTAGGTATGAAAAGCCCTCGAAACTATGCACTCAAGCCACTCAAGCATGATACGTTGGATGTGCGATGGACTATTCATTCGCCTATACTGGAAGGGCTGGTTGATTCTGCAGAGGCAGCCGTTCACTCGCAGCTTAGATGTCCTGCGGACTAGAAAGCAGACGCTCATAAATAACTTTTGCTTCACATCCTCCCAAAATCAGCTGAGCTCATCATGCTGGTCACGAATTACCACAGCTCCAGCATGTCATTGTCGTCATCATCGAATTCCAGCATCTCATAGCCAGGACTAGAGCCGCTCTACTCTCTCGCCCTGGAACCATTGACACCGTCTCGCACAGCAGCCAGGATCAGGTCCTTGGCCTTCTCCACTCCCTCCTTGGTACCGGTGACCTCGATAGCCTCACCCTGGTCACGCGGGACGTTGATCTTGCAGCCACTCTGCTTGCGGATTGAGTTGACCTTGCTGCCACCCTGTCCAATGACATGACGGTATGTCTTGGGGTCAGGCAGGACGAGGTAGCCCGTGACGTTGTTCTGCGCCTGCTCCATTGCCGTAGTGATGGCCTTCTTGGCCTTCTCAATGTTTTCTGGAGAGCCCTTGAGAACCCAAGGGATATCGCCTTCTTCGCTCGAGACGCTCTCCACGACGTTCCAGGAGTGCGCTTCGTCAGCGGAAACGTCGTCATCAGTGATGAGCGGCAGCGCGCCGCCGTTGGCACGAGGCGCAGCAGTGAGCTTGGGTGGTGGTGTCTGACCCGCATGATCGACCGTGACATGGAAGTCGTTCCTCAGTCTGCGGAAGAACTGTCCGCCGCTCGAGATGGCCTGGTGAACACTCCGGGGGACCTGAATGGTTTCCGCCGGCTTCTCCTTGGTCAGGTTGACAATGTGCTCCTTAGCCTTCTCGACGTCAGGCTCTTGACCGGTGATCTTGACGGCGGTCTCACCACTTCCCTGCTTGGGAATATCGATCGAGACCTTGAACTGTGATTCTATCTGCTTCTTGGCATCACCACCACGACCTATCAGCGATCTATGCTTCTCGGTCGGCACATCGATGGTAGCGGTGACCTGGCTCTCTCGGTGGGCCACGAAGGCCTCAATTTGCTTGATGAGCTTGTCGACCACGTCGGTGCGGCCCTCAAGCCTTATCGTGTTGCCGTCGGCTTCCTGCTTCGGGAACTGAATGGTCCTGGCCCGCTCCCGGGAGTCGTCAGAGCCACCAGCTTCGAGAACCATAGCCCGCAAGTTTGCGCCTACAAAGGATAGTTAGCTTTCCGGGTTGTTACGTACACGAAGGCGGGCATGAACTGACCTTGGGCGCCGATGAGGGCTCTGTGGTACTTCCTCTCCACGTCAATGTTTTTGACGACAGTATCGTCGAAGACGGCCTTCTTCTCCTCGATGATCTTCTTGGCTTTCTGGACATTGTCCTTCTTGCCCTTGATCTGAATCTCGACGAGAGCATCGGTGGAGTCTCGGTCATTCGGCACATCGATCTTGGTCTCGGTCTGCTGGCGAATTGCTTCCATGGCAGTGCCGGCTTGCCCAATCAGAGAAGGCAGTTGCTTTCGCTGGACTGTCACTGTTGCCGTAAACGAGTTGGTCTTCAGCCAATTAACCAAGTCCTTGAGCTCGTCGTAAGCTTGTGACACGCCCTTGCTTGGGCCCCGGATGATGACTTCGTCGGCAGCTTGTTGCCGGCGGTTCTTGCCTGCTTCGTCACCAGCATCGGCGTTGGCCTCGTCATCCTTGCCGCCCTTTTCACCACGCGGGAAGAAGATGAGGACCTTGTATCTATTCTGCAGCTTGTTGATCTCGCTGCCCTGGGCACCGATCAATTCGCGGTGGAACTTGGGGTCAACCTGAAGCCTCATTGTGGTCTCATCAGCCCAGCTCTTGCCCAGAGACTCGATGTGTGACCGCGCAGCCGCAGCCTTGGCCTTGGGTCCCTTGAGTTGGACCTGACCGTTTTCGACCTGGATGTCGACGTCATACTTGTCACGAAGCTCCTTGATGTTGCTACCACCCTTGCCAATAAGGTGGTTGGCGAACTTCTGGGGGAATTCAAACTCCAGTGTAAAACCGCGCTCCTTCTCGTCAGCCTTCTCCTGCTCGATGAAATCCCGCACCTTGGCAGCGAGATTCTGCACAGCAGTGGCTGGACCGCGAAGTGTGACATTGAGGCCCAGCTGGCTGACTCGGATCCGCGGTTGGTTAGCGGGGCGCTTGTCCTGCTCCTTTGCGATAAACTTCTTCAGCTTCTCGTGGAACTTGAGGGGCACCTCGACAGTCTCGGCCACGATGTCCTCTTGCTGGCTCAAAAGGTCCTGTATGTGCTTGCGAGCATTGTTGAGGCCCTGTTGGAACTTGCGGACGTCCTCTTGGGACGGTGCCGTGCGAGGGATCTCGTAGGAGCTGTCGACCGGACCGGGCGCCTCGTAGACAAGGAGGATGGGGCTACCGGGGTCGGATGGATCCGGGATGACCACCTGGACACCGTAGTTTTCCCGGACATGGGGCCTGATCTCGTTCTGCATGTAAGGATAATAGAACGGATCGACATCTCTCTGGCCGAGGGTGCTGAACCTCGAAGGGGGGTGGCTCTCGAACAGGCTCCGGATATCAGATGAAGCAGCAGCCAGCTTTTGGCCCTGAGGGATGTACAGCTCCCAGGGGAGGGCGCCATCCCCGGAAAACGGAGTGTTGATGTGGGCACGGTACTGCTTCTCCAAGCGGTCGATCTCTCTGCGTTGACGGAGGTAGCGCGTCACATTCTTGGAGTGCACTGCACCTTGACCGGGAGCTTGCTTGTTTGTCCACTTCAGGTGGTCGACGTTGTTCATTTGCATGCTCATGGCCAACTGCTCTGCCTTCTCGAGGCCTTCCGCGATTTGGTCCGCCGGGCCTACGAGAGTGATAGCGTCATCATCCTCGTCAGTAGGCAGGATGATGGCACACCCTGTCTGATCGAAGAACTCCTCTGGAGACAAGGCCGAATCACCAATGATGAACTGATGACGACCGCGCTGGATCTCGAGCTGCTGCAGGAGCAGCTGCTCACGGAGCTCGGCAGCGCGACGCTCAATCTCCGCCTTGAGAGCGAGCACAGCGGCACGGTCACCCTCGAGCTGGATGTGGTGGTCGGCAGCAGGCTGGAAAGCTGGGCGCTGACCGGGTCCAGGCACAGTGGTGGTGGCCTGCGACGACCACGCCCGATGAGGCGGGATTCGAATCTGTGCCCCGTTGCCAACATTGGGCTTGCTGAGCAGATCCTCCCTAGCGCTTGCAATGAAGGGGTAGAACTCGGCAGGAATCCCCTTCAGCTTGGTGTTAACCTTTGCAGCACGTTCCCCAACAATCCTCTCAATCTCTTGCTTTGCTTGGGCAGCAGAAATGGTGTTGCCCTCAATCTTTACGTTGATGTAAACGTCATCGTCAAGTTCGTCGACAGGGACACCGTTCTTGTCGTCTTTGGGGACCTCGATACGAGCCCCCGTCTTCTCCTGCAGGGATTTGATGGTAGAGCCTTGCTTTCCGATGATGTGGGCACGTGCGGACTGGGGAATAGGGACCGAGATAGATTGCTGCCACTAGTCAGTATTTCTGTGTTGGAGTTTAATGTGTTTGGGGTTAACTAGGGGCATACAGGAGTGCCAATCTGCTTCACGAGCTCCTTGAGGGCCCGCTGGGCAGCCTCCTGGGGCCCGCTGGCCTCAAAAGTAGTCCCGTTGGTGTTCTGGGGGCCAATGGAAATGGTGGCTCGGGAAGTCCTGTTGAGATCCTTGATGATGTCGGGAAGAGGACGACGGAGCTGGTCGCGACCCTTCATGTGCTCGGGGCGCAAGCGGATGGTCTCGACATTCTTGCGGCCAGGGATGGTGACAGAGGGAACAGCAGACTTGGCAGTAGGGGTGGCTGCACCGGAGGAGGGAGTCGCGGCCCTGGGGGTGCCATCGGCAGGGCTGTGGCCATTGGCCTTGTCGGACAGGACGTTCCACTTGGGAGCAGTCTTTGTTGCGGGCTGGGGCTTGGGGCCACCAAGGTCGGGGAACAGCTCGCGAGACTGGGTGTCGAGGGTTTTGGCAGCAGGGGCTGTCTCCTTCTGCTTTCCAGCTGCCTTGGCGGACAAGGCAGGAGAGTCGGCGGCGGCGGTGGATGCATCATGGACCTTCAGGTCATCATCGGGGACATCTTCGACGGTGACATGGTGGCCCTCAGCGGAATGTTGTTGGGACAGCCTCTGGGCGGCAGTCATTTCCACGTTGGGAGCCATGGTGTGCACAAGGGCAACTGGTATAAAGGGAGACAATACAGGAGACCAAGAGAAAGTAACCAGTAGAGGGACTTGACAGGAAGGGCTGTCCAAATCCTAAGGTTATGGAGAGGCGGAAGGTGTTGATGTGAGCGAGGTTTGAGGACGGTGTGGAAGGAGGACAGCGACAGCTTGTAAGTGCGTCGTGGAACTTCGAAAGTTAATCAGGAAGAAGCCCACTTTTTTCCCAGCCCGCTATTCCTATTGTGGTACTAGCGTCATCGGGCTCGCCCCACACTAGGACCCCGACAGTTCCATTTAGTGGTGGAGATGCACAAGCTATGTCCCATGCCGCCTTGCTGCCAGGCCATGCCGCCTTGCTGCCAGGTCACACTGCATGCACGTGCCAGGAGCCGTCAATGTCCCGAGGCCAGGTAGCTCTCCACGTGTACAGAGTACTACAGTAGCACCATGACCATCTTTCTGGTAGTGGCATCTAGCAGTGACAATCCAGGAGCCATGGCTCTCAGGCAAGCCGCCAGCAGCCTGGTTGCAAGAGCACATCTACTTAAGTAGGGAGCGTGCTTGCCAACAGAATCGGGAAGTCAAATACACAGTACATGACCATGCAGTAAATGAACCTACTAATCATATACTGTCATTGCCTGTCTCCACAAACAACACTATTCTCAAAAATTTCCATTTTGTATATTCAGTAGGTAATTGGTAAGGACAAAACAGGAGCATTGGAATTGTTTCCTCTCCTATGTCGGCTTCAACCCCCCGGCAGCTAAGGGTTCACTTTCACCATTAATACTTTCAAGCTTTCAGGCTACCCAGCATGGACAGGCATTTTATTCTATAAAAGAATGACTGTATTTCCATAGTTTTAACATCTTATTCTGCTTCACGGGAAGATGAGTACTCAAGCAATGCCATGAACCATGCTAGGTGGATGCCTAGGTAAGGGGATGCAATAAGATAGGACAAGGCATCAAGTTCCTTTTACCCTTTTCTTCCTTCTCTTATCTCCAACAAAGGCCTCAAGAGACCTGTGATGCTGAAGTGTAGGACATCTGATCACGAAGACATCACACACAGCCTATGTGGTTTCGCTTCTATTCCGTATACGTCCGAGGACATACATGGCGCCTTCATATGGTGGTAAGCACTCAAGACCATTGCCGCTGAACATATAATAAATCAATAGATGGAGAGACTAATAATTCTCCATAGGGTCTGTTTTCGTTTTAGTATTTTCACTTCTTCTTAACAACTCTAAGCCCACAAGCTTCTATGCCTAGGTGAATGTGACTTACATCAGATTCATCATTGCTTATAGGTTAAATTTTGTTAATAAGAGACTAGCTATATTGCCATCTACAGCACTATTATTACTGCTAATGCCGCCTGGTTAATATGAGAAAAATTGGAATCATGATGGCATGAATTATATTCTTGCATGACTTGTTCCATTCAGGTTGATCAGTCCTTTCTAGGCCATGACCTAGGGACTGACCTCATTCTCCGGTCTGACTGCCCATCAGTTGTGATACCCTCAAAAGTGTATTCTTCACATACATTGGACCATTGTGTGAACAAGGATTGGGTGATCTGTTCTTATTCAAAGGACACGGCCATCAATTGATTTGGGAATCTTGGCTGATGAATAGAAAGTGCCTTGTGTTGACTTGTAGGATGGATAATCCAATGGAGGGAGAGGTCGGCAATTTGTTCATACGTGAACGGGGCAGTTCAAAGAATGCTCCATACCTAGGCATGATAACCAAAGGAGCCGCTTCTGAAGCCGACGAAGGAAGCCTCAAACATGAAACGCTTATGGCTTATATGAGCCATGCCGCCGGCTGGCCAGTACCCTGCCCAAGCGACCAGACCAGGCCCAGTATTTATCTCGGCGCCTTGGAATCGCCCTCAAAGCGCGTATTCAAGGGAAAAGGTATCCCCAACGCAGACTTTTGCATTGCATTGCCTGGGGAAGCTGGGATTTGCTCCAATGCTAAAATGCGGCATGACCGGGACAAGAGACTTCGAGCATTAAATGTGACGCGTCGAAACACCCCGCATGTTCACATAGTTCACAGCGACTCGTGACGGCAACGAGCGCGCGTCTGGGGCAAATCCGTGGGTATAAATGGTCGGACGGCACTGACGACTCTTGCTGCTGTTCTTCTCGCTCAAGTGCCCCCTTGTGTTCAGTTCTCACCGTACATCAACTTCTCGAGCAGGACTCGCATCTTTCAATTTTTCTTTTCAACCAGAACCCTTCCAAGATTTGAACGTGGTCTCCCACCCACCGAGTTTCCAAGATGCCCGTCGCCTTCATTGCAGCCTATGAAAAGGGGTCAAATGTTGACAAAGATTATTATGTCAACAAGCACATACCGCTAGTGACTTCAACTTGTAAGTATACGGTATCAGCCACACATGGCACCACTTCAGAAACTTCCATGGGGGACACTGGGCAGTTGACATATGCTTGACCCCAGGGAACGATCCGGCCATGCAGCGCTGGACGGCAGCCACTTCTATGGATGAGAACGACCCGTACGAGGCCGTCTTCCAGGCTGTGTTTGAGAGCAAGGAAGCTCTTGAGAAGTCGCTCAAGGAGCTGGGAGAAGAGAAGAACGCCAGCTTCTTCGAGGATGCAAAGAAGTTCTCAACCAAGGAGCCCAAAGTGTATCACATGGAGATCCAGGCAACTTCAGGCTCCTAGGCGAAGGCTCCTAGGCGAAGGCTGGCCAGAGTAGACAATGTCGATATCGACTGGTATGACGAGGTCGTGCGTGTGATCATCTGGTGATGACGGGCAGTATTTCGTGTGACTGTTAGTCAATACTACAAAGTATGTTCCGGCGGCCATTGAAATGAAGAAAAAGAGACTGCAAACAAAGTGAGTCCTCAAACTTGGACCAAACATCGCGGGATTTCGGATCAACCTTATTTTATCAATGTTGCACGCAGTGCACATGTGCTGTCACCGTTTTGTTCCACATGCGGACAGTGCCTAAGTGGTGGCCAGTGTGTGTTGGGCGGGGACGGTGGTGGTAGGAGGGTAGGAGGGTACTTAAGTAAGTACCTAGAGGAAGGAGGGTAGGAGGGTAGGAGGGGCTCTCTCTTTATCTTATCGCCTCTCTGTCCAACTGCAGTGGGGGCAGTGCAACGTCATCCCCGCAAGGCCCAAACGGTCTCGCTGCCGACCTGAAGCTTGCATCACTTAGCCATGGGTTACCTGTTGTTTGCTTTATGCATCTAATTGCTGTCCCGTGCCCATCTACGGTCGCCCAGTGGATGGCCGTCTCAGTTTCTCAAACCCAACAGTCTCCGCCCCGCCCCGCCTTCGCCTTCGGATCAAGGATTGAGTGAGTCGAGGTTGCGCGTGACTGCCCCAAGACGAGCTGCTGTCCTCGCCTCACGAGGACATCCTGGGTTCAGCTTACAAGCAATATGTTCTCCCAAGTAGGTCGTCATCTCGGCTCAGGACAGTGGTGATGTGTCGCGACCGACGGCCACATGGTGTCTTACAACGCCACTCACCTCTGGTCCCCGGCTACCAAGACAACGGCTGACATCCCTTGCAGAAGAAGCCGTTCTCGGCTGTCACTGTCACTGTCGAACAGCTGACCAGTGAGGCCTATGAGGAGGATGACCTCAGCGGCATCCCCGACCTCGTGGAGGTTGTCAAGCTGCAGGCCACCGGGCCAGCTGAGGCCGCGCGTGCAATCCGGAAGAAGCTCAAGTACGGCAGCGTCCACCGCCAGCTCAGGGCTCTGACCCTCCTTGACGGCTTGATCCAGAACGCCGGCCCGCGCTTCCAACGCGCTTTCGCCGACGAACCGCTGCTGGAACGCCTGCGTGTCTGCGGCACTTCTGACCTGTCAGATCCCGATGTGAAGAAGAAGTGCTCCGAGCTGTTCCGAAGTTGGGCCTCTGAATACAAGAACACCCCCGGCTTGGAACGCATCGCCAAGTTGTACAAGGAGCTCCCCAAGCGCAAACAGGTCGTCACCCAGGAACGTTCCCGCGTCATTCGGGAGACAGAAAACCCGTTCGGTGAGGAGGAGGATGACCAGCCGGCATCTCCAGAGCCACCACAGGCAGCATCCTCCCGCTCCCCGCCGCCAAACTTTAGCACCCCCGTAACCGGGCAGATCAATTCTTTCAGCTATGTGTCCTCCTCAAAGGACAAGAAGAAGAAGGACAAGGACAAGGACAAGAGGAAGTCCAAACATCGCAAATTCAACCTCGAGGCCGAGAAAGACGCCATGAAGACCGCCATCGCGGAGGCATCCATTGCGGCAACTAATCTCATGAACTCACTTCAGAGCATCAACCGTGAGAAGGAACGAATTTCCGAGAACGCAGTCGCCGTGCAGCATTTCGAGGCGTGCAAGCAGTTGCGACGCAGGATCCTGCGATACGTAAGTCAGCTTGACATGTGGAAATACTGATCCTCGAGACATGGAATGCCTTCTGACGTGGCAAAAACACACCAGATCCACCACGTCGAATCCGAGCAGTGGCTCGGCTCCCTCCTCCACGCCAACGACGAGCTCGTCCAGGCACTCATGACCTTTGAGCAGCTCGACCGCTCCATCGACGCTGACAGCGACTCGGACGACGAGCTGGCCGAGCAGGCTCACATGTACCGCATGATGACCGAGAAGGGCAAGTCGCCCACCTCCCCGGGCAGCCCGACCTCCGCCATGGCCGGCCTCCACATCGACCCTCCGCCGGCGCAGCCCGCCCGCCCCGCGGCGCCCCCGAGACCATCGGCCGTGTCGAAGCCTTCGGCCCAGCCGTCTGTCCCCGGGAGACCCCCGACAGAATACGCCGACGCATCTGACGAGGAGGACGAGGACGAGAACGACCCTTTCGCAGACCGCAACGCCCTCGCGACCCCTAAGGTGGAGCGCAACGAGCCGGCTTGGTGATTGGGAACGGCGCCGCTCACCTCTTCTCCCTGCCCCCGTCGGTGGTGTGCACGTCGAAGGCCCTTGGCAGCCGGCGGGAAGCCTGATGCTAATTTCTCCCGTAATCTATACCCCGGAAACTTGCCACCGTGTCTGTGTCTCGTTGATCCAGGAGCCCCTCCCCATTTCGGTCGATTTCTGCGCGTTTCGATGCTTCAGGAGCTATGCCCATGCGAGATAGATACCTCCATAGTAAATTTGAATTCTTTCCATCTCTCTCGCCTTGCCATGTTATCACGACTAGGGCGACTCGGACGAGATTTTCAAGTCCCCCATGCGCAAACGCACACACAGGTGCAGGCGGAACTTGTTTTCCAGCCCACGTCCCTTTCGCAGATGAGCGCCGATGGTAAGTTGTTCCCTCCCCAAACCAGCCTAGAAAGACATCCCTGGCTCTCGGGTCGTCCGAACGGTCCTCTCTCCTGTCACTGTTATGACAAGTCGTGGACCGGCACGGGAGTTTTGCTGGGGGCAAGCTGAGTTGGAAGAGCACAAGCCAGCACGCTGTTTTCAACGATTTGACAGCATTTGTGCCAATGTCCTCAGCTTGGGAATTTCTGGGTCGACTACGTTCGGGGCTCTTAAGCCCTGGCCGACATTAAGGCATTAAGTCGAACCTGTGTCGGCCAAGATACGCCACGTCATAAACCATCAATCACATAGGCAAGCGGACACGTGATAAGTGTTCGGTATCAAGATCAAGCCTTTAAGAATACTACGAGACTCCTGTGTATCATATCATACAAGACGCATGTGGCTTTCTACCACTGCACCAGTCAATGCATCCATGTTCCCCAATCACCATACCAGTGACACCACCAAGAGGGCGCATGCCGCGTAAATAAATCATAATTACTCAATGTAGACTTTTATGGACTTTCTCTTGTCAACCTGGGGAGGTCTAATTTCTCCCACTAGATGCACTTAGAGCTCGTCGTGGTCCACAGGCTCGTCGTCACCACCAGCGCCAGCAGACTCGTAGAGCTTGCTGGTGATAGGGTAGGCAACGTTGGACAGCTTCTCCTTCTGCTCCTCGAAGTCCTCGGCGGCCGCGGTGGCAGCGTTCTCCTCGAGCCAGTCAGTGGCCTCCTTGACGGCCTCCAGAAGCTGTTTCGGGCGTTAGCAATTTGCTCAGAAGATGCAACGTGGTCGGGGTGTCATGAAAACTTACAGTCTCCTTGTCATCGTCATCGATCTTGCCACCAAGCCCCTCCTCGTCGTTGACCTGGTTCTTCAGGTTGAAGGCGTAGTTCTCAAGACCGTTGCGAGCCTCAATGCGCTCACGGGTGGCCTTGTCCTCCTCGGCGTACTTCTCAGCCTCGGCAACCATGCGCTCAATCTCGTCCTGGGTCAGACGGCCCTTGTCGTTGTTGATGGTGATGGACTCGCCCTTGCCAGTTCCCTTGTCGACGGCCGAAACCTTCAGGATTCCGTTGGCGTCCAGCTCGAAAGAGACCTCGATCTGGGGCTGGCCACGGGGCGCTGGGGGGATTCCAGTCAGCTCGAACTTGCCGAGGAGGTTGTTGTCCTTCGTCATAGATCGCTCGCCCTCGAACACCTGGATCAGGACGACGGGCTGGTTATCGGCCGCAGTGGAGAAAATCTGGCTCTTGCGAGTGGGGATAGGAGTGTTGCGGGGAATCAGCTTGGTCATCACACCTCCGGTCGTCTCAATTCCGAGGGTGAGCGGGTTGACGTCCATGAGGACAACATCGCCAGTTCCCTCCTCACCAGACAAGACGCCGGCCTGGACGGCTGCGCCAAAGGCTACTGCCTCATCGGGGTTGATACCCTTGCTGGCCTTCTTGCCGTTGAAGTACTCCTCAATGAGGGAGACAACCTTGGGGATACGGGTGGAGCCACCGACGAGGACGATATCGTCAATCTCGTCCTTCTTGACCTTGGCGTCCTTGAGAACCTGCTCAACAGGCTTGATGGTCTTCTTGAAGAGATCCATGTTGAGCTCCTCAAACTTGGCCCGGGTCAGGGTCTCGGAGAAGTCCTTGCCCTCGTGGAAGGCCTCGATCTCGATACGGGTGGACATCTGGGAGGAGAGGGTACGCTTGGCCTTCTCGGCTTCGCGCTTGAGCTTGCCCATGGCCTTCTGGTCCTTGGAGATGTCGACGTTGTTCTTCTTGTTGTAGGCCTTCGCGAAGTGGTTGATAACGCGCTGGTCGAAGTCCTCACCACCAAGATGGGTGTCACCGGCAGTAGCCAAGACCTCGAAGACGCCCTGGTCGATAGAGAGCAGGGACACATCAAAGGTACCACCACCAAGATCGTAGACAATGATCTGACGCTCGCCCTGGTCGGTCTTGTCCAGACCGTATGCAATAGCAGCGGCCGTGGGCTCGTTGACAATGCGGAGGACGTTGAGACCGGCGATGATGCCGGCATCCTTGGTAGCCTGGCGCTGGTTGTCGTTGAAGTATGCGGGGACGGTAACAACGGCGTGGGTGACCTTCTCGCCGAGGTAGTTCTCGGCCACCTCCTTCATCTTGCCCAGAATCATGGCGGAGATCTCCTCGGGGGAGAACTTCTTGTCCTTGCCGTTGACGGCGACTGTGACGAATGGCTTGCCATCCTTCTCAGTAACCTTGAAGGGGAAGTGCTTGATATCACGCTGAACAGCGTCATCAGAGAATTTTTGACCGATCAGACGCCTGAAAACCCATCTGTTAGCTCGAAGTTCAGGACGGGCCCTGGATGCGCGTGAAGGGCACGTACTTGACGTCAAAGATGGTGTTCCTGGGGTTTGCCGCAGCCTGGTTCTTGGCGGCGTCACCGACCAAACGCTCCTCCTCGGTAAAGGCGACGTATGAGGGGGTAATACGGTTTCCTGAGAGGAAGCATACACATTAGCACACGATGCGACAGAACGGGCCACACAAGGGCAGTGTAAGGCGGGAGGGCGTACCTTGGTCGTTGACGAGAATTTCGACGTTGCCCTTCTTCATCACACCAACACAGCTGTAAGTTGTTCCAAGATCCTGTAAGCAGGGCTGGTCAGTCTTGCTTCCTGTGATCATGTGGGGTCGCGTCCTCGGGGCGGCAAGCTGAAGCTGGCAGCTGGCAGCTGGCAGCAGTAACTATCAGGGTTGCATCTTACAATTCCAATCACTGTTCCATAGCTCTCGGTGTCGTCAGCCTTGGCTTGTCCAACCCAGGCGAGCGGTGAGAAGAGGAGGAACATCCAGAACACCAAGCCCAGGCCCACGGCCCAGGTGCTTCTCGACCGCGGCTCCATGGCGGATCGAGTTGTGTGAAAAGGGTATAGTTGGACAAGTTTGGGAGAAAGAGAAAGGGTATCAAGAGATGCAAGAAGGGGTATGAAGAAAGAAAGTGGCGGTCACTTGCTCAAGCCTGTGTCGAGGCGGCAGTGGTTGTGATGTTGTTGGGGAAAACGAAAACGGGTCTGGAGTGGCAGGTGGAAAGGAAGGCCGACATAGAAATATCGAAGCTCCAAGTGTCGATGTGTCCAGTTCTCTTTGGGAAGCCAGATTTCACACCAGAATTAACTAGCGCCTGCAGGGATTCCTCTGCCTGGCTCACAGGGGTCTCCAATCGATAACATGGTGCCCTCAAGTAGAGCCCCACCAACAGACATCCATCTTTAACAGATTGCAGTGCCTATGTGGCATAAAACTGCTAGCAGTGGGGGCTTCTCCATCGGGGGGTACATTCACTTGATGCTGATAATAGATCAACGGGGTTTCGTCAGGCCAGTTGGCATCATCAGCCTCCCCAGTTCTGGCCGTTTCTATTGATGGATGTTGGGACTCCATGGACAACAGGGAGATTTGTGACTCCTGCTGTCTCTAGGCCTACTACAGACGCATGAACAACAAACAGTAGTGTATCTCAGCAGACATGCCAGCCTGGCAGATCCAGTTGCCCAAGGAGCCAGCTTACAACAACCTCAGGGCCTCTTTCCTGCCTACCGCTCTACCCAGCTAGAAGCCCACCTCCTAGGGTAGGTCTTATTAGCAAAGAGCAATGCTTTCCACCCGTCTTTCTTGGGTGTCTACCGTGCTTGCCAGCGTGTCCTTCCAAAATGACACAGTGATCACTGCCCGACTAGGCTTCTCGGAGCTTCACGCAACAAGGTTCATACTTTAAAAGTACCCACAAATCTCCACCTTGCCAAGGCCTGCCCTTCGAGAAGCATCTCTGAAATTCCTTGAGGATCGGATCACCCTTCCCCATATTCTATCCTCCACAATGCACACTACACCACAACACAGATGCCTTCATGCTAGTGTGATATCATACAAACAAACAACAGATGTCCTCTTTATACCGATGGCCCAATCGCTGGTTCTTTAAACGTATCTGGAAGCCTGGCATCCTGGTGTTGGAGTGCTTCAAATCCAAAGTATCCATTGTAAATTGGAAACCCACTGGCTACCGACCCGCATGGATGGGTCAGCTCGGCCCCGAACGGCACAGACCACTCTCCCTGGAGACACTGGGTCAGGGACACCCGCAGCCACAAGCCGGTGTGTAGGTAGAGCTCAGATGACAGGCCTGTGGTGTGCTTCAACCTTCCACGTGTGCATTTTAGAACAGGGGTCGTACGCACGAGACGACACCATTTTTTGGAGCACTTAGACTCAATATTGCCGTCAGGTTTTGGCAAGGTGAACAGGATAGCCAGGCATGTTGAACACTTTCTCTTCTCTTTTGACACTTCCATAGGTGCATGAGCGTTGCTAGGGGTTCTGCTAAACCGCTACACTCTCTATCCACCCGACCACCTATAGGACAACCCTACTATGGGGTAATCTCTCATAGAATAACTTCCTGTAGGATGACATCTTATAGGAATACCTCCTAAATTCTCATAGGATAAGGCCATAACCTTTTATGTGATGACCTCTCATGGAACAACTCCCTAACTTCCTATAAGATATCTATGTCTCCTACTGGGTCTCTTCTAATAGGCCAGCCGCCACCGTGTCTCCGTTGTACCTGATTACTACCCTTTCACCCTTTTCAAGCGGGACCTTGTCCTCCGTCTTCATCCTTATTCGTGCGACGCTCCCAGACTTCACGATTTGAGGCGTCTTTCTGATGACAGCACCGGTATGGATGTCAAGCACGGCTCGCAACTGGTAGATCTTGCCGGGCACGTGCAACCTTCCCTTGTGGATATCAACCGGCATTGGGAAGAAGGTGTCGAATGCCAGCGCCTTCATGGTGAAGGTATCGACGCACGGGACCATTGCTGAGGGAGGGCAGATGACGTCTCCGATGCGGATGTGATCCTCGTCGATATGTGATAGGTAGATAACAATGTGCTGTCCAGCAACAGCCCAGTCGACTGGCTCGCCATTCAGCTCAAGTGCTTTCACATAAGCCTTCTCGCCGCTGGGCTGCACCACAAGGGCATCTCCGTTTTGAAGAGACCCGGCGTCTATGCGTCCCGCCACAGTGATGGGACTGAGACGGGTATCCCAGAGATCCGAGATTGTCATCCGAAGAGGCTTGTCCAGAGGCCGGGCCGCAGGCTCGGATGCCTCCAGCTCTTCTATGAGCGTAGGGCCCGTGTACCACGCGGCAGCTGGACTTTTGGAGCGTTGCACAATGTTGTCGCCGTTGAGACCAGATACTGGGACGAAGCTGATGTTCTTGTCTGGGAACTTCAGAGCCCTCAAGGATCCCATGATCTGGTCCTTGATCTCATCAAACCGATCTTGATCCCAGTTTGACGTGTCAAGCTTGTTCACGGCAACAATCAAGCGAAACACTCCCATGCTCCGTAGCAGCAGGGCGTGTTCTCTCGTCTGCCCCTTGAGACCTGCTTCGAACGCGCCCTTAGCCGCATCCACAACCAGGACGGCAAAGTCAGCCTGACTGGCCCCGGCGATCATGTTGGGTACGTAATCTTTGTGACCCGGCGAGTCTACTATGGTGAACAGGGTCGATTCGGTCTCGAAACTTTTGGTGGCGATGTCGATGGTAACACCCCTGGATCTCTCTTCCGTCCTCGTATCGAGCACCCAAGCGAGCGCGAAAGAAGATTTACCTTCTTTCTCGGCCTCTTTACGGTACTTGTCGATTGTCCGCTGGTCGACCTCGCCCAGGTCTAGAAGCAGCCGGCCGGTCATGGTACTTTTGCCGGAATCGACATGGCCTACGACCACAAAACTGGCGCTTCTCTTTCCCTGGCTCTTCTCATACTCTTTCAGCACATTTAGGTTCTTGCTTTTTGGCAGCGGCACCTCAGCAATCTTCAACTCTTTCAGACTTTTGGCTGCTTCTGCTGCATCCTTATTCTTTGGATTTGTCGCAGTGGACGTGAACTTCTTCCCTGCTGCAGAGGGCGTCAGTAGCTATCCCTTATTTTCTCGCGAACCGCGAACCTTGCGACTGGGCCGTCTGCACTACATCGTCAGGAGACGGCTTCGAGAAGGCCTCAACCAGGGCCTCATCAGTAGTGAAGGCCAACCAAGGTGGTGCATAAAATTGTTGATTAGGCCGTGGGGTCTCCGAAGCAGACCGGAAGAGAGCTTGCGCAAAGGTCGAAGGCTGCGCCTTTTCCACGACTGCTGGGGCAGTATAGTTGGCTGGAGCAATGTAGTCGGCTGCCCCGTCGAGGGCGGGCGCCGGAGCAGCTGGCGCTTGTGTGTTGGGTGACTCGTCTCGACAAATGTCCATTTTCGACACCCTAGCCCCCAACGTTTCGGTTTCGGGGGCATGGGGAGCATCATTTTGTGTTGTGTTCTTCCTCTCCGGCGTGTCTGACTTGTTCTCCTCGCGCTTCTTCTTCCTAGCCGCGGCAAGGGCCTGCAACTTAGACATCTTGGGTGGCTCTGATGCCCCTCCAAGTAAGCCGGAGCCGCGTACACGTGGCGGTTTGACGAAGACGGTCCTGCGTGACTCCGGGACGTTCAACCATGGCATGTCGGCGAAAAAGCTGGCACAGGAGGGTTCTGAACTGGCAGTGGTGGCGCAAGCTCTCCAGGGATCTGCTTCGGAGGCACCTGTCGGTCAGGGGAGGTCAATGGAAGGGGGGACAGCAGAATAACTCTTACCGTCTGGTGCTTGGAGGTTGTTGGTCTTGGGGGCCTTGGTCTTGGCGGATGGTTTTGGTGCCGGATCGATGAACTTGCTGATGAGGTAGGCGATGGTCTTGTCGACGTCGTAATAGTAGTGCCATAATGACTCCTGAATCTGCCGGGTTGTGACCTTGCTGGCCTGAGGGCCGAGCGTGGTCTTGACCTCTTCTGTCGCGGCCGTCATCTGGGCCTTGTCCTCGGCGCTCAGCTCATCCTCCTCCTCGTCGGCGAGTTCGTCTCCGTCAAACTCGTCCAGGTCGTTCTCGTAGTCGTATTTCTGGTACATGCGGTGTCGAGACATCTCGGGCGCGACAGACGGCCGGGCGTTGCGCGGCTCGAGGATGGGTGGGATGTGTTGTATGAGTGAGGGGCAACCTGGCGGTAAGGGGCGCCCTTCACTGACGTATTGTCGAGTAGTGGTGGGGCCATTCTAGGTACGGAGCACTCCTGCACAAGGCAAGCTCCCACCTCGGGCCAACCCCTCAGGTCGACGAGCACACACGATAAGCCCAGCCTGGCCCCGATAAGCTGGACAGGGGACGTTTTTTTTTCTCTCCCACCTTGTTAGCTCGGTCCGCTGGAAGTTCCGGCCTGAAGCTCTGAAGCCTGGCAGCTGAGGGGTCCTCCCGGCGGGTCGGGCTCCACCTAAGACGGCGGCGACAGGGGGGAAATTTTGGCATGGCGGCAGCAAGCAACAGGAGCCGCAGCTCTGGGGGTCGCGCCTAAACACGTCCACCGTCTATCGTGGTTGTTCACAACTGGACCCCCTTGACCTTCTCCTGACTTGCCAACCCCCCTCCCCTACCTTGTCTGCAACCACCATCCAAACGAGCCATTCGAGAAACCGCCGCTCTTGAGCTGAGAACTTGAGCAGCTCCCAAGATGGCGATGAGTGAGTCCCAAGGCCCTACTCGTCTGCATTCAATTTACACCTGCTAACCTGGATCTTGTCAGATCTGGACCTGTCGAACGGTACGAACCAAATCTAAATGCCCCCCGGTCTCCAACACAGCCATACTGACATGATGGCGTAGCTGTGGTCACAAAGGACGAGCAAGGAAGGCCGTTCATTGTTGTCCGAGAGTGCGTTACGCGCCCCTTGAAGCTCTTCTCGGCGTGCACCACTAACTCGCTGCATACAGCCAGGGCAAGAAAAAGAGGCAGTTCGGCAACGAAGCCGTCAAGTCGCACATCCTCGCTGCACGGACGGTCGCAAACATCGTCAAGAGCTCCCTTGGTCCCCGTGGCCTCGACAAGATCCTCATCTCCCCGGATGGAGACATCACAGTCACAAACGATGGTGCCACCATCCTGCAGCAGATGGAAATCACAAACCACGTCGCCAAGTTACTCGTCGAGCTTTCTAAATCACAAGATGACGAGATAGGCGACGGTACCACCGGTGTCGTTGTCCTGGCCGGTGCCCTGCTCGAGCAGGCCGCGGAGCTGATTGACAAGGGAATCCACCCAATTCGGATCGCCGACGGCTACGACCAGGCCTGTGACATCGCAGTTTCGGAGCTGGACAAGATCGCCGACACCATCGACTTCAGCAAGGAGCAGACTGAGAACCTCTTCAAGGTCGCGAGGACGAGTCTGGGCAGCAAGATCGTTTCCAAGGCACATGATCAATTCGCAAAGATCGCCGTCGATGCCATCATGTCCGTCGCCGACCTCGAACGAAAAGACGTCGACTTCGAGCTGATCAAGGTGGATGGTAAGGTGGGTGGCTCGCTTGAGGACACGCTTCTGGTCAAGGGCGTCATCGTCGACAAGGACTTTTCCCACCCACAGATGCCTTCCGAGGTCCGCGACGCCAAGATCGCCATCCTGACATGCGCATTTGAGCCCCCAAAGCCAAAGACTAAGCACAAGCTGGACATCACAACGGTGGAGGAGTTCAAGAAGCTACAGAACTACGAGCGGGAGAAGTTCATCGAGATGATCCAACAGATCAAGGACACTGGCGCCAACTTGGCGATATGCCAGTGGGGTTTCGACGACGAGGCGAACCACCTGCTCCTGCAGAACGAACTCCCAGCTGTGCGGTGGGTTGGAGGGCCGGAGATTGAGCTTATTGCCATTGCGACAAACGGCAGAATAGTACCCAGGTTTGAGGACTTGAAGGCCGAGAAGCTGGGACACGCCGGTATTGTGCGCGAGATGTCTTTTGGCACAACCCGGGAGAAGATGCTCGTCATCGAGGACTGCGCCAACACACGGGCTGTCACAGTGTTTGTCCGTGGCAGCAACAAGATGGTAAGAGTCGCCCCTCCCAGAGCCCATCCCGAGATACCTGAGAGCGGCGGAACTGACAGTCACCACCTTCAGATTATCGACGAAGCCAAGCGCTCCCTCCACGACGCTCTCTGCGTAGTCCGCAACCTTGTCCGCGACAACCGCGTCGTCTATGGTGGCGGTGCTGCTGAGATCGCTTGCTCGCTGGCAGTCGAGGACGCAGCCGTCAAGACGCCAGGCCTGGAGCAATACGCCATGCGCGCCTTCTCTGAGGCTCTCGACTCTGTGCCCATGGCCCTTGCCGAGAACAGCGGCCTGAACCCGATCGCCACCCTGGCCGAGATCAAGTCGCAGCAGGTAAAGGCTGGCGGCGATCGCGGCAAGCTCGGCGTCGACTGCATGCAGAGGGGCAGCAACGACATGAAGGACGCATTCGTCATCGACCCGCTCATCAGCAAGAAGCAGCAGCTCATGCTCGCCACACAGCTGTGCAGGATGGTGCTCAAGGTGAACAACGTCATTGTCAGCGGGAGCGGGGAGGACGACTTCTAGACGGGAACGAGAGCGACGGCGAAAAGACGAGCAGCTGTGGAGGATCAATGTATGTGTATGGCTGGCAATTGTACAGACCAGGTGCCTCGCGTGTGGGTAACATCAGGACACATCAATAGATGATCAGCGTAAATCTATAGATACCAAAACTGCAAAGCCAAAATCTCGACGCCTCTGAGGTAGCCTTCTTAAGCCCCCATCCTCCCGGGGCAGGCCACAACTTCCCATTAGACAATCTCCTGTGGGACATCATTTTATGGAATAACGTCATATGGCAGCCTCATATAGACACCCTGCTTTCTCTCGCCCACAAGTGCTCTGCTGAATGGCAAGATGATCGAGACGCTCACATCAGACATTAAGCAACCCCAGCCCGAAGATATGGGCCCAGTGATTCGTTTCTCAAGTGGTTTTAAACGAAAATGAAACGCTCTGATCTTTATTGGAAGCCGATAGTTGCGTTTGCCGCGAAATACGGGATATAAGGGGTCAGTAACTCGTCATATTATACACACAGAAGAGGAAGATGCCGCACATCCATCCGTCCGTCTTGCCCATCATCTCCTCTCACTCAAGCAAACCCAAAACCCTGGGCATTCTCCAACGCCATGCTCAGTCTCTCCTTCAAGACCTCCCTGTCCCGGTACTCTGGCAGCAGGAGTGTGCCGTAGCACGTGTAGGCCGTGGGCAGGTGGCCGTCGTGCCCGTCCTCCTCGCCGTTCTTCTGCACTACAAACTGAATGTTCTTTATCCCTCCAACTGGGACTCTATCGCTCGCGGTGACAAACTCGAGCAGTTTGCGCTTCATCTGATCATCGTATTCCCTCACGATCTTCCAGAAGTCCTTGATCGTCCTTGACGTAGACGAGTAGCCGACGTATCGCGCTGCGCGGCGCAGTTCGCTAACCTCAATTTCTTGCTGGCCCTCAACGAGGCTCTGCAGGAGCTCTGAGCTGAGCAGACTGAGGGATTTGGGGTGGAGGATGGAGCGGAAGCCCTTGGCGAACGCTTCATACTGCGGACGGACTGAAACGTCCGTCATGTAACGGATATAATCGGAGACGTAGGCATTCCGATTGGCATTGGTGACCGGGGGAGCATCCTCGGGGTTCTCGCAAGAAAGTGTCCAATGTGGCTTCTGGTTGCCGGTGTCACATGAGGGTGGGAACTGGGGCCATTCATGGCCAGGAGGAGGATGTGACCCGGGGGAGACAGAGTGCATCTCCCTCGAGACATGCTCGTTGAGCATATCGACGGAGAACTCGTAGGTGAGGACGAATACGTCCTCGACGGCACCGCTGGACTCGTCCCATTCCAGAAGCTCAGTTAAGCCGCTCGCTATCTGCGGCCACCCATCGTTGATGTGATGGATATCTGTGACCGGTTCGCCGAGGAGCTTGCGGTAAAGGGCTTTGGGGAAGCTGACGGGCAAGGTAAGACCATTATACACGGCAAGGCCGACAAGCAGGCCGACAAGTTCAAACTTCCAATCAGGTTCGGTGGATCCAGGCCGGAACCATGCCATTCTGTTTCTTTCATCGATGGTGAAGGCACCGTAGTCAGGGTTCAAAGCCTCGGCTATGGCAAGGCGAAAGAATTCCTGCTGTACTCCGCCAGAGTCGAAACCTTCCTCTCCGGAATCCTCACCCAGGTGTACTTTTAGTGGTCTGAGCAGCTCCCTCTCCTCACGGCGCCAGAGCTGGTCAAAGGCATCTCGCAAGACGGTCCTACGGCCGATATCCAGGATTAGGTACCTCGACCTGGCCGTGCGCAAGAGATCTTGCAGCACAGTCTTGTGATGCCGGTTCACTATCAGCGTTGCCTGCTCAAAGAGACGGTCTAGTCGGTTCTGGAGCGAGGCTGCCTCTTCGTAGACGTGACTCATCCTCGAAAAGTTAATGGCACGGAAGTAAGACACCAAGGTGTCAGGGTTGAATATGTAGGGATGGTCCAGCAGGTGGCCCTTTTGTCTGGTGGACGTGAAAGACAACCATGAAACAGGCATGTCCACGTTATCAAGCGTTTCCGCAAAGTAATCGGCAAGAAGCTGCTTGTGGGTGATTCGAAGCGCCTGGCTCTTTTTGTCTGGTTTGTTTGTCAGTCAGAAAAGCTCCCGGGTTAGAATGTGGTGTCGGATCGCAAACTCACGTATGGCATCTGTCAATGCAAGCGCACCACCAAAGGGGCCATCTCCAGGGACTTCTGGGCTCCCATCCCACTCATAAAACATGACCGCGCGAGCCCAGTCAAGAAGCAGAGTAGACATGCGCGTCTCGTGTAGACCTTCTTCATTGCTCACGCTGAGAGCGTCGAGTTGCGTAAACAGAGGTGCGAGGATATCTGGCTCCTCACTGGTGTCACCAAAAGCGGATTCCTGGCTCAACATCTCATCAAAGTATCTGCGCGCTGTGATGGCTGACAACAGCCTCCTTGCCAGCCTCATTGCCAATTCGTGAGAGAAGGCGTCATCGTACTGCAGGCAGAGTTCCGCAGGCTGGCTACCACTCGCTGCCAGACTCAGACCCTGTGATCGCAATCGTGACATTTCCGTGAGCTGGCTCTTCTCGGACACGACAGGCGCTGCAGCAATCAAGGCATGGAGGCAGATTGACATCAGCCGTCCTGCTTCGGCATTCGACAAGGACATTTCCTGTTTCGGGAAGAGCCTGGCAGTGGGTGACCTCAGGGATTGAACGGACTTTGGAGGAGCAAAGAGGTGTGCCGCAGACAGCCAGAGGCAGTGATAAACGAGGGTCGGTGCAACCCTGGTCATGCGCAACATGCAATACCAGAGAGCCTGAGAGTCGATCAGCTCGCCTTTATGAGTGAAGGAGTGAATGAGAGCGTGAGGGTCACTGAGCGTGTAGAACAGACTCTGTTCGATGAACAGCTTCCACTCTTTCTTGAGATCCATGGGATAAGACAGTCTCTTGGACCGGTGCCTTCTCTTCAATTTTCCGGCACGCTTCGTTGGCGGAGCCCGTAACGACTTGGGCACTTCGGCCGGCTCAAGCAAATGCTGCTCCCGCGTGCCGTCATCTTGCAACACATCACAGACAAAATCAACCACGTCGACGTTCAGACGTGAGATGGCCTGTGGCAGAAATGAGTCATACGTAAGCTCATTGTCGCCATCAGCAGCGGCCATGGAGCAGTCGCTCGCAGATGTCTCGGACGGCGTGCTCTGATGGTCCGACTCCGGGGTGGCCGATTCTCGTTGACCCACGCTCTCGCTGACTTGTGCCGGGACAGGCTTGCTCCTGTCCTCGGGCGGGGCGGGCGAGGACTCCTCTGCGCGATTTCTCGCCAGATAATCGGCTGAAATTGCCTGGGGCGGGGGTCGGGACAAAGTCGAGGTCGTGTTCTTGACAGGCCTACTGTTCTTCTCCGGCTGAAACCCTGGTAACCGTGGCGATTTGAGGCCATTAACCATCTCGTCGGGGACAAACTCAGGAGGGTAGGTGTCCAATGAAAGTTTCCGCTTCGGTTTGGTGGCCGAGTTGGTGCGTACCCTGGCGTTAGAGTTGCGGCGCATACTTCCGGGTCTTCGAGTAGATATTGACCCGCCGCCATTCACAAGTGGCTCATTCTCCTTCTCGCGGTGTAGCGTTTCGGCCTTGCCGCCCGATGATCTTGCTTCGGCGGCGGGCTCTTCGGCAATGGAGAAGTCATGAACCTCGTGTTCTCTGGGTGATGGGGATGATGAGCCCTGACGAGGAGACTCTGGTCGGGGAGATGACTTCCTCCGACGAGGTTTTGTCTCCCTGAAGTCCTCCTCGCGGTTGTCCTTGTCCAAATCGCAAGCTGTCTCATGCATATCATCGAGTGCGTTGGGGGTCAACCATTCCAACATTTTGAAAGCAACGGTACCAAACATGTTTGCTGCGAATGACCGGTAATCCTTGCCCGTGTGTCTCTCGGTGACCTGGATCTTGGCGCCTTCAGAGGCACTGGATGCCTCCTGGGGGGAAGAGGATGTGCTGCTGTCCTTCCCAGCGTTCGGCTCCCTCGAGGTCGAGTGTATTTGGACCTTGGCCTTGACACGGACTTGCCGGCTCTTGGATGATGCGTCCTTGTCAGTAACGGTGCGGGCTTTCCCGTGTGGTCGCGGTTTATCCTCGCCGTGCTGAGGGCTGGGTTTGCGGTAGAAGACGAGGGTGTCGAGTGCGGCGGGGGGCATCTTTGGGCTCCTGAGAGCCGGGCAGAGGGCATTCTCGGGGTTGTCCTGGCTAGCCATGTAGACAGCCAGGACCCTCGCGCTGGTGACATTGTACCGGCGTATGGGTATGCGGCCGACACTGCGTTTCCGGAAGGAGAAGCAAGTCGGGGTGGTGCAGTAGGTGGAGCCGCAACCGTCTCGCAGTTGGGCTATGAACTTCTCGACCAGCTGCTGGAAGCCATGTCGACGACAGGCCTTGTGTATGGCGTAGACCCTTCGCGGGTTCTGTATGTCTTCGACCAATTCCTTCAGCTCGGGTGGCGCATCCCAGGGCAGACGAGCAAAGGGGGCGGTCTCCCAAAGCCCGGCCAGGAGATCTGTTTCCCCATCGTGGTGGACGTGATGGGGGGCGGACCCAGCATCAAGCGGCCGAGTGGCGTCTCGCGTCATGACATAAGGGACGGCAGGCAGGGCGTCGGTCGAGGGCGGGGAGGGTTGCGTTGGTACGGCTGACGGGTTTGGGGCGGGTCGGGCGGCGGGACGAAGTCGAGCGGATGGTGGAAGGGAGATCGGAGAGGTATCACGGAGGAAAAGCGAGGCCAGAGGTGCAGCGTTTCGGAGAGTTACGAGACGGCGGCAATGGCAATGGCAATGGCAAGTGGCCCAGAGGGACACATGGGAAAGTGGCGCAAAGGTGGACCGTGGACCGTGGACGGTGGACCGTGGACGGGGCTACCGACAAAGACGGAAGGCAGAGATGACCAAGCGGGATCAGAGTTGTATGTATAAGGCAGGCTGCCCTCGTGATCCTCGGGTCGAGGCTGGGAGGGGATCAACAAGTCAAGGGCATAGGATAGACATGTCAAATACTGTTGTAGTGTAGTGGACGGAGTAGACCAGAGACCAGAAGCAGGGCTGTTCGGCAACCAGGAAGCCCAGGCAGCCAGGGGGGGCCCTCGCGGGTTGGTTCGCGGGTTGGTTCGCTGCTTACTGTGTACCCTGTACTCCGTACTCCGTACATAGTACCCCGTGCTGCGCCGTATCTGCAGCCAGGTGTGCTGCTCCAGTACCACGTCTGCGGCCAACCCTGAAACGGTCGACAGTCATTTCTCGCAAATGCCGTCGTAGGGTCGCCATCTCGTGGCCATAAATCTTATCTTCCACGGCTTCTGAGGTCCCTGCTTCGATAGGCTCTCGATCTGGGAATGACTGCTGTTGCCAAGAGACGGCAGGTCGAACTCTACCCGGGCTGCCTGATGGATCATCACAACGGCCGTGCGCTGCTAGGCCTGGTGGGTTGACGTGGGACTGGCAGACTGGGTGGAGGTCCCCTTATCCGTCGCTTATCGACGCCTGTGCAAGCGCCCCACCGAAAATTGAGCCCTGGGGTCAACTCGTGCGTGCCGGCCATACTATTCTGGAAAAGGGCCCGGTCGAGGCGACCTGAGAAATAAATCATCGCCACCACACAGTAGTGGTTGGTTCAACGCCTTTCTTTTAGTAATCCGAGCTTGTCTTTTGACTCGGTCGTGCCGGGCAAAACAAGCTCCTCCTCAAGACAGGCAACAACACACAGCAGACCACTTGCCAAACCCTCGACACTCGGCTTCTTCACTCTTCGTCGCAGCGCAGACGACCCCGCCATTCTCAACACAACGCCGCCCGTTGCTGCCCTTCCAGATGGCGACCGTCACCGGCAGCCGTGCGGCCCCTACGGCGCAGGACGTAACGGCGTCCCATCCGTACACCTGTAATACCTGCCAGGTAGCTTTTCGCAACAGCGACCTGCAGAAGGGCCACATGAGGAACGACTGGCAGTAAGTCCTGACCCCCGCCCGCCGCCGCCGTGCCCGTGCTTGTTGACCAACCTGCTGTTTCCAGCCGCTACAACCTCAAGCGCCGCGTCGCCACGCTTCCTCCCATCTCCTCCGAGGTCTTCACAGAAAAGGTCCTCCAGGCCCGAGCTTCTACTACCGCAGAGGCCGAGCGTGCCGGTTTCCAGACAGAGTGCACTCTCTGCCACAAGACCTACTTCAGTGAGAACTCGTACCAGAACCACATCGGCAGCCAGAAGCACAAGGCAAAGGCCGCTGCTCAGCTGAGGAAGGGCCGCAACGGCGTCGCTGCCGACGATGCCAGCTCCATGATTAGCTCCACCTTCTCCTTGGGCGACCCCGTTGCCTCCAACGCCTCAGAGGTCGACTCAGACGCCGAGGAGGAGTTCAGTCACATTGTCGAGGGCATGAAGAAGACCGGAATATCAGACCAGAAACGGCCCTCGCCCGTCAAGCGACCATCCAACCCACAGGTCTCGGCAAGGATGCACCATTCCCAAGACCCCTCGCTTTCTGAGGCATCCAGCGAGCAGCAGTCCGCCACCCCAACCCCATCCAAGGCCGCTGATGGCGCACAACCACCAGCCTTGTCCCTCCACCACTGCCTATTTTGCAACCTTGAGTCCCCCGACGTGCCCTTGAACGTTAACCACATGGAGAAGACCCATGGCATGTTCATTCCCGAAAAGCAATATCTGGTAGATCTCGAGGGTCTGTTACGATCCCTGCAAGAGCGCATACAGGAATATCATGAGTGTCTGGTGTGCGGCAAGGCCAAGGCGAACGCATTCGCTGCACAAACCCACATGCGTGATACCGGCCACTGCAAGATCCCATACACTACCGAGGACGAACAGCTCGAGATTGGAGAGTTTTATGATTTCCGCAGCACGTACTCAGATGACGAGATGGACGAGGACGAGTCCGACGACGAGGGATCCCCTCAGGCTGGTGGGGCCAAGCTTGGCAGCAAGCGTGCGGCAGTCACGACAAACGAGGACGGTGAGGAGATCGAGGAAGCCGAGGATGCAGGCTGGGAGACAGACTCCTCGGCTTCGTCCCTCGACTCCGCCGATCTCACCGCAGTGCCAGCAGAAAATCACTACCACCAGTACGAGCGACTAGGAAAGCATGCTCACCACTCTCGAAGCGACTCGAGACCTCATCGTCAGCGAGACGGATGGCATTCACACTCCCACAAGCCCACACGTGCAGTCTTCTATGACGAATACGAACTTCACCTCCCAAGTGGCAGATCAGTTGGCCACAGGTCTTTGAACAAGTACTATCGCCAGAACCTGCGGGAGCGACCGTTCCTCGAGGGATATCAGCAGCACCAGTTGGCCCTCGAGAACAACGACCCAGATGCCATGGATGTCGATGGCGAGGAGGGCAATGATAGCCAGCAGATTGTCCTCAGCGGGCGTGTCCGCGATCAGAGGAGGCAGCTTGTGGGTCGCGGCGCCGACGGCGGCGGTGGCATGCTTGGTGTCTCAGACAAGAAGAAGAAGGAGGTTGGCAAGGAGACGCAGCGTAGCCGCAAGGTGGAGCACGCCCACCAGAGGAGGCTTGAGTGGTCCGTCAACAAGCAGGCCAACAACCAGAAACACTACCATTACAGTATTCTGTAAATTGGTCAATGGCATTTGCATTGGTGGAGATGGTTTCGTGATGAAGAGGCTGCCATATTTGCCCTGGTTGTCTATGTGTTCGTCAGCCAGGGCCGTCGTTTCTGCAATAAAATTATTCTAGACAGAGATTGCATGCTGATAACTACATCAAAGAAAAACTACCGTTCCCCTTGCTCATAACTATCAGTGAACCCCAAAAAACGAATACAGTAGAAGACAATGCCAAACAACATTATGAGCCAGGTGTATAGCATGCAGATGGCCGTTGAAGCGTTGGCTGCGCCTGAGAGAGGATGCAGGTGCTCATAAACTAGCATTCATGATTCCATCAGAGTTTTATGGTAAGGGATGTGCAGTTGGTTAATTCAGAGCCATTGAATATCAATTTTGAATACGGTTGCACTGTCTTCCCAACATAGCACACACATGTGGTAACCTCACAGGACTGCTGATTTCAACAAGGGCTTCTGGAACCGGCAGGAGGGATTCAATTCACAGTACCATGTCAATCGTTGAGTCGCAAAGGCTAAAGAGTGTGTGCCTAGTACCAACACAGAGGAAGCTTATCCTGCCTGTCTTTCTCGCCTGCCACCTTCTCACGAACTTGCAACGGCTTTCCCCGCAGGATTCCGTTTTATGCCAATCAACAAGTTACCAGGCAGTCTTCGTGATCCTTTCCAAAATCCTTCGCAGATATGGCACCACCAGAGCGATAAGTGAATCAAGCGGCCCCCATGCACCAAATGTGCAACACTAGGTACATGTGTAAGCTGTGAACGCTACCACTCCCGCTCTCCGTGCGGATCATGCATGGACGGGCGCTATTTTTAATGTCTCATGCTGCAGTTCATGTTTCAAAGAGCATTTGAGAGGGGGGCGTTCGGTTCAGGGGGGCTGAGTGGTCTTGGGAATGTGCAGGTACGAATAGCAGTCATCTACTACATTGGCCATTAATACCAGGTAGTACTTGACCAGCTAGGCAGGGTTGCGATAATATGCAGTCAGCAAGCTGCCCACAACCACCATTGGTTCCGGGACATAGCTGAGTAAATCGCCCCCAAGCACACATTTGTGCACGAGGATGGACGCAGTTAAGACTCCGTATATATGCGATTGATTTGCGTCAATATTCGACTCAACCAGGAAACCTCTCATTCAAGCGCATGCGAGAATATGTAAGAATGCCCATGGCGCACTCTTCATTCCTCAAAATCTTTTTATATTGTGTGGCAGTGTTTTCAAATGGCACTACTGGCGATGGCTTCAGATAATACACGATCAACGCTTCATGCGACCAAACCCATCAGCGCATCTCACAGAGCTGTTGAGATACATCACTGCTCAGGCCGGCCAAATCTCCACGCTGAGGGCTCTGATGATCTCTCCACAACATCAACGAAAGTGACATCTAAATTGTCGAGATGTCAAGACTACAAGCCCACAGCGCTGAGATGGTGGTACCACGGCTTTCTTGTAATATGCCTTGCCACCTGTCTGGGGCTGACCGAGTACGCCATGCAAACGCTGCTGGCCACCCAGCAGGAGGGCCTAGAATCCCCGCTCTGGTTCCGGAGCATTGAGGGCCACCACAAAGATCAACAATCAAAGCCATACTACGAAAAGCCGCCATATAAGCGCCTGGCTAGGATTCCAAACAATGCAACATCTGGCCAAGCTGGAGCGTTTTCGGTAATCACTGGGGACTTTCTCACCCCCGGCTACACATCTTCGGCATTGGCTACCCCCACGGACTCGGCATTATCCTCAGGCCCCACGAGCTTACAAAGTCTGTCTTCAATGGACACGATTGCAAATGGAGAAGCAACAGATAAAGTTTCTGTGGTGCTTGCAAGCACATCGTCAACCACTCCTGACCCAAACCCGTTGATAACAGATACCTTCGACACGGTATCTCAGAAGATTGTGTCGTCAGGACCGTTCACCACCAGTCTTAATCTCACGGCATCGAGCAGTAGCACCCCCGCTGGTAACACGCAGACCAACGATATACCGAGGGTGACTTGCAGTGGCGGATGCGTGATTGGTGGAGACCAGATGACGTCTCTGACGCTGTCTACCATTGTTTCAGATCTGACGTCTAACACTGCTGCATATCTCAATATTGAACCCACCTCGTGGACGACAGAGATCATATTGCCGCCTAACGCTACTGATGGCGGTTATCTCTTCCTCGGTACGACGACAGCTACCAGGGTGAAAGACATGGATCCTAAATCTCCTTCCACGACTGTACCCAGGATTGTCTCGGAGGACACCAGCTCTGATCAGAAACCAATCCCTACTGTCATTCAACACACACAAACTTGGGCTCCGAGAGAGACAACCATTGAAGCGAGCTCCACAGACTCTGAAGGAAGAGTTGTTGCCCAGCGTATAACGACAACACTTCCAGGCGGCACAAGTGTTTATCAATCAGCAATTACTCTATCCCCTGAACTCCATGGGAACATTGTGACTGTCATTCGCCAGACTGAGGTGTGGCCCTCGGGAAAGACGACGCTTGAACGAACGAAAACTGACTCAAGAGGTCATGTTACAATTCAAACAATTATTACAGACGGTCCAGCTGAGACGGGCGTTGTGGAAACGACAGTGACAATGCGATCTGGGGAGACGTTGGTGGCTGTTCCAAGAATATTCACAACAACACGCGGGGGGACAACACAAGTCACGCAAACAGCCTTTGTCGACAATGAAGGTCGCACAACTGCGTCTCTGTACACAACGGTGGTTGGTGTTGAAAGCGTGCTTGCTACACGCACGTATTTCCTCGTCACATCGGTTTCCCCAGGACATAAGTACGTGACGTTGTCCACGGTGGTTCCCACGACCATAGGCGGAGAGACAAAAGTCATCAAGACAACATCAACTGATGATCGGGGTCAACTCACAGAATTTTCGTATACTACTGTCGAGGGTGGGACACAATCGTCCACAACTGTATGGACCATAGTGGCCACGCCAACTTCTACTGGCCCTTCCAGCTCGAACGGGGCGGAGAACACACAGGGTATCGTGGTGGTCGTTTACGGACTTGGACTTAAGGGCTTTATCCTCGGCGCGTTTCTTCCAACCGTCCTCGCAGCGATAGTTGCCTACCCCCTTAGACTCATCAATGTCAATGCGAGATTGATGCAGCCATTTCACGAGTTGGCGACAGCTCGAGGGGCCGGCGGGGCATCTGCGGAAGCGTCCATTTTCTTACGATTTTACTCTTGGACAGGTGCAATATCCTTGCCTCGATCGGTCAAACTGAGGCAACCAATCATCGTGATATCGGATCTCCTGGTGCTCGGTGCGGCACTACTCGCACCTATTGCAGCCGAGACTGTGTCTGTCCACGTTCCGGACGGCTGTGATGTGGGTTGCCACGGCAGCCTGGGCGTGACAAAGGTTCCTGGCCGGGTACTGCAGGCTTTGTTGGCCACCATGATGGCACTCCTGGTGGCATTGATTGTCTTACTCAACGTCTTCAGATGGGAGACAGGCGTGAGCCACAATCCTTGGGGAATCGCGGGCATGGCCAGTCTATGTCTGAGTCCTGGGATCAGGGATAGGATTAGGGAGATCCCTTGCAATCCCACTGGGTCTACCAAAGAGAGTATGATACTTGAAGCTCTCGCTGAAAGAAGATACGCCTTGGATGAGTATTGCGTGTCATCCAGTCGAGGTTCTGTTGGCGTCCGAGGATACGGAATAGTTGTGAGGGCGAGCAGCAGCGACTCAAACAAGCCTGTGAAGGTCATTGGACGTGGAAATAAAGGATTGTGCGTTCAGAAAAGTGGAAAGAAGAAGTCGACTCAGCCATTTGCATTGCTGACGTGGTGGGGACGGTGCGCCCTCCTCTTCATTCTTGCATGCGTCTTCATCATTGCGACATACTACGAGACCACGTCGCTCGACAGCGGTTTTGAGCGATTTATGGACAGCCGTGGCTTCGGTATTCGTTTCTTCTTCACGGCGCTAGGCGTGGTCATTGGTGGCTGCATGGAGACGTTTTTTCGAAGCGTTGCAATTATCATGCCTTACCAGCTGCTGTCCAAGCACGCACTCCCGGGCGGACGCTCCATATTGCTCTCGCCTCCAACAAATGCCTTCTATGGGATGTTCTCTGCATTCAGACAACGATCTATACTTCTCGGAGCTGTCTCTTTCGCCACCATACTTGCGGAACTGGTTCTTCCCGTTACCTTGTCACATATTCCATTCAGCCACCTCGATACCTATGAAACACAGCTTGTTTGCGCCTGGCTCAGCATCAGCATTCTTGCGCTTATGATGCTTGTTATAGTATTCTCTTTCTTCATACGGTGGCCAGACATGCCTGTGGACCCGAGGACAATCGCCGGGGCTATGTTCTACGTGTGTGACTCATGTATGCTGGACACATTGGACGGTGCGGCGACACTTGGGAAGAAGCAACGAGACTCGTTCATTTATTCCCAGAAACTGAATTACGAGTTCGTCGTCTCTGAAGGAGTAAGCGGCAAAAAGAGGATGAACGTAGACTTCTGCGGAGAGGCAGAGGAGGCAGCTGTGATGTTACGAGGATGAGAGTACCAGAGGGTGCAGTGTGACTAAGGGGCAATGACAGTTAAACACTGTGAAGAATACCAATTCTTAAGTCAATGGTCAAATTTAATGGTCCATAACAGTGAGAAATCACGAGCCTCCTTCTCCAGCGGCGGCTGCTTCACACAGAGATCCTCTCTGACCTGGCTGGATTTCTCAACCACTCGGAACATTGCACATGTGAACACACACACATTGCTACTTGTAACCCCATGAAACATGCTACTATAATACCACTACACCCTTCGAAGAAATGGAAGCAGGTTGTAGCAGAGCTCTTGTGCCTCTTCCCATACACATGGCCACTCTCCGACGGCAACGTTCTCCATAGAATGTTACCCGAGTGCTACAAAGATATCCCGGGGAAGTCATACCAGCCTGGAGAGAAATTCATTCTGCTGGGGGTTCATTTCGAGAAGACATGGTGATAAAAAACCAAGTCCTTGATTATTCATGCTGTGCCAGTGGCCGCGAAGCAGATACCCAAGAAAAGATTGCACCATCACAATCTCGGGATGCAAGTCAATCTGTTTGTCTGCCCAACAAAACGTAACTCAAACATGTCGGAACATAGGGAGTCGAGCACTGTTGTCTAGGTAGAGAATATGTTTGGCACACATCAGTCAGCCTAAATTAAGTTCTCTCAGTTCTGTGGGACCAGTAAATACAAGATTTCAATCGAATTTTGGCCGAGTTCGGTTTTTGCTTTTGCCGATTAGCACTGTCTCACCTGGTCTGTGTTCCTCCAATTTGCATTCCTGGTTGCCGCTAATGTATAGCGACGTTGCATCGCCTTCTCTCTGCCATCACACTATTGACTGGTTCTGGTTTCGCTTCTATTGACGCCGAGAGCCTAGTTATCAAGCACTCCAAGCCAAGCATGAACAAAACATCTCCCCTCTCTACGCCAACAGCTTCATTCAACGTGTCATTATTCTTCCACATCGATTGCTACGACATCTGGAAGGAGATCCCGATAACATCAGTTCAAAGTTATGGAGATGCAGCCGCTGGAAGTCCGGGCTTCGCCCAAGGCTGTGACTGAGCATGGAAAGTCAGTGGCGGAAGTCTCCAAACGTGAAAGGAACGCAAGGTGGTCCGAAGAAGGTACCTCCTCGCTGAGGGTATGTCACCTCATTAGGTTCAGCGAGGCACAACGGACTTCAGGAGTTAAAGAACGAAGCTGACCGCCCGTTCCCAGCGCCTGTTCTCATCAACGCAACTCCTCACCTTTGCCCTCTGTTTTATGTCAAGCTGGGAAGTCGTTGCAATGAATCTAGGAGCAAGTTTCTATAATGGAGGGCCGCAAGCACTTGCTTGGGGCATGTTGCTCGTTGTCGGTGGTGCCCTCGCTCTTGCCGGGTCGATGGCCGAGCTTGCCTCCATACAGCCTATCGCTGGGGCCCAGTATCATTGGACCAAGTTTCTCGTGGCGCCACCTTCGTCCACGGAGAAGGATCAGCAGCGCGCAAGGCTTCTTACCTGGACTCAGGGGTGGGTGACTTGGTTCGCCTGGGTATCGTCTCTGGCTGGCTCGACATCATCCATGGCCAATATCCTCCTTGGACTTGTCACGGTCAATCACCCGAGTTATGTCTACAAACCTTGGCACCTGACACTGCTTATCATTGCCCAGCTATTTGTAGTTGGCTTGATAAACATCTTTGCTTTTCGCACGGTTCCGTGGCTGGAGACTATTGGCGGTGCTCTTCACATCGTCATCTGGCTTGTTTTTGTTGTCGTCTTCGCCGTTCGGAGAGGTAAGAGTGACGCGAGTTTTGTGTTCTTTGAGAGAAGCGCTACATCTGGATGGACGAACGGAGTCGTATCTTGGAACTTGGGCCTCCTAGTCACGTCTTGGGGCTTTGTTGGTTTTGACGGTGTGGTCCACATGAGTGAAGAAGTCCGCCGGGCAAAACATGCGGTGCCAAGGGCAATGATATGGACCATTGTTCTGAACGGTATACAAGCTTATGGTATCATGCTGGCTCTCCTTTTTGCCATGGGCGACGATGCCGTCGAAATCCTCAACTCGCCATACCCGATAATACCGTTATGTTTCAACGCGGTAGGGCAACGAGCCGGAACGGCAATGGTCATCAGCCTCCTTGTCATTACCTTTTGTGTGGTGACGGGCTCTTTGGCCTCTGTGTCGCGGATCACCTGGGCTTGGGCTAGAGATCGTGGTCTGCCGCGGTGGTTTGCAAAGATTCACCCAGTGCACCGAGTCCCTGTCCGCTCAACTGTGTTACCGATCGTCATCGTAACGTTCCTTGCACTGTTCACAGTGGGAAACACAGCAACATCAACCATATTTTCAGCATTCACATCCCTGAGCATGCTTGGCTTGTACAGCTCGTATATCATTGCAATCGGCTGTATGATCCATGCACGGCTTTCGGGACGGATTGGAACTGGGCCAGACTACCCGGTACAGTTTGGCGACTGGACTTTGCCCAACGGAGTTGGCTTGCCTCTTAACATATATGCTTTGGCATGGTCCTTATACATTACCATCTGGCTGCCATTCCCAACTACCATACCCGTCGTAAGTACTATTCTTCACTCTTGCAGTTCCCCATTCATTATGTTCCGGAACTTTTCAGAAAATCTCAAGCAGTTCATTGACAAGGCTTTACATTAGACCGGAGCAAATATGAACTATTCTGGACCAATTTATCTGGCAGTGCTCCTAGGATCTACGACGTACTGGATCCTTTGGGGCAGGTTAAACTGGCCGGGCTTGGACAGTAAAGCTATCGAGATGGTGGAAGCACACGATTAAACCTCCCAGGTTTGTTTAGATTGCCCAGTTAAACAAAGAGATTGGCTTTGGTGTATATGTAATATCCAAGAGTCTAGGCATCTGATGCAATGGCAACAAGGCCGCTGGAGTCTTGCGATAATCGCGGCTCTTGGTTATGCAGAAACCGCAAATGCAAGTCAAAGGGGTCTTCTAATCCTTGTTATCTTCCGAGGTTGGAGAACCTTAATTATTTTTGGACGGTGTCAGGCTTAGGAGGTTGGAATACCACTACATATTCCAAAGCAGAGACCTTCACTAGCAATGCTACCTAGGTATGGAATGTCTTCTAGTATATATGTTTCACGCTATCTGCCGGTTTAATTTTCTGGCCTGAAGTGCCGAGCTTGCCGCCTTCTTCGCAGCCCAAGTATCTCGTCGTAGAATAGCCAAAGGGTCAGACTTCAAGCCCTCGATTCCCAGATCCTCAACTCGTCCCACAAACCATTTCCCTAGCAGTTTCTCGCTACGCCATGCATAGACAAATACCTCAGCCGCCCTGGACGCTCCCTCGTTGACTTTTGCACGAGGCACATTGTGCGCGGATTTCTCCACCTCGTAAAGGTTTGACTTGGCCTCTCTGTCGGACTTGACCAGGTCTCCGGAAGTGACGAAATCTGGGATAAAGATCTCACCACTGCCTTCATAGTTAAATGAAAGTTGCAGGTGTGTTGCAAGGGTAGAGCGGGTTGCCGTCGCGAGCGGCCGGCAGAGACGCAGTGAAGCACAGTGGCGAGGTGGCTGCAGCTGCACAAGGGATGAGTGGCGATCGGAAGGCTGAGGCTGGAGCATCCGCTGGTCGTTCTGGCAGATTTGGAGAAGTGAAAGAATGAATGGAAAGGCTAAACTGCGGTATCTTAGGCATGACGGTGCGCAAGGCCGTGTGAGCGATGAAGCAGACGACGTTCTGGACAGGTGAGTGTTTGAAAGTTGACGAAGATCCCCTGGGTGCGGGGTCTGATAGCTTTCGAGCGAGACTGAGGGAATATGAACTACCTTGATAGATTGTGATGCTGCCGGAGCTAGGATGTCGGGATTTCTTTCTACATCAGCACTAAGTAGGAGACATCATACTTGCTTACTTACCCGGGCAGTAGTAACTACCTAGGTAGATATTCATACCTCTGTACATAATAGCAATATCTCGTGCAGAAATATATAGCTCTTACCCTAGAGCAGGGCTTCCGCGGCTGGACTTACAGCATAATACTCGAGCTGTGACCAAATGGCCTCCAATCTGATACCTATGTACTTAAGTAGGTGTCTAGGTGGGCTCTTTTGACTTCCAAGGTCAATTCTCCTCTGTCAGCCATGTCAGTGGCATTTTCACGTTTCAAACCTGTGACCTTCCACTGACGAGCAACAAATGGTTATCACCTTGCGCTCTAGATGTAAAGTCTTCTTCGCCCAGGGCAATGCTTAACTTGCCATTCTTCAACGATACTAAGCCTGTTACCAAAAAGCAACGCTTTTATTGCTGAGGGATCCTGCAAGAGCCAAGGCGTCTAATTTTGAGGCGAGAGCACTGGCAGTTTGCATTACGCTTGTAATTGATCTGGCTGGCGTCTAAGTGCAGCATTGAGATAGGTGGTTCGCACACTGATGGCGAGAGGACATCACTGAGACTCGTAGAGTACCAAGGTATGCAGGTCGCTTCGTGTCCGAATACTTCAGGAAATATTACTGCAAAGCAACAACATAACTTACGGGCAGGTGGGAACCTCATGTACCTAGGTAAGGCTTTGGCAATCCTTCGAAGCGGTGAGCTTGATAGGACTGGAGACATATACTTCGGTAGTGTTAGTTTGCATACCACAGACCACGCCACCCCGAATGCATGACTTGTGGTTTTTGCTTGTCTGGCTCAGGGTTGTCAGTTGCTATTTTCAGCTCGGTCCAGCGACCTGCAGCGCTAAGCCACTCTGTCACACTGTGGTACCTACTTAAGTACAGTAGACTTTGCACCCACATCTGCCTTGTACCACCCACCCTAATCCGGTGAGTGAGCAGACAGTTGAGCAAGTAAGTATCCATGGGATGCAATAAACAATATGTGCGCAAAGGGAAGCCAAGACTCGTGCTTGTCAGTTACGGGATGCGGCCATTCACGTCAAAGTGGCTCGCATGATGGCATTGTGAGACGTCGTAAGTCCATTCCAGCCCCCACAATGCTGCAAGCTGGGAGTCCAGCTGACAACTGGCCCACGCCCACACGTGTTGGACATGGTACCACCGCAGGACAACCATATCTCCATAATTGATGTCTGCGCCGCAAGACTCTGGTAAGCCCACCTGCAGTGGTACCCACCCTCGAGCGGATTCCTCCGTCCGCAGTAACTTGGCATACAGCAGTTTCCCAGATAAAGAGAGCACTGAGCAATAAATATATCATCGTGTCTCCCTGGATGTGGCTTCGAACCTTGAATTTCAGCTTCATGGTCGGCTCTCCCAGGCAAACACATGCAGTTAGGCGCTCGCTCATCAAGTGTACCCTGCCTTTTCATCAACCCACCAAGCAGCCCATAAAATCACCCCTAGACCTCGGCTCTTTGAGCGCACAACGTCAACATGGCACAGCAAACCACCAACCTCATTATCAACGCCATAGACGATCTGATCAACGAGTTCGGTTTCAGATCATATGACGCGTCACCAAGTCCCGAAGTTCCGTTTCCCCTCAACATCAGAAAAAGGAGGGACACAACTCGGTTCACAGAGGGCGGGACAGACCGCAAGCCTTTCACACGAAGCGACTCTATGTCCTCCACCTTGTCAGATCAGTCGACTTCTTCACAATCCATCTCACCCTCATGACGTCCTCCAATCGATTCCGCACACCAAATCGGAGGCAACACTCACATGTGCTATTACACATCGCTTCCACACACCTCTGTCGCCCAGACCCCTGTTCATACACCAGTTGACACAAGTCAACTGGTTGGCACCTATAATATGAGACGCATTTATGATTGGAAAAAGAACGGGATGATTTGCAGGAAATGGCAACTTGCTTTTTCGTCGTACTTGGGGGGGGGGATGTTGTTTGCATACCGGGCGTTCATGGTCATTGATTGCGGCAGGTTGGGTGCCCACTTCATCTAAACACTTTCTATGTATCGCAGAGCACCAGGATCTCGAGATACCGGGGTTCGCAGTATTTATTTAACCAACCCATGGCTAGCTGACTGTCGGCACCCTATCTGAGGTGTGCTCAGTCCAGGCAAAACCAACATCATGCGGCGGTGCCCGGATCAGAAAACTTCCCAGCAGTGGCTTGGACTTTTGCCACGTTCTCACTCTGTTGATTCCTGGGGACCCATTTGTCTGAATCCCCGAAACGATCTACCGTCAGCCCGGCCCTTCCTGGATTCTTCATTCCAGCCTCGAGCTGCCTTTGATACGAGACGTTCCGGAGCCGCTCCGACTCAGCAGGCGTGAGTTTGAGCTGAAAGCACCATTCTGTTAGTCTTGACAACCTCTCGATATTTAATTACGGCATGCACTGTTGAACAATAAGAATTCGACTGTTGACTCACATATATCTCAACACCGTGGCATGGATTGCGAAAGCCAGCCACATGGCACTTCCGAAGTTGGACCCCAGCGCCACAGTCAACTGAACCGGGTCACCATCAAAATTGGCTTCCACGGCAACCTGCTTCGACGGATCTAAACCGTTGAAGAAAGGAGCGCAGTCCGGATAGAAGTCAAGTGATTGCTCTTGTGAACCGAAAATGTACTGAATCTGCTCGCATGGTCGGGCGTCGTAGTAGCCCCCAATCTGGGACACGATCTGCGCAGCAATGATCATGATTATCCGAATAGTAATAATACAGCCAGCCTATAATTTCTGCGCGTGAGTCATGCCTTCTCTTATCTTTCCATTGAGCTTCTCAAGAGAGTGTGCAAAAGTTGACAAAGAAGGACGGATTGACCACTGTGTTAGGCAAAACTTACGTAGAACCATGCCCTCAGCATCCAGGCTCTGTGCTGCTCAATCTGAAGTCTCTTTATGTTGATATATGCCATCGCCAAAGCTCCGACAAATGCGATGGAGATGAAACCAGTGGCGTATTGGGTGGCCAAGGTGCCACCAAAAGCATGCCTCGCGATCATCAACACTCCTCCTGTTCCCAACAAGGAGAGGATAATCACAAGGTATCCGTTGAGCCGGTGGAAGAGAGTTGCCTTGTGGCGAATAGCGGGGACGAATTGGAAGACGACGAGGAATGAGGCGGGGAGTATTGTCGCCAGGTGCGGTATTATTCCGACCTTCTCATGCCCGCGGAGGTAGTAAAGGCACTCCCCGGGAGCTGCGCCGTTGCCGCCGGAGTCACCGGCGCTACAGAAAACTCCGTAGAAATCAAGATACTGGAGTCTGGCCAGTGTGAACCCCATGAGGGCTCCTGCGAAGATGAACCAGAGGACGAAGTTGTAGCCCTTTTTGAACCCAATAGGATGGTAGACCTTGCGCATGGCAGCTATGAAGGATCCTTCGCTTCTTTTGGTCGAGGCTGCCATATTGGGCCGGAGAGATGGGAGTAAAAGATGAGCTGCTTAAGTCGGGTGAGCTTGGGAGGGACCAGGAACAACAGACGATTGCCTAACTTTTGAAGTGAGATTCAAGCTCATGATGATTCCAATGCGTACAATATGCGGCGTGTATCGGAGTCTTATATTCGTGGAGTGGAGTCTTGTAGTCCTCAGGCCCACGGCGCGTATTATCTCCGCTTGAGGACTGCCCAGGTGCCAAGGCGCCGCGTAATTGTTGCACTTCCAACGTGGAGGTTCCAAGGTTGCTTGAAGGCTTGATGGTCTCAATTGCTGACTGCGCTTGCTTTCTGCGGCACTATTGTCGTCATCGACTTCATTCCTTATTACCAGTGCGAAACAAAAGACAATGGTCCTAGAATACCACATGGTCCCCTCCAATGAATTGCAGGCGCACAATGGTTCCGAGTGCGGTTTAGTGTGTGTACGTACGCCTAGTGCAGTGGCTCTAGCTGCTCAGCCTGCGCCCGAAGTCTTGGGGCCATGATCCATCCGCGCCTACAGGTAGCTTACCAAGCCAGCCTAGACACCTTTAGCCCACAGTCCGGACGACTTTAATAATTTCGTTCTACAGCAGCTGCGGTTAGTAGGATGCTGGTGCATATCTCCGACGACTAAGATTTATGTTGATGACGGCCGTTGCGTCGGCAGCCGCCAAGGAGCCCATGCTCAAAAGGGAAGCATTGCGCGCCCTTTGGTTGTTGAGTGCCCAGGTGCTTCACTCTTATCGCTTCTGTGTCGCCATGGTTGGAGTTCCGGGGCGATCGAAGGCGTGCCTGACATGCCGTAAAAGGAAGAAGGGGGTGAGTTGCCGACATCCTATCAAGGCCCACGGGGTTATCCAGAGTGGAATTGTCCTCAGGACAGCGGTGTGGCTAACGGTCATCACGTACGCGTGTATCAGTGCGACTACCAGCGCCCAGAATGTACACAATGTATGAAAGCCGGTATTCAATGCGGCGGGTACGAACGGGAGCGCATCTTTGTGCATTCTACTGCTTCATCCCAGAGGGCCGTGGTTGAGGCCCGCGAAACAAACCCAGCGGCGAGGAAGCTAGACTCCCCGCCGAGCCGGGGCGGTCAGCCGTCGTCTCTCGCGTTGACGCATCGGCGCCACAGCAAGGACGAGGCCACTGAGATCACTCTTTCCGGGTCTCTGTCTAGAACCGCCAGCGAGGAGAAGTATATCTCCCTCTTTTGGGACTCTTTCTTGCCGAAAAGCCGGGATCGATCTGCTTCGAGAGAGTGGGCCAGGTCCTCGCAGCACCTGTTCCGAACAGAACCCGCCTTGAGGTCTGCTGTCCTGGCCGTCAGCCTGGGGATGCTGGGCGAGAGGGAGAATTGTAGGTGGATGAAGGAGAACGGTTTGAAGGCGTATGGAAGGGCACTCCTAGAAGAGACCGTGGCGCTGAGGTCACCGTCCCGAGTCAAGAGCGACGCAGTCTTGCTTGCAACCAAGTTCATGACTACTTACGAGATGTTGTTTGGGGCGAGGACTGGGAATCTATTGGAGCTGGCGCATCGCTGGCGTTCGCACAACCTCGGCTCGTTGGCCATAATGGAGACGAGAACACCTTTGAGTGCTATTGAAGGCCATGGGCATCACATTTTCCTTGACAGTCGGCTATTCTGGGTGGGTCTTGGGAGATTGCAATAATTGCTTCTCGTCAGCTGACAACAGGGCAGATAATCGACGGTCTCAAGCGGCGCAAGCGGACGCCACTCAGCCGCGACGATTGGAAGACTATTCCCTGGAGCAAGCATCCAAAGAGCACAAAGGACTTGCTCCTGGACATACTGGTTGAGATTCCTGGGGTCCTTGAGGATATCGACAATTGTGAGGGGCTAGAAAGCCACGAAAGGAAACGAGAGGAGTACCGGCGACTCGTGGCCGTCTCCCTAGGGCTGCACACCGAGCTCGAAAGCTGGTATGATGCCATGCCGCCGGAACGGAGATACGCGGGCGCCCATGGTCTCGGAACGGGAGACGAGCAAGTAATTGAAGAGCTTCCAGAAATGTACACGATGCTGCTGTACTGGGCGACCTGCCTTTATTTGTACAGTGCCATGCGGGTGCACAGCGATCGCCGGCCAGCCAGTGTACCACCTTTTCTACCGTACGCGGCCACAGACCTCGGGCAATACATAGGCAACATGAGCCTAGTCTTGCCATTTTTCTTCGACCCAGACGCTGGCAAATCCAATCTCTTGCTCGCAGCATTCCCACTGGGGACTGCACTGCAGTTCAAGCTCCTTCTCAAAGGACAAGCACGGGCTGGAGACAGCCTACCGGAAGAAGACACTGGCAGGCTGATGTTGCTTTTCACGAGGCCCGAGTTCAAGCCAGTCATGGGTTTTCTGAACAGCTTGCAGCGCGATAATGCAATTCGCGGAGAGGATCCCGCATCAACATTTGAGGGCCGGGCGAAGCAGTGGGCTGGGTATAAACCGCTGGAAAGAGGGTGAGGAAGCGTTGGTTTTGGCCTGATGGGAGCAAGGAGAGGAGCAGGCCGGGCGTTTTGCAGGTTCACTAGCCAGGGGTGGTCTCCTGGACCCAAGGGAGTTGAACAGACAGCAGGAATCAGTGATAATGACCTGGACGAATGTTACAAAGAGAAGTAACAGGCATGTGCCTGAACATGGGGATGATTCTCTAATAACAAACATACGCACAGACGTGATGGTGATGATTTGCACATCTACCCAGGTTCCTAGGTACCTAAGTACACCTAGGCACTCTGTCTCGGACCAGGTACATCACCCTTGGCCCCGCAACGCGTCAAGCGCGATAAGCGATAAGCGATAACGAGGATGAGGGGCCTAAATTTTTGGGCGACGAGCAGCAAATTTTCCTCCCCCACGCAGGGTTCTTTCTGCTGCCCGACAACCTTGACCGTCTGCCTTTTCTTTTTCTCCTCCATGCCCTCGAGGATTCCCTCCTTTCCCTTCTGCATTTCTCAGGGCTAGCAATCTTTTTTTTGTCTGGTCAAGATGGATGGTCAAAGATTGGTGACCCTCCTGCAGGAGAGCCAGATCCGTAAGTACAATTGATGTGACTGTCGCGCTTTCTCCTCCTGGCCTGCCTGGCTGACCTCTTATTCTACGCAGCGGACACACAGAGGGTCAAGGCTGTCACGGCAGAGCTCCAGAAGAACTACTACTCGAAGCCCGAGTCCCTCCTCCTCCTGGTCGAGATTGTCTGCACCAACGAGGATGTCAACCTCCGACAGCAGGCGGCCGTGCAGGCTGCGCGCCTCGTACCCAAGTACTGGGAGAAGATACCCGCAGAGCAGAAGGCTGGCGTCCGGCAGCATCTTGTCGAGGCCACTATGAAGGAGCAGCACGCTAAGTGCAGACACTCTGAGTCTCGAGTGATTGCCGCAATTGCGAGCCTCGACCTCGACGACAGCGCATGGCCCGACCTGATTCCTTCTCTCTTCACCCTTGCCAGCAACAACGATGTCTCCCACCGTGAGGTCGGCTCATACATCATCTATGCCATTCTCGATGAGAACCCCACACACTTTGCCGAGAAGGTCCGCGACCTGCTCTCTCTCTTCTCCAACACCATCAAGGATCCCCAGAGCGCTGATGTGCGCGTTAACACCGTCATGTCTATCGGGGCCGTGTTGATGCTCGTCGAGCCCGAAGAGGATGAGGGCGCCGTCACTGCTGTCCAACAGCTCATCTCTCCCATGGTCAATGTTCTCAAGGATGCTGTGGATAGCAATGACGACGAGAAGACCAAGCAGTCATTCGAAGTCTTCCAGCAATTCCTTGCTTATGAGCCTGTCCTGCTCGGCCCTCACCTTCGAGACCTCATGACGTTTATGGCTGAGCTGGCTGCCAACAAGAATGCCGAAGATGAGGTGCGGTGCCAGGCCCTCGCCTTCCTTGCGCAGGCTGTTCGCTACCGCCGAATGAAGGTGCAGGGTATGAAGGACATGGGCTCCCAGCTGACCCTCAAGAGCATGGGAATCCTCACCGAGATTGACGACGATGAGGATGAGGACGAGATTACACCTGCTCGTGCTGCCCTTTCTCTCCTTGACCAGCTGGCATCTGACCTGCCCCCTCGTCAGGTCATCGTGCCTCTGCTTGATGCTCTGCCCAAGTTCGCGTCATCCGCAGAGCCTGGCTTCCGCAAGTCTGGTGTCCTCGCTCTAGGAACTGTGGCCGAAGGCGCCCCTGACTTCGTGTCCACCCAGCTCAAGATGATCATGCCCATCGTTCTGCGTCTCCTCAATGACCCTGATGCTGGAGTCCGCCACACTGCTCTCATTGGTCTCACTCGCATTGCTGATGAGATGGCTGAGGAACTGTCAGAGGACCGTGACGCCCTCGTCGAGGCGTTGCTTAAGAACATCCAAGCCGCTAGCGTCGAGTCCTCCGATGCCGCTGTTTCCAAGAAGAATGTCGAGATCATGCGATGCTCCTGCGCTGCTCTGGATGCGTTGGCATCTGGTTTCGACTCTGATGTCATGCAGAAGTACGGACCAGAACTGATCAGCCCAATCGGCAACCTCCTGGCTCACCCCGACTTCAAGGTCAAGGGTGCCGCTGCTGGTGCCCTCGGTGCCATTGCTGGCGCTATGGAGGAGCACTTCGCCCCTTACTTCGAGAACACAATGGCCGCCCTCGGGCCATTTGTTCAGATCAAGGACAGTGAGGACGAGCTTGAGCTTCGAAGCGGGGTGTGCGATGCCATGGGCCGCATTGCCACAGCCGTTGGCCCCCAGAAGTTCCAGCCGTATGTCTTGGAGCTCATGAAGGCGAGCGAGGAGGCATTGAACCTTGGCAACCCGAGGCTGCGGGAGACAAGCTTCATTCTATGGAGCGCTCTCTCCAAGGTTTACGGCAAAGACTTTGCCCCCTTCATTGCCGGCGTTTTCAAGGGTCTGTTCGACAGTCTGGAGCTTGAGGAGGAAGAGCTCGTCCTGAACCTGACTGAAGAGGAGAAGGCCATCATTGGCACCGAGGATGGGATTATCCAAGGTGGCAAGAAGATCAAGATCCGAGAGCCCGAAGAGGGCGAGGAGCCCATGGAAGATGACGGATTCGAGGACGAGGATGACGACGACTGGGGAGACTACGGTGTTACCCCCGAGGCAATGGAGAAGGAAGTTGCCATTGAGGTCCTTGGAGACGTGGTCACCCACGCCTGTGGTCTCGCTGAGATCTCGCAATATCTCGAGAAGGCGCTGGAGAACATCACGCCGCTTGTTGAGCACAGCTATGAAGGTTGTCGCAAGGCAGCCATCAGCACACTGTGGCGATCCTACGCGCGTGTTTTCGAGCTGTTCGAGGAGCAGACTGGCACCAAGTGGGAGGCCGGCTACCCTCCCAAGCAGGCCCCGTCGGAAACGCTGACTAAACTTGGCGAGATTGTCGCTGCTGCCACATTGAAGCTGTGGCCGGATGAGACCGATCGGTACGTTTCTCACCCTTGTTGTGAATCCTGACCCTTCCTTTATGATGAGCATCCAGCGTTATACCCAGCTCACTCAGACGCAAAATCATTGCGGTTGCTGAGAAAACGTCACATCTACTCCTGAAACTTCCTTTCATACCCAATCATATGCACCCATCACTTGCCCGTGGACATTGGCTGACCATGCCCGAAGCAACGTCGTCACCGACATCAACCGCAACGTGGCCGCGACTCTGAAAGCGTGCGGCCCTGCCATTCTCGCCCAGGAAAAGATGGTCGAGCAGATCGTTACTGTTCTGACCACCCTGATTACCCGCTCGCACCCCTGTCAGCAGGATCTTGGCGATGAGGAGGAGCAGGACGCTGATGCTGGCTCTTCCGAGTACGACTGGCTCATCATCGACACTGCTCTCGACGTGGTCATAGGACTGGCTGCTGCCATGGGCGCTCAGTTTGGTGAGCTGTGGAAGATCTTCGAGAAGCCCGTCATGAAGTTCGCCTCCTCTCAAGAAGACCTTGAGCGGTCGACATCGGTTGGTGTGATTGCCGAGTGCGCGGCGCACATGGGCGAGGCCGTGTCGCCCTACACGTCTACGATCCTCAAGCTTCTGCTCAAGCGTCTCACCGACCCCGACCCTGAGACCAAGAGCAACGCTGCTTATGCAACCGGCCAGCTCGTGTACCACTCCACGGACGCCGTCACCTACTTGCCGTACTACACGGACATCCTCGCCAAGCTGGAGCCCATGCTTTCCATCGACCACGCGCGTCTCAAGGACAACGCGACGGGTTGCGTGTGCCGCATGATCATCTCCCACCGTGACAAAGTGCCGATTGCCGACGTGCTCCCTGTCCTTGTCGGCCTGCTGCCGTTGAAGGAGGACTTTGAGGAGAACACGCCTGTTTATGAGTGCCTTTATAAGCTTTGTACGTTTCACCACACCAGGCCCAGTCTACAACGGAAATAATAGCTAACTGATGAGCAGACGAAGGCGACGAGCCCACTGTGCAGAGCCTGACACCCAAGCTCATCGGCGTCTTCGAGAAGGTGCTGAGCCCGCCCGAGGAGCAGCTCCAGGACGAGACACGCCAGCTCGTGCAACGCATCGTGCAGAGCCTGTACAAGGCCCAGCCGGGACTCTTCCAGGGCCACGAGCAGGTGTTGAAGATTTCTGGTGCAGCGTAAAACTTATGACCAGTGATGACCCCCGGATGGAAAAGTACATAGGAGCGGGAGGAGCGCACACTGCCCCGATCTCTGATTAATGATTAGATGAAGGTGTTTGGTGGATTATCCCTTTTGTTGTTACGGCATCTCAGACCTAGACAGAGATATCAATGATTCCCCCTTTCGCTATGGAGACCTACGATGCCGTTGTCCGGCATTTCACTTTGCCTCCGGGCCCGGTCCCGTTCAGTGACAGCATGTCTGGACTCGATGTACGCACATTGCATCATGCAACCAGCAGTCCCAGCACAAGAACTGGAGAGGCACATAGAGCAACAGCCGCTGCTACTCACTACTTAGCTGCCGCTGACTCAGCAAATCAAGTGGGGCACCGTGTGGCGAATTCTAAGCTGCAAGCCCCCGACGCCTAGTCTGGCTAGTGTCACTGTCAACGCTCATATCTTGACATCGGTTTTATAGACTATGGCCTTGATTTTGTGCGCGGACATGTCTGAGCAGGAAACAGGACAGCCCCCAGCTGCGATGGACACAACAGCAACCTCAGAACCTGTGGGGGTGGGGCCCACGACCACAACGACCACAACAACATCAGGCCGAGAAAGAGTTGCCGAGGACGGCAGCCTCACAGTCTTTTCAAAGCGGTGCCAGCGCCGCCTCAAGAAGCGGCACCGCAGCAAACCGTCGGGCGTGTACCGCAACTTTCTCGGCCTGCCTTTCGACATACTGATCCATATCCTTGGTTTCGTCCGTCCAAGCGATGTCTTCCGGCTCTCCCGCACATGCCATGCCCTCCATGCATTCATCCTCCAAGACCACTCTGCCCTGACCGCCCGCACCATAATCCAGCGGCGGTACTCTTGCCTGGAAAAGTGCATGCGTCTCCCGGTCCTGCTCACTGACGTCGAGGATCAAGACCTTCGCGACCTGCTGCAGCACACAGAGAGGCAGAAGAAGCTCGACATTCACAGGCGTCCCTACTATCAGCATGTTGCGCCCCCTGACCCAGGTGTCATCTGTACGTGCATGACGTGCATCCTGCGGTGGAACCTCCTATGTCTTGCTGTCGACTTTTCACACTGGCAGAGCCATCTAGACAAGGGGGAGCCGCTGCCCATCATCCAGCGCGGCAGTCAGCCGAAGTGGAACAGCGAGCTGCTTAGCTCGCACGAAGCCGTCGTGTTGAAGGCTGTCAACCCTGCCGTTGGCGGCACTGCCTCACCCTTGTGGTATGCCGCCATCCTCGAAGCCCATCTGGCCTCCACCGTGAGAGCCTTATCGAGGCATAGCGCCAACAAGGGTAACAAACGGCCACGATTTCGCATGACACTCGAGGACATGGCGAGTGGGACTGACATGTTCCTGGAGCGGAGCGGGCCCCCTTCGGCAGACTTCCCTTTTAATAGGGACAACTACTACATGCTCGAGGCTTATCTGCCAAACAGGTGCTGGCTGAAGGAAAAGGGCAGGTGGGGCTACATGCCCGCTGAACAACACAACACAGATCTAGACCTGATCAGGAGGTGGGCTTCATGGTGGACAAGGCCGGTTCGTGCACCAGATCGGATCGTGGTTGCCAGGGGCTTGGGTTCCACGCCTGTTGAGAGCGGAAATCCGTCACAGGATTCCGTGGCAGTGCTTGGGAGTTGAAGCCACCCTGAATTGGGGAAACGAAGCGACAATCATCCGCTCAGGAAAGCCAGGGGTATTTGCCTATCACATATCTATAGAGTGCACCAAAGTATCCTGTTTGAATTGATTTCTGCCTAGGTCTCTCAGTAGTAGAAAGGCAGGGTGGGAAACATCAGAACCATCCGATGGCGGTTTCTAAGCTTCCCTGTTTAGCACATTCCGGACGAGGCGCATAATTTTCCAAGGTTGTTTCATAGCGAAACTGACATCCTACCCTGCCACCCTCTTGTCCGAACGGCATATTTGGGGTTTTCCGGCGGAGATAGAAAACGAATTGCGAGAAAAGACATCTGGAGCTTCTGGTGCATGTATAAAGGCTAGGCATACTCGCTGGGCTTCGCAACATGCCTTGGTGAGTTGACCATCATCCATAGTCGGTGATTGGTGTCTTGTGCCCGAAAATGGATTTCATCAGACTGAATGCGCTCTATCTCGGAGGCGCGCTCGTCTGCGTTGCGCTGGCGCGAGTATGAATACATCACACCATTGGACCGTTCGTAGCTAATATGTGAAATTCCAGTACATTTACGCGGGCCTCACCAATCCGCTCTCAAACATCCCGGGGCCGTGGTACACACGATTCACGACTCTAGTCTCAACGTACTTCGTCATCACGGCGCACCACCCGGACTGGGTGCATGCACTGCACGAAAAGTATGGGCCAGCCGTGCGCATCAGTCCGCATGAGGTCGACATCTCGGATGCGCCTGCATGCCAGCGCGTCATCCACAGTGTCAAGGGCGGCTTCCTCAAGTCGCCCTTCTACTCGCTCCTCATTACCGACTCGTCCAGCGTTTTCAACGAGATTCGCCCCGAGATCCACCGCAAATATAAGCGCTTGTTGTCCAACCCAATGTCTGAGACGGGCCTCAAGACCTTCCTGCCCCGCATCGACGGCAAGGTGCGCCTCGCCATTGAGCGCATCCGTGAGGAGAACAAGACCCGTGGCGCGGCAGATGTTGCCAAGTGGTTCATGTTCCTCTCATTTGACGTTATTGGCGACTTGACTTTCGGGGAGGGTTTCGGCCAGTTAGAGAGTGGGCAGGTGAGCAGTAATCACGTCTTTGACCAGGAGTGGCGTGTGTGCGTGTGTGTGTTCCGGAGGCTGACTGGTGACAGAAAAACCAATCGATCAATGACTTCGTCAGCCTGGGTTTTGTAGGCGGCCTGCGCTCCATGTTTCCCACCATATCGTGGCTTTCCTTGTACCTGCCCATACCTGTCTTCCAGGACGCCACCAAGATCCAGTACCGAACCTTCGACTATGCTCAGAGCGCCCTGGATCGCCACGCCAGGCGGGTGGAAGAGCAGGGCGAGGACACGAAGCCGACTGTCTTCTCGAGGCTCTACACGGCTGGCGCCGAGGATACCTGGTCGCCCATTGAGATCCGCGATAATGCGCAGGTCTTCATTGTTGGTGGCAGCGACACCACCGCCAACTCAATGATCTATCTCATCTGGTGCATCTGCAAGCTACCCGATGTCAAGTCCAAGCTCCTCAAGGAGCTCGCCACTATCCCCGAGGACTTCAGCTACGACGACCTTAGGGATATGCCGTACCTGAACTGGTGCGTGAATGAGACGCTGCGCCTATACAATGCCCTGCCGTGCGGCCTACCGCGAATAGTGCCTGAAGGCGGCGTCGAGCTTGCAGGACAGTTCATCCCCGGTGGCGCGTAAGTAAAACTTCCAAGCTTCTAATTTGCTACCAATTACTCTTTCGTAAACTATATAAGGCATCACACTGGATTCATGGCTGGTGACTAACATATATTTCAGAACCGTGTCAACCCAATCTTACAGTCTCCATCGAGATGAGGAAGCCTTCCCTGATCCGTATCGGTTCAACCCCGACAGGTGGGAGCACACTACGCAGGATATGCGAGATTGCACTCTGCCTTTTGGCGGCGGCGCGAGAAGTAGGTCATGTGTCCATCATCACGGAGACATTAGCTGGCTTTTTTCATCATGGTACTGACAAAACACTGAAACCAGCCTGCCTCGGCCGTCACCTGGCCCGTATAGAGCTCCGCCTGATGGCAGCTCGCTTCTTTCGCAACTTCCCCAACGCTACAGTTTCCGAGCTGGAGGGCATGTGCGACAAGGACATGGAGCCTGCATTGCATTTCCTCATGGTGCCGAGCGGCCATCGGTGTCTAATTCAGCTGAACGGGGAGAAATGATGACCAGAGAGCGTCTCATAAGCTGACAAGTAATCTGGCGTTTTCTGTATCATTGAATACGAATTCTGAGCCTGGGGGAGCGGTTGCAGGAGGCATCACAATTGCCGAGCACTACATATGTACGTACTACATAAAGATGCCATTGCCACATAGAAGACATCAATTGATACTCATTTGTATCTCAAAAATGCCGCTTAGCAAGCTTTACAATATAATACTCAAGATTGCTTTTACAGCATTATATAGTAATGCTATGATAACCCCCCCCCCCCGGTGACTAAATCTATGAAATCATAACTACTAGTAGGTACCTCTGTTACACAGGTTTCAATGGGGAAAGATTTGTCTGTGGCGTTGATTATTTCAAGACACTGAGATTTTAAGCTGGACTACTCGACGTCAGCTAATTGGAAATATCCTTTCCAGTATTCCTGTAGCAGCCCCTCTGGGTCGTATTGACTTGCCACATCCTTGAGCCTCTCAAAGTTTTCCGGGCCGTACCTCTTCAGCACCTGCTGTGTGCTTCCAGCATAGTTCATGTATACAAACCCCTTCAACTCGCCTCTCTCTTCCGCCATGGCCTCAACATTCTCTATCAACTGACTAAGCTCGCCCTCTATCAGTGTATCCAAACTCGCATCGTCCCAGACGACAGTGAGCTGAACCAGCATCACCGGACCATCGCTCGGCTTGAGTCCCAGCACGTTGCCGCCATTTTTCTGCATCGCTGTGAGGATATTGACGGGTATGGGCTGAAAGACAAGATACGGCGTAACCATGGATGCTGTGCCGTTTGCTCCTGCGTTCTCGGCTGCGGCTGATAGAAACTTGGAGATTACTTTTTCCCAGAGAGGCACAATGTCTGTCAAGAGCTCTGACTCCATGGCTAGTACGGAGGTGTCCCACCACGTCTGTCTGTCTCCGTACGGCTGGTCTATCGCACGAAGCGCCGTGGAGAGGTTTTCCACAGTGACGGTGTCTGACAAGATCCCGGGGACAGACTTGAGTGGTGCGAACACCGGCGGCGTTGTGTTGGCCGGGGGAGGCGTCGCATGATATAAGCTGGCAGCCGCGACATACCCCCCCAACTCCGGGTAGTAAGTCATTATGAAGTATGTGTGCGCCTGAGGATCTTCCGGTAGGCCATTTATCGTTAGATTGGTGAAAAGTGGTATCAGGGTCGTGTTTAGGGCACCAGGGTATAGAACATTATTCGCCCACAGCTTGCCTTGTGGGAACGCAGCGAGGTCGAAGCGGGTCACGATGCCGAAGTTAGACCCGCCGCCGCCGCGCAGGGCCCAGAACAGGTCTTGATTCTCGATGGGAGATGCGTTGACGACCTCGCCAGAGGATAAGACGACCTCATAGTTCTGCACGTTATCGCATGCCCAGCCGCGGAATCCGGAGAAATATGAGATACCGCCGCCGAGGAGGAGGCCAGCCACGCCGACGTCGGCAACTCGACCGCCCACCACCGCCAGCCCTAGCGGGTCGAGGACCTCTGTCACCTGGATCCAACGGCTTCCGGATCCAACCGAGACTGTCTGCAAGTCGCTGGCCACGACGATATCATTCATGTACAGCAGGTCGATAGTCACGCCCTGGTCGACGTTGGAGCCTCCGGCAAAAGCAGTATGCCCTCCAGCCTTGACGGAAAATGGCACCTGGAGTGCCGTCAGGGACTTGATTATGGCGCTCACGTTGGCGGTAGACCTTGGCGTGACAAAACATGAGGGGCTGACTTCACCCTGTCTGTTTGACCAATAGGTATTTGCCGCAATGTATGCTGTGGAATTTGGGTAAACCACGTCGTCCGGGAGCTGGGACGACAGCGCGTCGCACTATTCAATTGATTGAGTCAGCCTTCCATGCCTTCAGACTGTCAGTGGCAGAGCGCTGTGAAGGTCTTACTGCATCTGTGATGTATCCGGTCGTACCGTAAGCCAACGTTCTGGATGTCCTCACGAAGAGGTAGAGCACAAGGCCGATTGCAATGGTAGGAAGCTGCATCGCTGTTCACTCGGCAATAGTAGCCTCAGCCTAAGGGGTCGAGGGATTGATGCGAATATTTGTGAGGATAGATTTGGAAAAAATGGAGAGAATGTGCCCAGGTGCCAAGACCGATTGAGGAGGCGAACAGCTAGGTCTGGGATACCAACAGGACGAAATCAAAGAAGGGTGAGATGCAACCTTGGAATGTACGTAACATGACCCATGTAAATGGCTCCGCCCGTCTGCATCAAGGCGCTCGTCAAAAAAGAGATATGTATCACCCCGGACCAGGGTCATTGCATCCTGCCGCCACCTTTGAAGAGGGGGCTGGGATCGAAGAAGGATGATACGGTCCCCAGCGGCTGACACGCACTCCACCTTAACACCCAACATCACCAGTTTGCTGCTCAGCGGCAGCACAAGCCACTTCGGACACGCAAGAAAGCCCGGTCCATAGATTCATAACATCTTCCTTGGGTCATAGATATCAACTTCTATTGCCAATTATCACTCCTTGACTAAGAGCTCCAGCTGAATAGAGGAAACTAGAGAATGTAGTCCATAAATGGCTTCGATTGTAATACCCATATATACAAGATTAATGTATTTGGCGCCTTCATACGGTCGGAAATGCTCAAGACCAAGCGTTCAAGAAATCACAATGCCTGTAAATGTACAGACAGAATACAAGACGTCAACTGGTCTCATGCAGTCAATGGAGCTTGAGTCGGTCCTGCCTCAACGGCTGCAGTCCACACCTCAAGACTGACACTTAACAGGCCAGGCTTCGGCCACATTGTATTTTTTATTCAACTATTTATCTATTCATTATCTTCTCAGCTTTTAGACTAACTATTAGCTTATACCTTAAGTATAAAGTTAACAATTATTTAATATATACCCTTAAACTTATCTATATATAGAATTACTAACTTCCCTTATAGGGCTCCCTTTTTTATTATATTCTTTATATATTATATAAAAGTAAATAAATTCTTAATAATAAAGTAATATATTTTAAAAAAAATTTAATTCTTAAATATCTAGACTTCTACTTTTCTTATATAGTATTTATCTAATATATAGTAAATAAATTTTATTTAACTTTTAAAAAAATATTTTTTTATAAAATTTATATAAAAGGCTTTCTTAAATAAGTTTATTATTATAGTATTATTATTCTATTAATTATATATTTAAAATAGGGATTATAATATATCTAACTTATTTAATAAAAGTAGATTTAAATAGTTATATAATAAGTATATTAATAGAGAAAAGTTAGCTTATTAAGTCTTATATTATAGAATTTTTCTTCTTATAAAGGTTATTTTAAAACTATTTTAATCTTACTATATAACTACTTTACTAACGATTAACCCTTAAGCTACTTATATTAATAATTCTAATATAGTATTATTAAAAGTAATACCTTTTAACTTTATTTATATAATATAAAGCTTAACTATATACCTATATATTATATTCTCTTTTTATTATTATTAATATTATATTTCTTTAAATATTAGGTTTTAAGTATTTATTACTATATAAAGGCGCTATATACATTTTATATATATGGGGATTAAAAACGAAACCACTTGACAGGCCAGCAAGAGGTCCATCCCGAAAATAGCTGCCCTTAAGGCAAGTCGATCGCGGCTCAGCTTTCTCGCCAGAGCTCAGATATCGCGTCCCCAGCCCGGTGCTGTGCAGAGTATCTAATTGGAAGGCACCCGTGGACACCAGTGGATTATGACATCCGCACCCTACTCAAGCATACATTGAGCAAGGGACTGGAGAAGCTTACTAAAGCCAAATACGTGGAGTATCCATCTGGGTCTCAAGATGAGAACAATCCTCCCCATAGAGAGAAGCTCTGCGCGTTTACCACTGTATGAAGGCGCCGTGTACGTGTCCGTAAGATGCAATTTCCTTTCATCCTATCCAAAGGGAACGTGGCTGGTCTAATAAATAACTCATCACCAAGTCTCATAGTATGAGACAGCGCTTCCCAATTCTGGTTGCAAAGAAAAGGTTTCAGATCATACATATCTAATCTATGAATGCAATTGAGATCGAAAAAGGCGGCTAGTGTTGGGTTGTCGCTCTCACTCTGCCTGTCTTGCCGTTCCTGCTCCTGAAGTCATGCATAATAAATATTCCGGCGTCTCCACCTGGGCAGGATTGGTCGATATCCAGAGCATAGCTGGGATGTTCTGAAACACACAAGTTCAGAAAAACCGAGCTGGTCAAGCAGGTCGAGCAGGTCGACATTGGCTCGCCACCTCTCTACAACTTTCCATGTCAGTATTGCGGAAATGTCCCCGTTGCGACCCATACCATCTTCACGGCCCCCGTCCCCAAAAAAAAACTCGAAGACAAAGCCCATCATAGGTCTTTTATTAGCGGTACTGAGTAATTTTCTGATGGTTCCACCAAATCAAATAGCAACACCAGGGCATCAACTCATTGCAACGGGCGATGTGACTGCTAGCCACACGCTCTGCCAGCCCGGCCAAAAGACCATGGTCACCAATCTACTAATTGGTTATTCCTATCAGTATATAACTGCCGTACCGCTCACTCTCATGAGACCACTTTTGTCCCTTCCCCTGACAGCAAGATTAATCTACCCTTCGAAAAAGAAGTTGAACCACCTGTTGTGGACAACGTCATCCTAGCTTTGAGACAAGTCGCCAACATTTCCGCTGAGGCCCAGACTACCTCTTTCAAGAGCTCTGCCCACCAGTCCACATCAGGCAACAAGTAATGTCTGGAGAATGCTGAGTGAATCGTCATTGATCCCAAATATGCCAATCCGCCGGACCCAACCGGACACTGCACCCACAAGAACTATCAGGACCCGAGTCATAATGGCAAATACAAGCCGCTATCCCGTGACAACAGGGCCATTGATTAACGGAGCATAGCCATATTCGTGGGCGGGTTGGGCAACGACATGACGCGGGAAGACCTTTACTATCGGTTCGAAAGGGTGGAGATCTCCAGCACACGAGAAAGAATATAGGCCAGGGATTTCTCCGGTATCATGGCCTTAATGAGTCTAAGATGGCTGTTTCCCAGACAAGCAAGTTTCAGAAATAATCTTTACCCCTTGATAGGAAGAATTTCGTGGGGGGGGGGGTCCCTATGTTTCGAAGATTTGCCATTTCTAATTTTTGGGGGGAGCTACAGCCACTGGGTCTTGAGCGTTTATCACAACTATGTGAAGAGACCGTACGCCTTCGGGATTTATACGGATTGAGAACGAAGCTACTTGCCACTACACGAGGGTGCCACATACTACATTCCATATGTATGGAGATCAGAAACAAAACCACTCAGTAGTTTCAAAATGGTAGTGGTCACAGGAGTTGATCACGGTCTTTCATACCTAGGTAAGTGCGGGCGGCCAGCTTTTGTTCCGGACCAAATTTGATTCAAATTCCAAGCCTTGCTGTGATAGATTATGCTCCTGCACATCTGAAAGTACACGAGGATTCTTCCCAATGCGTCAACATGGTATACCAATAATGGTCTCTGCTTCAACACAACATGCTAACGTTTGCCACAAGTCATACGCTTCCCTTCTCTAGTATCACTGCCTGTGGTCTTGAACTAAAATGACAAACCCGGGGAGGAGGTGAGGTTGCTAAAGGAAACCATTATCTAACAATCAACCCTATAGGCCTTGCAAGTCTGTGTTAGAGATATCATTAACGTCTCTTTCTGATTACTCGATGAATTTCGCACCGTCGGTCCAAAATATCTCAAGCACTCTTGGGCAAGCCACGTCTTTGTTTTCACATACGTACAGAACTGTGGCTGTCGTTACGGGAAGGAACATTCGTCGTTAGCAAGCATGTAGGCGGGTTCCTCGTCCTTCAGAAACTTAGACGGGACAACGACAGACAGAATACACACGATCATCACAGAACGTACGTTATGAGGTCCTACCAACACTGACTTCAAAGAGCTATCAATGTGTACCTAGGTCGCTATATACATGCATATATACATACACTTGAGCATTAGTCAAAACCACGTTGTTGCCCGCAATCTTGAGTGCTCGGAACCCCACGTCGCCACTGAACACTAGAATTGACTGTGGCATCAGGATTTACACAAGCGAGCGTGTAGGCCGCCCGAAGTATCCTGCATGGTCGATAATATCTGGCCAAATTCCTTGCGACATGTGAAATTATACTGAGCAACACGGAAGATGTGCAGGATATTTGACCAATTTGCAATCAAGCCGGAACCTGTTGTTATTGCCATTAGAACAGCTCCCTGTTGGCTGCCTGTGTTTATTCGAGTGAGACCAGCCGGCGGGCGACCCGTGTGTGTGGCACCTCGGTAGGCCCCCTGATTCAGTTTGCAATGTTTTCTTTTCCCCTGGGCTGAAGGTTGCCTCCAGTCAGTTGCTGATTTCCCAGCAGCGAAATGGCTGACCGGCTGACCGGGTGCGCTGGTGGTCTGGGGAGGCGCGAGCCTCGGGCTCCTGCACGAAATGCCATTTATTAAAACAAGAAATTGGGGCTGCGAGATTTGCTTGGTGTGTTTCAGTGGCGCAAGGCGGCTAGCCTCATGCACCCCAGACCTCGGGAGCTGTGCAGACAGGCGGGCAGGCGGGACGGGGGCAGACATGACCGCTACCCCGGCAGCCCCGGGGTGATGATTGTTGTAACTTGGTTCTGCCCCAGGATCTGGGCGCCGATGTGAGTTGGTGATCAGCCTGTCAGCGCGGAGATGGCAGGATGGGCAACCACGCTTGTTTGTGTTGGTTTCTTTAGACAGTCAAACAGTATAACAAGCTGGACGTATTAGTAACTTCGGATATGGTCCTTTTATTAAAGTGGCTTGTCAGTCTAGGTTGCATCCAGAACCAGGCCCGGTGGAATGCCTGAATGCCTTGGGGGACGTCAACAGGCAGGTTGGCAGGACAGGCCAGTAAGAATCCCATGGCCAGCAGCATGGTCTTTTAGGAGCCACCTGCCCGAAGAGGGGCCGCTGGCCCCGCTGGCACGTCGTATTTTTGGCGTGTGCCTTTTGCCCCTGCCAAGACCGGGGTTGATGGGAGTGTGGGAGTGTTGGAGGCGACTAGGCAGATCGCCGATTCGGCCTTGCAGACTGACAAGACAAAGGAGGCATTACGATGCTGCTTCTTTCTCCGCCTGTCAGGGCTGTCAAGACAGGTCCGTGGCCGGCACCGGTGCTGGTGCTGGTGCTGGTGCTGGCCCTGGGCCTTGTGACCTTGTCCGGGCAGAAGCTTGTTGTGCAAATCGTCGTAGCGAGCCGAGCGACAGGGCGGCTGCTTGGGCAAGCGGCGGGAAGCAATGGCCCGCTGCGGGGCCGACATTGCACGGCAGCTGGGCGGGCTGGCAGGCTGGGCAGGTATCCACAGCCGACCTCAGATCGATCTCCCTCTCTGCCTCTCAGTCCCTGCTAGTGTACTAGAGCAGTCTGGGCCGCAGTTCCGCCATCCCAGGCCAGACCGCGGAACATATCCTCCCCAGGTCTCCCAACACTCATCACCCACTCAACAACACAACAAGCTTGCAAGCCAAGCGCCAGCAACGGTCCCCAGGCGGTTCCCAGGCGGTTCATATGCCCCAGCCCCTCCTCCCGCTCCAGACGGGCTTGGTGGAGGAGCACAGGTGCAGTAGTAGGGTTGTAGTGTGTGGTGGTAGTCCACTGAGGAGGGCAGGCCTTTTACGTACCGAGGACCTAGATATGGATCCGTCCTAGACTGGGATCTGCAGCCATGTACCTCCCCTCAAAAGGTACATGCCGTCAGGGCCGTGTGGTTGTTTCATGTGTGGCTGGCGAGATGCTTCCACAGCCAGACTGCCAGAACAGTCAAGAGGGAGGCTGGCAGGCTGGCAGGCTGGATGAGTGCGACTGTTGGTCCTCTTGGTCGGTCTCGTCCAGGACGGGACGCGAATAATAAGCTCAGCAGCCTTGAAGGCTTCTTCTTGTTAGACTTTGACCCACCAAGCCTTGTCCCGCCTGTCAAGACGTAGTACTGTATTGCTATAATAATAATACGACCCGTAGAAACATCCCTTCGCAGCTGCCATGGTTTTGTCCGTGCGACCGTCTCGCTGTCGGGTTAAACCATCGAACCCGTGAGCCACGACTCCGGAAGATACGGACGGACGAAACTCATCATTATAGTTGTGGTCGCCTCGTCCCAAGTGCTGCGGCCGCCCGGCTCTTGTCCTCCTCTGGCAACGATGCAGCATGCAGCAGGCAGCATGCAGCATGCAGCCAGCCACTTGTGCATATGAATGTCTCAGTGTTTGTTCCGTGTGTCCTTCCGTCCTGTCTGTCCTGTCTCTTCTGTCCTATCCGTTCTGCGTCCTCTCCTGGCCACGCTGCAGCCCACAAGCTACAGCCTGCTCCATCCCGCAGCTGTCAGCCCGTCCTTCTGGCAATAATCAGCCAGACCAGGCGGCGCGGTTTGTCTCGGTCTGAGACCAGCATCGAACGCCTCTCGCTATGCTGGGTCCGCCATGGCCGACGCTGACGGCGTCCAGTTAGCACCACATCCAAGCATGACTTTATTAATAAAAGTATCTTGCCCTGCGTCCCGGCCACAGTCGGGCTGTGGCCGGCCAGAGTTTGGTGCCCCTGCCGATCCGGGCCGCCTCCTTGCTGCTCGCTCAGGCTCCGTCTCTGGTCATCTGTGCCTTCGATTCATTTCTGCCATGTGTGTGAATCCATCGCCCCCCGATGTAAACAAAATCAGGTGGAGCCCCCGCCGTCTGCATGCTGCAGTGGCTCCACCGCCCTAGACGCAGCAGGCAATCCACAAGTACGTTTGATGCAGATGTAGTACAGTCTTTTTGTAAGTGTCGTCATGGCCCCCAGTTGCAGACGAGTCAGTTTCTGTCAGTCAGCATCCGAGAGACAAGTTTGCCATCTGCGGCCAACTTACTCCCCAGCCTTTGTTCCCAACAACACATTTTCATCCGGATATTAGCAGTGCTAATGTTGTTAGTCCCGTGTGTGTGTGTGTGTGTGTGTGTATACACACCCAAACATGGCAATCCCGCCCTACCACTCAAGCCACAGCTTTTGGTACTTAGTGTACTGTGTGCATGTGTAAATGGTTCGTTTCTGCGGACAAGGCGATTGTGGCCAGTGGGCCAACAGACATCACGGGCTGCATGTACCTCAGTCGGAGGGGTACATTCCACCCAACCACCCCAAATATCCTCCCTCGCCCACCTGTCAAGGTTCATAGCTGCAACATCTTCCATCCCCCATCCCCCCAATGCACCCACCCCATTGCCTGCTTGGAGCCAACATGTGCACCTGTGTGCCGACCCCTCTCTTGCCCATCCATTTCTTTTTGTGTGCTGTGTGCGTGGACGTAGCTACCTGGGTACTTGCCTTGCCTACCTACACATTACTGCTCTCGGATATGCCCTGCGTGGCAAGGCACCTGGTGAATCAGGTGTCTCTGTTCGACCGCTTTTTTCCTTTTGTTGTGTCTCTGTAGTCCTGCTAGCTTCGTAATAGTGGTCACCCATGAGATATGACCTGGCCTCCCGAGCTGCAGTGAGCACTCCCCCTCGAGGCAAGTAAGTGGTGGGGCATTGCAAGTGAAGCCTTCGACTTGGGGCCCTTCATATATCAGCCTCCCCTCCCCCTCCCTTTGACCAACGTCCTCAACCTTGACCACCTCAGCTCCCTTCCGGTGTCACCAACCTCGGCTTCTTCCTGACAGCTGCTGTTTGTTTTCCTATCACCCACAGCACTCTGCAGACTCCCTACCATCGCTTTGTAATCAACCTGAATTGGTTAGCACCGCATCGTTTGGTAGCTACCAGCCACAAAACCAACAACCTTGGGACCCCATCTGTTGTTGCCGCAGCACCCTCTGACTTCATCCGCTTCTGTCACACATCCAACAACCCCTTGAGACTCTTGCACCGTTTTTCGTCCAGCCTCCCTTCTTCCTTCTCTGCTCCTCCACTGCATCAGCAGCAGCACACCTCTCTCGTCTCCTCGTCTCCTCTTCGCCGCCTTTTCGCCGCGTCACCTTGCCGCCTTTTCGCCTCGTCACCTTGCCTCCTGCCCATCAAATCGACGAAATGGTTTCTATCCAAGTTTTCGTCCTCACCATGCTGGCGACCTTGGTCGCCGGCCAGGGTGTGACCTCCGCCATCGCACCAGAGGCCACTGCTCCTGCTTCTTGTGTTGGTTCCTATGACGGAACGTTTGAGATCTCAGTCGCCAAGGTCGAAGGTGTCCAAAAGCGCGACACCAACGCTCTGACTGTAAGTCCACTCCTGAGAGATGGCCGTGGCCGTGCGTGCGTCCTTTGCTCTTTGGTCCCTTTCGTCCTCCTGTTTCGCCCTGCCCCAAGCGAGGGAAGCACGTCACAGCACATACCGTGTCGACGCTGCCCAAGGTCACTTGGGCTCCTCACGCATCGATCTGGCGGACGTATTCTTTACCAACACCATCTCCACTTTTGGCGTTTGCCACGTTGTTTCGTTGAGCCTAGGTTGATTCAAATGCCGCCATCGCTGTACTGTGATGGCGCGCGCATCGGCGGCCCCGCTGAGAGTTGCAAACCACGGTGAAGTGTTGTGCTGACCAGTCCAAACAGAAGCGCGGCGCGTGTCCCACAGACGGAATTCTGGTCGTCACTCTCGAGAACGGTGTCCTCAAGGATGCACAGGATCGCACTGGCTACATCGCCGCGAACTTCCAGTTCCAGTTCGACAAGCCTGCCCAGACTGGCGCCCTCTTCACGGCCGGATTCTCGGCCTGTGGGAACGGCTCACTCGCACTCGGCGGCTCGGCAGTCTTCTATGAGTGCGCCAGCGGTGATTTCTTCAACCTCTATGACCGCTCGTGGGCTGCCCAGTGCTCCCCCGTGGAAATACTCATCATGGAGTGCGGCGGCAACGCTGGCCAAGTTGATGACGGACAGGTTGTCGGAACCCAGATTGTCACCACCACAATCGTCTCAGCCCTCAGCGACGGCCAGCCCCAGGTTAGGACCACGACCACTGGAGTCCCCCTTTGCCAGGTCTCGCAGATCGCAGACGGTAAGTTGCAACGCATCAGTCTCGCAGTCTGGTCAGAACACGTGCTGACGGCAGCTCAAAGGCCAAGTCCAGGTCGGCACGACACCGTGTGCTAGCGTCACCACAGCGTCCGCCCCGGTGCCGGTATCCCAGCAGTCCGACGGTCAAATCCAGGTTACTCCTCCCGCTTCCGTTCCTACTGTGACGAACGCGCCGCCGCCACCTGAGGTGACCCCTTCTGCTCCTGCTGGCAGTGCCCCCGCCGGAAGTGCCCCCGCCGCAAGCGCCCCCGCCGGAAGCGCCCCCGCCGAGTCTGGCAGCAGTGTGGCTCTGCCGTCTGAGTCGCAGCCCGCATCGTCCGAGACAACGCTCGCGACCACTTCCACCGCAGGAGGTGCCTCCGGGACCACGGCTGGCGTCACGCCGGGTACGTCTGCACCCGCTACCAGCGGCGGTGCTTACGTGCAAGCCGCGTCCATGGGTGCACTGTTCATCGGTGTGATCGGTGCTGTCGCGTTCCTCTAAACGTCTTGTCTCATGGTCCAGCTCCCCGGCGCTCGGCCCGAACTTTGAGGCTGCATTTCGCTTGTGGTCCACGAGAGCACGACCCAGCCACGACCACCTGGTTTCGGTGGCATGTAATGATTTCTTGTCAGGGTCGCACTTCTTTTTCTTGTCTGCATTTCGACACGCATGCGGGGTTCATGGTTTTAATACCCGTCCACTGTTTCGGACTCTAGTTCCAAGGGTGAGAACGGAAATGACTGAACGCCATTGCATCGCAGGGCATGTTGGATCCCCCGTAATGAAGGGGTTTGGGAAGGCTGGAGGCTGGTTCAGCGACTTTGTCTTCCCATGGGATCGTAATGGGGTCCATGCCCCTGTACATAGGCCAGACCGAACAAAGCAATGAAACGAGTCGATGAGTCAGCTGCTCTGTCCTTGATCGTGCATGATGACCAGGGTGACATGTGTGGTGGTGGTTGGAAACAGGTCAAACAGATGGGGTTGCCTGTGGTGTTTGTGCTAGCGGGCTTGTGTGTCGATTCACAAGCTGCAAGTTCTCAAGAGGCTGGGACAGCCAAGCCAAGCCGCCTTACGTAAGTTGCTGCTGCGCCTGCCTGCCCGCCGCCACCAGCGGCTTGAGGGACCATTACTGCCGGCCGGGACTTGTCAGTTCCTAGGTACCTGCTGTGAGATGCCCATCATCAACCATTAGACTGCCAAACGACAAGAAGAAGCACCTTCACCATTCTAGGCGCCTGCAGCCCAGCTTCCTTCTCTCTGCCCTTTACACCCAACAATATGGCCGAATATTGGAAGTCCACCCCCAGATACTGGTGTAAGCACTGCTCCGTCTACGTCCGTGACACCAAGCTCGAGCGGCAGAACCACGACGCGACTGCGAAGCACCAGGGTGCCATCAAACGCGCCCTGCGGGACTTACACCGTGGCCACGAACGGGAAGAGCGGGAAAAGGAGCGTGCAAAGAGGGAGATCGAGCGTCTCAACGGTGTCGTCTCTTCCGATGGCTCAGAATCTACATCTACGGCGGGGCCTTCCTGGAGGACAAGGCCTGGGGCTGGGGCTGGGGCTGGGGCCAGTTCAGCAGCAGGAGCAGGTTCCGGCGGCCCGCTGTCGGAAACAGAGCGGAAGCGCCAGGCGGAACAACTTGCCTCCCTCGGGGTCAGCCTCCCTGACGAGTTCAGGAAAGACCTGGCCATGGCGGGCGACTGGCAGGTCACCTCTACCACGATCGTCACAGAGACGTCCGCCGACGCAAGCAACCCGGGCGCCTCGGCACGTGGCGTACACAAGCGTGAGCGTACGGACGAGGATATCGAGGAGGACAAGGCCATCAGAGGGCTCTTCAAGAAACCAAGAAGCTGGGGTCGGGACTCCAGGACGGCTGCTGGGGACGGTGGCAGCGCGGACTTGGAAGCGCTACTGAGCGGGGATTTCCTGGTCAAGAAGCAGGAACAGGACGTGGTGAAGAAAGAAGAGGACTTCGAATCTACAGTTGCAAATGCGCCGCTCAAAGAAGAAGAGGAGCGGCCTTTGATCAAGGAGGAACCGCCGGAGGAAGGCCTTCCGGCATCGACAGAGAGGCCAACAAATCCCAGTCCAAAGGGCGAGGAGCCTGCCCTCAAGACTGAGGACGGCGTAAGTGCTGCCGGCTCGCCAGGAGCCCCAGACATACCCTCGGTCACTTTCAAGAAGCGGAAACCAAAGAACATACGACAGAAATGATTTGGACGCGGCTTTCAAACCGAACCACCCGTAATAGAATTATCCGTGATACCCCGAACTCCAATTTACACGCCGTCCAGTTGCCTCCCGTAATCATTGTGTTTCACACCCATCCTTGGACAGACCAACGTCAACGGACAAAGGCAGACTACCGCCTATATGCTCAAAAGGTCGACAATCATTCGCAACAGATCCTCTGCGCCATGTTCACCCAGTCTACCATTACCACCGAACACTCCGATGTCCAGACCGCCATTCTCTCCCAAGGATGCCTCGATATCAACCGCTTCCTGATATGACACCGTCAGCTGATGTGCCGTCACCTAAGCAGACCATAGAGGTTGGAAGACTGTACTCACCGGATATGCGTCCCTGACAACATTCTTCTCAAGCCATGACGCTGGCCTTGGGTCAAAAGCAAAACTCTCATTCTCTGAGCGCAATGCAGCCTCGTCGAAACGGATAGACTCGAGCTCAACGCCATCCTCTTCCATCCGTCTAGAGGACTTGTCCTCAGGCAGGCTCAAGAAGTTCACAAAGGAATCAACCACGACATCGGTCCAGTCCTTGACCTCCCAAAGTCCAGCAAGCACGTTCTCTGGTGTCGAAACCTTGAATGTGTCCCGCTGGATGGCGCGAGCGACATCGACAATATCGAAGGCCGGTGGAAGTTTAACGCGCAGGGGAACAAGGCAGAGTGTTGGAAACTGCAGTTCCTGCTCGGCGCTCCTGTTGGCGATGTAAAGACCAAATACGACGTCGTTGCGCTCTGAGACTGATGAGAGAACCTTGGCATACGCTGCAAGGAATGCAGACTGGATACTGATGCCATGCTGTGAACACAGAGCCCCAAGTCTGCTCGTGTCGCTCACAGCTGCTTGTTTAAAAATGCTCACTCGTTTGTTCTGCGTTGTGCTGCTGGTGGAGCTCGGCAGGTGCAGTGGTACGGATTGAGCTCCAGCAAGGTAATCCGTCCAGAAGTGTTTCCTGCTTGGCAGTGCTTGTCCGTCCAGCGCGGAAGATACAAGCCCTCTCCATGATGCCATCGTACTCACGGGCTCTTCCAAGGTGGTCCTGTTGCCGAGAAGTGACTTGAGGCGCCGCATGATCAGCGGCAGGCTGATCCCATCATAGAGCGCGTGGTGGATCTTGAGATGTATCACCCAGCTTCCCGTACCGTCTGACTGAACCCCGAGTGATACGAACGGATTATCTGTTTTCCGCAGAATCACTTGAAGCACCGGCATCTGACGCCTGCCAGTGGAGAGGAAAACTGTTCTTAGGGCCGGTGTCATCTCAACAAGTTCCATCCACGAGGATTCGATTGTGCCTTGATCAGCAATCCCAGATAGGCGGTACCGGAATTCAGGGAAGAACACAGCACCCTGTGTGTTCTGCCAGACGCTGAGCATATGAGTCTGCATCGCTGTGGCCGGCAGAATCTCCTCCACATCGCTTGCATCGATGCCTGCTGATTGGAGTAGGTCATCGGAACCAATGTCCCTGTAAAGTCCATTCAGCCTTTGTAGCACGGTTTGCCTTTGACCATCCGAAGTCACCAAAGAGTTTGATTCTGAATTCTTGCAAACTTTCGTGGCCATTTCACTGATAGAGGTCGCCTGTATCATATCCCGCACGCCGACTTGGATCCCCCGCTGACGGAGCGTTGAGCTGGCCTTGATTGCGCTGATGGAGTCGAGACCGAGATGATAGATGTTTTGGTTCTTGCGAATAGACGATTCCTCAATTCCAGACATGCTGGAGAGAACTTGTCGGATGCTATCCTCCAGATCTGACCACACGCCATCTCTTTGGAAACCTCCTGGTTGCCTCAGCACTGGCTCCTGCTCCACGCTCATCTTATTCTGCGGCTGGAATGCGGGCAAGCCACAGACCGAAACCCCACAGTCGCTGAACTGTAGAACATCTTCGTCGGCTGAATTGATCAAATAGTTTAGAACACGCTCGAGATCCTCCAATAGGCGGTTCGTGTCATCAGCGGACAGGTACCCATCATCACACGCTGTGCGCCATGCGATCTCTTCCCCAGAGACTTCCATCTCTACACACACTGGATAATCAACGGCGGACGAACTCTCGATTGATCTCATGAGCGGCTGCCTTTTGCCGTATTGAGTTGTTGCCGAGGAATCGATGCTGCTCTTCTGCATGATGAATAGCGTATTGAAAAGACTCGGCTGGCGAGCTTTGATCAATGCTTGGATCTTTCGCAGCGGGTAATTCTGGAACTGGCCGACCCCAGTCATGTTCTCCTGCATATACCGCAGAAATTTGGGCACCGAACCGTGCAAGACTGCTCGCACCGGCACGGTGTTCATTGTAGGGAACAGCATCGCCTCGGAAGCCTCAGTATCTCGGCCAGACAGGACAACGCCGAATACCACGTCGAGACTCTTGGAGCGGTTTGCCAGAACAGTGGCCCAGCATGCTTGTGCAACAACTTGTTGGCTAATCGCGTGGCGCCTACAGAATTCCTTGAAGGCAGAAGCTTTGAGAGGGAGTGGGACCTCGGCCCTGTTGACGTGGACTGCAGGTTTCTGCTGGCCCTGAGGTTGTAGCATCGTGGGGACTGCATCAGAGACATAGTCTGACCAGAATTCCTTGGCTTCCTGCTTGAAAGACCTGACTGTCTTATGCAAAAATTCGGCATATGGCGGGCGAGTCGCATAGTTCCCGTGGTATGCGAGTTCGAGATCTTTGTGCAGCAATCCAAGAGACCAGCCGTCGTAAAGCGCATGGGAAATCGATAGTATCATGTATGATCCATGGTTAGATTTGGCAAACGTGATCTGAAGAAGATCTGAACGCGCATGGCCCGTTCGAGCCTTCATCCGCGCCTGCTCCATTACAGATAACAAGTCATCGGTAGAATCGACCTCGACCTCTCTGAAAGCAGGTGGGGAGTTCTTCAATACCACTTGCGCGTACGCGTAATCGAATTCTGTCCCAACCGTTTCAATGAAAACAGTTCTCAGGATCGGTGAGTTGTTGACGACGGTGACCCAGGCATCCTTGAGCAGATCGACCTCAACTTGAGGTGTTAGCTCGAGAACATCATGATTGAAGTACCGCTGAAATCCTGACTGAATCATCTCTGAAACCATGGAGTCTTGTAAGGGTGTTGGTGGAAGAACAAGCTCAGCATCACTCAGGTCCTGGCCATGTTTCATCAGGTGTGCCTTTAGGTTTGCTGAGGAGTCCTCGACATCCGAGGAATAACCGCTGTCATGAATTCCGTCGCCCTTGTTCTCTTTGGTCTGAAGTATATGCATGAAATTTGTGATACTTTGGCCTCTGATCAGCTCACTGTTGCTCAACATGATACCAGCTCTCCTGAGTCTTGCTGACAACTTGATGACGTCGATGCTGTCAAGCCCAAGTTCCAGAAGTGTTGTGTTCGGCGTGATAGATGAAGCCTCTAATTCGACCAATAAGGTGACTTCTTTTCTGATCGTATCAGCCTGAGGCGACCAATTGAATGAGGATAGGTCTACTGTCGATGGCTCCGACTGCGGATGAGAGCTTCTGGTTTCTGGGCCGTCCATTTCTAGAGGCATGGCGGCAGCATGGACATTGCTGTCAGGGAATGCGCGACAGTCCAATTCGTGCACAAGAGCCTTAGCTTTGGCTTCGAAATTGTCGGCCATGCCCTCCAGTGCTGCCTCATCAGCGACACCTTTATGTGCGACGATCATGACACGCAGTGACTCGTCTGGGAGAAGGGTCGCTTCCAAGGCGAGAGGATAGTCAGCGTTGACATTTGACTCGACCTCGGTCCACAGTCCGGAGCTTGTGCTGTCAGTAGAAGATGCTCGCTGAAATGAGAACAGAGTATCAAAGAGTGGAGCCCCTCCTGAGCACCACTTTTGAACATCCCTCAGTGGCACGTGCTGGAATGGCAGTGTTGCCATATTGAAATCATGACAACTTCGGATCGCAGAAGCCCACGTCTGGCCCTGCGTGGAGCCGTGGTGGTATGGAATTGTGTTGAAAAGCGGCCCGATCGTCCTGTCAACGTTTTCCAACTCGATAGAACGGCCTGATACGATGATGCCAATCGTGACAAGGAAGCCACAATACTGATGAAGTACTGAAATCCAGATACCTTGTACAATGGCTTGGTGTGTTACACCTAGTGACTTCCGTACCTTGTCAAGAGGCTCGAACTCTATCCGACGTGAGACAACGATGTCTTGACTACTCGGCGAGTGAGACATCTGAGGCAGAGGCCTCAATCTCACACCCTGAAACTTTTTGGACCAGAATTTCTTGCAGAATGAGTGATTCCTCAGCGGACCATTGAGGAGAGCATGGAGGAAGCTTGGTGGGTTGACTTTGGTGTTCTTGCTGCCGTTGTAGACTCTAGCCACCTCATCAATCATCAAGTCAAAGCTGTTGGCGTCATAGATCCCATGGAATATGTTCACAGCCAGTAGTCGTTTGCCGTTAACATCAACTCCCAGGAATTGCAAAGGTGTCTCAATGTTCTGACTGTTGTTGTCGATCCAAGACTGGCGCCTTTCAGCCAGCAACGTCTCCAAGTCATGGCCCGAGTCCAACGACACGACGTCCCATGGAATTTCCTGTGACTTGGTGGCGGCTTGCACAAATCCATCTGTGGTCGAAACAAATTTGGTTCGCAGAATTGCATGATTTTGTACGAGGACTTTCCAAGCAGCATGGAGTTTCTGCCACTCAACAGCATTCGACAGGTCGTAACGGAACGTGTTGAAGTACGCCCCTTCGTTTCCATCGGTCCGTGATCGAGAGATCATACCATGCTGCAGCGGCGAACAAGGTGCCACATACTCCAACTCTCCTGGATCGACTTCGAGCTTCCTGCACACATAGCCTTTGTGCCGGTGCTGGCAAGCTTGAACCGCCTGCGATGCCTCCAGCAGACTGGTCGCATCCTCGCTTGTTCTCTGCAAGGATTGTAGCGCACGCGCTAGATCTGCAACCACGGGATTCTTTAGGATCACAGCGGCCGTTACGTGACTGAAGCCTTCGAGCTTGAGCCCTCTCGTCAAATTCATAGCAGAAATAGAGTCGACGCCGAGTTCAAAGGTGCTTGTCGACGGCAAGATCGCCCCTTCTTGTACTCCATAAATTCTGCTCAGCGCTCTGCATATTTTCCTACCAGTCTCTCCAAGGTCGCCGCTGTCCAGGGCATGAGATGAGCCCACAAGCTGTTCATGAGAAAGAGTGTTGAATAGAGCCCTAAGTTCCTTTACCTCGGCTTTGTTGTTTGGAGACAGCGGGATGAAAGGCAACACCAGGGCATATGTGGGAACCATGTATCCCGGGAGCTTATCCCGACACGCACGCTTCACATTTCGGCTGAGTCTTTGGGCGTCATCTCCGGTCATGATCTGCAGCTTCTTGGCATGTTGAGCTTGTTCTTGAGCCGCAACGATAAACGACACCAGTAAATCTTTCTGTTGTTTATCGTTGCGGATCACCAACGTGACAGCATCTGTGATTTCCGGAACAGCACTTCTGATGCAGTGGTTTATTTCTCCGATTTCAAGACGCTGACCACGAAGTTTGACTTGGTCGTCAGCTCGGCCGAGGAAGTCAAAGCAGCCATCGTGGAGCAGGCGGACCAAATCCCCGGTTCGGTAAACGCGCTCTTTGAACACCCCGAGAGATGGAAAACGTTCTGCTGTCAGCTCCTCTCTGTTGAGATAGCCTTTGCCAACAAGTTTGCCGGAGACGCAGAGCTCGCCCACTCCCCCACGTAGCACAGGAATTTCCGTGTTCGGTCGGAGGACGTAGGAGCCTACATTTGCAAACTGCCTCCCGATATTTGATGAACGTCCATTGACAGGCACGCAAGGGTATGTGGTCACTCCAATGGTTGCCTCAGTCGGTCCATAGAAGTTATGGATCACGCGCTTTGGGCCCCACACATCGAGGATCTCCTGCTTCAATTGCTCTCCGCCAGTGATAAAGACCCCTTTGCAAAGACTGGGAACCTCTTCCGGGTGCAGCAAGCGAGCTAGACTGGGCGTGAGGTCGATGTGTGTGATCTCGAGGCGGGAGATTGTGCCCGCGAGGTCCTCGAGGATTACGTCTCGAGGAGCTGCGACCAAAGTGATGCCGACGGACCATGTCCAATACTGCTCCAGAACGGACACATCGAAGTGGTAAGATGCGAATTGCAGCCATTTTGAGCTTTCGTCCCAATGCCCTTGGAACAATTTCTGGAAGGCAAGCATTGCCTGCACAGCGTTTTCGTGCGTGATTTCGCAGCCCTTAGGGGTTCCTGTTGTCCCGGAAGTATAGAGGCAGTAGCTTCTGTCGCCCGGTACCAACGGGCGAGTGAGCTTGGGTTTCGAAGCTTCCACCGAGCCCAGACTGTCTTGATGAATTGTGATAACTGGAACTTGTACTTTGAAATCCAATGCTTTGACTGTCGTTCTGTCTGTCAACATGACTGCTGCACCCGAATCTCTCACGATGAACTCTTTGCGAGACGACGGCGCCCCTGGATCTAGAGCAAGCAGTGCACAGCCTGCTTTGAGAATTCCAAGCATCGCAAAGTGCGCTTCAGGGCATTTTTCGAAGCAAATGGCCACGATATCACCCGTTTTGACATGCATGGACAGTATGTTGGCGACCCTGTTCCCGAATTGGTCCAGCTCTTTGTAGTTCCACCGTTGAGATATTGGGCGCCTGCCATCGAAGCCCATAACAAATTCCAGAGCCGTTTTATTGGGATATTTCGCAGCGCTGGTCTCGACAAATCCGTGGAGCAGGGTCGTGTCGGACACCAACTCAGGCTGTTCCGCAGGTGTGATAGCAAACAGGTCCGCATGGTTCTCGAGGAGATCCTCATCACAACCATCAGGGTGTTCCGCCAAGTCGCACAAGGCAACGTCAAATTGTTCCAGCAAGATTTCTGCCTGTTCTATTGGCAACACATCGCTGAAGAAGGTGAGGCAGAGCTGCAGACAATCCTGATCAGGCTCTATTTCAATGGACACTGGGTAGTCGACATGGGCCTCCTCATGAATCACAGACCACAGCTTCGATTTCTGCCCCGGTCCGTCAAACTTTTGGTAAACTAGGAGTGTGTCGAACATTCTCGTGTTAGGATGACCAAGGTACTTCTGGATTTCCGCCAATGGGGTCCTTTGGTGTCGTTGGACTGCCATATTGTACTTCATCATGGCTTGGAGAAGGACACGATTTGAGGACGAGTGCTGGGCGATAACGGGCAAAGTCGTGATGCATGGAAACACTGCCTTGTGTGTTGCGTCAGAGTTCCTGCCAGAGAGAACTGTTCCAAAGACGACAGAAGGCTCCCCGATATACGACGAGAGAATTCTTAACCACGCTGCTTGCGCCACTGCCTGGATAGTGAAGCCCCCGTTCTGAGCAGCCGCTGATAGAGCTTCGACAGACAAGGTGCAAGATCTTCGTCTGGCCAAGATGCTCCGGGGCTCTTCTCTAAGTGGTGTCATGACTGGGAACTTGTTAATGACAGCATCAGGTGCTAGCTTTCTCCAGAAGTCAGGAGCGTCTTCCCTGCATCTCTGCACTTCTGTCATGATCTCTCTCACGACAGGCACAAGTCGTGTTTCAGTGTCGAGAGGCTCATCATAGATTGTTGCCTCCAAACTCTCCATCAAGCTTCGGAGTGAGAAAGCGTCGTACACCGCATGATGAACTGCGAGGTGCATATCGACTCCCTCGTTGCCCGGAACAACAGCAACGGTCCACGGAGGCTCGTGCAGGTTTTCAAGCGCCTGTTTTGAGACTGCTAGCTGCCATTCCGGTAATTTGAAGCCGTGAGGTTCGAATAGAATATTCTTCTGGACCTTCGCCTCCTCAAAGTTGTACTGGAGCATGGCAAATGATACGTCTCTGTGATCAATCGCAATGAATCCCGATCGCAGAATTGGGTGGGACTGGACCAGCCTTTTCAAACCCTTCGCTATTTTTGAGCTATCGATGCTTTCCTCAAACCGGAAGCTGATGAAGTTGAAATAATCCTTGCCGTTTGAATTGCAGAACTGAGTGAGCATTGCCACCTGAAGTGGCGTGCACGGCAGAACGGCTTGAACGGACTCCCAGCTGGAGACATTGTCATTCAACAAGGCCTTGGCCGCCTGCTGAAAAGCAGTCATGTCATACTCTGCTGGGCTGCCGCTGAAAGATTTCCCTGCCGAAATCTTCGCTGCTAAAGTCGAGCACGTCGGATTCTCCAGCACATCCATGGCTGTAGCCCCGGCAAATCCAGCCCTGCGCAATGAGGCTGCCACCTGAACTGCGTTGATGCTGTCTAGTCCGAGCTGGAAGATGGTCATGTGCCGACTGATGCTGGCAGGGTGTGACTTTGAGATATCCGAAAGCACAGTGCGAACGGCCTTTTCGGAGTCGGACCATTCATCTTGCGTCCCCAAAGTTGAGAGGTCGCTTTTTTTACCTCTGATTGACTTGTGGACGAGGCCAAGCCTGTCCAACCTTGCTTGAAGTGGAGACGGCAACGACTGCCTGGAAGTAATTTGTGACCAAGGGAAGTCTAGCATGCTGGAGATGATGTACGAAAATGTGTCGTGTATGAACATAGCAGCCGTATCGGGAACGTACACACTGAGAAATATTAGCAACTTGTCTCTATGGCCATGATCCGAACCAAACTCACCGGTCAAAATGCAGCTTGACCTCCAATTTCCGATCTCCGTTGTGCTCTATCGGAGTGACCTCGCAGACCAGGGGCAGGTCCATCTCTCCATCGTCTCTTTCCAAAGTCCAGATGCTCTCATTCAGCTTCTTTGGAGTTTGCTGTAACAGCAACAGAGTGTCAAACAGCTTCGAAGCCTTCGAGCACGATGCCTGAATACGCCGCAGTGGCGTGAACTGATAATGGAGAAATTTGGGGTTAAGGTCCTGGAAAAAGGTAACCAGATCAATATTCCTTCTTTTATCGCGGAGCTGTACACGCGCTGGAATAGTATTGAAACATGGTGCAACGAGCTCATCAACTCTGTCAACCATGCTGCTGCGACCGTTGACAACATTCCCAAAACAGACGTCATCAGAATCCTGGATGACTCCAAGCAGACTGCTCCATGTTGCCTGCAGAAGGCACAATAGAGAGACATTGAGCATTCTCAAGCGCCGTTCGATGCTGGAAAAAGACATATCCAGAACTCTTGTCGTGATACAACGACCACAGTCCTTCCCTGATGACTGTGACAATGTCTTCGGCTCCAGTCCTCGCAAATGTGTTTGCCAGAACTTGTCAGTGGTTTCGGGTAGAGCCATCACTTCCTCCAAGAAGTCACGGTATGACGGAGGATGTTGAAGTTCACAACCAGACGCGATCTGCTCGATTTCATCGAGAAGCCGTGACATTGCGACACCGTCATACATGGCATGGTGACAGACGAAGGACAGGTAGGTAATGGGGCCTTTCCGGATGAATGCTAAAGATACTGGCGGTACACCAGAATCCACAGGATTGGGCAGAGTCATCGCATGTGTTCTGATTGCTTCTTCAAGCGACGTGGCATCCGCATCGAATGCAAACCAGTCAGGTGTCCAGACCCTGAGGATACATTGGGCGATGACGTTTTCTCGGTCTTCAGTGCTATAGAAGCTTGTCCTCAGGATAGCATGTCTTTGGAACATTTCTTCCCAGTAGTTCTTCATTGCTTCAGGGTCAACTCTGAGACGGAAGAGCATCTTATTGAGGTATGACGCGATGCCGTCAGCAGATGCCAGCATCGCCTCCTGAAGAGGCGTGCATCGCAAAATGCTTTCGACTTCGAGGTTTTTCGAATGGGACGATCTTCGAATTTCCTCGCAAAATTCCGGCGGAAACATACCCAATTGGCGTGTCCTTGGGTGAATTCTTGCTGCCTGTCCGTAGAGCAGCGCAGCAAGCTTCGCTGTAGAACTATTTTGCAAAATGACAGAGATGGGTAGTTTCTGAGAAAAGGCACCTTGCAATTCTCTCGCCACTGAGATTGCAGATATGGAGTCCAATCCCAAGCTAGTGAGCGGCGTCCACCTTCCGACTTGCTGAAGGCGCACGCCCAGAGCCTTAGCCACCACGCTGGCGATCTTGCGCTCGTCTTCGGACCAATCGTCATGATTATCTCCGCTTTCAACGTTCACACCAAAGAGCTCCAACTCATGGGGATCGAAGTTGTCGAAAAGGCTGCCAAGTCTGCCCTTGTCAATTTTGCCAGAAGAAGTCATCGGAATTGTTGAGAGGGGGATCAGATAGGATGGTGCCATGTATCCCGGGAGTCGAGATAGCATCACACGGTCTATCGACTCCTTGGTCCTCGCTGACTCTTTCCCGGCAGGGAGAACTCTGAAGTTCTGCTCTTGTGCTGATCGCGGAACATAGAAACAAGCCAGTTGTCTTCCGTTATTGACCAACATTACTGTGCAGTTGGAGACTTCGTCCGAAAGAGCGACTGTTGCGCTGACTTCCCCAAGCTCTATCCGCTGACCACGTAGCTTGACTTGGTCATCAGTTCGTCCAACGATCAGCAGCGATCCATCGACGAGCATGCGACCAATGTCACCAGATCGATAGATACGACCGTACCGCGGATGGTCAATGAATTTGTCTCTGGTGATTCCAGGCATATTCAGGTATCCAGCGACGACCTGATCGCCCCCGAAGCAGAACTCGCCCACACATCCTTTTGGCAGGAGGTCCAAGCCGTCAGGAGAAACAACAAAAGCGGATGTGTTGCCCAGAACATGACCGAGATGTCGTATTTGATCTTGAGGAGACATCTTCTTCACGGAGCAGATGTTGGTTGTCTCTGACGGACCATAGCCTTGGTAGAGCTTGCCCATCCAATTTCTTGCGACCTCGCTGGTCAATGGCTCCCCCGAAGTGACGAGAAATTCGACCCTGGGCACGTTTTGGGGGTTGATTAGAGATGCGACGGTTGGTGTCATGCTCAAGTGTGTCACTTCCATGACCTTAACTGACAGCTCGATATCGGCAAAGAGAATATCGTTTCTGGCAGCACAAAGGCACATGCCGCGGGTCAATGCGAACAAGATTTCAAAGACTGAGACGTCAAACGCTTGAGAGCAGGCCTGGAGCATGCGCGAGTCGCTTTGGACGGGATATATCCTGGCGAGGACGTCCAAATTGCTCGTAATGTTCAGTTGCGTGACTGAAACTCCCTTGGGTACACCAGTACTTCCTGATGTGTAAATGATGTTTGCGACCCTCGCTGGGTTTTCAGGGGTTCCCAAGTTGCTCCCGTCATACCCTTCAAGTTCTGCATCGAGTAAATTAACAAGAGCGCATTCGGAAAGGTTGCAATCATCGTGTTGAAAGTTTCCGTCGGACAAGCAAAGTCGCACGTTCGCCTGCTTCAAAACGCCAGTGATCCTCGCCGGTGGCGCGCTTGGAAGAAGAGGCAGGTATGCACAACCTGCTTTCAGGATGCCCAAGATACCAGCATATAACATGGGTGACTTCTCCATAACGATAGCCACAGCAGCTCCTTCTGCTGCCCCCAAAACTTGAATATGTCTCGCAACTTTGTTTGCCAGAACATTCAACTCTGAATACGTGACGTACTTCAGGTCAGTACGGTTGCTCTCGATGCATTCGGCGAAACAGAGCGCTGGTTTCGCATGTACCCTCTCTGCCATTCTCTCAAACGATGTTGCCAGGTCAGCACATCCCGTGAACTGCTCGATTTCTGTGTTGTATTCCGAACGCATTTGCTTTGGGAAGCACTCAAAAATGCTTGAAGTTTCGGATCCAAGATTCAGAATGATATGACCAAGGACGCAATCAAATTGGCCAAGAATCAACTCCACGTAGTCGTGATTGAAGGCATCGTTTTGGTAGGTCACACGAAGTCGGAAAGCCTCGTCAACTGGTTCGATCTCGACCAGTAGATTAGTCTCGAGGTGATCTTCATGTGCGACTTTTTTGATATTTGCTTGTGTTGTACCGGATGACCGACTGTGAAGAGACTCCTGATAAACGAACAAGACGTCATAAAGAGGTTCTCCCGGCATCAAGGCAGCAGCCTTTTTGATTTCAGCGAGCGGCAGCGTGCAATGAGCAAGACCTTCCCGATTCGACATGTGAATGTTTTCGAGGAGATCTCTAATGGTCCGCATTTGTTTAATCCTTGATCGCATGGGGATCGTCGTGAGACATGGGCCCATGACGTTCTCAATGCCCTGGACGGGGATGGTACGACCCGAGGTGACGTTGCCAATCACGACATCTTCGGTGCCTAAGATGTGTGCCCAGAGCCAGACCACGCAAGCCTGAAAAAGTACCTGCGCGCCGACTTCGAGCTGTGCCGAAGCATTCAGGATGGCTGGAGCCTTTGTTTGCAAGATGCGCTCAGCGCAAAATTGCTGGCCGGTGGTTTCTTTGGTCGCCAGCAACTGTGGCATCGGGTTCCGCTGGTAGTTCAACAGCTCCTCTGCCCAGTAGGCACGTGCGGCATTGGCATCATGTAGGAACCCAGCGGACTGGTAATAATCCGAGACAAGCCGAAATGATGGCCGTCCGTTGACCAGGCCACCCTCTTGGAGGAGATTGAGGTCAGCCAAGAGTATGTCGAACGACCAGCCATCGTAAAGGGCATGATGTATCTGGAGCAGCACGCTGGTCTTACGTGGCTGATTCCTCAGGATTTGTACCATGAATGGTCTAAGCAGATCAGGTTCCTCGAGTCGAAAACTCCTGCGCAGGCTGCCGACAGTGCAAATCTGGCTTGCATGAAGCTCTTTCCAGATGACTTGTTTGTAATTGCCACTTATAGGAGCGAATCCCGTACGCAAGATCTCGTTCTTGTCAGCAAGCTGTCGGAGCCATAGCGCAATGGTGTCGACAGAATGATCGCCGAGAACTTGAAGCTCAATCCAATTACAATATGCCTCACTATTGTCTAGAGTCTCCGCCAACATCGACATTTGCGTTGGAGTGCAGGGCAAAATACCCTCGATAGCGCCAAGACTTCCTGATAACACTGGGTTCTCCTTCAGAAGCTCCTTCCAACTTGTGGCAGGGGCTTCCGAAGCTTGGGGCTGTTCGACAAGTTCAACGGCGCTATCAGCACGGCTCTTCTGCGGCGTGAGTGACCTCAAGTCCGAAAGCGTGTTGGACTTGAGCACGTCAATAGCCGTAACAGCAAATCCGGCCTGGCGAAGACAAGACGCTAGCTTGATGGCTGCAAGAGAGTCTACACCTGCGGTAGAAAGGACCGAAGATGACTGCAACTGGATACCCATGGCGCTGTGGGCGACTTTTGCCATCTCGCGTTCCACGTTGTCGCTGTATTCACTCATTGATGACGCAGTGTCGCTAACTTTCATCTCGTAATCCGTCTCGAGTTTCTTGCGATTAACCTTTCCAGAAGGCAAGCGCGGAAAAGCCTTCTGGAGCACGAAATCCCCTGGCACCATGAATGTAGGCAACCACTTCCGGCATGTTCTCAACAGGTCCTCTGTGATCGACTCATCTGGACAGTCATGCTCACAGAATACCACGATGATGCCTCGTAAAACTGATGCTACCGCGCCGCGGCATTCCGGAGTGCTGAGAACAGCTTGCTCAATCTCACCAAGTTCGATTCTCTGGCCACGGAGCTTGACCTGACCGTCGGAAATACGACCAAAACACTCGATGGTGCCATTATGGAGCATGCGGGCTCTGTCGCCTGTGCGGTACAGGCGACCATGTGGTGTCTCAATGAATACTCGTGAAGTTTGCTCCTCCCTATTGACATAGCCTACCGCAGTCTGGTTGCCGCCAACAGCTAGCTCGCCCGTCTGGCCATATGGCAACACCTTGAAGTCTCCGGAACCAGTTTCGGAAAGGGGCTCAAGGATGAAAGCAGATGCGGTGTCTAAGGGAAATCCGACATTTCGAGGAGACGAGGATGCTTCACAGGACGGCTGGATGGTGCAGTGGATGGTGGCTTCAGTTGGGCCGTACATGGCCCATAGAATACTGGGCTTGTGCTCATCTCCTCCAAATTCCCTGATTACGGGAACTGTCAACATCTCCCCTATTGTCAAAAGCAGTTGGAGCCCGGGGGCGTTGGCCCGGCTCCTCAAGAGGCTACCGGCCACCGTGGGTGTGAGTTCACACGCGTCCACCTGCATATCCCTCAAGACTGCGGGTAGGTCGTTCAGCATGTCTGCCCTGCTGCAGCAAACAAGTGTGGTTCCTCGAAAGAGAGGAAAGAAGATCTCGAAGATGGAGACATCAAATGTCGGAGCAGCGAATTGCAGAAACCGGGAAAAGGGTGGAATATGGCGGTCATGAGCCAGGAGAGCCTGAGTCGCGGCGGAATGCGAGATTCCGACTCCTTTGGGTGTCCCCGTTGAACCAGACGTATACATGACATAGGCGAGCGTATCCGGTGTGGCTTCTCGCAGCACGCCAAGGTGATGCCTCCGCTCGTGATGGGCTCCGTCGCCGTCAACCACCAGCACTGTCACATCAGGCTCGAGGAAATCGACCTTGTGGCGGAGAGCCGTAGAAGTAACGATGAGCTTCGCGTCGACATCGCCCAGGATGAATCTTGTCCTTTCGGGAGGCGCATCGAGGTTTAGAGGGCAGAAAGCCGCGCCAGCTCTCAAAATAGCGAGCTGTGATATGTACAAGACAGGGCTCTGTGGTAGGAGTAGCGGGACGACATTCTGACCGGGCCCCTGGTGGTCCTCAAGGATGTTCGCTATCCTAGTCGCCAGTCTCTCAGCTTGACTATGAAGCTCTGAATATGAAAGTCTCGTGCGGGCCCCGTCCGGGGCACAGTAGTCGAGGGCATCTCCAGGCGTCGAGCTGTCACGGACGAGTTGATGCAGGAGTGAAGGGCCAGGAAGAAATTTCGGATCCGAGTTGAGGATGGACAGCGACAAGGCGGGGGAGGCCGTCATCTTTGTGGTATCAGGAAGATCTTGACTCTCCATATTTGCGGAGGGGGCAGGAGGTCAAGGAGGCCTGGGCAGGCTGATGTCCGGGCAGATGCCTGGGTGCTGGACAAATTTTCATATGCTGAGAGGATCATCGACATCACGAGGAGACGGGAGAAGTGTCTGGGAGAAAACGGAGCTGGGGGGGCGGTGCTGGAGGGGGGGTGGGCAAGCTGGCACAAACGGAGACAAAACTGAAGGACTTTCCGAGTCCCACTGTTTCTGGTGATGCCCAGGTCTCAGCTATCACGGGGCGCCTTGGTAGTCAACACTGTCGGACAAGGCCTGGGAGTGGGTGCTGGGTGTACCGTGGTATCGAGCTGTTGAACTGGTAGGCACATGCAGTAGTCAGGGTCACGTCGACACCACCAGCTCGGTGGGCTGCGGTGCGTCCCAGGTCCTACGATGTTGATTGGGCTCGCGAGACCGAGGGAGGTGTGGGTACAGTAGGTAGCAGTGGTTCGGCTGGAGCTTGCAATTGCTCGCAGAGTGGCAGAGTGGTGACGCTGCAGGGTCCTCGAGACTTGTGTCCGTCTGATGCTTGTCCGACGTTTAGTGCGGGATCTGGCGCATGCTTGTCTGGGATGAGGGTGTCAAGAGGACATCTGATTTGAAATCCTCGACGTGTGATTCGCCTGTTGGGGCCCGTTTCTGCCTCCTCTCGTGCTGTTTCGTGTGACTTATACGATCTTCTCGCGTGCTGCGTGGGAGAGAAGGAAAAAAAATAGGGCGTAGGCAGCCTAGTGACGCGAGGCGAACGGCTCCAGCTTTGGCGAGGTTGTCAAGGATGACCGGATGGGGGTGGGGGGGCCTATGAGGATCAAGGCAATGGTCATCACCATGAGGGTTGTGGCCGTGGATGGATATTGGAACGAGAAATCCCACGTCTGGGCTCCAAGGCACTATGCCCGGCTAAGGAAATACCGAAACAACACGATTGCAACCCGCGATGCTGAGGTCAAGTTGCAGAACGCCGTACCGGTTCGATTGCGTCATTATTTGCCGACCCGGCTCAGGACTGCGAGAGAGTGGTCCACTTGCAGACGAAACTGGGCGCTGGGAGGGAAAGGGCTAGAGGACGGGCATCAGGAAGCTGCTCTCTTTTCAGGGCGTGGAGCACCCTTATTAGCGGCCGTCATCGGCTGCACAAGTATGCCTGCCTTGCATCCACTCCATTCGCACATGGGAAACTGTTGCAGAACATGTCACGATGCGCGTGGGGGCCGCACCACCAACTCATGGGGCCAGCTGCCCGCTGCCTGCCCGCCAACCCGCCAACTCGCTCTTGCTCCTGGTCCTGGTCCTGGCAGCTGCTTGGGTGTGATCCAGATCCGGATTTGATACCTCGCCTCCGCGACAGCACTACATAAGGTCGCCGCCACACCCATGCTTGCTTACCATGCAACCATCCGCAGCCACAGTGACCCCGACTTATATCATGGCTACATATGTTCTTCTACAGGCATGGCATTGCTAGTGCCCCCCCCCCCGGCCAAGTGCAGTGTAAGTGCTAGACAGAGTATCGGGGAGGTAGCCAAACAGTGAGATCCGTATGTGTTACCCTCGACTGTCACTAGATCATGGATGGATCCAAGTATTGGACCGACTTTAAACGAGTCATAAGATGTCTGAATTGCGAGGCCCCCTCCTCCACTCAAATGTTCGTCTACCTTTTCCGGTGTGCCATGCTTCTAAAATTGAACTGCGGAAATGCAAACCCTTCTCTGAACTCCGAGATATCGATATATACAGCCATGTCTTGGTTTTCGCCCATCATCTCATCTACGCTGTCCCAATTATCAATAAAACCGTGGCCGGTAGCCAGCCCCCCCCCCGCGCCAGAATCCCCGGCAATCGTGCATCTCCTTGACGGATTTTATGCAGACTTTCCAAAGATCGCGTCTACAATCTCACCAGACCTCACGGAAAGAATAGACAACAGAGTGTCGCTCAGCTGTAGTTTGACAGTCAGTACCCGCTGCATGCCAGGTGGCCAGTTGGCCTTGTAGGGAAAGGGGGGGGGAGGCTCAGGGGAACTTACACCGTGGGTGCCTTCGCAGCAACCTTGTAGCCAGATGCCGGACTCTGGAGCAACTGTGCCATCCGCGAACTTGACCTTGTAGTCACGCGAGACTTCCATCACCCGCCTCTCGCCATCGTCAGTCTGGACCGACCACTGGTCAGAGCGAGGCTTGAGGCTGGCCACGCCGTCCTGGAGCGACGGCAGCATGTTCCAGGCGTCCTTGAGCATGTCGACGTGCGCCTTGCGCTGGTACCCAGTTGCCGCAATGACAAGGTCGACGTCCAGGATCTCCTCGCCAGAGTCAAGGGGGCTTCCTTGGACCTCGACAAGGCCGTCCGCCTCGAGCGCAAGTTCTCCAGACGTTGATGCCTGGCGCACGCTGAGGCGCAGCTTGTCGCCTTGCTCGTCGGCCGCCACGACCTGCCTGCCGCCCATGATGCGGTGAGGCCATTTGGTCTCGTCGTGACCGATCGTTCGCTTCTGGTCGTACATCATCTCAAATAGTGTCTCGATCAGCCCAAGTCGGACAACGCCGTAGTTGGTGGCCTTGGCCTCCTTGATCAGACTCTGCCTGTACTCAGAGGGCTTGGGGTAGAGCCTGTCGACCCAGTCAGGGTTGAAAATGCAGTTGACGCTGTGAAGCAGTGTTAGTTGGTGTTGATCTCAGGTCCCTTGTTCAGGGCTGGCCTGGCTCAGGCAGGCAGGCAGGCAGGCAGGCAGGCAGGCACTCACAATGGAGAGTCGTCGCTCGGCTTGATGAACTCGGACTTCATAATCATGTAGGTCTTGGAATTTGGGTACATGTTGGACACGTTGTTGAAAATCTCTGCGGCACTCTGCCCACCGCCAATGACGGCGACCCTCACCGGCGCGTTGCGGTCGCTGAGGAGCTGGGGCACAGTGTATGCATACTGGGACGAGTGGATGACGCGTGGGCTCTTGGCCGGCAGAGGCTTGGGGATGGAGGCCTGGCCACCGACGGCGAGAATGACGTTGCGAGCGCGGTGGGAGCTGAGGGCACCCGTCTTTGCGTTACGCTCGACCACTGTGAAGGTCTTGACGCCAGCTGAGTCGGCATCAGGCGAGACGGACACGACCTCGCTGTTGTACCTGACGACGTCGTCAAAGTGGCTGGCGCACCACCGCAGGTAGTCCTCGTACTCTGTCCTGGCGGGCAGGAAGGTGTCGAGGTTGATGAAGTCAAGCAGGCGGCCCTGGCTGTGGACGTAGTTGAGGAAGGTGAACTGAGACCTGGGGTCGCGCAGGGAGGCCATATCCTTGAGGAAGGAGATCTGCATCTTGGCGCCAGGGAGCAGCATGCCGGCATGCCAGGCGAACCTGGGCTGCTTCTCCAGGAAGAGGACATTGGGGGCGTGCTTCAGGGAGCCGGCCTCGAGGGAGTCGTGGAGGGCAACAGCAATGGCCAAGCTGGCCGGGCCGAAGCCAACGCAGAGGAGATCGTGGACCGACTCGAGATCAGCGGCCTGGAGATGGGCCGACCTGTTCCGGCAAGAGCTGTGCGCCGCTGGCGACGGAGCAGCCTGGGGGGCGACATGGGCGTTGCCGTTGGAGCCGTTGGAGCCGCTGGACAGGCCGTTGGACAGGCCGTTGCCATTGGGCTCATGGCCGTCGTACTCACTGTGCGGTGCCATATCTGGTCTGGGGGAGGGGTTGCTGGTTGGGCGTGAAGATGGTGAGCAGCACGAGAGAAGGGGCTCGGCTCGGCAGGAGGGGAGGTGGTGGAGTGCCGGGGTCTCAGCGGGCAGCTCCAAGTGTCTGGCACAGTGCCGCAGAAGAACAGGATCTGTATGTGAGGGTGCAGAGGGTATCGCAAAATGCAAAATGGGGTATCAAGGGGAGAAGGAGGAAACGTTGCAAGGCACCAAGAAGCTCGTGCTATGAGGTAGGGGAGGAAGGGCGGTGGTTAAGTACCAATACAGCACCTGCCAACCCGAGGAGCAGGCAAAACAGGGGACGGCGGTCGTACCATCAACTTGGTACCTGGGATGGCCGGGCATTGATGGCACCACTCGACCACCACCAACACGCACGCTGCCATCAAAAAAACAGAGAGTGCGCATCGTCATCCACTGGCCGACCCGAAAGGACCCAGCCAGAGCCCGCTAGCGAAACTTTACCGCCCCATCGAATGCCTAGGTGCCTGCAACGGGGCCGGGGGGGTGGCGACAAGAGAGACGGCGCTGCTCCAGTTGTGGGGCCGCACCACAGTAACGTCTCCGTTTCGGGCGACATCGGTGATTATCTCTGGATCTGATAAGATCAATCTGCTGCTGCTTCACACTAGGTCCAGGCCGTGCCCAGCCTGCTGCCCCGTCCCTCGGTCGGCCAAATTCGCGACTCGCACGAACCCATGCACCTACCTGCCTCCCCAGACCACCACAAACATCAACGTCAAACACAGCCCGACCATCATGCGGTGCAGCAGTGCGGCAGTGAGGCAGTCAGCCAGCCAAGTCAGTCGGGCTCGGGCTCGGGCTCGGCAGGGGCGGCCAGGATCTTCCTGTCAATAATGACGCACCAGCCCGCCAGGTCGTCGTCTGCAGCATGCAGTGCGGGTCCCTTGGATCCTGCCCAGACCGCGTCATTGGGCAGCACCGAAGCTATGACTGAGAGCTTGTCAGATCTTTCACCGCGGGAGCGGACCCTTTTTTGTGCCTCGGCCACCCTCGGACGCCAGCCGCCCCTCATTGGCCCGAGATGATCTGATAAGATCACATCGCCCCAGGATACATCTTGGCAGGCGTGCCATGCAGCCATGTCCCTCATCGCCGCCCAGTCCCACACATGCAGGCATGGAACCTGCCCCTCCTTCGCAAACTCCTCTGCTCCTCTGCTCCTCTGCTCCTCAGCTCCTCTACACTACCGTCCCCCTCCGCTTGCACTGAAACAGCTCTGCGAGGTCGGTAACCGCCGCGCCAGCAAATTTTTTCCCGTCCCCTGACTGCTAGCTGCTGCGCCTGTCATCCTTTTTTCGTGCTAGGCCCGGCCTGCCTCTGTTGATTGCATCCCACAATGCAGCAGACGAGTCAGCAGCAATCCGGTCTCCGCCTCAGCGACCTCTCCTCGTGTTCGTCAACCTCGTCGAGCAGTCCTCCCACGGCTTCTGCCCTCGAGCTCACCCCTTCAGCCCTTGCCGAGATCTACACCACCACACTACAACATCTGTTCGCTCCCAACTCCCCACGCCTCGACTCATTAGGGTTGCACTCACTCTCATTCTAGTCTCGTTCTTTGCCAGGCCCATGCGGGACAGCAGGACTGTCACATGGTTCTATTGATCTTCGACACACACCACCAGCCGCCAGGATACGACCAGAATACCCAGTGATGCTGATCCTTCCCTTTCCTTTCATTTCCTTCCCTTCCCTTCCCGCCAGCCCGCCTGATGTACGTGTAGATCAGACCGATCAGTACTCCGTACTGTACCTCTCTGCCGTGGAGCTTCCGAGACGCTGGGTATAGCCAGGCCCAGACTGCTCCCCGATCGACTGTGCCGTGTACATGTTGGCTACTGCTCTCCGAGGCTCTGGGTACTATTATCCGCAAAGCAGAAACATCTCCTGCAAGTCTTTGCTGCGGCTAAAATAAACTCCGCGACCTGCATCGACCACGCGCAACGGCGTCAGCCACCTACCCCCAATGTGCATTTCTTCCAGTCGCAAAGTCACAAAGTCACTAATCCAATCCCCTTGCTCGTTCCTTGCCTTCTTTATGCTATAGGCCAAGTCCATGGGCCGATTCATCCCTCCTCCTCGTGGGGTAGTGGCCTGTTTGCGTCATTTCCACAACCGCGCGAGCTGCCTAATCTAGAATCCCGTGCAGAGTGCCATCGTCGGGCAGCATCGTATAATGTCCGAGGCTGCAAACGGACAACTCACGTCACTGGTCACGAACGGGTGTAGGTGGGTTCATCGCACCCTCAACAACACTTGACCTCCCACGCCTCCCTCCGGACGACGGAGCTTATTGCTCCTCGCCGCGGCTGACGGGGACGGTTCTCCCTGAAAATGGCTTTTCCTTGGGGGGGGGGGGGGACACCACGCCAAGCACGCTCGCCATCGGTCGATGCAAGCATGATGGTGGATCATCGCGGTGGGGACTCCGTTACCTAAGGCGAACACCAAATGTCCAGTTGTTTTTGCTAAAAAGGCCATATGGCCCTGGTCCCTGGGCGAGCCGGATTCACTGGGCTGCATTTAGATCGGCTCTACAATTGCCGGGTCATGCAATATTGACTTTCCTTTCCCCTCTGTCCGACCGGGTCTCGATCTCCGACCGCCCTGTCCCGAGCAACTTCTCACTTTGATTCTCACTGGGGCTGGTTTCCGTTGTCGGCCAATTCCGGGAGACCTCCATTCTGGCAAGTGGGCCATGTTCCAAGGTTCCGTATCATTACTTCTCATGGAACCTTTTCTGCGGCCTCACATTGCCGCCTGGTCCTAATAGTTCACGACGAATCAAATCGGCCAATGTCATGTGCTGGAATTCACCACTTACAGAGCCCAGTCTTGGCTCTGTGGAATCTCAGGAGCCGGCACCTTGTACGACTGTCGCCATAACTGCTGCCGAGAGACGCAAGCCTCTCCTGGTCTGAGCCGTTCCGTGGTCATGGAAATTGAGACAGGCGGGTTTCAAATCAAGAACAACCAGAGCGTTGAAAGGACAAAAGACGATGCGTAACAGCCCTGGAGGCATCCGCAACACCAAGGAGGTCCGTCCTTTCAGAACCATTGGGAACGTGCCACCCGAACTTTCGTTCCAACCTTTTGTGTAAGTCTATCACTTACAGAAGAAGATCCCAGCGCGATCTCCGCCCACCACCTGTGGATTCCAAATGCGGGCTGTCCACGGCTACTAGGACGACTCATCACGTGATAAATTCAAACTGATCAAGCATTCAAGCACTAACCATGGCTGATCACGATCGTACCCGGAATAATAATCCCCATAGGATGTGAAAAGCGCCAACGACTTGGTCGCAAAATAATACATGTGCAAATGTTGTAGCCTTGGTCTCCACAGCTGTCCGCCTGTGAAGTGCCTTGTTCAATCTTCTTGGCAAGTTCCATTTGTACTTGGCTTCTGGGCGATCAGGACGTCGGATTTTCAGAAGCGGTGAGCCGTAAGGGTATTTCACATACCTACGTACGCAGCATCGTTCTGACGAGTAAATCCACGCGTTGCCGATCCAGCATGTAACCCATGCAGTCAGTCGTAGTAATCAGCCCAATCAAACATATGTACTGCCCTTATACGGGGATGCAATTAAAAATATACTTTACGCTGCCACAGCATCTACGTACAAATATCGTGACCCAGGGTAGCAGTTACTGATAACCGTCCATGAGATAAAACTCCACAAAACAGCCTCCTCAAGCGCTACGGGCTCGCATCCCAGGAGTGGTTTCGTTCTTGATCCATAAACAGGCTCCAATCACACCATGAGAGGTTCATTTCATTTAGTATCAACAAGCAATGATCATGATGATATGGAAAAGAAGGCCGAGTGCTCTCGTCGTCCATCTGTAGTAACTGTTCCTAGGTAGTCTGGATGAAGCAATGACACTGGTTGAGATGACGAAAGCTGAGAACATAGGTAACATGAGATTTGTATGAACCCGATATGGTGTAATTATGAGCTAGTCCATTAGTCGGGCGAAGAACAGGATCCCATAAACTCCTGTTAAGGCCCCAGATTTATTGTGGCGTATTGGTGGTACTATTGGTGGTCTAAATGCAAGGTAGCCCACCGATAAAATACTTGCTTGGGACCACGACATAGCTTCGCTGCAGCCGCTCTCTACATATGTACGCAGTGGCCATGCTTATCGCGGTGTGCGGGCACAGGGAACAATGGGGTTTGTGCCAGACTGTCAGTGGACAGCAGTGGGTCTGATCATCATTTACCAGTGAGACCGAATGAAGGCACTAGTCTTCCACGAGAAGAGGACAAAGGTTTTCTTACAGTCCTCTCTGTACGTCTTTCTCAAACGTGATCACCTCTCATATCTTCGTTCCAAAAGCAACCCTTGGGCCCATAGTATAACCCAACATGAGTTGCATCAGAACGAGCAAATGCTCAGGTGACGTAATTCAAAAGAGGCGAATGCCAAATACCCTGCTTGTGGGTCTTTATATTTTTGTGCTAGCTTTCCAAGATCATGATTCCTTTCCGATCTTGAGGCTTCGAAGGGTGTCTGGAGCAGTATGAGAACATCTCCAGAACACAGCCCTTTTTCTTTTTTGTAACATTATTCAAAGGGTGTCTTTGGACCTTTAACCCCAATGAAGGATCCGTGAAATGCTCTCATAAACTCCAGTAACGTTTCGAGATTCCGGTCGCGTGCCAGAGCAAACATTCCCCAAGGCTGGTCGTTCTTGGTCAAGTTTCCCACAGGCACAGTTGCTACAGGCCACCCCGCACACGCTGAAAATGATATCAATGTTGCGTCTGAAGAGGAGAGCACGGTATCTAGGCTGTGTTCGTGCATGTACTTGGCCATACTCCCATATCGGGCGACCTGGCGTAAGCCTGACACAGCCTTGTCGTGCTTTTCTTCGTTCATGGTACCGTCACGGCATTTTATAAGCTCTGTCTGGGTGTCGAACGCTGAGTTTAAAACCGGTCAGGAATGGAAACACCAGCTTGCAAGGATGCATGTGGACTCACGTTCGGGAAGGGCTTGCTGGGCATGCTCTTCGTTCCATGTAATCACTTCGACCAATGTTGTCAGGAATTTCTGATGCTGGTGATTTTACAATGAAAAAGGATGAGGAAGAGATGGTTTGCCTCGCCGGAACATCCCATGGAAATGGGGGTTTCAAGGCATCAAGGCTGAGCCGATGCTGATGCGGTGGAGTTGATATGGCTAGCGCGGAAGTACAACAAAAATGTGTTCTTACTTACGGTCAGCTAAATTGGTTAATTTTGCCTCAGGTTCGAAATTTTTCGTGATGAATTCCTCAAGTACCCGAGGAAATTCATGGTCTCCATGAATGGTTAGCCTCGACATCAACTGAACAAAGTTGTCGGAGGGGGGGGGGGGGCTTCACGGACAGGCGATGCTGTGGAGAGTCTCTCCTTCGTATTCCAAGTCGCCTGGGCTAGGCACGTCTTCGAGCGGAAAGGTCACTCGAGCACCAAGAGACTCCATGTGTCGCACAACCGAGCCGTATTTGTCCTTCTAGAGGGTAAACCGTAAGCGGGCGAATATCCCGAGGATGAAGCATCAGCAGCTCAGACCTACCACCTGCATAGAGCCCCATTTCCATTTAGAGCCCGGGTCAGTTCCCCATTCGCTATCGAGAACACCAATAGACATCGAGCCCCAAATACTCTCCGGAGGCGCATCGTCAAGAGACCCAGGAAGATGCTCACGCGACCTGACTAATACCTTGACGAGTGACACGAGATCTCGTGGGTCCCGGGCCATGAGCCCGATTCGGTCAAAGGTGTCACTGATCCTGCAGACGCCGTCAGTCGGGACGGAGTCGTGTGGCAGTGTCAAGCCGTAGAGCCCACCGAGGCTGGCAGGAAAGACGTTAGAGCCCCCCGTCTCGGTGCCGATGGCCATGGGAGCAAAGCCTGCAGTGATGCAGACTGCGGGCCCGGAAGATGAGCCGCCGCACCACGGCTGGTCTTTCTCATGGAGATCCTCGCGCCTGTACGCCGAAAGTGTCTGCCCTCCATATGCGCTCCACCCGAGAGGAGTGTTGTCAGACCTGGATATGTGGGAGATTAGTGTACGTGATACCCACCGACAGGCCGAGGGGGCTGAGCTGACTTGAGGCCACAGAATTCGGTCAGGTTGCCCTTGCCCAAAATGATCATTCCTGCGTCAAGAAGTCTGTCTACCAGACTTGCGTTGCGTGTGGCTCGGAGGGATGCGATTGCACTCGCGCCTGCAGAAGATACCATGCCCAAGGAAGTTTCCGTGACAATGCAGTCCTGAATATTCTCAGCGAAGCTCTCTAGGCTGCATGCTGTTGCTGCGGCGTCGCCTACCTTCACAATGATGGGAATCCCATGCAGCTCCCCCCTGAGCTTGCCCTGCACGCGTTCCTCATCAAGCGCCTTTGCCCGTGAGATGGCGATGTCGCGGGGACACACGGACAGGACGGCGTTGAGTTTCAGCCCGACCTTGTTGTGTCGTTCGATCTGGTCGAGAAAGCAGTTCACAAGGTCTTCGCTCCGGATGCGGCCTTGGTGCATGAGCGCCTGGTACTCATGAGCAGAGCATTGGAGCGAGAGATGTTCCCTCGCGACTGGCATGGCTTTGACTCGAGACGGCGTCTGCCCGCTGTGTTAATTGGCCATTCAGCCAGGCCTCAACAGACGGCAAAGCGTGGCTTATAAGAGACGTGCCCATACATGGTTGCCTAATTCCCCCTGATATGGGCATCACTTGCTGCCATGTGGGCCTGCCGAGCGCAAAGCCATTGAGATCAGGCTTCCACAAGTGGGACGGAGTGAAATGTCCGCTTCTGATGCTCTTGCCAGCAAATACCAACACCGGCGCCCTGAAAGGACGCTTCTAAATGCCTGCCTGCCTTCCAAGGTTGGGTGTGCGTAAAACTACCACCACAGCACTTGAGAGGGAGGGGTGAGCCGGCGCGGGGGATGTCAGCACCAGCTGCCCACAGCTGTGGGGACGAGGTCGGGCAGCTGCAGCTGCTGTCGCGTCCCTCCCTCCATGGGACGGCCCCCCCCCCCAAAACTGGTCGGCAGTTCCCTTCTGTTCGCCCACTCATCTCAAACATCACACAACGCGTGTCACGAACCGAGCGTATGCAGTGATCGGGGCAATTTGATACGGACTTTGACTCCTTCTGAATCTCCCACTGCCCGACACCCGGCCATCTTGTTTGTAATTGGGAATCGGCATACCGAGGTGGCCATGGTTGTTGCGTCATGACCCTCTGCGCCATCTCCCGCACGCGGCTTCCCTGCAGATTCTCCTGCACCGGCCCTGCTCGACGGATCCAAGCCTCGCTTTACAGACCGCCTCATTGCTCGCTGGGTTCTCGCTGTGCCTCCACAATGGCATCGGCTGGCGAGGCCGGAAAGCCAGCCCTGCAGAAGCGGTCGGTTGTCTCCTCTTTCCTCTACAAGTTCGTCGACGAGAACGGCGAGCGCAAGGCCAAGGTCGCCTTGTTCAAGCGGAGTGGCCAAGTGCGAACATATCAGTAAGTTCTTGACAGTGTTCCTGCTCCCCATGTATGCACAGGCCGCAACTGCTCGTCCTCGGAACACGGCCACGATGGGTCTCGGCGCCATGTCAACGGCCAAGCCATCCCAGTATCCCGCTCAGTCTCGTAGCATGACTTGCGCTACCCACAAGTGTCTTACAAGTCAATAGACATCGCTGGGCAGTGGTCTCTGGCAGCATTGATCCCGAGGATCCTTCGCCTCAGGCGGCAGCCTGGCGAGAAATCCGCGAAGAGACGACCTTGACTCAGTCTTCCCTGGAGCTCATGCGCCAGGGCAAGAGTTATGTCCTGCCTGACGAGTCGATCGGCAGGGAATGGACCATCTACCCATTCGCTTTTCGTCTCAAGGAGGCAAGTGAAGGTGGAAAGGGCGAGAATGCCATCCAACTCGATTGGGAGCATGAGACTTGGGCATGGGTGAGGATCGGTCTTCTCACACTGCATGTTTTCGAACTCTGGCAGACGACTGACACGCATCAGTACGACCCTTTCGAGGTCGAAGACTCGGAACGATTCGGCGCGGTCCCACGTCTCGCCGAGAGCTTGCGTCGGGTCTGGTAAGCCATTTCCCCCCTTGCACATACTGTATTGCTCTCGCGGGTATTGAAGGCAATCGGAGAACTGCTTTTCGTTGAAAGCACGACCTGGGCTCGTGCACCATTTCGGGAGCAAAGCTCGCCACGAGCGCCGGGATGGGCCCCGAACTCGGTATGAAGATCTGACACGCCGCCTCAGGTTCGAAAAGGACTTGGGTCCCGAAGCCGGTGCTGCTCTCACGGAGGGGCTTGAAAGGCTCAAGACCGATTATGCAAGTGGAGCTCGTCAACTCGCCGGCAATGCTCTCGAGATATTGAGCGACATTGTCGCGAAGATGGACACCCATCAGCCACATGAACAGTGGTGGACTCGTGTCCGGTTTGCCTCATGGCATATCTGGAAGAACGGCCGTGAATCAATGGGTGCAGCTATCCTCAGTGCCCTGCTGTCTGCTCTCACAGGCATCGAGAGGAGGATCCGACAGCTTGAGGGCAAACCGGTGGCCGGTTGGAGGGACGCTGCACTCGATGAGCTTGAGCGAACGATCGTTTCCAGGCGAGATGCGGCCAAGGCAATTTCCGTGGCCCTCACCAACTTCTTGGGAAATCAAATGATATCCGAGCCTGGCGGGTCTCGGCGGTCTCGGCTGGTGAAAGTGCTGACAACCTCTGAAAGCTCGACGATTACATGTGCTCTTCGCGAAGTTGTTGCGAATACCGACATGTCACTGGATTTGCGCATTCTGGAGTCACGGCCTTTGTTTGAAGGCGTGTCTCTCGCCAGCCAGCTTTTCAAAGAAGCATCTCCCCCTCAGGCGTCGACAGATAAACCTGTCAGCGAGGCTGGGCTGCCTCATACGGGCTCAGCGCCGAAACTTCTAATCACGTTGTACACGGATGCGTCCTCGGCCCTTGCTTCAGATGATGTGGACGTTGTCCTGATAGGTGCGGATAGGATCGCGGAAACCGGAGCAGTCAGCAACAAGACAGGCTCGCTGCCTGCGATCCTCAGCGCTAAGCATGTCTCGCCAAAAGCAAAGATAGCCATCGTAAGCGAGACGGAAAAGGTCGCAACCCCCGGGGCTGCAGGCGCCCATGTTGTGGAAAACAATGACCCCGCTCAGCTGATGCACGCATGGGCGGCAGACTTCAATAGCGAGAGAATCAGGAATGCCGCGGGTACACTATCCTCTGGGGGTCGTGCATCTGCTCATCATGACAACAAGAGCGGCAACAGTGCGGCCGACGTGCACGTTAGCAACGTGTCCTTCGAGTGGGTTCCTCCAGACCTGATCGATGTCTACATCACCGAGCGAGGCGAGTTGGCAGTGGAAGACATAGCGAAGCTTTCGGAGACTCTAGGCACTGAAGAGGAACGATTTTTTCGGGACATCTGAAGGGAAGCGACTGGCGGGGCTCGGCCGTGTGCAGGCGCAGGCAACAAACATATTGGACAAGCCTGGAGAAGGTGCATACCGACCCGACCCGATGAATGCCTGGCCTCGCAGTTTTTGTACACCACTACTGCACCTGTACACACCGCGAAGCTCAATCCGTACACCGGTGCGGTTGTCCTCAGGATGTGAGATCATGGTGAACTCGTCGGACGCTGAGCATACCAAAGCAAAAGACCTATCAGTTCACGATCTGATGCACTGGTCAAGGCTGGACAACAGACTAGGACATGCTCAACCCCCCTCCCCCGGGGCCCCGGCTTGTTTGGCGTCCTTGGTTCCACACCCTGCGAGTAGAATACCTTGTGTAGACAGCCTGTGTAACCTCACTGAGACGGGCTCGCATTGGCCACAGCATGGAGGCGGGTGCAAGATCCCACACGCCCGGTTGCTTTGTTGAAGCTCCTACCAGTCGTCTGCCAGCATCAACTGTAATCTTGGGATGCGGGGTGAGGCCCACGATCAAGCCGGGCCCCACCCACCGAGAGATGGAGCCCTGCCATAGGCCTAAAGGACATGGACGCTGCAGCACCCAGTGCCCCCGCTGCTGATGCTGGGCCCAGTGGTTGCTAACTTGCCAATAAGTGGCCCGACACCAAGGGATCGGTCGCCAATCCGGTGCTATCCCCCTCGCAAGCCAGTGTCGTCCTGGCCAGCGGCTCCTCAACACGTTGTTCTCCCCGTAACAGCACAAAGAACGGGTTGCCAGCACGGTATCACAGCACTACCTAGGCACTTTTGATCGCACCGACGGCCGTCCGCTGATAATTCAAGCAGCCCCACAAGTCGGACAGCAGTCCTCCCTGGTCACAACCGCAGCACTGGCGGCAGCGGTAACAAACGCGGCAACCGTCCACGAAGCAGTACGACAGGAAAGCTGGATCAGGTGCTCTCCCCGTCGGCGTGGGGGGTGGAGCAGCAGGTCGCCTGGCTGGCCTTGAGTCCTTACACAAAAGCAGTGGGAACAAGGCGCGAAGAGCTGCCTGCCCCATGGGCAAAGCTGGCTTGAGCCGCTCGCTTCAAACCACATTCGCAGCCTACCTGCGTGACGGGGCCCGTCGCTCCGCGATTGCTTCTTCGTTCCTTCTGCTATAAGAGTTCCATCGTGGACGCACTGCTTCTGCTTCGATGATCCCTGCGGCCGTCAATACCTAGGTGTACGACCTGCTGCCCCGTGCCAACTCCTCAGACCATCTTCTTTGACGCAACCCTCACACTGATCAGTGAAACACAGCTGGGTCAGAAACATACTTCCTCCGTTCGCCATGCGCACTCCTGCTCCTACCGTACCTGGCAAAGTGACGCTCAGGCCGGACGGCCGGCTGCCCGTGCATAAACGAAAGAACCACGTCTCTGCAAAATCAAGACAACGTGTATCCCAGGCGTGAGTGTCGGCCTCTCTGCCGCTTTTCTCACGGTTCTCCCTCGCATCCATCATTCATCCCCATATGTAGACTGTGACATGGCGCAGATATTTCTTAGGCAGGCTCAACCCCGATCCGTTCTTGCTAACATGGGCCGTCCAGGTGCACACCATGCAATCGAAAACGCATCAAGTGCTCAGGAGGAAACCCCTGTGAGCAATGTTCTGCCGGTCGCCGAGATTGTTTCTATCCTCCTGGGGGTAAGAGGATCCAAGTTCCCCAAAGGGAATGGGAAAGTCTCCACGCGGCAAAAGACCTGTTACAGCAGTCGCTCGAGCAAGCCAGGCAAGCCATCGTAGCCATCTTGGGGGTGCCCGACCTGCGCTCGCGCGCGAGGCTCCAGGCGCAGCTACAACAAGTTGTCGATTCGATGCCTAACCCGGTATCTATGGGTGATGATGAGCGGCCGAACATGTCGCCCGCCGCGTCAAGCACGACCTTGGGCTCTTCTCCTCAAAGCGGCACGTACCAGCCGCACCGAGGTTATCACCCGAGGAGAGCTACCGGCGATGCCGATGCCGCACCCACTGAAGGGTCCTTTCTCCAAGATCACGATGGCACCAAACGCTGGCTCGGTGGGACCTCTGGTGCCACGTTCCTAGATCACCTGAAAACTTTCATGCATACGCTACGAACTGCCCTTGGTTACAATGAGACGCCTACCGAAACAGCTCCGGGGTCGTCCTTCCTAGCCTCTCGTGGGCAGTACCAGACATCTGACTCGCGCCTGTTGAACATGCCAACCCTCGACAACACCAGCACAGCCGCTCAGATCAGCGACGAGCAAGCCGAGCACTTGTTCCGTCAAGTGAACCGATACATCCAGGACTCTATGGGGCAGTGGCCATGCGGGGGGATCTACTATTTGGGTGACTTTTCACTGCAGGGATGGAAGAGCGCACAGGGTCGGGAGCTAGCCCTCTACCATGCTGCCTTCGCGCTGGGAACCATCTTCTCTCTCACAGCTGCCAACTCTAGGCAAGATGGGCAGTTGGGGGAAATGTTCCTCGCAACAGCTCGCAAGATCCTCGGGGATCCCTGGGACCCCTCACGCTACAGCATTCGGGACGTCCCGGCCCTAGCTCTCATGGCCATGTACATGGCCGAAGTCAACCGGCGAGACAATTCGTATAACTACTTGTCCCATGCTATGAGCATTTGCTGCATGTGCGGTGGGCTCAAGGCCCTTTCTTGGGATGAGAAGGACATTCGTATAGTATGGACACTGTTCTGTCTGACTAGAGACGCGGGTTGCCTGATGGGGCGGCCTCCCGTGTTCTCAGACGAGGCTTTCCAGCTCAGCGAACCGCAACCGGAGCAGTGAGTGGAAACACCACCACGCGAGGTCGCGCTAATAGCTTACACTATCTCTCAGGGGTTTGCCTCCTCCGGATGGCCTGATGGCTCACGTTCAGCTCTCTAAAATTGCCGGCTATATCGTTTCTAATACATACTCCGTCGCACCGACAGTCGAGGCCGACCAAGACCTCAGGGCTCAAGTCCAGGAGCCCTTGAAAATGTTGGAAACCTGGCGCAAAAACCTCCCACCGGCGCTTCAAATGCCCCTGGATCTCCAAGCAGAGTCTCCTTTTGACACCGACTACGACAACGCCAATGCAATATATGCAGACCGTGCGCTGTGCACGTTACACATGAAGTGCCATCAGGTGAGCTGCATTTTGTTCCATCCTCTCAAAACGTTGTGTGGCCCATCAGCTCCGGAACAGGCATCTGACAACGTCGTACCAGCTGATGATTCTCACTCTTCGGCCGCTTTTCTTCCTCGCCGTGAAATCTTACATTGGTGGCGACCTGATCAAAGTGCCGCGTGACATCTATCATCACGAGCATATCACATTCCTGCTGGAATGCGCCAATGCTGCACGACGTAATCTGCGGTTGGGGCGGCACATCTTGATGCGGTGCAACCAAGGGGGCACAGTACCCGGCAAGCCGATCATGATAGATCTTCACCACATCTTCAACGCTGCGGTGATCATGCTCCTGTATCAGATGGTGTTCACGTCTTCTCACTCATCAGATGCATCTGCCCTGCGTTTCGCAAGGAAGGCCTTCGAAAGGGAGGCGAAGACGGAGTGTCTGTCCAACAGCAACAGGACTAGTGGTATGGGGATTGCATCCGGGCCGACAGGTTATGCCTCGGACTGTCTTGGTGTCCTAAATGATCTGACAGAGCTCGTCGATCGGATACGACCGCTGCGATTCAAAGATCAGGCCGGAATAAATGAGGACGAAATGGACTGGGCCACCGGCATAAACTTCGGTGGCAGTGAGACCGTCGGGGCTGGGACTGGCCACATCATGAGCGACGAGGCGCTCGAGGCAAATCTTGCCATGCCATTTGATATCGAAGGCCTCTACGGCCCCTTGGGGTACTCTGGCATGCCCCCCGAAAGCCACACCCATGGCAAGGAGCTTCAGATGTGGATGGACGGGGAGAGTATGATCAACGCGTTGTCGGATGTGTGGCATGTGACATGATACGACTTGCATGCTTGGGTTTTTTTTTTTAGTGAGTTGGATACCCCCAGTGTGTTTTGACCAGAATAAAGGGTTTGATTTTTGCAATTGGAGTTAAGATCAGCACTTACGTAGCCCACATTTTGGGCTCCCGCCTCGCTACGCCAAGCTGGATCTGTAACATTTGAAGCGACAAGGTCGATCATTCTTGAACTCCACAGAGAACAATTGATGAGAGAATGAGAGAAAACTATTGACAGGGTATAACAAGTGTGCTTAGATGTAGATGTAGATTGTGTTTACACTTTACATGAAGAAATATGTCGAGCTATATATACCCCAAACCAGATTACTTAGCTTTCCTATAGAGTATTCACTATAGCTTGACTCCCAATTCCTACGGGAGGCTACACATTAACCTATAGGTGGCCCCCAAGGAGCATGTTCCCCACAACAGACTTCTACAATTGAATGTGTTCTTGTCCTATGGCCGGTCATCCCAGGATTTTATTGCTTAGGGGCCGCCCTGTATCGTTCCACTGGGGCTAGTTATGTCAATGGGTTACTTCAACCCTGACCCATCACCTGTGGGAGCAGTACCTACACCAGTTGAGTGTATTATCTCTCCAGACTGGTATAGCACCATTTCTCCATACCATTACATTCCAAGATTGTTTTGTCACATAGCAGGGCCTTGAACAACGCCGAAACGCAAGCTAGCCCTATGCCCCTTGTAAGATAGTTCCTTGTTCTATAATATTTTAGTTGTATTTATTAGAGAGCCCCATACTATCTCCGAACTCTATGAGTGTCCTTAAGTCCTATTTACATGAGGAAACATATTTACGTGAAGAAATATTTACATGAAGAATTATACTTTGGTAGAAGCAGCTTCAGTGACTGAACGTCCTATGATGCCGACACGTCGTGATCTGCATCCATTGCTCTAATCAGTCCCCAAAAAATGGGATCTTGAAGCTCATCTTCTGGTTCTCGTTTCATTTCATGGCACAAATCCCGAGTCGTTCCTTGTTCCTCTAGAGAGAGAGGCCGAGAAAGCGTGGGTGGTTGCGAATGGTTTCACCATACGGTACAGTGCTGCAATCACCGGCGCCGGCGGCCTAAGAACGAAAGTTTGGGCGACCAGAGAGGCTTTGAGTCCGAGTCTGGTTCCGAGTCGGAAGAATCGTGATCGAAGACGCTGATGTGGCCGGGTGTTGATTTTGGAGTTCGCCGGCCCAGCCGCGGGCCGGATGTATGTCCATCTTCGTGGCGCGGTTGGCCAGTCTCGTTCGACGGTGAAGAATTGTGTCGGCGATGGTGCGAAAACGATGGCCCAGAATGGCGGTCATCCAGCTCAACTGGAGGCTTCGGCGGTGGCGGTAGAGCGGTAGGTGCGCTCTGCGCCAGTTCTATCACCAAGTCGTGATACATTTCCCGACTGCTCCTATCTTGCGGTGGATGTTCGGGGTAGTCCATAGATGTTCGCTGTCGCGGCTCATCTTGCCGTGAATGCGCAGCGTCGAGTGAGAAGCGCGATTTTAGTGTCGGCTTGTCGGGGAAGCAGCGTATCGCCGCAAAGCCAGGAGACTGAACCAAGCTTTCCAAACGCCTGTGGATTTCTTCTTCGTCCTCGACCTTTTCGAGTTCCTCCACGATATCCTCCATATGGAACAACATCTCCTGCCTGTGCCCACTAGCCTGGCTGTACGCACTTGTTGTCGAAATTGGGCGTGCCGTGGCCATTGCACTTGGAGTAGCCTGCGTCAAATTGGAATTCCACTGCGCTTTCTTTGCATTGCGAGGGATTTCCACGCCAATGATCTGTCTAACCTTCCGCGGCAGGCTCAGGTCCTCTACCGTCGTGATAGCCGGAGATGGTTCCCTGCGAGCAGACCGGCTTTTCGGCTCGTCAGATCTCTGGCGCGGGTGTTGGAATTTGTCAAGTACTGCGTCCCACTCATTCCTCATCTGCAAATGGCTCTCTTGTGAGCTCGCCATCGAGGGTGATGGATGGTGATTCGGTCGTGTTCGCCTAGGCTTGTCTTCCACCACTCGAGAATCGACGCCCTGAAACTTCTTGAGATCAAGCTCTGGAGGAAACACATTGCCTCTTCTATGCGCTTCCACCTGTGATCGTTTCGAGTCATTGTTGGTTGCTGGTTTGTATGGTCTGTGAGAGCGTCCCAGATCGAGTGGGAGCGGTGGCAAGGGTTTTGCGTCCCAGTCGACGATAGGTCGCAAGTGCACCTGATAGCTTGCCATTACGAGCTCGGAGTTGTTAACCGAGTCCCCAGGGCCTGACCAGAGCGACCGAATGTGAGCTACCTCGAGCCCAAATAGTCGAGAAGGAAATGGTATCAGCACATGATATTACGCTTTTTGATCAACAATCTTTGTCACGTTACCCATAGAAACTGGGGAACCTTGGATATGGCGATTCGTGCTGGCTCAAATCACCAGCGTTGCCCATCAGGGCCCCTGCCAAATTCTTGTAAAAATAGCTACAGTCGCCCCAGTATTGTCTTGCATAATTCGCTTATCGTTACGCTTTAACGCCATTGCCGCGTGAGTTCCAGGGCCAAGAAGACCTGCCCGATATCCATGAGTCGCGATGCAAACAACCTGCAAGTCTTAACCGGATCGGGCCGCCCGTGGACGCACGTGGATAGTGTTAACCTTTGAAAACAGCCCTGTAGCCCTACAAATACCGAGTCAGTCAAGTAGCTGATGTCATATGCTTAAATTGCCTGGGTGGTGGCAGCCCCGGCCATTCCAACCATCTGATGTTTCATGTCCGAGCCACAATTTGACCGCTATTACCAATGGAGGTGCCGAAGCCCGAAGTTATTTCGGAGCGTATGCCAAGGGACCACAATTGGGACGGAGTGGCAATGACGCCCGTCGGTGCCGAAGTGAGCGCTCAATTGCCTACTTGGTAGGTATGCATGGCGCACCACTTTGACCCATAATCTGACGATAATTTGGACAAAACCGCTGGCATCCAAAAACCATAAAACAGCACTGATACCACACGGATATACACGGATTTGGCCCAGGATGGATGTGTGGCTGATAAGAAATGAGAACAGCATGGCAAGTTAGAGCTAAACCTTTTCCTAACACATTAAGAACTTATAACAAGATAAATAGCATCCATCACTTAATAATAGGTTATAAAAGATCATGGGATCCAGTACAGAGGGCATAGAATTACTAGCCTTATATAATGTTATGGACTATATATTAATTATGAAATAAAATGAGATAAAAAAAATGAGCTAATAAAAAAGCTGGACCATACCAGGATCGAACTGGTGACCTTCGCATCTCTAACCATATTTGGGCACGAAGACCTAGATATAAGAACGACGAGATAATCCACTACTCTAATGGTCCTTAAAATTACGTTAATTTGGATGATTGGAGTAGTGATTATTACGTCGTTCTTATTTTTTGATTTATTCTTATTTTTCAAATTATTTTTATTAGATTAGGGTTCCCTCCTAGTCGAGTACTTCAATGCATCCACATATTCTTCATCACGCGCAGTCCGACGCTGCCACCAATGCGAAGACCTTCGACGGGGCTGTGCGGACGGCGGGCTCGCGATCTCTGCGTACACGCAGCTCTTGTCGTTACTTCCAATGGCGATCGTGGGCATCGACAGCTCTCAAGTACATGTCTGGCCAGGCACGCCAGGCGTCTGACTGTGCAGCTGCGATCCCGCGATTCCGTCCGCTTCGTGAAACGCGATGCCGCTGCAGCCCTCCACCTCCAACCTAACCTTGCTGCCGTTCAGGCACGGTTCCCGGGGGCATGTCGGTGATACTATATCTCGACGTATTCTCTGATGTCGCGCAGCCCGAGGTCCGCCGTATCTTCCCGGTTCATCATGAGCCTCCTCCATTTTGGTGGCCGCATTCTCTTTAACCCAACCGGCCCCCGCTCGATCAGATGGGCCACCGTGTACGTCACCAACCCTGGTTCTTGTCGCCTGCTACAGCGCATTAACCTTGCCCCACCCGCCGTGATGAGGTCAGTCGAGCAACAAGTCCTAGATGACGTGCTGTGCATAGCCGGTGCTACACACGGCGACAGGCAAGTTGCCTTCGAACCACCCATTTGCGTGTGGATGGGTACTGACCGTACTTGAAGCGTTCGTATGCCGGTCGAGGCTCCAACCAAGCGACACCTTGGTGGACGTTACCTGGGACATGACCCCGTCGTACTTCTGGCCGATGATGGTGAACAGAGGCCCGAAGGCGTATGCCGGCAGGCCGATCCTGGCGAAGTGGTACCCGATCCTGGTCGGTTCTACTGCATCAAGCGTTCTGGGCCACGCCCTCGAGGACGACGGACGCCCTCCGAGGTCCACTGGTTGACCAGCCACTTGCCTTTGATGTCAGCCACCACAATATCCACGTAGCAGCTGGGGGTGCTGGTCGTGTTATACTTCTCGGGATTGACGCCGATGTAGTACTGGGTCGCGTCTAAGGACGAGAGGTAGTCCTTCTCGGCAGGGACGATGGGCCAGTTGGCGTCGCGCCCGATGAACTCCATGGCCGGGTCTATGATGCTACACTTGGTGTTGTTCACGGGGTGGACCGCGAGGACGGTCAACCTGTCCTTGTTAATGGCCTCCATCTGCTCCTTTGTTCAATTGGGCTCCTTCTATTCTGCGCCTATGTTCTTGCCGGTGACCATGATGGAGTTGGTGTCGGTCTTCATCGCCCTGAGCGTGTTGGTGCCGGCGGGCTTTCACTTGCTGGCACGGGTAGAGTCGAACAGCTCTAACCTTCTGGTGGCGTCTACGATCGCCTTCTCCTTCGAGGCCTCGGCCCTTTTCTTTATCGCGTCCATCTCCACCTTCCTGGCGTTCGCCAGGTCGTCGTCCGTGATGGCGTCCTTGGAGGCGGTGGTGTCCTCGGCTGTCTTGTCGTTGCTGGTCGTGTCCGGAGCTGCGTCCGTGACCCAGTTGTCGCTCTGGGTGTCGTCGTTGTCCGGGGTGGTGGATATGTTGGTGGGCGTATTGGTGTTCATGTTTGCGTCCGTGGTTGTGTATGCGGTCGTGATTCTCCGTCGAGTGCTGTGTCCACATCGTAATCGCCCTGCACACCACCATCGGTCTCGTACATGTGGATGTTCACCTCTGCTAATCAGTAACCCTCCAACAGAGACCATGGCTTTGTGCTGCTTTTCTTGGGGCCGGTCGCTTGTGCTCATACTGAGGATATGCCGAAGCGGATAGGGTGCTCATGTGGGCTGCGCCTATCAGGTTTGGCTCGGCATCATTATCAAGTAAGACTTGTATAAGCTTTGGTTTCCAGCACTTTGATCTGACCCTCATCTCTGGTCAAAGATAGGATACAGCCGACAGCATAGTGGGGTGCAGGTTTGGCATCGCCATCTTCAGCTCCAACATTAGCCTTGGCTTCCAGCAGCCCGCGAACAACAGTGTGAAAGAGCCTACGCACTTAGCCCCTAGTGGATTAACGACTACCTCTCGAAGGCCAAAGAACATGGTATCAGGATGCATTATCATCAAGGCCTCCACTACCCAACATGCTCCCTGGATGCAAGGCTCATCGAATTCAAGTCGACCTCGGGGAGCCTCCCGACATTGCCACGCCATCCTGTGCGCAAGGCGTCCCTGTCAACCGGTACCGCCACAGCGTCTGGAATAGCATCAGGGGCGGTGAATGGCAACACTACGCCCCCGCCACCTGTCGACCAGTATGCCACAGCGGCGCTGCTGGTCAACGGCAAAGATTTTGCGCGCCGAGCTAGGACGAAACCAATGAGACAAAGTCGCCCATCAAGATCTGGCACCAGCCCGGCAAGCCGATATTCCCGGAGGCCAAGCCCTGGGCGTCGTGTCTGCACCAGCTGGCCCTTGGTAGAGGAGCCCGGCGCGCTGTGGGGCTCCTCGCTGTGCAACATCTGCCATGAGTGCCTGGTCACGAAACCGGACGTCGGCAAGATCAAGGCCGTCAAGTACGCCGCCCGAATGGACAACCTGTACTGGAGCTTGTGCCTGCCCCTCCCGCTCTTCCGTTAATTGGGGACCAGATGCTCTGAGGAGATCTGCTGCATCTCTTGACCATGCTCATCGAGTTGAGCAAGAGTATCCCGCATGAAGATTTTGCGCAGGAGAAGGCGATTGAGCTGCTGAATATGCTTGTAGACAGACCTACTGTCCATAAAGGTTCGGATATGGGAGGTGAATTTAATGTTAGACTTTTACTCATGAATATAAATTAAGATTATGGCAGTGAATGTAGTCTCGTGCTGAAGCGTGTACTTCTTAATAAAATCGGCTTTTCTAATATGATTAGGTGTCACAGAATGAGGGTTTGGACCGCATTCTGCGGTAGTTGATCCACGATTTCGTTAATCATTCAACGGGCTATGATAACGACTTGCCCTCTGAGAACGAATTGGGGTTGGCTTGGCTTGCGATTTATTCTACTATGTTGCAAAACTCAGAGTCAAAACTTAGAGTTCCTGAAAGAGTATATTTCCCTATCACTGTACCAATATGTAAACCTGAGTAGAAACCTTCTAAGCTTCAAAGTCTAGAAATACACTTATCTCAGAGTGAGAAAACGGTATGTCCAGCGAAAACCTGAAATACAACGTAACCTTCTGAAACGCTGGTCGACAAACATCTTCGATGGAACCTCACACATGTCCTTACACGGACGTCCAATTCAGTACTCTTCCGCGCTTCTCAACCTCTTCCATGATAGTGCCAATAGGAATAGCATACGTAACGTCCGAGGTGATGTAACGGCCGCGTAGCTGGAGCTTCCCGCCGCCGCGAACAAGGCCCAAGATACCCACCTGTGCGTCCTTTTCCGTGTCCGCATTTGCCGTTGGCGAAGAATCGGTGGGGTCAAGCGGGGGTAGGATGCCGAAGATGGCTGAACCGCTGTCTCCCTGCTTGCTGAAGGGCTTGTCACTGTGACCAAGAATGCAATATTCATAAGGACCAGCCTGGCCATTTGACAGCTTGAATGTGACCGATTTGACGTGGCTAAGCTTGCCTTCCCCCGAACTCGTGGCGCCAACTTGATAGACGTCCATGGAATCTGGACTTCCTAGGTGCCTCGCCAGTTGCTCTTCAGTGAAGTCGGGAACGTCTCCGTGAATGGTGTTTATGGCAGTGCAACAGTGTCGATCTATGGTTTCCTCACGGAAATAGGCTTTCAGCTTCATGAAGTCTGGGGGAAACCAGCCTGTCCGACTGTCACCTGTAACTGTGCATACTGCCTGTTCGTTTCGATTCCTGAAACGATCACAGGCACGTGGGCTCAGCTCATCAATCCAGAAAAGATTAGGATCAATCTCGTCGTTGATGCTCTTGTAGGATGGATCGGAAACGCCACTGCTACATCCAGCAAGATTAGGGCCAGAGACGCGCGATAAGATGAGAGCCCAGTCGTTTTCAGCAGTGGGGCCGGTCAACGGAGGTGACAGGACAACGGTGCCGATACGGCGGCTTTGAGGGTCCCTGAATCTCTCTAGATGCGAGATAAATCCATTAAGCGCGCTGCAGCTACACATCAGCCTGTCTCGATACCTGCGCTGGACATCGGTGAGGTCTGCCACATTCCTGCCGTCCTGATAGACTTTCAGGACTTGGAAATCAATTTTCTTCTTCTCTGAACGTGCTGACTCCAGTAGTGATTCATACTGGTCTTGATCAAGTTGGATAGCATCGATCGTACCGTCGACAAGTGAGTCCTGAGCGGAAAGAGACGTAAAGTCGAAGCCATGTCTGGTAACATCCGCTAGGCGGTCAATATATTTTGAAGAGGATGTGCTGTCAGAATCATCAACAACATGGCGGCAGGTCAGGAAGAGCTTTGCAATGCGATGGGTGCTGCTGTTGTTCTGAGTGGTGCCTGTAACTCCCTCGGGCTGAATATCAACCTCAAGTAAGATGGTGAAGCCCAACGTGCCGGAGACGCTAGGTCCAGTAGTAGAACTTATAGCACTACCGGGCCGGCTGTTCAGACTCAGCATCTCGCGTTTATGAAGCCATGGCTCGTAGTAATCTTCCTCCCGAATATGGTAGGAAACGGGAATGTGCCGCGGGTCGTCAGCAGGCTCAGCGGTATCAGCAGAACCAACTTCGTCTCCATTTCTGTCTCCGTGTCCACAGCAGTAGGAAGAGTCGGCACCTTCGACGATCAGGCAGTGGATGTCATCCAAGCCAAATGACTTAAGCACCTGGTGGCAAGCCTGAGCAGCTGTGGTACCGCGGCGCCAGTCATGGGTGAGGGGGCTGTTGGGGCGTATTCGGACCAGTAGCAGGGGATGACAATCTGTTTGCTCGAGATAATGGCTGGAAGAAGGCAGGAGGCGGAAAAAATCAAAACCAATCCGCTCGTCGGGTGAGGTATAGGCGATGATGGTCTGACAGAGTTGGTTGGCAAGAGGACAATGTCGTGGATGGCAATGGCGCTTAGCGACATCTGTGTTGGTGTCGCATGAGGTCTCCACTGTCGCCATTAGACCCACGACTGGGTGCTTGCTGGCCACAAGGAACAGTTGTTTGGCAAACTCAACCTGGGGCCATGGGTGCTCTGGGGTTGGCTGGGCCATGGGCGAAGCTGAGGAGTCGCTCAAATCCTACTTGAGTAGCTCCTGAACAAGGTCATGGTTGGATGCACCGCATAGCCTTCCATATGGTGTACCTATCATGTAGGAATCCAAGGCTGCGTCAACTGGGATAGGCTCAGAGCCGCCTGCAATGGGGCCAGGTGTTGGTGCCTCGGCATTGTCCATGGCAAGGGGGGTGGTGGGGGATTCACCAAAGTGATGATGATTCTTCTCCTTATGGCTGGAACTGTTGGAAAAGCAGGGACGAGGTCGGGGGGCGCTCCAAGATGAAGACGTAGAGACGGCAAAAGTGTCGGTGTCAAAATCAAGGTCGAAGCCATGGCGTGGGATTCTGATGCCTTTGATGAGATTGTGAGGACCGTGCGCAATGTGGACCGTGCGCAGGAAAGGAGATGGGGTTGAGCGGGCAGGGCGGGCAGGCGGGATGGAGAATTCTGCACTCCCTTGCAGGACTGAGGACTCGGCCCAAACAGCCCCACCCAACTGCAACCTCACATGCCAAGCCCTTGAAGTACTTGAAAGTACATCAATCATTTTTTTCAGGGGGCTTGGGGGCAAAGCCCCTCAGGTTTGTGTTATTAGTGAGTGGTGATTAGGGTAAGGGCTAGGGCTAGAGTTAGTTAGTGGTTAGGGTCCTGGAACACGACAAAAGAGAAAAAAGGTACCAAGTAGCTTTTTGAGTGTTGAGGTTGAAGTTCAAAGGATCTTTCCTTTTTGGCGTGAGAGAGTCCCCAGCCCTGCAGGGGAGTGCAGAATTCTCCATCCCAGGTATTCAGGACTTTGACTTGTCTTGAATGGGGATGGGCTGCTCCGCCCTGAGGTGCATTGAGCACCGAAGGGGTCTGCCTAATACAATTCCAATGATCTCACTTCTCATTCGCAGCTACATCAAGCTCTGTCGCTACATATCGCCATTCTGACGCCGATTGAGTGCAGACCGCAAGAGTCACGAGCTGTACCACAGCCCATCAAGGCTTAAACACTTGTGCGCCTGTGTTCCAGGCACTAGGCATGTGGCCTTTGCAGCAGATCCAGAATAATGGATACTAAGGGCTTGATTGGCACTGGGCATAACTGTCCCTCTTATAGAATATAGTTTCACTTCTATTCTATATATATCTAAGAATATATATAATACCTTTATATAATAGTAAATACTTAAAATTTAATATTTAAAAAGAATATAATATTAATAATAATAATTATAATATAATAAGTATTTATAACTTTAACTTTATAATATATAAATAAAGTTAAAAAGGATTATTTTAATAATAATATTAATTAAATTTATAAATAAAAATAATTTATAATTTAATTATTATAAAAGAGTTATATAATAAGATTAAATTTTTAAAAATAATTATTATATAAATAAATTATATTAAAAAGTTTAATTAAAAATTATTATTTAAAGTATATATATATATATATATATTATAATAAAACTTTTATTAAATATATTTAAAAGTTAATATTATAATTTTTATTTAAATATATAATTGATTTTAAAAGATTTAAAATAAAGAAATAATTTATAATATATTATTTTTAAAATTTTATAATAAAATATTAAAACTTTTAAAAGAATTTTAAAAGTAATTTATAAAAAATTAAGAAAAGTATAATAAGTTTATTTTTCTTTAAGTCTATACTTTTATTATTAATAATTATTAACTTTTTAATAATATAAAAAAATATAATAAAAATAAAGAAAAAATTAAATTTAAAGTTCCTTTATAAAAGAATTATAAAAATATATATAAAGTTATTAAAGACTCTATATATAAACTTTAAACTATTAAAGAAGAAATAAGTAGTTAAATTAAAAGATAGTTATATAGTATAAAGAAAAAATATAGTATAGTTGAAGCCCTCTTATAGAATGGAAGGTATATAAGGAAAATGCCGGCAATGACAACCAGGCACCTTTAGAGCAGCCTTCTATAGGATAGACTCTCTTAGGATAGCCTTCTGTAGGTATTAGCAACTATTAGCTGACCTTTCCTAAGCTCCTTGATAGGGACCTGATTACGGAAATTGTGGGCCTAACAAGGGTGGAGGAGAATAAGGTCCTCGAGAGGGAGCTCGACGTTCCCTGAGGACGAGTACTTCATGGTGGAATACCTTCAATTCCTTCATTCGAGGGAGGACTTCACGAGTAAGCTCACACGTCACTTGTGAGCACAGCCTTGGCTTCGTTCGAAGTCTCGCCCAGATCGGATCCCCGCGATCCGAGATTCAAACGTTCAGGACTTGCAACCAGTGCTCTCGACTACGCAAGAACATGGAAGAGTAGGACCACTTCGAGCTCTACGGTGCCATCGACGTCAATCCATAAGTAAGCGCTGAATTCATGGCGCTGGTTGATCAAACCTGCGATGGACGTGGATCTCATCAGAACCGCCAGAGAACGGGACAGGGGAAGTCCAAGGGCAAGAGGCCTGCCAACGCTGACAGGGAGGCTGAGCCCGAGCCTGGCTCCTCTGCCGAGGCTGTCGTTGACAAATAAGCTGTCCAAGCTTTACAGTCTGAGCATCAGAGGACGGTTGATAGTTAGGTCTCTGCAGCGCCCAGACAACTCAGACAATTCCGGCAAAATGTTACTCGCCGAACGAAGCTCGTGCCTCCTCACGAGGGTGTCACCGAAAAAGCGAGGGTGGGAAGGGCTGGAGTCCAGAGCGTTTCTTCGAAGTACCAGGAAGATCCACAAGTCCCTGCGAGTGTCTCTGCTGGCAGCTCAAAGGAGCTGCAGTCGCGGCAGATCCGGGACGCTGATGCTCGAGCCTGCTGGAAGGTGTCCGAAGGGATGCTCGCTTAGGTCGGGGGCATCGGGAAGTTACAACATGAATGAACTCGACCGTCGGGAGCATATCGAACACGGAGGCGCCCATCTATCCACGCCATGGCCGAACTGGAGGAACGCATCAACGACCTGGATGACGCCCGGGAGTCCGAGTCTTTGCTTACCTCCGAAGAGCTGAGGCTCGTCATCAGACAATTCCAACTACCAATCTTCATCCAGTCAGGTAGTCACAAACAAGATGCCCGCCACCAAGGATAAATCCAAGTCTGCCTCGGAGGCGAAGCAGCCTGCCACAATCATCCACGACACCGACCCGCGCAGCGCAACGCAAGACACCTCCAGCCGCTCGAGGCAATCAATGATGGCGGAGGCAAAATGGCGGAGGGGCCCCTGGGATTTGTGACGAGCGGGAGGTAGCAGCATTCCGGGCCTTCGAAATCGCGTCGACACCCCAGGAAGATCAACAGCAGAGGCTGGAGCGCGTGCTGGTCGCGGCTGAGGGCCCCCGAACAAGTTTCCGGGCTAGGTTCTGGAGATAGAGACAGAGATGATGATTGCGTGGCAATGAGTTTGCAGAGGTGTTGGGTTGCGGTCTTGACGGCATTCCTTTTTCTATGGCAATGAGAGCAACGTCTTCACGTTCCGGAAGAGGGGCACAAGAGCCTGTAGAAATATACCTTGACCTTCAGTAAGCCATTTATGTCATCGGAGGTTCTAGGTTCCAAGGTTGTCAGTAGTGAATAAAGGTGCTGAAGTGTTGTTAAGGGCTTTATGAACACGACTACATGAAAATCAAAGCACGAAACTTGAGCACGGAATTCAATTATCAGGATACCAGTAGCACTTCCAGGGGTGCTTTTCGCTTGAAAAAGGTGCATTTCAATCCGGCAGAGCGTAATCCGCAGAGCGGATCAGAAGCCGAGCCTATAGACGTTGGACGTGTGCCATGTCACCATGTTTCAAACACCAGCATTTTCTCAATGTGAATGGGCCAATATGGTATTTTAAAGCCGGATCGGCTAAGGTAGTATATAGGTAGTGTTATTTTTAATCTCTATATAAACTATTTATAATAACATATATAATATTATTGAAAACTTTATATATAAACTTTAAATTAAAAAAAATATATAATAATTTTTTTAAATATAAAGTTAAAAGATTTATAATTATAATTTTTTAATACATTTTTATTTAATTAATTTATATTCTTATAATTTAATTTAATCTTTAATTTCATTTAAACTTCTTTTTAATTTTTTTTAATATTTTTTTAAAAGAGTTAAATTTAAAAAAGTTTTAAATTTAAATTTAAAACTTTTATAAATTTTAATTTACTTTAAATTAAATTTATAATTCTTTAATTTTATTAAAAATATATTAATTATTTTAAATATTAATAACTTCTTTTAAAGTAGAGATTTATTTTTATATAAATATAAATTTAATTATTAATAGTTATTTTTTTATATATAAATTATTAAAATTATAAATTTAAATAATATAATATAATTATTTTATTTAATTCTTTTAATTTAATAAAAGTATAATAAGTTAAGTAACTACTTTTAAATAATATTATTTATAAAGTTAATAATCTTTTAAGTTTATTAAATAAATATATATTTATATTATAAAGTTAAAACTTTTAAGAAAATAATAACTTTATTTTTATTTATTTTAATTAATTTATATTAATATATAGTTTAAACTATATAATAAATTTAATATAAATATATAATATTATTATAAAAGTTTTATATCATAAATTTAATTAAATTAATTTTTAAAAATATATTATATTTTATTCTTTTAAAACTTTAATTATTTATTTTAATTTAATAGTAAAATTAAAAATATAAATTATTTATAAGTATATAATATAAATATATAATAAAGTTTTTAAAAATCAAAGTTTTTATAAATAAATTATAAAAATATATATAAAATTATTAAAACTTTATATATAAATCTTTTAAAAGAATTATATAACATATTAAAATATATAATATAATTAAAACTTTATTTTATTTATATTAATATAAT